TTAGAAATAGTGCTTTAAAGGAACACTTCTAGTATGAACCATTATAGGTATAGGTATGAACACTAAATAGTTGTTTAAGGTTGCATATAATAACAGAAGACTTTATACTAATTACATTTATTAGTTTGGTGATCAAGTAGCGTCATCAATATCATAACAATATATTTTGAATATGCAGATATGCAAACTATTTACTCAGAACTAGAGTAGATCAAGTGTATGAATGGAATGGACTTGTCTTGCGAGCATTTTCTTTGGTGATATGAATATATAATATATAATATATAATATATAATATATAATGTATGATGATATGATGATAGTCTTATCTGTTTGGATTAGTTAAACTGCAGTCGTCTAATAAATAGAGAACGAAAAATGCAAGCGTAAAGACGGAAAGACTCGTCGATAAAGTTCAGGCAGAGGATTCAAAATAAAGATACTATTTTGACTTGATATAAAGAGTTAAACGGATTGTCTAGTTTATTACAGTTCACGGTCTTACGGCAGGTAATCTAATTGAAATATCCTCAATAGACCCAAAATTAACTATGATTATTTAGCCGACTTTTGTTATATTAGGCATGAACAATCTGATGATGATGAGATAAAAACCTGAGCACATAGAAATTACTGCTTACGCAGCTACTTTCCGAGTATCCCCTTAAAACATAATGGGGTCATGAATATGGTTGAATATATAAGAAATAACTATTGATAAGCGCGCTTCTGGATACATACGTAATTCTCCTAATTAATACGAAAGCAATAACCGAGAAAGTTGTTTTTTTTATTTTAATTTATTCGACCAAGGCGAAGAAGCACTCCTTGATCTTTTTTTAGATGCAAATCTCAATAGATCATGTGTCAGGGACTTGTTGGTTATATGAATCAACTTAAACTGAGCGAGTATTCCCCGTATGAATACAACGTACCCTCTCATCATGTTTCTCGTTATTTTGCAAATTGAACTAAATTAGAATAAAATATTAAAGGTTTAATAGTCTTTGTGTCCCAGATATGTATTGATGACTTGGGGATTAAAAAAGTAGAAAAAGTTACTGAAAGGGGTGGGACTCGAACCCACGAGCTTTCGCACTAGTGCCTTAAACTAGCTCCATAACCACTCGGACACCCTTCCATCTGTTGATAGATACTTGTAAATGCAAAATCTGTACGGTATGTGCTATGTGCTTCCTTTGATATACATCTTTTATCCATGACACACCCCTCAGTATCGTACTCTACTCCCTACCTCGGGAAAGTACTACTACCCTATTCCTTAACACGAATACTCTTTGATATCATATTTTCGATCGTCATAGTAAATTATTGCGGAAATAAACTCGCTTCATACAGATACCGCAATGGACGTCTCCGTTGCAATATTTCTCAGGCCTAAATAGGAGAATAGTATAGAATGAGGTTTCTCACCATTGAGAGGAACAATATTCAAAGTGGCGTATTGCTGATGAATTGTAAATACATAATAAAGCCATCAAGAAGAAAAGCTTTCTAACTTTAAGAAAGAATATAATCATACTTGTGCAAACATCAATACTTCAAAGATAATAAACAAAAAATTTCCGTTGCGGGGAGTCGAACCCCGGCCGCGTCGGTGAAAGCGACGAATCCTAGCCGTTGGACCACAACGGATTACTTGATAAGTATAATTACTATATTATATAGAGTAAAATGCATTTACAGTAAGTTTGTCTACAGTCATTCTTCATGACTGATGTCAAATCGTCAAGCCTAGCTCTTCACATACGGGACCTATCCATGTATGTCAGTAAATCCAACGCAATCTAGCCTTCATTACCCTCAACATTCTACATGGACGCGTTCTTTCCTCCCTCACTAGACTTCTGTGTTATCTGTTTTCCTTTTAAATCTGTGACGTCAAAATATAACTAATTCTTTTATCTTTACAGACAACCTAATTGTTTAGGCAGATATTGGTATTAAAAAAGTTTTATTCGAGTTTTAATATATAATATGTATTTTAGGTGTTACAGTAAAGTTTATCGATGTGGTGTTTATTGAAAAGAACAGTATAGATAAACTCGAAACTAAGTGGAATGCTAACTTTCCTAAATTCCTGATTCACATATTCTAAACATGCATCGTATCGCCTATATATAGTCACCGAATCAATTAAGATGAGTACCGCGACTAGTAGTAGTTAACGTAACCTTCCTGTAATAGACTTTAACTTTATGGAACTCAGAATTGACTTAGCTGTGGAATTTCTGAATGGTTTCTAAATTGCCTATATTATATGCTGATGATACAGCTTTAAGTATTCGGTATAGCCTTAAAATCATCATAATTTCCCCCTCCCTAAACTAACTCGTTGTTGATATCCTTCAAAGTACAAAACTTGGTAGCCATCGTGGTATTATTCTCTGCTTACTCACAAGTAAAATTGCAATTGCTAACTTTTAGTACGACGATGAGCTTTGAAAACTAGTTTGTCATCACTCTTAATTTGTATATATACAACCTTAATGATCAACCTAAGATAGTTTCCGAAAAAATTTATCTTAGTACATACAATCAATCATATATAACGTTCATTATAGGCAAGGATTAGACGTAAATTTTCAACTTTAGTGTATAAAATTATGAAAATAAACTACTAAGGGTAGTTGGTGTAATATTCCGTAAATAGTATAGTTCAGAGAATAATAAATGTATTGGGATAATATACTTTTAGGTGACATTGTATATGGTTCGAATTATCAATAATATTGCAATTTTAAGTTGTAGGCGATCAAGTATTGAATAATAATTTTGTAAGCATAATTAATATCAACAAAAGCTAAAATGTCATTCTTTTGTGATTAAAATATAAACGATTCGAAAGTTACAAAAACATTGCTTTTTCACATGCTTTCTGCTTTGGATAATAAGCTTCTTATTTATTTACTCTCGTCAAATGAATCGAATAACGATCAGCTTTATAATATGCTGGCCAGGTCATATATAGATGGCTTAATACAATACCAATAAAACTTTTATACAAGGAGCGCCCTATCTCGCTATTCATGTATTATTTGTCAAGTAAGTCTTAAAACCAATACAAATTATGAAGTCACGTTTTTCCTGCTTCTTGTCTTATATTTATAAGAAAAAATAAAAAAAGAAGAGAAAAAGAGACGAAAAGAAATCTGGTGTTCATGGTCATCACAATTGGATACACTTATTAACTTTTCTTTATGCTTCATATACTGGGTGAAAAAAAGGAAAAGTTACGAAGATTGCATAAATATGTTATTCCAGTTACAAAGAGATTGAAATCTTCCCTTACAATACCAATTTGTTAATCGTTTGTCTAAATCAAAGAAGAAGATCACTTTATTCAATAGGATCTCCCTTTCTCTTCTACTTGCTAAGGTGTTGGAACCTGTTAAAAGGTTTCCTAGGTTTTTCTTTTTGAATCTCAAAATGAGTGTTTTATATGAGTGCAAAATTGATTTATTTTTAATGAAAATAGTGCTCCCTGTCTAAGCGTTATCTAAAAGTTCGATTTCAGTCATAAAGCTTCTGCTGACACGTTCGTAAATCGTCCATAATCTGTCATGCCTGTTATCAGTAGTAGAATCCAAACACTTGTTTAAAATTTTAATGCTTCGATGTATTTATGTTTACTTCAATGAGAATTAATAATGATAATCCTTCAGTCAATAATACTAAATACATACAGAAGTATCGACACAGAATCCTGAGCTACATAATATAATACTTCGGGTATGAATATATTAGGTTCTAAAAATATATAACTATTCATAAGAAACTAACTATCTTTTGCCAATTAGTATTAAAGCAGAAAATATCAGGGGTCTAGTTTAAAAACGGCTTTAGCCTGATACAAAATAAGGAAAAAATAAACACCACATATAACAACAAACAAGTAAAAAACTTTAGTCTATATAAGAACTAAAAATGGAGCACAAAGAGCTCTCATGAAGGACGGAATAGGATCTCCCTTTCTCTTCTACTTGCTAAGGTGTTGGAACCTGTTAAAAGGTTTCCTAGGTTTTTCTTTTTGAATCTCAAAATGAGTGTTTTATATGAGTGCAAAATTGATTTATTTTTAATGAAAATAGTGCTCCCTGTCTAAGCGTTATCTAAAAGTTCGATTTCAGTCATAAAGCTTCTGCTGACACGTTCGTAAATCGTCCATAATCTGTCATGCCTGTTATCAGTAGTAGAATCCAAACACTTGTTTAAAATTTTAATGCTTCGATGTATTTATGTTTACTTCAATGAGAATTAATAATGATAATCCTTCAGTCAATAATACTAAATACATACAGAAGTATCGACACAGAATCCTGAGCTACATAATATAATACTTCGGGTATGAATATATTAGGTTCTAAAAATATATAACTATTCATAAGAAACTAACTATCTTTTGCCAATTAGTATTAAAGCAGAAAATATCAGGGGTCTAGTTTAAAAACGGCTTTAGCCTGATACAAAATAAGGAAAAAATAAACACCACATATAACAACAAACAAGTAAAAAACTTTAGTCTATATAAGAACTAAAAATGGAGCACAAAACAAAAAAAAAAAAAAAACGAAAAACAATGTTCTTACAAGATTTAGCAAAATCATGTTTTGTGCCTCAAAAGGTATACTCAGCGGTATCTAACGTATTAAACAAATTTAAGAATATAATATATTGTGCAACAAAGATATGGTATCAAAATATACAACCAAACATCATAGTACAAAAAATTGTACAGTAATAATGTACCGCAACGGTGCGAGTTGCAGAATACACTATATATCTTTAATGATATTACTCAACTTCGGTATTGATAGAAATATCTTGTATTAATTCATTAATTCCCCTACTAAAATAGAGTGACTTTCGCTATATGAACCAGAAAACCAAAGAAGGGGGGGAGGAAGACGCCTTCTATTTTTTTACATTGATTTGTAAACAAACCTCAAAATAACCACTGACACTGCTATTTTTATTTTTTTTGTATTAATTAACATGAAGCATGCTCTACGTTAGATTGTTTACTTTATCATTGTTTATTTTTTTGTTTTTTTTTAGAAGTAAAAGCTGAGTGATTTATTACACCAAGATATATAGGGATCTTAAATACTATGCAATCATTAAATTCAGAATAGTTCTCAAGAAGTAATGTCAGTTAGAACAATAGGCTTTCCAAGTGAACTTACTACATTCTATTTATGTTAGCCAAGATATTAGAAAGTCTTTTACCTTAAAAAAGTTTCTCCATTCTAATGGGTCTCCACTGCTTTTTATGAAATTCACTAATTCCAAGTTATGGCCTAGTGTTTTCAATGCTACTTCACCCTGTAGTAGACATTTTCTCTTATCATGAAGTTTAACATAGAGCGTGCTCTGTCCAATTGTATGTTTGGTTGTCAATGAAACAGCTAACAGACGCAAAGTGTCATAGAGCCGATCAATTATATACTGCTTAGAAGCTTTTGAGTAAAACCTTGTCAACCGTTCCGGTGGACAAATTTCGTAGAAATTAGTGGCTTTTCCAGCCTGAATTTAGTTAGTTAGATTCATTAATATATAACTTACAAGTCTCTTAATAAAACCATTCGTGTTACAAAATTGACTCAGTGAAGGATCCTTTTCCATCAGTTCCGTAACATCAACCTCTTCATTCACCTGAACTGGTTGGGAAAGATGACCATATATAGCTGTATGGTCATGAATATCAGAATCTGACACTCTTGTTGTTGGCTGTGTCATGGAAATAGCTCCATATCTGCTAAAGTAAGTTACAATATACAAAATATAATAACATACGAAGAAGTATCCGTAAGTGATGGACGAGGTTTATCTAAATCAATATGTAACTTCAACATTAGTCTCGAAGCAAGAGCAACAGGGTCGGAACAGTTTCCATTATCGGTTCGGAAAGAAATATTAGAAGTAAGCCATGGATGCTGTAAAATACGCTTTATTGAAAACCTCTTGGAAGGATCAGTACGTAGTAAACCAGTGATAACAGCTATTTGTTAGCGGTTGTCCTACTAACTTAAGACATACAATATGCACCTGGTGACAAACGGTTCCATGGATAAGAAGACGGTCGTTCACCTTGCTTTCTATAAACTAAATAATCTCCTGTATTGCTGATAGCCTCATCCCATGGGGTGTTTCCGGATAAAAGAGCGAATAGTATTATTCCACAGGACCAAATATCTGCTTTGGCGCCATCGTATTGCCCTGTAATCTCTGGTGCAGCATACGGGGGACTACCAACAGGGCTGTTTAAAAGTCTAGTTTTACCCTTGTACGCATAAAGAGATGCAAAACCAAAGTCTGATAATTTCAAATTTCCATTATAATCTAGCAAGATGTTCTCAGGCTTTAAATCTCTATGAGCAACACCTTTTGAGTGCATAAAAGATATCCCCTCCATTAGTTGAGCAAAATAAAACTGCGCAACATCTTCGTCGACTCCAACATCAGGCTCTGCATTCATGTTAAATCAAGATATAACTTAATCATTTCAATTCTCTTACCAATTTTATCAAATAAATCCCCACCCTGCGCAAATTCAAGAGTAAGCCAACGCCAGTGTAAGTTTTCTGCGGTGTCATAGAAGTGAATTATGTTTTTGTGTCCATTACATAGACGATGCAATTGAACTTCACTAGCGATCCTACGTGCCCAGACATTTGAGCCCATACATTTTGTTGCAAACTTTTTATTAATGAACTTAACAGCGTAAATCTTCGCATTCTCATCGTAGCAAATTCGAACACTATTAAATGATTAGCCACAATTGAACCAGCAAAACATACGATGCGAAAGCGCCAGTTCCAATCTCTCTACCAATGTGGTACGGAAAGTTTTCTATACTCTTTGTCATCGTGGCTGTTATAATCCTCAGATCCTTCCTTTCCTAAGAGCAAAAGATATTCTGGTTATGTGAGTTTCTTTTACTGTAAGGAACTAAATCAATAATTTAACATTCTTTTTTCTATAGTAAGAACCAAAATAAAAACAAGGTCACCAAGTTTATTTGTTGTCTGCTATATAGTTCGCATATTGTTTACTGTTGTTATTTAACCTTTACCAAGACTAGCGCACATCCACTAAAGTCAACCGTCCAACAAGGAATATGGATTCAGAAATGCAAAATCAGAGCCCTAATATGGCTTCAAATACAAAAAATACTTCCTCATCAAATATGTCTGCTGAGGGACATAGCGTTACGAAGAGGTAAGCTTTGTTTCCCTGATTTGATATCTTGTTGTTATTAACACTTACAAACAGGCTACGAAGTGAATTAATGAGCTTAATGGTATGCAATTACTTAAAAATTATGATAAACTAAATATAAAAGATGTCGAATACCCCAGGGATTAGTGCGTTTCCCGATTCTGATTCGAATCTGTTACATTGGGCGGGCACTATTACAGGTCCGGTTGACACTGTATGTGAACCATTTACCAGTATTATTCTTTGATATCCTGCTAATACATATACAGTACTATGAAGGATTAAAGTTCAAAATATCCATGAACTTTCCTGCCAACTATCCATTCTCAGCCCCGACGATCGTTTTTACTTCTCCTATGTGGCATCCCAATGTCGATATGAGCGGGAATATCTGTCTGGATATTTTGAAGGATAAATGGTCTGCTGTTTACAATGTTCAAACCATTCTGTTATCTCTTCAGAGCCTTCTTGGAGAACCTAACAACGCTTCACCTCTGAATGCTCAGTATGTTATTTTATCAACTATGAGAATGCTAACCACATGTATTAGAGCCGCAGAGCTATGGGGTAAAGATCCCGTTGAATACAAACGCCTTTTAATGCAACGCTACAAGGAAATTGACGAAATATAATTTCTTAAATAAACGAAGAATAATGAGTTTTACACACTGCTTCAAGTTTACGGAGAAGTGCAGAGTTTCATTATTTAAGACTCAAATGTGTTTTATAACAATTTGGATCCTGCGGATGATAAACTGAGCCTTTCTTATAATACGTTGCTTTATAATGGTTACAAATCATGAAAAGCCTTTATCAATATCTATAGCTTATATTTGTTGTTCTAACTGATCGCTGTTTGTACCGATAGTTAAAAGCAGGATAATTTGGTCTATTACTATCAGGCGTTCACTCATACTCGGAAGTGTATGCTGAGATGGTGATTTTTTAAAGTATTCAGTGTTGTAATATATACTAAAGAGGATTTACTCGTAGCATAGCAGGAAGGCTAGTTTTGTATTTTATCGTATACTTACCTCATGCGTTATAGCGAAATGTAGTAAGGCGACATTAGCACTACTAAAATGATAGAAAGCCAGATTTAAAATATCGGTTGCTTGATTAATCTTTAGTAACCACAATAATTGTTCTATTTATTTATTCATTCAATTTTTATTGAATTTGCTACCTATTTTGCCAATAGTGTAATATCTAATTTTAAGTCATCCACGTATCTCTCCGGTTACATATGTACTCATCTTAGGAACAACCACCATGACAAAATCATTGGGAAACTTGAAAAGAACTCTCACCTCTTATAAAGAATTACCAGAATATATACACGGGACAAATTATGGTGAAGTCTTGTTGACCAAAGAGCCTCAATGGCTTCAATGGGAACAATATTTGAAAGATACCGAATCACCAAGTGTTGATTATACAGCTAAGAATGCGAATCCTTTACCTCAAGCATGGAGCACGAGAGAAAAATCTGATTTTATAGAGGTAATGCAAAGCAATTTGGAGGCTTCATTCTTTGGTAAGTTAACAACATGTCTGATACAATAGTTTCTAATTTACATTGTAAGGCCCGGACAGTGGAAGCGACCATGATGCAGCTTTAACAAGATCCGACTGTCCTGTACCAAATAACTGTTCCGTCTATTACTTTGAAATCCAAGTACTGTCTTGTGGTAAAGAGGGTAGAATATGTGTGGGGTTCTGTAAAAAGAATACACAGACAGGACGTTTACCAGGAACTACTCCGGAGAGCTGGGGCTATCATGGACATAATGGTGAAATCTACCATGGGTCGAAAACTGGAGAACGATATGGACCACAGTTTCAAACTGGTGATGTAGTGGGATGCGGACTCAATCTCATCAATAAAACAATATTTTTTACAAAAAATGGAGCATATTTAGGAGTAGCATTTACGAACGTGAACGACTCCTTGTATCCGACGGTAGGACTAAAAAGCCAAGGTGAGCACATCAGGGCAAACTTTGGTCAGACTTCATTTCTTTATGAAATTGATCACGCAGTTCAAGAAGAAAAGGAATTATTACTAAGTAAATCTTTGAATATCGCTTCAGCTGATGAACAAAATGAACGGAAAAGTTTACTAAAAGACCTCGTCTCGTCATTTCTTATCAACCAAGGTTATGTTGAAACGGCACAGGAGTTCTGTCCCGAAAAGGTGAAACGATCCGATGTAGAAATTCGGAAGAGTAAGTGTGCTCATTAGGCGTTGTTTCTAACTTTGAACCTTTATAGAGATTAACCAATTGTTGTGTAATGGAGATTTGGCCTCTGCTGTACAAGAAATTACCGTACAGTATCCTCGAGCAATTCAAGATTGCCAGGATCTGTCTCTTTCTCTTAGATTTTTGCAGTTTATTCAATTAATGCGAAATATGCAACAGGTTCGCTCATGCTCAGCTTCTTTTTCTGGTGTTATCTCGGAGCAAGAAGAGATGAAAATTTTAGAACCGGTTATGAATTATTCCCAACAATTTTTTAATGATTATGAAAAAGCAGAAAGTCAAGATTTAAAGACAATGATCAAATTAAGCATGGGGCTTCTTGCTTACTACGATCCATCTTCTAGTCCCTTATCCTTCTTCTTAGAGAATGAGTTTCAGAAGTATATAGCTAGCCGTATCAACGGACTACTTCTAAGTAAGTCTTCAGTCTTATACTCGTTTACTAACCTTTCTAGAATTTAGCGGTTCTCCTCCTGAAAGCAAATTACAACAATTTTTACAGCATACGATTGCCTTTAATGATTTGTTATGTCAACAAAAGTCCTTACAAAATACTCTTATTAATGTTCAGAAAGACTTCATTTTACCATGAGAGAGCTCGAAATTACTGTTTATGATATTATAAGTTTACTGATAATAATGCTTTTTCTCAAAAATTGAATTGATATTTTAACTGACAAGTGTTTACTCCCCATTTTGATAGTAGTATAAGTATTCGTCATCAATTTTCACATAGCAAAACAAAATAATAATGAATACTGTACCTGGTGTGTCTCAGTGCGATAGATGTTGTTACCTAACGACAACACCTCAATTCAAGCCCGCTTTCGACAACAACATAAGTCGTAAAATTGAAAGAAAAGTTTCTGGAGCCTTTTATTGGTAAAAGGTTCAGAATGATTAATCAATGAATTTATTGAAGCATGTTTTTCCAGAAAATAATTACGAAGCTTATGAAGGACTACTATCACCAGTTGTTCTTTTTCGTTTGACGAAGCAAGAAGAAATTATCATTGGCTCATCTTGTGAAATTAAATACGATGATTCTCTTATTTTTGGAAGCATATTCATCAGTACATCTTTCCTTTGCTTTCATAGTTTGGATTATAAGACTCGATTTACCTTTCCACTGTCTACTATCAGACAGGTAGAACGAACGGTATCAGAGACCGATGTATTTGTATTTGATTTAATAACCCTCCAAAACCAGATTTTACATCTTACTATAAAAGGTACACGTCAACAATCAGAACTTTTTTGTGACCGATTACTACGACAGTTACGATTAACTTCACATGAGGCTGGCGATGTAAAAAATTTTCTACATACTTTATCATCCGAAAAGGTTCTTCATACTGGAATACTCAAGAACAATAATGACAACCAAGCAAATTTTTCAACGGGATTAGGAGCACTCTTTGGATTTCCGTCGAAATTAATAAAACCGAATTCCAATTCAGATGTACATCAAAAGGAGCAACTAGACCGATGGAGAAAGTATTTCCTTAAAAGTGGAGCTAATTTTAATTTTATGCAAACCCCTTCTTTGTTTACACTACTGCAAAATGGTATTCCAGATAATTTGAGAGCGGACGTATGGGAAACATGTTCTGGAAGCCTGTATTGGCGTTGGAAATCAAAAGATTATTATAACAATAACGTTCATAAAGTACTTACAGAAGCTTGCGAGTATGGAGAAGAAATAGAAAGAGACTTGTCAAGAAGCTTACCGTCCTATCCAGCTTATCAATCGAAGATAGGTATAGATGCTTTAAGAAGGGTTTTGAGGTTTTATTCTGGAGAAAATGCTGATATGGGCTACTGCCAGGCAATAAATATCGTTGTTGCAGCATTATTAATCTATTGTACCGAAGAACAGGCTTATTTCTTGTTCTCTCAGATATCTCAACTTTATGTCCCTGGATATTATGGTAAATTGATTCACGGTCTTCTACTAGATCTTACCGTCTTTGAGTACGTCTTACAACAGACACTTCCACATCTTTATCAAAAGTTATCTGAAATGAAGATGGATTTGAGACTTATAACAATTAATTGGTTCTTCTCACTTTTTATTAAGGATTTTCGATTGGACTACGCTATGCAAATCTTCGATTGGTTCATAGTAAACGGGCCCAATGTTTTATTTCAAATAGCTCTCGCTTTGTTTAAAATAAATGCTCAAGGAATTTTGAATGCCGTTGACGATGCTTCTGTCGTTAAAGTTTTTCAAGATTGCTTTGCTAAAATCAACTCCGAATTTTTAGTGACATATAGTGAAGATACTACAACCCAACCCCTTTCATCAACGTTTTTACAACTCCAGGCGATTGCCTTCGAATACTTTGATTTCATTACGAACGGTTATATAGTAGCGAAAAGAACAGAGTATAGAGAAACGGTTCTCACTTCTTTAAAGCTCTTCACCAAGCGTTCACACCTTCGCGGTCTGTATCAACATACAAAGTTGTCAAATATCAGTTTAGAAAATTTGTACGATGCTTTTATTGATGGCATCGGTGAAGAGCATCTGTGCCATAGCCGGATAATGGAGCAAAAAATTGATTATTATGGCTTTGAGAAACTTATAAAAAAGTCAATCCCACGACAGATCTTTTTTGAGAAGGCCGCTCATTATCAGAAAAGTGAAAGAAAGCTATTTAAGAGGTTATACACTTGGCTGAACAGAACGGATCTTAACGTTCCCTTGACATTCGAAAAACTAATTGTTGGCATTGAAACCATGAATATGCTAGCCGAAGAAACTCCAGAAATATTCATTTTTCAGTTGTTTGACGAAAAGGAAGAAAAGAAATTACAAACCGATCAAATCGTTGAACTATCAGAATCATTAATTCTTATATGCTGTTATGAAGGGAACCACGAGGATGATGAAAGATTAACTGTAATAAGCGATTTTCTGGCCTGTTGTTTCAATAAACGTAAACAAAACCAAAAAGATTTTCAAATATCTCTTGAACAATTCCAGTCTATTGCTACAAACACTTCGTTGTCGCCAATACTCGGGTTTTTTATAAAGAAATTAGTCAAAGGAATGCTCACTAAACGAAACAGTATACAATAACTACATTCATTGGTAAAAGTGCCAGTTATAATAGAACTGATTTTACTGCACTTCGTCTTATTGTTATGTTACGACGCATTTAGAACTCTACTCTTTTAGATCTTGTTAATATAATTTGTAATATTATTGACGCATCCAACCTTCCACGTCCATTATAGAATTTATAGGCCATTTTCTAATTGGCTCGACTCCTAGAGAGGATTTAAATCCTTCTTCAAACATTCGTATTCCCGTGTAAGCAATCATAGCAGCGTTGTCACTACAAAGTTCCAAAGACGGATAAACCAGCTTCATTTTAGGGGCCGATCCCTTGTTATAAAGTGAAATTAGTTGTTCTTCCAGCATTTTTTTCAGAAGGGAGTTTCTGGCAACCCCTCCACTGCAAACCAAGAAACGAACTCTTGATAGATCAATGGGTTCAATAGCTTTGGCTAATTTTTGGCAAATATGCTTAAAGGCAGCCTCCTGAAGCTTATAAGCCAATATTTTTTTTTCTGAATTGGTCCATGTTCGAGATGTAATTATCCTTCGTGCGTAAGACTCTAATCCAGAAAAAGAAAAATTAGGATTATGAGCTTTATCACCAGTACTCATAGGATTTGGTGGATTACAATCCATATTCAAATCATTTATGGGGGGAATCGAAAATTTTTCCAATGCTGCTGCTGGCATTTGATTGTTCCAAGGAATCTCTAAATACTTTGCGCATTTATCAAGATAATCACCAATTGCTATATCTGTCGTCGATGCCAGGATTTCATGAGAAATAACTGAATTAGATAATATAAGAAGAGTATGGCCTCCAGAGACTAGAATAGATAAAAAGGGGAATGGAACCTGAGACTCTAGTTGCGCCGTCAATGCATGTGCTTGCTAATAAGATTGAGTTAACGTTTCATTATAAACATATAGCTAAGAACATACCATATGATGTACAGCCAAAAGGGGTTTATCAATGCCGACGGCCAAACCCTTGGCAAAATTTAACCCAATGGCTAAAGGTCCTATCATGCCAGGACCACGAGTGACAGCTATAAGGTCATATTTTGAGACGCCTAATGATCGAGATTGATTTATGGTTTCATAAACTACATTCGCCAGGTTCTTCTGGTGTTCTTGAATGACGACTGACGGGTGTATTCCCCCGTATTTTTCATATTTTGAAAGTGTTCGATGGGTATTAAGGCAAACAATGTTCGGTAAAGATTCATTCGAAGATTTCTGGACACTTTTTAAAACGTTAGCACAGCTTTTACATAATTCACGAGACGGTTGCTTACACGGCCACCGAAGTATCGTCACAAGAGGTCTCAATCGCCAGGGCCGTAATATTCCGACATGATGGAATCACTTTTCTGTAGTTGAATCCAAAATGCAACTGTTTGCTTATTCTGTAAAATCGATGCATCTCCTAAAAAAAAGGGAATGTATACTATTAATGTCCAGATATAAGAAATAAAAATAAACTGTAGTTTACCATAAGCGGATCTACGAACTTCTATATATTTCGTAGAAAATTAATTATAATTCAATCTAAATAATTAACGTAACAATATACGGTACTGCCTGCTGTTCATTCAGGCACTTTTGTAGTGGTCATTTCGAACTCTTTTACCCTCGAAGTACAAAGATGAATTAGAACACTTGGATTATCCATTACTGTTTTACTTATAGATGGATCTAAAGATTTACTATTAAATTCCGTATCATCAACGACTTCCAGTGAGAATGGGATAGACAATTTAACATATCTTTATACTTAGCATATGATAATAAATAAAATATAACATTTATACATATACTTTTATATTATTTATACGAGCAGTATGCTTTTACATTCATATCTTATGGTTAACGTATTTAATTTAGCTATTTTAAATATTATAATATTTATTATTAGTAATAAATAAAATCAACCAAGGGCATGTGGTGTAGATGGTTATCACGCTTCCTTAGCATGGAAGAGGTCCCAGATTCGAGTTCTGGCTTGTCCAATTTTTTGCTATCCATTACTGCATATAATACACAACAACGAAAATGTTTGTGTAAAAAGATAGTAAGTTAATGAAAATTTAATAGTCAATTTATTACACAGAATTTGTAGATTTTATGAATTTTACTTATAGATAATTTACCTTGGATTTCTAAAAAGCTGAACTGACAAGTGCCTTCACCCAAATTCTTTTGAACAATCCAACGTACAACTAGCAAGCCACAGCTTTCGCAAAAGAAAAAAAGGGTCGTTTGCTACGTGAATTAAATTTGATTTTGAAAAGCAATCTAATGCTAAGACATTGCTTTTTTCAATTGCCTAAAAGGCAGGTCTTGTGGCAGTGCAGTCATGGAAAATGTATGATCAGAAGGATGAAAACACGAGTAATACTAATACTATTAAGATTTTCATAATACATCTTTTTCAAATGCTATAAATAATTTCTGCATGCCCGCATTGTCTCCTACGATGGAAGAAGGAAATATTGCAAAATGGGTTTTAAAAGAGGGTATAAGCTATAAAGTGACAGATGAGATCAATAAAAACTGACAATTACTAGGAGATTCTTTTAAAGCTGGCGATGTTATTCTAGAAGTTGAAACTGGTACGTTTATTCCATTAGCGATGACTGGTATACTAAATATTACAAATAGACAAGGCTACGATGGACGTCGAAGCACAAGATGACGGTATTCTAGCAAAGATATTAGTTAACTCTGGTACTAAAATTGCGGTTGGTAAAGAGATCGGTATTGTTGCTGAGGAGGGAGATGATTTGTCCAAGATCAAGCTTCCTGATGTTTCAAGCACACCCAACGAAGGATCAAATTTGAAACAGCCATCAGAACCCAGTTCTTCTCAAATTTCCATTCATTCTCCTTCTTCATCCTCTTCCCAAAACGCCTCTTTACTTCCTTCCGTTGCTCACCTATTGCATTTACACAAGATTCAGGATCCATCAGTTATCACTGCCACCGGTCCTCGTGGTCGTTTGCTTAAAGGCGATGTTTTGGCTTTCATTGGTGAAATAAATAAGGATGCGCCAAAGTCAATACAAAAAGCTATTCGGAAGTTTGAAAAACTTGATCTATCCAAGATAGAAGCTAAGCCCATAATTGCTGAACAGAAGCCAGTGTCTTCTCTCGAAAAACCTCGTTCCAATATTGTTGAGACGAAGTTTTCTTTGACGAGTCTTATTAAAATAAGTGAAGTGACAAAAGAAAACAGTAGTAAGTTAGACTTGAACGATATATGACGGAACTCCTAACATTTATCTAGAAGAATCGTCAAAAGAGATAGGAAATATTGTATCATCGGCCATTTCCGATACTTTGGCTTCATCCGAAATCCCAGACTTATTTCAAGATCCCGTAGAAAACGCGTATGACGCTCTACTAGGATTGCCTTCTTCAAGAATAAGAAATTTGTCAAATGCTCAGTTTATTCCTGGGGAAGGACCTGTTGACGGTGTTACTGATTTTCTTTGCAAATCTTCTATAATGTAAGCATTACTACTTTTGCGGACTTCTAACAATTATAGTCTACCAGCTCAGTTGTCTAATAAATTGACATTATCGTTTGTCCGTCCGAATCCCCCTACTCCGTTGGAAGGAAAGACAACGCTTGATGATGTCTATGACTCTCTTTTGGGATCTGTGAAGGAACAAAAAAAGCGTAACCGACTTCATCCTAAAAATGAAGAGATCGTCCTGAAATTATCGTATAATACGCTCCTTGATAATCAACGGGCCGTTTCATTTATAAACAGAATTAAAAGGAACTTGGAGACTGCTTCTCTTAATTGATTCTCGTAATTCACCAACTCCTTAAAATATATCAAAGACAGTTAACTATATTATTCTTCTTTCTTTGAATTGACCGTAGCTATAGTATTTGTTCTTATTTTTTTAACTTTTACAACTTACTTGGACAAAGTTTACAATAATATAACCAGAATCTATTAACAAGTGACGATTATACGTAACGAGGGACATAACAACTAAACGAAACAGAAATTACGCAACAAATAAACATGCCATGGACGTATTTCCAGCTTCTTTTTTAATATACAGCAATAAGTAGATCCGTTTCAGTTCACGAAGCCATCGACGGTCTTCGATTAATATTCACAGGGGGGGATCTGCTATTCTTTGACATTCCTGAAGAAGACTTCTTTTCAACGTTGTTACTGCTGTGTTTGGGATTCCACTTAGCTTTAGCAGATGATCGTTGTGCTCTGGACGATTTTTCTTCCGTAAATTCATCATCAGACTCAGAATCTGGGAATGTAGGATCTATATCCTGAGGTACCATAAGAAAATACCTTGGAGAATGATTTGCTAAAGAAGAAGCGAACGCCAAACAGGCAGGTTGGTCTTCATCAAACGTACCAGGCACAAAATCAGTGTCATCCGGGATTAAATTTTCGGATGGTGGAGCAGCAGTTTGTATAGGAGACGAAGGAAACTTTGAAGGCGATCGTCTCTCACCGACATTATTGGATAAAGAGGAGCCCGAAATAGCACCTTCGCTTTCATCGTTAATATCGCTATCAATATCTTCGTCAGAGAAATCCGAATCGTTTTCTTCTTCGTCATCTTCCTCTTCAGTATCATCTTCAAAAGAAGAAACATTAAGCTTCTTGGCAGGTGGCTTGGGAGACCTAATTGGTCTATAAGTTTTACCCTTACCAATATTACTAGAATCTTTTTGGAATTTCACAGGATAAGCAAAATCATCATCATCTTCCTCATCCGAAGATTCAACCTTTAACTCGTTATCCTTTTTTAGCACATCTTCCAGCACATCGCGGCAGGTGGTCGCAACCTGCTTGGGAGTAGCAGCACGGGAAGCCGACGTGATTGGATTTTTCTCATTTCTTAAATTTCCCAAAGCAAAAGTAATTTTAGAAGGTTGCTTTACATACTGTTGTTCTCTGTTCAAATGTCCCAAGGGTTTACGTAGCAAGTTAGGGTTTTCACCTTTGATTTTAGCATCACCAACGTGAGATTTTTGAGGACGACTCGACGGCTGATTTTTGCTACTAATAGGGGGTGGAGATTTTCCATATGGGCAGGGCTTTCTAGATTTTCCTTCATCAACTCGAGTAGGTAAAACAGCAAACTTGACGTGTCCCTGTAATGGAGATGTTCCAGAAGAATGCTCATCGGTATGTTGAATACAAAATTGTACCGAAGGATGTTCTGAAGCAGGAACCTTTGATTCGTCAAGGTTAGAAGGTTTGCAATGCAACAAAATGCTTAATAAACCCGTCATTGCAGTAAAGAAGCGATAAACGCACAGAAAAGATATCGAACCAATGAAACAGAAAAAAGGTTTATGACTAGAAGACCAACTTGAAGTTTATATGTAACAAAATCAAAACCAAGTCTCTAGCTGAAAGAGATTCTAATGCACAAATTAAGCAGCCAAAGCTGAACGAATAAACAACTAACAGAGCTCTTTCTTTGAAAGAAGAGCTGATTATCTTTTTTTTTAATGAATAAAACAAGACCGAACTTCAGGACAGGCAGCGATTATAGAACTGCGTTTTTTTGTGAAATATAGAAGGAAATATATACACGCACACAGAACAAGTAATCGGATTATAAGAAAGAATTATAAAAGAGAGAGAGAGAAAGCGAAATATGTTATAAAGAAAACATGATGGCTTCTTTATTACGTTCACGATCAAAAATTCAAAGAAAAAGTACAATTACTCAAAATTGAGTGCTGCAAAAAATAGATTCAGAGTTTCCTGTTCGGTCCGAATAATTCAATAATTTCCTCTAGCTTTAGAAAAGTATAATACAAAGCTAGTGAAATCGTTTGTTTGCGGCGTAACAAACAATTTTTCAAAATAAATCAGCTTTGAAACTTTTATGTCGTTTATCGCCAACTAGAAACCAAAATTGGTCCCAAATGCAACGAATCGAAATCGCACAGTACAGATACAAGTAAAACTTGCTCTTCTCTTTCCTCACTGTCCAATAGATTGGTTAAAGAAAGCAGGTTCGCCCCAGCGAAGTGAAGTCGTCCACCAAAGACTTAGGGTAGGGTTTCCTCAAAACAAAAAAAATCGGGTATAAACAAGAGTAACGGGTAAAAACTATCCTTCAAAGTAAGAGGGGAAACACTGTCAATATATATATGTTGGCAAAATAATATCCCCGTATTGCTTACACCAATTTTACGCTCAAAAGTATCACGTCAAGTAACAGAAGAGTTGGGGAAATCAGTTGCTTTTATGCTTTGTTTGTTAGGATATGCATTGTTTATAGAATTGTAATTTTTCCATGAGAACTTGTGACAAAAATGTTTCAAAGTGGCAGGGCAGATGCGGAGGTTATTTATCGTTCGGAAATGGGTATGGGGCAGACAACAGATAGTTAGTGTACATCCGATGTAATAGACAGTAGGTACAAATACAATTAAAGAATATTAGAATGGTTTATAGCTAAGGACAGATTTTACTACAGGTTGGGAACGTTGTTAAACAATTGGAAGCGTGGAAATTCCTTGTAACGATGATAATCTACACCGTGTAACTCAAATTTCGTCTATTGTTCGTTCAAAAGTTAAATAACAAATATTAAGTACATTTTACATTATATCTTAAAGACAGAAGAACGGGAAAGTTCGAGTCGAGCTTGCAAGCGTTGTTCTAATGTCATATTATGCATAGTATTTTCAAAAACCGACGGTTTGGGAGACTTCCACTTTTGATTTTTTACTTTAATACTTAAACCATCTTGTCGAGAAGTCCAGCTTCTGCTTTCAATTTGGTTTTTTCTAGTTCCTTTGTAACCCAGTAATGGCGGCAGAATAAACAAGTCCACAACAGCAATCTTCGTTATAGGTTTGAAGAGAGAAAAGTAGCCACAGTGTGCCAACATGGTGACTATATCAGAGTCATCCGTATACACGTCTGTTCCCCATAATTCACGTTTACCTAGGCGTGGATTAATCGCAGCATTTAACCATTTTGCATCTATTTCTATTCGGATAAATTTTCCAATTGCATTGTACATTAAAGGCAGATCGAACCATGGAGTGTAAACGAATTGAGCAACAGGTTCCTTTTCCGATGACATGCATCGTTCTATGAATCCATTGAGGGCGGAATTGTCAATATTTATGGGTGGGGAAACAAATTGTCGAACAGGAATCTGCGGATATGCGTAAGGAAGTTGGGTGCCAGCATCTAAATTCTGAGAAGATTCATATGTTACTCTTGAGTGCGGCCATGGCGCGGATCCTGCTGCCGCTAAGGAACTTAATGCTGCATCTGAATGAGAGGGAACTGTTGCCGCTGACTCTGCGGTACCGCTGAGTTTGTTGAAGTTTTGTTGATTCTCTCTCTGATTCTCCTCTTCTTTTTCTACTTTTGGCTTTTTTTCTGAATGAATGCTATCCGTTGGAGAGGCATTATTCGGTCGTTTCTCTGACGACGTCGGTGTTGAGGTTGCCATCGGTACTGTTTCTGTATGAGTAGATTCAGTATCATTTTGACGAGATTCAATTCCCTCTGGGCTTTTAGGGCTTTGAGGGTTTTCTAAAATAGAGCCAATGGATAACACCGAAAATCCTGCCTTCTCTGATTTTGGTGTACTGTGCATGCTGTCCTCATGACTGGGTTCTTGATGTTGCTCTTCACTAGCATTTCGGTTAGAAGGCATGGACTAGATGTTTCTTACCCAGTAGTATGGTCCAACTGTTGGTTTTCCATGAAGATTGTATTTCTTATCACAGTCTGCTGTATTCATACGGTTTGACGCCAATCTCCTGCAAAATACCAAATTCGAGCATAGTACACTATAGTAGGGATATCATAGATGACAGTACCTCAGTATGAACAACTTGACTATAAAGCAAACATAATTTTCAAGTAGCTTAGGCGTAAATATCATAGTTTGACATACATTAAGGAATAGTTAGGAAATAGTTCCTCCAAAACTTGGAGGGTATACCTATTTCGTTGAATAGATGTATGAAAAGCAACATGAACTAGGTTTCGTATATTACAAGTCAAATAGAAACGAGTATATGGAACATAAAAGAAACATTCATTACAAAAAATATGCTAACAAGAAACTTAGTATTTTAGGATAAGCTTTACGGCAGGTTTATCCGATTCTGGAATGGAATCAACTCTTGGGAAAAGGCGCGGACCGCAGGAGGATAAGAATCAACCCACTAATCTCCAATATAAGTGCATGAAACAGTATATGTGTGAGAAAGCAGAAGATGATAGCAATAAGGTGGTATGCTTAACCGTACATCGTTTTTTTCGAAAGTATGTTTGGAGAAAAAAATAGTTTGCAAAATCCAATCCTCCTTTACAGAAAAAGCTTCTAACATAAAGCATAGGATGCAAGGTGGTCTAGAGGAAGTGCAACCAACGAACGGAATACTTGGAGTAGAGGTTGAATAGTGAATTCATCTTGAAGTGTTCCATTTCTGTGATTCCCAATTGACAATGTGAAATGATTTGCTATCCAAGTCTAAATCTTGGCTAGCCTTTGTAAAAGCAGCTTGTCGGGGTGAATTTAAAACTTGAGGTTGATTGGCATTTAGAATCTTGCGCAAGGCATTTTCAGCCAAACGGGATTCTTTCGTAGCCAGTTCTCGTATCCGTCTAGGAGATGTGGGTCTTACTGGGTACACGGGACTAGCTAGATATGTGTGAGATGCTGGAAAGGGAGGCAAGTGGTTGGCGACATAACTAGGTCGGTTTTGAGAGACGGCTAAAGAACCAAGCAAGTGAGAAATCATGCTAGAGTCTAATGATGATTTGAAACGATCCGGTATATCAGCGGACTTGTGAATTGTTTCTTCTAGGTTTTCAATAAATTCTTTTGATAAAGGCTTGTATACCTTATGTAACTCTTTATGAAGGCTCGATAACGGTATATTGTTTAAGTTTAACCAATGCGCAACATCTTGAGTAGTAGGTTCATTGTGTTTTCCAACTTGTGTGTGGATTGCTAATTCGTAAAAAAGAGCCTTAAGATCTGTAGACGTAGTTAGTAATGTTTGTTAAGTAATTCTTTTTTTCCATACGCTTATCGATCGCATCAAGAAACATTCGTTCAGCTGCCTTTGTTATTCCATCGAACCCATTATGCTGAAGAATATTATAAAGAACTGCTTCCATATTAAAAGACTGGTAAAATGCAGAGATTTTTCCAAATGCACCAAATTGTAACTAAATCGATTGCAAGTACTGTCACAAGACTATTCTTTTAAGTCCACTGCACTCTAAATTCTTAAACAGAGAGAATTATGTGATCGATAAATCTCGCTTTTTTGTTTTTGCTTGAATATACGTAGCTTTTATTAGGTGTGTGTCTTGTTGAAAGGGTTTACCATACAAATCCCATACACCAAGAAATAAATAATTAATAAAGAAACAGACAATATGTTTCTTCGTTCAGAAAAGGAAAATGAAGCGGGTTCATAAATATTGGATTCGCGTTGAATAGGTCTTTCAATTCAGTTCCTCCAAATACCAATCTCGAGCATTCCCCTTTATACTGTTTACCAAACCTCACTATAGTACCTTTTTCTCAATAGATCTAGTAGTAAACAAATCCGTATAGTATTTGGATGAATCACTTGTTTTTTAGTAAATGTATTAATACCTTATTCAAGAATTAACGTATATGTTTTACTTGCCCGCAAGCGCACAAATCTCGAGGGTACAAAGTATAAAACCAGATGTAACGAAAGCTTCCTCTCAACAAACCAGAATAAGTGTAGTTTAAGTTAGACCATTCGCATTTCTTAATGGTACTAGTGTTAAATGTAAGTCCACTTCATACTACCATCCCATGCCAGTCATTCCTGCTATTCTATATATTTGTTTTCCGTATGATTTACAGATATCCTTCGAGTTCACTATCCTTCCAACATGGCGGAGACAAAGCGTATAGCAGCTAATAATAAACTTACCAACTCCCCCTTCTCTACCAATTCATTTCAGGCTTAGCTTTTGTAGTTTTTCATTATGGCTGTCGGACCCATTACTGGAACTTTTAAGAGGTATGATTTGGCTATATATAGGAGAGAGCGCGACGTTGTTGGTTAAGGTGGATGTTATTAACATTTGTGATAGACAAATTATCGTTGACTTTTCTACGATCCTCGGTTTAGGAACCGCTGGAGGTTTGGTATGGTGGTTCGGTTACCACAAGCCTGCTTTTAAGCAACGTGATGAATATTACAAGAAACTTGCTGCTGAAAAGCTTTCTGAATAAGTCGGATGACCTGTGAACGTGTCTAAAATGCGTTAGTTCAACTGTTAAGTACGCTATACTGGTCTTTTTTTCCTTTTTTTTTCAGTTATGATTTCGCTCTCCTTTTCTTACTTATCGGCTTCGTTATAAATTTAGCTCGTTTACCCTTTTGGTCAAAAGCCATAGGCGTTTGTTCAATGAGAGAAGTATTTTAATTTTATATTAGAATTTGCTTTTATTGAGCAACAATTAACTGGTAAATTGAAATCTTTTCGCTACCGTCCCTAGCCAAAAGTAGTTCTTATCCCGTAACTAATCCAAGTTCATTAAAAAATGGTTTTTTAAACTGATAATCAAATTCCTTACTCGTAACTGTTTTTGAGAGAGAGACAGATGGAAGCGGTAAGAATAGCTTCTTACTTTAATGATAGCTGAACTATGAAACATATAACCCAAAAAGAGTTTACCAGAGAAGGAGACTAGATGGTAACACATATAAAATAGCGAACATCCGATTAACCGATCATTTTCATAGCCTTTTCTAGCCATGTATTTAGTGCCCTCCAACTGAAGCAGTAAAAAGCACACGTAGTCTGTTAAGTTTTCTAAAAAGATTATAAAAAGAAACAGAGTAAAAATATAAGTAAAAGAGAGATGTATAAATATATAAAAGTATAACACCTGCGTCTAATCATAAATAAAATCATAGTATGCGAAAGAAATATTGAACTTGCAAAGTATACCCATATTTTAAATTCAACAAGAATTACATGTAAATTAAGATGATCTCTTTCTAGGACGACGCTCTGACGGTGAATCTGCTGTCCTTTTTCGTTTCTGCTTCAATAACGAGTTAGGATTGATGGATGTAGAGACTGGTGCAGGCGGCGATTGAGCCGGTAAGCTCAGAGCTGGTTTAGAAAAAGTAGTGGAGCTTTCAACTGACAAAAGTGGATTGCTAGACTTAGAGTGGGCTGTCAAACCAGACAACCATTTGTGAGTACTGGCGATTGGCTTTTCTAGACTATAAGCAACAGATGTATCTTCCAAAAAATCAATGCGTGGTACGGCATTTGATTGCCAATTTGGGGATCCCGGAGGACTCGCGGGAGGAGTAGGTAATGTTGTTTTGTTCATGTCCAAAAGTAAATCGGTTAAATGACTACAAACAGCATTAGTAGGAAGAACTAGTAAAGTTAAACTGTTCCATTTTTCTCGCCTAATTTCAAGAGAAGAGAATTATAAAACATACGTATTTTCCATCAAAATTCGACGGTAGACCTGTGAGATATCTGCTATCTTCTGCTCAATATTATCTGTTTCCTGAAGAACTACATCAAATGATTTTCTCAGTTTTAGATACTTTCTTTTAAATGACTTTACGGATGCCATTTTTACTTTATTGAATACAGATCGTCAATTCCCTCTTATTTCATGCTTGACTCCTTCTTCATATAGTGAAGTTTAGTGATATCTTTAATCACTCAAGCTGGTAAGTTCATTCTGTACCTTGGTTGATTTAGCAGTAAATAAACAAATAGAATAGAAAAAGTAAATTTGGAGAATAAAGTCGGTATGAAAGAATGTGCTGCATAAACTTTATTATTACTTCTTTTTCTTTTTTTTTTTTTTTTGAATATTACTTTGGAAAGAAGCTCAAGTTTGTTTAATTTTATAATGCGGTATGAGAGTTTTCTTTTGGAAAAAGATAGGAAAGCATATGGATTTCGGATGAGTACCAAAATATTATCGGTTTTCAGCTATTTATTTTATTTTGTATTTTTTACCCTAGTAAACGCTGCGTTTCACTTGTGCTTAAAACACCCTTGCATTCAACTAGTTGTACTATAGTAAAGTTCATGCATGTAGAAATCATAATTAAGTAAAATAAAATAAAAAAATGGTAGGTTTCAAGTTCCAGTTTTTAGAGAACTTTTGTCGGATGTTACGCAGGATGTCGTCTATTGTTAGAAGAATGACAATACGTGGATGATTACAACTAGCCATAAATAATCAAACAAAACAGTATCAGAAACATTATAACCTCTATTATTCATTGTATGACTTTTAAGCATATATCGGACTATTAGAAAGGAGATAACTAAACGACTGTAAAGGACAGAAAAGCTTTCTATAGTATGCAACAGACTAATCCATTTTGATAAGATTAGAACTCAAACGCCGTTTATACATGGATAATGGTCGTCTCCAGGGGATTAAAGAATATGGTGGATATGAGAGACCTAATCCAAACAAAAAAAAAAAAGATATATATTATACGCTTAACCAATAAACCAAACCAAAAAGAATATTTTAAATGTAGAAAAGAATCCCTTTCCCTCAACTGATATTTCATGAAATCTCAAAGGACAAATTACGCTTGAGAGAATACGATCAGAAGAATAATAGGGGATTTGCTACCAAACATACAAACACCTTTCCTTTTTTTTAATTATTCGTACTGAATTTGTAACCACACCTAGGACATTCATAAAAGACAGTAGAGCCTTCATCAGCACTTCGCAATTGTAAGGTATGAAAAGTCATTTGATCGTTACCGCATTTAGGACACTTTTCGTCAATCTAGATAGATGTTAATAAATGAACAAAAGAAAATGAAAGAAAACATGAAATCATTTAGTTTACGAAATACAACATGACAAATATCACATTGTATCTTCTTTATAAACCAAAGAAACCAGGGTAATCCTACGTACCGTTGCAGCTTCCTCCTTTTGTGTTTCCACCTGGACAATGCTATGCTTTAGCTTTAAAGCAGAAGGAAATGCATTTGGACCACTTTTTGTTTCAACAGCCAAATTTGCAAATTGCGAAGAGGGATAAACAGATTGACATTGATCACACGTCGTCCATTGTGCCGTAGTACTTTCTAAAAGATTTCCGCATTCAGAGCAAAACACCAAAGATCCAATGGCTGACATGTTGGCTCGTCTTCTCCTTTAGGTGGAAAGCAAGGTGAAGGAAAGGATTTGCATTTTCTTTTTGCATCAAAGTAAGGAAGCTTGCTAGTTTTAGCGCAGTGTATTGTTAAACAGTTTTGGGCAAAGTAACGAAAAGTACGTTAGTAAACATATCTTTCGAAATACCCAATGCAGCAGGTGTTTTGACAATTTCAAAAGACAATTATATCCCATATAGAATTTGATGAGAAAAGAGTACTATATCTTTGTCTTTTTTTTTTTTTTTTTTTTTTTTCTCGGAAGGCGAAGGCAATAAGATATATACGACCGCTACCTTTATATATACATTTACCGAATCAATTCCAAAAATGATAAATTTGTTTGATCTATTGTTAACCAAATTCATTTGGTATTCGAGACTTCATTATCATTACTTTTACTGTTTTCCAGCGAACAAATCTGCGTTCGAGGTTTAAAAGGTAGGGTTGATGCCATAAAAATTCACAAAAAAAGCACGGAAATAGTAGTTTTAAGTTTCTTTTTTTTTAATTTAAAAAATGGCTCAAGGCTCTAGCTTGATGTGTCTCGTTTTTAGTACCCAGTCATGCTCCGTCATATCTCACGTCTGATCCGAAGCTACTCTCGTAACTTACCTATACTTAAAAGAAAGTGCAATCATCGCATGTTTTGAATTTAAAAAAGCCTCTGATCTTTTAACAATTCATTCTTATTTTTTGACAGAGTCTTTTATATTCAAATAACGGGTCTGAGATTCTTCCGTCGATTTTTTACATTACCCGTTCGGTTTCTGTGCGGTTGGTTATAGATGCTCAAATTAAAGGTTAATAGCTGTATTTAATTTCTTCATAATATTTATATAGAATTCCTGGCTGATCTCTTCGGTGTTTCTTCTTTTACTAACATTACCTGCACTTTTTTATTTTTGTGATTATGGCTTCGTCATCCAGTGGTTGCCAAGTAGTGAAAAAACATGGAGTGTCATCGCTCTTTTTGATTTCACTTATTATCCTTATGGCTCAGGTTGTGTCTTACTTTCACAATTCCTTATTAGCTCCAGTTGACAGCCTTTACAAACCTGATGGTTCTCCTCAACTATCTGAGAAGGAAATTATGAGACATGTAACTGAGCTCTCCGAAAATATTGGTTATCGAATTCTCGGTACTGTTGAAGAGGATCTTGCTCGCGAATATATCATGAACGAGATTTTAGCTATCCAGAAGAATTTGGAGGATAGTCCTTTTTCAAACACTCATCAGATTGAAATTTACTACGAGACAGGCGATGGTGCCCATCTTTTCGACTTTATGAACAAACACGTCATCAAAAAGTACCATGGTTTAAGGAATATCGCTGTTCGACTCAGTAACGGAACCGATGCTTCCAAAGAAGAAGCTGTTTTAGTAAATGCTCATGTTGATTCCACTTTACCTAGTCCTGGTGCTACAGATGATGCCCTGGCTGTGGGCATTCTTTTGGAAAACTTGCGTGTTCTTTCCTCTCAACCCATCCCTTTGACACATTCTGTGGTTTTCCTCTTTAACGATGCTGAAGAGTCCTTGCAGGATGCTTCTCATATGTTTATCACCCAGAGTGTTATCAAGGATTCCGTAAAATGCGTCATCAATCTTGAAGCTTGTGGAACTACCGGTGCAGAAATATTGTTCCAAGCTACAAGTAATGAAATGATTAAAGCATACTCTCATGCTCCACGTCCATTTGGTACCGTTTTAGCCGATGATGTTTTTCGTACCGGGATTATCATTAGTGACACGGATTTCCGCCAATTCGTACAATACGGAAATCTTACTGGGTTAGATATGGCCGTTGTTCAAAACAGTTACCTTTACCATACAAAGAAGGATAGTCCCCCCTATATCAGCCCTGGTACTGCTCAACAATTTGGCGAAAACGTTCTGGCTATCCTTCAATACTTAACGTCATCCAAGGCTGACATGGACAATTTGAGTACTTCTGATACCGTCTACTTTTCGATTTTTAATCGGATTTTTTTCATGTATTCCAGTATGACTGCCCGTATCATAAATGCTACTGTTGGTGGTTTGGGAATTTACCTTGCTATACGGGGATCTGAATCTATATTTTTGCCATTTTTGTTTCAGCTTTTTACGGTAATAAGTGCATTCTTCTTCCCTAACCTCTGGGCATACGTATATGGCAACGTCCTTGACAAAGGAATGAGTTGGTTCCGTAATGAGAATTGGCCATTATTTATTTATTTGCCTGTCGTTATCGCTTCCGTGATTATTTCCTCTTGGTTCAACAGAAAATCGGAATATCAAACTTTTAAGGCCACCGTTTTAGTATTTTCTCTCATGGCCTTCATTCCCTTGCCCTCTGCTTATCTTGCTACACTTATAGACTTTTTTATGATCCTTGCTTTATTAATTAACGACTTCCTTTTTAAGAACCAAAAAGAAGTCCACTTTCTGTGTTACGTGATTGGATCGATTGGTTCTTTAACTGCTGGTCTTGAGGCCAGTATTACAATGCTTGATATCTTTGTGCCTCTTACTGGTCGTATTGGAATCGAAAAGGTTGCTGATAACATTATTGGTACTGTTTGTACTTGCTCTTTCTTTATTAGCTTCCCTCTTCTTTCATCATGGATTCAACGCATACGTTCTCCTTGCATTCTAAAGTTTGGTTTTCTGTTGTCTATACTAGTGGCTCTCGTTAGCTCATACATATTAGGAGGTCAAGATACTTACTATGATGCTTTACACCCCCGAAGAGTTTTTCTTCAACACATGGAAAACGTTACGTCAAACGAATTTTCTTTACATGTTGCAGCTGCTGATTCTGCTCCAGGATTTGAGCAACTCGTGTCTAACTTGGCTAGTAAAATATCTGACGAACCAATTGTTAAAACGGAAATCGACGATTGGAATTCGGATTGGGACACAGTGTATCCTTTCAGTCAGTTTCTAGGATCCTATCGCATTCCTCTAAATGAAGAACCTAACTTTGAACAGAAACCCCGCCTGTCTTTCTCAAACAAGGTTGTAGCGAATGGAATTGCCAATGTTACTGTAACAGTTGATCATCCCGGCTTGATCTGGACAGTTATCTCTTTTGATGCAGATTTAATATCTTGGTCTTTACCGGAAGTACCAAACGATGTGCGTAGACATCATATCCGTGAAGTTAGTGCCTACGGCATTGATTCCTATTCTTTTGATATGAGCTATGTTGATGAACCAATATATTTCGATTTTGTTGGTCTCAATGCTATAGGCCATTATCCTTCGAAATTCGAAGAAGGTAAACATCTTCCTAGTATGCACATGTGCTCCAAGCTAAATGAAGATTACTTACCTGAATATACTGACGCTCTTTGTATTGGTGTCGTTTCAGCTGCGTTCCAATTGGATTAAAAGGCTTTGCTGAACGTTTCCAAGAAGGTCATACATATAGAAAGCAAATTTTTAGTGAAGTTACAACACGACTCTTTTCGTAAGATTTTGGTTATTCGGAATATAGCATTTTCTTTAGAAATTAACTAGGTTACTCACTTATGCTTTTGATAAGGTCTATTGAATTCTATATACATCAAAACGTGCAAAAACCTAACAATAATAATACAAGTATCCAAAACAACAATGCAATATTTCGCTATACAGAAGTACATTTACTACAATATTATAGTATTGATTCGCTAAACTTCGTTATAGTGGAGGCTAGAGCTGTACGCTTCTCAGTGGAAAGAAACAGTCACAACTTGACAACACAAACCTACTTCAATGTAAAACTTTACCCACAGCGCATTAGCCGGTATCTCAACATGTCTCTTGTTCCACCCGATAACGTAAGCAAAAAGAATTAAACTGAGAGGTTTGTACTAATCTTTATAGTTTCAACACATTCTCCGTCTTCTCAACACCAATGTTGACGGCAAGCAAAAGGTCATGTACGCCATGACTCAAATCAAGGGTGTCGGTCGTCGCTATGCCAACATTGTCTGCAAGAAGGCTGATGTAGACATGTCTAAGCGTGCTGGTGAACTTACCACTGAAGAGTTGGAGCGTCTTGTTACCATTGTTCAAAACCCTACTCAATTCAAGATCCCTACTTGGTTCCTTAACCGTCAAAAGGATATCAATGATGGCAAGTCTCACCAATTGCTCTCTAACAACGTTGAGGGCAAGCTCCGTGAGGATCTTGAACGTCTTAAGAAGATCCAAGCTCACCGTGGTCTTCGTCACGCTCTCGACCTTCGTGTCCGTGGTCAACACACTAAGACTACTGGCCGCCGTGGTAAGACTGTTGGTGTCTCTAAGAAGAAATAAATTAAATAGTCATCATAACTTTGTAGAACTTAAAAATTTGGATTCAACACTTCTGGTGGAATATAACACAGTACCTGAAGAGAGAAATTGTATAGAAAGTAAGAAGCCTAGTCTCCCATTCACTAAGAAAGAACTATCAATATTGTAAATGAGAGTTTGTAGAATCGTATTTAATTACGAAAGCGCTGGGAATTCCATCATCATCTCAAGTGTCTTTACGAAGGAGGTATTGTTGTGTTTTAAGCAGTTAGCACCATTTTCAAAGCCAGTTATTTAAAAATTCAACTTTAACAGTTTTCATTTAGATAAGCTCAATTCAGGGTTCTATTTTATTTTATTATATCAAAAAATATTCTAAAGCACATAAACATTTCGAAATGAGTGGTTTTTATAAAGTATGGGGATTCTGAATTTGCACTTGATATACTAATGCTTAAAGGGAGTTGGTGCTGAACAAGAGACGCTGTATACTAGTGCTGACAAAAAATTGATGCGAAACACAAAGTTTCCACCTAGTTTTGGTACAAAGGTACGAGTAGACGGAATGTTTTGCTTGCAGAATGTAAGCATGAACATCCGCTAAAGACCTGAAAGTAGGTGCTAACCTCTTATGAATAGGTGGATATGAAACAAGTTAATATTGAGGTACTAAAGCCGTGGATAGCTAATCGGTTAATTGAACTTATAGGATTTGAAGACGAGGTAGTGATCGATTTCGTATATAGCATGCTAGAAGAGGCTGTTGAAGCATCAAAAAACACCGATTCCCATAATGAATCGACTTTAGATCCTAAAAAAGTTCAACTTAATCTTACAGGATTCTTGGAAAGCAAGGCACCTGAATTTGCGGAAGAGCTATGGTTATTAATATTATCGGCTTCTCAAAATCCTTATGGGATTCCTGAGAAATTCATTCAGCAGAAGAAAGAAGAGCTTTCTAAACTTCGGGTAAGTCATTTGAAGTAATCAACAATTACTAAACCAACTAGAGCCAAAGAGATGTTTCGGAATCTGAAGTCAAGAAAGAGATTGACCGCTCTTTACATCCTGCTGAAGAACGTACTTCTAGAGAAGATAGACATTGGAACATTAGAGAAAGCTCCGGTCTGCGACCGAGACGTGAACCTCAAAGTTTTTCACGAAGAGAACATCGCCGAAGATCATCCTATGAGAGAGAAAGGTCACCACGTAGACACCGCAACAATAGACGCGAAGTGGACTCCAATGAGCGGTTCTACACAGACAACAATAATACACGAAGCTATCGGTCTTCCCGTCATCCAAGGAGCATTCGTAATAGACATGATGAATTTGATGAATTCGGAAGATCGAGACCTTCTGAAAGACGGGAAACTGACTACTATTCCAAAAGAAATCGTAGTCGTTCACCCTATGAGAGTGAAGAAGAAAGGTTTTCTGAGAGATAACTTTTTGATTTGAGTTTATGGAAAGCTATAGGACAATGTTATGATTGACTTCTTAGAGGCCGTATTTGTATTGCGCTTACTGTGAGTATGGTGACGATTTATGAATTAAATAAGGCATAAAACTATCTATACTATGATTGAACTAGATTAGTAGTATCCATTGATATCCATTATACTGTTACTTGACCTTTGAATACTGCTCGGAGTTAGTACTACTTTTAGAAAATAAAATTCGAGATTGACCAACTACGAATCGAAAAACATCTTTCGAGTCCTTAATTTATTCAAATCTATTCAGAATGAGCATATCGTGATATTTATCTTAGGAGAATAGAGCAGACACTAATTTGGCCGCACATAGTGCTTTTGCCCACTGTAAAATGACCGACAAAACAAAACAAAAATGGGAAATCAATGATGAAGCATATTTAGAAAAAGGCGGCCTGACTATGGAGTTCTATCCGTTAATCGAAAAAAATGCGCTAAAAGAAAGCTTTGCTTTAGTGAAGGAAAATATGCAAACCCTTTATGAAAACAGTGTTCTAAGCTGGGATGAAGAAGAAAAATGGAAAGAGATGAGCATGGATACTCTTCACTACGTTTGTTTGTATACTATCGAACACCATAAGTTAATTGGTTTTATGAGTTTTGAAGAAACAATCGAAGCAGATCTTCCATGTCTTTACTTGTATGAACTTCAGATCACAAAAGATATGAGAAGAAAAGGATGCGGATCCTGGCTTATGAAACAGTTAACAAGGATCGCCGAGCAAAGAAGAATTCCCTATCTCTTTCTGACAGTCTTTGGTAAAAACGAGCAAGCACTTCAATTCTATCATCGATTTCATTTTTCACCGCATGCAACATCACCACAGCCAAAAAAGTTTCGATCTGGCAAGGTCGTTCACCCTGATTACTATATCATGTATTCTCGTGTATGACAAGGAGCAGAATCAAGGCACAGTTTTAATTATTTTTTCTGGCTTAAACACGGGATGAAGACCTTCCCAAATAAACCGAATTATCTGTTTTGCTTTGTGAGAATTTAAGAAACTTGAAAACAGACAAAATTGTTCCTCAGTAGATACTTTAGCTCTGTTAGGTTTCCAAAATATTTCATTTTGTTATTTTATATAAATCATAATGCTCAGCATTAACGACTTATTTCAAAACATATTCGAAATCATTTGTTTATTATAGGAACTATACTTCAATTTCCTTATCTCCCTTTACGGTAACGTACTAGTCTTGTTAGTGTATTTAGAGAAATGTAACGTGTTTTGGTATATAAGCCATGGTGGCAGGTCAATTATTTAAAATCGATGCGGTACAGTGCGCTGGGCAGTAACAAGTCATTTGCTTTGTTTCTGTATTGAAAACAAACTTGACTTTCACCAACAACAAAAGGCACCTAAGCATTTCTTAAGCACCTAAAGTAGTATTTAATTGGTGCGAAAATGAATGCTAACAAGGAGACTGATTATTCCCTTGGGGTGGAAATGATTCCACTTAGCATGGGAGAGTTCTTTGAGGAAATTGATCATATACGAGATGCCATTCGACAGATCGAGGACAATGTTGGCAGAATAGAAATGCTTCATCAACAATCTCTCCAAGAAGTTGATGAATCCAACATAGCTGCTACTACTCGCCAGCTGGAAGGATTTACTGCTGATACCCGTCGTTTGCAAACCAGCGTACAATTAGCAATTCGATCTTTGGAGTCTCAAAATATGCAGCTTCCACCCGACAATGACACTGCTACTAGGAAAACTCAAACTGAAGCTGTGAAGAAGAAATTTATGGATCAAATCCGACACTTTTTGCAAATCGAGAAGACTTATCGTGCTCAATATGAGCAACGCATGCGTCGTCAACTCGAAATTGCTAATCCTAGAGCTACTGAAGAAGATTTTCAAACTGCAATCAGTGAAGAGAACGGTGGTCAAGTCTTCGCTCAGGCTTTGTTACGCTCTAATCGTTCCGGCGAAGCTAGAACTGCTCTTCGGGAAGTACAAGAACGTCATGCAGACATTAAGAAAATTGAGCGTACTATTGGTGAGCTTGCTCAATTGTTTCAAGATATGGCTACCATGGTTCAGGAACAAGAACCTGCCGTTGATAAAATTGTTACTGACGCTGTCAACGTAAGAACAAATATGGGTGAAGGTACACAACACATGGACCGTGCAATTAAGAGTGCTAGAGCTGCTAGAAGGAAAAAATGGATTTGTTTCGGTGTTTGCATACTTATCATCTGTATTTTAGTCGCTGTTCTTTGCGGTGTTTTGATTCCCGTTGTCGGTGGCCACAAACATTGATTTTATTCATTTTTGTTCTTCCTTTTTTCTTTCTGCCCACCCAAATTTCGTCTAAAAAATACCGCCTTAGCCATTTTCTTTCATATAAATGGAGTTATCTAATTATCGAGCAATATGAGGATGGGTGTGAAGTATTCACTTATCTTTTAAACGCGTTAGCATATTCATTATTCAGGTCTCCATCCTTTTTTGCCCGTTGATTTTTTTCTCTAAAACTCGTTGATGGGCATATTCACTTTAATGTCTGTCGTTCAATGTCCAGTATCCTCTCACTTGCGTTTTATGTTCACTTTGATTACACTTTTAAAGTTGTTAGCTAAAGTCGCATGTCGCCCTATTTACGTATGCCGTTTAAAACCGCATAGGTTTAAAGTCGTTCATGGGTCGAAACAACCGAACTCGTAAGTGTATAATAATGTCGCTCGTTACATAGTTTTTAACAAAGTATTAATAGACTAATAGAATCAATAGTCTTAAAGTTCATTTTTTCGTGACTTTTCTTATTTGTCCTTAACTGTAACATAATGAATGATTCTTTAAACCTATTTGAACGAGTACAAGAGTTTTACATTTTCTACATCCATCGACGTAGCAATGTTGATAAAAAGTAGAAGTCATTAATCTTGAACAATATTTGTTTTCAGCGCCTAAAATTATCATTTCAAAGCTCATCAGAATAATCATAGTCATTCTCCAACAAAGATGCTTGAAATTGAGATGTCGAACATGCAGCAGGACTCTTCATCTTTATAGTGTACTCACATTTTTGAGCTTCCAAAACACTGACAATTTCATTCTCAGTTCCACATTCAACAACAACTTTAGTAGATCGGTCAGGGCCGTTCCAGCAACTTTGACCATTGGAGTATCTCAAGGTGTTACCCTTCTGCTCTACAAAATTCCTAAAATGATTAGTTATATGTCTATAAACAAATACAAAGAATTCTTACCCTAAATTAATAGAATTTTGAAGAACATTTTCAAAGAAAACTATTTTGTATACATAATCACCGACCGTGAGTTCCGTCGTCATTCCTTTCAGAAACCGATACAGGTTATCCCAAGAGTAATGATGCTCTTGTAAATCTTCAAGGAGAATAACCTGTTCTTTCTGTAATTCCTCCAGTTCATCTTCTGTAACACTCAACTCGGATTGGACATTTTCCAAATAGAAGCCTAAAATTCCTTATTAGAAAGGAAAACAATGATATTATTCATACCACCTGTATTTTTTATTGACGTAGCAGGTATACTAGGACTTAATATTCCGAAATCAATTAAGGAGCGTTTCACATTCCAGTATACTTCCATAAAGTCCTTTTCAATTTTCTTTAAGAAACCAAAATAAGTAACTAAAATCGTTAATAATTTTGAATTCCAAGAGCAAGTTTTGTACCTTCTTCTTTAGCAATTCGAGCAAGATGGGTAACAGATGATTTTAAATCATCGTGGATTTTGTCTGAAGTAACCTTTTTCTTCACATTCTGAGATCTTATGTCTTCCCAAGAGTCCATAGCTTCTTTTATGGTAGCTTCAAAGTCTTCAGTTTCATACATAAGAGAAATCTCGTCTAACAGATTCTCCAAAGCATTAAGACGTTCGGTATACTCATTTCTTTCATCTAATAGATTGTAAAGATCAATCTTAATTTCTTCTAAATCATTAGCAAGAATGGATCGGCTATCTGAGTCCGATGAAAGCTTTATTGCTTTCACTGTGTTCTGAAGATCTTGTTTCGTCTTTTCAAGTTCTGCAATTTTCGAAGTTACAGAATTGTACTTGTTTAATGTTTCTTCCTTCAATTTAGCACTTTGAGCTATCCAGTCATCTCTAATACGTAGGCCATCAGTCACGAGCTGATTATGTTCATCCAAAGAACGTTTATATTTTTTTGCTTCCTCTTTGCAAGTGTTTTCACACTTCACCAAAGACTCGTCGGAACCATCGCAGCAGTCGCATTTTGTGTCATCAACCCAATTTGAAGGAATGTACTTGCTAATATAGCCATCGTTTTTGCAGAAAAACTTGCCATTCTTACAGGCAGAAGTTCCTTGAAAATGGTTAATACATTAATATAATTAAACAATCATACCTGGTTCGTCGGATCCGTCTGGGCAATCACAGTAATCATCTTTTAAAGGTCAGTTTGTTTCGTCATGAACTCTTCCAATGTTCTCACCGTTAATTTGTTCAAAGTTAATTGTCTTTTCACTTCCTAAACATTTCCATTTCCCGTTTGAATCTGGTTTATATAGATGCAATTCTTCAAGAATTAGAAGATGTGGAAATCACAGCAATGAAAGGACATACCGTTTTCGCTAATACCCCTTATTGAAAGTTTGGCATTTACAAACGGAATTAATAGAATACTAAATAACGGCGCCAGGAAGACGCAAGATTTGAGGTGCATTCTACGAATTGGCAGTTAGCAAGGCCTAGGTGTATGTTAGTACTGTACTACGGTGAGATATGGCAGAATTCGGGAGATAAAAGAATTCTCGTAAACGATTGTAGCTTCTTTAGTTTTAAAAATTGGATTGCTCACCTTAAATATAATGTTGTAATAAATCAGTTATTTCAATTTTTGAACACGCATGAGTCACCTTGCTAGGGGCTTTTGTCAAGAAAAACAAAATTCCAAATTTATCATCATCAAACTTGTGAAATGTTGAGTTAATTTTATTCTTATTTTAAAATTATAAACCAATAGACTAAACAAACACAGAAAAAATAACCAAATATACCTTTATAATTATCTCAAGGCTTTACTCTTCTGTTTAGCCAATTCTGCTTCTTTTTCATTTTCTCTATCCTTAGCAATCTGCTCTTTAAGCATCATCTTGTAATCACGGATTTCACCATCAAACTCTTTCACAGTATTATCCTTAACGACCCAAATCTCTTCAGCAACTTGATCAATAAGACGGAAGTCGTGAGTAATGAAAACAACACCACCATCGAAGTTGTTTAAAGCGTCAGCCAACGCATCAATAGTGTCAATATCCAAAGCATTTGTAGGTTCATCAAGAAGTAAAATGTGAGGTTGAGTCATACCGAGGAAAGCAAAAAGGACACGGCGACGCTGACCATCGGAAAGTTGGCTCATGGGAATGACTTGACTCTTACCAGTAAGACCGTAACGACCGATGATTCTTCTCATTTCACCTTCTGGCTTGTTACCGAATTTAGTACGTAACCAATCTACTGCGGATAATCTCATATCCAATTGGTCACCCATATGTTGGTTGAATAAAGCCAATCGAAGACCATGATGATGAACAACGCTTCCAACAGTAGGTTGAACCTTTTCAAGGATCAATCTAATTAATGTAGTCTTACCAGCACCATTAGGACCTACCAAAGCGATTCTGGAATTTAAATCTAAACCAAAGTTCAAATTGGAGAAAATAGTAGGACCTTCAGGATAGTTAAAAGAAACATCTTGAAATTTAACAGCAGGTGAAGGTATACCGCCACCGCATTCTTGGAAACGAATAACTAGCTGTTTCTCTTGAATAATTTCTTCGTCTAGAACCTTGCCGGATTGCTTATCTTTTTCAAGACGCTTGTCCATAGCCTTTACCTTAGCCTTAGCTTTCTTTTGTTGATCACTTCCAGTCATATTTAATTTATTTTGTAATTTAGCCATGTCCTTCTCTTGTTGACGTGCCTTCTTAGCTAACTGGGCATCACGCTCTCCACGAACCTTGAGAAATACATCGTAATTACCCGAATAGTAATCAAGCTTATGATGGTGGAGATGAATGATATCGGTGCAAACCTCATTTAAAGTGTCTTGAGTATGGCAAGTAATCAACACAGTATGACCTTCCATTTCGTGAGTTAAGTATTCTTCCAAATATGCTACTGCTTCAAGGTCAAGGTGATTGGTAGGTTCGTCGAGCATCATAAGAGTAGGCTTAATAAACAGAATACGAGCCAAAGCAATACGCATTCTCCATCCACCGCTTAGATCTTCAGTTCGCTTCGCGATCATTTCATCAGTAAACTGCAGACCCTTGAGAATCTTGTAAACAAGATGTTCACTATTATCTGTTTCAAGTTCAGTAAGACGAGTTTGGATAGTATCCAACTCAACAGCATTCTTATCTGGATCATCAAGAAGATCTTCCATTATGGTTTCAAGGTGTTTACGCTCTTGCTCATTGATGTCCAAAACTGCTTCCACGCAGGTAAGTGAATTGCCCATATATTCGCGATCTAATAAATAAAAGTCTAAAGACTGAGGGGCAGGAATTTGTCCACATGCAATTGCGTGAAGTAAGGTAGACTTGCCGGTACCGTTCGGTGCGATTAAACCATATCGACGACCATTTATTAAGCTGAGTTCAGAGTCCTTGATGAGATGCTTACCATAAGCTGATACTGACAGTTTCTCTACTTGCAAATCACGGCTGTTGGGAGGACTGAGTAAATTACCGGTAACGGTGATACCGGCTGATGGATCAGAACCGTCGGCAGACACTTTCTGTCCAGAAGCATAAGCAAAAATGAGACGACCAGAAAGCAAACCATCTTTCAAGTTTTGATTTTGGTTAAGAGGTCCGTTACCGGAGGACTCATTCTTCTCTTTAGGTTCCATCAAAGAAGCCATTTTTTGAGCCTTTTCTTCTTTCTTGCGAGTCTTGCGATCCTTCTTAGGCTCATCAGACTTCTTGGATTTCTTCTTTTCCTTCTTGGAAGTAGAAGTCTCTTCCTTCTCATCCTTCAAGGAAAGTTCATCCATGTCTTCGTTTAAAGAATCAAAAGCATTCTTACGACTTGATTTCTTGTCACTCTTCTTTTTCTTCTTGGGATATTCTTCAACAACTGATTCTTCTGACTCAGATTCATCTTCATCTTCCTGCTCGTCAGCGAATGCAGCAAAGGCATTAACTGGTTTTTTATTTTGACGGGAAGACTTCTTAGGAGGGGAAACACTTTTTTCCTCTTCTCCATCAGAGTTTGAATCAGATTCATCATCAAGAACAGTTTCCATTTTCTTGGAAGCCTTTTTGTTCTTCTTTGTCTTTGGCTTGGGAGCCGGTTTTACTTCTTCAATCTCACCTTGGATATTTTCTAAATCCAAATCAGCATCACGCTGATTTGCGCGTCTTCCCCTTGCCATTTTTTTTTTTCAAAAGTTCTATATATCAAAAGAATTGGTCCTAAACTCCTTCACAAGGCAACAAACCCAAATTAACAATATAAAAAATACTATTCTATGAAGAAAAGCTTTTCTAAAAAGCTCTCAAATTATATATTGGGAATAAGGTAGTTTGTTGTAGAAAGTAAGTCTACCAAAGGGTAAGAAATTTAGGCGGACTGGCTAAATACTAGTAAATGCCTTTTGTATACTTTTTTCGTTAGATAGACCATACTTTATTTAATAAGAATTAATTTTTAAGGAAATAATGAAGTAAGATAATTGTTTGCATCTTTGGAGAGGCGTACTTAACCAAGTGATTTGGAGCGAACAACAATACTTTTTAATTGATATCAAAGTTATTATATTAATGGTATTAATTGAAGAAACATCCTGAAAATGAAAGCAAGCAATCTATATTTTAGTGATGACAGTAGGCTGAAATGAGACCTCTTGAGAAAAAGTAGACTTATTTTTCGCATTTCAAACTTATTTTTCTCTTCTTTTTTATAAGTTTTTATTTAGAGTCACAGAATACTGAATACTAACGGTTTTTGGCTTTATTCGCACTGAATATTGAAAGTAAAAGTTTGGAGACTATATAAACTGACTATAAATTGGTAACTATTTATAAACTAATTGTTTAATTTTTAATTCAAAAAAATTGGAAGACTTTTATTCTACATGACTCAACGCGCGCAATCCTTTTTGGACATTCTCCAAAACTGTATAGAGCATGGCCCCAAAAGGGAAAAAAGGAAAACTATCGGAAGGCACAGTGGATAAAAATAAGTCTAAAGATAAAAATGTTAAAGATAAAATGAAAGCCAACCCAGGAGGGAAAGAAGCTAGAGAAAAAGTAGGAAATAAAGCGGAGCCAGATACCGCACCTCGTCCTACCGCTAAACAATTAGTAGGCGGCAGTTCTTGGACCGGTAAAATTCCTGCTGTACTATTAAACGAACATTGTCAAAAGAGCAAATGGGAAAAACCGGATATACAGGTGGTAAGTGAATACTACTGACTCAGTTGAACTATAATTTAACGATATCCATAATCAAGAAACAAACAAAATCCAAAAAGTATCTATTTGTATCCGTCCGATTATCGAAAAGAGATCCAAAAAATGCATCTGTCTTTGATCATGCTAACCTGGTTCCTCCAAAAATCTTTTACGAAAAAGAATATTTTCCTGAGAAGGAGACTCTTGTAGAAGCTAGAAATGTCGGAGCTGTATATGCATTACACAGGGTAAGCGATAAAAGCAGCTTTATGGAAAACTGACCAAAATGTAATTACAGGTTCTGTCACATAAATCTTTGCAACATGCACTTCCCCCAAATTTTAGAGATATATGGATAACTTTGGAAAAGCAAAAGAAAGAAGACGTGAAAAACAATAGACAGTACTATTACCAAGAGGATCCTTTTAAGGCTGCGAAAGAGCGAGAAGCAGCGATTGCCTCAAATCAGCAACAATCAACAAAACCTCCTACCCCCAAGCTTCCAAAACCGACGTTCTCTTCTACCGCAGGAACTCGCCTTTCAGAGGTTTCCAAGTATGATTTTAAACATGCTGTCACCCTCAACATGAGCCTTAATCATCGTCAGTCTATTGAAACCCTCTTACGGTCGTTGAACATTTGGGATGCGTATGAAGAGAAGGGACCGTCTGAGAAACTTGAGAGTCTTATAGTTAAGGACCTAGTAAGTCTTGGGTTTCGGGATTTGCATGCAAAGGAAGCATGTCAATACTGCTCATCTTTAGAGGAGGCGCTGGAATGGTTAATTATACATGTTCCGGAAGACGACCTGCCAGAAAGGTTTTTGCCTTCGGATTATAATGTTGGCGTACGAGTCCAGAACAATAATTCTGAAACACTAGCAATTCATTACAATACAAAGCGTAAGACTCTTTCGTTAAAGTCATTCCCACTTACTAATCACCTAGAGTAGGCCTTGCAGAGACCGGTTACAATTATGATTTCTCTTTTTCGGTTTTACAAAGATTCAGAAATAACTTGGCATCTGCAGCAGAGTACTTACAATTTCATTTGGTTAATAAGGAATTTCCTGATAACCCCGAATTTTCTAATGAGTCATTATGTTTCTTTAAGGAAGAGGCGGAAGCCTTGCAATCGATATACGAAAATAAAGTTCTTGTGCATGATGACTCTTGTAAAATAAAGGTTAATGCACCATCAGACGAATTTGGTCAAATTTATATTGAATTTAAACCGCCAGCTCATCCTTATCCTCAAAACATACCTTTAATATTCATATCTTCGACCAAAAGAATGGCGTCGTATATAAAGCTAAGTATAATAAGAAGACTGATTCTTTATGCTCAAAACTATGTTGGGGAGCCTATGCTTGACGTATTATACGACTATTTTCAAGAAAACATTACAAATTTTTTGAAGAACCTCGAACCTTTATTAAGTCTTTCTTCGGTTACAATTGGAACGGATGTATCAAAGACTGAAGATGCTATATCCAATATGCAGAAGGATACTCCAAGGCAGAAATTATTTAAACGTGACAGTGAATTGGACAAGAAGATCTACAATGAATGGTTAGAAAGGCAAAAGAATCCAGAGTTTTTACAAAAAACGAAAGATAGAGAAGCCCTTCCTGCTTCCAAATCAAAAGAAACCCTGCTATCTTACTTACAAAGCTGTCAGTCAATAATTATAAGTGGTGAAACAGGAAGTGGTAAATCTACTCAAGTAGTTCAATTTATTTTGGATCACTTCCTATCGGAAGGTCACGGTACTGTTGCTAACGTTGTATGTACTCAACCCAGAAGAATTTCAGCAATGAGTTTAGCTGAACGAGTTTCTTATGAAAGGACTACTTCTTTGGGGAAGGAAGTTGGTTATAGTGTACATGGAGATAAATGTCTTTCAAAGGAAACTTTGCTAGAATTTTGTACAACAGGTTTATTACTAAGGAGGATTCAATTGCATGGTTTAGCATATCTTCGTACTCTATCATGCATTGTTGTTGATGAAGTCCATGAAAGATCCATAGAGAACGATATACTTCTTGCCTTATTGAAAGCTATTTTGCCACGCGTTCCCAACCTCAAAATTGTACTTATGAGTGCAACGGTTAACGCCGAAAAGTTTATGTCGTATTTTCCCAAATCCAAACATTTACATATCGAAGGTAGAACTTATCCCGTTGAAGATTTCTACATTGAAGATTTCAGTTTTCTAAAAGATGAGGACTCAAACGACGAAATTTCGAAAAGAAAAAACAGCTCGTATGAAGTTGACTATAATCTTATTTCTCAAGTCGTAAACCAAATTGATTCCGAACTATCCTTGAACAAGGGTAGTATTTTAATTTTTCTACCCGGTGTTTCAAACATCAACCGTTGTATACAAGAAATCAAACGAAATTGTGGAGATGGATTTGAAGTACTGCCTCTTCATGCTTCTTTGAATACCATTGATCAAAGGAAAGTTTTTAGATCATACAAGAAAAGGAAGGTCATTTGTTCAACAAATGTTGCGGAGACTTCAATTACAATTAATGACGTTGTGGCAGTTATTGACAGTGGAAGAGTGAAACAAATAGATTACGATCTTAATCGAGATTTAGTAACGTTTAAAGAAACGTGGGCATCTAAGGCTGCTTGCAGACAACGAAGAGGTAGAGCAGGTCGTGTTCAGGCAGGAAAATGTTACAAGTTATACACAAGAGGATTTGAGAAAAAAGGAATGGTTGATGAGACTCCACCCGATGTGCTTCGAACAGCCTTATCCCAGGTTTGCTTAACCATCTTACCTTTAGTGAATCGTTTTAGCAACAATAAAGATTCAGACAAGAAAGGATCTGTTAAGAAATTTATGCAATGTCTTTTGGATCCTCCTACTGACCAGGCTGTTGATACTGCCATAGATAAGCTAATCCAGGTTGGTGCTTTGACTGAAAATGAAGAACTCACAGGACTGGGAGAATACTTGGTAAGATTTTTTGATAGAGTGTTTATTACTAACAATTAGGTTGCTTTACCCGTAGATTTAAAGCTAGGCAAACTTTTAGTTTTAAGCTCTATATTCGGGTTTATAGAACCTGCTCTGAGCATTTCAGCAGTATTATCCTCGAAATCTCCATTTTTGCATGATGATGATACTAGAACATTGAGATCCGAGTTGAGCGGTGGATGGGGTGATGTCCTAACAGATGCTAAAGTATATGACCAGTGGCATGAAATCGTGATATGTAGCGGTATGAAGACAGCTACTGAATGGTGCCGGGATGTAAGTGCTTTCTATTTCAATTGCTTATTAACGTTTAGAATCACATATCTGTTGTTAGTATGCAACAAATTAGACAAAACAGGTCAGAATTAAGTGATGCTATTCAAATGCTGAAACTCGTAATCGACTTGAAGCATATCCATTTTTCATGGAATTCTAGCGAAGATTTAGCGCTTCTTTCGGCCATAATTGCCGGTGCGCTCAGACCAAATATTGTAAAATGTGCTTACCCAGACAAAAAATACGTGTCTTCCTCTTCTGGGTCTATCGAGGTCGATCAAGAAGCTCGATTGACAAAGTTCTTCGATAAACACAAAAATAGATTGTTTATTCACCCAAATAGCGTAATGTTTACTAACTCACCAAACCCATCGAAAGCTACATTTATAGCTTATGAGCGAAAGGTGGAAACCACCAAACCATTTTTGCAAAATTGCACTCCTATAAATACATTTGGGATGGCTCTTCTTGGAACAAACGATATTATAGTGGATCCTTTAGGAAAGGGCTTGGTCCTTGATAATGCCTTTACTGTGAAAGCTTGGCCAAAGGTTGTCATTTTACTGAAATTGCTTAGACGTTATTTGGACTTCGCTTTGCATCTAAGATTAGAGTCTAACCAAAAGGTGTACTACGAAGATGATATTCGTAGATGCATACAGTCATTGATCGCTAGCAATGGTACTTGAGAACGGTCGTTACGGATTCTGAAAGAAAATGTTAATTTTTTGGTGAAAACTATTTCTCTTCTATTATTGGCATATGAAATCGTATATGTAAGAATTATATGTAAATGTAGGAAGAAGCTGTTTAAGTCATAAAAACGTTATTACCCATGTGTGTATCGTAAGGAAACATTCGTATGTGCTTTGGTTATTGTTACACTCATTTCAAGATGTTTTTTGGCTTGATTTTATTAGTATTATTCGATTGAAGAACTGTCTTACATTCAAAGAAATTCATCCATATGATACACTGCGATCATCTATCCTGTGTTCATAAATGTAAGAATTTGATCTCTTTCGTTGATTAAGGAAGTCGGCAATCGCTATAGTATCTAAGATAGCAATAGTATGCTGGTCATCCTTATCCTAAATCAACTAAACGTAATAAACTACAAATTAAAGGAAATAAATGCCAAAGTCGTCCACAAACAGGAAATATTGAAAAATCGACTTTTACGATCGTTACTTTTGTTAAAAAAGAAAAATTGAAAAAAAAGGAACGAATGGAATGAATTCAATTGTTGTTTATAATAGGAAAGAACTACGATTGAAGATTTATGGATCATTCAAGAGACAGACTTCATATTTTGGGAACAGTATCGGATACATTTGATAATGTAGAGGATCTAAGGTCAGTTTTAAAATATCGTGCGTATTTTACAACGACAGACACATTCTTTTGTAAGCAAATAGGGGCATTTTTCACTGGTATCAAGTCGTTTCCAACGGAAAACAAGCTTCCGCTAGAAACCCACTTCAATCACATTGAGTGGAATTTAGCAGAAAGCTTTTTGGTTCAAGAGGGAACTTTATACACGTTTGATATAATAGCACCTCTTCCCAGGTACACCCCAAGGACGATTTTTACAGCCGATGGTGCCATTCATTATGAATTGACTATAAATATTGTTACCAATGACAATTGTCGAATGCCTAAAGTCACCACTATCCCAGTTCTCATACCGTTCACTTTAGATCCTGACCGTATGCCCGTTGCACATCAAATTCGTTTTGGTCTCCCTTTAAACGAAGACTCCTTTACCAAACTTTCGTTATCACCGAAAAAGCACAAAGACATAAGAGTTTTTTTTAATTATCCTCAACAAAACTACAAAGGCCCAGGATGCATATGTCCCCTTTATATTAATCTCGAGCTCGTGCAATTCGACGACGGAAATATTCACAGCACAAATTCTGAAAGAATGTGCAATGCGTTGGGTAATAAAACACCCACATCTCGTTCTTCAAAAAGCTTACACGAGTCTTCAGATTCTATACCAGATCGTTTGAGTCGACTTAGTCTCGAACTAGGTGAACACAAATCATCTCATGGTAAAAGTCGTGCGTCGTCACCTACTTCAGCGTGCGCCTATGAAAGGTATTTTATTCGTGTTTGTCTTGTCCAAAAGGTCACCTTCTTACTATTCAATGGTCCTTTCAGAGTTTCAACAACCGTCCTGTACGAAGATGGGCGGTGGACTCCTCCAACCGTACCAGGACTTCACTCCAGAGTTGAATTTATGGTACCTTTAGAAGATACGATTCATGGCAGTGTAACTGGAAACCCTCATCTTCTTGTAAAGCATAAATTTTATGTTTCGGTTCATACTTCAGAACCTTCCAGTGCTCCGTTGAAGTCTAGTTTTTCATCTACCTCCTCACTTAGAAAAAAATCATACTCATTATTTTCTTCTTTCCGGTCTAGTTCATCTCTCGCTTCAAATTGGCATGCAGAATCGGAAAATACCAACCACCCCCAGTCATCTAGTGAGTTATCTTTAAAATGCTTGTCTCATTATTCACCTCGGAATTCACAAAAGCTGCATCACAAGCTTAAAAAGTTCGATTTTAAGCTTCCTGTTTTCATATTCCATCGAAACTTGAGTTCTGAATTGTCTCATCTCCCCCCTTATTCCCGAAATCGTGATCCTTATTTTTATTTGGAAGACGACGAAGAGGTAATGTCTTCTAATGTTTCTTTACATCAAATATCTGGTATGTTTCAGAACCGCCCTTCATCAAAACCCTGTTGATATTATTTTATTTAATTGTTTTCTTTTTTCATGTTTATTGTTGGGCCTACATTTTAGTCTAAATTCACGTTTTCCTTTGTTCGATTTACAACTCCATTTATTTTTGATTTACCATATTATACATAACTTATTTTTAATGAAATTTATGTCCTCACTTGAAGTTTGGTTGCTACGATAACAGTGTAATGAACATCCATTTCTTTCAAACATTTTATTTACTATGAGAAAACAATCTATTGCAAGGAAAATCATAAAACTTTCAAAGATTCACCAAATTAACCATTATTATACGTAAATCCTTTTATAAAACCAAATGTTAAGATATTTTTTTTTCTCTTATTTCTAATGAATCATTCCCTGATGTCTGATATCCGTCTGTTTCATTTCATTGATCTTTTGTTTTAACCTTGTTGTCAAATCAATTGCTTTGTTCCACTCTACATTCGAGCGAGGGGAGAATGGCCGCTTTGGGGGATCTTTTTGAAACGAAAAATTATTTCCGGCCTTGGAGACTCCAAGTGGAGAGTGTTGGTTGAAACCTGTCGAACTTAAAGGCCTCGTCCTTCCTAGCGGAGATTGTAACAGGTCTAAACGGTTGCTTGGACCTGTCGATGTGTCTGCCATTTCTGAATTAGCTCTTCGCAGAAAAGCGGATCTCCGATCATTTAGTGGAGAGGAAGGCTGTAAATCACGGAGTGTACTTAATTCTTTTTTAACATCAGCTAACTCTCGTTGTAAGCGAGTTTTTTCTTCTCTTTCGAGAGACAATAAAATTTTCAGTTCTTCATTCTGTTCATTCAGTGAAGCGATTTCTTGGATAGAGCCACCGCGGTTTTCTTCCAAATCTAGGTGAGTCGGGGCTGTCTTTGAAAGTTTTAAAGGCTGATGTGCCGCATCATCTAACTCCATGTTTTTTATTCCTTGTACCGTTTGATTTAATGTTCCAGCAGGAAGTGGTGATGTTGATTTCAAAGCCGGCTTATTTAAAAGTGGTGAGTTGCGAGTAAGACCACGCGCCACAGGTCTAGTTGTAGGCCTTGGCATTAAAGGACCGTTCTCAAACGCATTCGGCTTCTCCATGTTCAAAGATAGTTTCTCAGAGCTTGTCTTCTTTTTCGGCGATGCTGATACAGCCGAGTTAGAGGAAGTCGGCAAGGGTGGGTTTTTAGCAGTTTTCGGCTTCGGAGGTGCTACTGGCTTAGTATCAGGTTTTTTAGCTGTAGTTGTGGAAGTGGGTTTTGTTTTCGGGGGTGCCTTAGCCTTGACTGTAGCAGACTCGAAAAAGGACATGATCTTTGATTTTCGTATTTCGTCCAAGGATTCCATGTGTACCGCTAATTGTCGTTCTCCTACAAGCTTCATGAGAGTTCCAAGTGCTTCGGCTGCTGAAGAACGCACGGGCTCAAACGTGTCTGAGACTCCAGGAACACAAGATTTCGAGCAGAGCTCAATGCTAGACTTCGAAGGATGGTGAAGCACTTTACGAAAACAGCGAGTTAATAGATTAAAGCATGCAATTTTAATCTGAGGATTCTTGTTGTTAGAGAAAGCACAAATGGGTTCACTAACATCATCAAAAGGTATCGTATCGCAAACAGCGTCCATTGCTGAAGACAATGTCTCTACAACATTTTGTTTTTTCTCTTTCGATCGCTCCAAAAGCGCTTGAACTGAAGTTATAGCGTATTTAGAATAGTTCAAACGCAAACCTTTAGCTAGTGCCGTTATACAATTCGCTGCATTCATTACGACCATAATATTTGCATCTTTTATAATGGATTTAGATAGCAATGCAACCAAGGAGAAGAAATCATCGTCCTTAATTTTTGGTTGGCTAAGGACTGGAACTAGCGCATCAAGAGCTTCCTTACGTTCCTTCCACTTAGTCGAGGACATTACGGTTTCAAGGTTTGAATCAATTTTGGGAATAACATCTACTTCCTCTATCAAGTCGAATTCATCACCTTCCTCCTGAAGGTTTGCTTCGTCATTGCTCTCATCATCATCGTCACCTTTTTCGTTGTCTAAACCATCTTCAGTTTGCTCAGGAACTTGGCTTCTCAGCAAGCGCTGCTGCTTTGGTGGATCAGAAGGTAGTTTCGCAAAAGAACTTTCAAGCTCCTTCACTTGGACTGGTTTCAAATCCCCAAAAACTGATGTTTTTAGAGGCTCTCCAATCCAGCGAAACATATTGACAGTCAATCGAAACGTTTCGTGACGTACATTTTTATCAGCATGCCCGAAAAGTGACTTTAACTGTCCGACAATAGGCTTTGGTGGAATAATCTTCGTACCAAATTGTTCGATCAAGTCAGCAATAGCTGACACGTTAGCAGTAATAACTTTTGGAGATCGTGCCGACAAGGAAGGAAGAAGAGGTTCAATTACAGGAGCTGCCGTATCTACTTCAATCATTAACATCAAGGCTTCAATAGCATCAGATTTTGTCGAAACCCGAGAAGTAAGGCATTTTTCTGATATAGCAGCAGCAGCAAGCTCTCTACATTTAATGATGTAAGATGGATCTGCATATTTACAGAATGACACGAAAGCAGTAACGCCTGCTCCTTGAGCTGCGACATTGCTGTCTGCAAGAACAGATCTCCATAAATCAGGTTGACGGGCCCAAAGATCGAAACAAGAATCTGTTGGAGACCCGGAGAGGGAGAACGATTTATTCAACTCTTCATAAGCACCCAAACGTGCCTTCCAGACTTTATGTGTAATTCGCGTTTCCAAAGGTAACTTGGTGTAATCTTCTTCCTGATCCTGACTCATTGTGAATAAAACAACTGAATGAAGGTAAGTCTAAGGAATGTAAACCAAAGTAAAATAAAGAAGGAGGATATTGTACGGTGGGTAACGTGAGTACGTTTAGCTTCAAATGAATTTGGCGTAAGGCAAACAATAAATAAAAAATACGTGAATACTCTAAATAGTATTTTGACTCAAATATACTTTCATGAATATAGTTAGGGTTGCGTAATAATAGCACCGAATAAAACGACAGATTTCGGATAAAAATTTTTTAGAAGTTCATTCAAACACACTTTTCTTAAAAGAATGTCTATTTTATGAATAATATTGGAACTCTTCTATTCTTGGTTCTCTTTTGTTCTTGTACTTAATCCTGGTGTGAAGTAGTTAGAGGAAGTAATTTCATACTTGGTGTACCTTATTTACATAATGGAACCAAAATATGTGTTGAAAGAATACACTAATAGCTAATAAAGAAGTATCTATAGAAGCAATTTAGCTAATTACTAAATTGATGAAACGTTGTAAACGATTCTTAGCAGCATTAATTTAAATCAAAGAATTTCGTTTACATCATTTGAGATACGAATGAAACCAACCAGGACAAGCAGTCTACTTCAATCAATGCAGTTGTTGTGTAAATCATTACTTACGTACTAAATTTTGTAGTTAAACTCCCATGAGACATTATAATCAGCTCGCATGACCGTTAACAAAGAAATGAACTTAATCAAAATTGTCTTAGCTCCATGAAGTTTTCGTAGTGATTAGATGTTCAAAAAACAACTTTTGCATTGTAAGTACACGGTGCTTGTTCTTTTGAAATTTGTATTAACAAATATTATTCGACGCAGTCCAAAAAAACCCAATGATTTTATACATTTATTTTAGTTGAGCTGAACCCGAAGCATCCGAATCGATGTATCTTCGCCAGCTAACAACAAAGAGTAGCTTCCTTTTTTGTCATATACTGGTCTCCAAGCAATTTTGTTTATTGATTCCTTAGGAGACATCGTATCCGGCAGTCGTAAAGGAGTCCATTTTGTTAGATCATCTTTAGGACATTTCCAAACGTACGTTTTACCTGATTCCGTACCTACTGCCATTAAGAGATGATCATCATGAAAGAAAGGTGCAATATCCAATGCAGTTACAGCATCTGCAAACTGTAAAGCTACCACATCTTTAATTTTCTTATCATCCAAAACTTGCCAAAGTTTAACCATTTTGTCCCTTGAAGCTGTAGCAAATAAATAACCCATTTCCTTTGGTGCCCAAGCAGCATCCCAAATAATACGGGAGTGCGCTTTAATAACGACATAAGGGATGTACTTCGATTCTACATCAGAGAATTGATGAATGCAAACTAGTCGATCACGTCCTGCGCTCAATAAGTATTTATCGTCGTGTGAAAACTTTATGGTTGTTACAGTGAGTGAATGACCAGAAAGCATCTGCTGCTGTTTCCAAACATTGGTATCGTATAAGCGAATTATGGCGTGTTCAGGAGATTGAGATTTGCAAGACGTTGCAATGTAATCACCTTTATGTGAAACATCGCAGGCATAAACTTCGTACCCGTGACCATAAATCTTTTCAATTTCTGGAAATAATAGCAAACGCTGCAAGTGTTCTTCAAAGGGCGGATGTTGCAAGGAGTCAATAACTTCAATTAATGGAGTTTGAACTTCGTCAGCATTTACTGTACCTGTTTCAGTAGCAGTTGTTGCTTTATTAGATAGGCCTAAGAGAGGAACATTGGCGGCTTCTGGAAGCTTTTCTTCAAATATTTGAGTACCGCAAAGGCGTCTTAACAATCTAGCAATCGTTTTTGGGAATTCGAAAACACGCGTAACCTTTTCATCGGCACAACTGATAAAACCGATTCGTGAGGGCAAGCACTGAACTGTTGTCAAATCATAACCATGAATCTGTGGTCGAGCCATCTCTCTCCATGTGTTATCTTGCTCGTAAGAAGCATAAAGACGAGTAGTTTGGTCCAAACTTACTGTAAAAAAGAACTGACCCTGGGGATCCCAAGCCACAGATTTTACTGGTTTAGTATGTCCAGAGACAGAAGGAAGCTGCTCCCAACCACTTCCAGACTTCTTCCATAATCTCCAACCTCCTGTTCTTCCCCAACAGGCGACCGCATTACCGTCAGGGCTCCAAAAACCTCCCCAGAAGCCACCTGCACTCCCAGTTGCTGTCGTTGAACCGTGAGAAGACGCGATTTCACCCATGCGTCCGTTTGGTACCCAAATACCGGTAGCTGCATCGGGCTCCCACACCATTAACGAAGAATCAGAAGAGGAAGATAGGATGATTTCTTCGGTAGGATGCCACTGTACGTTCATAATCCAATCTTCATGGCCCATTAAAAGAGCATCAAAGACGATCTTATACTCCACTCCATTAAGAGTAAACCGGATGGGCTTATTGGATAACAGTGTTTCAGAAAATCTAACAAGGTTAATGTAAACCTTTATGAAATATATAAACTTACTCATCAGAAGTGGCTTCATCTTTTTCTTCCCAGAGGGAGATTTTCCAAAGTCGCATATAACGATCCTGACTGCCGGAGACCATTGTAGCCATCGATTCAGAAGTTTGTCGAACAGCCAAACATCGTACCCAATCAAGATGACCTGTTAGAACAGCCTTTAATTCAAAGTGAATTGATGTACTGTCACTGCCATAAACGTTTATTCGTTTGTTAGAGCCACCGACTACTAAAACAATTCCGTCCTTGAACTTTATCGTTTCCAGATTCATTGGAATCAATTCTCCCGTGTGAAATCGTGTTATTTCTTTTAACATCTCACTTGCTCCTTTCCATTGGAAAACGACGCATTCGCTGTTAGAACACCCAGCAATAATCAGATCACCATTAATATTGAGGCTTTCTGGGGTAGCATCCAAATTTATTGTTTGGATTATAATAAAGGAATCATTTTCTTCATCCTTTTCCCATAAACGAATTGTCTTGTCCGATGATCCTGAAATAATTAACGTTTTTTCAGTAGTAAACTCTTCAATACAATTTATTCTGTCCGTATGACCAGCTATTAGATATTGAATTTCTTTAAACTATGGTTAAATATGTTAATCTTTTTATTTCTTCAGTGGATTCTTCCACGGAAACTTACAGGATCTGCAATCGCTATGAGTTTTTCAGCACCATAAACCAACCCAAATTTTTTCGTCCACGAAGCTGCTTCTGAAATGCGGTTACATCCAGCATGAAGTGTTTCATACCGAAACATTGCAGTTTTTATATCTATATATATATGTATAGAGATGCTGCAAACTTGGTGAAGTACAGATCCTTCACTTCAACCAACTTTTCGTTACTTGTAAACCAGGTAACATAAATAAAATTCATCGACAAAAATAAGAAAGCTGGGATTTACTAGAATAGGTTTTGGTATAACTATCTTACATATATACATTCATTACTTTTTATTAAAAATTATGGCCCTTTTATTGTACCAAATATTAAATTTTCTCATTTGTAACCCATTGAAGCTAAATGTATCTTTCAATATTATCAAATTATGATTACAAAAAAGCGTTAAACATCTATAGAGTATTCAATGTCCAGCATTTCAGAAACATGTCAACGGCTTAGTTCAAATAAATAATTTTTGTTCCATCATTAGTATCGTTGTTATTAAGAGAACATTAAACGATATTTTGAGCGCATCCAATTTTGTTTTCGATTAACAGCGGGCATAGAATCTTTAAACGAATGAAACGATAACCACTCATATACAGGCTAAACGCAATGCAATGAGTCCACATTCGCTCCAGCTTCAGAAATTTCTATTTCAAGCCCTTTTGTTTTTTCCCTATTAGCCATCCTCTTGTTCAAAAATAAAGCAAAATATGACAATCACTTCAAACCAAAATTATTTTAGTTCGTCGCACAGAATAAAACGCGTGAAACTGCGCAACAATTTTATGCACAAAAAGTGCTCACACTACCAGTTATTCTTACCTATGGTGAAGAATAAGATCCCTTTTGAATATGACTGCGTAGAAGATCCTCATGACTGAAATTCCCTAGCAGACGGATTCGTTAAATTAGCTAATATGCTTTTGGCTAAAGACGCTTCCACTGAATTCTTTTTTTTATCATGGGGTAAGGAAACTTTTTGAGGATGATTCGCTGCTTTTAATTGTGCCCGCAAAGAATCCTCATCCATGTCCATGGGATCAATCTTCACACTATTGCCTCGCTTCTCTGTATTTTTAATTTTCAAAAGCATTGATTTTGCTCTTGTAGCAATATCGTCGGTTTCAGAAGTTAATTCTATAACATCTTCATTCTTCGTGACTACACCAAGCCCGTTAACGGAATCCTCATTGTTAACTTTATCTGCACCATCGGAGATTTGTTTGCCCAATTCACTCAAAAGCGTATCATGCAGTTCTTGATTACCATCTTCAGAAGTCTCATCAGCTAAAGTTTCTGAAGTATCCACAACCTTCGACGAACCAATATCCGTTATAAGATCCTGATTTGAAGGAGATCTGCTTGTCTCATCCGGAATTTCCTTCCTATACTGGGCGACTATTGACGTTTTCTTACGTTCCATAATCAATTTTTTGGATTCCTCAGTTCGTCTGGCTTGAGCTTCGCGCTCGCGTTTTCTTGCATTGTCGTTTCTGACGTTACAGTAAATAATATAAAACGATGTCAAGTTTTTTAGAAAAGTATTTCGAACAACTTCCACGTTTTTGAATTCGCAGAGATACTTAACAGTATCCTCTGTTAGCTTCAAAAAATCACGCTTCAAGGCCATGAAGCTCTTTATCTTTTCAGAAGCCTTATCATACCACTCATAGATAGCATCAACCACTTTATCCTCCGGATGATGTTCTTCACGCTTCGACAATGCACCCTTCTCTATTTCATTTTTAAAGTGCAAATATTGTTCATAAGCTGAATCCATCTCAGAGACGAGCCCATCGATACCATAAGAACAAATGGACTGTATTTTCTTGAATGTAGCTTCAGATTTTTCGTATTCAGGGAATTGGGTACGAATGATATCTTCGAAGTAATGCAAAAGAGTGTTAGAAAATGTACAATCTCGCAACGTTTCCAGTCTATACACCATTGGCAAAGAAAATGCACGAGCTTTATCAAGAGGGTCATTAATATAGTTTCCGAGATTAAGCAAAACTTGAAAAAATCCAGAAAAATATTTATCTTCTAAAACTGACTTACAAACGTCAATAACCTTTTTCACATGAACTTCAATATTCTCAATTTCTGGTATGAAAGTTTCACGCAAGCGTAAACCATACATACGCTGCTGAAAATAATGTCTCAAGTTTACGATAAATAAAACGAAAAACCTTTCATAATAGCCCAGCTTACGCACATCATCTTTAGGAGGCGTACGCTTATCCTCAGGCTTACTATAATCAGTCCAATAAGACGCAAACGGAGCCAACAGTCCCTCTTGAGTAGCAAATCCAGACTTGTGGAAAAACTGAATAGCAGGAGGCAGAAAATTAGGATCGGTCAAAAACATTCGTACTAACTCTTCAGGTGTGAACTCCGAGACGGAACGTAAAACAATTTCCAAATGTTGTTTTACATTTGGAGATAACAGTGCATCCGGCGAAGCTTCTTTAGCCACGGCTTTGGTTTCAATTCTTCTAGTATTGTCAAATTTCTCATCTAGAATTTGTAACCACCCGCTATCCAGAAGGGTTTTTCCGATAGTCTCGATATCCACAGGAAACTTAACGAAAATATTATGACCTGATGGTGGGTCAACACGTTCCCAATGGACGCGCTTAAGCTGATGTTTGGGTTCGTAATAATCTCTGAAGCTTGGTATCTTCGTATATTTCTCGACTGCTTCTCTCGCTCTTTTTTCTGCTTCCTCTCTTTGTTGTCTAGCCCTTTCTTCTTCTTCTTTTAATTCTTCTTCGGATTTCTCAGTAATTTGTTCAGTAGCGGTCAAAGTAGGCTGCAAGGTTGAAGTCACAAATCTTCCACCGGGCGTTACACCCGGAGGAGGAGGCGGTGGTGGTGGAGGGCCTTGTAAGCCACCAGACGCAGAAGGAGGAAGAGGAGGAGGAGGCGGTGGTGGTACGTTTACAGCTGATGGTACAGCTACTTTTGAAACTCCCATAATAGGGACCGGAGGAGGGGGTGGAGGAGGAGGACCAAGCTGTGTTGGGGGTGTTATAACAGGCGTCTTAGTTGAAGTATCTTTTAAATGAGAAACGCTTTCATTTGATTCTTCCAAAGAAGATACCTCTGATTCAACTTCCGATTCTTGTTCATCCTTTTCAGCAGTAACATAGTGCTTAGAATCTTCCAATGGTGGAACAACACTATAAGCGAAATCTTTCGACATCGCATCTAATGAATCTTGAGAAGCAGATTTCTTGATAAATGGTTTTCCGGGAGAATACGCATTCTGTAAATTGAAATTTCCAGGACTTTGGGCGGCTTCTAACTGAGACTGTAGTTTACTATAGGCAAATAACTGAGCCTTATAGCGACCATCAAATTCTCGTTGCATAGATGTCAAGAGCCTCTCTCTTTGATCTATTTCTCTTCGAAGTTCGTTCAGCTGATTCTTCAAGAACTGCATAGGATCACGGGGACCAACGTTAAGCTGTGATAATAATGCATCCACTTGATCATGCAAACGTTTATTCTCCAATACTAACTCACTTTGCCTGGTCTTATAATCGGATAATTCGTCAGCCGTGCCCATACGATCGAGCAACCGTTGTGAAACGATATTGAAACCAACATTAGAGTCCACTCTAGCAGATTTATAATCATCAATTGCATTCAAAGTAAACACCAAAAGATGCATCGACTTTTCAATTTTTTCGAGATCTTTTTCATTGCTCAAGGACTGGAGCAAATTATAAAAACTACTTTGAGAATCATGATCTATTAAACGAGAGCAAATTTTCTGAAACGCGTTTAGCATTTGCACTTGCTGAGGATCTTCCTCATTCATATGACGGTCAGTAGCGACATTCGTGGACTTTAAAGAAGCGACGTCTGATTTCTCCATATTCGCAGAATTTAAAACCATATACTTTTTATAAGTTTGTGCATCACCGTTGTGTTCATTTAGAAGATTGACAACAACGGTCCGAACGGAAATGTTTTTCCAACGCTGCATAATTTCTAATGTCTTACCTAGACCAGCGTTCAAGAATTCGCGACGAATATTGCATCTCGATTGAAGATCCACAGTACACGAACAAATTCCACGTATCAAGTTAAAGGTAACTACCAAATAATCAATCAAGCAGTCTGTGTCTTGTAGGTTGGCAAGTTCGTTATTCGGCAATATGAGGTTATCAGCATGACTTTGAATACCAGAAACAACATCGTGTAAAGCGGACATCCATTTGCTAAACCGAGTTTTCGAGGCACCTTGCTCAACAAGCCATTCCAAGGCTTTGATAACAAACAAATGGCCATGTTCAAACTTTCGACTGCAAATAATTTTCAAGATAAACGTTGAGATACGACGAGCATTAAGACTCTTGGAGAACATTGATTCAGCTAAGGCACCGATAGCATTAAAGCCAGGAACAGCGCATTTAGCAGACAAGTACAAACGATTTCTGGCAACACCGCTATTTAATGAATGGAAAAGGGACTGGATCAGCAGTACCTCTACGTCGGTATAGGCATGACGCTGTGGAATATGGCCTAGATTCCGTAAAGAAGTTAACAAGCTTTCGACACCGTTTCTTTCGGAAAATTCGTCAATCCACCAAATAGGTTGCATTTGTAGTTGTAAATTAAGGGCTACCAAGTGTTCCACATTGGTTGGCACTTCGACAATTTTCTCAATGTAGTAATCAATTCTTCCCAAAATAACAACATACATATCTTCATCCAAAACTGTAACATCCTTTGTCAAGGGAGTGTCAGCTAGATAGACTCCTCTTTTTGATGAATCTTGTATTTCCTTAACAACAGGAGGTTTAGCAACAAGCCGATTTTCCATAGGATACTTTTTTCTAATTTCAGTAGCTTCCACGTATAGTCTATCGAAAACTTTGATTTTGTGATGATATACAGTTCGGTAACACATATACTGCAAGGAGTTATCAGATTCATGACCAAGTGAAACAACATCTTCTCGAGATTCATTTTCTGAATGTAATTGAATATTGCTTAAATCATACGGCTCTGATAATGACACTGTAGAAGGAGTAGTAGAACGGTCTTCGAATAACTGAGTATTCCAAGAATAGTCTTTGGGATCAACTTCTGACGGATTATGAAAAGAACGTGTCGGCATTTCTAAGTGTATAAATAAATAAGGAAACGGAATAGAGACAAGAAATGAATGAAATGGGTAAAACAAGCTTAAGGATGCAAATCAACGACAAAGCCAGTTCGTTAGAGGACTAAGTCGGTAAGGATATAAATCAAGCCACCAAGTATCTTTTGATAGAGTAGCTTCAGCAGTAGGTGGATGTGTTAAAATGCGAAACTGCCAAGCGAAGAAGGAATTGCTTCCCAAATCTAAGGAAAGCGAAACCTTGATTGCAAATATATTTTAACAACAGTCTGTACTTTTTAATAATAAATATAGAGTATAAAGATACGGTAAGAAACAAAAAGCTTGAGTAAATAATGCAACTGTAAGACTATGATGATATATGGTAAAGGTGAAGTGACAACCCCAGGGAACTGAGAACATATATGTGTACTCGTCCAGGTTACGATATACATGAAATGTCATCATTCCATCTTAAATAGATGAATTCAAGCTCGTCTAGCTCGTCTGGAGCACTCACTAAATATTTTTTTTTAGGAATCCTATTAATTTTGTTAGATCTCATTCGGATGCTGCATTTGGTTTGTTTGTTTACATAGATGTAAACTATACTCAACAAAAGTTTTGGTCGTAAAGAAACAAACAGATCGGCGCCATTGGAGGCGTATTCAGATTAAAAACAAATAAACATGCTGAGCAACTATTAAATACTTTTATTAAGATTTTGCAATTATTTGGACCACTAGCGTTAGTCGGTGGGCTGTGTTATACTGGAAATTTGGTGGTCCTACGGAGCACTAAGCTAACGAAACACCTGGGTCGTTTTGTGGAAGGTATCAGGATCCCTTAGTATTTATTTTCGTTTAGACAGTATATATGAGTAGAAATTAAGGATATTCGTCCTAAAAGATGGCAAACAGAACGAACGAGTTTTTTGGATTCATAAAAAAAGGAAACGTAGACCTGGAAAACCTCTCTATGCGAAAGCCTAAGCTTTCAAACGTGCGAGATGGTTTTCTTGCTGAAGCTTATTTAATTGTAAGATGAACACTTGAAGTGAATTGCTGATAATACTGAAGAGAGAAAGAGAGAGAGAGAGAGAGAGAGCAAAAGATGCCGTTGTTTTGAATCCTCGTGATTTCATATATAAAGCTCTGAAAGCAATTTGAGGACTTCTCTATTCTCTTTCTCTTTCGAAAATTCTGCAATTACTTTTTTGTAGAAAAAATTTCTTATTCACTAATTATTCTAGCATAACACAATTGTTCATCTTTGTACGTTTCTTGAGAAGATCCGTGGTGCATACTTGAAGGGCCGAACTGTTTCCAATGTTCATAAATTATCGAAACCCTTAATGGAGTCCTCATTGGAGGAACTTTCCAAGTTAGAGCTGAACGATTTACAGCGAGACGAAATCGACCGTGAGGCCTCAACAATCATTAATTCTTGTGTACAAAAAATCAATTCTCTTCAAAATGTTGTGAAAGGTATATTCTTTCGTTCAGCTGTTTTTCGCAATACTAACTTACATGCCAATAGACAAGCAAAGCCAAATTCCCAAAAGGACTGGGTGGCTGCAAGGCTTAAGGAGCCCTGAAAAACTTACAAAGTCTGAGACTATGGTTGCGCATGGCTCTTCAATACTTTGGTATCTTCAGAATGAACTCTCGGAGGTTTCGTCCTCTCTGTATCAACTTCAAGACTTAAGACTGAGGCGAGCTCAAGAAAGAAAAACAATCATGTCGGACATTTTGCATCCACAAAAAACAGGCGATATGCCTGTTGAAGAAATTCCTGATTCCGAGTTTCAAAACTACTTTAGTCAGGAGCAATTGGTTCTACTAGAGCAAGATAATGATCTCATGCTGCAAGAATTCGAGCATACAATGCAGCAAGTACAGGAGACCGGGAAATCTCTGACTGAAATTGCCAGATTACAGACGGAAATTTCTACTCATCTTTCCATTCAATCTACAGCAGCCGAAAAGCTATATGAAGATGCTATGAATGTAGCCGATTCTATCACAGGCGGTAACCGTCAACTCATTCATGCTAAATCAAGAAATAGCAGGACGGCCAGAATTCTCTTCTTCGTTTTCACTATACTTGGTTTACTCTTGCTGGCTTTGGATCGAATTGTTTAAAATATCAAAACTTACATCCGCTTTCTTCTTACCCTTTTTATTAATAATAATGTTAACACCCAAATTATTCTTATGCATCAATAGACCGTTTTATGCGTGCTTATATGGGTAATAATAATATCTTTCAATCTGTTTTATGCTATATTCACTTCGGTTATAAGACGCATTTAACGGCAATCTCCTGTCATGACTTACTTCACCTGCTTGTGCTTCATTTCTATAATGATTATACGTTGAAAAAATTTTCTAATTCAACAGATAGATATTGTTTTTCTAAAGTTTTTGAAGTAGAAGATACAATTCATTCGAACAGCTATAGTATTCTTCGTCATGATGAATATTTCAACTTTCAATGCAATAAAATAATACTTCAATCTAGTAAATACTTATTTTTCTTCTTCTTCTTCTTCTTCTTCTTCAATAATTTAGTAATCTTCAACATTTCGTAGTTGGTCTTAGACACTTCTTTCCTCCTGGCAATACGTTTGAATTACTAACCAAGTGTCGCAAGAAATCATAAATCGGACCGGAAGTGCAAATTGAAGGGAAGTTTGCATTTTTTCTATATTTTTTTGGTACAAGGTAAATTATTTTTAGGTTTTGGTGGTATAACATTCTGCCTTTGTGGAAGTTTTGAAGGGGCCGAACTAATTTCTATCTCTGTTGATTTTCGTCCTAAATTATTAATAATCTTTTTCTTCTTCCTTTAATTACAAGTTGCATCAATTTGGTCCATTACGACGCCTGGCTTTTTTCAGCCTAACGTATCGTAGAATGTCGACCCAAACGAGAATCCGAACGGTCGATTCGTCTTTAATCAAATTTCGCAAGCCGGAAGACTCAAATGAACATCCATTCGATAAGGCTAGACTCCTTATCGAACCTTCAGATACTTTGAGTGCTTTGCAAGAAGCTGCGGAGCTTTTGAAAAACACAAATGAGCCTGTAGCTTTTCCTACCGAAACGGTGTACGGATTGGGAGCTGATGCAAGAAAAACTGATGCTGCCTATTCAATCTACAGGACTAAAAATCGTCCTGCAGATAACCCCTTAATCGTGCATATTGCTTCTCTGGATCAACTTCGTAGGCTTATTTCAAAGAGCCAACCTCTGAAATCAAAAGATATAGGATCACCAAATGAATCTTTAATCCCACAGGTCTACCAGCCATTAATCGATCGGTTCTGGCCTGGGCCTCTTTCTATACTTCTTCCTATTGAAAACCATGAGCATCCACCAGTCTCGCCGATAGTCACAGTAAACCAACCTACTTTTGCTGTTAGGATGCCGCAACATCCAGTTGCTCTTGCTTTAATAGCTCTTTCTGATGTTCCTTTAGCCGCTCCGTCGGCAAACGCTTCTACCCGGCCTTCACCTACCCAGGCTAAACACGTATATAATGACTTGCAAGGGAAGATACCTTTGATATTAGATGGCGGACCTTGTGGTGTTGGACTTGAAAGTACTGTCGTTAATGGTCTTTGTGATCCGCCTGTTGTTTTACGTCCAGGTGGTGTCAGTCTCGAACAGATTCAAAATTGTGGAGGGGTCTGGGTGAACACTCAAGTTTATAAACCTACATCCGTAAATACAGAAAAAAATTATATTCCACAGACACCCGGTATGAAATATCGACACTATTCCCCTACTGCAAAAGTTATGTTATTCTCAGGTTACAAAGAATGCGAAGCAATGGATTGTTTGTATGATCAGTTAAAGAAACAAAATATGGATAAAGATGAAGCCAGAATTGGGGTTTTATGTAGCAAAAAATGGAAAAGGGGTGTTTTTGGGGAATTCAGCAATCTGACTTTCCTTGATTTAGGAGAAGAGGGTTCGGAAATAACAAAAAATTTGTTCGCCCATTTACGCGAACTAGACTTAAAGGGTGTGGATTTTGTTTTAGTTGAAGGCGTTGCTGAAGACAATGAGGGGTTGGCTATAATGAACCGTCTTTCCAAAGCTGCGTCTATGGTTTTTACTAAAGATTTTTTGAATTAGTCCCATTAATAATACAGTTGACATATATATTAAAGCTTAGTTTGTTTGTAAATAATATTAAATGAAAGGTAACTTTAACAGGTTCAGAATTTGATACAAATGACCCACAAATTATAGTATTTCATAGCAAAGAAGTGTAGTCAAAGAAAGACATTAATGGGAGGAACTTTCATCTTGATAAACAGAAAAAGTATTCAGTGGATCAACCTTACGAGATGAGTGTGTCTGTAAAGTTTCACCGACCCAGGCACGAGAAGGAACTGTATTCTCTTTCCTTTTCTGCTCTACAGTTCCAAAATTTTCCCATGAGGTTGGATTGGTCGATCTACCGTTCGTAGAGCTAGTACCTTCAGTATCTGAAAAAACAGAAATTCGCCTTGCATCTGATACAGACACTTCCGATCGTCCGTTTTGTTGGTGTGGATTAGATAGCTGGAAAGTAGTTTGCAAAGGAGGATATTCATTAGTTTGTCGCATAGTAATAGTGTCAGGAGCATATATAACTTTACGATGGAGAAACTGATCATAGCGTTGTTGAAATCGAGCAAAAGGTTTAGCCTTTCGTAGAAACCCTTTTTGATAGACATCTTCAGCTTTTTTGTATAATCCATTTGATTCAAAGTAACCTGCAAATTCTTCATAATAAAGTGAAAAGTTTGTTCCTATTTCATGAAGTGATAAAAAGGAGAATAACTCAGCTGGATCTTCCACGTACTTTGCATATTGCATCCAAATACGAAGATAGCGTATGTCATTTTTATATATCGGGGACTTTACGAATTGTTGAGAGCAGCGTTCTAATAACGAAAGTAATCCGCTTTCACTCGTATTACCTTGAGGATAAGAGTTCAAAGTCCATTGTATATAGTCAATCCATACTTGTAAAGGGTCCTCCTCTCTGTCTGCAATTTGAAGCTTTTCCTCAAAACTTATTCTTTCCTCATGTAGCTGATTGCTAACTTTTTGCTCATGGTCCTTGGAGAAAGTTTTGCTGATAGCAGCAGCAGAATGGCCTTGTCTTCTAGGCTCGATATTCTCTTTTGCTTGTTCAATTATATCGATAGATGTCTGTGTTTGTTTCGCTGTCGTGTTCATTATGTAAAGTACTTGATTTTTAAACAAGATCCTGAATAAATTAAGTAGGAATAAATATGGAGAAGGAAAGAAAGTATAAAAAAGCAACTAGATACTTCGCAATATAGTATTAGGGTAAATTTTTAAGGATTCCTGATAGATTGCTAAAAAGACGAATATTACATTAAAAAAATTAATGATATTATATTCTTTTCTATTTAACTTTCAAAATAATCGGTAGTATGACTCGGTTCGTATGAAAAAAGGGACTTAAGAATGGAAAGGGAAATGAGGTTTGGTTGAACTAAATCAATCTGACGGTACACAGACAATCAAATTCATTAGTTCTAGTTCAAAATATGCAAAACGCTTAATGGTTTTTGTTATTATTTATTTAGTATTACTTTCGTACTCGGAGACGACGATTCTACGCTAAGAACGATTAAAAATAGTAAATTCAAGTTTTGGTTTGCTTCATGAACAGCAAAAACATATGAAATACAAAAAAAGGAGCGTTATTATTAATTCATTTTTGCGAACTGATACTCAAGTAAAAATATCTGTACGTCCCCTCTATGATTTGAAAGAAATAAGTCGAATAAACATTAATATGTTCGAGCTTCACACATGAATGCTCTAGTCATAAAGAAGGTCGACGACCATCATAGCTTCATTGAGTGAAAAATAAATTAGCTAAGTATTAGCTTACTGTGTCGGAAAGTAAAAGAATGCCAAAACAACAATGGCGTAAAGAGCAAGGAGTTGAACGCCTTCAAGCCAGTGCGAAGCACCATCTTGAATTAAGTAATTAACCAAGAAAACAGAAACGAATAAAATTACTGTTTCCAAAGATTCAAAGTACAACGTCAATGGTTGCGAGATGAACCAACCGACAATAACCAAGAAAGGGGCCAAAAACATTGAAATTTGAATACTAGAGCCAATAGCAACACCAAGCGCCAAATCCATTTGACCACGATAAGATACAACAACGGCAGTGACATGTTCGGCTGCATTAGCAACTACTGGCAAAATAATTAAACCGACAAAAGTTTTGGAAATATTAATCTCTTCCACTAAATCATCAATAGACCCCACTAGGTAATCAGCACACAACGATACGAAAACAGTAACTAAAGCGAGCACGAAGATAGAGGCGTATAGTCCAAGGATAGGTTCTCGATCTTCTTCTTCCTCTGATTCACTAACATCTCTGCAGACGTGCTTATGAGTTTTTAATTGGAAAACCAATAACAAGAGATAAACAACTAGCACAATGACAGCTGTACCACGGGAAACTTGAAGCAAAGCAGTTTCGCTAATCTTATTATCTGGAACGCTAAAATGGAAAGCGGCAGGAATAATAATGCTAGCCGTGGATAAAGCAAGCATAGCAACCATAGTTTGAGCAACCGTAACATTAAATCTTGCAATTTGACGTCGAATTCCCGCTGTAACAAGGCACATTCCAAATACCAACAATAAGTTGGATAAGATGGAGCCAAGCATAGAAGCTTGTACGATACGAATCTCACCTCGTTTCAAAGCCAAAATACCAACGATAAGTTCAATGGCATTGCCGAAACTAAAAATGATTAGCACGAAACCACGTATAAATTTTCTAAAAGAAGCTTCGCTGTAATGGAGCATTCCATGTAAAATTGACTTACCTAGCGTTCAACAATCCCCCAATAGTAGGACCACTAACAAATGCCAATTGTTCAGTAGCAAAGCTTAGGAGGGAGGAGAGGGGGATAATTGCAAGCATGTTCAAAAAAAAGACATACTTTGCATTACATTGAAACCATCCAACAAAAAGACCAATGGGGACAAAAATTAATAGAGTATTCACATAATTGGATGTGAGAACGGATTTTGTAGTTAATATAGCATTGTGTCGAGCCATGGAATGATCGCGCTCGTCCCCAAGCAAGGGGAGACGTTCTCTTCGATCACCTAAGTACTGAAATGAATTCATAGCTTCAAGACGAGTTTTTGCTATCTTCAACCTTTCAATCATATCACTTTTGCCGGTGACCTTGGAGGTTTTCCAATTTCCTAGACGACAGAAATTTTTTTAAAAGAATCCACAAGTTCCAACGATTTTTGTCACTTTCACAAAAATTCAAGTCGAAATTTACTTGAATGTATGAGTAATATAAGTGTTTTCTGCTAAATAGACACTGCAGCAAGAATAAGAGATGAGTACTACTTTTTTTATGAGAACCTCTTACGTGTAGGGAAGAAGTGTCTACATAGAGTTTCGTGCAGGAAAGCAAAAGAGTACCTAACAGAGTACGTTAAACATGAAAATGACGGAAAATTAAATAAAATAAAGTAAAAAATAAAATTAATAGAACAGTGGTTTGATCAGTCTGATATATGTGCCATTTTATTGTTTACGTTCCTATCATGAACAAAGAAACAAGTAAAGGAGTCCTTCAAACAAAAAAGTTAAGCATTCTTATTTACTAATTCTAAGTTTCAAGCAGAACCACTGATTAATCACGTTTACCGTCACGAAACCTTTGTATGGCGTTTTAGAACCTAGGCACCGATTGTAAGATCACAAGGCAACGTATTCATGGAAAAGAAGAAGACAGGTTTAGATGGTTGAGTTTTGAAATCATCTTTTCAACCACAGAGTTTAGTACAGTTTTTCGTTTTTGTTCAAGTTACCAAGCCGCTAGCTTTCGTCCAGGCTGGGTACCATAAGGTCTAAGCACATGGAGCGAACAAGAGAAGCTTGTTTCGCATTTCGATCAAGTCATCCAATATTCCTCTTTTTTTAAACTCTCTTTGAGGGGATGAATATCGGATGGGTCTCTGTTATTATAAAGACAAACTTACTAGAAGGTATAGAATTTGGTATGGCAATGTTCATTCCAATCGTTACGCCTCCACTATTTTTCAAACAAATTGAATTAAACATTTTTCGAATGGAAACAATCCGAACCAACTAATGGAAAGCAACAAGACCCACGTTTGATAGTTTATTTCCATTCAATTTTCAAGCCTTCAGAAATGTCACTGCATAATCGCCATCATTGTTCTTTTAATAAGAGTAAAGACTTTTTCCAAAATCTATTCTTCCTTCAACTTACCATGAAAATAATCGAATTTTTCCATTGTTTACGATTGACAGACGTTCATAGTCGAATCGGTTTGCGATAGAGAAACGTATGCGTTATTTTACTTAACGTAATGGAATGCAGTCTTTTTGAAGTGGAGTATTCAACTAAGCTTTGGGGGATTGAGGTAATCCAAAGTTGGACTCCACCAACTGTGTCAGGATTCGAGTTCCTTTTTTCATTCTTTCCTCGATTCATTGTTTACAGAGAACCTGCTTCTTCTCTGAAGTATATAAAGTATTTTGGTGCTATTTCTAAAGGTTAAAAGTGACTTGATTTTCAAACAAGTTTTAGGATAATATTCTCTCATCATGGCTGGCAAAGGTGATGAAGTAAAGTTTGGAGGCATTCCTATGAAGTACATAGCTCTTGCATTGCTGACAATCCAAAACAGCGCTCTTATTCTGGTATGCATTATGGATAGATGAAATTTCCTGAACATTATTGGATTTCTATTCTGGAATTCACTCTACTTAGGGTATGCGTATACTAACTAATATTTGTTAGACTTTAAATTATTCTCGTATTATGCCCGGTTATGCTGATAAACGGTATTTTACCTCTACGGCTGTTTTGTTGAACGAGTTGATCAAGTTGAGTGTCTGTTTCGTCGTCGGATACTATCAATTTAGAAGAAATGTTGGTAGTGAGGCTCGTTTGAGAACTTTCTTGCCTCAAATTTTTGGTGGAGATAGCTGGAAGTTGGGCATTCCTGCTTTCCTCTATACATGCCAAAACAACTTGCAATACGTGGCTGCTGGTAACCTTTCAGTCGCTATTTTTCAAGTGACCTATCAGTTGAAGATTCTTACCACTGCAATTTTCTCGGTCGCCTTGCTCCATCGCAAACTGGGTCTTACAAAGTGGCTTTCTCTGTTCATTCTTACCGGTGGTATCGCCATTGTGCAATTACAAAATTTGGCTTCTGATAGTAAATCACCTGTCAGCTCTTCTATGAATCCATTGACAGGATTTACTGCTGTTCTTATCGCTTGTTTAATAAGTGGTTTAGCTGGAGTTTACTTTGAAAAGGTTTTGAAGGGTACAAATCCTTCTCTATGGGTCCGTAATGTTCAACTTTCCTTCTTTTCTATCGTTCCCTGCATATTCACAATCCTTGTTAGCGATTACTCCAACATTACTCAAAAGGGGTTTTTCTATGGTTACAACCCTGTCGTTTGGTTGGCCATCTTACTTCAAGCATTTGGCGGTATCATTGTAGCACTATGTGTTGCTTTTGCTGATAACATTATGAAGAACTTTTCGACTAGTATTAGCATCATCTTGTCTTCTCTGGTCAGTGTTTACTTGTTGGATTTCAAAATTACATTTGCCTTTGTCGTTGGTGTGGGTCTTGTCATTGCTGCTACATTCCTATACACGAAGCCCGAAAAAAAACCTGCCGATCAAGGAAACTACATTCCATTAACTACACAAGAAGCTGCTTCCAGTGAAGCTGCTGCCGAGTCTAACGCACCCAAGAATTAGGTGCACCACAGTTATCAACTGTATAATATCTTTAATTTTTTTGTCTTGTTATTCTCATACTTGGTTGTTTTCCGTCTTCTTTGATTTTTAACCCTATCAATTTCGGTGTCGCTTTTTCCTTACAGGAAAGGTTATATTCATTTACGGAGTGAACTAACTGTATCCCTCTTCTCATATGATACAGGCCTCTGGATTGGTTTGTATTTATAGTCGTGTAAATATGCTTTATAATATTTAGTTTAATGATTCGTTCGGCATTGGATAGTTGAATTTATAAAAACCATCATTTGAAATCTACCTACAAAACTAACTTGGTGTTCTAAAAATGTTATAATAGTAGTTTCCCCAAAGTAATAAAATCAATTTTATTATTATTATTATTATTATTCTAAGCAAAGAAGGCCTCTTGTTTTAGCAAAATAAACGACGGTAGGCGACCAGAACAGCCAGTGTTTTCCCACTGACTGGCTTACTTTTCTGTCTTTACCAACTGCTATAGGATTGCATCTGTTTGTTTACCGTTTAATGAGATTTACTGAAATATTAAAAGAGTGTGACTGCTAAAAAAGTACATATATACAGGCTTAAAAAACCTATACTTTTCTACAATGAACAACGCTTATTATAACAGATACGAAGCAGGACTGTAGATTAATTAAAATGATACAGAATTTACCTGTCTATATGTATACTGGAGATCAATTATAGAGACGGTTGGGTGAGATGTTTTTCAAATATATATGGGATTCACCTCAATAACTGTTACTACAGAATAGATATGACTATTATAATATTTTTAGTGAATGAAAAGTACTTGAAAATATGTTAACGACGTAAATATGTGTAGTTTCCAAGTATTTGGTTTGTGAATTCTCTAATGGAATACCCATTACTACTTTTATTTTACTGATTTCGTCTCATAGAAATTACTTATAACTAGTATTTCATAAATGTTATGTATGAGCCATGAAAAAAGGAATAGAATAGTCTATGAAATAATTGTGTCCCATGAAAAAACAGAAGGAGCTACTTTAAGTGTCTTTGATGTGTATCAAAGTTAGGGATTGTATATAAAGAATCATGAATCATTCCGAGTCATTCAAATTTGCGAACGGCTTATCGGCATCAACTGTGGAGTGTAAGAAAACGACGGATAGGGAAACGCATATTCTGTTCATGAAGCTCTTAAGAAAGGAGCACATGCTGTTTCGAACAAATTTTCGTATCATTTTGAAATCGGTAATAAAAGAACGGGAATAAAGATGTCAAGCAGGGACTTTTGTAACTACTTTTTGACAAACGACGGTTATCAGGATTCGGAAGATTCCGAATTTTCATTCCTCAGAAATGAGGATACGGGAAAGGGACAATATTCATAAAAATGTAAGAAACAAGCTGCATTCACGAGAATCTTGCAATATTAAATTACTCATTCATGGGAACATCCTCATCTTCGCCGCCTTCAACTGTACGACGAGCATATGCTTCAGCCTCTTGTAATAGTTCGTCTGGGACAGCTGTATGAATACCATTAGTTTCTTCACCTACCCAAGTCATTTCTATTTCATGGTCTTTGTTGTGCTCCTCGTCATGGGTTGCATATATACTAGAAATTAGTTAGTTCCGTTCACCCATTATAACAATCATAAAATACTACATACACCCTTGCTGCCTCTTTAACAGCATCTTTCATTTTTAAAGTCGAGAAATCCAACTTTTCAAGTTCGTTACGAGCAATTTGGCGACCCTTACCGGCTGAAATACCGTTGTATCCCCAATAAACACCGTTAGGCTCAATCATATACAAATGGGGGCCTTGATCATCATATGCAGCAACAAAAGACATGACACCAAAAGGACGAACACTCGAATAGCAAGTGAAAAGTTGAACGTAATTGCCAATTCGATCGGCCATAACCGATCCGGGAATGGCTGATCCGTAGTTATCACGCCAAGCATTAGCCTCGTCTCTAGCACGTTTTAAAATGTGCATTCCATCAGGTATAAATCCAGTAGTAGCAATACCAACATGACGACCAACAGATCCTATACGGGGGTTGGCACGAGGTTTTAATAGCTTGCTAGTAACGACTTTCTCTAAGGCAAGAATGACACCATCTTTGCATTTAATTCCAATACAAGTACTGCAACAGTTAGGTAAAGTCTTTTCTTCAGCTTTGGTATAACTTACCTTCCATTTTCTACCGCCTTGTACGCGTATTCCGCCTGAAACAGACGTCCATCTGGGGAAAAGAAAAGTCCCAAATCGTATCCTGTACCAATTGAACTCTAAAATGTAAGTAAACTGAACAACTACACCCAACTTACCATTTGCTTATGTTATGCGTAGTTGGTGAAGGTGTCTGAGAGTACCAGCTCCCAAGTTAATAGGGCAGTCACACTGCGTTATATAAGTTCAAACTACAAAACATGAAGCTTATCCTTTACCAATTGTGATCTACTTTATAAAAATGTAAACAGAAGGAAATAATCAGACGATTGTTGATGGAAGCAGTCTTTCAGAGGATGGTTATGTTTGATGAAGCAAATAAACATTATGAGGTTTCACGTTAAAGATTATTTGAAAAAATGACTGTTTTTTTAAAGAAGGAAGAGAAGAAGCATTTTTCAGCTAGGTATGGAATCTGTAGAGAAGAACCATGCCGGACGTACGGACAAACGCCGCACTTCCTCAAATTCAGACGCACTTTTACAAGTGTTACGCGCATTGAGGGGGTAAGGTCGGAGGAACTTCTTCGTTGCATGCTCGTGAGGAGCGGAGGACGAAAGTCCTGCCGGGTGTACCAGAAATTCGATCTCTTGGTTCGTCCTTTGAGATCTTGAAACGCACCCGAGAAGATGTCTTTTAGTGCAATGTGCGGCACCTGTGAAAAGTCAGGCAACTCGATTCCGACTAATCTTGTCTGTATGTCTGGTATGATTCATTTCTATGGGTCGAGCGAGAGTAGAATCAGTAGATGTGTGGCTAGTAAATGTTGGCTAGAATAAACGGTAGAAACGGAATATGACAGATGTGTGCTAATATTGAATCTATGTAATATATGGTTTAACCATATGAAGATGGTTTAGTAAATGTCGCGGAGTATAACATGTAATGTACATATGTTGGTTGAGGATGGCAACGTTTGAAGGCAGAATGTTTAAAAAGCAAGAGATGGTAGTTTTTGAGTGATGCGCTTGTTGTATTTGTTTGAGTATATGTGTGTACGTTGGAAAAAGAAACACACAAAAAAAAAAAAAAAAGATTGCATAGGGAAGTCTAGAATGAAATATGTTTTAGGCGAACTAAAGGTAGGGTTGCAAAGCTTGGACCGTATTTTCAAAGACACTGTCGGGGTCTTGCTCGGCATTGATGGTGATACAACGATTATCGTTCTTTAGAGCGTTGACAACGGGCATGGAAGTTTCGGTAAAAGTAACGAAACGTTTCTTGATGGAATCAACGTTATCGTCATCTCGACCGCTGGTTTTTCCTCGATTCATTAAGCGGGCCAACATGATTTCCTGACCGCAGTAGAAGAAGAGGGCAACAGTGGCAGGGCAGATGGCTTTTTCGAAACCTTCGAATTGATCCATTTTACGTGGAAATCCATCGATTAAAAAGGTGTTGATGCCTTGAAGACTGTAAGACTTCATTTTAGCTTCCAAGAGACGCAAGGTGATTTCCATGGGAACGATCTTGCCATCAGTGATGTATTCTTTGATGAGTTTGCCATCGTTGCTGTCGGGACGGGCTTGTTCTTCACGAAGGCAATCACCAGCGGAGATGTGAGCACAGCCAAGCTTAGTTGTCAGGCGGTCGCATTGGGTACCCTTACCAGCACCAGGGCCGCCCAAAACAAAAATGACTTTATACATGATAATGCGAAAAAATGCTGTCTGGAGTATCCGTTAGCACAAGCACACACACCGACAAAGTAAGTAGAAAAAGGTATCTAGACCGTTGGGCACACAACCAACGCCGTCCATGTTGGACGATTTGGCATTCACAAGAAGCCAAACGGAAAGCTATCTAGTATATTCGCGTTGAATAAACCAGCTAACCACAACGGAGTCTTTCCAAGAAGGCGGGCCAGAGAAGGTTCGTCATGAAGGAGAACTTACGTTTTCTAATTTGTTGTAAAGAATGAATAAAGGATGTTACAATAGTAACAAATTCAAATTTATATGCAAAGGCCTAGAAGAGATTCCAAATCAAAGGCCAAATTTCCGTCTACGACTTGTCGTATTCAAAGTACGTGGTTCGTGAGCTATAGTAGCTCTTTGGTATATGATGACTGCTGCAACCTACTATGGGTATCGGAAGCCCCGAGGGACATGCTCGGATATCCCGGTATCACAGTGGTCGAGGAATTATTGAGAGTAAGAGTGAAGGCTCGATGAAGAGAGAAAGAAAAAAGAATAACTAATTAAAATCAAAATTGATTTTAAAATTCTAAATCTCAAGAATAACAGATTTCAAAAAGCAGTTACAAATTTAAGTAATCCATCGTTTTGCAAGGATGAAAGGATGAGGAGAAACGATTGTGCTCATTAGACAAGGAATTTTACAAGCATTCTGCAGAACAATATGGAGGTTTTTTCAATGTCCGGTTTGGAGCGAACGAAACAGATTTTTGACTGCGTATTGGACGTGCAAAATCAGTGATCATTATAGTCCCGCAGTGCTGTTTTTGATAAGAAATGGCAGATCAATATTCGTAAACAATACCGACTGGAGATGAATGCTGATGCGATAGAATTGTCTTGTCGGTCGTTTCCGATTTTCACTGCTATCCCCCCGAGATGGGATCATAGGACAACGGGAACGCGAGATAGAGCTTCAAAAAAAAAAAGAAAAGAAAAGAACTACATTCCTCTATAGAGCTCCTATGCTATGGTAATTAAAACACGCTCCTGACTCCAGCAATCCTTTGTTTTTGTTTTCATTAAATGCCTTCCAAAGATCTTTGGGTGGTTGGGCGGTCAATTTATGATTGGTTATCTTGAGTATCTTAAGTTGTTGATTCAATAGAGCTGGTTCCATTGTTCTATTAGATTTTTATCAAACCGAGCCAATTAAACTAGTGACTCAAATTTTGCTTACATCATTACGTCTGTAAGTCAGATAATTGGACACCTTTTGTTCATCCCCGCAATATTGTGCTTCGCTTCTAAGGAACGTGCTTTTGTTCCACCAATCCGATTGTTTCTGGGGTTCTCCCATTAAAACACCAAACGGGATTCCATGTAAACAAAGAATTGGCAATTCCATAGTCGACCCAGAAAGGAAACTCATGGCTTGGGTGGTGATATATAAAGGACTCTGCGGTTTTGTACTTAACCAGAACACACTATCAAGTTCAAGTCTTCTCTTTCGCATTCCAACTTGTTTCTTTTTTTTTGCAAATTCGCTTTCATCAAGTTGAACAACTTTTGGTCTTTTAACATTCTTTACGACAGTTAATTTTTTGAATCTCACTTTTTCTCTCTCTTTTCTCTTTTTTTTTCTTTTTTTGCCCAAGAATTATTTTATACCTATCTTTATCTATTGACTTTTATATTCCGTAACATATCAACATGAAATTCTTTTCTCTTGTCGCTCTTCTTTTTGCCCTTGCCTCTGCCGCTCCTATTCCTGCTACCAGCAAAGACTCTGGCGTTTCACCTTTGGATCAATTGCCCAGCAAAACCTATGAAGACTTTCTCCGTGTCTACAAGAACTGGCAGACTTTTCAAAACCCCGACAGACCAGATTTGAAGAAGCGTGATGTCCCTGAGCTTCCTTCCAAGACCTATGAAGACTTCCTTCGTGTTTACAAGAACTGGTGGAGTTTCCAAAACCCCGACAGACCAGACTTGAAGAAACGTGATGTTGAGGAATTACCCGCCAAGACTTATGAAGACTTTCTCCGTGTCTATCAAAACTGGGAAACTTTCCAAAACCCTGACAGACCAGATTTGAAGAAGCGTGATGTCCCTGAGCTTCCTTCCAAGACCTATGAAGACTTCCTTCGTGTTTACAAGAACTGGTGGAGCTTCCAAAACCCCGACAGACCAGACTTGAAGAAACGTGATGTTGAAGAATTACCCGCCAAGACTTATGAAGACTTTGAACGTGTCTATCAAAACTGGGAAACTTTCCAAAACCCTGACAGACCCGATCTGAAGAAGCGTGATGTCCCTGAGCTTCCTTCCAAGACCTATGAAGACTTCCTTCGTGTTTACAAAAACTGGTGGAGCTTCCAAAACCCCGACAGACCAGACTTGAAGAAACGTGATGTCCCTGAGCTTCCTTCCAAGACCTATGAAGACTTCCTTCGTGTCTACAAGAACTGGTGGAGCTTCCAAAACCCCGACAGACCAGACTTGAAGAAACGTGATGTTGAAGAACCAGTCTTGAAGACAGAGAAAGACAAGGAAGATTATTATCATTTCTTGGAATTTTATGTCATGAACGTTCCCTTCAACTCTACCGTCGCACAGACCAACATTAGCTCTCACTTCGATTAATGCATTTTCGATATTTTAAATCTTAGCCCGGGATTCCAAATCCTATAGTACGACGTGAAGCTGCATATCCATTTAGCTACCCATGATTTCCTTCGAGGAACCTAATATCTTTTTTAATTGATCGTTATTTATAAGTTAATCTTTGATATTTAATTTGAATACAGAACTAGTTTTATTGTTTAATCAAATGCTTCCCATTTAAAAGAGTAAACGTTTGTTTCAATGTAATCCAAAACAGGTGTCTATCGCATCTGGTAAAAGAAAGAGGAAACGAATGTATTTTTTTTCTCTTTCTCTTTTCAAACTCATATAATGGAAAGAAGCTTATAAGTATTGGATCAATTCTCAAAAGACCTTTTGACAAAGCAAAATAATCTTTTAACTATGAATCCTTTCCTCCAGAAAGAGTGAACAAACTCCTATCAGATTGATTACAAACTACACGAGCGAAATACCAATTGAACTGAAAGTTATTGACATCTTTCTTCGCTATAGTAGTTTTTTCTTTGTTTCAATTCGCTTGGATCCTGTAAACAACCTCTCCTTACATTCGAGCGTATGCATATGTATCCATTGAACCAATTCAAGTTTGAAATAGTTCCAGCCTTGGTTTACAACCATAAACAGAAAGTCTACAAAAGACCATTCACAGTGTAACCATTCATATATCGGCTTACTCCTCTCTTCTTGTTTTAAGAATTAGGATATATGATTATAGGACATTTTCATTTCTGAAAAATTCAACACGGCAGTCATTCAGTATGGCGTATTGCTGTCCATCGAGCATTCTAACATTGTAGTCGGACAATTCGTAGAGCATAGCATGCTAGGAAACTAAATTGCATCTAAGCTTTCATATCAAATGCATTTCTCCTTTCCTTTTCTTTTGTACATCACTTGTTAATTGATCCTTTGTAATAATGAAGAAAATAAATAAATAAACCACAGTCTTTAAATTTCGGTTTTCCAGACTCACACACATCTTCAAAACTCAAGCTTCACTAATGAGACCAACAAATTTTATAAGCGTATTTTATATAAATTAATCGTTAAATATTCCAGTTAAGAATCGGGAGAGGAAGCTCCCTCAAAAAAACAGTAAAAACAGAAAGAACCAACTTTGATGTCAACAATAGTTATTTTCCGATAAAACCATATTCAACTTAATGATATGTTTCTATTACTTAAATTGATCTTTGAAATGTCTTCCAAAGCTTTTAGAAGGCTCGTTGATATTGTATATAAATTGGACGTTCGCAAGAAAAAAGGTATAACAAAGGACAAAAGACCCACTTCAAATTCAATCATATGACATTCTTTTTATTTAAAATATAAATAATTTAGCTTTTTGCACAAACAAGCTCAAATAGGGCTCTTTTCTTTACGAGTTCCATTTCTCTGGGTTGTTATTCATTCGTGGCCTCTCCATATCCTCAAGAATTCCAGGACTACCTATAATTTTCAGCTTTTAGCTCTCGTAACCAGCCTCCGAAAAGAGATTTATTTTTATTTACTAATTTATCTGGGAACGTCCTTAATTGAGCCTTTCTTGCCTATTTCTGAAAAAGTCCGTTATGGTTTATATTTTAGGTGTGCCTATCAAAGATGAGCGGCCTGTAAAGTATGCTCTTTTAGGTTTTTATGGAATTGGAAGAGCTGTTGCAGAAAAAATTTGTGCAAGACTTTCGTTTCACGACACCCTGAAAGTGAAAGAGCTTACGGATGGTCAACTGACTAGTCTTTCACAATTGTTATCGAATATGACTATTGAAGGAGATTTGAAGCGACAAAGAGATGCTAATATTTCTCGATTTTATACTATTCGTTCTTATCGAGGCCTGCGACATGCTGCAGGGTAAGTTTTAGTTTTCTTAGAATTTACTTAGACTAATGAATAATAGATTGCCGGTGCATGGTCAAAACACCAGAACGAATGCGAAAACGGCAAAAAAGCTAAACCGCCTCCAAAGAAGAACTTACAGCACGAATCCTATTGGAACCTTGGGATGGAACCGTGTACTGCCAACTGCGGTCTCGATACTTCAGAAAATTAAAAATATTCATTAAAACGAATTCTTTTGAATAATCGCCTGTATATGAATGTCCATTTAAAGCACATCTCATCTCCTTTCTATCTCCTTTGGAGTCAGCGTATAATTATCTTTGAAATAATGATTTTGTCAATAAAAATTACAAATTGCACAAAATTACCAAAGAAAACCGTATCAGTTGTTCTTAAGGAACACATACAACTCGAATGCATTCTTATCAAACAAAAAAAATAAAAAAAATTAACCATTACATTTTGTTAAAGTAATATACAGTTTATCATAGCAAAGTCATATAAGGTCTGGTCTATCTTTGTTGAAACGGCGGAATCTGTTCCGCTGCCAATCTTGGAGAATTTGGATAATCCAGTCGATTCTGCAATCGAGGAACAGCCCTTGGAAGAACTGGGGAATTACCAGTTGAGGATGTGGCACTAGAATTTTGAGAAACTGCTGCTTGATATGCTGCTAAATTATACTGAGGCGTCCCAGGTATAGAAGCTGTCGGCCTCATTTTCGTTTGATTTTGATGTTGCATATATAGGTTTGCATTTCTTTGCGATTGTAGTTGCTGAATCTGTGCTTCACGTTCGAGTTTCAACCTAGAAAGCTCAATTGGAGAAGGTACAGGAGGTAGACGTTCATGCGGAGTTGGAACATTGGTAGTCTGTCGCTTGATTGCTGTCTTTTGAGTAAACTCCCGTTGCTTAAGTGTCTTCTTGATAGCCTCAAATATAGCAACAGGACGATAATGGCGGGAAATCGTTGGCAATATAAAGTAAGAATTCTGACTCATCATGCGAGGCATAGGAGTATGAGAGTCACGCAGACGCAGATTTTGTGTTGATTGCTTGGATTTTTGTAACGACTCATCTAGCTTCTGCTGAGCCAATCTTGCATGAGATCCAGTAAATTGAACATTTCCAGCCTGAGGATCAATTTGAATCCACCTTTCAAAACAATCCCAAGCAGTCCTCCGTTCTGTATTAGGCACGTATAATCCAGACGGCGTTAATTGGTTTGCTATAAATTCCCAATTAAAAGAATATTGCCTCAAGAGTAAAAGAAGTAGTTCGTCCTCCTCAGGTAACCAGACAATCTCGGATGTGTTCTCCGTTGTCAAAGGAGGATATGGAGGGCGTACGGTGAACGGTGCAAATGCTCGTTTTTTCTTAGCATTTTCCTCCTGAGATTCTGTAGTCACACCATTGTTTTCAAAAGCTTTATTTTTCGTGATCGCTGTTTCCGATTGTTGAGGAATAATGTCACGTTCACTAAATAATCTTTTACGTTCGGTATGTATACAGCTCGACTTAAGTTTTGTTTTAGCTAAAGCAAACCTAGAGATTGGTGCTATGGGATTTGTTATACCTGAAGCTCGCAATTGTTTTTCAGTAGTACTAGGCGGATCGTATGTCGGAACATTGAAGACCGGCTTGTGAGATTCCTCAAGATCAGTAATGGCAACAACATCTTCTGAAAAGATAGTGCTGTAAAACTCTTTGTTTCTTGGGGGAGACAATCTCTGCAAGGAATCGTACTGATCCAGCTTAGTTTTTGCGAAGTCAGGAGAAAGCAAATCTGATGAATTCTCCTTTCTATCACTTTCTTTGCGTGAATACGGCCTTTTATTTTTCGATAAAGAAGCTGGCGTGCACACGGTACTTTTATCAGATGTGTTGTGGTAGTTCATCACGGAGTCAACTATTTGCTTTGCCAAGACTATTTTCCATCGTCTTTCTTGCGAAAAGTCAATAGACATCCATTGCATTTCATCAAGCAAATAATCGTGATGTGTCTTTATTGGAATCAACTCTTTCTGCCGTTTCGGTTGACGAAACGACCAAGTTCCTTTTTCTTTGGCATTAAACACACGACGGATAGACTCTCTTACTATTTTTTCTTTATAAGCATGCATCCAGTTGTTAGTAGATACGTATTTATACGCGTTCTCAAGATCATTTTGCAAAGGTATCATTTCGGTACGAAGCAGCCAAGCATCTAAAGTATCTTCAACCTTCTTTGGAACAGAGAATTCCGAAGGTGGTAATAAGGAAAATGGAAGCGAAAATGATAAATGAAATAGAGGTTTCGAGGGAGTGAGAGATTCTCGGAACGTTTCAATATTTCCTGTCTGTTTTTGGGACTCGCCTTTAGCGGCATCTTCGACAGGAGGTTCTTCCGTAGTGGATATCGGAATAGATAACACATTTCTTTGTTGGTTACTATCGTCAAATGAAATATTTGAGTCATCTTGTTGTGCTGGCTGATCTACTGTCCCGGCTTCACTTTTTTCATATTGCGCAATCACAGACGATGGAGCGGTCTCTTCAATAACGCGCCTTTCTATTTCCATGTCATTATTTTCTTTGAGAACATTCTCATCGGTTTTATGCAAATTCACTTCATGTTTGGCCTCAGTTGGGGATTTGGGAATGACTTCTTCAGCCGCAATTCCAACATTTCGGGCTTCACCGGATACAGTACTTTCTGCTTCTGGTTGAACTATTTCTGAAGAAGCTTCGTTATTAGTGCTTACATCCCGTTGCTCATCTTTTTGCTGGGTTTTAGTAAGTTGCAAAACAGCATATTCACTGTCTGGGGTTTGAGTTCGCTCAGCAGGTAAAGGCGAAGGTTCTTTTTCATTGGTTTCCCCATTGGTAGCCAATTCTTTCTTTATAGACTTTGAAGTATCATTATCTTTTATTTCTTTTTTATCGTTTGCCGCCTCTTTGTAAGACAATGCCCGTTGGCTAGATTCTTCTCCAGGAACATCGGATAAGTCGGTTTCCTGGATTTTTTGTTTTTCTAAGCTTTCATTCTCATGTTCCTGAACATCTTCGTTAGGTGGTATCCTAGCTGTTTCTGAAGGAATGACAGGGGAAGCTACAGGAAAAACCTCCTCCATTCGAACTGGTTGAATCGATTCAAGGATGGACGAATCCAAAGATGATTTACTAAAGATTGTCAATAAATTCCATTCGACTTCAGAATATAGCCTAAAGGATTATTTTTTGAACAAAGCACTTCTGGCGAATAGTGTAACAACTTACCTAAGAAGAACATTTTGTTTATAGAATTCATTCCATTCTTTAAGATGATCTGATTGTATTTCATGACTAGTTAAAATGCGGCCTAAACCATCAGGAAATTTTGTGTTCAACCACAGGAGTAGTAAACACTTTCTATATTTTCGCTGCAAAGCACGAGCAGTGTCATTTAGTTTATTTTCATCGTCATTTTCCTCCTCACTCAAAAAAAAAGAATCAATGGTTTCCATTTTTCCCCATTGGTAGTATTTTGCCTTGGAATTGAATCTAGCGGTTTTTCGTTTATTGAAGCGTCAGGCTCGACAGACTTCTGATATATGTTAATTTAGGTTCAATAAAAAATTAATTGCTAATGAAAGAAAGCTTCAATAACTAACATACCCCTTCCATATCATCCTATGAAAAAATTTTCATGCAATACACAAAAGCAAAGATTGCTCAATGCTGAAATAAATAGTTTTACAAACAATTATGGATATTGGGTTGACAGATGTTTTTTACCGTCTTCACTACGTTGGAAGATTCGATTCTCTACCCTGGTGGTGGTCAAACTTAGGTCCTCAACCATTTAACTTACCTTCCACCAATTCAGTTGAATGTGAGAAGCCCTGCTAATTAAATGAAAGTAAGAAAATTAATTTGAATGGTTTGTAATTATAATTGAATTGGAGCTTTTACTCGCACTATAATTGCCGTGAAAACGTGAACTGAAAACCGTGAGTAATACGATAGCTAAGGCAGATTCTCTACTTGGGAAGCTTAAACCATCTGTAGCATTCATTTACACCTTTTGAACTATTATCTTCAGGTTTCGTATAATTTTAAGGTATTTACGATAAGGATCATCTTGTTAGGACAAAGCGGTGCAATTAATTCAATTAGTTATTTCCTTTTTGCATTTTTCATTTTTTTTTCTATTTAAACAGCTTATTTTATTCGTGTGATCGAATTAATTGCATTATCGAAACTGAAGCCCCTCTGCTTTTTGAAAACTGTTTTCTTAACATTCGATAGTTTTGCTTCTTGACTTATTATTTTGTCGAAGTTCGTTTATTCTGTCTTCATTGAACAAATGAAATTATAAGGTTACTTCGTTTCGCATTTGCGTTCCAGGACATCCTATTCCAGTTATTCTTCTGTCCTTTATATTATCGTATCCCATTTATGCGACGACCATCGATTGTTAGATCCTCTCTTTCATTTTCTTCTTTTTCTTGGCAATCCAGCTTTGCTGTATATCAATTAGACTAATCAATTCTTATCATCAAGTTTCGGGTGAATTTCTATCTTCATTTTTCTTTTTTCAAAAATGCATCGAAATCAAAGCATTATCATTTATTTCTTCTTTCTTTGGGTAATGTCTGTGGTTGCTAACCGCCATGTTGACAAAGGCATTGTTGCCTTGGACGTTGTTCCAAGAAGTACGGACTTTTCATCACCGAATCCTCATTTACAAAAAAGGTCCTCCGGGATTGTTTCCGATGTATCCACGTTTCCAATGAACTTTCAGAGTTTCGCCTATTATACTACTACATTATGTATAGGCCAGCCTGCAGTTCCCTACGTTGTGGCCGTCGATTTGGATATGCCTTACACCTGGCTTACTTATTACAACGTATTGTCGTTTAACCCAACTTTTCTGGGTATTGATGTTGAGGGTTCTCAGTGGAGCAGTGATGAACTTCGTTACTTCCTCTGCGATATCAATAAAAGTGACTCCTGCTATACTGGAAACTCTTCGTTGAGCTTTTCCTTTATGACAGATCCCAAAACTTATTTGATTAAATACGACGATAACATTACGGTTGCTGGAGTTAACGTTCAAGACTCTCTGGTGTACAGTCATTATCATGAACTTAATAACTTCCAATTTGGTATCACATTGAAAGAATATGTTCCCGCTTCTTTATTACCATACAAAGGTGTTTTAGGTTTAGCCGCACCTTCTGAAATCAACAGTATTGACTTTGTGGATTCTATCTCCAGTTTTAAGCCACCCACATTTTTGGATCAGTTGGTACAAAGTGAAATTTTAAGCACGCCAACATTCAGTTTATCATTCGATGCAAGTGGAAACGGGACGTTGCTCTTAGGTGCTGTAGACGGAACGAAGTATACTGGGCCTTTAGTTACTCACAAGCAAACACGCAGCCGTCATTATTCGACGACCTTGTACTCTGTACAGTATACAAATTCTACTTTCTCTGCAAATTACTCGCTAGTGGTTGACGCGTTCCTTCAAACACGCGAACTATTCATCTATTTGCCTTATGACATATCATATGCTTTAACTGATCTTATGGGAGGTTTCATTGCATATGGTTACCTTGCAGTTCCGTGTAATAGCTTTGACGATAGAAGCGGTGTCAACTTTCAGTTTGGATGTAATTCGACTATTTTTATGAAAACTTCCATGCTTGTTACTCAAAGAATTGACAACATCTGCATTTTGGGTATTCGTCCCACATCATCATCACAGGCTGTATTAGGATTGACTTTTTTTCGAAGTGCATATACCGTGTTTCATCAAAAGGCAAAAACGATATCCATTGCTCAAGCCTATTATAATATGAGTACAAATTTTACTGCAATATTAGACGAACATATTCCGGGGGCTAGTATGTGCAATCAGCTACCTACTAGCAGTAAACTCTCCGAAGTAGTTGAAACTTCGCATTTTCCTCCAACTTATAGGGGAAAAAATCGGACAACTGCTGTATATAATGATTCGGGGGATACTACACGTTTGCCTCCTTATAATGTATCTTCCATGAGAGGGCCTATGATTCAATATAGTTCTTCTCCAAAAATAACAGCTTACTGGGTGCTTTGGGGATTTTTAACTATTTCATCAACTGTAGTAATGTTTGCAGTTTGAAGCAAATGAGCTATTTGGTAACGGTATGACAAAAGATAAAAATTATAGAAGTGGTAATGAATTATGATTTTCGTATTAAAATGAGAAAGGTGCGAGAAGGGAGTTCATATATTTAGAGTTGAATGTAACGTTTATAATATAAAAGTAATTCTAACTTTGTAAGGTGGAATAAAGAGGAAAAGAGGTGTCAAGTAGAATACGATGACTTAAAAAAGCTGAGAAAGCGTGAACATAAAAGAAGAAAAAAGATAAGGACAGATAATAATAAGTTATTAATACCCCTCATAAGAATAGAAGGGTTGCTTATACGAAACGTTCATTAACACCCATCTGGTCACTTAAACCCAGTGCGACAAGAGATCGTTCTATATAGGCACCAACTTTCTTGTACATTTGACGTAAGACATTGGGAGCGCGAACTTGGTGATGACTTGAGGTATCAGGATAAGGAGAAGACTCTGAAGAATTGGCAGCTATCGTAGTAGGCAAAGCATTGTCTGCAGCGGTGAAAGACACGAAAATTCCAATTGGAACAGACCAAACGCAGATCCCCATAAAGGAGGCTACTTGAGAAAACGTAGCACGATATGTTGCTACTCTTTGCCCAAGGAAGTCGTACGTAACGCCGCGAGGGCGACTGGGAAACTCATGGGTTTGAAAGAATCGAACCCACAATAGATGATTAATGATAATTAAGGCACAAGCTAAAAGAAAACGTAGACGACGGAAAGAAAAGAATGGGAATGTATCAAAATTGAGCTTGTAGATATAATTACTGAATATAGAGAAGGCACACAGCCAGAAAGGAAAACCGTCAAGCAAAGCGAGTAGGAATAGTGTACCCATGATAAAGTAAGCCAGTCGTGTTAAAAAAGCTTTGGCCAGCTTTGTGTGTTCTTCTATAAACTCTGAAACATAGTAAAGAGCAGAAGCAATGCTAAGGGTTAATCCGACGAAACCCAAAATAACACCTAAGTATGATAAACAATTTAAAACCAGCATTTTCTGAAAAAAAAAGAAGTCAAAATTGAAAGAGAAAGACAGAAGTTTGAGCTACAGACGCCTTTTCAGTGGTCAAGTCTCGGTAATGTAGAAGAACCAGTTAAAATAGCATCTACTTCTTAACTTACAATCGATAATACTAATATAAAAATAAATAAATAATTCGGATCGATAGGTATGGTTTATAAATCTCAAACGCCGTTGTGCAGAAAGAATTGGACGTCTTTGGGTAGAGAGGCTGGAATCCCAAAACAATAGTACTAAAGGGCGATGTCAAGCTCCATTTAAATCAGGAATCAAAAAAAGAACAAAGGACAATTCTACTTCATGAATGATAAATGACAATTAATTCACTAATACTTTTTTAATACATCGCTCTCTTGCTTAGACTAAAGCTATAGTGTGCAAGTAATACTGATAGTTGTTGAGTAATCAAAAGTTATAGTTCAATAGTAATTAGTTAATTGTAAATCTTTTTTCTTTCTTTTTTATTATTTCAGTTGTATTGTGATCCTCCGATGGCCAAGATTAAGGATATTCAATTTAAGAGTAAAAAACCCTTCAATGTTCATAAATCGCTTTCAGACGAACGTGAAACATATAAAGACCTTTCCTATAAATTTCATGCGAATAATTATTTTTACCAATAAATTTATTTCGTGGCTAAAACTGATGGTTGCTATCTATAAAAGGGCAGTCCCGCCTTCTATTTGGGGGAGACAACCACAAAATTGAACTTAACCTTTACCACACACAACAACGAACATAAAAATATTATGAGCGACAATGTACAGCAACAAGTAGATTCAGTTGGTTCCGTAACTGAAAATTTGCAGAGAGTTAATCTCAATAACAGACCCAGGAAGTACATTCCTCCCTTTGCCCGTAGCACACCTGATGCAGCTCCTTCCAGCCCCAACCCATTGAGTTCTGACCCCGTTTCTCGTTCCCCCAGCGAGACTTCGTCTTCTGGCTTTGGCGGTCGTCGCGATTTCCATCGTGGTGGCGAAGGCCGTGGAGGATATGGTGGTGGCTTCCGTGGAGGTCGTGAAGGCTACGGTGGTGGTTACCGTAATAACCGTGGAGTTGGTCAATGGAGAGATGGCCAACACATCCTTGGTAGCAGAAACACCATATTGGAACGCCAATTGTTTGGTGCAGTTGCCGATGGTGTTAAAACTTCTACAGGAATCAACTTTGAAAAATATGATGACATCCCTGTTGAGGTTTCTGGAGGTGAAGTTGAACCAGTTCATGAGTTCCTCTCCCCTCCTTTGAACAGTCATTTGCTGCAAAATATTTTCTTATCTGGTTACACTCAACCTACCCCGGTTCAAAAGAACTCCATTCCCATCGTCACTTCTGGTCGTGATTTGATGGCATGTGCTCAAACTGGTTCAGGTAAGACGGCCGGTTTCTTGTTCCCCATTCTTTCTCTTGCATTCGATAAGGGCCCAGCCCCTATTCCTATGGATAAAAACGCTGGTATGGGTTATCGTCCTCGTAAGGCTTACCCTACTACCTTAATTCTTGCTCCCACTCGTGAATTGGTTTGCCAAATCCATGAGGAATCAAGGAAGTTTTGCTACCGCTCTTGGGTTCGCCCCTGTGCTGTTTACGGTGGTGCTGATATCCGTGCTCAAATCCGTACTATTGACCAAGGTTGTGACTTACTTTCTGCCACTCCTGGTCGTTTGGTCGATTTGATTGACCGTGGTCGTATCTCTTTGTCTAACATCAAATTCTTGGTTTTGGATGAAGCCGATCGTATGTTGGATATGGGTTTTGAACCCCAAATTAGACAAATTGTTGAAGGTGCTGACATGACTGATGTTGCCAATCGTCAAACTCTCATGTTTTCCGCTACTTTCCCTCGCGATATCCAAGTGTTGGCTCGTGATTTCTTAAAGGACTATATCTTTTTGAGTGTTGGTCGAGTTGGATCTACTTCTGAAAACATTACTCAGAAGGTTGTTCATGTTGAGGATTCAGAAAAGCGCAGTTACTTGCTTGACATTCTTCACACTTTACCTATTGAGGGTTTGACCTTGATTTTCGTTGAGACTAAGCGTATGGCTGATACTCTTACCGACTATTTGTTGACCAGCAACTTCCCTGCAACTAGTATCCATGGTGACCGTACTCAACGTGAGCGTGAACGTGCCTTAGATTTGTTCCGTTCTGGTCGTACTTCCATCATGGTTGCTACTGCAGTCGCTAGTCGTGGTTTGGATATCCCCAATGTCACCCACGTTATTAACTACGATTTGCCCACCGATATTGATGACTATGTCCATCGTATTGGTCGTACTGGTCGTGCCGGAAACACTGGTCATGCCGTTGCTTTCTTTAACCGTAATAACAAGGGTCTCGCCAAAGATTTAATTGACCTTTTGAATGAATCCCACCAAGAGTGCCCTAGCTTCCTTTTGGCTATGGCCCGTGAAAGTAGCTTCGGTGGTGGTGGCCGTGGTCGCTTCACCCCTCGTGGACGTGGTGGTGGAAACTACGGAAGCCGTGATTTCCGTCGTACTACTAACACTACTAGCAACTATAGCAGTGGCAGTAGCTACTCTCCTTATAGCAGTGGTTATGACCGTACCCCCAGCAACCATGGTAACACTTATAACAGTGGCAGTTCCCAATCCTGGTGGTAAGCTAGGATATGACTGATCCTCCTTTTTATTTATGCAGTCAAAAATCTTTTGCGTTTGTTAAAGAAACTTTGTTCTGTTCAAGTTCTGCAGACTCTGCTAAAAAGGAAACAAAGATGCTTTGGATAGAAATATCTGATGGATAGAGATAAAAAGAAGAAAAATCAATGAAAGAGTGAAATTATTCATACTTCACTGTGAGCGTTTTGCACGAAGGAAATTTGATCGATTCGTTAGTAACAGATGAGATGATAATAAAAATCGAATTGACATTATCCGCTTGAGCGTGCGTTTGTTGATTGCAGATGTGGAAGCGTTATGTGAACGATCCGACAATTTTTTGTATGCATGTTGTTTCTTTGGTTCACTATTACTGTGTCAACAGTTGAAAATACTGATAATTTAAGTTATTGGTACGGAAAAATTATACAAAGGGATACAATATTTCGGAAGAAAGCATTTTAGAGTGAATGTACGAATACGACGGGCATACAGCATATATAAATGATTATGTTGATATTTTTTCGAGGCTATATGGATGTGCTTTGAAGTCTTGAAAATTTATTTCTTTCTGGGGAGGTTGGTTTTAAATTCAGCGTCTCTCTTTTGTTGGATTGTGGTTCTTGGGTATATAGTTTCTTAAAGGAAAAGGTTACGATTCTGCAATTTGTAGTAATAGAAATGCGCGCTAAAGCTAATAATACATTATTGACTATTGAGATGAGATTTCTCTCAGAATGGAAAAAAAACCCCCCGAAGTAAGCAATTGTATCATGTAGCATAGTGTGTGTATGTTGTATGTATACCTACGAATGGTAATGGAGGAGTGTATGAATTCTAGTAAGAGTTTTGTATTGCATGAACGATCGGACATAGATGAAGCGTCAAATTTACAGTAAGTGAAATTCAATTCCAAAGATCGGAAAAGTTAGCAGGGACAAAACAGAAAGGAAAGGATAAAAGGAAATTTTTCTAAATAATAAAAATATAGCCTGGAGAACATGAAAGAGAAAACAATTCGGACACTTTTACCTCAGCATAATATTAAGGGAGTTCAATTACGTGAAGGGATTTCTCTTTAATGAGAACGAAGTGAGAAAAAGCCGATTAAAATGAAGAAGAAGAAAACGAAGCACACAAGCAAAACAAGAAAAGTATTTTTAGAGGATTGCGAGATACGGTTAAGACGATGGATAAGGAGCATATGTTGAATGGGATCAACTCGTTTTCTAGGATTGCGATCTTCAAACTTTTGATCATCGCTGTCACTGTCTTCAAAATTATGATATTCATCGTCGTCGTCGTCTTTCACGGGCGTTTCAAATCGAACATTTTTACGAAGCCGACGACGAGGGTCGCCTGGGTAAGCAGCCAGGTCATATCTTGGATTATTGGAATACATAATAAATTTTTTTTATTGCAGTTTTCCCTTTTATATACGATGGGGAATTGTTTTCCAAGAGGAAACGGGCTTGTAGTAGAATGATAAACGAAAATGTAATTAGAAACCGAGAAACATTAAGAGATATCCTCATCCATATCCGTAATTTGGATAGCGTAAATTTTCGAGCGAAAGGGTGCATATCGTAATATTGCTTGTTTCATATCGCTGATTTTTTTTTTATTCCTTTTCATTTGATTGAATTGAATTTACGTTGATTTGATTTTTAGTCTATTGTTTTTGTTTTTTCATCGAGACATCTGTTGCTACCCATGAGAGATCAAACCAATTGAAGGGTCAAGGATTAAAGGAAAAAAATAAATAAATAAATAAATAAATTCATTCTTTCATACCTGCCTAAGAACATTGCTAGTCAGAAGACAACTCCTCAATTAGCTACCATTTCCTTTCTTGGTTGTGTATTTCGCATGTACCGTAACTTCGCAGGTAACACTTAGTGATTGTGAAAAAGGAAAACATTCATTTAGTAGGGAAAAAGCATTAAAGGAATTGAAAAGAAAGAATAGTTGGAAAAGAATCCTGAGAGACTTCAAGCATGGAGGGAATCTTTTTTAGCAAAGGCAGACTGCTCTTATAAACTTGCTTCTTTATTGTAGAGAATTTTGCATTTTTTAAGTTTTAACCCATAAATATATCTTCTATCTCTAAAATGAAAGCGTTTTTCTGTCTCCTAAATTCCAATTCTTCCCTTCTCTTGATTTTAGCCAAATGCTCTTAAATGGCTATTGTAGAAGCTTTGATTTATTATCCTTTTATTCAATTCCAATTTTATTATAAATAACAAAAGTAACATTATCCTTTTATTATGAATCCATTGCATTTTCTTTTCGAGACGCTGAAGAGAAATGACAAGCTTACCTTCTTGACAGCAGGACTCTGATAATTGGGTACACTTTTGAACCTCCTGCAATCAAATTTTCACAATTTTCTTTTAGTATTAGAAATGTAGATTTACTCCCAAAGATAGTTTCTCATAGTTCAATAAATGTGGCGACGATGGCCACGAAAATATTAGAAAGCACTCCGTCAATCCAAATTTTGGGCAACAAATGGCGTATTCGTATCCGACTATGAGAAGCGATTCACGTAGAAGATTATGAAATTGAAATTTCCTAGAAAGTTGTTATATATAAGTTCAGCACCCATCTTGAACGGATCCAAAGAAAGCATCATTCTATTACAATAGCAGATTACTTTTACGCCATTACGATACCGTCGCATATTAATTTTTTATTCTAATTAATAAGGCTGCAAAAGGATTCTTTACTTCAACAGAAATTTTGTATAAATGTATGGCAGAGTAACAATTGCTACAGGACGAGAGGTTTCATGACTTTACTAACAACAGAAAAACAGTGTATTATCGATATATGAATAAACATTATGAGCACAAGTTCTCCCAGAGATATTAAAGAGCAGAAGATATCATTTGAGAACGATAATCAGCTCGATACCTCTGAACTTTCAGGATCTCCACCTCGCCGTTGGAAAAATTGCACTCTACAAAGACGTGGTTCTCGCGCCTCTACGATGTCAGAAGGTTTCGGCGACCGCTATCGCTCTCGTTCTCGAGGTTCATTAGAATCTCAGTACAATCCAGACGCTACTGAAAACCGCTGGTACCATAAAATTGAACAATCCTCGAGTAGGAGTAATAGAAACACAGAAGAGGAGTTGGATAACATGACTTCGCTTCACGATCAGACGGTCCCGAATCCAATTGCAGAAGCATGGAGAAAATACTTCCGCAAACAAATTCACTAAATGAGGTTCTATTGATGATTATAAACGAAAATATAAACAAAACTGAAAAATTCCCATGTTTACAGCTGCGTTTTCAATGAGATCTGATGATATATATATATACGCTTTGCATGTGTTTACGGACAAGGCTGAAAGAATGAAAGTAGTATTTCTCAATTACTAGATCGTTACTTAATAAGATATGTAAATGACAATCTTTACAATTTACTTGCATACATCCATTCTACATAGTTTGTTACGTTGCACCAACCTAGCTAGCATGGACTTTTGAGGTGTTTTACTAATATGCGAAAATTTAATTACAATGGTTATAATGTATGGATACACGGACCTTTTCTACTTTGAAATACAATGCATACAAACAAATACACAGCTTTTCGACCAACTTTTGAAAATCATATACAAAATTCTATTCATAAAGCCATATCATCGTACATAAATAAACATCGTTTGACAAAATAACGTAAAAAAAAGTGTAGTCGTCCGATGAAGAGCGTAAAGACACCTATTATTAAAATAGAAAGATGCTATTTTTGCATGACATTTTTGATCCTGTCAATTTAAACAGATGGTGGAGGACGACTGGCCTCCTCCTTGACTTCCTTTTTGTCTTTCGACAAGTCAGCCTTTGCATCTTGTTCAGCTTGGTCCTCCATGAGAGGCTCTTTTTTTAAGCTGCCCCATCCGTGTTCCTCTCTGCGCTCGGATTCATGAATTGGAGGATGAGTGTGAACGGTATCCTTGCTAAGATCTTTGTAGGGTGCAGGGCTCATAGTGATGAAAATATAACAGTGTTCTCAAAATCGACGAAAAAGATAGAAGATAGAGAAAAAGACGTTAATATATGTCTATTTGTTAAAAGATTTCAGTTATTGCTTTTACTTGCGATTTTAGCTGACTTTATAATTTTTCGCTTCTTCTTACGTCAAGCAAAATGATATAAGTTCCATGATGCAAATCCTTCAAAATCGTTCGCATAAGAAAACGAACGAAAAATATGTTTCTCTCGAGTCATAAACGTCTAAGAGCTTGTGTCTTTTTACTTTTTCTTTCTTTTTTTGTTTCTGTCTGTCTCTCGGTTAATCCATGCGAAATTCAAACCCCCAAAACAAACAAACAAACAAACAAAAAAAGCGCTTAGCTTTGATCGAGGCTCTCTTTCTGTCACATTGAACATTCCTGAAACGTTCATTAATGAAAAAAAGCTTTAAAAAAAATAAACATGCCAATTCCACTAGACATTCACATGTTTAGACTTATAAATCTAATAGTCAGTTTTACACGATCCTCCAAATGAAAATAATAATGAAGTTCACAGTAAAAAATCATCAACTCGACAAGACTTTTTTGTTGAACTTTTTCATTTCTCATTCTCTGATAAGTCCTTTATGATCACTTTGTACTTTTGATGTACATCACATAAATGTTTACAGTTATACAAACGTAAACACTGAGCAATTCTGTAAACAATAACAATAGGAGCATCCCTTTGTATTTCTTTATAAGATTTGAATCAGAAATCTTGAACAAGAAACGTTGTAAAATAGGATTCTCTCGTCGAATGGATGGGTCAATTGCTTCGACATATTCTTGATGAAACAAATGAAAGAGCAGATGCAAGAGTTTTGAAGGTCATCGAATAACAAAAGAAATTTAGAATTTTCTGTTTACATAAATTTTCCTTGAGTCCTTCTTTACTCAACGTTTGAATGAATGTGAAAAGAAAGAATCTGTCCGGCCTTGAAGCATCCGTCAGTATTTATACACCACTAACCGAAAAAAATGTGTAAGAGAATTCAAAAGGTAAAGATACCATTTGTTTCTCTCTGCTGAAAATCTTGTCAATGCCCAAATTGCTGAAACGAATAAACAAACACAACTAGGACTTGTCTGCTCGAGAAACAGAAAGAAAATAAAAATAAAAATAAAAAAGAAGCAAGAATAAAGAATTCCTACAAGCAACAGGAATTCAAGTTATACATATCACCTCCTTCGTCCTCGGTATGTTTCGTCCCAAGTACCTTCAAATCGGACGTAGATATTGAGACTTGATTATCTCACGCTATCAATTTGAATTTGCCTTTACATACTTTTGTTTTTGTTTTTCACTTTTCCCTTTTCCTTCTTTGTTAAAAATTTTGAATTGGATCTGTGTTGGTTTCATCTACTACTAATATCAATCTGAAATAGGATCGTTGCTGTAAGTTGAAAGGTTTAATCAAAAGCTTATATAGCGGAAATACAACCCAGATTTGTTTTAAATTTTCTTTCATTCCATAACTCTTTCTGTTTGATTCTATTGTAGCTAGTTTTTTGAAGATGGCTTTTGTTCCTATCGTTCGCAAAGGCAATGGAGAGGAAAGTTCTCCCATGCATCATCACGACCATCATGGCCATCATGACCATCATGGCGGACACGACCACCATCATCACCACCATGAGCATCCTCATCCTCATCCTCCTCACACTCTTTCCAACTTGTCAGACCGCGAACGCATGATCCTTGAACATGGACATGCTCATGATGCAATGGATTCTCCCGGAAGCTATTTAAAGCGTGAGCTTCCGACGTACAGCAATCGAGATTTTGCACGACGTAGCTTTACCATTGGAGTTGGTGGTCCAGTAGGTTCTGGTAAGACGGCGCTTCTTTTGCAGCTTTGTCGTCACTTGGCCTCCAAATATAGTATTGGTGTTGTTACAAATGACATTTTCACTCGAGAAGATCAAGAATTTTTAATTCGTAACCAAGCTCTCCCCCAAGAACGGATCCGGGCCATTGAAACTGGTGGTTGTCCCCACGCGGCAATTCGTGAAGACGTTTCCGCAAACTTGGTGGCCTTGGAAGAACTTCACGCTGAATTCCAAACCGACCTCTTGTTCGTCGAATCTGGCGGCGATAACCTTGCAGCAAACTACTCTCGAGAATTGGCAGACTTCATCATCTATGTCATTGATGTCTCTGGTGGTGATAAAATCCCTCGTAAGGGCGGTCCCGGTATTACAGAATCGGACTTGTTGGTTATCAACAAGACAGACTTGGCTGCTTTGGTGGGTGCAGACCTTAAAGTAATGGACCGTGATGCCAAAAAGGTTCGCGAAGACGGTCCTACCGTGTTTGCCCAGGTCAAAAACAATAAAGGAATGGACGAAATTGTTGAATTGATTTTAGGTGCCGCTAAGGGCGCTGGGTCTTTATAATGTATTTGCCTTGATTATGTTGTATTACACCCCATCTCAGTTATGAATGATATCCTAATTTCTTGTTCAATTACAGGTGTAAATAACGTATTTTCTTCTCTTTTTTTTTTCTGTAATTTTCCTTTGTAGCCATATTAAAGAGTATCGCTTAGATAACTTTGTTGGATCTGACTTTTGTTCCTCTTGTCACAACATACCTCAAATTTTTCGACGGTCATTCAGCCCTTGGTTTTCTCCATTTTTAGTGGTAAAACATACAAAATCTTAAATAATCAATATGTCTTTAGAACAAAAAACCCCTGGACAGATTCAACGTGAAGAGGAAGAAAACAGAAAGAAAATGAAACGTCTGGCGAAGGGAGGTGGTGTTGAAGGACGTTTGCCAATGGTAATGAAACTCCAAACTATCAACTGAAGTCTAATTCATTGTTTAGAAAAGACTATTTCGTCAAAGAGCTCATGCAAATGTTTTGTCTGATCATGAATTGGAATAGTAAGTATTTGTCTTTACAAGCGTCTACCGCATCAGCGATTATTGCATTTTCTTTTTGTTTTATTTTTTTTTTCTTACTAACTGTGAAAAGTCCTAGAAGTCCTGCCGAAATGGATTGGACACCGTTTTATCCAGATTTCTCAGAAAACTCTGGCAAGAAGGTTGAAATTGTGGATATTGGCTGTGGTTATGGCGGTCTTACCGTAGCTCTTGGACCTCATTTCCCAGACTCTTTAGTTTTGGGAATGGAAATTCGAATGCAGGTTACCGATTACTTGAAGGAAAAGATTCAAGCTATTCGTTATCGAGCAGAGCATGAGGAGCCTGTTACTGGAGGTTATAAGAATATCTCTGTTTTAAGAATGAACTGTCAAAAGTTTTTGCCAAATTTCTTTGAAAAAGGACAGCTCACAAAAATGTTTTTCTGCTTTCCAGATCCTCACTTCAAAGCTCGTAAGCATAAGAACCGTATTGTTACCGGTACCTTGGCTTCAGAATATGCTTATTTTATTCAGCCTCATGGAAGACTTTACACGATTACGGACGTAGAAGAACTCCATCTTTGGATGGCAGAAACCCTCGACAAGCATCCTCTCTTCCGTCGACTTTCCAGAGATGAAGAGGCTAAAGACATTTGTGTTGCTCTTATGACAAACGAGACAGAAGAAGGAAAGAAGGTCGCTAGAAATGGTGGAAAGAAATTTACTGCTTGCTATGAGCGATTACCAGACCCCGCGAAGTAAGCATATATAAAAGAAAGAAAAAGAACGCGAGGCAGGAAAAGAGAACAAGCAAGACAACTTTTGGAGTCAATGTACACCATATGCATCTATGCATAGCTAATTATGTTTTATGTGGGTTTAAGGATTGATAAAAGGTATATAATTCATACATTTTATTTCACCATAACTTTTTGTTCCCGTTCTCCTAGAGAGACGGTTTTCAACGTTTAGCATTTTCACTCTTCTTCTATAGTATTTTAATTACTCAACATTTACAAACAATCCGCAGTAAACAAAATCGATTTGTTAGAATCATATAAAACCTTTCATTGATAGTTAGCTATCTATGCAACTATTTTCATCAACATTAACAAGCTCTTGTAGCTCAGTGGTAGAGCGCTTGCCTAGTAAGCAAGAGGCCCAGTGTTCGAGTCACTGCTGGAGCAAACTTTTTACCAAATTTACTACAAATCTGGTAACTTCCTTCGACTCTTTTTTGTATAATATATTACCAACCTACACTCTACTTGCTTTTTCCATGGTGAAAGATAAATTTTTTAACATAGGGTAGGTTTGTGACTATTTTTTTGGACTTCACTTACTATATATAGTAGAAAGATTACACCTTGGCATCTACGCTTAACGCAAATGGTAAGTTGAACAGAAAGATGCAATTCCATTATAATGATGAGCAACCTTGTGTCGCCCCTATCTGAAATTTGTGACGATTGACACGGAAGCCAAACCCAATGACTGATATTTTTGGTTTTGCATCTCAATAAACATCTTTTTAACACTTCTATGATATTAACCTTCATTAGATTATGCGAAACTATGGATAGGAAATAAAATCATTACTGTTTTACGCTGTGCAATTTGGATTATTTAGATCTCCCATGTGGACTTGTAGTCGTGTGTTCTCAGGCAAGGACGTGTGTAAGAAGAATTCATAAAAAAAAGACCGTTTGAAGCTTGCTGATGATGTTTTCCAAAATATTCTATGCTAATCATGATTCAATTTGATTCAATTTTGACTCACTGAAGCAAGCTTAAATGGTTGTAAAAATTTACATGAGAACTAGATTAAGTAAAAAAAATTAGTTTCCATATTGGAATAAAAAAAACTTGAGCAATACATTTAAATACATGTAAAGGTATGTGTAACGTTATTTGAAGGAAACTATTTGTTTCAACTGTACACTGTAAAAGCATAAAAATTGCAGTTGTTGATTTCTACATCACGATATCTTTTCTTTTTAATTTCAACTGATAAATCTATTGATCTACTGATAGCGACATGTAGGGTAGGCTCACTATTAAAGAATGAGAGGTAAAAGAAATGACCATGGTTATTGAACTTGGGCGGAACCAATACTATTGTAAAAGCCAGGTTGTTAATAAAGCAGTGCCAAAATGTATGCTTTACTTAGTGTTTATGATAAGACAGGTTTATTGGACCTGGCCAAGGCACTTGTGAGCAAGGGAATCAAGTTGCTTGGTAGCGGAGGTACCGCTAAAATGATTCGTGAAGCTGGAATGGAAATCCAGGATGTTTCTAGCATCACGAATGCTCCTGAAATTTTGGGTGGTCGTGTTAAGACTCTTCATCCTGCTGTTCACGGTGGTATTCTTGCCCGTGACATCCCTTCTGATGAGAAGGACCTTGTCGAACAACAGATCGAGAAAATTGACGTTGTTGTTTGCAACCTGTATCCCTTCAGAGAAACAATTGCAAAACCTAATGTGACCATTCCTGAAGCTGTCGAGGAAATTGACATTGGTGGTGTCACCTTGCTACGTGCTGCTGCAAAAAACCATGCTCGTGTTAGCATTCTTACTGATCCCAAGGATTATCCCACCTTTGCCGAAAAGTTACTTACGAATTCTTTAACTCAAGATGACAGAAATCAGTACGCTTTGAAGGCCTTTGCTTCTACTGCTTCCTATGATTCGGCAATCACTGACTATTTCCGCAAACAATACTCTGTTGGTGTCAACCAAATGACTTTGCGCTACGGTGCCAACCCTCATCAGTCTCCTGCTCAAGCTTACATGGAAACTGGTCCCCTTCCTTTCAAGGTGCTTGGTGGCTCTCCCGGTTATATCAATTTGCTTGATGGTTTAAACTCATGGCCTCTTGTTAAGGAGCTACATGAAAACATTGGTCTTCCCGCTGCTGCTTCATTTAAGCATGTTTCTCCTGCTGGTGCTGCCGTCGGAGTTCCATTATCAGAACTCGAAAAGAGTGTCTATTTCGTTGGTGACATCGATGAATTGACCCCTTTGGCCTGTGCTTATGCTAGAGCTCGTGGTGCTGATCGTATGTCTTCCTTTGGTGATTTCATTGCTCTCTCTTCGAAGGTTGACGTGTGCACTGCCCGTATTATTTCTCGTGAAGTCTCTGACGGTGTAATTGCCCCAGATTTTGAGCCCGAAGCTTTGGAAATTTTGAAGAAAAAGAAGGGTGGTAAATACTGTATTCTGCAAATGGATCCTAATTATGTTCCTGCTGAGCTTGAAACTCGTCAAGTTTATGGTATCAACTTACAGCAGCATCGCAACCATGCAAAGATAGATTATACACTTTTTGACAAGGTTGTTAGTAAGAACAAGGAATTACCTAAATCCGCTCTAGTTGATTTGGTTGTTGCTACAACTGCGTTGAAGTTTACTCAGAGTAACTCCGTTTGTTATGCTAAAAACGGTATGGTTGTTGGTTTGGGTGCTGGTCAACAATCCAGAATCCACTGTAATCGTTTGGCCGGTGATAAAGCCGATAATTGGTGGTTGCGTCATCATCCCAAGGTTTTAGGCATGCAATTCAAGAAAACGTCCAAGCGTCCTGAGAAGTCCAACGCCATCGATTTGTACGTTTTAGGTGCTGTTCCTTCTGAAGGCACTGAGCGTGAACAATGGGAATCGGTCTTTGAAACCATCCCTGAACCTCTCACGAATCAGGAACGTCAAGAATTTCTTGCCTCTCTTAAGGACGTTGTCTGTGCTAGTGATGCCTTCTTCCCCTTCCCTGATAACGTCTACAGACTCTCCCAAAGTGGTGTCAAGTACATCGCCGCTCCTGGTGGAAGTGTTATGGATAAGGCAGTCCATGACACTGCTGATGAGTTTGGCATGGTTTATACTGAGATTCCCTTGCGTCTTTTCCATCATTAGATTCCGGTCCTAATCACTACTTTTAATATGGTTTCGTACTACTTATTTAAAGAAATTTTTGGTTGCTAATAAATTTTGTGATTGTAATGATATATAATCTTTATACAACCTACATTTGTAATTATATTTATGTGACACGAAGTAATTTAACTGATCGGTCAAGTGATAGTAGTAATCTTTTAAAAAGATTAAAAAATAAAAAGTACGGTCAGAGAGGGACTCGAACCCTCGACCTCATGATTAACAGTCATGCGCACTAGCCAACTGTGCTATCCGACCTTGAGTTACAATAGTTGATATTGAAGTCTATTTATTGTATTTGTTAGAGAATTTAATTGAATATATTTTGGTACTGATAGAAAAGTATTGTCTCTGATGGAGAACATGGACTTTTTAATATAGTACGAAACCTCAAAATTGGAGATGTCTTAATCAAAGCTAGTTGCTGAATTATTCTAATAGTTGGTCCTGTTGGAATCTCCAGAATCTTTGAGAATTAAAGAGATTATGCTTATTTATAGAGAGTAATTATCTTACTAAATAGAAAGTCCATACTTTTACGGTTTCTATACTATGAGGTTACATTAGTGGCCATCTAACTTAGGATCCGTACCGAATATTTATGAAACAAAACTTTATAGACCAAAATATAATTTAAAGAATAAGACTATTTTTTTTTAAAATCTTCTGAATCTTATAACCGCTTTATTATCGTTTCTTATTTTTAACAACTTTGTTTACGAAAGTGTAAACAATGTTGGACAACAGTAATTATTGCCCGACTCGCATAAACAAACGAATAATTCGTTGAATGAAGAGTAAAATTTCAGCTCCAACAAACAGGATACTATTATTATTATTATTATAATTCGAGCTGTATGTTGGATAGTTTAACAGACTTTAATTGCATTTTTGAAAACCTAACTGAAGGCTCTAATTCACTGAAATTTCCAAAGTATCACCAACTGGATGATACATCACTCTCCTCCTTATCAAAGCCTTTGTATTTTAGGTACCATGATAAAAGATATAAAATGAATATATTAGGTACTTTTAAACAGAATAGAATACTTATGTCCTTCTGTAAACAATTCTGCTTTGCTGAATACTGTTACCTTAGAGGTAACCACTAGGTTCCATAGTAAACAACAGCAGCTTCTATTGATTTGAAACCGAAGAATAACAGTACAAATGTTTAGAAAAAGAAAAGCAATCATAAAAAAAAAGGAGCAGCAAAACCAGAGGAAAAAAATCAAGAAGAAAAAGCCTACAGCATCCCGGATTCCCATGTTGTCTCCAACCATAGTACTAACGAGACCCTCAGACGCTTAACTGCAGTGATCGGACGGGAACTGGTGTTTTCGCCTAGGTGTGGCCGTAGACAACTGTCCACGCTGTAGAAAGTATATGTAGTGAATATTTAACGATGCAATTTGTTCAGTTCCATCTGCGTCTGTTTACATGGCTGCATGGAAGTTGTAGTCTGATAATTCGTGCTCCAATTCATTTACTTGACTCTCTAAGTAGACGATAATTTAATTCATTAGGCTATAAAAGTCGGATCGTTCAAGTTGAAAGATTTGTGCTTTCTATGCTGTGAGTGAAATCATTAAAAGGGTTGCATTAACAAGGATGTTCGTCAGAAAGAAAACGAACGATTCATAAATAACACTATTGCGAAACGAATTCTTAAATACATAAAAGAGTGAACGTGAAAAGCAATCAAATCCCTAATATGAAGCTGATGTTTGCTTTTGTGGACAAGAATGCAGAAACTCGAGGGATTGCAATTGATATGAATGCTTCCAAAGAAAATGCGATTTATAGGAGGGATGGAGAAGATTCGCTAAAACTCAAACTTCAGCGCTTTGCTCAGCAAGAGGTTGAAGCTCAATTTCCTCGTTACGAGGTGCTTCATTTTCTGGATCTGTCGGTCCTAATTAGGTTAATCAGGTGCTAAGAAAAGAAAAAAAAGGAATTTATAGTAAGCAGTACATACGAAAATAATTCGCAGCATTTCTTATGCCGTTTCCTATGACATCTGCGCCGTTTCCTATGGCATTCACCATGTTTCCCATGCCATTTCCTAAATCAGCAATGAAGATTCGAAATTGTCGCGTATCCGTACCTAGAACCAGTTAGAATATTTCGCAGGGTGTAAGACATACTCCAAAATAAAACAAACACGGCAGCGTTAACAATGCAGACACCATAGAAAGCAATATCGTTCATCTTTTCAAATTCTATTATCTTCTTTACAAAATAATACACGGAATAACAAGTGACATCCAGAGAAGCCGTACATATTACTGCGACACACAGGTTGGACAGCACTCTACCAGTTTGCTTGAACCATTCTTTAGGAAATTGAGACATTGCTAATAGTTAGTAAAATAAAAGATAGCACTAACTTACAATAGAGAAATAGTGATATCGCTCCAATAAATCCGCCAAAAAGTCCCCAAAAGTCTTGTGTCCTCACAGGAACCTTGAAATAAAAGAACATTACGAGAAGAATACCATAAGCCCCAATGTACTCAAAAGACGCAAAAAAAAAGAAGATATTCGCTGAAACCCACTTTGAATATGTCGAATTCGACCCAGTAATGTTAGTGGACTCTTGGGCAGAATGCTGAGCAGATCCATCAGCCATTTCTAAATCAAAAAATTTGTTCGGAGCTAATGAATGTATTAGTGAGGAATGCTTTTGTTGTTTGAGAAAGGATGGAGCGTTTGTCGGGTCTGTTTACAAGAAATTGCAGTTATTTATGGATATTGATACAACTGACGTTCCTTTCTTCTTTTTCTATTTCAACAAACCTTACCTGAGTACGGAGGAGGCGTACCAGAACCATCCAAAGATCTAGCGTCTGACTTTTCATCATTGAGCACTTTGAAAGAGTCATCAGAATCTGAAACTGGAGTGTATTTATTCTTCATTGTTATAATGGCAGCTAGAAACACGAAATAATGCAGATATCTACAGCCAAAACGATACCAGCTAAATTTACCAAATAAGTCCGTAGGAACTGGTTCTACCGTTCACGGATCTGTCAACAAAAGGAATTACTCCTTTCTTTTAACACAGTTAAATAAAAGCACTTTTACAATGAAAAGCTCCTCTCAAAAGATGAAGCGTAGTTGAAAAACTCATGGTACTGGCTTTTCGCATGTCTCAATTTCATAAAGCAGCGACATTATGTCACTGACTGGTCATATCCTCGTTACAATTATTCAACATTGTGGGTTCACTATGGATTTTAGTAATGGTATAATCCAAACGAAGTTCGTATTACAAAAAGTAAACAAAGGACTATCCAACAATAAAACCTTGACGTTGGATTCTCGCAGTTATTTTCAGCATTCACAAACACTCATTCTTTTGAAGCAACTTTTTCTAAATATTCTCAAAGGGTTTCTTCTGAAACCTGTCCATCTAACGGTTCTTAACTCAGCGGAAATTGATTTAGATGGAAAGGAAAGCAATCTTATGTTGGTTCCATCTTTTGAGTGTTCTCTAGCATGAAATATGTTTATTCTTTTGCCTAATATTCATTGAAGCCGCTTCTTCCACTTACTTACCTGCAGTGATCTGAAGGGAACTGATATTTTCACCTACGCGTGACCGTAAACATTCATTAAAAGGATATTCTATAAATTGTCATTATTAGTGAAACTTATGAAGCAAGGCTAGCTAGCTTAGTTGCATAAAATTTTCATCCACATTGTATTATCATAGTAAGTTCTTTAGAAGATTCAGTTAGTCTCCTTGTTTTGAATTTAGTGACCATCATCAATGGATGATAAACCAAACTACGAGATACACTATTTACGAAAGAATATGAAAGCTGAGAGCCCCAGTTGACTTTTTTCACAGCATAAACAGAAGATGAACTGTCTTCAAAAAGGATCATATCCTATTTTACCTGGATCCAGCTTTTTAAATAAGTCGAATGGACTAGTTTCTGTAAAATGTAGGTGGAAAACTTACCAGAAGAAAAGAAAGATACACCTTATTGATGAACATACGATGGGGTTAAAGATGTTCAATTTGTTGTTTTAGACAGTACAATTTCTAATTTTTTTAATGTTAGATAATTTCAAACCAGAAAGCGTGGATCGCAGCCGTAAAGGCGGCATGGAAAAGAGTCAAGATACTTATCGACTAACTTTACCATCTACTCTTGTAGGTTTTTCATCCCTGTACATATCTGTACTGCATAGTATTGATGATTTTCTAACAAAGCTTCTGTTTTGTAGGAACATGGGCGTCCCCATGTATTTGAAGGATCGGGCCAACAAGCACGAAATGTGGATTGCGTGTTAGTGTACAATCCTAAAAATAAGGTATGTTTGAGATATATCAACTGCGTTTTCGCTAATTTCCCTCCTATGTTTAGACGTTTACGATCGAGCAAATGGATGAGATTATCAGAGTTCACGCCTTGCGAAATGGAGGACGCGCAATTGCAAATACAGCACCTCAGCAGCCTCCGGAGCCGATGACAAAGGGATTAGCTTTTCCTACAGTGTCATCCTCCACCTCTAATTCATTAGCGACCGGAGAGCCATCTCATGCTACTGGGTCTGCCGCAGACGAGGGATTTAATCTAATACCACCACGCACAGAGGGTTCAAACCAAAGGTCAGTTCCTGCATTTGCAATGTCAGCCAAAAAAGCAACAGTTCATTCAAGACCAAATCCCGTCCGGAATTCTGATATAATTGACATTGGATCAGGTACAGAGAGAGAGACGGAGGATGTGCTGGAGCTTGACGACTTTGCCAAGGAACTTGAACTTGGTCTTGATCAGGAGCTAGGGAAGAACTCTGAAGATAGACAATCATTCATAGCTGGCAAGCCTATTTCGTTGCGCGATTTGTCAAGACAAGAAGAAGAGAGCGGACGGGCCGCTGCAACCTCTTACGAAGCAGTAAGCAGTGCCTCGGAAGATGAATGAGGATTGAATGAAAATGTCGTTAAGTTATGTCTTTTCGTGGCTTTCTGAAAGGGAATCCCAAGGAGAACGAACTACAAGACGAATTCCATCATTGTGGTTCTACACAGTTGAAAACTTTTTTTGTCATGAATATTTTTTTTATATATATAATTAATGTTGATTTTATTCCCTATGTCCTAACTAGAATAATGAATGAAATGCAAGCTTGAACTCGTATTCTAAAAGAAGTTAGTAAATGAAATTAAAAACAAGAAATGAACATTCGTTTGTCTTGCTAAGCTCAGTAAAATAAATTAACAGCATTTTGGTTGTCTAGACCATCAGCCTCATTAAATCAGATAATTTGGCATCCTAGCAAAGCAAGCCGACAAAGCTTTTTGTTAAAAGTTTATACCTTTTACTAACTATTTGTTATAAGTTGTGCCAACAACTATTAACGTCCAGATGGACTTGAAACACAGTGCAAAAACTTGCTTGCAGAAGATAAGTTTGGGAAAGGGAAAAACAGTCCTATAAACAAATGCTGAGTTTGTTACCTCGCCCAAGGAACAAAAACAAAGAGAAGAGCAGGTAAAGAAGGGAAAATAAAAGAAAGGGATTTAATATAGTCAATCCAAAATTATGAAAGATGATATCCTATTCAGGGAATAAAGTTTGAATCAGTGGAATTCTTTTGTGATTTCCGGTGGACGTAGTCTCATTTCAAGCCATAACTGCAAGTCCAACTAAGTCAGGGAAAAAGACCAAGTTTTACTCTTTTTGTTAATTTTTAAACACACAAGTTTACTATATTATGACTCTAACCAAACTTCATACATAACCTAAGAAACTCAAAGTAGTTTACGGATGGATATGTTATTCTGTAATTTTCTTTTACGAAATTGAGCACAAAATTTATAAAACTATTAGCGTAATAAAACGTGTAGCGCAGTGTTTCGAAATTAAAGCATAGTGCATATAGGTAAAATTCAGTAAAAGAGTTTAAAAACAAATGGGTTTATTTCGTTCGACATTCCTATCTAAAAAAGTAAAGGATTTACGTAGATATCCAAGTGTAAAATAAATTCCAAAATATTGCTAAGAAATAAATCGGAAACTATGGAAAACCGAAATTAATCAATCTACTAATATATAAATAATTAATTAAAACAACATTTGAAAACTAGAAATGAATTGAAAAAGCGATTGATGATTCCTATAACTGACTGAAAGAAAGAACTGTGGATGATGATGATGACGATCAAGGGTACATACATACAATACACTGTAAACATGAGACTTTGAAAAGAGATGGAAAGTGCAATGGGTAAAACCTTCAATGTCAATGAATATAATGTAATTTAGTTGTTCTATTGCTGGGTTTCTTTGCGTGTCTGCATCCCATTTTCATTTTCTTCTGGTTTACCTCCCTCCGATGAATCGCATGGCAAATATCGGTGCTATCAGGAACAGAACGGGTTTTCTCAAGAAATGAGATACGCAGAATCCGAGTGCACATTCGGATGGTGGTTTACAAAACTATATAAAGAAGGAATTGTCGCATAACAAGAATCATCAAGCTACAATTCTGTTTCCTTGAGAATACGCTTTGGCCGAAAAATATCAGCTTATTCCTTTTGCTCGAGAAGATTGAATTTTCTTTCTATTCTTGTTTTCTAAAAAAAAACATCATCTTTTGACTTTTCTTTTCTTTTGTAATCACCATGACAATAACTACCTATGTTAAGCAAGCCTCTTACGGTAAGACTATGGTCAAATTCATGAAGAAGGATGTTTGTCCTGAAACAAAGGTCCACACCATCTACGAAATGGATATTCAAAGTATGCTAAGTGGTGAACTCGATGAGTCCTATACCAAGGCCGACAATTCTGTCGTCGTTCCTACAGATACTCAAAAAAATACTATTTATGTCTTTGCCAAGAATAACGATGTTAGCGTGCTCGAAGTTTTCGCCGCAAAACTTGCAAAGCACTTTGTCGACCGTTACCAACATATCCATGGTGCTACAGTAGACATTACTCTTACTCCATGGGCCCGTATGAATGTTCATGGAAAACCCCATAACCATTCCTTCGTTCGTGACCCCAGCGAAACCCGCAAGACCCATGTGGCTTTCACCGAGGGCAAGGGATTCGACGTTGTCAGCTCTTTAAAGGATGTCTTGGTCCTCAAGAGTACTGGTAGTGCTTTCAACAAATTCCACAAATGCGAATATACCACCTTGCCTGAAGTCGACGACCGTATCTTTTCTACCAACATCGATTGTAATTACACCTTCAACCAATTCTCCACTTTTGATGAACTTGCTTCTTACGACTTCAATCATGCTTATAAAAGTGTAAAGGAAATCACTCTCGATACTTTTGCCTTGGACGATAGTGCTAGCGTTCAAGCCACCATGTACAAGATGGCTGACCAAATTATTAACAAGTTCCCCAACGTTGCCGAGGTGTTCTATGGTCTTCCAAACAAGCATTATTTTGAAATTAATCTCACTCCTTTTGGCATCGATAACCTTGGCACGAACTGCTCTTTATACCAACCTCAAGCGTATCCCTCAGGCTATATCACTTGCACTGTTGCCAGAAAGTAATGTCTATTTTCCGAATACGCTTTCCTTCTTCAAACATCATGTTACATGGTCATTTTTCCTCCTTGCCTATTTTTCCTATGTATTAGTACTTCGTTTTATAATACGTAATAAACTCTGAGAAAACGCTACGTGCTTTTACGATACTCAAGTGTGCAGTTAATGATTTCCAAATACATTTATAAACTCTTTTTTGTTCATCTATATTTTCTTTATATGTGCATCCTATCTAGCAGATGTATATGTCTATAAACAAACACTCAAAAGTAAGCAATATAAAAATCCCATTCTATTTCTTCACTAATTTCCTATTTATACAGCCAACTTGGATAGTGCATGAGATACATCATCTTTACCATACAATTCAAACTCTAGTTCAACTTCCTCATTCTTGGATCCAACAGCCTTCAGACGACCTTCATGCACTGGAATACCGACGAACTTCTCAAGTTCAGCATGGGACTTCTTCTCCCATGCAGCTGCATCCTTGGGCTCAAAAGGGAAGAATGAATCGCATTGGTATTCATGGTAGATGCGAGTGAAAAGAATATTCTTTGTCAGGCGATGGTAGAGAGAACTACCGTACAAGAACGAACCTCCGATGACAAACACCTTGCCAACTTGGATATCAGTGTTATCATACTTCTCAGCTAAAGTATCCAAAGCTGCATCAATGGAGTCGGCAGCATAAAGGTGCTCAGGGATCTTGTCCTTCTTGGTCAAACCGAAGTTGTAGTTTTCGGTACGGGTAATGACAACATTAATACGGTCCTTCAAAGGACGGTTTTTCTTGGGAATACTGTCGTAACATGCGCGGCCCATCAATACAACGTTCATTACCTTAGACTTTCCTTCAGCAAGCTCAATGCCATTTGTTGAAGAGGTCACATTAGCGAAATAGCCCATTTCTTCCTTAATGTGCCAAGGCATGTTGTTCTTCTTACCAATACCCAATGATGGGGAAGAAACTGCTACAATCAAAGTCAAATCACGAGGATGCTTTGTAGGTTCACCAGATCTAGGAACGGAGTACATAAAGTCACGAATTCCAGTCTTATATACAGCTTGTTGAGGAACAACATGCATACCAGGATGCAATAAGATGTTAGGGTTTTCACAACGTTCCATTAACTCCTTGGCACGTGCAAGTGGAACAAGGGTATCAGCGGTACCAGTAATGTGCAAGTTGGGTATAGTAAGTTTAGGCTCATAAAAATGATTAAATTCTGGCTTTTCAGAGCGGAAGCCACCAATAAACACGGCAAACTTCAAAGGAGGATGTTGCACATATGGATTAGGAGGTTGACCAGGTTGTAAAAGATGTGCCAACATAGCACCAATACCAGCACCTTGGGAGAAACCAATCAAACCATCAAAAGGTCCCTTTTCTTTCATATATTCATTGATGACTTGCAAACTCTTATCCCACGATTCATAAGTGTTCTTGAAGTCTTCTACTTCAAACCAACCATATTTACCACCTTGGTCGGCACCCATAGAAGCAAGTCGCTTTTGCTCAGCTTCGTCATTGGGGTCGACTTCTGCCTTGTACTCTACGGGACCTGTAGGGAAATGTAATTCCGCAAATTTGGACAAGTACTTCTGAACAGTTCCCATCTTTTTAGACATTGTAGGGCCAGATTGCACCCAACCTGATGTAAGTGTTAGCTTTCGAGCTTGTGCATAAACAAAAGCCGGACATCTTTTCCAACGATGAAAATTTATAAAAAAACATACCGTGCAAACATAATACTTTCATAGGTTGAGGCATTTTGAATGTACAAAATCTATTCTATAAACCGGCTATACCAAAAATTAGGAAACCAAAAAAGAAGAAAAAAAAAAGAATTATTAATAGAAACCAAAATGAAAGATGCCCAATATATATGTAGGTCTCACTACTATTTGGCTCAGTGTGTATGGTTCTTGGCAGGTTAAATTCGGCGACTAAGCGAAGCTAAAAAAGTATCAAGTAACACTCGGAAGTAAAATTTTAGTTTCTGTTTCAGCATAATTATGCTAAAAAAATATATGAATATGACAGTATGTAAGCATATTCTTTTTTTTTGTTGCATACTCAAAGGTAAGTTTTAATAAAAGCATATTGATGATTTCATTTCTACATAGTTTTTATCGAGAATAATTTGGCATCCTAGACAGGAGCACAAGGTTCAAAAAAAAACAAATAAAATCAAGATCTTTAGATACCATTTCCTTGTTTGGTATCATTGACATTCGAAAGGTTCGCCATGCTTTCAATAAACATTTGTTTTTGTACTAGCATCGATAGTACAGACATATCCTAAGAACCTTGGATGCCCTTACCATTTAAATAATAAATATATTCAACACCCATGCTCAATAACCAGAGCACGAAATGAAATGTGATGGTATTTAGTATAACTGGAATTAAAAAGAGGCAGATAGTCTTTTAGATACAATCTTACAACACATGGTCCGCAACAAAGAAACCAAATTTAAAATAGTATAAAGTAAGCAACCCTCTCTAGTTTTTCATTATAGTACAGAGAATTATTCACTCATTTATTAGCTAAACTTTTTTATAATGTTTCTTCTTATTTTATGGTGTTCCTTAGCAAGTTTTTTATTCTATTTATTTTTATTTTATTTTTCAATGTTTACACCTGTATACGATAGTGACGCGTACTAAAGCTTTCTAAGACTATATTAAATAAAGTTTTCGGTATCACTAAGCTTATTTAATGATACGCAAGGACTCTGTATTCTCTTTTTTTCCATGAAACTCATAAAATGAACACCGAAAGTTGTCTTTTTCCAAACACTAGAAGTCACTTTATTTACGAGATGGAAAAACAAGTACAAGACCTCGCTCTCGAAGAGAAAAAGGAAGTCGCTAAGGAAGTTATCCTTGGGTAAGTTTTCAGACGCGGATACCGAGGTGAATCTCTGTATTAACTATGTGACTTTAGAGAAGACGGTCAGCCATTGTCGAAAAAGGCTTTGAAAAAGTTAGAGAAGGAACGTGAAAAGGAACAAAAGAGAATAGAAAGAGAAGCCCGTGAAGCTGAAGAAAAATCTAAGCGTGAAGCTTCTGAAGTCGATTATTCTGAAGGACGCTATGGTGTTTTACCATTAAATCGTTCCACTACCCGTGAAAATCGTGTCTATACTGACATCAAAGATATTTCTGCTGCCAAGGATGGTCAAAAGGTTTTGATCCGTGCCAGAGTATTCACTTCTCGTCTTCAAGGGAACAAAATGTGCTTCTTTTCTTTGCGCCAACAATACAACACCATTCAAGCATTGGTTGTTGTTGACAAAGACACCATTAGCAAGCCTATGGTTAAATGGTGTGGCAGTATTGGATTAGAATCTATTGTTGCAGTTGAAGGTACTGTTCAAAAGAGCCCTGAAGTTATTAAGAGTGCTACTGTTCAAGATGCTGAAATCCATGTTTCCAACGTTTACGTTGTTTCCCCCGTTAAGAAGCACCTTCCTTTCCTTGTCGAAGATGCCGATCGTTCCGAAGAACAAATTCGAGAATCTGAAGAGAATGCCAAAGAAGGTGACTCTAAGTTCGTTCGTGTTTTGCTTGACACTCGTCTCGATAACCGTGTATTGGATCTTCGTACCCCTACCAACCAAGCCATCTTTGACATTCAATCTGGTATCTGTGATGCTTTCCGTGAGCATTTGTTGGCCAACTCTTTCAATGAAATCCATACTCCTAAAATGACTGGTGCTTCTAGTGAAGGTGGTGCAAATGTCTTCAAAATCTCCTACTTCAAAGGTGCAGGATATCTTTCCCAATCTCCTCAACTTTACAAGCAAATGCTTATTTCCGCTGATCGTGAGCGTGTTTTCGAGGTCGGTCCTGTTTTCCGTGCCGAAGAATCCAACACTTATCGTCACATGACTGAATTCACCGGTCTTGATCTTGAAATGGCTTTCTACGAACACTATCATGAGGTAGTCGAATTTTTAGAAAACCTTTTCTTGCACATCTTCAAGACACTTAAAGAAAAGTATAGCCGTCAAATTGCTTTGGTTCGCAATGTATACTCATCTGAAGACTTTGTCCTTCCTGTTGGTTCCGAACGTGTTCGCTTCCATTTCAAGGAGGCTGTTCAGCTCCTTCGTGAAGCTGGTTATCGTAAGCAGCTTACTCCTGGCCAAGAACCTCCTAAGGATGAGGAATTCCGTTATTGTGAAGACCCTGAATTTGATGATTTCAGCACTCCTGAGGAGCGTGTTTTGGGAACTATCGTTCGTGAAAAGTACAACACCGACTTCTATGTCATTGACAAGTACCCTAGTAGTGTTCGTCCATTCTATACCATGCCTGATCCCGAAGATCCTCGTTATTCTAATAGTTATGACTTTTTCATGAAGGGTCAAGAAATTATGTCTGGTGCTCAACGTATCCACGATCCTGAATTGTTGACTGAGAGAATGAGAGCCCTTGGTATCGTCCCTGACGTCGGTCTCCAATCTTATATTGATTCCTTCGCCTTGGGATGTCCTCCTCATGCTGGTGGTGGTATCGGATTAGAACGTGTTCTGATGTTCTTCCTTAATCTTCCTAACATTCGTTTGGCAAGTGCTTTCCCTCGTGATCCCAAGCGTCTCCTTCCTTAAAGTTTCATTTTCTTTTTTTATAATTATGTAGTCATTTGACAAATGGAATTGGATTAAAACTCTATATGGGTGCTCTGGATTTATTTTAAAGTAGTCACACTTAATGTCTAGTTATGGTGTTGGTATAGGAAGGTATATCAAACGCATTTAATTTTTTAGATCGTAAAGTAAATTAACCTCATAAATAAAAACTATGAAATTTGAGCTAACTCATCGGTTTGACTTCGAAGAAGAATCTTGATAAAATTAGCCTGTTCTTTGATTTTCTTAATCTCTTCTGTCCGCTCCCATGCTGTATTTGAATTCGAGTGATCAAATAGATGACTGAATTTTTCCTCTAAAGAGTGTATAGCATTTGTAACGGCATTGAGAGCTGACGATAAATTAGTCATATGGATTTCATGACCACCTTCGTGAAATCTTGCGGCTTCATTCTCAGTACCCTTATTAATCAGCAGCCGAGAAGTTTCAGCATATTTCTGAAAGTTATAATCGAATTCGGCAAAACAACGTTTAACCAAAGAGAAAGAATCAACAAAGCTACAAGTTTGTTTGAACAACTCATGTAATTGAGAAGAATCACTTCGTAAAATTGAAAGTGCCTCAGGATTAGCATCTTTCGATTCCTCCAATGCCGCAACAGTAGCTTGTAATTTCAACTTTACCACGTCAAGCTCAGATGTAGTATTAGCCAACTGCATACGCAAATTCACTAATTGCTTAGCACCATTATTTCTTTGTTCTAATGCGTTCATTAGTTGAACTTGCATTTGTCCATTTTCCTCCCTTAGGCTAGTCGTATGGTAATCCAATGCATTAATTTTTTCCGAAGCTTCACGAATCTCTAATCTTAAACCATCTTCAATGTATTTACTAGCGTTGATCAGCTTTTCCCTTTTTTCTAATTTAGCATTGTTGATCCTAAGCTGTTGACGTAGAGCCTCCACTTGTACGTTACGGTTATAAGACTCGCTTTCCAGAAGACTATCTAAGGTCGATGTTAAACTAGCATTTGTCATACTTGAATTTCGCTCATAGGTGGTCCTATCATCATCCAACTTCGAGTATATGTTAGTATTAGAATCAATAATAGCTTGTTTCTTAGTAAGTTCCGATTTCAATCGTGCTACTTCCGCAACTAATTGAGAATTTTCGGTCTGCACATTGCTCAACGATTCATGCAAAGAGATATTCAACATATCAGTAGCTTCTAATCTTTGTACCAAATCTCTCATAGTATTTTCGAACCCGACGGATCGTTCTTTATAGTAATCTCTTTCGGAAGCAAAGTTGTTCACAAGCATTGTTTGGTCTACCAATTGTTCTTCGAGACTTCTTACCAACGACTCACGATCGCGATAGACGGACTCAAGTTCTAACAACTGTAGTGAAGCAGAATGGTGCTTATTCTTTTCTTCAGAAATTTCCTTCTCTAAATCATTCATTCTCTTGATAAAAACTTTTTTAGATGAACTAAGATCATCCAGTTGCTGACTTAGTTCTGTAGAAGTTTCCCTCATGACTTCCAGGGTCTTATGCAAACTTACATTCTCTTGCATTATATGAGCGGTGCTAACTTTGTGAATATTGTTCTTTTCAGAAAATAAAGCTTTGCTGGATTCATCCTGTTCATTATAAGGATGGACTTTAGACAAAGCTGCTTCGCAAAGCGCTGCATTCTTCTCAGCGTTAGAAACCTTAATTTTCTCGTTCAAAATCTCAATCTTTCTTGCTGATTCATTTAAGACCTCATAAAGCTTTTGTTTGAACCAATTGACAAGTTGTTCTTTCGTCAATGCAGAACATTGCTCCACAAAAATCCGAGAATCACTGTCACTTGGCAATCTATTAGCTTCACGTTCAAAGCTCATATTCGATAATCCATCATCGGTGCCTATCTCCTTCAAAGCATTACGATCCGACAGCTGGGAGTCAGCAGTTTCTGAAGTTAGGGACACTGACTTAATTGACTTTTCTGTATAATCGTTACCCACTTGGTAAGGATTGTCTTTATGGTTAATTGCAGTATCTAAAGAATATAATGAAGGTGTTACTGATGACGGTGATCCCACTGGTAGTTCTCCTTCTAACCTTAACTTATTAGATTGGTAAGAAAGTGACACATCGTCTTCATTTGCTCTATTATCGATAATTTTAGAATCTGCAGTAGAAAAGGAACTTAATTTTGTTGGTCCATAAGAAGCATCTGTAGAGCTTTGATTACTTTTAAGTGAAGGAGAACGTCTAATAGGAGCTTTGACATTCATGGAATTAATAGTACTGGCAGGAGCCGGAATACGAGAAATTTTTGTATTTGTTAAGGACGGTATTCGTGAGGGTTGACCATTGTTGCCGCTTAATCCTGTGAAGAATGACGCATTTCGTTGACGACTTGAACTAGGAAGTAGTTTACTTAGGCGAAACCTCGTAACGTCTAGCATATACACATTAGAATCTATGACATCTTTTGCTTGCTTCCCGCCGATCAGAACTAAAGTCAAACCTGTAGACGTCAAGGTGTGAGAAGAGCGAGGTGATGGCGCAAATGGTAGGTCAAGCAACCTATACCATTGCTTAGTTGAGATTTTGAGAGCATATAAATCATTTAAAAAGGCTCCGTCGGATGATCTTCCTCCAAACACGTAAACGACATCATCAATTATTGAAGCTGAATGCCCTGCTCGTGGAGGGGGAGGATGGCCGAAAGTCTCTACTTTTGACCAAGCACTTTGTTTGGGATGAAAACACCAAACATCATTGTAGTAAGTTTGGCCATCGGTACCACCAATTATATATAATTTATCAGAATAAGATATAGCGACATGACCAGCACGAGCAGGAGGGGGATCATTAACAACAGATGCTAGTTCCCATCGCGACTCTTGGGTATTCAGCTTGTTCAGATCAAAAAATACAAGGTCGTTAAAATAATAATCAAGTAAACGGCCACCAAACAGCCACACCCTAGAACCTAACGTGCTAAGCGTATGACCATAGCGTCCTGACGGGCGGGCTCCAGACACCGAGGCTTTCTGCCAACGTAAAGACGAAGTGTTCAATAAATATAGGGTATTGTCTTGGTAATCTATATCCTCCTTATTTGTAAGACCACCAAAAACGATAAAAGCATTTCCAGCAAGGACCGAAGCATGGCCAAGTCTTGGTGATGGAATTTGGCCAGTACTACGCAAGTTTGAGAACTGACTTGTAGCAAGGTTTAAAACCCACAAATCGTTTTTTGCATCAGAATTGGATGAAATTCCTCCGAATACATATACTTCCTGTCCCCCTTCGGCGAAATGATGAGAAGAATGCGAGTATCGAGGTAATACATGTGAAGACCCGCGAATAGTTAACTTTGACCAAGGAGACACGGTGAAACTAGAGCCGGTTGAAGGATGGGGTTTCTTCATTTCTGAAGAAGAAATGCTACTGATTTCTATATCAGCTTCCTGATTAGAAAGAGGAGGAGAATCTCTTATTGATCCCGAGTTTTTATAAGTAGTAGACGTACTCAGCGGATTAGACCCAGCTCTATTTTTTTTGAACAAAAAAGCCATCTTTCAGATATTTTTAGCTCATAAAGTAGACTTATTAAAAGGATCTTGTTTTGTCCAGACTTGACGCCAAAGATTGTAAAGAACACACAAAACTGAAAAAGCTTTGCCAAAAGAAGGTAACCAAAAAAAATTAAATATAAAAAATACAAAAAATTAAAGCTTTCGCCAGAAAGCGACAAAAAGAACGAAAGAAACCGGTATTCCAACTTCACAAGTTCATCTTTGGCTTATTGCGATGGCCGTAAAGAAAGTAACACCAGAAGTAACAAACATCTAAACTGAGCTTTATGTTTAGAACGAAAACAGGGTAATGTTTACATTGTTTGAATATGCAGAATTCTATGAAAAAGATATTAAATACATGTTTTTATTTGAGGCATAAATAAACTTGTAGCTCTAGAAAAGGTCGTGAAGTAAGGTGCATGTTTGAAGAGATGAAGTCTTCACGCCTGTTCTTTGTTCATTTCAGTATTTGAAATAATTTAGTTAAAATCATCAAAGAGTTAAACTATGAAACCACCTAGCATACTTGGTAAGTTACGAAAGATCAGTTGTGCTAGCTGGTACAGTGCCTAAATCAGTTCTTCAAATCCATTACCTAAACCAGGAACCTTCGTTTACAATTCTTCAGGCACTTGATCTTTAACATCGATAACTATTCAATTGTGGTCAAGAGTCCTTTTTAAGTTGTAATTAGGCAGCGAAAAATGTAAACAATAGTGAAAATAAAAATGTCGGTTATGTTACCTTGGTTACCCTAGGCTATGTTAAACGAACACCTTAAAAATGTAACCTACCCTAACGTCTGTGACTGTTTTTTTAGGTCGAAACATACGCTTGAGCAAAAACAAACATTTTCAAGAAGCAGCAGCAAAAATGACTAAGGGTACAACTTCTATGGGTAAGAGAGGCAACAAGTCTCATACCCTCTGCCGTCGTTGCGGAAAGCGCTCTTTCCACAAGCAAAAGAGCACTTGTGCTTCCTGCGGTTATCCTTCCGCCAAGACCCGTAGCTTCAACTGGGGTGCCAAGGCTAAGAGAAGAAAGACCACCGGTACCGGCCGCATGCAACATATGAAGTTGGTTCACCGTAGCTTCTTGAATGGTTTCCGTAAGTAAAAGCCTGGTTGAATGAAAGAACAAATTTACTAATTAAAATAGAAACTGGTACCAAGCGTGCTGCTGTTAGCTCTGCATAGATGGACCCAATAAAAATATCTTATGCCTATACTACAAATGAAGTAAAAAGTTGTTAGGAGCAACGTATTTGTTCCTGGCACAATTGTTAATGTAGCATCGTTGTCTAAAGAATTTTCAAGGAATTTGCCTATCGTACTGTAAGATTGTAGATTTAAGCTATGTCAATAAACCACATAGTTAGAATGAAGCGCATGTTGCAAATTAAGAAACTGTTATCCCTAAACCCTGACTATTAAAGGTTGCTTAGCAATATGTAAATACATTATTTTGTGGAAGCATTTGAGGTAATTAGAGGTTCTGTAAAGCAGCAGTAATGACCGACGATAATTTCACTCAAGGATTTGATATGTTTTCTTAGTTTGTGCATATTCTATATACTGTCTAAATACTTGACTATTTGGTGCTGTCCTATTTCACCACCATACCACAGAAATCACATGTCGTATTTGGATGGGTAAGAGGAGGAACCAAACATTGTATTAACATTTATTAGTTTAGAGCAATGTGTTAATTCCTTACAAACTAGCATAGATACAGTATGTGATTTACACGGTTGCATCCCTAACTGCATTACTAACTTAGTTTAGCTTTCCTCAAGCATCGTCACCTTAGACTCAGGAATACATGACTTTCCAAGAATTAAACAAATTATTAAAGTCCAACGTCACTTTCATTTGATTTCCGAGCAGCAACTTCAAGATCGTCGTAAAAAATTTGATGAATCTATAAAACCTTACTTGCTACGAGCTTTCCAAAAACTAGAAGAGTCCATATCAGCACTACAGAGACAGGAAGATAGTTTAAGAACAAAATACGAGCTACAAGAAGCTCGTTTGGATATGCTTAAAAACCGACCTCCCATAAGTGCTTTACCTTTAAATTCAGACACTACTGATCAGTTGAAAATAACGATAGCTAAACGACAGAAATTATTGTATACTTTAGAAAGATACGATTTGCAACTGCGACAGAAACGAGGATACTAAATAGCTGTACCTCATGGATTGGAACTCAAAAATTCTAACGGAAGTTTCTTGGGCAAAGGAGCAGGGCGCCAACGTTCATCGTTTTTTACAGTTTTCCGTGATCCCAAACGCTGGAAGCTGTATTACAAGCGCAGGCCGGATTGAATCAGGTGAAGTTTTGCTTTCTTTGCCTAGAAATGTTTTAATCAACAAGGCCACTTATCCAAATTGCCCATTTTCGAAACAGCTGTCTTCGTTCCAATTTCTTGCTTGGTTTATATGTAAAGGAAAGAGTACAGGCATGGAAAAATGGCCGTACTATATAGAAGCGTTGCCGCAGGATTTTTCATGGCATCCTGTAATGTTATCTTCAAATGACCCTTTGTGGCCGAACGTACCCGAGGATGTACAAAACCTGATTCTTGAAAGGAAACAATCTTTATTGGAAGATTATCAAAATGTTTCAAAATTTGAGTCATTCGACTGGCAATTGTTCCAGTGGGCTTGGCTTTGCGTGAATACTAGATGTTTATACTATGAAGTATCACCGAGTTCGGTGGATGAACAGTTAACGTTGGCTCCCGTATTTGAATATTTCAATCATTCCTTTGATGCACAAACGGACCTACAGAGAGGTCGTAGTGGTATATCTATAATAGCAAAGCGTACTATAGAAAAAAACGAACAGATATACTTGCGCTATGGTGGTCATGGGAACGATCAGCTATTCTCTGAATATGGGTTCTGCTTGAGTGAAAATCCGTTCAATCATTTCACTTTAGACAACCAGTTATCCTTTAATGAGCAGCAAGAAAAGTTTCTAAAGGACCATCACTACTGGAAAGACTATACATTTTCCATAGATGGACCCTCGTTTCGCACATTCGTTGCTTTGCGGGTTTTGCTAATATATAACTCTAATGATTTATTAGACTATACCTGTGATTCTACTAGAAGGTTGTTGCAATATATGAATGGGTTTTCAGAAGGCAACCGAGAACTCCCAATGGTTCAAGCATTATGGACCAAACATTTGAAGTTGTTCTTGAAGGTTGTTGAAGAGAAAGCTGGTAAACTGTGTGAACAAGAAAGCGATAATTATTTGCAACAATGTATTCTACAGCTTTGGAACGATCGTCAGAAGTGCATAAAGTATTTATTAAATAGTCCTTTAGAATAAAATAGTAAATAATCAAAACCATGTTGATTTTACAATGTCTTCAAATTTAGACGCATATCAAATTTCTGAATATAAAAAATACGTTATCTGAGCTTTTTGTTTTCAAAAAGCTGAAAAAAAGTAATTGCCCATACCAGGAATCGAACCTGGGTCGCATCGGCCACAACGATGAGTCTTAACCACTGGACCATATGAGCTTGTTAGAAACTATAACACTTTAGTTATATATAATCAACTTACTGTGAGTTAGAATTGTACTGATAGTCTAAGAGATGGTTTCGTTTATTGATGTTTTTCGTTCTATAGATTTAAACACAGGAACAAAACCATAGGTTTTTGACTCATCGGACGGTATATCATAAGCGAAGCTATGCCAGTATATCGTTTTGGCCAATATTAAATTCGGAACCTTTAGCTAATGCTTCTATTGTGATGAAATTCAAAAATAGTATGATCTAACTGAAATGCTCTTCTGGTAATATTAACATATACATATGTGCCGTAAAAGAGTTTAGGTATAACACCAACTGCAAACTTCAGGCTGTTTTAGAACAGGGCCGAGAATTTGTTACGTAGCAACATTTTGACATATTTATAATCTTGATTTTGAAAACTAAGCAGAAAGTAAATCCCGAGTACCAGATACTGCAACTTTCATAGAGGGTAAGCAACATACATAAAAGAGTATTTACAATCTATAAAAATGTTTATTAAGTTCTGTATTTCAACAAGCTCATATGGTCCAGTGGTTAAGACTCATCGTTGTGGCCGATGCGACCCAGGTTCGATTCCTGGTATGGGCAATTACCTTTTTCAAAATCAACTTTTTGTAGTTTTGGGAAAACAAGGTACTAGTAGTGTTTATATGTTTCAATTGTTAAATGATGATACTTTTAAAATTTAGTTCTATAGGGCACGACATTAATTTCTACATATAACTAAGAGAAAAGGACATGGAAACATCTGATTATGAAGATTGAAATAATGTTCCGATTGTGCAAGCCTAAACATTGGCAGGTTCAACATAGCGAAGGGTATTTCCACTGAATACTCCACCATTCTGCTTGATGCCATCTTGGATTTTAGCAATAGCTTCTTGTTTGCCCATAGGGTCTTTCTCATCCGGGTCAAGCTCCCATGTCAAATATCCATTCGTACAATTTGGTTCAAAGTCTTGAGGAACAATTCCGAGACGCTTGGAATACTTAGTAACTTTGTTCCAGTCTCTTGGAACATTGGAGATATCGCGGGAGAAATATGCAAAGCATCGCTCAAATTGTTCTCGGTGCAACTCGAGGCCCATTTCAGGTTTGAAGCTTGTAAATTCCTTATAGGCCTGAATCGGGTTCTCAAGCATGGATAGAGTAGCAGAACGGATAGCTCGTAAGAAGGAAACTATTTTATCGGGATTCTTCGCGATGAAATCATCGTGGGCAATATAGAGGATGGAACAGAAGCAACAGCAACCTAGTTCCGCTAGTCGGTCAATACGAAGCATTTCAACATCAGAACGAGGACGTCCTTGAGAAATACACCATCTCTCAAGTTGAACTTGTTGCATGCATTCAATGCCAATACCACCATCAATTTCACCGCTAACGATGGCGGGAGCAATGTTCATTCCGCACCGAACAGCTGTATAGTCCGAGGGAGAAAGTCCAAATTTACTACAGAGATCATCTAACTGGATTTTCCCAAACTCGCCGACATAACCAATCCGCTTGTTTTTAATGTCCTTAAAGTCTTTAATGCCGTTACCCTTTAAGGTGATCAAACCGGTAAAGGGTTCATTAAGTAAGGAACCAAAACTTGTTACGGGAAACCCACGAGCCTTCGCAGCCAATGTGTGAATCATGGCTTTGAGGCCCATGTCCACCTTGCCAGAGCCGATTAAAGCAGTAACATCTGAGGGGTCAGTGGGTTCCAAAATGGCGACTTCAATGCCTTCATCTTTGAAATATCCACGGGTCTGAGCGATAAAAATGGGCAAGTGATATGGAGTTGCTTCCCAGTTGGTGAGGAAAGTAATCTTATTAGTAGACATTTCGAAAAAGTAGTTACGAGTGAAGCAATGTTTGATTTACTGTATTTGTTGCTTTTCTATAACAGCGCAAGAGCTACCTTTTATAGTTTCCAAGTGGCATGCCAATGTACCAGTATCCGAATCCTGAGGATCTCTGTTTGCCGGTCGACGTATCAGTTTTTACTTGAATGAATGCTTGTTCTTCCAGGTCAATTACACTCTGTGTATCTATCTTGGGTAGCAGCTTTCCTGTCGGAAACCTGATCTGAACAGGATCCCGCTAATGTGTTTACATCAGAAGTTTTAAAAACACATGATTGACACTTGCAGCAAAAATGAATATGGGGTAGTACTTTATAACAGACCGAACCCAAGCATTTAATACATTAACACAACGAGTAGCAAATGTTTTTGCTTTATTCGGATATAACTAAGAAAAACACCACCCCAGATGAACGTTTTTTTGTACAATAGTAAAGGATTGAAAAGTTAGGAAGCGTTAGCAAGCCATGGATTACGAAGTTGCCTTTTCTGATTCCAACCTTCGTAATTAGAGATCGACGACATATCCAAACGCATTGCAGAACTTTATGCAGAAGCTATATTCGAACTATGTAATTCACATATTATTTTTCTCTTCCCAGTCGGCAGTCCAAAAATACGCCTGTTTCCGAGCGGCGACAGAAAGCCGGATATGAACTCATTCGTTGGATGTACCAGTGTTTGGGCTATGTGTTTAAAGCATCCTGAATGAACTGATTCATGAAGTCCGTGGATGAAACTGTGATGTTTTTTCATTTATGACTGAACTGTGAGTTTCATAAAAAAAGGAGTCATTTGTCTCATTTTCGTTTCCCTTTCTGAATTAATTTAACTTCTTTTTGGGCTTTGCATTGTCCTTATTTTCTCAAAAAATGATTACGCTTCGAGTTGTATTTACTAACAATTACTGTTAAAAACTAATTATAACATCACTTGCATATGAGCATGTATCATCACGATGATTAGACTGTTTACCACTGACATTTAAACTGTAAATGTTTTTAAGGACAGTTAAATAGACATATATTCAGCTATTTACAAAGTGTACCAGGAGCCAACATGGCATCAGCAATAAGGATATATTGCTATAAAAAATGCTGAAATGCTTTCATGAGCCTACAAGCATTCAATGCTTTTATAAAGTTTAGCTTCTTTTGAAGTCTTATCGAATAAGCATATGCCCCTTGAAGGGAAAAGAGCATACATGTAAGTTTCATAAGGACATTATGGTATTATAGTTAAGTAGTGTTAAAAGGTAAAAAATTAAGAGTAAGAAGAGTACATTCTCATTACTGTTGTAAAAGAGGCTCTAGAAAGGATAAATTTAAGGATAATCTTATTAGGTGTATCCACGATAGATTAAATAATAAAAACAGTTATAAAAGATGGAATAATTAAAAAGTTTAAATTTAAGATGTAACGAGAGAATGAAGATACCGGATAAAAAGCATGCTTAGTTCCAGTAAGACCAATTGTTTACAATATGATCCACCAAAGGTCTACCAGCGTGGTAAAGATTAGCAGCAGCAAGACCAAGGGTATGACCGTTATCTTTTAACAAGTTGTCAAGAGCAGAGATGGATTCAGTACCGCGGTCAAAATCGGAGCCAGAGCGCATGAGAAGTACACGATTAAAGTTTGTCAATTCATGGTCAGCAGCACGCTTAATAGCGGTAAGGGAAGCACTGTCTTCCTGTTGAGAAGTACAATAATGACCGGTGTAGTTGGTAAGGACGTTTGTAATGTTACTGGCAAAGTCTCCCATATAATTACCAGCCCAGTAGTTGTCACTAGTGGCAGTATCACACTGAAGGATAAAAGGAGCACGTTGAGCAGCAGGTTGTTCGTACTTTTTACGGTACTCAGCAGCCTTCTCACTATCTTGAAGGACAACGTCCTTGACAATTTCTAGAGCAGCTTCGATCAAGGTGTTGTTCAATTGATAAATATTGGTTTGGTAATTGAATGACTTGGGGTAAACGACTTCGTTGTTAGAAGTACCGTTGCCGTAAGGATCGGTATCAATTTCCCAGCCAGCGGACTGATATGATTTAGGCAATTCACGGAGGTCGATAGTATGAACCAAATCGACATCGACAGCGAATTTAGCAATGCTGACAGAAGCAAGAGAAGCAGCATAAGGATTAATACCAGCAATACCCGAAATAATAAAGAAAGTTTCAGATAAATCAAATTTAGGACTAAGAGTCAAAGCCGTCATCGAACTGGCAGCATTGGATTTGCCCTCACCGGTCGTAACCTGGCAAACAGTCTGTTCTGTATTGCAGTGTACCTCGGGGAAAAGAGTGTTTAAACCAGGAACGGAAATATTGTTTGCATACAAATCGTTCCAGGGGTTTAACCAAGCTTCCGCTTCGGGTGCAAACATTGAAACAACCATGACTTTAGGCTTGACTACATCACGCTTGCTGATGAGACCGGCTGTAGCAGGAAGAACAGCAGAAGTTACAGCCAAAGCTGAGACAACAAATTTAAGAAAAGACATTGTATTTAGAAAATTATAAAAGACGAAGAATGTATAAAACGAATTTCCAGGCTTTCGTTAGACACAAAAAATCCAAAAATTAAATTCCCTTCCAAAAAAAAAAAATAGAAAATAAATCAAGAAACGAAAAACAAAAACAAAAAAAGCCCGGATGACTCCAATTGCTTTAAAGATAGTACTGCTTCAAGAAATTCTTACTTTTGGCCTCTATATGTAAGATTTACAATCTAACCTTTCATGTGCTTATCACCTGTTCAGTCTGACTATTCAAATCTGGACTTCTTTCCTTGACAATTTTTTTATTTATCTTTGGACAAAATCTCATCGGATGCAGCATCATTATGAAAGGATGTATGATAGTGACTTGTCTTGAAATCTGTGTCCAATAAATGAAACATAAGAAACCAGGCTTAATGGGATACTTTTTAAGTCATTCGGGAAAAAAATGAGAGAAAAAAAAATAAACAGGTAGAAAATCAACCCCGAAAATTGATATTCACACGATCAGATACTGATTTAACCAAAGGAAATAGACTAAGTGTTAACTGTTCACGATGTTCATTTAGAGTCATAGGCCATAGCATAGGCAGAAGTCATTAGATTCGTTTTCAATTGAAGCCCTGCACAGAATACGATAATCTTTAAATAATTCCGTGAATTTAGTTTCATTCGTTTACTATATTTTGTTTTCTTTTTTTTTTTTTTTTGTTTTTCTGGGATACTGCATCAGCAACAAAAAAACTCGTAGCTTCTTTCTAAAGTGTATTCACACTGAATGCTGTCATAGAAAGGAATGATGTTTGGTTTTATAGTAGCTTCATCATAAATATCAAATATAAATATATTTTTTTTATCCACTGTAAAATAGTTTATTGTTCAAATGAGGAAAGAAACCAACCATAATTTTTTCATGGCCAGATAGTTTTAGATATCGAAGGGTAGGAATAGGAAAAGCAACAGCAACAACAAAAGGAATAAAAAAGGTTTTATAAACTTTTCTTTATTGCTACAAAGATCTTCAAATAAGACTGGCAATAAAACTTTTCGAGTAAATCATGGATGATGCTTTCCTGTTCCAAGTAGCATTACTGAACATCGGGTCATACTTCTCTCTGTTATTCATTCGTAAAACATAAAAGTGTAATAGAATTAACATCGTATCGGCAAACACTGTAAAATCATTTTATCGTTGATTTCTGTTTTATATAATTGGTATACTGCTTTTTCGTCATCCTGATCCTTCATGGATAGTCATTTTTAGGACAATTTGCTCTCATATCTTTTTTGCGTCTTTTAGAACTTTAGGAACCACGATAGGTAGTAAATCCAAATGGGGATAGTAGCAATGGGATGTGATAATGTTGGCCTTTATTGATATTAACTGTCAGTTCGACGTATGGGTAGAAAGTTTCCATTGACAATGAGTCATAATAAGGTCCTGTATCAAAGCGAAACTTGTAAATTCCTGATTCAACCTCTTCCAAAGGTACGTTCCATTGACTAACACGACCATTAGCGTTGGTTATTGCTGTAGCAAGTTGCTCTTGTGCAAGCGTTGTGTTCGAATGGTTGATTTTGGAAACAGAAACAGATATATTCTCTGCAGGAACACCTCTAGTTGTATCCAAAACGTGTGCTGTGAATGCTGGTTGACTCATACTAGATTAATTTGTTCAATTATAGGGCGAGTTCCTTCTTAAGAAAATTATGTTTTTAGTAAAGGGTAAGTTTTGTGAGTTACGATTCCTTCAACTCTACATTATCCTTATCCTCCTGTTCTTTTAAAGCTATCTACCGTGACATTTCAGTCAATTGATATTCCATCGATTGTCTCCGACATGTAGGAAGGTATATAAAATCGGCCACCAAGGTAAATAGTTGGCTTCATTTCTTTTTGTGATGAATTTTTACGTTTTATATATAGCTAGTCAATAGAGATCAAACCAAGTCTAATGTACATGAAAGAAAGCAGAAATTCTTTACGTGTAATGTTTATGTGATAATGCTGGATCAATGAAACATGATTCTATTTCATTGTTTTATGTATTTAAGTTGTTCACAAAGACATTCTTTTACCATTCAAGTCCGATCCGACCAAAAGTGAAATAGAATTATTTTATAAATCTTACCAATGAAACTAATCTTCCCAGAAATAACCAATTCATATAAATATGTTTAGTATCCAATAATATTTCCCTTTTTTTTTTTTTTTTTTCTCTCTTCTCACCTCGAGAAAATGTGCCCTATTTTGAGCTTTTCCGTGACTCGTACACTTCTCTGCGAAGCGTTTCTAAAGCATTGTCATACAACTCAACATTCTCCTCAGGCAAATCTTTCAAATGAAGACGTAGACGTTGAAGAGGAAGTGTTCTTCCTAAGTGCTTGACTAGTTTTGAAAAGTGATGACCTTCGTGGTCTTGCACAAGAGTCCAAGCACAACCGTTTCTTCCGGCACGAGCAGTACGACCAATTCTGTGGACATACCGACGAAGACTAGATGGGGGATCGTAATTTATTACATGCTCTGTGTTGGCAACATCTATACCACGAGCCATCAAGTCTGAACACACCAAAAGTTTTAGTTCACCAGAAGCAAACCCATTGAGCATCTTTTTTCGTTCATCACGAGAAAGATTACCGGAAACCAAACCACATGGGTAGTTTTTGCCTTCAATACCATTAATTATTTCAAGTAAGCGGTGTAAACGAGCAGCGCCTTCATTGGATTTAACGAAACAAAGAACATTACTTAGATTATTAGAATGGATAAGTTGATGCAAAAGAATGGGCTTCTCCGCACTGACCGAGACACGGTACTCCTGTAAGGTAGGAGGAACAGAAAATATAATTGCATCTCCTTCAATTTCTTCCCCGTCGTCCAATTCTACACCTTCGCTTTGCACAAGTAGTAAGCGTGGATCTCGCAGACGAAGGGTCGCAACTTTAGAAGGATCGCGCGTCAACGTTGCAGAAAAAACAAGTTTTTGCAGAGGAGAATCCAAATGATGAGGTAAAGCAGTAGGTAATGAAGGGAGGAAAAATGGTGCTACGATTTGTTTTTGATGTGAAGGCTCGTTATCCATCATCAGCACATTCTTTGGATGATCGATTTCTGTCATAACAACATCTGCCCAACTCTGAAAACTTTGATCCAAGAGTCGATCCGCTTCATCAATAACTAGATAACGTAGATGCTGTAAACTAAAGTTATTGTCGTTTTGAATATGATCAACCAATCGTCCTGGAGTTGTCACTAAAATATCCACTGTACTTCCGTTTCCATCTATACCCCCAAGCAATTGGTACTGCTCTTGCTGTAAATTCTTTTGTCCAGTCCATCCACAAACTCCAAGACCCATACAGGAACCAAAGATTTCGAACGTACGAGTAACCTGAATGGTTAACTCACGAGTGGGTACAATAACAACGCACCGCAAATGAGGAACAACCCGTCTACTGAGACACTGAACGATGGGGAGAACATATGCAAGAGTCTTACCACTACCAGTAGCAGCACTGACACAAAGATCACCTCCATAAGAATAACTAGGGCCATCTCTTCCTTCCTGTAATAACAATGGAAGAGCTGAAGACTGTACGGCAAACCCATGTACAATGTTTTGATTATGAAGTTTTTCAACAAGCTTACTAGCTATATTAAGGGAAGCAAATTCAACAGTTGCAGTAGGGTCAACCAAAATAGGCTGCGACAACCATCTTGGAAGCGAGGAAACGACAGAGGGAACGATATGAGACTTTTCTTCTAAATGTTCATCAATATCAGGCTGAGGAATTGGTGTTAGATCGTGTAACGGCATATTTTGTTCTATGTCTTGCATTTCTATATCTTCTTCCTGCTCATTTTCACTCTTTTCCTTAATTTTCTGTTGAGCTGCTTGAGAAAGACTAGCTGATTTCTTTAAACGCTCAATTGTTGCGCTAGCCGCGTCGGACTCTGGATTTTTGTCTTCATCTTTTCTTTTCCGCTTTTTTAATTTTTTATTTTTTACTGACTTGTTGTCAAAAGATGGATTTCCATCAATTTCTGCAGACATTCTGGTTTACCCAGAAATTAGTTTTTGGCAGGAAAGGCAGTTGTTGGTACACTCAAAAAGTCAAATGGAAAATTTGAGACGAGAAGCAGACTTTACCAAGATCCATTTAAAACGTTTCGAGCTTTTTAATTTAAAAATTGAATCAATCGAGTTTCATCGTATTCTTCTCCATATGAAACCTATGTCAACAATGAACAAATGATCGAATTTCACATAAATGATCTCTTTTCTCTCTATTTATTAATTTAATTTAATTATTTTTGCTGTAATGAAGAACATTTAGTGAACATGTACTCGGTTTACAAACGTAATTCACGATTTTGAATAGTTGAACTTCAAATGAAGGATCAGATATACTGGCCGAAGCAGCTTAAAGAGCGTTTTTCGAGAATTAATCTATTTTATAACATGTTGAAAAAGATTTCTGGTTGAATTGTAACCTACAGCAGAAACTCATTGCTGAATCCTAAATGGCTTTCTTGTTCTCATTTAACGTTGAAGGAGCGCCAGCTGAGTCTTATTATTTGAATTATACCAAGGGAGGTTCAATTGATTGAATGAACTTGAGTATTTCATTTTTGTCATTAGGGAAAAACGTTTGTATGTTATGTTACACACGTACGTGACCAAACCGCATAATTAACGAGAAGGAGCCTCACTTGAAAGCCGCATCTGCTGGTCATTTGAAAATAATAATAAAATAGAGTCTTTATTTCAATAGGAAAGAAAACGTGTCTGTTGCCAGTTTATTGAGAGAACAGTAACCATTATGTCGAGACTTCAACTTCAATTGAAATTGGCCGCTACGAGATTAGAAATTCTAAGGAAAAAAGAAGAGGCTCTAGCAAAGCAGGCAAGGAGAACCGTTTCCTTCGGTTTAAAAACCTACTCATCAACTTTAGCTCGAGCTCGAGTGGAACCTTTGATTATGCAAGATGTATACATGGAATTACTTGAGTTATTACAGGTAGATGCAGAGATTCTTGCCAATCGTACTTCTATTTTAGAGAAACGCGGATTTAATTCTGAAGCAAATTGGAAGTCGTCTTTGTATCACATCCTTGCTGCAGCTCCACAATTACCTATTAAGGAACTAAAGTTTGTAAGTTATAATTCTAAAACAAGAGCAAGAAACCAACTTATATGAATTAGGTACATGACTTTCTTGTACGGCTGTATGGCAAGGACTTTACTCAACTCACGGATCCTGACTTATCCAAAAACGATGTACAAGTAAGCCATAATTCTCCATTTGATATACTTTGATTAACAAATCTAAAACTATAGTTTTATCAGCTTTTGTATCCACCTATTCCATCTGAGGAGCTAGTGAATGGCTATATTGAAGAACTACGACGGACGTATTTTCCTGAAGAATACCAAAAGGAAGAAATTCCTTCATCAAGAGAAGTTGAGGACTTGCTTCCAATAGCGCCATCGTCTCAAGATACCCCAGCACCATCGTCAACCCAGGATGAGGCATCTAAAACGAATAATCTCCCTCAGTCTACTTCTTCCGCTTCTGAAATTCCTTCCAGTGAAATTAACAACTCTCGTAAGGATACAAATTCTGCCCCTAGTTCTCACTCTCAGCCGACTACGAAAAATACAGTTCCCCCAAAACAATCCAATTCGAATAAACCTCCAAGTTTTGAAGAACTTGCGGCGCGCTTAGAAAATTTGAAACGTACTTAGCTTTTCTGTATTACATTGTATCCACAGACTTACTTATTATGAATTATGAATAAGATATGATTCGACTACTCGTTGCATATGTCAATCTTATTATTAATTCTGCTTTATAAAAATCAAGTATGATATTTTTTTATTATCTTTTATTTTATTTTATTTTGTTTTTTCTTTTAATTTGTATGCAAATCTCATGTTTCTCTACAGTACATATTAAAGTAAATTAATTTAATGATGTAATTTCCTCTTCGCGAAAATCATGCTATTAGATCGATCTTGTACTTTCCCAAATCTGAAAACCCATCAAGACCGATAACTAAAATGTCAAATTATCTTGTTGAGTTCTCTAAATACGGACCCTCTTCTGTCCTACAATATATTCAACGCGAAATCCCTAAAGTCAGCGGTGACAAGTTGTTAGTGAAAAATGCATACGCGGGTTTAAACTACATTGATAACTATTGCAGAAGCGGATTGTATCCAGTTCCTTTGCCTTTTGTTTCCGGTAAGGAAGGATCAGGTATTGTTACCGAAGTTGGATCTAGTTGCAGCAAGAAGTTTAAGGCTGGAGATCGTGTTGTATACTTGACGATGTCTGGCTCTTACTCTCAATACAACCTTGTTTCTCCTGTATTAACTGCCAAAGTACCAGAGGGAATTTCTCTCAAGGTTGCTGCTGCCTCTTTACTTCAAGGATTGACCGTACTTACACTCATTGAAGAGGCCTATCCCGTTCGAAGTGGAGATTATGTTATTGTACACGCTGCTGCAGGAGGAGTAGGCTTAATTTTATGTCAAATGTTGAAGCGTAGAGGTGTGCATGTAATTGCAACTGCTTCAACTCCCGAAAAACGAAAGCTTGCCCTTCAGAATGGAGCAGAGATTGCCTGTACATATGAAGAATTTGTTGATGTTTCTCGCCAAAAAACTGATGGTAAAGGTGTGCATGCTTCTTATGATTCCGTAGGCAAAGATACCTTTGAAAAATCCATGGATGCACTTCGTAATGGCGGTACCTACGTAAATTTTGGTAATTCAAGCGGTAAGATTGATTTTTTACCTTTTAACTTGATTACTTCTAAATGCATCAAAGTTGTTCGTCCTACCCTCTTTGGATACTTAGACTCCGAAGAAGTATTTGACCGTTATACAAGCAAACTTTGGAAAGAAATTCTAGAAAACAAACTGAACATTGCTATTCATCATACTTGGAAGTTAGCAGAGGCTAAGGAAGCACACGATAAGTTCCAAAGCAGAGCCACTACCGGTAAACTTTTGCTTTCTTGTAATGAAGACTTAACGAATGCTTAAATTGGTGGTTCCAGCGTGTGTTAAAACTAATTACTTTTGCAAATTGCTGATACCTTAGAGTCATCTACAACTTGCTTTGGATTTGATTCAGAGCCATATAATGAAATGCAAATGCTAAATGTTCTGTTATGTTATGTTTGGACGATTTACGATTCATAGTTTCTAATGTAATACAATGTGGAAAAGAAACACACCACATACAAATGGTTGTATGGTTCATCATGAATCTATGAAACCATGTTGTCAAGGAGGCTGTTTATCCAACCTTACGGATGAATTACTTTTAATTAGATTTACGTGAAATCTTTTTCTTACTTACATTTATATTTAAAGAAAATAGTAGCAAAAATATACCTTCAAAAAATAAAAACAATAAAGAAGTAGAACACCGCGTGCTTATCCAAAGAAGACATTACCCGCAATAATCAAGAAGTCTAATTGAGGATAAGGGTCCTTGCTTTTACCAGTTCTTTAACTTTAGGAAAGTGAAGAAGAGTTTTAAAACTTCATTTAAGATACATATCTAACAACTTTTACCTGCTTGGCTGGTGAAACGCAAAAAAAATGTTGCAAACATTATTGAGCTGTCATGCATATATGCCATGGTGTTTTGAAATTCCTGCGATGGCGATTTTCCTTCGTTCTACAATTACATTGCCCTTGGCCATTTCGAGCATAAAAACGGCACGTAGGTATGGTCAGGTGCAGCCATTGCTAAAGGAAGCAAAAAAGAGGTGCCCGGACGATAAAGCATACAAAACGTTTCGAAGTAAGATATATAAACGGTTTAGCTGTCATCCGATTAAGCTCTATGCGTTGCCCTTTGCACAACTTCCCTTGTTCGCCTTTGCGTCTTTTCAACTTCGAAAAGCCGTAGAGGTGTCTCCGGAGACCATGTCCACTGAGGGTATGCTTTGGTTTCCTGACTTGACCATGCCCGATCCACATGGGATTTTACCGGCCATTCTAGCATGTACCTATCTAACCAATATGTCCATCCTTCGGAGACCACAGGATTCGCGGCTACTACGAATCTTCAATACAGCTGGTATCTTATCCGCCTTTTTCGTATCATTTATGGCTTCTAAAACTTCTACTGCTTTATCTTTGTACTGGACTACATCTGCTATTTATTCCCTTGTGCAAAATATCTGTTTACGGAATATGTTTAAACAAGGTGATCCCCAGTTAGTGTTACGTCCCCAAAAGGCACAGAAGAAATGAAACCACAGATAAATCTAGAAAAGAAAATCTTGAGGGTTTTCTTCTGTGTATGAGGATACTTTCTCTTGGATTTATATATACCCGGACGAGCCGTGATTAAAATTTATCTTTGGAACGAATCCTTTCTTGTTGTGAAATAGTCATTCTTCAACACATCTATACTGATTTCTTAGCAGTACAAACCTTGAGAACCCTTTTTGGATAATTCAACTTTACATAAACAGTTCCTCAAAACACATTTTCAAGTTGGTTTTTTCCCAAGACGATCGACTTCACAATCTTTTTATATGATTCGTCTGCTATTTTATGGAATTCCATCGTTTATTTATTTCATTTTTTCTACATTATTTTGCAAAAAAATAGGAATTAAACAAGGATGTTGCTTTAAGACAATGTTTTTGATACTCATATAAGTAACAAGTGGTGACATGTATAATAGGTGACCGAAATTACCTGAATTTTCCTAAAACAACAAAATATGAGCTGCATCTTCTGTAAAATTATTCGCGGAGAAATCCCTTGTGTCAAACTTGCAGAGACCGCAAAGACTCTTTCTTTTCTTGACATTTCCCCTACTGCTAAAGGCCATGCCTTAGTAATCCCTAAAGAACACTCTGAAAAGTTGACAGGCTTGAGTGATGAGAGCTTGGCCGATATTCTCCCTGTTGCCAAAAAGGTAGCTAAGGCCATTGGCGCTGAAAACTACAACTTTTTGCAAAACAACGGTCGTATTGCTCATCAATTTGTGGACCACGTTCATTTCCACATCATTCCTAAACCCAACGAGGAATTCGGTTTGGGTGTCGGTTGGCCTACATACCCTACTTCCAAGGAAGACTTGGCAGAGCTTGGTGAGCAAATCCGCTCCCGTTTGCAATAAGCCGTTGTCACGTATTATAGGTAATGTCTGGATGTCGACGATTAAGGAGAGAATGTAACTTGCTCTTTCCGTTACGAAATGACAGAATATATCTATGTTTCGCTTAAATCTACTCCGAACCTCATATTGCAAATTCACAATAAGTTGTGATATCAAAAATACCCTTTCCACACAACCTTCTTTTAGTAGTAAGCTTTCGAGAGATGGTTCAATCTTTTCCATTTGTAGTCTGAGTATACTACTCTTTATGTAAATGTTTGGTTCCTCACTTGAACCATAAAAGATCATTCATCACTGGATATCACTTCATCATTTCCAAAATTGTTTGGATGCCATTCTTTTCAAAGATCAATTAACTCAGAATATGATGGATTTCGTTAGCGAAATCATTCTCTATTTATCTGTTTCATTTGGATTGCAATTCTACTCAAATTTTGTCTATGCGATATGAAAGAAAGTGTTTTTGACGCTTTACCGGTGACGCATTCATTTCAAGAAATGCCGTCCTCCAGCGTTCTTACAATTCGACCATTTCTCGGGTTTACAAAGTACTAAAACATAAAGGAGAACTTATTTTTATCTGAGATGTCATTTTTTCCATACATTTTACTTATCCATAGCTTATTCTACAATGAGGTAACATTGTTACTGAAGTCTGTCTACACCAGCTTTAACTTGGTTGGGTAGGACTAAGTAAAATCATCCTATTTCGACATTGTCTGTGAAAAACAAATAGCCATAACAGCTTTGATGTTTTAATCAATGCCAGCATCTGAGTTACATTCTTCATAATTTACGGTTTGTGGCTCCTCAAGAATTGGGTAAAATCAATTTCTTTTCGCGTCGTGGCGTTGGATTAAATTCAAACATACAAACTGGATTATTTTTTCGAGTATGGCAGTTATTATCGATGATGGGGTTCCCATTTCTTCAAGGCAATGGGAAAGTGCAGAAGCTCAATCTGTAAAAGTTCAGTCAAAACCTATACCAAGAAAAAACAAGGTTGTACCCGATAAAAAAAAAAGGGGGAAGAAACATCTTACTGATGAGGATGCTTACGTGAAATTTCAAGCTCTGTTTGGTAGGAGTAGCGCCAGGAATGATTACATGGAACAAATTCCCGATCATGAAGCCGATATGTTGAGCCTAGTTGAGCACGACCGTCACTTTGCTCTCGGAACAGACGTAAAAATTCACAAGAAGAGAAAAAGCAAACTTCAGGAGTTCTCTATCTCTTCCGGCAAACACAAAAAGGTCAGAACTGTTAAAAAGCAAACTGACCTTACTTCCAAGCGACAAATGGATGGCCAGGTTGTTGGCTCATCTGCTCCAACTATTCAAGGAGGAAAAGGCAAAAAGTTGCTCGAAAGGATGGGTTGGAGCGGTGGTATGGGTCTTGGATCTGAGAATCAAGGCATAACGGACCCAGTTGCAGCAGTTGTGAAAAACAACAAGCGCGGATTGGAGTGAAAATAAAGAAAATTGAAAGCAAGATTTTTATTTATTAAGCATATCATTGAAGCTGCTGTATGACTTTTATAGTTGTATCCATATAAGTGGTCAATGTAGCTAGATTTTAGAGGGGATATTATTTATTAATTTATGAGTTTCTTTTTTTTGTATTCCGGGTTCATGAATGGAAGATCATGAATCAAAATCGGGTACAGATGAATAAGACGTGTTTTATCATTGGACGTTCGTAAACCAGCAAGTTCTTTTGTTACGTGACAACATAAATATATGTATGTAAAACTTCTTTAAATTTTGTCGCACACTGTGTAGTTATGAAGAAGAACTGATTATATAGGCTAATAAGAATTGTTGGTTGAAAGGCAAGACTGAAGAATAATTGCCTAACAATAGTAGAGCTCAAGAAAAACAGGTCATTAAAGATTGAAAAGAAAACTATCGACGCAAGTTAAGAAGGATAAATAATTTGAAGCTAGTATTTGAAAAGTCTAGCTAAACCAAAAAACCATCATGGATAAGCAAACATACAATGAATAGGCAGAATGAAGGGGATATAAAAGGTTATAATTTAAAAAGTTCAAGATATTAAAATGCTTTTAAACTAAGAGGTTAGACGATATAAAGAACAAGAGCAAGCTGAAAGCTTTACATACACTTTGGGACACGAAGTTTCTTACTTGTCATAGCAATACCACTCAAGGCATAGAGAAATACCATGGGATGAAATTCAAAGGGTGTACCCGAAAACCAAAGGCCTCCAGGAAGTTGCTCGTGGATTCTTCCCTTAACCATGCAAAAAGCCAGTGTAGAAACCAAGGCAAGGGTAGTGGGAATTGGTGTACCTTCAAAAAACCTTGATTTTCCCGATTCATCTTTGGGAATAGAGTTTACGGAAACGTTGAAGCGGGCCAAACGCGTAAGACCACAGAGGCAGAAGAAACTAAGAATCATTAAATCAAGAAAAGTTTGGAAGCCACAACAAAAAGCGAAAACGGCAGGACACACACCAAAGGATATCTAAAAATTACAAGTTAGAAACCATTTCCAAATTAAGCAAGTGTAATTTTTCTTAGCATACCAAGTCAGCCAAACTATCCAATTCTTGTCCCATCAAAGACGACTTTCCACGCCAGCGGGCTACTTTTCCATCAAGGAAATCAAAGAAGAGAGCAAATGGCATAAAATACATAGCACGGACTAGGTACTTTGAGCTTGTTTGGCCACTTAGACAGTAGCGCAAGCTGGAGAAAATACTCATAACACCACAAAACCCATTGAAAAGAGTAATTAAATCTGCAAGATGCAAGGCTCTATCAATTCGTTAACCTCTTGTTCCATAACCCTACAAATTCTTCATGAAAGATGCCTCTCAAGAGCCATAGTTCACCAAGTTTTTCAATTCTACCTTATTAGAGAAAAGTGTCGGTTGTCATTCACGTAAGCCAATAGCTTTGTTTCCTTGTCATTTGTTTCTTCAGAATCAATTATAGGATCTTTTGACTCGGTTGTAAACCTAAGTTTCGACATTTCTTAACTTTGGTTGTATATGGTATAGCAAAGCTGCTGCTTCTTCTTCCAGGACAAACGTACACCTCTCAGGATTGTGACGTGAACCGAAGATGCTTATTTCGTGTAACGAAATATAGTGTACATCGGTGAAAGGTAGCTAGCTCCCCTACACAGGCAGAGTAGTATCCCTTCAGTTTGCATGTTTTAATTCTCGAGTATCATCCCGATTTCATGGAAGCGTTAAGAGATTTTCGTTTCCATATATTCAGTAAGAACTATCATCCAAAAATTTTGGTACCATGAAAGTAAAAAAATTGGGCTGTTCTGGGAATCGAACCCAGGACCACCATCACCCTAAGATGGTATCATACCACTAGACCAAACGGCCGCTTTAATAGGTTATATAACAATATATTTATATAGCTAACTGGTATAATGTATGATAAATCATCTCTTCACGGTTAGAAGAGGTCTAAAGAGTTCAAATATCTTTAAGAATCAACAGAGAAAGATGCAGTAATTTAACATTCCTACTCATAAGTTGAGCGTCTCAATTTTTACTGACTTTGATGAAAAGCTTACATTGTCAGATAAGAAAACGAAAGAAATTGCTGGTCATTAAAACTAGGTAGTTTTATTTCCGGTTGTTCTTTGTATCTACATATAAATTAACTTGATCAATTTTATTGTAAAAATTCAAGAAAAAATAACTCCCAAGGCGAGACTCGAACTCGCAACCTTCTGATGACCTTCCATAAGAGTCAGACGCTCTAAACCGATTGAGCTACCCGGGACTTGTTGAAGTTAGTTACAAAACGTACTATGAGATAGGAAACGTTTTGTTGCAAATTAACAACTACTCTTTGTAGCAGAAAAATGCCAATAATTAAAGCAAAATGTAAGTAATATCAATACTACTGTGAAAATTTAGGTAAAAACCTCTGGTATAGAAATAACCTTGAAAAATGATTTACGAACACACGTAAAAATGGGTTACCGTAGTATACCGAAACTGATAGAGGTCGAGGGTTGTAAGGAACGGCGTGCGCTTAACATCACTTGTCCTTTGCCAACTACGATTCTTGAAAGAAAAAGGTAACTACAAAAGGCTACTAACAAATAACAGATCTAGGTTTGACTTATACAGAGAATCTATGAGTGAAGCAGCTTTGGAAAACAATTTCGTTTATGCTGCAGTAAAAACACCTGTGTTTATGGATACAAAAACAATTCACAAACAAACAATTAAAAGTACTAGAGACAGTTCACCAGATATGTCAGTTCAAGTAGAAGAAGCATTGACACCTGATGTTAACCAAAGTACAATGCCTTACGGTGGGGTGAATTCAGCTGAAAAATCACAAACGGGAGAGAATGATGAACAAACGAATGTTGGTGAACAGAATGTAGCAAATTTGGTTGACCAAAAGGAACATGAAAATGATTCATTGGTTGAAAAGTCGGAGTCTGTGAATGTTCAAAATCAAGAAACGACAGAACAAGTCGGTGAAGATGAACATTCAGTAGATGACGATCATTCACAATCTTTTGTCGAACACGGTAGCGACGAAGAAGATGGAGAATCTAAAGATTTGTCTGGTTTTACAGACGTAACAGAAAACAAGCCTGTAGCCACTAAAACAGAGGAAAGGACGAACGCTGCACCGAGCAATGATGTTTTGGATTTTGAATGGATATCCAAAGGCTTGGTCTTATTTCCAGATTCAAGCGTTTGCTCTTTTGTTGACAATAATGATGGCAATACATTTATTTATTCTACTTCTGACGATTTGAATGAGAATACTTTGGAGGACTTATTTGGAATTGTGCGTGCACGTCTGGAATCTTTAGATGCATTAGGTTCTGATTCAGAGTTGGTGTGCGAATTTTCAGATTTGAATTTAAAAATCGCTGAAGATAACGTTTATGCAAATCAAATTCATCTAGTCGATATTTTAGAGCTTTTATCTGTACATTGCAGCCATGGAAAATCTTTCTCTGTGTTGTTTACGACTCAACCTCGGTTTATTGCTAGATACAACAAGCTTGTTCAGGATGTTTCTAGTGCTAGTGTTAGTGAACTTGAGTTAGAAGAGGATGATACTCAAGATTCAGCGCTAGTTCCAGAGCCGTCAAAGGAGTCTGAGAAAGGCGTTGCTCCTGACAGTACTACTGATGATTACAATAATGCATCCAAAGACGTACTGGGTGAAGGAGAAGCCTTGCCGAACAATAGTAATTCTGAAAACACAAGTTTGAGTGGAACGGAACGAATAGCGGTCGAAGAACAATCGGGGATAGATGTGAGCGACCCGACTGCTGAACAGTTGGATGACAATGCTCTAGCTTCTATCTTGGAGGATATAAACAATAATGGTGAAGTGGTATCTAGTGCGACTCCGTTTGAATCGTTTCTGGATGAAGAACAAGTAAAACTGGATGTAATCAATGAAAGTCAAACACAGAATGGTAAACGGAGACTAGATGACTACGATAACTTACTTAATGAGGATCTGGTAGATGATGGAGGCGATGAAGCCCAGATTACTTCTCCGAAGAAATCGAAACTTGTCACATCGTCTGAAGCATCTTAACGCCCTTTGCAAGTGGACATTATATGATTATATCTATTATTTATTGCGTGTTCAAGAGCTGAAGGGCATTTTTCGTGTGTGAAAAATTGTATAACTAATCTGTGAGTTTCATGTTTTGGTTAAGTGGTTTTGGGCAACGCCGAAGTCTTACAGACGGTGCCCTTTGTGAATTATTTTTAAAATTTTTGTTGTTTTTACTCTCCGTTGTCATACCTTCGCTACTATTGCTCTTTTGTACATTACTTACTTTTTTTAAACCGTTGTCATTATTCAATGATGTTCCTGCTTATGACGCTTAAAAGTATCCATCTTTTTGCATGAACATAATTTTTTTTTGCTATACGATAGTTTATTAATTTAAGGATTTTAGTTATTAGGTTAATAAATTGAAATAATTTTCTTTTCGTAATTAATTTAGTATGAAAACTGGCAGTAAATTTACTGATTGCAAAAAAGTCAAACTAGTATTTTATATACCATGCCATACAATCTTCTAGTATGATTTAAGCTTAAAGTATTTCAACCTTTTAATACAGAAGACAAAAAGGAGTAAGTGAAAGGGAGTAAATCTTCTATTTCATTATAGGGTATAAGGTCGTAATGTAAACCTGGATCTTCAAGAGAGGAAAAGAATTTGCCTTTTCGCATCAACATTTTTAATGAGGGAATCTATTTAGTTGAAAGACAAGTACTTCGAAATCAAACACGCCTTCTATGATTTTTATAGTAGTGTTTCTTCTTTAATCCTAACAAGAAATAGCCATGCCCGACATAAAAAGAACAAAAAAGAGTTTAAAAAGGCTTTAGTAATACCCACTGTTAAAACAAGCTAAGAGACGGTGAAAAGGGAGATTTTAAAAGACTTTTAGTTCGTCAAATGACGACAAAACATAGTGAGATAATAGTTAAATATGAACGAAAGTATCAATTCAGCATAGACTCGGCTTCTTTTTGTTTGAAAAGTCTGATTATACTTTCATAAAAAACAAACATTAATGAGCTCTGCGATGAAGTCCAAAACACACGGGGACCAACACCCTTAAATAATCCCATGGCTCCTTCGTTTCTGTAAAGGGTAGATAAAACTTTCCTTATTCCAGTTGTTTGCTTTCGAGGAACTGATGCAGATTTTCCTAAAGAATTTTCCATTTGACCATAGAAATAACGACCACTTTTAATGTTGTCTGAAACACCCGTAGGTCGTACCATAGTCTGAAGTCTTGTTTTTGCAAGGTCTAAAGGCGTTGTTAAAAATCCAGCTCCAGCACCTGCTAATGAACCAATAAGTAGCTCATATCCGACACCAATCTCATGTTTACCAGAGTACCTTTGTACTCCCTGACGAAGTTTTTCATAAAATAATAGCTGCAACCCAGAAAAAGGTATGTCTCGTAAAACAGTAGCGCGATACCCAAAGAAAAATGTTCTTGGACCTTCTTCCTTTGCAATTTGCTTAATGGCACCTCGGAAGGAGGGGTAGTTGTAATCGGATTTAAAGTATTTGTTATTATATCGTCCTTGAAGCTGTAAACGAGTTTTCAAAACTTCTGATGGTACGTAAACAACAGATGCAAAGAGATCACCGACGAAACCAGCGAGCAAGAACGAAAGCGTTTCTGGAACGTGGTAACTATCCATTAAATGCCTTTTGGTAAATTCATAGGCGCTAAAAAATAGCGCCGTAGCGGGAAGACTGCCAACTAGCATTGGGCACACTCCACTATATAAACCACGGAAAAGGCCTTCTTCCTGAAAAATTGTAAGATAGCTACGAACCATCCCTCTATACTTATCTGTATACAAGGCACCCTGTTGTCTTGTTTTGACGGTATCCAACGAATGCATCAGTAAATCCGCCGTAGCGCCGCCAATTCCCCCAGCTGTTAAAACATGAGTATAAGCTGGGCTTCTTTCCATCATGGGAGGGATTCCAGGTTCCATATTGCTATGTCCAAAATTTCTAGATAATTTAAATAAAACTTGAATTTGCTTAGCTCATAAACCAATTCAACTCTTCAGCAGTCTTTCTTATCAAGAGTAAATTCGCTCAATCAGGCCAGAAAAGACACTTGAGACTTGCAACAATATGTTTTACTATATTATCTCGAAAGATATGGCCCTATTATGAGTATTACTCTCAAAATGAATTTTTAGTGCTTGCTCTCATCAGAATTACTCGAGGTAACCAACACTTAGTAGGAAATCAATGTTACTTGATATTCATCACATACTTTCCGAAGTAATTATAAAACTAATATCATAAGTAAGTAAAAGTTGTAAAATTAAGTAAATCATTAATTTATTTCATTCAATCGTATATAGAAATGATATCTACGTTTGAGTAAACGATTTTGTTAGTTGGTATGCGAGATTCTTTACTGTCTTTGATGTACATTTAAGACATGAAGAAAATAACAAAAAAAAAGAAATGATAATGTAGGTAACGTATCAAATAACAATAGCAGGGTACCAGATGCATAAACAAATCACGATATGAAAGACACCTATTTTTTCTGTTGTAATAGGTCTAAATAATATCTGAAGTTCTGCATTGAATCCTTCTCTTCGTTTTCTTGAATAAAAGTTTCTATTTCCTGCAGAAAATGATGGACTTGATCGTTATAATCCAATCTATTTTGGAATTTCATGTAGTATATAAAGATCAATGCCTGTTGTAAATAAATTAATAATAGAGGTTCGGTTGTTGGGTTGGATAAGTCATCAATAATAATACTGATTACTTTGAAAATATTCCCTTCATCAAGAAAAGGATTCCTGTCGGCCGGTTTAGAGAGTACGCCGTTCTTTTGGTAATAGTTCAGAATGCTAGCCTTAACGTTTAGAAAAGGGCACTCTTCCAATGTGTCCAAAACATATTCGAAGCGAGTATCCAATGGCAATGGATCTAATAAATGAAACACAATATCGTTTGCAATCAGTCGAATCCAAGGTTCTGAATTGAAAGCCGAAAAGTACTGGTAAATTTGCAGTAAAGAAAACAAACCATGACGATCTTCAGTAGAGTGCTCCACAATAAATTTGAAGAGCAACAAAGATTGATAAAGGGCTAAATCTATGAAACAAGAAGTATCAGAATTTCCTTCGATAGAAATTAAGGTGAAAATTGATTTTAGTGTAATAGGACGTTTGCTTTCATAAACAAGCTTTTCCAAAAAGTTTCTTTCCCTATAATAACTTCGGATCGTTATCATAGCAATACAACCTTTGATGTCAACCATTACTTTTTGATGAAAATCTCCTTCTCCTTGTTCTTCCTCGTTTTGTTTCTGAACAAATATGCTTCCTTCGGTATCATCAGGATTCATAATAACATCGTAGAAGTGTTTTGTTAGCTGGCCCCAATTGTCTATACGCATATTGCCTAACCCATCGAAGACATCCAAAAATCGTATTAAAAAGGAATCCATTTCATGTAGCTGTTGAACATCGTAAGGAACTCTATTATTTCGATATTGTACATGAGGATCGTTTGACCTCAGTAATTCACGAAACGAAAAACATAATCTTTCTGAGGAAAAGAACTGTTCGGCGAATATTGTAAAGGCCGCTACGATATTTTGATGGCACTCTGGATACCTTCCAAAACGTTGTATCATTTTTTCCATTGAATCCAAGCTCATAATCCACACGTCAAGTCTATTAATTTCTTTTACAAGTGCAACCCTAGCAATTGAAGAACATAAAGAAACAATGTAATTGTCAAGAAAGGCCAATGGCCTGTTGGTTTCAATTCTGTTCATTGCTGAATTCATCGAATCTACAGTCACTTTCAACTGAGACAGATTCTTAAATACAGTACTCGTAAGGATTTCATTAGACTTTAAGAAAACTTCTTTAGGATTTCCCTTTTCAGCCAACATATGTGCAAAGTCTGTTGCTTCCTTTGAAGAATTATCACTCACGAATGGCAGCAACATTCCCAGGACGTCCCATGCGATTTCTTTTGTGAGTTCTTCCTAAAAACTTTTGTTAGCAATCGGATAGAACCTCTGGAACCATACATGTTCTGGCTTCTGAAGCTCCTCGTGTAAGCCACATAGTAAATCTAAGCGGTCCTCTTCTTTGTGGGTCAAATTCTGTTCTAGCAACATTTCAATCATTGTGCAGTATGAAACATAGTCTTTTGTCTCAATCGTTAAAGCTGTAGCTTTCTGAACCGACTTCTTCCAATCCATGATATTTATGCCTCTAGTCAAGTCGTTAGCAAGCAAGCGATGGTACTACCAACCAGCACATTCAATTATAACATACACTTCAGTTTACATATGTGATAAATAGATTAATCTTCTATACTTATTGCATTATTTTCTCTAAACTAAATTATTTAACGTCTTACCATGCCACCCAAATTTTTGTTCAAAATGTTCATCATATAGTCGTCATCAAATTCATAATCCTTAAAATATGCCGGAATCAACAAGTAAACGTCGTATAGTTTGATCTTCAGACTCTCTTGGTTCCGTGAGTAAAGACTCATTATAAATAATATCAGGGTTTCGTTCTTTCGAGACCACTTCATGCACTAATTCTTGTACATCATTCAAAGAGTCAAATTTGTATGAAACAGCTTGAAACTGCTGAATTTCATTTAGTATTTTTGCTGCTTTCATTCTTTTATCAAAATTTATTAAGTTCTTGTTTGTATCTTTGTTTCCCGACTTTAGAAATGTCAAATCGGTAAAGTAGACACCTAGAAATGGAACACTTGGAAGGGAACAACGCTCCAAGCATTCTCTGTACTGAGAAAAGTTTTTGCTTGCGTTTGTTAACGAAGTCAGCGAGTCAAATAATACTGAATACTTGTTACTTAAATTCGACCAAGTTCTTTTGAGACGATGAACTGGTGCGGAATTTAAAGCTGAAATGATAGAAAATAAACTGGCGAAGTTATTGTATTTGAATAGACAATGGCAAACTTGGATGAAAAACCCTAAATAATGCGTACGTTTTCGCAGGTCTCTTTCCCTCACGATAGTTTCAGCAACAAAATTGACTAGTTGATTGGAAATGTAGTAAACGGTACCCGACTCTTCTGAAGAAATGTTTTTCAAATTTGACCATACTTTTGTGAGGAAGTGAATAGGGGGGATGTTTGAAAAAGTACGAAACTCGATAAGACATAGTTGCTTGGCAACTTCATCTGGAGGGAAGAGCAGAAGGGAATCATCTTTAATATTGTTTTCATTCAACTTGCAAGAAATTGCAGTATTGTCCTCAGATTCTTGTACTTCAAAACTATTCGTCAGTGGTCGAACAAGTTTCGTAGAAGGATTCTTTAACATTTTAGAGATCTGTCGCAGCAATTCAAGTGCATGGGGGAAACTAGGTATCATATATTCTTCGCAAAATTTGTAGGCATTCGTCAAAAATAAAATAGTGTGTATGTTGCCAAACCCTTCAATAAAGCATGATTCCAGCCAAGTGAGAATAACATTAATAACCTTTTTACGACTTCGGTTAATCACAGAAGCATCGTTCCTATCAGTAACTGTTTTGGAATGACTGTGAAATAAATAATGTGAAGATAGTATAGAGAATAAATCACCCGAGCTAATGATACTAGCATGAGTGCTAAGAAAGCTTCTTATAAATAGAGTATTATCGATGTCCACCCGAACAATATTATTCAGAATGGAAGCAAGAGAAGCAAACTTGATTTTCCCATCGTCGTTGTATAATGTTGTGTTGGACCAATACAGAAACAACCAGTTCCTAATGGACTTTGGCTTTATTGATTTTTGTTTAAAAATATACTGGACGAGTCCCTTAGAATCGTACCAAGTAATGTCGTTTGTTTCCATGGTTTCTAACTCCTTGCTCTCTACGTTTTCAAGTTCGGGAATAAATTGCGTTAAATAGCGATGCTCAAAAGAGAGGAATAGGAACCTTTCAGTAAGATATAAAAGAATGTTTTGTATTTCTTGTATATTCGTTTCAAGGAATAGTAGATGAGGTGTGAGTAACTGTACATTGCCGTTATTATTAATAACATCATTAAATGTTTGCTCAAACTCTATCGATGACATAAAGATGTCGCTGATTTTAGTCGAAAAGTTCTCCAAAGTAAAATAAATTTCATGAACTGTGATGGAGGGCACCGAAACGTCAAACGCTGTATAGTCCAGTTTCTGGAAAGCCGAGTGGACACGCTTTAAATATTGAAGTAGATTACCAAAACTATCCAAGATATTATCCAAGTACTCTTCTGTACACCGGCTGCCTTTAGATAGGTTTTGAAGAATCAACTCAAGCTGTTGTGAATGCGCTTCCTGCCAAAAAGGGGTCGTAGTTAAGGAAATATAGGCCTGATGAGTAAGGGAAAGTATTGCGACATAAGTAGTGGTACATAAAGGCAGTGACTTATCTTGAAGTAAATGAAACGGTGGAGACATTAAAGATCGACTTGAAGGCAAAAACGAGACATCTTCAGTTTCTTTTGGTATTTTGGAAGAAGGACCATTTTCTTCCTTTTTCATATAATTTACAAAAACGCAGGCAAGTGTTTTTAAAAGTTGAGTAAATTGGATACAGGAGTTTTTATACATATCTTTTCTCTTGGAAAGGACTACAAGTTTTTCCAACATGGAGAAGATATATATAAGCTCTTTAGTTAGCCGACATTGCTCGTTGGTTAGGCTTCGAAGGCGTACAAGAATAGTCAATGCTTCGTTACGCACCGCATCCAGTGCTTTCTGAAGCACTCCGGGATGACGAAAAGAGACAGATTTGTGAATGAGCGTTACGTGTTCGAGAACATTGCGGAGAAGAGGTTGAAGCATTGCTTGATAACCGGAATTATTATCACTGACAGGTGAAGTCTTCTTTGCAGATTCGTCCTCTGGTAGAGGTGGAAAATCTAGGACACTCTTTGAGTCGCTTAAGGATCCTTGATCACTATAGATGGAAGACCTTTTGGACGATGGTCTCTGGAATCCAAGGATGTCAATGTAAGATACAGGAAACCAACCTCGACGCTGTGAGCAAATACCATCACACCAACCGTTTTCAAGTATATTAACAACAATAATAGTATCACCTGTATGAAAGGATAATTGGGAAGGCTTTGAGTTGTGCAGATAATCTTGTCGCGCAATTGCTTGAATGCCCATCGCGATTCACAATTCACGACTCACGAGATACAGATGAAGAGAAGAAGGAAAAAAAGTATGCGGGAATCTTTCTCAAAGACTTGAACTACAAACCGAAAGAAAGCTCAAAGCTAAAGAATCTTCACAACAACGTAAATGCATCAACGTTGATCTTCTGTCAAATGTCGATCAATAACTCATAAACGTTTCCACTTATATTCTTTTTCTATTAAAGATGCTTGTTCAAGACAAGTGTGGAATTCATTTTCTGAAACAAATATCCTTAAACACGCCCTTCTCTTTGTTCTGACTTCAATAGACTAAAAGAGCATTCAATAGCCCAAAGAACCATCCATTATCCCCCCGAAGAGGGTGTTTGTAACAATACAAAAAAGAAAGATCTAGTAAAAAATACAACAATTAAGTAGAAAAAAGAAAAATTAATACATTTATTTATTTTATTTCCGTAAATTCTTTCTCATATAATGATTATTCCTGGCTTGCATACGACGCGACGCGGCTTGTCTATGAAAACATCATGACCACAACGGTAGAGTACGGTTTTTTCTATTCCATAGTACGTACGTGTACCTTATATATATTCCGCTATGGTTCGTAATATGTTATGTTTATTTTTTGTACTATGTAACAATTCGCTATGCAAAATCCTAAGTATTTGTTGATATGTAATACACGAGAAAATACGTACTAGTGGATGACTTTGGACAGATGGGATTGAAGTTGTAAAATTGGAACAATCAATAAAAAAAAGGATTTTAAAAGGAATCTTTTGCGAAAATCCTGAAGGGCCTAACAAAGCTTTGGAACGTCTACGTGAATAGAGAGAAGTTTGGTCTTTTGGATTTCAAAGTACATGTATCATTAATAGGGTCTTTTTGGACATTTTATCATGAATTCGTTAAGCAGGTCTTGGCGAAGTATATGGAGAAGTGCGTCTACAGTTTGGCTGCTAGTTTTATCGTTTTTCGAATGGTTGTTTTCAGCGACCTCGATTTCGCAAGCGCGTGGATTCGATCATCGAAAAGGACAAACACTGTTAAAACGCGATTGCTGTACTTGGGAAGATTGGAAGGAATTAGCAGCGACTGTGGATAAGAAGTCTGGGCGTTGGAAAGCGAGATTCGATCCCATTTCGGACAAGTACGACTATTCCCTAATTGAACGATGCACCTCCACCTTGAAGCTTTATCGAACGAAGGAGGAAGCGTATCCCATGCTCATGTTCTTGCGTTCAAGCTTGTTGCGTAATTTTGGTAATATTGGCGATTCAGGGCTTTACACTGAAAATTACTCAGGAACAAAAATTTTAATAGAAGATTACGTACGAGAAGTAAATCGCTGTTTGGAGTTTCTTTTTTTCACAAACAAGCTATCCATTGAGGAAAAACATGGCTTTTATTCTGCTGCGAAAATATCCTTCGGCACCACTTGCTTATACTTCAATGGTGGCACCGCCTTTGGGTTGTATCACTTTGGCGTAGCAAAAGCCTTGTGGGAAAGAGATCTGTTACCAAGAGTACTCGCTGGTTCGGCTTCTGGTGCGTTGATTGCTGCTTTTGTAGGAGTGCATCGCGATGAGGAACTGGACGATCTTTTTCAAACATTCCCCAATAAATTGTGGGAGATTTGTAAAAGTACGTCCGACTACTCTCTAGCAAAAGTCATTAAATACGGAAATATGCTAGACATTTCGATGATTGCTTCTTTTGTCCATAAATGTGTTGGAGATTTGACTTTCCAAGAGGCCTTTGAGAAAACAAATCGCGCGATCAATATTATAGCACCCCCATCAGTCACTTCCGGTTCTCCTCAAGTTTTAAATTATCATACAGCGCCAAATGTTTTAATATGGAGTGCCGCTTGTGCCAGCAATAGTTGGGCTGCGATCTACCGATCAACAAGCTTGTTAGCAAAATCGCCGGATGGCACTGTCGAAGTCTGCACTCCTGAGAATTTTGTTTGGCCGTATGCGAGCATGCATCACCCTACCCGTCCCAACCCTTACGCTAGAATTTCTGACCTTTTTAATGTTAATCATTTTATCATTACTCAGTCCCGTCCCTCCCTTTTCCCGACATTTCACGACGAATTATACCATCACACCCACACTGGCTATACATTAAAAATGATTCGTCTCTTTGGTTTGGAAATGGCCTACCGTTTTCGCCAAATGGACATACTTGGCCTTTTACCTATTAAATTAAGACGCTTTTTAGTGGATGACTTTATCCCAAGCGCTTATATAACGCTCACTCCTACATTCTCATTTAGTGATATAAAGCATGCCTTTACGAAGCCCTCTCTACAAGATATTCAGTATTGGATTTTGGTAGGCGAGCGTGCTACGTGGCAAGCTATCCCGTTACTGCAGATACGATGCAAGAACGAGTTATCATTAAATAACTACTGCGAGCAAATAGGTTTTAGTAAAACAGCTAAAATTCCTTTAGACTCTACCTCAACTCCATTTACCGTGGCACTGGAGGAAAGCGAAGATAAACTGTTAAGAAATTTCAAAGTTAAGTAGATACCTATATCTTTTTCTTCCTATCATAGATTAACACTAATTTATTATATGAAATCTAATTTTTGACATCTACATTTAAGTTCTGTTCGTTTGGCTAATTTATGAAGTATGACTCCTTGGAAATATTAATGAATCCAAGGTTATTACTGCAGTAACTCTCCGAAAATCGTAGCAATTAGATGACCAATAAATGCGCCAACAACGACAGTGATGGGCCATGCTTGCCATGGTTGATCCCAATCCAAGGGAATTGGTATAGCGCCTGCCCAAGCTCCAAGGATGGGACCCCATGCACGGCATTGTAAACTACCCAAAGTTTTGTACTGTTTGAAAGCAAGAAACTGGCCCCAACTCGTGTAGTTAGATTGAAAGAAAAAGGTTAAAGGGTATATTATAAGCACTGAAAGCGTAGCAGCACAAAGAAAACTTAGCTGAAAATTATTAACTAATGGCGCGCCAAAAGTAAAGAGAATGAAAGCGATTAAAACACTTCCCAAAGACGTAGCACATATCGAACGGAAAATTGAAGCAAAAGTGAAATAGCCGCGAGGCCTTTGAAAATACGTTTGGATGGTTTGCAATAGAAACCATAATGGAAGAGTACTTAACAAGGTTCCATACGGGTTGGCCACGAGAGGTGGGATAAGGTAATAGAAAATGCAAAATTGTATGCAGCTAAACAAGATAGTGACAAAAGAGTTAGATCGGCTGGGTACCGCTGTTCTCAAACGATGCTGCAAAGCATATTTATACACATCTTGATCTAGTTGAGTCCGTACAAATGGCCATACAAATAAAGTAAGCATACAATAGAGGAATTCCAAGATAGGATTATCGTGAGGACTGGATGTACGAGAATGGTTTTTCATAATATCTCCAACAAAGTTATTAGTGATAGCAAAATCTCCGTTGTCGAGTCCTTTCATGCAATAATAAGCAACGGTTTCACATGTCTGAGCTTTGTCTGATTTTTCCATTTCTAATACCAAAGATGGCTTCAATCTATTTTCTTCTTCGTAACCAGGAGAAAGTATGGTAGCCGGCAAGAAAATAGAGACCTCAATTCCATAGAGAATGCATTCTTGTCGTAAGCCATCAGCTAAAGCTCGAACAGCAGCCTTTGTAGGGCTATATGCATTATAGCCTACAAGAGGAAGAGCACTTAGGATGGAAGAGGTTAGCATTATTCTTCGCGAATAAGGTACTGAAATATCTTTCATTCTTTTTATCAGCGCATGGGTGATGTAGACGGAAGCCAAATAGTTTTGGCGCATTTGGTTTTCAAACACGACGGGATGAAGGTCGACAAAAAACCCGGGATATGAAGAACCAGCACAATGAGCTAAATGGTCTGGACAAGGTTCTAGCTGATCTATCATGATTTTAACATCGTCGTAATTCGTCAAGTCCACACTTCTGTATTGAATGATCTGATCATCATGAATCTTCAATTTTGAGAGTTCCTCCACAGCAACTTTGAGTTTGCTCTCTGTTCTGGCAGCAATGGTTACATGGCTGCCGCGAAGTACAAACTTCTTTGCGAGGGCCAGCCCAAAGCCTTGAGATCCTCCCGTAACTAAAACATTCTACTTCCAAGTATTAGCAGAGTATAAATAATACGTGGTATAAGTAATCATTTGAAATAGATGTGATAAGTAAAAACTTCTCAATCCCAAACACTAGCTCAAGCAAATTCTGGTGCTTTACAATCCAGCACTGTTTTTGGAAACATCCATAAAAAGCGAATATGCCCGTAACTAAGAATTGGTAGTTTGACTTCCAACCAAGCCAAATTGCATCTCTTGTTCATTGTATGATAAACTTACCTTTCGATCTGTCTCAAACCTACTCCTTCCCCAGAAACCCATCTTGTTTCTTTAGTTCTGCAGGAAAGAGGAATGTTTACAACTCGTTTTAATTACTAATGAGAGAAATTCCCTAAGCAAGGAAAGATAGGAAAGTGACATCCGAGGTAACACAAGTAAATGGCTCAAGGCAGTGTAAACAAACGATCTTAGAACCAACGTCGAAAAGTATAGAAGGGAATAAAGGACACCTTTTCAGACATAATTACAGTCGAAATGAAACTAAGACGCGGTTCATTATTATCTTTCTTGTGTCTGCTTGTTAACGTGCAAGATGCATTCAGTAAGAAACAGTCAATAATGGAGGCGAATGACCCATGGAAGTTTGAAGAGGATACGAAACATGTAATTCCTGATACTTCCGGGGCAACTTTTGGAAGTATTAAAGATGTGAATGAACTTCTATCACCATTACTGAAAGATTTAACTGAAAAATCTGATTATATGCGCTTCTATCGATTAAATTTATTCAACAAGGAATGCAAATATAAAATGGATGATAATGTTTTTTGTGGAAGTAATGCCTGTAATGTGTTGGTTACAGACGAGAATAATGTTCCAGAGATCTGGAGCTCGAAAGCACTTGGAAAGCTTGAAGGATTTATGCCGGAGCTTTCGCGACAAATCGTTGAGTCGGACCAATCTGTGATGGAAAACGTTGAAAAAATCTCGCAATCATGTCTCTTGGAACGACTCGATGATCAGGACCGTCAATACTGTTATGTAGATAATGAATTGGATAGTGGATGCGTGTATGTTTCTCTGTTGGACAATCCAGAGAGGTTTACTGGATATGGAGCTCCGCACGCTACTAGGATTTGGGAAATGATTTACAATGAATGTTTACCAGACACCTTTGAACCTACGGTTGATTTCCCTACTCTCTTTACTCAAGGTTCTTTGGCTCCCTCTTCAATTTCTCAAGAACAGGTGTTGAAGGAACGCATGGAGTTGTGGACTCACGAGCAACGTGTGTTCTATCGGGTACTTTCGGGCATGCACACCAGTATTTCTACTCACTTGTGTTATAATTACCTTAATCAATCAACCGGAGTTTGGGGACCAAACATAAATTGTTTCAAAGAAAAGGTTCTTTCGCATCCAGAAAGAATTGAGAATTTGTATTTTGCTTACTCTTTGCTTCTTAGAGCTATGGATAAGTTAAATGGACACTTGGATGCACTCACATTTTGTCATGATAGTGCATTGCAAGATACTGAAGTCCGTCATAAAGTTCGTGATTTGGTCGACACCGTGAATCAATACCCTCGGTACTTTGATGAGTCAGTTTTGTTTAGTGGTGAGCCTGAGCTTTCCTCTGCAATGAAAAAGGAATTCAGAGAACATTTCCGTACTGTGTCGGCTTTAATGGACTGTGTTGGTTGTGAACGTTGTCGTTTGTGGGGCAAAATCCAAACAAATGGATTTGGTACAGCTTTGAAGATTCTATTCGAAGTGTCAGATGTGGAGAATGAAATCGATCAATTTGAGAGCACTTCTTTTCCTCTACAATTACGTCGTTCTGAGATTGTTGCTTTGGTAAACACCTTCGATCGACTTTCCCGCTCGATTGACTATATTCAGAAATTCCATGAGTTGCATATTGAGCAGCACCAACCCGAGCCCCTGTTTCGGAAATTTTTGAATAATATGAAACGATTTGTGTATCAGTATGTACCTGAGGTTTTCCATCCATTTTTGAAAAAGACCTACAATGTTGCACGAATTGTTTATCACGATGTTTGGATGGAGTTGGAAGTTGTATTGGAAGGATTCCGTTATGTCTTGTCTAGTTATCTGCAGATGCCGAAGATGATTAACTTTTACTTCTTTTCTAGTCAAAGTCCTTTGTTGAATTATATAAGCGAGTCTATTAGACAACGTATTCCTAGTGGGTGGCTGTCCTAGGAAAGGTCTGTCGATTTTGTGTATCGTTTGGGGAAGTAACGAAGAATTATGAAAAGTTAATATCTGGACCCCTTTTAAAAAAGGATAGCCGATGTGCGCTCACACATCTATGGTTGTACACGATAGGAAAAAGGTGATTTCTTGATGGAAGATACTAGATGTGCAAGAATGATGATGAAAAGTGGTCAGTAAATGAAACTCCTCATAGATTATTTTAGCATTAGATGGTAATGAAAAATATGCATTTTTTTGATTTAAGTATAAAGTTTATGATTGAAGCAAAGCTTCATTTCAAGTAGGGTAAGTAGCTACAAAGACTAAAAGTACAGAGAATTTGTAAGCAAGAACTTGTCATATGTCATGCTGTTGTATAAAGCATTTCTGCGAAAGCAGAATAGTATTTGGCAGACTACAAAGCGTGAAAGATCCTTTATAATGGGATTTACAAAAAAACATTAAAAAATAAAAAGTACGGTCAGAGAGGGACTCGAACCCTCGACCTCATGATTAACAGTCATGCGCACTAGCCAACTGTGCTATCCGACCTTAAGATGCTCCTGGTGAGGCTCGAACTCACGACCTTCCCCTTTCAGTATATGAGAGGGACGCTACCACCGACTGAGCTACAGAAGCTATCTGCTATGACTGGAGATTAAAACTAATATAAACCAAACCTTTCTCTGTAGAGTTAAAAAGAATGAAATATGAATTTACTCAGCTGCCGTTTGACAGTGGCGGAAGACTGTGAAAATAGGCGATAAAAGAAAGGAAGAAAAAAAGAAGAGTATTTTTGTAGTTGACTTTGGCTTTACAGCTGGTATCAAGTTTGTTGTTGCACTTTCTACAGAAGCAAATGCTAAGTCCATGCTAGCCAACATTGAAATTGACTCACTCAGGTTTTGGTATGGACAACAGGTTCTATCGTGCCGTAAATTCGAGAATAATTTTTCATTTGTATTGATAAGATGTTTTCACTTACGCCATAATTATTTTACCTAACACTGAGTTCTCAACTTGAGAAATATAAGGAAGCTTTATACGCGCCTTACAAATCCAGCTTAAGGTATAACGACACCTCTTCATCTGCTGCATTGGACTGGTTTCATCAAATTTTCAGCGTATTCATTCATTTTTAATCAATTATTGAAATTCCAAACAATTTCACTGTCTCTACTCTTTTTATAAGACCAAAGTGAATCCCTTCAAGAAGAATATATAAAACGTGGCTACTCAACAATAACTCCTCAGAAGAAAATATATCATGTTTACTGGACTCATCGAAGCTACTGGCGTAGTTCGCCGTGTCGTAAAGTCATCTGAGGGATTCTCTGTTGGCATCGAGGAGCCCAAGATTATTAAAGATTGTAACTTAGGCGATAGTATTGCTGTTAATGGTACTTGCTTGACGGTTACAGATCTTAACGATTCAGGCTTCATGGTTGGAATCGCACCCGAGACCCTTCGTCTTACAAACCTAGGGTCCTTGACGGAAGGCGATTCTGTGAACTTGGAACGTGCCGTTCTCAGTACGACTCGTATGGGAGGCCATTTTGTTCAGGGCCACGTTGATACCGTTGCCGAAATTGTAGAGAAAAAACCAGATCAAGAAGCTATTGTATTTACATTCCGTCCTCGGGACCCTTCGGTTCTCAAGTATATAGTCTACAAGGGTTACATCGCCTTGGATGGCGTGTCGCTCACGGTCACACATGTTGACGAAAGAACCTTTAGCATTATGATGATTGCCTACACTCAGTCATGCGTTATCATGCCAACCAAAAAAATCGGTGACTTAGTGAATGTGGAAGTCGATCAGCTTGGAAAGTATACCGAAAAGCTGGTGCAAGCCCATATTAAAGAATGGTTTCAAAAAGAAAAACAATAACTGCAAGTGATAATGAACTTATACTTAACATAATATAAAATCTATACTGATCTGGTCTACACCACTTCTCTAGGCACTCTTGTCTAAAGTTATGTTATTCTTTCTCACTCCTATACATAAAATAATCTTTCGTATAAAATAAAACAAAATAAATCAAACCAAAATATATCGTAATAAAAATCATATCGTTTCATTTGGTAGGGCTTTCATTCGCAAAACGAGCTAGAATCGGATAAATTTGATCACGAAAGGTTGGAAGTAATTTCGAAATAATTCTAAACTCCGGCTTGGCTGGAAGGCCGTCAATCAAACGATTAGCCTTCCGTTTTTGGCGTTGACGTTCATCCATTACGGGATCATACTCAAAACTTTCATTCATCCTGTCCTCGTCATGCTCTATATCACTATTATTGTATTCTTCTTCATCATCGCCATCACCTCGTAGCTCGGCTAAAATCTCCTCATCCAGTCCAAGCTCATCCATATTTACGGCAGGAATAGTAGACTCATCGCCAGAAGCATACTTTGCCGTATTCTTCCGGAATAAGAAACTTTTCTTTTTGTGATTCCACTCTACCAGTTCTTTCAATTCTTGGGATAACAAATCGATTTCCTCTGGACTCAGCCCCGTAATAATGCTATCCATGTCTATTGGATAAGCTGAACCATAATGCAAGAATGAAATAATACTTTCGATCCATTCCATAAGAGAGCTAAACAATCCACTGTCATGTAAATATACACGGTGTACAAAATCATAAAATGCGTCTTCGTGTCTCTTAACCAAATCAATGTAATGTTCAACTAGTGTAGTTGGGTTCACTTCAAGATTTTCCTGTGTCTCTTCTACAAGTCGAAGCATATCATCCATGAACGCTTCAAAATCACCCACTCTACATAAGGTTAGCGTTTATTCCCAAAAATCCCCTTTCAACGTACGAAGTATAAACATTAGCTGCTTTATACACCTTCATTAAAGGTTTATAAAAAATTACTACAATCGTCTTCATCATTTCTCCTGTGGAGCCCTCAGAAATTAAAGAGATGGATCGCTTTTTGTTGAACTGTTTGGCATATAAGTGCATTAGCTTCAAGGTAAATCCAAACCTTCTGGCTCGATCTTGGATCGTCTTATCCTCAGGATAACCTTCTGAACCCATAGCCTCCTTCCAGGCGCTTCCATCCATTATTACTTGCCGAATTGATTCTTCAGAAAGTTTAGGAGGTACCTCGTCAGAAACAAGAATGTATTGCAGATAATCCTGGGGAGACAGGTTATTTTCCCGTAAAACGTCTTGAGCTGCTTTACAAGGATTCTCAACCTGTTGTTGAATTTTTTGCAGTACTTCTGCATTGTTTACTTGACTTTGATATTTGCTAATCAGTTTGTGTATGGCACGAACATTATCGTTCAGACTCACACTCAAAAGACGCTGAAAGAGAGACTTCATTCCAAAAGGCTGAGCCAAGAGAGTGTCTAAAATACGTTTCATGACGGAAAGTGGGTTTGAAAAACGCATGATATTTTTTATTACTCCGTAGGGAAAAATTGAATGCATGCGCTTAATTTGAGAAAAGGTGACGCCGGACTTCTCTTTGGCAATAAAGACATCATATATGGTAGAGGCTAAGTTTACACGAACCCATTCCAAGGTTTGCTGTAATGTTGGAGACAAGTCTTTTATTCTCTCCTTTTCTTTCAACTCTTTAAATAAACTGGTTAAACCTCCTAAAGATTGTCAGCAAGGTAAACGGGACAAAAAGCAGAATAAAAATTAATAAAGCTAATCATACCGGACTCCATAAGAGATCGTTTAAATTCATCCATATATATGTCTAGCGATTTTGCACGTTCAGAAGCGATTTCTATAAATTTCATTCTTTCTTTGGTACGGATAAGGTCCAGCTCTTGGCGAAGGAGTATGTCTTTTTGTTCATTTTCATTGGGTGAAAAAGGATCAGAATATAAAAATGCTTCAACTTCAGGACTATTTAATAGTTCATCTTGTTTAAGAATATGGTTTATGTAGTAATTTAATCCAATCCTCATTCTTTCTTGGCGCAAAACCAGACCAGGATTTTCCGGAGTAGAACCAACACTAGTAGACGTTTGAGTAGTTCCTAAAGTTGAGAATTGGGACCCATCTTGAAGATGTGTGTCATGCAAATCTTTAGCTGGTAGACGCGCAATAGCTGCACTAGGATACTTTTTCACTAAAGCATGGTGCAGTTTAGTGAAATCAGAATATCTCCGTGCCACATATATCAGAGACTCTTCATTTTGTACTTTGAGAATATATTCCTAATTTTGTCAGTATTTATCAAAAAGTAAAAATAAATAAAATAAAAGAGAGGTACTGTAATATTTAGATAGCAAATAGAAAGAAAAGAGTTTATACTCCTAACAATATCTGGTATTATGCTAACCAAATAACCAAACTTCACTTACATAAGTTTTCTTATTTCTCAGATATGTCGAGTAGGAATATTCGCGAACACCACCAACTAAAGCTATTAAGGAGTCCTGCTTTTTGTTTTCTATACTGGTTTGCGACAATTGGTTTTTTATACCCATTGTATCGATTTGGTCATGGCTAATGCTTTTTTCACCATGAATACAAGAAATAGCGCGGCTCATTAGAAGCGTAAGCATGCCGTGGAACTTCAATTCCATTCTGTGCATGTAAGTTGCATCAGGGTCATCGGGTAGTACAGAGATGCTATTTTCATATATAACACTCAAAAACTAAAAAGAAGTATGTCAGAATAAATTTCCCTTCTTATAGATTCTCGAGAGGAACGATCGAAACCATTCTACGTACATTACGAAAGCTCACATTCCACAATTGCGTTTGGCTTTCCGGGTCAAGGAAAGGAAATGTTAGTACGAATTTCTTAAAAATAAATCTTAAAATAGGTATTTTAGATTCCTCAAAAGCAATGGGAGGTTCGCCTTTATTTACAAAAGGTGTACCTAAATGAACGAGATTTGAAGGATTGCCAATAAACTTCAATTCGTCCTCAACCAAAAGAGAAAGAAGTTCCTTTTTTAAATAATGTCTTTCTAAAGCAGCTTGCTCATCTCCAGAGCTCGTTTCCATACTTAACTTGGCGTGCAAAGGCTAAGTAACCTTTCTATTGAATCATACTTGTACCCTCTATACCCAAGTACTAGAATTGTGAATTTGACCGCATTTTGCTATTCGTATAAGGTAGTAGAACTTTTATCCCAATTAGGTAAATAAACAAACCTGCTGAAGGAGAAAAAGGCTGTAGAAAGACAGTTATCTTTGCAGAAGGATGTCTCTCTGTAATGTTATTCAATTAGATCGAATTTAAAATATTCTAAAGAAGTCTGCCATGTTTGCTACTGTTCTATTTCACTATGAAGTGCGCGTCTTGCATTGTATAAAACTATCAAGCCTCGACGACTTTAGTATCTGCATGAAGAGAGCCGCTTCAAGTGTTGTAATAAAAATTTACTAGCATTTCTTTAAGAATAACCAAATGATGTTCGAATTGATCTAACAATGCGTGATAATGATTCCTGGTAATAGTTGCTACCTTTGTAACGTTTCGTTTCTGGTCGAATCTAATGCGAAAAAGTGTTATTGTATATTTTTATAGTGAATAAATGTGTCTAAGACATTGAAAAAGAAAAGAAAAGGAGATGAAGGTTTACTGATTTGTTGAAAAGTTTTTCTTAGAATAATTTCGAATCCGCTCTTAAAACTTATTAAATTCTTTACTTCTTTATTTTATTTTTTGTTGTTTTCTACTTTTTAGTTTTATTTTTTTTTGGAAGTATTCCTAAGAATAAATAGAACCAAACCATCCCGGCGGCGTTTGAAACTCAGAAGTTTTTAGTCAAAGGGTCATGGTGAAAGTTATCTACTACCACCAACAAGTACCTCCTGTGCCAAAAGTCCTTATAAAGCATTGTCTTTCTTTTTTTTTAAAAAAAACCAAAAAATTACCAAATTTAAAAAGGGATTTCTCCTCTTACGGAGCCTTGTCTTTTTACAGATCAGGACTGCAGGAACAAGCTTTAAATAAACTCATAAAGGCTTTAGTCAACAGCGGATACTTATTGCTCTTTGGTAATGGTTAACAGTACAGCTTAGACCAAGGCTTTTTCGAGTGTCAATGAAGCCGGTTACTGCTTTTGGCAGGTCTGAATCCCATAACGACTCACAACAAGCTTCAAGTGAACAACAAGGATGGAGCGTGGCTTCATTAACGAATGGAAATTTCTTTGAACGTTCGCGTCATCCTGTGTCTTTTGAGCTTGATTTGTCGGGGAATTTTCAGTACGTTAGTGAGAACTCGTCTGATTTACTCAACGCTCCTCAGGACCAAGTTGTTGGTCATTCCGTGAAGGATTTTTTAGGTAAAACTGGATTAGATGCGTTTGCTAAAGCTGCAAGATGTTTATTAGAAAATGATTCCCATAGTTACCATATTCGACTGAAGCATCCGTCGAAGAACTCTCTTATACAACATTCTCATGCCCCTAACCACACCTCTCCTCTCACCTACGAAGGTAACGATACTCCTCTTGAGCAATTTGATGCTGTCGGTATTCTAATTCGAGATTGCCACTCAAATACGCCTGATCACACAATGTGGGTTGCTCATCCAGTCAATAATACAACAATTGATTCCAAATCTTTTGCAAACAAGATTTTAGAAGTCATTGGTCTCAGTTCTGGTCTTCTCGACCAATATTTATCTTCTTTGCGCGAGTCTTTCTTTAAAACTGGTAATTTACAGTCTTTACCTCACCCTCGACCAGAGTTCTGCCAAATATGTGAAAGAAATATTCAATCGTGGTTCTTTGAAGTTCATTCTAAGCTTTGCTTAATCACCAGCACTTTTGAATCTATTGTTCAATCAGCTCAAGACTCGCTACTCTATTTTCGATCGACTTTGCTGCAGATTCAAGATCAGTTGTCTGAGAAACCCTATTTAATCCCGTTATATAAAGATGAAGCGTTAATTCTATATCCCAACTACGACGTGTCATCTTTATCAATTCCAAATGACGTGAAAAAAGAGTCTTCCACCTCCCTCTTGTCTACCTTTTTAAATCAAATTACATACTATTTGGATCTGGTCATTGACATAAGCATACCTCCCGTTAAAGTCATTGTAAACTTCGATGATGTAGATTCTCTTCGATTTCAATCCCCTAGTTCGGAGGTATCGACAAACGAATTACAGAATTTCTCACCGTCTCTTCAAAATTGCTCACGGGCAGTCGTTAACCTTTGGAGAGATTTGAGAAATGCGTTTGATACCAAAGTCTTTGGAATAACCCGATTGAAGAACGCTGTTTATTATTCTGAGCGCATTCGACTAGAAGTTGATTATCACGTACAAGAAGTGATCGATAACGTGGTTTCTGAACTATCGTCTCTTCAAAACTTGAACTACGTAGAGGGCTTAACCTTAGATGCTCCTTTAATAAGTCTTCCACAAACAATCAAAAATCCCGACAAAGAAATAAATTCACAGTTTAAACAGGACAACGACTTTATACCTGATTCAGATTCAAATTCTGATCTCTCTAGATCTTCCTCATGTTCACTGCTTACACAGAGCCATCCATATTGCTTTAGCAATGATTCTGAATGTGGTTCTACTCCATTGAACGAATTTCCAGGTATGCAGTTAGCTTTGCAGCGCCTTAAAGTAACGGATCCATGCTGTTCCGATTATAAGTCAGAAGATTCAAAATTTTTATCACCAGCTTCTAGTCCTCGCTTTTTAGCTTCTGATGCTTCAGCACACGCCGCTTCGTTGAATGCTCGCTCGTCACTGAATTCACGTGGAAGATCAAAGAATTTATCGGAAAAGGACTTACGACTTCCGTCTCCATCTCCTCGTGTACATACAATTTTGCCTTCAGCAGCTCAGGGTAATCCTTCAATCAATGATTATAAGATCTTGAAACCAATTAGCAAAGGCGCTTTTGGTTCTGTTTACCTGGCACAGAAAAGGACCACAGGAGATTACTTTGCTGTCAAAATTCTTAAGAAGTCGGATATGATTGCTAAAAATCAAGTAGTAAACGTACGGTCTGAGCGTGCGATTTTGATGGCTCAAGGAGAGATTCCGTTTGTAGCTAAATTATACTACACCTTCCAGTCTAGAGATTATCTTTATTTGGTCATGGAATACTTAAATGGAGGGGATTGCGGATCACTTTTGAAAACAATGGGGATCCTTGAACTTGATTGGATTCACAAGTACTTAGCGGAGATAGTGTTATGTTTGGGCGCTCTACATAGCAGAGAAATCGTTCATCGTGATATCAAGCCCGACAATTTGTTGATCGCTCAGTCGGGTCACCTTAAGCTGACTGATTTTGGATTAAGCAGAGTAGGTTATTTAAAGAGGAAAAACAGGAATGATAGTGAGTCGAGTTTCGCACCAAACTTAGGGGACTGCCCGGGCTCCTTGTCAGATCTTTCCTTAAGTACCACCTCATCTTATATGGATGTAAATTCTGCAGCTGCTGAAGATCCTCCTGAAAGGCCTACATTAAATGAAAGATTACTATCATTGGATGGAACGAGTATTAGACTTGCTTCACAAAGTTTCAGTCTTGAGAATGGACCGGAAGATTTGCTTTTGGCTGGTAGAAAGTCTCATAATACCAATAACAATGATAAAACTCGAGCCCAAGTTACTGATTCACCAAAGATCCAGCCCTTTCTTGAGAATCGCGATTCTTTTAAAAGATTTATCGGAACTCCAGATTACATTGCTCCTGAAGTTATTTTAGGCAATCCGGGAATAAAGGCAAGTGATTGGTGGTCTGTTGGTTGCGTTTTGTTTGAGTTTCTGTTTGGGTATCCACCCTTTAACGCCGAGACCCCGACTGAGATTTTCAAAAATATTCTTGCTCGAAAAATTGCATGGCCCGAGAATACAGACTTTCGTGAGTTAGGAAATGCTGTAGATTTGATTAATCGGTTATTGTGTATGGAACCATCAGAAAGGTTAGGAGCTAAAGGCGTGGATGAAGTTAAATCGCATCCCTTTTTCAGTGGAGTTAACTGGGACGATGTAGTAAATGAAGAACCTCCGTTTGTTCCTAAGCCTTTTGCTCCTGATGATACAATATATTTTGATCCTAGGGGATTGGATGAGTTTGATTATGATAATCACAACACACAATATACTCAACGTATTCCTCCGAAAGAAACTGAGCCTGAAATTGTCGCTTCTTCAGTTCCCCAGCACCTTAAACCAGGAACAAGAAAGAATCGGATCAGAAGCAATACCATAGATTCACCGCCGGAATTTGGAAGTTTCAGTTATCGCAATTTAGAGATTCTAGACAAAGCGAATCGACACACCATACAAAAGCTGAGGAAAGAACATGAGAGTCAGACGTTAAAAGACCAAATCGAAGATAATAACGATTACTTGGTAAATTTGAACAATAGACGCACTCCAGATTCTTTTCTGAGTACCCGTACCTCTCGGCGCGCATCTGTTGCTGGTATGGAGACACCCGTGGGAACTCTCTCAAATAGCGAGTTTTCTCTAGATACAGACTTTACAGAAAGCGCCAGTGAGTTAGATCATAAGAAAATGGTTGCTTAGTATGCTGGTCTTCAGTTTGGTGAACAAGAAGACCGGTAGATATCATCCAGGACCACTTCAATGAGTGGTAAACATTCTTTTAGACTTGCGATCTTTTTATTTACAAAAAAACTATATATTGACTTCATCCTAGACAGCATTAAAGTCAACGATATAAGACATCCTAGTTTTATTATACTTCGGGATTGATGCGAATCTTCCATTGTATCTCCCTCCCGTCGATTATTTATCAGTGGACTACACATATTCGGTAGCCATGTCGTCGAACATTTTCGCCAACGCTATAAAGGAAACCATCGTTGGTGGTATTGGGTAATTTCTGGTAATTGCTGATACTGAATTTCCTTTATTTTTTTCGTGGTTGTCCATGTTTATAGTATTTATTATTATTATTCATGCTGAATGCTGAGATGTCTTAGTATTTTCAGTATTTTTTTTTTTTTTAAGTTTTCTTTCTATTAGATATCATATAGCCATCTTTTCTGTTTGCTTGTTCGTTAAAATCATATCTTTCTTTTTATGCATTCCTTTTTGTTTTTCTGTTGTTTCTGCTTTTTCATAGCAAAATTTTATCATTTATAATTACAAGAGACGGTTCTTGAAGTAGTGGTAAGCTTTGTATATAGAAACATTTACTCTCAGTGAATTCAAGTAGTTTGAGTACTGTTTTAAGATTCAAATGGACATTTCATTTCTCTTGCTGCACTGCAATTAACATGCGAACCATTCACTTGGTTTTCCAGTAGCATTTGTTTCACCATGTTTCGCTGTTCCAAAACTTTATGGAAGTTTGAAGATTAAATCCGAAATAGCATATTTAGAAGTTTTTAATTAAGAAAAAAAAAAAGCCACCAAGAGTTACTATTCTCGAGACTGTGAAATACCATTATAGTTGTACACTATAAACAAACAAATAAGAATATCTAAAGATTAATTACGTAAATTGGGTACATTGCGTTAGATTACTGAAAAGTAGATACGAAGATCTAATGTGGCAAATTATGTTTACTAAGTTGGTGTAAAAGCCCAAAGGAAGAATGAACTTGGAAAAAACCAAGCATAAAGGTCATTTAGGAGCATGGCTAAACTTTCAGCAAACGATCTGAATGACTTTTTGAACCCGGGAGCTGTCTGCATAAAGCCAGCCGAAGTGAAAAAGTCAGACAAAGGCCGTGAAAATGTAAGTAAAGCATATGCTATTTAATCAAAGAAGGCGTTATGAGGGACAAAATATTAACCATACGCGTTTAGAATGAAATACAAGTGGAAGGAGATTCTTATTACGAAGTTACCAAAGATACGGGTGAATCAAAAGAACTAGAAGTAGCTAGCATTTCATTGAATGATTGCTTGGCCTGTAGTGGATGTATCACTTCAGCAGAAACAGTTCTGGTAAACTTACAATCATATCAAGAGGTACTGAAGCGATTGGACTCCAGAACGGATTCTCAAGAAGTATTTTACGTGTCTTCAAGTCCGCAGGTACGGGCAAACTTGGCTGCTTATTATGGCGTTTCTTTGGAGGAAATGCAAGAAGTTTTAGAAATGGTATTCGTTGGTAAACTGGGATTTTGCACCGTTCTAGATACCAATGCTGCACGGGAGATTGTGTTACAACAATGCGCAGAAGAGTTTTGCGAATCATGGAAGCAACGACGACGTGAAAAGGAATCTGGAAATGATGGTGCTATCGATATCAATGTATCTGAAATGCAAAAAGACTCTAAAGATGTAGCAGCCTCTTTGAAAGCTAATCCGACCGCAAAGTTGCCAATCCTTTCGTCTTCTTGCCCAGGATGGATTTGCTACGTTGAGAAAACTCACTCAGCACTCATTCCACATCTTTCTCAAGTACGCTCACCACAACAGGCATGTGGGCGTTTAATCAAGGATTGGGCAAGTAAACAGTTTTCGATATCTCGCAAACAAGTGTGGCATTTGAGTCTTATGCCTTGTTTTGACAAGAAGCTTGAAGCAAGTCGTGAAGAGTTTTCCGAGGATGGGGTCCGTGATGTTGACGCTGTGTTGACACCAAAAGAAATCGTTGAGATGTTTAAGCATTTTGACTTGGACCCAAAGAGCATATTAAAGAATAGGATTTCATACCAAATATCAGATGAGACGTTACCAGCTTGGTATCCTCGATTGACGTACGTCGAGCAGATGGGATCTAGCTCTGGTGGATACATGAATTATGTAATGTCTTACGCGGCCGAAATGCTTTTTGGTATTCACGATGCAAACGAGTTTGTTACAAAGGTTGACCAAAACGGCGATTTGACTGAATATACTCTACGAGAGCCGCAAAGTGATGAAGTTTTGTTAACAATGGCGACCTGCTATGGTTTTCGAAACATCCAAAATTTGGTACGTAAAGTGAACGGCAATTCTAGTCGTCGAGGACAGGTGTTGCTGAAACGGAGAATGAAAACAGATGCTCAAAAAGCGCAACAAAAGAGCCGTCAATATGATTATGTTGAAGTTATGGCTTGTCCAGGCGGTTGTATCAATGGTGGTGGCCAACTCCCATTTCCCTCTGGTGAACGGGTTTTGGCTAGTCGGGAATGGATGAGTCAAGTAGAATCGCTGTACAATTCTCCCGGAAGAAAAGATGTTGACCGTTCTTTTGTAAATAAAACTCTTGAACATTGGATTCAAGATCCAAAGTTGGTTCGACATTATTTACAAGCGACCTACCGGTCCGTCGAAACAGACTTGTCGAATCCCTTATTGCTGGCCAATAAGTGGTAAAAATAATTAATTTCATAGAAACAAAAAATGAGCTATAATGTTTTGGGTTACTAGGATACTTTGGATATGGAAATGATTATATGAATATTAATAGTAAAGAAATGGATTACACACATTGTGAAGACGTAAGGAAAAATAATAATCTGATGAAGAAGCACATATAACTGTTTGATTCAAGCTTGATGAATGTATAGAATATAGAATTCTTCTTTGTCCTGAATTTGAATCACCATTTTTTTCTTTTTTTCTTTCTTTCTTTCTTTTACTCAAAGTTAGTGTACAACAGTACAAGTGTTCCACCCTAGTTTTCCAAATTAATATTAATTAATCTCGAGAACTACACAATCCTAATGCAGCTGAGTGCGTCTATCGTTAACAACCTCTTTCCGTTATAAAGTGTCTATCATGCTAATAGTGATATTAATAAAACAAATGATTCACATGTTATCACAAAATCATCTACGGCTTTGTAATGCTGAGCTCCGCTGATAATTAAAAAGACAATATCCGTCAACAAGAATCCATCCGTAACAAGTTCATACGTTATAAAACCAGTGTAAGTGTACTGTTTCTTAATTGCCTCAAGGTAAAGTCTTCACAGTTTGAATTGGTGTTTTCTCACAAAATTCTTTATACATCATAAACATTAACTTTCTGAGTATGGTTTTTCCTCATTACACTACTTTAATAAACATACACTAGTAAAGAGGGTGTTTGCAAGTTCAAAACCGTGGAAGCTAAGCTAATCTAATCATATAGGTTATTTAGAGCTGTACATTTGAATTCTAAATTTGTTATTCTTTCAGTATTATGCCCGCACAGCAAACTCAGGATATTGCTATCGTTGGCGCAGGGGTGATTGGACTTACAACAGCATGGATTCTATGCGATTTTGGATTGGGCCCTCGCGTAAAGATTATCGCCAAGCATACACCTGAAGATCGATCTGTTGATTATACTTCACCTTGGGCTGGTGCAAATTTCTGCAGTATCTCAGGTGGTGATGAAAAAGCCATACGATGGGACAGGATCACCTATAATCGTCTTGCTTACCTTGCAAACACTCGTAAAGAATCGGGTGTGGTCTTTGCGAACCTTCGTGAGCTCTGGGAATTTGATCCTAACTTTGAAAAGATCCGTTCTTGGACTTCTTATGTTAAAGACTTCGAAGCTCTTCCTAAGGAAGAGCTACCGGAAAACTGTCTTTATGGCCATACTGGCACTACGTTTTTGATAAATGTTCCTCAATATTTAAATTTCATTTACAGCATTTTGAAAGATTCTGGAGTCACTTTTGTCAAAGAAGAAATTAAACATATTAACGACGTTTTGCATTATGTTCCTAACCCGACCGTGGTCTTTAATTGTCCAGGTGTTTGGGCTTCTACACTAGGAGGTGTAGAAGATAAAGACGTGTATCCAACTCGTGGTCATGTTGTCTGTGTTGATGCTCCTCACGTCAAGGAGACAAGACTTCGCCATGGTACAAATTCTGATACCTACATCATTCCTCGTCCTTTCAACGGTGGTGTCGTTTTGGGCGGTTTTATGCAAAAGGGCAATTGGGATCGTGAAATTCATCCTGAAGATACTCAAGACATTTTGAAGCGCACTGCTGAACTTATGCCTGAACTTTTCCATCACCAAGGTCCCGAGGCCGCAAAGATCATCTATGAAGCAGTCGGCTTTCGTCCCTCCCGTAATGGTGGTGCTCGCGTAGAATTGGATTCCCTTCCAGGTACCAAATTCCCTCTCGTCCATGATTATGGTGCATCTGGTACAGGCTACCAGGCTGGGTATGGCATGGCTTTCGATTCAGTGATGTTAGCCCTTCCCTTTATCAATTTAGCTTAGTTTTTTATCTATAGTTGCTTTATGTCTCACATTGCTTTTCCGTTTACTTGGTTCTAGTTTTTGATGACGTTCATTTTAAGTTGTTAAATTAGTAATTTCCCTATCCTGTAGTAGGCTCTTGTAGTGTTGATTTGTACTTACATTACTATAATTGTTAATTATTTTCTCACTCGTACATGTTGGTCTCCAAAGAAAGTTTCTGAGATGTTGATTTAACCCAAAGCAAAAACAAATTGCTTGAGAGAAAAATACAAAGGTAAAATAAAAACACTATTGCAGTAAAAAGTAACTTCCTTTGAAAATCCTAACAGACTGGCTGTACACACCCCCATCCACTGTAAACATTTATAAATTTTCATTTTTTGAGCCATATTGGCTATTGAATACCATTTATAAAACTAGGAAATTATTTTTTATTTCATACATATATTAGGAATCAGACTTTACGAAAAGAAGAAGCTCCTGAATATTTAAAATGCTAAACCCCAAGGTCATTATTCTAGGATCTGTCTTCATTATCCTGCTATTCCTTCAGTTATTTCTACATAATCCGTTCGAGATGCCATTGACTAAAAGCTCGTCGAGTCCTCTTGGTACGCAGAGCCACCCTTCTTCAACTTCCCATAAGCCCAGATTACCTAGCAAAGATGCATTAAAAGAACAGGATTTTCAGGTTTTCCTTGAAAATCCTGTCATGGTCTTTAGCAAGCCAGGTTGCCCATTCAGTAAGGCAGCTAGGTCCATGCTGACCGAGACACTCAATATGGAACCTGCTCCTGTCATAGTCGAAGTCACCGAATATACCCATACTACTGAATTGCGTACATGGCTGTCTTCCATTAGTGATGTTTCTACACTTCCAAATATCTTTTTCGGTGGTCATAGCATTGGTGGATATGATGATTTACAACTTATATATCGTGAGCATCGACTGCAAGGAGAATTAGATCGCTGGACATATAATCAAGTCAAAATTGTACCCATCCAAGAAGCTTGAGCGTCTATAAGAGTTGGCTTGTCTTACACATTAGTCTTGCTCGTGGATGGACAACGCAACGCATAATTTTAACATCCATCGGTTTTGTATCTTTTGTATTCTTTTTTTTTTTATGTTTATCTATATTATTTCAAAATTCACGTCGTGCTGTATAAGAGTCACTTCAAAATTAGCTCATTTTATTTCTGCTCTTCCCAGTAAGTCGCATTCCCCTTCACCATAACAAACAGCCTTACGAAGGATCTTAGTCCTATCGCCTATAAGAACTCTTTTCTTTGCAACAATCGGAAATTTTTATTGCTTTAAGTTGTTTTCAAATTTTTCTTTTGTTAGCATATGCCTGAATTGCCCAAGTATCATTATGTAGGAAGTGTACAGTATCAACCTGTAAAGCCGTCGCCGCATGAAAATTTGACAGAATTATACGGTCTCTCAGAGTTGGCTAAAAAGGTTGGACGGATTGATGAGCATGGAAATAAACGGAAGATGCGTCGATCGTACAAGGCCTACATTCAAGATTTACCTGGTCATAATGAAATAATTAAAGACGATACTCTAAAACAGTGGCTTGCTAATCCTATTATGGAGGATGTCTCTGTCGACGAGGACCAGCTGATTCAAGCTTTTAGTCATGTTCAGCCCGGCATCCTTCCAGGTTTCAATCCCAAGGTCTTTGGCCTTGACGACGATGCGCCTGTTGGTCCCGGTAGTCGAGATTCATCACAGCCTAAGAGTCCTGTACGCACAAGAAGACCTTAATAGATGGATAAAGTACGCCTTTTGTAAAAACCGGTTTGTCTGGATGTAGTAATTACCTAGTCTGTCAAGTTTCATTGTTTACTTTAATAGAAAAATCTTGATGATGATAAATTACAAACAATTGTTTTAATACTTTAGACATGTATAATCTCTCTTCAATTTACGAAAGGACTAACAAAAGGTTGCTTACCGTCTATCTACCATAGTTTGCTCAAAGCTCACCACTTTCTACGTCAGTATCTAAAACTACTTCAGGATAATCTCTCGCTACTAATCAAATACTTCCACTTCTTTAAAATCTTTGTAAAATCAATTGTTATTTGACCATGCCTATATATACCCAATCTTTCGTACCTATTGCAATTACTACTAATACGGAACGAGCTTACAACTTGGACATAGCGGCAACGTCAGTGGATTGGACATAGTCTTCCAAACCTTCAAGTTCTTCTTGGAGAGCTTCCAAAGAAACCTTGTCGTCTTCAACAACCAAGTTGATTTGGAACTTGTTGACACCAAAACCGACGGGAACAAGTCTAGAGACACCCCACAAGAGACCATCCATTTGAATGCCACGGACAGCCTTCTCAAGTTCGTCCATAGGGGTTTCATCATCCCAGGGCTTAACATCCATAGTAACAAGAGACTTTTGAACGGCCTTGGGCTTCTTGGACTTCTTCTTTTCGTACTCAGCGACACGCTCAGCCTTAACACGCTCAGCTTCGGGATCCTCCTCGTCAGAGCCGAAGAGATCAATGTCATCTTCCTCAGCAGCGGCACCTTCAGCAGGACCGTAAGCAGAGAGCTCCTTGGCGGTACCAGGGAGGGTAGCAACATCGTGGGTAGCGATTTGCTTGTACCAACGAGCAGCATTAGGGAACTTCTCGGCGTCAGGAGCAGAACCAACAGCCTTGAAGACAACAGCGTCAGCTTGGCTGGCGGAGTGACTAAAATTTTACGTTAGTATAATTTAAAAAAAAATCCCCCAACCAAATCAAGATCGATGGCGGTAGACGTATCCTCGCTGATAATCATTCTACAAGACTCGTTTAACCAGAAAATCCTTTGAATAGTAAATGGATTTCTTTATTCAAGTTCTCGAATGATGCGCTAAAAGATTTACTTACCCTTCAATGAAAGACTTGTCAGTCAAGTAATCGTTGAGTTGCTTAAGACCAGCGTCGGAGGTGAGATTAGTGAAACCCATTTTGTAGTTGGTTGTGGACAAAAAAAAATTTCTCTCTGCTGAATAGGTAAGTCACTTTGCACTGCACAATAAAAAATGAATATAATAATCAAATATATTAAGTTATCTGAAAGAACGTTACGTATCGTTATTTATAACAAATTTGAAAGAGACATGGTTTAACTTGTTAGACGGTTTAGTGAAATGGAAGGTACATGTCCAAAAAACAAAGGCTTTTAGATGGATAAATGAATACTTCAAATATTTAATTCGACTTTGAAGCTATGTTATGTATAATAAGTATAGAAAAATTATTAAAAACATCATGCCCAAACGGGCGTTGCTGATAGAAACGCTCGTAATAATCAAACGGTATTATTAGCCAAACCCAAAACCTATGGTACATCTAAACCTGAAATAAATTAGATCCATACATAAACAGTTGAAATCTTTTTTTTTGACCGCCATAATCGCTAATATCCTTTTCGTACACTAACGAAAAGATTCAGTACGAAACTTATTGCTTTTATCCTCTATAATACTTCTACGAAAGCATTCCAAAAGCCAAATCGCATAGCTGTTTTCAGTCTCTTTTTGTGAGAAACGAATAATAAATCAAAAAACTTGAAATATTGTTTCAACCAAAAAACTCACACCACAAACCATATTTAAAAAGCGAAAGTCGGGTTTTTTACCTAGATTTGCGTAGAGACTTTCTCGGGCTTTCGGAGCGAAGATTCTTTCGCACAGAAACTGGCCTGGAAGCCTCTGCTTCCTCTTCGGATTCTGAACCAGATTCACCAGTTGCATTTTCTTGTAATGCTCGCGCATCGTCATCTTCTTCTTCACTCAAGTGATCTTTGTTCTCCATTTGTCGTCTTCTAGGAGATAATTCTGCATCGGGAGAGAGATATGCGTGGGCAGTATCTTTGTCAACATTATTATGTTTCATAATTTCAGCCGCTGCTGCTGCTGCTTCCTCTTCTTCATTCTCATCTACTTCATCTTCATTTTCGTCCACTATTTCAATATCGTAATCAGAGTTTTGTTCATCCTCGTAATCACTGTCCTCTTCACTACTTTCTTCCTGATCAAGTCGTCGACTCTCTCGGATCTCAGCTTGTCCAAGTACCATGCTTAATCTTCCGGAGAGTGCAGAAATCTTCATAAGAAGATCTCCGCCATGTATCAACTTGCCATGCAACTCGTTCAATGGCTCTTGCAAATCTTGTACACTAGCTAGATATCCGCCGTGAGTTACAATGATCCAATGCAACCAGATTGCCATGGTAGGGCGCATTTCTAATGACATTTCTGTCACGAATTTGCGAACTAGCTCCGCCGCCATGGTTCCATCCATGTTTCGAACGGTACCAGAAACGATTCCAACATCAGAGCATCCTAGACATTTTTCAAATAATTCATTTGCATCTTGTCCTTCTTCTAACCGAATTGTTTGCTCAGGTAAAGCATCCATAATTGCTTTTATGAGATTTTCTGAGGTTGGCACTGCGCAACTTTTCCAACCTGTCTAAACACTCAAACAATTTTCCTCGGAAAAAATGACTTTTTGAAGATTCGAACCGCTCACCATATTATTAATAATATAATCAAATCGTTTTACTTATTATATTCATTACGATAATTTTTTTACAATTCAGAAGTTTTTGAGTAGATCTCTAGCTTACGGTTATTTGAAACTTTATTAGAGTAAAAACATTAATATTTATTTACAGTGAATTTATAAACAAAAATGACAGAGTAATTGATATTTAGATTGCACATAGAGCACAACTTAATGCGGCAAAGGGCGGAAAAGAGCGACATGGGACGTACAAAACTTTCACAAGAAAATTCTTCTTGCTAAACTGATTGGTATAGCACCGAGAATAGATTGAAAAAAAATCAATCATCAAAGAGAAAAGACATTATACACGAAAAGAAAAATTCATAAACAGTAAAACATATTAGTCAAATGCTGTAAATTGAAGAAAAATGACTGATATTCCTCTGGAGCTTAACGACAATTTCCGTTTATATGATCCAATTGCATAAAACTTCAGTAATCGCTTTGAAAGCTTAGAGTATTGTTCATCAAAATTGTACTTAGCAATTTTTGTTAACATGAAAATAGACGACGGTATTTCCATGATTCTTCACGTTCTTCAAATGATAAAGGTAACAAAATATGAAGACCGTTCCTATTATTAAACTTATTAATTATATATGGCATGACCAACGCTGTAAGATTTTGCTAGTTTTTCTGGGATCAAACAAACAAATATCTTTTTCTGACAATATCCAATTGCGTGGACAGATAAAAAGAAACCTTTATTCTGATTCACTGCTCTCACTTTCATGGTCGCTTTCAGCAGACTCGGATGTTCGATCATATTCATGGGATTGTCCTAGGGGTGCATCGGACGCTTTGCCAGCAAAACGATCCAACTGCTGCTGTAAACGTCGAATTTTTTCTGCCTGTTCGGTTTCCGATAGCACTCTGCCTTTCTTTTTCTCGTGTCTAGATGGCATCAACGAAGGTGAAGGTGGGTCAGAGGAAGTTGCTTCGGGTTTACAAACGAACCGATAAATACGGTGAAAGGTTTCTGGTTTCATATTTCCAACATCTATTTCGATTTCATCCGTATCCCGTAACCAAGGCATTTCTTCTCTTAGAATTTCAGCAACCGTGGCTAACTGTTCTGCAGTTAAATAGTTGCATCTCTCGGCCAATTCAGTTTGCATAGCATACGTAACAGGTCCGTATTCTTTATTGGAATCACGGCGCCGAGGTTTACGCATGCGCTTCATTTTCTTTGCTTTCATAGCTTCCAAGGTGTCTTGAAGCATGGATATTTGCTTGTCCACGGCAGCAAACTTGTCGCCGTTTACTTCTTCTTCCGACATAAAAGCTTCTTCATCGCCGTTTTCATATAATAAGGCAGCTGTCTCAGCAGCCTGTTGTTTATTAAGGGTAGCATCATCGTATTTGGGACGAGCATTCCACTTTTCATTAAACAAATTTTCAAGTTGTCTGCCCATAAGATGTACGGGAGTTCCAGGAGGATTATATGTGAAACAATTTTCAAGCATCAATCGTATATCTGACTCAAATTCGTCTGGTATTTCATATTCGTTTTTACTAAGCTTTGCTTGAATTGTACTCAAATCCATGGGATGTTTGATTACGTCAAAATAGTCAGGGCAATCACAGGCCACTGGATCTACCGGTTGGTAAAAGGGAAAGACGAAAGGCTCGTACTGACGTTTATAAATCTCCTTTAGTATCGTCGTACAATAACGCATCTGAGAGTTGTTCTTTCGGCGTCTCGGTTTACCTTCAACAAGCGGAGGAGAAGCAGCAGAGGGAGCGGTAGAAGGAGGGGCAGAAGATATTGAAGGGCGAGATAGAGAAGAAACGGACGAGCTTCTTCGGGTACGTGTAGAAGCGGTAGGAGCTGGTGTGGTCGCAACAGCAGCGGGGGCTGGAGACGGCTTTTGCTTGGTTTTTTTGGGTACTGGTGCTGGGACTTGATCTAAGTCTGGTAATTGCTTCAATTGACGTTCAAATACCGTCTGCAGACTCTTTCCCATTGAACCAACCGGGGAATTTGTACCATTGTATAAAAAGCAATTAGAAAACATTAAATTCATGTCATCAATAAATTCTTGAGGTGAGGAATAAATGCGATTGCTTAACTTTTTCTCAATGGTTCCTAAATCCATGGGCTGCTTGACAATAGTGGGATAATCGGGGATATTTTGTTTGACGGGATCTACTGGTGCGCGGAAAGGCGCTGAATCTTTTGTCCGTTTGAGTTGTCGAACAATGGCGGCGCAATACTTTTGTTGAGGGGGAGGCATTCCATCACCTTTTTGTTTTTTTTCTACAGGTTCCTGAGATTGTGTTAAACTCTGGGAGTGCGATTGAGCTTCAAAAGGCTCTTCTGATTTTATCACATGCTCTTCTGATGCTGTACTATGTTCATTTATTTGTTTTCCGGAAACATCCCGTTTCTTTGAACTTGCATCCGTGTCTTGTTCTTCCGTCTTTACAGGGACTTCCGACGCTCCCAAACCGCCATTCTCATCGTTTACGGCCGCGGTTTCCATAGACAGTTGATCTTCATTAGATTCGGATTTAACATCATTACCGTGCGACTCGCCGCTCATGTTCTGGTACGATCCCAGCAATAATGTTGTGGTTGGCGAAGGACAGGTTCAATATCCAAGGTGTCAGCACAACCGAAACAAGTCACGTGACGCTTGAAAGAAATGCTAGCTGTTCTGTAAAAAAATATACAGCGATGCGCCTTATTGCCTTGGGACCCTTTCTTTTAGAAGTTTAACTTTTGAATTGCAATTTTGTCTTGCTTTTCTCGGTTTTATTTTCTAGTTCTTTCCTGTGCTTTGTGCTTCGCGTTTTATGCTTTGCTGGTCCATATAGAAAATTTAGCTTCAACTGATACTGCGCGGCGCTGTGGACTCGTTAATTAAATAACGCGTTTTATCTTTCTGCTTTAGTCAATAAACATGACATATATGTACGAATATCATCAAGGAAACGAAATGCACTACCATTTTTAGTAGTGTTAAAAAAGCACAGATAGATAAATAATTAGATAAATTTATGTAGAAATTGTTTGCATGAAAGCAGTTTGTGCTTTTCCAGTCGAGTCTGCACTATGGATTTACTAAGCGTCTGCTGTTTCCTTTAACCGAAAAAAAAAAGAAACCCATACTAATTATTTACTTTTCTTTCTTTTTGTTTCTCATGTTAGAAATGTTCTCTTAGAAGATTATACCAATAATTTCTTTTGTTTACTCCTTAGTGAAACACAACACGTTTTCGTTGCAGTATACTAAGTGACTATGCCTGTCTCCGGCAAAGAACCAACAATTTCCAAAACCAACTTGCAAGTATGTCGTATTATTACCAGGAAGAACAGGTACAAAATGACCAAGAATTGAAGAACGAACTTCCTTGGTTGGCGGATCGTATTCATCATGGTCGTTCGACAGTCTACTGTGCGTTAGGATTTGCAGGTTTGAAATTGGAGAACGCTTTTGGATGGCTGTTGTCCAAAGAACGTGCCACTGTTTCCGTTGCTAAACAAGAAATATTCTGTTCCGACGAAAGAAAGCTCCCCGGAATTGCCTATGTTGCTGTTGGTGGTATGGCAGGAAATATTTTCGCTAGAAATAGGATTGCGCCTGCACGCTGGCTTGTTACTTCATTAGCTACTGCCGGAACGTTTGTTTATTGTTTTCCTAAAACTTCTAAAAAGTTTGCGACATTCACTGAAACTCGTTTCCCTGCTCTACGTGAACGTCGAGAACAACTGTCCCGGCAAACTCGTGAAACCCTTCAAAACACTGAGTCTTCTGTAAGCAGGTACACATCACTTGCTCAGATTCATTATCAGCAACTCGTTGACCGTATCTATAAACGCTAAGCATTAGGCTTTTAACTACGTGTTGAAGGTTCCTTGCTAAGCGTACATGGTATCTGGTATGATTATCGACATTTACGATCTATCCTTTGTCTTTTTCTATCTTTCTTATACATAATATTTCCCCTCCTCTTTTTTGCTTTGTGCTTATGATTATAGTTTGGATGCCTCAAAGCAATGGTCAATGTTTTGACAGAGCAGTTTTTATATTTTCACATACAAGAGCCGTAGTAATATAATTTTTTTTTACTTTATTACGAATAGAACATTATCAATTCTATTATTAAGTTTATAATCTCATGATATGCATATAATCAATTCATTTGTTTGTCGCGGTATTACGGTTGGAGACAACATGGGAATCCGCGATGCTGTAGGTTTCTTACAACTTTGCTTTGCTTTTTTCCTCTTGTGGACAAGCATCGCCTGATTTACATTTTTGCTTATCGTGGTCCTTTGACTTAGTGACACTGGTAATTGCAGATAAAGCTAAAGCAATGGTCATTCTTGACTCAATATTTCATTAAATTCCTCATTAACTTCATGAAACAAATTGAAGATTATAGACTGACTAATACTTTTAGAAGAAGAAATAACAACGTACATGCCAATTTAGACAGAACCAATTTGAGAGTAACAATCCAATCATCCCGCGAGGCCTTCAACGACAGCGGCCTATGATTTGTGTATGTAGAAAAGCTCAATAGAGAATAAGTATAACGGGAATAAGCAACAAAATCAGATGAACCTATTTAAACAATACATGAAACGACAGGATACCATCACAAGAATGCTCCAAGTATGAAATTCGTTTCCGGTGCTTTCAACATCCCTAGACTGATTCAATCCGGTGTAAGCCTCGAGGTTGCTCAAAGCGTTCAAAGGTGGACGGTTGTTCCAAAGTATTATCGCTATGATCCTTGGACTGATTTTCAGGCTGTGGTGGCATGGCGTGTAGTGGAATACAATCATCAGGCGGAAATTCGTTTATTTCCGATGGCATTCTGAAGCCCACAGCACTTGTGATCCAAAATAAAACCTTGGTAACCCAAAAAACATGATCGGCATCCCAAATCCAATTAGAGAATCAAGAGAACGATAAATTCCACCAACACTAAAAATACACAGTTAGCAAACCTTACCGTATAAATATCCAACCATTTCACTTACCTGAACAAACATACAGAGACATATAGAAAGTCACAATGATGAGAAAAACATCTACAGCAACCTGAAAGCTTATCCCGACAGATCCTGCCGTCGATTCCCTTATAAAGTGGACAAGATACTTGTAAGAAAACAAGAATTTTACTATGACCGAAAGAATAAAGCAGCTCATGAGCCGCCGAACTTCGCTCTCTTGTCTGCGTTTTGCTTCAGGGATTCTCCCAAATTTCGTCGGCCAGAAAACCAACCACAATTAAGGCGCCGAAATAGTTCGTAAAAAGTTATAAATCCGCTAATCCGTGCAATAATTATGGACGCTTCCTGGATATGGTAGTACTGCGTCAGATTGTAAATAGAAACAACCTTTCTCTATGTCATCTAATTGCGAATAGGTTTTTTGTCTGTATTTCGGCAAAACTACAGTCAGAAGTCGCAGGACTCAACTGAGAAATTCGGCAGATTTTCGCATCCTTTGGCTGTATTTTATTTCTGTTTTGTTCATCATTGTTAAAAAATTGACATGGTAAATGTTCCCACAGCTACCTTTGTTTGGTAAGTGAAATTCTGCGAAAATTACGAATTACGTGGTAAAAGGATCAGAAAACCCCAATTCAACTGACGGTACAATTAAAAGAAAAACAGTTAAAACTCATCTCCAAGAAACCAAAAAAAAAGAGCTCACAATGGCAAAGACTAGAGGTTTGCAAAGGTGAAATTGTCATCACCGTCTTTGATCCATTTACTGAAAGCTAGTAGGCGTACGCTATCCTACACGTACACTAATGACCTTTCTGAATTCGCTTTTATTAATTTCTATCGCTAAACTATTGATTTAATCGTCGAAAAATCTACAATTTGTATATCACTTACAGCGAAAATCATTTTTTTTCTAGCACTGTTTCTTTGTTTACTCTTTGTAATACTCGCCTCGATCGGATTATACCATTCTAAAAACCATGGTAAACCCACAGTGTTAAATAATCGTAACGAGGATGTGACCAGTCAGTGACATAATGTCGCTGCTTTATGAAGTTGAGACATGCGAAAAGCCATTACCATGAGTTTTACAACTACGCTTCATCTTTTAAGAGGAGCTTTTCGTTGAACAGTGTTAATAGTTATTATTTTTAAAAAAAGGAGTAATTCTTTTTTTGACCCGATCCGCGCGAATTGTGAAATTAGTACTTGCGGACTTTGTTGGTTGATTCTAGCTGGTTTCGTTTTGGATGTATATATCTGCATTATTTTGTGTTTCTAGTTGCCATTGTAAAAATGAAGAATAATTACACTCCAGTTTCAGATTCTGATGACTCTTTCAAAGTGCTCAATGATGAAAAGTCAGACGCTAGATCTTTGGATGGTACTGGTACGCCTCCTCCGTACTCAGGTAAGATTTGTTGAAATAGAAAGGAACAAAAGAATGTCAATTGCTTCAATTTGTATAATTCCAGCGACTCAAAACTTGCTGTAAACAAACTCGACGAACGCTCCATCCTTTCTCAAACAACAAGAGCATTCATCACTAATGCATTCATTAGCTCCGAACAAATTTATTGATTTAGAAATGGCTGATGGATCTGCTCAGCATTCTGCCCAAGAGTCCACTAACAACGCTGGATCGGATTCGACATATTCGAAGTGGATTATTATCATATATCTCTTTTTTTTTGCGTCTCTTGGGTACATTGGGGCTTATTGTATTCTTCTCGTAATGTTCTTTTATTTCAAGGTTCCTGTGAGGGCGCAAGACTTTTGGGGACTTTTTGGCGGATTTATTGGGGCGATATCATTATTTCTTTATTGTAAGTTAGTGCTATCTTTTATTTTTACTAACTATTAGCAATGTCTCTAATTCCTAAAGAATGGTTCAAGCAAACTGGTACAGTGCTGTCCTGTTTGTTCTCGCAAATTTGTAGTGTACTGCCCAACATGTGTGTCGCAGTAATATGTACGGCTTCTCTGAATGTCGTTGGTTTCGTCGTCTATCGTAATGTAAAGAAAATAATAGGATTTGAAAAGATGAATGATATTGCTTTCTATGGTGTCTGCATTGTTAACGCTGCCGTGTTTGTTTTATTTTGGAGTATGTCTTATAACCTGCGAAATATTCTAACTGTTCTAGTGAATCCAATTGCCCGTGAACGATTTAGATTATTAGTCGTTGATATAGGAAACGGCGCAAATGCCATAGGAAACGGTATAGGAAATGCTGTGAATCATGCGTTTGGTATGTACATTACGTAAATGCTTCCTATCATAGAGCAATTATTAACCAAGTTAAAAGGGACAAATCAAGGAGACGAAGCATCTCAAAACGAAGAAATTGAGCTTCAACCTTTTGCTGGGCAAAGCGCTGAAGTTTGAGTTTTAACGAATCTTTTCCATCCCTCCTATAAATCACATTTTCCTTGGAAGCATTCATATCAATTGCAATCCCTCGAGTTTCTGCATTCTTGTCCACAAAAGTAAGCACAGCTTCATTCGGCAGGTTTGATTGTTTTTCACGTTCACTCTTTTATGAATCTTTGGATTCGTCTCGCAATAGTGTTATTTATGAATCGTTCGTTTTCTTTGTGACGAACATCCTTGTTAAAGCAACCTTTTTAATGATTGTTTAATTGTTATGACGATAATTTTGCAAAATAATCAACCGATTTCTAATTCAAAGCTGGACGTATTCAGATTGGCCGTTTCAACTAATGTAGTTTAATAATTTACTTCTCAAACTACAGCTTCGTCAACCGCTATAAATTCAGACATTCAGTCTCATACCTCAATGACAATCTAGCACAATGTGAATAGCTAGAAAAGAGAAAATCAGTATGCTTTAATCTTTTAAGTATCAAAAACCATCCTCTATAAATTTTGTAAAATATGAGATGATGAATATCCACTACAAATACAAATACCTTTAGTTACACGTTCTGAATGTCTACGGCCACACCTAGGCGAAAACACCAGTTCCCGTCCGATCACTGCAGTTAAGCGTCTGAGGGTCTCGTTAGTACTATGGTTGGAGACAACATGGGAATCCGGGATGCTGTAGGCTTTTTCTTGATTTTTTTCCTCTGGTTTTGCTGCTCTTTTTTTTATGATTGCTTTTCTTTTTCTAAACATTTGTACTGTTATTCTTCGGTTTCAAATCAATAGAAGCTGCTGTTGTTTACTATGGAACCTAGTGGTTACCTCTAAGGTAACAGTATTCAGCAAAGCAGAATTGTTTACAGAAGGACATAAGTATTCTATTCTGTTTAAAAGTACCTAATATATTCATTTTATATCTTTTATCATGGTACCTAAAATACAAAGGCTTTGATAAGGAGGAGAGTGATGTATCATCCAGTTGGTGATACTTTGGAAATTTCAGTGAATTAGTGTCTTCAGTTAGGTTTTCAAAAATGCAATTAAAGTCTGTTAAACTATCCAACATATAGCTCGAATTATAATAATAATAATAATAGCATGTTTGTTGGAGCTGAAATTTTACTCTTCATTCAACGAATTATTCGTTTGTTAATGCGAGTCGGGCAATAATTACTGTTGTCCAACATTGTTTACGTTCCCGTAAACAGGATCAAGTTTTCCATCCTAATTCAAATTTAATCATAAACTCAATTAAATAATAGGTATTCTTAGCTTATTTGTATGACTTGTTCAAAAACGGAAACTCTACTTTTTATTCCGTAAAAACCATATATACAGGGAGGACTCTTACTTAAGCTAGAACAGTGCAAGAAAATAGCAAAACTTGGTTTTTATTTTTTTGTTATCTTTTTCTCTTTTATTCCTTGCAAGAGGATGGATAGTCTTACTTTACGTTTCTTTCGACTGTTTACTTGAGTTGACAATAAACAATTGCAGAGCCTTGCAGTCAAACTCAACAGATGGCACGGCTTGAATTTGTTTGTTTTTATTTCAAACTTTGTTGGATAAAACACCAATAGTAAAGTTTCCTTTGTTTGTTGTGAGTAGTTTGTTTCCCATCTTAAACGTCAACAAACAAACGTCTAAGAAGGTATATTTATAGGTCAAATTCTACATGTTTCAGCAAGCAAGCAAACAATTTCATGTATGCATTCAAAGGAAGTTCATTTACAGAATAAAAAAAGTTGTTTCTTGTAGATGAATTGAATTCCTCAAGATGGTCTGGTTTCGTTTCAGTCTAGTATCGACAAAAACTCCATAAAATGACCTTCCTTGGATGTCTCATTGCTTGACTACATAAAAGAAAATGGAATGAAGAGCAAGCTTGTATTAAGTTCCTTTCCATTTTTCTATCAGAAGATCCTTAAATTTTATTAAATTGCGTTCTTTTGTTTTGTCTTTCGTACAGAATATTCGTTTTGAAACTTTTTGACACCTTTTTGGGTAGGATTCCCTTAATTTCTTTCTCTTTTTTTCTAACATTACAGCATTCTCTATCAAAAATATTCTTATTTCTCCAGCTTTTTTCCATATAATGATTGTACTTCCCTACTCGTTATGACTCTTGCTTCTAGCATTGTCTATACCACCGTTGAATCTCATTTTATATTATCTCTGCTCTTTGTACACATTCTCAAAAGAAGCAATGAGTATACGATTATAATCTTCGGCTGCAGATCAGACTCTAGCAGTTGCAAGTATTTGTTTACATTTCATGATGTACTTTGCAGCATTCAGGAGATCAGGTTCCACTTGCTATTATCATTCACGTACGTGTTAAATAAATCCTGTTTAGCAACGAGCATGAGATGAAAGCTTTTGAGAATAGACTCCGAGAGTGTTTGGATTCCAGACATAGTCCTTCTCTCAATAGTGATGTTGAATCAGTTAACCTTCCAAAACTTTGACTCTGGCCAAGCCAAGTTTGGGGTTTATGTTCCAAAAACGAATTGAGCAGAAGTTGAGAAAGAAAAAAGGAATTGCATCTTGGAATGGGACCATTTCGCTGTCATCTCAAACCAAGTTGTTTCTTACTCAAGTATGTAGAATTGAGATTTATTCAGTTAAGGGGGCTTCACAGATAATTCCAAAAGTTTCCTAGGACAAATCGAGTAACTCTTTGTCACTAGTCCGCTTTTCTGGTTGTGTTGTTTGTTTGCTGGACAACTCTTGATACTGCAATCTTTGACTAAAAACAACTGGTTTTCTGACTTCAAGGAAATATTAAATTAGCTCTTTAAATAAATTTCACTTTTCTTCCTTACCTTTTAAGCATGTAGAAAGTAAAACTCTGTTCATTTTTTGCATTTACCATATAAATAGGTTCTTCTTTGAAGAAACATCAACAATTAGACACTATGCCTGAGTGGTTAAAGGGATAGATTAGAAATCTATTGCGGTCTCCGCGCGCAGGTTCAAATCCTGCTGGTGTCGTTTTTGTCAAGCATTCATAAGTTTTTTTAACCAAAGTCGGAACATCGTAAAATTTTTAGATCGCTAAATACGGCGTTTTGTAGGAAAAATGAACGGTGTTAATTTGATACTTGGAAAGTAATAAGACTATAAAAGATCCGAATATTTTCAGTAGGAGATGATTACAAGCAAAATGAAGATCGAAAGAAACGAAGCTCATTTATTATAATATTTATATAAAAGTATGTGTATTCACTCAAATGTTCATTGTAGATTGTAGAAAACTAAAACTAATTGAATCACTATTTATTAGTGTAACATATTCTACATCGTTATAGGTTTACAAGCTACGCAAAGCAATTTAGCAAAGGATAGCGCAGGACTAGGTGCTCATTTGCTTACCCCAGAAGATACAAGAAAACCCATCCTTTACCAAACTCACGCATTTAGGCTTCTTAAAGGAATACGTACGATTTTTTGACATGTCTGACAAATACGCGTTTTCATTGACAACCTTTTCACCCAACGGTAAACTGGTTCAAATTGAATACGCATTGAACGCTGTAAATGCTGGTGTCACATCTGTTGGTATTAAAGGTATGTATATTTAAGAGTTGGAAGTAGAAAATGAAGGTCTTGGCATTTCGTAATGAGAACCCTAAACCAGTTAAGCCCCCTTCGGTGGTTTCTTTCAATGAGAGGATGCTAACGCAATAATCATAGCAACTAATGGAGTCGTTTTGGCTACGGAAAAGAAGCCTGCTTCAGAACTGGCTGTTGGCAGCTCTTTGGAGAAGGTCTGCAAAATTACTCCTGACATTGGAATGGTAAGGACAACCTGGAGACTACCCCATTTCTGTGCAGAAAAATTCAATGAAGCAAAAAATGAGCAATACCTGAATAATGATTGACTGCATAGCAAAGAGGTTTATTCTGATTCTTATAAGTCTGGTTACTAAACGGTGATTTCAATAGGTTTATAGTGGAATGGGTCCCGATTTCCGTGTACTCGTTGACAAGTCTAGAAAAGTAGCCCAAACTGCTTACAAAAACGTCTATAATGCTTATCCACCTACGAAGATTCTTGTTCAAGAGATTGCTTCTGTTATGCAGGAATCCACTCAATCTGGTGGTGTTCGTCCTTTTGGTGTTAGTCTGTTAGTTGCCGGAATGGACGAAAATGGCCCCGTTTTGTATCAAGTTGATCCTTCTGGTACATACTTCGCTTGGAAAGCTACCGCCATCGGTAAATCTTCCACAGCCGCCAAGACCTTTTTAGAAAAACGATACAACAATGAAATTGAATTGGATGATGCCATCCACACTGCTATCCTTGCTTTGAAAGAAACATTCGAAGGTGAATTAACTGAAGACAGCATAGATATCGCTATTGCCTCAAACAAACCTACGGAAAGCGGTATTGAGGGCGTCCCAGGTGGTCATTTTTATAGACTGACTCAATCAGAAATCCGCGACTATCTTGATCAAGTATAACCTGACGTATATTCCTTAAGCCTTTCTTTTATTTGATTCTTAATAAAAAATCTGTTATGCTTTCGCCGCTTACATTGACTCTTATTCTAACATGATCCTTTCCGTTTCCTGCTCTTGGCACAATCTTTCTAACAGTACTCGTCAACCTATGTATGATTTCATGTCGGACAAAGATTCTAGTCTCTTCAACGATGTGCTTCTTCATTTCTTTGAAGACGTTTCGTCTCATGTAGGGACTTTTGATACGTGGCGTCATATCTTTATATGTTTAATTTTTTCTGAATCAGGTGTTATTAGAATGTTTTTGAGATACTTGTTGGCCATTATTTTATCTTGAGCTTTGTTTCCATGATATGATAGATTTACGATTCCCTCTATTTTCAATTGAAAGCTTCAATTTGTTCATCTTTTCTTTATCATACCTGGGTTACTCCTTTCTGTATTTGTCTATGTCATTCAATTTTAAAGCAAGTATTGCAAATATCTAGTAGTCATTTCTCTCTTCACACAAAGTGATAGTTTGGTTATAAACATTAAACCATGTAACACGCTTCCAAAAATTACTTGCTTGCGTTTCTTCTTCTTTCAGCTGCAGCTAATAATATATCTCTCTTGTGATCCCTTTGATCTTCATCAGTAGTTTCATTATTTTGAGGGACATAAGTCGCTTGTTCACTTACATAACTTCCTGGTTTTGACAAAAGATCAGCGGCCTCTGCTTCTTTGGTAAGTTGCCGGAATAGTTCCCAGAATGAAGCGTCATGTTCACCATGAACATTATGTGACAACTCGTGAATAAGGGTGCTTTTCACTGTTTTGTAATCTCGGAATCCATCATATCGATCTGTCCGTAATCGAAGTTCAATATGTGCACCATGGTTATGGTTCAAACCTAAAGTCTTTGAATCATGTTGAGTATGCTCCGCTGGGTCCATTTCAGACAGCAGAGGAACTGTCCACCGGTGTGTGTTCATAATCCGTTGGATCCCAGCATCGTCTCGTAGGCGTTCCAAGTATTGTAGGGCTCTTTCTTTAAACGGATAATTAAGCACTTCGAAACGATTGAATGTATATGAAGATGCTTCTTTAGGAGTCGACCGTGGTTTCTTTGGCTTTAGAGCATACGAACTAGCAGCATTTTTTCTAGGAGAATTAAGTTGAGACATAGTCTCGTCGACTACGTTGGCATTTTTATTTACAATAGTCATAACCTTTGCTTTATCTTTGACAACGTCCTGCAACTTGGATTCGTTTGACAAGGATCCTTTATATAGAAGCTTGATTTGATCTGCAGAGAAACCTATTTCCTGGCCTAATTTTTCTTTAGCTGACCTGACAGTTTCTTCCTCGTGAAAGTAAATAGAAATAACGTTTCCTGCGTATGTAAATCGCAATTCCATCTTAGAAAAGTAAGTAATTTAAAAGATAGATTGCTATTAGGATAGTTCCACGTTTGCTTCAGTACGTTTCTCAAGTTCTTATATACAAACACAAGAATGACAAGGATAAGATAAAATACACTGAAAAAGAGTGTAACACTTCGTATGACTAAGCTATGGTGGAAGGATGAAAACAACTGTTTGCCAACTCTAATATATGGCCACAATTCTAGAAGATTGAGATGTTTACGATTTTCTTAAAAGTTTTCTTCTAGAAGGATTCATTCCTGAAGACATTAAACTTGAATTCTTAATTGGTTGAATGTACTGTTCTGAAATGAAGTGATATTCAGACTTGGACCAAGGGAAGATCGTACTCAACGATACAAGGTCCTTTAGAAAGTTACAAGTAAAAACAAGAAATTATTTAATCTGTTTTTCACGCCAGTGTGGTATGAAACTTCCTTAGCGCAGCATATTTAAGTAGAAAATAACTGAACTTACTCTCTTACACAGTTTTCAAAAAGACTTGGATAAAAAGTAGAAGTGAATATCATGTTTAGACATTCATTAAGCTAAAACTGATAGACTAAAGAAAGGGGAGTTCTTGGCAAAGAGAGTAGCAAGGTTCTCCCTTGGTAAATTCAGAACCCAGGTTGATAATAGAAAACGCTTCTTTAACAAAGCTTTTATGTTTTTGTTCCGTTTTCGTCTTCTTCTTTTAGCAAAAAATAGGTTGTCTTAATTATACCAAGGTTTACTGTCGTCGACTTTGTAATTTCATTTACAAATCAACGGGGAAGTTTCCGTTATCACGTTGCTCATCCCAACGCTCAACCCACTCTGATTTATGTTAATTCTCTGTACATAGCTTTATTCGAAATATGGGATTCTTTCTCACTTACCGGAAGGGCACAAGGATTGGAAAGCATGCCAAAATTGTTTACAAGGAACGAAATCCTCACCCTTAGCATTAATGCAACGATGGTAATCAATGTAGCTTTGGAAGCAGTCTATTAAAAGCGTTAATTTTTGATTCCTTTGACAAATGGGGAAGCATTTGTACCCGCTTCTAACCCTTTTAATCATTTCAAGACATACGCTTGGTTTGGTTTGTATTAGGGAATCTAAAAGAAACATTCTGTTTAGTCATTTCATTCCGTATTTCAAGTCTTATTAACGAATTATATACCTTGCATCAAAACCAACTAAAGATTGAGTTAGAAATCATTTCTAATGGCTTGTAAAAGTCTTACCAGTTCCAAAGGTGAATCTCTGAGGAGTTTCTTGTTCTTCTTGTTCAGCCATCTTGTTTTTCTTGTTAAACAGTCGAAGGGGGAGTTAGCAAAGGATAGGTTGGTCAAGACAGAAGCCGACACACCAGTAACACGTAGGACAATAAAGAAAGAATCAAACTCTCCTAAAATTTACTCCGTACTAAAAAGATTTTTTTTAAAAAACTTCCTACTGTGTATTTTTGTTTATAAAATCAAACAAACTCTCTACTTTCCATACGAGTTAACAATGTCTTAATGCACTTCCGATTCCACAACGCTGAAACGCTTAGATTGAAATGTATTTTTCTTTCTTTTAATTTATTTTGTTTACAAAAATACGATTGATATGGACCTATACACTCTCAGTGTTAAACCACATTGACGTTTAGGCTTATACCGCGGATCTAACAATTAAGCCTAGTTTGTAGAGAATCTGTTAAAGAGAGTATTCTTTTTATTTGGAATTTCCGGTTCCTTTGGCTACGTTTGAATTGGAAACGCTCATCTGTTGATTTTAAAGACCTGCCGTTTCACATTGGATAAGTGGCTGTTCGAAATGTTAAGGCGTTTTCTTCCAAAAGCAGAAGAACCAGTCTTATAGGAGAAATGTCTAATAAGCTTTAGTCAGCGATTACGCTGTTTTGGTTTCACTCTGATCGGAAATTTCTCACATAGCTTGTAGATTTAAAATCCCGGTTTCCTTGCCGTTCCACCCAACTTATGAGTTTTTCTCATTTTTTTTCTCGAACAAAACCGTTCATTCTGGATTTTGGCACTTCTTAGATGTTTTACCACTGTTTACTTATGAGGTATTCTTGTGTTTCGGTGATAAGCAATAGAAATAAGAGAAGTGGGAAGTCGAATGACTGAATGTTGAAAGAAATGAAAACTTGCTAAATGAAAATAATGCCTATCTGGATCGTACTGTCTAGTCTCTTTCAGTTTCGTTGTTTGAAAGCTAACATCTTCTCATCTTATGGAAAATGGCTCCTGTTTCGACTTCTTGGAATCAAACCAGGAAAAAAAATAAGACTAGACGGCACAGTCCAGACTAAAAGCATTATTAATAAAAAACATGCTTTGTAATGCAATTCCATATAGCCTCTACAGCAATTACATCCATATATCGTATTAAGGTATGAGAAGTCCACCTCATGAATTGTGAACTACAACGAGGAACAAACTGCAATACACCATTGAATCTGTCAGCTGTCTTCTTCAAATCTCAATTTAGGCAGTCGGACTTGCTACTGTTTAAGGAAAATATCTTGCTTTTATTTTATTTTTGATTTCTCTTTCCTAAAACCTTGCAAGGCATTCCTTCTTTTCTGAAAAAAATTTCAGACTTTTCTGGTTTGGACTTATTTTATCGAGCTAGCATTCTCTTGCTGTATTCCAGCATACTAATTTTTATTTTCAATGAAGGTAAAAGTCTATTCTACTATTTGAGGTTACGAATCAAGAATTTTCAAGGTTGACGGATAATTTTCTATGATAGATATCCTCTCCATTATTCTTGGGCGTTACTCTCGCTTGAGAGATTAATATATATTTTTGTTGAAGGAGTAATTGTACTAACACTTTTGTATTAGATTTACCCTAGTTTGGAGGAAGCGAAGCTAATCGCTAAAGAACATAATGCAACCAAAATTCCTGTTTATGGTGTGATTCCAGCGGATTTGCTTACACCCTCTATTGCCTACTTAAAGCTTTCTCAGGGAAAGCGTTATTCTTACATTCTCGAAAGCGTTTCTCAAGGTGAAAATGTATCTCGTTATAGCTTTATCGGTAGTCCATACCGAGTACTTATGGCTAATGGATCTGAAGATCCTTTAGCTCGTTTGGAACGTGAATTGAAAGAGGTGAAGATCGCTCCTGTTCAAGGACTTCCCTCTTTTAGCGGTGGTGCTGTCGGCTATGTTTCTTATGACTGTATAAAATACTTTGAACCCACCACCGACGTACCCACCCAAGACAGTCTTGGCTTACCAGAGGCACTTTTCTTTATGACAGACGATTTGATTGCCTTTGATCATGCTTACCAAACTGTAAAAATAATCTCCCATATTTGTGTTGATCAAGGAAGACCAATGGAAGAAGCTTATGAAGCTGCAATGTTTAAAATTAACATGATTCATAAGAAACTTGATGCTCCGGAAATTCCTTTGCCTCCTCAGAAAGAGATTAATCTTGGATACGAAGCTAAATCAAACACTGGCGAGGAAGGTTACAAGAATTATGTCTCTACTTTGAAGAAGCATATTCATCAAGGTGACATATTTCAAGCCGTTCCTAGCCAACGTCTTTCCCGTCCTACGGACTTGCATCCGTTCAATTTATATCGTCATTTACGTACTGTCAATCCTTCCCCTTATATGTTCTATCTAAACTGTGATGAGTTTGACATTATTGGTGCTTCTCCTGAATTGTTGGTCAAGTCGGAAGATGGCCGCATTATCAATCATCCTATTGCCGGTACTGTTCCTCGAGGAAAAACTCAAGAGGAAGATGAAGCTCTTGCAAATGAGTTACTTTCTAGTGTCAAAGATCGCGCTGAACATGTTATGCTTGTTGATCTTGCAAGGAACGACGTGAACCGTGTTTGTGATTTGGACACTACTCGCGTTGATCGATTAATGACCATTGAGAAGTTTTCTCATGTTCAGCACCTAGTCTCTCAAGTTTCTGGTGTTTTAAGAGAAGGAAAGACTAGATTTGATGCATTCCGTAGCATTTTTCCTGCAGGTACTGTTAGTGGCTCTCCTAAGGTGCGCGCTATTCAACTAGTTGCTGGCTTAGAAAATGAGAAGCGTGGTATTTATGCAGGTGCTGTTGGCCATTGGGGATACAAAGAAGATCAAATGGACACTTGTATTGCAATTCGAACCATGGTGTACAAAAACGGTGTTCTTTACTTGCAAGCTGGTGGTGGCATCGTTTTCGATTCTGATGAGCAAGCTGAATATATTGAGACTATAAACAAACTCAGATCTAACGTTACAGCAATTAACGAAGCAGAGAAGTTGTATGCAAAGGCCCAAAAAGAATAAATATTGGAAATGGTATAAAGAATGACTACTTCGAAAAAATTTTAAGTTTAGTGTTAGAAAATTTTGATGCAATAAAATAGATTTGATAAATAAGCTAATAATATCGTATCTAAAATATTGCAAGGATTGAGTTATCAACAGTCTCATTACCATTAATTCTATTTTTAAATGTCATTTTGGATGAACCCAGAAAAATAACTAGAAATGTTACCAAATATGAAAAGGACGGAACGATGCACGTTGTGCCAAAGTCCCATGTTTGTCGATATTCTCAAACCCCAATCCATAAAAGTAAAAGAAGGGTCAGCAGCTTAACTTAAATACTGAAACAAAGCAACCAAATCTGTTGTTAAGTGAAAAAATTTCCAAACAGGAAACCAAAAAATGTATCGTCAAGGAGGAACCAAAGCTAAACAAACGAAAATATTATGTGAGGTAAAGCATCCAGGCTTTTTATTAAGAATTTCATGGAACTCAAGAATAATAATACAAGTTCTGCATCTGAAAATTCTACAGACGATATAGTAAAAAAATAAAGTAGTTAGGAAGTGTCTTCTCGAACCGTTAGATTACCAAGCAGCATCTCCTCCATCCTGATATGGTGACCAGTTCATTTCTGGATTCTCATCCATAGGAACCTCATTAGCAGTCATCTGAGCAGGTTGTTCTTCATCTAAGTCACGAACCAAAACCGCAAGCTTTTCCTGTAGAACCCGTAAGCCCTGAACCATAATTTCGTTTGGAGGAATTGAGCCAACTCCTTCAACTTCCATGTAAAATCTTCTTGGTTCTTCTTGATAATTGATTGCTTCACCTTCACGAGGAGGTTCTTCCCAATCTGCATTTTTGCTTTTAGGCCATTCAGCATCTGCATCATTTTCAAACCAATAATCTGTGTGTCGTAATTTATTCCAGGGATCATACTCGAATGCAACAGCAGCAGTTGGGGACCACTTTGCGTGTTCTTTAGCAATTCCCTTTTTCGCAATACAGCGAAGAGAAATTTCTTGCTCCTTACGAAGCTTGCAAATTAATGGTCCTCTTGCTTTAGGATCAGCAAGTATAGGTTGACCCAGCGTTGAATTAGATGACACGACGAGATCTCTTGCGTATACTTCCATGGTACCTTCGCCAAGACATTTGGCGTTTAAATTCATCTCAACTGAACATTTCGCACAATATTGATCACAGTCACAGTTTCTGGTATACTCCAATCCTACCGGAGGAGGTTCATCAATGTTGGTACTATTTAAGGGAATCATACCAAGACGGTGTGCTAAAAATTCATCAGGCATAACAGACGTATTTACGTTAATTTCAACCAAATCAATCGCTTTTTCTGTTAGAATCTTATTCAATGTAAATTCATTTTATTACATACCGACCGTAGGAATCTCTGCAAGAACGACGCGTCGCAAAGAATTTGCAATTCTGACTCTTGTAAGCATGCTCTTGGTTCTATTTTTTAACTTACGATAAATCAGTATTTGTAAGGACAAAGTCCACTGAATTTTTACTTATATTTCGAATCGTTGTATGCGTTTCTGCATTCATTTTATGTTGGAATGTCTGGTCAAGGCCAACTTCTTAGTCCAAATTCTCTGAGCAACTCTTTAGTGACTCCGAGTGTAGCGCATAAATTGCTTTGGGCGCTAGAGAAAACCTCCTTAAAGCAAAGTAACATGTTACTAAATTCGCTGAAACCTTTGATCCAGGTTGAGAACGCTAAACAAAACGCGTCTTTCCTTGAATTTTAAAAAAATAGGTCACACTTGAAAAATTAATTGGATTTTTCTTTAAATAAGAATACCTAAAAAATATAGTACTCAATGCCGAAATCATTCACAAAAATTAAGGCCGTTTTGGATAATGTCCGGGTAGGACAGCTTGCCATTCCTTTACCAAAGAATGTTGTTGAGGTGCGCGTTCAATATTCTTTGAATAATAAGAATGGTCATATGGGAGCTAAGTATGTTTACTTTTTTAAAAGGACCGGTTTCCGAAGTCTTATCAAATATTTTGAAGAAGCCGATGGACGACGCATTCTAATTGAATCGCATTTCTTTTTCTTTTTTGCTGTAGACCGGTTTTTTCTAACGTCTCATTATTATTTTTCAATTCACTAACCAAGTTCCAGAAAGTTTGTAAAAGAATACCTCCCAAGCTTGAAATATCACAACGAGCACATCAAATTCAACGTTGAACACAAATTACCAAATGTGAAAGCACCAACATTTTCCGTTCATACTTCTGAGGGTCCTTTATTTAGTTACGGCATGAAGTTGAAACATTCCGAAACCATCTCTAATGATATAAAAGCCGAGTTGCTAAAGGCTACTCAGTCAGAGCCATAAAAATATCTTTGCAAATAAACCAACTGTTTTATATTTGTATTTCGACCAAGCGCGCGATTTTACAAACTCATTTTGGAGTTCATGGTCCAAATTCAGGTCTTCCGTTATTCTTTCATCAACGACACTGTTCATAATCTCATTTTAATAGCATTCCGTTTGTCTGCCGAGTTCAAGCTTTATCTGCAACGTCAATCATCTGGACATCCTGCTTAAGAAACAAAGGATCAGAATTAAAATATATGAAATTAAATTTAGACGGTGTAAATTGTTTAGGTCAACTAATGAATTCATTGTAGTACGTCTTCAATTCACTTTGTTCAAACATACCGAATACTATCTCGCAAAGCCAGGTGAAACATTAGTTGAATATCGTTTGCAATTATTGATCAAAATAAATAGACAACCATCGTTGAAATATTCGTGTAGAACCTGTCATATCAAATCCAGGCAATCACGCTGTATTATAATTCTTTCCTTCCGGTATTAACAGCGGCCGTTTGGTCTAGTGGTATGATACCATCTTAGGGTGATGGTGGTCCTGGGTTCGATTCCCAGAACAGCCCAATTTTTACTTCATTCATTAATTTAATTATTTACTTCTAATAATTTGTCTTATACACAAGGTTAACAAGTCCCGGGTAGCTCAATCGGTTTAGAGCGTCTGACTCTTAAGAAGGTCATCAGAAGGTTGCGAGTTCGAGTCTCGCCTTGGGAGTTCCTTTTTTTCAGACTTTTTCATACCATAATTTGCTATAACCAAAGAGAACCTGCTAGTAAGCCAAGTTTGGTCTTGAAGATGAAGCTTCTTATTATTCTTCTAAGCCTTCTCCATGCTTGATTGATCTCAGCTAATCGCAATGACATTCCAAATGATTTTCTACCTTCTTATGCGTAACAAACACTCCCGGCAGCCAATCTTTGTAGTGTTTTGTTTTACAATACTATTAGATATCTCCATTTCATAAAGAAGTTAATTGAAGCGTTTCTGCCTTTGAAAATTGCAGTTTAAATATCAAAGTACAATGTCACTTGAATGTAAACACTTTCAAAATCTTCAAATTCTCAAGTTTTGCAGGGCCTTTTCTTTTTGGTTATTTCATCCTAATTTTATTGCTTATTATTTTTTTTTTTACTAATCGAACTTAACATTTGTATTTAAGTTATCCCCTCATAGGCATTTTTGGTTTAAAGCAGTGTCATGAAGTTTCCAGCGTTTTGGAAGCCAACAGAGCTTTACAATACTCTTGTTACAGACTATCCAAAAATCCCCTCATTAGAAACCTATGAATGGAGATATATATTGGAACATGACGTTTGCTACGAAGCTAGCGTTTTTGAGAAAATGGTCATGGAACTCGTGTATCATCCTGAACGGACTAGCAGTGTAATTATGCGAACGGACATTTTATGTGACTCAAATAATGAATCTTCTTTACATGAAACATCCGAGGTTGTCCTTAACAGCGACTATTACCAAGTCGACCGCAGGATATGCCGTCGAATTATCCCTCGAAATCAACAATTGGATGCTTCTATGGAACAAGAAGCAATTTTAATGAAGGGAACAGACGATAGAAACAAAAGACTTTTACTGTACTTACCAAAACTTGACTTAACTTTGGAGCAACCATACGACCATCTACCCTATTACCACCCTGCAGTTGCTGGAGTTGCTTTGGAATACACTTCAACCAAAATCCGTGCTGCTTACTTATTAAATTCTAAGCATCAGCAAGAGCTTTCAATGAGGCTTCAGAGGACTGCCAATATGCTGTTGATGGTTTTACACAAACATTGCAAGGGTACAGTGGAAGGATATGAAAAACGTATGCTGCATGATACGGTAGTCGAAAGGAATAAATTTCAAGACACGTATGTAGAACTAAAAAAGAAATACGCGAAGCAATTAATTGAAGGCTGGGTTGAAAAAACAGATCCGAAGAAGCATGTATTTGAAGATTTGGGAATCGCTACATTTTTGATAGAGCTCTGGAAACAGATGTATCCTTCAAAACAATCATTTAATTTTGTTGACATCGGTTGCGGGAATGGGCTACTAGTACATATTCTTCTTTCAGAGGGCTACCTGGGCTATGGTTTTGATGCTCGCGAACGGAAATCGTGGAAAATATATCCCGAGTTTGTTCAGAGGAATTTGTCTGAAAAAGTACTGGTGCCGTTCTTCCTTAAAGATCTTGAGGATCAACCATTGCCGTTTATCCCAGTTGAGAGCTTTACGATTCACGATGGAAGGTTTCCTGTGAATTCATTCATTATCGGTAATCATGCAGATGAGCTAACACCCTATATTCCAATATTAGCCCGTTTGAACAAGAAATCTTCTTTCATTTCAATACCATGCTGCGTCCATGATTTAACGGGAGCGAAGATATCTTGGTCCCTTCCGAAGCCTAGAGACAAAAAGCACGGTGGACGATATGCAATGTACATTGAATGGCTTCGTCAATTGTCTGAACGCTTTGACTGGAAAGTTGAAATAGAGCCTCTGCGAATTCCCAGTACTAGAAATTACGCCTTGATTGGGCGATCTATACAAGAAAATAGTTCATCGGAGGGTGCAACTTTTCCTCCTGAGACATTAAAAAAAATAATAGACGAGAATCATGGAGCTTCAGGATTTTTACAGCACGCTATTCAGGTAGCAACGTCAAATTCAAGATCTCATTGAATTCAAAGCCATAGTTTATTTTGTACAAATGTTATCTGATCATTTTTCAGCGTAAGATAACATTAAATTTAGCGATTCGTGTAAATGTGACTTGCTTTTAAATGGTAGAAAAAGGACTCCTAAATGTTTTGGAAATTTACCAACTCCACTACTCTCTGAGACCGATACAGTTCGTGAGCTAATAAGTAATTATTGGCCGTTCTATGACTATTGGTCATTTAGTTTGGTGGTAGAAGAATTGCCATTGTATCTGCCAACCTGATTTGAAATGAAGCTGTTGGTTCGTAAAAATGGCTATATACCAGATTTTATATATTATTTATTATTTTAGATAGAGATATTAAGTAGACAATGTGTCTTTTATATGTAATTTCATGATAAAATCCGGGAATAAGAAATTTGGTTGGAAGTATTAGGTTTGATAAAAACGAACTTTGACAAATTCCCTCATATTCAATAAATAGATCTTGTAATCCACGAAGTTTTTCGTAAGTAATTTACTTTTTCTGTTGTGTGTATTTCGTTAGATCATTTTGAGGGGACATTAAGAGGTTATAGCAAACGATTGAGAACCCTGACGAAACGAAATCTGCTTGTATGTAATATAAGAAAAATTACAATCTCGATAATGCTTCCGTATGGACAACGTTCGGGCAGACCTCTGATGGTTTCTGGACACTGAAGCCATTTACTTGGAGAGAAAACACCAACACTTCGCAATAACAGTATGCTGTCTAAACGAGGGTATAACCCGGTGCAAGCGGAAACAAAAAAGAAGAAAAAGAGGGAACAAAACAAGCTCCGTGAAGAACGAGCCAAACGGTACGAAGAAAAGCTATCGCATAAAAATGTAGGACAATTAGAGCGTCAAATCGCGGAATTGTCTGCCTTGGAAGGATCACAAGGTCTAAACGCTCATGATAAACAAATATTGCAAAATTTAGAAAAGGATTTAGCGGTCATACGAAAGAAGAATATTCATGGTCATTCGGTAGGCAGGATTGAGTCTGAAAAAACAAAAGAAGAAGAAAGAAGGATCAAACCGAAGCGCCCTTTCATTCCAAAAAATCCTAAAAAAAGTATTTATTATGATCCAGTGTTTAATCCATACGGCGTACCTCCTCCGGGAATGTCGTATCGCGAAAAGGAAGAAGAAAGTTCAGAGACTGATGAGTCCGTAATCGACATACCTATCCCTGAAGGAGAATATCCTTTTGAGGAACAGAAGAAAAAAGATAACAGAAAACCTCGTAATGTTGCAAGACGGCGAGATGATATTAAATTGGCCGAGGTAACTCCAAATAGTAAACCATCAGATGCTCCGGGAATGGAAGAAAAGCAAGAAACTGATACTCAAGAAAAGGACGTTGTTACAGAGTATTCTGCTCAACCAATCGTCCGCGATTTGCGAAAGGAAGCTACTCAATTTCTTCCCGCAACTGTGCGCAACCAAAAGCGCAAATTTAGGGAAGACGAATCGCCGGTAACTGACGATTCGTCTAAAGGAAAACAGAACCTGGATTCAGAAAACGAACTAAATAAATTTTATCAAGAACTCAACGGAGCGTAACGACGCCAAACCCTTGTCTGCATTTTCGTTAATGATTAAAAAGGATGTATTTATTGGATTTCTTATTACATTCACCAACTTTGTTTTCAGTAAGTAGATGATAGAATACCTGAAACGAAATGAATTATTTTACGTAAATTCTCTTTTTGTGTTTGTTTGTATGGTTCCCATGAAATATGTATCACTGTTTACAATACTTTCATGATATTTCGTCTTGTAATAAAACATACACAGTCATTTCTGCTTTTGCATTCATTTTCCTTCCTGACAGAGCATTCTCAATTGAGCTTCATGATATGTCTAAAATTTGATCATTTTATTGAATGGTATTAAGAACAAACCGAATATTTTTTAATTATTTTTCCTTAAATTCACTATTTGCCAACTTTTATTTACTTTTATTCTATAATTCACCTCTAACCTGAAAAGAAACCTGAGCGTTATTTCAGGTTTGACCTTCAAGATTCATTCCCCTTAGGAATGGGTCGTTTGCTGTTAGATTTGGAGCCAGTTCCGTGGAAAAAGAAGGAATTGAGCGATGATGAGCGAATACTATCTTTCTTGGACTTTATACGACCGAAACACGCGGAGCTAGAATATCGAAAAGAGATTGTTCAAAAGCTTCTGAATCATTTGCAAAATGTACTCTCAAATCCAGAATTGCAGGAGTATGGAAGCTTGTTTACTGGTCTCTCTTTAAATATTAGTGATATTGACTTGTCCTTAAAGAGTCCTGCTGTAGGCGAGATGGATAAGCGACGTGTGACAATGTTTTTACGCACGTATTATGATCCAAACACGGAATTTCATTTTGGTGCACGAGTTCCGCGCGTTTACTTTCACGATGTGAGCGGTATCGCCATAGACTTGACATTTGCGAACGAAAAGGCTTGTCTTAGTGCTGAACTGCAGTTAGCATATTGTAAGAAAAATCCAGTTTATGGAACGTTATTGATGCTTTTGAAACATTGGGTTTATGAGCGAGACCTAGACCGTGTTCATCATGGTGGAATCAGCAGCTGTGCACTTTCTTACATGTTAATCGGATGGCTCGAAATGAGATATCATAAAAAGGGCTTGTCATCAAAGGAACAGCCTTTACGATCTCTACTACAAGACTTCTTTCATTTTTGGGGTGTCGAATGGTCTTACGAACTCTTTGTTTTACGTCCACTGACAGGACAAATAGTACCAAAATTACAAAAAGGATGGTTTCACGAGGCTGTACCAAACTTGTTATCTATTGAAGATCCGTTGGAGAAAAACAATGACATTGGAAAACAATCTTTCCAGATAGCTATGATTCAAGCCGCTTTCCTAGCTTCATATAATGAACTATTGTCTGATAAAGAGTGGCTTAATACTTTTGCCATCACAGAAGCAGAGCTCAAGTTATGCGAAAAGACAAGCATAGCTATGCATCCCCCATCGCTGGTTTCTCAATACGACGATGACGATGAGGAATCTCAGTGATGAAACATGGTATAGTGGAATACAGGACTACATACATGGCTTACAATACAGGGACGTATTCAGTAGGACTAAACCCTTACAGACAACTGAATGTAATTACATATAACTACCAAAGGTACGAATAGGTTGCATTCATTTTTTGTTCATGGTCTACTTTTAAGTATAAACGAGAAGACCACTTGAGTTTGGAACTTTTCCGTGTATGAATTACATTCATCAATTTTGCAAGGAAAAAGGAAAGGTACTGACCCCAAATAATAGGAGATGTATGTTCTATGCACTTGGAATTTTCTATCGGTCATCTTATTGTAGATGATGTACAAGAATGGCTGTCTCTTCGTTTCCTGAATCGCTCAATTCTGTAAATCCTCGGCCCAAAAACCAGTTTTTAGAGTCTAATGCCAAAGGGAGTTGAACGTAAACTTCCTTTGATCCGATTTCTTTAGCGCTGTTTATGACATGCTCCAAAAGTTGGGATCCCACACCATATTTTCGGTAAGCTGGTAACACGCCTAAAGACAAAATTTGCAGTTTATTGCTTTTGTTGTGAGTCTCTTTTTTACAGCGAACAGCTCCTACACAAACGTTGTTGAAATACGCATATTGTGCTAAGGGTCCTATTTGCAAAGTTTCTTTGTAATACTGAGGAGAAAACGAACGAATTTCTTCTGGAATTGTTTTCTGGTTTATCACTTCCAAAACTTTTAAGTTATTTGAATTTATGGCGTCCAACTCAATCATTTTAGTTTCGTTTCTGTCTCTGTTTATGGATACCTTTTTGGTGTTAAAAAAATAAATTTGGGCGCTATGATATATAACGGTAACTCACTCAAACGGATTTGAAAATGGTCTATAAAATTCTGGTGGAGTTCGTTGGATTTCACTAAAATCCGAAAAAGAATGTGAGGATTTCGGCGATGGATGCATAGACATTGGTATGGCTGTAAAGGATTCTTCTCTTGTTATCGGACAGTTATTTTCATAATGAAGACAAGGAGCCTCTTTTTCTCTCTCGAAGGAAGTATTTTCAAGTAAGAGCGAACTCAGTGCAGGATCTTCTTTCTTCTCATTCTGTTTATGGTCACCAATATCTAGCTGTTCATCTTGCTGAATCGTTTGAAGAAGCCATTTTGGTTGATACTTAGTTGCGCTGCATAATGTTCCTAGCAAACTCAAGAAGTTCAGAAATCCCCAAATTGTAAGCGCTGAAAACGCAAGTCCTTGGACGATTATGATAACGATCCCAATCACAACCTTAAAGATGATATTTGAATTGAAGGCCATTGGTATTAGTAATGCCATAGACAAAAGACGTACAATGCTAACCAAAAGTGCGCACATCATGCTGTAAAGTCCAAAGTATGGACGAAATCCAATTAACGAAGCAGTTGCAAGCACTTCAAAAATGAAGAGTACAATAGCTTGGGCTTTCCCATGATTTTGAAGAAGTGCGAAGAAGAGGCCTGAAAGGAGGACTACCGTGAAACGTATGAGGAAGAAGTACCAATAGCGCTCCTTCAAACTCATATACATCCAACTCAACCACGGTAGTACATTTTGATCAGGAAGGCTTTCTTCCTTTGAATTTTTGTTTACATATTGATTGTTACGGATAGTTTTCGCTAAGCTTATAAAGCACCAAGCAAAGATCCCCACTAATAAGGCGAGCAGTATAGCCGCTAGAATTACAGGACCATAGGCATCTCTTAATGTAAACTGGAAGCAAGAAAACATGATCAGAATAGGAAGACAGAGAAAAACCTATAATAAGTTAGAAATTGACTGACTCATGAACGGCCTACCCATTTCATAAGTGCATTGCAAAGGAGTCTTTTCCAACATTCTACTGCGTTATTATTGCAAGAAGGGAGATGCTTGAAATAAAGTTTTTGAAAAAGTGTATTAATGCACAGAAAACCAAACATAATTCCTCCGATAATTCCGATTGAGATTACAAACCATATCAGTGAAAGTGTAAATAAATCATTTGAAGGGATATGAAGTTTGTTTGCTAATCCTACCAATCCGGAGTATGTACCAATGATAGAATCTTCAGATTTGAATGCAGTTGTTGTGCGACGTTGTATGTCAATCGACCGTGAATTTCTATCACCACCTGAATGTTTCAAAAACGAGTTTATGCTGTTTTTGAGTTTTTTATCTGGGATCAATCCTATAATCCATGCAAAGTTACTGGACCACGATACCAAAATTTTTGGTTGTTCAACCCCAACGGCTGAGGTTAGAACGATACAATGTAGAAAGTCCACTATGTATTGAATTGAAGGCATGGAATTTGTAATTACGGGTCGCAGCATATACAAATCATGTTTCATGCCAATCGCACAGAAGCCAAGAAATCCGACAATGGCCAAACAAAAAGAAAAGATCGAGAGTGCCAGAATCACCCTTTTTTGAAATGTGTGCCCATTCTTTAAAGATGCCGAAATGCACGCAAGAGATTGTGCTTCGTTTATAGATGAGTTCTCTAAATCCTCTGTGCGATACATCCTAAATTTGACAAATCCCTCAAAATCAGGAATGGTCCATGCTAGATTCGGAACCATTTTGACATCTTGATAGCTAATTGGAAGTACGCCCTGTGCTTCAATTATTGAGTCTTTTTTTATCGGGCAAACATTTCCCAAGTTCATGTCGCATGGATCAAACGTGAATCTAGCACGCTGGCTGCCGTAAGCATCGACCACTATATCAAATGTTACATTTGCATCCAAATTGGAACGACCATGTATGTCTAAAACAATAGACAAGTTACGTGAATAGTAAGTGGCATCGAATCTATCAAAAGATACTAGAGAATCCTGCATACATGAAGTATATTCAGCGGTATAAAGACGATTATCTGGTCGCTTTTTTATTCGAATTAATCCCTCTGATGGAAGTATCAAACCGCAAATTAACGTTAGTAGCACTATTAATACACATATCATTTTCTTCCTTTCATTAAGCAAAGGTTAAATCGAAGCAACAAACTCATAGTTTTTAACTGAATTATTTTCTTTATGACCGCATTGTAACGATTTTGACTTTATTAAGTTCAGATTTTCTTAGCTAGAATGCTGTCAACTGATGGTAATGTTGACGAAACACTAGAATTTTTAACACACTACTAAATGAACCCTTCTTACAATATTAGAAAACTTCAAATAAATAAATACATCTGTTTGTATAGGATATATTACTTTACTCGGATTTTGTAGTAATGAATGTAACCTCAAGCATTGAGTGGGTTTCGAAAAGATGCTAATTGTTTTTCATTAAAACAGCGACAAGTATAAATAAAAAAGGCCAATGAAAAATCCTTAATAAGAGTATAATAAACCGTTAATCTTTAGAGCTTTCATGATCCTTTTCATGATATAATGTAGTCAATTGTTGCATGAGACAATTACGAAAAGGGGTCAATAAATGCTTTTTAGTCATAGTTAAATTCATATTGCAGTCCGGTAATTGGGGTTGAGGAGCGCCTTTAGCTGTAGTTGGAGTGATGATAGCAGATCCAAAAAGTTTGGCCAAATGAAAATACCATTCACTTGTGCATTCGTTCTTTTCAATTGAAACTTCCTGTTGTTTTTTTAAGTCATTACTGTAAGCTTGAATCTCATGCAAAACCTTCTGCTTAGTATCGTCATCCAAGGAGTTCAGTGCATCTTGAGCGGCCTTAACGGTATCTGGCGACCTGGAATTGATTTTACATTCATCTAGACAATGGCGGTACCAAACGCACCATTGAGCACATAAATCAGGGGCATTGACTACTAAACGATGAACAAAACGAAGAAAACAGCTCTGATATTTCTCAACCAGTTCAACGAAGCTCGACAAAGGAGAAGCTGCCTTCGAGAGTTGGATAAGATCGTACATAAAACACTGGAAATCATAAATTGCCTGTGAAAAATCCGCAGCTTGATGAGCATCGTAAATAATTGTGTAAAAGCAACTCATGACCTCTCTTACTATATCAGTCAACTGATCGCCTTCACACAAGTCATGAATAAGGCATTCACGGTCACGGTGTGTCAAAACAGCATCAAGGTACTTCATCGCCGTTTGGACCCCAACATCTGAAAAGGGATCAAATTTACGACTATCTTTCTCACCATCACTTGATAAAGAAACTGTATAAACCTCGGAGGAATCGACATTGCTTTCTGAAGTAACTTTTTCTTCTGCGGAGCCAGTAACATCAGTTTTTAATTTTTTTTCATTTTGATGCTCCTTTAAGACCGCAACAGTTATATTAAGCTTTTTCTGGATGCTTTGGTCACGAACTTCATCTTGACGAATTCTAGGTAGTTGCGCATACCATTGAATTGCTTCTCTCATTTGAGTCCATTCCGGATCATCATCAAATTTTGTATCAATTTCTTTTAATAAATTATCTGTGTGTTCCAGATCGGCGTTGAAAATTCCTGAAAGCATCGTCTGAAGCAAATTACGGCTTTCGGCAAACCACGAGAGAGGTTTCATCAGAAACAATCGAGTAAGCCCAGACATTAAAAGCCCAGCATTCCCTACTCGGAGAACCTGTCGAGTCAAAAACCATGGAACACGATTATATATGCGCTCAACAATTCCTTCCGGCCCCTTTCCATTATTTTCGAGATGAGGTGATTGTGGAATTCTGTCCACAATTACGAAAACGAAATGTAAAAGAGATGCAATTGTATAGCGAACATTCTCAGCTAGCGACTTTAAAGGTTCGTCCCAGGTGCTAATGTCTTCAGACTCACCGAGGAGACGAATAAATTCGTCCAAACCATCGCCGTACACAAAAAGGGAGTATGCTTCATTTAATCTCTCTCTTGAAGGATACTTAATCGGTCTTGAGCTTTCATCGAAAGTTACATTTGCAAGACTCTTCTGCACTGCATTTGTAGCATCGCTTTCTGTAGGTACCGACGTTTTTGAGTTGGGTGAATTTTTCACATTTGAATGAGATGGATTATCCCCATCCTTATTGTCTTTTTGTTCCTTATTTTTGAAATCTACAGGAGCTTTTCCCATAAGCCCTTTGGCCAATACATGCATAACAACAATTACGGCAAACCCGATCATTTTTCGCTTGCTAACCCGGCCATGGTCGTACGAGTCCGAAAGGTTATGCTTGCCAATTTTTTCTAATAAAGGCTGAAGTTGTCCGCTCCAAAACTCATCCGGTGCCTTGTTCACACCTGGAAGGGTGGGTGTAAATATGCAATTCTGTACGATAAATGTCATAACTGGAGAGACATCAGCGTCCAAAAACTCTTCCTTAAGCTTAAATGGAGGTCCAAACTTTGCTAGTCGACCTAGATTCTCAGTTAGACTTCTATAACATTGCTACCGTGAAACTTAGTTAAACAGTCGATTGTTCCTCTCTACTGCCATTTTTTTTGATAAAAATAAATGCATTAAGATTCATTCTTATTCATGAATATCTAAAGCAGTCAAAATCCTTCGGAGAAGACCCTCTTCGAAGTTGTTCAAAGGAAATCGGCCATTACCTCGTATGCAAAACCATTTTGACTTACCAGGAATTTTGAGGCCGCTAAACTCATGCTGCAGCTCAAGAAGCAGCAATATTGATGTTAAATCATCCATTTTTGTAGCTTCAACTTTTCAGGAAGAAGGCATTGACACTGGGTAACTAACATTTGGTAATGACGAAAGCATACTTTGGATTGAATAACGAGCAACAACGCATGCGTTATTCAGAATTCAGTTTAACACCTATTAAGTTTTCCTTTTTGGTACTAAGAAACAAGTGACTTTGCAAACGTAAATAAACAGAAAAACGTACGACTAAATGTTGAACAAAATGCATTAGCAAATAATAGAGAAAATAGTACAGCAATTGTATAGAAAAGCGTATCATGAAAATTAAACAATGAACAATGAGGGATTCAGAGGAGACAGAAAAGAAGAAACCACGAAGAAGCATCCGCACTAACCAAATCTTCGTGGTGTAGTAGATGTAGATGCAATCGACGGTGGTCGAGTTGGTCTAGGTGTAGATTTTCCATTTATTGATGATGCGCTGCTACCCGGAGGTCTCGTTGGATAACGACTTGTGTCATATAAAGCTGTCATCGGGTCTTCTAAAATTGGAATAACTGGTTCACTTAATCCTATAAGAAAAAATAATTAGTATTTAAACTTGGATTACGAATCTAATAGACTTGGATAGTATTACTTACCCTTATGAGGCGGTGGGCGGCCAGTCCAAGTATAACGGCGATCGCTCGAAGAGGAGGCACTCGATGGAATCCCTATTGAACTTGAGGACATCTGAGAGTTTCTTCGATTCCTTCGTTGCGTCAACGTAAGCATATCGAAAGCAGGTGCTCCTCCTGCTACTGAAGCAGTTTCACTGGGAGCATTAGGAACCAATCCGTCGGACATGCTAAGAATATCTGACACCGACCCCGCTTTGTTCATGGTGAAGGGGCTTCCACGCATATTCCTTCCTGTAAACCTTGTTGGCATTGCTCTTCCTTCAAGACCTGCTGGGGAAGATAAATTAACCATGGATGCACTTGGAATTTTATACATTGAGCGATTTGAGGGTACTTGGGAAGTTGATGAGGAAGTAAATTGTCGTTTGTTCAAGAGATCATCCATACTACCCATCCTTGTAGACATACCCAATGTGGAACGTGATGGAGATCGTGCAGTTAACCCAGGTGGTGATACACGACTGGAGGGCATAGCTGGAATTGGATGAGGAACAGCAGGAGTAGATGTAAGATTTCTTTTAGCTTTTGCTTCAAACAAAGCGTAAATGGTCTCCATGTAGGGCACTAATACTTTATACCGATTGGCTAATTCAACCGGGTATCCCAACAGTACCTCAACTTCCAAAGGACGGTGAGCTAAATAATCCTGAAATATGTACGAGGGACGGGGGGCTGCTAACATTCGATTGGCAATAAACCGTTTCAATGATTCTTGTTTATCTATAGGAAAATCACAACCTTGCATCACAGCAATGGAAAATGCTTCGTTCATTATACCATTAATAATTTTCACAAAAGGTTTAGCTCTATAAATTAAAGACAAATTTGGTTCTTCATTTAATATAGAAATTGGAAAAAAGGCCATATGGCCAATTCCGGTTTCCCATTGTTTTTGCTGAATTTTAGGAAGGAATGTGCAAGATACACCGCCTGCTTCCAAAGTCAATGTTAACGTTTCAATCATGGCATCCTGAACGGAGTCTGGGACTTCATCTTCTTCGTCCGTTAGACCTAAATACATTACACTACTAGCAGTATCAGCAGCAAATGCAGTATGTTCAAACTGTAATGGTCCCCTCTGAACGAATTGGTCTTGAATTACGAAAGAAATAATAGAGTTGTTTGGGAAAGTCTCCTGTAAACTTTTTTCAGCACCAACGATCCCGGTAGTATTTAAGACGACACAGGTATGACCTGGGGTAACGACGTCTTTTATAGCAGTTCCAAGATCATAAACAGAAGGAAGAATTTTTAGGCATACAAACACGTAATCAAAAGGTTCGTCGTTTGTTACTAGTTGTTCAATTGTAGGGACAACTAAAAGAAGTATATTAATATTTATAACGAAGACAAAGTATATGAGACAATTCGATAAATTGAATAAAAAACATACCAACATCAGGTTTCCATTTAGTTGAACCAAACACGCTCGAACGAATACGAATGCCTTCAGACATTACGCTCTCACTTCGATTACGCCAAATTAAACTGGTATGGCAAGCTTGGCTCTCCGATAGGCGCCAGCCCATAAAAGCAGAAATAGCATTGCTACCGACTATAGCATTCTGAGTTAGTAACCTTTTGAAAGAAGTTATCTTCATAATCCCAGTTGGATTTATTTATTATAAAAAGGAAAGCATTGTCACGTACCGCTTAAAACTCTAAGTTTTGAAACTCCTTCTGTAGACATTATCGAAATATCTCCAGTGTTGCTAGAAAAGAATGAGAAAGGTAACACTGATGACTGCGATTGAGTAAATGTATATTATAATAAATAGAGTAAGTTTTTTCTTTTTAGATCAAATTAATGAAGCTTTTTGAAGTTCGGATTGCGCTTTAGTATCTACAGTTGTTGACTGAAAGCGTTCAACTACAGCACAAAATCTACCTGCAGAACTGCAAAAACTTCATGCAGTGTATTAAAAGAGAGTGAAATTCAGTATAATTAACGCTTGGAGCGATGAACCGCTCAATTTCCAAAATCCTTACTCTGTTTCGAAGTGTTCAGTGTATGGTAGTAGGTAAGTGCGTTAACGAATGTATGTATAGGGAATATAAGGAAACGATTTCATATTTTACATTAACTTTCCCACATATAAAAAGATTTGGAGTAATTCTTTTTACTACTCATTTTACTATTGCTGGTATTTGTTTTTCGTCTTCCTAATATCCTGTAAATTCCTCATTTATGACACGCTGAAATAAACAGTTTCTAACTAACGACTTCGACTAATCAAAATTATATACAAGATCAATGCTGTCTATATAGAATACGCTCATTAGCTATAATCTTTTGTCTTTGTCTCCACTATATTCGAAATCCAAACAAAATATCAGTAAATAAACTAAAGAGAAGAAAAGAACAGACAATGTCATTACGAAACAATCTAATATTGGTGATCATGTTCTACATAAATTAATTTGATGAGTATGTACGTATGTATGTAGTTCAACAGCAACAGCTTGGCAAAAATTGGATTGCGTTCATGATTAATGGATACAATTTCGTATAGGTGATAATAAACATTTTTCATTTTTCATATATCTGGACTCGACAATTAATTAAACTACAAAGCACCCATAGCTAAAACAAAACAATACCAGAGACAAGAGATATAAAATTGAACACAATCATTCTAGCTTCCTTAAATCTCTGGACTGTATGTTCACGTATTTTAACATACTTAATTACTCAAACACAATTTTCACGTCTTGTTGTCGCTATAGTGGTCGAAAAGTAATAGTAAGTCTGCTCAGCGATTAAACTCAGTCAAATAATTCAGTAATTAGAAGGTAACGATTAAAAATGCTAAACACGTTCAAAAAAACTCATCGGAAACAATAACATCAAATAAAGTCCATTAAAACAGAGGACTGATAAAATTAAAAAGAAAAAAATAAGAAAAGAATTGACTGTACATAATACAAAACTAAGAAAGGATATGCCATATTAAACGTCAGAGATACCACTGTCTCCGGAAATTTACATGACACTATACCAATCCCATGATGGCTTGGAAACCCTGTGCAAGTCGGTAGCATCCACTCCCATCGCTTGTGGGTCAGCAATGGAAGGCATCCCGTAATCAGTATCAAAGGTATCAAACAAGGGTGAATTTACGCTTTGCGGCGCTTCCGATTTTATTTTCCCTACCGAGGATTCACGCATATTGTTTGCAGAAGACATGCCCTTGTTGAAGGGCATTCCATACTCATTAGAACTCTGCGCGAATTCAGGAGATACTATAGCCGAAGGCTGTCTTACAGAAGGATCCTGCATTACTGGAGACTCTACAGACGTCCTTCTGTCAACCATCAAGCTATCATCGTTACTGCCGGGCTGTTGGGTTAAACCGGGAGAATAACTTTTTTGACCGGTTACTGTTTTAACCTTCACTTCTTCTTTAGCAACGGATTTATTAGAGCTTGATGGCTTAGAACCACTTTTTCGCGGTGCTGATTTTCTTGGGGTAGCGGACCGTGAAGCAGGAACACTAGCATTGCTTCCAGCACCACGGTTCCTTTTCTTTATAACATCCGTCTTTAAACTCAAAGGACGAACCACGCCATTAATTTTCATAAAAAGACCACATGCGTTACATAGTGGTTGACCATCAGGACTCCGGCGCCATAACGGAGTAGTATGAGTCTGACAATTTGTGCATGTAGGTGTACCGGACATACCTTTTTGAGTATTTTCTTTTTTGTCTTCAGTTGGTTTTTCCTTAGCGCTTGGATCAGGAAGATGATCGACATTTGGATTTAATAAAGGATGACTAGGAACAGCACCAGTTGCAGAAGCACGCTTCTTCATACCGGTTGACATTCCTTCCACCGAAGCTCCGGCGACCGACGTAGAAGATGTAGAGCGGTTCAGGTAAGGCATGTGGTTGTATATACCAGGACTTGATCCCATTAAAGTAGGTTCTTGAGAATTAACTTTTCGATGTGGGACGGCAGCAAATTGTGGACTCGATTGGTGGATATAATTGTGAGTGAAAGAAGATACCGAATTGTTGCGCAGAGGGGCGGCACCCATGGCCGTGCCAACACGCATAAATGGCGGAGAAAACATATCGGAACCGGGTAAGGAGTTATTTGAGCCTATACCATTGGATTCGGCGCCAGTGCCGGTCCATTCAGTGTTACGTTGAAAGGCGCTGCCAACAGATTCATTTTGGTCTTGGTTTAAGTCGACTGGTTGAGCCATATTAGCAACTGACCTGTTAGGCCCGTTACGGAACATGGAAGAACGACGGATACCGGCATGCGAAGCGGAATTAGGCAAAGAGCTTGCCATGTGCAAAGAAGACAAATTAGAGAAAGAGCCGGAGGAAGGAGCCAAAGGAGAAGACATATCAGTAGCTTGTTTGGGTAAATCAAATACATTATTATTAGCAGGCTCGGGGAAAAAGGATTGAGTCGGTGTCATACCAGCACTCAAAGGGGAAGATATGCCATAAAGATTTTGACTATTATAAGAGGTACCGAAGCCCTCTTCAGAGGGAGCGTGGCCACGCAAAGAACCGGTGGATATACTACCTGGAACAGGGAAACTAGAAGGGCCATGTTCGAAACTAAAGGAGGTAGCAGCAGAGGAAGAAAATAATCCGTCGTCATGATTTGTTCCAGCATCGACAAAAGAAGGAAATCCATTATTATCTTGAAAAGACGAAGAGGGTTCCGACGGAGTCATATCGAAATCCAAACCCAAAACATCTACATCAGACTGTCTGGAAATAGGAGTGGTAGCAGAATTCATATGCGGATTGGCGGGATTAACCATACCAGATGCTGAAGGAATGGGCACGGACTGTAGGCCGGCAGCCAAAGAGGAAGAAGGTCGAGAATTAAAATAATCGGTGGGGGCAGAAGCCGGAAAGGAAGAAGGACCAGTATGGTCGAAAGACTTTTTAGCAGCATCGAAAGAATCAGACGCGTGAATTTTCGGGGAACTAAAAGGATGGGAGTCAAGATCCATAGAAAAATCCACATCGCTTGAAGGGAAATGGGAGCTGGTGATGGGGCGTTTCTTGCTTTTTGCAGAAGCCTCATTAAAACTAGATTTTCGTACAACTCTTTGAAGATAATTAAGCTCCATCATGGAACTGCCCGAGGTATCAGTGGGAACGCTATAGGAGGGAAGGGTATTCATTAAGCAATTAGGATCGGATTTTTGGTCGGGAGTACCAGAGTTTAAGGATACATTATCGGAGCTATGTGGGTTGGAATGAGGTGTGAGGGGGCTAGGGGAAAACTTATTATAAGCTGAAACACCGGAGGGGGTAGCATTGTTGGAGAGATTAGATTGCTTTTGCAGATTAATAGACATAAGACGCCAAGACAAGTTTTCTACACGACGACCATTTTGTATATCAGACTTGGCTTTAGACATCATTTTCCAAAGATCCTGAGCCATATCACTTGGAGTTTGCAGTGAAGAATTTTGTTTTGAAGCTTCACGGTCGAGTCTCATTTGAAGAGCGGGATGGTCCGACTCTTTAAAGATTTCTTTAAATTTCAAATCCATGGAAAAGAAATAGAATCAACAAGACGAGAAAACAAACAACAAAAAAAAGAGGTAATAAAAAAAGGAAGAAAGAAACTAGACGAAAACGGGATAGGAGGAGTGTGGTCGAGATGCTAGTTTTTCAAGCAATGGTTATAAATCGGTTATGGATATAGCAAGGAACCAAAAGAAAAAGAGGTGAGAGAAATGATAACAGGGGATGAAGATTGAAAAAAAAAATTAAATTAAAGGGAAACAAAGAAGAAAGCCAAGACTCAAGGGTGAAAAAAGAAGATAGACGTTTTAAACTTCACCAATACAAGAAATTTCGGGGAAACACGTAAATAGAATCAAACGAAAAGTAAGAATCCTCATAAACTAAAAACAAGAAAACTCACGGAAAACCGCTAAAGCGAACCACCGCGAATAGAAACAAAAAAAGAGAAAAGAAAAGAAAAGAAAATGAAACTAAACGAACCCAAGAAGGAGAGATTGGCAAAGAAAAAACCAAAGGAAAGTCAAGGGTCAAATTCGAGAATCAAGCAAGTATAGCACGTGTTGCAGTAGTAGTAGTAGTAGTAGTAGGATACAAAAGGGAAAGGAATACCACACGCCAAAAAGAGAAAAAAAGGGACAATTGGATTCCTAAAGAATTTTTGTAATTTTCTAAAAAGAAAAACTAAAAAATAAAATAAGACGAAACAAAATAAAACAAAGGGAATTCCAAAAAAAAAAAAAAGGAAAAAGAAAAAGAACCTAAACACCTAAATATCTAAAGAAACGATACAAAGAGGTGGCGGGCTGGGCTGGGCTGGGTTGAGTTGTAGTTGGAGTTGGCTTGGAAAAGCGAATTTGACGACGAGGAGACGAGGGAGGAGGGGATACAAGTCGCAAAAGTACGAAATAGGATGGAATGAAGATTGAATGAAAAGGAAAAAGTGAAATTCAAAAAATACCAACAAGGAAAAAGGATTGAAATGAAAAGCAAATGCTTGAATTTCAGGGCACCACTCTCTCGACAAGACTGAGCTTGTTGGTTTTGGCAGTGGTAAAAAGAGAGGTATTTCACTGAATGAGCAACGAAGCGAAAGAGATTATTTAGATCTCGTTATATTGAATTAACGCAAAAAGACCGAAGCGAGATGAATTTTTTTAGAAAAGAGAATGACGGTTGACAAAACTATGATCGGATCACTGGTAATTTCATAAAAGGATCCCAATGATTGGTGAAGGGTGATTCATGTTTTCATCAGCGATTTGATAGTTACGACAAACAAACAGAAAGACAACAAATAAAATTTTTTTAAAGGAAAGGGAGATAGAAAAGGGAGAGAATTTTTGCGAAAAGATAAGGAACGTGAATGATTTGTTTTTGACGCGTGTCCGTTTGGTTGTCTTGGGATGGATGGGTTGGAATGGGGGATTGAGTTTGTATTGAGTGTTGGAAAGAAAGAGGAATAGTGAAGGGAGGAAGGGTACGATATTTAAAATACGGTGGTAGAGGGGATTTTGGTAAGAGAGGATTGCGCAGGGGAGTGAGGAGGAGGAGAGGGAGGAAGAAAAGGAAGAGAAAGAGGGAGGAAGAAGAGGTTGTTTTGTATAATATAGAAATGAAATGAAATGAAAACGAAAACGAAAAGAAGAAAAGAGTCACTTTTCCTGTTGGAAAAAAGTCATGTTGGATTCGGACAGGACGCGACCAGAAGCCATCAATAAAGAAGCTTGAAGAGCACCCATACGTCGAATTGCTTCGGCTTGGATGGCGGTAACGTGAAGATGATTTTCGAGATGGGATAAATTTGCTTGCAATTGAGACAGCTGGTCAGCAAGATGGTTCATTTGGACGGCTTTGACTTGGTTGGGAGAAGGAGCGAAATTATTGTGGGAATTGACAAAAGGAACGTTTCCAGTTGTATTGGTAACGGTTGGAACGATTGTAGAACGACGCATTATGGAAATCACGAAAATGTAAACAAACTAAGAGGATGGGAGAGAGCAGCTACGTTTACAAAAAGAAAAACAAAAACAAATCGTATACCGAGGTAGAGTGGAATGGAAGGAGAAAGAGGGGAACTCGTTATTTGGTGAGAGAGAGAGGGGGGAGGGAGAGAGAGAGAGAGAAACATAGAGAAAAGGAAGAAAAATTTAGACTCGAAGAGTCTGCAATTAAAAAAAAAAAAAAAAAAAAAAAAAAAAAAAAGTAGTGAAATTGTTGGTTTATCATTTTCACCATTTTCTTCTTTTCTCCTTCACTCTCTTCTTCCTCTCTCTCTTTTCATTCACCTGGTCTCCCTCTCTGTCTCTCTCTCACCATTCTAAAAGGCAATTCTTTTTCTTTTTATACTCCTCCATTCATAACCATCCTTATATTACGCTTATCTCGCTGAAATGGAATCTCCCACTTTTTCGCCTTGTTGGATTGGGTCTTTTATTTTTATTCTACCTCTTCTCTCTCTGTCTTTTGCGCGCCTACGTGTGCGTCTTGAACTCTAGGTTTTTCGTTTGGAATGATGTGAAGCATCGTAATGCGATTGAAATTGCGACTTTTTTATTTAATTTATTTTCCTTTACTTTTTGTTTATGGCGAATCAAAATCCATCCATGGATCGATTTTTTGAAACGATTGCATTTTATCATTTGTTTTTATCCCAATGAAAAGTAACACGAAAGAAACATCTCTGTCATTCATTTGTGGAAAACAAACGTCTTCGTTTTACTTTTTCATTGGGATAAAAACAAAACAAAATTATGAATTATCATTAGAGTTTTATTCTATCTCGTAGATGATGAACAAGGGAGCCGACGATAAGATTTCAACAAAGCAAAGAAGCAAAGAAGCAAAGAAGCAAGAAATTGAATGGAGTGAAATGAAAGTGATGAAAGAGAAAAACTTTTAGAATCTTTTATCATTTTCAAATTCTTTGGTTTCTTTTCTTTTTATTCAACGTTTTATCTTGTTTACGTCTTGCGTATTGTTTAATTTTTGGTTTTGATGGTTTCGTCATCAATGTGAATTTATGCTTGTCTTGAAAGGAAAGAAAAAGAAAATAAAAAATTACCTTTTCTTTTTTTTTTTTTTTTTAATTGCAGACTCTTCGAGTCTAAATTTTTCTTCCTTTTCTTTATGTTTCTCTCTCTCTCTTTCGCTCAGTGCCTTGAAATTCGTTTGATTGTAAATGTGATGCTGCATACAAAACCTATTCTTTTTCCTCATGAAAATGGCTTGAATAACATGCAGAATTAATAAAGAAAACCCTTTTTTTTTCTCATTTCCAAAAGAAAAGAAAGAAAAGAAAAAGAGCCAATTCAATTCAATTCAATTCAATTTAGTTTTAATTTATTTTTTGTTTTGTTTTGTTTTCTTTTGGAAATGAGAAAAAAAAAAAAAAAGACCGACTCTTCATTCTTTGCGATCCAACAATATATTTTATTTTTCTCTCTTGCTCCTTTCTCCCTATTTAAACTACCGCGGGTATTAAAAAAAGTTGCGATTGTTTTCGCAAAACTTGTCCTTGTTTTAAAGTATCGTTAAGCTAAAGCACAAAAAGAAATCATGACTTTTCTCGTTTCCTTTTGTTTGTTTTCACTAGAAAATTCCTCTTTACCTTTTCAACTTTTCAACTTTTCTTTTTTCTTTTTTCTTTTTATAATATTATCCTTCCAATCAAATTAATCGTTTCGGCTTTCCATCACACGTTGAAAGCGATTCCTCTCTGTCTTTTCGGTTTATATTCTCCTCAGAAATTTCCTTCTCAAAATAATACTTCATAGTAATCCTTTTCTTTCCTCCTCAAATAATCATTAGGATGCAATTTCTTCTTTCCTCCATGCCTTTTCTTTTCCGCTTTCAGCTCATGATACAAGGGAGTTGTATCAGTTGAATTCGATAAAGCTGCCAGCTCATTCCTATCCACACGATTTTTCGCCATCTTTTTCTTTCGACTACTTTCTTCCTTCTTCTTCTTTTTCTTTTTCTTCCACTCTGGTTCTTCTTCACCTTCTTCTTGTTGCTTGGCTGGCTTCAGGTGGCTCGTACGGTGTTTGTACGTAAATCCTTGGAAGGGACGTTGGTTGACGACCTCATGGCGCTTGTACATTTTCTCTTCCATAATCCTTTTCTTATCGTAAACATCTCTATACGCTTCCATAACCGCTTCGTTTGAGAAATCATCAAAGTGCGATGTATCCAATGGATCACTCAGATGAGGTATAAATGGTGGTCTTCCATGACTTCGTAAATGATTCCAATGAATCTTGGAAAAGTATGGATGCTTTTGAATTTCTCCCATACTTTGAAATCGCATCTCCGGCTCACCTAGGCATCTGAGTATGAACGACCAAGCATCGTCTGATATACAAACAGCCGACTGTTCGTATTCATCATTCTTATTCTTTTCTGGTCTTTGTAAAACATCTTTCCAAAAATAAAGATTCGTCCATGTCTCTTGTGTTGTCGTTCCCGAAAACGGTGGATAACCTACGGCACACTCATACAGAATACATCCCAAAGACCAATAATCTACTGTCTTGTCATATCCATCTCCATAAATTACTTCCGGTGCCATATATTCCGGGGATCCCACAATCGAATTTGCCTAAATCAATGTTAGTCCCTTTCTACTTGCATCTCTTCCTACCCGGTATCCATTTCTCTCTAAAAAGGCTCTATATATGTTTCTTCGCTGTTTTTGTGTTAAATACCCACTCTGAGGAGCCTCTGCGCTCGCAAGGTTTTTCCTGAGCTTTCGGATCTGCGCGCTGTTCACAATTCCCGTGCTGAGTCCAAAGTCTCCTAATTTCAAGTGTCCGTTTCTGTCAATTAAAAAGTTCTCTGGTTTTAAGTCTCGGTGCGTATATCCTAATTTATGAACTTCATTGACTGCCATAAACATCTCGGCCAAATAAAATCTAGTCTGTCTTTCACGAAGCAATCCATGCATAGCTAAATATGTTCGGAAATCTCCTCCTGGAACATATTCCATCGCCAAGTATACGAAACTTTGATCTTGAAAGGCATAAAACAGTTTGATTAGCCATTCGGAATTCGTGTTTGTCAACACATCTCTCTCGGTCAGGATATGCCGTACCTAATTTCAGTTAAAAACTCCATCTTGAAGAACACTTACTTCACCCATTTGCTGCAGAACCGCTTTCTTCATCATTTTCAATGCTACAAATTCATGGGTATCTTTCTTCTTGGCTAACCAGACAGATCCATAACCTCCTTGTCCAAGTTTTACGAGCAAATCAAAATGATTGCTTTGAACTTTAGTCCTTCTTTTCCTTAAAAACGCTCGTTCTCGTCCACAGTGCTCTTTCCATAATTTCTTTTGCTTCGAGGCTTTTAATTCCTCACTGAAATGGACAAACTGATTGAAACGCTCTTTTCGTAATTTATAATAATCTATTAATGAAATGTAATGATTTAGAAAAAATAGTTGACAAGCAACCCTTTTTCGAGCAACCTCTGGTCGACTTAATACTTCCACTTGACTAGGACGTAGCAATTGATATCGTATGGTTCCAAGCCTCACTGTTCTCTTCGAATATGCCTTCCTTTTCTCATCAGGTGCATTGCTTTTGTCGTGACTTAAAGATGATACACTGGGAAGAACATTCTCTTGATTGTTGTTTCGTGAACTTGAGATGCTGAATGGATTCTCTTGGATTTCATTTTGATATTCTCTCTTTTTCTTTCGCACTAATTTATTTCTCCCAACCTCTCTTAGCTGGTTAGAAGATGGATTTCTTAACTCTTTGTCATAGCTATTTAACATTGGATCTTTTCGATTCTCTGATTTATAATCATCAACTCCATAAATACGATTTTCTTCTTTACCTTTCTTCATAGTTGTAGTGAAGCTAAAACATCTTTCTTGCTTCCCTTCATTGAGATTTATCAATCATTAAAATGTAAACAAACAAAGCTGGTGAAATGCACAATATCCAGACAACGGTAAACAAACAAACAGACCATTCCAATTAAAAGTACTTCCTGAGAAACACAAAATAGTATAGAGATACAAGACAGTAAAAACATCTAAGTGGTATTGATTATAAAGGATTCGTATTTCTATAGCTATTTCAACTACATATAAAACACTTTATTAGTATCATAATTGTAACTTGCTTATTCTGTCTATTAAAGAATTAGAAAATTGAATGAAGTAAGCACGGTAAAGCCCATTCCACAATATTATTAAGTCTAAAAATACAAAACTTGAAAGAGAACGATAAAGAAAGAAAATAAACCATAAAAACAACAAAAGAGTGGATGTCTAAAGACTATTATGCATCTGCGTCGTGCGACGAAACTGAATTAGTACGTTGTGAATTTTTATCAAACGTGATTTGTTGTGAAAGACTTCGATTTTGCTTGACCAAATCTTGAAGACGTTCTCGAGCGCCTACTTTATCACGTTTGCGGCCTTCTTGCTCAGCTTTGAGTTGAAATTCCATTTCTCGTAACCTCAATTGCCAAATATGACTCATCCCTTCAGCGTCGCGTTTCAACGCGGTGATGCCACGTTGTACTGCTGACCTGTCAGGCGAGGACTTTTTGCTATCTGGTTGCTCTGAAGTAGTAATTGCCCTTCTTGAAGACATGGGAGAGGCTGGTCTAGGGCCTAAAGTTGAAACATTCATCAGTCGAAAACGTTCTTCCAATTGACTAAGCTTCTTGCTTCGAGCCTCCAGGCTAGTATCAAGTTTACCGATTTCAACTTTAAAGTCTCGTTCCATAGTTTTACACTTCCTTTTAAATCCTTGAACGAATTTTTCCAACTCCTTAAGCTGACCATGCATTACCTGGCTCATACCAGAAAACGTCGTTAAAGCATCAGGCCCACTACTTCCACTAATTATATTAGTCGAAGATAGTTGTATCAAGCGGCTGATAACTGTCTTAATGAGATTGTTCCTTTCTTCTATTTGGTCTTTTAAGCGTTTTTCGGAATTCTGCAGAAGTTTAAATTCCCTAGATTGAGACCGATCAGAAGGACTCGAAGAATTGCTGAGACTTCGACGAGTATTTTGCAAGCTCAATGCATCCAGTTCAGATTGCATTACTTTCTTTGACCGGCGTTCTGATTCAAGCAAGGCTTTTAGTTCTTTTTTCTCTAACTGAATTGACTCCATAGAAGCTTCCCTCTCTTTAATTATTTGTTCGTTTCTGTTGAATTGTCGAGTAGATTTTTCCATCTCAGAGTTCAATCGGTTGCCTTCATCCTTTAGTTTTTGCACTTGTCGAACAAGCAACTCAGCGGAACAATGCTCAACCTTTTTGTCAAAGGTTTCTAAAATAGCACTTTGAAGAGAAGAATAGCTATTTTGCAAAACAGTATAACGGTTTTCTAGTGCTTCGAGATTTTTCAGAACTGTTGCCTTTTCTTGGGCAACTGTACTCAATTCACGCTTCTTTTCTTCTAATTGGGTAGATAAAGTATGGATTGCTTTACTTTCATCTTCTTGTGAATGTTTCAACCTATTGATCTCCGTTGTTAGTTCCTCAACACGCTTCTGCAATTCACTTTCCTTTTGGCTCGATTCCAAATTGTGATTTTTTAAACTCTCAATTTCAGTATACATGGACTCTATTTTTTCCTTCAATGAACCGTTTTCATCAGTGGCTGATTGCCATAGTTTATTGGAATTTTCCAATTGACTATTTAGAGAGTTTATTTCTGTAGACAGTGTATTTGAGTCTTCTAGCTTTTGACATAATTCAGCGACTTTGCTTTCGGATTCCTTCAATCTATCAGATTTTTCATGATAGCTTTTAGAAAGATTTGAGAGCTCGTCTGTCAGTTTCTCAACTTCTTCTTTGAACAGCCCAATACTTTCTTCATTTTCACGTATTGTTTTATCAAAATGGTTGATTTCTGCTTCGGTATCCCTTTTTAGATCATTCAGAGCTTGCTCATAAGCATGAGAGTCATTGACGGATTTGGTCAATTCGCTTTTTGCTGTATGCAGATCTTGAGTAAGTTCCTCCACGTATTGCTGTAATTGATCTACATCATCTTTCCATTGTTGCTCCATTTTAACGAGTTTATTTTCACAATCATACTCGATTTCCTCCAGCTGCTTATAAAGTTGGCTGAGTTCAACCGCTTGTTCTTGCGTTTTCATCTTGCAAGTCATCATTAAATCCCAAATCTCATTTTTACTTGCTTCAGCTTCAGCAATTGTATTTAACTTTGCTGCATCAAGCTCGCTCCGAAGCTCTTCCATTTCTTGTATAAGTTTGTTTTTTTCTTCCATTTGAAATAAAAAGGCTTCGTTCTGCGCTCCAAGATCTTTCCTTAAAAGATCATTAGTACGTTGTAGACTTTGTATAACCCTCTCGTCGGGTGTTCGAGGTTGAATCTGACTTTTTTGAGCAAGCAAACTACGCAAAGAGTCAACTTCCTGTAACAGAGTTTCTTTTTCACGACGCTCACTTTCTAGCAGAGAAGAAAGAGTATCCTTCTCATTACCATGATACGGGTCATACGTAGGATTCGATGGTGTCCGCCGTTCGTTTTCAGCTTTAATTAGTGCCTTTTTCGTGGATTGTAATTCAGAAAGAGTTTCTGAATATTTTTGTTTTAAATGAAAGAATTTCGACTGCAGAGCATCTGACGAATCAGTAGAGGGCTTTTTTTCATATGAAGCTATCTTTTTTTCATAAGTAGCCACTGCACGCTGCAATTGCAACGTAACAGTTTTTAGATCTATATTTTGTTTCATTATATCTTGAACCTCCGAGTCGTGAAATTTGTTTAGTTGATCGTATAGGAAAAAGCATTTCAGTTTCAGGCCAAATGCTTCCTTACGAAGATTATCTATAACATTTGCTTGTTCCTTCAATGTCAAAGAGGCTCCTGGTGGTGCGTCTCGAAACTCTTTACTTAAAACACTCTTTTTTTCTTCCATTTCTTTCATTGCAGATGCAGGTATCGATATGTCAGATATTTTTCTACTCAAAACCGTAGTATCTGGTATTCGTGACGAATACGCCGAGGAACTTTCCTCTTTAATAGGAGTAAGGTACCCGGGCTTCTGATGACTCTCGTGTTCCAAATCGTCGCTAAGCACTACTTGTTCACGAGGTAATGATTCATTAGAAGAATCCTCATCTGATTGATACAACGTTGAAGGATAATTTGATTCCCCATAAGCTTTCTTTGCCGTAAGAACTGGGGATAGCTGTTCGTCCGTATCGGTTTCATCGTCACTATTTAAAGAGATCCCCTTTGAAATCAAGGATAAGGGGGTCAAAGGAGCGTTGTTTTGAGCCTGTTTGTTCGGCGTAGAAGAAATCTTTGCTGATAATGGTGAGGATATAAATTGATCAAATTGTCTATGATGCTCCTGTGAACTTGTTTCAGTTTCTTCTTCGTGGTGAAAAGGTTTAGAAAGTGTCTTCTCTTCTACCTGATTGAAAGTAGGCTTAAAGTTTCCATCTAGTGATATGTTTTCTTTTCCTTTTTCCTCCTTTGTATGTACATTAGATTCTGACTCCGTTTGACTGTGGTCATTATTTGAGCTATGCGAACTCTTTCGATAGGGAAGATGGGAACGTAAAATAGCGACTTCTTCATCGGTTAAAGAAAGACCAGAAAAATCATCGGCTAAAAGGTGAAGGAATTTAGCATCACTCTCGTCTGAGCTTGATGAACGTTCCTCCATAGTGACTATAGAGGTAAATCGTTCCTATATCAAATATTGAACATCAACATGGACTCTTTCTTATCTCTTTATATTTTAATATATATTTGGTTGAAAAATGGAATGTAAACAATAATTGTATGAGGTAGGAAATGTGTTGTCTGTGTTAATTACCTTCCCAAGAGGTGTACGATACAATACTAACGGTGGGTGTGAACAATGAAACATTTCTATCCTTGACAAAGAAAAGAACAGCATTAATAAGAAACTCAATTATTTTGTAATAATAAGAAAGAAATTTAAAACTAATAAAAGAGGTTTCGCATTAAAATTATCTTCAACATTTTTTGGCAAATCACTTCACCACCTATACCACACTGGCAGAAATATGGACCACAAACATACTTTTTAAAGCCGTTCTACATAAATTAAATTGCTATCGTGTTTGAACTGTTTCACGAGCATACCGCTTTTTGTTCTCACTAACAAAACAGAATCAAACCATGTAGACCATTTACAGATGAATAAACCCAAAGGTGAAAGAAAAAAAGAAATATGCTTGAGCATCCATTATAACAGGAAGTTTTTCTATAAGATCTTTTTTAAATAGTAATAAAAAATCGAATACAATATAATGCACCTTGTTTACTTCAAATTACAATATCAATAGAGAAATAATTTTCAATTTCCATGAATACTTATTTGTTTACTTAGACATTGCTACATAGCTCACTAATTGTTATACTGAAATCCAATTTATTTGCTCAATCAAAACTAAACAACAAAAAGCGCCCACCAGAATTCACAACTTTTGCCTTTCAGAAACGACCAGTTGCCACCTCCAGTTTTGGACGAGACAAAAGGCAGTCACATTCTAAACGCGCACCAATTATACATACATATTGTTCAGTTCATTTTTCTTTGTATTGTGACTGTTTGTCTTATTTCCCGTAAATTTGACATTCAATTTTGATTCATATACAAATATCCACGCTCCATCTTAACAACAACCAACTCCCAGGATGTCTGCAAAGAGTGAGAACAAGCAGTCAGTCAAAACTCTTGATGAGTTGTTGAATAACCTTACCGTGTGCGATGCCGCACAAGAGGCTGACGCCGCTTCGGCCTTGGCATCCTTCGTTAATGGACCTATTGAAGAGCAAGATGCTCCTTCTTTGGTCTTCAAGCACATCCAAAAGCAACTTAAGGACAAGAAGATTGTCGAACGTGTCTTGAAGGGTATCGAGGCCGTCGCCAACTTCCCCAACATTGCTGCTGATGTTGAGCCTTACTTGGTTGAACTTTTGCCCGCCGTCGTCGAAAAGGTTGCCGACAAGCAATTGAACGTCAGAGAAGCCGCCTCTAAGGCTTCCCGTGCTATTGTCCGTAGCACCTCTGCTTATGCCGTAAAGGCCACCGTTCCTATTGTTCTCGAATCTATTCACAGCACTGGTAAGTGGACTGAGAAGATGAACTCTTTGCAACTCTTGGACCTTCTCGTTGAGACTTCTCCTTCTCAACTTTCTTACTCTCTCCCCTCTATTATCCCCGTTGTTTCCGAATCTATGTGGGATACTAAGGGTGAAATCAAGAAGCAATCTAGAGAGACCATGACTAAGGTCTGCACTTTGATTGCCAACGCCGATATTGACCGTTTCATTCCCGAACTTATTAACTGTATCGCTCACCCCGAGGAGGTCCCTGAGACCGTTCACTCTTTGGGTGCCACTACTTTCGTTACCGAAGTTCAAGCCCCTACATTGTCTATCATGGTCCCCTTGTTGGCTCGTGGTTTGAACGAGCGTGCTACCCCCATCAAGCGTAAGGCTGCCGTCATTATCGACAACATGTCTAAGCTTGTCGAAGACCCTCAAGTCGTCGCTCCTTTCTTACCCAAGCTTTTGCCCGGTTTGTACCACATCAAGGACACCATTGGTGACCCTGAATGTCGTTCCGTTGTTGAACGTGCCATCACCACCTTGGAGCGTGTTGGTAACGTTGTTGACGGTAAGATTCCCGAAGTTTCTACTGCTGCCAACCCCGAAGTTTGCGGTGAAACTTTGAAGGCCGTTCTTGGCGACAAGAAGGTTCCCCACCACGAGGAAGTTATTGCCAAGTACGCTGCCGCTGTTGCTGCTCAACTCGTTGAAGAGAAGGACAGCGACTCTGAATCTTGGATGCAAAACGTTGCTCCCTTCGTTGCCGCTTTCGTTCCTGAAGCCAACGTTGCTGTCGTCGTCGAGGACCTCCGTGCTCGTTCCATCGCCAAGATTCCTGGCCGTGGTGCTCACCTTGAAGAAGAAGAGGAAGGTGAAGATCTTTGCAACTGTGAGTTCTCTCTCGCCTATGGTGCCAAGATTCTTCTTAACCGTACTCGTCTTCGTCTTAAGCGTGGTCGTCGTTACGGTCTCTGTGGTCCTAACGGTTCTGGTAAGTCTACCCTCATGCGTGCTATCGTCAACGGTCAAGTCGAAGGTTTCCCTACTCACCTCCGTACTGTTTACGTCGAGCACGATATTGACGAGTCTGAGGCTGACACTCCTTCCGTCGACTTCATTATGTCCGACCCCAACGTCACCATTAAGAACAGCGAAGACGTTGTTAAGGCTTTGAAGGAAAACTCTTTCACTGATGAACTTATTGCTAAGCCCATTGGTGCTCTTTCTGGTGGTTGGAAGATGAAGTTGGCTCTTACCCGTGCCATGTTCAAGAACCCTGACATCCTTTTGCTTGATGAGCCCACCAACCATCTTGATGTTGTCAACGTTGCTTGGTTGGAGAACTTCTTGACTAGTCAAAAGAACGTCTCCTCCATCATTGTCTCTCACGACTCTGGTTTCTTGGACCACGTTGTTCAATCTATCATTCACTACGAGCGTTTCAAGCTCCGTAAGTACATTGGTAACATGTCTGAGTTCGTTCAAAAGGTTCCTTCCGCCAAGTCTTACTACGAACTTGGTGCTTCCGAAATGGAATTCAGATTCCCTGAACCCGGTTACTTGGAAGGTGTCAAGACCAAGCAACGTGCCATTGTTAAGGTTAACAACATGTCCTTCCAATACCCTGGTACCAGCCAACCTCAATTGGTTGACATCTCTTTCCAAGTCTCTCTTTCTTCCCGTATTGCTGTCATTGGCCCTAACGGTGCTGGTAAGTCTACCTTAATTAAGGTCCTTACCGGTGAATTATTGCCTACCACTGGTGACATCTACCAACACGAGAACTGCCGTATCGCTTATGTTGCCCAAGCTGCTTTCGCTCACCTTGGTCTTCACCCCGACAAGTCTCCTTCCGAGTACATCCAATGGCGTTTCCAATCTGGTGAAGATTTGGAAGCTATGGACAAGGCCTCTCGTGTCATTAACGAAGCTGATGAGGAAGCCATGAAGAACAAGATCTTCAAGATTGAGGGTACTCCTCGTAAGATTTTGGGTATTCACAGCCGTAGAAAGCTTAAGAACTCTTACGAGTATGAATGTTCTTTCACTGTTGGTGAGAACATTGGTATGAAGAGTGAACGCTGGGTTCCCATGATGTCTTCCGACAACGCTTGGTTGCCTCGTGGTGAGCTTATGGAAAGCCACGCCAAGATGGTTGCTGAAGTTGACCGTGCTGAAGCTTTGAAGAGTGGTCAATTCCGTCCCTTGGTCCGTAAGGAAATTGAAGAACACTGTGGTCTTTTGGGTCTTGAACCCGAATTGGTTTCTCACTCTCGTATCAAGGGTCTTTCTGGTGGTCAAAAGGTTAAGCTCGTTTTGGCTGCTTGCACCTGGTTGCGTCCTCACGTTATTGTCCTTGACGAACCCACCAACTATCTCGACCGTGACTCTCTCGGTGCTCTTTCTAAGGGTCTTAAGAGCTTCGGCGGTGGTGTTGTCTTGGTCACTCACTCCCGTGAGTTCACTGAAGGTTTGACTGAAGAAGTCTGGGCCGTCAACCACGGTAAGATGACTCCTTCCGGTCACAACTGGGTTCAAGGTCAAGGTTCTGGTCCTCGTATCCAAGAGAAGGAAGAGGGTGATACCTTCGATGCCTTCGGTAACAAGATTGAAAAGGCTAAGAAGCCCACTAAGCTTACTGGTGCTGAGCTCCGTAAGAAGAAGAAGGAGCGTATGGCTCGTCGTAAGGCTGGCATTGATGTCAGTGATGATGAGCTCTAAATTGACTCATGCATACGATAATCTTTGCGGGCATTTAGGTTGTTTTTATTACGGTTTTGATTAATTAGATGATAGTTAGTAAACTATTAAGCAGCTAGGAATTAATTTGGAGTTTCCTGCTAAATATGTGACATTTGACTGTAGAATATCGAAGTAGTATTTGTAGTAATGTAAGTCGGGAATTGACTTTTTCTAAAAAATAGTAGTGGGCGGCGGATCAAGAGGTATAGAACGCGAAGGCGATGCTGTCTTGGAAGTTTATAGATTGCTGAAGACAAAGTAAGCATTGGGAGGGAGACGCGCACTAGGGAAAAGGCGCTTTTGATTCCTTTATTAAGTATTGCTCGAAAAATGTAAACTGTTTCAAACTGGATGGTTTTGATTTTATTTCAGAAAAAGATTATCAATTTTTAAAATCCCAAATTGCAAATTTTCCTGTTGAGGGGAATAAGATATAACTGTTATTTTCTATTTTGAACAGCTCAATTCATATTATCCTTGTACGAACGAAAGTTTTTTTTTTGTATTCATACAACTATAACAAAGAAAAAAACGTAGCTAGAAAAAAAAGGAAGATGTCTCGGATGAATGAAATTTTTTTTTTTATTTTTTTTTTCTTGCTTTTCTACTGTAAACAAATAAACGCATTTATGTTGTTCTTCAGTAAAACAATTCCTTTCGCTATATAGTCTCATTTAATCAAGACTATTCAACAAGAGTCAGTATGTCCGAGTGGTTAAGGAGTTAGACTTGAATCATTCGAGCTATCTAATGCGCACTGCGCTCGCAGGTTCAAATCCTGCTGCTGACGAATGTGCGCGGTAGGAGAGTGGAACTCCGACGGGCTCATAACCCGTAGGTCCCAGGATCGAAACCTGGCCGCGCAATTCTTTTTTTTTTTTTTTTTTTTCTTTCTAATTATTCTTGGTAACTCATGAATTTGCTGCTCGCCCTTTTTGTCGTTGCATTCGGTGGACGCTATGCGGTCGATGACAAAGTAGGTGCATGCATGGTTCTTGGGTTTATTACTATTAAGATGTGTTTAGATGGAAGTCGGTGACAGATCTTAAAAGAAAATACAAATTATACAAAACGATAATAGATGGTTTGTCTTATTTCTAGATAATTTTTTTCCCGTAATATTTTTTGTGTTCTTCCTATGGACAGACGATGAACAGCGTTATGAACTGCGAATTTTAACAGATGAATATGCGACTTCTGTAGGTTTTCATTAAGAGTGCTTTTAAGAATCCAAGAGCGTTATTGTAACTTCTGAAAGATAATAGATCCAGCAATTCCAAACATTGAATTTACATACCCATGTTTTATAATTAACGATAAACTGTATTCTCTACTTGCATCTTTACATCCATTTTTGAACGGGATTCGCTTGATACGCACGGTAGGCTTGCAAATTAAAGTAGGACAGTTCAGTCTCGTTTTCAATTCCGCTAAAAGCCAAGGTTTGGTGATCGTCCGTTAGAATCCAATCATCATGATCCAAGTTGATGGCTAAATTCTGAGTTTTATGTTGTTGCGCTTTCACATATATTTTCAAAGTATCAAATTGAGTAGTGCGATAAATTTTGAGAGCTGAATCCGTTTGGATACGATCTTGGATAATCTTCTTCAGTTGACCAACTGTGGTAGTAGACAGATCTATGTCATGAAAGACAACATTCTTGAGTGTGCGATATTCAAAGTTTCGGATTACACGAACCGTTAAAGTAGCCATCGTTCTGTTTTCAGTTGGAATGATTTCAAAATTCAAAAAAGTCAAAAATACAAAGCAATTTTCCAATATATATTGTTTTCCTATTACGAGAAAAATAACTACGACTCCGTACGATTAATTAGTCTTGCAAACTCCCAAGAAAAAGAAAAATTACGGCTGACGTTTGGAATGACAAAGAAAAAGTGAGAGTGATGGGGGCGTTCTTTATCATAGAGGACTGCCCTTTTAGGTCTTCTTTTTTTTTATGTTTTTATTTTCCTAATTTTATTTCATGTTACCGTAAGTTGAATAAATAATAAAAAAAAGTGTTGGTTTGTTTATAAGAATGCTTTGTTTCCAAGTTTTGACTTGCCATACGCTTTTATGCAGATTAATAGTCCACTAAAGTCTTCTCTTCTCTAATTCAAACATTCATTACATTTTCATAGAAAAAGAGCTATTTCTTCTTATCGTTGTTCTCGTTGTTGCCCAAGAGTATACGAAAGGAGCAAAATGTTTTATTCTTTGCAATATTAGAATCGAGTCGTTTTTCTCTATTATTAAAACCAATCACCAAAAGAAAATAATGGTGAGTTTTTGATTTTGACTGTGTCAAAGGCTGAACCTCTTACGAAGGCCTTCTCAACAAAGTGTATACAAATGAATATTTTCAGGGATTTCGACTTTTTCAAAGCACTTAAAAAAGATTTCAATAAAACATAAAAACAATGAAACAACATTCTAATTAGTAACAGTACTGCGGTTACGAAAGCAAATACCTCTTTGATTCTCCATCCAGGATCTATTCGTTAGAAGAGCATGAGACTAATGTCTTCAGGTTCTTACACGAACCTTGAATATCTTTTTCTTTTTTTGACAATTATTTTAAAATTCGTAGTTTTGAATTTTTCCTTGTTGTTTATTTATATTCGTAAACACCCAGACTCGAACCCAGATTCTTGTGTACTGCTGGTCGACGAGTTTCTATGACAAACCCAAGAATTCCCTTCTCTACCTCCTCTCCAAACGAAATAAGTAGTTTGAGTTCCCTTTCTTAACATTTGTAATTTCAAAACTTTTTAATTGTTTGGTTCTTTTCAGAAATTCCATAAAATGACTTCTCCATGGATCTACTTTACGTCGCTAATGATGACTTGTGCAAGTATCATGTTGCACATGTATTTTACTGTCATGTATTCAGATTTAAAGGATGACTTTATTAATCCTATTGATTGTAAGTTTACAATGGCTAGCAACTTACGTTTGCCAATCGCATTTGTTTCCGCTTCTCTTACCAAATAACTAACATTGTATCAACCCAGTGTCTCGAAAATTAAATTACTATGTTATTCCTGAAATGATGTTACATGCCATTAGCTCTGTTCTTCTATTGTTCTCTGGAGCCTGGGTATGTTTCATCTTCAACCTTCCTATGATGCTTTGGAATGTTCAATTATACTTAACCCATAACCATCTCCACGACTCCACTACTATATTCAAGGATGTATCGAACAGACAAAAACGTTCTTTCATCAAACTAGCCTGGTTCTCTATTCTCTTCTTCACTTACTTGTTCATGTTTGTTAGTCGCCTCGTGGATTAAAAAATCCATATGCCTTTAGGAAATAGTTTAAGTCTTGTACATTGCTTTCATGCTTACAAAACCTTTTATGTTTGTCTTTATTCCGTTTACCTTTCGCTTTGTAAATTAATTTCTACAATATCCTAATGTCAATATCTTTTTTATTTTCGACAGTTAGGCTTGTTCTTGGTTCATTTAGAAAAGGTTAAGATGTTTATATTCCCCAATGACCTTTTCTACTTGTTATGCTGTTTTCAACGCGGAAGTTTTGCCCTAGATAAGCAAGTGCTGTAAGGATAGACTTGACTCACTGTTTCCTTATTTTCCCCATTGTCATGTCCTTGATGGAAATAAAATAAAATTCTCTTTAGTCTTCTTCTCTCATGCTTTTCCGGTTTACCAAAATCCCCATCATGTTCAAATGAAGCACAGCAGTAGCACTTGACATAATTTACAAATTTACAATACCTTCTACTAGTAACTGTAAGGTAGTCGCTGTCGAGTGAATATTCACTAACGCAGTTGTCGATGTACAAGCGCTCATTTTTGAATCTTCCTTGTCTACTACTCTCAAAAATTTTTTTAAAATCAAAATGCACTATGATTCCACTAATCGTAATCTAGTAGTGCAGCGAAAAGAATAATCAAAAATGAGATCTCCATGCTTGCAGAGGAAAACGAATCGTCTAGCCAGCGTTAAGTTACGAGATAGCTATTCTTAACTATGATTTACTACAACAGAATAAATGCAAACTACTTTTCTTCCTTTTCATCTTACCTGTTCATCCTCAGTGAATAGCGATATGTGACCTATTTAATTTCATTATAAATTCATTTTAAAAATACTACTATTAGCTGTAATGGCTCTGTCTGAACAGTTAAGTGCTTCATGGTGGAGTGTTCTATGGTTATGGGTTCGAGTCTCGCTTTCGATCCCTCGATTTGCCATACCTTCCCGGAGAGGAGTCTCCGAGGGAGATGGCAATGAAACTGTGGTGTACCGGTGGAGGTTGGCAACAACGCACACCACACCCGGGTCCTGGGCAGTGCGATAGCGATGGGATTCACCTTCGTAGGATGCTCGACGAAGCGTGTCTGAACAGACAATTTCTCTTTTTATATTATTCTTTAAAATTTTTCATATTTTGTTAATTCTTCTTAAAGTAGTCTTCAGTACGGTGGGAATCTGTGAGGAAATCAACTATATAGAGCAGAGTATACATAGAATGTACAACAAAGAAATGTAAAATTCGTAGCATTATTCGGTACTACAATGCTTACTGTCAGTAATTTCATTAGGAAAAACGAATGCCAAAAATGGGTTCATTCTACTAGAATGGTGTATTCTTTTTTCCATCTTTAAATAAATTCACTTACGGAGGAAGCACACATTAGACAAAAGGAGAACTTACGTTAAGTATATAATTACATGTTTTTATACTGGACACCATTCATTTTGTGCAAGTACAGTAATTATTTTTTCCGTTTTCAAACACCTAACCCCTAAGAATACTTTCTTTTGTTGCTTAGTAGCATTGTAAACCAATGAATTCAATTTTAGACAGTAGCATCTGCAGTAGAATTATCAGCTGCTTCTAGTTTCTTTTCCTTTTTTCTCTTTATGCTTTTCATCTTTTTGTTCTTTCTTTTCCGTTTGGCATTACTTTCTACTGCACTGGACATGTTTTTCTCAAATAGATCCCCCACACGCCCCGGATGATATAGATTACAGACAAAAAATCCAATCGTTCCAAATTTTCCAGGTACACAACGAATCATCGACTTTGCCATCGTGGGATCTGTGCAGTATTCTGGAATACCACGATCTTCCCACTGAGGCAATGTATTTTCCAAGCTGTTACATTTCCATTGTGAATCTTGTGACAAGACATCGCAAACGACTTGCTCATTTTCAAGTCTATGCACAGAGCATGTAGAATATGTAACGTAACGAGATTCGGGAAACTGTAATGCGTGCTTCAAAATGGTAGATTGAAAGCTACAAAGATTTTCCAGCCGATTTACATCTTCCACTACATCTTGTTCAGAATCTTCGAGCAAAAAGTCTTGACGACTAACTATTCCCGACCCGGAGCAAGACGGGTCTAGCAAAATATGCGTAACATTTGCAAACTTGGGATCCATCGGATCACTATGAGTGAAATCTCCATGTATAATCTCAACATTTTGCGCCCCGGATATGTCTACCATTTTTTGAAGCGTCTTTACTCTCTGACTGTCCCTCTCAAAAGCAAATATTTTTGAATCAGGAAATAAAGCTGCCAGATGGGTTGTTTTATTCCCAGGAGCCGCACACCCATCAATGATATTTCCAACTTTTGTTTGTCGCTGATTCCCCAATATCGCCGCAGGGATACATGAAGCTTTGTCTTGAATAATAATCTTTCCCTCTTGGTAGCAACTTTCACTGACCAAGGAAACTTCGCTGTCAAGTGCAATTAAGTTATCTATCGTTTCATCCATGTAATATGTTTTTGGTCCCACCTCTTTTAAAGAAAACACCCGAGTCAGTGCCAATTGCTTTATTACTTCTTCTTGGGTAGCTTTAACGGTATTTATACGAACCCAGCGGGGAAGAGTAACTGGGTTCTTCAATGCTAATTCTTCGTGCGACTTGACCCTTTTGCGGATTTTCAGCTTGACAAACTCTGCATTCAACCGAGTTTTGTGTCGCAAAATCGCTTCTTTAATCAAGCCTGTCGAGGCACTAATTCCACGCTTAGACATCAATAGATCATGTACCAAAACCCTTGCAAGATTTTTTTTTATCTACATTCGTTAAACGAGTAAGCATACGAACAGCTCAGCTCTTTTGACATACCTTTTTCTCTAAATCCAATAGCTTTGCAGATTCAATGACTTCGTCCAAAACGTGTTTATCTAGTTTCTTATGTTAGAATCTGTTAATCGATCATTTGCTATTTATTTACATTTTAAAGTCTCACAGACCAACGCATATGTCCTTTTAGGATCATGCTTCTTTGAATTAAATACGAGCTGCTTTATAGAACCCTTTTTCTGACTTAAATCATCGAGGATTGTGGCAGCATGAATATAAAAATCCATGTCCTCTTTCCTTACGCTTCAGAGAAAAGACCAAGTTCAGAAATGAGCCAGCTTAAAATAGGTCACAACCAAACTGTTACTTAAGACTGAAAAAAAGTAATGTATTCATTCATGCTATAAATAATACAAAATAAAATAGGAAAAAAGGTATTTACATTCGATTTCTTTATTAAGCCAAACTCACAAAGACTTGATATAACACTTGCAGCAGAACTCATCAAACGTTACTTTATCGTAGAATAGACATAACATCACATATTGTAGTTTTCACAATTAACTCATTAAACAAAAAATATTGAATGACCAAAAATCAATATGATACTTGCCCTTCAGTATTCACAGGAAATGTCTGTATCCAAATAGACATTATGTTTTAGGAAATAATGAACAGCGAACCGAAAAAAAGGTGCGACTGTAATCAGAATACATGTACACTTGGAACTTATCTGTAAGGGAAATTTTAATCTCTGAGTCATCCTGCTTCTTTATGATCACAGCTGAATCATCTGGTAATATCTTATAGGTCTTTACATTATCGTCGTTTAGTAACTCGACACGGCTAGAAATTCCGTACTGAGAGACATAAACATCAATTGAACGATCTTGAATTCTTGTAGCAAAAGCAGTAACGGGCATAGAAGATACTCCACGTTTCTTGCAATACTCCGATATAAATACGGATAAGAATAATTGCTGACTATCTTCTTGAATAGTATTTGCTTTTTCACGCTGTTCATTGCTATGCTCCGCATACTTTGAACATAACTTCTTGGGCAAGTTAGGCGATTTTTGCTTTAATGCGTTTTCTAGTAAACGATGGACAATCACATCCGGATATCTTCGGATAGGTGAAGTGAAGTGTGTATAATAGTCAAAAGAAAGTGCGTAATGATGCCAATCACTACGCTCCGGAAAGTCACCGGTGCAAAAGTATTCAGCACGATTAAGAGAACGTACGGCCATGTTCTCAAAAAGTTCTACCAAATCAGGATTAAAGGAACTTCTTAATCGATTCATTGAGTCATTAAAAGAAAAGGATGACGAAGCATCAAAGTGAAACTTCAATCCTTCCATAAACTTGCAGAATTCATTAATTTGCCTTTCTTTGGGACTAGCATGTCGACGTAATAAAGCGTTTGCTGGGAACGAGTTACTTATCTTTTCTGCTACTGACCGATTCGCGAGTAACATGAACTCTTCAATTAAGTGATTCGCTTCTTTTTGCTCATATACTTCACACATGTCCGGCAAGCCATATTCATTCAACTGAAATTTTAATTCCGTGGAATTAATTTCTACAGCTCCCTTCGCAAATCTTCTCGCTCGTAACTTTCTTGATATTTCGAAAAGCACCATAATCGTTTCCTCCACATCTTTCGCAGAATGGTTTCCTCCAATTGGTTTGCCAACACCTTCGGCCCACGATTTTCCCTCTATAATATTTTGTGCTTCGCCATAAGCTAATCGGGAACATGTCTTAATAACACTTTTACCAAACCAACGTTTACCAACTTCTTTACCATCCTTATTCATCTTCCAAGTAACACTAAATGCAAGTCGCTCTACTTGAGGATTCAACGAACATAAACGCTCGCATAGTAAGGAAGGTAACATGGGGATTGCCTTTTGCACAAGATAAACAGTCGTTGCTCGGGAAGCAGCCTCCTTGTCAAGAGGCGTATCCGGCTTCATGAAGTGACTCACGTCAGCAATATGGACACCAACTTCGTAAGTTCCATTGCCAAGATATTTACAAGAAACAGCATCATCCAAATCTTTAGCTGTATCAGGATCTATAGTTAAGACAATATCATTTCGAAAATCTCGTCTCTTCGCTATTTCATTTTCCGTTATTCTCCAATCCTCAGCTGGCAAACATTCTAATACCTCACGGCTGAAAGCTTGACTAGAAAAGCCGTTTTCTAAAATTAATGCGTTTGTGTAATCTTCAACATTAGTCACAGAACCCAATTCTTCTTTTAGAACCCCCATTGGATATCGTGAATAAGTAGACCATTTTGAAATTTCAGCAGCAAACAATTTTGAATGATGGTTCAAGATGTTTTCAATCCAGTCGTGAACCTTCAGAATACCCAAATCATTCTTATGTATTGTAATAAATGGCATTCGCTTGTCTTTCGGTATGAAAATCGCATAATCACTCTTGGTGGAAACATTATCATGATTTGATGTCGACCATCCAGGTGCACGAATAATACCAACAATAGTGTTGATTGGATTTCGTTTTTCAATAGAGACAACCTTTGCACGAGATCTTGGATTGTCGACCTTTGGTGTTGGTTCTTCATTTATTTCCAACGATTCAAGCTTCTGTTCAGTTTCAGATAAGTCGCCATCTTCGTTCTCCATAAGCTGTTCATCATTAGAGCTGCTGTGTTCATCACTATTGCCATTATCATTTTTATCTTCAATTGGTTTAACAACAACTATATCATTATGGAGAGCGCGATTCCGGGCAATAGGACCATCAATGTAGAAGTCCGGTCGATCTTCCATACAAACAAACGCACTTCGATGGTTGTCAAGAATGCGTAAAGTCCCTTTGAACAATTTTCCTGAATTCAGTCCTTCAATTACTTCTTGACGGGTATAATACATTTCATAAACCTGCTTTCTTCTCATGTTCTTGCTGCTTTTATTGATCGGGGCTGATACTTGATGTTCTTTGTCTTCTTGTTTCTCAGGAACAATCTTTTTATCATCCTTACTCTTTTTGAAAGATTTTTTCTTCGATTTTTTTGGTTTCGTTAAAGCTTTTTCGTCCATCACTGTAGATGGTACTTGTGCTTTAGGTGTCTTCTCATGTTTTCTGGATCCTGAAGTCTTATTTTCTTTTCCTTTAAACTTTTCTTGTATCACTCCTTTATTATCATCAGAAGAACTCTTGGGAGGTGATGATACTATCTTCCTCGATTCGGGCTTCTTACCAGAAGGTTTCCCTGATTGCTTCTTGGGTGCAGACTTTACTTCATTATTCGGCTTTTTAGAAGATGAGCTCGATTCATGAACAATATCCTTAACTTTTTCCAGCAATCCAGCACCCAAACCCATCGTGGGTGGGTCTGACGTTTGTGCCTTTTCTGTCGATGCCAATTCTTCATTCATCTTCGCCGGTTTCTTACGTGGTATCTTTTTATTTGGATTATTTCTAAATTTTGAATGCTTTCGATCCTGTTTCTCTTCAGACTTTGCTAATTTTCGCATGATTTTTGGTGCTGGATAGTACTTTGCGAAAGGATAGGTAGAGGCCTTAGTTGAATCCACGTTCATGTTAATGTATGCATTAGCCTTGATATTTGCAATACGTACAAAAATTTAGTTGTTTTTTAAAAATATATCTAAGAGAATAGCTATTGTAGCAAATTAAAAATAACAATAAATCCGTGATTTCCACATAAAACTCTCTACATTGAGTAAGGACTAAAGTAATGTGTATAGAATACTCTTTAATTTTAAAATTTAATTTTTATTAAATTCCTCAATACACCTTGTCAAAACACCAAGTAGTAAGTTATTCGCTGCAACATTAAATAACTGGATCCAAGAAATATACTCTATTCCTTTTTACTTCTCTTAACTTTAACTGATTTATTCTTTAAAATTTTGTTTTATGTTCTCTAACATTACATTTAGAATCTTCATTCCATAAAACTGTTTCAGGTTCATACTGCTTACCTTATCCTTGTTATAAGATGATTCTCTTTCAATCAAATGTCCAAAAACTAAACAAGATGACTTTGAATGAACCCTCAAAGGTCATCTTCTAGTGGACATCTGAAATTGATGAAGCATTGACCCTTAAACAAAGTCTGAAGGTAGGCGATCAAAATAATGAAACATTGATTCTCTTTTATCTGAAATGTTTAGCAGTTCGTTTTTGTTGCTTTAATATCCATGCATTCTTCCTTACTTTGTATACGCTACCACATGCATACCCAGCTTCAGAGTTGATTTCTCCCATTGCTAGATTACTGAAAAAACTCGAAGATTTAGTTTGCAATTGATTCTTCAATAAAACACACTGTTTCAAAACATTTTACCCTACTTCTGTACGGAAATTATAGACAAGCTAGTAAATCATAAGACAGAGAACTTTATAATTCATATTCATTAAATTTTTGACCTAAAAACGAAGAATATCCTTCCATTCTTACTTTAGCATTGTTAAATGACTTAAAAGTACCATTTAGGTAACAAAAATATGAAGACAGTTAGCTTCTCGAAGAGCTATTCATTGCAATGTCCTTGAATGATAAGAGAAGCCTTTTAAGTATATGAAATTGACAAGTAATTCTCAATTTACCGGGATCAGCGAAACAATATCATACACACGGCAATGGAAGAAGAAAGAGGAACGCATGGAGCAGCAAAAGAATTGAAGCAGAGGGAAAGACTATATGCACGTCAATTGAAGATCAAGAGAGACGCAAAGATGGCTTTTGAGACAATTGCAGACGATAACTGGAATTTCATGGTAGTGGATTTTGAAGCATACGAGCGGGATCAAAAAGTTATTACAGAAGCTGGCATCACGACAAGAATTGGTGGGCAATGGCAGTCATCCCACATTCGTATTGCGAATTATTCACATCTTCGAAATGGGAAGTATGTTCCTGATGAAGTAGACAACTTTCGGTTTGGACAATCTGTTTTTCTTACGAAGGCAGTACTCCGGGAAAAACTAAGCGGAATGCTTCAAATCCCCAATTTAATTCTAGTTGCCCATGGATTCACTAATGAATTAAAATACTTGCGACTATTGGGTATTACTATCCCTCCTGAAGTCCGTATGTTGGATACGCAAAATGTTTTTTCCTATTTTAAAGCATCCAAACCCAGTTCCAATCTTTCAGACGTTTATGTAAGTCTTCGTGCTATGCTAAAAGTGCTTAATATACATCCATTCTGCCTTCATAACGCAGGAAATGATTCCAAGTATACGTCTGATGCATTGCAACTGATGGTTGCTGCTTTTGACAACTCAATGTTTGAAGATATGGCCCTTGAGATTTAATGATTTTTCTTATATACATTAATTAATTGCAAAGCTTTCTGTTAATATCTATTTTCTTTCCTGATAAGAGCCTTTCATTCCTTTTTCCAATGTGCCGAAACCTCCCTAGACTCTGCCAATTCACTTTTAATGTTCATCAATTCAAGATATCCTGTTTGTTCAAAGATTTCACTAGTTCCTACTTGTTCGAACCCTCGCTTATTCAATGCTTCATTTTTAAAGTCGAATACTCCTTTATTTGTGCAGCGAAGGTTGTATCATGGATTCAATACGCTAGGTTTCATTCGTGGCTTACAGGAGGTCGGCATTGGCACACAGAAAAGAAATGCAGAGATATTTACGAATACCATCTCTAAAATATATGCAGATTCGTAAGTAAAATTAGAACGAAGAGGAATGTCCTAACTGTCCTTAGTCATAAGAAGATGAGTGGATATTTGGTGACGAAAGAACAACAAGACAGGGTTATGTATCAACAAAAAGTTGATTTTGCTCATTTACGTAGTGAGCTACAAAGTATTGAGCGTCAAGAAATGGCCTCTTTGCACGCACAAGCGGGACAGCTATATTCAGATATTGAACGCTTAAGAACATCCTTTCGTGATCAGCTTAATAATTCTACGGCAGAGGCTAGGTTACAGCTGAGCATTGAACGTTTAAATCACTATGATGAGGCTTCTTTACAGGAGCTCAAACTTCGAGAATTATCTGCAGAAATTGATACAGAAATGTCAAACTTCCGAACCCAGTTAGCCACTTACAAAACACAAACTCTTCAGTGGCTGCTGGGAATTGTTACTGGGTATGGAACATTTATCGTCATTCTTGATTTGAAAACTTGGTGAAGTTTAGTGCTGTAGTTACTAACTGTTTCTAGATCGGGTGCTTTGCTTCTCGCATATGCTCGTTTAATTATTTAATTTTGTTGATTTAATTTTATCTCTTACTTATGATTGCACTGCGTTAATGTTCACGAGCAGCGTTAAATACATTGATCTTTTATGAATAGTAATGAACGCATTTTGAAAATTATTGATGTTATGCGATAAATGTTCATGACAATCGAAAGAGTGAGACTTTGGTAAAGATACTAAAGGAATGAGCTTTTTTTGGCTAATAATCGTTACGTGCCTTATTACCGTTGCTTCTCAATCAACGTTGCGATAATTAAGGGTTTTCTTCTAAAGCCTGAAGTAACCATCCTTTAACTTTTTCCAATGCCTGTACATCTCTCTGGTTCTTCTTTGAGAAGGACAAACGTTCTGCGGCCAATGTATCATACATTTTCAAATATTCATCATGCACTGTCTTTAATTTCATATTCATTTTCTCCTTCCAAACGTTAGTATAATGACATGCTTGTTTATTTGTGTCGTTTTTAAACGCAGACGCAAGGTCTAGCTTACCGTATAGGATGAGACAAACCCAACCATTTCTTCCATTCCTTTTGCGTAGTTATTAGATATCTGTTCAAAATTCCGTGCGTCTTGCTTAAGGGTTGCGTTTTCTGCTCGTAGTTCTATAAGCTCCATACTAGGGAGCAAGGTTTCATCAGAATAGGATGCCCCAGAGGATGAACCGCGAATAGATTGCTGAGATTTTGACTTCGCTTGGTTCAATTGCTCCTTAAGAAATGTTAACTAACGTTTGTTTTACAGAAATTCTAGCCAACAGACACACCTGGAGATCTTTGGTCGTTCGCGATAATCTTTCATATCGCTGAAAACTCGAATCCAGTTCTTTTTGTAACTTTCCCATACATTCTAAGAATGCAAGCTGCTCATCTCGATTCAGATCACTCATTTTTTTACGCGACACAACTATTCTAATAAATAGTAGACGTAGCTCAAAGTCTTTTAGTTAATTACACGTTTTCCTTTAAAAATTCATAAGTAAAAAGATAAAACAAGGTCTAACACAGAAAGAACAGAATTGTTTACACAGATTTGCTTCTCTCAACGGCAGCTCCAGCCAGTATTCGAATTTGAGCAGATTGCTATATGTTTGTAGTAAAGCCAATAGAAAAGGTGGGAAAAAACAGAGAAAACCCAAAAAAAGAATACAGAGACAGATACATTTACAGTTTAAAGAAAAAGAAAGAACTACAAAGAGAAATGAAGAAAGCTTACAGTACAAGAGATGCTATTAAAATTATTGATAATTGATTATTCAAAACAATCCATTAGGTATATGGAATATTCCTTTTAACATTAATAAACCCAAAACTAAATAATAGAATCAACCCTGTCCAAAATAGAATAAAAAACATTTTAGAGAAATGAAGACAACCTTTTTATCCAAAGCTCGTAATCTGTGATTCCAGTTCTTTCATTTCCTATTTTATGTAAAACTGAAGAAAAAGAAGGAATTCACATAAAATGTCTGCTATTTTTCCTTAAAAATCCACATGTTTGCCGACTAACTTTACATGCAATTAGAAACGCTCTTTAGCTCGAGCAGCGGCACTGCGAAGATTAGCGTACACTTTACCAGGAGGAGAACCGAGAATTAAGGACACGACAGCATCCTTGGCAATACGAAGATTGCTGTAACCACCTAAAATGTGAATTTTGCTATCCGCCAATACGATTCTTGTACGAGAAGCATTTTCGATAGCGAATTTGGTTTTCCCTGCTTGTCCAGCGATACGACCAATGGCACGGCTCAAATGATCACCCTGCAAAGTTTTCACATCTTTGATTTCAAAGGTATCAATATATAAATCATCCAAACGCAAGAGAGCGATGGCATCGTCAACGTCAAAACCGAGGGCAAATGCTTGCACAAAGTCCATGCCCTTTTGCAAAGCTCCAGGATCACTTGTGGCTTTGCTTTCACGTAATTCTACTGCTCTAGCCTTAACGTTCATACGAACTTGAAGGAATAAATGTTCAACCAAAGGTGGATAAAGCTTGGGCCATACATTTCTGAGAGGAGTCATTCTATGAGGGGGGATAGGAACCTTTCTCGTTTGAGGCTTTAACCCACGCTTTTTTTCTATTTTTGGTTGAACAGGTGCGAACCTAGGAGCACCTTCAATGTCCATTGTGCTGTCGCCCCTTGTTTCAGTAACTTCGGTTGTGTTGCCTGTTGTATCAATCATCACATCGTCCTCTATTGGCATTGTTAGCTCCCTACATCTATTTATTTAATTTTCCATACCATTTCCTTTTGGAGGAATGCCATTTACGGCTGCCGTAGGTGCCAGCATTTCTTTTGCAAATTTTGGTGAAAGAAGCAAGCTCTAGTGGAGAGAAAGGAAGCAGAAAAGTGTAAGGATTGCGAGGTGTTACAACTTCGTTAACCAATTGAATACGACGCAGTATGTCACTAAACATATTAACGAGTTATTACGAGACAAAATATGGAAAAAAACATGAAGAATAAAAGAAAAACAATGAAAAATATGACCGTTGTAGCAAAAGTTAACAAGCTAGAAGTATCAATCCTCCCTAATCTTTGAAGTAAGGAAGCGCTTGCTTCCGTTTGCAGGATATGACTCTGCATAAAACCGGATTACTATGCATAATGAATGAATAACACCTTCAAACCTTTACTACAAAGTAGACTTTTTGTCTATTTTAGATCTAATAGACTCCTTGTTTGCAAACACGAATTTGGAAAACTCACTTTGCTGTTCGAGTTCTTCTAGCTGGTTTTGTAATAAAACTTGTTCCTTTTCGTCCTCCACGATAAGCAATTTTGCTTTTAGTTCTCCCAATTTTTTTCCAACCTCATATCCATAAATAGCGCCCTGAGCATAACCATCATCAAAACCGCTTTGAGCAACTTCCATTTTTCCTTTCACAATGCCTTCTGAATAGCCAAAGTTACTGTGCTTTTCTTGAACAAGGTTCAAATCGTGCACTGTTAATGATTCCATATCCTCACTAAATGGATCTAAATCATCGACACTCTCAGTATCGGTGCCTTTAAGTAGCGAATCGTCGGCTTTGGGGGTCTCTGCTTTCGTATCCTCGTCAAGAAGAACCTCCCCTAGATTTGTCTCAACCTTTTTGAAAAATGAAGGTGACAAAATTCCATTCTTGCCTTCTGTTAAAATGACCCCGTTTTCTGATTGATAAAACTCCACATTATGTTGCATAGCTTTCAAAACATCAATATAAATATATAAAGTACATGATTTCCGAATCCCAGAAACAACGCCAGGCTCACCAAAGAGTCCTGTAGCGCAATGTATATGGTTCCTTTTCATACGTGAAAGGCCTTCCTTGCTGATTGTCTTCCATAATTCCTTTCTTGTACCGTGGACAACTTTCGGTAATAAGGAAGCATCCTCAATACGTGTCATAGGTACTTCAACTGTTCGAATTGTATGTCCCTGGTTGGCCCGAATTAACAGCTTACCTTCCATCTCAATCAAGGAAAATCTCTTCTTTTCATTTTCGTCTACAATTTTTTTCAGCATTTGTAGAGAAAGATTTTTAAATTGCGGTAATCTAAGTAAGTCATCCACCGACACGAAGCCATCTGGACGAAGCTGCAGCCCATTGGATTGTGCAGTATGTCGAAGAACTTTGGAAAGTGCTTTTGAAAACCGGATCATGGGGTCTTGTTCTTGTTTTTTCTTTCCGTTGTGTGTCTTGGCGAGTTTCTTTTGTTCAGTCACGTTGGTCATCCTACAAAACTTTTTCTGTGATCGCAGTGCAGGAATTGGATGCAAAAACAATCTGTGAAATTACAAAGCACAGTATTAATAACTTCACGACTTTATTTCTTTATATTATCCGTATAGAATGATAGCAGATAAAAAAATCAGTGACTGTAGTATTTAGAGCAATCAACTAAAAAAAAATCCTTCAATATATTTTATATTTAGTCAGAAACTGTGTATGTTAGTCCTTACTTCCAAAAAATCACAATTAGTAAAGCTAATCGGTTTTGAACCTGCTGATTCAAAATGTCTAAAGAATAGGCCTATTGGTCTTCTCAAAATCCGAAGACAAACGAAAACAAAGTTTTTATATAATTTTAAAATGAATTGACAACAAGAATTTTCTTTTCTGACTATTTACAGTCAGTGTTCTGGTTAGTCCTCCCAAAGCCCTCACCCTCCATTTAGAGAAAAGTCTCAAAGTAGCTGAATCACAAAAATGTCCGTATTAAAACCTTCCATATGGACGACGATTGGGTTGTCAACTTTAGTTGGCCTATACATGTTGTTTCATGGCAATGGAGAAGCATTTGATGTAGGAAGTTTTCTTCTTCAGATTAGCCCCTACACCTGGGGCTTGCTAGGCATTGCCAGCTGTGTTGCTTTTGGTATTATTGGTGCAGCCTGGGGTATTTTTATTTGTGGAAGCTCTATTTTGGGTGGTGCCGTTAAAGCGCCCCGAATTAAAACCAAAAACTTGATTAGTATCATTTTCTGTGAAGTGGTAGCCATTTATTCTCTGATTATAGCCATTGTCTTTTCTGGAAAGTTAAATGCTGTTAGTGCTTCTCATCTTTATAGCAAATCCAATTATTACACTGGTTTTGCAATCTTTTGGGGAGGACTCACCGTCGGTCTTTGCAATCTAATATGTGGCATTTGCGTTGGTATTACTGGCAGTAGTGCTGCCCTTGCTGATGCGCAAGATGCGTCTTTGTTTGTGAAAGTATTGGTTGTCGAAATCTTTGGGAGTGTTCTGGGTTTGTTTGGCTTAATCGTGGGTTTGTTAGTAGGCGGAAAAGCTCTCGACTTTGCTTGATTTTTGATACGTTTACTAAAAATCCTTTCTTATTCTTTACAATGGGATTTATCCTCAGAATTCCCGTTCCGTCGTCCCTTTTTGCTTCCTTTCTCTGATGATCTTTCTTTCAACAATAATCCATAAAAGTAACTCGAGAAAATTACTTTATTTCAACTAAATCCTTATTTTTACGATTATACTTTTCGTTCATCACGTACTTATGGTGTATATGCTGAACGGACGCAAATCTAATATAATAGAGGAAGTTCTATAATTGTTAAAGATTAATGAACCTAATCTTATTACGCTTCTTGAAATGCCTTCAGTTAACTCTATAGGGCCTGCCCTATTAAATAAATTTATTAAATATCAAGTCCAGTCTAGCAAAAGAAAGTGGTTGTAAATCATTAACGTACGGGTCGTTTAATAACTCTTGTAATCGAGTTATCTGGATATTGTACCAAAATCCCACATCACATTATCTATAGTAGCCGGATTTTTGAAAAAATCAGATCCGTTGTATGGAGAAGCAAAGTCGGATGTTTGGTCGTTCGATTTCCATTTGGAATAGGTTTGGATAATTAGTTTCAGTGTATCTTTGGAGCAGGTTTTTTTTATAAACTTATGCTCCAAAAGCTTCAATGGTGAGGGACGTTCTTGAGGGTTTTTCTTAAGACACAGATCAACGAAATCACAGAATGCCGGACTAAAGGATGATCTATCTAATGACGGAGGAGCGTGTTTTGGAATCAAAAGTAATACTTTCATAGGATGTATACCGGAATAAGGAGGTTCTCCGTTTGCTAATTCAAAAGCCGTGATACCCAAGGACCATATGTCGGCTTTTGCATTATACCCAGTTTGTTTGACAACTTCTGGTGCCATCCAAAATGGGGTTCCTACAAAATCATCATTCTTATCATAGAAATTTTGCAATTGACCGGAAACACCAAAGTCTGCTAGCTTAACTTCCCCGTCCTGCGTAGTCAGGATGTTGGCAGCCTTAATGTCACGATGCATTTTTCCTTGACCATGTAAATACACCAAAGCCTCCAACATATTCCTCAAAATCTCAGCTATAACCTGTTCAGGAAACTTTCCGACTGTTTTTAAAAGCTCGGTACAACTTCCTCCATCACAATACTCCATGCTTATCCATAAACGCGTCCCATCCAAAAAAGACTCAAAATATCTAGTTATATACGGTGAATTTAATCCAATCAAAAAATTAATTTCTCGAGTAAGAGATTCAATTTGATCCGTAGTGGCATCCAAATCTACTACCTTAAGAGCGACTGGTTTGGACGTTTCAACATTGATAGCTTTAAAGACAGAGCCAAAGCTACCTTGCCCTATAAGCTCCAAATCACAATAATGCTGCTTCTGCATGGCTTCCGTAATTCATTCCGTTAGAAACAAATGAATCAAGACGTTTATTAACGAATGTTCGGGTTTTCGTGGAAAGATATGGTGGGGTTTTCCAACTAAATCACTACTGAGGAAGCAAAAATGATACAACTAATATCAAGCTTTAAATTAATTATTGAAAATAAAATGCGACATTATATTATTACAAAAAAAATATTACGCTTATACCCTTCAAGGAACGAATTCATGAAGGTATATGAACCTATGCACCTATTATGACTATTTACACGATGCTGAAGTTTACCAACTATATCAAAAATAAAACCAATAAAAAAATAACTTCATAAATTCATTAAACAGTCATTGTCCTACCTCACCATTCCTAAGACGGCGTAGTCCAAGACAATAAATATAGACATGTCCATAAAAATATACTCAAGAGTGTGACATTGGAGGGTAAGGGAGTAAGATCCTATATATAATACAAACAATTACCGCCGTTGATAGGTTGTTTTTTAAGTTTATTGAAACTCAAACTGAAGCGCCGTGTTTTGTATACCTGCATCTTTTATGGTTTTATCCAACAAATTCCATAAGCTCGTACGCTGAAAGGTCAAAGAAAATGGTTGAGACTCAGCACCTTCAGCATTTCCTTTGACATACGCATAAACTTTACGAACAAGATCGGTCTCATAAAATCTTCGAATAAAACGAGCGCCGTTTGGCAAGCGGATTTGGATTCTAGTAACACCAGCGCCAGGACTAGGCTCTTCATCTTTTGCTTCTTCTGAATTAATTTTGTAAATCGTGTTGTCCTGCGTTTCCACCTCTTCTTCTTCTTCATCCTCATTGGCTTGAATAGGCTGAGATGATTCGCCCATATCTTCATTTTTTTCTTGTTCAACACCAAGTGAAGCAGCAATTGCTTTCGACATTTGTTCTTCCTCGGTCATTGCCTCTGCCGGTTTGTGCGACTTGGGACCGAGAGGATTCTTCCTTCCTTTGGTTTCATCCAATGTACAGCGCTCCAAAAAGTCATTTAATTCAATTATAAAGTCAGTGGGAGTGATTCCACTATTCCACTGCTTTACACGTTCACCAGTGCGAGGATCCAAAATCGCAACGTGGGGTGTAGACGACACGGGATAAAAACGCTTAAATTCCATGCCCGGTTCCTCATCATCAAGGAGTTGCAGAAATAGGAAATGTGCGCGAATAACTTCTTTAACAGATTCACTCTTCCATAAATCACGATTTAAAACTTGACATTCAAAAGAAGAGGAAGTCTGTAAGTTAATAAGAATCCATCGTTTTTCATAGGTAGCTTTCATTTTAGCTTGATCTAAAGTAAGATGGGATATAATGTCGTAGGGAGGACGGAAAAGTTTTGCGAGACGAGAAGCACGACTATTGCTTTCCGATTCTTCTGAAGAAGTATCAATGGACGATGCAATAGGCACCTCAGACGGAGATTGATCAAAAATGCCAACCCTTCTTCTTTGTCTACGATTCATTCTAGGTAATCCTGTTCCTAAGCCAAAATCATTACCTGCAAATCCTAACCCTGATGTAGTATCCACCATTGGATCGACTAGTACCTCTCTCGTAGGAGCAATGGGAGCACGAACTTCTTCAGTCTGTTCAGGAGGAGCAGACTGTGCAGTATTTGAGCTTCCGCTGCCATAGTCACCGGTTATACCTCCACTTTCAAAGAAAAGCGTGACCGCTGTGGACAAGTCTCCATCAGCAACTCCAAGGTATTCCTGCGCTTTTTCTGGAGTAGAATTTGTTATAGAACAAAAAGTAGCTACCAAATTACTGGAGTCTTCTTCCATAGTAAGAGTTTATTACAATAGTGTATGTGGTGTGTGGTGGAGGACAGATCCCAAATGTTTAAGACGTTTTTTGCAGACATCATTGAGAACCAAAAAATAAAAAGGAAATATCACTAATATATGAATAATAATACTATTACTTATTTGATTATGAAATACAGTATAAGCAGCTCTTTGTAACAACCGATTTTAACGAAGTCTTTACTCGTATGAAATGAGAAGTAAATCTCCAATATGGACTTCTTTCTTACTAATATCAACCCTATGAATATTACTTACGGGCAAAACCAACCATCAATAAATACCTTATTACAAACTACTTTACAATCTCTCCAACGCTTAATCTACAGTCTCACTTAGTCCAATTTCCTTGTGGGCACATGTTTTGCATTAAGATGGCTAGTATAGCTTTTTTTTTACTTCTTAGGGGCCATACGACGAAGGTAGAAGTGCAATTCATCACCCTCAAGAATGTAGCCATCGCAACGGCCAGATTGACCAGGGCGAGAAGAAACACAAGCGTATAAACGGCCAGCAGCAAATTGAGATTCCATAGCAGGGTCAACCTTAGAGCTACCAACACGAGCACCGAGCTTGCGTTGGACGTGCTTGGACTTGGGGGTAGCAGTAGGAGTAGCCTTCTTACCCTTACCACCCATCAAGATGCCGTAGTGAGTTTCATACCAAACACGGAAAGGAGCAGCATCAACTTGAACAATGGCAGACTTGGTCAAAGTGTTGGTACGGACCAACTCGTTGTTGGAAGGGTGGTAGGCGACTTGGATAATACGGGTCTTCTTAGCAACACCCTCAGAGCCCCAGGAGAAGTTACCAGATTCTAAACGAAGAGCACGGAACTTCTGGTTACCACCACGGACACGAACTTCGTGAATACGCTTGGCACCAATACGAGTGTTGGCGGCTTGACGGCCCAACTCGAATTTTCTTTTCTTACGGTATTGAGCACGCTTGGCACCGGAAGCAGAGCGCTTGTGGCGTGAGTCTCTGGTAATACCCATGTTGGTAAATTGGTGATGGTAGAAATCGCAGTCGAAAAGTTTGTGTTGGATGAGTTATGTGACTGTTTTTGTGATATAGCGTATTGGACTGCATTCCGAAGAAATCTTAATAGCGAGACTTAATGGATTTTTCTTCGATTACGAATATACGTTGCAGTTCTTTTATAACCAACTTCCACGTTTGTTTACATCTGGTAATTACTATTGGGTATAGAAGAAGTTGCTCATTATTTATTTCTGCTTCTACTGCTTCAACAGTATATCTATTACATTACATGTTTAGGATTGTAAACATAATATTTCTATTTAAAGCGTTGACAGATTAAAGGGGATCCATTCTTCTATTCATGTCGCAAAAGCTAAATAAATAAATAAATATAAAAGTCCTTTATAAATACTGGAAATAAGTAATTACTATTTGAAAAATCTGTCATCTTGCATTAGTTGTGGAAGCTTCCTCCTGCTGTTCATTCTCTTCATCGGTAGGCAATGTTTCGATATCCTGCACACTTTGAGCTTCTGCAGTAAATTCTTGACTCCTATCTAAAGCATTCAAAGAGTTCATAAGCTCTGGAACTTCCCAAGTAGCTAACGTCTCTCGAACGTATCCCGCAGAAGCTGGATTGTTTTTTGAATTAGCCGACTTCACCGACTTTGCGCCCGACTTCCCTCTTGGGCTTTCACACACTGATAGTTCACTTTCCTGTCTCTCTGTTTGGGGTGCATGATAGTTGGGAATATTTTTGTTTGATGGAGAACTGGTGTCCGAGGAGACGTCGGTGAATGAAGGTCTCGTAGTATGGTCCATAAGAGGCTGCGGATCTTCCCTTGAAAGTCGCTCAATAACAAAAGGGTTATCAGAAGAACCAAGGACTGGGTCACTTACAGCTGGTAAATTAACATCACGGACAGCATTGATAAGACCGCACATAAATTTGTTTCTACGTATTGCTTGTAAAGCAGTATTCTGCCAATTTGACTTGTAGTAAAAAGTTACTGTGAATTTGAGTGAATCCAAGGCTGAAAAATCTAGCACCGACAAATCCAAGAGAGGTCGAAAATCGCGATCATTCTCTTTCACAAACTCAAGCAAAAGGCTGCGCAGACGTTCCAATTGCTTAAAATCCGTACTGAAAGGAGCTGACAATGTCACTGACTCACTTTGAGGCAAACTACGTCGCAAATTTTCAATGAACAAAGTATTCAGTAGGGAATTGGGGGCTTGTACAGTTGAACCTGACATGGTCCGGAAAACAGTGTATAGTAAAGACAATGTTACCACTTCATATTTTGTTCCATTTATGACAACAACATCTGAAATGTCAAAAGGGTGTTTACTGAATAAGAAAACGATAGAAGACATTAACTCTTGAGCAGTGGTAGCAAAGATGAAGGATAAACTCAGGAGGGTTGTTCCATATGCAGCTAGAATAGTTGCGAAGGATGTGTCCAAAAAGGAAATGAAAATAAGAATCCCAATGATACCGACAGCTGCAAGTCCGACACGGTCTAACTTGGATAACGCCACATCGACATCTCGTAGAGATATTCGAATAGAAAAAAATTCATCAGCGACTTCTCTTGAAAACTGTTCTAATTCATCAAGGGTGATACTACGACTGTAATCTCTGTCTAAAATCTCGAATATAGAGATAATATCATCCTGATTGGGTATAAGACCAGAAAGATCTTCTTTTTTTAAACTATCTTCCCTGTTAGGAACGATGGCGTACCAAATCCTTCTAGCAATTGCAAGACATCGCTTTCGAGATCGCAGCATTTCGATAATGAATTCTTCTTCAGGAGTGAATGGTTTATGCGAATGACCAACAATATTATTAAAAACGGAACCGACTACTACTCTTGTCTTATTAAACGCTTTTCTCGCATTTTTCTTTAGGCGCTTTATTTGTCGGATACGACGAGAAGCATTCTCCTTATCCAAAGAACCGGAGGTACGTAAGTTAAGAATATAATCTTGTTGTAGAACAGATGGGGAATCTCTAAAAGGAGCCTTCAAGGACGCTAAAAAAAGCTTTGACAGCATAGTCAGATGCTTTTTATTATCAGCAATACGAAATTGATATTGTACTTCATGGTAATGGAAACCAATGAAGTGTAGGTTAATCTTTTCTAAAAGAAGGACAATACTGAGTATCACAAATGCACCAATGATTTTCGTACAAACTTTTATCCAGGACTGGACGTCTGAGGAAAGGGAAAATGAGTTTGCTAAATTTATGTTGGGGTTGACGCTAGTAGTGCCAGGTGCAGTAGGAACCACGGTAGCATTACCTGAATGGTGAGACACAGGAGCGGAATTTCTTATCATGATAGGTGGGAAAGTGCAAATGCATATTATACAAGTGAAAAAGAAAGCCAAGGGCAGTTCAAGGGCGGAGACAATTACAGATAGCTTATAAGCTGTGAAGGGGAAAATTCCTACAATAGTGTACAAAGAATAAGGAAGAATAGTTGCGGCTAAGCGAGAGACCCAAAATCCACCCCATGCAATCTCAAACCAAAGAAAAATCCAAAAAATTCGGACAGTACCAAGTTTCGCATAACGGTATTTTGGAGAAGCGCCAACAGCTAAAGGGATTACCAGTAAACAAGCCAAAGGAAGCCATAAAGCAATCCAACGTGTAACGAAAGAGAGATTCATGAACCACTTATAAAATTTTGTAACGTAATAGACTCCCTTAAACCTGGATTCTTGTTTTTTCAACCGATCTTCATTTTGGGGGTTATCATCTATATCTTTCATTATTGCATCTGTATTGTCAAAAACGTTGAAGTTCCTTGTACTATTGCGAAAGTACTTTTCTTGGTCATCCGCCGTTGACATTTTCAACAAGGATTTCAAGATATAACAAAATTAAAATCAAAACCAAAGAATTAGAAATAAATAAACAAAAATAAAAGAAGAATTATTCTTCTAAAAGCTAAATAGATCAAAAAAAAAGCCAATAAGCCAGGAAGGAAGAAAAGCGAAGTTTACGCAGAAAATAAAGATATATTTATGAAATAATACATATGAAAACAAGAAAACGTCTAATTGCACATGTACATCCAAAAATAAGTATGCTGTGGGTAATTATCGATTCGTGAAAAGAAACGATTTTTTTTTTGTAAGAAAGCAGAGATGCAAAGCAAAAGGAAGGAATTGGGGTTTACTGAAGATTCCTCACTTCATATAAACAAAATATAGGTCATCGAAGGTCGCTTCTTCGCAATAAAACTACTTGGAATAATACTTGTTGCAGAGCGATGAATTTTTGCGATCGCACTTTTCGTCTGCTAATGATATTACTGTTACCTGGGTTAGCAAAATGTAAACAAAAGGAATCTCTTTATACAACTACTAAAAAAAAATAATAATGGAAGGGAGAGAGAGAGAGAGATTTATTAAATTCTTTATCTATCAAATTTTTTTCTTTTTTTTACGTCGTTGCTAGTTTTTGTATAAGTAATTATTCCAAATATTTGTCAGAAGTGGAACTTTTAGAATTATATCTCTTTGTTAACGACATAATGACTGTTTGTTTGTTTTATATGTCAATTTAGAAAACTTGATAGGAAGATTTTATGTGGGTTGTCTCATTATAATTGCTTTGGTTGATTTCCTACTAAAAACAAAAATATATTACGCATGCTAGGAAAAGCAAAATAAATCAAACGCAAAGATATAAGTTCTATTTTGAATTATCACTGAAACCTGCTTTTTCAAATAAATTTGTTTATTTATCTGAATTACCATTAAATTTTCAATGTTTCACGTTCCATTCCATCGTAGTTCTATACCCACAAGCTCAATTAGCTTGATTATAGAATATAAAGGATCTATACAGTTTTTTTTTTTTAAAAAAAAAAACAAAAAGTTAAAGCAATTTTAACTACCATGTAATAAGTAAATAATACCTCATATATTTAATTGTCATTTCTTTGTTTACATTTAAAGAAGAATTGAATCATTCGTTACCCGTCGCTAAAACAAGAAATTAAATTCGGTACCGCGTATATTCTCCAAAGGGCCTCTGATTCACGATACAAACACCAACAACTTCTTTATAAAACTACCTTTAATTAGATTGAAAGAAAAGAAGTCCAATTCTATAATCTCCTATAAATACTGCTTATCTTTGACTCTTTAATTACACAGTCCAAATCCTTAATCACACGCAATCAATTTCTTATTCTCACTTTCCTGCAAATTAGTATGGCTGACGCGTCTGTTGAGAATTACCAAGATTTTAATCAAGCCATTGCTAATGAATCACAAGCTATTGTCTCTGATTTGAATGCAACGCGTTCGGTATCACGAAATCACAACGTTGACGATACTCATTATGATCCATTTGTTGAAAAGGAAAATAAGGAATACAAAAGGAATGAGTTTTTTGAGGAAAATATTCCTTGTGATGAAGGATCACTTCATGACAACCGGATGAATGCGAATCCTAATGTACCTGAAACTCAAAATCATGACACGTCCTGGAGGGATTCTAGCGAATGCGAAAATTCAGGAACGAACCTCTTTGTTACAGGGATTTCTCCTCGTATACATGATGAAGACTTGATCGAAATGTTCAGCAAGTATGGTACCGTTATGCGAGCCAACATACTTAAAGATCCAGCCACGAAAGAACCCAGAGGATTTGGGTTTGTCTCCTTATCCACAGTGGAACAAGCGGATGCTGCTATTGAAGGAATGAATACAAGAGAATTTTTTGGTCGCGTTTTGAATGTACAAAAGGCCAGGCGGTCTCGTCCTCGTTCTCCTACTCCTGGGAAATACATGGGATCTATGAAGGGAAAAACGATGCAGGGAAGAATTAGAAAATATCCATATAATCGAAATAATCGAATACCTTCGCGCTACCGTCCTAACCGTGACAGTCGCAGATCTCCAAACTATTATCGTCCAAGCAATATTAGAGACTATCATGATACTAGGAGCCGCTCACCGGATATGGGGCGTCTTGGAAGATATAATAGTGATTATAAATATCGTCCCTATAATGATCGCCGCCGTAAACATGAATACAATCGTGATGGACAGGACCAATCCTCTCGTCCCTATAACAACCATCGATTACAACAAGAGACGTCTTTTTCAACTGTCGTTCCACCTAGGCATTTCCGTGACGAACGACGCTCTCTGGAACAAAACACCGTTTAAAATTCAGAAGTTTCACGATTTTTTAAGAATGAAGTCGGTGGATTCTATTGCTGTTTTCAGCTTTGCTATTTATGGTTCCACATTTACGTGTATTATGACTATATCACGTTCAATTTCTCACATATCAAATTTATTATACTTTCTTCCTTCTACAAAGATTTCTCCTTCACGTTTTCATGACCTTCGTTTCATTCCTTGAACAAAATTATTGCTTATATTAATTATTATAATTTGCGACTACAAACTAAATTGTGCAAACTTTTCTGTAATGCCAGATTCGCGTTCTTTTGCAACAGCAAAGCTTTATTTATATCGGTTATGACGTACGTTTATGATTTATAATTTTATTGACCGAGAAAGAAACATTCATTAAAAGAAATTGATTGACTTCCAAGATATATTAGAAAAATTCGTCTTTTACGTTAATGACCGTCGATTCAAGAAAAGTCAAAGATTTTAATTAATAACCGTTAGTAATTTAACTCCCACAGTTCATGTTCCTTGGTTGTCAGTCCAAAACTAGGCTAATTTAATAACTTCTATTATGACTTTAGTTCAAGATAGCTGCGAAGTTCATGCTGATGTTGTCTTAGTTTATGCTGCCATTCAATCCATGTAATTGCCATCATAGCGGCATCCGTCATGTCATCTTTTTTGCTTGAGTACTTTACGGGTAATTCAAAATTCTTTAACGCATCATCATTTAATACAGATACCTTTCCAAGATTCAACATTTCGTTTAATAGTTTAACGCGTGTTGCCTTTGTCTTGGTATTACTGTTGAGGTTAACAAACTCAGGCAGGGCAGAAACATAAGAGTACACAGTTCGAGGTGCAAGGGAAAGTAAGCTCAAAGGACTAGGATTTGATTCTGAAGGATCCTGAGATTGACTGTTAACATGCAAGCAATGGAGCATAGCTTCAATTGCATTGACTCGCAAAGTCCATTCAGGAATTGTTTTGATACCTGACCGATAACGCTGGTGCTCCAGAAGGATTATACTGGGACGAAAACGGGAAGTTAAAGTGGTATAGATTTGAAAAGCAAGCCTTGCCAAATACTGAGGCTGGTAATCTTCGATCCATTTGATACCCAATCCATTCGTCGGGGATGTCAAATCTTCGCGAGCCCATTCATGAATATTCACTTTAGCACCTTCGGTACGACTAGCAAGACAGTATGCAAAGTTTTTAATGCCTAAGTCAATAGAAATGACATTATTCGTAGGATAGACTGGAGTAGACAGAATTCGCTGTAACAAATCTGCTTTTCGACCTTTTCTAGATAAACCACTGACTTTGCAGATATGTTGCAGCGTTTGAAGTTTGGAATAATCCATCCCACCACTTAGAAGTAGTTATTTTTTTTCTTTTTTTATACAAAATTTTCTATAAAAAAAAAGAAAAGCCTTAGCCGAACGATTCCGAAGTCGGCAAAGATACAAAGTACTTGCGTCAAATTGTATGCAATGAGTTGCACGCACATGTAATGAAAAATAGGTTTACAAAATTTCTATTAATTTCCGAGTTAATCCAAGCCGTATAAGAATGAAAACAAAAGCCCAAATTTCTGAGAATCCGAATACCAAAGAAATTACCGCTTAAAGTACTAAGTACTATGGTATACATCGGCCATGCTAATCACTTTGAAGGCCACACTTGGAAATCTACATCAGAGGATTTCTTTCCTATGAGAATAGATTTAAACTTATATAAGAGGGTCCCTATTCACAGTCTTAGTTCCTAAAGTATTTTGCATTCCGGAGCTTTGAATTCAGCTAATTCACACTATCTAAATACAATAGAACCATAGTATTTTATTATTTACAATGTTTTCTGTTGTTTACATCATTTATAAAATATTTCAACATTGATTTTGTGTCTTATTCTTGCTTTTTCGTTTCTGTATATCAGACTAACTCAACATAATACGATATCGCAATGTTGTAAAATCATAAGAGGATTGTGTAATACGTTACGCCACCTAGATTTGTAAATATCGATACTATACGTTACTGTGCTGTACTGGTTTATAGTACAAAGTCTTTGTTTCATGTTAAACCAGCCCATCTCAACTATCTTGCGGGTGTGGTCGATGAAACCGACTATTAGCGTACAACATTCTTAAATGAATATTGCTAGAAACAGGCATTTTACAACCAAGTCCAATAAATAAGTACTGAAACAACTGATTTTTTGTTAAAAAAGACTGGCACTGCTTTTTTTTTAGAGTGAAATTGACCAAGGTCTATCGGTGAAGCCTTTTTTTTGAAAGATCTTCGTGATTGTTGCAATTGAACATGGATTTCACACCAAACCAATGCATAAACAACCTTAATTTGGAATTAGATGACAGCCCTCATGTTGAGGAGTTCTCCAACGATGATTTGGCTGAACAATTGAACATGTTCAGCAATCCTTATTTCTTTGACTTTGAACCTGTCAATCTGTTTCCTCATAATTTTTACAGATCTTTGCCTCAAGATGTAAATTCCAACTTTACAGCGGCTCCAGCCGAATATAAAACCCAACCTCAACAAGCTGCTCCGTCATCACAATTTACGACATCCTCTAATGTTCCTGTACCAACTATTCCCAAGCAAGAACCTTTGGAAAATCCAAAAATTTCTGCTAAAGTTCCTCAAGAGGACAATCAAAACCCCTATTTGGTAACCGAGAATTTGGATTTGCTTAATGCTACAAGGGTAATGCAAATGCCGGGCAAAAATTCGTCTGGATTGTTCCCTCTACCCAATACCACTCCATTCTTGGAGTCTAAAGCTTCTGAAAATCAACAAAAGATTCCTACTCCCCCTTCTTTTCCTTATAAACGTCCTAGTGACTCCTCTTTGGATTTGCCTATCTCGTCTGCTGGCAACGAAGAACTAATTACCTCCGCTACTACTGGCAAACGAACCTCTACATCTGCCCGATTGCCAGATCTTCAACAACATAAAGAACAAGAATTGGCTTCAGTACCTTCAACTCCTGTCGCTGTCTCTGCCCCTTCAATTAAGCGCCCCAAGACTGACTCTTCGGATGCAGCCATTCGTAATGCCGCAGAAGAGGATAAACGCCGTAGAAATACAGCTGCTAGTGCAAGATTCCGTATAAAGAAAAAGCAAAAGGAACAGCAATTAGAACGTACTGCAAATGAGCTTTCGGAGAAAGTCATTTCTTTGGAATCTCGAATTGGCGAATTGGAAATGGAGAATAACTGGTTAAAGGGACTTATTCGCCCAGCTACGAATTTCTAAGAACTAATTTAATTTCTTGCTTTGGTTTATATTGATATCTCTTTCGATTCGATTCTGTTTATTTTCGTTCTATGGTTATTGAATATTTGCATACATGGACACATAGTGTTCTTATATTATAGCGCAATCTCCAACAGGTTGTGCGAGTCGGCCATTTGTTGTTTTTATGTTTAACCGACTTTTTTTGTTTATGTTAATTCAACTTTATTTTCCGCAAATTTGTTATTGTATTTTCTCTAGTTATTGAACCGGTGTTTTAATAGTTTTGCTAATTGAATAAATCTTTGTATAATGTTATGAATTATATTAGTAAGAGTTAGTATTTTTTTATTTTTATTATTCATTATTTTCTGTCAAGTTTATTTCACAGGAATTCATTGTTTTCATATTTCAATCCCTCGATATATGTTTATAGCTTTTCCTTATCATGGTTCACATACTCATTCGTATACCAATTTCTTGATTCGGTGGATTAGACTATTATCCACTGAGGTAAGCATCTTCTCTATCGATGTATATCTAGCCTTTTGTCTCTCTTGGAACTCTTCAACTAAATTCGTAGAATTTGAGTGAAAAACATTTAATTGTTCTTTTAATCTTTCCTCGCGTTTTATTATAATTGAATAGATTTGCTTTCCAATTAAAGAAACACAGCGCTCAACTCCGTGAGCATTTGGTAAATCAACTTGCCCGACGCTCTTCGATTGTTCCTTACCCAGTCCACACGGCTTAGAAACTTTTTCTTCTTGTTTAACTAACCGTAGATTCTCCTCCTTCATATGATCGGTCGTATCTGAAAGTAGGGTACTACTGCTTCCATCCTCCATACGATTGACAGATGGACCCAAGGACGAAGCTTCCGTAGGAGGACTTGAACAAGTATTAAGTAATGATGGAGTACTTCCAAGTGTAGAATAACCTTGCTTTGTAAAAGTTGCTAAATCAATTTGTCGTTTTCGATTCTGAGGAGGCGTAAACAAATCCTTTTTCCAAGATTTGTCCTTCAGCATTTGCTTCCAAATCGATTTGTGATCAGGTTGTTGTGGGTGATCCCAAGCATTCAGTAAATGGTTTGAAGGCTCCGGTTTGACTTTTTCCATCGTTTCTATCGGTGGATGTATATTGCTCATCGGCTCTACAGTATTCTTCTCTTTTTTAACATTGTCATTCAATCCATTATTCTCTTGAAAATTATTTGAATTCTGATTTTCTTTGTCATTTGAAAGCAATTGCTCAGAATTGTTACCTTCTTCCGTTCTTAAGAGTTCTTTGGCTTGCTTCTTATTTTTGGGACAAGGTGTTTCTTCTTCTTTCGAGCCTTCTAAAGGATTATCTACTTCTTTGTACTTTTCATCCCTCCTTGGTTTTTTAACCTTTGGAGGGCGAGTTGTCTTTGAAGAAGCTTTCCCGCCACGTGTACGCTTCCTTAGGGGGGTCGTTGTAGAATCATTTTCCAAAGCTGCTTGATTAGTATATTCTTTCATGGTTTCAGTAGTTTCAGTTTCTTTAGCAGTCTCCTCGTTCAGTGTATTCTCCGAATTGGAAATGTTATCACCAGCAGAAGCATTTTCAGGATTTTTTTCCTTAACTTCCGCATTTTCATTCTCCTCCTCCTGGGAAGCTTCATCTATTGATTCAGCACATATACTTTTATCGAGAACTTCATTCTCAAATTTTTCATAAGTACTATCATACTCCAGTGGATCACGGATAAAATGCTCTGATTCTTCCGTTAATGTATCCTTAAAATTGTTATTTGACTCATTTACAGCTATTTTTGGAGAAACAAACAGTTTAGGTGTTAAAGAATCTCCGACATACTGAAGAGTGGAATTCAAATCGGTAAAGGATAAATTGTCCTGGCATTCAAAGATACAATCCTTTAAATGGGGAATATCTGTAGTGAAGCAAAATTTGTAACTTTCATCACTTGTCATCATAATATCTTTAATTGATCCCCAAGATAGTTGCAACAAAGTACACCCTTTCCTATAAATGATAACATCCCTAGGCTCGATAATCATAGTAGCATTTGTGGGTGTTTCTAAATTTACTGAAAATGTGCCAGAAAAAACCTTCGTTGAATTGGCAGCGCTGGTCTGAAAGATTCGATCCGCCTTCAGCATCTGCATAGTCAACGTAGGTTTCGAGGAATCGTTCGCGTAAAAGAGACTTAAACGAATAGCATTTTGTCTATTGCTTTCCTCATCTATCCCAGAGACAGAAAATCTTGATATAAAAAGTCCACACAGAAACCTACACGCAAAATCACGGTGGGTTAAACGCTCACCAATCGCGTATAAATTCAGTTCTTTCCGATTGTTTATTAAGTACAATTTGTTATCTTCACATTTCGCAATAAAAAGTGACATTATTTGAAGGACCACGCGTTCAAAAACAATCATTTGGTATTCTGTTTCATCGTACAACTCAAGGTTAGTTGTAACACTAAAATATTCCGTTTCGTTTAAGTATTGACATCCCAAAGACAAAGTTAATGGACCAATGGTCTTTTTAAGAGAATTCTTGAGCGAAGGATCAAGTCCAGTAAATGTTTCTATAAAAATATCACCCAAATCAGGGTGCTTCCCTACAAAACATAGGTACAAAAGAATCTTTAGACAGGAGATAATTTTTGGTTCACTATACTGCTCTTTCTCTCCAATTACCGAAAAAGCACTTGATATGTTTGATATCGTCTGCTTTTCGCGTACTTCGCTCGCGTCGAGAGAAAGCACAGCGTTTAGAGTTCTTTCAAGTAAAGCTTTTGTTAATTGCCTCCCCTTTGTTAATAAGTTAAGAAACTCATTTAAAATATCCATATTGCGTTTCAGAACGATAAATATTCCAGTTAACGGAGTAAGTAAGTTTAACAATTTTATGCCTTGGTAAGCTATGTCTTTTAATATTAAATTAATTAGTGAGTATATGTTCGTATATTTCAATAAATAAGCATGAAAACAACTATAGCACAAAAGCTAGCTTCAGTGATATGCAGTTGACAACTCGTATTTTACCTACGCGTTCGTGTTTCACGACCGGGAAACATTGTTACCCATATAGTAAACAAACCCAAGCCAGAGGAGAAAGTTTAAATTATTATTTTGACAAAACGAAAAATTTTTGCATCTAAGTATAATTAACATCTAATAAACTAAAAGGATATATAAGAATTGGTGAAAAATTACTACTTAATAATGTAATTAAAAATGTCTATATAAAAAGTAGGAACGCATATAGATCAAACCTTTTTTGCAGTCTTTTTCCCTTTACAATAACCTTTTCACAAAAGCAAACAAAAGATACTTTAAGGACGAGAATTGTCAATGGAGAGGACAAGGATGTCGGCAGCGTGATTCTGGGACAATTCATCCATAACCTTAGCAACGTTCTTCTTTAAGACCATGCTGCTAACAGCAACCCAGTTGGGTTCATCCAAGGTAGTGATAGTGGGAGCACGCTTACCAGGAGTAATTTTGAGAACGTCGGTAAGATGCTCACGAGCAACATTGTAGTTGACGAGAACGTATTGTTGAGCGATTACATAACCACGGATGCGTGTAATGATAGTTTGCAAAAGGGGTTCGAGTTCAGGAGAACAGTTGGTAGATCGAACCAAGACAGCACTTGTACTCATGACATTCTCGATGGCTTTCAAACCGGAAGCACGCATGGTTTCACCAGATTCAACCAAGTCAACAACAGCTTCAGCAATGCCTAACGCGCAAGAGGCTTCAACACTGCCTGAAACAAAACTAATTTCAGTTTTAGCTTCTTCAGAAAGCTCTCCATCCTTTTTCATTTGTGCGTCCAACTTCTTAAAGTAATCACCCACCAAATATTCAAAGGAAGTGACTATACGTTGACCGGCCAATTGCTTAACGGTTTGAATTGGTCCACTTTCGGGAACCTGAACTTGCAGTTTGCATCCACCAAATTGAAGGTCAACCAACTCTTCGACCTTCAATTTTTCACCGATACGGAGACGAGCCTCAGCAATTTGATCTTGACCGGTAATACCAAGATGAACGCGACCAGTACCTACGAAACGAGGGATATCAGCAGCAGGAAGGAAAACTAAAGCAATGGGAAAGTTTTGAACCAAAGCGATATCCAAGCGAGAGTTACGGCGGAATTTAATATCAGCTCCCTTCAAAACGTTCACACATGATTCGTACAGACGCCCCTCTAAAAATATGCATTAATATTTGAATTTTAACAAACATATAGTTTACAAAAAAATTTTTTTTAATGAAAATATCACATCCTTAAATATAAGGTCAGTTGTCTCGCGATCAACCATTCTCGTTTTAAATTTTCATTCTTTGATAATTCACTATTATTAAAACTAAGTGAGACTTACTTTTAGGAACTGCAAAAAGCAAACGATCCTCCAAGTGGTTGACCAAATCCATAATGGTTTGTTATTTTTATGAATTTTTTTTTTGGTGTTGCACTGCTTTTTTGACGCTTCTCGCGTTTCTTGTTTATTCCCGGAACGCAGGACCCTACCCCAAAAAGCAGTCACGCTATCCCAAAATTTCTAATGGTACCAAAACCGATTCTTCTCTAAACACCACGCACTTCTACACATTTCAAGAGAACAATGGATTCTTCTAAGGTTCCTGTTAAGTTGGCTAAGGTCATCAAAGTTTTAGGTCGCACAGGCTCTCGGTAAGTTTTCAAAAATGGTTTATCTCTATTAGGAATGTGATGCTTGCGAATATGTTTTTAAGCATTCTATCCTTTAACTCGAGAAAGAACACTGCAAAAGGCGCATTTAGGTAAAACAGTGAATACTAACTTGTTGTTAGTGGTGGAGTTACTCAAGTCCGTGTTGAATTTATGGATGACACCTCTCGTTCCATCATCCGTAACGTCAAGGGACCTGTCCGTGAGGATGACATCTTGGTTCTTCTTGAATCTGAGCGTGAAGCTAGAAGATTGCGTTAAATCTAGCTTTGGTTTGACGCTGGTTGTTTCAGAGCTATAAAAATAACATCATCTTCATGAAGAGCGAAAAACTACTAGTTGTTGATTGTTGGTGTAGTGAATATGTAAATGCGATAAGTGGAGACGTTAAAAATTTGTAATCACGGCTGGTGAAATACTGGTTGCGTTATAAGAAATAAACTTCAATATTAGGGTTATTACCAAAGATTTTATATAACCAAAGAATCATAAACTAAGAAACATAGAGAAAAAGCAGAAGAATCATCAAATTACAAAACATTATTGTTCGATCAGCGTTTGCCACGTGCGGAAAACCGCTTGTTTATGGCATTATTTGTTCGTTTGAGGGTATCAGACTTCGATGGATTCGACGATACACGTTGAGCAGGATGCAAAGACAACTCCTTCCTTGGTAAATCAGAAGGCTGAAAATTTTCTCCTTCACGAAGCTCTGCCTTGTTGATAAATAAATTTGACAAATCATCCGCAAATGCCAATTCTCGTGACCAAGAAGGTGTCTCAGGAAACTTTTGTTTGAATGTTTCCGCCGTCGGTTCAATTGTGTCAAAGTTTGTATTTTCTAAAGTAGCTTCAAAGTTCGCCAAAGATTCTGTTTCATTACCAAGCAAAACGTTAGTATGTTGTGCCAGAGACGTAGTTCCATCTTGGATTTGACTTGTTAGCATATTTAAATTATCCTGAGGTGCTGCAACAGAATCTCTCACTGTTGCAGTCTTTTTCATTAAGTCATTCAATCGAAGTAAAAGCTTTTCATGCTTTTCTTGGAGATGATCATCAGAATGAGCTTGAAGACTTTGTAGCAAACGATCCAGCGTCCGAACTTCAGAATAAACATTCTCCTTTTGTGACTCAGCCAATGTCATGCACTCATCATAAACAGAGCGTGAATTCGAATGAATGCTTTTTCCTTTTGCATCCAATAATCCTGAACTTTGTGAGATGGTACTTTGCAACTTTCCTTTATTTTCTAATAAAGCATTGTAAAACACATCCGAGTCATCGTTCAGCTTATCAAAATGCAGTTTGAACTGCTTGTTTGAATTGACAAGTTCCGACTCCGTTTTTTTTAACTTTGAATGAAATCCCCCAACATTGGAGTAGAGTAACTGATTCTGCTCTTGCAAAAACTGACCAACCACCGTATTAATTCGGTTCATCAATTCTTTTTGTTTTATTTCCTCCTGAACCTTATGCTCATTTAAAAATTGTTCAACAGTACTATTGTTCTCGCTTAAAGATGTGGTGCAAGATTGAAGTATTGTCGTAATCTCATCCTTAGCTGTCGATATTAATTCTTTCTGAGATTTGCAAAAGCTCTGCTGGGAATTAAAGAGAGTACGAAGGTCCTGGACAACCTTTCGGTACGAGTCTTTAACCTCTTTTTGTAATTCAATTAATTCAGTGGATATTCCATTGCCTAATTTTTGGGAAGACATGCTAATTTCCTGTAGACTATTTTCCAGTAAAAGCAATAAATTTTTTCTGGATTCTAACAAGTCCATGACCAAGGAATCAAGCGTTGTCGAAGGATTCGATGAAGACCGTGCTTCCTGTAACAAATTTTCCAAGTTAATAAAATGCGCATTCACTTGTTGTACAGAAGTATTTAACAAGACACTGTGATTATTTATAATGTCCTCCATAGAAGCATTAAAAGTGTTTAATAAATTAAAGTAGCCGTTTGTCCCATTCGTAATATTTCCTTGAAAGCTAGTAAGCATTGCAAGCAGTTCTTGCTTAAGATTCAAAAATTTGGTCTCGTTCTCTTCACTTGTTTTTTCTGTCCGACTAAGCTTTTCATAGAGGCGAATAATATACTCTTTTGATTCACGATAATACTGAGATAGATCGCTTGCAACAGTTGTTATCTTTTGTTCGCTGGTTTCATATTCCTTTCTTTTTTCCATCTCTGAGTTCAACTGTTCTCGTAATTTCTCATTTTCCATCCTTGTTGCCTCCAAATCAGAATTTGAAGATGCGAGCTGACTTTGTAAACCGTCTATTTCCTTTCTATGTTCTTGATTTGATTTCGAAACTAACTGTAACTGTTCACGTGCATTTTTTATATTGAGCTCCAGCACCTCTAATTTTCGAGCCTGTTCTTGACAAAGAGTACTTTTACTTTGCTCCCCCTCTATCAATTCTTTATAAGAACCTTCTGCCAAGTAAACTCCGTTCTTTTGACGAGTGGCATTCAAATCCGCCTTTAAGCGCTCGATTTCAAGGACGAGGTCTTTAATAAGAACTTTACGAAATATCAATTGATTATTTTGTGGTTTGTTTCGAATGCTTTTGGCACGTGACGCATACTCCAAAGTTGAAAGTGTCTCTTCCATATTACTATTCGTAGAGGAAACCGTTACAATCATCGAAGTTTTAGTTTTTCCACCAAGCGAATCTTGCAATAGCCTAGTCAATTTTGACTCTCGATAGGGAATGTGATGGGATTTTTCGACAAGAGCATTGATTACACGTCCTAATGTAAGTAACGATTGATTGATCATACCGGTTTCGCGAGCACGCTTGTTTCCAGCCCCAGATCTACCAATATTTTCACTTCCGGCAAGATCTACCATGTGAAGCTTGCTGACACGCATATAGTCATCCGGACTGTTATTCGATGACATATTGGTGAATCCTGGTTCATGAGAGCTGGAAGAGGTAACCTTTGTGCAAATAGTAATAGTGAAAATAGAATGACTCCGTGAGGATAGATCGTTACACTTGGTAGCGGCAACATGGCGGCGGTAAGAACCTTCACGAAGTAAACGGAGACCTTCCGCTGCATTCTTAATGTAAAATTCCTCCATTCCTGTGACAACAACATTTCCTTGACGAGAGGTATCTTCAAAAACCTGAGCTCGTTTACGGAGGTCGTCAGGTACCAAAAGATCCCTAATTTCTTCATTATAGAGCTCATAGTATGAGCATTTTACCGCATACTCTTGACCGGTATTATCTAAGGTAGAAAATAAAGTATAAAGGGCCCGAGGAATTAAACCAGCACCCTCTGACAAAATACCGTTGAAATCGGATAAATCACCAGACATAGTGTAAGTTTTTCCTGTTCCCGTTTGACCATAGGCAAAAACAGTGCAGTTATATCCATTTAGTACTTGGGTTAAGATGGGAGATACTGCATGTTCGAAAAGCATAAGCTGATCTGCTTCAGGGCCAAAAACTTTATCAAATGCATATGTCTTAGCAACGAGCATTGAAGACGGATCAGACTGAATAGCTAATTCAGCACCAACTGCGCCTGAGGTACTAACAGCAAGAGCACTATTGTCGCGAATTTCTCGATCACTACGACCTCGAACACGGACTGCTACGTTTATGTTCGTTTCATTCTCACTATGGAGTGCACTCTCTGCAGAAGAGCTTGGGGAAGCCGAGGCATAACTTGCAGTACTCTGCGTGCCGGCACGGCGCTTGCGAGGAATAGTGGCATTGGGCACTCTAGGTGCATTCATTTCAAATTTTAAGTGAGCATTTGATGCTGAGTTTTGTGTAGGCCCGCCTCCAGGAGGCCTTGGCGGCATATTGCTTATATAAGAACGATAAAGATGGAAACCTAATGAAAGGAAGACAAGAATATCAACGAAAGCCAGGAAATTATGTCAAAAGTAAACTAAAAAAAATTAAGAAATTATCTAACGTTTAATGCCTGATACTCTATGAGCTTCGTGAATTGAGGTATCCACATGTAAAATGGTAAACACAGGGCCAATTGGGAGAACCAAGCAAGTAACGAAACTTGGACGATTTCAAGTATAAGCAGCTTACTCTTCAACAAATAATGTTTATAGATAAAAAATAAATAGTATATAAATCAATCGTACAGTTCTACTTCAAAAAGACCCTCTTATAAAAAAGAGCACTTCTTTACTGGAATGTGGTTTGCGAAATAGAAGTTCACTTGAAAATATACTTATTCAATTTTATACATAAAATAAAGTCAATTATTTTTTTCTATTATTTTCATGTAAAAATTATGTCTTTTCGTCGAAAAACGAAAGAGATTTTATTGTAAAATACATCCACAGTCTTCGTACTCCTAGTGACTGGGGAGAAGAAACTTGACTAGAAACAACGGCACAACACCATAATGTCGGAAAGCCTTGTTGAGGAGATTAAGAGTCAAATCGTCGTTCGAGACGACGAAATTAACGTCTCCGACTTGGAAGCCAAACTAAATGTTGCGAAACCTGTGGGTTACGACACAGTGGTCGTGATTCAAGGTGTTCCTGTCGTAGAAGAATCCAAGGTTCAGGATTTTTATCGTTTCTTAACTAGTAGATTGTTTGCCAAGATTGGCAAGGTCAAAGAAAATGGTCTGCACATGCCTTTGGAAGACAAAGATGGCAAGAAGGTATCGAATGGTATCGTGTTTGCAGACTTTGAAACCGTTGAATTTGCAGACCTCTGTGTACAAGAACTTGATGGAAAACAAATTTTAAAGAATCACGTTTTCGTTGTTCGCAAGTTAAGCCAGCTTGAAAAAGCTTTGAACACCCCAGAAGAATTCACTTTTGAAGAACGTGAATTTAAAGAGCGAGAACACTTGCGTAGCTGGCTCGCTGACTATTACGGCCGCGATCAGTTTATTAGTTACTATGGCAATCAGGTTTCTGTCAACTGGAACCGCAAGAGTGACATTCCTGAGCAAATTGTTAACCGTGAAAATTGGACTGAAACTTACGTCCAATGGTCACCTTTAGGTACTTACTTAGTTTCTTTGCATCTTCGTGGTATCCAACTTTGGGGTGGCGAGTCATGGAACATGTGTGCTCGTTTTTTGCATCCATATGTCAAGTTTATTGACTTTAGTCCTAACGAAAAGTATCTCGTTTCTTGGTCATATGAGCCCGTTCGTCTTCCTCCTATTGGACATCCTGCTCGTGAAAACATGCCCTTTACTGACGAAGACGAAGGAAAGCATTGCTTCGTTTGGGATATTGCCTCCGGTCGTATCCTTCGTTCTTTCAAGATTCCCCCTCAACTCGACAATAAGGATGCAAAGAAGGTGGTTTGGCCTCTTTTCAAGTGGTCTGCTGATGACCGTTTCCTCGCACGTGTTAATGTTGGGCAATCGATTTCAATCTACGAAACTCCTTCTCTTTCTTTAGTTGATAAAAAGACTCTCAAAATTGAAGGTGTTCAGAATTTTGAATGGTGCCCTGTTTCCAATGCTCTTGGTGGAGATAACAAGGAACAACTCTTAGCTTATTGGACTCCTGAAGTTGTAAACCAACCTGCTCGTGTTGCTCTCATGAATGTCCCTTCAAAGCAAACTATCCGTACTAAAAACCTTTTTAATGTCTCAGATTGCAAGTTATATTGGCAATCCAACGGTGATTTCCTGAGTGTTAAAGTTGATCGTCATACCAAGACTAAAAAATCTACTTTCTCCAACTTGGAAATCTTCCGTATTCGCGAAAAGAACATTCCCGTAGAAGTTGTTGAGTTAAAAGATGTTATACTCAATTTTGCTTGGGAGCCCAAGAGTGACAGATTTGCTATCATTTCTGCTAATGATCAAATTTTGAGTTCTACGAATGTCAAAACTACTCTTTCTTTCTACGGATTTGACCATAAAAAGAATACTACTAGTACGTTCCGTCACATCGCTTCTTTTGATAAGAAGTCTCTCAATTCAATTTTCTTCGCTCCCAATGGCAGATTTTTGATTGGTGCCACTCTCGGTTCCGCTACACAGTATGATTTAGAGTTCTATGATATGGATTTCGATACTGATAAAAAGGAACCTGATGCTTTGGCCAATGTCCAACAAATTGGATCAACCGAACACTTTGGTATGACTGAACTTGAATGGGATCCAAGTGGCCGCTATGTGACCACAAGCAGTACCGTCTGGCGCCACAAGCTCGAGAATGGTTATAGAATTTCAGACTTTAGAGGTACCCTTCTTCGTGAAGAAATGATTCCAGACTTTAAGCAATTTTTATGGCGACCTCGTCCTCCTACTCTCTTGTCTAAGGAGGACATGAAGAACATTAGAAGAAAACTTAAAGACTACAATCGTCTCTTCGATGAAGAAGATATTGCCGAAACAAGCACTGCCAATCGTGAGTTGGCCGCTCGCAGAAGAACCCTTATCAGTGAATGGCAAAGATATAGAGAAGAAGTTACCGCTCGTGTTTCTGAAGAGCGTGCCGTCGTGGGCCAGCCTCTTCACTCTGTTCTTCCTGCCGACGAAGAAGAAGTTGTCCAAGAAACTATCGAAGAGGTTATTTCCGAGCAAATTGAAACAATTGAAGATTAGACTTCTCTTTCTTTTTGGTCTTGTTTATTGTATATGGGTCTCTTGCCTTTCGAACGTTTCTTCATGAGTTTCATGATCCTGCTACCATATAAGTCGTGTAACTATAAAGGATTTGCTTGTTCGATCAGTGCTCTAAGTTTGGGTGATATATTTAGTGTGATAGTTAAAAAAATGAGATTGCATTCCTTGCTATAATATATTAACTGGAATTTTATTTACATTTACTCGTAGCTTCATAATATATCTTGAATATTCGCTATGGTAATGATCAGTTTAGATAGTGATAATAAGCTTAATTTAGCAACTTAACTGACTGATGACAAAACAAAACATAAAATAAAGTGTGAACAGTCAAAATTCGTAAAATCGTCTAAGGTCTTCAAAGTATAATCATCAAACAAGATACAAGTAAGCATTAAGACAAATTACCGTACCAAGCTGATTTATCATCATTGCTGGATCCATCTATCACACGACCCCCAAGAGGCCTACTTTTGTCATTAGTTATCGACTTCCGCAATTTAGTACCTGCTTGAATTTGATTCAATAAAGCACTTCTTTCGCCTGGATTAGCTGCGACCGGTGCAGGCGGTTCACTAGAAGGAGCAGACGGTGGTACTGGTGGTGCTGCAGGTGGTGCACTAGGAGGAGCAGATGGTGGTACAGGTGGTGCGGCAGGTGGTGCACCAGAAGGAGCAGACGGTGGTACTGGTGGTGCTGCAGGTGGTGCACTAGGAGGAGCAGATGGTGGTACAGGTGGTGCTGTAGGTGGCGCACTAGGAGGAGCGGCAGTCGTCAATGATGGCGTTGTACTTGTAGATCTTGGCTTTCCAGGAGAGGTAGAAAGTGGACGAACGGGTGCCATGCCTCCAAATAACTTCGCAGCTAAAGCTGCTGCATCCTTGCTAGATTGAGCATCGTCTTCACTATCTTCTTCATCTTCATGGCTCCAATTGTCCGAATCATAACCATTCGTTTTTGGAGCTGATGGAGTTGATGGAGCAGGCGGAAGCTTCGAAAAAGGATTAAATCCAGATGAGGTAGGGGGTGCAGGGGGCGCCGAAGGAGGAGGAACGGCAGGAATTGCTGGAGCAGCACCAAAAGAAGGAGCTTGAAAGTTTGCATTAGGTCGTTCTTCGGTTTCCAAGTTAGATTCTATAGTGGAAGTATCTACTTGCTTCTGAGCTTGAGGAGGTAAAGACGGGACTGGCACAGCAGGTGCAGGGGGAGGTGTTGGAGTTGGTGTAGGGTTGGTCACTGAAGATGAAGGCGCAAAAGGCGGCTGCTGAGGTGTCGCAGAAGACTGCGAAATATTTGATGTATCAGAAGGCACAGGTGGTACCGGAGATACAGATTCGTTAGGAACCGGTGACTTTTGTTGCGGAGTTGAAGAAGGCTGAGGAACACTTGGCACATTAAACGGCACTGGGGGTGCCGGAGGTACAGAAGGCAGCTGCGACGGTGTCGAGGAAGTCTTCTTGGCTTCTGATATATTTCCAGGAGTATTACTCGAAGGAGACAAAGACGGCTGTCTTACATGCTCAGTCGACGGAGCACTGGGAGCAGTGGATGGTACTGATGGTGGTTTAGCATCTCTTGAAGGCACTCTCTCAGGTGATGATGCCGTAACCTCTTTCACTGCCGAAGTATTAAATCCCGACGATATCGAAGAAACAGAATCTCTTTTGACGCCTTCAGCTTCAGGAACCGGATCCTTTGCCTGCTTATGATCTACAGTATTTTCATCAGCTTGCTTACCATTCTCATTTTGAGACTTTCCTTGTTCCGATGGGGCAGTATCAAAAGACGGGGTCGGTTGTTCTTTTTTACTGTTGATTGAGAGATTCGAAAACTGTTCCTTGAGCTGAGGTGGTTCGTTTGCGACGGTAATCATTGAAGGGCTTGCCGATGAATTACCACTAATGTTTCTTTGCTGACGAGGCTTTATACCCATAGCAGCTAAACGCTCATTCATACGTCGCTGGGCTTCTAGCTTTATTCGTGCAGCTCTGTCTTCTACATCGGGTACACCGAAAGAGCCTTCTTTCTCAGTTACGGGTTTGGATTCGAGAGTGGAAGGCATGGCAGATTCAGGTTGAACAACATTAGGTTTTGGATGAACGAACCGCTCTTGCGGTTCAACGGGTGGTGGGAGGTCTTCCACAGTTTTTTTAACAGACTCATCCACCATATTGTTTTTCAACCATTCATCGTCCATGTTTCTTAAAGAATCCAGTTGCTTACGAGTTTCCAATTCAATGGAATCAATAGATGTTTTAAGCTGCTTGAGTGAAGCCTCCGATGTATTTCTTTGCTGTTCGATATTATTCATTTCCGAAGAAACACCTCGTAAGTCAATGTCCCCGTTGGATGTTTGGATGCTTGAGGAAAGATCAGCCAATTTGTTATCAGCAGTAGTTACCTCAGAAACAAGCTGAGTTACCTTCGAACTTAGCGCGTTGAGGCGCGTGCGTAGGCTATCTGCTTCTGGAGATTTTTGCTTAACAAGTATTTCGTTAATTTCGTTATGAACGGATTTGATACGATCAATTAAGGACGCGTTGTTAGAAACATCAGAATGAGCAGCTTTTTTCTCTTCTAAAGCATTTAGTAATATCTCTTTTTCGCGGATATTTTTCTTTAAATGCTCCGACTCGTCGTTTAGTCCATTAAGCGAATCGGTCGTAGGTGGCATACTATCGGGCTTATCTTTAGAATAAGCCCTTCTTCTTGAATTAGATACGTAGGCAGGTACATTGGAATCGTTGAATCTATAAAGTGTTGCATCCTTATCACTTAGGGTGCTATCATTATCATAGAATGAATTTTTCTTCAACCTGCTAACGTTTTCATTGCTAAATGGTCGACGAGTTGAAGTATCATTTTTAATCAGATTCTTTACTTGATTCACGGAAGCTTCAATATTTCTAGTCGAAGGCGGAATTAATTCAGGAGGTAGCTCAGACGGGACAGCATTACCATTTAATTTTCTGTATATCAGGTGAAGAGCAACCGAAAATTCATCACGATCTAGGCAACCTTTGTCGCCATGATCGCAAAGATTCCACAAATGCTCAAGCTCAGAACGAGATAATTTGCTTTGTCCAAAAATTTCCAATACGGCATTTCCACCAAGTGTACCTTTCTTTTCTTTATCCCAAGCATCAAAGATTTGATCATATATACGCTTCTCTTCTTTACTGATGGCCCAAGGAATTTCTTTCTTTCCAGTGAAGTTGCGAACTAAACTACCATCAGATGCGTTTGGCATCATTTGTTCACCCAAAGCTTCAATACCAGGAAGATTACTTAAAGGAGTATTAATGAACCCCCACTGCCCTGGTACACCAGTAGGTTGAGCCGTAAGATTTCCGGTTCGCTGAGGCATCATAGGAGGCATTCCACCAGTACGTTGAGGCATCATGGGGGGCATACCACCAGTCATCTGGGGAGGCATTCCACCGGTTCGCTGAGGCATCATTGGGGGCATACCACCTGTCATTTGAGGAGGCATTCCGCCAGTACGTTGAGGCATCATGGGGGGCATACCACCTGTCATTTGGGGAGGCATTCCTCCAGTTCTTTGAGGCATCATGGGCGGCATTCCACCAGTTCTTTGAGGCATCATGGGTGGCATACCACCTGTCGTTTGAGGAGGCATTCCACCTGTTCTTTGAGGCATCATAGGAGGCATGCCACCTGTCGTTTGAGGAGGCATTCCACCAGTTCTTTGAGGCATCATGGGCGGCATACCACCAGTCATCTGGGGAGGCATTCCACCAGTACGTTGAGGCATCATGGGGGGCATACCACCAGTCATCTGGGGAGGCATTCCGCCAGTACGTTGAGGCATCATGGGGGGCATACCACCAGTCATCTGGGGAGGCATTCCACCAGTTCTTTGAGGCATCATGGGTGGCATACCACCTGTCGTTTGAGGAGGCATTCCACCTGTTCTTTGAGGCATCATAGGAGGCATGCCACCTGTCGTTTGAGGAGGCATTCCACCAGTTCTTTGAGGCATCATGGGCGGCATACCACCTGTCATCTGGGGAGGCATTCCACCTGTTCTTTGAGGCATCAATTGGGGCATACTACCTGTTCGCTGAGGCATCATAGGAGGCATACCACCTGTCTTCTGGGGAGGCATTCCACCTGTTCTTTGAGGCATCATTGGTTGTTGGAAACCAGTTAGTTGTGGTTGTATGCCAGTTTGTTGAGGAAACATTCCTGTAATCTGTGATGGGATTCCAGCAGCTTGTTGAAAACCATTAAACATTTGAGCTGCCATCTGTTGAGCACCTCCTTGAGAAACTGGTTGAGCATATTGAGAAGAACTATCATCTAAAGAAAAAGAAATCGCATCAACCATTGAATTCACTTCACCAAGAATATTTTCTGGTACCTTATCCGGGATAGGTTTTCCAGTAAGACCCAAATTACATAAATACATAGCCAAAACAAATTGGGGGAACATTAAATGTCCCGATCGAGTAGTGTCAGACAAAGACCAAATTTTAGAAAGAGTGGGCGTAGGAAGTTTTGAACGAACGAGAATAGCTTTAGCGATGTCCGCTGACATGGCTTCCTCATTACCAACTGCGGAACGGAATAACTTCTCAAATTTTTCTTGGTCTGAAGCAGTAATAAATGAAAGTCTAGTATCCATAGCATGACTTACGTGTATTTGACCGGTTTTTTGAGGTTTTAAAGGAGCAACTGGTGTTTGCATGGACGTAGGTTGAGGCTGTACAAAGGAAGCAAAAGGACCAGTTGGTTGGGGTTGAATGAACCCAGTACTTTGGGGAGCCATACCCATAGCTTGAGGCTGCGTGAATCCAATCTGATTTACATATGTACCAGTCCTTTGAGGTTGTAATGTGGGTTGCGGGAAGACCGTACCTGTTTTTTGGGGTTGTATGAAAGAACCAAAGCCACCAGTTTTCTGAGGTTGCGGTTGCATATAGCCATTCATTAAATTATTAAAAGATTGGCCATTGGTTCCAGGATACTGCATAAAACCCCCTGTTTGCTGAGGAAAGAAACCTTGAGGAGCCGTACCGGTTCTTTGGGGCTGTACGAAACCACTTGCTTGAGGCAAAACACTTCCGGTTTGTTGAGGCTGAACAAAGTTACTCATTGGATTAAACGGTTGACTACCAGTCTTTTGTGGTTGCATAAAACCACCCATCGGTGGTACTGGGGCACTACCGGTCCTTTGAGGTTGTACATAACCCATAGGCGGCATACCTGTATTCATCATTCCATTGTAACCCGTCATTTGAGAAGAAAAAGCAGACGGTGCTGATGGATTTGTGTATGATGGGGCCTGTGACGGATATCCATAGCCAGTGTTCATGGCATTCATAGATTCAGGTTGTTGAAAAGGCAACGCTGAACCGGTTCCAGGATAACCACCAGTCGAATAACCTTGTTGGTAAGGATAGCCACCTTGTTGAAATCCCATATTACCTTGGTTAATTGGCATCCCGTAGCCAGTCATATTCGGTTGCATGCCACCGTTCGTGCCATATCCGTACGGTGCTCCGTTCATCGGGTTCGGATATGACATTATACGACGTTAACAAAAAAAATAAGAATATTTACGTCGTTTAACAGCCAATTTGGTTCCTTATGCTGATTTTTGGAATCTAGGATGGATTGTAGGTTGAGGTGAGGGATTACAAGGCGACCGAAAGAAACCACAGGTAACACACGGCATACAAAGTAGCACTACATATAATGTCGATGATTTATGCTAGTAGTTACCACCAGCAGGCTTAATCAATCAAGTACTCAAAGAAATAAATGAATTATTATAAGAAAGTAAACTTTGGTCAGGACTTAGAAACTAATAGGATTTTCAACCTGTGTATATTTTTAACATGAGACAACGTATTTTGATAATGCACAATAATTTTTATGCCCATATGTATGAAAACTACGATAGTACATCTACTAACTAATTAAGCCCTGGATATGAAACAGCCATTCCCTGGGAAGCAAAATTAATCTACAACATGGGCAAGAGTGGCAGCTATCGACTAGAACAATTATATCATGCATTTCGCTTTATGCTCTTCAAACATAATATTCATAAAGAACAGTGGATATTATAAAAAATATAAGGTTTTTGTAAGTTAAAGAGTCGACTGTATTTCAAAATCGATAGATGGTAAACGTAACATTTGAAAAAAAAAAGATAGAATGAACAAGTGTAGAATGTGAATTCTCGTCTGAAAACTTGTTGGTACATGAATAGTACGTCAAAAAGAATGTGATCGTTTGATCATTAACGACGGACATGCCGATGTAAGATCCAAAAACCCATCGGCAGAATTAGTCCAATGAGCCAACCGAAGCCAACAATAAAGCATAATTGTACACACAATAGCGTGTAGTGATTCAGAGAACTACGCTTTGGAATCTATAGATCTTCCAATGCTTGATGTACCTCATCTAATTCGGCCTTAATCTTCGCGTATTTATCAGTCATGCCTTCAAGCTTTTGTTCCAAGTCGTCACGCTCATGTTCCAATGATTGAACGCGGCGCTCGAAATGTTCAGCCTTGACATCTGTTTGGCGCATTTTCTCTGTGGTATCGCGAAGAAGCTTATCATTAGTTTCAAGCTCCTCCTCTAAAAGCTCAATTTTTCGGGAAAGCTGTTCAACTTCACCCTTTTGGCCAGTTTCGTCGTCGGCCTTAATGCGTAAGTCTTTCATCTCTTCTTCAATTTCTTCTAAACGAGACTCGGAAGCTTCGTGTTTTCTGGAAAGGGATTCATATTCTTGTTCTTTAACAGACATTTGGTGTTCCAGTTCTTTCAACTTGGCCTCTGCAGCTTCAGCACGCGAGACAGCTTCGTCAGTTTCGGCGCGGGCAGCGTTGATTTTCTGTTTCAGTTAGCAGGTTGAAATGGATATAATCCTTTTTATCATACTTCTCTAAGTTTATCCATTTTATTCGTTTCTATCTATATTTGGTTGTGGGTGGAGGTGGACAGCTTAAGAATCAGTGTATATTCGATTCATAAGGTAAGGGTGGTGAATGTACGTACAACGTAGTACTAAAACAAAAGAATCTCTAAGGACAAAGAAACAGATCTTGTAAAGATATTTTATTTCAAGTTAGTTTAATAAAGTTTACAAGCATTTACAATGTTCTCTTCTGAAGATGCTAGAAAATCCATCAGTTGGTGTGTAGCTTTTGATGTTTGAAGGATATTTCGATGGTAGACGTAAATAATATCTTGTGTAGTTGGTTGTTATGACTATATTAACTAAAGGAGAAAAACAAGTAGCGTAATGATATTTGAAATCGTTAGATGGAGAGCAACTAAATTCTGCAATAGCCCTATGTAAGGAAAGAGAGAAACAGACAGACAGAGATAAAACAAAACCGCCAGCAAGAAGAGGACTCATACTCACCAAAGACGATCATCAGAAGCAGCATCTTTACGGAAATATCACAAGAATATCAATGTGTGTTTGAACGAATTAATACTCTAAACAAACAAGAATCGAATGAAGTGACATAGTTGTGCTTTAACGTGAAATAAATTAAAAAAAAACTTGACATAGACTTTTACATTGAAAGCCTCGACCGTCTTTTAATTGTCGTCTGTAGCCGAAATAGCTACTAGGGAAAAATAAGGAGAATTTGTCTTCTCTATATAGCCTTTTATCACGGAAAATACTTTAGGATCTAGTAAGTCCTTTTCAATTTCGGGGTGTTGAATAGGTCCTTCGCGACGGCCGTCCAATTCATAAAAATGGCGATCATTGGCCTCTGTTCCCCTAACAAAACAAAGATAATGAAGGTCGGTTTCATCTTCTTCGTCTCCTTCTTCTTCATCGTCGGGTGCACCAGCAAATTCTGCGTGTAGTGTGGCTATCTCTTTAGAGTTTTTTAACATATTTGCTCTTTGGTCGGCCTTCTCTTCTCTAGCTTTTTTTAAAAAGTTAGAAGTAAAGTCTGAATAGTAACTTTTTTTGGAAAGATCTCCATTTGCTATAGCATGCATCAAGGCAACAGTACCACATGCATTGGATACAAGTTGAGGAAACCAAACCACTTCCTTGCAATCAGCTGGTAAAAGTTTCGATTCATTTTGAGACTTATCAAATTTACCAGGAGAAGGAAGAACCAACAAAAGTGCCCCTACAGGACGAGGTATATATTCAGGAATTTCATCCAACGTAAATAAGTCAAATACACCTGCATTTGGAATTCCTAATTTTTGCAGGTAAGGTTCTAAGATCTCGGGATTATTTTCCAATGGTTTCCACATTATAAGTGAATTAATAATCGTAGATTAGGATTTGGTTTTGGTAAGCATATAACTAAAGGCGATTTTGTTACCTTGTATGTTCATATACCTAGTAATAATTCAAGACTGAATATTTACATTTCGAAAATTGAATGTAATCCAGTAGATAATTATAAAACCAACATGTCTTCAGCAAAATGTTCTAACTCATGGCATTGACCAACAGTTAATGAGAGCGTAGAAGTCTTTGATTTATTAGCATTACTTTGTAAGACATGTAATCAATAATATTTATGTTTAAACATTCAGGTATGAAATAAAAATTAGTACTAAAAATTGAGTATTATACAGTTAGACACCTTTGATACAAAGGATTTCATTGCGAACGGCGAATAGTGTGTAAGAGCTCAGCGATATAAAGCTCAACATGAGCTTTCAGTTTTTCAAATTCGATGCTAATCTGCGAACTTTGCGACTCCAGTTCTCTTTTCATATCGGCCATTTGCTTTTCTGTCATTTCAATTATTGTTTGCTTTTGGTCGGCTTCTTGGGCTTTTTGGGATTTAACCTGAAGCAGCTCTTGATATTCTTCCTTTATCTGATCCATCCTTTGCTTTGCCGCTTCTAATTTTTGGTTTCTAGATTGTTGCTCATGCTGTAACTTTTCTTGTGCATTTGACAACTGCTTCAACAGCTGTTCCTTACGAAAATCTAGTTTCCTTTTATTGATATCGACTTGTTCACACAATTCTTGATTTGATGATAGAAGATTGGAAGCGTGCTCAAGCTTGTCCACTTCGACCAAACATTCTTCTAATATCTTTACGCACGCACTCAAATCAGTTTCTGTCAAAGTCAATTCATTGAGTTTTGATTGAAGATATTTCGATTTCTTATCAAGTTCAAACTGTTGTGTCCGATCCAACTGGACACGATCTGACATATCCAAAATCCGTATTTGAAGTTTTTCGGGGGAATGTACAATAGAAGATTGTAATTGTTCTGTTTCTTGCAATGTATTTGAAATTAAAGTTTCTAATTCAAGGTGTTTTACCTTCAGCTCGAGTGCTTCCTGCTTTATTTGATCATATTCGGCTTTTGTTTGCGAACAGATCCTTTTTATTTCCAAGAGATTCTGATAAAGTTGATCATTTCTTTCTTCATTCTGTTTAATAATAACTTGATTTTGTCCTCGTTTTTCTTGGCTTAGCAAAACTTCCTGTTCAAGGGTTTGTCTTTGGGTATTAAGTAGTGAATAGTTTTCAATTAGACTTTCCCGTTTCTGGATATCGGGCTCAAAGAGTAATAATTGTTGTTCCCTTAACTTGGCGAAATTAATGACACCAGAAAGGATTCGTTTTAACCGATTGGTAGTAGGCTTAATTAAATCTTGTATAGAAAAGTCATCCACGCATATACTCTGCATAAACTGACTTGCCATCTTATAGAAAAACATAAATCTTAGTGATTCACGTAAAATCTCAAAGTTTTCGATTGTATCCTGTAGAGAATTCGCCTTGTCTTCCAAATCTTGACTAGTGAGCCCCATGAACATGTCTAGGAACTCTTCACATAAGGAAATTACAGCCTGAGACGTTGGCTGAGCTAACTCTTTTTTACTGAATGTAATTCCCAAACCCGCTATGCATTCCAGTATCTCCTCTGATTCCAATAATGGGAAAATGTATCTTCGCGACATAGAAGTTGTAAAGTAGAAAAGCAAATAAATGAATGAGTAAATAACTAAGAATAAATCAACTAGAAACCACAAATACAAAGAAAAATAAGAGAAAGAGAGCGATTACAACAACTAGAAATGATCCGTTGGTTATGGAACTAAATAAATATTTCATTGCAAATATTGAACTCAAAATAAAGCATTCGCTTAGCTTCCTGAATAAATCAAAAGATATTTTTAGTATCTGCTTAATGAATATATAAAAACTCGGCTTTTAATAGAGTATATAAAGTTCTATTCATATTGTTATTCGTAATTGTTCATAAAATCATTATTATTAAAGCAAAAAAAAAAAGAAAAAAAAAACAAATATGACGATAAACGGTGAAGATTATTTAGTATTCTTATACAAATTTCGTGGATACGACATCTGACTTTGGAATCGAAAGCGGCGACGGCGTTTTAAACGCTTCCAGTTCTTTGCGTAAATGGTTTTCAGGAATGGATAAGGAAAGATGAAAGCAGAAGAAACAAGAATTGTTCAACAAGCAATGAACCTGAACATGATGTTTGCTGGCGAGATCATTAACTAAAACTCACCAAGTTTCAAACGGAAGCAGGAAGAGGGAAAAGCTTGATGCCAATCTTTATGCTCTACCACGGACTTATTTAATATATGAGTTTATTTGCATTGTACTTTCGTGAAACGGTTAAAGTAAAACCGAGTGTATTTTGTTGGTATGTAAGTAGCCGTGTGCAAAAATGCAGTTTCAACGGTACCATGATCAGCTTTCTATAATCCTTCCTTTGAAATGTGTGTATTCAAAGAAAATAATCCTCCATAGAATCCTTTGGTGAAAGAAGTGCAGTCAAGGAATAACATTATCATGCTCAGATGCCTAAAACTTATCTGTACGACCGTATCTTGTTTGAATCTCATTCAACACAAGGTAAATTTTATTCCTTGTACAAAGCTCACGTATGTTGGCAAGATAACTAAATGGAGGGACAATGAACCAGCCCTCGCCTTGGATAGGTAATACTACAAAGGCCGGTATATTATGAGAGACCAGAGCAACTCCAAGTGCGTGTAAATCTCCATATGGAATATAATTCACATCAAAGGTGAAGAATTTGAAATTTTTGCCATATTTCTTTACTACCCTATAATACGCTGACGATGGTCTTACCATGAAACGAGTTGATGGTAGAGAGAAATCGTTCTTTGTTGAGCTTATGGCGAGCTGCCAGTCCAGATGACTTGACAGCACTCTCGTTTGCTTTGACGACGCATGTAGCTGTCAACTTGTGTGTGAGCTCGTGGTTTGGAGAAAACACTGCCATATTGTCCCCCCGAAAGCAATAGGAAAAACAAAGTATGATTTGGCTCCCATCACTGAAAGTTTCTTGTCGAAACACTTTTGTAAGAAGTCCTAAACATATTCATTGTTGGTTTCAAGAGTAATTACGCCGATACCGCCAATTAAATTAGTATATTCCTGTCCTTTCTCATCTACGAATCGAGAATTTTCAGTCTTGACAAACTTTCGAGGATGATCGTGGATAGTATGTTTTTAAACAGTGAATGGAATTATGTGGGAAATATAAATATATTGTAATGAGATTTGAAATAGTGTTTCATGGAGTCCGAATTCAAGTTCACAATATCAGCTGCCAATTTTTATGTAGAACTTCAGTTTTTTCACTACTTCTAAGGGTTCATACTAATTACATGTACTTAGTGAATTATAAAAGATAAAACCAATCATATTGAACATTATCGACCAAAAATACCCATTTTATATTATCCTTTTTATTTTTCCATTAAATTACCCAATGTAACTAAAGTTTAGTTGACGGCCAACAGTTTAACATCGAAAATCAAATCCGAGTTGGCAGGGATTCCAGGGAGACGTTTAGCTCCATAAGCCATGAGTGAAGGAATATTCAAAGTACGTTCACCACCAACTTGCATACCAGCAATACCGAGATCCCATCCTCTAATAACTTCTTCCAAACCCAAGTTAAAAGCAAAAGGTTTACCGCTGATGTTTTTGTCAAATACCTTGCCGTTTTTCAAACGACCAATGTAGCGCATAGACACACGCTTTCCTTTTTTAGCGGCGGGTCCATTGCCAATCACCTTATCCTGGATGACTACGTTTCCTTCTAATGTTTTCTTTGCATAAGTCTTTGCAGGTTTCTCTGACTTTTGCTTTTTCTCCTTTTCTTCCGGTTCAGGAGCTTGTTCTGAAGGACGTTTTTTCGAGTCAGTTTTTTCTTGTTTCTTTTCATTTTGATTGTCTTGCTTTTGAGGTGTTTCCGATTTAGTCTCTTGTTTCTCTTCAGGCTCCTCGTCATCACTTCTTAATTCTTCAATGCGAGCACCACCTTCTTCATCTTCATCCTCAGAAGCATCTATATCAAAATCCTCATCTTCACTCAAACCATCATCATTAAAGATAAAATCCTCGTCATCTCCACTTTCATAATCATCCATGTCGCTGTCCTCGGAATCTTCAGGTACATTGGTAACTGTGCAAGAGCCGCTTAGATAGACTGTAGCACCACCAGTTTTTTCAAAATATACCTCTTCACCAGGAGAAAACACTAGATCAATTGGCTGCTGGTAAACGACTCCTTTCTTGAGAGTGCAGAGTACAAATTGTTCTTCTTCGTCCTCCTTTTCTTCACCTTCACCTTCATCTTCAGAATGTTGAAGGCGAGTAATCACCTTGACAGTAACAGGCTCATTTGATTTTCCTGCTGGGTCTAGGGCAGCCATGGTAAATTGAACGGTCATTTCGCTGCGAAACCCTTGATAAAAGTCTTCATCGAAAAGAGGGACGCGCTCTTTATCAATTTTAACGCTGTAAATAGTTCTTTCAACACTCATATTTCCCTTAATAATCTAATTCCGATGTTTTTTCTTAAATTCGGTAGATACTAAGTCCTTGCACTGTAGTACAAAGGGAAGGTGAAAATTCTCCATTTCCTGAAAGATACCTTACGTCGCTTAGTTCAAGCTTGTTTATAAGCGAATAATAGATTTTGTGAATTTCATTCAACAGTAAAGAGGCCTATAATTTCTTCATATTATTTATTAAAGAACAGTATATAAATACATTCTTCGTGCTGCTGCATACGATCACACGTAGATTTGAATTGAGGAAATGAGAAGCGCAGAAGTCAATCCTTTTCGTAACCATAAAGAAATAAGTAGACAGATTTCACTCTTCATACATTTACACTCTTTATTGCAGCATTTTAAATCTCTTTCGAGTATTTTCTACTCTTTCATCTTCCTCAGAATGATGCATATAAAACCGTAAGTATTCTTTTATAGAGGCCTAAGGAAGTTCGGTATATGGGAATGGAACACTTCAGCTTCAAGTATTTACCAGTTGCATACTACATAAAACTAGAATTTCGGGTTATTTTTGAAAGGATTGTAAGAATTTAGAGAAATAGAAGTTTCTGAGAAGAATGAATGACTAACTTTATCCGTAGAGTCCTTACAAGTTGCGAGCACGAATAATAAGTCTGTGAAAAATAACCCGTCAAAATGTGGTTTTTGAAGGCCTTTTTATGGACATTAATTGTTGGTTTTGTTTTTGCAGAACAAGTCTGGAAGAACAGCAATGCGATTCGATCCATAGATTTACGATCTACATTCATTAGGGAAACAAATTCATTAATCATCGTCAATGAAGGTAATGAACCTGAAAGCGTTTATCGTTATCATCAACATTTAAATGAAAATGAAAAGGTTGCTGAAATACAAGCTGTAATTAAGGAGCTTTCAAAAAAGAAGGCCCTAATTACGAAGGTGGATGATGAATCCTTTGATATTTTCTTGGAAACTCCCGTTCAGCCTGGTCAAAGCCTTACAATTACTGTCCAAGCTAGTCTTATTCATGGATTCCGTCCTCTTCCCGCTGCTATTGATCAAGATGATGCTCAATATTTGGTGTACAAGACTTCTAGGTTCCTTGATAGTGTTTATCCTACGGAACAACAGCGTACTCGCTTTATACTTCCATCTTCCGAAATTGAGTCTTTCACAACATTTGAAGAATCTCCTGCTCGTAAGGGGAATACGCTTGTCTATGAAACTCGCTCCCTCGTTGTTCCCGGCGATTCTGAGGAAGAAATTCAAGTTCGTTTTGAACACACTAATCCTCTTCCCAATGCTCTCGACTTCAAAATGCAAGTCGAACTTCATGAATATCGCCAAAAGATTGATGTTTCCGAGCGAATTATTGTCGAGAACCGCTCTGCGAAATTAAAGAATCCTTTTGATCGTGCCAGATGGTACATGAAGAACTTTTACAACCCCGTATCCACTGCCATCAACCGTTTCCTCATCACTTTACCCAAAGACGTAAGCGATGTTTCGTACACGGATGAAGTTGGCAATATTACCACTTCCCATATGCGTACCGAGCCTAAACAGACCGTGTTGGAATTGCTTCCTCGTTATCCCGTTTTTGGTGGATGGAATTATTTGTACAATTTGGCTTGGTCGATGCCCTACTCTACCTTTGCTAAACAAGAGGATGAGCAAACTGTGATTAGACTTCCTCTCACCTGGGTTCCCGGTGAGCTACTGTTTGAAAAAGCTGTCTGGTCCTATGTTTTTCCTGAGGGTGCTACTAACGTTTCCGTGAAAATGCCTGTAACAGTCGACTCCACAAGGGTGGAGACTGTTCACAAATTCTTGGACACAAAAGGCCGTCAAGTTTACACTTTTGAGAGTACCAATGTCATTGATGGAAGTCCATCTCAGTTTGTAGAAATCTCCTACAATTTTGATAGTTCTATTATGTACATGCGTGTTGCAATCATCACCGTTTTAGTTTTGGTTCTTGCTACCGCCATCTATCTTATTTGGGCCCCTTAAGTTTTCATGAGTCGCTTGCTGAGCAAACAAAAACATAAGTTCCGTCTTTTCTATACGCATGTAAATGATTTCTTTAAATCTATGGTATTCACCTATGATGTTTCTTTAACGCTGAACTTGCTTTACAGGTTCATGAGCTTAATTTATAAAAAGCTATTTTGAAATAAACCCGTACGTACATTCTTTTATAGTTTTACTTTCACTTATAAATGGATCCTTCTCAATGACTTCTTTTCCGATCAAATCATCCAGTATACGGTGTAACTTGGTCACTGAAAGCAAATCAGTAGAATGTCAGACAATTTAATGGAATGTATTTTGATTTAATGTAATAATAAAATTAAATTCTGTTGTTCATACCGTCCTGCATTAGTCTCATACTTGTTTGTCAATGGACTGATCGGTAGAAAACTAAGTAACATTGTCACCCTATTCCGCCCTTTCTTCTTAGTGACGCTCATAAACATTAAGAGTTGGCCTTTACTCATCAAAAGACAAGAAGGTCAATGAAGTGAGCTTATTAGTAGACAAGGGGATAAAAAAGTCAATTTTCATTATTTTGCTTTCTGGTTGAACGACAGAGTGAAGGGAGTGTTTTGCTGGCTAACACTTGGGTTATATGTAAAATCCTTCGAAATTTTTCTGAAAATCGAAAAAGGAAAGCTAGAAATTGACTAGTTCATGACTTTTATTGCTATATTCTTTTATACTTGATTCTAATTGCCTTGCTTTCAATTACTAGACGTTTTGTAAGGACCTTGCTTAAAATTGCGGATCCTAGAGGAAAGGGACATTTGAGTAATTGATTTGTTACTAATTAGATTTTATCTTTTTTTCTTTTTCTTTTTGTTAAATCTAATAACGTTACTGTTATTAATCTTATGCCTTCTAATCTCGACTCAAAGGATATGATAGAAATGAAGTCACTGGAATCTTTAACAGTTACAAGATCTTTTAATTTTGCAAATAACGATCGTTCCACATATTTGCCTTCTGACGATGAAGGATCGTTCGAGCATTCAAGTGAAAAACAAACCAAACTTTCCAAATATTGGAAAAAATGTAGCTATGAAATTCGCGAGTACTGCAAATTCATAGGACCCGGATTTTTAATTGCTGTTGCGTATATTGATCCTGGTAACTATTCTACGGATTTGGATGCTGGTGCGCGATTTCAGTATAAACTTCTGTTTATCGTTTTCATAGCAAACCTATTTGCTGTTTACTTACAGTCCCTATGCTGCCGCTTGGGTTCTGTAACTGGCTTTGACTTAGCAAGAAACTGTCGGGAACAGTATCATAAGTACGTTTGCATAACCTTCTACATCTTGGCCGAAATCGCCATTGTCGCTACGGATATCGCGGAGGTCATCGGTACTGCGGTTGCTTTAAAAATTTTAATGAAAATTCCTCTCGTTGCTGGTGTTGTTATTACTATCTTGGATGTATTACTTGTACTAATCGCTTGGCGTCCGGAGGGTTCCATGCTAGGTGTTCGCATATTTGAAGCCGCTGTTGCCATGTTGGTACTCGTCGTGGCTATTTCATTTGCTGTTGTTCTTGGCCGTGTCCATATAGGCGGAGCCGGCCATGTTTTCAAAGGATTTCTTCCGAGTTCCACAGTTTTCTCGCGCGAAGGTCTATATAGTAGTATCGGAATTTTAGGAGCTACCGTCATGCCTCATTCTTTGTTTCTAGGATCTGGTCTTGTGCAAACTCGTTTGAGGGATTTCGATGTTCGATCAGGAAATTACGTCCCCGTGGGAGATTGCTCTGACTATAGACCTTCTATCCAAACCATAAGACATTCTTTGACGTATTCTGTAGTCGAAGTCGTACTTTCACTCTTTACATTTGCCTTATTTACCAATTCCAGTATTTTAATTGTTGCAGGAGCTGTCTTTTATAACACTAGCAACGCTGACACCTCGGATCTTTTTTCTATATACGAATTACTTACCAAATATGTCTCTCTTTCCTGTGGTAAGCTTTTTGCGGTAGCTCTTTTATTTTCGGGTATGAGCGCCGGTTATGTTTGTACTATCGCCGGTCAAATGGTTAGTGAGGGTTATATCAACTGGAACTTACGTCCTTGGATTCGACGAACCCTTACCAGGTCTATAGCCATCATCCCTTGCCTAGTTGTTGCTGCTGCTGTAGGTCAAAGCGGATTGAACGCAGTATTAAATGCTAGTCAAGTTTGTCTCTCCATTTTACTTCCTATTTTAACTTTTCCTCTTGTGATGTTTACTTGTTCTCGTAAAGTAATGTCTATTTACTCAGAAAAGGTCGACGAAGAAACAGGTGAAGTTATTAGAGATGTTCATGATTTAAGCTTGGGTTGGCCCATGACTATACTTACCTGGTTAATTTGGTTGTTTCTTACTGCATTGAACTTACTACTCATTATTTGGTTAGGAATGGGAATTTCTACCTAAGCCATCTACTATTTATTATATAGCACTAAACTAATGTGGATAATTATGTATTTTAACTTTATATATACGTGCTATTTTATGTTTCCTTCCCTTACCAAAATTTATTAACAAACTTTATTATTATACATATATGTACAGACCATCTCAAATCCAAATTTGGTTGATATTATAAATTGTTCGTAGAACCGCGCTTTACTTAAATACAGATATGCAACGGTTTAAATTCGTAAGTATTGAATTGATCATCTTCAACATGTGGATAGTAAGGGACCATAGCATCAGCACTTTGGACGTATGCGGAATTATACGAAGTCCAATAAGTATTACGAACTTTTCGACTTGGATGAAAGAGTCCTTGCATTAAATAAGCCAAAACGACACCTACGCCAACGCAATTGCGAATACCATCAATTCCTTCGCGTACAGCATTAATGACGTGAGGTGATTCTTCCAAAATATTTGGCCAAAGAAGATTTAGTAGATGAATCATTGCATCTTCAACTCCTAAACCTACGCAGCCTAATGACAAATGCTTCACCACCGAAGCTGCGGTTTGTCTATGGACAGCGTCCCGGTCCATTAATGCGTTTGCTAACAGAGGAGTAATTGCATAAACATAATCGCGTGCTTGTTCACCAATATACTCGAACATGAAAGCCAATGACTTCAAAACACCATTTTGAACGTTCATTTCTGGGGTTCGATAATCTGCCATCAATGCAGGTATGACAGTAAAAGGCATACAAGTTTCAGCTACGATTGCAATAGCTACCGTAGTACAAACACGATTTTGACGCTCTTGAACCTTCAAATTGTTCAATAATGTAGCTAAAACATCTTGTGGGCCAATAGCTTTAGAAATATAACCAAAGGTGTTGATAGCTGCTCTTCGAATACTTTTCCTGTGAGCTTTCAACATATCAATTAACTCGAAACAAATACGCATCCATTCGCGAGCAGAAACAAACTCGGAACCTCTGTCAGCAATTCTGCCGACAAGATCAATGGTATTCTCTTGAACCTTTTCATGTCTATTTCTCAAAATAGGTGTAAGACGAGGCAACAAGTCTTTTATCGGAGGTTGCATTGAGGACATACCAACGACGGAAACGATTGCCTTCAAAGACCCTAATATTGATCCCAAAACTTCAGGGTACTCCTCACCTAAATACTCATAAAGGACAACACCTAACTTTCTCATCAAAGCTTCTTCACCACAAGCTCTCATCACGACTGTAATTCTAGATACTAAATCAGCAGCTTGTTCTCTAACATTCGCGGATTTATTGTTTAACCGATACAATATGGTAGAAACAATTTGGGGAAGATAAGGTTTACATCGTACCCCTAACGAATTTACGACAGTACTGAAACAGTTCAAGATCACATTTTCTTCGACAGACTGTTCTTGAAACGCAAAAAGAACACCGTCCAGCAGCAATTCTTCTGTTCGTTCATCAATTTCAGATACACCTAAAGAGCCAATTACCTTACCAACAGTTTCAGCTGTCATTTTTCTATAAGGTTCAGACTCATCTTTGAAATTGTTCACAATCCTGTCTACGATTTGTAAAACACCAACCTGACCAGCTAAAACGAAAGTTGTTTCAACAACTTGTTTATAGCTACGACGATCAGAAGCCATTCTTCGAGACCAGAAACAATGAAAGAATTCTGGTAAAACCTCTGTTTTTAGATATTCCGAACTAACACCGTCTGTAGAAGCGCATTGAGAGACAACTTTTAAAACAATTTTTTTCATCTCTTCATCGGGAGAACTGAATTCTCTCAAAACAATCTTCATAATCCTCTTAGTAAAATGACTAGCATATTCAGGTTCCATTAAAGGAATAATAAACCCGGTTGCTTTTAAGAAAGCAGCTAGACTCTTACCACGATGGCGTTGAACGCCAGACCATAATGGCTTAAGAATGGAATCAAAAGCCTCAATACCATACGGAGTAGCCGCTTCAGCTAATGCGGATAGAGCCAGGGCCGTCATAGTTCTTACTTTTTGTTGTTCATCTTCTAGGCCATGACCAATACATTCAACCAAACTCTTTAAATGCGGTAAAACCGAGCATCCCATTAGCAAAGCTATTTGCTGTATAATACGGACACCGGTGTGTCTGGCTTGCCAAGATTTCTTACTGCGGCATACTGCTTTCAAAAATGGGAGTAGGGCAGGAACGCCAAGAGCAGAGGCAACGACTGAAAATGCTCTAGCAGTCGTATTTCTGACATATTCATCAACATGGTCTATATCCGGTCGCATAGTAGCAATCATATGAGCCAGACCAGAAGCTTTTGCCAGATTACTAATAATTTCTCTACCTTCGGCACGTGCATAATAATCTTCATCAATTAATAGAGGCTCAATGACGACTAAAATTTTATGTGTAAAGGGACGAACTAACTCATCAAGTTTGTACAAAATCCGGTCAATTACTTTCACCAACAAATGACGTTCCTGGTCTTCTAAAGTTCGTTCCATTAACAAAGGAAGAATTTGATTAAATAAAGCAGCAGCACCAAAATCACGAGCCTGATCTGTCAATTGACGTAAAGCACTCTTTCTCATGGGAGGAGTACCATTTTTTACTTTTAATAAAAGTCTAAGAATCTTCCGTTCTCGAAGCTCGGCAATTGACAAATCAGCTTCGTCTTTTGTTTGAAGTAATTTTCCAAAATACTTAACGTCTTCTTGTTTAAAGAAGGCTAGGTCACCAACACCAGGAACTTCTGTAGGTAATGTAGCAGGCAATTCTCTCTGCTGAGGCAATTGCTGCTCTTCAGGGATGTGATACGTATCTACTATAGGTTCCTTTTCATTCACTTCAGGATGTATAGACTCGATGTAGCCTGCAGGGGGTTCCAAAACAACATATCCTTCTGAAGGAAGTAAAGAATTTAGTTCTTCATCTGTTATTCTACGCTGAATAGGAACTTGCTGTTCATGAGAAATAGACTCTAATTTTTTAATGCCATTTTCTGCCACATAATCAGAAATCGGAGAAGCTTCAGGAGCTTTATCCCATCGAGATCGCCTAGCAGGAGCCATTGTTTCACCTACCTTGGGAGGGCCTTGATCCCATCTCGACCTTTTGGGTTTTGGAGTGGGCTCAGTGGAAACGTTCTCCACTGTACGCTTCTTCTCTTCTGGAATATCCTTATATCCTTCTTCTTCTAACGTTCCCTCTCGTCTTCTTTGATTAATTTCTCGGTACACTCTGTCTTCTTCCTTCTCCAGCTCAACCTCCCGCATGGCATCGGTATATGACCATCCACCATCCATTTTCCCATCCTCGCGAAAGGCATCATTTCTTGTTGGACCTAATCTTCTTTGAAACCGCCGCTTTTGATAGTCCGACTCCCGATCCTGAATTTGTTTTTTCGATTGTGTTTCGGCCATTGGATCGTAATTTACATCAGCATATTCCGTAAGAAGCTCCTTTGGAGCTTCATATTGACGCACCAGAGGTCTACTCGTATCGACTCCGTCTGGCAAACCTGTATTATTCTCTTCATATTCGTCGTCATGAACATCAATTGCTCTTTCATATTCATCGTTTACATTGCTGGTATTATATATATGAGTATCATATTGTAAATGATGAGAATCATGGGTACCTGCAATACTTGGTGTTTTCAGCGTCGAATTTTTTGATTCTTCTCGCTGTTTCTTCAATTGCTCTCTCTGGGCACGTAGGTTCTCCAGATCAGCATCTTCTACTACTTTAATGTCAGAATACCCTCGCATTTCGTATGATTCTTTCAACTTACCGCTCGACATAATGTTGGTAAAGGTTTCGTTAGCTTGCCCACATGTGGACGTGATACGAGCTTAAAGAGTTCTAGTGAAACTCGGTAAAATATAGTAGAAAGGGGTATTTCAAGTAAAACGGAGTGGTTTGTAAAGTGCAAACTTATGACTGTGTTATGTATTTATTTTATCTCTATTTGAGTGTAAAGCTTTATTTATTTGATGAATCATTGCTACATATTTAATAATTTAATTCTACCAAGTTTGGATGCTTATTTATTAAGCAGTTATAAGGCAGTACATTATCACAAAGAACAATATCCCTGCAACACATTATTCTCGTTCATCCTTTGGAGGAATTTCAAAAAAAGAAGAAAGCCGTTACATCTATTTCTGAGAGATTTATAAGACTAACGACTGACTGAACATTTTAGGTTGAAGCTGGTAGTTGTTCACATTTAAGTGAGCTTATTTGTTGGCCTTACAAAGATTCGTCATGGTAACGACAAGAGCTGCAAATCAATGTTACGATACAAATTTAAAAAGACCAAACAATCAAAAAGGTTCGAAGGAGTCATTAAATAAACAAAAGCCTGTGAAGAAGCCAAAGACAGAAAGCTCGCTAAGGAATCTTCAAAAGCAAGTTAGGCAGGATCGGCGTTGGTCATTGAAAAGGTATGAGCCAAATAGAAAGCCAAGTGAATACTACAAAATAGGGAAATATATTTTGGTTAAGTATAGTCACTATCCATGGTGGCCCTCAAGAATTGTCCGCAGAGAAGATATACCTTCGGACATATTGAAACGATTACCGAAATACAAGGGATTGGCAGTACAATTCCTTCCTTCTAGAGATTATGCAATTATTCCGGTAAGCAATGTTGGTTGTTTGGATTTGTATGAATGCTTATATGTACTGGAATCGAATCGGTTTACTTCACATATTAGACACACTATTGAGACGATTGAGGAATCTATCAGAAACGATTGTTCGTTTTCTGACGCTGAGGAACCGGACGAAGATGAAGAATCTGAAGATTATGAAAATGAGCACATAACTTCACCATTAGAAGCTCGAAAAGATTTGAATGACAAAAAGAAAGCAAACATAACCCACAATAAAGAAAAAGCAAAAACTTCGACTCGTGATTCTCATGGCCGATTCATTCGAAAGAAAAGCCAGACGATTGCCCCGACCCATACACTGTTAGAAAAGCAAGAGATAAAAGAAGAATTGAATGAAGGAGAAAAGGAAATCACTCGTTCCTCTCCAAAGCTCCCAATGTTCTCTTTAGAGGTTCAGCTAAATCAGCCTCTTAGTACAGCTGAACTTTACGCTCGGGCCTACTACGCTCGAGCAAAGACTTTACTATATTATCGGTATAAGTTACAAAAAATTCTTCTTACTTTCAATCACTACCCTACTGAGTCCGAAATGGCTGATGTCCATTGTATACTAGAAAAAATTGAAAACTTTTCAGGTTTGAACGCTGAGTTGATTGAAAACACGAAGCTTTTTGAGCTTACTTTTTTACTAAAGAAGCTGTCTGACTTACAACTAGAGCATCGATACCATTTTGTTGACAGATTCCACGCCCTATTCACCCATTTTTTGAAACTGTCGAATAAACCAATTTCTTCCTCCCTTTTAACAAATTTACTAAATAAAAATAAAAATGAAGTTGCTAATCCTTCGGTTCCCTCATAATTTCAATTTTGACAAGTCATCCTATTGCTAATCCTAATCCTAGCGTTCTGGCATTTCCTGTTGTGCATACTTTTGCCCTCGATGCTTTTAATTTTTCAATAGAAACTTATAATATTTGAAGTTCATAGACATACTCTTCAAATGCGTTTCTGTTTATAAACATAATAACTTCTAATCATTGATATTCCCATACTTACTTAGAATAACAGAAACTATTTTTTACGCACTCGTTGTTCCTCTTTATTCTCAAGGCGCGACTAGTACCGGTGCAAGCTCTTCTTGTTTTTTTTCTTTTTATCTTTAAAAAATTGGGTTTTGCCATTTCTCCTGAAAATATAAAATAAAAATGTCCTTCTTTGTCCCCAGGTCGAAGCAAACTGAACAAGAATCAAAAAAATCGGTCCCCTGGGTAGAACTATAGTAAGTAAATAAAAGGTATGACAAGTAACTTCTAAAACTGACGCGATATGAAGTCGTCCCAAATCTTTAGACCAAGTGTCTTCTCAGGAAGCTACTGTCCAGGTGCTGAAAAAGACTTTGTTGTCTAGCAATTTACCACACATGCTCTTCTATGGCTCTCCTGGTACAGGAAAAACCTCAACAATCTTAGCCTTGGCCCGCGAGCTTTTCGGGCCTCAACTTATGAAATCAAGAATTTTGGAATTGAATGCTTCCGATGAGCGAGGTATCTCTATTATCCGAGACAAGGTGAAAACTTTTGCCAAGACAACAGTTTCGAATTCAGTAGATGGATATCCATGCCCTCCTTTTAAAATTATTATCCTTGATGAGGCTGATTCCATGACTCAAGATGCTCAAGCAGCACTTCGTCGAACTATGGAAATGTATGCAAAAATTACCAGATTCTGTTTAATCTGCAATTATATGACTAGAATCATTGATCCTCTAGCAAGCCGTTGTAGTAAATACCGATTCAAGCCTTTGGATTCAGAAAATATCAAAAAGAGGCTTGAATTTATTGCGACCGATCAAAATGTTCAAATGGAAACTGGTGTTGTTGATGCACTCGTAGAATATTCTGGCGGTGATATGAGAAAAGCAATTACATTTTTACAAAGTGCCGCCACTCTTCATCAGGGAACCCCAATAACTGTAGCGAGTATAATTGAACTCGCGGGGGCAGTTCCTTCAAGTATTATTCGCGGTCTGCTTGATACTGCCTACACAAAGAATATTGTTAAAATTGAAGCCATGACCCGCGAAGTAGAAGCAGAAGGTTACTCAACAGGGATTATTTTATCGCAGCTACATGATGTTTTAATAAGTGAAGAAACACTCAGCAGTCCAGCAAAGCACAAGATTTTCTTAAAGTTATCAGAAGTTGATAAGCGCCTTACGGATGGGGCTGACGAGTCTCTTCAACTTTTAGATCTTCTTTCCTTTATTTCAGTTGTTGCTTAATGTTACGAACATCATAATTCCAAAAACGACACCTGACGTATGTTTTCTATATATTTGTGAATCTGTCAATAATAAATTCTATACTCAATATATTTTCACTTAAAGTATTCTGGTATAACTAGCAATTCTTATCCTATGCAAAATAAATAAAGATATGAGTTTTACTTTTGAAATTGTTTTAAGAGATAGAAGCCTCGAATACATTTTTCATAAACTCATCCTCTTCACCAAGCTCCCATCGTTGATAAAACAAAGTATTCTGCAATAAACGAAAATCGGTTTCTAGCAACTTATATTTCAATTGCGAAAACAATGCCACAAAGACTTTAATCAAGAATGGATCTTCTTCAAACAGATAACAATCCATAATTCGAGAGGAAATCTCAACCGAGTTCATGGGAATGAAAAATCTTTGCAATAAAGGATATAAATATTGATCTGGTTGAATTTGTAAAGTGAATTGAAAATGAGTTGCCAATTCTGGGAGTGACTTCTTTAAAGAACTTAAAAATAAATTTGTAAACGAAGCCAACGCTTCTTTATCCTGAGTATAAACCGCTTGCATAAAAGGACGGTCCAAAAGGTTAACCATCGCATTGAAAGCAGATGTCAAATTCATATTTAATAATAACAAGGCACCAATAAAAGTACTACCAGGAACATAACGGACGTTGTATCGATACGCCGAGAAAGCCGAAACTAACTGTACCAAATCTTTGTGAAGTGCCTCTCCTTTCTGAAATAAATGTAATTGGGGCATCGTGCATTCTATATCCACTTCGAGGGCACTCTTATCATAACGGAACATATTGGTTTCTTGTGTCTGAATATTTTCATTGGAATGTGCGATTTTTTTTGCACATTCACATGCAAGAAAGAAAGATTGGTAATCTAACTGCAGGGGGTTTCCAATAATTTTTTGCCAAGCCTTACCACGAATACGCAAAGGAATACCCTCTCTCCAAACACCGGCTACTTTGGAGGACGTAAGGCTATCAGGCCAATAACGAAAGATATAACGATCCCAAAGTTGAATAAGTTGTTGATTCTTTTTTCTCTGTTGTTCCATTTGTTTTATCTTTTCCTTTTCATTTAGTTTATCGTGCTTTAAAGCGGATTTCCTTATTTGTTCAAACTCTCGCAGGTGTCGCTTTTCTTCCGCTTTTGACTTGGGAGGAAGCCAAGAGGGTCTACCAACAGAGAGAACAGCTTGCTTTTCCTTACTTGGAGGACCAGGATCAAGAAGGGCATCCGTAAATTGACGCGGAACTTTCTTGAACATTGATTCATGAACAGAATTCAGTCGTAAACTAAGCATCTGGTCCTCACGAGAGAGCTTAGAAAAAGTTTTTGAAGCTATATCATTAGACACGCCTGTAGGAAGTTCCATGGGAACGTTGCATAAGGAGGACTCATCAAGAACAACTAATTCATCCGGAATTATTTCATCTGATGATCTCCTTCCAGATGAGCTACTTCTTGAAGGACCTGGAGCTTGATATCCCTTCCTCTTCGTACTCCACCACCAGCTTTTCTTCACCGAAGATCCATTATTCGTACTAACGCTTTCAAGTGATTCCATTGTTTTTGTAATTTTTAACAAACTACGCGAATGACACCTTGGTTATCGAAAGACCGATGAAGATATACGTGTAATCGGTGAAAGCGAAAGTATTAAAGAAAATACAAAACCTGCTTTTTTTTCTTGAGACCGGTGAAATGCAAAAATTGAACGTCTGTAAATCAACGAAATCAAAGTTGAGTAAACTCTTTCAGATATTAGTATAAAATACAAAACCTGCAAATTGAAATTAAAACCGCAGTCTGTTAGTCTGTTGGCAACACGCTCTTGCTTCGATGGTAACAAATCTCCAAAAATTGAATTTAGACAGTAACGAGCATTTAATTATTAATTTATACAAAAATAGAAATAAAATCAAGTAAAAGAAGGTTAGCTTTCAACTCAATCTCCTATTAGTGTATAGCAACTTTTGTAAAAGTAATGGGAAAGTAAAGTGAAAGGAATTCAACCAAGACTACCTGGACGGTTTTAATTTACACATTATGAACACTTTAGGAGTCCAGTTTTTTTGGAGAATTTTGAAAAATAAGATATAATTGATTTATTTGTTGTAAATACTGTAAGTTAATAAACGTAGGAATAAACAAATTACAATCCGCAATATATTTTCTCAAAGCAAATAAAGTGAATTCCAAAGTTTCACGTATAATCTTATTCTATGTTATCTTTCAGTCTAATGTAGTCGAAACTTCTTACTACTCGTTTAACCATCGACTTAGCGTGAAATGAAACTAGAAAGATTATACGAATATCAAAAAAATTCTGTGTAATTAAATAGCCTCCAGAAGTTTGTTGGGAGGAAGATTTTTGAAAACGATGTCATACACGGCTTTAAATAATGGAAATTCATCCACCTTATTTTGATGCTCCAAAAATTCGTGAACTTCTTTAGCAGTAGCTGCACCTTGCAATTTCTGACCATTAAGAAGCTCTTTTTCCAATATATGCATGGGCTTTCCAGTTTTGACAAATGCAACAGCACATTTACGGTTACGACCACCAAGGCAAGTGGTAATCAAATCGGCAATACCACAAGATTCTTCACTCATGGTAAGACGATCACAATCAAAAAACATAGCTCCAAACTTTTGCATTTCTGAAAGACCAATTCTCATAATAGCTGATTTTGTATTGTCACCCAATTCAAGTCCATCTATGATACCAGCAGCAACGGCTACTATGTTCTTCAAAGCACCACCCAAGGCCACCCCTGGAACATCTTTGACCATTTGAACACGGAAATAGGGACGATTAAACAAGGAACGTATGGTGTTGGGAGTATATAAAGGATTTACCGAATTGTCAGGATCATATCCGATGGTAGTCTCACAAAACTTTTCCTTTGCTACTTCACTGGCAATGTTGGCACCCGATAGAACACCACAGTACATACCGGTGCGTTCATGAATGATGTCTGAAAAAAGACGAACGCGGTCTGAGTTAACTGAAACACCTTTAATGCAAGAAATAGCAACAGCATCCTTCTTCAAGTGTCCTTTCAGTTGATCGCAAACTCGCACAACGAATTGATGTGGAAGGACCCACACAAGGACATCACTTCTGGCTCCAACGTCGCGAATATCGGGGTTCGCATAAACATTTGAGGGACACTGTACACCCTTCAAATACTTTATATTTTCATGAGTTGAATTAAATACTTCGGTAAGTTTTCGATTTTCACCGTGATACTCAACGTTTTCTTCATACATCCACATATGGACTTGAGGATGAAACAATTCAGGATGAGCTTCAGCATTTTCTCCACATATTTTTGCGATGGCAGTACCCCAATTACCAGAGCCGATAACTCCAACAGAAATACGCTTAGATGTAAATTGTTTTTTAAGGGTATGTGACAAAGCACTGAGACGATTTAAAGATGCTCCAGTCATATTTTTTATTCAATTAAACAATTATAATTGTTATCTCTATGTAGGAAATCCGGTGCGTTTCTGCAGTGTTAAGTGTCAAAGTTCTTAAAACGCTCTCGAAGCTGGTCAGAACTATAAATTAGTATTTGAATTCACAGAAAAATATAAAGACTTATTACTTTGCAAGATGCGTTTCTTCTATTGACAGAAACTACCGACACAATTTGTGAAGTACCCAACCTGCGAACGTAAGGTCTCTTACTGATTGGTATCAAATTGACTACGGATCTGGTTAGCAGTATCCTATTAGAAATTAATGGGATATTGTATAAACATATAGTTACTTTTAGGTAATTGTTTTCTTTCTTTAGTTTTTTTACAAAAAATAAATTAAACGATTCCAATATATCTATTTTAAATTCCTATACACATAATGTAATGTACTCCTAATGATCCATGATAATTCACATGAAAGCCCCTTAATCGTTACGCTTTAAAAGACACAAACTGTTAAAGATAAGATCACAAAAGTCGTCCTGACGTTGCGTTTCCAATTTAGTTGATGACCGCGAACCTTCGCGTTGGTCAACAAAAAAATCCGATCCTTTCTCGAGTGAACTTGCTAAACTGGAGTTCAAATCATTCATCATAAAAGGTCCTTTACAGTTTGACACAAACAATCCTTTAACTTCAGCTTCAAGCCTAAATAGTTCTCGCTCTCGCTGACTTACAATAGAAGCAATACGACTGCATGCAACTTCTATCGAAGCTAGGCTCAATCGTTTTCTATTTTGAACGTCAGTTAAACGTACATCATAAGCCATATTTTCAGCAGAAGTCATAAGTTTTTGAACCCTTTCCATAGAAACACGAAGCTCTTTTTGTCGTCGAAGTGCTTCAGGACCTAACTGTCGTAACTTGAGTCGGTTAATAAACACGGGATCTGTATGAGCATAAATGAGTCTTTGAATTTGTACTCTTTTAGCATTTAATCGAACAAGCGTCACACGCAAATTATCAAGTTTCTTGTCATACGCTTGTTTCCCGGAAGTCCACAAACTTATTTTATCAAGCAAATCTTCCAATACTTGAGTATCATCAGTAAGACATGTCATATTTGGATAGACCTCATTGGAATATCCAGTATCTGACTGGTCATTCATATATTGAATTAGCTTCTCCATATTCCGGGAAACTAAATCCATCTCTGCCTCGAACTGTAAATATACTTTTTCGAATGCATTAACCATTGGATTGGATTCAGTACTAACTGCCTCCCGCATATCTTCTAATAAGTCAGGAGCCTGAAGAAGAACGGGCTTTTTCTCTATAAGCTTAGTTTTGGGAGTTTCTTGATGCTTAAATTCTTCATTTACGCCACTTAGGCTGTCAATAGCTCCATAATCTAAGTTCTTTGACTCATTATCTTGGAGTTTAGCCAGGCGTTCATCAGTAGCCTTCTCAACCAACGATTTTTTTTCTATCGCCTCCTTTGTTAATTTCGTTTCAGGAAATGCACGAGCCTGTGATGTATATTCACGGTTATCTTCGAGATTTCTAGTAGAAGCTTCGTCATAATCGTTTCCTACAGCTTCAACTTTTTCCCAATCTTCACTTCCCTCGGGTTCGTTGGAATTTTCGCCGGACACACTTTCCGCCTTGCCAATTTCAGTATTTAAATTTCTACTCTTGGTCATAAAAGAACTTTCCTCCGGTATTGTATCTGAAACAACTTCATCAGTATCATCATTCAGTTCTTCTATATAAGAAGATTGCTGATCATTATCAGAACTGAGTTTAGGGACATCAGCAGTATTTTCGGGTTCCGCATGATCTCCCAAATCCTTGTCTACTTCGAACTCAGCAAGCTCCACCTTCTCCTGTGGTTTATCGCCTTCAACAGATTCCTTATTGTCTGACTGCGGTAAGTCTTTACCGAATGAAGGATCCATGGGTCTATTTATTACTTCCTCTTTCTCATGCTTTTTGCCATCTTCAACAGATTGCTTATCGTCTGACTGTACTACACCTTCATCGGCTATAACCTCTGTAGTTTTATTATCTCTTTCCTCTTTCTCAGATTTTTTGGCATCCTCAACAAATGGCTTGCCATCTGGCTGTAGCGTACCTTTATTGGCTGCAGCCTCTGTAACTTTCTTATCTGTTTCCTCTTTCTTTAACAAATCCTTGGAGGTATCGCGTCCGAATACCTCACCTCCAGCATTCTTTCTGCTTTCTTCTCCTTTAGTACTTTCCTCAGCAATAGGGTCCTTTTTAGATAATTCATTATTCGCTGGAGTGACCGGCTTAAATGGAGAGTTAAATATTGACTTATCCGTAGGCGCGAAAGAAAAAGGTTTAGGGGGCGCTTGAGTAGAGGATGTAGTTGAGAGTTTCGATTGATTACCAAACACAGAAAAGTTTTCTTTCGGTGTTTTGTCATCCAGACTGAGACCAAATGAAAATGAAGGCTGAGAAGTATTATCAAATAAATTGCTTCCCCAGCCAATATTACTTTTTCCAGGTTTATTATTGTTTGTAGGATCTGCATCAGAATTGGCTAATGACTCCACCTTTTCACTCTCCACATCCGATTCCATATTATCTTCGGGCTCTGTTTTTTCAACAGGGACTGAAGGAAACATAGGTGATTGCTTTTGAGCACCTGTAGCATTTCCAAAGATTGAAGATGCTTCATTATCTTTTGGAACATTAAACAAATTAGTAGGAGTTGCTGCACTAGCAAATGAAGAAAAAGCGGAAGAAGTAGGCTTCGCCCCAAAACCAGAAAAAGAATTACTAGAGAACATATTGTTCGTACTGTTAGAATTAGCGTTAAAAGAGAAAGACGATTCACCAAATTTGGGTGCTGCGTTCGCTGCTTCAAACGGAGAGCCTTGATTCAGACCAAAAGCTGAAGTCTTAGGAGGATTCTGAGACTGAAATGCACCAAAAGACAATTGGGAGCCAGGTTTAACTGGATTTGAAAAAGAAGGAGACGACTTTACGTTCTCGTCATTAGAGGTTCGAACAGTTTCAGAACCGGATATGTTTCTGGCAACGATCATTTCAGGATAGATTGAATTTTCCATAATAGCATCAATATAAATGAATCGAAATCCAGAAAGTTGATAGTCATTATCATAAATCCAAAGAATTGGAAGAGGAGGACAGTCTGCAGGAACCTCTGCTGGGCTTAGTGGCTTCTGGACTCTCTCAGAAGAAGTAAGGTCCAAACTGAGAGCCAAAGGAGAAGTATCTTGCTCCTTTTTCTGGGAATACGGAAGGGAAGCTCTCTTTGTTTCTTCAGAAATAATCAAACTCTTCCATGAGTTTGAGTCTACCAAATGAGCAAAGAGGCCAATATCCGAGCTAGAAGTTGCTGACACAATTGCTAATGAAAATAGGTTTGGACTCCAGGACTGAAGAAAGGAGAAATAATGGTGGTCATGACGATAGTCGGCACCAAACGGAGGAGTAGGATCTGTTGCAGTTTTATAAGTTACAGATTGATCCAGCCCCAAACTAATAATATAACAAACTGATTCGTGTTCAGGATCACTACTTGTCAAGGTTGATGTTGGGCTATAATAGACAATGAACTCCCGGTTTTGCACCCATGCGATATCCTGGACAAAATACTCTTGTAATTCAGAAGGAGGAGCAATTTCCTTTTTGCATTGCCCATCCGGGGTATATTGACCTATATAACCATTGGTTAATCCCGCAGCACATTGCTTGCCGCGCCTTGACCAAGCTACGGTGGTAGCTTCTTTGACTATTGGAGGATGTACAGTGGACTGAGAAATGCTAAAGATACATACTTCTAGCGTATTTAAATGAAGAGCAACGAGATCATCATCTTCTGGATTTGGAAGAATGAGGTCTACGTTTGACATTTGTAACTTCCAGTGAGGATTAACATTACCCAGTAAACAGGAGGCCGTATTAAAGACAATAAGTTCTTGAGAAGAAAGACTATATGCCACAATATATGTTCCATTCGAAGTAAAATCCACGAAAGAGAAACCAGCGTTTGGAATAGTAAGCTGAACAATTTCAGATGATAGTGGAAGTTGTTGAGGTCCTGCGTTCATGGGAGCCTCATCGAGGAACTTGTGTAAAAATGAAACGGGCCCTAGTACTAAACCATTGGGAACACCTGCTACAAATCGGCCACTCGGATTGTGAATAGCAAACAAATATGATTTGGCCGGAGGGTCTGACGCCTCTGGTTGACCAAGTGAGATAGTAGTGCCAATTTTTAGGGCAGAAAACAAAAAGCTCTACAAAAAAAGAAAGTTAGAGTATACTCAAAGCTAAAGGGGATATGACATACCGACGTGTCTACTTCTTCAACTTCTTCATGACCTGCAGTAGCAGCAAAAGGGGCCGGACTTGGACTAAGTGCTGCAAATGGATTTTCAGTATTCATTTCATATACAAAAAGACGTTCAAGAAGATCCTTATTTTTAGAACTCTAGCGTTGCAACTAAGAGCTGCAGGAATTGCAAATAAACGCTCGTTCGGCTTCAAAAATGTGAAAATATATGTATAATTTTTATACAAGATAAGAGGATTGAACACCTGAAACCCTTTCAACACCACAAATATACCTAAACAATGAAGTCTGTACCTTCACCTGAATGACTTCCCAGTAGTAAGTTCGTACTTGCTTACTGATGCATACTTGCTTCCTGTATTTTAAATAATCGCACTAAAGTGTTTAGTGAAACAATACCTTCTCGCGCATTTGCTAGATAGTGATTTCTTATGTTTCATATCCAATCTAGTTAGCGTATTGGAGTGTCTGTCGGTTTTGGTTTTTGCGAGTGGGAACGAGCACTGCATTCATGAAGGAAACCACACATCGTTAGACAATCCCTTTGCCAAATACAATTTGGAATTAAATTATCAATAATCCTAGGAATATGAAAGGATTGAATGAAAGAAAAGGATTTGATTTTGATTACTATCAAAGGTAAGTACTTTGGGATGCATATGGATTGTGTTAGGCAGCTTAAAGAAAACTAACGGTCTTAGAAATGCTCTTTTACAAGAGCGCGGATTCCCCTCTCCCAAGGCGACATCCACTGGTACCACCATTGTTGGCGTGATTGCCAAAGATTGCATCGTTTTAGGTGCCGATACAAGGGCTACTGCGGGACCAATCATTGCTGATAAAAACTGTAAGTTATCAAGTAACTAGAAAGTGGTGATGCTCGGTGTTCATTAGAATATTATTTTTCTCGTGATACACTAATTTATTTTGCCTGAAAGTTGCAAGGAATAATTGTACCTTACACTATGTTCAGTCGCTAACTATTTTTAAAGGTAGAAAGTTACATTTAATTTCTCCTAATATTTGGTGTGCTGGTGCTGGTACTGCTGCTGATACGGAATTTGTAACCTCGATGATTTCTTCTAACGTTGAGTTGCATTCTATGTATGTGAATCGGAAGCCAAGAGTGGTGACCTCCCTGACAATGTTGAAGCAGCACCTCTTCCGTTATCAAGGATATATTGGAGCTTATCTCGTCCTTGGTGGATATGATTGCAAGGGCCCGCACTTGTTTACGATTGCTGCCCATGGTTCCAGCGACAAGTTACCCTATGTTGCTCTTGGATCTGGTAGTCTTGCTGCTATTTCTATCCTTGAAACCAAGTACAAACCCAACTTAGAACGCCATGAAGCTATGGAGCTTGTTCGTGAAGCAATTGAAGCTGGTATTTTCAATGATCTTGGTTCCGGTTCAAATTGTGATTTGGTTGTTATTGATAACGAAAAGGCTACTCCTTATCGTGGCTATTCAAAGCCTAACGAACGTGCCAAGAAGGAGCAGAATTACAAATACGAGCGTGGTACTACGGCTGTTTTACGGGAAGACATCCACAAGTTTGTTACAGTTGAAACATTAGACGAAATGGAAGTCGACGTTTAAAAGGGTCGAGATTTCTTTGCAAAAAAATGTATAGCAGTTTCAATGTACCTGCAGCTTGTTTATTCTTTCGCCGAATCTATATTCAGTGCTATTTTCTTATTTTTAGTTTATGACGCTACGCTAGGATGCAAAGAATTGACATTTCACTTGAAAATCATTCGTGCTTCCTACCTTTCTACCATCCTTCTATGTTATGAGAATGACTTCTGCCCTCTTGCTGTCCTTTATAAATAAGTACCAGCTCTCAATTCCCGTATGTCCCTCTAGTTTTCATAGAAATATATTCATTCTTAACGACTAATAGAACATCTTACGCAATATATTACCTTTCCCGTAAATGATTCCTAGACCTTGTTTTCCGTCTTTCTATGCTCACTGCAAAATAAATTACTGTTGCTAGTATTCATAAAAGAAATGAAATGTTTGAAACATACAGTAATTGCCTTTACAGCTTCCCTTGTCACCATAGAAGCCAAACATTGAATTGCACTTACCGCGATAGAACGTGCTCCGCTATTGTTGGTGATCAAATATGAAACTTGAAAAGCAGTTTGCTTTTGGCAAAGAAAACGTGAAATTCTTTCGGTGTATTTGTGATGGAATCTGGGTCAAGATATGTTTCTGCAGCATCTGTAGACCTTCTACATCCCCCGGTACTGAATATACAGCAGGCATTTGGAACGGACGCGAATTCAATAACAGTGAAATTGTTATTGAGTGCTCAACAATATGAAGCATGGATGAGTGTGGAAGAAGAGGAACAAAAGAGTATTCTATTAGATGGTCAGATACGTGCTGAAACGTTGGTGTCTTCCAACACCTCTAGAAAAGTACTACTTTGTCATTCTAACCTAAACAATTTGTCGCAAGCGTTACCAGCTATTGGTAACGCTATTAGATCCTTTAACGAAGATGGTAGCAGTCTGGTACTCAATTTTGCTTTTTCAAATGTTTTACTTGGCTCAAAGACGTGGATGAATCAGCACCTCATACCTCACCTTCATTCCATATCTTCTTCCTCTCGTTTGTTTTTAAGTAGCACTCTTTTACCCCGTTCTATGGAACGCTCTGTCATTCTTGAGACATCTTTGCAGGAATCATCTACTGTCCTAGAAGCATTCTTAAACGAGCTCTTGTCAAGGAGCCGTATTATTTCAGGTATCAACGTTGTCCCTTATATTCCAGATGCTGCTTACGGAGTCTATGGATCTCCTTCTTTGTTCGGCGTTCTGCATCCCAACAGCAGTATGGTCACAGCTGAGAATCCGTACGGTGTTACCCCCATAGCGCTCACTACAGCAGGAGGTAATTCTGATCCTCTGCGAGCATCTCAATACTTCCCATACTCAGGACCATCTATCCCGTTAAATGCGGCTTCAACTCAAATCATCACGCAGAAGTTGTCAGTACCATCGAATATTCTTGAAACTCTTCTTGCTGAAGTTGTATGTACTTATTTTTTAAATTTCTTTAAATTGTTATACTAACTCTTATAAGCCAACAAAACTCGACGAAATATCTCAATCAGCTAATGTTCATATCGGCATTGAGCACGGTGATCCTCAATCCAAAGTGACTTTACTGAACGTTACAGGAACTTCCGAATCCAATCAAACTGCTCTTATGACGATTTATGCCCTTTTGGAATCTCAGACAAAAAAGCTGTAAAGATCTTGCTTTACGTTTGTTGTACATATATCCATATGTTACCCCATTTTATAATCCCTCTTCACCAGGTTCATTGTGTTCTTCTATTTTTCTTTTTTAACAGTGAAATTTCGAAAGAATAAATATAGAAAGAATTAAATATTAGTATCCCATAGCACCTGTCTCAATTGTGTAACTAGCATAAAAATGAACGAAGACATATTATTATCCTAGAATATATTTGAAAAAAATCTCTCTAGTTTTACAAAACTCTATTATTCTTACTTGCATCTTTTTTCCACAAATAAACCTCTGTCTACTCCCACTTCATCATACTCTTGTTTTGAAACCCACAAATGTTGGAAGTTGTCGAGACTTGCCAGAATTGAGCCTCCCAACCATGAAGCATTACTCCTGTAAATCGAGTCTCCGCTGGTGTGTACATTAACACGGTTTCCTGGAGCTAATCTCTGAAGCTCAAATTGTAGTCTCTCAGTAAGACCAGGAATGAGTGAAGTACCTCCTGTTAATATGATGTTACTAAATAGTTGTGACCGTATTTCACTTTCGCATGCGAGAATGCTTTGATATACCAGATTGTGAAGCTCGATGGCATTTTCCGGGACGGTATTTTCAGGGAGATTGTCTCTAAAAGCGAAGCTAGGATTAAACAATACTTCCCCAACACGAAATCGGTCGATACCAAATTGATAATTTGAACCATCGGGAAACTCAAAATGCTTGGGATTCTTTGTGGACGCCTTCAACTCGTCGAATGGAAATTCCAATGTCTCCAAAACGCTTTCTTTCCATTCTTCTAATATTCTTTTATTTTGAAAATCGTTATAGGAGTCTGTTAAACCGTCAATCGAATCATAAAAAACTGCTGGCTTCACCTCTTCTGGATTTCCAGGACCCGAAGACTCGATTACGATTGATTTCCTGGCTACCCGATAATGGGGTAAAACGTTTATGCTCATTTTAGAAAATAAGCTTTTTATATTTTCATTTAAGAAATTTCCTGCTATCTTTTGTTTTACGATACCTTTTCGCATAGCAATGCCATCAACGACGGGAGTAACAGTTGTATTATCGGTACCAAGGTCAACAATCAAAGCAGTAGCTTTATTACTTGCAAATGCCGCACAAACAGCTTGTTTAGTTAGATAAAATGCAGGTGCATGAAGCTGCTCGAATACTGTCTCCATCGTCTGTTGACGAACAGATTGAGTATTCCAGCTCGGTTCTGTAATCATCATGGCATATTCAGTTGGATCAACTTTTAATTTATCTTTTAGTCCTCTATTCCATAATTGTAATGTAGACTCCCAGTCTTGAATTATCCCATCATTAATACCATTGGTAATCTCCATCCCAGGGATAGGTGCATGAATCTGCAATTCATCTACTATACTTTTTCTTTCTCCATTTTCTCCTTGTAAAACACCGTAATTTGAAGGAAGTATAACTTCAGGTGATTCCTCACCAGCAAAACCAAAGCGTGTCCAACATGTTCCAGGATCTATAACCAACGCTGGAATTTCGACTAAATGTATTTGTTAGCTTTCTCCTTTCACTCTAACCGGTCGTCTAAATCACGTCTAAGGTTGCTTACCAATATTAGCAGAATTCCTGCTCATTCCACAGAAAATCAGAAGAAAAATACTTTTCTTGCTTCTTCAAAAGTTATAAAAAAGATTATTGGGAATTTAGACGGCTTTTATCCCAAGGCTGATATCAACCCTTGATTCACGCTTATGTATAGTGCAATAACTGCTTACTACGTATTGTCAACTCAACAACTAGTAAGAAATTCAGTCAAGTTATTGATAGACTACCCGCAATAATCTCAATTATTAAGTTTTTTTTATGCAATTGCAAAAATTACTAGAATGAAATAAAGATTCTACAATCCTGCCTACATCTTCAATATTGTTTAAAACTACCAACTTTGCCTCTGCAAGTAGCATGTAAATTTATTTAAACAACGTTAAACAACTTGCTTAAAAAAGCACGCTCAGTAAAGAGGGTGCTGAGCCTTCCGGTTGGTAACCGTCCTTTCATTCATTGCTTTCATTACGTGTTCAACGTCTTTTCGCATCACGAGTACGACTTCAAGTAGAAGCACCCATACCAGCCGCCAATGCCAAATACCATGTCTTAGAAGCACCATTATCGATATTAGAGTCTTTGAAGTTAGAAGAAGTAAATTCCTTCCAGGCAGCGCTGGGATCAGTAATGGCATAATTGGAGTAAACAATACCTGTCCAACTGTTTGAAAAGCTATCAATAATTGGAGCAAGCGTAGCATCCCAACTTTCCTTCACGTAGGTAGGATTACGGACGTAACCACTGATTGGAGTGATAGGAATCATGTGAATTCCTTGCTTGTAATAGACTTTATCGCCAAAGTAGGTAGCATAGTCAACCTTGTTCATAAAGGTGATACCAGCGACATAATTACCACGAATCTTTTCAGGTTCAATCTTGTTTTTGGGAGTAATATAGATGTATGAGTTCATGCTAGTTCTGATCACTCCCAACATCAAGTTAGCTAAAGCAATGATGTCGTTGTTATTTTTAACTATTCCCCAGAGCTTCATGGCATAGTAAAAGTTGTAATCTTCCGAAGTTGATTCTTCGTCTTTACCATCACCACTTGCAAACAAACCCTTAGACCAAGAGTGACCGGCGTACCAGTCGAAGGAACGGAAGAAGGGGAAGTATTGATCGTTTTCAACGGGATTTGCTGCATCACGTAACAAGTCATTAACAAAATCGGTTTGAGAATCCGAGATCCAGCCCGAATTCAATGTTCCAGCAACAGCCATTGCATAAACGTGATAGCCGTAGTGGAAATGATGGTCATTGTAGTAAGTGTTACCGTAGTCAGCAAGGGGTTCCTTGAGACCAGCGGTACTAATAAGACCCTTGTAGGTTTTGTCGTAGTTAAGAGGGAACTGCTGTTTGTTATCAACGAATCTTTGAAGGGCTTTTTGTAACTTTTCACGGCCAGTATTAGCCAAATTGTCGTCCTTCAAAATCTTAGCAGCCACCAAGCAAACTTGAGCATATTTTGCCAAAATTTTACCTGATGCATACATGCTATTGGTATCAGAGGCACTTTCGACATCAAATTTAATGTCATTTTCACAAGCCTGTTTAATTGTATTCAAAGTATCATTCGAGTAGTTTGACTTTCCTCCGTTCCAGGGAAGTGGAAGAAATTCAACATCAGTCGGGAGGTTATTTTCTACCAAATGCCATTTGTCAGCTGCATAGGCAACGGCGGCACCCATGACTGTGGTCTGAAGGGACAAACTAGTTTTAGCTTTTTGAGTGTCAGAGCCAAAAGTGTTCTGATGGTGAGGAAGAGCATACACAAGAGGGCTCTTGGATTTGTCACCAGCCTTGTCAAAAGTAAACCAGTATTCACCAGTATTATTGGAGACATTTGCACTTAAAGTGATGCCAGTTGGGTAAACGCCAGCATATTGGTCATAAACCTTTTCACCAGCACCGTTATTAACACTATCAACGGGAACTTTGCTGATTTGAATAAGTCCGTTAAACTTCGATGAAGCAGTCAACTTACTATTGCTGTCTTTTTTCAACTCAAAAGAGCTGGAATCCGAAGGAAAAGCATAAATAAGCCAAACCTTGTTATCGTTCAAAGTAACCTTGTACTTGGTACCACCTTTAATGTTGCCCTTGTCAAGAGACTTGACGAAAATGGAGGAATTGAAGACAGGAGTCAAGTCCTTGTAGACTGAACTAATGAATGCACTTCCGGTAACAATGGGAATGGTGATGCTTCCGGAAGATGATTGAGATGGTTCAAGAGTAAGCTGAACAGAGAAATGACGGGAATCAGTAGCGGAAAGCTTGTTACCGGAAGAAAATTCATTGGCAGAAATGATTATCGAGAATAATCCGGCAGGATTGATGTAGTATTCCGTAGGATCTTTGCTAGCATCAGGTCCGTACGTATATTGGTCAGCGTCGATATGACTGATGGCCAGACCAGAGAAGTGATCATCGTTATTCCGCCATGTCAATGAGTATGGTTGGGGAAAGTTTGGGAACTTTTGGTCTCCCAGAAAAAAGTTACCGTAGTATTTGTTAGTTTGAATGGGTTTGTCGGAGACAGAAATTCCCTTGGGTTGTAAAGGATGGTCTCTTTGAGGGAAAGTGGAACTAGGAGCTCCGGTAGCAATGGGCTTCAAGAGACTCATTGTAAGATCTTAATGGAAATACAAAAAAGAATTCTTTTTAAAGACAAAAATTGGAATGGATATACGGATGCTTTTCGTTATTGGTTCCAGGGGCGGAATCAATACGATATGGTTAATGACAAAAAATGACAGCCGTGTTTGAGAAGTACTCGGTGACAAGAAAAGACGGATTCCTTCAGCAAAAGAACTTGGATTCGGAATACAACTACTACACAACCAAATATCTGATTGGAATAGTGAATTGAATGATTTCGAAATGAAGCCTTGTAAGTTGAAAGGAATTCAAAAAGAAAGTAATGAGAGTTCAACGAAAGGAGAAGGTTGGCTCTGATTAAAAAAGAAGATTCATCGTCGTTTATATAACTAAATTCATTATTGCATACGTAATGACAATTCATGTAAACAAACATGGATTGATCATCCTATGTCCGACTGAATGGCCAATGTTCAAGGGATAATTGTCATTGAAGTCCTAAAGCATAAACAAATAATGAGGAGCTTCCGTTTCTTGTTTGTTTACATGGAGCAACGTGAGAAATGGACATGTCAACGCTCTTGGGTGAAGAATATTAAGGACAGGAAACGAGTGATAATTGTCTTGACTAGATTTAGACACAAAATCTTTTGATTTTTTTACATGTAAAGAGCTGAGTGTTTGTACACTACGTGACAACAATTGAATCGTACGCTTGTTCCTTAAGAATCCGCTTTCTGATTCATGCTACAGCTATACAAATTTAATAATAATAAATACTTCTGATATTGTTGAAATATTTATGTGTCTCTTTAAACGACTTTCTGTCTCCAGTGGTTCCAATAGTAAATTAATGAAACTTGTTTTCCTAAGCTAGACCACTCCAGTCTTTGCAGAAAAAGTTTTTTTTTTCACTTTTCACTTGATTTTTTAGAAGCTTTCATAGGTTGGAGAGTACAAAACATTGATTTTTTTGATGAAACTTTTCTTTGTTTACAATTTGTAATAAGAGACTTGTCATAGTCGTAATTTTATGAATCTATAACAATATAGAGTGATCTATTACTGATTGTAAACAACACTTGCATCAAACATTGAAATTTTTTTAATTCACTTACAAGATAAATATATATATATATATATATATAATTGGAATAGATATTCACATCTTTAGTTCCGACGTTTCAATTGCAATTGCTTGACGAATTTAGATATCATTTTTCTAATGGATGAATTATGACACCAAGAAAAAGTGGTAAGTAAAGCTCGATTTATGCAATTACTTTTCAAATATTATTCATACTATTAATTGTATTACAGTGGAGAGATAAATCTAAGTTGTAGCAGGAGTTTAGCGCTATATCGTTAACTTTCTCAATATCGTTAGCTTTCTAGCCTTGACGAGCCAAAGTAGTAAAAATTTGATTTATCAACCACCGCGATTCAATTTCATTCATAATGAAGGATACAGAATATGTTCTTATAACAGGATGCAGCGAAGGAGGAATAGGAAATGCATTAGCAGTTGAATTTCACAAGCAAGGTTTCAAAGTAATTGCTGCTTCACGAAGGATTGAGACAATGGCCAATCTTGCGGAGATGGGGATTCGTACCATTGTACTGGATGTTTCTGATACAACATCGGTTTCTGAAGCAGAAAAAGTTGTGCGAAGCGAAACGGGAGGGAAACTACACTATCTCATCAACAATGCTGGAGTCTCTATGATAAAAGCAGCCGTTGATCTCGAGATTCCCAAAGTACATAAGCTAATGGAAGTCAATTTGTATGGACCCATGCGAATGAATACTGCTTTTCAAGAACAGTTAATCCGCGCCAAAGGAACCATTGTGCACATAAATTCGGCACTTTCTTATGGACCCATGGTATTTTCTTCTGCTTATAGTGCTTCAAAGGCAGCCTTGTTGTCTTATGCCAATACTCTTCGCATTGAACTAGCTCCCTTTGGAGTACAGGTAACGAGTGTCATAACAGGGTTGATCTCAACAAGTATCTTTGAAAAAGACGGTGCAAGTTTAAATGAAAGCACCTTCCCAGAGAACTCAATTTATTATCCTTATAAAGACCAACTGTTATCTGCTGATAATCCGGCGGATGCAGCTACCGTATCACCCCAACAGTATGCGGAGGATGTATATCAAAAGTTAGTACGAAAAAGGCATTGGTACCAGTTATTTAGAAGAGGAGTTCTTCCTGCTCAGTTTTGGTCTGGCCAATATTCTCAGACTATTCGTATCTTATCTTTCTTTCCGGTGGACATATTTACTCCCTTTGTGAGTTCTGCTGCAAAACTACCATCTGAAGCTTCCACTGAAGTCGATTAAGTTTTTATAGATGATATCATGTAAAAGGGCAGCACATAGCTCTTTCTCCTGACCATGAATTTAGAATTTGTTTCTTTTGCCTGTCTTCCCCTATAACATGTTTTGTTTACGACTGGACTGTGTTAAAATTACCACCCATATTTGCTTTTCTATGAATAAAATGTTTCGAAAAATTTTTTTATATATTTCCATTCCTTCAAACTCAAATTCGTTAGAGGCCTCGGCCTGAAAGAGGCAGTTTAAACCGCCAAGTCGAATCTTTTAGTTCTTTCATATTCTTTGCAAGCCGGCCGAAGGGTGTATTGATATAACGTTTCATACAAAGCTACGTATGTCCTGACAAAACTTGCTTCCTGGTTGAATTTCATTTAATATTTTATATTTTATACAATTATGTACATTTTGCAAGCAATTCTATTTTAGTTTTTGGTGTTTCTAGCGAACATTTTGGATACACGAGTGTAAACAAAAAATATGTCAATTTCATTTAAGCAAAGAAGTAACCCAAAATAAATTTTCTAAAAACTTATAACTATCTTAAAAGCAAAAACAATAGCTGCTAAGTTTTCCAAGATGGTTTCCAACCCGTTCCCTTATAGCTACATACCGAAATTCACGAAAACCTCATCTCAACACTCGCTCATTCTTACAAAACCCAAGAGACTTTGATTGATCGATTGCATTCATTTCATGCTATTTATTGGTTACCAGTAATTTTCTATTTTTTCCAATTTCATTTTTTTTTCGCCGTTCCTTTTTGTTTCAATCACCAGGATGGAGGAAAACTTGGTTCAAGAACTCAACAAGTGGTGAGTGCAAGTTTGTCATCTTCTATGCATGCCAAAAGAATTTAAAAGATCTAACCTATGGTTCTAGTATAAATGAGAAATTTTCTGGAGCCGTTTTGAGCAGAAATGGTCTTGCAATTGCAGGTATGTAAGCTAAAGTGTTCTTTTTCTCCAAAAAGAGTTTACGCTCCAAAAGTAAATGAACCCAAGAATATTGAATCTTATGAAAACTTGACTTGGACAAAAACTAATTTATCTGCTGCTATGTAGTCGCTGGAACGATCTCACCGGAAGAAGAAAGGCTGGTCTGCGAATGGACAGGTTCGGTTCCTTCAGAAGTCTTGTACATTCCTAAATCTAACAAGAAAATCTTAATCCACGAAAAAGAATCTTATGTTCTTGGTTTGGCATACCGTAACCCATGAACAAGTGAGAACTCGACAGCGAGGAGGATATTCCTCCAACTTTTTTATTTTCTCGTTCTTTTTTTTTCTGTTTAACCAACCTACTTACCTTACCTTACCTGTCATTCCAAGTTTGATTTTAAAAGAAACAATACTACGTTTATGTCAGTTCTACATATTCACTTTGTGCGAATGGTTTATTTTTCACTACTACTGGCGCCGCAACTAGAATTGTGTGCTGTAATCATTTCTACAGTTCTTGTAAAAATTATTTACGATAAACCGATGATTCATTCGAAAGAATTTCTCATTAAAAATATCATAACGGCTGAAGGACATTCATGACAGGGCATAAAACACGATATGTTCTTCTTAACCCCGAGTTACATAGGTAATAGTACCGTCTGCATCGGTGTGAAAGTTGACTCTAAAACAAATTTAGTTAGTCCTCTGTCCCATCCGTCAAACACTTCAACTTCTACATCGACCTCAATACATCCACTTTTGGATCATTGGATCCTTGTTTGTTGGTGTTATTTTTGACGTTACCTTTCATCGTGATAGTCCATTGTGCTGAATGTTCCAGGAGGCAAGACTCGGTAGGAACTAGGAAGTTCCTCTTTTGGATATGTCTTAAAAATTTAGGTTAGCAATTGTCTTCCTTGTATCAACGTTGTTTACTACGACTAGATTCAGGATGGCTAGTGATACTACTTACATTTCTAGGGTCATTCTGATTTTCAAAGATACGTCTTCCAACGTGCTTTGACTCAGCTACAGGAGGAGGAATCTTCTTTTCAGTAGTCGTACCGGCACTCATTTTTGTTTTGTAATCGAAAGGAATGCAGCAGGTTAGTTTCTTAACGAACAATAATGCAAAATAAAATAAAGAATGTTTTAAATTTTAATCGCAATTGTTAATTGACATTCTAACTTGTTTTCGTCTCGCTTATATATTTATTCTCCATATATCTGACCTCAGTATGACCTAGATACTGAATCATTCTTCTCCGCATTCGGTTAGTTAATCGTAGGTTAGCTATGGTGTCATCCCGTCACATCCACATCAACAGTCATGCCTTACCGAGCCTTTTTGCAGTGTAAACAAAAAAGTAAATAGAAGGAAATAAAATAAACCAAAAATTAAAAATAATATAAAATAATAAATAAAACTCTGCAGGTTTCTAATGATAAAATTCGGATCAAAGAAATATCCTTTTTTGTGGTTTTTCAAGCTTTTCATTCAAGTCTGTATGGAGTCTTTGGTTATTTCTCTGTGTGGCATCTTCTTTCCAATGAAAATAGATGGGCATTAAATCAGCATGGCTTAGTATTTCGTTTTTTTCATGAAATCCATACATATTACAGAGATTAAATCAAGAAACAATGATGAAAAGAAAATATTTACTGGTTATTACATCGGTACATATCAAGTGGACTAATGGTTCATGAAAATGACATTTCATTAGGCATTTCATTCATTCAATAAGCAATTAAATTCCAATCCAGTTTTCGTTTTCTAATGTTAATTCACCCATCTTTATGTTCATCCTACTAGATATGGGATGCGCATTCATTGTATTATAAGCACGTCGCAAAAGGGACCGAACAGAGCTTGAAAACAAGATACGTTCTGACGAGACACATTCAATCACCTTGTCCATATCCTCTTGTTGACAATCCGCCATCGGAAGCAAACCAGACACAAGTCGATCTGCCATGTACCTTTTCAAAGACCAACATATGCGACTTTGCAACATAAGCAACACCTCCTCTCTTACCTGGTCAAAGGATGACTGACATTCTTGCAACAAAATCGAATAGCAAAGCTCTGCCACCTGCCGACGGCAATTCGGTATTGGCGTTTCCGTTGAAGGAAAGTAAGCATACCCTATTTCGTTTTGTACCTCGGCATCATTGGAACATATCACCATAGGTTCGGTTTCGCGCATTTGATAGTGAATGGATCCTTTACAAAACACAGAAAAATATTCTCGAATTTTAGCTGACAATGAAGATGAATGCAGATATGGCTTCCAAAGAGAATGTAATGCTTTCATGCAAACGATATCTTGATCTTCATAAGTACTATCAAGACTCCAAACAAATTCGTAGTTTATATCTGGGTATACAATCAAACGCATTGCTTCCACGCTAAAGTCATACAACACCTTCAGTTGATCATTCTCCTCCAATGCATCATTTCTTTCAAGTTCAAAAAAGCAGTTTGTAATTAAATCAACAAATACGGAACTTGCAGTTGTCCAAATAGGTGCATGATTCTCATGAATTCGACTCGGCTTCGGGCAACGATATTTCAACTTCATAGGTACTAATAATGAGTCGAAAAAGTGTGATAAAACACCGCTTCTTAGCATAGACAAATTCTTATCTGCAGTGATTTGTTTCACTCGTTCTAATATTTTTTTCGAAAAGCAAATATATGTCGGTAATGAGTTCGGAGATAATTTTTCTTCATTAAATGCATAGCTTAATATGTCAGCCCAAATATCCACGACTATTGCTTCCTGGTTGTATTCTTCTATTAAACAATCTAATAACGTGGTTGTCGCTTCTTGTAATGAAGATAAGAAGTCTATGTCCAAAGCGTATGATGGACTTGCTTCATAAAATATAATGTTTCGTATTTTTTTTGAAGCAGAAAAAAGTCTCTCTTCTTCAAACCTATATGATTTCAATAAATAGCATAAACACTCAACCAGTAATTTAAGACCTTCTTGAGGCAAGCCGCTAATGAAAGGGTCGTCAAAAGAAAGTACACAGAATGATATCCAATTCTCAAATTCAAGTTCGACCAATTCGTTGAAGATCAATGACTTTAGTTTAAATTGAGACGAATGGAAGGCCAGCTCCCTCATTGCTTTGAAATTACTCATGCAAATACGTTTATAATTACCATTATGAAAGTTTTGCATAAATTTGAAAGTTTCTTTCACAACATTCAAAATTCCTTCAACCTTTAAAAGCATGTCCATGTTTGCTGAAAATACATTAGCTATACCGCTAATTATTAAAGCACTAGTCTGCTCAGCGTCTTCGTCATGAGTATCGCCGTTTAAAGTTGACTCTGCGAGTTTTGTTTGTGATGAAAGAATTTTTAAAATAACGAGTTGACAACAAGAAGCCCATGCATTGATTCCCAGGTTAGAGCACTGGGAATTGAAGATCCGAAATAGTATTTGAGCAGCGCCGTCCCTGACACTAGCCCAAGAATTTTCACACAAATCTGCCAGATGCACAAGTAGCATAATCCATAATACTTCGGGCAAAATATCTCTTCTTTTCGTAGTTGTGAACAAGTATAATTCTTCCAACGAAGTATAAGTACAAGAACAGTCAGACTTACTGAACATGCTTTTTAACGTGTCTGAAACTATCCAGAATAATCCAACAGCAGTGAGTGACACGTTAGCATCCTTCTCTTGTCGACAAAATACAAGCAAGGTATCCAGCAAATCAAGGTAGTTGTCCATGTCCAGTGATCCCAAAAAATCTGTACAAATTAACTGTAAACAGGAAAAGGCCAATCTCACGGTTTTTGCACCCTTGTCCTGACCAAATAGATCGGAACATTTAGCGCAACTAAATCGAAGCATATCAAATACATAAATCCATCCTTGAAATAAATTGTGTCCTACCGTTTCTAAAATTAATGCTAACGCTTCGAGACCTATTGACGATATATCATACTCAACGTTTTTTGATGTAGTATCAGAAATTTCAACAGATGACTGTAACAAGTTTACCGATTGCAGGAATTGTTCCTGAAATGTTTTGTTCTCTGCATTTTTTTCATTCGAAATGCACGAACAGAGTTCTACCAATATATTGGCTAAACATTTTGCGGCTCTTATCCTAAGTTCTGGGGGAACCGTTGTATTTTTTAAAATGTTGCTTAATGAAGAAGAAATTAGAGGCCAAACTTCGCTTACTTTCTTTGCGTTGCTCAAGCGATTTATGTTACAGGAACTTGTAACTTCCAAAATAGTGAATGAATAGAAGACTTCCGAATTTTTCCGAAGTAAACGAATACCACCCGAAATGGATTTGTTTGCTGAAAGTCTAGCTGAAGAACCTCGAGACGATATAGAAGTCCTTTCTTCAGGTTGGACAGGTACGGTCAAATTATTCGTCTGATCTATGCACGAAGACGTGAGAACTGTTAGCAGGGATTCGAGAAATTCTAAATAAGATTGATCATTATATTTAGAGGTAGCTAACATAAGCTCGGAAAGTTCACTTTTATATGATGTAACTTCTTGATCCATTAGTCCAGACATGGCTTTTCCCTCATGCGCAACAGAATGTGAGGAGTTGAGGCGACCTAAGCTGCTAGTTGACAAATGTTTCGATAAAGGAGTTCTGTTTAAAATAATGTCCGCTTTGTCAACAGTTTCAAGCAATATTTTCCATCCTTTACCCAAAAGTTCGCCGACTTGACGAGCAACCAAAGACAAACTTCGCAAAAATATCAATTCTCTTAGTGAAAATGATTTTTGTTTATCATCATGACTGTCGTAAGTTGCCATTCCAGCTATAGTCGTCGCTGCTTCCTTTAATCCTTCCACACTGAACATTGTCGAAGTGGACATACGTCCGTTATTAGAAACATGATTTGAGTTATTATTTGGTGTATTACCTGTTAACAATATTGAAGGTACAGCTTTATTGCTAAGAGTTGTCAGCAAAGCATCTCGAGGCGTTTCCAGCCTGAAGATCGTACAAACACAAATGAATTTCACGTAAGAATCGACACTAAACTTCAATAACTCCATACTTAACGCACTGGACATAAAAGTAGAATATGAAACTAGAAAAGCAGTCCAGTTCTGGGAAATTATGCCATAATAGCATTTCAATTTCGAATATACATCTGGACATGAGTTCTCATCCTTAATAGACTGTAGCGAAGAAAGCAAACCTAAAATTTCTGTGTCCGAGGTATTTTCATTGAATTCCATAACAAATTCTGCAGTAGATTTGCAAAGAGCTACCAAAGAGCACATAGCTAGATAAACCAAGTAAGCGGCGGGTACAATAGGGGGATCTTGCTTGTCAAATTGTTCAATGCAGGGAGTTTTCAAAATTGTAGCACGACAAATACCTATTACTTGCTCTGGTTTTGAACCTGTAAATGTGCCAATTATTTTACCCATTTCAAATCCGAGTGTAGATGAAAAACCCGTAGAATGATCGTCAGCAAAATCAGACAAAAGTACTCGAGAACCTACCCCTATCATCGAAGGTTTCTCGTTAATTATCCGATTGAGTGAAGTTATTAATTTAGAGATTATCGGTTTCCTTCCTTCAACACCGTCAAATAACGAGTACATAATAAATATGAGTTCTGAATTATTGAACAAACAACGTAAAACTTCTAGGAATAGAGCCTTTTTCCAAGGCGCTTCTGAGTTTTCCAAGGAGCTTATTATAAAGGTCAAAATGACTTCGACATCCAAGCTTAAGGAAGCTGTGTGATGCTGAAAAAGAATGGATAAAATACGGGCAACACGAAGAGCTACGGAAAAATTAGACATGGAGGCGAGAGAAGCGGTCATGATAGGAAGCAAGTCTTTTCGCACTGAATCTTGAAATTCGGATCGTTCAAATAAATGATGGTGATTCACGAGAATACTTTCAATTAACTCTAACCCAAAAGTATCGGAAATGCCATTGACTTTTAGCAAATCAGAACTTCCGGAACGGATTAGAGCACAGAGGTTAGAGAAAACAGTTAGTAAATCAGATAATAGAACATTATCAACCCTCTGTGCCAAGGTTTCATGATCCAAATGGTCAAACACCAAAATTACAACTTGACGAAGTGTAGCAGAAGCAGCATTAGCAACTATTGGGTTCCTATTATTATGTAAAGAAAAGCAGGTGTGAAGTGCAGGAACTAGTAGCGGTATTCGCATATACTCAGCATAGTTTGTACATACAATAGGAATTATCTGGAGAATTCTTAATTGCACGTCCTGTCCCAAAGATGAAGTGTCATCTAATACACGAAATAGCTCTGGGAGAACCGACTAATTTTTCGTTAGTATCGAGCGAAAGTTCCAACAATTTTATTTCACGTACGGAAGGTAGAGCATTATTGATTATTAGTAATTGAATTGAATTCAATGCAGGAACAATACAACGATCAATTTTTCTATCAAGCGAACAAACAAAAGGTCGGAAGAACAGGGCTTCCTGCTTTAATGCTACCAGAAATTAACATTCACGTTTCAAATAACGGGTTCACTGAATAAAACTTACCTTGTGCCAATTTTGAATCAGAGTCTTGTCTAATTTGCTCCAGAAGCTTAATCGATGATTCAGCATCCTTGCGTGAATGGTTAGAACAATTAATATTCACTTCACAAAATTCGGGAGACGTACCTTTTTTAAGTCAGCATTCTTTTTTCGGGAGTCTAAGCTAAGAGAGTTCAAGAAAGTAATTAGATTTTCATAAAGATTCATCAAAAATTTTGAGAAGGTCTTAGCAGATCAACGAGATTGCAATCAAGTAAGTAAACAAGTACCCCGGTTGGTAGTTGCTCGTAAAGTCTTACTAAAATATGCAATCAGGAATAATGGAGTCCAAACTTCTACGTTAGTAAACAAAGCGTACTGAATGGCAACATTAATACACATATATTCAATCTTACGATGAAAACAATTTCGTGTAATTTTTGTATTCGTATTATATAAAAATGTTCATTAATAAGGATATGGTAAGTAGGTATTTAATAATTCACGCGAGTACAAAGATAGGCAAAAGCAAAGTGAAAAACGATAAAATAATAGGCAACGCTTTTCCTGGTGCCAAAGTATTTTCAGTAGAAGAGCTCTTTTGTGAAACAATAGACTTCCAGAATTGTTGACCTCCTGGATGATCACGCATATCATAACCAAAAGGAACGTCGTAGGTTGGTTGCACGTAATGAGTTGTGATCGTAATACTAGGAATAAATGTAGTTTCGGGTAATAGAGTAGGCGTAAACTCAGGAACCTGAATTTCACCCTGCGTTTTTGGATACATTATCTATACAAGAAAGTTAGTTTACAAGGATAAAAGAAATTTGCGTCAAGGAACTTACAACAGGAAACCCGAAGAAAATTTCGACATTAAGTTTTCCTTGCTCGTCCACCTTGTATGTCTTGTCACTAATAATATCAAAATAAACGTCTCCCGGATGAGCGCCTACTGGGATAAAGGAAATTGTTAAGCCTTCTTGACTGTGAATACCCCAATTTCCTAAAACACTAATAACTTTGTGCTTCTGGATAACCATATAATGAAGTTGCACTTTTAAGATAATAGACTGGGTATTCACGTATTCAGGGTCTTTCTTTTGGACTGACTTTCGAAAACGATTCAAAGCCCCAATTAACCTATAGTAAATGTTACTCGTGTCAAATTTGGACAACCAAAGTGCTTCCCTGTTGAAAGGATCGTGGAAAGTATTAAAATTTTGTTCTGTTCCATAATAAATGATAGGAATTCCATCCCACATCATGACAAAGCTAATTGCATTCATGACACGGGCTTGATCTGTATTGTTATGAGCAATTCGGGGTACATCGTGATTTCCGATGAACGTTCCCAACGCATTCACATCTCTACATTGGGAATGAATTTGATTAATTACCGTCGCAAGTGCTTCGCATTGAAGACCAGTATTATTGAAAGCCCAAGTGATCGGCCAGTAAAGTGGAAAATTTAAAAAAGAATCTAAACCGGCATTTTGATAATCACAAGCTTCAGTTGGTGACCCCGTAAAATACTCGCCAATCGTAAATACACCAGCGGCTTCTGCCATTTTTGACCAAAACTCCACAGGAGCATGCTTTGTAGCATCAAATCGAATACCATCAATGTCATATTCCTCCACGACGTCGCGAAGCCATTTCTGTAATATTTCCACAACGGTAGGATTTTCTGTATCTAAGTCCGCTAATACAAGATTCTCATCTCCAAGCCAGCACTAGAAAACGTTTGAGGTTAGCCCTGTTCACAATAGTAATGCTTCGTGGTGTTCATATAGTACCACAGCAAACTACACCAAAACTCAGTGTAGGTCAATTCTTGTGTCAGAATTTTCCAACAAGTTTTAATCATACATTTTGAACTACTTCAACATCATTTAGTTCATAATCAACCCAGCAAAATGGATGGTAATACGACTCATCATTGAAAGGCACCACTTTATCAAACGTTATGTTTTCAAGGGGTCCGTTCAACGCAATCGAGTTAATGGCTACATCCAGTAGTATCCACATATCCCTTCTGTGCAACTCTTCTACTAAGTTTTTGAAGTCTTCTTTTGTTCCATAATGGTGATTTAAGGCATATAGGTTCTTCGTCCAGTATCCATGATACGACCAACCATCAATCTTATTTCCCTCTTCGTTTTCGAAGATTGGAGATATCCATATCTATAAAGTCAGTGTTTTCGTTAAATGAATTCATAAAACTTACAGCATCGAACCCCATATCTTGAATATAGTCAAGATGATCTCGAATTCCATTCCAAGTTCCTCCGCAATACATAAATCGTGCTGGATCACAAGGAAGTCTTTCGTGAGCATCTTTGCTTAGAGAGAATCTATCGGTAATGATTTGATAGATTGATCTTTCTTTCCACTCATCGACACTGTGTCCTGCTTGCGAGAGTTGAAAAAGACTGAACGATAAAAAACAAAGAATGGAAATTTTAATTAGAAGTATATCCATTCTTTTGATAAATCTATTTTTGTTGTTGGATAGTATGCTGGCTGGTTCTAGGTATGGTCTATGGCTGCTTGTTTTTATTTGTGTACCGGGGATGCACAAAATGTAAACAAACATTGGGGCCTACTACAAATTGTTTTTTCTCTCGACCAACAACCAAACAAAAGCATTTATCTTTTCCAAAAGTAGAAGAATTGCTTTCTAAATATCCTTTGAGAGTACTCCTTTTGTATTGTACAAATTATTACTTTTATAATACTTTGCTTAGAGCAGAAGGAATTTATTTTAATCTTTGTCTTATTTTTCAGAAATATCAAAAAGTATTAGGAGGGTCTTTACTGAAAGTAGTCCTTCCTTTTCTGTTCTTATAAGAAACGTTTTCTTCTTTCTCCATAGAGTCTTGCAAGTGAGAAAAGAATGAGCCTCAAACGTTTCTCATTATTTCATTGTTTATTGTTCGTCTACCTGTTTCTATTTTGCTGCCTTCATGTTAGTTGCGCACCATATGATCCGGATAAAGTACCATGGAATTTGAATACCAACGAAGCTGCTACTGATCCTATTGATTACCATGGATTGTGGGAGAATCATGATTTCTTTCCTAGTCCCGAATCGTGGAGATTTCCTATATACACAATTGCTTTGGATAAATGGGTTGACGGTGATCCCACTAATAATGATATCAATGGCACCAGATTTGAGTACGACATGCTCGAGACAGAATTTAGAAATGGTGGTGACATTATTGGAGTTAAGAAAACATTGGATTACCTTCAAGGTATGGGTGTCAAGGGTGTATATCTAGCTGGAACACCGTTTGTAAACCTGCCTTGGGGTGCCGATCAATATTCCCCTCTTGATTTTACTTTATTAGATCCTCATCTAGGAACCATTGAGGATTGGAGAAGTACCATTGAAGAAATACATAAAAGAAATATGTATATATTAGTAGACCTTACGGTTGCAACGCTATCCGACCTTGTTGGATTCCAAAACTATGTTAATACTACCACTCCGTTTTCTCTAATGGAGCATAATGCCTTATGGAAGGGGGAGCACCGTTATCGTGATTGGAATTTTCAAAATGAATGGGATTTTGATTGCACTCTTCCTGAATTCTGGGGCGAAGATGGATTTCCTGTTGTTTTAGAATGGAAGGGCTGCTATGATTCCGATTTTGATCAATACGGAGATACAGAAGCCTTTGGCAGCCATCCTGACTGGGAACGGCAGTTGTCGAAGTTTGCTTCGGTTCAAGATAGATTGAGAGAATGGAAACCATCCGTCTCCGAAAAGCTTAAAAGACTTTCTTGTTTGGTCATTTCTATGCTAGATGTTGATGGTTTTCGCGTTGACAAGGCCACACAAATGACAGTTGATTTTTTAGCTGATTGGGCTGATAGCATAAGAGATTGTGCTAGAAATCATAATAAACAAAACTTTTTTATTCCAGGTGAAGTTACGGGATCTTCGAGCTACGGTTCTATATATTACGGAAGGGGTAGAAAACCTGATCAGCGACCTTCCACCATTGAAGATGCCTATTCCCTTACTCCTTCTAACGATACCTTCTTTCTAAGAGAAGAGCGAAAAAATGCTCTAGATGCAGCCGCTTTTCATTACTCCTTTTATCGTATTCTGCTTAGGTTCCTGAGAATGGATGGTTTAATGGAGATTCCTTTTGATTTGCCCACGGACTTAACAGAAGCTTGGGAAACGATTGCAATCAATGAAGATGCTTTAAATGCGATGACGGGAGAACATGACCCAAGGCATTTGTACGGTGTTTCAAATTACGACGTTTTCCGCTGGTCTTCCGTTGTTGATGGTCCCGGAAGATTGATTCTTGGTACGATGATATCTTTTTTTCTATTTCCTGGTATTCCGTTAATATATTATGGTGATGAACAAGGCTTGTATGTTCTTGATAACAGGGCCGACAACTATTTGTATAGCCGACAGCCAATGTGTTCCTCAATCGCTTGGTACATCCATGGATGCTACACAGGAAGTTCATCTACCTATCCAGCTATTGATCTTACTCCTGCAAGAAAGGGTTGTTATGATAGTTGGAATACGCTAGACCATTTTGACGTTGCTAAAGTTGAGAGACAAGTTTTTATTGAATTTCAAGATATAAGACGAAGATATCCAGCTTTAGTAGATGGTTGGAGGTCTGAAAAATTGGGAAATTGGACTTTTGTGGAATATATGCCCAATAGCGGGGTAAACCCGACGACCGTTGGTGTCTTTAGTGTCGTTAGAGGTCCTTTGTCACCTTTACAGGACTTCACTTCCGAATACTCATTTGATAATAATAATGGACTATCTACTACCGATGTGTGGCTATTATTTACTAACCACAACCATTCAATCGAGTTGAACAATGATTGCTGGTCACCAGATGCAACTATAGCACCATATAGTGCTGGAGTAACTGTAAAAAATCTCGTTTATCCATATGATGAATATGTTTTACAAGAATCTTCAATTAAGTTGAATACATCAGGCGAATCGAGTGTTGGCTGTCTTCCAAGTGTTGCACTTGATGCCTACGGCTTTAAAATATTCGTCCCGGTTGAAGAATATATTCCTCGACGTCCCATGATAACCAAAATCTCACCAAAGCATGACTCAAGAATAGTAAACACTCAAGGAAAGGTAAATGTTATCATTGAGTTTTCAGAGGAAATGAGTTGCAAATCAATAACTGAAAATGTTCATGTTCAATCTAAAACTCAAAATAATGTCGTAGGAGAATTCGATTACGAGTCTGTTGCCTGCGACACAATAATTTCTGAAGACCAATTACGCTTTACGGGACAGCCGAGTAGCAAATTTAGGTGGTCTGCTGTATTGCATAACCTTCAAGATGGTATTCACCAAATTACAGTCTCTAACGTTACTACCGACGATGGATCGGCATTTACTGATTCAGTTGATCATTTTCTATTGCGAATTGGATCTCTTAACAATCCCATGGTTTTTTCGAATGCTAACTACTCTTTCGATCTATTACAGCTGGAAGGAAAACATCTGAGTTTAAATCATTCTGCTCCCGGTGCTGATCTATTCCGATACTCCTTGGATTTTGGGTCAAGCTGGTCTTCTTGGCAGGAGTATGATGGTTCTACTACTCAATGTTCTCTAAAAAACTTATCAATCCCTAGTCATAAAAGATGGTCGGGTCATCATGTTATGGTGCAGTATTGGAGCGAATTAACCGGTTCCGCAAATCACATGCAAGAATCTGATGCATCTTTTCCGCATAAAAGGTGGTTTCCCCAAATGTATTTGGACAGTGAAATAACTCAATGGGCTTATGATTCTGATGATCGAAATAAAATGTCCATACAGAAAAATGGAAGCTTTGTAGGGCACATAATTTCGGACACATATCCTTCTGCTTTTCAGTTTAATGTATGGGGTTTGAATGAGAAAGGGAAACCTGATCCGTCTTATATATATGGTAGTTTACGAAATGATTCATACCTTTCGCGGGCAAGTCCCTCTGCGTTAGAAGACAATGTCTTTTTCGTGCAATCAGAGCCTCCCAAAAAGAGCCTATCATGGAAAATAACATTTGATCCTCAAACTCGCCGTTTTTATACTCATCCTTCAGGATCCATCTATGTCTCTATGGGAATTTACATTTGCTTTATTCTTCTGCCTCTTGTTTCAGGATTGGTATCTGTTTTACTCTTCAAAAGATTGTTCTACCACGTGAAGTTTAATGATTTTGGAAAAGGATATATTGATAAATACTTTACTGATCTTCCGGAGAGGGAGAAAAGTAATAATATCATGTTTAGAATGATGGACTTCCCTAGAATGATAGGTATGAAAAAGCGAGGAAGCTTTCAAGGTAATAGAAAAACAATACTTTTGGCGACACTTGAATATGATATCCCAACATTGAACATTAGGATCAAGATCGGTGGACTGGGTGTAATGGCACAACTAATGGTGAGAAACTTAGAACATCAAGACTTGTTGTGGGTCATTCCATGCGTGGGTGATGTGATATATCCTGATATGGAAGCAGACGATCCGATTACTGTGGTAATAATAGGGCAGTCCTACTTAATTAACGTTTATCGATACGTGCATAAAAACATAACATACTTGCTATTAGATGCACCTGTCTTTAGGAGGCAGACTACTTCTGAACCGTATCCTGCTCGCGTTGACGATTTAAGCTCCGCAATTTTCTACTCGGCATGGAATCAATGTATCGCAAACATAATGGAGAATAAATCTATTGACTTGTATCATATAAATGACTATCATGGAGCATTAGCACCGGTTTATTTACTGCCGAAGGTTGTTCCTGTAGCACTTTCTTTACACAATGCTGAATTTCAAGGGCTTTGGCCTTTGCGAAGTCCAGAAGAAGTTGAGGAGGTTTGTTCGGTTTTTAACATTCCTCTAGACGTGTGCTCCAAATATGTTCAATTCGGAAATGTTTTTAACTTATTGCATGCTGGTGCATCCTATATAAGAATACATCAAAAAGGATATGGTGTTGTGGGTGTATCTAAAAAATATGGAAAACGCTCGTGGGCACGGTATCCAATTTTTTGGGGACTCCAAAAAATAGGCAAGCTTCCAAATCCTGATCCGTCTGACAAAGGTGAAGGTGTTTTTGAGGTAACTGATGAATCTTTACGGAATCTTGAAATCACAAAGGAGGAACATAAAAGACAAGCCCAGGAGTGGGCAGGCTTGGAAATAGACCCTAACGCAGATCTTCTAATATTTGTTGGACGATGGTCCATTCAAAAAGGTATAGATCTTATTGCTGATATTGCCCCTGTAATTCTTGAGAACTTCAACGCTCAGATAGTTGTAATAGGACCTGTGATTGACTTGTACGGAAAGTTCGCCGCCGAAAAGTTTGAAGCCTTGATGCAGAAGTATCCCCGGCGCCTGTTCTCGCGTCCAGTTTTCACTCACCTTCCACAATATATCTTTAGTGGTGCCGATTTTGCATTAATTCCTTCTAGAGATGAACCATTTGGTCTTGTGGCTGTCGAATTCGGAAGAAAAGGTACTCTAGGAATAGGAGCTAATGTGGGCGGTCTTGGTCAAATGCCAGGATGGTGGTATGCTGTGGAATCAAGTACGACTTCACATTTGCTAAAACAATTTGAGCAAGCTTGTCGCCAAGCTTTATCTTCTACAAAAGAGACTCGTACTAAACTACGTGCTATTTCAGCTGTTCAGAGATTTCCCATATCAGAATGGGTTATTCGTCTAAATAAACACGTTAGCACTTGCATAAAATTCTGTCTTAAAAACAATTCTGAAATTTTACATAGAGCTCCTCATCAGCAAGAAAACTTTCAGTCTTCTATTCTTGATGATGAAAGTTTCAAGCATGATTTGGGAGATTCAAAGAGTGAAGTGCATGATTTTGATCCATTAAGGAATGAAACTCCAAATACCAATGCCATTTCTAAAGGCTTAAACGAGAAGGAGTTATTCAGTATAGGGGAGGCTTCGAAGGACGACGATGTATCTGACACTTCTGAAAGCTTAGGAAAAGTATCATCTTCTAGCTTTGATGTACTGCATCGACGTGATGAATATCGAAACCAGCTAATAGAATTTGATTTGGTGCAGCCTGTATCCGAACCAAGTACTGAAGAACACTTTCACCATACAAATACTTTTGGTGGTAATTCCGACAGCAATGGAGTTGATGATATTCCGAAAAACGAAGAACCATATGATGCCGTATCGGAAGGCGACTTAAAACTTGACAATAAGTTCAGTAGTTTTGAAGGAACTGACAGCAATGCCTTTGAAACATCTGAAATGTTTCTCCCACACAATAGTTCCCAACTTAGTATTGCATCCGTTCGGTCCAATTTGCGAGATTTTTCTTTGACGAGAGTACCTAGAAAATTTGATGATGAGGATGGTAAAGCTTTAAGTATATTTGCTGAACGGTTGCAAGACCTGACACCTAAAAGTTCTATGGGCAGCTTGTGCATCGATCATTTTATTATGAAATGTACCAGGAAATATTTTAGTGAAGTAAAAAGCTTACAGCTTGGTTCTTCAAAGCCTGAAAAGCTTCATTTTTTTAATGATGCAACTGTAACAAGTTCCATCAATAACTTACCAGAACTAATTCAAAATAAGGAAGGTTTCGCTGATGAAAGTGAAATAGGACAACAAGGATTGCAATTACCCGAAAAAGAAGAAGCTGAGTACGTCTACGAATTTGAGCAATATCATGGTTGTCGTAAGTTACTACAATATCAGATCTTCGGCTGGCCTTTATACACTATTATTCTTGCTTTGGGGCAGATTCTCGCTGTTACTTCGTTTCAGCTGAGTCTTTTGTCCGGAAGTTCAGAACAATCCGTAAGTTTCCTTTACATTGTCTGTGGAATTTATGTTGCATCTACGTTTTTCTGGTATATTCTGCATTGTTTGGTTCCTAGTGTGCATTGCTTGGCGCTTCCATTCGTCGTTTATGGGCTTGCATTTTTTTTCGTTGGATTGGTTAGTTTTGAAAACTTGGGTAGCTCTAGAATTTGGCTAGCAAGGGTAGCAACTTGCACGTACGCTGCTGCTTCAGGAAGTCAGGCTTTGTTCTTTTCTCTAAACTTTGGTGATGAAGGAAATTATGATGTCTTGTATTGGATAATTCGAGCTTGTTTCATTCAAGGATGTCAGCAACTGTGGTCATCTGCATTATGGTACTGGGGCTCATACATCAGTTCTAAACCTAACAAATATGGTATTTCTGAACAATTACATTCCGTGCATTGGGTTTATGCCATTGTATGGTCTATTTCGCTTATAATGTTATGTTTTACAGTATTGCTTTACAGAGGACTTCCCAAGTTTTACAGACAAATTCCTCCCAAGATCCCTGCGTTTTACCGGTCTGTTCTTCGAAGAAGACTGATTCTTTGGTTCTTCTTTGCTTCTATACTGCAGAACTATTGGATGTCGACGCTGCAAGGGCGTTCATGGGCGTTTGTCTGGTCAGCTCGCTCAACGAACAGATGGGTGACATTCCTGCTGGTTATATTATTTTATGTTGCAATATGGTTAGGTGCTATTAGTGGCTTGGCATCACTATCTCAGAAGCATTCGTGGATATTACCAATTTTAGGTCTGGGATTTGGCGCTCCAAGATGGTTACAGACTCTATGGGGAACTTCTAATATAGGTTTGTATCTTCCTTACTTTGGAAAAGCAGCACCCTATTTGTCTCGTATGCTATGGCTATGGCTCGGATTGCTGGATACTATCCAAGCTGTTGGTATTGGAATTATATTACTGCAAACATTGACACGAGAGCACATTAATCTCGTCCTGAACCTTGGTCAAGTTATTGGAGCCGTAGCTAGCATGGTCGGTAGGGCCACTTCGCCTTGCCGAATTGGGCCAGCAAACGTATTTCTTGATTTTACATCTTGGCAACCAAAAGATGGGCTAAGAATTTTGGCAAGTGCACCGTTCTGGATTTGTTTGATTTGTCAGCTTGGCATTGTCGTTGGATATTACCTTTTCTTCCGCCGAGAAAACTTGATGAGACCTTAGATTAAAGGTGGAGAATCGAAAATACTAGATCATGTTTTTACGAAGTTTGGCATTCTGTGATTTTTTAAATTATCACGAATTTCCTTACGCTGTTGATACCTATTTTAATACATTAGAAGTTAATAAATTTAATTGGTTTCTTATAACATAGTTGTATATATAACATAGATGTAGAATTCTTTAAACTGGACATAAATCATTAGAGGATAGGACGAAGCCCATATATTGTTTCAGTTGAACATTAACGTTTTAAACAATCATCTTCGATTATAAATACAAATAACATTTCAACTTTAACTTCTGACTATTCCTGATCGAACGAAGTTTTAGACGTTGTAGAAGCCCTACACACTACAAGTATAGAAGAATGGAAGATGTAAGAAACGAACGTTAGATAAAGATTAATATAATAAATAACTTATGAAACTAATGTCAATTATAGAGCTTTAGATCGCGTCTGCAGTCTGTGTTAGAACGAACCGGTGAAGCTGCATCAGAATCAACAAATACTTGGTTCGAGCGTGTCAGAAACTCACTCCCGTGGACGAACGATTATGCTGAAGTACCGACTAACGCAAATGGTAACTCATATTTTCAGAGCGGTGACTTCAGTTTGTCACGTTGGGAGAGATATATGTTGTTCGGACTTTGTTTGCTAGGTAGCTTTGCATGTTATGCAATTGCTTGCTTCATGTTTCCCGTGCTTATACTGAAACCAAGAAAATTTGTTTTATTATTAACTATGGGCAGTTTGTTAGCTGTTCTTGGGTAAGTACTATTTCCTCCTGCATCACCTAGCGGGTAACGTTTCATCTCAAACAGAAGGATAGAAATGTCATTTCTTCATGCATCCTTCTGTTTAGTTTGTCATCAAGATGTTGCTCTGAAATTGCCGCTAGGTTATAGTCGGATTGGTTATTTCATATTCTTTGTTAACAACTATTTAGCTTTGCAATCATTATTGGTTTCAAAACTCACTTTGAACAATTAATTACTAGGGAACGTCTACCGATTACCTTTGGGTATTTTGCAAGTTTACTTGCAACTGTTCTATCAACCATTTACATAAAGTCGACAATTTTAAGTATTGTTTTTGGAGCAATTCATATCATACTGTTTCTGGCGTACTTGATTGCTTTCTTTCCCTTTGGTACAAGAACGGTTTCGTTCGGAGCAAGGATGGCCTCACGGTCTATGTCCAACTGGTTACCTTAAAAAAACATTTGTGTTTCAAGTTTGGCGTAATTATTTGCATACATTCTTTTACTTATAATGACTACTTTGCTTTCTATCGTGTTTATTGAGACCAGAGAAGCTATGAGATTTACAAAAACAGAAGAAATTCTCCAAATAGCATCTAATCTTATAAATTTATAATATTTTTTCTTCTTTTTTATTTTAGAAAATAAAACTGTCTTGTATTGTTTGCCTGTTGTTTACCGAATTTAAACGTGCTGTTTCACATATTTCTTTTTAATTTAACTAGTCTCACATGGAGCTCGTTATATGAAGAAAAAAAAGTACAGTAATATGAAAGACAAGCTCAACTTAGAAAGCTCTTTCTTAGTACAACACAGGGCCGTTAATTGAGTTGCTTCTTAAAAACTCAATAAACGAAATATTTTCGCATTATATTTATCGTAGTCGGTGCTAGTCATTACGATAGAGGGATTGTGACTTTTTTCTTGAAGCGAAAAAACGAACGTGTGAATTTTTGACAAGCTGAAACACAGTTCAATCAGCTCGGCTTTGGTGTTGGTTTAATCTTACAATAAATCAATTTATTTTATTCATTTTTTGGGTTTCACGAAGCTTTGCCGTGACAATACGCAAGACTGTAGGTTTACCTTAGTCTTTCAGTGCTTACTAGAATAAGAAAAAGAGATAACCATGGTTCAGGATCAAACTCTTACTCAAGAGAAAGAACAAGAGGTAGCTCAAACCACTCCCATGACTGAATTGACTCATCAGTCTGGTAAAGTGAATTCACCAAAGAATGATGCTAACGCCTCTAACAATCAAAAAGAGTCCACAGGTGATACTAACCCTGTTTCAACTTCTGGGCAAACTACACCAACTTTGAAAGACCAAAGTCCTCACGATTCGTCCATTAATATATGGGCTGTTCGTCGTGAACAAATGTCGCAAAAGGCCAGTGACTCTCAGGCCGAGCAAAAGCAGACGAAGCAAGCCCGACTTCAAGACCCAACTATTTGGCCTAGTCCCAAATTGGTTGAACAAAAGTTTTCTGAAGAGAAAAAACAGGATCCCGAAGAGAAAAAGCCTTTGGCTCCCAAAACACAGGGCAAAGGAAAATGGGTGGTAATCACTCCAGAAATAAGTCATCCACCCATTCATTCTTCTTCCAAAAAACCCAGCCGTTCCAGAAATGACGGAAATCGTCGTTCCGGTAGTGCACGCCGTAAAAGCAATGCTCAAAACTTCTCTCATAATCAAAACCAAAACCGTCGTCAAGAAAATGTTCCACGGGATGTTACTCAACCTTTGGATGAGATGAATGGTCCCGGTGCTGCTCAGAAAACTAGCGAACAATCTAATGCTACAAACAGTCATTCTCGCAATCCTCGTCGTTTGGATGATACTCTTCAAGAGAGAGGCAATAATGAAACCTTTCATAACAATAATGGATTCCGTGGCAGAAGCTACCGTAAAGGATATCGCAGCAAGAATCCCAACCATCGTCCAAGCCGTTCCTATCACCAGAATAAAGTACAAAATATACCTGTCGTCACAAATCCTGCTGGCACTGTCCAGTACGTTTACGATGTAAAGGGATTCCTTACTTCTCAAATTGACTATTATATGTCCATAGAAAATTTATGCAAGGACATGTTTTTGCGCAAACACATGGATGACGAAGGATACGTTCCAGTAGCTTTTCTAGCGTCGTTCAATAGAATTAAAAGTCTGACCAGTGACATCAATCTACTTTTAGAAGCTTGTGAGGCATCTTCTGTTGTCACGCTTAATCCTTTATTTGAGACGCCCATCAAGGCTAAGGTACGTCGCTCAGTTACCTGGGAGCCTTGGATTTTACCAAAAGAATTACGTCTTTCCTTTGAGCTTCCTACTTCTCAATCTAACTCCAATCCTTCGTCTTTGGGAAACTCAATATCTGATTTGTCTGCAGCTCATCCTATCGCGGATCACAATGACTTGTCTAAAAGCATGAGAGATGATTTGAAGCTTTCAGACGCTAATGTTTGAACATTCTTTTTACAAAAGTTATTTTTAAAAACAAAAATAAAAGAAATAAAAGTTGCTTGAGGTGATAACTGTAACAACTGGTTTGCTGGATTTATCAATAATAATTTTTTTGAATATTTGATTTTTTTTTTCCGTTTGCCCAAAATGAAATCTTGAATATACGTGCGTTTTCGTTAGTTGAAGGAAAGACAGTTTGGGATTTTTGGATAGACCGGTCTTCCTTTGCTTTCTATTAAATACTTAATCATATAGCAAAAACTACGGTCTGAAGGATATGCGATAACTTGAATGCATTGTTAGCTAAGAAGTCGTCAGCTAAGCCTTCCTTTTGTGAGATTGAAATACAAAGTTTATATAACATTACTTTATTAACTACACCCGATAATGGGAATTAATGTCCTCCCCTACTCTTCATCAGTTCCTTCTGAATATGTAAGGCAAAATTCTTTGTACGTGCTGTTGAATATTTAAAAAAGGCACAGGCTGCTTAGATAATTAGATACAATAAATATATAAAAAAACAATCCTGAAATCTACTGAATTATTTAATCATGGATGTTCATATATATTCACTCTAGTTCAACAAACATTCAAAAAAAATAAAACATCATAAGTAAAGCAACAGACAAAACGAATTGTATGGAATAACCATAAGGAAAAATAACATCATTTACTCATTATGTATTATGCATAATATAAGCGTGCTACGTTTGGTCTTTTGGCTCTATTTTGAGAAAAGTCCTACCCACGCGACTGAAGTAAGCATTTAACAAACCTCGAAGTTGGTCATCAAGACCTCCTTTAGCTATCATAGAACAGCAAGGATGATACAACTGTTGAATCGCATCAGTGAACAAAGTATCAGGGAGTTCTGTTGTATTTTCAAGAACGGTTACAATAACTGGCTGCCAACTTACATGATTTCGAGTATGTTTTTCAATAGTCATAGAAGCATAAAGTTCCAATAAATTCGCGCACGCGGGAAAAAGTAAACCGGCAATCTCAGAAGAATAATTTGAATCAACGGCTAAGCTTTCGCTTTTCAATAACCTAAAGAGTAAGCTGATGTACAATAAGGCACTCGCTGTTTCTTGTCGTAATAAATTAGGCAACTGCTTCATGTAACCAATACTCAGTAAAGATACACGTAGAGACTTGTTTTCGTTAAACTTTTTGGCAAATTGCCAGGATTCGTAAACTGCTCGCGTGAGTTTCAACACTTGTCGTTGAGGAATGTGCTTGAAGATATTTTCGTAGTCAAGCAACTCAGCAACAATACTGACCAACAAAAGCTGCAAAATGCATTTTCGAATCATGGACCGAAATTCGGTTTGTTTCTCTGCAACAAGATTTACAGAAGTCATGTTAGCATTATAACTTGTAGTTTGATATTGAGCTGAATTAGAACGAATAAAATTTTCATCGTCAACCCAAAAAGCTTCGTCTAACAATAGACTACGTGGAGTGGTTTCCTGAAAAAGTTCAACGAAGAGCTCAACAACAGAATCCCAGTCTTCTTCAGTAAATCTGCTTGCATTTTCAAGTAATACTTGCTGCATGCAGCTAGTACCTATCCGAGAAAGGCTGACATTATCACGGCAGACGCAATTGCTAAATAATCGGAAGTAACCTTTAAGTAGGGTATGCAGTTTTTCAAACCGACAAGAAATCAATGTAACAATATTCTTGAGAGCCTCTACAAGTGTAGTTGACTGCCAAGTACGAACTTCTTCATCACGAAGCAAGACGTCATCCGATTCTAAACTAAACGTGGAGAAAATTGGAAAAATAAACTTTCTTGAAACAATTTCCCAAGTCTGCTGATTAAAATCATCCGAATCTTCATGAAATATATAGAACATATAATGAAGAGCTCTAGAACGTACCTCCAAATCTTCAGCAGAGACAACCACATCGTAGTACGCAAATAAAATAGGGAAAGTGGATTTGGACACATCTTCCGGATTGGAGTTATTCTTGTCTTTAGCTTCCAGAATCATATTGTAATAGATTTTTTTTATGATATCCAAACTTTGCAGTGATATCTTTTGGTTGACACCATTCTTGCACAGTTCGGTAAATGAAACAAGCATGTCAATCAAACAACTTTGTTGAAGTATATAGTTGTAATGATGCTCAAAAATGTCTAAAAGCGTCTCAAAGGTTAATGAAAGTAAAGTATCATTTCGGGCTTTGGCAGAAAAAGTAAAAACACCAAAAAGTGTTTTCCATCCAGATTTTATACTGGATACCCTAGCTTGTATCATTTGCCGAATACACTGTAACACGAGCTCTTTAACATCAACCGGAGCATCTGATGACATGACATATTCATAAGGTTTGAGAAATTCTTTTTGAAATGAAAATAAAGAAAGTTCTTCAATTTGTAAGAAATGCATTGACAATTGTCGTAAAGAATCTAAAGCAAACACTGCAACGTGTTTATTCCCGCGAGTAGCAACCAAGTTGAAAAATTTTCCAAGTACGTTCCAAATGGAAGACCATTCTACTCTAATTCGTCCCATGTTGTAATAAGAAATTTCAACAAGCTTTTGTAAGCTAAACAGTCGAGGACTTTCTGATTCATTTGAGGAAGTTATTTCGTCCCAAGCAACTTCACACAATGCCTCAAAGAATGATTTTATAGCAACACCTGAAAGAGAAGAAGTCTGCGAAAAAATTTTGTCAATGGAAAGTACGGTTTCAGTAGACATTAGTTCGGATATAACATCAGATGGTAACTGTTTCAAACTTGATTTAGGAGTTTGGTTTTGAATAGTCCCGCTCACTTGACGCACTGGCTTTGTTGAGCTTGATGGACGCACTCTAGCGTTTATAACATCTGGAATCTCTGCTTCGTCAACCCCTTCACTGATTAATTGTACGCGTTCCAATTGACTGATACTGGTAAGGATGTCTTTCCAGGAAAACCTCAAGTTGTTGCCTTCGGCACAAGCAATTTTGAGCAATGTTTTAATTACCATCGTATTTTTCGGCTTTATATCGTAGGCAGAATGCAAATTCGTGAAATTTACCAGTGTCTTTATGAAAGCATCACGAACTAAATCAAGGCCGAAAAGACAGGCAATATGAATGACATATTGGAAGCCTTCCAAACACCACGATAACTCATACAAATGCTCAGACTCTTGTAGAGGGTTTGAAATGGCTGCTAAAATGGGCATCCAACCGGCTTCAAGCATTGGTCCAATATGCTCAAAATGTTTAGCGTTATAAAATACATTTTCCTTCTTTGGATTATGCTTTTGTTGCTTCATTAGTTTTTTAAGGACAGTGGTTGTCTTATTGGCCATCTCTTCTGAAGCCTGAAGATACGCTGTCCTCTGAAGCTCGCGGCCTGTCTGAGTGAAAGAGGCGGCAAAAAGACCTACATTGTTGTTTGAATTCATCAATGGTGCTATAGCAGCCATCTGTTGTTCATCTTTGAGGACGATTTCATTCGTCAATATATCTTCGTAAACAAAGCCAAGATAATCTTCGTCGAGATCGCCACCATTGTTAATTCCTCGATTGTTTTTAATGAAATCTTCTTTTGTCATCCTATTTTTTATCTGAGGTGAGTGTAAGTCCGTATTTAACATGATAATAGAATATGCCAATATGTAAGCGGTATCCGCGTTAGCAAAAGTTGACGGATTTTCTTTCATATAGCGCTCAGAAAATTTCAACATAATACGGTCAATTTTTTGCGCTTCACCTGGTAACCGGAAAGCCTGTAACAAACGACGTAAGGCGTCAACAAAGCGGTAGTTAGCAAAGCTAAAGCAGTCGACGAAATTATGCATCACGGAGATGTTATAATCCTCGCCAGCTCCCAAGTAATCACCAAGAGTAGTTTTGTTAAGACCTTCGGTGTTGAATAAAAATGTAGCAACCGAAGAAGAATCGTCAAGGTTGACGAATCCATTTTCAGATAAGAGTTTCACTCCCAAACTTGGTTTATAGTTAAACTTATTTATGCAATGCCGAAGCAACTTCTTCCTTTGTTTATTTAACTCAAATTCCGACGGATCAGCCAAAGCCAAAGAACTACTGCTACGAGAGTTAGCTTCAAGAGATGGTCGGCCGCTGTGCACTGGAAGCGTTTTTGGCGTATCTGAACGAGCTAAAGGATCATCTTCGGTACCTGCCACATTTTCATCCGTAGAAATGTTACCCCTAGCTAAATAGAATCCACTTTCAGCCCAACTCATTAAGGAATGTAAAACATCTATTACACATTCCAAAGATTTAAGCTTCAATTGATAATCACTGAAATTTGTTAATTGTACAACTTCTGAATTAAGGGAGCTAGAATTAGTCGTCAAAAAGGGAGTCGTACTTTTTTCCGAGCTTTCCATAGAAGGGAGCAAATCTTCGTATTGATATGTGCCGGGGTCTAAAGGAGTGATAGAATTAGTTTTTGATATAGAAAAGAGAAGCTGTTCAAAAACATTAGTAGTCGAATTTCGGTCGCAATCATAATTAATATATAGTTCAACCAGCGCCCTTGGATTCCGACAAATACGTTGGAAAATCAATAGGGTGTGAAGTTTTTGATTGTAGGAGGTATTTTTTAAATCCAATATAGGAAAATAAACCTCATGAAAGAAAACGGCAATTTCTTGTTTAAATTGTATACGCAATGAGGACACAATAAGCCAAAAAATATTGCAACAGATTTCAAAGACCTGGGGTATCGGGCTTACTGCATTGCGAGATAATACCAAACAGATATATTGACGAGATGCCTGGGCTAAAGTTAATCCTTCTAAAGCAGGCATGGTCTGGGGAGGAAAGGTCAATTCAGTGAACAAGTCACTGTTCTTGTCTAATACAGAATAAATAAGATGAAGGCTTATAAGCTTTGATCTCATGGCTTGAGATCGTATATTATCGACTTTATCGGATGAGCTATGGCGAACTGCAAGCCTGCAAAGGGTGCGGAATACTAGATAGGCATCCTGAAGAGATAAATGTTCAAGGCTAGTGGTAGTTTTGGAGTTTTCAACATCTATTTTAACATTATCCAACTTCGATGCACCATTTGAAGCCATTGATTGCAATGTTATTTTCTCTTCCGAATTGGGGAGATTTTCACGCAAAGAGTCAGTGCTGGCAATAGAGGCGTCATTCAATCCAAAGTTTCCAGATAAGCTGGATGGATGGTATGCGCGTAAACGTTCAAATACAATTCCAACGGCCTGCGTCAGAGAAGCTTGAGCTACAGACTGTATGGAATCATCATCGCCAAGAAGAAAAATATTATAAAGCTTGCGGATGGAGTTAAGAAGAATAGCTCCATGAAGTAACGCATTTTTTTCCGAGCAAAGGATGAAAGCGGAAAGAGCTTTGACGACATTAAGCTGTAGGGTTCCATCTACGACTTCATCGTTGATACAATCACATACCATATCAACAATGCATTGGAGCATTGATTTGGAAGAAGGATTTGAAGCTGAAATCTTTTTGTTTTCTGGAAAGTAAGCAAAAGAAGCTAGCTTTGATACAGTGTTTAAAGCAATATTTAAAACATCATCCTGCTCGATTTCAAAAGCATGTTGAAAAAAATCAATAAGAAGGGTTTTGTCGTAATCATCATCGGTTTGTAGACGAGGCTTTATATCGCCCATCACTTTACGCAGTGGATCAAATCTTGTGCAAGCTCTGATCTCCTGAAATTCATTGATACACTTGATGAGAACAAGACGAGCAGATCGTTCCCAATTTGAAGGAGGTTGAAAGTTATCAGAGCCCTTCTCGTCAGATACCTTTTGTGGTACTTCAGGCACTGAAACTTTTGAGTCCTCGTTTCCATTAGAATCTTGTAGATGGATTTCTTCTTGCCCCTGCTCTTGCTGCTCATCCACTACTTGGTTCAACGTAGCTGGTAATGACAAGTCGCCTTGACCAGGTGCCTGTCCATCTTCTTCGGCATTAATGGGTTCCAAAGCTTGGTTTGAAGACACTTGCGAATCATCTTTGGATTTCTGTTGCGACTGTGATACAGCATCTGGGTTCGAGTTCTCCGGTTCAATTGGATGCATGTTGCCTTCACTGGACGTCTTCTCATGGTTCGGTACAACAGATACCTCTGCCACACTCCCAGAATCATCCTGCATCTTTCTTAAAGCCAATTAATATGACTAAAAGAAAGTACGATAATTGGCGATGGTGGAAGTATAATGGATATGAATATGCCCCATCCCTTATTGACGCTCTCATGCACTATCTCTTATAAAGAGCTCCAAAGATATGCAAAGTTGTAAATGGTATAATGAAAATATGATATTAGTCCTTTTTAGTATGTATATATATAATACAAAAGAAAAAATTACTATATTATGTAAACAACAGTGCTTTAAAACAAAGAAGCTTTATATGAGGAACGTTATAATTGACTAAAATAAAAGAAATTTAGCTGGAGATACAAGTTCTGGGTTGAGAAGCTCAACTACATCGCGAGTACTTGAAGAAAGTATTTTATTAGAGCTAAACATATACAAACACAACTATTCTAACCAAATACTCATTTTCAGCCTTATTTGCATAGAACCCTGCTATTACATACTTTCAACAGTACATGAAATCGCAATAGCAATGGGGTAGCTGTTCTTACAGCATTTTAATTTTTAAATCAATTATGGGTCTTTAAAAAAATTGAAATACTATCACATCTATTCGTTAATGTTGTTTAGAGGTGTGGATCTGAAAAGTCAACAAAGCGAAGTCAGTAGCACTCATATCGAAATGATAATAATAGTGAGCTGTGCATATATGAGTAACTGCATTGAAATGTATTACCGTATTTTATATAAGAATGTTTATGATAGTACATATAAGCATTTATGATACTATAAAGCATAAGTTATACTATGATTACAACAGTTATAATAAACTATTCTAGAGCATATATTTGACTTTGTTTTATGATATACTTACTTGCGATAGTAAACGATTGTTATTGTTTATAATTCGTAAAAGCATATTTAGGAAGTTATAGAATGCCGATCCTACTAAACCTCTTTCAAAATGGATATGCTGTATTATTTACTCATCCTATATAACTATTAACTCAAACTCTAGTGTAGCAAATATTTCTAAGCCTTAGAAATTGGATAGGTTAGGTAATACTCTCTCTTTATCATTACTCATAAAAAGAATTACTTAGAGCATGTTCATTTTGCTAAATGAGAGGACACGAGAAATAAACATTGTTAAAGGTTTATATTTCGGAAACACTATATAGCTGCTATATATTTTGATAGAAGAAAATAGCATAAATCTGAAAGTCTTTTGTATTTAATTGGGAAACAAAATAAAAAATTGTAAAGTACTCCTTTCTACCTAGATAAATTATATACTTAACGAAATCCCAAAACCAACTTAACTTTTTTTTAGATTACCGTATTATGTCCCTCACTCTAATGTTTCAAATTGTCCATTCAAGTAGTCGACAAACATATCTTTTAGAAGGTTGGTATTATACGATTGTTGGCGGTTAATATGAACGAATTGACGGCGGAAACGTTGCAAAAGAGGGAGCGACACAGTAATACCTGGCATTTCAATATGAAGACGGCTTCCAGGGATCGGTAACGATGAAGATCCCTCCGTATTTTGATGATTGAGGATGAGCATGATAACGTCCTGCGTTACTTTGTCGAGTTCGTATAAATAATTTACTTCAGCAGGAGCTTTGGTCATGGTAGCCAAGTTTGGTTTCACAGACTTGTTGTGAATGAGCACTGACCAAATAGCATCAATGGGAGGCGTAGGATCGTCGTGAATAACTGTGAAGAGAGGTGAGTCCCATCGAGTCATGCCATTTGGTTCTTCATATCGAAAAATCAATCCGTCTAGGACGTCTTCGGGATATGGATTCTCCGACGTAGCATTAAGTTGTTTAGGTAGATCCTTGGGTACAGCAACATGTACCTAAATTCCTTGTCAGCTTCAAATAATAAACTATTAATGACATACCACACAGTGAGGTGTATACATGGATTTTGACTCGCAGAAAAGCTGATAACGAAATCCTTTGATATAGTTTAGAGCATCACAGAGAACAATAGTACTCTTGGAGAGTTCTCTTTGTACGGAAGAATACAACAGTCCACGAGCGGCTTTTTCTGTCTTTGATTCTGTGCAATTGTATCAGTTAGTCTAAAATGCATAAGCTTCCTTAATACAAGTCTCGCGGACTTAAGCATGACTGCATACCTCTGTAAACTTCTTTTTTGATCCCCAAAGACTCATCATTGATCAGAACTACACGGTAATCTTTCGTACCATCAACGTTGTTTTCTATGCGCTCTTCCAAAGCTTTTTGAAGTTGTTTGGCGCGCGTCGTCTTTCCCGAACAAGGATATCCAGAAAAAATGATTAACGGCATTTCTATTCAACTACAGTATAGAATGCACTTATAAACACAAGATAAACTTGCTTTGGTCTCAATTAAGATAAAAAATTACGAATGCAATATTACCACAATAAATTGCACACTAGGTTGCGCATAGAATTTCACGTTTTAACGAACCTGTGTTGGAGTACATTAGTAAACAAGACCGACACTAAAAAGGTGTACGTATCGCAAAAACTGAATGAAGGACATATTATTCTGTAACAAAAAAAACTCAAGCTTCATCAAAACAGTATTTTACTCATTTAAGAGGTTGTGAATCCTCATATCGTAAACCACTAGACCAGTTAATAAATTGTCAAGAAACAGAAAAGCAATTAACGTACCATCTTCAGCCCTTTTAAGTTGATATTTTAATCCATCAAAATGACGGCGCAAAGAGTCATTTTTTAAGGATAGCAATTGGAAGGACGAATGGACGTTTTCAATGGTTTGGAGCGACTTTAAAGGAACCTCTTTATTGCCATAAATCACAGCATTAACGGATAATCGGGCCTATAAGCTCATAATTAGATTATTTGAAAAAAATATAAAGAATAAATCATACCAATTCAGTACTTATTGATAACACCCCATGTAAATACTCCTCAATTGAGATGTGAAATTTAACTTCTTCAGGGTATACAGGAACTAAAGTCGCTTCGTTAGTTTTTTAAAAATACTTATAGTTACATACCGTTCAAAATTTGACCAACTTGCTCCAAAGTCAAAAGCTGATACTTCTTGTCTTCATGCCCTTGGAGAGCACCCCTCCAGGCAGCCAGTAAAGTCAAACATGCGACTTCTTGAATGGCCCTGTCCCAGACATTAACGTATTTGTAGTACGAATGTTCAGATGCCACCTTTGCCAATTCCTGTATTTTCACTTTTATAACCTCAATGCTTTTTGTAATGTCAATGGACGTTTCGTTATTCGCTAAAAACTCAATTAGTTTTGACTAAACATAGGAGTAATATAGTAAACTTCTTTCATACAAATCTCAAATTCTCCAAGTAAAAGACGTAATACCTTCGATTCTTGATCAATCGTTTCTACACGAGAGCTTAACTCCTAAAATATCTTGTTTAGTTACAGCCCGAAGGAAACGTATCCCATACGTCTCGTAAAGATGTCTCATGATCAATCTTTGCCTGTAATTCTCTGAAAATAGATTTATCCATAACGCTTGTTTTGCCTCAGTTTCGAAATTTAGCAGTGTGTGTGTTCCTAAATTATTAGTAACCAAGTACATTGTACTAGCGACAATATGATAATTGAACGAACTAGCTGGTGGTCAGATCAATTCTTGGTTATACCTATATAGCATGGTATGTAAATCAAGGAAATGTGTAAAAATTAAACTTAATCTGTATTAATCTGTAACTAATACTTACTCAATCTACTTAAACTTCAATAAATAAGCCAAGACATAAAAATTAAAACATATCTATATACTAAACAAGAAGTCCATGTGGCTTTCTAAAAAGTCAATCTATTTAGAATCTGAAAAGCTGATTGCACTTTGCTCACACATTTTTCGGAAAACACCACCCTTATTATATAATTCGCCAGGTGGTCCATATTCAACAAGCTCACCCTTGTCCATAACCATAACTTTATGATAATCAACAATAGTCTTCAAACGGTGGGCAATGCATAACATAGTCGCATCACCGAATGCGCTGCGCAAAGTTTTTTGGATCTGTTGATCTGTAGTATCATCTACGGATGCTGTACACTCGTCTAATATAATAATTTTTGAGCGTCGAACAATAGCTCTAGCGAGCGCTAAAACTTGCTTTTGACCTTGAGAGAAATTTGAGCCTTCCGATGATACCTGAGTATCTAAGTTTATATGAATTGGCTGTTGATCTTCTGTATAGGCAATAGCCATCTTATTCGCTCCGCTCGTTTGGAGTGCCTCGTTTAGTAAAGAGTCTTCAAGTTCATTAAAAGGATCCAAGTTGCTACGAACGGTTCCGGAAAACAAAATTGGGTCTTGAGGAATGAATGAAATCCGTTGACGTAAAGAACTCAAATTAACATCCTCAATCTCCAAATCATTAATACGTAAAGATCCTCCGACTCGATTTGTGAATCGTAAAAGAGTAAGTCCTAAGGTACTCTTACCACTGCCCGTTCGTCCGACAATTGCTACCTTCTCAGCGTGATGGATGTGAAGATTTAAATTCGAAATGACACTAGGACCATTTGGAGTGTAGCTTACGCTTACATTTTCAAATTTAATATCTCCCTCTTTAGGCCATGAAACGGGGACTTCACCCTCTTTTGTAGGAGCAGGTTCTTGCTCTAATCGAGTGTACTCCTTTACTCTTTCATAGCTGTTCATCTCAGCTTGGAGGTTATTGAAGGAACGGACAAAGTAAAGGACAGTTATACTAAACATCACAGACTGGTTTAGTGAAAATCCGACAAGACCAGGAGAAAGATGGCTCTGCTTTAAAGCAATCAATCCAGCTAAACCACCAACTAATCCACTAATGCCATCTGTTCTAATGGCGACCCATCTATTCAAATTATATGAAGCAGTTTGAAGACGCATAAGGTTATCAATCTTTTTGGAGAATTCACTTCTGAATATACCTTGCATGTTAAACGCACGAATTACTGCAAGTCCGGAAATACTCTCTCCAAGTAGGCCAAACATTGGAGAATTATAGACAGAGATTAATCGCTTAATACCAACTTGGGCTTTAGTATAAAGTATTCCAACGTAAAATCCAAGCGAACAGATGATTATAGCAGGAACCAAGAAAAGAGGCATAGCCGAAGAAACAGAAACTAAACCAGCGACAATAGAAAGGAAACATTCGATTGACCAGAAAAGCCAAGATGGCAGATTAAGATCCAAAGAGCGTATATCTTTAGCAAAGCGATTCACAATTCTTCCGGTAGGAGTCTTGTTGAACCATGAAGCATAGGTGCCAAATACATTCTCCAGCATCGAATTGTGAATATTTTTTGCAGCAATCAAAGATCCCTTGTCATACGTATATGTGCGCAGATAGTCAAGTACACAGTAAAGGACAAGCATTGTTCCATATACGAACAAGAACTTTGTATTACTCATATCAGGAGAGTCTATGGATTTGTTGGTCCAAAATGCCACCCACAAGTCAATAAGAATAGACAATGTCTGAGTAACAACTAGCAATAAAAGAATAATGCATACATAAGATCCGGAGCCAAATTGGCGGAAATATTCAAAAATAGTAGACATAGGTACGTCTCCCGTCGCTCTTTTTTCCTCTTCCACTAATTTACCTGATTGAGCTATTTGTTCAGCATCTACTGAGGAATCAAGTTGGGCCTCTGCATTTGGCATATTCGACTGAGTAGCAGACTCGGATGGATGACCAATTTCTTCAGCTAGTTGCAAGATGGGTGATGACTTATCCTTGATAGGGAAGGCAGATCCATTCTTAACGGTAACAATAAAGCTAGCAGCATCTAGGAAAAGATTCACACTATGCGTAACGAGAATGACAGTACGGTTTTGCATCAAAGGACCTTGGAAAAGATGACGGAAAATCCAGTTCGATGTGTGAATATCCAAAGCAGACATAACATCATCGATTAAAATAACAGAGGAAGGTGCATAGACAGCACGGGCAAGTGCAATACGTTGTTTTTGACCTCCAGACAAAGTAACACCCTTCTCACCAATTTCAGTTAAATCACCGGCAGGTAAATTCTCCAGATCGCTCTGCAAACCGCAGGCTTTCAAAACATCCTTGTAACGTGTTTCGTCAAAGACAGAGTTAAACAAAATATTATCTTTAATAGTAGCATTGCGTAGCCAAGCGACTTGAGACACGTATGATACACCCTTAGAACGAGGCAAAGAATAGGAGCCGCTGGTAAGACTTAATTCACCAAGTAAAGCTGAGATAAGTGAAGTTTTTCCAGAACCAGTAGGTCCTACGACAATTGATAGCTGGTTCTTTGGAAATTTAAAATTCAAGTCACGCAAGCGGAAATCTCCATCGACAGGGTTAGAGGGCCAGGTAAAAGTAGCATTGTCAAAACCAATATCTTCACTTTCTGAATCAGTATAGACAGCTGGATCAACTTCATTGGGGTCATTCAAGAAGTCAGAAATCCTACCAATGGAAACAAAAATCTGCACTAGTTGTCTCAAAAGATGAGAAATCCATGCAAACTGGTTACGGACTAAATTAAATAGTGAGATTGAAGTAAACGCAATGGAAGGTGTAATCTTTTGACACATTAAAGTAGTGAAAATGATAAAGGTCACAAACATGCTGAAGAAGGGTAAGGATTCAACCAAAACTTGAATTAAAATTTCCATTAAAAGCAATTTCCATGTTCGATGAATCTCGTAACGACGTTTTTCTTGGACGCGTTCAAGCATTGGGCGTTCCCAACCAAAAAATTTTGTTACACGAATACTTTGAAGAAGTTCCGACATCAATTCGATACGGGAATCGGTGGCTTTATTAGACATTAAAGTAAGCTTGGCCACGAAAGGACCCAACAAGATGGGAACGGAAGTTGTTAAGACGGCAAGGACTAGACCGACATAAGCACTCCAACCTAAAAGTTTTTGCAACAAATAAACAGAAATACCGATTTCAAATGGTGCTCTGACGGCAACGTGGATAAGTTCTCGAAGCTCACCGATATCATTAGCATCAGTGGATATGAGGTTATTCACGCGGCCTACTTTTGATTCCTCATTCTTGTTTTGAACAAAACGGAAATCGAGCACCTTTTTGTAAATTTGGTAGACAAGAACCGAGTAAGAACGGACGGTATAACGAGTGGATAAAAATAGGTAAGATTGGAAAGCCATGGAATTAATAAAAGGACCAACTAAAAGCAAAAAAATCCACACATAGGGGGACAAATAATCGGCCTTTGGATTTTCCAAATATTTAAGGAAGCGATTCATGGCTACAGGAGAAATAAATTGGGTAGCACTGATGAAGAAGCTTGCGGTGGCCATACCCAGCATTTGAAATGCAAAGATGAGATGCATGGTAACATACAAAGAAGGACGTTTAAGTCTTTCATACCTATCGGACCAAACTTTGTTTTTATCGTAATCCGGCAGATGAGGAGAATCGTCAAACTCGACAGTACGACGTGTAGCGATATTGATGAGTCTGTTCAACCAATGATAGCTGCAAATATAGCTAAAGTAAGTGCAGGTTTGTTCTTCAGAGGGTTGATCGTTCTCGTCAGGGAACAAGGGATACCAAACACGAGGTGTGAACCATGGAATGATATTAATGGCGACGGCGATCGCAAAATAAGTCCACAAAAACGGAGAGAAAATGGACATGGGAGGATGGTGGATTAGAAGAAAGGGAAAAACGTAAAAATCAAAGAACACGGGAAGGATGAAAAGATTCAACAATACGGAAGAATGATATAAAACAGGGCGGGCCCGGGGAGCAAGGATACGTAAAGAATGAAGAAGAAAAGAATGTATAGAAAAAGCAAGCAACCAATGGTTGACACTATGAGAGGTAAATCTCGTCGGGAACCGCTCTTCAGCGTACATGAATATGGTCAAACATAAGAAGAGAAAAGAAAGCATCCAAAGACAAAGTCCGTGGATACGTCGTAGACCAGAAAATTCAGCATGTACGGGACGCTTTACAAAAAAAGAATTGGAGAGCCATTGGCTAATTACGTAGAGATATGTACAAACAAGACCAGCGACCAAAAAGTACTTGTACTGGACCTGGGACAAAAGAGAATCCTCATGGTAATCGTGTGTACTTTCTTTTAGCATAAAAGAAAAGGTGTTTCCGAGTAGGGAGCGAACCTGATAAGGTAGTAATTGAAAGCTACTAGAGCCAAACATATGGGGAGAGGGTCGTGGAACATCCATAATTGGAAATCGGCGTTTTTTGATTTATTTTTCTTTGTAAGCGAGGTATAAACAAAAAAGATATAATCGGTTTAAGAACCCGAAAAGATGAAATTTGATATGGAAAAGGGTCTGATGAATTCGATCAGATTGAGTTTGAGTGAACTTTTTCCAATCGTTAAAGAAACTTTTTGATACAAGAAAAAAAAATAAACAAGAACGAAAAAAGAAGAGCTAATTGACTGACTGATTGGAAGACGAAAAGGGAAAAAGGGCAGAATGGCTCGAAAGAAGAGAGGTAAGATGTTTTGAGGAACAGTAGAGTAGCTCTTGAAAGCAGTAAATACAGTAGAACTGCAGTAATGTTTTGTATTCCTTCTGGAATTGACTTCTACTGATTGTTTTAAACGAAAGAGCAGAGAAGCAAAACCGTTCACCCTATTTTCTGGTGGAATGCAGTCGTGGAAAAGGGGAGCTAGCAGATGCCAAGATCACAGGAGGCTCTTTCTAGGGCGATGGAATATAATATCGTCTTAGAATTATACAAGGTAATGATAAAGTGGTGTTTTTGCGTGACGTTATCCATCTTGATATCTAAGAGAAGGCAAGGCTTATCAAGACTACATGTTACCTGCATAAAGAAAACACGATTCAAACGCTATTTACTAGAAAACAAACAAGCAAAACAGACAATTAAAATACAAATACAAAATTAAATAGAAATAGAAATAAAATCAAAACTAAAATAAACTAAACTAAAACTAAAACTAAAACTAAAAATAAAAATAAAAATAAAATAAAGCTCAGCATTGTACACCATGGGTGATGTGACACGTATTCTGAGAAGAGCGTAAAAAGAGATCAGCACGACATGATAAATTATTTGCAAGAGAATTCCTTTAAAAAAGAAAAAAAAAGAAAATTCAATTCAAAACATTGATTTTCATTTCGTTCCTGAGATCTCTTACCCATTGAGACTGCTAATTCTCCTTTTCTTTTCTTTGTTTACATCGATCTAGTCCTCAAGAAACTTCGCAATTGGGGGAGGGGGGACATGCTTGATAATACATCGATTGCTGTTAAAGATAGAGAATAACAATAAAACGTGCGCAGTTTATAATTTTTCGAATAGATCCTACCGATACCGCGATGTAAAAGCTGCGACAGGTGTAGAGATCTCTGTTGTGTAGTGAGTAGGGCAAAAAGTTGGTAAGAAGAATGTATGTTGAAAGGAGAGTTGATGGAAATGGAAATTGGTAATTGATAAAAGTTTTGTTTTTTGTTTTTTTGAATGTAAGAAACAAAAAGAAAGAACCCGTCAAGTGTCTTTTCTTTGTTTCGAGGGAATTCTACTTTGAAAGAAAGACATGAAATACTGTATGAATCTCTCTCTTCCTGGAGGCTTGTTGTTGATTCGCTTAAATGTCAAGATTGTAAACAAAAAGTGTTTTCTTTACTCAGCAAGCTATTAGATTTCGTTTTGTTTGATTTTATTAAAAAAATGCTGTAAAATAGAGATTATTACGTTCGAAAAGGAATTAGAATTAGAAAGAAGAAAAAGAAAATCCAATTTCCACACTGAACCTGTTTTTTTTTTTTTTTTTTTTTTTTTTTTTTTTTTTTTTTTTTTTTTTTTTTTTTTTTTTCTTCTTTTTTTTTGGCGATGAACCTGCTATTTCTCTGCTTTCTGTTGCATCATTTTCCTTTTCATCTGTTTCCTTCGTGCGTTCCACGTGCACAAAAAACTTTCGGTTCTAATGTCCCTAGTATGCTTCGGCAGCGACTACATAGAAAAATACTTGGTTTTATGACATGCATCACTTGGTATGGCATGGTATAAATGTTTACAAGTTGTAAGCGTAAATAGTAAACAAACGAGAAAGACAGAGAGACAGAGATGGCTTTCCTATACGATTCGTTTTGCATTTCTAATAAATTTTTCTTTTTGTTTTTCTTTTTATTTCTTTTTGTTTTTGTTTTTTGAATAGAAAAGAAAAGGAACAAAAAGAATTAGCCGTCATGAAATTTAAAAACTTTTGAATAACCTTTCACGATTCATCGCTCTTTTTTACTACTACTCCTCTCACTCAAGATTAAAATATAAAAAGACGACCTACACCTCTCTGTTTATTTCATTTCATTTTTCTTTCCCCTTTCTTACATTGCCAAAACACAAGACTCACTCCTCTCTTTGTTTACTAACGATATGCAAAAGGCCTCCTTATCCTTCCAACCCATTCATCAGGTGTAATAATATTTATTTTATTTTTTACTGGCAAAGAAGGTTGAAATTTCGACATTTCTTTCTTTCTACAAGCCGTGTAACACTTGACGATTTTCGAATTTTGAAGCAGATTTTCAAGCCTTGGATTGTGGAATTTATGTAGCATGCTTTTTAATTGAGCTTTATAAAGCCAAGGACTTTAGGACTGTGTGTAAACAAAAAAAAAAAGACTTTTTCTAAAAATAAAAAAAAAACACATTTTATTTATCAATTTCTTCCCTTGGTTGTCCTTCCAATGTCTGATGACCCAAAAACAAATTCCAATAAACACCAATTCTTGAACGAATTAGCAGACAAAGCCTCTGGACAAAATAATTTATCGAATAAGAAAAATAACCTTTTACGCAATGCTTCTCTTTCTCCCTCAGAATCCAACAAAATCGGTATGCCTTCGCCAGTAATTTGGGATGTCTAAACTAACAATCAAAAGATACCATAAAACATACACTCTCGGAATTGCCGAGAGAAGGAATACTTTTCGTTTACCGTTATATAGAAACTCTATTATTCAAAGACTTTACTGACGTATGCTGTGCATTAAATCTTCTTCCATGCCTTCGTTTCTAATTCGTATTCTAGTTCTTTCCCGAGGAAATCGTTTTACGCATCTTTACCTGTCTTGATCAAAATGATCTTTGCAAATGCAAGACCTTGTCCAAGAGATGGAAAAGGCTACTGGAAGACCCTAGTCTATGGAAAACCCTCTATCAACAAAAAGGTTGGCATTTGAACCCAGAGGTTTCACAAGAGTTTCAAGAGTGCATGCGCATGAAAACTTATTCTTTTTCTGAAGAGGGATTCATACGTATTGATCAACACTTTCTAGGTCCCAACGGGACTATCTTTCACGATCAACAGTGTGTATACGATTCGCAAAATCGTCCTCTTCTCAATTGGGCTCATATATACAAAGAACGTGCTCGTTTGGAATCGAATTGGCGCCACGGTAATTTTGTTCTATACCAACTGCAAGCCCCAACTCGACTAGGGAGGCTTTCTCGTATTTCAACGGACAGCGTATATTGTGTGCAGTACGATGATGATTACGTCGTTAGTGGATCAAAAGACAGATTGATTAGTGTCTGGGACATCCATACTGGTGCCTTGTTGTATACTCTTCACGGTCATTTGGGCAGTGTTTTGTGTTTGCAAATTGATCGACATCGCGACCTCATCGTCTCTGGCTCTTCCGACACTTCCATTTTGGTATGGAGTTGGCAAAGAAGATGTCCTATTAAATCTTTGACTGGACACACAGACAATGTTTTAGGTGTCATTGTTTCTGGTAAGTACATCGTCTCCTGTTCTCGTGATCATACAGCTCGTGTATGGAAGCTGGATACATTACCCGGAGAAAATCCCTGCATACATGTCTTGAGAGGACATCTTGCTTCTGTAAATTCCGTTCAATATGACGAGGCCTCCGGTGTTATCGTAACGGCCAGCGGTGATCGTACTCTAAGATTGTGGGACATTTATAGCGGACAGTGCTTAAAAGTTATATATGCACATCAGCGTGGCATTGCTTGTAGCCAGTATAACGGAAAGTATATAGTTTCAGGATCCTCGGATACAACAGTTCGTATCTTCGAAGCCGCGTCCGGAAAGCTACTTCGCATACTTCAGGGTCATGAGGATCTCATTAGAACTTTACAGTTTGACAATGAAAAAGTTGTTTCTGGTGGCTACGACGGGACCATACGGGTATGGAATTTTGAAACCGGTGAATTGTACTGCGTCCTACAAAATGACCGAAGATCCAGAGTTTTTGGCTTACAATGCGATCATCGGCGTATTATAGCATGCACTCATAATAGCGAGATTTTTGTTTGGAGGTTCGATTACGGGATTGACTGTACCTTTTTTTAATTCCCAAAATCGTAGACTTTTAGTATGGTTCTCATTTTTGGATTATTATGGTAATCTTCTTCTTCTTATATATTAAATTCTCATGTACAATAGATAATAATCTTTAATCATATTCCTCTCTTTCTTCAGACCTCTCATCACAACTTCAACCGCCTTCATTACTTATTGTGAGATAAGCTTTTACTTGAATCTTTAAGTGTAGTTCTTAGGTTTTCGTATAAATATTTAACTAAGTTCGAAGAGATTTACATATTTTTTCAAGTGTTTGCGGTACTTACATAGTAAGTTTCTTGTTGTGACAACTTAAAACGTCAGTTAACCAAATTCAGATGGAAGCTGTTAAAAGAAGAAAGTTGGAGTTAGAGAAAAGAATCTCAACTCAGAAAATTGGTGCATCAGACCAAAGTTCCGACAGGAATGAACCTACTGAACCAGGTGCTGCTAAGCATCGCATTGCTGAACTTAGAGAAAGAACCGCGAAAAGATTTGTACGTATAAACATTTAAATATTTTTCTAACTTTATATAGAATTCTTTTCAACCTCCCTCTGCTCCATCTCAACGAAATGAGGGTGACGTCGCAAGAGGAGGCTTAAGAGTTGGCATTCATCCTGCTCTATTGAACGACGGCATATATTCATTTAACGGAAAGCAAGAAAAACCTTCTCTACCTAAAAAAGAAGTACGGGAAAGCCCTAGTAACCTACCTCAAGAGAGTTCAATCGAAAGTAAGAAAAATCCACTTTTGGAAGATACCGATGCACCTAAAGTTGAAAGTCTCCCTTATTACGATCCAAGGACAAAAGAATCTAGGCGCACTCGAGCTCCAAGGATTCTATCTTTAAATGCTTCTGGTAAATATATCGAAGAAGCTGAACAATATAGACGTCAGTCTCAACTAGAAGAGCTAAAAAAACGTGTTGCTTTGCATTCCGAAAAGGCAGGAATAAATGATGAGCTTCTAGTGACAAGCAAATCTATACATCGGGTTGAACCTCCCAATGTTGAATGGTGGGATTTACCGTATGTTGCCAATGAAGCAACTTATGGCGATCAAGCTACGTGGAAAATATTTGAAAACAGTGATACTATAACGTCAAATATACAGCACCCAATCCCTGTTCTTCCACCGTATCTAAAAAATCAGCCATCTTCGAAATCGCTTTTCTTGACTAAAAAGGTATTTTATTTGTTTTTTATAATATATATACGAGAATTTCTGCTAATAATGTAGGAACAAAAGAAGATCCGGAGACAGACACGAGCGGAAGCTCGCAAAGAGAAACAAGATCGCCAGTTGCTAGGACTGGAACCTCCGGAACCTCCAAAGGTGAAGCTTTCAAATCTTATGAGTGTACTTGGTGACGCCGCTATCAAGGATCCAACAAAAATGGAAGCAGAGGTCAGAAAACAAGTTGAAGAGAGACGTCTTCGTCACGAACAGATGAATGAAGAACGAAAACTTACACCCGAAGAAAGAAGGGATAAAGCTCTAAAGAAGTTAGAAGAAGATGCTGCAAGCGGTTTGCAATGTCTTGTTTTTAAGTACGTACTTTGACGAAATAACTTAATTTCTGCTAACTCGCTTTAGAATTAAATATCTTGCACACAGACCCCATCGTTTGAAAATTGATCTAAATGCTAAACAACTAGGACTTACAGGAGCGTGTATACTGAATGACAAAATCAATTTGGTTGTTGTTGAGGGAGGAAGGAAAAATATCAAACATTTTAAAAAACTAATGATGAATCGTATAGACTGGACAGATACCTCAAGGAATTCCTTATTGGCGCAAGGAAACAAGCTTGCTGATACTAATGGGATCATCATACCTTATAATGAAAACACATGCGAATTGATCTGGGAGGGGGATCTCAGTAAACGAAATTTCTCATACTGGACGTTTCGAAAGTGTCCAACAGAAAATGAAGCTCGACTATCACTTAAACAACTAGGTAATACTGAACATTTTTGGGTCTTGGCTAATTCGTGGAAACGGGGAGAAGATTTCGATTAGTTTATTAGGTAATTAAATATATTGTATTTATTATTATTATTATTAGTCTATCCAAAAGATATTGTGTTTCCGTTAATCTTCATCACTTTCATTTTCATCTTCAGAGACTTCATGTCCCAGTTGTTTCAGAACTTTTTTATCCCTCGATCGCTTTGATTCCAACTCCTCAATGATAAGCAGCCAGTATTCTTCTGCCTCTTTGACCTTCTTTTCTAATTCTGTATTTTGTCTTTGTAACTCTGCTGTAGTTTGGTTATCCTTGGCTTCCAAATCGGTGACTTTCTTTCGTAATCCTTCACATGCGTTTTTCGATTTAAAATTCTCCTCTTCGAGAGTCTTATTTGTTTTCTGAAGCTTATCTAAATCGGACTTAAGTTTCTTAATCTCCTCTTTTTGAACATTTTGGGCTGACTGCGAAGCTGAACGAGAAGACTCTCCCTCAGTAATTTCATTTTTCAAGCGCTGAACTTCAGAAGTGGAGCTATCTAGCTCCTCTTGCAATTTCTTGGCTATTCCTTTTTCTTTCTTAAGTTCATTTTCTAAAGAGGAAATTTTCTTTTCACTTGCTTTCGAGCTTTGTGAGTTTGAATTCAACTTTTCTTGACAAGAATTGTATTTCTGCTTAGCAAGTTTCAACTCGTTGGATTGCTGCTTTAGAACATTCTGAGTATTTTTAAGTTCTTCCGTTAATGAACCCTTACTTTCACGCAATTCTTCCAATTCTTTTCTTATAGTAGAATTCTCCAAATCGAGTCCTTTAATCCGATTCTCATATGAGCTTTTTTCATCACTATGTTTAGATAAAAGATGGTCCTTCTTTTGTATCTGCTGAGCCAACGATTTTTCCAACTTTTGGGATTCGTTCAAAGAGCTTTTCATTGATGCCACGGTCTTGTTTAATCCCTGATTTTTCTCCGTGAGTTCATTCACTTTCTTTTCTAGCGAAGATTTTTCAGATTTCAGCGATTGAAGTTCGTTATTGGTCTTCTCCAAATCCTGTATTGTCGCATACAGGTCTTTATTTTTGATACTAATAACTTTAAATTGATCTTTAGTAGACTCCAAAAGCACACGAAGTCTTTCATTTTCTTCAGTAAAGTCCTTGATTTCTATATCATGACCTTCACGAAGCACTTTCATTTCCTCTTCCATACTGCTAGCATTGGACTTAGAATAATCTAATTCGATTTTGATATCATATAAGCTTTGTCGAAGAGAGCTCAATTCTTGACGAAACTCATCTGTAAGTACTTGAAGCTCATTTATAAAATTTTGTTTTTCTTCCAACTCACTCTTAAAGCCTCCTACCTCTTTCTCTTTATCGCTTGTAATGGTACTCAAAAACTGTTTAGTTTCTGCGAGTTCCTTTTCTACATTAATCAATTTTTGCTGAACTTCTTCATAAGCACTTAAGGTATTAATTCCATTAACATCGGTATTGTAAGCGACGGACGCATCATCAATGGAATGTTTCAAGCGATAAAAATTATCTTTGAAGAAATCGATGAACATTGTATCAAAAAGTAACGTATCAAGATCACCATCGGTGGTTTCGTTCAATGGAATATGGTTGCGAACTTGTTCATGCTGGCGTAGCCCATGAAGGCGGTTTAGAAAGACATCGCGAGTAACTGCTGAATTGATCGCTCCGTAAACACTGGATTTTGGCACCGACGAGTCAAGAGGGCAATAATAGTACACCAACGACAATAGGACGGCTATCATACCCTGAATTATGGAGCTCGCTGTCGAAGACTCGTCCAGTAGTGTCGTCAATAAGGTCTGTAGTACACTACTTTCAGATAAGAAGTCTTTTACGCAGTGAGCGTTATTGTCAACCAAAGTGATAAGTAAAGTCAGATATCCAACACAGTTATGAAGGGCATGATCATGTCTTAATGTTGCAATGAGCTTGGTGGAAATACATTGAATAAAAGTGACTTCTTCTTCATCTTCCTCATCAGCAGCAATGTCTTGATACAGTGGTATTGTACATAATTGCAATTTTCTCTCATCGCTGCCTGCTACCAAGTAGCTTAAAATAACGCTAATCAGCCAATGACTATATTGTTCGGTGTCCGCAAGTATGGAAATGTCGAGGTATTGGTCTAAAAGATTCATTCTTGAGGTACTTTTGTTCCGATAAGTATCTATAATCCTCTGTAAGAAGGTTTCAGCCAAATGGTCATTTGACTCAACTAACGCCCTCAGAAGGAAGACAACAGAATATCGATGCGAAGGAGAAATCACAGGAAGAAAGATTTGGTTTATGAGAGAAGATAAAATATCTGTTTCCCGATTGGTGAAATAAGGGTTCTTGACTAAAGCTACCTGACAGTCGCTATTTCCGTATACTAAATGGGCAAGGGTAATCCATATGATTTTTGGGATATCCAAATGTAACAAATCTTCATTAGTTGCCAACTGAAGGAGGAAATCGTAAGAACTGCTTTTCATAATAGCGTTTTGATTAGCTTTTCCAGACGAAAGACCAATAGGCGTCAAAGACTGTAAGACATGTAGAACGAGCTTAATACAACGAATACGAAGAGAATCCCAATTTGCGTCTATAATTATATTTGGATCTATTAGACTTATGATACCAGGTATTTGATTGGATTCTCGAAAGAAATGTTGGTTGGTGATATTGTCTTTCAAAAGAATGTCTAAAAAGACAAGTGCATCTGCAGAAATTAGTCCACCGTCGATTCCACCCTCAATATCCAAAATAGATAATATAGAATCAAATGCATTCTCAAAAACAACAAGTTTCTGTAGGCTAGCACAATCCATGGTCAGGTCTTTCAAAAAATATAAAGCGGCATTTCGAATCGGCTCTCTAGTATCTCTTAACGGAGTCATAATATTTGAGATTGCTGAAGGGAAACTTTGAATGCAATCCTTCAACTCGGCAGGTCTACAAGCCAAGATAGATGAAAAGAGTTCGATAGAATATAACTGGACGTAAAAATCAGAGTGTAGAACACTATTTAGTAGACACTGAATGTTATCATGATTTAAAATAAATTGATCAGAGACCCATAAAACTGTGTCACTAGAGGGAGTTTCATCTGTAGATTTTGTCAGTACTAAACATGTTTCCAAAGCCACCCTTAATAGCTCTGGATCTTCTGAATCGCGGTGTAAAGATCGAATAATCCCTTTAAGACCATGGGCAGCGACCAACTAAATCAATAATATGTTAGTTCTGTCTACTACGTATGTAAATTTCTATAGCCTACTTCCTTAAACTCCCGTGCAAAGCTCTTTATACCAAGAGCAGCAGCTTTTCTATCTTCAAAGAGAGTCGCATGTTCCAGTCGATCGCAAAGAGTAGAAATTGCTCCATCTGCCTGTTGAACTTTCGGAGGCGCCAATATTACATTGTAACCTTTTTGAAGAATGTCCATGAATAAAATTCAGTAAGATTTCTATTTTTGCCTATTTGAATTATTTTTTGATCTTTTTTTGAGGTTTAAAAGACAAGTTGAGTAGGTAGTGTTAGGCAGGAGCAAGATTGAACTTACTCAAGGCTGTAAACAAACTGCCTTTCCAAAGGCACAAAAAAAAAGAATATAGCGAATATTCCTTTTTTTTCAAATTTTTATCCTTTTTTATTCCACATATTTAAATTAGAATAAGATAACGCCGACGGATTTAATGCATTTGGAAATTCTGTCAGCTTTGACTATCGTGGAAATTCCTTAATAAAAAAGGATAAAATACGTGCATAACTTCGATATATTCAAGTTTAATCTAAGCTTTTTAGAAATATTGACTATTAGACAGTCATTATCATCTTAACATACACGTCGACTCTGTATAGCGACTGATCCGGTGATTTTTTGGTATTCATGACTAGAAAGGAGCAGTTAGACGCATCTTTACGGCGTACTTTATCGGAAACAGTTGCGCATATCCCTTTGGAAAAGTTTGCGCAATGCTTTCCAACATTCAAAAAGGGCAAAGCAATTGCAGCAATGCATCAGCAACTTGTCAGCTTCTTTGAGGATACGTGTAAGGTATGTATACTAGTTGTTGAAGGGGGATTACTGACTATTTTACCTAGCAAGAATACGCTAAGTTGATTGAGGAACGAGGATTGAATCAAAAACTTGACTTTCTGGATGAATGTATAAAGGAAGCTATGGAACGGAAAGAGTCTGGAGAGCCACCAATTGAGTAAGAAGTCTCTTATATAATTACAATTTCTAATCCTTAATAGTATTGAAAGCAAACAGCCTCAAGAAATTCTTAAGGCTCACCTCTATACGCACAAGCAAAACCTAAAAAACAAATTACAGGAAGATATTAACGAGTTGGAGCTTGAAAATCAAAGTCTGTCTGGAAAAATCAAAGAGGATGAGCGTAAAACGCAAGAATATGTGCATGAAGCTCAGCAGATTCTTTTACAATTGGAAACTACGGTGAAAAACATGGATGACAGGGGTATTTCAAAAAATGTGCTCACAAATTTGGAGTCTCTTTTGTCATTTATTTATAAGCCAGATGAATTACAGGCGACAGATGAAAAAACTACTAGTTGAACCAAAACGTTGGACATTTACTTATCTCTTTTAAATTCCCCAATCTTATTGATTTGATAATGAGTGTAACGGCGTTTGTCCTTTTCACAGAGCGTTCAACCTCATTCTCATAGCAATGATTATGATGTCCCTGTGTGTTACCGAAATCCATACTAATTAATTTAAGCGAATGGATTCCAGCGAAGGAAGTCTAGGTAAGGTTAGTATAAATGTCGTTTGCCAAAATAACTTTGCGAACTTACGAGAACTACAGCGATATCCGTCAGGGTTCTTGTCGAGGTATTGTTGATGATATTCTTCAGCATCCCACCACTTCCCTGAAGGAACAATTTGGGTTACAATTTTCTTTTCAGGAAAATGCTTCTCTTGCACCTCATTCAACACCTTCTTTGCGACGCCTTCTTGTTCAGGAGCAGTAGTAAAAATCACAGAGCGGTACTGGGTTCCAACATCATTGCCTTGTCTATCAACGGTAGTTGGGTCGTGCATGGCGAAGAAAAACTCAACGATTTTCTCGTAGGAGGTCAAGTTCTCATCAAAATCAACCTTCAGTGCTTCAGCATGGCCAGTGCTATTTGTGCAAACTTGTTTATATGTAGGATGATCAGTCATGCCTCCAATATATCCGACAGAAGTTTTCAGAATGGCAGCTGCAGGTACATACTTTCTCAAAAACACTTCTTGAACACCCCAAAAGCATCCTGCGGCAAAAATTGCGGTCTTCATTTTTATTTAACCTGTTATTTCTTGTGTTATTATATATGTAATAGTATGCTAAATATAAGGAAGTTTATAAGTAGAAGGGTGGAAGTGAATGTTGGTGACCGCCAATACCTATTGGGTATGATGATGAATTGATTATTAATAGTGAAAAATACGATGGTCTCGTACTGTATAAATAAAAAGCCATTAATTCAAGTTTTGTAGAGTATATAAATAGTAATAGTCTGTTTTATGATCATTGAAACAATATAAAACTAGTCTGGGTTAAGTAAAACTAAAGAAAGTATGGATTCTAATGTTGTAGATATACACAAAATTGAAAAAATTTTACCACAAAAATTGAAACTGAACAAATAATAGAGCGATTATTTTTTACCTTGTTGAGTTTTTTCTATATAGGCCAAGTACTCTTTATGCAGTTTCTCTTGGGCACTGTATTCCTTTTGTAGTTTCTTCTTTCGGCTCTTAGGCACTTCAGCTTCAGAACCGTCTTCTGCGCGGATTTTGGTGGGGAAGCCACTTTCGTCAAAGGACAAAAATTCCTCGAATAATTTGAACATTTCAGAGGGAGAAACTTTGCCTTTCATAATGCGCTCAACATATTTTTTTTCTTGGTCGGCTTTCGCCTTCATCTTCTTTGCCTCCTTTTCTTGCTCTTCAGCTATTTTCTGGTCGCGTGCTTGAATCAATTCTTGAGGGTCTACAAGCTTAATCAAGGCTGGTCCTTGTTGGCGATCATTCAAACTAACACCAAGTTCAGCCATATCATAGTCCCTGAAAGCATCACAAGCTTGTAATATCTCTTGGATAGGTGCCTTGGCTATGGAAAGTTCACGAATTCGATCACGGAAAGTAGAAACTGCTCGTATGTATGGCATGGTATCGTTGGAACTAAAAGCGGAAGCAGAAGATTTGGACGACCATCCGATGGCATTGGGATGACCTTCATCATCCAAACCAAAGATTTGCAGTAATTTAGTAACCCATACGGCAATTTCGCTAAGTAAGCGAGTGCAAGGCTTTTGGCCAACCTCTCGGATATAGATGTTCGATTTGCCAACTAGACTATCAATATGGAACATGACCAAAGGAGTGTTAAAGTTATCGCACAAAGCGGAATGAACATTACTCTGAGCGGTTTGCAAATCCTTCAAGAGTTGCATTTCAAGTCCTCCATATTTTTCAGTAACGTGACCTCCTTGTTGGCTTACACCTTGAGCTTCGAAATTCAGAGCTCTGACAGTTTGGAAGAAGTTTTCCAATGTTTGTTCTACGTTCAGTACGTGAGCCAAAAGAGCATCCTTAAAATCAAGTTGAGAGTTCCATTGTTGCAACAAAAAGCTAAGTCGTAGTTGTCTGGGAGAGAATTTTTTCAAAATCTCCTTGATAGTAATAAAGTTTTTAAGAGATTTTGACATCTTTTGGCCTTCAATGTGAAGATGACCAGTATGTAAAAAGTAATTAATCCATTGTGGGCAATCATGATATGCTTCACTTTGGGCTAACTCATTATCATGGTGCGGAAAAGCCAAATCGACACCACCGGAATGGATATCCACGTTGGAGCCTAACACAGCGCTAGCCATTACAGAACATTCAATATGCCAACCTGGGCGACCTTTCGACCAAGGACTATCCCAAGAAGGCTCACCTGGTTTACTAGACTTCCAAAGAGCAAAATCTCCTGGACGCTTCTTATCAGTTAAAGCAGCAAGAGAGCCTTCACCCTCAGCAATCAAGTCACGGTTTCCCTTGTTCCAGGGTTCAAGCTTCGCATAAAAATGACCAGCTTTAGAAAAAGCTTCCGTGTCAAAATAAACACTTCCATCAGTAACGGGATAAGCATAACCACGGTCAATAATTTTTTGAACGTAATCAACAATTTCAGGCACAAACTCTGAAACACGAGTCACGGTCGTGGGAGGTAATACGTTCAAAGCACGCATATCTTGATTGTAGTCATTTTCCCAGTAAGCAGATAGTTTACGGAAAATAGCAGGATCCGTAACAGTACTTCCAAGTTCAGAGTCAAGGACAGGGACAAGTACCTCTTGAACCTTAGTCCAGAAAAGTTCAGCATCTTCGAGCTTTGCTTCCTCGGCAAGTTTAATTGCCTCCATACCTTGATTAAGAGAATCAACATACAGGGGAACCTTAGGAGCCGCAAGAGCCAATGTGGTAACGTCGTTTGCTGCTAACCATTTAGGCCATTCTTCCATGGATTGGGGAGGTTCAGGTAGGTTTTTTTTTGCATAAGTTAACCATGCGTCTGAAACTTTAGCTTTAACATCTGTGGAAGCAAAGTTATGCTCGTTTTGCTTTTTGTATTGCTCAAAAAGATGTTGATGACGGGCTCGAAGAATAATTTTGTCATCAATGTCAGTTACATTTTGAACAAAAGTAACGTTATAACCAAAATAAGATTGTAAAATTCTTCGCAAAATGTCGGTGGTCACATAATTACGAGCATGTCCCATATGACTGGCATCGTACACGGTTGGACCACAGCAATACCAAGTGACCATAGATCCATTGGTCTCGAAAGGAACCTTGGAATGGGTGATGGTATTGAAAACGTTCAGTTTCGTGTTATGTCCAGTAGGAGCAAACCATGGCGACTGTTGCGATTTTTCAGAGGACATGAATGGTTTTGAGTAAAAAGAACGCGTTCTGATAGAATTTCGAAAGGAAAAACCCCGAACTAACTTGACGCCAATCACTGTTACGTTTTTGCAAAACGTTTTGGAAAAAATGTTGACTACCCTCGGTTGCAAAGAAGGTGGAGTGAGCGAACAGATATCTAAGGTCTGCTCTTACCAACACATAAGCATATAAAACCCTATATGCTTACACAAAGAGATCTTCTATTTTAGGGAGGATATGCTTATATTTGTATAAGGAGCCCTTTCTTAAGTAACACTGGTAAACAAACAAACAAACACTTAAAAAATAAAATGGGAGATCCTGACTGCCTTTAACCAAACAAAAACAACTTGAGAGTACCTTTGCATCCATCAAATAAACTCTTCGCATTATGTACTCTTTACCATACACTATCGCCATGGAAATTATTGTCAACTCTGACATGGAAACTTTCACATAAACAACCAGCAATTTTACAAAGCTTTGTACTGAATTTGAGTAAGAACGAATATTTCTTCAGTCGCTCTCCGCTTGATTTAATAAGTTTCTACACACATACAATATTAAACTGTTTATTAACTCTTGAAATGCTAGATTATCATCGTTTTTTCATAGGCTACCGCGTTATACTACGGTAACGCTAAAACACTTAGTGATATTTATCGCAGACTCATTAGGACTGTTCAAGCCGCATTACATAATCGTTTCTTTCTTCTGCAGGAGAGCTCAAGGCCACAGTGTCATGCAGCCGCCAGCAACCAACAACACCTAAAAAAATGAGCATTTTAGAAGGGAACACACCCTGAAATTTGTGGAGCTTTCTCAAACGGATTCATATTCAAAGTCTACCTCGTATCTCCTGTAGTTCTTTTTGAAAAAACATAGAAAATGGACTCTATCCAAGAAACTCAAACTTCATAACTAAAAATATACAAATGCGAAGAAAATAATGTATAAAAACGAGTGCTTAAATCTGATTCGCAAATTTTGTATAGTTATCTGCCACTGAACACGATTGTTACATACATAGAAACCCTAACCCTGGAAAATTCTGGTTTATATAAATGGGACGGCCTCCCCTTACCGCTAGGGTTTCCAGTAGGGTGGGATAACGCAAACCAGTGAGTAATATTATAGATTGTTAGATCAATTTTGTGCGAAGAAAATGGATTTTGCTTTACCCACCACGGCCTCCCAAGCGAGTGCTTTTATGAACAATTCTTCTTTAGCGTTCCCTGTTTTACCAGCAAATAACAACAACGAGACGGTTGATGACACGGCGGATTCCGGTGAGGCAGAAGTAGCGAAGACTGAAGGTGTTTCAGGAATTGTTCCAACACTTCAGAACATTGTTGCTACTGTTAACTTAGAGTAAGTCGTGCCTTCTTGGATAGGGAACTGGCCCACCATTAGTCTCGTAGTTGCGGGAGTTTTTTTAAGACGACCTGTGTTTCCAATGCTAGGGACATAAGAGATGTTTCAGAAATGGAAAGACATAGATGGTTGTCTTATTAGATATTTCTTGCAGCGATGACTGATGACGATGGTGGGTCACTGTTGCAACAGTTCCATGAGCGTTTTGATAGACAATCTAATTATGATTTACTAATACTTATACTATAGCTGTCGTCTTGATCTCAAAACTATTGCCCTTCATGCACGTAATGCAGAATATAATCCCAAGCGTTTTGCAGCTGTCATTATGCGTATTCGTGAACCCAAATCTACTGCTTTGATCTTTGCTTCCGGTAAAATGGTTGTTCTGGGTGGTAAGTCCGAAGATGATTCCAAGTTGGCATCTCGGAAGTACGCTCGTATCATTCAGAAGCTTGGGTTCAACGCAAAGTTTACCGACTTTAAGATTCAAAATATTGTCGGTAGTTGTGATGTGAAGTTTCCAATCCGCTTAGAAGGCTTGGCTTATTCTCACGGAACTTTCTCATCCGTATGTAGTCTTAGTTGTCATTTTGCAGCCAGACCGTACTAACAATTGTAAACAGTATGAGCCTGAATTATTTCCGGGTCTGATTTATCGTATGGTTAAACCCAAGGTGGTTTTACTGATTTTCGTATCTGGTAAAATCGTCCTGACGGGTGCCAAGGTGCGAGAAGAAATTTACCAAGCTTTTGAGGCTATCTATCCTGTACTCTCGGAATTCCGCAAACATTGAAACCGATGACGAGTATTTAATATTTAAGAAAAGTGTTGCCAGAAATCCATCCTTTGGAATGACACTATGTTAATTTCATTGGTTGTTATGAAGTATTTGTGGATTCGCGCATGGCAAAAAAAAAAGACTGAAATCTGCATGCCGCTAGTCGTCTATGATTATATCTAATGACTGGCTATTGTGATTTTAAGCAAAATGTTTTTCAAAAAGTCTATCTCGTTTCCAGACGGTGTATGCGATGGTAACTATTGAAAATGTGCTTGAAGATATCTCTTAGTCTTTTTTTCGGTGAATGAGTTTACACCGTTTTTCCAGACTCTTGTAAACAAGAAAGAAGGGATTGGTTCGTTAAGGGCAAACCTGATAAATCTTGAAAAAAAAAACATCTTACCGATGATATTGTTAAATTTTAAACATTTTTGGCAGCACATAGCGATTAGCTGCGTTTTGATGATGATTATGATACGCAAGTATATACATTTCTGCCCTTGTGGCAAACGGATCTTTGTGGGTTCTCTATTAATTTACTGAGACTGAAGAAGTCAAGGGCGAAGGACATTATGGTATCGAGACTATTGCTTCCAAGCTCATCTTTAATGTGCGCAGATTTTTAGCAGGAGGTAATTTCTTTAGGGTTATTACCAAATGTCTATGCAACTTGACTTGAGACAGACAGACATCTTGCTGCAAGTGTTGTTCTGCTTGTTGCTTTGTAAGGTTCCTATTGATGATTCTTGTAATAGTAAATAATAGTTAAATAATGAAATAAAAAAAGGAAATAGTGAATAATTAATACAATTATTGGAAATTTGAAGGAGTTGTCTGTGAAGCAGTCAGTATATAGTTTTATAAATGTAAGCTGTTATAAAATTTAGTACATAGCATAGTCAAGACATACACCGTTAAACTAGTTATACAATTGAAATAATCTTATATCAATGACTGTTAGCAGGGGGTAGTAAATCTTAAGTTAAGAAAGAATTTGTTACAGAAACTTAGGATTATTAATTTTGACACCATTCCGAATCTAACTAGGAAACTTACTAATATATCTTCTTTTACTAGTCTATAAAGTAACTGAAACACGTTTTATTAAGCTACATAAGCGAACAAATTTTATATTCCACAATCCTTTCAGATTTAACGGAGAAATTTACGAAGATAGTAAAACAAAGCAAAGTGTAATAGTGAGTACGAACCATTACGCAAATTGTCGTCCAGGAATGATATGCTTCATGAGGTGAAGTTCGTTCATAAGTTCTAAGTACTCCAACAATTGGGACTTATCTAAATGTATAAGTGAGAATTCCTAGAATCTTACTTCGCGATTAATTAATTTTTTTTACGAACTGAAGGTTTGATGGCGTTTGAGCCGGATTCTGCTATTTCTGCAGGGAATGAACTAGAAGAGCATTTAAATTATTTGCTATATTCTCCAGAAAAAGATGTACTGAAAAGAGAACATCTAGTAGTTGGGAACTATTCGGAGCAAGGGGAACCATGGGCAAAGAAACTTAAAGGTGAGGATTCTACAGCATGGCCTTCTGATCACACTGAACACCATGTCCGAGAAGTAGATATAGAGGAACAGGATCCAAAGAAGAGTGTTTCAGATGTATTGAATTCGTCTTACAAAAGAGGAGCTGACGAACCATTACTATCTGAAGTTGCATCTAGTTGGTATATGAGAAAAACGTCTGAAACTAGTTCGCATACAGAGAAAATTGAGAAAGCTATAGCTGACTTGTTAGAAGGCGAAGACCAAGAGACTTCTTTGCAACAAGTGGCAATACAGCTTGCTACCTCAAAGTACGAAAAATACCATGTTCTATTCCCTGAAGAAGCTTTACGGGATCCATCAGAACTATGTGATTTGTTGAAGAAAGTTTTAGTAAATTCTGTCCAAAGTTCCATGGAGTCGGGAAGTCAACCCTTTTTTCAGTTACGACAAGCCATCAATGGCAATCTTATTGTGAGCACTATTCAGACGACTCCTCTGTATTCGCAGAATATATTGGACTCTTCACCTGCTTTGCATGAGGAAGCCTCCATTCTGTCAAACAGTGTGCCTGTTCCAGAGTCAGCGTCTTTGGAAGGTCCTTTCCAATGGATCCGGAACAATGAGCAAACAAAACTGAACGGTTTCACTGCGGAAGAAGACGATGACTTGATCGAAAATCCTCTCGGAGTAATAGAAGAAGAATCACATACTTCTGAAAATCCCAATGTTAACACAAATATCAAAACGGATAATGACACAATTCCTTTTTACGCCGAAGATGAAAACTGGAGGAATAAGTTCTTAGCTGCATATTCAGGTGAGGATAGTTTACCTTCCATTGAAGATATTCCTCCTAGTTCTGAGTCACTACCTCCGCTTTTTGAATGATACTGTTTCGACTGATGTAGGTCATTTATTTTGTAATTAAATGGCAGGATTTTGAGTTATTTACAATTGGACTCATCGTCTATATGGAGTTGCTATCTCTCAGTTTACTTTCTATTTATTTTATAACCGGTTACACACGAAGCTTTCTACTATATTAGTTTTAACTAGACACAAACAACGTCATTTCTTACGGTAATAGGAAAAATATGGATCTACATAATTTTGTAGAACGTAAAAATTAATATTATTAAATGACTTTTGTTTCACCAATACAAGAAACAAACTGAATCCTTGCATTAGTTTAAAACCAACATAATTTAACAACCAAAACAAGGGAATAACAAACAACATAACAAATATCAAGGAGGTCAATCAATATCATCCTTTATTTACCCATGTGTATTGCCTGCGCGTGGAGCATCTGTTGTCAAACTATTTGGAGTAAAAGCGCCCAGCGCTGAACTCCATGGGCCACTAGAGAGCGGATTGTAAAACGAGGTATTGTTAGGTGAATTCCAGGTTGAATAATTCAAAGACTTTACATATCCTTGGCTTCCTCGTCTGGTCAATCCGTCATAGGACGCACCCAGCGCCGGGTTTTGAGATAAAACTGTATCAGAATTTTCATCTAACAATGCACGACTACCCATTCTTTCTTCCTTAAGTGTCTTCTTCATTAATAGCGAGTTGCTTTGACTCGGCCGCCGAATAGGCGTGGGTTTGGTACGCATGGGGGTCGGAGATCCTAATCCTAAGGCTTCTGTTCCGAAAGATCCCATCAATGTTTCTTTCGATGTAGCCATGTCCATGTTAGATGCATGGTCTCCTGGCACACTGTTCAGCTCTGGTGGATTGTGTTGAGCGTTTGAAACCAAATTCAACCTTGATAACAATGGTGGAGTATTGCTTGTAGAAAGCTTCCTACTTAAAGGGGATATAGAGTTTGGAAAACCAGAATAATGCATAGAAGCCTGTCTGCCTAGCGAATTACGAGTGCCGGGGCCCAAACCAAAAGAACCGTGATTATTTAAATTATTTAAAAGAGAGACAGGAGAGTATAGACCATTAGAATTACGGCCGGGATTCAGCAAATTCGGATTACCGGTACTAAATTGCCTTGATCTTCCGTTATTATCTATACAAAGAGAGCTATTAGGTATATTAAGCGGAGAAGAATAAGAAGAAGAGGATACAAAACTTGGGGAAGGTGTCAATCTTTCTGGAAGCAAAGAAGGGTTCTGATATGTCGGATTAGGCTGAGGCGTTCCAAAAGGAAGAGTATTCATTTGTCTTAATTGTGTTGGGTGTAAGTTTGGCGTAGTAGATGAAGCACCGGAAGGGGAAAGGTGTGGCTCTTTTTGCGTATAAGCATTCGGTAAGTTTTGAGGAAGAAAAGAAGGCTGACTAGCAATGTTGATGACATCTTCTTTTGAAGGTGCGAAAAATGCAGCTATTTTAGCTTCACGTAATCTCTGCTCCGCTTCTTCTAACTCCTTCGCACGTGCAATCGATAGACGTTCCTGCTCTTCTTTGCTTCGCCGTCTTTCTTCTTCTTCAAGTTCTTTTTTACGAAGTTTTTCTTCCTCTAATTTTTGCAAATGCAACTGCTGTTCCCGTAAAGCGTTCTGCCTTTCCTCTTCTTGCTGCTTTTTTAATTTTTTCTCCTGCTCTTTCTGTTTCTGACGTTCTTCTGCTTCAATTCTCCGTCTCTCCTCTTTTCTCTGCCGTTCCAACTCTTGCAGCCGTTTCTTTTCTTCCTTCTTCAAACGCTGTTCTTCCTTTCGTTTGCGAGCTTCTTCAGCCTTTTTAGCTTCCGCGGCCTTCTGAGCAGTCTCTTCAGCTAATCGTTCAGCTTCACGTTTTTGCCGTTCTTCTTCTTTGGCAAGTTTCTGCTGTTTCTTTTTGTCCCTCTTTCTCTCTTTTTCCTTTAATTTCCTAAGCTCTCGTTCTTGTTTCCGTCGATTTTCTTCCTCTATTTCTTCAAGAAGTTTTGCCTGCCGTTGTTGAGCAACCCTTTCCCGATAAGCTTGTAACACTCTCTGCTCAAAAAGTCTAGCAGCGAAAATTTGAAACATTCTCCTTCCTTCTTCCATCCTCTGTTCATCGGTCATCAGGTCAAGTTCATCTTCATCTTCCTCCTCTATATCTTCATCCTCTTCCTCTTCGTTTTCATCGTACTCTATAGCGTTATCATATAGTTCCGGCTCATGGAAGGTACTATTATCCTCACGTTGCATACGACGTTCGGCTAATTGCTCCATCATTTCAATGAACTTTTTGCCATCGTTTTTTAACAAATCGTCAGCAACGGTCAAAATACCACCCTTAACAGTAAGACTACTTCCGAAATTATATAAATCTGCATGATAGCTATTTTTTTCATGATATCGAGAAGGATCCATAGGTGTATAAGGGAGTTTTTCTACCTGGTTTGCATCAACATCTATTGAATCAAATTGTTCAGTAAAAGCAGAAACCCTTCTACCGATGGAGAGTTCTTGACCATCTTTTGTAGAGGCATTGGTTTGGTGAGAACTGTCTTCCTCTATATTTCCCTCCGGGGTTTCCGATTCTATTTGGAAACCAGCATCTTTTTCTGATTCTCCGTTGTCAATAACTTCATTTATTTCAACGTTGGGCGGAGATGCTATAGGGGAGGTAATCTCATCGAGTGCTTTAGAATTTTGCATCAAAGCACGATTACGTTGAATATTTGCATATTGCTCCAATTCCTCATAGTAAGCATCATACAATACCTCCAGTTCTTCCTCTATTGCAAGACGTTTTCTGCCACATACAGAGCAAGAACAAGAATACTTTTGTTGCTCTTTCATTTTTTGCAAAACAGCTTCCTTCTCTACTTTAACAAGTGATCTCCTTTCAATTTCACTAAGAGACAACCAAAATTCACGAATTTGTTCACGTTCTTCGGTATTAGAGGCTGCCCAAATCTTATCTTTGGATTTACCAAATTCAGTATTTGAAAAAGATGAAAACGAATGCTGATCTGTATTGTCATAGCAAGATTGGTCCTGACTAGGTAAATCATCCTGCACATTTGCCTGTGAATCAATGGACTCAGTCGTAACCGGATTCGCGTTTTTAGATTTCTTCTTCTTCTTTTTTTTCTTTTTTGAAGATGTGGATGTAGGGAGAGGCATGATAGGTTCTATCGGAGGAAAGGGTGACAGGTTATTTTGTACAGAATTTGCGGACATATTGGAAGACGAAGCAGCTTCCTCTAAAGTTGGAAAATGGATGGGAAATTCTGCCTCATCAACTATATGAGAAGAAGAAATAATACATTCATCAGAAGGTTCAGCGGCTGCATTTGACTCCAATGTAAATTGCCAGTCTGTCGATGAAATAGCATTCATGTCATCCAGCGATGGATAATACTGCGAAGATCCATTAGGAGAAGCCGTAAAATTGCTTTCAATATTCCTCCTATATTCCATATATTCTTTATCCTTTTCGGCCATCAACTTGTCTAAGGCTGGATGCATAGAAAGCTGCTCGATCTTGCTAAGCCCTTCATCTTCAGACATACCAGGCGCGGCAGCAGAAGTCTCTGCTTGCTTTTTTGCTTTCTGCCTCTTCTTCTTTTTGTTCCGTTTTTTTGCATTTGCCGCCGGGTTTGATACAGGAAGTAGAAGATCCTTAAAGCTTGGAGGCTGTATCCCTGCATTCAGTGCCTCAATACACAGCTCTCGACTACCCATGGCACAAAGACAAATGAGTTTTCTTTTCGCTCTCCTTCTTTTAAGAAATCCTCAAACAACTAAACCGGTGCAATACTATACTTTTGCGGATAACTAAAGGAAGAGCGCGTAGGTTTTACTTTTAAAATTTAAGGGGAAGATCCAAACTATTCTTTTAACAAAGAGGACCCAATCATGTGTCAATCTAGACGATATTTATAAAGAAATTCCTGGTTTTCCAACACTTCCCAGTACTACCTCAAAATCGCTCCTGCTCGAGTACCAACTCCTCGTATTTGTTCTAGCACTAGAAAAACCGTTATCTTTTTCTAATACAGTACTTGTCGAATCCTTTCAGATTCAATGCTAGCGAAAGCGAAAAGTGAGGATATTGTTCAGTGCCAAAGTGGTTGAATTTCTTTTAAGGAAACATAACGAATAGAACCTGCTTTCGCCTATAACTATACAGATTGATCCCAATGAGTATATACTGAGTCGTTCGGGTACGGTACAAATTTTAGGAACAAAAATTAATGTACGGAAACAGTTTTAAGCAAACAGAAGATAGTAATGTGTGCTTCACTAAAAGTCGTAGTTCGTAATACGTCTTTCTTCTTCCATGGTTGATGACCTACGAAACCAATCCTAAGCATATTCTGGTTTCATCTCAATATCTCTGCAAGGTAAGTAGAATGAATTGTACCTGTTGTTGAAATTATAAATAATGTCTAACTTTTGAAATAGTCCTTACTACGTGGTTGTTTTCACTTGGACACGTACTTAGAAGAGAACAGTACCTTAGGAGTCTTAGGATTGTCTAAGTTCATTCTAAGAAGTAGAAAGAAACAAACATACGACAAGATATAAGCCGATCTGTTGTTTTGTGTCGGACTTGCCCAGAATTGAGCTAGATTTCATTTACATTCGTTTTACTTCGTTCTTTTGCATATTAGATAACTCGTCCCATGCTCCAATCTCAGTCTATTCGGAGGTATATGAAAATTAAGATGTTAATAACTAACTGATATAAGAAAATTAGTCGTTGTTGGTGATGGTGCGTGTGGAAAAACCTCTCTACTGTCGGTATTCACTTTAGGTTATTTCCCTACGGTATGTGTGGCTTTAGTTCATTCAATAATTTTATATTCGTTTTACTAATGACTAATCTTTAGGAATATGTATGGTTTTTGTCCTACGTTCTTCATTAACACGAATATCAGGTTCCTACAGTGTTTGAGAATTATGTTTCGGACTGTAGAGTAAGTCATTCTTGTTTCTACGTTTATTAACTTTTCTTTTAGGTGGATGGAAAGTCTGTTCAACTAGCTTTATGGGATACAGCGTAAGTCTTTTTGTATTACTATATTTTCTGATACTAACAAAGAATTAGTGGTCAAGAGGAATACGAAGTATGTACTCCGTATAATTAGCAAACTAGTTTTTATTATTCAATATTTGTAATCAGAAGCTAACCTATGAAGCGATTACGCCCAATGTCTTACGCCAAAGCACACATCATTCTTATAGGTTTTGCTATTGATTCTCCGGATTCCTTGGAAAATGTTTCTACGAAGGTAAGTAATTTCATCGTTACTGTTTTTAGTTTTATTATTATTATTATTATTATTCATATCTAATACGCGTACAGTGGATTGAAGAAGTTAATACACTTTGCCCTAATATACCCTTCATTCTCGTTGGTATGAAGGCGGATTTAAGAACTGATCCAGGCGCCATCGAAGAAATGCGACGGCGAAATCAAAATTTTGTTAAACCACAACAAGCTGAAATTGTTGCACAGAGAATTGGCGCAAGGAAGTATATGGAGTGTTCTTCTTTAACCGGAGATGGTGTAGATGATGTTTTCGAAGCTGCTACTCGAGCTGCCTTGACGGTACGGGATTTGGAAACGGATAAAAGCTCTACAAAATGCTGTATTATTGCTTAATGATGTTCCTTTTATCTTAATCCTATTTTTATTACAATAATAATGGCTCTGCAGTATGTTCACAGTCGTTGAATCTTTGAAGCTTTGTCACGTTTTTCCTTCTCCCTTGACCTTTGCTTCACTTCCCGTCTCCTTATTTCTCACACTTCGCATCATCGAGCCTATTTATTTTTAGTTCTTTTTACATTGTGGTTACTCTTTTTCTTCTCCCTCCTGTTTTCGTTTGTTTTCCTTTTATCTTTTGCATTTTCCCTTTCGTGTTGTCGAATTCTTATTATATGCTTCGTTAAAAACCTCGTCTTTAACCAACTATTTCGTTCTTTCTTCTTTTTTTTTTTTTTTTCGAGCATTTCAATTTTATGTATGTAACCAACAAATATTTGGTCATTAGTATACACACGTACTTTCTTTTTGCATTTGGCAGCGATTTCATTAAGATGTGAGTCATACGCTATCATTAATTCGGAAAAATTGATTAGCTCTAATTTGCAAACGATGATTAATTAAGTCTGCTTTCGAATCTATCTTATAGTATGTGCTGTTCGAAAAATGGTTGTGAGTCTTTATTGGATGCCGAAAGGGATGTATTCTAAGATTCAAATCACTAAAAAAGTTCTGCACGAATTCTAAATCTTGTCTTAGATGTGCGTCTTTCGGTCATATATATAATATATTCTACGTTACAAAAAGATTATAAACAATGTCAATAGCAGTAGTCAATGAAGTTGGTGATATGTACAAATGGTAACAGATTCTAGAATCGTAAATTCTTAATACCCATTGCAATTTAAATAATCTCCATGAAGAATTCACTCGCCCGATGTATAATTATATTCCAAAATTTATTATCGATTCAATAGAAAGAACGAAAACGAGACGCAGCATGCAACATACACTAGATAATAAAAACTTATAATATCGTAACAAATGTGTAAAGTAGAGAAGTAGAAAGAACGTTCAGCAAAATGAGTGACCAGACTTGAATATTCCAATACAAAAGATAAGATATGGTATAAAAATACTATACGAATAAAATATTACGACATAATCCACGATCACTTCCAGTGAAACATCCGATGTTCTAACCACAAGAGAAGATAAATTCATGCTCAATATAAGGATATCAGAACAACAAGTAGGAATACTATAGTGTATCACAAATGATTTTGAAATGAAACCAATTCTCTAACTTCACCACTCAGCAGCAACTTGACCTTCACCAGCTTCAGCAGGGACAGAGTTAGCAGACTCTCCAGGATAGCTTGGAGCGTCATTAGATTGCTGCATTTCAGAAGTGGGTGCAGGTGGGTATGAATTATAATCGTCCGCATATCTGGGTGAACGGCTGCGTTCACGACGGGGAGAAGGACTACGTTCATAAGCATCACGGCCATATTCTTCATCACGGGCAGGATAATCATCACGGCGAGGGCGGTAAGAAGAATCATCACGACGAGGGCGGTACTCGTCCGCTCTTGGTCTGCGGTAGTCGTCACGTCGGGGGCCACGTCTGAAATCGTCGCGTCCTCTATAATCTTCGCGGCCTCCACGACGGAAATCACGACCGCCACCTCTGGGAATATAACGACGATCGTCATCTCTGGCAGGGCGATAGGTATCGCGACGAGCAAATCCTCCTCTGCGGTTGTCCATAGGGAAACGACGACGAGGAGGAGGGGACCTAGAGCGGAAACCTGGGCCTTCGGGGAGAGGCTCATTGGGAGCATTCTTTTCATTCTGTTAGTATTTTACAACTGATAAACTATGACTTAGTACGTACAGGATCTTCACGCAAAGCAATTGCGGTACCCTTGATTTCTTCTCCATTTAGATTTGTAAGAGCATTTCTCATGTCATCTTCAGTTGAGAATTCAACGACACTATTCATGGTCAGTTATTTAATATAACAAGTGATTAATTAATTTAGCATACCCAGAACCAGGATTTTGACGGTGAGCATCAGTAAATGTTGGTTCACCAGCTTGTCTCATTACATCCTTTAAGTCCTTAATATATTCAGTTAATAATTTTTCCGTTAAACATTGACTATAAACCTTACCTGCCAGCTAACTTCTTCAGATAAGTTTTCAACAATTAGACGATAACCAGTACGACGTGGACGGGGGTATCTATACATGTTAGAAATTGCTAATTCATTATAAAAGAAAAAATATTAGGGAAAGAAATCACGAAGCTTGATCGTATGGACAAACCAAGGTCTGTGAATCTTTTCAGGAATACAAGAGGTTCAACGAAAACTAGCACAAGGCTGAAGTAATCCATGTTGTATCATTTTATGATAATGATAGAAAAAATTTATAGTACTTACTTAGCAGCAGCAGGTTCACGGAAATTTTCTCTCCTTTTTCTTTCACCACGAGCAGGTTCTACAACAATTTGACTGCCCATAAACTCTTTTCCTTGAAAATCATTCACTATATCCCGAGCATCACGAGCGTCTTCAAGCTCAATGAATCCAAAACCGTTCATAACTTTGCAGTCAAGGATTTGGCCATAGCCTTTAAAGAAGTCCTCCACATCCTCACGAACAGCTAGAAAATGGTTAATTTTAATCTATTTATTGAATTATACTTACCTTGAGGGGGAATACGCCCTATAAACAATCTAGTTTCCGACATCTTTTACTTTCGTGTAGTCCGTGTTGAGATGGTAAAGGACAACTAAGCGTCGTTGGTGCCCCTGCACACCGAAGCTGGTATACAGCTTCGGTGTATGTAATATTGGGAAAGTTATAGAAATAATTACAGTTTTACATCATTTACATAATGAATGCTTACTTTCCTATATTCTTTTCTCCCGAATAAAAATCAAATTAAGAACTAAAGCTGATAGTAGTGTCGATTTAAGGAAAGTCTTTCATGAAGAAATTACATTTAAAAAGTCTTGAAAGAACATAGAAAGTTGTTAACTTACTTTCCTTTCTTAGAGTTTAAATGTTTCTTACTCAAGTTTATTTAGCAATGAGTAAGATCAAAGTAGATTCAAATAAGGTGTAATGCTATTAAGGTGATGCCAATGGTTTCATTTTTATCTTTGAGCTTTCGATCAACAAGTTAAACTTTTGATGAGACTTATAAAGATTAATATTTTTATTTTTGAAATGAATATTAGCTTTAGGAGAAAGAGCATACGCAGTTGTTTGAAAAGTAAATAGTCTATTATCTACTTCAGATGTTTTACCAACAACTCAATAAACATTGAAAACCATTAAAACCATCAAGCTAAGCCGGATAGCAATAGTCACAGGAAGGCACTCTTTAAGTAATTTTGCCGTTTATAAAGTGCTGTTTTCCCAACGACATTGCCAATTCGAAGTCTCTCGAGGACGGAAAGGTACTAAACAGTCATCAACTAAATGTGGAATGGTGAAAGGATTCTTCTCCAGCACTAGTAAGGGTGCTGATTCTTCAATGGGAACATTATAAAAATCTCTACCAAATTTACAAGCAAAATCTTGTAAAGCGTTCAAGCATCCTTCCTTGTCAAAGATATCTGCCAAATAAGATGCTTCAAATGCTTGAGTGAAAACTCCAGCGGCAGGAGGCGTCTTCTCTTTCGAAGATTGAGGATGAGGAGCTGAGTCTGATCCAAAGAAAAACTTTGGGTTTCTACTAGTAGCTGCCTTAACTAAAGCTAAACGATCCTTTTCCGTTTTCGCTACAGGCTTGCAGAAACAATGGGGATCTTTTTCCCAATCTTTATGAGTTATGTACATGTGATGAGCAGTAATGGTACCAGCAACAGTCGGTCCACATTGTAATACAGCTTCAATAGCCGCTTCGGTACTGCAATGCTCGAGAACAATCTTCAAATTGGGGAATCGTTTGTGTAAGTCTAATAAAGTAGGCAAAAATTTTGGTTCAGCATGAAATACATCATCACTGGTTGAAGCAGGGACTTCTCCGTGAATATTTAAAATCATTCCAGTTTCTTCCATGGCTGCAAATGTTGCATAGAAAGGCTCGTAACTTTCTACACCGTTGTCGGAATTAGTCGTGGCGCCTTTGGGATACGATTTAACTCCGCGAACTCCACGTTTACTGGCATCGTAGATGACTTCCGGTGTAATCTCTTGAGAAAGGTACAAGGACATTAAGTATTTTGTTTTAGGATCCAACCGTTCGATTTCTTCTTTATACTTCAAACAAGCATCTACCGTTGTAATAGGAGGAACAAGATTTGGCTATTAATTTCAATTAGCATTTTATTTCAACTCCATCACGCTTTCAAACACTTTCAGTCGACATACCATAACGTAAGCTACAGAAACACCTCCTTGATTAACAGTAGGAACCACATGCTTCATCATTTCTCCATCGCGGAGATGAACATGCATGTCTGCAAGGCCAGGTAATCTCAAACTCATATTTTTGCAACAACAGGATGCTTTTTCACAAGTCGCTTGGTGGATGATGAGCTCTTGGTTGGACGAACTGGAAGGTGTTTTGGTCCACCCCAAAGCAATAAGAAGTGATACAAACCTTCACTTTTCTAGCAAAGTTTATAAAATTTTCCTTCATTTTGTCTTTCGACCTGAATGGTGTTAGGCAATCCTTCAAGGCTAGCCACAATTTTGGTAACACAAGAAATCCCAATCGTCTCCATCATTTTACAACTATGACTGAACCGAACCTATTAGAAACTTCAAAACCAAGCTCAGTAGTTTCATATTTACATTGATTATACACTTAAAAAAACATCCTATTATTTACAAAACTTTTCTACATTTTAACGATCTCTCGCTGTATAATTTTATTTTTTTTGTGCATCCTTTCATAGCACGCTATACAATGCTGAATCTTAACAGTATAGCCTGAAGTTTTAATTTTAGCAAAGAAGCCATTTCCAACAGAAGCAGCACTGTCTTTTAATCTGCTTAAAACATGTCGGATCCACACTCTGGAGTTGCTCCTATTCGTGAAGAGTACGTGAAAAGGATGTTGAATGCAATTGCTAACCCCATATCAGATTCCTTGCTAAACCGGAGCAAGCAGAGAAAAAGCGCAAAACTAAAGAACGTGGACAAAACAAAAAGAGAAGTAAAGTCTCTGTACGAGAAGACAACGCATTGTGTCCTGCGATTTCTGTTGGAAAGGAGTGTCCATTTCAAAATAACTGTAAATTTGGTCACGATGTAGAAGTTTATCTTTCCCAGAAGGAACCTGATTTGGGTGAAAAATGCGTGAATTTTGAAACTTATGGCGTTTGTCCTGCAGGGTATAAGTGTCGATGGTTATCAGGTCACGTAAAAGTTAATGAAGACGGCAAGCATGAGCTGGTTAAAAAGCCAGACAGCAAGTTTGGGCTTACTATGTTGAATGCCGTTGACAAGACGGTCCAAAAAAAGCTTCGTACAAAGCAATTGGATTTGAGTAAAGCCGAAAGAATGATTTCTATTGTACTTGGAGAAGAGAAGCCACAAGCTAACAACCAAAATACCCAGGACTCGGTGAGTTCTGAGACCAGTGGTAAAAGTGATCGAATTCCAGATCAGGCATTTCCCGATAATAACGATTCCAAGAACAATGGTAAGAAAGACGAGCCAAAACCTCAAGCTTCGGAAACCCCGCAAAAACAGGATGAAGACAAAGGAGATAAAAAAGTATCCATGGAAGAAATCCACAAACAAGCTCGCTCTGACGTCCTTTTACCAACATTGCGACCTCAAGAAAAAAGAAGAATTGACTGGAGAGGCAGAAAGATTCTTGCCCCTTTAACAACTGTTGGCAATCCTCCTTTTCGTCGACTTTGCGGATCTTTGGGAGCAGATACCTTTTACACTGAAATGGCGATGTGCCACCCTTTGATGCAAGGTCATCAGCCAGAATGGGCTCTTGTTCGTGGTATTAATACGGAACGGGAAATGATGCCTAGTGGGAGAAAAGGAATATTGGGTATTCAGTTAGCTTGCTCAAAGCTTTGGCAAGGTGTAAAGACGGCTCAGGTTATTTCTGAGAACTGCGATGGAGTAGATTTTTTGGATTTGAACTGCGGTTGTCCCATTGACCTCGTTTTTCGACAAGGAGCTGGATCCTCTTTGTTGGAGAGCCCTAGTCGTCTTATTCGAAACTTACAGGGTATTGATGCTATTTCTGGTACCATCCCTACAACAGTCAAGCTTCGTACGGGAAATCGTGAGGATCATCCCGTTGTGAATAGGCTTTTGAGTCGTATTCATCAAGAAACGAATACTTCTGCTGCCGTACTACACGGACGATCTCGTCAGCAAAGATATTCTAAATTAGCAAACTGGGAATACGTTAAGGATTGTGCTTCTAATGTTCGCGGATTGAACGAAGGAATTGACGATTTACCCGAAGGAAGCCTTCGTACACAGCCTATGGCTTTCATTGGAAATGGTGATTGCTATAGTTGGGAGGATTGGTATGAGGGTATGGATACGGGTGTTGACACGATTATGGTTGCCCGTGGTGCACTCGTGAAACCTTGGATTTTTGAAGAGATCGACGCTCGACAATATATTGACAAATCATCAACCCAACGTTTAGAAATCTTGCAGGAATATTGTAATAATGGATTACAATATTGGGGTTCAGACGCGCAAGGTATCAATACAACAAGAAGATTCTTTTTGGAATTTATGAGTTTCTTTCATCGTTATACCCCCATCGCATTATATGAAGTTGCGAGACCAAGATTGAATCAGCGACCTCCCCTTTACAATGCCAGAGATGAAATGGAAGGCATGCTTGCGAGCACGAATGTCAATGACTGGGTTAAGCTCAGTGAAAGATTTTTGGGACCCACGCCTTCCAAATTCAACTTTACTCCTAAACATAAAAGTAACAGTGTAGAAGAAGCAGAAGGTTAAAACTCTCTTTTTGACAAATGGACAAAAAAAGGTTGGTTACATGTACACTAGGGTGAACTGATATAATATGGCTATGCATTTTACTTTGGTATTTAAAAGAGTCCAATTTATGGAAAAAAGAAAAAGAAAGTAATTGGATCTTTAGGAAAGCAGACGGTTGGTTTTATACATAAACAAAATACAAAATAGTGAAGTAACTGTGTATTAGACATGGATTCATTGCAGTAAACCGGATGGTTTCAAATGTTGGTCTTGAATATCATAAATCATTGAATATTACTCTCAATGAATCTAAATTTGGACAAGTCAGCTAAAAAAAAAAACAAAAACCTTTCTATTCATTAACATAAACTTCTAAAGCATAAATAAGCTCTAAAAATTATTTTAACCCAGTAAAACCCGAAAACTATATTAAAAATTATTAAAATCAAACAAAAGCAACGAAAACAAATTATAAAACCTCAAATCGCAGGATATGACAATACTTAACAGTAATGATTAAATAAAAAGAAAATATTGGTAGTTTACATTTACCAAAAAATTGAGTACCAACGCGATATGGCCATATCTAAGTCATAAAAGAATGTTCGGTATATAAAGCAGAACTGAATATATCAGATGATGCAAATTAAATATTAAATACCTCGTAAATATAATGAAGATAAATAGCATATGCATGGCAAAGATTATGCATCTCGCATAAAACTCATTTGGACCTCGCGTTGAGCTTGGGCCATAGAAACCTGTAGGTGGCTATGAGCTCGATGGTATTTTAAACCATTTAAATTCTTGTAGCGCTTATTGCAAGTATCACATCGATAAGGCTTATTTTCTACAACAAAACCCTGATGAGGGACTGGTGTTGGAGTAGGTGTAGTGATGGGGGAACAATGGCCATGAAGTTTGTGATATTTAAGACCATTTTGATTTTTGTAAGCTTTGTCACAATTAGGGACAGGACATTTGTAAGGTTTATCGACGACAACCAGACTTGAACCAGGAGAATCTATGGTCATGGGAGATTCGGAAGAATCTGGGGAAGTTGAACGTTGTTTTTTTAACGGCACCGGCCACTCGAAATCTTTACTAGAATTTTTTATGAAGGGAGAACTAGGAGCGGTGTTCGTAGCGGCAGGAGCAACAACCTCGGGAGGAGTGGGGGACATAACATTATCGGGGAAAGGTTCTGAATGGACGGTATTCGGGGTATCAGGACGGGTATCGGGGTGGAAAGAGAAAACATCATGACCATAGTGGAAAGGGGGAAGGAAAGCCGACTCGGGATCAGTTTTTTGATTAATACCAAACATATTGTAGCGATTACCGCTGCCGATATCCATGTTAAAGCTCATATCACTGAGCGGAGAACTAGCATCATCCATAACCATGGACTCGGGAAGATGTGTTGGGGTAGAGACAGGCTCATTTTGCATGGAGCTCTCTTCGGCGAGGTCCGGGTTCGCAGCGGTTGCAGCAGCAGCGGCATCAGCAGGCACAACGACGGAGACGCGATAAGGGCCGTTGGTACCTTCGTTTGCAGGGAAAGCAAAGGGCATAACGGCGGAATTGTCGAAAAGAGGAGAGGAATCCATTTGATCGGCCAAGTCGTGCATACGAATGCGCTCTCGTTGTTTAAGAGCCTGTGTGTTGTTGCGGTTTAAATGGTTTGCGACGGTAGCGGAGTTACTATTATCGAGAGATGAGGATAGATTCACATCAGAGGGGAGAACGGCATGTTGTTCCTCGTAATGATGAATGAGTTGATGAAGATCGTCGAGATTTTTTCCACAGCAATTGAAGTTGCGGCAAAAAGCCTCCTCGAGACGGTTGGGATACATGGTGGAAAAGTCATCGGAAGGGCGATGTTGCTCGGAATAGGAGGTGGCGGATGGAATTGCGTCTCGAAGCCAGGCATGTCCAGAGAAGCTGTTTCCAAAAGATTGTGGGCTATAACCAAAAGGAGTAGCCTGTGGACTGGCAAAAGAGTTGCCAGCACTAGGAGCGTTATGATGGGAGGGTTTATTTATCGGTAATGCGAGAGAGGGCATTGTAAAGATAAACTTTTTTTTTTTAGAAAGGGGAAACAACACAACACAGCAGAAAAAAAAAAGGAAAAAACAATAACGTCAGAATACCAAAAAGACACCAAAAATAAAATAACTATAAAAAAAGAAACCCAAAAATAGAAAAAAGGACAATAGGGAAATAAATATCACACCGGGGGATATTGGGATCCGAGTATCCAAAGAAAAGAAACCAAACAAAAAAATAAAAAGAGAAAAGAAAAACCAACGAGGAAACCAGAAAGGCACAAGTCTAAACAGAGAAATTTAAATACAAGTTCAAGAAAAGAACTTGTGTGAGTTTTGAAAGAAACAACCAATCAAAAAATCAAAAAAAAAAGAAGAATGAATGATGGATCGCTCGTTATATGAAAGAAACGACCACACACAATCGACAACCCACAATGAACAATGAACAAAGAATCGACAATGACAAAAATCCCTTTCAGAAGCGAAAAGTTGAATGGAAATCAATGGGACACTGTTTCGTATTGTGTTTCTATGTAAGGATATACAAAGAAAGATATATAGGAATATATATATATATCTCTCTAGAATTGAAGATTGGGAGAACAAAGAGGTGTACAACAATACAAGTAAAAAGGAGAAAACGGGTTTTCAAAGCCAATTGCTTATTCCAAAGTGATTTCGGTTCAAAGGCTCCTCCTCCTTAAGCCTTCAAATAGCAATGGTACTAATAGTCGGTAGTGGTGGTAGGTAGAAAGGAAATGGGAATTTGAGCGAGGGACCGTAGGCGGGAAACCAGCGTTTAAGTACTCCTCCGGTTGCGTGGATAAGGTGAGGTAGGACACCCGACGTAACAAGTAGTTGGGTAACAAGAGACAAAGTAACAAACCAAAGTGGACAAAGCGTACGGGTAATAAGCTGTCAATCAAAAAGGCAATGTAATAGCGACAGCCAATGAGAGTAAGTGTGGCTTTCACGACGAAGAGACAGACAACCAATGACAGATGAGTAAGTCGCCACGGTTGATCGGAGAAAGTGCTTGAACCGTCTCCTTACCACTGGAGGTTCCGGATAAGAGCCAATCACAAAAGAGGAAAGGAGGGGTTCAGAGAGTAGCTATTCGCGAGACCGACAAAGCCAGATAGAGATTCGATGAAGGTTGTCCTTGACAAGGTTTAACGAGTTGGAGAGAGACCAGCCGTAAAGTGGCGATATCCGATGGACTAGACAAGCCTAAAGAGGGTTGTCTATGTGGGATGACTAAGTAGGAACGGAGGGAGGGTGAGAGAGAGAGAGAGAGAGATGAAACACTGCTTCAGTCGGTCGATGCCTGGGTGGGTTTAAGAGGTTGATTGAATATTTTTGCAATTAATTATTGAATGAAATTGTAAAAAGCAGTCGAATCAAGTTTGCTACAACTCTGTTCCACCGAGTTTGTTCTGTTTGAACTATTCAATTTGTGGGAGGATAGTTTTCTCGAATGTGTCTTTTGTTTACGCACAAAAGGTAGGCTGTGTGGGAAGAAAGGGCCTTTGTAATGGTTGGAAAGATCAAGTGACAAACGATATGGATTGAGAAGGAACCACTCGACTAGGTCGGGTCGGGTCGGGTCTACTAGTGGTGGAGGGCTAAACAGAGGAAGGATGAGAAAAAGTCGGCCGCTGTTGAGTGAGTGAGTGAGTGAATGTTAACAGAGGGAGGAGTAGCAGGTAGCAGGTCTAAGAAGCAAAATGCAGAAAAAAAAATTAGAAAAGAAAAAAGAAATCGATAAAAAATGGGGAACTTGAAATGAAGAGGTCAAATCAAATCAAATCAACAACAACCGTTTATAAGAGGAAATAAGAAATCTAGTCGAATCGTAGTACTTACTTTGCTTTGCCTTGTTTTACTACTGTTCCAACTATGATGAAGTAATTGCAATTTGCGATTCCAAAAAGAATCAAATAATAAAATAATGCGAAAAAGGTATCCAAAAAAAACGAATTTGCAAAAAAAAAAAAAAAGTGTAAACCGGAAATTGAAATTAGCTTTTGCTTCAAGTTGATCTTTTTCTTCTTTGTTGCCCTTTATATGATTCCAACCCAACAAACATTCAAACGATTCTTTCAATCCATTTCATCATGCATCAACACTCAACTCTAGAAGGCCAAACATACGGTTGGCCCTTGCATTCTTCCATCATCCCATCCGTCGTCCTCACTTCCATCATTCGTCTTTTCGCGCTTTTGTCAAGTGGCCTTGTTTTGCCACTAAACGTCTTACCTTGCTATACTATGCTTCCTTTCCATCCTCTATGTCAAGTTTATACACATAGCGCAGCAGCTTTCAAAGAATGACTTCATGGGAATCATCGCTTCGGCCTTGAATCCGTCAGCAGAGCAGCCTTTTACTAATTGGAGGTTCCCGTCTATTTTTTTTGGTTTGTTTTTTTTTTAAAAAATAAAAATAAAAATCAATGGATGATGACAAAGGAAATCTCTTTTCAACGTTGTATGACTCAACGCCATGCCCCAGCCAAACCAGCCTTTACCTACACATCTACCGACAGTCTTCCTCCCACCGGTGGCTGTTTTTGTCACTGTTTCACAAGGTTTCCCAGGTCACAATTCTTCTTAGCTTATACGACTCGCTTCCATTAACGAATTTTCTCTAATTGCTTTGATTGACATGATTGGCTGGTTTCTAAATTCGAATTTCGGCAACATCTAGCTAGTTTTCGTCTCAAGTAACACGGTCGGTTTTTCTTGTCATTCTTTTCTTTTTTTTTTCCAATTGTCCATCAAGTTTTATAAAATAAAAATAAAAAAAAAAAAATAGTTCTTTTTCATCTGTATTGAAAAAAAAATCTTCTATATAAATTTGGTTCTCCTCTCCTCAAGTACCTCCCTTTCTTTACCTGTTAACCAACCCCCACCGTATTACCAAATCTCACCTACCTACCCACCTGCTCTTTTCCTAAGTAAAAATCAAACTAACAACCTCATACGTAGGCTAACGCTGGCTCCTTTTTCCTCCCTCCATTACGTTGTCATTCTTTATTCCTCTCTATTCTTCCCTTACGCGATCTTACAAATCTTTAAGTGGCATTATTAGTCATCGGTAAATTCATCGCTACTATATCTTATCAAGTGCCAATCAGTTGCCTTGCAATTCGACCGTTTATTCTTCAAGAGATCGCCGCCATCTCGAGTCGCCGACAACCAAACACCTACAGTTTTTTTTTGGTCTTATATAAGCGGTGGTTTGGTCTGCTTAATTATAAAAACAGAAGGATCCTTCTACTTTTTCTTCTTCTTCTTTCTCCATATTCTCCGTTCGACTTTTTGGACCTTTTACTTTTTTTTTTATTTTTTTTTCTTCTTTAGTTTGCGTTTTTCTTCTTATTAGTTGAAACGCCTTTTATAATTTTGAAAGGTCCTCATTGTTTAACACTTTCTTTTCCTCTTCTCTTTTAATTTTTATATTGCATTTTTCCTCGGTTTCTATATTCTTTGAGCTTATTTGTTGTTTTTTTTTTCCTCTGTTATAAGACTCAATTGAAATATGAATAGTACCCCGAAAACCCTTTACGACAAGGTTTTTGATAGCCACGTTGTCGACAGTCAAGAAGATGGCACCTGTTTACTTTACATCGATCGTCATTTGATCCACGAGGTCACCTCACCTCAGGCTTTTGAAGGTCTTCGCACCGCCGGTAGGAAAGCCCGTCGTCCTGAATTGGCCTTGGCTACCGTAGATCATAATATCCCAACTGATTCCCGTAAAGATTTGAAGGATCTCGAATCCTTTATCCATCAACCCGATTCCCGTACTCAAGTTCTGGCCTTGGAACACAACATCAAGGAATTTGGTTTGAGTTATTTTGGTATGACCGATCGTCGTCAAGGTATTGTTCACGTTATCGGTCCTGAACAAGGTTTCACCCTTCCCGCTACCACCTTGGTTTGTGGTGACTCTCACACTTCCACCCATGGCGCCTTTGGTGCTTTGGCTTTTGGTATCGGTACCAGTGAAGTCGAACATGTTTTGGCTACTCAAACTATCTTACAACGCAAGAGCAAGAATATGCGTATCCACGTTAGCGGTACCCTCCCCGAAGGTATCGCCTCTAAAGATTTAATGTTGCATATCATCGGTGTAATCGGTACAGCTGGTGGTACTGGTTGCGTCATCGAATTTTGCGGTGAAGCAATTGAGGCTCTCAGTATGGAAGCTCGTATGTCCATGTGTAACATGTCCATCGAAGCCGGTGCCCGTGCTGGTATGATTGCTCCTGACGAAACTACCTTTGAGTATGTCAAGAACCGTCCCTTGGCTCCCAAGGGCGATGATTGGGAACAAGCCGTCGCCTACTGGAAGACTTTGAGTTCTGACAAGGGCGCTAAATATGACATTGAGGTCGAAATCAATGCTGCTGATATTTTGCCCACTGTTACTTGGGGTACTTCTCCTCAAGATGTCATCGCCGTTAACGACACCGTCCCTGATCCCTCCAAGGTTACCGACGCTGTTCGCGCCACCTCTATCCAACATTCTTTGGAATACATGGGTCTTGAACCCAATACTCCTATTACTTCTTATCCCTTGGACAAAATCTTCATTGGTTCTTGCACGAATTCTCGTATCGAAGATTTGCGTCTCGCCGCTGCTGTCGTCAAGGGTCGTAAGATTGCTAGCAATATTAAGCATGCCATGGTTGTCCCTGGCTCTGGTTTGGTCAAGAAGATGGCCGAATCTGAAGGTTTGGACCAAGTCTTTATTGAAGCTGGTTTTGACTGGCGTGAAGCTGGTTGTTCCATGTGTCTCGGTATGAACCCCGATCAATTGAAACCTTATGAGCGCTGTGCTTCCACTTCCAACCGTAACTTCGAAGGTCGTCAAGGTGCCAAGGGTCGTACTCATCTTGTTAGCCCTGCCATGGCTGCTGCCGCCGCCATTAAGGGATACCTCTGCAACGTCAGAGAATTCTTTGGTGATGCTACCACCGGATCCCCTACCGTCATTACCAACAGAAACTATGATGCTTCCCATGATTTCGGCAGTGTAATTTCCCTTTCTGTGGATGATGCCACTGATGCTGTTACGGATTCCGCTGGTGTGGGCACAACCGTTGCTGGTGGTCCTGGCGCCGCTACCGCTGGTATTCCCAAGTTTACCGTCGTTTCCGGTATTGCTGCTCCTTTACCCATTTCAAATGTCGATACTGACAAGATCATTCCCAAGCAATTTTTGAAGACAATCAAGCGTACCGGTCTTGGTAAGTTTGCATTTTACGAAATTCGCTATGACTCTGATGGTAATGAATTGCCTGAATTTGTTTTGAACCGTGAACCCTACCGTGGTGCCAGCATTTTAGTTGCTCATGAAAACTTTGGATGTGGTAGCTCACGTGAACATGCCCCTTGGGCTTTGAATGATTTTGGCATTCGTGTTGTCATAGCTCCTTCTTTTGCTGATATCTTCTTCAATAACTGTTTTAAGAATGGTATGTTGCCTATTCCCTTGCCTTTTGAACAAGTGAATGAATTAATGGCCGCCGCCGAAAAGGAGTTGCAATTTACTGTTGACTTGACCAACCAAGTCATTCGCTACGACGATAAGGAAATTAAGTTTGAAGTTGAGCCCTTCCGCAAGCATTGTTTGATTAATGGACTCGATGACATTGGTTTGACCTTGCAAAAGGCACCAAAGATTGACGCTTTTGAAGCTGCCAGAGAAGAGAATTTCCCTTGGATGAATATCAAACGTAGCCGTGCTCGTCTTAGTCCTTCTCGACCCAAGCAATCTACTACTGGAGGTAATAATGATTGGTAAAATGCCGAATATTTGAGATTTTGAAGATTGAGGATTCTTTCCCGTTAGACGTTTTCGCTATGTTTTTTAATTATTGTTTGTATAGAAATCTTTGTATAATAAAGTACAGGTTAATGTTATGTTAGAGTCCCTTCTAATTAGTATTGACGAGTAGAGAACGCAGGTGCAAATAGTAAGAGTAGCTGTGAGTTGGCGTTCTTGAGCGACCAATGCATTCTTAGCCAAGTATCGTAGCCAACGATGGCATATCTGATATTTAGAACTTTGAAAGTGAAAGCAAGAGCTTTTGCGATTCCAACTTTCTATGACCCTAGATCATCTAAATCTGGTGTTTTATTGAATATTTTTACGAGCTCTTTCATTGCTCGCTAAGCTTACGTCATGAGGTAAAGGAGAGCAAGGGAAGGGAATCCTGAAGGAATTTCCAGTCATCCTTTACCAAAGCCAAATTCTTTTTGGAATAGGATAAATCGCCAAAATGACGATCTATTATATGATTGTTTTTATTTTACTGATGCTAGAAATAGTATCATTTGTGATACTTAGCTTGCCCTTGCCTTTGAAGGTAAGAAAAGCTATTCTGAACACCATCAGTCACTCTCCTATTGCTGGTAAGATAGAGCATACTTTAAAGGTAAGTACGAATAAAGGGGATGGGAGTCCAAAAGCACGCCCATCTATTCGAGGCACTTATCGTTTCCATGAGTGACTTTGAATTTTGGGTCCGTGAGGTCGAAATGACAGATTTTTCTTTAAAGTAAGACGACGAGTCATTGGAAACCCTGAGTTTGTTGAGAAAGATTAAGACTTCCCTGTATCCCTTCTCTGTATGGTCTTATACTAACGGACATGCGTGTAGATTATGATCATCTGTATCTTAATCTTGTTCTCTGACTCCGTTCGTAGAGTCGTTCGTATGAACACGGAATTTGAAATGTCTGGTATCGCTGCCGGTTCCGTTGAAAATGCCCGTGCTGGATTCAAGGCTGGTCAATTTTATGCTCAAAGAAACTTGTATCTTTGTGGATCTGCTTTGTTTCTTTCTTTAGTCGTCAACCGTTACTACCTTTCCCTCAAAAGCTTGATTGCTACAGAAGAAAAACTTGAAGCCCTTCAAACTGAAGTCAAAGCCAGTAAGTCTGACTCAAAATCTTTAGAAGAACTTGATACGTTGCGCTCGAAGCTTGAAAGCCGTGACAAAGAGTATGCTACTTTAGCTGATAAATATGCTGAAGCTACCAAGACCTTGGAGAAAAAGAAAGATATTTAAGTAAGGTTCCATTAATAACTTAATGTTTCTTCTTGTCTCGTTTTGAAGCCTTTTCTTGCATGGCTAGATTTGTCATCAAATCGAACTTATAATCTCTACTTTGGTCGGTATTCTACATTTGTTGTTCATTTTAATTGAATAATCTAGTTTGATATATTACATTGATCTATTTAAACGCTCTATAGTAGTTACAATTTGAACTCACATAATTGAATGAATAAAGCTTTTCATCCATCCCCCATCACTATCATGTTTAAATGGTATGAAGTTATATTTTTATTTTTAGAAATTTTAGAAATTAATTTTGTTGAATAAGTTAGACAGAAGCATACTCTGCGTATGAACGATTGTAAAATAGATTGGCATTATCCTTTTATACAAGGTAACGTGTAGGTAACATATCCAATGAATAGGTACTTGTTGTCCTACAGCAACGAAAATTCAATACGCGTCTGCCTGGAAGGACCCTCAAGTATGATACTGTAATAGGATTAAAAAAGTTTTATATCGTTTATGGAAAGTAACTCTTCTAAAGCTTCTCGCTTGAATTCGACAGAGGAGCCCTCCACTTCGAATACAAAAGGAAATGCGCGTCAATTGCTGGGAATTCAAGTTCCTCAGCCTATTTTAGTGAAGAATGATCCTTTCGGATTTGATTCCGTAAAAGGAATTCGTTTAAGCTCAAATTTAGAATCAGATTCGTCTGCGTTACGCAGTGGAAATCAAGCATTGAATTTCGGCGCGCCATATCAAGATGGTTACGAAAGAATTCTCTCATCGTCTCCCCCAGTTGTTAATGAAGGTGAATTTTTAAAAAATGTAGAAGACCTCCCTTCCTTCAATGTTCAGTCCAAGCATCCGTTACCTTTATCTGCTTCTTCACCAAAGCAAGTACCTTTACCAGCTTCATCTCCCCCTCACTTTTCCTCTTCTCCCTCCTCACCAATCCCAATGTCATCCGTTACAACTTCTTCCATGCATCCTCCTTCGTCTTCCAGATTGTCCTCGCGATCCTCATTCCCAAAAGATGCAACCACTAGACAATTGGAACGCTTTGTCCCAATTCCTCATGGCAATCTTAAAAAGCGCCTAAGACAGCGTCCTCCTCGTAAAAATGATGATTTAGATCTTTCCGTTCTACATTCTATCCCTAACTCGTCACCTCCATCATCAGCATCTGAATCTGAAGAATCACAATTACTATGGAAACGTTCAAAACGAACAAAGGTTGCACGTAGGCAATCGGATTCTTCATTTACTTTAGATAATGAAAATCTCGAACCAACGGGTGATGATAATAAGCATTCGTCTGATGGCACTTCCGATGATGAAGACTCAGAGAAAAAAGAACTACTTGATGAAGAGCAACAAAAACGTATGAATGATATGAGACAGTACTTTAAACAGATAGATCAATATAAGTTTCGGGTGGTTGAAGACTGAACTATAATTTATTTTAGGCTCAGCTGTCGAAAGATCACAGTGAAAGCTTATTAATTTCTTTATCCTGTCTATTTTGGTTTGAATTAATATATTAGTTATTTATGTTAATATTCGTAAAGAAACGATCATCTTCGTTTTATTCCTCACGAATGTATACGAAATAATCATCTTTTCCTACTTGTTTTCATCCACTTATTACTTCTTTAACATAGTAGTGCGCCTAATCCTCAACTATTAAATCTTTTATTTTCTCATGATGTACCAAAACTCTAACAAATTAACATATTAAACACAAAAAGGAACGTTCTAGCAATAGAGGTATATTGGTTTTTGAGTCGATTAAAAACCTTTTCGGTTAATTCTTTTCCTCATCGAGGGTGGTTTCGATAAGTTGTTCAAGACGTTCAATGTTTGGCTTGCCGAATTCTACGGAACGACGCTCAGCATCCATAAGACCATGGAATTCAACAGGCAAAACCTGTTTGTTAAAGTCGTATCCTGGGAAAGACTTAAGAGCAAGATTTACAGCATTGTCAAATTTGGCGGGATGAGCAGTGGACAAACAGATATAGGTTACGTTAGGAGAAGCCTTTAAGCAACGCAAACCAGTTTCAATACCAACGGCTGTATGGGGATCAATGACATACTGCTCGGTCTCGTAAATACTTTTGATGGAAGCAATGGTTTCGTCGTTACTAACACGTTCACTAATGAAGTCACGACGAGCAGTCTCCAAAACTTCGGGACGGACAGCAACAGAGCCATTTTGCTTGAACTCTGACATCCACTTAGCCAAGATTTCAGAGGCCTCGGCGTGGGTATGGTTAGGAGCTTCACAAGTCAATGCCAAATACCACAAATAACGCTCAAAATTTGATGAAACCAAGATATCCATAGCAGGAGAATAGGTTTCCTTGGCAGAAGCAGATGAATTAGCAGGAGCTACGCTAGAATCAACCTTTTCGTAACGACCGGACTTGAAGAAACGGTTAAGGATATCATTCTCGTTAGTAGCGATAACAAGCTTGTCAGCGGGGACACCCATACGCTTGGCATAATAACCAGCCAAAATATCGCCAAAGTTACCGGTAGGAACAACGAAACGAACCTGGTCAGCCTTACCAGCTTTCACAGTCAAAAGATAAGCATAGACGTAGTAAGTGATTTGAGAAAGGATACGAGCCCAGTTAATTGAGTTTACAGCACCAATGTGATGCTTCTTGTTAAACTCAACATCACCAAATACTTGCTTTACAATGTCCTGACAGTCATCAAAGACACCGTCTACAATGACATTGTGGACATTCTTGTCCAACACACTGGTCATTTGGGCCTCTTGGATAGGAGAAATACGTCCCTTAGGGAACAAGATAAAAACGGAAACGTCTTTCTTACCACGAAGACCATAGATGGCAGCACTTCCGGTATCACCAGAAGTAGCACCAACAACAGTAAGATGATCACGTTGATCGACTGGCTTGTCGCCGTTTTTGCGAGTCAAAAAGAATTCAAAAAGGTTACCAAGGAATTGTAAGGCAACATCCTTGAAGGCAAATGTTGGACCGTGGAAGAGTTCAAGAACATCAAGACCATTTTTTAAATTCTTAATAGGTGTGGTCTCGGGATGACGGAAGGTAGAATAAGAACGTTTAATAATGTCCTTCAAGGCATCAGCAGGTATCTCTTCGCGAGGAACGTATAAGGACATAATTTCGAAAGCAACTTCGGAAAAGCTCTTGTTCTTCCAATCCTCAACCCAATTCTTAGGGAATTGGGGAATTTCGTTAGGAATAAACAAACCACCATCACTAGCCAATCCCTTCAACTAATATTATTCGTTAGAAATTGAGTAAGATAAAAGACATAAAATCACTAAAACATACCACAGCATCTTCAAAAGACAAGTTTGAAGATCCACCACGAGTAGACAAATAAGTTATATTGCTCGACATATCAAAAATTCCAACTCACCGTTGTTGGTTTTAGTAGGATTAATTTTTTGCAGAAAGAGCTAGTGTTGAAGGCAAACCTCCTTACTGATCGTCGTTAGACTTCAGTATCAGATATCTCCCATTCTATCCTCGATAGTAAGATCATGGTAAGCACTATTACATATACTGAACAAGACGGAGCACTACGGTGACGGAGGTGGGAATTTACAATGTAATAGAACGAGGTTTGATTTCTTGGTTTTGAATTAGAAAAAATTAAATTGCTCCTCAAGTTTGGTGAGTCCGGATTATAGATTACATTAACTGTTCGTAATACCACAGAAACGTTTTACGAACATTTCCACTCGATGTTTTTGAAGGATTACTTTCGGAAATCCCATTTTCAGACTTCTTCTTTCGATGATTCAATAGAAATCAGTGTGAAGATAGAAATACAACTCTTCGGGCCGTATATTAATTCATTAACCATCATACAGATTATTGGCACGAGAATGAAACACGTAGTTGGCAATTGTATAGCGGGATCAAGGATGTCAGCGGGTTTGACAAAAATAGAAGAGTTGATATTAGACATGAAATTTATGTTATGTATGTAAAAGCATTAAAGAAACGGAATTTACGACGCGGACTATCTATCATCCATCAGAAGCATCAAGCTGAAACACAATACGAACGGAAAAACAATAATAATAAAAAAAAAAATAAGGATCCGACTAGCAACTCTAATGGATTAGAGAAGCAACCTGTCAGTATCATAAGAATTCATGAAGAGCAAAGAAACAATACCAAGCCAACATAAGACGACGTCATGAATCAAGTATCAAAAAAGGAAAACACAAGATGAAAGTAAATGTGTCCAATACGACGGATAAAATAGATTAACAGCAACGCTTCACAGAATGGTCATTTCCAAGATCGACGTTGTTCCCTTGATTGTTGAATTCATGTTCGGCATCAATCTTTTGCTTTTTGATTTCACGAGCAAGCGTGAAAAACGCTTCCTCCACATTGACATTCGTCTTGGCACTAGCTTCCAAGAATCTTACTCCAAGTTCATCAGCCAAAGCTTTTCCCTGTTCAAAAGAAACTTGTCTTTGATCTTCGCAATCACACTTATTACCAACTAAAATTTTGTACACATTTTCACTGGCATGTTGTTCCACGTTGCTGAACCATATTCGGATGTTGTCAAAAGACTTTTTGTCTGTAACATCATACAATAACAAAATACCCATTGCTCCACGATAATATGCAGTTGTAATTGTGCGGAATCGTTCCTGGCCTGCAGTATCCCATATTTGTAGTTTGATGCGCTTACCATCAAGTTCGATGGTGCGAATCTTGAAATCAATCCCAATCGTTGTAATAAAAGATGGCGTGAAGGAATCCTCGGAAAACCGTAAAAGAAGACATGATTTACCTACTCCTGAGTCTCCTATAAGAAGCAATTTTATTAAATAATCGTAGGATTTTGTTGACATAGTGGAGAGTTGCTCTTGACAAGGTCGACGGTGGTGAAAGTCCTTGGAAGCTTCGAAAGAGTATGTGTAATAAGCACCTCCAAATACATAAAATAAATTTTTGAGAATGTGTTTTAAATTGTTTGTGTATTTAAATTATTATATGTGTGCGGGAAATGAATTTGGGCTATTCAAGGCCTCTTATGTCTGTAGAAAAGGATATGGAAAAGAAATAAATCCCTTAATTAAATGGTAACATTTCTTTCTGCATCGCAAAGTTTTATGATTGACCGATCGAGTTCAACAGAGCAGTAATGCCAATGCAAATGCTAACCAAGAGATGAGTGACAGTCTTTCCCTAAACGCATACATTACTATAATATATTTTATATTTTAGCCAATCTTAAAGAAACTCACAAAGCCCATCAATATTTCAATGACCATAAACATGACCAAAGGTCAATTTTTCTACTCTTAAGTCACACATTTGAAAATGATGTATCTTTCAGAACACCAATCTATAAAAGTGTAATACTTCTTAATACTTCGAAACGTTTGAATTACAAAATAATATAGCTGAAAGTGAGAATGAAACCTGTGAAACTCACTCGTTTCAGTCAAATATTAACTAATCGCTGTAGTGATCAGATAAATCAAGAAACTAGGCAATGTTACCTTCAAAATGTTTAATCATTCTAGCATATAAATGGATTCATTTCTATTTATTTATTGATTTGTCGATAGAAAGATCGTGTATGTTTCTTTCGATGTTACACTTCTAAGATCACTTTCGTGAAATAATAGCAAGGTGCTAATATAACAATTGATATTTCTCAACTCATTTATCACTTTTTTCCAAGTCCACAAAAAATTACAATAATTGTCGCCTTTTCAAAAGAAGTACTACCTACAAAGTCATCTCATAATTGATTAATTAATTGATCTATTTTTTTGAACTTGTTTACATAATAGTGAAGCCAACCAAAGAACGGTAAAAAACAAACCGTGACAGTACGACGACGTAAAAAAGCTATCTCGACCACGCTAAAATTCATTAAGCGCCCGCTGAGACGCGTTTTGTAAACAAACGACCTCCGTTAGCTTGCACGTAGAGAAGGGTGGGAAGATTTGTTAATTCGGCATATCTTTTCTTTGGATAAATGAATTTACATACATTCTTTTAATTTCTTGTAAGGTATTCTATATAGAAACAAAACGTCGTTAACTAACAGCGTAAACACAGTTTCAGAAGTGTCAAGAGTACAAGAACAGCAACGGGCTGATTCTTTTCGCTTATTTGTGATTTTTTTTTGAGAACACGTCCATGAACGTGAAATTAACCTATTATCGGTGACTTGCCCATGTCTTCGGATGATGACTTGGATTTTGCTGACATCAATGTAAATGATATCTTTCAAGGCGTAAATTTGGACGAGCTCGAGAAGCAAGCTCAACAACAAGTTCTTTCTCAGAAACCAGCTCCGGCTTCGTCTCCAAGTGTCCAGACGACTCTTGCAAACCCGTTGAATTCACAGGTCCCATTGTCTCAAGGAATAGACTATGGAAGTCTAAATGCTGATGAACTTCAAAAGCAATTACTAATCAGAGGTGGTGAAAATGCGATATTACGTTCAAATATTGCCAAACAAGCAGAGCAAAACAACTTAACGCTAGAGTCCTTAAACAGGTCCATTCAACAACAGCAAGAGTCTTATCAAAAAAAGTTAGAAGAGCTACAAAAGGAGATTGAATATGCGAAAACAAAATCTCTTTTCCATGAGCGTGAAGCCCAAGAAGCCGTGGAGTCTATGAAGAAACTTCAACGGGACGCGAAGTCATCAACAGTTTCACTGGGTTCTTCTCAAAGAACCAGCACTGATGGGTTTCCCAGCGTGGACCATTTGTTTCCCTCTGCCTCTCAGGCAGATCCAGCCCATAAGGCGAAAGTAACACCAAAAGCAGGTACACTAAAGAAGAAACGAAAAATATCATTACCACAGCATACAGAGGGAACACGGCCGAAAGAATCAAGTGCGCAACATGATACATCTTTTCCAATTCATTCCAGCAACATGATACAAGAGCTGTTTGTTTTCCAAAAAAGAGAAGAAATACTGTTTTTGTCCCGAAATCTAACAAACATTTTGAATTGTTATTCAGTCTTGTTTGAGGAGTTCAAATCCTTTCCTCCCTGCGTTCAACTTTATGAATCATTATGCAACTGCATATACAATTCTGATTTATCATCAGAGTACGACGACTATCAGAATTCTGTCATCCAAGCAATTGCCAGCCTTTTTAAATTGGCCGTTACGAACGAGGTTTTTGGCCCACTGCATGGTCTTGTTCAACTTTTGGAAGGCCTTGTTTTCTTTGATCCAGATAGTTGCGTTTTGCTTTTGCGTGCGCAAATCCCAGCATTGGTCGGTGATTCTATCATGGCTATTGCTTCTAGACGAGATGGAATTTCCTTGAAAAATCTTCAACCTCTCGCCCAGTTTCTGCGATTCTATATGCCAATCGTGTCTGATTTAGCGCCTTCTAAGTTTGAGGAAGTAGCTGTGCAGGTAAGACATGAAATATTTCACCAATGTTTAGAATTTCAAGAATCATTTGTTTTGATGAAAGAAGGAATTTTATTGCTCATGAGTTCTATGACAGTCTCTTATTGTGCTTCTATAAAGTTTGTAAATACGGACGAAACAGGGAGAGATCTAATATTTCGGTTAATTACTACGATTTGTCAAATATTCGTGGAACCTACAAAAGAAGAGAATGATGTGTATTCCATTGTAAAATGGAAGGAAATCCATCGGACGATATTATCCCTAATTACGAATTTTTTACAAAAGAACCGTGCAATTACAACCGAAATCCTTCGCAACTGTTATCCTGTAATATCTTCCTTTGCTCTTGGCTTATGTTGGTACCACCATCGGCTGTTGAGCGCTATGTTTGACACAGCAGATACTGCTGACATATTGATGTCTATTATTCGACTTTTGTATTTAATCGCTCCAGCTGACTTGTCTTCCCGACTCATGAGCGCCGGAAACGGCCTTCATTCAAGATTCATATATTCCTTGGCTTCATGTACTTTTGGCGACTTTGAAAATCACTTGTTTGGCGACGATGCATCAGAGACTACTTCTTTGGGTTCTCATTTATTGGAAACTTGCTTGTCTCCAGAAGAACTGGAGCAATTGTACAATAATTTTTGACTTTTTCATCATTTCCTAAGATTTCATTACAATAAAAACATTTTTGTTTCCAATAAGTTTTCAAATACTCGCTCGTTCTTTCTGTTATTATTTAGGGGTTTTCTATATCTTAATTTATTCTACATTCTCTCATATAACTTTGGGTATTTTCAGATACCATCTACAAACATCATACAATACTTCATTATAAGTTTTGGTATATCATAAATGAATATAAATTTTTATTCAATTACCTTTGTTCCTAAACCATTATAACTAGAATAAAATAAAAAGATCATTAAAAAAAGGGACATCGCAGTGCAATCATAGTCAATAAAACTTATTGATCATGCCTCGCACACATACAAAAGTTGAAAGAAGGTTAGGGGATAAAAAGCAAAAGGGAAGTTTCGAGGATGAAATACATGCTTTACTGTCCTCAAAATCAATTTTTGTTATTCTAAAAAAGTTTAGATGGGAAGATCCATGCCAAGGTTGATGTGGACAGACTTGGTTTGAGTGTAGTTTGTCAAACCATACGAACCAAGCTCACGTCCGATACCACTCTCCTTGTAACCACCGAAAGGAATTTGGTGATGCAAAAGGTTGTAGCAGTTAACCCAAACGGTACCAGCTTCCAAGCTGTTGCTAACCTTGACGGCGTTACGGAGGTCGTTGGTGTGGACACCAGCAGCCAAACCAAAGGTACTGTTGTTACCACGACGAATGGCTTCTTCGACAGTCTTGAACTTAATGATGGCCAAGACGGGACCAAAGATTTCTTCCTTACCGACAGCCATGTCTTCAGTGACGCCAGACAAAATGGTAGGTTCAACAAAGTAACCAATGTGACCATGGGGCTTACCACCAAGTTCAAGCTTAGCACCGTGTTGGATACCACTCTCGATATAACCAATAATACGCTCGTATTGTTGCTTAGATACTTGAGCACCTTGGAAAGTCTCTTCGTCGAAAGGATCACCGACCTTCAAAGACTTAGCCTTGTTAACAACACGGCGGACAAATTCGTCGTAAACGTTCTCTTGGACGTAGACACGGCTACCAGCGCAGCAAACTTGACCAGAGTTGTAAAAGATACCAAAGTTGACCCAGACGGCAGCCTCTTCCAAATCAGCATCGTCGAAAACGATGTTGGGGGATTTACCACCAAGTTCAAGAGTAACCTTCTTCAAGTTGGAAGCAGCAGCGGAACGCATGACCATACGGCCGACACCAGTGGAACCAGTGAAGGCAATCTTGTCAATGTCCATATGGCAAGCCATGGCATTACCACAACGACGACCATCACCGCTAAGAACGTTGATGACACCGGGAGGGAAGCCAGCGGGCTCGACGAATTGAGTGAGGACAAGAGCAGACAAAGGAGTCAACTCAGCAGTCTTCAAGATAACGGTGTTACCGCAAGCAACTGCGGGACCAATCTTCCAAGCACACATAAGGAAGGGGAAGTTCCAAGGAATAATTTGACCACAAACACCAATGGGTTCGTGGCGGGTATAAGCAAAACGACTGACATCGGTTTCAATAGTTTGACCATAGTCCTTATCAGCCCAACCACCGTAATAACGGAAGCAGTTGGCAGCAGCTTGGACATCACCACGAGCCAAAGTGATACTCTTACCGTTATCGAGGGTTTCAATGGAAGCGAGGTATTCCAAGTTTTCCTCAACGTAGTCAGCCAACTTGGTCAAACAGCGACCGCGTTCAGCACTGGAAAACTTGCGCCAGGGAGCGTCTCTTTGGAAAGCGGCACGAGCAGCCTTAACAGCCACATCGACATCTTCCTCATCAGCATCGACAACTTCGCAGATGAGTTTCTCAGTAGAAGGAGAGAAAACCTTTACACGACCTCCATTGACGGCATCGACGTGCTTGTTGTTGATGAACAAACCGACGGGTTGTTCGTACTTTTTGCCAGTAGGAATGTCAACTTGGACGTTGGGAACTTCACGAAGAGTAGTCATCTTGCAATTATATAATCAGGTAGACGTAGCAAATGTGAAAAAGCAAAAACGATAGATAATAGGAATTGATGAATGGACGTGCAAAAGAATGCCAGAAACAAAACCAAACAATGAAAGAAAAAAGATAAAGGTGTTGCTGACTATGTTAAATCAAAGAATCGATTGGAACAAGTAGTCAAAGGAGAGAGAAACGAAAAAAAAAAAAGAATCAATTTTTTCCTGGTTTCTCTAAAAAAAAAAGAGTACAGAGGTAATGAATTGTATATAAAGATTATTTATATATATGTATATAGACGATCAGGGGGAAAAAGTCAACGAAAGTGGAGACCCAAAATTCGTTGCTAAAAAAAGATTAAAAAGAAACGTGAACTAGAGAATCGTCTTCTCCGATGAATTCAAGAAATTAAATAAAAAATAAAAAAATAAAAACACAGCTTGGAGAATAGTATCCTTCAAACACGGCGGCGATGGGCCTTTTATATTATCTAGGAACTTTCGTGATTGGTCGATTCGCCAAGCAACATTCAAACGAATAGAAGAAAAAGTGGCACCAACCATGACTCAGAGAGAGGAGAAAAGATGTCTGAGATGACAGTAATTCAAAGGGCGAAACCTGACACCACTTTAACGTCATGCCTGCATGACATACCTTGAAACCAATCAAACACCCTTTTTTGTACCAATAAAAACCACATACGTAGTTTCTATTCGATCATTGGATAAAGCTGACTTCATAATCAGGCTTCTTGATTTGGTTGTGGATGAAAAAGGTGGAGGTAACCCTTAGGGAGAGCAGAAGGTTCAGAAGGTTTGCAAGTAGCGATCAAGAAAACCCAAGGAAGAAGGTTCGGGCGAGCAAAGTCGCAGTTGAAAGTTTCGGCTGCTCTTTAGTCCGCAATTTTTTTTAAGTTGAAGAAAAGCGATTCGTTCTTCTTTACGCTATCGGCGGTATCGGAATCATAAAATCATGCGTTAAAAAGAAATCTCCTCAAGCAAACCCCTTTCGTTATCAGGAAAAGTGGTTTCATAAAAAGGGTCCTTTCCCTGTTTTATTTTGTTGGGTCTTTTCTTTTCTTTTCTTTTTTTTTTGGGTTTTCCTTTGTGTTTCTCCTCTCCTCCAAACATGTGTGTGTCTTAAAATCTTGAAATATTCGAGTCAGGGCCTCTCTGTGAGACCCTGATTACGTCTGGTTAGTGCAAAAGTCAACAAAAACATGTGTTTGCCTTATGGAAGGTTTTACAGATGCGATGGAGTCTTTTTGTCCAATTTCGACCTTTTTTCCATCGGTTTTTACTGGTCCTTATTCAGCACTCATTCATCAAGCGCGACTCGACTGAGTCAGTGGTTTGTTTGAAACTGCGAAGCTTTTTTCCGTTAAGGACGGACAAGTGCGAGTGTGTTGCTCCTAAAGGCTTGAAAAAGAAAAAAGAAAAAAAAAAAAAAACACAGAGGAAAAAGAAAGGAAGAAGAAAAAAAAATGTAAATCATGAAATTTTATTAAATTATTGATAAATTCAATACATTCATAATAATTATTTTAATTCATTACTTTATCTATTTTCAAAAAGCTTTGAAACGAACACAAAAAAGAAAGAAAAGGAAACCCCCATTGCGGATACTTGCACTACTTACTCTATTACGGCCGCGTCCAGAAATGGCTGCGCAAGTACACCAGGCTCCGTTCTTTACGACTATCGGCCAATTGGTACCGTGGGAAGCTTAGGTTAGGTCCGACACCGTCTCCTTTTACTGACTGCGTAGCTGAACCCGCCCGAGCTACAGCTCCAGCTATAGCTATAACAAGTAGCAAGTACCAAGTAACCCATGCAAGAAATACCACTACCCACTACATTGCAATGGAAAGAATATGAATTGCGCTAGACTCTGGTATCCAGATGAACGTAGGTTGTTTCCACTCGCTGGAAAATAAACAATGATATACAATGAAAAACCAAAGAAAAAGAAATTTTTTTTGGTAATCGTTGGAATCTTGTAAAGAAGTAAAAGAAAAAAATGTGTTTAACTCTCCGTTTTTGCATGCATCGTCATTGGGATGAATGGAATCTTTTCTTTCACAACCGTTACAAACACACATAGTTCCAATTCTGTAAACTTTTGTTGAGATTTTTTTTTTTATATTTCACATTTACATCTATACAAACCAAACCGCCTGCAGTTTTCATTGTTTCCGCGTTTCTTCTTTCCTACATGCCAATGCCGATTCGTTACAATGAGATTTGACTCTGTTGACACATTGCCCAAAACGATCCTCGTTTCGAATACAACGATTTGGGGCTTCCGTACTCAACAACCTTTCCCGCGTCTAATACCAAGATTTTGTCGTAATCCAATACCGTCTTAATTCGATGCGCAATGCACAACACGGTCGCATTTTGGAAGACTCCTCGTAACATCTCTTGGATTCGACGGTCGGTGGTATCATCCACGGATGCCGTACTTTCATCCAATATAATAATCTGCGATTTCCGAACGAGTGCCCTTGCAAGTGCCAAAATCTGTCTTTGTCCTTGAGAAAAATTCGTACCGCCCGTTTCCACCGGTGTGTCCAACTGAATCGCAAAAGACGATCCCGTCGTCCCTGATCCTATTTTCACCAATGTGTCACAAGATGTCACTTGTAATATATCGTTCAATTCTTCATCACTCACACACTCAAAGGGATCCAAATTGCTTCTGACTGTACCTGAAATCAAAACCGGATCTTGCGGAATAAGACTTACTCGCCGCCGGAGCGTTTCCAACTGAACCGTGTTAATATCCACTCCATCAATTCGAATGCTCCCGCTCGTTTGGTTGGTAAATCGAAGTAGGCTTAAACCCAATGTGCTCTTTCCGCTTCCCGTCCTTCCCACAATCGCGAGCTTTTCCTTTGGCGCTACCATCAAACTTATGTTTTCAAGCACAGGTTTTGCACTCATTCCATAATGGACCGTTAATTGCTGCACATCTAACGATCCCGATCTTGGCCATTCCTCATCTCGTGGCTCACAGTCCGATGCCGACTTCTCCTCTTCCAGCGGTAGGTTACTGTATTCGTTCAGTCTATGATAGCTATTTAAATGCGTAATCAACTCATTGCTAGCTCGCACAAAGATTAATACGCATAAATTTAATCCGACCGCACTGTTGAGTGAAAATCCAACCAATTCTGTAGGTATATTTTGTTTCCATATGGCTATCGACGCTGTAAGAAAACCAACCAAACCACTAATCCCGTCAGTGCGAATTGCCAGCCAGCGATTGATCGCATAAGACACAAACTGTGATTGTAGCATATGGTCAAGAACAATCATGTTTTCCATTTCAAACATCCGTTCTTTTTTGAATGCACGGATGACCGTTAAACCAGATAGTGTTTCACCCAACAAACTAAATACGGGCGATATTTGAGAAGAAGAACAAGCCGTAAGCTGCTTTTGTGCCTTTGAATACACGTAAGCAACCGCATATACGACGGTACAAACTAAAACGGCAGGACCAATAAATATAGGCATTATGATTGTAACGTTTCCAAGCCCCATCAACAAAGCCATTAGACAGCATGATATGTTTTCAATCGAAACCCATAAGGAATTGTCTACAGATGCAATATCCTTTGAAAACCGGTTTATAACTCTTCCTACCGCGATCTTTTCAAACCAGTGCAATGGACTACCAAAAACGTGTTCTGAGACCCGTTCATGAACGGATCTACTGGCTTTACGGCCTCCAGCAGAAAACAATCCACCTCTCGTTAAGTCGACAACAAAGTAAATGACCAAGAGAAATGCATACCCCTGGAGAAAAGACATCGGAAACGGAAGCCTAAGTTTTTTATGAGATTGTCCGGACCAGAGTGCTACCCAGAAATCAATACTTGCTATCATCAACTGAGTTAATATTACAAACGACCCAGAAATGCTAAGGAACAAGGAGGATCCGAAACATCTCATATAGTGACTTGCTAAATAAACAAGGCTAGGTTTTGCAGCACTGACAACTCGTGTTGATGCTTCTTCTTCAGAAGATACTAGATTTTCTTGACGCAGATTTTCGTGCGGATTTGAGACGTTGATTTGCGCGGGTTCATGACTAGTGTCATTATGATGAATAGATAGAAAAGAAGAAAGTTGTTCCTTTACTTCTTTGGAGGGAACAAACCTCGCTGTAGCATTTTCCAACAAAATGATATTGTCAACCATTGATATAGAAAGATTGATATTGTGAGTAAATAATATAACCGTTTTATCCTTTAAGAGCCCGCTCTCAAAGCAGTTTTTATAAACCTTCTTCGATGTCGCAATATCTAGAGCCGAAAATATGTCATCAAAAACATAAACATTAGTATTCGAATATAATGCTCGGGCTAATGAGATCCTTTGCTTTTGTCCCCCCGAAAGACTTGATCCGTTTGACTGAACAAAAGTTAAGTCACCGGCATGGAATCTTTCAAAATCAGCTTCTAAACAGGAAGCCTCAATAACCTTGCGGTATCTGTGTTCGTCAAAAATATCCCCAAAAAGAATATTAGCTCGAATGGTATCGTTTCTGAGCCAGGATGTTTGGGGAACATATCCGACACACTCCTCTCGCAAAGGGACATTCATTTCACCACTAGTAAGGTGCAATTCACCAAGAATGGCAGCAGCTAATGTCGATTTCCCAGAACCGGTAGCTCCTAACACCAACGTAAATTGATTACGGGGAATTGTAAAGTTCAAGTCTCTAAGCTGAAATTGAGCAGAAGAAGGAAAAGGATACCATGATAGCGAAGCATGCGTAAAAGAAATTTCTTGATTGCTAACGGGTAATCCATTTTCTTCGCATCCTTTAGCTAAAAACGAACTAACACGATTGATAGAAACCCTAAATTGAATCATTTGTCGAAGTATACCCGACAGGGTTATGAACTGATTTCTAAGTACAGAAAACAAAGAAATAGAAGTAAAAGCAATGGAAGGGGATAATTCTCGATTCATTACTTTTGTGAATGCCGCGAATGTAATAAACATACATAAAAAGGGAGCGATTTTCATACAGCTCTTAAAAATGATATCAAGAATATTTAGTCTCCAAATATTCGCAATTTCGATATTGCGTTTTTTGCGAATTTCTTGTAGCATTGGCTGCTCCCAACCAAAGAACTTAGTCACTCTGATACTTCGTAATATTTCTGTTGTAAATCGAATTCTATCATCACTTGAACGGTTGGCTATTCTAGTAAGCTCGGCTAATTTGGAAGAAATTAAAAGAGGAAGGAGAGCACTGCCAATTGCCAAAAGAACACCAACGTAAGCACTCCAGCCGAGTAACTGGTGTAAGAAAAACATAGCTATCCCCACATCAATAGGACCTCGAATAAAAAAACTAATAAACTCTCTCATGTTGGCTATATTCTCGACATCTGAAGCAAGCAAATTATATATATGGTCAATGTTAGCTTGAGAACCATCCATAGTTAATTGAGAAACCTTAGAATAAACGACCTTTTCATAAATCAATTGGGAGATACCTGCCTTGGTACGTAGCATAAATCGTCTCGAGATATGAACACTGTACTCCTTTATGACAGAAGCAACATATGGGCCGAATAATAACATGAACAGCAAATGAATTGGGAATATTGAGGAGTTGTCCTGCTGGGTTTGAAGATATTGAAGTAAGTTTTTTATCGTGTACGGCGATATAAAAGTAGTCAAACTCACGAATATAGAAAGCACGACAAGGTAAACAACGTTGACTCGTAATGAGTACAAAATCATGGCTATAAGACCCTTTTTCCCTCTTTTCTGGAAAGAAGAAAACCATATTGAAGTTTGATCTGTATTGGGCAACGCAGGCATATCTGCAAGAGAAACCGGATTTTTCCAAGCCTTCCAAATAATATCATTAAGCCAACCATATGTGAAGAACAATGAAAATAAGGAGCAAGTCTGTTCGGTAGACGGAATATCAGAAATAACGTTTGGTTGAACAGGATACCATACTCGAGGAGTGAACAAAGGAAAGAGGTTCAGAAGAAATAAGATCACTATGTAAGAAACCTGGATACGATCGCTAAGAGTACTTAACCGTAAGACTTGGAATTGTTCAGTTGCAAACTGAGATGAACAAACGACACTTAAAACAGAAAATGTGAACAAGCCTGAAGAGTAAAGTATGCTCAACGTATAAAATAATGGTGCCTGTAAATGGTCTCTTGATGATATTATATAAAAGCATATTAGCTCTAGATGAAGCAATATTTGTAGCGGGTACCATAGCTTTGTTGGTTGGATCCATAACGAAAGAAGGGAGGAAACTGAAGATAAAAATATTTGCGAAAAGTCTATAAATTTATATTTAGCAAAGTATCTTCTGATATTCTTGGGTAGGGATTTTGGTTGAAATATACAACGAATAAGAAAAAGGTTCGTAAATACAAACAGGCTTAGAAGAAAGTATAGTTCCCATTGTTCAAGTAGATGAATAACAATTTGTTGAAACTTGACGTTTATGATAGAATAGTTAAATAACATCGTCAGGCTCCTTAAACAGTGTGCCTGTATTTTGGGAATCCAAAAGAAACGAATTCAACGATAACAAAACGAAATAATTGCCAAGGGAATTAATTGGAATGCGTCAAAGGTATCTTAAAGCAAAAACAAGACGAGAAACTAATAGTCGTGCATTGACGTGAAATGCAGATTGAAATGAATAAAAGACAGGTGCAAGCAAAAATCAAATTCACCTACTAGAATTTTACGAGTTTTTTAGATGAATGTGATTAAAAAACGCATGCTTTCAATCACAAATTTCAAGGGATTGAAAAACTCTGGGTAATGGTTCTATTCATCGGTCAGAATGAAACTGAGAGAAAGTTTCTAGGGATGAATGAATCTTTCTACTCGAGAACAAGATAAACCGTCAGTACAATTTCTCAATATAATAAGCATAGTATACAAAACAATCTATACACATCCACTACAAAGACTACGACACACATCCACATAGTATTATATCGGAAACCATGATGACCTATAAGACATAGGCTCATCAAAATCATAAAAGAATTCATTTGTGTACTTCTTCTATACTTTAAAATCGTAACGTTATACGGCATCCATCAACTATGAAGCAAACAAATCACACATAAAGTTTAATTAGGCAAAGAGGAGAAGATAACATTAAAAAGAAAAAGAAAGAAAATATGCCTAAGTAAATAACTAAAAAGGTCAAAAAACTTTTACTTGTATGCTTCCATCGCAGTATATTAGGTTAAGAATGTTTTAAATTTACTCCTTCTTCTCTTCCTCATCGGCTTCTTCTAACTCGGGCTCACTGCTTTCTTCCTCATCATCTTGTCCGCCCATATTAGCACCCATGTTACCGAGTTGGCTGAAATCCATGCCTTCCATACCACCCATGCCACCTAAGGCACTCAAGTCAGGCATGCCGCCGGCGCCAAAGGGATTGGCAGCAGCCTCAGGTTGAGCCTCTTGTTCATCTTCGTCGACCCAGCGTTCAAAATCAGTACGGAGCCAGTGAAGGCGAAGCTTTTCTTTGGTCAAACGAGGCCAGAATTCTTCTTGAAGCTCTTTCTTGAAAAGAACGAAGAAGATGTTACGGCCGGTAAGAGAGTATTTGCTCTTTTCTGTGTCAATTTCCTTAAAAAAGTCAATCTGGACGGCATAGTGAGCAGCAGCTCCAGATTTGCTGTCAATGACTAACTTCTCGGATGTCAAATTAATCTTGGGCTCAACTGCATCAGGAATTACAACAGTTAAATAAACAACATTCTTTTCAGGGTTCTCTGGATGAGATCTTTGAGCCCATAAAACTAACATATAGTTAGTAAACCATTCCGCTTTCTTCACGTAGCCAATATCGTAAACCCAACCATTCGCGTTCCTTTAAGCATGCAATTCTACTATTTTATATACCTGCATTGGACACGAAAAGAAAGATTCAACCTTTCTACGTCAAATTTGTACTTACCTTCAGGAATTTGAGTACCGCTCATTTTTATAATAGATTAAAATTGTTCACAAGTTAAATAAAAAAACTAAGTGAAATTAAATGTTATTAGTCGGAATCACTTTAGTTGCCGGTAATTGCTATTGTTGAATATGGGGGTCCTTTATGATATATATAGTGAGGGTTATGTCACCAACATAGGTTTTTTCTAGAAAACTAACTACAACACTTTCACGATTGTACTAGAAAAGTGATTGGTATTCTCGGTGAAATCCGTCATTCTTTAATAGAATTTCTTATTTTATTTTCAAGTTATCATCATAGGGATTTCATTTCCGTAAACAGTTGGTGCAAGGACATTTCCGGTGCTTGCGCCGCCGTTCAAATAATCCAAAGAGCGAGGGTTTGTGTTTCAAAATCCTAAGAGTAAATTTAATATTCTATAGGATTTTTTTTACGAGTGAAAGGCAGCTGTTAGAGTCGCTATCGTTGTAGCTTACGATTGATTGTTTCTGCAGTAACTGTCCAGGTAAAGTCTTTAGGACTTGGATGTTAACACAATTAAACTCTAAGTTCGCATTTATATTGAAGAAGAAACGTACTTTCAGATTCTGTATGTCCAATTGGTGTCGAACATACACTATCCTTTATAAGTTATAGCAACATGCAGACCGTACGCTCCTATTTGTTTGGTCCGACACCTCAAGAGCAAAACCGAAAATGGCAGGCAACTCTTCGAAAAGAGCAAAGAAATATTGATCGCCAAGTGGTGTACTTACAAAATGGTAAAAAGAAAGCCGAGACCCAAATGAAAGCCCTTGCAAAGCAACGGGACATTTCAAATATGCGGGTGTTGGCTAAAGAACTGGCTCGAACAAATCGACATCGCAAGAAGTTAGCTGAGTCGAAAGCTATGCTCGGAAGTCTCAGTATGCAACTCAATGAGCAAATGGCTATGTACAAGATCGAAAAGGCTATGAAATCAAGTACTTCTGTCATGCAAAGTGTTTCAAGCTTGGTTCGTCTTCCAGAGCTTTCTCAAACTATGCGTAGCTTATCGATGGAACTGACAAAAGCTGGGATTATGGAAGAAATGCGTGATGAGATGATATTTCCCGTCGAAGATGAGGGCTTTGAAGACCTTGAAGATGAAGACGAAGAAGTGAAAGAAATCTTGTCACAATTTCAGCCAACTATTACCAAACCGTCTGCGCCTGTATCCAAGGAAACCTCACATAATAAACCTGTTGAATCGCTTGAACAGAAACTGCCTTCTGTAACCCAACAAAACGCTACTCAAGATTACCAAGAAATTGATAATGAGCAATTGCTGGACATTCGTGGAAAACTAGATGCACTTAAATCCTGAGTTTTCATGTACGATAAAACTATTCCTTTCTTACTTCTTTGTTACATGCTTCGTAATGACCTTTATGCGCATGAAATGGCGCTTTGAAAATTGCCTCAATAGTCTTTCTATTCTTGATGCTTTGCATCCCTTCGTTTCACTTTCAATTATTAAATTTTACTTTTAATCATTATTATGATATCTTTTTGTTTTAGTTTTCTACAATTATTTCTGTAGATTGTATTGTATTTGCTCATCCTTCCCAGTTTAGTTAGCTGTGACATAAGTTTTGTCATCTACAAACCCTCCTCAATTTGCTTACAGCAAGTCATCGAATAATTTTTGTAATTTCTTGGTTCTATTATTGTTAATTTATTGAATAAGAATATGTTAGTGTTATTTGGTCAGCCAGAAAATTGGCACGAGCAGGACTTTCGTGCAGTCGATGATCGAGTCCGCGGAGGACAGTCTACTAGTCATCTAACGGCTGAAAAAGGTAATGGTAGCGATTCTTATGCGAGATTTTGGGGTACTTTAGATACGAAAACTCTCGGGGGCGCTGGGTTTGCTAGTCAAGCAACAAACATTCCTAACCGTAAATGGAACTTGAGAGAGTTCGAAGGTATAGAAATTAATATTGCAAAGAGCGATAATTTCAAATATACTTTTATAATTAAAGATGATCATCAGACTAAAAACGATGATGAACGCTCTACTTTATCCTATGAATATGACTTTAGCCCATCCTTTTCCAAAGAGGATCAAAGTATTTACGTTCCCTTCTCCGATTTCCGACCTACTTACAGAGGTCGTCCAGTTGAAGGGGCACCTCCTTTGGATACTAGTGAAATCGTCCAGTTTTCATTTATGATTCGAAGCTTTTTTGATTCACAAAGTGGTGATTTTGAGCTACTTTTGAAAAGTGTTCGTGCTAAACCAAAATATACTCCTCATCAAGCTGATTTGTCTGAGAAACAATTGTACAGCACTGAAGAGAAAACTGACAACGGTCTGCTTTCCTACTGCTTATGCCAGTGAGTTTGTATCCAACATAAGAATGACCGTTACAACTGTTTAACTGATTTTTATTCCAATTTTGATGAAATTATGTGTATCTAGTGCAATGAATAATTTCCCCTTCTGGGCTTGATCAGGGTGTAAGAAGACTTATTATTCATTTGTAAGCTACAAATATCAAATCCATCCAGCAAAAAAACTCTTAAAGCTTCCTTCATCACCGGTAATCGTATATCCGGCTATGAACTTGCAATGGCGTTGAGTCATAAGGTTACTTAAATTGATCTGTCAATACAGTCTTAAAATCAGGCATCTCTGCGTGCGTTATTCTATTCGATTACCGAAAACGTCGCTATAGTGTCTTTTAAAGTTTCAAAAGAAAGTAGAATTGGAATACTATGATAATCACCTAATTTGCGCCATACAAAAAAGCAAAAGAATATGATTTTTCTTAAGCAACTGTGTATTGTGTTGCCATTTCACATCTTTTTATTATAGTAGACACCGTTGTAAAGGGATAAACACTTAGCCTACTAAACAAAGATATCCTAACTCTAGAGCAATCTAATTCTTGAACGCTTATAAATTACTTCTAAATCTATTCAGCTAACATATTAATCTATCTATTTGACAGCTACACAATTAATTGCAGACAACTCGAATATTTTTTCAATCGACTTTTATTTTAAAAACATAAACAATAGCTAAACATCTAAACATACTAAGCTAAAAAACAGTAAACAAATTTAATGAAGGATTATTAGAAAAAAATTTTAAGGGCGACTCTTCGGAAGAAACGCTTGCACGGTGCTTCGGTCGACGAAATTTGGTATTTTTCAATTGAGAAGGAGGATGTGAGCCCAGAGCGTCGAAGCAAGAACTGATTTTTGGAGATTCATCGGAGAATATTTTGTTTGAAAAATGGTTGCCTTTGGTTTCTTCAAGGCGGCAAAATTGTTTTTTTTCGAGCATATTTTTTTGGCAGTGCTGATCATCAAAAAAGTAATTAAGAATGGTTTTTTTTAAAGTTGGATGAGACTGCAAATGCTTCATCGCTTTTATCGTTGAATAAATGCTGTTGTAGGTAATCAATCCTACATTTTTAGGCTTCGAGAAATGAAAACTTTCTACAGGACCGTATATTTTAAGAAGGGAAATAAGGTCACTGCGAGTAACGCTTGGATGGATATTTTCAAAGGAAATGCTTCGTGAAGCTCCATTGGCAATAGCATACAAGAGTTCATCAGTAAAAGGGTTATTACATTTAGCCCATTCTATCTTTAATGGGCGACCATGTAAGTAAAGTGATTGTTTTTCATGAGCGTCTAAGAAAAGTTTTGCATCATAAGACTCCAGAAAAGTGACAAAACATATTTTTTTCTTTGATAGAAAGCGTACTTCCTCTAGAGGAAATCCTTTGAGTAAATTACCGATTTCAAATTGTTTTGTTGTTCTGTGAAATCCGCTTAGGAAAAGAGTACGGTTTTTGGAACATGGCTCAAGGTCAGGAATAAGAGGAATATCGTTGGAAGGCTTCGACATGATATCGATTTCAGAGAGATCAGTAAAGGTTTTTGCAGGAGCTTCAATTGGTGATCCTACAAGAGTCGGAGAACTAACGGCAGAAGAGCTTCTTGAAGAACAACTCTCGGTAGATATCTTCGTAAGACTGGCCAGGTCATTTACGGGATTATCACCGGGTAATTCTTTCGGAAGCGAGGCAACAGAACTGGGATTATGGAGGAATTCAAATGTATCAGGTTCTTGTTCCTCAATTATTGTATTCAGGGAAGTATTAAGTTGTTCAGTAGCATCGGATGACGGATATATATTAGAGGGTAACGTTTCCGCTGTGAATTTCGTAGATTCATGTTTCAATTCATCTTCAATATCAGATCGATATAAGGAATTCAATTTACTATGTAAATCTTCGGGAAAGCTTTCAGATTTATTCGTTAATATCATGTCCTCAAACCGATTAACGGCGTCGTCTGAGTCTGATTCAAAAGACTCATCATCGTACCAATGACTTTTGCTATTGGTCTGCAAGACAGCGGGTTCATTAAGGTTCGTGTGCAACATAGGCTGCTCTTGTGCATGTTCACTTTTAGTAGACATCTGAGGGGTTGGAGATGTATCTGTGTTGACAACTGAAGAAACATATTTCTTGGAGGATTGACTTAAAATTGATTTCGGTGGAGAAGACATAGTTGAGGTATTGGTAACATTTTGTAAGGCAGCTATTCTGGAATGACATTCGAGGACGGAACGAGAAATGCTGGCTTTCGATTGGGGACTATTAATATGGTTTTCGTGAAATGATTTATCGGAAAGATGAAACTGCTTAGTAACAGATCTTTTGGGACTTGAATGCCTCTGATTCTCAAACGGAATCACTTCCGGATCGGATATACGGACAGATTTTGTTTTTGTGGTTCGTAATGGTTTTGTAGAATCTTTCTTTTCGGGTGCAACAACGCTGGACTCTTCTTGCTTAGGAGTATCTTCCAAGGAACGTTCAGGTTTAATAGTCGTCGTAACTGGGTTGGGAATCTGTTCTTGACTAATTTCAACGTTGCTGACATCTTGTTTTTGAGAAGTATTTTTTAATGAAGATTCGGGTAAAACAGTCGTGGTAATTGGATTGGAATTCTCTTCTTCATCAGCTTCAACGTTGCCGGACTCTTCTTGCTTAGGAGTATCTTCTAATGAACACTCGGGTTTAACAGTCGTCGCAATTGGATTGGGAGGCTCGTCTTTATCGGCTTCAACGTTACCAAACTCTTCTTGCTTAGGAGCGTCTTTTAAAGAATATTCAGTTTTATCAGTGGTCGAAATTAAGTTGGGAGTCTCTTCTTTATTTATTTTAACGTTGCTGACATCTTGTTTTTGAGAAGTATTTTTAATGAAGATTCGGGTAAAACAGTCGTGGTAATTGGATTGGAATTCTCTTCTTCATCAGCTTCAACGTTGCAGGACTCTTGTGTTTGGGAAATATATTCAAAAGAACTTTCAGGATTAGACTTCGTCTCGCTAAGCTTCAGCTCCGGTTTCAAACCAATGTTTTCAATAGACGAATTTACTTGAAGTGGTTTTTCCTTCTTTTCACCACTTGTTTTATCGGACTTGTGAGCATTAATTTCGGCTTGGGGATTCGAGAAACTGAATCCAGCTTCCACTTTTTCAACCTGATAATCAGTGTAATAGTAGCGGTCGCATCTTTCATAGAAACAGCAACAATTTAAATAACTATAATAAGGGTTCAACAAAACGGAATTGATGCAATTAAGAGCGTCTTCAATGCTGAGGTAGTGGATGTAAATAGAGTGGGTTTGGGTGCAAACTGAAATAAGCTCAGCTTTACCGAGAGAGCATACATATTGAATTAAAGGAGCTTCATTAAAGTCAGAAGGAAGTCCAGAAATTTGAACATTTCTACTAACAAAACCACGGTTGCAGGCGTCAATTATATGTGGCTCCAAAGGCATGGGATCAATGGTTGAAACAAGGAGACGTTGTTTTAAAAAGGTAAAGTCGGTATAGCGGACAGTGTTATAAAAATCAAGAGCATCAGCAGCAGAAAGGAAAGCAAGGAAAAGTTGGTTTTGATCATATAGGGGGACAATACGTTCTAGGGTTCCAAAGTGATTGAGGTCTAAGAATTCAGAAACATTGTATAACGAGGGCATATTATGAATAAGCATAGCTCGATAATCCCAGTAACCATGTGGGAGAACCTGGAAATTCGCTAGTTCGTCGACTCTATTTTTGTCGGTATCGGAGGACGGCTGCGGATGAGGAGGCCGCTGAGAGGTATCCATGCGAAAATTGGCTAATATATTCGCTTGTTCATTCGAACCACTTTGGGCTAGAACAGTAAACGGTATCGGGAAGGGTAGTTGTGAGAAATTTACATGCATTGGTTTCATATGCGACTGCATAATCCCCATTGGAATGCTTGTGGGAACAGGAGGCATGTAAGGATTGCAATAAGTCATGGGAGAAAAAATGGGACCATCCATGGGATGCTTAACGCGAATGTTCATGGAAAGAGAGCTTGGGCGAGAAGATTGTTGCATGTTGAATCAAAGAAAAGCAAGAAAGGCAAAAAAAAGTAAACGTTTTATGTTTATGTTAATGTTGGTGCTAAGAAACGATGATAGCACTTGTAAAGAGAATAGAGAAAGGTGACAAAAGCAGGCAGAGTAGAGTGTACGAGGCAAAAGAAAAAGTAAAGAATCCTTTTTGACTTTGTTGTAACGATATAAAAAAATAAGAATGTAGTAGGTACACAGGAGTAAAAGATAGGAGAAGTAGAAAGGTGCGAAAATAGCTCAGCAAAGAAAGCTTGGTAAACAAAAGATAGAATCAACTGTTTGAATATGTGGAGAAAGGAGGGAAATCAGTTGCTATTTATGCTTTTGAAAACAGAAATAGAATCAGTGTTTTGTAATCAAAAAACAAATAAACATCCCTTGAATTGTTTGTTTACTTTTTGTTTAAGCTTCGTTTAGTACATAATGATGTAAATAAAATCTCAAAACAAAGCAGCTGATTCGTTGCACAAAATGGCTTCTCCACAGTTTTACGTCTTTAACGGTGTAAACAAAACTTAAAACCAAAATTAAAGCAATGAATCCAAACGAAGGCTTGGTTCACCCCACCTTTTTGAGCGCCGCATTTGTTTGTTTACAAACAAACAAACAACTTTATATTCGAGCTTGTTTTTGTGGCAAAAGAAAACCAATGGATGAAGTAATTTTGTTTGTTTTTCTTTAAAACAGAATAAGCCTCAATGAATTAGCGTTGAGCGTACCATCCCCAAAGAAAATCAACCCGGTTAGCAATTCAAAGTATATTATACTATAAAATTACATCATATATCCCTGATTCGTGTCATGAAGACAAAGTGTTCAAAATTCGCTTACAATAATTAGTAGTTAAAAGCTTTTCAACAAATTCGTCGTAACAAGGTAAAGCTCAGTGTGTGTTTAAACATCCCAAAGCTCTTGTACAACGTTACCCGGCATCCATAAACCATTTCAATTCTATGAAATTTTCAAAGGTACCTTTTTCTTGTCGATCCAGCGTATATTAACATTCGTCGAAAAAAAAGTCTCGTGAAGTAACTTGTTCTTGGTTGTGTGACGTACACTTGTTATTCGTAAAACATTTCGCATATAATTATACCAAATTTTATGGAAAGCCAAAGAATCTGCTTCTTTCGCAACATTTTTTTCTTTTATTGTAGTTCTTTTAAATTCCTTGATTCTCTTCGTTACCCACGCGCTAACAGAACTGAGCTTGCAGGTTGATTTGCCACTCGGTATAAAGATTTATTAAAGAATTTACGTGCAAGAAAACATCATCAATACGCTGACCTAAGGATTCATACCTGAATGCGAATGAGTAAATAAGCGCATACGACCAACAAGAGCTCATTCGCGATCATTAGTAAGCACTTACTAAATAAGATGATATCTCCATGACTAAATGCGCTTTTGGATATGAAAACCAGCAGTAGTTAAATACAGACAAACCGAACTTCGAACGCATAGGGCATAGGGTAACTTAATCTAGAAAAAAAAAAAAGATTTGTAACAGTTAGTGTTACAAATCAGCGGGTTTGTCATAGACAAAAATAATAAAAGCAAATGAGCTTTCTTCGGTACACATTTTTTGGTGATATCATTTGCTCTTTAAATTCCAGAAAGAAAGATAATAAAGATGAAGATGAGTTAACTAAAGTTGAATCTCAAAATACAGCAAGAAACAAAGAGGAGGATACAGATGAAAAGGATATAATTGTATCGTGGAATGGGGAAAAAGATCCAGAAAATCCCAAAAATTGGCCGCTAGCAGTAAAGTCATTAGTTACGTTACAAATCTGCTTACTTACGTTCTCTGTATATATCGGATCTGCAATTTTTACACCTGGTGAATTCGAAATGATGCAGGTGATGCACGTCGGGCAGGTTCCTATCACTTTAGGATTAACGATGTTTGTTTGCGGTTATGCTGTTGGGCCTTTACTTTTTTCTCCCCTTTCAGAATTGCCCCAGGTGGGTCGATTGAGGATATATCTGGGGACACTATTGGTATTTATTTGCCTTCAAATTCCTACGGCTTTGGGAAACGGCTTGGGCGTACTGCTGCCCATGCGATTCTTTGCTGGCTTCTTTGGGTCACCTGCTTTAGCTACCGGAGGTGCCACTTTGGCTGACATATGGCAGCCATGGCTTCTTCCATATTTTATTTGCACATGGTCAATAGGAGCTGTCGCTGGTCCAGTCTTGGGTCCATTACTTGGTGCTGCTATGGTAGTAGCAAAAGATTGGAGATGGCAATTTTGGTTTCTGATGATTCTTTGTGCTTTTAGTTTCCTTTTCTTGTTATTTTTCATGCCAGAGACTTCGGAATCTTATTTTCTCTACAGACGCGCAAAAAAGTTGAGAGAAGACAGAAATGATCCAAGATATACCACCGAGGGTGAAATATCAAATCGTGAAACAACGCTCTCTCGGTTAGCTCTTGAAACTCTTTGGCGTCCTGTCCAACTCAGTATTGCTGAACCAATCGTTTTATCATTGAATGTTTATATCGGTCTGATTTATGCCATTCTTTATCTGTGGTTTGAAGCATTTCCAATCACCTTTCAAGAAGTATATCATTTTACATTAGTGGAACTCGGACTCACGTATATGGGATTCATGGTGGGTGTTTTCATTGCACTGGTATTTTATTGTCTCGCTCTTTACAAATTTGCTATGCCAAAGTATAAGGCTACCAACGGCAAATTACCGCCAGAAGAATTACTAAAATTTGATTTTCCAGCAACCGTTTGCTTTCCTATATGCCTTTTCTGGTTTGGGTGGACTAGTCGTGCATCTGTTCATTGGATGGCACCAATCGCTAGTACTGTATTCTATTCCATCGGTGCTTTTGTAATGTTTCAGAGTACATTCCAATATCTCGCTGCGTGCTACCCTAATCATGTTGCATCTATATTTGCTGGAAACGATTTGTTTCGGTCAGGAATGGCTGCTGCATTTCCCCTCTTTGCTAGAGCAATGTTTCATAATACAGGACCCTCTTACGCACCAGTCGGTTGGGGGTGTACAATTTTGGGTGTCATATCTTGTATAATGATTCCAATACCCTTTGTCTTGTACAAGTTAGGTACAATCCTAAGGTCAAAATCAAAATTCGCGACTTCCGAATAATGATACATTAAAAGTTTATGGTTTATGTGATGAGTAAATAGACGTTAATAGATGTTAACTGTTTTATGAACAAAAAGAAAAAAAAAAAAGAAAAAAAAAAAAAAATGATAGTAGAAATTTCCTCAGGCAATGGATTGAGTAGTATGTCTTTGATTCGTTAATGAGTTATTCCTTTTTCAAATTCAAAAGTACTATTATAAATCAAGGGATTGTTGTTCGTTTTTTTTTTTTTTTTTCCTTACATGACCATTTTGCTGCATCAAACTATTAGGACATGGATTACTTATGAAATATATCAGGATGGTTTTTTCAGATAAGGATAATCAAGCAGAATTAGAAGAAAGAAGTTTGAATGAAGAGCAACGATCTAAACTTCAATATCTCGAGTTTCTATCAAGAATATATATTTTCATTTTTTTCGCTTTACTTTGTTTTTGTAACTTGTCACAAGTAACGGTCTATACATGAACCTATAGGTAATACTTGCAAAATAAGAACATCTTCCGATGTTTATTTAGGTGAATACATCACAGTGTACATTGCATTGAGAAAAATCTTCAGTTGTCTAAAAACTGAAAAAAAGGTGCTCCCGGCGAGGATCGAACTCGCGATTTTCACGTAACACACCTCCACAGAGGAGTATCATATAAGCATGAGGCCTTAACCAGCTTGGCCACGGGGGCTACTTTTATGTACTAACATTCAAATAAACTATATATTACTTATATTTTTACTGAACCGTAATGAAACTTATTGAGCTAAACGCTTATAGTACGGAGTAGCTATTGCTTTTACCCTGTACACAATACTTGGTTTGGCGGCTGTAAGAGGGAATAGCAAAGTACAATATTGATGTAAATGAACGATCCTGAAGAATATTTTCAGAAATTGAACAATACTATGTTAGCCGTAAATAATAAACATAATCAAATTCGGATTTCGCCTCAGAAAGCGAGAGCTCAAAGAGATGCATGGAGGTGTTTTAGAGACATGACGCGTACACAAAATGAAAAATTACAAACCACGCGACGAGAGAGTAAATGGAATAAGCAAAGAGGTGGAAGCGTTGAAATGAATCGTTTTATAGATCAAAATACGCAGCAGGAACATGAGAAGCAATTAGAGTTGGCGTCAGAAGAATATGTTTTGGACCCTGCTGACATGGACGATGTACAGGAAGAGAATTTTCAGGAATTTCCACCGGAGTACAGGTGAAGTAGGTTCATTAAATATCATCCTCATATGGTCGTGGAAATGACAAAGATGCTGGTCATCAATAGTTTCACCACCTTTGCAAAACCAACTCTGAAAGGTTTCTTTCCAAAATAAAAAAAATAAAAGGACTTGACTTATCGTGGTTACTATTTATTATCTGTCGCATAAATGAATGGATTTCGTTATATGTTATTTTATTTATATTCAGTAATATACAAACGTAGTTTAAGACACTAAGGAAACAAAAATAGACACTCAAACAAACCTTGTCCCTGAACAATTATCGTTGCAAAACCCTCTTGCAGCTGCTATATATCATTTCTCCATGAGGCGAGGCCGAAATCTATTGCAAAGGACAACCAGTCGCTGCAAAAGAAGAGTTCATAAGCGAAGGTGGAAGCGGATCTTCTTGGATTTCCTCAACCAGTTTGGCAACTTCGGGAGAGTCACGCTGTACTTGGTAATCCGAATTTTCAAAGATGGCGATACATCTTTGAATCTTTGCATATTGGTTTTTGTACGTCTCATCCTTTGCATTTTTTTCATCTTGTAAAAATTTCGTATAGTTCGCTTCCAAATCCTTGAGTGGCTCGTAAAGAATTTCTTTGCTCGTCACTTGAGACATGAGAGAGTTGAGAGCATTTTCCAAGGCATCGTAATTTATATCTTCTGTATTGGAGGCATCTCCAGTTGGATTAGAGTTTCCAAAAATAGATTGAAAAAGAGCATCGTCATTATTTAAACCCATTGATGCCAATTTTTCTTTTTCTGATGCATCAGGATTCCCCGACCCATGAAACTTGTTCACCATGTCTTCAATCAAAGTATCGAGATTGTTGTCACTTTTCTTTAAATCATCTATGCTTTCTTTCTTGTCATCATCCTTTGTATTCCCTTGCTTTTCTTGTTCACGCCTGTCGATTTTGGGAGGTAAGTCAAGCTCGTCTAGAATGTCTAATAGTATATGTTGTTAGTCTCCTTTGTTATTTTTTTTGCAAGTCTCAAAATGTCGATAGTACAGATTGACTCCCAATGCAGCTTTAAACAGCAAATGAACTTTTGTATTTATTAAAACAACATACCATCAAGCTCGTTCATTTCTTCCTTCCCTTTCGGTATGCCTAAAACATCATGCCCATCTTGCTTAGAATTTGGCATTTTTAAAGAACCTGTTTCCTGTTTGCTTTTTCTATAAATATTCCTCGTTTAACTTGATTTCCCTTAGGTGAAGGAACCTCGTTTATACGATACAAAACATCAAAGAGTCTACGGAAATCTAGCTCTTTCTGACTTTTCGTTGAAGAAGAGTAATTCTTTTATCTTTCTTTCTCAAAAATAAAACAGCTACAAGCTCGATTTGGCATTTTCATTACTCAAAACTGTCTGGTGCAACATAGACATTACTCTCATTGTAAAAACTAATGTTTCAATTGCCTGGAGACAACGCTCTTGCCAATAGAACAAGTTTGCTTTTGGCGACTTTTTAGTCGGACGAATACGATCATTTTGCTCATCCCGAATCAACAGGCGATTAAGGAACGATTTTTGAAGTTTTCACCTTTCATCGCAAAGCATTAATTTTAAGCTCTTTATTGACTTGAAGGTTTCTTTCTTGTTCTTTCTCTTTTTCTCTCAAAATTTCAATTTGTTTGTTTATAAGGAATTTGTTTCTTATTTATTTATAGAATATTAGTTTAAACTATAATTAGTGTGCTTCGGTAAATATAGTTTATCGTATCCGCAAAGTTCCTTATCCTTCTACCTTGAGGCTACTTCAGTACAAAGGACTTCTTGAATCTACCGTTTTCCATTACTTGGGTTACATATCGAAAGCCGAAGAAAAGGTTGTTTGATTGCTCTTTTCTTCCTACATTTATTTATAAGCAAGACGATTTCTTTCTTGCTTTTCATTTTCTGAAGATTTCTCTTCAAAATCTTCTTTTCGCAAAGTTTGGAAGTAGAGTCTAATTCATATCCCGGCTTCTCCTTATATATAAGGAAAGGTCTAATAAGTTCCTTTCTCCTTTGATTCCACTGCTATTCCGCAAATTTCTCTCGACCTATTTTAATTAAGAGGACTTACTTGATATTCAGGTCTTGTTCATTATTCAATTTTAATTTATTTGTTGTCCCTAAATTCGTGTTGATTTTTTTTTTTTTCATTCTTGTTGTATAAACTCTAATTTTTCTGCAATTCCTCCCCTCCTTGCATTTGGATTTTTTCCTCTTCAAAGCCGCTGATTTTGATCTGATAAAAAATGGAAACACTCTCTTATACATATATGAAGAAGCGCAAAGCTGATTCTGATGAACCTATAGTGAAAAAAGCTCGACCATTGCCTGTTGGCAATCACTTACCTCTACCTCGCTTGTTTCAGTATACAGAAAAACAACAGTTGGTATCCTTACTGCTTCAGTGTGTTGAGAAGCATCCAGATTTGGGACGCAATATCCGTGAAAAGTTACCAGTGCCTTCTTTGGAAACATGCATTGGTACCATGCAAAAATTGTCTGAAACATTGCACTCTTCTTTCCCATATGGTGGAGATAAGAGAGGAGAGTATGCATTTAACCGAATTCGTGAAAAGTATATGGCTGTTTTACATGCTTTAAATGATTTAGTTCCATGTTATTTACCCCCGCATTCTACCTGTTTTGAACATAATTTTGCCTTCTTGGATGCTGCTACTAATGTTGTTCATCAGCTCCCGGAATTTCATAATCCTAATCATAATGTCTATAAAAGCCAAGCTTACTATGAACTTACAGGGGCTTGGTTAGTTGTGCTGAAACAACTGGAAGAGCGGCCGATTCTGCCGCTTTTGCCGATTGAAGAGTTGGAGGAGCATAATCAAAAATCCCAAAACCGGTTACAAGAGGCTGTTGTATATTTAAAGGAATTACGAGAAAACGAACCAATTTTACGAGATAGAAATGCCGCTATTCAACAATTACAAGCACCACCTAATCATTTACACTATTACGGAGCAACTAATGGAATGAACATGGGAAATGACAGCGGTATTGGATGGTTGAACATGCATCAATATATCTAGATTAGAATAGTAGACCTATCAAGAAACAAATAATGGCTAATAAAACCGCAGTTTGTATGGTGACAGTATTGTGAATTTGTGGTACAACTTTAGCGCCAGCCGTGGGTCGGCCAAAAGTAGACGTAGATTTCGTAGTTGGTAAAGGTGTGTTTCCAAAATGAGTACTCGTCGATGATTTTGGCTCAGTTGGTGACATAGCAACTGCTGATTGAAATCGTGGGTTGATGGGATTAGACGCGGGAGCGGGAGCGGGAGCAGAAGTATTTAAAAACGTTGTATTTGTAGTTGTAGCAAGTGGCTCACCTAATTTAGTTGGAGGAGCTGCCTTCGGTGCAGTCGTGGAGAGACCAGGTGCATCAACCGATGAACGAGGCGTTTGAGAAGGCTGCGCTACAGAAGGAGGAACATTTCCAGACGGTTGGGCTTGTCTTCCAGGTGCAGGATTGGGATTTTGGGAAGCAAACGCAGCATTACCTGCAGAGTTTGATAAAGAGTTTTTGTGACGATGTGAAGCTTCTTCTTCGGAAGGATCCCCGTAAAAGCAGCGGATTCTACGCTCATGGATGTCTTCTCTTCTCACTTGATTCCACTAAAGAAAAATCCGATTAGTATGTGTAATAACAGAGGAAGAAATATCTATGTACTTACAATCTCAGAGATATCAACCCCTTCGAGTTCTGGGCGAAGTTGGGCACTTTGCACAAGGAATTTGTCACGACACTTGGCATTTGGTGCCGGCTCATGATCCAAAGGTTGCAAGATCACTACATACAATGTTTAGTAAAACATACAACACATGTAAAGCATCAACGATTTCCTTTTCCTAACTGACATAGCGCAGAAGAAGGAAAAAAGAAATGACAAACAAATAGCTTACCTTGAATGGATGTTGATGATTGAGGTTCAATTCTGCCACCATTGGGACGTACGCAATACTGCTTAGGAGCAGTTGTTTTTACCTTGAAGCCGATAGGTACATTAGATGGATTAAAAAGCTGAAAATCTCGTTTGACCAGTTGAGTAAGCGGCCTTGGAAAGAAAATTGAGTTCTTGCATTCAACTGACATATTGAAAGACGCCGATCAAATCGTCAACTTCAGAAAACAGAAAACCTTGCAAGTAAAATCCGAACTAGCTAAGTATAGGCAGAAGAACGATCCACTCAAAATTGAGATATGTTGACCAGAAAGTTGTAGAATTGTCCTTTCAACAAAATTTCGATACAAACACAATGAGATTTGAGGTACCTTCTACAAGTCGTCTATTGTTAATAATAAAGCTCAAAATAACAATTCTTAAACAATAGAAGCGAAAATAATAAGTAAATCAGGTTGGATTCTCTAAAACTGCAGTGAACACTTTTATTGCAAAAGGAAGAGTATTCGGTGGAGTGATATCATTTACGGAAGCTAAAGGAGGAATTTAAGCAACGATTAAGATTCGAAAATATGCTGTAATCCTTGCGTCAAAATGTAAATAAACAAATAAAAGGAGAAAAATAAACAAAAAAACCAATTTACGAAACAAGAGGGAAATTATAAGTAAACATGGGGCGAAAGAAAAAAGAAGAAAAAAAAAAAAAATAAGCATTGCTCATTAAGATGTTTGAGGGTACACACAAATAAAGGATTCAATTTCTCTTGCTCTATAAAAAAAAAGAAAAAAAAAACCCCGGTATCAACCATCCTTTTACTAAAACTAAACGTAGGTATACATATTATTATTGTTCTTTCACAATATTCGTATTAAATAAACATGTTTAGTAGTGTCCATGGCAGAGGATCAACTGTAAATAGTCTACATCATTCTATAGCAAGTTTAAGAATTCTAGAAAGAACCAAACATAAAGAAAGACAAAAGGCAAACCAGGTCCCTTAAATTTTTTATCCGTAAAGGAAGATCTATTGTAGTAATAAGTTTTGCAGCTTCAAAGGTAGACTAGACTGCGTATACGCTTGCATTGTCATTAAGTCTTACCTTGCTTCATCGTACTTACACTCTAACCCACGTTGACTCTATCGAGTATTAATAAAGAAAAATGACTTTGAAATGCTCAGATTGCGGAAAGTTACTTTCCTCAGTCGAGATGGCAGAGTTCCATGGCGTCAAGTCGGGTCATGAAAACTTTGAAGAAACAGAAGAAGAGGTATAGAACGATCGAAGAAATTGACATAGAGAAATTTGGTTTAACAATATGATATTTTTGGTATAACTAACAGTGTGCGTTTGTATAGATTCGACAACGTTCTCCTGAAGAAATCAAAGCAGCTTTGGAGGAAATGAAACAGAAGGCTGAAGCAAAGAAGAAACAACAGGAAGTTCTAGAACAGGAAGAAAAAAAGAAGAACTTAAAGATTCTTCAAAAGTCCACCTACGAAACTGCTGAAGCTAAGCGAAAGCTCCAAGATCAAGCACGTCTTCGTGAGTTACAAAAGATGCGCCAACAAAAGCTTGAAGATCAAGAACAACGGAAAAAAATTTTGGCTGAAATTGAAGCAGACAAAAAGAGACGTTCTACTACTGCTTCATCAGCTACGAAACCAACTTCTTCTACCGAGGTCCCTGAAAAGCCACCAGCTACCTCTTCCTCTGCTACAGCTACTCAATCCACTTCTCGTGCTCCTCCTTCTTCAGGTCGATTCTCCGTTCGCCATCAAGGGCAAGTGTGTAATCTTGTCATACCTGCAGAGCAAACTCTACGAGATGTCGCACAGCAGGTCTCTGAAAAACTTCACGTCCCTATACCTTCTGCATTTACGACAACCTTTCCTCGCGCAACTTACAAAGATGAAGCTTTTGAGCGTCCCATTTCTCAGTTAAAAGGTACGTGAACGGCATTTGCAAATTGAATTACACGAATTATCTTGTTGAGAAAATATTCAAATTGTTCAGTAATACATACTAACGATACTTTTAGATATTTTTCCTTCGGCTGTACTACTGCCAAGTTGGCAATAACGAGGAGTTAGGGATCCGCAAGTAATGTGTTATTCTAAAAGTTTTCTGTGTTCTTTAGGATTCACTTAAAAATGTGAGTGATGACGGTAAAGTAAGAACTGGTAGAAAATGAAGATGTCCAAGAAAATGGTACTGAAAGCACCAAATATCCATGGGATGTTTGTTCTGAAGTATTTCGTATAGTCGAAAGCCGGATACACCAAGATACTCAATGTATAAGCTGTATTTCCTAGCATGGAAAGAATAAAGAAAATAATAGAAAGTCCTAAATTATGAGTTAATAAAAAACCAGAAACAACCTAAATATATGTTTTCTCACATACCATCGGTGGATTTAGACTTATAATTCTTAATGATTTGAGGAAATCTCGCAAAGAAGTATAAAATCGAACTTGTACAGCCGGCAATAAAGGGCCACTTATTCACCTGATCATCAGGTTTATCAGAAGAAGCATTACTTATTAAAACGTTTCCAATAAACGTGGTTATAAGTACAACACAAGCCATGAAGCCGAATTGACCACGAAAGGAGAGACGATCCCACCAGATCAAGTTCTTATCTAATGGTTCGTGAAGACCTTCTTCTAGTGAACGGCTTTGCAACAAGGGTTCATGCTCTTGTTTAGATTTGCGAAACGCTTTCCAGCGGTAGTAATACACCTGCAAGAGTAGAAAAAAATCGGCTCCAATATAATAAACTGCAAGCACTAAAACAGTCGAAGAAACATTTCCCCAAATAGAACCGAAAATGTTAAATATATCACCCACTAACCACATGATGAGGAAGAGTGGAGAGATGCTATCGCTGGATTGGTTTTTGTAATTTTCCAATAACTGAGGAATTAACAAAACAACCCAGCATCCCAATGACAATGCCCCTAGGAAAGAAGAAAGGTCAACTAGGAATTTGAATATGGATTCCGACATTTGAATTCCAAGCATTATTAAGGAATAAATTAAGCACGGAAATTATAAGAAGCTATTACCCTGAAGGTGCAGTTTCAACCTAGTATTAATGGAATTTAAGAATGTTTTGACAAACAACAATGGCAACAAAGATTGCACGAATTACCTATCAATTTTTTCCAGGCAAGTAAGAAGTTATAAAAACACAAACACTAGAATTCAAGAAAGTTTCTAAATCTATGTACAAGAATGATTTTCTGTTAGTGTAATGCTAACAGAAAATGGATAGTAGAAGTTTAGTATGGAGTGCAGATATGTATATCTAGATATCACTAAAGTGGTGCGAGGTTTCTTTGTTTGAATCCATATAAATCTCGAAAAGATAAACAAAAAGAAGACACCGATTAATCAATCGTGGACTTCAGGATTCAGGTTTTTAGAAATCTTGGTTGCCATTTAGAGGTTTCCGATACTAAACCAACGACCTTGTTTATAGGAGACAAAGAGATGGAGATGGTTTCAGAGATGGTTTAATCAATTTGAAAACTAATTATGATAATTTTAGGCGTGAAAACTTGGTTGATACATGCTAGCTATTCCTGTGAGGAAAGAAATCCTGTTCTTGTCTTCCTAACATAATAGTTATCATGTCATGAAATGTAAGGACTAAAATTTTGGAAGTTTTAAACATCATATATCGATTTCACTATTGATTCATTGTCCCTTGTCGCCGGATCACAATACAGTCTTAATTCATCACAGTGAGCATTGGAGTTTATTGAACTTCTGTTATGGAATGAGAAATCAAGACACTGGTATTCTATGAACACCTTCATAAGGCTTCCTTGGACTGTATGTTGCCTTGGTTCATCAGAAAGTCCGTCGGATATCGAAGGTACTTTCAAATGTACGTCTTGACAACTCTTTATAGATCAGTCGATAAGTACGAATGATTCGGAGATGTTCATAACAGAGCATTCACTCAAATTTTATTGGAAAGTTAAGAGTTCCTAGATTGTAATATTCAAAGCTTTAGTCTTCCAAATAAGAAAATTCATAAGCTAACTAATTTCTTCCATCTTCTATGTAATCAAATATCTTCCAGTAATACTGTTTATCCAATCTTTCGAAATCCCTCCCCTGGGGTATAGTACCTTCATTCAAACCCAGTGCATACCAACAGCCCTTTCACCCACAAGGAATACAAAAGGCAGCATCTACAAACTTTTCTTCAAAAAATCTTTAAATCTGTAAAATGGGAATTTTTGGTGGTAACAATGGACCTACAGTGTCCCCAGAAGACAAGAAAAACGTTTTTATGAAACAGATCCGTCAGGAGCTTGCTGTTGCTCAAGCTGGTGAATTGATCAGCGTATGTGAGAAATTTTTATTTCTGAAAACAGGATATTTATTTCAGGACTGAGACTAACTTGTTCTGATAGAAAATCAATGAAAGCTGTTTTGACAAGTGCGTTCCTCAACCAGGAAGCTCTTTCAGTGATAACGAAAAGGTAAGCTAATCTAATACTTGTATAAATTATGTTTGGACGTATCATTAACTGTTTTCCAGGGTTGCGTTTCGAAGTGTATGGAGCGTTACATGGACGCTTGGAATGTTGTTTCTCGAACCTACATTTCTCGTATGCAAAATGAACAAAAAAACCTCCAGTAGTTTGAAGGGCATACGCTCAATGATATTTTAGTCAATAAATGCTATTAGGCCTGTAGTCTATCGACCCATAGTATCTTAAATTTATAGTATGTATAAGGAATAGAGGGGGGTAGTTAAAATTTCTCTAATATAATAAGCTTGTCTATTAGCTACTTTTACATCTCAGAGAGTATTAAGATCTACGTTGCTTCCGTTGAATTTCTTCAAGGAATGCTTTGGCATTGAGTTTGCATTCAATTTGCTTGCAAAGCTCCTTTCGGTTACCCTTGGAAACATTATGAAGAATTTCCAACCCACTGGAGCGCTCAATTACTTCCACAGGGACTGCAAAGTTCTTCAAAGGGAAGTTATCGGCTATAGGCTTATTAGGAAGAACGAAGGCACCAACAACTGGTTTCATACTGTCTTTACCCTTTTCTTTAGCAATAATGACTTTGAAAAAGTGGGTAGGTACAGCTACATTCGGGGGGTTTCCTATCATTCGATAACGGACTTCCCATTGCCCTTTTTCGTTCTTCTGTGGGATGTATAAAGGTCCCGTCATGATGGTCACAGATTCGTACTTTTTGGTAAGAGATCTACACCAGTCTTCGAGATATGCCCAATCTAGTATATAGTCAGTACAAAAGGCTACTACAAGTTGGCTTGAAAGACATGTCGAGTACTAAATGTCCACTTACAGTTTCTGTTAAACCCTTCACCAACTTGAGGACACATATTGGACAATAAGAATGTGTCATCCATAGCTTCTTGAGAGAATTTACAGTCAGCTGCGGGCGTTTGATGACCACGATCGTAACCGCTGCCCCTGTAATCTGAAAGCTTAGCCTGAAACATTTCTGGAATATTCGTATCTTGACGAAACTCAGAGAATTTGCGGTTTCCCTTTCTTTGTTCTAACAATTCTTCTGTGATCGTTTCGACGGTCTATAGACAATGTTAGATCGTTAGTGAAATACGTGCAATCATAATTAACAGGATTCTACACCTTGTAAAGAAAGAATATTATTACATACATAATAAGGGTTGCGTGTTCTTCTGTCAAACACAGACATGTATCCATGAGCGACTCTTTGATCAGCTACGGGACCAGGATTGCCATACTGTAGAAATTTCGCAGGATCAAAGTCATATCTCGTATCTTCCGAGATTACCGAAGGGTCTGTCCTCGATCTACGAGAAAACTCAACAGCATTTGCAGGTGCTTGTGCAGTCTTAATATATAAACCTGCCAAAGAAACACCCGATATTGTACCTACCGCAATCAGGCCGAGAGATTTTAATATCTTGCTTGACATAATCCCATAAACAACCAAATGCTAAAAGAAAGTCAGTTTGGAATTATCTAGGATTGTTTTGAACGGTGGGTAACATGGGAAACTTGGGTAACCGTTTGTTTACATTGGTTGCACTGACTCATTAGTGAAGAAGTAATATGAATGATCAGTAAATTTGATTGTATAGCTTAGTTTATACTTAATTTTTTGGAGTATTTGTTTTAAAATGATGCTTAAAACTAATTTTTTACTGAAAGGTATGCCGCATCAAGCATAGAAACACATAGACTGCACGTTCCAATCAAACATGTCCATAATTTCTGGTATATTCTACGTCTTAATAACATTTTGTGAAGGATAGACATTTTTCAGTTAGTAGTTATGATATGAATGTTTAAAAATATACTGAAAACTGACGTGAAGCTTTCATGGCACAACTGAAACATTATACATTCATAGAATAACAAATGCAATAATATTTTTCTCCGAGTTTTCATCATCTAACGAAAAGAAGGATATATCATTAAGAATCATCAATTTCAATAGCCGCACCTTTTTTACAACACTTTTTTTTGTTAACCAGAAGGAACTGAGGAACTAATTAAGATCAGTAAAATATAACCAAGAGAGACTGATGAAAGCACAAAAAATTCCCCAAGCTGAATAAGTACTTAAAAGCATTAATGGCAAGAACTCATATCGTCCGCCAAATACGAAATTGTGAAGGAATGAGTTGTAAATAAACAAAGGAACAAAACCAGCCACATAGGCAAGATTAACTCTATTGAGAAGAAATACTCTTTTAACGGGAACAGGGGCACTTTTATCAAAGTGTAGAAGTACAGCGACCCATGCGCCAGTAAAAAGATACTTAATGGGCGCTTCTTGAGAGGTAAATAACAGAGGAAGCAAAGAAATATACCCCGCAACAGCTAAAGGGCGGAAGGCTTCAAGATAACGGCGGTCTATTAAAGAAAGAATACTACCAAGGTTAGTTATAAATTCAATGAAATGATTAATGAAAAAAACAAGCATACCTAAAAGGAATGATGACAATTAGAATTGCCTTTTCATGAACATGCCAACCAAACAGAAAGCTAATCCAACCGCATAGCGTGGTGGCTCCGACGAAGACTCGCCAAGTAGGACGGACAAACAACTTTATTAGTACACAACCTTGTAAAGCAAGGCATAAATAAAAAGTAAAAGAGGGAGAAACATTTGGCAAAACAGCAAACGTCGTGTCTCCAACCAGCCCACGCGTAGGAGCGTTTGTAAAAGGTACCTCGGGAAAAGAATATCCAAGGCGAGGTAAGAAAGCATATGCCACTCTATCAAAGAAAGAGTAAAGGGCCCAGAAATTAGGTGCCCAATACGCATGGCAAAGTCCTCTAGAAAATGGGAAAAGACGAGCAAAGAGTTGTGGCATCTGTCCCATGTATATCCAAGGCCCAAATGCTAGAAGAAAAATACTACTAACTGTGAGCCCCAACTTGATTGTGTTAAATATTTGAGGACGGAATCCGGATACGCTCAAGCAATACACTCTAAAAAGATATACGAAGTAAGCAGGAGCAACGTATAAAAAAATATGCTTGAAGCAAATGAGGGTCGCGAAGACCGCTGCCGATAACAGCAATCGATTATGCTTAGCTAAAATTAAAGACCATATTAGTAATCCAAAAAGAAAGCCATTATATTGGAAATGAATGTGATCTATGATGATAAACCCGGGGGATAGAAAGGTGTCAATCGCGGTGAGTACAGCATTTCCCCTGTTATTCTCGGGATATGAATACACATATTCACGTAAAGCCCATAAAAGTACCAACTCTGAAACGATAACTGAGCTTCTTTGAAATATTACCACTGAAGGAGACACATAATTCAGGTTGTATGGGTTCAGCATTTCTGTGTCAAAACCAAGTAATTTCGCGATCCAAGAAAGAACAAATTCAAAATACGCAAAAAAAGGGGGATAGTCCAACGTCCATTCTGAAATTGCTGTAGTGTACCATTGTGAAATAGGTAATGAATGAGTTATCGCTAGCCAATTTCTGTGAACCTCAAAGTCAGTCGAGCGATAGCATGGGAAAAGAAGGATTTTCATAAAAGTGCTCGCAATGGCTGCATTATACAGCATTGATAGCCCAGCCATTTCTCTAGGAAATTACTGAGACAGAATATTCATATGGGAAGGGTTGTTGAAATGCCAGTACAAATCTGACCAAACCGGTTATAATTATAATTTTCTATAATGTTATATTATCATTTTTCAATCATATATTTGTTGAAGGGAATATTTAATAGCGGATAGTTTTCATTTGTTCATTTTCATTTTTATTATCATAAATATATTTTTTAAAAACGTCCGTTATTTGTTGAGTAAAATTTTTCAGATTCTTGTTTTTGGGTAAGAATGGACCAGGTATACCAGCGATTTTAATTCTTATCAAGTTGCGAGAATCAAATTATTTTCTAATTACAAATTTTATTTATCTTTTTCTCTTCCTTTCACCGTAGGGTCTCTCGTAAACAGAAACCGTACAACGACTTCATTTTTCAAGCACAAGACCTTCACAGCAACCCTACTGTACAGCCAAACCATTGCTATGAAATACGGTCATACTGGCTTGTAACTTCGGATTAGGCTATGTCAAAGGAAGAACTGTTGGATAAACTTAATGTGTATTTGAACGACAGACAACTTGCCGTACAGACAAAAAATGGGGATGCAGACGGATTTTCAGTTCAAAAATCGTTAGACTCAAGTTTGAAGAAAAACACTGCATTTATGAAAAGATGTAGAACTTCTTTAACTGCTGATAATTATGATTTATTTATTAAAGAAATTAAGTCTCTTTCGTTGGAAAAATTTGTACCTGAAATCATTTTATCCATTACTGAAGGACTTTCAAAATGCAGATCCGTCAAGGATATCCAAGCCGCTGTGAGAATAGTATTTTTCCTTTATCAAAGATTTTCGGTTTCATTTATCAGACCGCTATTGGCAAACCTGTATTCTATGTTATATCCTTCACCAGCGGACTCGATCTCAGGAAACCTTAGTAGATCCTCATCAGCCGTTACAGTATCGGAATCAATTTCCAACAAAGGAACTAGTGTAAATATTGCAAAAACAAGAGCACTTCTTAGAATATTTGTGGAATTCTGGCTTCATGGACTTGTCCATGTTCCCGATGATTTTAAAGATTTCCTTCCTGCTGTATATGCTTCTGGGAAAAAATTTCGTAAGGGTTTGTTTGAAGAAAAATCACTTCAAACTCCATTAGTTGTTATATTGGTGGAAGATGTGCTTGCTGCTCCCTCCAATTTTTCTTTATTACCTATCGTTTCCTCATTAGTCAAGTCATACAAGTACGAACTGTTTTCTTCTGATGAGGCATTACCAGGGGAAAGTGAAATAAATAAATGTATTAATAGAGTTTGTGATTCTCACTGGCGACTTCAACTTCGAACCTCACTTGGCCGTTATTACCAAGATTTAATTGGCTATATTGAAAGTCGTCAACATGAATTTGAAGAGTATCGGGATCAACTCAGCGAACGAGACTTTTTAGAGAACACCTTAGAGGGTACTTCGAATAAAGCTGAGGATTTCTTGAAGTCTATCGAAGGCGATATTGCAAATGGTCTTTCTATTTGCGAAGCATTAAACCAGTTGTTCCCTACTCACATAAAAGAAATGCAAGATTCTTTTTATAAAAAAAGAGAAGAAGTAATGAGTATACAAAATAACATACTTAATGCTGAGATTCTTGTTCAGACAGGTGCTGTTCAGTTGTGGGATTCCGAAGAAGAACATCAATTCTACGAAACTTTTCCTGAACTGCCGAATTTAGAACTTGCTGAGAAAAAAAGCTTTGAGACCAGTGGAGACCAAGAGGTAAAAGCAGAGGCCTCTGTGGAAGATTCTCAAAAACATACAAAACCATCCAAATCTGTTAGCGTCAAGATTGATAATCTTTTGCAAGCACTACCAAATTTTATGTCCGCTGAACAAGTAGACCAAGCTGCTTTAGAATTTCTCTTTTTGAATACTAAGGCTTCCAGAAACCGCGTTATTAAGGCATTTTGTAATATTCCAAGAACAAGCTCTTTCTTGGTTCCTTATTACATACGGTTTGCTAGAATTATGACGCCTGTTGCTCCGGATATTGCATCTGCTCTTGTAGAACATGCTCGTGGAGCATTTCGTCGTATGATGAATAGGAAAGCAAAACACGAATATGATACTAGGACGTTGATAGTTCGCTACATTTCAGAACTCACAAAATTCCGCCTAATGTCTTTTTCTCATGTGTTTGAATGTTATAAGATGTGTCTGTTGGACTTTACTTCTTTTGATTTGGAAGTATTGTCCTTACTTTTAGAAAACTGCGGTCGATTCCTATATAGGTTTCCCAAATCTTCTCTACAAATCTCTTCATTTTTAGAAGTTGTCCAAAAAAAGAAGTTAGCTGCCGCTCTACCTTCTCAAGAGCAGTTAATATTAGACAATGCTCTTTATTTTGTGAACCCACCAAAGACAAGCTCGGAAAAGGTCAGGAAACGCCCCTTAAAAGAAGAGTTTTTGAGATTCATCTTGCACATACGTTTAAGCGAAACGAATCTATCTGCTACTATAGCTTTGCTTCGAAAATTTGATTGGAAAGCCGATTTTGAAATACTATACTCAACTTTTATGGAAGTATGGAATATGAAATACGAGTGCTTGAATTCATTTGCAAGTTTAATTGCATCATTATATAAGACACATCCTGATTTTTGCATTTATGTCATTGATGATACGGTGGATTCACTATTAACATCCATAGACTCTGGCAGTTTTGGCGATAGCCAGAAACGATTGGCACAAGCAAAGTTTTTAGCTGAGCTTTATTGTGTAAGATTACTGGATGTAAGGTCAATAATCGGAATCTTATTTTATTTGCTTCCCCCAGATAAGTTTCAAAGCATTCTTCAGTTTTCGCCAACTGCTGCCACAAATAAAGAAAATGAATTGTTTCGACTTCGCATGATAGCACTTCTTTTGTCAACTTGTGGCTCTTCGCTTGTACGGTCGAAGACCAGAAAAACGATGCTCACGTATTTATTGGCCTATCAATGCTATTTCCTGGCCCAACCGGAAGTTCCTTTAGATATGCAGTTTGAGTTTGATGATGTGGTTCCAAAAGTTCGTCCTAGTATGAAGGTGCACAAGAGGTTTGATGAAGCATGGACCGCTTTGAGTGAAAGAATACAGAGCGGAGTAGACGATCATGATCAAGATGATGAAGATGGTGGCTCTATTCTCCAGTCAGAAAAGTCAAATGAAAGTGAAAATGGACACGAAGCTAATGACTGGGATGATAACGAAGAAAATGAGGATTCATCAGATGACTCGGAAAGTGAAGAGGAAATCAGCATGGATATGGATGATCCTGAACTCTTCAATAGCGAAGAGGAATTAGACGAAGAGCATATTCACACAATGGAAATTGATGAAGAATTAAGTCGGATGATGAATGATAGTTTATCATCGAGAGCACACGAAAGGGGGATTGCTTTTGATGTTCCTCTCCCTTTGAGAAGCACAAGCGGAGACACGTCCTTTTCGGACCTAAACAACTTGTCAACTGAAAACGAAGAAAACGTGAAGTTTACACTCTTAACTAAAAAAGGCAACAAACAACGCTCTCAGGTGTTGGATGTACCTTACCATTCGGTGCTAGCTCAGTCTACCAAATCAAGGCAAGAAGAAGAACTGATAGAAAGGAAACGCATGAAAGAAATGGTACTAAACTATGACTAGTTATGGGATTTATGGCTTCTATTATAGATCGTTGACAAAATAACGATATTTTCTTTGTTAAACAGAAAGTAAAATGTAATAAAAGCAGAGAAAAATAGTTTCATATGATACATTACCAAAATGTTAATAGGTTGTTTATTAAGGTACTGCAGAAAACTTCCGTAAATGGTTTCTGTTAGTTCACACTAACTGCTTCGCATTTGTCAGTTTGGTAAAAACCTGCTTGAAAGCTTATTACTTTAGCCATGGGACTCTTGTTTGGATTTGGAAATATACTCTATAGTAAGCAAAGTATACAGAAGTTACAGAGCTAACTTTGCCTAGTTATTCTGCTGTTGTTGAACGCAGTTGCGATTCTTTCTGAAGACCGCTTTTTAGGAAGACGTAAGTGATAAATATAAAAAAAAGAAATCATACGCTAACTATAATTCTTAGTTGGATGGTCTCAGAACACCTCCTATGGTTTCGGAGAGTCCCAAGATACCATCAAAAGTAGAATTCTTCACCTAATCCGAGCCGTTCGAACGGTTATGACATGTAGGTAACTAAGTTTTTATCAGAAAACTTACTAATTACTTTTACAGTTCCATTAATTGCTATTAATACTGTCGTTATTATTTATAACCTGATTTTAGGCTAGAGCCGACAGGTTGTGAATTGCATATGTCAATGACAATCATATTAAAAGTATTTAATACGCCATTCATATTATAACTAAGAACCTGGTCTTCTCTGGTTGGATCTTTTAGATATTTCTCTCACCTTATGAGTATAAACTACTTCTTCGACGGGTTCAACACTAAGAAAGATTCTATTTGGCCATTGATTTATCTCAGTATTGTCCAAATAGAGCTTGTACACGACATTCCTACTATAATAGCGAGAACCGTTAATACGACGCCTTTTCACGATTACCTCAGAAATACTAAGACAAACCCAGCATTATACACTGTACCTTATAATGAATTCCAAAATAATTGACAGACTATGCTGATAACTTACTGTTGTTCATACAAACCAAGCTTAATTCTTCTAAAAAGAATACCTTCACAAAACCTAACGCACATTTGTTTACTAAATGTTTCGCTAAGTCGCACTATTTTTAGTCAAAGAATGTTAGTCCACTGCAATACCAAAACTCATGTTATTCGAGCTCCACACTCGAGTGCATTATTTACTTATATATAAGTGAATTTGTTACAATTTGGAAGTTGCTAAGCGCCAAGTGACTTGGATATAAGGGTAAAAGTAATTCGGAATATCCATGCCCTTGAATGAATCCATAGATGTGAATTCAAGCGATGTGATTGATTTAACAAGAACCCCTTCTCCTAGTAACGATATTTCGCAACCATCTAGTCATACTGTAATCGACGTAGATGCTATACCCGATGACCCATTCACGGCGACTCCTGCAGAAGAGCGACCCCAAAGGGGCAGTAGTCGGCGTCGACTTCGGAGACGACGAAATTTGGCCTCCAACCCATTGTCTTACTTGGAAGACATGGTATACTTAGGCCCACAAGTCGTTTCTCGAAGATCTAATAGAGGTTCGCGCAGTCTACTTGAGATTATGACTCGTTCATTTCCTGAATTAGGGTCAGCAAACTCGATGTCTCCATCTTTATTTGAAATGCTCTTGAGTAGAATGAGGTACGAAAGTTCTTATTCTGGACAAGAAGCCAATTCTTCTGTTAATAGCGATTATTTCTCTGACTTTGTCCCCGAATCAGAAAGTCAATCGCCTTCTATCGAAGAACGAAAGGAAACTTATGTTCCCCCGAAGCCTGCCACAGAAGGATATACAAGGAGTTTTGGATCTGAAGTGACGATGACATGCCCTCGTTGCCATGAAGAACTAGGAGCTTCGAAAAGTGCAGAAAAATCAAGTGTTTGGGCAACCAAATGTGGACATGTTTATTGTGGTTCCTGCTCAAAGGTTCTCAAGAGTAGTCGAAGACCAGAAGCTAGGTGTGCAGCCTTTGGCTGTAATCGTTATTTAAACACAAAAAATGCTATGTGGGAATTGTACTTCTAGATTACGATTGATAGAATGGTTTATGTTAATATTTATTTAGTCTTCTTTCTTGTTATTTATATACATTTGTAGATCTGCTTTGTTCGTAGAGCGTCTACGGTGAAGAGAATGAACCAAGCTTTTTGAAAGTCCTTAATCTAGATCTGATTCTTGAAATCCCTCATTCACCAAAGAATTAATTATCGACATCGCCTGCTTTTTCCGTTCGTGTATGTCTAGATTTGACCCTAAAATTGGTCAGCTTATACTCTCTAGGGGTTTCTGTACCTCTAAGATGTTTTACTTGATCAATTAGACTATCCAAGTCTGATTCTTCTGGGGACATAGATACATCTGTACCTAGTAACCTATTTTGCTCTGAATTGTTTTCATTCGAATCAAAATCCCATTCGCAACAATCGAAAATTTCTAGAACTCGTTCAAGTCCTAACTTTTCTACTAAGTGTTAGTATTTTTCTAGTGTTTTTGACACTTGCCTCCAAACTCATTCTTTCCTGTCTGATAGAATGCAACGTATTCTAGATATGGGCAATCAGGGGGAGTCATCATAGATTCGGTGTCCATGTGAAGTCCAACCATTGGAATAGGTTTTTCTAAATTTTGAATAAAACTTTCCCAAAGAGACCATTCCTGAGGTTCGTAGGATCGGAATGTATAGACAATGGCACCAATAGCGTCAATTACTTCCTTAGCCTCATCAGAAGCATATGCACCGAGTGTTTCTTTCAAATCGGTGTATTCATCAACCCATAATCCAACCTCTTTTTGAAAGTACTTATTTCTCAACGTATATTCGTGAGATAGACCAGCATGCGATGTTCCATTTGATGCCAACTTTAGCCCTTTAGGCAGACTTCCCGTCAAAGCTACTGTTTAGTATTCTGTTTTTATTTTTGCTTATTATAATACTTCTCGTTCAGCTACCTTTCACGAACGTTACTTTACCAGATTTCGGTTTCCCTATGACTAAGATTCGTTTCGAATCCATCTTCAATCGTACAATATCGGCGCTGAATACTTCAAAAACCTAAGAATTGAAAAGTCAGTACACTTATAGCTCTTAACAGGGTAAAAGCTACAGCAAAGAAAACTTACATAAATTCATTTTATGCCTATTGAAGCAAAAGTCTAACAAATGTCCTGACGCTTCTTTTTCTACTATAAGCCAGGTTAACGAAGTTGTGTAAATTTGGATAATTTTGAATACTAACATGCATAATATAGTTGTATGAAGATTTGTTTGACTACGCTAAATCATCCACGCAGGCATTATATGTGGTGTATTATAGTACTATGCAGGAACACAACCACGACGAAATTAAAGAAGTACTTAAAGTTTAGACGGTGTTTAAACCGGAATTTCATTATTTATCTTTGCATTTTTTTTTAAATTAATTTTCTAGGATTCATGCGAGATGTCCTTCAAAAACGCTACATTTTCGCAGGTGCTCGATGATCTGTCTGCACGGTTCATTTTAAATTTGCCGGCTGAAGAACAAAGCAGTGTCGAAAGGCTTTGTTTTCAGATTGAACAAGCACATTGGTTTTACGAAGATTTTATTCGGGCACAGAACGATCAGCTACCATCTTTAGGTTTACGCGTCTTCAGCGCTAGATTATTCGCCCATTGTCCCTTATTATGGAAATGGAGTAAAGTACATGAAGAAGCTTTTGATGATTTTTTACGCTATAAAACCAGAATTCCTGTCCGAGGAGCAATCATGCTCGATAAGTCCTTACAGCGCTGTCTTCTTGTTAAAGGATGGAAAGCCTCTTCTGGGTGGGGATTTCCTAAAGGAAAAATCGATAAAGACGAATCAGATGTTGATTGTGCTGTTCGTGAGGTTTATGAAGAAACTGGCTTTGATTTAACAGGCCATATTAATTCTAATGAATATATCGATATGACAATCCGTGGACAAAACGTCCGTTTGTATATTATCCCAGAGATGTCTCTTGATACAGCGTTTGAATCGAGAACACGCAAAGAAATTAGCAAAATCGAATGGCATATGTTGACCGATTTGCCCACGTACAAAAAGTCCAAAACGGATACGGTAAAAAATAAGTTCTACATGGTTATTCCCTTTTTGGCTCCTCTTAAAAAGTGGATTAAGAAGCGTAATGTCGCTACCAAGACTACGAAAGAACAAGGAATCTCCGTTGACGTTGACGCCGACGCTTCTTCCCAACTTCTCACTCTTTTGAAATCATCCACGGCTCCTAACGTTAATTCCCTTCCTATTTCGCAACCAGTGGAACAGCAGGCTGTTCCCCAACTTCCTCCAGTTGACATCAAACAAAAAATCCTTACTTTACTCAATGGAAACTTTGAACCTAAACAGCCCCTTCCAATTTTGCCAGTCTCGTCTCTTCCTCAACAACCTCCTCGTCAAGTAGATAATCCCTGGTTAAATGGACCTTCTCTTTATGGGTTCGATCCATTTGCCTATCTCGGTTTAGATCCCCAAAATCCCTCCGAATCTTTTCCAAGAGTTGCAGCATCAGGTCCACCTCCTCCGAACGTCGCTTCTAATTTGCAATTTCCCGATTCTGTCAATTATCCTTCCCCTCCGCAACCATATTTGGAGCATCGTAATCCTTATGTTCAAAACAGAGAAAATTTCAGTCCCGAAGCGGCCATGCCTTCTCCGATGGATCTTCCTTCTCCTAAAACCGTTTATCATGAAGTTTTTCATCCACCCTCTACTACGTCCGTTCAAAGTTTTCAACCTGAGCAGATGCGTGAAGTTTACAATGATACTCATCCAAAATTGAACATACAGAATCCTCCTTATACGAACCATACAGTTGATCCTTTTGCAGTTATCCAACAGCAGCAACAACCTATAAATAATGTACATGACGAACCTACCGTAAACCGATTGCAAAACAATGCTTCTTCTAGGAAACTTCTTGATATGATATCATCTCCAAAGCCAGCTCGTTCTTTACCAGCTTCTCGAGATGGTTCTTCTCAGAAGTTGGTTAACATTCTGTTAGGGACAGATAATTCCGACGTGAACGGTAGTATCCCAAATAAAACTGAAACGGTTCATAAGCCTATTGTTTCCAACCCCCCTGCTCAACCATCGTCTCATTCTGAACATCTGCTTCAAGCATTGTTGAACCCAACATCCTTCGCCAAACCTTCTTCTGCCGCTGAGAAGAACGAGCCTGGTAACCAGCCTTTAGAAGCAAAACCATTACCAAAACCAAAAAGCACAATTCCTCAATCGGATGCCTCAGACAAACCCAAGAGCGTTGAGTTTACTAGAGTTGAAAATACGGAAGCTCTGAAAAACGTTCTGTTGGGAAGATCGATTCAGCCAACAACCGCTGATTCTAAGGAGGTGATGACCGAACACGGAATAAAAACTGATGGCTCTACTCAGAAACCTGCCACACCAGGATTTTTCCCCGGTTCTGTGAAGATCCTTAAGCGAGCTCCATCTGCGGAACTTGAAGGAAAGAATCATCCAACGGTTGGAAAATCATCTGATGAATATTTCCTTTCTTACCTGCAAGATGTAGTGAGAAACCAAAAAAGAACTTAGTCTGGCTTGTAGTTAGGCTCCATAGTAATGTTCGAATTTGTATAGCGTAAATGCTTAGATTTTAATCGATTATGATATATAAAGACGCTATACCTAATAGTGCTAAAGACTCTGCTGTAGCAATGTGTTAGTAAGACAATGCCATTTAATTACTACCTTCGATGATTAATGTACCTTGTAAATCCAAAAGCTGTATGCTATTCTATAGCCCTTCATTAAAGGAGCTTATGATAATGCAATAATCTATAAAACTCCATAATATAATATAATATAATATAATATAATACTATATGTACGAGCACCGTAGAGTTCGTATGGTAAGCTTACAATCAGCAAAATAAAGGAATGCTAGGAAAATGACTGAGAAACTACCATCGACTGTATTGGCATTATTTGCTCCTAGACCTCCTTTAAGATATTTACCTCCTACTGATGCTCCGCCAGAAAAGCGTTCAACTCCTCACCTTTCTGGAGTTGCAAAATATTTGCAACTAGCGAAGACGTATAATGATGATTATCAGCCTACGGAGACTCTAGAGGAGAGTAGGATTCGTCGTAAGGAAGAAAGAAAACTAAAGCAACGTGAAAGATTGCGATCGATGACCCGACAATGGAACCCTGATGATGACCGACATGTTATCGGTGATCCCTACAAAACCTTGTTTATTGGGAGATTGAGCTACGCTACAAGGGAAGGAGACATCGAAAAAGAACTTATACGTTACGGTCCAATTGAAAGAGTTCGCGTCGTTAGGGATAAAAGTACCGGAAAGTCAAGAGGATACGCATTTGTGGTTTTTGAACGAGAACGTGATCTTAAGGCTGCTTATCGAGCTGCAGATGGGTTGATACTACAAGGAAGAAGGATTGTTATTGACGTTGAACGCGGTCGTACTGTGAAAGGTTGGTTGCCTCGAAAACTAGGAGGTGGTTTAGGCGGTAGACACTACACTAAAGAACGCCCACCTCGTGAACGGGGATCAAGATATAGAGGAGAAAGCGGTTTTCGTGGAGGATACCGTGGTTTTCGAGGCGGTCCTCCTCCCACTGGCTCTTCGTTGTCTTCAAGAATGTCAGGCTCTCGTTCTTCTCGCACAGCAGGTTTGGGTTATGAAAGGCGTGATTCTTTTCCAAAACGCAGGAGATACTAATAGCAATCTAATTTCGACTGGATATAAATCGGTGAAGCATAACGCCATTACCTACTATTCCATTCCTGACATGATTCATAATGACTATATAACCTATAATGAAGTTTTGCATATCTTCTTTCTTTAATCTGTTTAAAATTTAGTTAGAATCAACTTAAAAATGCGTCCATAGTACTTTTCATATAAGAAATTACAAGGTACTGCCGATTTTATTCTCTGCTCATGAATTGGTTTAATATATTGAAAGTGAGTACAATCTTTTGTTTTCCAATTCTCTTCTCTTAATATATGCTATGCCTTTGTATTTTGGTATTACCATCATCATCTACCTATACTTCCCACTTACTTTAAGTATACAGGCTTAAGCATTAGTACCTATATCAATACCTCATACTATTTAGCTTAAGGTTTCCTATGTCTTTGATTAACTCTGTTAAAAATTCTCTGACTGCTTCAGCCCTTTCATACTTCACAACGGGTGTTCTTGTAGGCACTTCATGTGGTTACCTTTTAGGATGGAAAAATGCATTTCAGAGATCTAGAATTGGTGATAGTAAAACTATAACAGAAGATTCAACCTCGAGTCGCGACAAAGCTGATGTTTTACCAGGAAAGAAGGAAGACGTTAGTGAGAGTGAAGAGAGCTTCACCGAAGAAGAAGATTCTGAAGCGGAATTAGCTGCAATTCTAAAAGGAAAAAGCAGCCTTTCTGCTTTGGCCTTAGCCGAGGGTCAAACAAAAATGGTGCTTGTTGTCCGTACAGATTTGGGCATGACGAAGGGAAAAATAGCTGCTCAGTGTGCTCATGCAGCTTTAGCATGCTATAAGCTTGCAGCAGCCACGGATCCTGAATTGTTGCAACTATGGGAGGCTGCTGGCCAAGCGAAGATTACGTTACAGGCTCAGTCGGAAGAGCAGCTTCAAATTTTGCAAGCTCAAGCTATGTCGTTGGGACTATCGGCTAGAATTATTCATGATGCTGGACGTACCCAAATTTTCTCTGGTTCCGCAACCGTTTTAGGAATTGGACCTGGTCCGGTAAGCGTAGTTAATGAAGTCACAGGCAGTCTTAGGCTGTTTTAGAGTAAAGAGATATGAATAATCTTTTTATTTTATCTCTTGATTTTAACGATGCTTTCACGTTGCTGAAAGCTTATACACGTACCGGATACTTTGTGGATATAAAATAAAATCTATTCATTGTTGACTATTTACTTGTGATTTCCAAATGTTTCAGCAGTATACAAAGTAAATTGTTTAGTAAGAGCTTCCAAAGTTGAATCAGGTTGGATTTACGAAAAACTACTGAACGGAAACGAAGTGAATTCATCCTGCTGTATGAAACGTCCAGACGTCTGAATGTTTCAGAGAACCTGTAACGACGTAACTAGCATAAATTTTTTATGCTGTAATTTATTTCATTCTAAATTAAGCTAAGTTGTTTGCAAAAAAAGGTAAATACTTATGACGGCTTGTCAAAGGGACTTATGAAAACTATTATAGATTCCTTATAGCCAGTAGTTGTAAGTTAACGATTTGAAGAGCATATATATAATATTTCAGACTAATTTTCAACAAAATGATCAGTATTAATAGAATTATAGTCTTCCAAAGACGAAGTAAGAGATTATCGTCAATTTTTGAGTTAATTTTTATTTCCCCATTTTTCGATTCTACTTAAGCATTCTTTCTATTATTGTCAAATGTTTTAGAAATAATAACACATGTCTGAAAGATACAAGAAATGTTAGTTAAAGTTCATCGAGGTTCATTGTAGATGAGTCTTGATTTCCTAGTCTTGTGCAAAAACTATCTCTCCGCCAACACCTTTTAATTGTGTGTAAATTGAATACCATGGCAGAACAATTGAGGAATACATTTTTACAAGCTAGAAAGGAGAATAGAAATGTTTTGGTAACATTTATTACTTGTGGATTCCCAAGTGTGGACGAAACAATTGATATCATGAAGGGCCTCCAAGCTGGAGGTGCTGGAGTTATTGAGTTGGGTGTTCCTTTTTCTGATGCAGTTGCAGATGGTCCTACCATTTGTAAGGGTAATGAAGTGGCTCTTAAAAACAATGTTAATTTGAGCGTTGTTTTTGATACCGTTAAACGTGCTCGCGACGCTGGCGTCACTATTCCCATCATCTTGATGGGTTATTACAACCCAATCTTTTCTTATGGTGATAAAAATACCATTCAAAAGTCAAAGGAAGTTGGTGCTAACGGCTTCATTATTGTTGACTTGCCTCCTGAGGAAGCTGTCGGATTTCGAGCCGAATGCACTAAAGAAGGGCTTAGCTTTGTCCCTCTTATAGCCCCCTCAACTACTGAGAAGCGTATGAAGGTTTTGACTTCTATCGCTGACTCTTTCATCTATGTTGTCTCTCGTATGGGTAGCACTGGTTCATCTGCTAGTGGCCAAATTAACAGCGCTTTGCCCGAGTTTTGTGATCGTATTCGTAAATACGCTGGAAATACCCCATTGTCCGTCGGATTTGGTGTAAACACCAACGAACATTTCAGATATGTTGGTAGCGTTGCCGACGGTGTTGTTGTTGGCAGTAAAATCATTGATGTTGTTTTCAAGGCAAAACCTGGTAAGGCTGCTGATGATGTTAAGGAGTACTGCCAATATTTGACCCAAAGCGACACTTCTGCCCCACCTGCTAAGCGTTTTGCATCTGATACCGCTGTGGATACTGCTCCTCCCGCAGCAATCGTTGAACCTGCAAATGAAATGTTCCTTCCGCAAACTTTTGGTTCTTTCGGAGGTATGTTTGTACCAGAGGCTTTAACTCAATGTTTGGTTGAGCTCGAAAGCGCTTTCTATAAAGCCATCAACGATGAGAAGTTTTGGGAAGAGTTCCGCTCTTACTATGAGTATATGGGTCGCCCCAGCTCTCTTGATTATGCTGGACGTCTTACAGAACACTGCGGCGGTGCTAAAATCTGGTTGAAGCGTGAAGATTTAAACCACGGTGGTTCTCACAAAATTAATAATTCCATTGGTCAAATTTTGATTGCCAAGCGTCTTGGTAAAAACCGCGTGATTGCTGAGACAGGTGCCGGACAACACGGTGTTGCCACTGCTATTGCTGCTGCCAAACTTGGTATGAAGTGTACAATTTATATGGGAGCTGAAGATTGCCGCCGCCAATCTCTTAATGTTTTCCGTATTCGTTTGTTAGGTGCCGATGTTATTCCCGTCACTTCTGGAACTCAAACTCTTCGTGATGCTGTAAACGAAGCTCTTAGAGCCTGGGTTGAGGACATCGACACTACCCATTATTTGATTGGATCTGCTATCGGACCTCATCCCTTCCCTACTATTGTAAAAACATTCCAAAGTGTAATTGGTAAGGAAACCAAGGCACAAATGCAGGAAAAGCGTGGTAAGCTTCCTGATGCTGTTGTGGCTTGTGTTGGTGGTGGATCTAACTCTATCGGTCTATTTTCTCCTTTCAAGGAAGACAAGTCTGTGCAGTTGTTGGGCTGTGAGGCCGGTGGTTCTGGTATCTCAACTGATAAGCACAGTGCTACATTGTCCAGAGGTAAAATTGGTGTATTCCATGGTGTACGTACATATGTCTTGCAACGCGAAGATGGACAAATCCAAGACACCCATTCTATTTCCGCTGGTTTGGATTATCCCGCCGTAGGTCCCGAATTGTCTGAACTTAAAGAAACCAAGCGTGGTGATTTCATTGCAGTCACTGATGCTGAATGTCTTGAAGGTTTCCGTGCTCTATGCCACTATGAAGGTATTGTTCCCGCTTTGGAATCCTCTCATGCTATATTTGGTGGTATGGAATTGGCAAAGAGTCTTCCCAAAGACAAGGACATTGTTATTTGTGTTTCCGGTCGTGGTGACAAAGATGTTCAAAGCGTAGCTGAGCAATTGCCTACCTTGGGACCTCAAATTGGATGGGACCTTCGTTTCTAAGGCTCGTTCGCTTTTCTTTGGTCGTTTGCATAGATGTCGTTCTTATTTAAAACTAAATATTTTTTGTGAAAGTATAAAGAAGTAAAAAAAAAGAAAAACATTCGGCTTTAAGTTCATGCTGTCTAATAAACATTGATAATGTTATGAGCAGGGATTCTTTTAAAGAAAAAGGAATAGAAACAGAATGTTTAAATTGACTTTTAGAGCTATGATGAATTTACATATTCATACTTAAAAGCTAATAGCTGTTGTAGTTTTAATATTGTCTCCGCATCCTCAAAGTAAGTTTGAAAACAAAACTTGCCATTGAATAGTAGCATTCAGTATTTCCCATGCCTGAGCATAAAGGGCACAAGAACATTGTAGGTAGTAGTGAATGAAGATTCATTATACCAATTCTCTAGAAGGTTGAAGTCTTTTCGTCTGGGAACATGAACAGCATTCATTAATAAGTACGACTTTTTATTTATTTCTTTCTTTCTTTTAGACTACTAAATAATCATAAATGTTTTCATTCATTCATCATATAAAAGTTACTTTTGCTTGTTTTCAACTATAGTAGAACCTCTATTTAATAACTTTTATTACTGACATGCGAATTTTCAAGTGGTTGTAGAAACTCTCTATTAGAATACTTCTGTGAAAAGATTAAATCATAATAGTTTCACTTAGAATCTTCTTGAGCATCTTCACTCTCGTTCAAATAATGAACTGGCTTACGTTAAGTAATATTGTTTCAAGGAGTTAAGTGATCATTTTGTAAAACTTTCGGGGCGTCATTTTCATGTCATAAATTGAAATCCGTATATTCTTACTGTGAGGATGAGGACTTAGTACAAACCGTCGAGTTCCTAACTTTGGCGAAAAGGGTTCTCCATTGCATGCATTATTAGAAACTTCAATTGCCTCATGAAACCCGTTTAGCGGCCTGTAGACTCCATTGGCATTGAAGTAGAGTTTGTTAATAACTATCATTGATTTGATTAAGGTCGTCTGGTCTAAATTTCATTGTGTAAGTTTCTAGGTTTGAAATTTTTCATTATCTGGTGAAGCAATTCGTGTTCAATTTCCATTTGGATTACAGAATTTGGCTTGGAAGATACGGCGTTCAATTATAAACCGTCTTTTCCGGACCATACATCTTACAGTGTTTTGGATAGTAAGAAAAGCAGACTCGATTGACCATTGAAATTTATGGATTATTTTCCAGTACGCTCATACTGGATTCAGTAATATTTTAGGATTTGACACCCCAGGAAGACAAAGAACAATCATCACGATTTAAGTGCGTTTTTTGTTGATAGTCATGCAACAATTTCCTCAGCCTTCTGGTCATCCTCAACTGCGCAGAGAAATGGAAGCTAACGCTGTCGGCAATACTGTTCTTCCTAAACAAAGAGATCCAGATTTTTCTGCACAGCAGTACGATGTCAATTCACTTTTTGTCCCTCCATACGACAATTTTCCAGTGCCTACTCCGAACAATTCTTCCATTGCTGCTTTTTCCAATGAGAAGGCACCCACTTATCCAAATGTACAAGACTTTCCAGGAGAATCAGTATCTGATCCGACTTCTAAAGATGCATTAAATCAAGAAGTCGCAGCTGTTCATTTCGGAAAGGAAATCAATTCAAACCTCGAAAAACCATCAGATTCATCCAAACGCTTTCCACTGTTCTCAGCAGACAGAAATCATGCAAAAGAATTTGAACCAGATGTACCGATATCTACTTCAGTTGTTCCTGATAAAGAAACGTCTTACGAACAACCTCTTAACTCTCCAGCGCCAAAGGGTAAAAAGCAAAGATTGGTTCCTGAACAATTGAATTACCTTTTACGTCAGTTTGCAAAGGATGCAAATCCCTCCCCTTCAGTACGAGAAGAAATTGCTCGAGAACTTAACCTTCCTGAGCGAAGCGTTACGATTTGGTTTCAAAACCGGCGCGCGAAAGCAAAATTAATTTCCAGACGTCAAGAAGAAGAGCGTCAAAGGCTTTTGCATGAGCAGATGGAGCTAGATAATTTGAACCAACAAGTATCTCAGGCTTTTTCACGCGAAATACAGTCTAATTCTGAAAACAACTCGAAACCCGACATCGGTCAGTCCTTACCATTTACGAATCCATTACTCCCCAAACCAACCAAAAGGTATAGGAACACATATTCTGCACATGAATCCCCATTTAAACCCACCCCTTCTTCATCAGAGAATCCTGCTTTGGAACCACCCATGGCGAATCCGTTATATAAGCATATCTTCCCAGGAAGCACCGACCCTCGTTTAAAACAAAGATTTTCAATCTCCCATATTCCAAATAGTAATTTATCATTTAGTACTTCAGATCCTCCTAAGAAGTTCCCGAAATATCTTTCCACTGGATCCTTCCCTTCTTTATCGGCTGTTTCAGCAAGCCTTCCCTCTGCATATGGTAGAGGCAATTTTGAGCACCGATTTTCCCAGGAAGGTCAAAATTACGACCAGAAAATGACTGACAATATATCCTCTATGCCAGCAATAAGAAGATATTCTTCCGCTCGTCTAATTCCCTCACAACAAGTTCAAGGGGACTCAGGTTCTCCTAAAAGTGGTTCGTCTGAATTCTATTATTTTGCGTGTGCTCTTTTAATTATTGGTTTATGGAAACGATTGCGGTTAACACCTCAGGATCTGATGTGCTTTTACTCTCCTCCAAAAAAGTTGTTTGCATACCTGATACAGTACGAGGGAATTCAGTATCGCATAGAGTACTCGTTTTTTGTAGTTGAATCTATACATGTAAACCGTGTCGATGATCCTTTACTAACTGAGTTGAATGTTGCCGTCCCACCTCGAGAAAGACCTGGTGCTAACGAATCTTGGCTTCAGGTGGATATCCATTTGACTATTCCACCAGTGTTTCACATGATAACATCTGAAGGACAAGAAAATTGTACAGATTTTACAGAAGGAAATCAAGCATCAGAAGTGCTAGGTCATTCTTTAATCGGGCCTGCTAGCAGTATATTTCTGATGCTCAATCGTATACGGGAAGCCTCACCAGAATTAGGATCTGTCATTAAGTTACACAAAAACATTCGTCCGCCCTCAACTTATCAAGAAGAAGAGTATATAACAGTAAAAAGTGAGGAGAATGAAATCTCGAAGGAAAAGGGGAATAAGGAGAACTCAGCCCCCCAGCAAGAAAAACATGAATTTCCTTTTTGGAAGTCACCTGAAGCAGAAAGTTCCGAGAGACATCGAAACAACGTGGTGTTTAAAGAATCATTACTTCCATCCGACAACGCACAAATGGCTGTAGAGTTCTCTAAACCTGATGAAAGTAATGGTAGAAGTGTATCATTTCCATCCGCGTCGTCTGAACTACGTTCCTTCCCTATTGAAAGCTTGTCTCAGCCGAACCCTTTTATGTACATGAATGCCGATGCGAGGACTGAAAAAGAAGGAAAAAAAGAGGTAAATCCTCCTCATGCATTCCACTATCCTCAAGACCAGCATATGACGCAGTCTAGGTCATCAGTAAATGCGCTGCCTGCTGGTACAGGCTTGGTAAACATGACTTATGAAATGAAACCTGGTATAGGAGAAGAAAATAATCGATCAAAACCTATCTCGAAAGATTCGTTTGAAGATCAAAATTTACTTTCATGAGTTTCTGGAAGAGTACCACAATTGCATTAACAGACGAAGAGGATACCTGGTGTTTTTGCAATATCTGAAAAAATTAGCAAGAAAGACGAAGGTGAGCAAAGTACAATACCGTATCCACAGGCGATTCTTTCTGCTTCGGTAAAAAGAAGAGGAAGCGACGTTTAATATGCAAAGATATATGCCTATTGAACTGTATTAAGTCTTTATTGTTCTTTGGAATTAAACAGTGATGGTATGATAAAGCCATCATAGATTCCTAGAGAAGTCTAAAATATTCACCTTGTTTATCTGCGATCATTGTTCGTGCTGCATATATATTTATATAGAAATTATGTTCCTTTTTTTTATTTGCGTTTTTATTATGTCCTATATATATTCGGACTTTTTGTTGTGGTTTTTTTTTGGTGTTTATGGAAAACCTGTTGGTATTACGATTCTTTATATCGCTGGACGATTTAATTGTCATTAATTTTTTTTATTATTTCTTGTTCAAAACAACAATGAAACGATCGATAAATTCATAAAAGCTATTCAATGTACGAGTACTGTTGACATACCAGTGAATTGTCTCCTTTTTTCTCGTGACAATCGAAAGTTAAAAGGGTTTGGATAAGAAAGAAAACGAAGAATGCATAATAGACTTGAAAAACAAAAGAAGAGGACTCCGATACTCTTCATTTCTATGCATTTTCTTTCGTATTTGTTACTTTACATACTCAAGTTTATGTTACTTGGAAGGTGAAAGACCCCACAATGTATTTACCGATATTCTTTGACTTAATATTATAAAGGTGCATATTAAACGAAAGAAAAAATTAACACTATTGAACGACGTCATTTCTTACACTGCTGGAGGTAAACAGTAAGAGCTCTCGATTTTGGTAATAGCGATGTCATGAAGTGAACTTCTGGAAGAGACCTATGTTATTATACTCAATATTGAAATGGATAGGCATTCAAAAACGAAGAATAACATCGTAAGTCATAATGCATGTGAATGGAACGTCATTCTAAAATCACTGTGAGTCATAACTAACGTAACGAAAAAACAAAGTACATAAGTAGGAAAAGGAACGCAAGAAGAATATCTTTCTACTAATATATTACAATAACTAATTCAGATTCAGAAGCTTAGACACAAGACAAGCTTATTAGGTTTCAAAAAGAGCCTTTGGGTGGAATAAATCAGATCGTTATTTTTAGATTTGCTAACGAAAATCTATTGATCATTACCGAGACGCAGATCTTTTGAAGACTAACCAGATATGTCGGTAGCCTATCCTACAAACGAAGCTGTACAAGATGAGCATATGCACAAAGGGCTGCACTTATTTGCCATCTGGGAGGCATTATCTTCTGGAAAGATGCCAGATAATCAGCAATTAGGTGGCTTGTTTTCAGCAATTTCGGAAGGTTCTCTATCGATTGCCCAAGACGTTAAACGAAACATGTCAAAAGACGCTCGAGATTTTTTCAGTCACTTCTCGGAAGTGATTGACGATTCCTATTCAGTACTCAAGAAAAAAAATCGTGGTGATCTTTTACAAAACGCTGTCTATGAATTGACTCAGTCTAACGCGTCAACAAATGCTCCTGACATTTGGAACGATACGAGTCAAAACTTGAATGACCAAGGCTTAAATCGGGAGGATCTCAAACAGTTCTTTCTTTTATTTTTTAATAACAGCCACTTGCGTGAAATTTTGCGAGATGTCCTTGCCCTATTCGGCCGTCAAGGTTCAAAGTTAACTCAGCAAAAATTTAATCAGTGGGATCCACAGCAAGGAAAGCTTGGCCAGAAGAGTCCTTCGCGACATCAAAATGGCCCAAATGAATCTTCAAGACATCAAGGTTATGATGGTGACTACCTTTCCGTGTTCCCTGCTAGAGAACAAAGGGAAAATCAATCCAACGAAGAGTCATCAAAAACGAATCAATTCTTCAACGATCCCCAATCACAACAAGTTAGAAAAGAGACTAGTGAAGAATTGCGTAAAATCATGGATCAATTGAAGCGTCTGGTTGTGGATTTACAACAGGATAATGCTTATCAGCATCCTCTGCAGAGCATTTTTGGTCTAGTTGAAAAATTTGTGAATGAGCTTGGTGATAAGAAAGGTAAACTGCAAGTTGAAACTAATGATCACATTGACCGTGCCTTGCGTTATCTTCGAGAGCTTGCTGAAAACGCTGTTAATCACTCTCTGCAGCCTCTCATTAACGTATTTAAGAAGTTTCATCACTGTGCCCAAGAAGACAGAGAATTGAAACAATGGTTTCAAGATTGTTACGCTTATATGAGAAAGTTCGTTTTGAAGAAGGGTTATGCTATCACACAGGATGCAACGGATGAGTATAATGAGCTTTACGAACGTGGTCGCAAACTCATGAAAGGACGTCACAAACACCTTTGGGATGAACTGTGCTCTGAGTCGAAATCCATCAAAGACAGTGCAGCTTCCGATAGCTGTTACCACCACCTAGGAGATGATGGCAAGAGACTATACAATATTTTGGTCGAACACAAGGGTGGAGAAACATCTTTGAAAAAAAATACAATTTATGAGATTTTGCAGTTGAGCTTACCTGTTATTCTTGCCCGAATCCAATACTTTCCAATTCCCCGGCTCGAAATCGAGCAGCCTGCGTTTGATATAGTTTTGGAGAATCTTAACCTTCAAACTATCAACATTTTACCAAAAATCGCGGAATTTCGAAACAATAACCTCATGAGACTTTCCCCTTACGGAAACGTCTCCTCAATTCAAGATCATTTAGTTCATCTTCATCTTGCTCATATCCAAACTGATCTCAAAAATGTCAACTATTATATTAGGCGCAAACAGGGATTTCCTAAATTCGTTGATCAGGGAATCGTTGATCTTGGCATCCACAAACAAGGCATGGTTGTTGACCTTGCCTTGTCAGCAACTCCGAAAACTCCCAGTCGCCAACTTCCTGGTTCATTCTTTCGGTTAGATCATGTTAAAGTGGATGTTCACAACATTAAGCTCAAAGTTAGAAAATCAAGACATAAAGCTCTTCTGAACTTCCTTAAGCCATCAATGATGACCTATATCCGAACAACTGTAGCAAGATCTTTGGAAGTCTCCATTCGACGAACTGTTGAACAACTAGACAGACAATGCTATGAGATACATAGAGAAGCTCAAAATGAGTTGGACAGACAGTCTAAAAGGCCAACAGAAGAACAAGATTCGAGAACAAAAGTGTATGGCAAGACTATATATAATAGATTTTCATCTATGCAACAACGCTCTCAATCTTCTGGTTCAAACCAAAAAATTCGTGTTGCTCTTCACGAACAAAATAGTGAACTCAGCAACATTGTTCTTCCTTCCCATAACCTAGAGGAAGGCGAAAGGCTGAGAAGGTCAGCTCATTCCGGAACTGCTTGGCGATCTCCTGTTTATGATAGTTTAGGAGCAATGGGTAGTGCCGGTGCTGTTGGTAGTTTAGCAAACCGTTCACGACCCTCTAAAAAGTCGAAGCGGAGCTCAGCCAAGAACCGTCAACCAGCAACTGCTAGAACTATGAATGAAGGCCAACAACCTAATGCGAATGGCAGTTTAAATCAGACCATACTGAGTGATCAAATGGCTCTCGGAAACGTAACTGAAATTCCCCTTCCTCCCGCAAACACTCAAAGACGCAGTTTGACTGAACATTCAATTGGTAGTTTTGGAGATGAGCAGCGTTCTCCAGAGGTATTGTTCCGTCATACGGATGCTCCTAAGCGAAATCATGATGCTTTTAAACATCAAACAGCAGTGACTTAATTAATTATAATAATTGCATTCTGCTGAAATATACAATGCCCTTCAAAAATATTCGAGACCACCTACTTTCATGACTTATGATCCCAACCCAAATTCTACGACTATTTAAGGTCTGTTCATTATACTTATTTTATTCTCTTCTGATTTAATAGCGATAAATTAGTGTATTATTTATTAGTTAATAAATGCGAACGTTTTAACGTTGAATTTCTCTAAATTGCGTAGATTATTAAACAAGACAAATAATTAAACCCTTTAGATCCTTCGTACTTCAATTAATACATATTCCGAGCATTGCAGAGCGTTGGTTTCATAGTTTCAAATGTTCACGCACGCGAACTTAGTGTACGATCTAGAGAAAAAGGACTGCTTCTTGCTGAATTCGTGGCCTTTGTAAACAAAGGCGATGACATCGTCTCATTCGAATCCCAATCCTTTAACGGGGGTCGAATACTCTTCTCAGTTGGCGTAGCTGATGGAGCGCGATGATTCCTTATAGACATCTTTTTTGCAAGCATAGTGGGCAAATTCTTTGGTTTATGATTCCTGTTTAAACCTGTAGGCTGAACTTTAAAGCCAATAGAGCTGTTTTTTGGTTGACTTTCAATTGACGAGAAAGTCGAACCCCCAGTAATCGAGGAATTATCACTAGCCGCAGTCAAGGATGAAGACATAAACTTGTTTATAGAAGCCGAGGACGACGATTTTTCGTCATTATTGTGACGTGAGTCTACATTGTTTGGATATCTCAATTTAATGGGTTCATCATACATAGACTGTCTCTTGTTTGCCCAGTCTAATAGAGTATTCACATATCCCGTTGCTTCGGGATCCCACTCTTCCTCATGCTCTGATATCAAATTTAATGGTTTCACATCTTTTTTGTAAGCATCAGTTGAAGACAATTGGTTCATTTGATCGGCCAAATGAAGTAAAATAGCACGGTTACTTTCATATAGTACGCTTTGGCAGCTTCTTCTTGGTGAATTAGTTAGCATAGATGTTTTCTTTTGGAACTTTTTCGGTTTTATGACGCGTTTAAAAGATGACCTAATTCTGTTTAAGATCGTTGTTTTCGCTTGATATTCGTCTTGCTGGGTTAGTAACTTTGAAGTAGGAACGCTCTGTTCAAAAATCAGTAGCTTATTCATTTTATCTAGCATCATCGTGCAATTCATAAAGACAGTGCGCTTCGATTCAGGAATTTCAGGGCACCGAGATTCGACCCATAGCCACCAAAGGTTTCTTGAAGAACAGACGGGTGTGATACTTTCAAACGAACATTCGTTGGCTATATTTTTATCCAACGAGGAAACTTGATCCAATGGAGCCACATGAGGAAAATCAGAAGTTGAAATTTCTCCAGACAAAATAGAGCATACCGTTTCCTGAGTTTTAGTAGGAGCTATTGGGTGATTAAACCCATTGGTAATAAAGCTGGACCATGCAGATTCTTGAATAGAAAATACTGAATGATAGGATGTACGCTTGCTGACTTGTTGTAGAGTGGACAAGCATTTTGTTTGCACGTCTTCAAAACGACGAGGTAATGAAGAAGATATGTTTTTTGGTACGGGCATTTGAAAAACCAGCTGAATGACCTCCAAAGGATCCTTTGAAAAATAAGAACTAAGGGAAAAATTTACTAGAGAAGCTTTTTCATCTAGGTAATTAATAGTTTGAGGAGGATACTTGCATCGCTGAACCTGGGTTTGTAATGTATACGGCAAGCAGGAAAACCCGGATTGATCATGTTTATCCATACTACGGATGTAGCATAGAAGAAGGTGGAAGCAAGCATTCGAGCATCTAAATTCGTAAGTAAACAGCACAAACCCCCAAACTGACCTTAGTGATCATTTTGTAACTTACTTATTCCAGTATTCAAGTGTATCCTGCAAGGACATCTGAGGCCACTCAAAGGCCCAAATACTTGCAATTTGAGCCACAGATTCTAAGGAAGATCCTTTACGGACTTGTGTGCTATTAGCCATCTTTGCAGAAAGACTCATCATCAGTTTCAAAAAATGGTTCAAGACGTTTAGATGGTGAGAATTTTTGGTCGCATGTTTCATGAATATGTTAAACCCAGAAGTCGGGTAATTAGCTCTTAACTCTGCTTCTTGAAAAAGTTTATAAGTTGCCCATGTGATTACGCCTCCTGGAATACGATGCAGGATCCAACGAAGACAGGAGATTAAGCTGGTTTCACTTAAAAGACGCACTTGGTTTCGTATTTCATCTGGTTCAATCTTTTGCTTTTTCTCTAGATTTTTGTAAAATTCACGTACAAACGCTATCGATTCCCAGTACTTGTCAGGATTAGATCCAACAGCTATCCGAAATAGGATGTTGCTAGAATCCATTTCTAGTAATGTATGTTAACTTCTATCAATTCTCACTTTTAATGGCCGTTCATGAGAACGCGTTTAACATTGTTTAATCAATATATACCTAAGTGTTCAAGGCGAGACGCCAATTCTTTAAATACTAACTCTATTTGAGCTAAATCAATATTTTCTTGATTCCAATAATCCATGCTGATTAACCTAAGTGTTCCGTTGAAAACACGATTCATTAGGGCGACAGATCACTTATATATCTTAAGGGTCAGGGACAAAGAAAAGACGGATAGTCGAAAGATACCCCTTCCAAGAATAAAAAATACAGAAATGACAGCGAAAAACAATATATATAATTTTATAGAATACTTTTATTTGTTTTATGTATTTGTTTCATTCCTACCTAAACATTTTTTTGTTTGGGTTGGATGGCTAAAATAATCTAAACTCCCTAATGAATTCTGTAAAGAGCCATGTCTGACAAAGAACCCGTAATTGACCAGGTAAGGAAAATAGTAGCAAAAGAAATGGTTTTAAAAGCGCAAAAGATTATTTTTTTGTGATATTTTAATCCTTTGAACGCAGAGTAGCTAACAGTTGTGTTAGGTTGGTCTTAACGGCACTTTTCCTGAAAAAAAGAAAAAGACGAAAAAGTCGGTTGCTTTTGATGATGAAGTGAATTCTCCAGGTCAAAGAGAATCTTCTCCCGCCGACGATTCCTCTGATGATAAGCAGGAAGATGATGGCAAAGATGCCAAAGGATTGACTGAGCCTGTTGCTGAGGGCGAAGTTGATGAGTTAAAGGACATGTTTGCCAGTATGAAAAAGAAAAAGAAGTCAAAGAAGTCTTCCGGCGATGCCGAAGGTGAGAAAGGAGATGAAGTTCTCAACGATAATGGTGAATTAGACTTTTCGTCTATGAAGAAGAAGAAGAAGAAGAAAAAGACCTCTGATTTGTCTGCCTTCGATAAGGAGTTGGAAGCTTCTTCCGCAGGAGATGGTGCTGATGCTAGTAAGCAAACTTTCGACTCTGAAAACATGGGTGAACATGCTTGGTTGAAGAGCGATCGCGATTACTATTATCCTGAGTTATTGAACAGATTCTTCAATCTCCTTCGTACTAATAACCCTGAGCTTGCTGGTGAAAAGCGTAAATACACTATTGTACCTCCTTCCGTTCATCGTGAGGGTAAAAAGACTATCTTTGCAAACATCAATGATATCGCTAAGCGCATGCATCGTTCTTTAGATCATGTGATCCAATTTTTGTTTGCAGAATTGGGTACAAGTGGTAGTGTTGATGGTTCTTCTCGTTTAATTATTAAAGGTCGTTTCCAACAAAAGCAAATGGAAAACGTCCTTCGTCGTTATATTGTTGAATATGTAACTTGCAAGACCTGTAAATCTCCGGATACTATTCTTACAAAGGAGAACAGAATTTTCTTTATGACTTGCGAAGCTTGTGGATCTGTTCGTTCAGTGCAAGCCATTAAGACAGGTTACCAAGCCCAAATTGGAAGAAGAAAGCACGTTGGTTAGTTTTTTTGAGATAAAAAATTTATATATATCCGTGTATTACTACGAAATGACATATTTTCGGTTTATCGTGGCATTAAGTTCATTGTATATGTATTAAAATAAATGTTCATTATACATTAGTCCTATATCTTTCTCACATTCATCATTGCTTAGTTTCATAAAATGGGTTTGCTGTTTTAGGTTAAATTGTTCACGTCTACTGAATGACATTTGTGTGCATGTTTCCACCAAAATATTTCTGGAACTTTTACTTTCACATCTTTTCGACCTGCTGTTGTCAGTAAAACTGTCTCGTCCAAGATTTAACAAAGTAAAATTTGAAGTAAAAGAAAAAAGTCGACTGAGCAACAAGTTTCATGTTGTAAGCTTTATTTTAAATACGTACCCTGGCAACGTATCCAACGATTGCATTGATGACATTTTCCCTGTACTATTTGACGTCTGTCAGGTAGCCCAATTATACTCTTAACCTTTCGAACAGGAATTGTTCGAAACTCAATGGGCGGATGATAAGGTCTGCCTTTACTATGAATACCATGTAAAAAGTTCATATGATACCAATATGCGCTGGTTTTAGTGCGAAGCCAGACGAAATTCTTCTGGAAACAACAGATAGGGCAAAGGCCTTCTTTTTTTTTTCCCTGACCACGAGTAAATCGGGGCAAGTAATAATCGTCAATGGGGCAGGATTTGATACACTTGACATCGTCTTCTAACAGATATTTGGGTATAGGGAAAAGAGCAAGCTTTGGCAATTCAGAGTAAAACGAAGGAAACATTGGGTGGATTGGGGTGTGAGGTAGATAATGGCGAATACAGGCGTTTCTTTGTTTAGGATTGGTTAGACAAGGCTCACCGTCATCTGCGGTTGCTTTTTCAGGAAGAGTCGTTAGTACAATATACCGATTTTCTTTGGCGACCGAAAAATCACTAGGATACTGACAGTAGCCAGTATGAGTTTCCATAGTAATTTTCGGGTTTGAGGACGTGTTTGGAAGAACGTTAGCAACAGAGTTGTTTAATTGAAGGGCTCTGTCCATGTGTGTTTCAGGATATAAATGCTGTTGGGTGCCAATGTGGTTTGATAGTTTGCTGTTTCTCTTTCCACCTTCGGTTTCCAAACCTTCATGAAGATGATCTTTTAAATATTTCCGAACATCCTGTAGAGGACCATGATGTTCGTGATCATCGTCGACACCACCTCCCTGAGTACGATTACTCCAGGTAGGATTATGCGAAGAGTCGTAGTCCGATGAGTTTTTTTGTGATAAACTGTTTGAACTTTTTAAATTATCAAAGCATAAAGAGTTGTTAAAAACGACGTGTGGTTCAGGTAATTCAGACAAGAAGTGATTGTTGAAGTAGATTAATTTTTCTATATCGTTGTAACTCATTTTACAATTTTATCCTTCGCTTTTAAACTGGTAAATACTTTTACTTAATTAAATATAGTATTAAACAGCTCAATCAGTTTATGGGTACAACTAAAAGGAGGTTATGGATAAGGGACGAATCCTTCCAAGCTTTATTTCGCGCCCCAAGAAGCAACGCGCTGCAGGTAACTTAGCTTGAACACCCAAATGTAAATAAACAACGTTTTTTTTTTCAAGAAAATATTAAAAATAAAGTAGAATTAAAAAGAAATTTCTCAACTCAGTTTTGAAATATCTTGACAAACCTCCTAGTGTGCTTCCTGCAATAGGGAATTCAGATAAATGAGCAGCATGAATGCGATATGCGGAGCGTTTTGAAAACTCTTGACGGTCAATTCTTTCTCCATTTAACCTACCATTCTAGCTAGAATAGTATTAAATTTGGCTACTGGCTATCTGCTTTAAATATTTTCACACTATCGTATTCATTCAAAATTTCATGACTTTCTTCACAAACAATACAGTACTACTTTCAGTACTTCTATTCGTTTATTAGTATAAAATGCTTTTAGTAATTCTGCAGAGAATATTAAAAAATATTAGAAAGCAAAAAAACAACTCCCACTGCGAGACTCGAACTCGCAACCTTCCGGTTAAAAGCCGGACGCTCTAAGCCGATTGAGCTAAACGGGACTTGGTTGATAGTTAGTATCTAAAAAATTATTTATGTAGTAATTTTTCTTTATGAGCTTCAATTAATATAGCGATAAACACATTTGGTCTTTGGAACATGGGAATCTTATTATTTTTAAGAACAATATATTTATTACTAAATTTGTATACGATTAGCAAAGTAAGAGTCTTGGTTATCGGCTTTTAGGGGAGGATTTTTATTTCGTCTAACATTTCTAGCAATATAAGAAGAAATAGAACAGTAAAAAGGAGAAAGAAATGCGATTACCCCTGTCTTTAAAAAACTGCTAATTTAAAGGCTGATCGAACTGGAACTGGAGTATTTACATAAATATACCCACCGACAGCGCACAGTGTCTTCTATAACACTTCTGAAAAATTATTACAAATAATATATGGGCTAAAACTTTTTATGCATTCTCTGTTCTCAATGATTTGTTCATTTCACCACTGTTCTTCCTAGGTGACATAGTAATTATGCTTCCAAGTATGAATCTTTCTTCGTTGAAACATTAAGCAATGGGTGTCCGTGTTAAAGTATAGTCAGTTTGACATTGTAAAGTAAGTTGAGTATGCGCAGCTTATCTCACAATCTCCTTAATCTTTTGTTGTTGAATTTCCAGCAGGTTCGTATGCTGGTTACTTCACCACAACCCTGGTTGCTAAATACTTGTAATTTTGTAACTGGTTGTTTTGCATGTTTTGTTTTCAATATTGAAAAGACTAAACACAGCCAACTAACCACTTGTCTTGTTGCATGCAAGGTAGCACGAATCAAACTTAGCAGATGTATGCAAGTAAAGTAAAGCCGGGTTGATAGCTAAAGTAATAAATAAAAATCTAAAGATGAATAAGAATGGCATTCATTAAATGAAGATGAAATGAAGTAATAATCACCGCTATTCGTTCAAACGAAGAGCACAATAGGATCAGCTAGTCAGTCGACTAAACAAACAGCAACGGAAGCTTGTGATTCTATTCCCGACTAAGAACTTATTAAGCCACGTTTCATGAAGATCGCATTCTATTCTTCTTCTTCTTCCTATTACCAACATCATGGTTACGTTTGAGTTGGCTGGTCGTAGCCAGACGATACTATCAGATCAATTCGCTGTTTACAAGCAACCAGAACTGCAAGCCTCTTAATGATTATTCCAAGGCTGGTGAATGTAGTCGTGTGGCTGATTGCTCATTAATCCTATAAATAATCAGGAAACGCCTGTTTCTATCCATTAATCTTAAAAATCCCTCTCTTATCCCAAGTACTAGTACTTCTTGGTTTGACCTGTTTACTTGCATTACCACATTTTCACATTGTTTAAAACAGAATAAAGATGCGTTTCTTTTTGCTTAGCCTTTTCTTGATCTCTTTATTGGGTGTTTCTTTTGCATTCCCTTACGGCAATGCAGCATTGAGAAACGCTACTTCCAATGTCCTTAATCAAGGATACAATACTACTTCTATGGTTCAAACAAACAGCACTCAAGTTCAAGGAAAATTCGCTAATGCTACGAGTAACATTGGCGCCTCTAACGCCACTTATTGAAGGGCAGGTTGCTAGAGAAGGTTTCAAGGAGGCTCTCTAGAATAAGGATACAAATATTACCTTGTCTATAATCATCCATTATTTCTGTTCGGACTGCTTCAGAAAATTTATTTCTTTATCTGGGTTCTGTGCTCTCGTGGATGTCTTTTTCGTCTTTATGATTATAAGTAATGGTTTTCGGTCAAGCCTAATGGCTATGCTTGACTGTTATTTCGATTATTCTTTTACTTTACATGTGAGATTTTGAGTTATTTCTTTAAGCATTGCATTACATTTTTGCATTTAAGTATATATAATATTACCAAATAAGAATACCGAATTGACACTAAAATTACCATAAGTAAATTGTTCTTATATTTTATGTATGTCGTAGTTAATCATGGCTTTGTTTGGATGATGGTTTGTTTAACGAAAGACTAAGTCCAAAGACCATGGTATTATAAAAACTATGAACTTTTCATTCTGATGTGTATGAAGATGCTAATAATCACTTTTAGCGTTGAACTAGACTTGATGTATGAAGCACGACAAGCTGATTGTAAATGAGTAATTACAGCTGACCCAAGTCGGTTCAAGTTGAAGTACGCATTTTACTCACGATTGAAGTTCCTACATTAAATGAAGGGCGCATGCTAGCAATTCGAACTTCACATACGATGATGATCTTAGCCATCTTAAACATATCTCCAGTGTCATTTAATTTAGCCTCATTTATTTATTGGAAACATAAATGTAAGTAGAAACGGAAAAGAATGCATTGTTATCCAATGTCTTTACAGATTCAATAGTTCATTATAAAACATAACAACTGATTCTAAATACAGATTAGACATATCCCTTGGGGAAATGACTTAGTTAATGAACCTACATGAAGCATCTAAGCAAAAAGCTGAACGATATTGAATGGTCGCTACTTAAGAAGTAACGCGTTATTTGGGTAGGAAGGTAACAACAGAAGGAATAATAAATTGATCGTATCCATCTTGGGTCTTGTTTAATTCAGTATATTTAAGGGACTATGCTGAAACTTAAATAGTGAAAAGATAAGAACATTTAACACTAGGGTTGAGCACGGAAGTAGAATATGTGCTTTGCAACGCTTTTTCTTTGTCAATCGCAGTGAAGTAATTTTCCCTACCTACTTTTCTATTATTTCTTTCTAATAATTTGGAATATTATTCCTAATTAACTTTTAAATGTGGGTAACTGAGTATGAAAGCTCCAATACCGCATAGCAACGGTTCTGGTGTAGTACTGCGAACAATCGCTAGTATTGACTAAGTCCAAATCAATAGAAATTGTTTTTATATCTATCTTCTACTTAGTTGGCAAGTAATACAAAAAAAATGAAAGAAACATATTTCTTTCTTAAATTCAACCACAATGTCAAGTAACATGATTACCATTGCCGTTTGTTTACAGAAATGTAAACAACCTCTTGTTTAAGATCGATACAGTGGAAATAAACTCATATGTTATTTGATTGTAAAAGATTTTTAAAGGCAAATAATCAATTCAATGAAATCTGAATTAGTCTTGATTTGACGCAAAGCTTTATAACGATGGAATAATTTTTTATTTTTTTTATTTTTTATACGAGACAATACAGAAAACCAATGCATAAATTAATTCTTCTTTAATACGGTTTAAATGGTTTTTTTTCTTTTGGTTGCAGAACGAAGTACAGTCCCACTTTACGTTTCTTTTGACTGTTTACTTGAGTTGACAATAAACAATTGCAGAGCCTTGCAGTCAAAATCAACAGATGGCGGCACGGCTTGAATTTGTTTGTTTTTATTTCAAACTTTGTTGGATAAAACACCAATAGTAAAGTTTCCTTTGTTTGTTGTGAGTAGTTTGTTTCCCATCTTAAATGTCAACAAACAAACGTCTAAGAAGGTATATTTATAGGTCAAATTCTACATGTTTCAGCAAGCAAGCAAGCAATTTCATGTATGCATTCAAAGGAAGTTCATTTACAGAATAAAAAATAGTTTCTTGTAGATGAATTCCTCAAGAAGGTCTGGTTTCGTTTCAGTCTAGTCTCGACAAAAATTTCCATAAAATGACCTTCCTTGGATGTCTCATTGCTTGACTACATAAACGAAAATGGAATGAAGAGCAAGCTTCTATTAAGTTGCTTTCCATTTTTTCATCAGAAGATCCTTAAATGTTTATTAAATTGCGTTCTTTTGTTTTGTCCTTCATACAGAATATTCGTTTTGAAACTTTTTGACACCTTTTTGGGTAGGATCCCCTTAATTTCTTACTTTTTTTCTAACATTACAGCATTCTCTATCAAAAATATTCTTATTTCTCCAGCTTTTTTCCATATAATGATTGTACTTCCCTACTCGTTATGACTCTTGCTTCTAGCATTGTTTATACCACCGTTGGATCTCATTTTATATCATCTTTGCTCTTTGTACACATTCTCAAAAGAAACAATGAGTATACGATTATAATCTTCGGCTGCAGATCAGACTCTAGCAGTTGCAAGTATTTGTTTACATTTCATGATGTACTTTGCAGCATTCAGGAGATCAGGTTCCATTTGCTATTATCATTCACGTACGTGTTAAATAAATCCTGTTTAGCAACGAGCATGAGATGAACGCTTTTGAGAACAGACTCCGAGAGTGTTTGGATTCCAGACATAGTCCTTCTCTCAATAGTGATGTTGAATCAGTTAACCTTCCAAAACTTTGACTCTGGCCAAGCCAAGTTTGGGGTTTATGTTCCAAAAACGAATTGAGCAGAAGTTGAGAAAGAAAAAGGAATTGCATCTTGGAATGGGACCATTTCGCTGTCATCTCAAACCAAGTTGTTTCTTACTCAAGTATGTAGAATTGAGATTTATTCAGTTAAGGGGGCTTCACAGATAATTCCAAAAGTTTCCTAGGACAAATCGAGTAACTCTTTGTCCCTAGTCCGCTTTTCTGGTTGTGTTGTTTGTTTGCTGGACAACTCTTGATACTGCAATCTTTGACTAAAAACAACTGGTTTTCTGACTTCAAGGAAATATTAAATTAGCTCTTTAAATAAATTTCACTTTTCTTCCTTACCTTTTAAGCATGTAGAAAGTAAAACTCTGTTCATTTTTTGCATTTACCGTTTACTATCGAACTCAACCATCGATTCTACTGATGCTTCAGCCAGACGCTTCCATCTTTCATAAATATCGTACTTCTAATCACAACTTACAATTAATAACAAATCCATTTGATGTATTCTACGATAAACCCAAGATAACAAACTATTAAATGCCTTTATTTTTACACTTATTACTAGTAAATCAACAACTGCTTTGGTGGTTTAGTGGTATAATGCTTCGTTGCCATCGAAGCGACCCGGGTTCGATTCCCGGCCGAAGCAAACTTTTTGTTGAATTTTAAACGGATTTTTGAAAGTTGTTAAAAATACACAGCCGCTGACTTCAACCAATAACATGACCGTTTCAATGAACATCTTAATATATTAATCCTCGATGTGCCTACATATCCATACCAAAGGAATTACAACCAAAAGAAGCCAATACTTATAAGCCAAAACTAAACCGCTATAATATAAAGATAAATGGTGGAATCTAATCGATTCATACTTTAAATGATCCTTCCTAAAGCCACTAAACATTATTTAATTTCGCCAAATGGGACAACAATTAGGATCTTATTTTTACTTGGTAACTTGCCAAACACGAATAACATTGTCGGTCCAGCCAGAGAACAAAGTTTGGCCATCAGGGGACCAGGTAAGAGAAACACACTCAGGCTCGGAACTCTTCTTACCGACACCGACGAAGTCGACAGTAAGCTCATCAACCTTCTCTTGAGTTTCCAAATCGAAGATACGGATAGAAGAGCCGGTAGCAGCGCAAAGCCAGTAGCGGTTAGGAGAGAAGACAAGGGCATTGATGTTAGCCTTAGCTTCCAAAGAGTAGAGGTGAGTGGATTCGTTAAGATCCCAGAGCATCAAAGTACCGTCTCTACCACCGGAAGCGCAAAGAGAGCCATCAGGGGAGATAGTGACGGCAGAAACGTAGCCGGTGTGACCGTAGTGAGAAGTACGGAGAGAGAAAGACTCCAAGTCCCAAACCTAAATATGAGTTAGAAAAGTGAATGAAAAAGCAAGTATAATATCGAAAAGCTGTTAAATTGTCAAATACAGTTCAATGGTATCAGCAACTAAGGTGATTGTTTTGTCTCATCGAGCCCGAAAGGACCTCCGAAGTAGCAAATATTGTAGAACCATCATGTACCAACGATTTGTAGCATTGTAAACAGCGAATCCGATACTAACAAATAACTTACCTTAACAGCCTTGTCCCAACCAGCAGAGACGAAGGTGAGGTTATCAGGGTTAGGAGAGAAGCGAACGCAAGAAACCCAGTCAGAGTGACCACCGTCGGTAATGGTGTACTTGCAGTTACCGATGATGTTCCAGATCTTGATGGTCTTGTCACGAGAACCAGAAACAACCTGGCGGTTGTCAGGGGAGATGGAAACGGACAAGACATCACTGTTGTGACCAACGAATTGGTGGGTGCATTCACCCTTTTCAAGATCCCACAAACGGATAGTCTTATCCCAGGAGGCAGACAAGGCATAGTGACTGTCGAAGGAGAGAGCACAGTCGGAAACAAAGTGACTGTGGCCGGTCAAACGTCTCTGGGCGATACCATAGTTCATGTCATCACGGACCAAGTTCCACTAGAAAAATGTTAGTATGAGATCGTATTTCATAAGTCTCTAACGAAGTACTACTAAGTGACTATAGTTCGCGATACAAACCAAACCGGATTTGTGTTTTGCTCGCACTTAAGATCGACCTCGCATAATTCTACTTACCAAGATGATGGATTTGTCACGAGAACCGGAAAGAAGAATGTCAGGGTTCTCAGGAGCAGTGGAAAGGGAAGTAACCCATCCAGAGTGACCTTCGAGAGTTGCACGGAGCACAAGTTGTTCTGGCATGTTGACTGGTCGTGATGTCTTTAAGGAAAAGTTAATTTAGTACAAAAATGTTCTATATGTGATGTGACTGTGTTTTAAAAAAAGTTAGGGTAGGGTTGCCCGCAACACCAAAATTTTTGGCAGTAGCTCCCGTATCTTGCAACAGTTGGATATTGTGGTTAGTGGGATTTCTTATGCTGATAGGTCCGGCGAAGAAGCCTTCACGTTAGACAAAATTACCCAAAAAACTACCACACATTTGATACATAAAAAGATCGGTCTGATCATTGAAATCCTGCCTGATTACTAAAAAAATAGTACATGAAAATCAGTGAAAAACAATAGCATTGCTTCTGTACATCTTCAAGACATTAGAAAGTGAAAAAAATTGCAATCTAGCAATAGAATACCTTTGAAATAACTCTGTCACTAAAGAAACGTAAGATGTTGGATGTCTATATCTTGCTTGACGAAACGAAGTGCTTAGTGTGCAACTTGTAATCTAATGGGTGATACGTCCTATGAAACCGTCTAAAAGATTTCATTTCGTCTCTAACAGTTAAATACGTATGTACAGTACATAAACGTACATAATTACGACTTTACCAAATTTTCAGTTTTAACTGGAGAAAGTTGTGATGATTGTTAATCAAATGTGTCTACCCTCTATTCAAACCGCTCATTGACTTCTCGATATGCTTAAAACTACGAGATTCATAATTTTTCTTATATTTGTAATGCTTTGTTTACTATATAAACTATGAAGGCAATTAATACGGTGGAGGTTTACCGACTACGCTCCACTACGTAAATTGTCTTGGAAATGATTAACACTTTCTCCAGACCTGTCTTCTACAAAATAATCTATAATCTTTTATTTCTGGGTATGCGAACTGGAAATCATACCTATATATAGGATGTCTGGTCAAGAAAATTTATTATCCCATTTCAAACAGACCGCGCTAAGCGTTACGCAGTTGTACCAAGCATCCACCGCAGAGTCACTGCGTTCCCAAAAAGCTGGTTATGCTCAAGCCTTGAAAGAAATTGCCGAATTAATCGAGTGTAACGGTGTTTCTAGTGACTATATTCTTCAGTATTGTAAAGAAAAACTGGCTATATATGACCCTGAATTCGTTGCAGACTCGTCTCATCAATCTTTTGGCGGGAATGGCGACTCTGTCCACATGGATGATGTCCAGCAAACTCCTTTAAATAATCCAAATTTTGGCTTTTCTGCTTTGCGTACAGCTCGTTCTGGTCGGCCCGTATTGGATTCAGATGACGATGAAACTCCACATAAACGTAGAGTTTTTGACTTGAACGGCTCATGGACGAAACGGAATCGACGGTGAACATGAGTAATCCAAACTTTTATTTCTACGTGTTACATGGCTCTAAAGGATGAGTCGTTTAACCGGGTTTCCTGTACTTTATTTATTTCTAAAAAGGTAATGAGATCTTACCTACTTGTCTATATTCGTTGAATCTCCTTGTTTTATCTTATGCCCAAATTTCATTCTCGTGTATAATTTGTTTAATCTGTGTCTCATTTCAACGTGATGATTGTTGTACTATCCCCGTTTTCATTTTCATTTTAACTTAATGATTGAAATAAATTTCTTTCTTTATTATTCATATTTCTCAATTTTGTTTGATTAAATATTCACCGCGTCCATTTGAATGTGTTAGAAAAATACCAGTCGAATGGTTGCTTATTGAAACAGCGGGAGATACCTATTATGAGGAATTCGAAGATGTATCATATTTTATGCTTGTAGTACAACTTTTGAAAAAGACATTGCTATTCTATGTTGGTGATTTATATTGAAGCATCGTGAAAATATATATATTAGGTTTTAACATAATGCACTAATCTTTTGATTCCCTTGGATATTATAGCCTTCTATTTTACGCACGCTCATAAGCATTGCGACTACAGCTCGAAGAATCAGAGTCACTATCGGATTCTGACGAGCTTTCATCAAACCTTTTAGCCTTGTGAAAGATGCAGCAAACTATATGTGTTAGCCAACTCATTACATAGAAAAAGAATAAGAATATAGACACAATATCCAATTCTTTCTGAGAAGGATCGCTTTTGGAAAAGACGTTTCTTTGGTTTCGTGTTGACACACCTTCCACTGATCGATCCTTACACATCATAGTGCAACTTACCTTTTGATTTTTTCTTGTTCATATTTTCATTATCAACAGTATTATTTGCCCACCTTACACGTCTGCCTCGAGACTCGGGCTGCAGACGCAAAACATGTTCTTCCACCTGTCTTTCCTCGGGGACTTGGTACGGCGCGTCGTTTGCAGTTATCGTCTGAGATCCAGAGTAATCGGCGTTAAAAGGTAATTCCATTTTCAAGCTATATTTATTCACCACAATGAGTTTACTTAGAAAACTCAATGTATACTCCTACGACTTCTTTGTTTTGCAACTGCTACCAAAAAAGAATTCACTTGCCAATTGCGCCGTCTATCAAGAATCAAAATTTAGTTGAAAAATTCCGATTAAATTGTTTATTTTGAATGCGAATTTTCTTATATTTTATACAGTGGATTGAAGATTTCTTCGATACAGCGTTTGTTCTCTAATTGTCTTTATTTTGAGGTTTCGTTATATTCCACTAAAGTTTCTTAAGTACTTTAACGAACTGTAATGTCTACCGTTTTCGTATGGTTTCTCACAAATGTGAATAATAATGTATGAATATAAAGAAAGTTTTCACTTTCTTTGGATGGAGACGCTATATCATTCTGAGCAATTATTGATTTTTTTAAAGATGCTGTACTACACGTTCCCTAATCGAATTTTCGATGTTACTGTGAATAAACTATGGGTTAGGTAAATATCGGCTTCATTAAAGATCACCCAAAAACTGGAAACAAATTACAAACGGAAAACTCCTTCAATTACCCTATGCAAGGAATAAACTTGAGAGTATTATTGGTTGCTTAATTTTCAAAACATAATCGTTCATACTTTTTAAAAGTAGCAGCAAGCAAAAAGCCACATCACTTGAAAAATCATAGAAAAATCCGTAACAAGGATTGTAAATTAATCAAACGGTATTTTTAATAATTTATACAATCAATCCCATCCGAATCATACACATACACTAGACTTCTCCTGATTTTACATAGATTGACTTAAACGACCTACCAATTGAGGGTATTTTTCTGTCAATGCAATTTGTGTGCGGGTAGCTTCAGCATAAGAAAAGGCATTCACCATTTCAGCTTCGGTACGAGCAAGCTGGGCAGATTGCTCAAAATAAGAAAGGGCCTCTTGTGCCTTGCCTTGTTGCAACAAAAATTGAGCCATACTGGCAATTGCAATGTCGCAGTCTGGATCGGCAGATAAGGCCTGACGACACAAGCTTTCAGCTTGTTTGATATCCTTCTTCCATTGGAATACAGCAAGAGCCTTGTTAATCAAAGGCATAGCACTCATAATTGTTAAGCGTTCTCTCTTTTCGATGGAAATAGCCCGATCAAAGTTTTCAACAGCTTCGGCGAATTTTTGTTGATCCAAAAGAATTTCACCAAAGTAATTATATACTTCGCTACAACCAGGGAATTTCTTCTTGCAGTCTTCAAAGGTCTTCATGGATTGGTTAAGGGCTTGAATCTTGTATTGGGCAACACCGAGTTGAATGTAACTGTAAATGAAAGAATCGTCCAAAGCAATCGACTTATTGTAGTCGGCGATAGCTTCAGCAAATTCACCAGAAACAAAATGAACTTGAGCGCGATGATAGTAAAGATCAGAGTCCTTATCATTAACCGATTCAGCCTTCTTCAAGACATTCCACATGCTATCATGGTCGTTTTCATCAAGATAAGCAGCAGAAAGACGAACATAAGGCTGGATGAATGAAGAGTCGAGATTGATAGCCTCATTGAATTCATCCATAGATCCTTTAGAATCTCCAGAAACAAATTTGAAGGTACCGATCAAGTTGTAAGCACGGGCACTGATAGGTGGACTGGAGCAAGCGACAGTGACGGCCTTCTTGGCTTGGTCGTAAGCAAGTTGATAGTCACCCTTGTCGAGAGCATCATAAGCAGAGCTAAGAATACGATCGCCTTCATACTCTTCATTAAAGTTTGGCTTAGATTGAGGGCGGAAAGAGTCCAAGTAAGTTTGAATGAAGCTTGCAGCTGGGAGCTTAGGAGGGCGTCCAGCCATAAGAGCAACGGCCTTCTTCTCAGCAACCTTCTTTAACAAACGCTCAACGGTAGCGGTCATGCTTTCGTTTGCAAAGCCATCGAAAACACAAGAAACAGTACTGTCCATCAAAGCATCGTCCAGCTTTTCGAGTTGCTCATAAGCAGAAGAGCGGCGATTCAAAGCTTTAACATATGTAGGGTCGAGTTTGAGAGCTTCAGTGGTATCCTTAACAACTTGTTCAAAATCTCCAATAGCAGCATAACAGGCAGCACGGTTGGAAAAGAAGATAGGGTCATGAGAACAGGTGATGGCTTGAGAGTAAAAGTCAATAGCGTTGGCGTATTCCTTTTGTCCATAAGCCTTATTTCCAAGAGTCTTAAGTTCAGTGGCAAGCTTTGAACGTTCCTCCTTCGACATAGATTTCACTGATTCTTCTGTAGCAATTTTCTCGGCAGTCGAATCACCGGACTTTTTATTTTTAAGCTTCTTCTTATTCTTCTTCTTTTTCTTAGCAGCGGCAGCAGCAGCAGCGGATTCTGCTGTTACATCGGAGCCTTTGCTAGAGTCTTCGACCTTTTCATCTTCCCCTTCGTCACCCTCTGTTTTACTGGACTCAGGCTCCTCTTCGACCTTTTTCTTTTCAGGTGTTTCCTTCTCAGCTTTTCGAGCTTTAGTTCCTTTCCTAGCAGCCTTTTGCTGCTTCACATGATAAATTCCTCCAGCTGTTGCGAAAACTGCAACAGCGCCGATGGCATATGCGGCACCTCTATGTCTCCGTACAAATGTCGAAACCGATTGCCATAGACCAGCAGATGCGGCCGGCGAGCCATTTCCAGGTTTGGGTATACCAGACATGGTATTGGTTATGTTTAGGAGGAATAAGTCTATTAGATGTTTCTTGAAGCAGCCGTCCAATGCTATGCAGTTCTCCTTATAGATCCTTCTTCGATAGCGCTTTGCAGTGCGGTAAGCCAGGAATAGCTTTCATTGATTCAGAGGATTGTGATTTTTGAATCGGGACATTGTAAAGATTGTGCATACTAAACATATTATGTCTATACTCTCTAAAGAGTATATATCCAATTTCGTGTTGACCATCTTCATTGATTGCAATCACCTTGCGTCTTCACTATTCCAGGTCTTTCTATAGCAGAGTTTAGATCTTTATTTCAATGATCTGTCTTCGGATCATAAAAATTTACATTCTTCTTTTCCTAATTGAGCTAATTGAGCAAATAGGTATTAATAGGAAATATCAATATAAAAATATATTTTTTGCTCCAGCAGTGACTCGAACACTGGGCCTCTTGCTTACTAGGCAAGCGCTCTACCACTGAGCTACAAGAGCTGTATGTCCATCCGGTAAAATATTGAAGCTCTAATGCCTCACGAAAATTAATGATGGCACCAAGTCCATTGCAAGACAGAAAGCAGATAGATGTACTTACATTGAACATGGTCACGTTACGAATCAAATAGATAGAAGATAATTTAGTAATCTGATTGTATAGAGATCGTTTTTATTTCACTCCAGAGTTCCTAATAAATACGAATTTCAAGGATCATGATCCTTCGCAGACATTTGAAATCATGAGACGAGGAGTTCACACAAAATCATTAAATAAAGAGCAAGCAACGCCTTACCTCCGAGAGCGAAAGTTCTTTCCTTTTCCTCGATTGAGTTTGTAAGAAGAATAATTTTGGCTTACCTGTTTTCCAAGCAAAAGGCCATTTTTCAAACGTCGCTTAGAGTCCTGCAAGTCTACATTATTTGAAGGAGATCCTTCAATCATATTGGGATTATTTTCTTCTTGTTCCTCATGATCTATGTCACCCGCTGTAGCTTCTTCTTCCTCGTCAATTTCCGGCATGCTATCGAGATGACTCTTTTCGGCATTAACTGAAGGAGGGACTACTAATGTTAGCAAAAAAGAACAAAAAATAAAAACAAAAAAGTCATAAAGTCACAATACTTACGCTTCACTAATCGGTTTTGTCTTTTAATTTTTCGCTTGAATGGTCTTGCGGATTCTTGTGCTGAGTTTTCCTCAGACTCTGAGAACGACGAGGAATTCTCATTTTCTTCCACTTCTGCTAGAATTCTCTCTTCATCATTTCCGTAATCATCTTCAATGTCTTTTAATTCTTGTATCATTTCACTCAAGCTTTTTCGACACCGTGACGAAACTCGCAAAAAGTTTGGAGAAGACGGCACTTCTGTCCGATATGTAGTGGGTGTATCAAAAATGGCAGAAGAAGGTGAGGATAAATTCATAGATGGTCGTATCCGCTTAGATGGTGTCGTCGGCGTCATAGACTGTAAGGAAGTTTCAGCAATGCTCAGCACAGAAGTCTCCGCTATTTGGGAGGTTTTCCCGCTCGGTGATGGGTTTGGCGAAATATCCTCAAAGATATTAATTACCCTTCGTGAAAGCTGTGGGGTAGGTCCTAGCAAGCTCTTATCGGCACTCTTGGGTGTCAACTCTAGCGGCTTCGACGTTGGCGTTCTCTGCTCAAATGGATGTTTTTCGATTTTCCGAATTTTCGTCGGCGTTCGAAATTCCGGCTGCTCCAAAGTCCCTTCGTTTTTCTTTCTTGGGGTCGATGTTTTGTCATCACCCTTAGCAACCTTTTGCTTTAGTTTATAGTATTCTTTATAGAGTAGGGCTACTTAGTTAGCTGAACAAATTTTGTTTTTATCCTAAATGATTATTTCAATATATTCTTACAAATAGAAGGATTTGATTTCACATCTTGTTTTGTTGGTTTCCGATTTTGATTATGCGAAAACTCGTGTTCCCAAGTTTTTAACCGGATCTTAAGTTTTTGAAGCTGATAATCCAATGGCTCATTAGACATAATATTTCGCAGGAATTCAAACTGCTTATATAAACAATTTATCGACGAAAACAGTTTCCTTCAAGATTACAGCAAACTATCAGATCTCCTAGTATTTCTTAAAATAGATATTCTATATGTTTTCAATAGTAATGATCAATTAACTACCATTCCTCATTCCGTTCCTCCACTGACAGACGTAGTTCTTTTGACTTTCTTTGTTGACATTGAATTTCTTTTAGCGCTCAGACTGGATTAGGGATTTTGTAAATATTCGCTATCCTGTATATACAGCTATGCAACACGCATGCCTATTTATTATTCGGTACTGTAGCAAGTAATGTTATTTTCTTACAATTCATGAAAAACGAATTTTTTCCATGTAATAGGTTGTTTACTTTTCCAAAACTAACTAAAATGACTGTTGCCGTAGAGGATCTCGAAGACAAGGATTTGGATGAATTAATTGCAAATGGATCATTGGATGCGGTGTAAGTTACAAAGTATTTTGACAAGCGAAATATCATGTACGCGTTTTTCACTGACACCGTTGTGCACATGATGGGTTTTGTTTAGTTTAATGTTTTTTAATATCAGGATAAGCTAACAAATATTCTTTAGGAAGCAAGAAAGCGTTGATCCTGAGACCATGATTCAGTACTATCGCCATTTGTTTCCTTGGCGGTTACTGTTTCAATGGCTGAATCATGGTCCTGTTCCTCAAAAAGATTTTACAAATCGAGAATTTGCATTTACTTTACCAAATGATGCGTACTTGCGATACCTATCGTTTCAATCCTGGGAAGAATTAAAAAAAGAAGCCATTGGTATGTGCCCAAGTAGATTTGAAATTGGGCCAGTGTATAGTATGAATCCAAGAGACAGAAAAACTTTGCGAAAGGCCTCTTTTCGTCCATTACAGAAAGAATTAGTTTTCGATATTGATATGACTGACTATGACGATGTTCGTACTTGTTGTTCCAAAACAAACATATGTGAAAAGTGCTGGTCTTTCATTACAGTTGCTGCCCAAATTATAGATGTTGCTTTGCGTGAAGATTTTGGATTCAATCATATTCTCTGGGTTTACTCTGGTCGACGTGGTATCCATGCTTGGATTTGTGACGAAACGGCTCGTTCTATGGATGATCGTTCCCGAAAAATGATTGCAGGGTATTTACAAGTTGTTACAGGAAATCCTCAGGGCGGTGTACGAATTCTTAATAACTTAAAGCGCCCCTTGCATCCTCATCTGACTCGTTCTCTTGATATTCTAAAGTCTGTTTTTGCTAAGGTCGTGTTAGAAGATCAAGATCCATGGTCTTCTCAAGAAGGTTCAGAAAGTCTTTTAAAATTGTTGCCTAATGAATCATTAGCTTCTGCACTTCGAAAAAAGTGGGAGGTCGATCCTGGACGCTCTAGTATCAAGAAATGGTCAGACATCGACGCAGCTATTGCATCTGGAAGTTTTAATATTTCTCCTAATGTCATTGCCCATGCAAAACAAGACATTGTCTTAACATATCTCTATCCACGGTTAGATGTAGAAGTTTCTAAGCACTTGAACCATCTTTTAAAGTCTCCCTTTTGCGTTCATCCAGGAACTGGACGCGTTTGTGTACCTATAGATATTGACTCTATGAGCAGCTTTAACCCTCTTCATGTTCCTACTGTACAGACTTTGTTAAACCAGCTTGATCAACAATCCGCTACACAACCCAATGTACAGATTACCTCCTCTGCAACACAACCTAATGAAGATTCGAATGCTTCCTCCTCTGCAACGTCTATTTCCACTGACCTTGATCCTTACACAGCGTATTTTAGGTCTTTCAGTAACAACATCTTCAAATCTACTACACAGAACAAAAGGAAGGCCGATCCTTTAGATTTTTAATGCATAAGTCAATTTATTTCGTCTATTGTTCTTTTAAGTGTTAAAAATACTGTTAAATTAATGTCAATCCTAATTCAAAAATCCCTTAATTATTCACATTACCTCTCAGTTCTATTAATTATATGTAACTTTCCAAAACAACAAACAAAAATATACTCCCTCAGTTTGGTCTACTAAAGAATTAGTCCGTAGTCTTTAACTTCTTCTCAGCTGGCATCTCAATTTCATCCGCCGAGTTTGCTTCGGTTTCAACTTCTTCAACCTTTTGAGAATTACTTTCCTCATCAATGCTTTGTTCTCTGCTATTGTCTTCATCCAAAGCAGAAAGTCCTTTTCTTTTAGGAATAATTTCCATGAAAGCCTTTTCCCAATCGCGATGTTCTAACCATAAGGATAGAATCTCGAAAACATGATTTACAGTCAAGACCTTTCGATCGGACATACGAATATATTCCCCAATTGGAAGTTTTGCAGTTCGTATACCCTGACTCTTTGCTTTATCGTCGCAAATATTTTTGTACCTATTTTTGTCGACGAGGGCTCCAATTATGTAAATTTCGTCTTCTTTTAATTCATGCAAGGTTTCATCCGAATCTGCTGAAAGATATACCATTTTTTTTTTCTCTTCAGGAAATTCTTCCAGGTAGCTTTTTGGTGTGGGATGGTAGCGACTCCAGTTCTTTTGTTGGCCTCGAAGGACATAATCTTGTCTGGCTTCAAGACGGCCACCAAAGCTTGTAGCACAGAACTTTACTGGGTGCAAAGCAGTTCTGTTTGCAGAGTGACATCTGGTGAACTGTTGACACAGGGAAGCAATTTCTTTTTCATTCATCAAATCGTCAAAACCGCAATCCAACACGATTCGCATGTCAGAAGGGATCACCTTTCCTTCTCTAATCTTTTTCTTTTGACTCGGAACCTTTTCGCCAGCTTCGATTTTGCGCTTTCTCTCTTCCTTTTTTTGCTTCTTTTTTTCACGGCGTATTTCAGCTCGCTTCTCACGGCCTGCCTCCCATTCCTGTTGACGACGAAGCTTTTTAATTGCGGATTTACTCAGTTTTGGAGATTCTTCTTGTCTTTGCTCTACAACTGGTTCTTTATTAGACTCCGCCGAAGTTTCAGCTAACACTTTGGCAGCGTTGGTGGCACCTTCTAGATCTGACATTTTCTGTAAAATTTGTTTTCTAATTGAATGTCTTCCAAGTATTAGTACAAAGAATGAAAGAACTTCCAAAAATCCACAGTATTTTTCGAGCTGGGTTTAGCGAGAACGAAAGCCCACATCTTTCTAACCACCTCAAAGGTATACCAACCACACCAATCAAGCTCTTTAGCTTTTGAACTAAAATTTCAAGACATAAATAATATAGTAAGAACAAAATAGAATCTAAAATGTCGGCAGAACAAGGCGAACTTGCGAATTCAGCAGTCAACGGGACTGAGTCAAATACTGGTACCGGATTTCAACTTGGGAGTCAAGTGGAATTAGAAAAGCCTTCTTTAGGTGAGTACATGGAACAGTTGACAACGGAATTTGCAGAAGAGCTGGATACTTTGAGACAAAAAGAAATTTTCGATCAAAGAAAACTGCAAATGTTGATCGAAGGCTTGCGAGCTGGCCATAAAATTTATGAATAAACAATTAAAATTGTTATCAACATTAGAAAGGTCATGTTGAATTTTGAAGATTATTTTAGAACGCTTCTTCATCACTGATTTCGGGGACTGTGAAGAAGTCTTCATCAGACATGTCAATAAACGTGAAACTTTTTTCGAGATCCTCTGCACTTTTGGAGGATTGATTATATGGGGATCCCGCTTCTTGAGGAGAATTTGATGTTCCAAGAGAAGCTTCCGACGATTTGGAGGCGAGTTTGGCTTCTTTTTCTTGTTGCTTTCTCGCTTTTCTACTGTTTTGTTTGTGCTTTTTGCTGTTTTCGTGATTCTTTAGCTGTTGTAATGAGCGAAATTGTTTGCTGCAAATGAAGCAGTTCGTATTGTCTGCTGCTTCTGTATCGTCAATAGACACATCGTCATCCTCAACTATATCTTCATCCTCGCTCCAGTTTAATTCTTGGTCCACAACTGTCCATGAAGCAATAGATTGTTCTTGTAAAGAGGCTTGGTATTTGCGGCGATCGCGCTCGCTTTGTTGACGGGACGCTGCTTGCAAAGATTCATAACGTTCAGGGTCTGAAACTTTTTGTACGTTTTGACGACGAGGATCTAGTTCACACATTGTTGCAATGAGTTCACGCACCGCTGCATCATATTGTTGGGTACAGTATTTAATACATCTTAGATTTTCCTTTTTCATTAGTCGTTTCGTAGCAGGGTCTGTTTCCTCTTCGTCGTTGTAAATAACTTCCCATTCAAAAGATTTTGCTGTAGAAAATCGCAACCATCGCTGATACAATGGTTTTGTGTGTGTCCATAACCAAGTGGAATCTCCCAAGCTTGGCCACTGAACTTTTGTACCTGCGGTCTGTTCATCGGATCGTATTCGGTTTATAAAATTTACCCATACATCGAACTTGACAGCTCTTAGATTGGTTTGCATCTCACGAATTTCTTCAGTGAAGACCGAATACTGATCCCTGGTGTAATCCTTTTCATGCCATTTTCGTTTATCCTCATTTGATAATATGTTGTAGGCGCTACTGATAGCAGAAAATATTTCATCGTAGCCTTCTTTATTGGGATTTCTATCAGGGTGATATAGCAAAGCTAGCTTTCTATAGTTCGTGGTTAGCATGTATACCAATTATCCAAACGAACTTGTGTTCTCATTCCTAGTTCATGAGAAGAAAAGATGAAGCGAGAATAATTCTCATAATATATGATGTCTTTCGTTCATACCTGTAACTCGTTTTGACTTCCTGTAGAGTGGAGTCGCGACTCACTTGAAGGATCTCATAACAATCCTTATCCTCAAGTGAAGTAGCCATAATTCTAATTCTGTAAGTTGTGGTTGAAGAATTTAAAGATAAACAGATTTAGGTTCTAAAAAGGGTCTATCTTCGTTGTCTTGACGTTTAAGCGGTAATGAGGAAAATAGAATGTAATTACATGAGAAGCGCGATGTGATATGGTAAAAAACTTTTAATTACCAATGTTTGTCGCTTTGTTCAATCCCAATTCCCAAACAAACAATATGAGTAAAGTCTCTGAGGAAGGTGTATATAAGCTGTGGACAAAAGTAATGCGAGAACACTTTGTAGAAAAAGAAAAAAAAATACAGTTTCTTTTCAATTCATGTACAATAGTGGAGAGTCGATTCGAGTCTATTGAGTTCTATATAATCGTAAGCTTTCACAGAGTTAAGGAATCATAGGTAAAGCTATGGTATAGGAATTTCTGAACTGAGAACGATCTAATAGTGATGCTCATTTCACAAGCTCTTCTGTTCTTATTTTTTTACTACGTTTCGTTTACATTCGTAATAATTTCATACTGAATATCTACGATGAACAAGTAATAAACTAAGTTGCATTTTAATAAAGATAAGTCATTGAATTGTACTGCATATAGTATGACTACATCAAAACAGAAGCAGCAAGGTTACTGATCCTTAGGTTTCTTTACTGACAATGATTAAAACACTACTAATTTTCATCGAATGACGAAAAGATGATACATTCAACCTGCGCTTTGAGGTCGAACCGATTCCTTTTCTATATAGAACAATTTTCATTCATTTCAATTTTGCAGTAGATTTGGGGTAGACTATGCACCCCATACACTTTCTTTCGTACAGTATTTTCAAAATCCATGGTGAAGCAAAACCAAAAATCGCAATGTGTATGCAAATATATTAACAAGGCGAAACCAAAGTCTTGTTTACTATCTGTAATTTAACGGTAAGGCATTACGAAAGGAATGCGACAACGTGGACGGGTGTCTTGTAGAATCATTATGAAGAGAAAGAATTGCTCAGTCATTCATTAAAAAAAAAAAAAAAAAAAAAAAAAAAAGTTAGTGACCTCTATTTACTATAAGAATCGGATCCGGTTCGAATATCATTCTGTGAAATGGCTTTTCTACTTTACTCAATTTTTTATTGATTCTAATTTCATAAGCGATGATGCTATTTTACGATAGAGAAAAACCAACAATAAATACATTTGAATATTTTTCTTCTTTCTGATATGTAACGAAGAATATTGGACGTGTGTTTTACGGTAGGATAACACACGACAAAAGCCATAGTTTCAAAATTACAGAGAAAAAATAAAGAAAACTAGAAAAGGGTTAAAAACATTCATCTTAATGATCGTAGAATTACATTATAAACTCTTTTTATACCCTTCCATATTGGTTTGTTTGTTTGTTTATTTACGTTACTTCTAATAAGTAACATTCTCGAGGTTTAGACCGATATTCTCTTATTACGAGAAGGATAAATTATAGTACAAGTCAGCTTTGTCTTTGATTTTTCATTATATAATTCAAAATATATTTACCAATTCATTATATATAATTTGTATTGACCTGTTTTAAGAGACCATCCAATTGAATTGTCTTGTCCTTAAAATTCTTGCATTCTGTGCTCATGGAAAATACGTGTATACACTTCGTACTCTTAGAATCAAATTGACTGGACTCTCATTTCATTTACCGTGCTTTCAATTTCATTTAAGCATAAACAAAAGGAATAACAGACATAATACCAAAGGCTAATTGTGCATGACTCTGGAATATAATTGCGAAAAATAACGACAAACGTTATGCTATATTAAAACAATATAGCAACGAGTTCCGTAATTGTAAAATACAGAGTGGTTTGCAACAGTTGGTAATCGCCACATAAAAAAAGGATACCTACAACGCTGTATATTTTTCATTTACATACGGCGACATCGGTTGTCCTTTACCATTACCTTTTTGTTCAGGACTCATAAACTTTTATAAAGCATTTATTTTGGACTCGGAATACTTATATATTAAAGGTTAATTATTTATGTAACTAAGAAGACCGTCTTAGTCTTTTTTTACCGAGATATTGGTGCAGTTCCTCTTACTTCTTCTATATCAGTCTGACGTTTTTATTAAGAGGAATTAGCTCGTCAATAATTTTTTTTTTTTTTTTCAATAGGAAATCATTAATATTTTTTAGTTTTCATTCACTAGTGTGCTTATTGTTCAAGTCACACCTGTGTTTTTGATTATAGTACAATTTGGTTGTGCTAAGTGAAACAAATCTTAAGCGTACCTTACTTCATGAATTGAATTTGGAACGCGTTACTTTTAACCTTCTAATTTATTCCCCGAGCTATCTATTTTCATTTTTTTCTTCTTAGTATATTATACTCTGGTGAACAGGTGTGATCTTTGCATAAACATATATAGCAGGATCTATTTGAGGCTTTTTCGTTAGTATCTTCTACCATGAAATTTGGTCACAATTTCCAACGTGCGTTGGAAAACGACATGCCTCCTGGCTGGAGCGAAGCAGCCATTCAATACAAAGCTTTGAAGAAATGTATCAAGCGTTTCGTTTATGAGCTTTCATCTTTGGGTCTGAGTGCTGAGACAATTCGTCACCTCATCTCTTCATCAGATGATGAACAGCAGCGAGCCATCACCATGACTTATTCTTTAGCCAAAGAGGGTCATGTTGTCGTTCCTAAAATTGTTGTGAATATCAATTTTGACAAATTGAAGGATGACGATTTCGCGGCTTCAATGGTGAAGCAACTCTCTGCTTCTTCTAATATTGCTGATTCTTTTCAATCACCAACATCTCAAACCTTTCAAATTAATGAGCAAAATGGCAGTAATAATCATATACTTAATAATAAGTTTGCTCAAGTTCATTCATATACAAAGGATTCTGAGGTTCACCAAATGGAGCTCTTATTGAATTTTGACCATGAGTTTTTCAAAAAACTTACGACGGAGTTACAGAATGTCGAACATTTGCAGCAACAGCAGCGTGAAATTTTACATAATGCTTTTGATAATCTTACTCATGACATTTCCTTAACTGCTTCTCCTGTCTCAAAAAAACATTATAATTCGTTATACTGTTGGAGGACTATCTTTAAACTGTATATGGATGCAGATATATTTATGTCGAGCAAGGAAGTTGAAGGAAATCGTGAAAGATCTCCAGAACTGGCTCAACGTCATTTGAACTGGTTTGACCAACAAGTTCGCAAGTCTCGATGTCTTCCGTCTTCAACGAAGCATCGTGACTGGATACTTTACAATCAGTTTGTAGAGTTGAATCGAAATCTTCTCAAAATGACTTTTTTCCAGAGTATGAACAAGCTTGCTGTTACGAAAATTTTGAAAAAATTTGACAAACGTACTTCGCTTACTGCTCAGCCATTATTTTTTAAGGTTATTGATTCAGATCCGCTGCTTCTTGCCGACAATGTTGCAAAAGCTATTTGCTTTAATTTGAATTCTAAATTGTTTTCTATTATTCCGCAATTACAAGATTTCGAATGTGCAATTTGCTCAAATATAGCATATAAACCTGTGCGTCTTGGTTGCTCGCACGTTTTTTGCTTGCATTGCCTAATTATCTTACAGAGACAAAAGGTGAATTTATGTCCTTTATGTCGTGCTGAAGATGTTTTAGATGCCGATTCCCGCAACATTGACCAAGCATTATTAAATTTTATGAAGACCTTTTTCCCCCGTGAAATCAAGCAAAAGCGGCTTGAGAACGAAGAAGATATATTTTCTAGTCCATCTTCTACTTCCGTACGTGTGGTTTCTGACAAAAATGCATGTATAATAATGTAAAGCATTAGCTGTCTTGGCTAAATGCTTATATTTCTCTTTATTTTCCCCTAATTTATTTTTATGTTACAGGCAAGGTTGTTTCATACACCTCTTATGACAAACAGTTATGTTGCAGCTTGCCATGATATGTGGAAAAAAGCGTTCCTGTAAGTTACGGTTACTATGTACAGGCTTGCTACAATGAATTTTCCATGTGTTATGAATGATCCGCTTTCTTTTTGCACATGTTTCGTTATTCCTTATGCCTTTCGTCTTTCTTTCCTGTTTTGTTTTAGTTTATCGTTTCAATTATGCTTTACTTTATGCTAGTCCAAAGTTTAATGGACAGCTGTAGGAGCTCTGTATAGTAAAGAGGGTTTACCGGTTTAATTACCTTTTACTTAACTACCGTATAATTTAGCCTTATTATTTTTCATAATAAATGTTAATTGAACTAAGTACTAAATTGAGTATGATTTTGGATGATCCCGAAGTGTAAACCAGAGTTAACTGTAGCAGTTAGTAGTATTAGCAGTGTAGGGAAAAACCGAGACAACTGAATAGCAAACAGCAAGCTATTTATTTTCTAAATCAAGCAAGTTTCTTGTTTCAGGTTATTCAGTCAAGACTTAGTATTTTGTTAGCCTATGAATCTTTAGATTTTACCCTTTTTCCATTTTCTTCATGCCAAATCCGTTTACGATGCCATCATCTGGATTAATTTTTCGAGGATTCATACGAGGTCTAAATTATCAAAGTAGAAATCTTATTCATCATGGATTTATTCAAAAGATGTACTATGCAATGGATTCGATGCCCGATTGGAAAAAGCAAAAACTCGCGTTGAAAAAAAAAGTGCAGGGTGGTTGGAATCCGAAGAAGAAGCTACCACTGGATTCGATGAATGAAATCCGCCAATTGAAGAAAGATGATCCTTCATTAACATGCTCCGTCTTGGGGAATCTTTATGGCGTTTCTCCAGAAAGTATCCGCCGAATCTTGAAAGCTTCAAATCGTGTCCCCACTGAACGAGAGCTGAAGCGTAAACAACAAAGATAAGAGCATCTTTGATCCAGAAAAATCAATACAGAAAAAGTTAAAAGTTCAGACGTCCTAGTCAAATAATTTTAAACAGCAAGGGACGCACCTTATGTGCAATGCATATCCGCGGAGGAAATCAAAAGATATTCGTGTCTAGCTTGGAGTTACGACTTGAATTCATATTCCTACTTTTAAGTCCATAAAATGAAACTATGGTCTTGTTTTGGACATCGTTAATACGATCATCTATTTATCTTGTCAAGGAAAGTGAGTTAAGTGAATACACTTTTCCAAATGTGATGAGATATTTACTGTTGATTTTGCTTATGGATAATTCTATCAAGTTTTCGGTCCTACGGTAATCTAGCATGTTGTACTCGTTTCCACTCTTTGAATGCTGAAAAATAGACTATCATCTTGACAATAGCTACAAAGGTAATCGGTTATATGGAAGTTCCAATTGGAAGGAGTTTTCATTTTTTTCCTTTGATGGATAGTTTAAGAGAAACTAATCGGTTACGGGAGTCTGTTTACACCGTTAACAAGAAAAGTAATTAAATTAATAAATTAAAACGCTTTAGAATAAAGACGAGAATTCATTACAACAACATATATTGATGCTTAAGAATCGTAAGCGTACTTTCTTATCCATTTATTAAAGCTTGGTAAAAGCGAACTCGGTAGTAAATCTATTCAAGTTTGTACACTTTCAATTTTAACCACCAAATTTGTTTATTAACCATACAAAAATAGTATATACTTTTTTATTCTATTATATTTTTTGTCTTCCTACTTTGACGATTCGTCTTCTTTCAGTTGTTCCAACTGACCTACGTTATTGACTTCTTATTTTCTGTACTACCTAGTTTAGTAAGTGTGTTTTGACACCTTCGAACTAGCAGGGCCTTTATATTTCAAGTCTTAATAAATATTTAGAAGAAAAACAACATGTCAGCCCGAAGTCGGAGATCTGGAAGAGAGAAGCCTTCCAGGAGAACCACGTCTGATAATAATAGTAACGTAGACTCGGACGTGTTAAGTGTCTCTACAAAGGAGGAATTGGGCGATAATGCTCTTGCAGCGGAGGAGGGAGACTCTGTATTGAAGGAGCAAGAACTGGAGGAAAGCTTGGAAGGAAACGACGACGAGGAAGAAGGTGGGGATGACGATTTTGAGGAAGAAGACGAAGAAGCCGAGGAAGACGAGGAAGAAGAGGAAGAAGAAGAGGAGGAAAGCAATGTTAGTCCACCTGTGAATTCCAGAAACAAAAGAGATAGAAACGCATCAAAACGGAAGGTGAATTATATCGAGTCCGATCCAGACGAAGACGAACGAGAAAATGAAGTCGATGAGGAAGATCTGGATGAAGAAGAACAATTAGAAGATGAAGAGGGGAATATCACTGATATGAAGGATATGTATTCAAACGGGGTGGCTCCAGGAGCAACGGATTCATCAAGAATGACAAAGAGGCAACGGGCCCTCCAGGGTGTACTAGGAGAGGGCGAAGAAGATGATATGTTGGAACTCCCACCGGAAACTTCTGGTCGTAAAAAGCTGACTGAGGAAGAAATGGCTCTGCGAAGAGTGGAAAATGCAAGGAGAAGAAAGAATCAAAGTGAGAAAAAATTAGAGGAAGAGAAAATGGAAACCATTAACCGTCTTTTAAAGAGACAGTCCAATACAGATAAGCCTCGACGTGGTCGTGCACCAACGTTAGCCCAGGAGGATATAGGAGCACCCAAAAAAGTCATCAAAAAACCCAAGGTATCTATGCATCAACCCTTTCAATGTATTCGGTGGGTTAACAATAAAGAAGGCAGCCGCGCAATTATACCGGATTCCTTGTACCCATTCTATCAAAAGTGAAGCCGTGAACTCCTCCTAGTCTTGTACATGTTTTAACTCCATTTTTCATACATCTTTACATTTTAATGAGGATATTATTCATGATTTTTGCATCTATCCATGTCTACCTTTAACACATCAAATAATCTTGCACAACAAAATTGTCACTGCACTCGGTAAAAAGGGAAAAAAGTATGAAACGGAAGCCATAAGAAAATTTTCATTTCGTTTTCTTCCACTAGTAAAAGTATAAGTTACACTACTGTTTTTCTTCTTGTAATATAAAATTTTTATTGTTTTATCTTCACCTTGGTTGCATTCGTAATCCTGAACCAATATTTCGTTAGCTTATCTGATTGCAAACCATTTATATACTCGGTTTCGGAAAGAATATTCACAAAAAGCCAACGTGAACAGCTTCGTTAGCGTTAGGTTCCTTATAAAAATAAAGACTAGCTTTTAATAAATTTCCAAGGTGTTTCGACCGACAAAGATTCTCGCAATGACGACAAATACCATACTCCCATCTTTTCGGGTTGCTGGGAGTCGTCCAGACGTTTGGACTATGGTTAACCAGGCAACAGCGGAATGTAAAGTGCCGCCAGTTTCTTTGAGTCAAGGATTCTTTAATTACAGTCCGCCCAAGTTTGTTTTAGACGCTGCTAAGAAATGTATTGACGATGTATCATGCAATCAATATTCGCACACCCGTGGCCGTATAAGTCTTCGCAATGCTTTATCGAAAGCGTATTCTCCCTTGTTTAATCGTAAGCTAAACCCAGATACGGAGATTGTTGTCACCGCTGGTGCAAATGAGGGCTTCTACAGCGTTTTTGCAGCCTACTTGAATCCCGGAGATGAAGTGATTTTGATGGAACCATTTTTTGACCAATATGTATCCAACGTTCAAATGAACGGTGGTGTTCCTGTATATGTACCCATGATTCCACCCAAGGAAGGAGCTGAGCACCCTGTATCAGCCAAGGAATGGAAACTTGACATGAATAGGCTGCGTGCTGCAATTACTAACAAGACAAAGATGATCGTCATTAATACTCCCCATAATCCTCTTGGAAAAGTCTTTTCCGAAGAAGAACTAAATGAAATTGCCGACATTGTACTCAAACACAATTTGCTTGTCGTCTCCGATGAAGTTTATGATCGTCTTTTTTACACCCCTTTTGTCCGTCTTGCTACACTTCGTCCGGAACTATTCCGCCATGTTGTCACAGTTGGCTCTGGTGGTAAAACATTTGGATGCACCGGCTGGAGAGTTGGCTGGATCATCGGAGACGAGAGCATCATTAAACACTCTGCAGCTGCCCATACCCGGATCTGTTTTTGCGTCAATAGTCCTTTACAAGAGGCCACGGCAATTGCTTTTGAGGAAGCTAACAAGGTAGGCTACTGGGATGAATACATCTCGACATACAAAAAGAGGTTCTCTATTTTGGCAAAGGCTTTTGATCAACTCGGCATTCCTTACACGATTCCTGATGGTAGCTATTATGTGATGGCCAACTTTGCCAAGGTAAAGATGCCTGAAAACTATCCTTTCCCGGAACACATCCTGTCGCGTCCTCGTGATTTCCAGTTATGCTTTTGGATGCTCAAAGAAATTGGTGTCGCAACCATCCCCCCTACTGAGTTTTATACAGATGAAGATGCTTTCATGGCTCAAGATTACCTTCGTTTTTCTTTTTGCAAAACTTACGAAACCTTAGAAGAAGGTGCTAAACGTTTACAGAAACTAAAAGATTTTATTTAAGTAAATGACCCAACCTTCGTCAACTCAATCTCAATAGAAAGATTCATCCAGTGATTCTCGTTCAACATCAAACATCTTATTTTTATATTTTTTTGTCCTACTTAAATTAAAGTAAGATCAACTTTAATAGTACAAACCAGTAACGTCGCGAATTCTCTTGGTCAATTAATCATAAATGAGTGGTTTAATCCACATTTAGAGCATGATAGGCTGCTCATCAGGAACATCATCTTTCGTTTCAAACTTCATTTTTTCTGTAAAGGATGCATTCGAGTATTCCTGTAATGCTCTAATTTCGTGCTTCAAAGACTCGTAGAAGCCTTGTTTGTCTTCCTCAACCGTCAGTTCTTTGGAGCAAGAGTGCTGGGGATCAATTTCGTTGGTATACTCGAATGTCAAATTAGGCATGCTACTATCTTTATATGCTTTGATGCTATACAGGACGTATATGATACGATGATTCAAAGAAGAGAATTTTGAATGCAACCAGTGTGCATCGAATTGGTTTTGCGAGCGTTAATTCATTTCGGTAAACAGTTTTGAGAAATCCAAACAACTACGAAACACTGCGTTTTATGAATTCAAGACAGAGAATGCCAAGACCTTGATAAAAAATGAAAAGTAGCATATAAAATTAACTGAAAAATCCATTCAATTGATAGTTAGTGTTGTTCAACCTCTGTCAAGAGTTTATTTCGTTTAATTTTCGACAACGAAATGATACCGAATATTTGAATGAATATACTTCATAGTAGCGAAGACTCTAAATTTGCCGAGCTATATTAGCTTAGATACAGATTACGTAGAAAACACATAAAACATAACTCAGAATAACAAAACAAATGTGTACTACCTTCATAAACTCTTGAATTCCAGTCAATTTTTGTTTTATTTTTATTAAAAAGACTGAAAGAGATGAAACTTGTAAAAAAAATCCAAAGGTTTCGTTTAGGTCCTTTTGTCTTGGAATACTCAGACGGTTTCTCAATCAACATATATTTCCAAAAGCGAAATAGTATCATCACTTCCAATCCAGAGAAATCAAAATATACTACCAAAAAAAGAAGAACCATCTCAAATGAATCAATCCTTTCAAAGGGATCGGTTAATTCCATAACCCCAAAAAGAAGTAAAGCCAGTTTTCTAATTCGACAATATAAGCAGTATATTTTATGCAAGAAAAGTGTAAAAAACCCGCCTACTGTACTTTTAGCCTGGAAAGAGTTAAACCTTGCCATGAGGCCTCTATTTCCTCAACATCGTATCAAAAAAACCGATGAGCAGAATTGGAGAAAGCATATTATCGTAGAGGAACTGAATTTACTTTTGCTGCGGTGTATAAGTTCATGCGAAGCAATCCGTGATTTTGATGATCTTATTGAAACAGCCCGAGTAAGCTTGACGGTGGATATTTCCTTGATGAATGGAATCAAAAAGCAATCGCATGGGATTATTGAACTTATTGAAGAGTGGAGGATGTTCTACTCGGAATCTCTCCCGTACATCGAAGCCACCTTTTTACCGATCACGTTTGAGAGAACTGAAATCGCACAGTTATTCGAAGAGCCGATGAAGAGCTACTGGTTGAGGAAATCAGAACAAGTGGATGTGAAAGTTCTTTGCTTATGGGCTTTTCGAACATTTGTAGTAATTCCCAAGCTGAAGAAAATTAGCAATGCTGCTAGCAATTTGCCAAAACTAGAGAATTCTCAACGAGTATCACTTTTACAAATGATTTCTATTGTTTTTCTTGTAAAACCAATAGAGGAATCCGATATTATTTTATTGAATTGGCTTCGCTCTCTTATATTAAACCAAACAATAGAGGACCCCATTTCATAATATATAATACTCGTGGTACCAGTCAGAAAGACACAGGTGCATCTTTAGGAATTTTTTTACTAGATAAATGTCATTTATTAGACCATGGAACTGGCTATGAATATATTTTACTCGATTTCTTTCTTCAACACATGTTACTTGCGTTTGTTACTTCAAATTTGAAATTTCACCGTCAATGTTCTAGCATTACTGAAGATTCCACCTATATCCTACTCTGGATAATTTCCAGCGCTTTATTATCCTTTTGTATTAATAGAGTAAAACTATTTTTTTTCCAAATGGGTTACTAGTATGAGTAATTTCTTACTTCTTGACCATGTATCAGATTCTCAAGGTTCAGGAAGTGAATGGTCAAGTACAATCTCGTCTTCGGTTTCTGTCGTAAAGACGAAAACCAGCATTTCCAAAAATAATCATGAATTTGGGAATTCCATAAATAACCTCAAATCCGGAAATGGTCTTTCAATATCTTCAAATAGTTCTATTGCTTCTTTGCCAAATCCAGTTAACGAGAGTCTTACGAGAAATAACTCTTTTAGGAAGACCGGGGATGTTGATAATGGAAATGAAGTACAAACTATGCAAAGCACTGAAGAACCATCTTCCTCAAAAGCTTCTACTTCAAGGCGTGAGTTTCGCCCTCGACGCCCTGAACAAACGATGCCTTACACTTACGATTTTCTGAGGCATAAACTAGAATTTAAAAAGATGGGCTTAGCACCAATTTCTGTTCCGCATGGCCCTGAACATACAGTTGAACAACGATCGGTAGCTCACAGGCCAGTCAATGTCATAGTAAGGGGAGCCATAAAGAAGAAAGAATCACCCATTGATGACCAAAAAAAATTGGAAACAAAAGTTCATAAGAAGAGAAAGCGACATGGTATAATTTTATCCGACAGCGATGACGAACCTTCAAATAATCATAGTTCACTGGACTTAAAGTCAAATGACACTATCACAGGTGAAACTAAAGATTTTAATAAATTAGATTTAACTCCTTCACATTTTTCTGACCAGGATGAAGAAGATGCAGAATCATCATCCTCTTTTTCTTCTACAGGTTCGAGTACCAAAACACCATCATCGCTCGATGCCTACAAAAAAAGACTAAAAGGAATTCTTCCTCCTTCTTTTTTAACGATACAGGGAAAAAGGATGTTGGATCAAGGGAATCCAAGTTTAAAACTTCATCATAAAAGAAATCAAGATACTATTGGTGTTAGAAAAAAAGGCATCGTGAGACGAAAGCTGAATCAAAACAGAGCTAAAAGCTTATCTTATGGAAAACCTTTAAATGATCAAGAGCATTATGAAGATAATCCCCCTTTGTCATCTCCCAATGTCACTCACATAAATAAGGCAGCTTTCGTAGACTCACCCACTAAGGAAATTCAAAAAAACAATCAAGGAGGTGAAGGAGAAGAGCCTTCTTCAATTGCAAGTATTTCCAATCTCCAAACATTCCGCTCTGCTAGTTTCCCTCAAGCCCCAAACGAAATGCTTGAAGGGCCGAGTGCTTCTGTTCACACCTTATATGATACCCCCAGAAAAAGAAGGAGAAAAAATAAACGCCGTTATGTTGATTTAGGTTTAGTAGCAGCACATACGTATAACACGACCGGGAAACCTCCGCCAAAATTTTTACGAATATTCTCTCGTACTGCTTCAAAAATTCCAAAGAGACGGTCGAAATTAGAACAAAGAAGCTCAAATAAGTATTTTCTGTTTGATTCGGTATCTGACCAGAAGGAAGTCGAACAAGTGATAGATGCTTGGAATCAGGGCGAACATTTGTTAACTAAGGGAACTTCCACATCAGATCAGAAAGTCATTGATAAAAGGAATGTCAATCAAAGTAGTGAACTTTTACGAAATAGAAGCTATAAAGTCGACAATTATAAGACATCTTCCGTGAACCATTCCAAGATAAATTCGTCGGCAAGAAAAAAAGAGGACTCACATAAAAGACAAAAGTTTATTTCTTTATTTTCCTATTCAAAAGCTCGAGGAAAGAATAGAAAACAGCCATATACTTTCCTCCAGAACTCTCTAGATGGGCTTTTTGTTAATCATCCTAATGATTCGGCAAAGAGCGTGCATAACCCCTTGAAGAATAATAACGATTCTAGATCAAGCTATATGTCTCTTCCTAATAAAAAGAACGAGAAAACTGTCCCATCTATGTTTACTAAATTACCTAGGAAACAGAAAGCAAACCGAATCCTACGTGATGACTACGGTCAGCTAATTTTTTCTTACAAAGGATCTGATAGTTCACCAAACATAGAACACTTTTTTAAGGTTGGCTCTTTTCCTGTTACTTTCAATGTGGTTCCCTTCAAGTTTGGTGTCAGTTTACCAGAGGGTAGTCTTCTTCGAAATGGATACTTAGAAAAGATAATTAAAAGAGATTTGAGTTATCCTACAAGAGACATATATGCTTTTTCTCGTTATTTTAGCGTTTCTGACGAAGTATCAAAGACAAACAGCCAGTTAGAAGAAACTTTTGAACTAATAGTGGATCTACTCCCGGGATTTAATAGTAATTATGCTAACGATGTGTATAATCTCTTTTCATTTTGCTCTGGATACTTGCTTAATTTACAATTGTCGGATCAAATGAGCCTTACGACGCAAAGTTCATCTTTTCTGGAAATGTTTGCCAAGTTTTTCGACCGATGCATGACAATCATCTCTTTAAAAGAAAGTCGGTTTTTTCTTAAACTAAACATTCTTTTCTTAATGTTTCAGTTTGTTTATTGCGCCCAATATGAGATAATTAGTTCTTCATCTAGAAATTCTATTCGCTTAGCAAGAGAGTTGATAAATAAACTGTTAAGTTTTGGACAGTCTGATTTACTGGAATGCTATCGTTGTCTTAGGTCTTCAACTGAATCGACAGATCCGTTTTCAGTGATTTCGTTGGAGACATGGGTAGTCTTAAACAAACTTCTTATTCTTTGTACCGGAAAATACGAATGTTTATGGGAACAAGTTGATAATTTTTTGAGTTTGGATGGCTCTGATTTATCAATTTTAGAGATGGAAAAGATATGGTACATTTTAATCACAGTCTCTCCAGTGTTCCAGTTCAATGACCTTGGTGTCGCCGGAAGCCCTACCAGCCATAGTTACTGGCCTCTCGTTCTCAAAACTTGCCGAAGTACGTTTGAGAGGCAGAAGAAAGGAGTCGATCCTAAAATTACAGAACGATACTTACGAGTTTTATTGTTACGAATTAATCTTTTGATATCTGAATGGTTTTGGTCTGATGTATCTTGCATTTTAATTGCCATTTTTGACTTCTTCAGTCATCGTAAATTTACTGATCTTTCTTATGAATCATCCGAAGATGTTGCTTCACAATTTCCAGATTTTGTTAAATCATTGGATAGATCTCCCGATTTGCACATAAGTGCGCTTGATACATGCTTCGTCATTTTTCTTAAAACAGTGATTGTTTCAATCCAAAGACTGAAATGTGATTCCAAAAATACTTCGACAATACGTCGAATTGTCTCAAGACTCCAACCACTACATGCCAGACAATACAGAAGAGAAATTCCTTTTTCCATGAAAGACTATATGTCTCTTGAGCACACACATACTTTATTGATATCATTGTTTTGGGTTGCCCCCGAGAACTGTAAGCCAAATATAAATAGAATACGCGACAATGTCATATTCGAAGGTTCCCATCTCAAAGCACGATTAATCAGTTTAAAGGCTTGGCAATATTTGATGCGATATATATTACTGTATGGATCTGACGCTCAATTGGATGCTTGTATGTATTGGCTTGATTCATTAATAAAAGTTACTTTGGATGAATACCTATCATTGGTACTCTCAGATCAAAGTCTTGATGAGGTTGAGCTTATTGCTTATTCTCAAGGTCAATTGGAAGACTTCCTATTGGTAGTTTTTTACTCACTTCAAGCTTTAATACCTAGTCCTTCTGTCTATATTCGAAGAATTAACTGCTTATTGACACTGCACTCTAGTCAGTGTATATTTCAGAAGTCTTCCAGCTTGCCATCAAGAGTAGTACTTGAATGCACTTATTTTTTGAAAAAGCTACTTACTTATCATTCTGTCTGTCAGGTACCTCGTGAAAAAACGGTGACTAGCGTCGTATCTGCTGATAGCCAAGATGCTTATTTCGAAAATGATTATATTGATGATACGGAACTAATGATCGAGCAAGAAAAATTCGAGCGAATATGTGAACTGGCTAAACTTTTAAGGAAACATGTATCACCTTATCTATATCAGACTATATCCACTATAGTAGGAAGCGATGAGAGCGAATACAAGTCATTTCGCCCTGTATCGATTCCTTTAATGGAGTGTATGGCGCTTTGCGCTAGCTTTGCTGTTGAAGCTAAAATCAACGATTGGAGTTATTACGTGGATTTTGGTACTGAATCTTGGGAACGAATTCGGAATACGCGATTGAAGCGGTCATTGAGTAGTCAATTTTATTCTATCCTAATAGAAACTAACGTTTCGTTTTTAGCAGATCAACGTGAAAAAGTCATGACTGTCTGGTTTGAGTCATTGGGCGCTTTAAATGATTCATACGCAGCTCCTTTTACCTTACTTCTTTTGGAGAAAGATAAGAATAACCCATTATTGTTTAACCTACCAATAATACTAGACGATCAAGCGGCCTTTTTCCGTCAATTCAAGTCAGTCCAATTAAGTTTAATTTCTTCTGTCCTTGGAAATATGGCAAAAATTTATGATGATGTAAAAAGCAACTACATGGAAAGTCAGCAATATCATCAAATACTTTTCCTTCAATATTTAAGTTCACTGTTAGCGTCAATGCAAAGCAGTTATGAAAGTCTTGTTTTTTCAGGTGATGACCATTCCATATTTATTTCATCCGCGCAAAGGGTTGTGGGTGACATTCTTCAGTATTGTAGTCCGTTTGCTAATGAAAGGAATTTGGCAGGACTCCGTTATTTTATGGATTCCGCAAGGTTTCCTCAACCACCGGAGCGTTTAGAGTACGCTGCTTTTCGATTACGAAGCTATGCCCGAAAAAATTTATCCTCAGACTCTTCTCGAAACGCCTTATTCAGTTTCTTAAAGGCAAACTTAGATATTGCGCTACTAGAGCAAAAGCAGAATGATATTATGAGTCTCTTAACTCTTGCTATGGGAAGTTATAGTCAAAACGTCAACGACCATTGGGATTTCGAAGTGTCCTCATTACGGAAGTTTTGTTTGAATGATCTTTTGTTGAATTACTTAAACGTCAAGTCTTTAGTAGCCTCGTTTTATTCTTCTTTGCTGCTTGATTGTTTAACACATGTGTATAACAGTTTTCATTATGTTTATTTAAATGATGAACACCAGATAAAGATTTGTGAAGAGGTTTCTACATCCATTTCTGCATTAGAGAATTTTGCTTTATTGTATTCTTCTTCAAATCCTGTCATTGCTGGCAAAATCTATAATCTTCTGTCTGCTATAGCAAAATTTGCATTAGTAGAGACTGATAACCGCTTGGTTTTAGATCTTCAAAACTTTTTAGGAAAATTAAGTCGAGAGTTCTTGTTAGAGCTTTGTTGGATTTTACAAAGTCAAGAGTACCCTCCACCTTTTTGTCAAGAAGTGTGTCCACAGTCTAAACTCTTCAGTTCAATTGAACAGCATTGTAATGCTGACTGGTACGAAAATATTGATAATATTGTTCATAAAGTTAGAAAGACTAAATTGCATTTGCCCTGTGCTGTTGAACAGCAATCCAGTAAGTGGAATGGTTTAATAGAACTCTTCGTTCAATCATGGAAGAGGAAACCGGAAATTTTGGAGCCTGAATTAGAAACCTTTTATAGAAATGCGCGTCTACAACATAATACTCTATCAAATGTACCGTTTCAGGTAAGTGAAATGCTTGCCAGAATAAACCGTCTTTGGATTATTGAGGACAATAATGCGCATGACATGTATATATAGATTAATTTATCATAATGTTTAGATAATTTATTTTTTACGATTTTTTTTAGAACAAAGTATCATGTTTGTTTTACATTCAAAACAAGAAAAAAAACCTTTTATTTATTTGTCCTGACTATTCTTATAAATAAAAACCCAGATAATTTCAATTTTTTTAAGTTCACCATGTACCACGACCAAAATTATTTTATTACACGTCTGCAGTGTGAGCATCTGCAACTTCCTTTTCCTCTTCCTCTTCTCCTTCGCTTTCACCTTCACTAGCTTCAGATCCGGAATGCTCACTTGAAGGTTTATTCTTCTTTGATTTTTTCTTCTTCTTGTCCAACTTACGCTGAACATTTTGTTCTTGTACTCTCTTTCTCTTCTCTTTAAGAGAACGATTTTCTTCATGAAACTTGTCAAGCTGACGAACTTCATCCTCAGACTTGTGTACATGACTGTGATAAAGGACCTTACCTCCAATGGCTTCTTCAGTGACCTTAGTAAGCTCCAAAGTCAAACGTGGACCAATTTCAATTAACTTAATCGCCTGCTGCTTGGGTTTTAGCAACTGAGATTCGCTAAGGAGTTTTTCTTCAATTTTTGTTGGGGCTGGCCGAGAGACCTCAACCGTAGCATCTTCTTCGGCCTCAGAATCACTAGGTGCTCCGGACATTCCTTCTCCGTGCAAAACAAAATCCGAAATATCACGAACACCACCTAAATCCGGGAGATCAGAGGGATGCGTTTGACCTTTTAAAAGGCGTTTGATTGGTCGAGAAACTCCTACAGGCTTGGTAGTAATTAAGTAATGACGAAGGTCTATGTAGCCATCGTCACGCTTGTTGAGTAGAAGCACACGTTTTACTGAATTTACATTAGTCGACTGAAGCGACAAGGGAGGAAACATGTTTTGGAAAGTTGTTGTCAATAAAGCTTCATGGGGAGTTTCCTTAGACGATTTTGTATTGAAATGATTCATTACGAGAAGAGGAGGAGTCAAAAACTCTGCATTTGGAGACTTTGGAGTCTTTTGAAGATTTCGAACATCTTTGTTAAGCATGTACTCATGAATTCGAAAATGCAAAGCTGGACCTCTTGGAGCGCGAACAATTCGTAAATTTGCATTGGTATCGGAACGAGAAAGTACCAACAAATGAGATACTCCTAAAGGGCCAGTCATTGTGAGGTAATCCTTCAGTTTATTTGCTTTACGTTCCTATAAAAAGTTAAAAAAACTATCTTTAATTGATTTAAATCCTTACCCTTAAGCGCACAGCTGTATGTGGTTCCATCATGTGTCGAAGATCACGAGTAAGAAGAGAAAGGCTTTTTCCTATTTCCGATGCACCAGCACGAATAACCATCTAATATAATGTTAGCATTCCTTTTCTTTCTGAAGCTAAAGTCCATACTTACCGATTTGGGAACTGATGCCTCACGAGCAGGATCTTCCTTCAAGTGAGTCCTTTTCTTCACCTTAAAAATAAAAGTTAATAATTAAAGAATCAAAATATCAAAATAACATACGCGTTTCTTGCCAATTCCAGCCATTGCAAATTTTGGTGAAGAGATGATAATTTCTTGGTGGTGATATTGGAATACACCACCGTCGGTGTTGATACTGTTCTTATTCAGAGGTGGCATATGTATGTCCAGTCGCAGATCATTCTAATTGTTCTAATTATTTTTTTTTTTTTTAAATCTATATAAAAAAGAAAAACATAAAAGCAAATTTATTTTTTGTAACACATATAATAAATTTTCAATGAAGTATATTTTACTTGCTTGTACTTCTTATTCCTCTGGTTTTCGACTTTTGAATCATAACCAAGAGAATATCATGGAAGTGGCATTTAAAAATTATGAGAAATCATGATGCCTCGACGGTTTAAAAGTAAGTATTCATTATGGGACAATGTGAATAGAACCTGCAATTTCCATGTCTATCGAAACGATGCAGTGTACGCTTTTGGGATTCTTTTATTCTTTATTTTTTTTTTATTTGAGTAACTCCAAACATTCAAGGAGATCATTATTGGTGTCAAACCTTGAATCAACTTGACTGCTTTAGTTAACCATCTGTGAGTATCAAGTCTTCTAAAGCTTTTTGAAAGATGTAATTTTGTGCCTATGGAAAGATATAATATCCCTAGAGACAGACAAATTATTAACACAGTGAAATGTGCATAAACGTTATGTTTGGTGATTAACTCAAACGAGAAAACTAATCGCAGTCCACATGCCATCGTTGTAGATAATTCTTCTTCTGTTTCTCGACCCTTTCCTTATCCAACTTTTCTATCCGTTCGTTCTTGTTTCTTCCTTTTACTGGGAAAACATGTATTGCAACCTACTACAACATCACTTAAGCTTTAGAAAGGATCCAATTATTTTGCTGTTTTACCTATCTTTCATTAACTATATGTTATATTTGTTCATTTTGTCTTTAAATTGACACTTCCTTATTGCTTTTTTTCTATTTAATCATATAGATTTTTCTCCTTTAATCAACGCGAGAACCGGACAATTGCTGAAGAAAAGAAAGAAAGCTTATAACAGATTACGAAACTCGTATTGTTTACAAAAAGCAATGTATTTTTTCAATACAAGTCAGTCATTTGCTGTACCGTTTTCTACATGGTCAGGAAACGCAACGTCCTTAAAAGACCGGTAGAAGTACGAACGACAAAATTGTTTGACTTATTCAATTGAGAAATGAAAATATTCCTCTTCTTCTTCTCAATACTGATCGTTTTACAATCCAGAAACCAAGGATTATTACTTTTTACCAAGGTAACACAGGTAACATAAACAAATGGGCCCTAGTGGCTTTCGTTGGTGCATTATATAATTCATCTATGAATATATCATTTTTACGTTCCTACTGAGGTTGAAATATTACTTAGGCTGTAGATTTTGTTGTTTAACTAGCTGAAGCTTAGTTTTTTAAAGTACGAATTAAGCCCCGGTAATTCTTTTTAAGGGTCAATATAGACTTGCAAAACAATTGCTTTTAAAGGTTAATATAGATATTTATTTCAGCGTGTTTAGTCGTGGCAACTCAAGCAAATCACTTCTGCTCCCTCTCACTCACTAAGTGGTAAACAATATCTGAAGGGGTTGACAGTGGGTTTTGCCAACTGCACGCATCCTCCATCCAACAACTAGCAAAAACCAGTTTTTTTGTCACGCTTGTTGAGGATCTTCTGTACAAGCAGGTCCTTCAGGCTCTCTTATAATGACTGAAATTTTTGAGAAACTACAAGAGAGATCCAATTCTGACAGTCAAAAGCAATACTCCTCACCATCTTCAGACCCTTCATTTAAAATTTCTCTCTCTTCAACCCCTTCCGTATCTGTTGAAACAGCGGAGGCAAAAGGAATGACTGAGTATGACAATCAAAATGTTTCAACTAACTATGATCCCATTCTTTTACCAGATCGTTTGAAAAACGTCTATGAGGAGATTACTACTCAGGTGAAACAAATAGTAAGTTAGATGATAATATGGTGTAATAAAGCCCTAAAAGAAAGCTTGTTTTTAATGTAGAATGGACCAATGCTTTCATCTTACTGTTCCGGCATGGTTCATTCAATACCGCATTCTTATCCGTAGCCTTAGTATTTCATGGATTATACTAATTCGTTGCTCTAGGAAAAAACAGAAGACGCAGAGGAACGACCCGCCAACTCTAGAAAAAATTCAAATGGAGTTATACCGTCTAAGGATACTAAAACCGAAAATATCAAAACCCTTGAACCTCAGGTCGATTCTTTAAAAACTCCTCCATCCAGCCATTCTCAATTGGGTAATTCATCCCAAAAATCGAATGAACCGATGTCCTCTAACCAAATTATGGGGCGTTTGGTAGTACGTCTTCGTCAGGCCCGTAATCTACTAATTTCCAGTATGCATGTTGAACCATATGCAGTCATTAATTATGATAAAACTGAAGTCGTGACTCCTTCTTCAAAGAAAGATGCCGAAAATGGGATGGGAATCTCCATCCCTTCCAAAACTCGAACCGTGAATGACAACTTTCCAGTGTCTCCTTCTCTCGTCCAATCTGAGCTGTTAATGGCAGAAGCTCGAGCTCCTCGGTGGGATTTTGAAACTGTCTTCGATGTTATAAATCCAGAATCCACCGTTTCTATCAGTGTTTATGACCGTTTGAATGGTGATTGCTTTCTAGGAAGTGTCAAAGTTGCACCGGTTTCAATGAATGAGTATTTAAATGAAGGGTGGTATAAATTGGAACCTTTAGACTTATCGCAACCCTTCGAAGGTGAGGTCAATATTCAAACCATATTTGAACAGTCAGAAGTTACACGATATGGACCCGATGATTTCACGATTCTTCGACTAATCGGGAAAGGTGAGTTGACTTTAATTTGAGAACATCAAAGTAATAACCAGTATTTAGGAACATTTGGCCACGTCTATCTTGTTCAAAAAACCGACACGGGTCGAATATATGCTATGAAAAAGATCTCAAAAAAATTAATTGTAAAAAAAAAGGAAGTTACACATACTATTGGGGAGAGGAATATATTGGTTCGAACTTCACTTGACGAATCGCCGTTCATTGTTGGACTGAAGTTTTCATTTCAAACTGCTTCGGACCTGTACTTAATTACGGATTATATGAGTGGAGGTGAGTTATTTTGGCATCTACAGCATGAGGGGAGGTTTCGCGAAGATAGAGCCAAGTTCTATATAGCAGAACTTGTTTTAGCCTTAGAGCATCTTCACAAACACGACATAATTTATCGAGACTTGAAACCCGAAAATATTCTTTTAGATATAAGCGGACATATTGCATTGTGTGATTTCGGATTATCGAAAGCAAATCTTTCGTTTGAAGACACAACAAATACTTTTTGCGGAACTACGGAGTACTTGGCCCCGGAGGTGTTATTGGATGATAAAGGATATACGAAGCAGGTAGATTTTTGGTCTCTCGGTGTTTTAGTTTTCGAAATGTGCTGTGGTTGGAGTCCTTTTTATGCACCGGATGTGCAACAAATGTACAGAAATATCGCTTTTGGGAAGGTTCGGTTTCCCAAAGGTATCCTATCCCAAGAAGCACGTAGCTTCGTCCGTGGATTGCTGAATCGGAATCCCAAACACCGACTGGGGGCATTGGCAGATGCGGAGGAACTAAAAGCGCATCCATTTTTTGATGACATTAATTGGAATCTGCTGGCGAAGAAAAAGCTATCTCCTCCATTTAAACCTCAAGTTGAAAGTGATTTGGACGTTTCCAATTTTGATCAAGAATTTACGAACACCAATGTTCGCAACATGAACCTGAATGGTTCCCATGATTCAGTTAATGGTTCTACACCTCTTTCAAATACGATTCAGGATAGATTTCGAGGATTTACTTTGTAAGTTGATTTATATCAGGGAATTTTTTGATGTGGAGCAGTTTTCTAACTTTTATAGTACTAATAAGTCCTTAGAAGATCGGTTTGAAGGTATTCACCTTGATGAATTCAATGAAACAGATCTGCCCAAAGACTCCGTTGGTAATGAAAAAAACGGGTTTGATAAAGATGACCCCGTGGCTGATTCAGTTTTTGGTGAAACATTCGAGGGTTAAATATCAAAGAAATCATTTCAAAGTTATTAATGCCCATTTTCCATTCGACCATATGATCTTTTCTTGCATTTTTGTTTACGTCTTCTAGGTTTGTATCTTTATCGTTCCTTCATCGCATTTCTATCGTTATAGTTTGATTTATTCGTTTTATATTCATACGTTCTATTAATTAACAAGCTTTATTTAAATTTTCTATGACCCTTTTACTAAGTAATAGTTAATTGTATATACAATATGTTCAGAGAGAGCACAATTTCTCCATAGTACGATACAAAGTAAAGAATCCCATCATTCTTTTGAATATTGTAAATTCTATGTATCTCAGTTATGTATAAAGATTCAAAACTGTAAGACCAGAAAATCAAATACATCGACTCCTTTCAGTTTTGCTTTACCATACATAATTATTTTGTGTTAACTATGTCATGGTTTTTTGTTTTGAAAAATAGTTTTAAGGAGTTCTGAAATTATCTCTATTTATGATAGCGCAGCTTGGATGAGGCCCTTATTAGCTATTTGGGGGTGCACGACGATGGTTTCACCAACAGCAGTTTTCTTTTACCACTATCACCAATATGGCTGGTAAGTTACACGAGTAAAAGGAAAACGTGAAAGACTAACGAAAAACAGACTTTAACGCTTTGGCTACTCAGTTTACCCAATTTTATTATCAAACTTTCGACACTGATCGTTCTCAACTTTCATCTTTATACGTAAGTGACCTAAAGCGAGATACCAATCTAGGTTGGTGTCGATAAAGAAAGTAACTAACGGTGTATATAAAGCGTGATGAATCTATGTTGAGCTTCGAGGGTGCCCAACTCCAGGGTGCTAAGGATATTGTTGAGAAACTTATGGTAAGTGAAAATTCACCTCCTCGATAAAAACTAACGAAAATTTACAGAGTCTTCCCTTCCAACGTGTCCAACACCGTATCTCTACTTTGGATGCACAACCTACAGGTGCTAACGGCTCCGTTGTTGTTATGGTTACTGGTGAACTCTTGGTAAGTTGAACGAGAAGTATTGAGTCTATATACGTGTTTCAAAACTTTGTTAGACACAGTATAGAATTATTAAATGAATGCAACTAACGTGTTTATAGTTGGATGAGGAACAAATGGCTCAACGCTACAGCCAAGTTTTCCATCTTGTGAATAATGGCGGTAACTACTTTGTTTTAAATGATCTTTTCCGTCTCAATTATGGTTAGATAAAAACAAGAATTTAAAGTCAGTTTCCATAAGTATTCCTAGTCATTCTCTCCGGTTCTGAATTTTCAAATCTTTTGGAAGAGATGTCACTGAGTTTTTAGAGACGCGTATACGAACTTCACTACAGAAATAGAGCCATAAGATAAAAAGAAATAAGTTTCTAAGTAAAACAAAAAATTGTAATATAAAAGTCTATGCAACTGTATCATAAGCTGGAAAGAAGAAGAACCAATCCATTTTGTACTTTTAGGGTAGAATTCGCCTTAAACAGCACGTTCTGGTTTCCTAGTTTTATGTCGTAAGCTATTGTTCCATCATCCATGACAAAAAAAAACTTACCTTTCTAATGAAACTACCGAGATGCATTTGAAGAGATTAGCGTATGAGGCTTTCCATAATCGAACACAACCATCATCACCAGAAGTGCTTAAAATTGTACCGGTAACGTTAAACTGACACCTCCAAACCTGGCACTTGTGATTGTCGTATTCACCAATTAATTCTACCTTTATGGGTTCTTCAGTTGTTTCTGCGGCGGACTCGTATTCAAAAGAGGTTGCTTGATTTGTTTGTAAAGGAATCGAAACTTTAAAAATGCGTACGTTTCCATCCTTGCTAGCGGTAGCTAGTAAATGGTAAAGACGACCCATCGCAGGCGCCCATGCTATATCACGGACAAGATCAGTATGTCCGGGCAGGGTAGCAATTTGCTTCCATTTTGCACTGGTATTTTGAGTATATAAGTAAGCAGTGTCCATACACCCAACTGCAATGCACTGGGTGCGCCAACGAGACGGACACCAGCTTACACAAAAGGAAAATTGCTCATTACGAGAAGGAGGGGAAGGTAGTAATTTAATCTCATCCATCAAAGTCCAAGAAGAAAGATTTTCAGGCTCAAGAGCTTCATAGATCCTTAAAGTAGCATCTGCCGAAATTGCAGCAAGTTTACAACCATGCTGAATAGGACAGAAACTGATATCCATCACCGCACTTCTGGCATCCATTAATTTTGCAACCTCAACCCATGTTTTCCTATTTGACACCCCCTTTTGTTCCTGATATACTCGAACGCCTCTGTCTAAACTACAGACGGCTAAAACTTGACCAAATTCTGGATGAGCCCATTCAATTCTCATAAGACTAGCATCTCCAGCTCTCCATTCAGATGAGACTTTCCAATTTTCGTGTTCTTCTTCAAAATCGTAAACTTTTACTCTTTGGTCTGCGGAACAAGAAGCCATCCTACGACCATAGAAATCTACATGTCGTTAGGCATAAAAATTCATTAGTAGAGCTCTTTCACCTACCGTACGAAACATCATTAATTAAGTCTTTGTGGTTAGTCGGTATTGTTGTCGATTCAACCTTGTCCATGACTGAATTTCAACTTGGGATAATTATTTGGTAGTTGGAAGTGAATTGAACTTACTCGTCCTGGACCTAAACAGCTACAAGGAGATTATATTTAATTAAAAAGTTAAAAACCGACAAACTAATTAGAAAGAAAAAGTAATGTAATTTTCATGCACAGAAGTAAGCAGAGACGATCATATTCTCTCTGACAAGGGTACGGATCCTAACAATGTTTGTCGCATGAACTCTGTTAATGTCAGCCCAAAGTCAATTTCTGCATCTATATAGAAGTGAACTTAAGAATCTGGTTATGAAATTATTAGAATAGTCTCTACAAAAGTGGTATTTACATAGTTGTAGGAATTGAGCGTTTGTTTAGCACATGAGTAACAATATGAAGTGAAGTAACACTCATAAACAGGCAGATGTTTTCAATGCATCTAAGTGCTTATCAACAACAAAATACAATGGAAGAGGAATACGACGTAATCGTGCTAGGAACTGGACTCACTGAATGTATTTTGAGCGGTTTGCTCAGTATTGATGGGAAGAAAGTCTTGCATATCGACAGAAATGACTACTACGGAGCGTATGTAGATACATTAGTCCAGACTTTGGTTGAGAAGGGAGTTAAGGAAACTAACAAACAATATATAGAGATTCCGCTAGCTTAAACTTGACCCAGCTATATGGGATGTTTCGACAAGGCGAGGAACGCCCAGAAAGCCTTGGTCGTGATCGAGATTGGTGTGTAGATTTAGTTCCCAAATTCTTGATGGCCAATGGAGATTTGACCAACATTCTGGTCTATACGGATGTGACACGCTATATTGAGTTTAAGCAAATCTCTGGTAGTTATGTGTATCGGGATGGAAGAATCGCAAAAGTACCAGGGAATGAAATGGAAGCGTTGAAAAGCCCTTTGATGAGTTTATTTGAGAAGCGCCGAGCGAAAAAGTTTTTGGAATGGGTTAGCAATTACCGTGAAGAGGATCCTAGCACTCATAAAGACATTAATTTGGATCGCGATTCCATGGAGACAGTCTATAAAAAGTTTGGTCTTCAATCAGGGACTCAAGATTTTATTGGACACGCCATGGCGCTTTATTTAGACGAGTCGTACATTAAGAAACCTGCCCGTGAAACGCGGGACCGTATTTTATTGTACGCTTCTTCAATGGCCAAGTTTGGTAAATCTCCTTACATTTATCCCATGTATGGTCTTGGAGAACTTCCTCAAGGATTTGCTCGTTTGAGTGCAATTTATGGTGGAACATACATGCTTGGTCAACCAGTAGATGCGATTGAGTATGATGGGAACGGTGTAGCCGTTGGTGTTCGCAGTGGAGAACAAGTAGCCAAGGCAAAGCAGGTTGTTGGTGATCCATCTTATTTCAGAGAAAAAGTACGCAGTATTGGCAGATTGGTACGTGCCATTTGTATTCTAGATCACCCGATTCCCAATACGGACAATTTGGATTCCGTGCAGATTATCATTCCCCAAAACCAGGTCAAGAGAAAGCATGATATTTATATCGCATGCATATCATCTGTGCATAATGTATGCCCCAAGGGATACTATTTGGCAATTATTTCTACGATTGTAGAGACTGCTAATCCTTTATCTGAAATTGCACCAGGCTTGAAATTATTGGGACCTGTAGTTGAGTCATTTTCTCGAGTTCAAGAGTTATACGAGCCGATGGAAGATGGTACAAAGGACCAATGCTACATTACTAAAAGTGTTGACGCTACTTCGCACTTTGAAACGATGGCTCGCGATGTCCGTAATATCTATAAGCGTATGACAGGCACTGATTTAGTTTTGAAGAAAAGAGAATCTGCCGAAGTGTCTTGAAACAGTGATGACTTAAGGGAAGACTGTATCTGAATAAACGATGACAGAGGATATTTCTTATGACTTTGAAGCTTGACACTAAACGATGATGATGATGATGATGATGCTGAGTAGAGGAACCGCATTTACGATATCAGTGATATAAGAAATTAAATAAGTATAATATTCTTTGATGCGTATTAACCTCCTTTCTTTGGTTCCAAGAGTAATTATATGTGCTTCTACCATGGTAGATAATATAAGGAACACTTGCTTTACATTTCTCGCAGTAGATATAGACAAAGACATAGAGAGAAACTAACTGTAACAATGTAATTTTTTCTGTTATAACAAATAAAAGAAAGAGACTTTTATTTCATCTTGAAGAGACAGAGCGATCGCAACTACCGAAACGATCGCGGTAAAGCCGATTAGGTCCGTGAACAGATAATTTTAAGAAAACTGTAAAAATTGTTTAAGATACAATTAGAGAAATCAATAAAAGAAAAAAAAAAAATTCCTCGAGTCAAATAAAATATCACTATAAGAATATTTCCAGGGTAGGGTCCTTGGAGGTAGCAACGGGAGAAACAATGAATGCGCATGACCGACCTATTAGGGTTACCGTGCAAAAGTGAGCTCATGCAACTCAACCAGAGCCAAATTGTATGCGTGCATGATTAAAAATGGAATTGGCAAATAGTAGGATATATGACTTTGGTATAAACGAAAATTATGATGGAAGTGAAGGAGAGGATGAAGAGGATGAATTCCCAGGAGAATTGGAATTCTCATTGAACTTCGATAGTTTGGCGACACCATTCATGGGTAAGGATGGTGAATTTGATAGTGGACTTGGACTTAATGACACCATTACACTTGACGAAAATCAATTTGCAGTTTTGGACGGCATTAACGGTGGAGTCAAGTTTGGATCGGAGTTGAATGAAAAGAATTTTTTGGATGGCGACAGTGGCTTACATGCAATTACGAAGGACTCTAAGGATCAATTAGATGGTGGAAAAATAGATTGGAAAACTAACGATGGTCCTGAAAGTAATACATTAACGAAAATTTTCTCTGAAAAGTTTGAGCCAAGCAAAACCGAACCTCAACTCATAAAGAACAATGGTGTAACGAGCCGTGAAGAGTCCAATGCGCTTACTGAACAACCCATGAGCTTAGAAGATTTGAAGTTCTTATACAAAAAAGATTTGTTAACGGAACGTCGAAAGTCGGCGTCCCTCATGAGCAGCTCTAGGAAAGAATCTGGAACTTACGCAGAGAAAGATACTATTGTATCAGATACTGCCGAAAGCTTTGTAACTTCGGAGGATGAAGACGAAGTTGCTGAAGAAGACCTGGTCAGTGCATCCTGGGTCGATAATCTCGACATTGATATGGCATCTTTCAACATTCATCACAACCAGGCATATATTCCTGATCATGATAACTTGGATGAACGTTCAGATGATGAATTTCTTCTTGGTCTTTTAAGTTCTGACTCGAGCGTTGAAAATTTGAACGATGATGAACACGATGATGTTGATCTCATTGGGTGGGAATGTTTTTTCGATGATTCTTCTGATGAGTTGGATCCAGTAAATCGGAATTCCCGTAGCCAAGCATACCGTCGTCATTCCTTTTCTACAAGTCGTCCTCAAGAAGATGATGGCGACACTACGGATGAGGAAGTACCTCAACTGCGTGAACCCAAGCTTGGCAGGTCTGTTTCTTTGCAAGAAACCCCTTTTAATTCTTCTGCAATGCTCGACCCTCTGGCTCCTGCTTTCTCCGCCTCCCCCTTATCCAAGATTTCTTCCTTTCCTAATCCTGTAGATGCGGGATTGGAACTCTCGCAATCTAAGCCTACTTCCCCCATAGAGACTTCCGTTCATTCTGAGAATCCTAGTAGTGATGGACCTGTTCTCGCTAGCTTCGCTGACTCGTCCCCTGCTATCATGCTTGAATCAAACAGCGTTCCCTCGTTTGCGCTAGATCCGAAATTGAACTTTTCTCAACCTAAACCTCCTGTTTTAGGTACTTGGGATAGAGAACCAAACCATTTGGTTGGCTTTATTGACGGAAAGCATTCCCACTCTCTTTATGAAGATAAGTTTAACGCATCTAAAAAAGGTGATGTGGAGACCACTATTCCTACGCAATCTTCAAATAAGGCATCGAATACTGAAGAACCATCTTTGGATGATATCCTTGATACATCGCTTCTACAAGCTGCTACGACTAATAATGATACGAAACCCGAGGAATCTGTAACTAGCCAAGAGGATCATCTTCTAAACCGCTGGGAGAAAATCCCTATCGGTACTTTTAGACGAAATCAATATATTAAATCAATGGCTCGTAAGGACGAACTTATTCGAGATGAATGGTGTACTTTGGCTATTAAGTCACGCGAAAAGCGCAGACATAAGCAACGTTCTGCCACCCTTAACAATGTTAGTTCGATTGCTGCAAAGCCAAAGCATTCTCGTAAAGCTCGTCGTGCGCTTAAAAAGAAGGCAAAGAAAATTACATATCGACAATTACATTCGGACTTTCAAAGCACTTTAGAAGACGATCGAACTGACGGCTCTTATTTTGATAACGATTATGAAACTGTTGGTTTGGGTCTTGGTCCGGAGTTATCTCCTCTATTTGAAGTTCTGGAATCTACTGGGTATTAAACTTAATTTTGGGTTATTTTGGGTTATTTACTTAATACATATGTTTCTTTTTTACTAAGGAACTTTTATCTGTAAAAGTTGCTTAGTAATGCAACTGCTGTTTTAACTTATAGGTTGACTTGAGGTACAACAATGCGCATGCGAATGAAATACTCTTAATCTCTTTGTCCTGCTCATTGATGTTTCCGGTTCTTCTTTGGAATAAAAGATGAAAGGAAAGCTACCAAGTTGTCTATTTGCAGCCTGATTTGTCTTATTTTATTGTTTAGTTTGTTATTTTTTCTCTATTATCGTGGTCTGGCTGGTTTAACTATATTTAATGCTTATGAAAATATGCTTATTTCTGTTTGTTTTTATCATTTTTAAGCTTAGTAGAATGTATAAACAGAGTTACTAAAACAGGTCCTTTAAATTATCTAATATAATTTATGTTTTCTTTCCGTGTTCATTCATTAGTTGCTGAGACAGTCTTTTTAGACTCTTTTACCTCGACTTCCGTAATTGTGAACAGTAATTCAAATAGCTGCTTTTCGTCGTGACTATAGTCGCTTGCCTGAAACTGTTCATTTTGTTGGCCCTTAAACCGATATTCGGTTTCGTGAACACGCAAATTTAACTGAGACGCGATCAGTGCTTTAACCGATAAAACCGTCCAATTTTGATGGAACTGAAAGTAAAGAGACTCTCGTCCTTCATTATATGTCACGCGGACAGGCTGCGTTATATTGTCTTTGATTATCCCTGGTTTTTTTTCGATTGTTCTGTGTTGATAAAATTCAGGCTCTGACAATCCATGTCTTTTCCAGATGTGTCGCCAAACAGGCTCTAATTTATCCAATACGCCAGCAGAAGAAATCTCCTTTTGTGAAATGTATTTACGTATAAAAGATGAAAAATAAATTTCAGAATCCTCACGTTCATTTTTGCTTATAAAAACATCATTAAGTTTCATTAGAGTGGGAAGACGAGCAATTACAAACATCCTACTCTCATCAGTCTTATCATGAAGCTTTGATAGAGAAACGCGAAGCTCTCTTAGATTCTTCAATTTCTGTAAAAGGTTTATTTGATCCCATGAGCTAATGTCGTTTCCCGAAATATCAAGAAAAGATAAGTCTTGCATCTTCTCTAAGGGTAAAACTTTTAAGTCAGAAATATTGCAGAAAGAAATGTTCAGCCATTTTGTTCTGTACTGTTAGTAGAGCTCCATTGATAACTTGTATTACCTTTCAAACACGGAAGAATACGAAAGATCAGCTGCCAATAACTCATTGTTATTTGACAGACTAATGACTTCAATAGATTTAAAACAAGTGCTTTGCTTTAGTTTAATCTCATTGTAATCCAGGTGAAATTCCTTAAGAAAGGGGAATATGTTTTGTATCCGACTAAGTTCTTTCGACTCAATGTTACAATCCCTTAAAAATAGACGCGATACTTGGCGAATGGTGAAAGTATGAGTTAAATCACTCAAAGATAAATATTTATTCTTACTATATCGATTAGTTTCCTGGAAATTTGCTAGCATCGTACTCCAAAATCAATTCACTTAGTTTCGAAAGCTGACTGCACAGTAGTAAAACATCGTTCATAGAACTGAATAAATTACTAGATAGATCAAGTTTCTGTATCTCTATATTGGATTAGTTAAGGATTAGGTAGAATTTTCTATACCTGGTAAAATGGACCCAATTTGAACACCATCATCAACCGAAGATATTTGCGAGTTTTCTAAAATAACTATTTTCAGTCTTTGAAAGTCTGCTTGCAGACGTTTTATGTCTTGGAAGCCGCAAAATTCAATCTGCTTCCCATTGTCCAAATCTAGTGACGACAATAATGGTGAGGGACTTCCATACTTTTCCTGCAAAGCGTCTAGAAAAGATTTCTTTTTATCAAAAGGAAATTCTTTTGAGCAATAGAGACTTCGATTTTTCACAATGCTGCAAGGTTAAACAGTTCTTTTACGTATTCGAAACATACATTGGTAGTTTATGACGCCAGCATCTTTTTACAAAAGTTTTTGGATCCACATCTTTCTCTAAAATAATCTTCAAATCATGATTGTCTTCATGTCCGGGTACTAGAACAATACGTGTACCTAAAATACTAGCGTATTGGGAAGCAAGTATGTTTTTCATCTTCAATTAATATTTGAATAGCTAGGTGTATAATATTGTACATAAGAGCCTCATAACGTATTTTAAATGCCAAAAACTGATGTTACAGAGGTAAATTGGTAGAGATGAATATTTGGTAGTTTGGTATAAAATCCTCCATAGGTTCCAACCGAGTCTTCAATGAGTTCAGTCTATGAATTCTAAAATTTTGACAGTTTGAATCGAAGAAATGTGAACTTTTATAATGACTTAATACATTTCCTTCTAGGTAAACGGAGTAGGTAGCATATCTAAGTTATGCCTGAATGATATCTCGGTGCACAAAGTTAAAATGTAGAATACTTGTAAAAGATAATTAATAATATTAAAAAAAAAAAAAAAAACTAGTTTTCACGAGAATGACAATTCGCACTTGACCAAAAAGTTTTGTAAGGTATCTATGTAATAAAACATGCTTCATGTTTCCCTTCCTCTGGATAATTGAGGACTTTTTGAGACTTTAACCAGTGCACGTTATCGTGATTCTTCTCAAGTTGAGCATGATGTAGAATTTCCTGTAATAATGTTGAAAGGTACGGTCCATCGGCAAAACACATTTTCAGAAAATCTATCGCTCGGCTTGAATTATATTTGGAACACATAGCTTTGAAAAGCGTTTTTGAAGCATTTGGGTTCGTGATCACGCTATTTTTTAAGTCATCTTTGGGGTACTCAGTATTAATTAAATATTTTTCAATCCATTTATACCCTTTCTTCCTAAAACAATAGCAAAAAAACAATATTAGATTGCTCGGCCTCAAAGTATCCGGATATTCCTGGTAAAGTACCCAGGAACGCTGGGAATGGCAACTCTCTAGTAAGATGCTATTAAGATAACGCTTTTGACTTTCATTTAATACAGGGTTTTTCTCCAGAAACGCTCTGAAAAGTCTGTAGAATTTCACGTCTTCCGGCATCTGGCCATAGCATTTCAACAATTTTATGTACAACTCTTCTGATATAACCCGTCCATAATTAAAAAGGGAATGGTCAAGCTTTTGAAAAAGGTCAAAATCTTTTGTGGAAATAATGTATTCTAGAATGGGAAACAAAATCCCATAATTTCGTTTTTCAAGTAACGACTGGAAGTTTGGAACAGTAGAGAGAACGACATGAAATTCATGTAACTTATTATCTTGGAGTAACTTCCATAACAGGGTTGCTTTAGCCTCAAGAAGCGAACTAGTATCGGTAACTTTTTTTATAGAAAGCATGAATAACGAAAATGTATCTTCCAGATTTGACGTTTTAGGCTCCCTTTTTAAAAGTATATTAAGTATATTAACATCTACTTCCTTTCCTTCTTTCAAAGCTCTAGTCTGCCACTCATTGAGAGCTCGATTATTCCCGCTGTAGAGAGCAGAAAGTAAAAGAGACTCTGAAAAATGCTCAAGTGAAACAGAAAGCAAAGGCTTAGAAGACCGCATTCTGGAAATCTCTGCCATTGCTAACTCACCTTGTTTTATTCGCATGTTTTTTGGTAAGTACTGGTCGATTCTATTAGCTAAAGGAATGAACCCCTTATGTAGCGCATAAGTCCGGAATATAGAGTAAAAGAATAATTCAATGCTTTTAAAAAGGCGTGGATGGGGCTGGTTAGCAGAAGCTGCAGAGTCTTTCAAGAGACCTAAAAACTGTTGAAACTGTGATCCCTGCTGCCAATAAACAGCAGAAAAGGAGCGATCGTATGAGATAAATAAAAGAGAATTGATGTATGCATGAATAGACTTTCTCAAATCAAGATGATTTTTTTCTGTCAATATTTTACAACATTCAAATAGACAAGCAGATATGCTTTCGGTAATCCTGTAAGAACGAGAGTAGACGGGATCTAGACATATAACTCTTTGTAGATATTCAAAGATAATTCTCGCCTCTTCTTCGAATTCTGACTGCAAAAGAACGAATGTTAACTGGTTTTCTGAGAAGGAATCTATTAAGCGTAGATATAGAGATTCATTAGGTTCGTATAAAGTATAAAAAGGGAATAAAGAAGAGTTACAATCATTATATAGCCTCGAAACGGATAGCTCCAAATTGGCATAGCTTATACTTCGATTCTCGGGAACATCGACAAATGACCTAACAACGACCTTATTTTTCACAAAATGTTTCTGTAACATCAAATTAGTTAGAATCCATCGAGATTCATATATGGGCCTGACACTCCCTCTTCGAAATCCTACATAGCTGAATGCCTTTTGATGAACATTATTGCAAGCATGACTTGTTGAAATACATTCAGAAATGAATGATTTCGACGCTTTTAACAAATTGTTCTTATTCCTGCTTAATATAATTAATACCATTAAAAACTATACATCCTCAATGAAAGGAAGGAATTATAGAAGTACTGATCACTGCGATGTAAGCTGGGTGTAACGTTATGAAATACAACTGAATGTGGGTGAAAACATACTTTGAAACTAAATTACTAAGAGTTGACTAAAACAGATTTTTAAAAAATATAAAAACATTTTGTAATTAAGTAGCTCAGCTAATGCATTGAGAGGTAGTTTTTTTTTTTAAAAAAAAATGCATCGTAAAACTAGTAATTTTATTCTGGATTCAAGCAAAATTCATATATATATTTTTTTTAGTTTCTAATTTAACATCCTATTCTCCATTAAAGCTCAAAAAACCAGTCATTAATAGTACTCTATAATAATCTTTTGTATGAATACTATTAGCCCAGTTCCAAGCGCTAGTAAGGCGACCGTCAATACAACTGCCAGCCTATATATAGTTAGCATATAATTCAATCATGTGAACTTTTTACAGCTCAAATATAATGTTATGAATCAAAAAAGGATACTTACATCAAACCAGTTGTCCGCACCAGAGCCATCGAAACCAAAGCGCATAAAATCTGTTAACACCATTTTCTTCAAATATTCCTTCCCTCCGAAGGCGGTTTCTATATAGCGAAGTAAAGCCTGATCATGTAAAGAGTCAAGTTCCTCAAAAAACAAAACTAGTGGAGTAAGAATACGCGGTACCTGCATATATTTATCAATAAATAGTAAAGCATTCGGAACTGCCGTATCACCCAAGTGAATTGTCGAATCACCAATCCATGAGCCAGCTTGTCTTTGAGCCCTACTCAAAATACGTTCCATAGCGATTCGAATATTAGGACAGGCCTGTATTCTATGAACTCCTTGATTATTATCGACCAGCTCGTACTGAACATCTGGATTTGTCAACTCCAAATCACTTAGAGCCCATAAAGAGAAGATTTCACCCATAATTAAAAGCCACAAGTTAAGACTTTGTAGTACGTAATGGTACTGCTTATAATGATTGTGCTGTAAACGAGAGCCATTGGCAGCATCAATAGCTAAACTGAATTCATCATCCACGGTATCAGGGGAAAAATTTTGTTTTACCATATCTATCAATTTAGCAACCGGATCACGGTTAAATCGTAAGTAACTATTGCTATCTGCCAAGGAATATAAGCACCAACGAATTTGATCCTTCGTTATGGAAGAGCTCGCGTGTCTTTTAGCAATAGTCTCTACTGAGCGCTCTTTCGTTTTTATATCTTTCTGGATAGCAGATCTTGATCGCCCTCCTGCCACGATCTCTATAGTAGCATTCGTAATATAAGGATCCTCAAGAACCTTCAAGGCTTTTCGATCTTTTAGGTATTCGTAAACAGTCAAAATTGGCTTAAATAAATTGAAACCAAGATTTTCCTGAACTTCTGGGCACATGGAATCCTGAACGAAGTACATTAATTTACCATAAGTACTACCTAATCGATTGGGGTTCAAAACTTTGTACCGACGGCCTATCTCAAATACGTCTTGGAAAAAGCCGGCATATTTTTCAAAATCTTTAGATTCCAATAATTCCTGCCCAGCCTTATAGTCATAAGCTATCATAATTCCTGCCAAAACGGAAGTAATGCCTTTCAATTGCTGGGCAGTTCGTTTAGCTTTTGAAGAGAACCGTAAGGTATCGACGGTATCTGTATAATCACATACATCCAGACTGATCGTCGGTTAGTAAAAAGATTTATCAAATATACATACGCAGCAACCAATAAATGAAGCAGTTTTCGCTCTTGGTATTCTAGCCGTACTGGTATCACTTTACTACGCTGCGACATGAAACAAGGTGCATTTTCAGTAGATTTATGATTGTCCGGCAAACTTTCAGGTAAAATAGATGACAAGTATAGTTCTCGTAATTCCTCTGTATTCATAGTCTACCAAAGCGATTCTATTTTTTAATAAAAACGAATATATGAGCAAGTTTGAATGTTAAATCCAGTTACTTTGAACTCTATTTTTTGTTAACGAGCGTGTATATCTGTTTAAAATGCGATTCCGAGTACTTTGCTCAATTAACGGTCGATAAACTGTAGTGGTATACTTGAAGATGTAAAAGCCATAGTAAGGTACACACACACACACGTACATGCAACTTTCTACTTTCAATTTTACGAGTCTTTATTGCTAAGATAGTGAAAAATTACATGCTTCAAATAATTGTGAAATACCATTAAAAATCTAAAGCAATGGGACTTAAGCGCAATTAATAAGAAATCGTGAAAGAATGGGGAATGTATTAAATAACAACGAAAGGAACCCGAAGAAAAGTACAAAAACGTAGAAAACATGACTCATTTCATCACAATATACAGCCGAATTATTGTAAGAAATAGGAGTAAAAAGAATGCAATAAAAAAAAGGAATGTACGTTCGCAAAACCATCATTAAACAACGCAGCGTATTCCATTAATGATAATGAATAATTCAAAATAAAAAATCAAAAATTCTATCTCTCTGCCACCAATAGAGCGCCAGACTTTTGAGAGAAAGCAATGCGGAGGTCGTCCGCGTTACACATAGGCAAGAATTCATTCTTGGAATCGTCCCTATAGACTAGTTTTTCCCAGTCAAAACCTAATTTTGCTTTCAGTTTTTCGACAAAAGCTTCGTAGGGAGTGTCTGAAGCCATGCGCAAGGCAAATGTTTCATCACCTGAACGAATTTTGACTTTTTGGAAAACTGCTTTATCGTTATGGTTGTTGCTAAGAGCAGGTTTGTCTGGTACAGGAAAGCCTTTCTGTTCTCGTAATTCTGCAAATATAAACGGACGCTGTACGACGCGGGGCATGGAACTGGTAGGATGAGAAGCATCGACGTCGCCATCCAAAGGTAAGAAAAACTTTATGAGATAGTCATTTTCCAATAGGTGAGAAGGAAGTCGGCAAAGTTCTTTTACATACACATCAAGATCCAAGGCTCGTTGAGAAGAAACTAATTCATTCACGTCATCCACAGGACCAGGCATATAAGGAATGATACGGCGTCCTTGACCACGCCCAGCTTCCGTTGGAAAGGAATCTAGGAGTGTCAATTGCAGATAATAGAAGTCTTCGTAATATCGGCAGAGATTTCGATGTCGACCATCACTCATAACTGCACGTACCAAATACCAGAATTGATCATTATGTACGAAGTACGCCTCCACCATTGCAGCGACTACATGGGAATCATGAGACAGAGAAAGACTTTTTTGAGAAGCAGAAGGCATACATTGTTTATCATTCTTCGTAAGTAGAGAACTAGGCTTTGAAGAGCTTATCTGAGAAGTCGAGATGGAAGCACGCGGTGAGCTCTGTACAGCATCAGTTAAAGTACTCTTAGATTCAAATCCGGTGGAAGACACGTTGTCTTCCATTGAGGTATGAAAATTCCCTAAAGGAATGCTGCTTTTCTTATAATCAATGGCAGCCCGTTTCCAATCTTCTACACGTGGAATACAAGAGGTACGCAAAATAGCTTCGCTAATATGTTTAATCACGGCGCCTGTCTTTAAATCTCGTAACTGAATAAAGGTAAGAGGAATTAGACCAGGTCCACCTAGTCTACCAATTGGTTTGGCAACCAACCATTCATGATTAGATCGAGCAATAATGATGATTGTCTCACCAGCTTTAGCATCTAATTCATCGGGTCTTTCGGCTACAAAATCAAACTGAACAACGCCAAACAGAGGCTGAGTAGAAGATTGTAAGTCATTGAGAGAAACCCGTGGAGAATTCGTCGAATTGGTCAAATCTATAAGGGTACCAGTAGATTCACTACCGCTGCTATGTCTCATAGAATTCGCGTTTTTTCCGATTTCCTCAAAATGGGAAACGGGAACATAACCATGGGTACCTGCAGCAGGGTTACAGACTTCGTACCAGCGTTCATCATTTTCACGACCGATGACATGGAAAAAATCACCTTTGGTAAAAGAGATTTCAGAAGCTTTACGAGCTGTATAGTCGTACAAAGCCCGTACAACCTTTCTAGGGGGTTCTATAGAGAATGGATCTTTATCCGAAACGCGACTATGGCTTTTCCAAGAACGTCGAATCTGCAATAAAAGATTAGCTAAAGAGAGAAGAAAAAAAACAAAATTAGAGAGTTCAATTTTTTTGCATACCTTGACCATGAATAGAAGAAAGAAAGCTTTGTATATTTATCCTCAATCAACGAAGGAATTAAAGAAATGATATTACGATTAGAAAAACCACAAGAAGAGGTCGATATTAAAGCACGAGGAATTTGCGAGAATAAAAATATGTGAAAGTATGGAATTAACAATTTGCAGGAGTACCTGATCAAACAAAGGAAAGATAGCAAAAAGAGTGACGAAGGGAAGTTTCTTTGGAGTGATGAAGTGAATGTTGGACGGTATAGAATAAGAAAACAAAAAGTTCAAAATAGAAAAGAAAGAATGTGAAAAGAGCGTAAAACAGGTTCAGTCTCTTTGGGCTAGAACCTCAAAGATTGAACTAGCAAATCGTCAGAAAGATGAAAACACTGAAGCGCAAAAGCAATGAAACCCTGCTTTCTTTTTTCTCAACTTCTTCTATGTTTATCCTTTTGTATATTAAATCTATCTAAAATAGCTTGTTTCTTGCTTTTTTTGACAACAAAAGGGTAAACGAAGGAGAAAAAAAAAGGCGACGCGTGTTGAGGGAAATGGTCATAATCCCAAAAAACAAAGGTGTAACTCTGTTCCATGATGTTACTCTTGAAGTTGTTACTCTACGTTGTTCTTATAGGGTGTGAGCATTGTATGTTATATAATTCTATGATGCTTTAAAGCAATATAATTCACACACAGACGTTTAAAAAAAAACACAAAGATTCAATGATGGGAGCAAAATAAATAAACAAACCATTCGTAGATATATTAGCTTCGCGTTATATAATCCTTGCTCTTCCTATATCCACTCACGGTTGAATGTGTTCGCTAAATAAAACTTTACGATCGAGTAGCAACAGGTAACCTGTTTCAAGGGACGCGCATTTGTTTACGCTCGCAAACAATAAGGAATGGTAACCGGACAGACGACGTTTAGTTTTCAAGCAGGAAGAGGCTTAACAGCACAGGAAACAATTCCAATACAAATAGTGGAATCAAAGTGTAGAAAGATCGATCCCATGTTCTAATGGTTGTCGCCGCTTCAAGCTTCTTTCCAAGAGAACACTACGAGTCTTTCTTCCTCCACTTTCTTACTCTCTTATTACTATGAACATGATAGTCAATTTCACTCACTACTTTTTACCTTTTTGCTTTCCTTTAGGAGTACTACAACTCTACTGGAATCGCAACAACTACACATGAAAAACAATTAGAAAATAGTCATGTTGTTATCATTCATGATTAGTGTAACACTCGCACGTTTCTGGAGACAATAATGTTGCATCCAAACGGTATGAAACATACAGAGCATCCACTATAGCTATAATCGTTGCAAAGCTAATTCGTAGCATTTCATCTCACATACGCGCGTATGGAGATTTAAACAGATTTCGGTTGTACATCATTACTTTCCGCATTTACAAGAGTCGCAGGTGCACTTGCTTTCACCACTCTTGCAACCGCAATTACCTTTGCAGGATTCGCAGGAGCACTGCTTTTGGCAAGTGCAGGGTTGTCCGCTGGCACATCCGCAATCTTTCTTGTCCATGATTTAAAAATTCAGAATATCTTTTGCTTAATTAGTAAGTACTTCTTAAAACCCTTTCTAGAATAATCATACCTTAATGCTTTGTAAAGAAAAGTAGTCTGGTGGAGAATAAATGCGGATGAGCGCTCTCTTTTATACCTTTTCTTTTTGTTTTATTTCATACCAAAGGGGGTGGCGATTTACAGTTCATGATCTTAACAAAACAAATAGATCTGCAAGTTGTTATGTCAAAAGGAAGATCTACCGCTTGGCCAAGATCCTGCAGTTTTAGTCCTTTCCATCACATATTCACTTTTTCTTTTACAAAACAAATCTCAAAGGAATTAAACTAAGGCCGAACTATTAGTCGCCTTACTGTAAAACATGGGTTTATTTATTTTTCGACGCGTATTTCCCTTAGGGATAGCATAAGGATCTGCAGCTCCAAGCAGATGACTCCCAAACCCAAACACAAACATTGCGTAATGTAACGCGGCGTTATCTAATCTCGCCACTCTATGCAAAGAAGAATTACCGAAATGGAACATTCCGTAATGCTTCATCTGAAAGTGACGTTAGTACACTGTGATAAAGGCAACATAGTGAAAAGTATCACTGTAGTATAGTTTTTTGTGATTGCCGGGTACGTTGCGTAAATCAGTATAACAAACGAGCTTCTTGGAAAATGTGCAGTAGGAATAAGGAGAGTTTTCGGTTTCACTATTTCCGTTGTTGATACCTTGCAGCGTGTCTCGTCTCGATTGTTTCTTGGTTTTGGTGTTTTCTTATTCTGTAGCGGTCTATGGCTGCAATACAATAAAGAAAATGACGAAAAAAATTGATGTTCCCAAAGGATGTGAATGGCGGTTTGAAGTTGAAGAACCAGGGATCCAAATCAGGGTACGTGTTAATCAACATCGTTTTCAAGAACTTTTAGATGGCGAACTTCCTTTTTGTGCATTGCCATTTCAAGAAGCGTCTCTTGATTCTTTTCCAACTTTTGTTTCTGAACTAACTTTTCTTGTATAGCTTGCGACTGGCAATGCCGAGTATTTTGGTACAGAACTCGCTCTGGGCCCTCCTTACAATTTCGAGCAAGTCAAAGGAGCCATTTTTACTTGGCAGGGTTGTACTCTGGAAGTGGAAGGGGAACCTTCCGTAGAGTATGTAGCTGAAGAAACCCCTATGTGTACATATTTAAATCTGCATTTTGCTTTGGAAAATTTACGGAAAAAGGCTGAGGAGAATGCTTCAATGGATCCTTCAATTTCGGGTCCTAGAGTCTGTCTTATCGGACCCAAAAGCTCTGGGAAAACCAGTGTTTTAAAGATTTTAGAATCATACGCACTTAAGCAATCTCGACACCCCATTTGCGTCGACTTGGACCCCAGTCAGCCCATGGTTGCTCTGCCAGGCTCAATATCCGCTTTTCACAATGCCACTATTCTGGACATTCAAGAGGCGACTGGCTTTGGTACCAGTATGTCTACTGGTCCCACTCACATCCTTGCTAAGTCTCCTCTGGTTTATAACTATGGATTAGATAGCCCTCTTGACAACCCCAAACTCTACAAGTCTTGTTGTTCTCGACTAGCGCTTGCTGTAAACTCTCGAATGACCCAAAGCGTGGATGCATCCGTCTCTGGATGTCTAGTCGACACTTGTTCCTTACAAGAAAACAATGAGCGCTACCAAGATACTCTTCACTCTATTATTACTGATTTTCGTATCAACATCGTCCTCGTATTAGGTTCGGAGCGATTGTACAGCACTATGAAACGTAATTACAATAATGCTTCCTGGCTTTCTGTTGTTAAGCTCCCATCAAGTGGCGGGTGCATTGAAAGAGAACCTGAATGGATTACAAGATGGCAGTCTAGATGCTTAAAACAATACTTTTACGGAGATGAACGAATGCCTCTCTCTCCACTTTCCATTATTGTCGATTCCACCCAATTAGTAGTTTATCGCGTGTTAGAAGCATCCGAAAGTGGGCCAAAGTCTTCAGTTCTTCCCATAGGTTTTGAAGAAGAATCTGGTCAATCTGACGATAAGGGCAATTATATGTCTTTAGCTCTTAGTGGAAAGGGTCAGTACTTAGAAAGGATCACAACTGAAGCAATGACGATTTTACAAAACTCGATTTTGGCCATTTCAAGTGTAAGTGAAGACGAAAATGAAACCGCGATTATTGATTCCTGCATACTCGGTTACGTTTTTGTCACCGATGTGGACGATGTAAAAAACCGAATGACCCTTCTTTCCCCTGTACCAGATCGACTTCCAAGTAATGCTTTAATTATGGGAACGTGTAAATGGCAAGAGTAAAGGGACTTATTCTTCTTGTCTACTAGTTTTCCATGTCTCGTTCTTTAGTTATGCCAACAGTTTTGAGGTTACTTATTATATAAGAATCAAAATTTATAATTTATAAATTGATGTGATAATTACAAAGACATCAAAAAAAAAAAAAACAATTATTAGTAAAAGTAAGAGATTATTGGTTATTCGGTGAAAGAAAGGAATGATAATGTAGCGGTAAGTAAATGAAAGTAATCCTATTATACAATTCACGGTAAATTTTTAAGCCCCTTTGCTATACGGCAGTAAAAAGCTCCAATTCTACAAAAACAGTAAACCTAGAGAAAATATTCTGTTGCTTTCGCTGTTGGTTCAACGTACGGGTTCTCTTGGTTCGGGGCCGCATCGAAGACATTAAAAAACCTAGATTTGTCGGTATCAATTTGAAGGATACTAGCTAAATTAGCACAACGGTAGCAGTAATTAGGAGCTGACCAAACAGTTGATAGCTTCTTTTCAAATAGTATCTGATATCCTTCGCTACACAATTGATGAGCTCGCAAAATATGATCCATATTATTTTCGTGAAGAAACTTGGAAACAATTACTTCTCCAAATGAATATCCTGCACCCCTGGGAGATAAAGAGAACTCTTGGATACTTGGATCTGGGTCAGACCATACCAAATCAGCCATAGCTCCTTCATGAGGAAACTCTCGAAAGCGATCAAGTACAACAATTTGATCAATGTGTTGGATGCTTGGTGAAAGCCCTCCGTGAACACAAAAAATACTATCGTCGATAGTAGCTGCAAGAGTCAAGAAATCAAATATGTCTGTGATTTGCTTCCAAACATTGGCAGATCCATATTTTCTAAGGCATTCAGAGTAAAATCCATACGTTTGCGTAATACCTCTGGATTCATGATTACCTCTAAGCAGGGTGATTCTTTTTGGGTATCTGAGTTTCAAACACAAAAGCAGAGTGATTGTTTCTACACTATAATATCCACGATCAACATAGTCGCCTGTAAAACATTAGCAAAAGACGAAGAAAGGTTGGATCATTTTTTATGCATCCACCAGGATGTTCATCTAAGGAAATACATACCCAGGAATATATAATTGGTGAACGGGCAAGGACCTCCAATACGAAATATCTCTAACAAATCCTCGAATTGGCTTTATAATGAGTTAGTAGTCGTTTTCGGATGAGTACAGCTAAACTAAATTCAGTTCCCAGAAACCACATACCCATGAATGTCCCCAACTACAGTGATCGGAGTACAAAGACGTACAACGTTACTTTCTTGTATTAATACTTCCTTCGCCAAGCTACAAAGGTACGCAATAACCGGTTCCGCAATAATTTGCTTGTTATAAAGCCTCTCCAGTATTTGGTCCAAATTAAGCATTTCAAATTAGGAAGCTGTAAATTATGACCCTTAAATTTAGCATTAAAATAATAAATGTGAAAAAAGTTGACGGTACACGATGTTCCGGCTATAAAGCAAAGAAGGCGGTTAAAGGTATTCAAATCCACAAAAAATAATAACGTTAACTAAACTTAGACAATTCATATATTACATGTAAATATTCGCATCAGATGCAAATATCTGAATTGCTTTAGCATGCGGACGGCAGGATGTATAAACAGATGCCAAGTAACGTTGCTACTCTATGTAGAAGATAGTTCACTAAACTACAAGTAAAACCAAAAACTATTTGTAAATTATAACAAGCAAGTATATTATTAATTATTAATTATTAAACCGTTACATTTTCAAGTGTTCCTAAGTTTGCAGTTTACAAGAGTAGTAAAATCGTATTACACCAAGAAAAAAGGAACGCGTCAATATAATGTCTTAGCAAAGATTTGATTCTACGCAGTTCTTTTATTTGGCATTCCTTTAAAGTATACCAAATTGCTAAAGCCATAAAATGGAAACTACATATACGAACTTATCGAAAGAGTTAAATTTGTATTCGCACATAATAAAGCTACGTAAGTGGTAATCAGAAAAAGAAAAAGAAAAAGAGAACCATAAACAGGGAACTTCGAGAATCAATATTACTGAAATTAGTAATCGTCTTTAAGACTGTTTGGTCTCTATAGAATGCTAAAATTCTTCTGAAGAATGCGTCCGAGCAGACTGCTAAATCTTTTTCCAACGTTCTAACAGGAAATCACTGGGAGAATCCATGATTATATTATACTAATTCCCAGTTAATGAACGATTAATTGAAAATGAAAAAAAGCCTGAAGGGGCAATGGCCCTAACTTATGATGTTGTGAAACGCAAGCGTCCTTCTATCTATGTCGTATAGTAAGCGCTGTGGGTAACATCCATAATGATATTCATAAGAAATAATACATGAAGCTAGCATGACAAGTCCTCTGCCTTCCATTCACTAGGTTACACAATAGATGATTACTTACAAATAACGAGTATGGAGTTCAATACAGATGAAACAAAACGCGCCCTTTTATCTTCATAAACAGGAATATAATTACCTCTTGAAATATACTCCATTGAAGCGTGAAACAATGCCCTTAGTTTCATCCTGCATGTAAACAAAAACGAACTGTTACTTAATATGCAAGCGTTACCCAGTAGGACATAGAAGAAACGCGTTGATATTTCTACCAAATAAATAATCAAGCTTCGATCCAGCTTGTATTATTCGGTTAGTTTATTCATACTTTTTATTCACTTTTACTAACATATATAGGCTACTTCGACTCGTAGTTCAATTATCTAGGTAGCTAAGTTGCAACTAGGTTAGCGCCTACGAAAATGGCAGAAAGTAATATAAAAAAAGCTCTTGAGTTAGCTCAGTATCCGGAAACAAATGTTCGTTTACAAGCAGAACTTGAATTGAAAAAATTCGAATCTTTGCCTGGTATGAAGTTCAGTATAAGGAGTTCCTAAAACTACTGAAAGATCAGACTCTAACAGTTACATTCAGAATTTCCCCTGTATTTGACAAATATTGCAGCCTCTGCGGCTCCATTCCCCTTGCGATTGGTATGTAATTGTGTAATAGTCAATACTAGATATTAACGAATGTAAAGGGATCATTGATTTATTTGCAGCGTTTTATTACTCACCATTGGTCTCCTCTTTTTGAACAGTTCAAAGAAGGACCTATACCCGATGAGAATGTTAAGCGTGCTGTAAGAGAGACGCTTCTTCGTCAGTTGATTTCGTTGGAAAATCACCAGCTAAATAAGGCGGTTGCTTATGCAGTATCTTTGATTGCCAATGTCGATTTCCCCGACGAATGGCCTGAAGTTTTTCCCTGTGTTTTGCAGTTGCTCAAATCGGACAACGAGGGTTCTATCAATGCCGCCCTTGACGTGTTGTGTGAGTTAATTGATGAATCGATGATGGAGGAACAGTTTTTCATTATATCTCCTCCCCTTTCTGAAACTTTGTATCAACTCGTTTTACCGATTCCTCCTAATGATTCTTTGAGACAGGTGCAAGCCCGTGCGATAGGATTGTTTCGTTCATGTTTAGAGTTACTGGAAATGTACAAAGAAACCCGTTCTGAGCCTGTCCGCGTTTTTATTGATCAATTGTTGCCTCCATGGATGGATATGTTTATCCAGAAACTGCAATGGCCTCTTTTTCAAGGTAATGAACTCTTGGGTGACTCCACAGGTACATTTTGCATAATGGGAGAGATTGCATTATCCTTATCAAAACTTAGAGAGTTGTTTCCATCAAAATTATCGACATATGTTGTAAGGCTAGTGGATTTAATATGGGATATCCTTCAAAAACTGCTCCCAGTTTATCTCAAGGATGTGGTTTTTGACATTCCTACAGATGAAAACGTTTTTGGTATTAAGTATCCATTGCGTTACTTAATTGAATTACTTCAATTTGTCGGTGTAGCTTTACAAAACAAATCTGTTCAGACTCTGTTCTTAGCCACCAATGTTTCTTCTTCTTCTCTCCCTCCCTGTATTTCTATTTTGGTCCAATATGCTCAGCTTTCTAAAAGCCAGGTTGAAATCTACGAAAACGACGTTAACGAGTATATAATCAATGAAACTAATTATGACTCCTTTGTTGATACAGTTCGTGGGGCCGCTGTCAATGTGCTTTCTTCTTTTGAACAGCACACAAATTTAAAACTCCAGCAGCAGATTCGGGAATTAGCTGCTGCATACGTATCAGAAAATGACATAAATTGGGTTGATCAGGAAGCTTTATTATACACGTGCTGTTCTATCGATGCCGCTTCAGATGATACTTACGACGAGTACTTGGAGCCGGTCTACAAAGCCATATCTGTTCGAATACAAACTTCTAATGTCCCAGAAATACTGATGGCTGGTTTTTTTAATTTTGTTGGATATTTTTCAGAAAGTACTCCGTTAGCCATTGAATTTTTCCAGGTATTTTTGAACTGCATTTCAAACGCAGATCAATCAGATTTGGTGAAATATGCTGCTGTTAAGGGTATTGAGAGGTTGTGTTCAGTCAGTCAAGTAAAACCATCGTCTTCGGTACAACCTGCTGTCTTAAAAGTTCTTAGAGACTTTGTGCCAAACAGCTCTGACGAATCGCTTGTTCTTCTTGTTGAAGCAATCACGGCCTTAACTCGATTGGACTGTCAAAAGGCTGCGGAACCAGATAGTTCATTCATTCCCGTATTATTCAATCTTATAGCTAATAATCCTTCTGATCCTTATCTTTCTGGACTAATCGAAGATACATTTGAGGACATTACTAGCGAGGCTGCTAGTTATGAAAGTGTATGTGAAACTACTATGCCGGAACTTTTACAAGTTCTAAGTCACCCGGATCCCAACTTAGTAAATGTTGGCTGCACTCTTCTTTCCTCTTTAATTCGTGCGGGTCCTTCTCCTCTTCCTGCTGGCTTTATAAACTACGTTTTGCCTCCTATCTACCAAATTACAGAGACGCATAACGATGATCTGGAGTTGCTTCAACTTTCACAGGAAATCATAAGAGAGTTGCTTCGTAAAGATTGCCCTCAGGTATTAAGTTCAGAAATATCGGGAGCAAGCGGACTTCAGTATATTCTTTATATACTGCAGAAGCTCTTATTGAGTAAGTCCGATGACTCTTCATGCTTTCTTGTTGGCACTATTCTATTGGAACTTCTCGAACATGCAAATCAGGCTTTAGATCTGCAACCAGTTTTGCTTTCCTGTTTACAGAGAGCGGTTGTTGCTGAACAACCTCGTTTCATTCAGGTATAATGATTTGTATTTAATATTTCTAACGAATGCAGAGCATAATTTACGTCTTTTCTAAAATGATAAACAAAAACGTTGAAGCCGTTCTGAACTTTTTGAGTGGCTCTACTCTAGATGATAAGGGAACATCTGCGTTAGAAGCATTGATGCAGGTTTGGTGTGATAATTATGTTTACTTCAGTAACTTTAAAAACTTATCTGTTATGTATGGTATTCTCATATGTTAATTCTGCTAATCGATAATCTTAGTTGTATCGCCATGACGAATATTTACAAAGCAGAGACAAGTATTCTGGACACAATTCATGTGAAAGGTGATATTATATCACAATCTGATAGAATTGTTACACGTTCACAAGCTCGTTTGCGTATGGTTTTGCATGACCGCATACATTGCTAACGATTAATATTAGATCCAAATCAGTATACCTTCATCAACGTTCGAGAAAAATTGATAAAACTTTTGGTGGATGAATATATTTCACTTTCTAGAGAATCTATCGTTGAAGAAATTTCCAACGACGAGGGTGATGATTGGGATGACGGCCCGTCAAATGTAGAAGAAGATATTGGTTTATCTGCTGATGGTAGGTTTTTTATATTTTTAACATGTATTAACAGACCTTAGAAATAAACGAACTTGCTAAAGACGAATATCCGTCCATTAGATCGTCAGCTGAAGCAGAGGATGATACTGCAGACTTACAGGTAAGTGATGATAGTGCATTAAAAGGACAAAGCTTAACTAACGACTTAATAGTTCCATCTGCTTGATTTTTTCAAAACTGTAATGTCAACCAATCTTAACAACTTTAATGTTCATGCTTCAAGGCTTACAGCAGAACAGCAAGCTGCTTTGGTAAACATTAAATAGGTTTCTGGGTTATAAATAAAACGAAGGATATAATTATTCTTGTTTCCAAAGTACATATATGTGTAGTTGTTTTTGATTTTCGATAATCGTTGCTGTACTTGAGATTGACTTTCTTGAATTACAAACAATTAGTTCAACAGAGTAGAACACTACAAAATTTTCATAAAGATAACAGACTTCATTGAAAAGTTTAGCAACTATAGATATACAATCGAAGGAAAAAAGACCTCCTCGCAAGGAAAGGAAAATAAAAGTTAATAGTGAATGGCTTCATCAAAACAAAAGACATAAACAACACAAAGATAGAACAAAGAAACAAGTATTGTACAAGTAAGAGAGCTCTCGGAATATTTTACAATGTTCGTAAAAAGCGATGTTTTGCAAATGTGTTCGTGTTATAGGGATAGGAAAGACAAAACATTAAAGAAAAGCGGTACACAGACAGGTATACGCATTTTCGCATTAGCTGCATAAATGAAAAATCGATAAATACGAGGGTAAATGCAATGAGTAATTGTACAAAGAGCTATTAAGAATAGAATCATCAAGAATGCAAAAATACAAAAGTTGTTCCAAGAACCTCTTACCAGTAGGGTTTTGAACGAGAATTTGCTGCGGGACCTGTCAAAACTGCGGGAGCACGAGTTACCGGATCAATAATTGGGATACTCGAAGACTTTTTCTGACGGCTGCTTGGGTTATGCTGCAATGATGAGGGGGCATATTGCATCCCGGCATAGTTTCCGGTTTGAATAGTCGGTATAGCATTAGGGTACATATTAGGAGTCATTGGAGATAAAGATGGAGAACTGTTCGTCGGGGACAGTCCAGTCATATGGTATATGGCGGACAACTACACAAGCATGTTAATACGTAAACCTTTATGAATGAATCCTTTCTAAGGATGGATTAGAAGCAAAACCAAGAAACACGAAATAATATCTCTGGAAGGGAAGAGACCCAACCAATTCCAAGTCATAAATGCTTAATCCATTACCGTTCCCAAATCAGCATACTTCTTCGTCGGATAAAGCAGGACAGAATTCTAAATCATCCTCAATATCAAAGGTTCTGGCTTTTTCAAAAGACGAGCGAAATTCATGCACTAATAAGCCGTTCATTAGTATAGCCCTCTGACAACATGCTCATGTACTCGACATACATTGATAACCAGGAGAAGTATTCTGATAAAAGTTGTATGGCTTGTAGAAATAGGTCATAATGATACACTTTTTAAACAAAGACTAAAAATATACTTCAATGTGGGTTGTTGGTAGAAGACTACATCTTAGGGTTATTGCCATTCGTAAAGATAAATTTATTACAATATCATCTTATGGTCTCAATTGTAACCTCGTAGCTGGATTATTGGAGTCAATTGTTATCTCAAACTGTACTGTATTTTTACAAACAAAAACAATGGAAAGTCAAGAAAAGCAGGGTATGAAATAATTGTTTTTTTTTTATAGTGCAGCCATATAGATTATTGGATCTAAGTTTTTATCAAAATTACAAGACCATTGTGGTGCTCATAATTATAATACCCTTTTGTTATTGTTTATTCGTTTTGTTGAATCATATAAATAAACATTCCAGATGACCCTAAATCCGAAAATAAAACATATATAATTTCAATAAAATATGCTTATGAACTAGGAACCATGTTTGTTTATTGAAAGCTTGCTATAAAGCTATAAACTTGCTAGTCTTTAGTTTTGCAAGTACTTGAATCAGTCGTTCTCATAGTGCTGCCGCTTTACAGATCACAGTACTTTAAAACAAGGGTTTACTGTATATTCATTTCTAAAAAAAAAAAAAAAACTGAACAAGGGTTGTAACATTTGAGACATCTATTAAATAACTGCGTTACAGGCTACACCTTGTAAATAAAATCAAATGAAATTTCCTACAAAATTTCAAAACAATTTTTTAATCAAATTCTATACAACTTACATCTAATATCGTCTAGAATCTTGATTTTTCTTGTGAATTTTTGGGTTGTTTATATTAATGTAAACAAACAGGGTTGCTAGCCAACTGCCCTGCGCCTCACTATACTGCCTTTGATAATCGAGCAGTTGAGACACTTCACTTGTTTACATATCAACGCCATTGCATACCCAAGAATTACTTAGACAAAAACCCTTTAAAGGGAACATTTTCAATGAGAAAATGGTGCTTCGAAAAAATGCTATTCATGATGCTTATAAGAAGATTGAGCGAGAGGAGTCGCTCATCATGGGAGCTAAGGCAATGGTAGCATCGACGAAGAATCCGGAAGTAAAGAAAAGATTGGAAACAAATATTGCTGTATCAGAAAATAATATCACTTATCTACAAGAAAGAATCCAAGCTTTGAAGCTTGAGCAACATGGGAGAGACGAAGCCCCTTCAGAAGAAAATGATTCTATGCAAAAGCATCCTTCAAAACAACAAGATGGCGATAATCAAATTTTGCATGAAAGCAGAAGCGCCTTCGAGTTACTTAGCTCGGAAAAACCGTTAACTCCACAAAAGATATCTACAATGTTACAGCATTTGCAAATGCGATTATCTATAGAACAACAGTGTGTTTCCGGAATTGAAAAAATCTTACATCTATATTCCAAAGAAAGAAAGGATACCCATGATGTCTCTGTCAAATTACGAGAAGGTAAACAAAAAGTCAATCTGTTAAAGCGATCGATGAAGCGCTATAACGAATTACATATTCCCTTGGATCAACCAATTTCTGGCCAAGAGGATCATTTGTCTCAGGTTGCTTTCCGTGGTCTAGCAAAACCAGTTTCAGGTAGACTTCAACTTACAATCCATTCCGTCCGCAATCTGGAACATACTTCTCTTTTGCAACAAAATTTATCTCCCACATTTTCTTACACCGTATGTTATGTTGACGACACCCAGGTTGCACGCTCAAGAAGCTCTCCCACAGACCAATGGGACGAGTCCTTTACGTTCGACGTTCATCGTGCAAAAGAAGTACAGCTTCTTATTTATGATAAAAAAAAAGAGGCAGATGTTCCTATAGGATTTCTTCTAATTCCAGCGTCTTTAATCGCTGAAGAGGTGCGCCGAAAGAGAAATTTACATGAGATGACCGAAGCTAATTGGAAACCAAGCTTGGCTGATCAAAATGCTTATAACAATGCTTCAACTCGTCCTGGTACTGCTGCTTCTGCTGCAACATATCGTAATTCTCTTTACGATCCTCTTGCTTCTTCACCTGCTTCTGCCCCTTCCTCTTACAAACTTCTATCCCGTACGTGGCTTTCATTAGAACCAGTAGGCCAAATTTGCATTTCCATAACATTCTCAAAGAAATTAACTAGAAGACAATTTCTTGAAACTGGTCTAGGTCGTCAGGGTGCTATTCGCCAGAAGAAGGATGAAGTTTATGCAGGACATCTAGGACACCAATTTGTTCAAAAACAATTTTACCAAATTATGCGTTGTGCTGTTTGTGGAGAGCTATTCTCTTATTCTCCTGGTCTACAATGTGAGAATTGTAGTTTTGTGTGCCACAAGAAATGTTTATACAAAATTCTTGCTGGATGTATTGCATTATCAAATGCAGAAAAAGCAAATTATGGACGCCTAAAATATCAAATTCATCATAGATTTGAACCGTTGACATCGTTAGGAGCTCATTGGTGTGCTCACTGTGGGTTCTTTTTACCTTTGCGACGCAAAGACTGTTTTAGATGTGAAGAATGCAATCTTACATGTCATGGACAATGTGCCCATTTAGTTCCAGATCATTGTGGCATGTCAAACGACCTGAAGAACCAGCTCTTGACCGGGTTAGACGTTAACAATAAATTACCAAAGGAAAAACAGGGGACTAGCAGGCAAGATACTAGGTCTTCATCTGAACAGCTACCGACAATTTCACAAGGTCTTATTGCAGCTACTAAACCAGCTACCAGTATACTGAACGCTTCTCCTGTTGTTGCACCTGAGGAATCGGTCAAAGAAAGGAAAAGTGCAAGTGCTTCCCCTCCTCGTCGCCTGACACCTACACCTACACCACCGACACTTACACTTCCAACACCTACAGCTCCAATTTCCGCACCCCCAACACCTACAACTCCAACACCTACCCCGCCGTCTAGTACTTCGGCAACAACAGAAAGTTCTGTTAAACTTTCGCCTAGCCCTCGCCGTGATAAAAAGAAACGGGTTACTCTGGAAGATTTTACTTTTATCGCTGTTCTTGGTAAAGGTAATTTTGGTAAAGTTATGCTTGCTGAATATAAGCCAACAAAGAAGCACTATGCCGTAAAAGTTTTGAAAAAGGAGTTTATTTTGAAAAATGAAGAACTAGACAGTTTACGTACCGAAAAACATGTTTTTGACGCCGCAAACAAAGAAAAGCATCCGTTTCTTCTGAACATGTTTGCTAGCTTTCAAACTAGTACTCGCGTGTACTTCGTAATGGAGTACATTCAAGGCGGAGATTTAATGGTTCACGTTCAGAGACAACAATTTAGTGTGAAAAGAGCGAGGTTTTACGGCGCGGAGGTCTGTTTAGCTTTAAAATATTTCCATGAAAACGGTATAGCATATCGTGATTTAAAGCTGGATAATATCCTTCTATGCTCCAATGGTCATATCAAAATTGCCGACTATGGTTTATGCAAAGAAAACATGTCTGCTGGTAATACTACCTCAACGTTTTGTGGTACGCCGGAGTTTATGGCACCTGAGATTCTTTTGGAACAACAATACACGAAGAATGTGGATTGGTGGGCGTTTGGTGTTTTAATGTATCAAATGCTGTTAGGTCAATCACCTTTTAAAGGAGAAGATGAAGAAGAAATTTTTGACGCCATTTTGACGGATGAGCCTTTATTTCCTATTAACATGCCGGCAGATGCCGTTTCACTATTACGAGGGGTAAGAACATATTATACGGTGACTTGTTACTAACAATTTAGCTTTTGAATCGTGATCCTGAAAAGCGATTAGGAAGTGGGCCAACTGACGCTCTTGAAATCATGAACCATCCATTCTTTACTACAATTGTTTGGTCCGATCTCTATCATTTGCGGTTTGATCCTGTTTATAAACCTGTGGCAAGCGATATACATGATTTGAACAACTTTGATGAAGAATTCACCAGTGCAGTTCCAAATCTTACGCCAGTAAACACAGTGTTGACAAGGCAACAACAGGAGTGTTTTCGTGGATTTTCTAGTATGGCAGGGTAGACTTTTAGGTCTGATTTATTCTTTTTGTTTTTATTGTCTCTTTTTTTTTTTTACGCATAGGATTTTTGAAGGTTGATAGAGATATCACTCTTCTATCCTCCTCCTTTCTATTTTTCCTGCGTTATTCCATCAATTAATAGACGTATTTAGCTAAATTATTCCTTTTTTCTTTACTTTTATTTTTTTACTAGACGATCAATACGCTTTATATATTAATGATGATTTTTTACGATAAATATTAATCCTTAAGCTTTTATATGCAAAACTAAATCTTTCTTTCTCCAGATCATTGTAGAACTTTCAAAAACCATGAAAAATTTAAAGGACAGATATCTGATATTTACTTTCACACTAAATTTTTAGTCTAGCCTATATGAATGAATTTATCTTTCTATGTTTTCCTGTCATTGTAAGAAATACCGTAAAAGCAGCGTTCTGTAAATGGACCCATCCTCAAATGTTCGTAGTTACCACAATATAAGCATGAAGGTCAAAAATCGGTGATCTTGAAAGTACAACTTCAATACGCAAAAGAGTGAATAAGGTGTTTTGAACCCGAAATTTTTGAAAAATAGAAAGGCATAAACTCTTCATTTACAATTTTGATGCTTCAATGCCAGCAGAGATTGCCGTGTCCCCTACTGATACAAGTAGTCTACTAGTCATTAAATTTGATACCAAATCTGTATACTATGAGAATTACAAAAAGCTTCTATTAGACTTAAAATGCGAAAAAACATTTGTTGGTGTTTTAACTGAAGAAGAAGCGGACACATCCTTAACAGACTTGACACGGACTGATACAGAATTATTCGATAAAGCAAAGAATGTCGTTTCGAGAACTAAAGAAGTAGCACATGCTTTTTCTGATCCTGTTCTTTCTAGCCAACTACATGCTCCACCTCCTCATCCTACGTCGATTCGCAATGTTTACTTTGGTAATTACAGAGTGAAGCCATGGTATACTTCTCCATATCCTGAAGAATATAGCTGCTCGAGGAATCTTTATCTATGTGAGTCTTGTCTCAAATACATGAATAGCGACTACGTTCTTCAGCGGCACAGAATGAAATGCGCTTGGAGGCATCCACCTGGTGACGAAATTTATAGAGATCAGAGCATTTCAGTCTTTGAAGTGGATGGGCAGCGACAGCCTATTTACTGTCAGAACTTGTGTCTACTGGCAAAAATGTTTCTACAATCTAAAATACTTTGTTACGATGTTGAACCCTTTCTCTTTTACATAATGACTGAATACGACGGGACCTGCTGTAAAATTTTAGGATATTTCAGTAAGGAAAAGAGATCAGCTTCAAATTACAATGTGTCTTGCATCTTGACTTTACCAATATATCAGCGAAGGGGTTATGGTGCTTTTCTGATAGAATTCAGTTACTTATTAAGTAAGGCTGAGGGAAAATATGGGTCTCCCGAGAAACCACTGTCTGATTTGGGCTTACTTTCCTACCGTAGTTATTGGAAAAAGCGCGTTGCTGAGACTTTATTAGGTATGAGTTCTACGATGAGCATTGAAAATATAGCTCAAGCAACTTCTATGGTTTGCGATGATGTAATTTCAGCTTTGGAATCATTATCTGTTTTAAAATACGATATGAAAAAGAAAATTTATGTCCTTCACGTTGACAAGATGAAGTTATACAATGTGTGTAAAAAGTGGGATGAAAAACATCCTCAAAGAGTGAATCCAACTTGCTTACGTTGGACTCCCTATATTGGTGAAGCTAAAATATCAGATCTACTTTTACAAGAGAATCTTTTACTTCCTTTAAGCAATTTAAAACACATTAATGAAGGGCTCTGCTCGAATTACTAACATTATAGGCATTAATATGATAACGTTGCATAATTTTAAATCATAAAGTTCATTACCTGTGCTTTATTTGTTGATTATTAGTCATAATATCGTTTAATGCCTCGGAAAGTTCTAGTGAAAACAAATTAATCGTCGAGCTTAAAGAATCGCATCCTGCAACGCAGTTATCAATATTTTCCCTTATTTTCTCCATTTTTCCATCCTCTTCTACAAGATTTTGTACACTTTTCTTCATTGAAGTGTTGAACTGAGATTCCATAGAGTCGTAATAATCCTTATAAGTTGCTTTGTTACTCCAATTCAATTGAGACATTTCCTCCGTCACATCCTTCGGTAGGCTATTTATACTAATTTTGGAATGCACATTGTAAGCTTCTTCAATGATGGAGCCTCGTTGAGCAGGGGTCAATTCGTTCCGGACAGGCGAAGTGTCACTTGAGACTTGATTGTTAGATACAGTGCCTAAATTTGGACGAGCTGAAACAGTAAAGTCTTGTGATTCGGAAGGTTGGAAACTCAAAGATGATAGATTGAAATCACTCGTGTTCGTTGTACTTACTGGTAAACCTTGACGAGATGGATGTTTTGCTGGAATCTGAAGACCAGAAGAGGGAGAATGATTGATTTTTTTGGGAACAGATGCCGGAGTATTCCTCAAAGAACTTTTAGCTGAAATAGAGGGAGCACGAATAGGTGATGATCCTTCTATCGAAGGTAGTTGACTATAAGCTGAATCCAGGTTTGAATGAAAGGGATTTTCATTGAAACCACTTGAATCACTTAAAATCATGTTAGGCTCATCAGATAACAAAACGTTGTGTTCTTTTGAACGACTAGCATAAGGCTTCTCATCCATCAATGACATTGGGTCTTGCGAAAAAAAATCCCTTGATGAAGACGAAGGCGTAGATTTCTTTCTGCTTTGAAATACATCCTTTTTTGTATCAGTATTGAGACTTGCATCTTTGCGCCCTCCCTTTCGCAGGGGGGATTTTGGCGGAAATAATTGAGCTTGCTCCTGTATAAAATTATCTTTATAAGAAGGCCTTTTTATGGGGCTCTTCTCAGAATTAGGCTCTTCTATTTGAGGAAAGGTAGAATCTTGAAGTGAGGTAGTAGACTTACCGGAGATAGAGCTACTAAGCGTTCTTGCATGATGTTTCAGCTTTGTATGAGACATGGGTTTTCTTTCTGAAGTCTGATCATCCTTAATACTTTTTGTATTGGTTGGAAGAGAGCTGGATAGTTCCTCATTTTCATTCGAAGGGAGGTCCGTTTCTAAATTTGTAACAATGGGTCCATCAGAAAAATTGCGTAAATGACCATTTTTAGAAGAAGATGAAGGACTTCGTGCAGCTAAAGTAGTATCTGGTAAAGAATTTCGAACTTTTCCTGTATTAGAAGGCTTTGCTGTTTCTTCTATAAAAGAGTTTCGATAAGCCCAGTCCACTTTCCGACCGTCTGTGGTTAGAACACTCAGAGGTCTACCCATGTAGTACATATATTGTTTTGCAAGTGAGAAAATGAATTTATTTCTTGCAACCGTATCGTTGCTTCTTAGCAGGTGGGGTTTATTAATTGTGAATGTAACATCTCGATCGTCAATAACGGTGATTCCTTGTAACTCAAATAGAGGCCAACTTCTCACAACAGTCATTCCTCCTTTATCACTTGCTTTCAGGCGATGAATGTAGAAGATGTGTGTATGTTCATCATACGAAAGAACAATATATCGAGGCTTCATTTTCGATCCAACAACAGTTACACCGCGTTCTTCCTCAACACCAAGGTAGGAGATAGCTTTCTCATTTCCAGCTTGGTTATCAGCCGACCTGGCGAGGTTTACAGCCTGAATAATTTCTGCTGCGATAGCGTCTCCTGAAAGATCCTCCATTGTAAGATTCGTTTGGAGAAATAACTGAAGTAAATAAATCTAATAGGAAAAAATTATAGAAACACTAGCAAATGTGACGATGATAATGATAATTTACCTCACAAATTTAAGAATCGACTTGACACGAGCAATGATAGAAAGAATTAGCCAAAATAACCACGCATACGAGTCAATGCCTTATCTTCCAATGCTACTGTTCAGTTCTTTTATAAAAAAAGAAAAAAGTTTCCGGCAATGGAAAACGTGGCCCAATTCAGAAAATTGGTAATATGTGTATGAATTAGAAGGTCCTAGGCCCAAGAGACAGGAAAGTACAGAATTGTCTCAGGAAGCCTCATAACATACAATAGTTGAAGATTTTAAATGAAATAATTATTGTTAAAATAATAAATAATTTTTATTTGACTGAGCTTAATTATCTTATGGTTACGCAAACCCAACGTACAATTTCAAGGAATTCAAGAAGTCCATGAGCAGGGAAAAGTTTTAAATTGGCTAATTTTTTTTTGGATGTGAAAAAGGAGATTGAGACAGTCAATACAGAGGAGATGGATGCATATCTGTTAAGGCAGTAAACTTCATAACAAATACTCAACAGTGATCTTTGAACAGTCCTAAGAACAAGAGTGTAGAATGTATTAGTTATGGTTCTCGTCATCTATAATATGATAATTAGCTACAGTTTGATATGTTTGACTTTACTGGTATATTCATGGATAAACAAAGTATTTTTGGGAACAAGCCATGTTCCGTTGTCAGACTCTACCGATAAGATTTACTATTGATTTAAATAAAAATGAATTCAAGAAAAATTACATCCAAAAAGCGACTATTAAATGTAAGAGAATTTACTATTTATTAATGCAGCGCAAGAAAACAACGACAAGGTAACAGTGTTACTGTGGCTTCCAGTTGTAGGAGCAAGAAGCACAGGACACCTACCATCAGCATAACTTCGTAAACTGATGAAGGAACACAAAAAATAACTGTGAAACTTGTTGAGTTATCTTCTTTTCTCAATTATCTCTTTACGACCCTTCGTATCCCCTCTTAGGAAAATCAGACTGCTTTGTGAATAGCAGCTAAACGTGCCAATTGTAAAATAACGCTTTCGGAACTACTTTTTCTTTTTTTTTGATTTTTGTATTACTACTTCCTTATCACTTTTAAAAGGTGAACTGTGATTGCGGCTGCATCATTCTTCAAATTGGTTAAAACGAAGTTAATAAGAAGCTTTTAGCAAGATTGCAAGTGCCTTATTGTGATTAAGTCCGTATTATTACTTCCTTTTTGAAAAAGACCCTTGATTTTGTGTACTAGTTGGTTTGCATCATTATTTACATATTCCAGTCACAGGAAATAGACGAGAAATCAATACGAATATTATTACAGGATTCTTATCTGCAGCTTAGTTAATTTTGCACCCGGCACTTTAACGAAGTTTAGTTTTGTGGTTTTGAGCTTTTACGTACTGTTTCCAGAAATTAGACCTCTTTTGCCGTTTACGAGATTTCCCTAAAGTTTGCCTTCCTATAGAAACCCCCGAAATTTATTTTCCGCTTGACTGTTTACTTTTTCTTTTTGCGTTTGAACTTTTAGTACGCCTTATTAATCTCACCATATTCCGGGCATTGCATTAGCATATAATACGCCGTCATGAACAAGCCAGCTGTCATTTTTTTCTCCATTTTGTCCCTGATTATCGTCTTCACGCTCCATCTTTTCTGGGGACCCATCAAATTATTTTTTATAGACTACCGAACAGACATTTTGCAAGCAAGCGACTTGCCAGATGATTTCAGTTATTCTCCCAATCACAATACGACAGAAAGTATTCCTCGTGTAATTCATCAGACTTGGAAAACCGAGGATATTCCAGGGAAGTGGAAGGATGCCCAACAAAGCTGTATTAAGTTGCATCCCAATTATGAATATAAACTTTGGACTGATGAGGCTATGCGAGAATTTGTGAAAGAAAACTATCCCTGGTTTCTTCCACAATACGATGCGTATCCATTTAACATAGAACGCGCTGATGTCGTTCGCTACTTTATTCTATACCATTACGGTGGTATTTATCTAGATTTAGATGTGGGTTGTAACCGGTCGATGAACCCTTTACTGGAGTATCCCGCTTTTGTTCGAAAAACAAGCCCTAGCGGTATTAGCAATAATGTTATTGGAATTAGAAAAAAGCATCCTTTTCTGCTTCAAGTCATTCGCTCTCTACCGTCGTATGCCTTCAATTATCATTTCCCTTACTTGACGGTAATGTATTCAACAGGCCCGCTATTCTTTTCTATTATTTGGAGGGCCTGGCGAAGTCTCCCCATGGCTGAAGCTTGGCACCACATTTCTGTCTTGAACTCTGATTTATATACTGGTTCTAATCACTCGTTTTTTAACATATATGAAGGTTCATCCTGGCATGATAATGATGCCGGGCTTGTCTTTTATTTACTCAGACATTGGTTATTATTGACTATATTAGGCTTCATGTTGTTTTTCTTCATCGTTTTCTTGTTCTTTGGATCTTCTTTAAAGCCTGCTGCTAGAGTCTCTCGATCAAGCAGGAGAGCGTTTGGCAGTCCCTTTTCAAGCAAATCATCATCTCCTTGGAGAAAATTCAAACAATATGTTTCCACCGATGAAAGTAGCGATCAGCAGAATTCTGATGCTATTCCTTTTATGGCTGAGATTGATCTTGAATCTCAAACGAGACCAAAAAGCCGCTAGAGATTTTATTTTGCTACCAATGCCGTTACTGTTGTTATCATTTTGAAACTACTCTTGCATACTTCTTATATTTGTAAACCAACACTTTCGTTTCTCATTCATTTTTAATTTAGTTATCTTTGACATATCTTAATAATAATTATATAAATTGCTCAAAGGTACTTAAAAGTCATAAAGAAAAGCGTTCATTCACTCTACCAATATCTTTAATAAGTAGTTCCCATCTAATTGATCTAATAACGTTGTCCTTTATTGATAAATATGAATTGTAACGAACCTCAATCTGATTAGTATTTTTAAGAAGAGTTACTTCTATTATTTTATTCTTTATATAAACAATTATACAGTCTTTATGCCATGTAGAAACCTTTACCACCGCAGTCCTTGAATAGAATCGAATAGTGAGTTCCAATGATAGTCATTGTTGAAAATTTATTAGTGCTATTGTTTCATGGTCTTCCATTCTATACTTTTACAAGTTCTTTCTTCTTTCATTTCGTTCTTAAACGTTATCCCGTTTAAGAATTCAATCAATTTGCGACAATTGGTTCATATAATAGTCGCTTTCTTTCTCAGAATTACAGAAAGTTTATAAAAGACTGAAGAAGACGTGGTAATTGAGAGGATATCTTAATTTTTTTAAAAGGAACGTATTTGCTAAGCTGAGGAACTTTGTCCTTACCAATATAAACAGATTTGTGCTGATTGGTAAAAAAGGCTGCTTTGTTTACACCACATTGTATTTGTTGAATCTGAGCGTTGATTTCTACTTTACAACACAAACAAAACCAATCTCTTAATTAAAAGTAGACAATTAAAGTTGGAGAAATCTCTCAAGAACAATCCTAGAAACGATTTATTTTATTTGCTTTTCCTCGAGGCATCCAAGAATTGATAATTCTTTCTTCTTTCTTTGTGATCTGAAACCTTGATCATTCCGAAAAATAACCATCTGGAAAAGGTTGTTATATTTCATTTCTTTTAAATTGTTCTAAATCTTTTAGTTTCATACCCAAACTTCAGGATTCCGGTATGACCAAGGCTGTGGAAGGTTATCGGAAAGAAAATGAGGGTTTCGCTGATTCTAGTGCAGAAAAAGAAGAGTGCAAATACTCTATCCGCCTTACCAACTTTGTAGGCCCTAATACCCATTCTTTTTCGTTTGATCCACTAGTCCGATATTGGGATAAAAAAAGTGATTGTCTACCTATCTATATTGGAAGATACACCGAGAGATTCAATGGAGGCGATGTATCTGCCATAGTCTTTCGTTCCAAAGTTGTGAGCCGTAAGCATGCTCAAATATATCATGAGAATAATACTTGGTACATTCAAGATATGGGGTCAAGTTCCGGAACATTCCTTAATCACGTTCGATTGTCTCCTCCCTCTAAGACTAGTAAGCCTTATCCCATTTCTAATAATGATATTTTACAGCTTGGAGCCGACTATCGTGGCGGTTATGAAATGCATTATCGCTGTGTCCGTGCTCGAGTCGAACTCAACAATTCTTGGAAAATAAGAATCAATCCTTACAATTTGAATGAATTCCGTCGTGTGCAAGAATTAGCTGTATCTGGTTCTACGGATAATAGTCCTCCTGAGTGTTGCATATGTTTAATGCCTGTTTTACCTTGTCAAGCGCTCTTCTTTGCTCCATGTTCCCACACTTATCATTATAAATGCATACGTCCAACTTTGGCCGAAAGTCATCCATACTTTAGTTGTTTCATATGTAGGAAATACCACGATCTAGAAGCACCAGTGGAAGAGGCTGACGAATGTTTGAATGACCTCCTGTTACATACCACCGTTAAAGAGTAAGTATTTATTCTTTTTACTTTGAAGTTTCCCAAAGCATAAATTATTTGAAGCATTCACTTTACATCCTTAATGATGACGACTAAACTATTCATGAACTGTAATGCAATTGTTTTTATTTTCGGCTTAATCTTCGTGCGCTTTGTTACTTTTTGTTCATTATTTTATTTCTTCTAATCGACTTTTTTCAATCATTGATGGGGGTTATTATCTTTTAATCTACGTTCTTTAGCAGACTGATCAAGATAATTACAGTATTACACGGCTTCTCGCCATTTTCCCGTGTCAAAATGATTTTTGTTTAATTAGCTATCCCTCAACAAATGACTTTGGCGATCATCAAGTTTCCGGTATCAATTTGATGACTTTCCAAGAGTTCAGCACGCTTCTTCCGCTAGTCCGACCTAGCCCAATATTTTTCTGCTTTGTTTCGGCATATTCGTATGTCAATGGGATATTCTGCACTGCATTCATAATTCCATTGGTCCCCAGTTTATAACAAATACATGACGACGTAGTTTAGATTTTATGTAGTAAAAAAATAAAGAATCAACCATTCGAAACTAACTAGAAAAAGGAGTGTAGTTTCGTCGTAAAATTGCTTCGTGTTTAGCTTTGGCGATGTCCTTCTGTTTCTCTGTAACATAATTCCTTCATAACCTCTTGAACATTTAGTTTAAGTTCTTCTTTCGACAAAATATTATTCTTTATATTCTCCATCGTGTTTTCATAAAGCGACGTCCTAAATTCAATTAATAATTTGAAACCATATACGAATTGATCTTCTTACCGGTCAACAGCACCCGCAATCAAAGGTGCCGTTCGAAAATGATCCTTCAATTTTAAAGACGGATCTTTGTCGAGTTCCATTTCAGCAATTGTTCTAATTTGTTCAGCGAATCCTTCCGATTCCTATATAAACGTTGTTAGACAATATGATGACTTACTACCCTTAAAAAGAAAGGGATTGCTTATCCAGATTCAATATTCGTTTCACCAATATCGTGAAAAGCATATTGATGGCTTTTGGTACTGCATACCTTTTCTTTGAATGTTTCAAGGACGAATTTTCGTAAACGGTCGAAATGGCCTTCTCTTTTGAATCTAGTAACTAATTCATCTACATTTACAGTTTTATTTGATTCCATTCTTTCTACTCGTTTTTTACTTATGCATTCTTCCACGAAGTCGGTTCTTGGTGAGGGCCGACATTCTCATGGCTTTCTGGTAATGAAATTCGAATTCCTACAGAGCTTCAATTTCATATACGTAAAAAAAAACAAGAAAAAACATATAAGTACATAGTCAGCTGTCCATTATTTCATTAACAACCCGCTTGTTCAGAACCCGTAACAACTGACATTCAAAAGTTCCTAATAAGCAAATACTGTAAGTACAAAGAGGGAGATTTCTTTTTTTATATAAATAAACATGAAACAGTACCCGAGTAAGATAATACTCACTTCAGTCAAACGGGTATATTTAAATGTTAAAACCAAGGGAAACAATCCATAGAACTTAGTTGAACTACTCAATTAGTTTATGAAGAAATCCATTCGCAAGGTTTATTCTTTATGTTTTTTAAAATGGCGGCTACAGAATATGCTATGGGCAAACAAACGACTCTGTTCCAATGATTTCAATCAGGACATTCAATTGAAATCAAATAAAGACTAACAAAAAGCAATAACAACTATAGTTAGCTATAGGCGACAAGTTATAATGTCCTTTCTCTTAGTACAGTAAGGACAGGCGTCACCATAGACGATTAGTGCCAATATTGTTTATTTATCTCTTTATTTTTTTTGAGCTCTAATGTATTAATCTGTTATTGAATGTAAAGTGATATACATTATGTTTAACCACATCCTTATCTCGTCTTCAATAACTATGCCTAAGAAGCATTTACCAAGCGCCACACTGGTACCATCGTTTCATTCACAAGAAAATACAATTGAGTGACTATATAAAGCTAGACGTATTGACTTTCCTTAATCACTAGTGTCTACTCAATTTAATAGAACATATTTTGAAGATGAAACGATATTTGGGCTTGCTTTTACTAGCTACTATGAGTGTAGCAGCCATGGCGGAGGTAAGTAGTTAATTCTCTGTTGTTCTTAAAAAGTTCTATATCAAGTACTTTGGGAAACTCTATATTTATGTATCTTTTCTGCTCTATAAGGTTATTTAGTGATTCCTGGCTTTGCCTTTGGAATAATACAAAATGACTTATTTCACCCGAAAGTTACATGTCTACTACTAGTTTTAATACGCTTTTTGTATGTCTATCGGTCTAACTGATGCTGTAGAGTACCCCCTCAAATGTTTTACTAAGGAGAGAAGCAATTGAGAACGTGGATATTTCGGAGGCTTCTTCTCAGAATAATTTTACGAGAAGTTTGTTTTTCGCCATCTCTATGATTTTTGGCTGCGAACTTGGGGATAAGACATTCATTGTGGCAGCCCTTCTTTCTTTCGAAAATTCAAGAGGCATGGTATTCCTTGGATCTTTTAGTGCCTTATTTTGCATGACTTTGCTCGGTGTCCTCTTAGGACATGCTGCTCCTATGCTTTTCCCTAAACAATTCACGGATCTTTTAGGAGGATTGCTTTTTGTAATCTTTGGTGTCAAAATGATCCGTGAAGGTATTGAGGCTATGAATGCTCACGAATCCATTGATGAAGAATTTAAACGTGTAGAAGATGAAATCAATACTGCTAAGCCAGTTGAGGAGCTCATGGAAGAAGGTGTGGTTTCTAAAGAACATATTCAAAAGTCCGAGAAAGATAGCATCGATTTTTTCGATTCAACTATAGATGGATTAAAAAATCTCTTCGGTTTTTTGTTGTCCCCCTTGTTTGTAAAGGCATTCGTTTTAACGTTTGTGAGCGAATGGGGTGATCGCTCTCAAATTGCAACCATTGCTATGGCTGCTAGTGACAACATGTTTGGTGTATTTCTAGGAGCTAGTTTAGGTCATGGCTTTTGCACGGGTTTAGCCGTACTCTCTGGGAAATATCTTGCTACCAAAATCCAAATGCACAAAGTATTACTATCTGGAGGCTGCCTTTTTATTGTCTTTGGTTTGGTATACTTTTATCAAGGGTTCTCTTAAAACTTGGGTTTTCCGAATACATTATAGACGAAACAATTTACGGAAATGGAGGAATTGCTCCACGATATTTGACATACTCTGTCGTTGTTTATGGTATGAAGATAGAAGGAGGATGGAATCACATAATATTTTAACTAATATACTAAAACATATATCTGATACATTCTTTGACTTTTATACGAATTATCCTATGAATAAATAAAAGACAACATATACTTCATAAAATCAGTGCAAGCTTGTAGAGGTGTCTGTTATATTCTAATAAAGATGAACAAAACCATTCCACTGAAAGAAAGCATAAGTCTAAGATACCGGAAGTCTTTGGTTTTGCAATTCGTTTAATTGGTGTTTGTATGTATCAATTGTCTTTTTTACACGTTGTAAAGCCAGCTCCATCTTGTCCGCTTCATCTTGTTCCAATTGCTGAGAGAACGGATGATCTGGTTCTGACTCAACAGCTAATCCGTGACCGTCTCCGATGGGATTCTCAGAAAAGAGCTTGTATGTATATTCAAAAGGTTCATTAAACACAATTTCCTCATATTGTACAGATTCTACTAAGCCGCCAGCAGCTTTTTCCTCTTCCATGCGAGGACCAGAAGGATGAAGTTTTAGACGGTGATAAAAGGTAAGTGATTTCTCATGGGTTTCTGGCATAAAAAATATACGAATCATGATATCAAATTCTCCCCAACCTGTTTCAATGACTTCGAATGGTAATGACTCTATACTTCGCGTAGAGTTGTTGTAGGTATCATGGAGTTTGAAAACGACCTTTTTCACCCATTTCGAGATATCTTCTCCATCAACACCTTCCACAAAGATTCTCCAGGTATGTGTGTGGTCCGTAGGAGCATGAGCTCGTTCCTCTGGTGTCAGTGGTTTTGCATCGTTTCCGATCAGAATAGGGCGCGAAATTTGGCATTTACTGACACGAGTTCCTGGCGCCATTCTTCTTCAGAAAAAACTTAGAATAAATAAATATAATGTACTTCAGTATATTGGTCAATCAAAGGACAAGACTGAGATTGGTAACGAAATATCCTTTCCTTCTATGATCCAAAACTTTCTTTTTTAACAATATAAAACCTGCTATTTCTTAAGGAATGATAATAAAAACGAAAAAATATCAGAAAGCACACGCAATGTCAAAGACGATCAATTTCTTCAAAATTCCAGGTGTTGAACTTTGTAGTACTTCGCACTTAATGAAATACCGTAAAGCTACGTTGCGTAGCTCAGTATATATCACTATCCGGTAAACAATTGCCCCAAGAGAAAGTGTGTATTTTTAAGAAATGCAGTTTACTTAACATAACTAAATTGCGCTTGTTCAATATTAAACCCATATTGATCGAACGTACTCGTTGTGCGGTCTAGAGAATCCAATTGACTACAAACATCTAGCTCGATTCCATCGCTAGCTCTTTAAGGACACAATCATTTCCAACTCAACTGGCGACATAAATAATATGTTTCAGTGTTTTTTAACAACGAGCCTGCATGAACATACATCAAATAACAAAAGTTTTTCTGTTTACTCGCTTAAAATAACGTTATATGGTAACGATCAAACCAATCATCAAACATCAAATTCGATTTCTCGATCACCTTGTCATCTATTTTACACCTTGTGATAGTTTCGTTTGACCAGAACCATACTCATCGGAGAAAATTAACAAAAAAGGGAAAGCAGTGAAGCGAGCTTTCTTTTTTTTTTTTTTTTTAACAATCAGAATTTTGTTTGAAGTCTTCACTTGGTTCCCATAAGACTTTATTTTCCATCGTCCAGATTGTCGGCGGAAAACTCATTATCGATAAAACTTTTGGAAGTGTGTTTAATAATCTGACTGCGAATATGATATTGAACAAATTGGTTCGCGCCCAGGCGTCCTTGGCTGCTACAAGACGTGCCGCTTTCAACACTCGAACCTTTAAGACATCTGCTTCAGTTCTCGATGAAAATAAGCTTAACAAGTTTAGTGGAACGATTACCGGTCCCAAGTCTCAGGGTGCTTCCCAAGCCATGTTATATGCTACCGGTTTGACTGAGGAAAACATTCAAAATCCCCAAGTTGGTATTGCTAGCTGCTGGTACGAGGGTAACCCTTGTAATATGCATTTATTGGATCTTGGCCGTAGAGTGAAAAAGGGTGTCCAAAGGGCCGGCCTTACTGGCTTTCAATTCAATACTATTGGTATAAGTGATGGTATTTCCATGGGTACTAGTGGTATGCGTTATAGTTTGCAATCTCGTGAAATTATCGCCGATTCCATTGAAAGTGTTATGCAAGGTCAGTGGTACGATGCCAATGTGTCTATTCCAGGTTGTGACAAGAATATGCCTGGTTGCTTGATTGCCATGGGCCGTGTCAATCGTCCTAGTATTATGGTATATGGTGGCACCATTCTTCCTGGTCATTCTTCCTGTATGAACAACGCTCCCATTGATTTGGTTTCCGCCTTCCAATCCTATGGTCAGTACATTACTGGTCAAATTAACGAAGAAACTCGTCACGATATCATCCGTCATGCTTGTCCTGGAGGCGGTGCCTGTGGTGGTATGTACACTGCTAATACTATAGCAAGCTGTGCCGAGGTCATTGGTATGACTTTGCCCGGTTCTTCCTCTTTCCCTGCTGGAACCCCCGAAAAGTTTGCTGAATGTGACGCTGTTGGCGACGCCATTAAGCGCCTTTTGGTTGAGGATATTAGACCAAGTGACATTATGACTAGAAAGGCTTTCGAAAATGCAATGATATTGACCATGGCTTTGGGTGGTTCTACCAACGTTGTTTTACATTTGGTTGCTATCGCCAAGTCCGTAGGTATCACTTTGACTTTGGACGATTTCCAAGCTGTCAGCAACCGTACACCATGCATTGCTGACATGAAGCCTAGTGGTAAGTATGTTATGGCAGACTTGTTTAAGATTGGCGGTATACCCGCTGTCCTTAAGTATCTTCATGCTGAAGGTCTTATTGATGGCTCCACTATGACTGTTACTGGTAAGACTCTTGCCGAAAACTTGCGTGAGGCCAAGCCTTTGAAGGAAGGCCAACAAATCATCAAGCCTATAAGCGCTCCTTTGAAGACCGAAGGTCATTTGCGTATTCTCCGTGGTAGTTTGGCACCCGAAGGATCTGTAGCTAAGATCACCGGCAAAGAAGGATTAGAATTCCGTGGCAAGGCTCGTGTGTTCGATGCCGAAGCTGATTTTATCAGCGCTTTGGAACGCGGTGAATTTAAGAAGGGTGAAAAGACTGTAGTCGTTATTCGTTTCGAAGGTCCTAAGGGTGGCCCTGGTATGCCTGAAATGTTGAAGCCATCTAGTGCTATCATGGGTGCTGGACTTGGTAAGGATGTTGCTCTTCTTACTGATGGTCGTTTCAGCGGCGGTTCTCACGGATTTTTGATTGGTCATGTTGATCCCGAAGCTCAAGCTGGTGGTCCCATTGCTCTCGTTAAGGACGGTGACATTATCGAAATTAATGCCATCAAGAACACCTTGGACTTGTTGGTTGATGAGCAAGAAATGGCTTGTCGCCGTCAAGCTTGGAGAGCACCTCCTTTTAAGTACCAGCAAGGTACTTTATTGAAGTATTGCCGCAATGTCAGTACCGCTTCTAAGGGTGCTGTCACCGACTCTATTGAGTAAGGTGTTGTTGCCCTTCGAATATACTACCTGTAAAGTTGCTTGAACAATATTTAAAGGAAAAAAGGGACTAATAATTTCTGTTTTGGATACTTAATATAATGTAAATTTCATTTAATCAAAAAGTCTATAGGTAAACGTGATTAAGGGTACATAGAGAAGAACAAAGAAAGAGAAGTAGAAAGCAGGTATACAAAAGCGAGAACATACAAGGTATAAATCATACATACTTAACCAACAGGACTGGCTTCAGACTTTATCTGAGATAAACTAGATGGCGTAGAAACATCGGCTCTATGCTTGAAAATTTCAAGAAACAGTTTAGGATCAATGGAATGTCTAGAATGGTAAAAGTAGTTTTCATAAACAGGAGGTGGTGCTGAAGCATTCTTAAAAAAACATATATCAAAAAACTCTTGGAGGATGGGCCGAGCAATATCGACATCATCAGAACCGTCGTAAGTAACGTGAAAAACGATTCCTTTCCACGTTGACTTTTGAAGAACGTTGGCGACAGCCACCGTGAAGTCACCAACCTCATAAATTGCTCCCTCTATGTTGAACGTTTGCCGAAACGTCCACAGCTTTGTACGCAAGATGATGTCTTCTAATGTGGACTCTGCATCCACAGTGGTTGTCTCATCAACACAGGCATACATATAGGGATGGATATTTTGCTTTAACAATTCCAAACTCTTTGGGAAAAGGACGTTCCGATAAAGTTTATACTGAACGATCCATTTTTCTATCAGGGTTAGTCCATTTTCTTGAAAAAAGCTCGTAAATAATAAACATACTCATATATTGAGCCAAAAAAGACTTTACAAGATAATCTTGGGCTGGCCCCAAAAAGGTAGCCATAGAAGGGGTTGTATAATAAACAAGTCTGAATCATTAGTCAAAGCTCAAAGCAAAGAAAATGCTATTCTAAGAAAAATCCAAGGCATTTCACTCAGAAATCGCATGGAAACTGCGTACCCATGGACAGGCATTCTGAAAGTTCCGAGTAGATTGGACAAACAACCAAAAAGTGAAAAGAACAAGTAATAAAAAGAAAAATAAAGAAAAACTAAACCATTTAAAAATCAATCGACATAATACTACCACTATCGATTGTTTCTGTTCTAGGGAAATCACCGTGGTATTGTAACTTCTGACAGTGGTTCTTACTAAGATTATATTATTATGCTTTCTTAAAATACTATAGGTAAATGAATCTTCACTTATATTTCTTGTACAGCGTAAGCATAAGCTGAACCTGATCAGTTTTAATATAGTTCCCCTTTGTATTCATCCTACCGCTGTCCCTGTCTCAAGAATCCATCGACTGTTAAAACAATTTCACTGCATGGTTTCAAAATGGTCTTTTACATGATCAATTTAATTTATAATTACAGCTAGAATCATATGAAACATATTTTTATATTTTCGTTCTGAGCTTAACTACTATTTCAGCAAAAAAACACAAGTTTCTATGAAATACATATCTTCTGAATTACCATAGGTCTACGAGGGCAAAAAAGCAAGCTCGTTTACCTACAAGATATTCAGATCTTTTATTCTAAGACCACAGGTAGAGACAATTGTCTGTAGATATTGAAAGACATTCATCTACAATAGTGGTCTATGGAGTACTGAAGAAGTAGAAAGAGAACGATCCGACTTATATAGGTTGTCTCAAAACTCAAATGTCGGATATGAAAGAATGTAAATGTTCCAACATTTGTATTTGTTTTTTATTTCTATAGCTTATGTATTTAACTACGCGGTACATCCCGCTTGCAGTACTACGTCTGCTATGCTCAACTACCCATCAAAGAGCCCTAATTTGTCAATTCCATTCCAGTCCCTTCATTACTGCTTTCACCATGTCATTTCGAATGCAAGATGTAGATGCTGTAACGGAGCCCGTCCTTACACAACAAGATTTGTTTACTCCTCGTCCAGAATCTTCGGAACAGGTGCAAGCCGCTATTTCTCAGTTAGTCCCGCAAGCTCGATCCACGATCCAAGCGTAAGTCACCATTCTAGGTGTTTTTATCCTTTCTAATACAAATTGGTTTAGTGGAAATGCCACAGAAGGGTTACGACTCTTGCTTTCTTATGTACCTTATGGAGATGATGTTCAGGAAGCTAGAGTAAGTGAAGTTTATTAAGGATGAAGAGAGATGAAAGTGAATTATGGCAGTTGGCTTCATGGTTATTAGCAATCCGTTTCAAATAGGTCGCTGGAAACTATGGCTGTCATGAACATGTATCCGAAATCCGTGAATTCAGTGTCCATAAGAATGGATCGTATTATACTTTAGTATTTTTTTGTGAATAGGTGTACTAATTTGACTCTAGCAACAATATTTATCTGCCTTTGTTGACTTGTTAAGCTACATCAGGTCCACGGATATTGTTGGATTTTTAAAGCAATGCAGCACCGAGGATTCAGATAATATTATGAATTTCATTTATCGCGCACTCGCGAATCCTCAAGCTTATAATTCTTCTGTTTTATTAAACTGGCACGAAAAGGTATGCTTTGTTCTATGACGTTTCAATAGTAATGAACATAAACTGACTATTATAATAGATTGTTCAAGTCAATGGAATTGGATGTATCACCCGTGTGTTGAACAGCAGACCGGACATGTAATGCAAATGAACTCAAGCCTTGGATAGAACATAAAAAATGTTTAACGAAACCTGGCACTCTTCTGTATCACACTCATTTCAAAGTGACCATGGATTTTCTATCGGGTACCTTCTTTGATTATTCCTTATGACTACTATGATTGTTTGGTTAGCCTCGGTAGCGGGCCAAAATTTTCTGAATTCTGTGTTAGCAAAAGTATGCTCCCTTGCTAGTATTTTTTTTTTTTCTTTTAGGTATGGACGTTATTTGTTGATAGAAGAACTATGAATGATTCTTTTTTTGTCACTTACCCGTTTGACATTTTGAATATGAATCGGCTGGATTTTCTTTTCGCCGGTTCGTTCTGCCTCAATGTTGGCCTCTTTTAAGAGTGTTTGTAAGAAAAGGCAATAGTCTAAGTAAATCTACAAAACGTCAATTGTTAAAACCATGAATCCTTAAAACAATCAGACGAGTCAGATAATTTCTCACTTGTCTCCAGTTTACTCTTCGTTCAACCTTAGTTCCTTACCAGATCTACAGCGGAGTCATCAATGGGTCTTCCCGCATGTTGTCGAAGCATACGCTTCATTCTTGGCTTAGGATAGCTCATTGCAATTGACAGATATTCTTTAGATATTCCTTAATGTTTGTTAACACTATTTCGTTCGTAGCACTTGTAAGGTAATGGAAAAGCCTTACGAAAGCTAGTTATTTCAATAACTTTCTATCAAGTTATTTATCCATAGACTCTTCGTTCAAAAGCTTTTTATGTTTCAATCTTAACATATATTAGTCGGCTTTATATAGCAAGGATTAGCCTATAATTATAAAATAGATTCTACGGTATTTTTTTTATTGTTTATTATGAGATCCTTGGCTAGTGAATTCTTGTATAAAGTGGTTTTAACAGGTTCCTTAAGAATCGGTGCGTGTGTTTGCTGGGTGCTATAAGTAGTAGAAAAAACAAAGATATGGATTGAAGGAGTAGAATATCATATGTTTCAAAATTAGAGAGATTACAGTCTTATTTGTTTTACTATACCGTTTTAGCTACAAGGACAAGGCGTAAAGGAGAGTAAGTAAGGAAGTTTCTCGCTTGGTTTATTGTCAAATGATATACAAGGGTTCCTGTGCTTACCATCTTGAAACTATAGTAGTACAAAGGACCGAATTTGGTCTTTCATTAATTAATATTGTATGTGAATGAAAGTGCTTCATATAGAAAGCAGGGCAACAAACCCCGTTAATGTACTCTCTATATGAAATGATTAGAAAAGCTGGAGAAGCTGCTTTTTAGAGAAAGTGTAAGGATTCATAAAACTATGCTATGGACTGTCATTCCTATGATTCCTTGCAGGTTGCCGGTAAAAAGGGCGGCATTAATTTTGAGTCAAAAATCTGTCACATTCTTTTGATCCCATTCCCAGTTTTTATGTTACTTTTCATTCTTAGTGAAGCAGTTACATAGACTATAATCTTGTAAAGCAGCAATTTGCCATATAAATTACCAAAAATAGTTCCTTATGAGTAAACTCTTTACCAACCACACTTGCACCAAAAATATAGAACTTTCAAGTTTGAATTCTCCTTTAAGCTTTGTTTTTGAAAGTTTTAACTCTGAGAAAAAAAAATATTCAATCTCGCAAATTTTCCCTGCTAGTTAAAGTATTGTCAGACAAAGGAAGTAGGTAAATTGGTTATAAATTTCCGTACATCCTTTGGGCATCTCTTCCTTCAATTCTTTCTTTACAGAAGCTCTTTTTACCCCTATCCTTGTACAAAAAATCATTTACATTCTTCATGACTGAAGTCGAACCTGCTCATGAGGAAGAAACAAAGCCTTCCGTTCCCTCTAATGCTGCAGAAGAGTCTCCTACAAGTGCTGCTTCTACAGCAGCCGCTGCTGCTGCTGCTTCTTGGAAAAGCCGATTTCCTGTAGCCCGTATAAAAAAGATCATGCAAGCTGATCAGGATGTTGGTAAGGTAGCTCAAGTTACCCCCGTCATCATGTCTAAAGCATTAGAAATGTTTATGCAAAGCATAATAAATGAGTCTTGTCAACAAGCTCGTTTACACCAGGCAAAACGTGTAACCGTTTCTCATCTAAAACATGCCGTGAAAAGTGTTGAACAATTTGATTTCTTACAAGACATCGTAGAAAAAATACCTGATGCTCCTCCTATTAAAGCCGAACGAAAACCAAAAAGACCCCGTACTCGTCGTACACCCCAGAATCCTGAGAACACTGAAAATACTCGTCAAGCCTCAAAGAAATCAAAGACGAAGGAGTCGAAGAAGGCCGCTGAGTCGGTCAAAGAAGAAGAGGAGGAGCAAGAACCCGAACCAGAACAGGAACAGGAACCAGAAGAAGCAACAGTTGAATCAGAAGGCGTAAGTGAAACTGTCAAAAAGGAAGAATCAGCTGAAGCAGATGCTGCTTCTGAAAAAACCGCTAGTGAAAATTCAAATTCTTCTGGTGAAACGTAGGTATCAAATAGCTCTATAAGCTTTTTGAAAACTGGACATTGTTGCATGGTAATTTATATGTTTTGGATCGCTTATTTCTCTAGTTAATCCGGTCGTTAGTCTGGCTTTACCCCTTTCTGTCATTGAATGTTAGACTATACTATTTAATTTTGCACTCAATACTCGGAGTCGACTACAATTTTTGTTTCTTATATGCATTCTATAATGATAGGAATTCTCATAAGAAGGAGGTTTTGCAATGATAAAATTAGACGACGAATAATCATAATAGTTAAAATGATAGCACTATAATCTTCACGGAAAGTTGATGACCGTCAGTTTAATAAAAGATATTCAAAAAACTCCTGAATAAGAGTTGTATAAGGAGTAAACCCAACCCAAAAGCGTCTAAAAATAAAAGCTCGTTGATTTTTTGCAAAGGCAGCGTATGTGAAGTTAAAAAGAAAAAGTATTTCTGCAAATAGTAATGAACGAACATCTTAAAATGCACTACTGAAATAAATCACACGGCATCAAGTTTATCAACGATTGACATAAACAATTTCCAAAAAGCAGCAACATCAGCACTAAGGACTACATGAACATTTGGAAAATACTGAGTTTGCTGCGACCAAACATCGCACACTGTTCGACCAAGAGTCAGATGGTCGAGACTGACAGTGGCATACATTAGTCGTGAGGCCATAAGTTCAGGCCATAATGCGTAAACAATTGCACAGGCATCATGCACAGGTACACCGTTTTTAAAACCATATACAGTTTCATATGTAGCCTGAAAGACGGTCATAAGTTCGAGTATGGTTTTCGTGACTGGACTTCCGCGCTGCTGTAACTTTGTTATGATTGAAGAATCCATCAGAACGCTATGTGTTACGTCTAATGGAATCATATAAAGTTTTCCAGCAAGTGAAGGAGTTTCAAGGACAAGTTTGGCAGCCTCTGGGTCAGCAAACATATTGAATTCAGCTTGTGAAGTGATGTTACCGATTCCCGTGCTACCACCCATAAAGACAAGTCGCTCAATGTTTTCGGTGACTTTAGGGTAAGTGGCTACCAACAAAGCTACGTTCGTTAAAGGGCCTGTCGCAACAAGAGTAATCGGGACCGGATTTTGAGAAATTGCTTGATGCATGCCTGTTACCGCATCGGGAACAGCTTGTTTCTTCGGTTGATCTGGTAAAAGAGAAATGCCAGCCAGTCCATTAACACCGTGGATGTGAGTAGCCAGTTTAGATGGTCTCATTAACGGTTTTGCAGCACCCGAATGAACATCAACGTTTTTTTTTAACAGCTCCATCACTGAAAGAGCATTGTGAGTTGCGTTTTGAACAGTCGTGTTGCCGTGCACAGTGCTCAATCCAAGAATGTTGCAATGATCCGCAGATGCAGCAATCATTAAAGCAACCACATCGTCGTGTCCTGGATCGCAATCTATCCATACATCGACCGTTTTTCTTTTGCTATCGTTCATAAGACAGTTACGAGGTACTGTCATTTCGTAAACAAATACTGCAATTGATGTCCACTCGACCTCTCGTAGAAACGAAATTTCTTCTATTTATTAAATGTCCTTTTTTTTTAATTAATCCTTCATTTATAGCTACAGGTATGGGTTCTCGTTAATGCAGAGCTCCTCCTTGACGAGACGAAAGATAAAGCAGTAACTTAGCGAAGAATTACGCGTTTCGAAATTCTCGTTAAACATACTTAAACCTGTATGGAATAGCTTGTTACGTTGTGTAGCGCACTCTTTATAAATGACAATAAACTAAATAAGCATCATGGAGGAGCAACGCTAAATGAAAGACAGAATTCATTTGTTATTGTCAAGAACTGAACACTTATCTTGACTTAGGACAAAGAATTTGTAATTTGTGGTCTTTCGCTTGCGGCTCTGCGTGATTCCTATTCAAATATTGATGTTAATTTTAGGTTAGTACTCACCTTGTAGGTTGTTCAGCAATATTTGATCTGCACAATGTCGAATACGTTCGCTACTCCAAAAGAACTTGTTGAAGAACTTTGTAGATTGCGTGATTTGAAAATAGGCATTTTTGGCGAGAAAAAACCTACCATACGCTCTGTCTCCTTTGCTGTTCCAGGTACAAAGTATGAACTGACGTCCTGGAGGGTTTGGGAACAGGCTTACCGTATCAATGTGTCCGACAGCAAGAAGACATACGACAGTGTAACTGGTCAAAAAAGACGTTTACCAACATGTGCTCGTGGTTTGTTCACCTATAAAGATCCGAACTCAGAAGAGCAAAAGATTGCTATTCGGGGTTACGACAAGTTTTTCAACATTGATGAAATTCCCCTTACTACTTGGAAATCTATGAAAGAACATACAAGGGGACCCTATGAGTTGACTGTCAAGGAAAATGGCTGTATCATATTTATCAGTGCTTTATCCAATGGCGAGCTCATCATTACCAGTAAACACTCTTTTGGAGCTGTTGAAGGCCAAAGCGTCTCCCATGCGTTAGCTGGAGAACGTTGGCTTGAAACCCATTTACAGAAAGTTGGTAAATCGAAGAAGGAACTTGCACAAGAACTTCTTAAGCGACAAGCTACGGCTGTGGCAGAGTTATGTGATGATGAGTTTGAAGAGCACATTCTTCCGTATCGAGCTGAGTATCGCGGTTTATACTTACATGGCCTAAACTTGAATGTTCCCGAATTTACCACGGCATCATCAGAAGATGTATCCACGTTCGCGAAAGTCTGGGGATTCTTAAAAACAGACTCATTTCACATTCAGAAATTTGAAGAGATGAAAAATTTTTTGGAGGAAACTGCAAAGACTGGAAAGTGGAATAATCGCAGTGTCGAGGGGTTTGTTGTACGCTGTCATTCTACTGTCCAAGCTAAAGAGCATAAGCCGACAAATGATTTCTTTTTCAAATACAAGTTTGATGAGCCATACGGCATGTTTCGACAATGGAGAGAGGTTACGAAGATGCTCATCCATGACAAACCTCTAAATTACGTTAAATACAAGAAAATTACAAATGAGTATGTGAACTTCTGTAGGAAAAAATTCCAAGAAAAACCCGAATTGAAAGTTCTTTATCTTAACAACAAAGGCATTATATCTTTGCGTGAAGAGTTCTTACTTCTCTCCAAGCTTGACGCTATGACTATTTCGGTCGAGTCGAGTAATGAAAAGCCCTACACACTGCTAGTACCTATTGCCACAATTGGTTGCGGGAAAACAACGGTCGCTAAGATTTTGGAAAGGCTATTCAACTGGCCAGTTGTTCAAAACGACAATATTCCTTCAGGTAAGGGAGGTCCCAAGAGATTTGCACATGCAATCGTCAATGAATTTCAAAATGGTCACTCTATTGTTTTCTCTGATCGAAATAACCATATTCCGAATATGAGAAGTGCTCTTCGAAATGATGTATCGAGTGAATTAGGCGGTGTTCGTTACATAGCTTTGCCTTTTCTACAAAACTCCAATACTCGTTCATTCGTACAAAAGCGTATAATAAATAGAGGTGATCGTCACCAGTCTATCAAAGTATCAGAGGGTGTGGAAAAGGTAGATGCTATTCTAAACATGTTTTACAAACAGTATCGACCATTTGATCCAGAGTTGTTTTCTCACGACCAAGGTTACGATGATGTCGTAGAATTAGACGCTCATGCTGGATCTCTGGAAAATGCTCGTCTCATAGTGGATTACATACGTGAACATATGCCCGATTTGGTGCCCCAGAATCCTAGTGAGGAAGAATATCAGCAAGCTTTGGAATATGCTGTTAATGAATATGTACCTACCTACACAAAAAACATGGGAGGGAGTTCGTTGAAAAAGAAAGAAAATTTCGATGGAATTAATTATTTTGGAGTCTGCTTTCCTTCAGAGAAAGTTAACAATGTTCTGAAGGAAATAATCAGTTCAAAAGGTATAAGCTGGAATGATATGTTTGCTTCATACACTCTTCAAGAATCTTTTCATGTTACAATGATTCACAATTCACAGATTGCATTCGGCCCCGAAACTGCTAACCTATGGCAGCAATACCTTAACCAACTTGAGAATAAACATGATGGTAACAATCAAGTGAACTTCACTATTAGAAACCTCGTATGGGACGGAAGAATAATGTGTTTTGCCGTTGACATCGACTCGAAGAGTGTCTGGTGTGGAAAAACTGTAAATCCTCAACTTCACATCACATTAGGTACCACATCGCCTTCTGTTAAAGCATATGACTCTAATTTAATGCTGGAGAGGCTAAGAGCAGGGAAAGCATCAGATGAACCAAAAATTCATGTACTTGATGTTGAACCTAAAGTCAATATCATGGGAACCTTGCAATCCGTCCCTAAGAAATAATGTATAGAGTTTAGAATTTTTAATGAAATTTTGGATATGGTTTTTTGGGAAATTTACGCGAATTGGTTAGAATTACATATTTTTATAACCACTCTATTCACTAAGAATAATGTACATGATGTTCCCAATATCACCCTGTTTTAGGTTATTTTCCAAGTCCAGCGTAAGTTATGATTTTTTTGGTTAAAGGATAGCAAGTTTTGGTTGGCTTTGCCAGGAGCAGCTAAAGAATCAGGAATAGAGGAAAGATACTCATTACGGAAGACACAGAAACTCCAATCCAAATTCCTGTTTACGTTAATTTGTTAAAAAGATCTAAAAATAAAAAGAATTCTTACCTTAGTAAATTATAGACACGGATGGTAACAGACGCGTCAATCAGACCTACAATTGAAACAGCCAAGATGTCAGATGTACTATTAGATATAGGTTTATAGGAGCATATATAAGGATCGACTGAGTAATCCTTTTGTATAGCGTCAGCATTCAAAAGCAATAAAGAAAACTGTTCTAAAATCTCGACAGATGTTTCTAAGGAGTCCATACTATCTATTTTTTTTAGAGAATTGATGGGGGGAGGGACTTTAACAGACGGATAAACTTTTTTTAAAGCATGCAAATGGTGCTGTATTAACGGTACGGGAAACGAGTTTTTGAGAGTGTTCATAAAAGATTCGTCTAAATATTCTGAAGAAATTCCCATGTAAAATGTCCACTGATTATTAAAACGACCAAGCGCGCTCTTAAGCCTTTCATATCCTTTTCGGTGCGATTGTAAAAAAGTAGTTTTCAGGTCATAAGAAGCATTCCATAAACAGTTAGTCGCTTTTGAAGAGGCCGGGTTAGCATCCAGACCTGTTTGAAGAAACGAGTCTTTAGTCAATGTGACGAGCAGTTTACCTATTCGATTTTGTTAGAATGTCTTCGTATTTAGTACAATATTTACCATTAACTATTGAAATTCGATCATCACAACCATAAGGCGCCTGAGAAATAACGTACGCTTTTCCTACATAGGTTAGACATTTAGGCTTTGCATTATCTAACCAAAGATCAATACCTGAATGCAGAAGATTACTATACAAATCCGGAAATAAGAGGATATCGGGGCTTCCGGTAAATTCGTAATACGAAAAGCTATCTACCAGATCAACAATTTTGTTTACAATAGGACCGCTTTCTTCATGTAGAGGAAGCAGTAATTCAACCTAACCGACATTAGTTTTTCACGAAGACGTGAGTCTTTTTACGTACAGATGTTTGGTAGCGCTGCTGATCTATTTGTTTCTCCAAGTAAGATACGTTGGTTATTTCATCTCCTGATTCTTCAGTAAATGTACAATCAGAAGAATTCACTTTCATGTTATCTATAACTTTGCAACCTCTTCACCTTCAAAACCACTCAATCCTAGAAAAAGGTACAGAGCAAGTCAGTTACTAGCCAGAACAGTAAAGGAGTAAGGGCGGAATGTAACGAATTTCAGATACTGTTCCTTGTCAGATTTAGAGAACAGTCTATTTAATGCTTTTAATTTTATTCAAAACTATATATATTTTTTAATTTTTTGAAGCTTATTGACAACTTTATTGTTGCATCCCCACAAATAAAATGCGATTTTAGACATTACTCAGAAGCTTTCTTTTTCTAGATATAGAAAGCAGATTGTTTAGTAATAAAATAGAAATTAGTGGTGCATTAATGTTTTTTATTCCGGGTTGGTGTTTGGATGCAGCGAAACATTTAATTGTGCTCACGTTGGTTGTTCCAAATATCCTATAAGTCCAGTCCTTCTTGCTTGCATCTTCCGATAAATTCCTGTCGAATGCTACGATCCATACAGACATCCAAAGCTGTATGACCTTCTTTGTCAGTGCGTAGAGTATCGGCATTAGACTTTATTAAATCAATAGCAATGTCTGGGTGACCCTCTGCTAAAGCAAAATGAAGAGCGGTAAAGCCAAACGAGTCAGAAGCATTCAACGGACATTTTTGAGAAAGAAGATATTTTACGACATTGGAGTTGCCTACTGCGGCTGCCCGGTGCAGCGGTTGTTGTCCTTGGAGATCCCTCGTTCTTATTAAGCGGGGGCTACGCTCGCAAAGCTTTTGAACAATATTAAGTCGACCTTTTCCAGAGGCATAATGAAGACACGTTTGTCCTCCGCGAGTAGTTGTCTCTATATTGACATCAGAGCGTTCCATAAGGGTCTCAATGAATGAATCAGGAATGGCCTTGTTGCAGATAGCAACCATGAGAGGAGTCCAACCAGCTTCGTCTTTTTCATCTGCTTTAATATCCACTTGTTTTAAAAGATATTCAGCTATGTCCAGTTTTCCCATAGAACAAGCCCAATGAAACGGCGTTCGTTTATCCTTTAATCAACCAGGTTAGCAATCTGATGAAATTTCAGTCGTATTGAAAGAACTAAATCAAATACAATTGGTATTATATCTATAAAATTCTCTTACCGCATCAGGAGTGTTCAAAGTATTACGATCTTCTGTAATTGTTCTTTGAACATATTCAATTCCGCAGTTTTCCTGTATCGCTTGTCCCAGACTTGCATACATTTTAGTTTAGATAAAAAAACAAGAAGATAATGAAAAAACTAATCTCAACCTTATATATGGGTTTGCTTGATAGATATTTATTGCTATGCGTTTCTTACACATAAATACTTTGACTTGACGTAGCAATTCTCTAATATATATAATAAGTATATGAGTATATCGCTTTGCACTAGTAATATCGTACAACATATGAAATACGTAAAACAATAAATCCGTTTGTTTTTTTTTTCATTATACAAAGAAAAGCAAAGAAAATTGCATAACTTTTATCGGATAGTATGTGAAGTATGATTCGAAGTGTAAACAAAAGGACGTATGTGTGCTCTCAACAATGATGGATATTCCGCCTAATAAATTCAAGAATCATGTTCAAACGTAAATACAACTAAGTATGCCAATCATTAAAATCAAGTGTAAACATATGCTTTCGGTTGTTCGCATTTGCAGGATATGATTGTTGAGGAGAACTATTAACTTGCCCTCGGCTTAAGTTAATAGTGCTTTCTTTTATTTTATCGTCTTCATTGTGATCATGGGGATTTTCATTAGTGAAGCAACACTTAATATTATCATTAGCGTGAAGAAATTTATTCGAAGTTTTTGATACGCTGTTTCGTACTTTCGGATTTCGAACACGCTGGTTTTCTTTGTCAATGGCAATTAGCTTCTGGCTTGGTTTCATTGTTGATGAATGCATTTTGTAATCCCTGGAAGGGCTCAGGAATCCTTCATCATAATTGTTTGTACCAATATATCCGGAGATACGATTTGAGTTTCCATAGTTGTTATTTTCTAACGGTTTCTTTTTCTTTTTCGACTCTTTATTCTTTTTGTCTTTCAAAGAGAGAAAAGAAACGGACCGTGCTAGGCGAGCATAATTAACGGTTTGTTCAAGTTTCGGTGATTTTTCGTATACCAAATTCTTAGGTTCAGGATTTTTCGTTTGAATTCCTTGCACTTGCTGTTTTTTTGTCAAGCCTTCGTTTGCATTCACTTCTCGCTCACGAATCTTATTTTTAGAAAGATCGAAATTCGATGACAGGTTTATAGAGTTATCAGAGGAAAGTGTCGTTATGTCATGCTGCTTAATCTTTGGTGTACTTTTATGTACATACTCGTCATTTTTCATAACCTTTTTGGAACTTGAGAAGGGATTAGGATCGTCAGATTTGAAGAAGGAAGAAAACTCTCGAGTATTATCTCCATTATCTGTACTTGGAAACAAGCAGACATTTCCTGTCGGCCCATCAGACTTCTGTTTCGGCGAATCATTTAGGTGAAAGAAATTAATGGATTGAAATCCACGTTGAGGAATTCTGTACAAAGAAACGTTATCATGAAAAGGTATCGTTTCTTGCACAGGAGAGGTAACTCTAAGGTTTTGTTTAAAAGGGCTTGATTCTTGACTATTGCATTCAGCAGAAGAAGTCTCCTCATTGTCTTGTTGTCTACGATATCCAAGATCATGAGTCTCGCTTGTTTGCCCTCTTTGTGTTTCCGAGGATGAGTCCAGAGATTGTTCCTGAAGCAACTCGTCAGAATCACTAGTCGCCGTTCTGTTGTCCGAAAAAGAAGGCCAAGACAAAAAATCCACTATTTTGTCCAAAACTTGTTCAATTCTACTTTTTGATAAACGAACATCATTTTTATAAGATTCAAAGCTTTTACTAGCATGATTATTTTCCTCGAGAATCAGGAGTTGCGTTTCGTACACAGCTTCCAACTTTCGTTGCTGTGTATCAATTATTGAGAAGTAAGCTTGGATGCCATTCGCCAAATCCAAAAGCAACGACTCTTGGCCTTCACACTTCTTGTAAACCTGTGTCAATTCCTGATTAGTTTGCTTCTGAACCAGTGAAAGTAGCTTTTGGATTTCCGCAAACCCTGCATTCAGAGAGCTCGCTGATTTCTCCATTTTCGCAATCAGAAGTTTTGAGCTTATTTAGCATAAAGCAGTAAAAAAAAATATTGTTGATTAGGAGGAATTAACTTATTGACGGTATAATTGTTATTAAGCGTCTTATAATTATTTTACTCGAAAGAATAAACATTCACATATGGTTTGTTTGTTTACATTCTTCTTTAAAATATCAAAACAAACATTTCATCGCTGTACAACCGCAGAGATGTAGCAAATAAATAATTTGCAGTCTCAAACAATAATAAAGTCTTCTCTTTATTTTGAAAATAGTTCATTGTTCAACTCATTCCTTCCATTCTTGGCTATTACTTACAAACACCAAGTTAGGTTTTTTTAGAAAACCAAGTCTGACATATAATATAAAGCTTCGAAAGTAGGTAGAAATGCAAATTCGTTTTATCGTAATCCACTTAATCGGCCGTCGTACAAAATCAATAACTAATCAATAGATATGTAGAGAGTTTTCACAGATATTTAAATGATAATTATAAATTGATTTGTTTACTCCAACATGTCTTCGAATCGTAATAGTATTGGTGTAGTATAATATAGATGTGTTTCACCTGAACATATCCAATGCGAATATTTTATCCTCATAAAGAAATAAACATTCTAGGTGGACGTTGAGAGTTCAAGTTCCTCACTATAAAAAGAAAAAATATAGTAAAAAGCAGCCATAATTGAACGTCTATTAAAGACTTTACCGCCATATTAATATGAAGCCGAGACTGAATGGCGTTCAATTGAGGATGAAGAGTTGGCTTCAGGAAAATGGCGAAAAGAATTCCATTATACCTCTAAAGGTTCTTTCCAATTCAAGAGAAAGAAATCGTGGTTCTTCTGTGTCGTTGGGAGAAGCCAGACATTCCTACGACAGGGAGGAAGCCGACTCCTTAATTTCAATACATGAGGATTCTCAACAGGATATGGATGCCAATTTTGAATCTGGCTTTCGAATGATAGAAGTAGGACGTCCTAATCCTCTCCACGGCACCAATGCCGTGACAAATACGAAATATGATGCTTTTAGCTTTCTTCCCAAATGTCTATTCGAACAGTTTCGCTATTTTTATAACATGTACTTTCTATTGGTTTCTTTATCACAGCTTATCCCTCCTTTAAAAATTGGGTACCTATCAACTTATATCGCTCCTTTGATTTTTGTGTTGATGATCACGCTGACAAAAGAAGCTATCGATGATTTAAAACGGCGAAGAAGGGATTCATATGCTAACAATGAAATATATATCGTTAACAACAATCCCTGCACAGCTCAGAATATTCAGGTAGGTGATGTAGTGCTCATATCAAAGGATCAAAGAGTACCCGCAGATATGGTTCTTATGCACACATCTGTTGGAAACGAAGCTTTTATTCGGACAGATCAGCTTGATGGAGAAACTGATTGGAAACTTCGAATACCCTGCTCAAATCAGTATTCGCATGGAATCATTCATGCAGATTCCCCAATCAAGTCTGTCCATCACTTTTATGGTACCTTTACTTTAAATGATAATAGAAGACCACTTACTGTGGATAATACACTTTGGGCGAATACCGTGTTAGCCAGTGAAGCGGTTTATGGTGTTGTCATTTATACTGGCAAAGATACCCGTCAATCCTTGAATAGTTCAAAAGCTAAAACAAAAGTTGGCTTGCTTGAGAAAGAAATTAACTTTTATTCTAAAATTCTTTGCATGATCGTTCTTGCACTTTCCGTAATACTCACATTCAGCCATGGAATACGAGAAAATTGGTACATTGCAATCTTCAGATACTTGATATTGTTTTCGAGCATTATTCCAATAAATTTACGTGTGAATCTAGATATCGCTAAAATTGTTCATTCTAAACATACCGAAGCGGATCCTAATTTACCTGATGTTGTTGTGCGCAGTAGTAATATTCCGGAAGAACTTGGTAGAATTGAGTACTTGTTAACAGACAAAACGGGTACTTTAACGCAAAACGAAATGGAATTAAAAAAACTGCAGTTGGGAGTCGTCGGGTTTTCCAACGAATCAATGGATGTTGTTCAGGCTTGTGTGAACGAATCCACGGCTCATATTCCATTGAGTGATGATACCAAAGACCTTGTCCGGGAAACCGTTCTAGCGCTTTCCTTATGCCATAACGTAACTCCATCTGAGACTACTGATGGCTCCGTCAGTTTCCAAGCCGCAAGTCCTGACGAGGTTGCAATAGTACGATGGACAAGTAGCATGGGCTTGGTCTTGACACATCGTAATCGAACAAGTATAACCATTAATACATCTTCTTACGAGATTTTACAACTTTTTCCATTCAAATCTGAAACGAAGAGAATGGGAATCGTCGTCCGTTCACCAGAAGGGCAAATTACGTTTTACCTTAAAGGCGCGGATTCTGTTATGCAGCAATTCATAAGTCCAAGCTTCTGGCTTGATGAAGAATGTGGAAACATGGCCAGGGAAGGGCTTCGAACATTGGTAGTCGCAAAAAAAGACTTGACTAATGAAGAATATAATACATTTGCTACTGTTTATGCTGAAGCAAGCGTTTCTTTCTCTGGATCAAGAGATAAGAAGATGGAAGGAGTCGTTTCAAAGTATTTGGAGAACGACATGGATTTGCTTGGGCTTACTGGTGTTGAAGACAAACTCCAAAAGGATGTCAAGGTAACACTAGAATTACTTAGAAATGCGGGTATACATGTTTGGATGCTTACGGGAGATAAGGTAGAAACTGCTAGATGTATAGCCATATCATCAAGGCTTGTTTCTCGAGGTCAGTACATTCATACTATTGCTAAGCTCAATTCTCGAGAGGACGCGCAGAGCCAGTTAATGATACTAGCTGGGAAACCAGATAGCTGTCTCATAATAGACGGAGAATCCATGGAGTTCTGTGTCGGATATTTGAAAGATGAATTCATAGAAGCAATCTCTAACCTATCTTGTGTGGTAATTTGCAGATGTACGCCTACCCAAAAAGCAAACATGACGCGTCTGATTCAGAAGAAGAAATCTGCTTCTGTTTGTTGTATTGGTGATGGAGGTAACGATGTCGGGATGATTCAAGTTGCAAATATCGGTGTCGGTGTAGTTGGTAAAGAGGGTCAACAGGCCAGTCTAGCTGCTGACTATAGCATAAAAGAATTTAGCCACATTGCTCGTTTACTCTTATGGCATGGTCGTATAAGCTACAAACAAACATCGAAGTTGGCAATGTTCGTTATTCACCGAGGCTTAATTATTTCCATTTGTCAGGTTGTGTACAGTATAATATCGAATTTTGAGCCCATCGCTTTGTTTCAAGGACTGTTGTTGGTTGGGTACTCCACGATGTATACGATGTTACCGGTTTTCTCCATTGTTTATGATAGAGATGTGAGTGAAAAATTAGTGTTTCTATTTCCGGAGCTTTACAAAGAGATGAGGGAAGATAAATGCTTTTCTATTAAATCGTTTATGTCTTGCGTGTTAATCAGTATTTATCAAGGTATGTGTCCAAAATTGGTTTTGTTACTAACTGATTTTAAGGTGTAATAATACAAGTGATTACTTACGTACTCGTCGGATTTGACGTCGAAGGTGAAATGCTAGCTGTTTGTTTCTCCTGTCTAATATTAAACGAGCTAATTATGGTAGCACTGCAGATCAACAGATGGTAAGACTTTGTCATTTGCAAGAAGAAGTGATGTTGACGATTATAGGGATCAAACAATAGTTATGTCAGAAATGCTAAGTCTAATGATCTATACCCTGAGCGTTCCTTTCTTGACTGATTATTTTGGTAAGTGCCAATTTTAGAAATTAAATTTTGCTAACAAATAGACTTGAAATTTTTTCTGGGACTCAAGTTTTACTGGGTGTCAGCTCTTATATTATTTATCAGCCTCTTACCTGTTTGGAGTGGAAGAGCTCTGAAGCAAAAACTGAAGCCTTCAAGTTATGCAAAATTGCAAAGGTAATGTACTTTTATTTAATACTGTTCGCATAATGTATATACGTTAGTTATGTTATTGTGTGTATTGTAATTTGTATGGTATTTGACATGTATTTAATTATAATTCCCACTAGAGTTGGGTTTATCTTTTTGAACAATCGTAAAGGTTACAGGCATAGGCTCAGCAAAATAAGTTGCTTAGGATAACAGTTGGGCATATTTTGAAACCAAGAAGCAATTTCGCTCCGAACGTGTTTTGGCAGGCGATGAGGTTCTGAAAAGATGGTAAGAACCGTGTGTACTCGTTGCCAGCATTTGTGATAATAATTGACTTGTTCAAGTTCCTCTTGTAAAGGAATCAATGCTGTTGCAGTGGAACTTAAGCTGATGGCTTGTTTCTGGAGTGTAGAAACCAGAAGGTTTAAGTTTTGGAGACCAGTTATTGAAAAAGGAACACGAGCCATTGCGAATTGCAAAGTTGTTTGAAAGTATAAGAGATCGTACAGCTGATCAACTAGTTCCAGTCCTTTTCTCATAAACATTTCAACCCTTTCATATAAAGTAATTGTAGAATAATACACCGTTAGAAATGAACACATATCATCCCAAGAAGAGTAAATATCTTTCAAAGAGTAGTTGACCGCGACCATATTTAATGTCAGTAAGTCTAATTGTTCGAACGGCTTTAATACTGAAAGAAGCGTTTTCTGTAATTGATTAACTCCATCCAAATGGACTTGTCGGTTTAAAGTTAACTGCTGAGTAATTGCCTCTGTAATTGTTCTTAACATGTTGTTTAACTCGCTACGCATTTGTTTGACAACTTGGATAGTATATTCTTGTGCTGGTTTTTTTTTCGATGTTTCAGCTTCACATTTAAGTTGAATCATAGGCCGTTTCATAGAGTTACGCCTCCTCAACAGGCCTCTCAAATGCCCTTCGTACTCGTGTTTTACATTAACATGGGTAGCTTCACGAATCATGCTTGAAATGAAATGAGTAAGACTTCAATTCTTCTTCAATGACTTCTGATTTTATACAGTTTGACAAATTTTCGCGTCGATGTTGGTTGGTGTTAGAAATTGAACGCGACGAGTGCTCATTTACGTAAGTTACAGCATACACATTTCATTCAAGCAAAGTGTAACAAATATAATTCTACCCAAATGATTTTGTTTATCTGTTTCAACATTTTCATTTTTTAATAGTTTATAAAATTATATACGCTCGCACAAAGAAAACTCTGGATCGATTTGGAGATTTTTAACTATGTAGAATATCTGAAATTTAGAATGATATATGTTACTACTCATGTAAGATATCCGTTACTTCAAAGTATTCTTTTTAAACGCACAAATAAACAAGCAACTAATTCAAAAAGTAAAACAAAAAATAAAAATAAAAATAAAAATAAAGAGAGAGAGAGTGTGTGTGTGTTATTCATTCCACGTATATATCAAGTAAACATCGGTTTGTTCTACAGTATGTTTTCTTTAAAAGAAACAATTTTCATTAAATTATCATATACAACCAAGACACTCGCAGTGAACCGACAGTAAACTTGAGCGAGTACTCAACGATTTCAGGAAAGACTTGTATTGTATGGTATTTTACTTTCTTTTCATCAAAAACGCTACGCTAGAACTTTGCAAGACATTTGTATAGATACATATTCATAAGTAGCTTCCTCTAACGGAGTGACGAATTTAAGCGAAATCAAAAACTAGGTTAAAAATCATTGAGCATTTTGGCGGTTTATTGTGTTTATCGTGTATGGGTTAGAATCCTATTGTTTGAACAATTACAGAAACCGTTCTCCATTAATTCATGTCGTATAATGTACACCATTGGTTTTGTCTTTAATACGATCGTAAAGCGTATTTCATCTTTCAGCTTTTGGTTTGCACTCTTATTTCTTATTTTTTTTTTCTTAATTTTATTTTTCAAGGAGATTTAAAAATGTAAACAAAAAGAATGATATAACGAAACGTGACTGTTGCTGCTGAAGTTACATAAAATTCATTGTGTTTCAATTTGTTTCAACCAAAAGGACCTATGCAACACGATTGAAAGTCAAAAGTTGGTCTTTGTAAGACTTAAAATTTTGGCTTTGTGAATCCACGTGTAACTAAAATGAGCAGTTGCTTTGATTTTTGGTACACTGCATAGATGTAGAAAAACAAAACACCAATTAAGCCGGGATAAAAACCGATGAGAGATGGTTTTTGTCTGACTATGTGTGTCTTACATTTTCTATTAAACTTTTTTAATATATTCACTATATAGTTTTGACATGTAAATATATATGAGTAAAAAAAAAAGAGATAATTTAAAAATCTGTAAATGAAATCACCTGTTTCGAATTGTACATTCAACAAAGAAAAACGTAATAATAACTTAGAACTAGTCATTTTCTAATCAAGAATTGATGGTATACAAAAGAAACACCCTATTTACCCATATCGTCATTACTTAGCATTAACAAGCTTTTTTAAAGCTTCGGTAGAGAAAGACTTGGGACGCTCGATGGGGAAACCAAGAGCACGGTCCCAGATCAATTGAGAAGCAACACCCAAGGTACGAGAAACACCAAACAAAACGGTGTAGAAGTTTTGCTCCTTCAAGCCGTAGTATTGAAGGAGGATACCAGAGTGAGAGTCAACGTTAGGGAAGGGATTCTTGGTCTTTCCGTGTTCGGTCAAGACAGAGGGAACAACTTCGTAAAGACGGCTTACAAGCTGGAACATGGGATCCTTGGGGAGATACTCTTGGGCAAATTCACGTTGAGCGGTGTAACGAGGATCAGTCTTGCGAAGAACAGCGTGTCCGTAACCGGGGACAACACGACCGGACTTCAAAAGATCCCACAAGTAACCCTTGATACGCTCATCAGACAAATCATCACCGATTTCCTCCTTCATGGTGTTTAAGAAGCTCAAAACCTCTTGGTTGGCGAGACCGTGAAGGGGACCAGCAAGACCGTTCAAAGAAGCAGCCATTGAGAGGAAGGGAGAAGAAAGGGCGGAACCGACGAGATGGCCAGTGTGAGCAGAGACATTGCCACCCTCGTGATCGGAGTGGAGGGATAAGTAAAGACGCATGAGTTCGACGAACTCGCTGTTGTTAGCGAATCCCAAGACATTGGCAAAGTTGTAAGAGTGGTCCTTGTCAAGTTGGATAGGGGCAACAATACCGTCACGGTAAATGTTGCGGTAAATACGACCAGCAATAGGGACAGTCTTGGCAATAAGATCCATGCAGTCTTCGTAGGTGTACTTCCAGTAGTCATGCTTGCTAAGACCATGCTCATAAGCTTTGGCGAAGGCAGAGTCGTGTTCGAGAGCGGTGATGGCAAGGGAGAATTGAGCCATAGGATGAAGAGAAGGAGGGCAACGGTCGATGAGTTCCTCTACGAATTTAGGGAGCTGAGAGCGGGCAGCCCATTCGGCAGATAAAGATTGAACCTGGCTGAGGGTAGGGATCTCACCGGTGACGAGAAGCCAGAAAAGAGACTCAGGAAGGGGTTGTTTTCCGTTGGGAGAAGAAGGCAACAACTTTTGGCACTCGGGGATACTATATCCACGGAAACGAATACCCTCGCTAGGGTCGAGGACGGATCCTTCCCAAACCAAAGAACGAATGCCACGGGCACCACCGTACATTTGATCGAGGGTGACGTTACCTACAACATCACCACCATGTTCAGAGCGAAACTTTTTAATTTCTTCTTGCTTTTGGGGGATGAGTTCAGAGAGGCGGTCTTTAAGAGAACCACCCTTGATGGTAGAGTAAGAGGCGGCAGCTGTGGTAGGAAGCTTGGAGCGTAAAGAGGCCTGCGAGAAAAGAGAAGAGGCGAGTCGACGAGTACTGGCCAACTTTGTGTTGTTCATAAATCGGGGGGCGGTTAAAATAAGCATCCTAGAAGAAAACGAGTTAGTGGAAAAGAAAGGAAGGACGTTGTAGAAAATTGCAAAGAAAATCAGTAAAGAAAGAGGAGTATTTTCTTTTAAACAACGAATACAAAACGTAAACGCGGTTCGATAAAGTGTGTGAATGCTTCTAAAGGGGAAAACGTTGTTTGTACGTAAAGAGTCTTTAGTAGGAAGTAGTATAAGGAAGTAGTGAAAGAGCGTCAAAGAAGAAGAATGAAAGATCTCGTCATTCAAAGAGAAGAGACGACTAACACCCAAAAAGAAAGAGGAAAATTTTAGAAAAAGACGTACGTGGAGGGAGAAGAGGAGTTTGAGGATGAGGAAAGACGGGAAGAAAACCGAGTTGTATGGGAAAAGGGACTCATGAAATTCACCAGAAACTGATTTCTTGTACAATTTAAAAGCAACTTGGAAAGCAAACTTACCTTTGGGAACGGTAGGCGAAAGGAAGTGGTTTATGCAAAGGATAAAAGGAATATGCTTCTGTAAACGAAAGATGTCTTGATGGCCGGGATTTATGAAGATGTGGGGACAGAGGAAGTATACGTCACGAACCAAGCATCACGGCGAGCAAACACCAATCGAAGTGGATGAAGTTTGGTAAAGTTTTTCGGCAGTTGTAATTAGCGAATCATAAAGCATCGCTTCCTTCCGCGGTAAGTTCTACCATTGATAACTTTAACCTAGTTGGCTCTTGGGACATTATGTTTGTAATGCTACCAGGGAGCATTGAGGTGGACTGCCGTCGGACGGAAAAGGGAAAGAGAAGAAAGAGAAAGGGGAAGCAATTCTATAGGACGTTTTAACAGAAAGCGGTATTTGCAAGTATGAAAAGAAAGAAAAATTGAAAAAAGAGGACGTTTTATCGATAAATTGAGGTTTGAGTGATTTTTTTTTTCGTTCTTTTGTTGTTTAGTATATTATAAGGAAACGTAGTACCGAGTGATAAATAAAGTTAAGGAGCTGCAAGGGGGTTGAAGATGGGTTATGAAGAGCGGTAAATTGGTTTGTAGGAGAGTAGAAAAGAGAGAGAGAGAGAGAGAGAGAGAGAGTGTGTGTGTGTGTGTAAAAGGAGAAAAAAAAAAGGAATTCTTTGTTTTCATTTTTCCATTTTTCATTTTTGGATTCATTTGGAAACGGAAGGAAGAAAGCATATTTCGTGGAGGAATGTTACCCAACAGCGTGGTGTTACCTAGAAGGAAAGAGAGAGAGAGAGAAAAAACTAGAGAAACCAATGAAAGGATAGGAAAGGCAACGAGGACGAGTAGAAAAGGCAAGAGGGAAGAAGGGAAACGTTGAATTTGCCATTTACCAAATTGGTTGGAAGATTGAAATCTTTTGTGTTTTGAAGGAAAAAGAAAGAAAACACAAAAGGAGAACTATTGATTGATTTGTAAAAAGAAAGAAAAAACAAGCAAGACATATAGATTGGATTGAATATGCCTCGTAGACGTACAGCAGCAGCTCCGGCCCCTAGTCAACGCCGTACACCTGGATCCACGAGACCAGCATCGACGATGGCAGCACCAGCGAGCATGGCATCAGCGCCATCAGCAGCTCGTCCCGCAGGACCTAGCGCTAGTCAACAACAACCACAACAACAATCGGCCACGCCAGCAGCACCCCCTACGGCGATTCCATCGTCGGGCGGTACGGGCTTTTTTGGCAACATGGTGAGTACGGCAGCTGGTGTGGGTATTGGTAGTGCGATTGGGCATACAATGGGAAATATGCTTACAGGAGCCTTTGGCGGTGGTAGTAGCAACAGTTCAGCACCAGCAGGTCAAGAGAGCAACAATGCAACGGCAGCTCAAGCGGAAAGTGGATTTGGAAGTACGACGGCGTTTGCTGACGCCAATGCAGAAGAATCGAAGCGTGCTTGTAATGGAGAGGCCAAGACGTTTGCAGAATGTATGAACCAGCATGGATTTGACCATTGTTCTTATTATTTGGAACAATTGAAGGCTTGTCAATCTTTGTGGTCTCCTTCAGCATAAGGGTGTAGCAGGAGCGAGCGAGCGAGCGAGCGAGCGAGCATTGCCATGTAGTGTTGTATTCGATTTTTCATAAATTTTTTTTTATATAAATTTTATTTTATATAAAGAAAATAATTTTTCAATGACATCTAGTATGAAAGAAAGAGATACAAATGAAATGAAAAAGAAATAAACAAAAAGAAAGAAAGAATAAATAAATAAATATTTCGTGTTCATTACACTAACAAGTTTAGAACGCATTATAGATATGAACAGATTGAAAAAAATCATATTTTACTAAAAACAACAAGAAGGGTATACAAGAGAAAGAAAACACTATTCTGTTTTCTTGATTTTTAAAAAGTAACGATTCAACAAAAGATAATAGCATAGCATAGCATAGCATAGCATAGCAACGACAACTCGAACATATTACAAAGTCATTGTAAATAGTACATTACAATTTCCAACGAGCGTCTAAATAAACAAAACACCCCAAAACAAGGGTTCGGGAGGCCGGGTAAATTTGGTGGAGAGAAATCGAGATATCTTTTTCCTTGATATCCTTATCAAGCTGTGTGTGTTGAGGAGTGGTGTGTGATGATTTTCTCGCTCGCTCATTTTCTAATCAAACATCAAATGTGGTGGTGAAGGGTTTGAAAATGTCGTTTATCATTTCTGTTGGAGAGGCGATGCAGAGTCATACAAGACAGAACAGGCAGGCAGACAAGCAGGCAGACAAGCAAGTAATTGAATTCAATTGAATTCATTCAATTAAACCAATCCAATCAATTAAACTAAACTAAACTGTTTTTTTCCAACATTCTTTCTTTTCCTCTTCAATTTCACTATTGTTGGTTGAAAATTTTGAATATGAGAATCTCATGATAGTAGTTTAAATTTTTTAAAGTTCAAACCATGATACAATTCTATTGTTTTATTATCTTATCCATTTTTTGTCTCTTTACCCCTCTTTTTTACTTTTTTTTTTTTTTTCCTTCTTTTACTTGTTGTTAGTTCCCTAGTCATAATCATCAACTTCATCATCATCATCCTCATCTTTATCCCTGATTGTTCCACCACACATACCTTTTTTTTTTTTTTTTTACCATCATCATCATTTGTACGTTTAGTAATCATGATGAATTTCGATGAGTGATTGACTCCAAAGAGAGACATTCTCACTAGAACAGAGAGTGACACAGAAATTAGACTCGTAGAGTCTTCAACTAAAATTTGCTCTAGACTCTTTGAGTCTGGGGGTTTTTTTTTTTTTTTTTCGTCTTTCCACACACAAAGAGACACACAAACATAAAGATAAACATGCTCCCTCTACCTCTACCTCTTCCTCTTCCTCTCTCTCTCATACACACACACACACACACTCTCTCTCTCTCTCTGTCTCTCTCTCTGTCTCTCTCTCTGTATTTTTACTCTCTTCTCCCACTCCCTCCTCAACTTTATCACCATTGTCCCCTTTTTACTCCTTCCACCCTTCCACTTTGTCTATCATTGATATTCCAACTCATCTGATTTCATAAACTACCTTGTTGTAACTTGTGCTACTTGTCTCGAAATCATCTTTCAACTCCTCTTTCATCTTTGGTTGGTTTGATATTTTTGGGCTAGAATTCCTTTCTTATCACTAACCTGTCTCTCGTCTCCTCTTTTTATTTGTTTTTCCTCTCTCTGTCTCTGTCTCTGTCTTTCTGTGTGTCTCTGTCTTCTTTCTATCTTTCTATATATAATAGATATATATACACATAGATTTCGTCTCCACAATGGTTTCCATTCCTCCTTTTTCTTTTTTTTTTTTGGTTGTCGGTTTCATTTTTCTTGACTTTGGATTCTCATTTTAATTTTTTTTTTTAATTTCTTTTAATTATTTTTTTTTTAAAAAATCTTTTTCCTTTTCTTTTTTCTTTTTCTCGTTTGTTTACGAACAATTCACTATTCGTAAACAGTTTAAAAACTTACGGATTATTAAAATTGAATTGAATTGAATTGAATTGAATTGAATTAAAAAAGAAAAGAAAAGAAAAGAAAAGAAAAGGTATATTGTTTGGATTCAACGTGGCCGACCCTTTTCTTTGAATGAAGCATCATAAAAACAAAATTGGGTTCCATCGTTGTTTGTTTTTCCTTTTCTGATTCCGTATAGACCGGTTTTCTTGGTTTTCTTTTTCAAACGACTTGATTTTTTATTTCGACTTTTTTTGAAAAAGAATCCATTTTATAAATATTTGATTTACGATTTCTTGAAATCATCCCTACAAAGAATCTCTCTTTCCTTTTACTACTGTACTATTATTGTACTCTTCGTTTGTGATTGATACATTCTTGCTTCTTTTTTTATTTTTTTTCTTTTCTGTCTGTACATTCTTTCTCTTGTTCAATTCATTTCTTTTCCTTTGGATTCTCTTGCATTGACTCTTTTTTCTTTTTCTTTTTCTTTTTTCCTTCTTTTTCTCGTTTGGCTTCTGCGTTTCTCTTTATGTTTGTTTTTTGATTTTTGTGTACAAAAAAAAAATTTCTTGTATTCTGCAATACCTTGGATCTATCTATCTATCTTTTCTCTCTCTCTCTTTCTCTCTCTCTTTCTCTTTTTGATTATCGCTTCTTTTTCTATTGTAGCGTCTGTTTTCCTCTCGTTTTGTTTTTCTTTCGACATCTTTATAAACGTTAGACTTTTCTCTTTTTCTTTTCTACACCTATTTCTTGACTCTCTCAGTTCTTTCGACATGATGGATTCTTCTCCTACTTCCACCCCTTCTCCCAAAATAAACTCTCTTCCCCTGTCTCCAGACCCCACTGATCCCATCCACCCCAAAACAATCCAAAATCAACGCGGTAAGCCCATTGCATGCTTGTTTGTCGGTAGCTTGAATTCTTCCCTCTCCGAGTCTCAACTCACCGTCTCTGTCAAAACTTTTTTTCAAAAATATGGCCCTTTGCTTCATGTCAAAGTTCTCAAAGATTGGCTTCAACGTTCTTACTCCTTTGTCCAATTCGCAAATGCAAATGACGCTTCTACTGCCTTAAAGGATGCCCAAAATGCTTTGCTCGACGACCGTCGCATTCGTATTGAGCCCGCCAAAGTCAACCGTACCATCTACTTGGCCAATCCCTCCAATCCTTTCAACTTTTCCTCCTCCGACGTTCAACATCTTCTCCAACCCTATGGTCTCATCGAAGAACAAGTAAAAACAAAAGATTCCTCCGGCTACTTGGTCCGTTTTGTCTATCGTGACGATGCCATCTCCGCTTTCCTAAATCTACGAAATTCCCCGTACAAGGTCCTATGGGCTGAAAACGTCTCTACCAAATCTGTCTTTCGAAACAAACTCCCAAATTCTTCCTTTCGTCATCATCACCCCAATACCCGTCCTTCCAAGTCTTTTTCTTCTTCTTCTTCTTCCCGTTCCACCTCGGCTTCCCTCTCTCAAAATTCTCAAAGAAAACTTTCCTCTCTCAAAACTTTCCCAAACTCTTCCAATGTCTCTTCTTTTCCTCCTTCTACCCCCATTTCGTCTTCTCTCACTACCCCTACATCTGCTACAAACTACGACGAGTCCAGCGACATGTCTACCCCGAAGAATACCATGACTTCTCCCTACACTAGCCCCCCCTACTCCCAGTCCAACTTTATAAACAAATCTCCCAATTCTTCCAAGCCTTCCTTCCCTTCCCCAAACTATCCTCCTCCCTACCCATACTGCCAACCCCTTGTGCCTTTTATCGACCCTTTTTCCATTTTTATCGACCATTTGGACTCTAAAAATTGCTCTCGCAACTCTATCGTCGAACTTTTCTCACAATACGGTAAGGTCTTGGATTGCAAACTCATCCGTCAATCCGATAAGCCTGCCTTTGCTTTTTTGCAATTCGATTCCCAACAAGCCGCTGTCAACGCCGTTTACCATAAACCTCAACCTTTCTTTCAAAAGAAACCTCTACGTGTCAAGTTTCGAATCCTTCCTCATTCCGCTTACCCTGTATCTACGTATCAGTATCCCATGGCTTCGCCTTCTTTCCTCCCTTCTTCCAGAGCAATCTTTCCTACTGTAAATTCCCCAAGCCATTCCTCTATACCTTATCCTTGTCATCCTTCCATGGCATCCCTCACTCCTCCAGCTACTTTTGGTTTGCAGCCCGATATGTTACAACCTATGTACCCATATTATCCTTATCCCGAACTCTGCTATCCTCCAGGAAACCTTTATTATTACGGTACCGCTTCTCCTTCTAACACAGTTGGTTCTGAATAGGTTCTGCTTTTCCATCCATGATTTTCTGGACGCTCGCACATCTGTCTACTGTGCTAATGTCCAGCAATCATTAAAAACGTATGGGCATTACCTCCCTCCTAACGTTATTTCTTCTCTTTAATAAAGGTTTGGGTAATGTTGAATTAAATTCCGTAGTTCATAGATTAATAAAACTGATTTTTTTTTTCTCTTTTTTATCCTATTTCAATGTCATCCTTTAGTTCATTTTATTTTCAAGACTTTTCTATCACTGCGAAAGCTATGTATCTGCAGCAACGTGCCCTCAATGTATTTTCAATTTTCCCTTTTTTCTTTTGTACAGCAAAACTTTAAACAAAAACAAAATTTATTAGAAATGGTATTAAAATGAATACACCTTTGTGTTATTTATGATAGCGACGATTAGGAGAGAATTTCCATAGATATCTATTGTACTCGCACTCATACTCTCTGCTTCACCATTCACCATCTGGTTCTATGGTGTACTAGTTTCACCAAAATCACTTCATCCTGAGCTTTTCTTTCTTTTTTTCTGATTCTTTCAAACTAAATCTTCATAATTGACGTTTTTTGTTCTACATTTTTAGTCCGTTTTCTTGTACATAAAGGTGGTTTATTTCCTTTGACATCTACTTTTAGACATTTAGATTAGTAGTATAACGTTTTTCTTTCTTTCCTCTTCATCGTTTGAAAAGGACTTCATTGTCTCTCGTTTCTGCTTCTATTCACATAGAAAAATTGCTTGTAATCAACCTGAATCTTGCATTTGTTGCTTTCAATTAGCGTTGATAACATTTTTTAAATACTTAATCCCTTTCTGTTCTTCGTACAAGTATATTCCAATAGCTTACCCAACGTCTTGGATTTGTTACGAATAGTACCCAGTGGAAATCGTTTGAGAATACCAAATATCGTTCGAATAACCACTACTTCAAGATTTTCAGTCATAGTCCCTTTTGAACCTTCATCTATGCTTCACCTTGACCCCGTAAAAATGCCTGCTTTACCCGAAGAGGAAGATTTTTGCTTTGATCATACTTATGTCTCCAAAAAATGCAAAAGTCTACTACATAGTGATGATCCTGATCATGTTTTTCGACACAAGGTTTTACTGGCAATTCACAAATTAGCTATCCCTACTTGGTCCCGTGTGCCTGCAGCTTCTCACCCTACTCTCATAATTCAAAGAATTTCAGGTGCGTTAACCAATGCCGTCTATTACATCGCACCTCCTGAAGGATTCAAAGCGATCAAGCTCTTGCTTCGTATTTATGGACCAAACGCAGAAATGTTTATTAATCGTTTGACTGAGCTAGAGAATCTCAAACGACTAGCCAAGCATAGTATTGGTCCACGTTTGCTTGGTGAATTTGGCAATGGACGTTTCGAACAATATATGGAGTCTACCACGCTGACAGCCGAGACAATTCGAGATCCGGTACGTTCTATATACGTGGCACGCCGTATCTCTGAACTCCATAATGTTATCCAGTTAACACCAACTGAGCAATATGAATTGCCTAACGCATGGAAGTTTTGCTTTAGTTGGCTTCCTTTGGCCAGAAAAAATTTACAAAATCGGAGACATCCTTTATCAATTACTGTAAACTTTTTGGACGATTTTGGAAAAGATTTTTATCAGTATTTTCAATGGTTTTCTAACTGGTCTAATGATAAGAAGCAATGGACCTCCTTGCAGAATGTCTTTTCCCATAATGATACTCAATATGGCAATATTTTGCAGATAAAAACTAAGCGTCGATCTTTAAAACCAGAAAATAAGCATCACATACTTGTTCCAGTTGACTTTGAGTATGCTGGTCCCAATGTACGAGCCTATGATCTTGCAAATTACTTTGCCGAATGGATGGCTAACTATCATCACCCTACACATAGCCATTTGATGAATCGTTCTCGATACCCCACTTTTGAAGACCGCAAGCGTTTTTATCGTGCTTATGTTGAACAAGGCGCCGTGTTTCATAAGAACTTGGTGGTAAAAGATGCTTCCGAATTAACGTCTAACCTTTCCGAACCTCTTGAATCCGAATTCTCTACTCTGCTACAACAGTTGGAAGAAGCAGTCCGCGCTGTTTCACCAGCGGTAAACGCTGTTTGGGCTTTATGGGGCGTTATGCAATGTGAAGAAGCCGACGACGATTGGGAAGATCTTAGCGTAAGCAGTGAACGAGAAGACAGAACCGATGTTTCTCCCCCAAAAGTTGACTCTACTAATGTTCCACCCATTGGCTCAACCTCTTTTGATTATATCAATTATAGCATGGAAAAGTTTAATTTATTTTACGAGACCAGTGCTGCCTTGGGTTTAAATGCTAACAACCGTTCGACCTTTCCTTATGACTAACTAAACTTATTAATTGACTTAATTGACTAATTACGATAGTTTAGGGCCGACATTTATCTTATGAGAATACTAATGTTTAAGATCTAATAAACTCATTATGAGTCTTATATACAGAATGTACCAATTAATTTAATTTTTCAACACTACACTATGTAAATGATTAACAAAATTAAGAAACGCAAAAAAATTACTACTTTGGTTTCATAAACAACAGTTCTTACTTATGCTTTCGGCTCGATAAAGGCGGTTTGTCCATCAGGAAGTTTCTTTTTCACAGCTGTTTCAGGTGTGGAAGAAACTAGACCCCAGAATTGCCAGCGTACTGGAGGAATCCATGAACACTGTTGAATAACAACATTCTCAATCTCTTCTTTTAAATGTGTTGATGAGGGAGACGCTTGATCAAGGCTTACGGATTGAAGAGTGTGTAATCGAACAACAGCTTGAATGAAACATTCGTTTCCTTGCATATCCGCTTGCGCACAGGTTATGTTCAGTAATTTCGGAGGGCTCAGGTATTTTTCAATTTTCCATTGACATTTAGGTAATTGCTTTGATTGTTTTCGTAGAAGTTGGGCAGCACGAATGGTGCAGTTATTTTCTAAGACCTGACTATCATGGCTAATAAATAGATTAGTACCTAATTCGACCATAACAAGAAATAATATCCCTTCATTAAATCAAGATTTATGTGCTTACCTAGCTAAAGCACTGTTGACAGAAGAGTGTAGACGAACGGCCTCCCCGATTATTGATTTCATAGTAAATGTGCGACTGGGAAAATTCCGGCGTAAATAATAACGACTCTTATAAATATTTATATTTCTATAACGAAGAGATCTCCACCATTGCCGAACTTTTTTAATAGGGTGTGTCATCAGAGAATAATTGTCTTTTGGTTCCACATAACATTCTAGAGAACATGCGGGTTAGAGAAGCAAAAACAATTTTTTTTTCATACGCATAAAGGGGATGTCTAACATTCTAATCGGTTGTTGACTCATAAATCGAGAAAATGTCAAGGGTCCCAATGATTTTACATTCTTTCCCAAATTTATATTAGCGGAATGCCATTTTGGAGAGACGAGTGACATTTTTATGCCATTCATTTTTTTTAAGTATATATTGTTATGAGAAGTGTAACAAAAAATGAAAAAATCACAAATTTTTCCAACTTTCCCAGTATGGAGTTTAGAGCCCAGTGTTTCCGGGGAAAGCGAACTACCCTCGGTTAACCCACGGCAATTCCCCGGGTGGGATAGACGGTTGCTGATGCGGCTGGTGAAATTGTGAAAAAGAATGGAGATCAGCAACATTAGGGGTCGAAAACAATGAAGAATGAATTTGATTTGACTCTAGTGGTGGTTCCAAATGCACAGGAGGTTGCTGTACAGAGAACGGAAATGACTGAACTGATGACTGTGCTTCAGGAGGCAAGGACGAAGAGTTTCCAGTAGGAAATAAAGCATCGTAAGGCGGAAAAGAGTGTAAAGCATTCGATGGAAAGGTTTCGGGCAATGCTTGGCTGAGTAAGAAGGAATCACTGGCATATCGGGGCTGCTGCCGATCAGTATTATAAAAGGAAGAATTCAAACTTTGGTTTGACCATTCTAATAAATCATCAGAAGTAACGGGTACAGTAGAAGGATCTTGTGCGGTATCCTTGCTAGTATTTTGGGACGGTGTTTCCTGACGGTCAGCAGCCACAGCTGCGACTGCTGCAACGGCGGCAGCAGCAGCTTCGGTTGAAGAAGGATCGTTCATTAGATAGTTACTTTGGTCGTATTTTGGACGCAAGCCCGGATTATTTTTCAACTTGAACCCGGCAGCAGCATACCGTTCGGGAAACGCGTTACGAAACCGATCCCGTAAATCAGTGCTTCGCCGATTTTGTAAACCCAAACTTGCATCCTTACTGATTCGCGTCCAACAAGGACCATGTAAAAAAAATCCCTCCAGCAGCCGTTCGTCTTCCTCAGGCGTAAACTGTTTTCGCTCTTTACGAGATGCCTTTGCCATTCCTGGCGTATGAGGAATCTTTTGGTTTTTCCCCATATGTGTTTTCGCATTTGGATAAAACTTTTTGTAATCTTCTGGCAGGATAACTCGAAATCTATCATAGCATTAGTACACGCTATTATATGCTTACAATTTTTCTTTTTTCGTATAAAGAATAAAACATATGAAACAGTCTTGTAATAGTACTTACCTATCTTTCAAGTCGTTTGGAGAGCGATTTACAAAATGAAATCTTTCGTCCATTAGAATTTTCTTCCAATTGCCCACACCATACTAATTTCTAGGTTAGTTATTGATTCGCAAAAAAAAAATTAATCCAAATGAATTGTAGAATTCCATAATACTTACAATCTGGCATCCACGCAACAAGTCATTTGTTTCTTTTTCAGTCCATTTTACTCTTGGTTTTCGAGTTTTTGTAACCTTCCGTGCTCTTGGAACAGAAAACCCTTCTAAATCATCTTTTTTCCTTGAATCATCCTCCGTCAAGACAGATCCATTCAATAAATCGACGCATTGGTTGTCTATCAACTCCGTCGGCATTTTCGACGTATTCAAAGACCCCATGGTCAATTCAACCTTCTTCAAAGGTATATTTTACAAAATGTATGGATACTTGAAGCGTAAAATTAGGAATGGCAAATAAATAAGGCAGATGCAAAGTTACTACGAATGCTACATTACCACTAGGGACCCCCATTAACGCTGTACTATGTGGGGTCCATTTTACCTTCAGCATTTTCAAAAAGAATACTAATTGTGAGTCGTAAAGAATGATTACTTTATTTAGGTGGGTTTTATTTTAATAAGTTAATTTATGAGACTTTTGTATCTCCTACTCTAATGCAAAAGCATCATAAAGATTAACATGAAGTTGCTTCTCTTGTAAGTTACCGAATGTAAACAAAGGACTATTATAAGACATAAACGAGGAGAAAAGAAGACCACATGATATGTTTTAATAAGTTTGCTTTTATTTGACAAAAATACGGCCAGAAGTCCTTTCTCAGAGCGTCAACTTAACAGTGTCCGTCATTGTTCAACATGGTAAACAATGTTATGAAATCATATATCAAGAATCGTTACCCAAAACCTTTTGGATCTAAAAAGTCTAGGGAAAAAGATACTAAGCTTGTTCGTAATTCACGCTTTCCTTCATTTTATTATTTAAAGAGGTCGTCGTACCAAAAAACTCTTTCAGTGACTTCCTTGTCTATATTAATTCTAATAATTGTTTTATTTCTTTAGTGATATTTTCCTTGAAAGGTCGACTATTGCTTGCAAAATATCCCTCTTAAAAATTATTCAATCCTTACTACAAGGAACCAACGCAACGCCATAGCCATTTTCTTGTTCAGTTAGTAGTTAGAATTGTTAGACCTGGAGTATCTGCGAGCTATTTCTTGATGTTTAGCAATTTTTTTTCTATTATAAGCAAGCGCTTTTTCTTTAGGAGGTAGAATTTCTAGAGAAATATGGCCGGCTATACGTTTGATGAGTATATCGCGAAGTTGTTAGTGATAGAAGCCCAAAAGAAAAATAAATTACACGAAAGTGGAGAATCAAGCTCTCAGAGCTCGAATGGTCAAAAGCTGCGGCCCAATACAAATTTTATAAACAATATGATGCGCAATGTTCGATCTCACAACTCAAACGTGGAAAACAGAACTGAAGATGCTAAAGAGAGATCCAGGAGAGCAGAAAAGGGAAAGCAACGTCGACGCGAGTTTTCACCTTCACCCAGTGGTAGACTGAATCGACGAAGAGACATATCACCACCGCCCTCACGAAAACGGTCTAAAAGTTGTGAGGATGAAGAGAAGTCTCCTTTTTCCCAAGAAAAGAGACAATATGGTCATGAAAAGGGTTACTCTCGTCATCGCGTTTCTCGTGGTAGACCCGACTAAGTGTATATGAAAGCTTGATTTATTTATGGCATCATGGGTAGGAAGAACGGAGTTCATTGCAACTGTAAGTAAGTTAAATATTAAGGGAATTTCTAGATGTTTCTCTAAAAACCTGAAAAATCAGAGAAAGCAAGTTATATCCTAACTCTGCATTCACGTCTTTTAGTGATTTTCGCTGACTAGGATGACTAGAAATTGGCATTTTTAATATTTCCTTAGTCTCCAATTTAATTAATTTATTGACAAGTGTATTTTTTATATTAGGTTAACATTCTCATAGGGTCAAAATGAATATAAAGACTTTAAATGGTAAACAGTCTTTCCTACTTGTAACGACTATGGTAGCTTTTTCAAGTCAACTACATCTATTTTAATGATTCATTTATTTCTTTCCAGCCATATTAATGTTGCAATTTAAATCACCTTTGGCCTAGTTGTAGACCACCAATCCAAAACCACACTAAGCCAAAAATCACGTCCAGTACTCGTCCTTGAAGTATATCGCTTAATTTTGTCGCTTTATTTTATTAATCACACCGTTTTTCTCTTGGCTTTAAATTAGCTATATATCGCTTTTCTACAAATCATTTACCGTAGTTTACTGTACATCCTTATTCGAAAATCAGGTTGAGTACCAAATATTCACGTTTAAAGAACCAACATTTGACTATTCTTGATGGAGCTTTTATTATCGGGATACGCGGCAACTGAAAATGAACCGACCAATGTAATCGCTCATAATTTGCATACTGGGACGTTGGTCCGTACTTTTCGTCAAAGTACCCCATTTCCACAAGCTGCTTGTTCTACTAAAACACATTTGTTGTCCTTCCAAAGACGTAGACCGCAATTAAATGTACACGGATTTGGAAAGGTAAGATTTTAGACTGTTTTGTTAGTGTTTTAGCTTTCTTTTTACGAGAAAAGACTTTTTCCAGCTGTGTAACCAGTTGATCAGAGGACTAACTCCCAATTTTATAGGAAAATTTGGACCAGACTATTATTCTTCCAGAAACAATTATCTCTTCTGCCGTCAGTCCATGCGACTCTTGGTTAGTAGGTGGTACAGAGAAAGGCAGCCTATACATTTGGTCAATCCTGTCGGGTGCTCTAATTCATGCTTTTCGGGCCCATTATCAACCTTTAACACATGTTTCCTTTTCTAGTGATGGGATGTTGATTCATACAGCTTCAAATGATGGAGACATCAATGTCTGGTTGATGTCTTCTTTGACCGATCGGTCAAGTATGGCAGGCTCTACAGTTAAACCTTTTAGGAGTTTCTCTGGACACAAGCGAGCGATTGTCTCTTTAATCAATGGATCTGGACCTTCCATATCTAGCCGTCTTTATACAGCTAGTGAAGATAGCACTGTGCGTGTTTGGGATGTTAGTACCGGTAACCTTTTGACTACCATCGCTCTCAGTAGCATGCCTTCTTGTATGACGATTGACCCTGCAGAACGTGTAATATATGTCGGTAACGACAAAGGTCTTGTTTGGATTCCCTTATACACGAGTTCAACTGCCCATTCCGAGAATAACCCTAATGTGTCGAAAAATATTACTATTCCATCCTCTGTTCCTTCAGCAATAGGCGGATTGGGCAGAGTTGTGGATGCAAATGAAAGTAAGGATGCCCATACAGTAACTAGTACTTCACCCATCACAACGATCACTTTATCATTTGATGCTTCCTTAATTATCACTGGTGATAAAGGTGGTAGTATTCTCGTATGGGATGTTGTTTCCCGTCAAGTTTTAAGACGTCTAATTCAATATTCTACTTCAGTCACATTCTTGAAATGTTTGATTGATAAAGTAAATTATATTCCTACTACTCATAATACGTTTCCCGTCCTAAAGCGCATGATTACGGACGATTATCTGTATTCAGATGTGAATATGGTGATCCATGATGATGGTATAGAAGAATTAATGCAAGCACCTGACACACTAAGTCTCAGTTCTGAGTTAATGGTAAGCATAATGTCTTTCGCAACTTTAGAGAATACTAACAATTTCTTTAGACTCACAATACAGAATCAGGGTGGCGTGCAAAAGCGGAATCTACAGAGATGGAACTCAAAGAAACAAGAAGACTGTTTATAGAACTAAGAGGGGTACATCAAGCTTTATGGGAAAAATACCTTCAGAAGTAATTACTTGGACTTGGATATGGTTTACTATATTAATTTGGAAAAATGGTTTTTTTTTTTTTGCTATAGACACTAACTGTCGATTATAACGTTTGTACAGTGAGGGATTAATTAAGTTTTTAACACAATATTAGTGGTTTGAAAGACTTTCACAGAACATCATTAGGAAGTATTTATGATTGTATTTTCATTTGTGCATCTGTTTAAGTAAAATATTCGTAATGTCATCATAAACAAGCTCGATATATTCCCCTAAAGTATTAGAATTGCTGTTTTCTTCTTTGTTTGGTTACATACCGCATGAGTAAGTCTTAAAGCCTGTGCTTGCGGTCATATCTTCGAGCAATTGGTGCTTTGGTGTGTCCGAAGGGTGATAATTGCATGAGTTCTAGACATATGTTAACTTTGCTTATATACAAGTTAAATAAATATACAAACCTTTAACAAGAATTCTATAAAACTTTTGTTACTAAGCTCAAACATCGAGGTGATGTTCTGTAGGAGAATAACAAATGCTGTCCTCGATGACAATCTTTCCCAATTAGTGTCTAAATACGTATTTAAGAGTTGAGAACCATATTCAGCGCCGATGTAATATATCTTTGAGGCCTGACATTCCGAAAGAATGTAATCAATTCCTTTAGTCACATAATCCTCTGGTGATTTGATGGCTATGAATGTTAGATAATCTATCATAAATGTTTGGTCCATGTCGCTTACAAGGGATATAGTTCTTCTTCGTAATATGCTTTCCTGTGCTGGTAAATGAAGATATAGTCTGAAATTCAAGGTTAAAAGAAACTCAAAACCAATTCATTCGTACTCGTGGAACTTTTTTATCTGCATCCCAGAGTAAGGCAGAAGGCGTGAAGATAGCCACGGCATAGCCATTATCCACACATTTAGAAACCGTGTTGACGAAAGTTGCATCACCTAAATCATGTTCTCTAATATTCCTATTTGACCATATTAAAGGATATGAAAAAGGCTGAATAATTATTACCATTCCTTTCTTGTTTTCTTTCCAATTTTTAGTGGTATAGAAGAGTACGTAAGGTTCATCCGTCTTATAAACATCTGTAGACATAGGAATGGCCTCAAGCATGCACACTGTTAATGTCCAGTTGTAGATTTGCTCTTTCATATATGTTAGTGCTAGAAACAGTATATATTACAATTACCTAAAACAGCTTGATAATAATGTTCATTGTAGGCTTTGTCTTTAGTTATAGAAAATTCATACAATTCGTCTGCAGAAAATAATTTACGTAGCCGACGATCTGCAGTTATTTGGAGTCCCAAGTCTTTCAACGAATTTCCCAGATTGTACAGTTTTGGGACTGAGTCTACCTTTTTTTTACGAAACATAACTACACGGCTACAGGTGTTTCGTTCGAGTTTGAACCAAACGGGAGTGTCAAGTTAGGATAAGGAGCCTATAAGGATGAACTTAAATTGGTCTAAATACAAACGTATGAGAAATATATACGATTACATGTATTTTCTAAAAGTATTCATCCAAAACGAGATTGAAACAAGCTTTGTTCCTTAACATTATAATCGCTTTAATTCCCAAGAGTGATTGTCGGTAGAAAATAGGAATAAATCCCAAATAAAGTGATACGACAAAAGCTAATTAACGAGTAATAAAAAACAGTATTACAAAAATGTAAAGTAATTCAAACCTTAAAACCGAACAGGTAATCAAAAACTGGTGTGATGGTCCTTTTTGCTTTCTTTATTTATTGCTAGATTCTTCGTTCTTTCTTCTTTCAAGTTCTGCAAGATACTGAGAAAATTTGCTTTGTGTATGCAATCCACATTCAGTTTTTTCTTTACCACGCCAGCGTCCTGCGCGCTCATCTTCACCTTCTTTCACAGGTTGAGTAGAATGGTAGTCACCCACAGACCGATATCCTCTATCCAGTAAAACATTGTAGGGTACATTATTCTCCTTAATGTAAGAATAAACTTGTTGGAACGACCAATTGGCTAAAGGATTGATCTTGATTACAGGTCCATCAACTTGCACAACATCCAAAGATCCACGTTCTCCACCTTGACTGCGACGACGACCTGTGAAAACGGCAAGTACATCTAATTCTGCATAAGCTCTATTGGCAGGCTCAACTTTCACCAAAAAATCGTATTTATTTTCATCTTTTTCCCAGAGCCTTTCACCAAACTTTTTAGCGAATTCTTCTTCTGATGCTGCTTCAGCACAACGATATACATGAATGGGAACCTCTGGATATACTTTCTTTACTTGATCCAAAAGATCAATAGTTTCCTTAAAATGATGCAAGGTATCGATGAAAATCATTGGGGTTTTGATTTCCATCTTTGAAAGCATGTCTAAAATCACCAATCCGGAAAGCCCCAACGCAGACGTTTGAAACAACTGAGGAATTGTCCATCTACTCCAACGTAAAATATCAGGAGGACTTAATTCGGAGAGCTGTTTATTAACGAATTTTAAGTGCTCAGGATTGAATAATGATTGTGCACTTAAGTGGGTCGAGTTTTGAGAAGAGTCCATCTTTTGTAAATAGAAGAGTATAAGATCACTGAAGAACTACAAAAAGTAAGATTATTGTGGTTAAGGGAACTGCGAAGACTTGCTAGAAATAAAACGCCCTTAAAACACTGACTTGTAGGATAAACTACAAATATTTAAATATGGAAGTTAAAAAAAACCCAAAAAATAAGAAAATCGATACACCAGCGGTGTTCTAGGTATATATGCAAAAGTATATGAAGCAAATGGAAAAGATACGTGTATGCTGATTCATCTTGATATGGTCTTTTTATCTCTTTACTAAATTATCGTTGTATGAAACCTCCAATATGATATGTTCGAAACTTCGCTATTTTACTATTTACATCTCTTAAATAAGCTTCATTTAAATCATGCTTAATTTTGCTTGAAGGAAACGGAAGATTAGAAACTTCTAAGCTCAAGCAGAAGTTGTGAATAGAAAAGAAATTCCAAAATATTTCCCATACTCCATTATTGAGATAAATAATACTAACTGAAAACCATGTTGAAGTGAAACAAGAAACAAAAAAAAAGGGATCTGTATAATTGAGTAATTGTTCTCAATAAAAAAACGTAAAAATCAAAGCTTGCAGTGCATAGATATCATAAAACATAAGATACAAGATACAGAGGCGTATACAAAATATGTTACAGAAAATTTGCCTCCTCTAAAGTAGAACTGAATGTTTCTGCCCTTTAAAATACTATGTAAAGAATACAAATGAACGAAGGGCCACTGTCATTAATGTTAGTTGGGGTGATAATGGAAGAAAATAAAACGTACGTAAAAATTCCAACCCAAAAGAATAAATTCCCAAGTAATTCCCTTTGTTCAAAGGCGAACATTTTAGATAACTTATATAAGGGCAATTGCAAGAGCTGGATAAGGTTAGTAGGTAAAATCAGAAAAAGTTCAAATTACTTACTTGGAAAAACAGTATATAACAACGAAGTTTACCAGTGACTAAGAACATCACGAATTCATGTACCAAAGCAGACAATAAAAAGGTGAAGAAAATAGCGGTTGACTTGTTTAACACCTGCCTAGAAGAATGGTATACATGTCGCATCAAGAAAACGTGGACAGGTTTGTTCCATAGTCGAGCGAATTCATCCCACGTAACAGTATTCCACCAGGGTCCATAGAAGTCTCTGTCTGCGAATTTCGTGATTTCAGCAAAGGCGTTCAAAATGACATCGAATGTAAGGTAGAACAAGAGCATGTAAAGTATAACAGCAGGGAATAAAATTCTGCTCATTAAAAATGGAGCATGACTAAGCTTAGTAACAAAATCTAAACCTTGCATACTTTCAGCAGCAGGTAAAAAGTACCAGTCGACGAGGGCCAGGCAAGTAAATAAGACGCTAAACATAGTAATAAGTTTCACAGACAGGTATTTTAAATTAATTTTGGAAACACGGGGAAATTCAAGACTGTAGACAAGGGAAGGTATAAGTAAGTAATCAATGTAGTTTAAAAGAGTCACGTTATTTGGATAAATGACATTTCCAATTTCACTTCGTAATGAATGATCGAGATATTTCATAGTTAATGCAACAACTTCATCAGCTTTGATAGCATTAATCTTCTCTGTATGATCCAGATATTCCAATTCATAAGACACTGATTCTGCTTCGTTTGATTCGTCTTTAAGACTGCTTCGAATTTTCTTCGAAAGATCAACATAAGTTTCATGTAATGTACGAACTGTGCTCATATAGCCAAGATGGTGGGCGTACGAATGTTGCTTCATAACGAGAACGGCACAATGCAAAGTGAAAAAGAGGCACTGTATGACCGGAAACTTTCGATGAATGACCCAACAAACAGCTAGCAGTGTAAAACATGCTTGCCAGGTGAGTTGAATGATATAGCCAGTGTTGGACCACGCAATGTATCGCTTTACTATACACCATTGCAGGGCAAAAGAAAACAAGGTAAAGAGAACCATAACAAAATCAGAGCCAAATAAAACGAAGAACTGACGAAACACAATTCTGGCAAGCGGTAACCCGAGAATGCTGTTTCGCAACCAGTAGCTTTTGCCGTATAACTGGACAATCCAAACAAACAGAGAAAGCCAAAAGAGAACATAAAATCCACGAAATTCATTTTTTAAGAATGTTTGTGGAGTTGTGACGCGGTCGAAAATTGATTTACGAGGTTTAAATTCATAATCATGGTATACTCTTCCAGAGAGGAGCAATTCTTTGTGGCTTTTCAAAGAGAAGCTGCAATTGACAGGTTCATTTTTGGTTTCTCCTTTCCCTTTCTTTTTCATTACCAAATTGCATTCTGGCAATGCCTTTAACAGACTTACTGTGGGGTGAATACTTTCGACATTAATCATAGAACTATCTTCACTTAACGGTGAAGGGGACGGTGAGAAACCTGATTTCGCCATGATATTTCAATAAGTAGCCTTTCTAGTACTTTTCTTGTCGGTTTTCCAACAAACACTATCAATGATTTACAAATACCGTTGATTCAAAATACTTACTTAGAGAATAAATCAATCTTAATTCTCTTTTTGAGTCTAAAGAAGTAAAAAAAATAAAAGATAATAACAAACAAGGTACTTGGAAGAAGTTAACTAAGTCATCATCCATGACTATTTCTTCGGACTTTTGGGTGACGTACGCTAAAGTCGTTCGAGTTCATAACCATGTATGGTACGGTATAGGTACAAGTTTTTATGAAGCAAATGATTGAATTCACTTGCTTAGAAAAGCAAACGTTTTTCTCATATAATAAATATTATTCCTCAGATCAAATCGTGTAAGTACAGAACTACTTTTTTCCTACTAGGAGTCTCACGTCATTCCCCATATTTTGTTTCTTCGAAAACGACCCTCTAATATAACTCGTTTCTGCTTTTTTTTTACATATACCCTAATTGTTCAAATAAGTCTTCTGTTTACTATTCGTTTATGTCACTTTCGTGTTACACACATCTGAGTTTTTGAAAAATTTTTACAATTACATTTTAGTTGCATATGGTTTCCCTCGAAGGAATCCTACCAGTCCTGTTGTTGTAAGTATCATACTCTTCCTATTCTACAGGTATTATTTGGCAGTCCTTCATCATGGAGATTCAACATTAGGTGGTTGTGGGAAACCCGAATATCATATTGACGCTCATTTGTTTATTTGTTTATTTGTTTACATCAACGTCATATGTCAACACTGGTTGTACTTCGCGAGTTTGTTTATCAGTGGCACAGATAAGACCTACCCTAAACTGTTGTCGATTAGTTTATTTACTCACAGCGTTTAACCTCCTCCAACACCTTTTGGCCGGATCTCTTTAAGAACTTATTTTAATTCAAGTCGGTCTTTTTCATTTTAATTGTATTTTATTCGCTTCTTTCTTTTTACTTTATTCGTGAGCAATTTATTTCCATTATTCGCCAAGGGTAATATAATTATTTACTTTTATATACTTTGAACGCGGTTTTCTTTGAACATTAATCTTATATTGTAATCTGTCGCGTTTTATTTCCTAATTCTTTCGGTAATATATTTGGATTTCCTTTTCATGGAAGCATAGATTATCTTGGACTTTACTTAATTTGAATAGTTATCTCTTACGCATGTTCTTGTTGGTGGAAAAATAGCTTTTTGCGTTTCTAAAATTTCATAAAAAGTTTAATACTCTCACTTTCTCTCTCTTTACTCAAGGAATAACTCTCGTTTGGTTCTAACCTCTTCTCTTCTAATCTTCCTTTCTTTCTACCCTCAATTTCCCCATACCCAGTTAGTTTCATCATGATCCGTGGTCTTCTCGCTTTTCTAACAATTCTCTTTCTTTTAATATCTACTGCTTTATTAATTATCGGCAGTGTTTCTATCCCTGCTACCTTTAAACTCACATCCAAGATGATGCTGGCAAAGTTGAACGGTAATCTTCTGGGTATTTTTGGTACTTGCTCAGACAATGGTCAAAATTGTTCGAAAACAAGTTTTGGCTACTCCATCGATGATTCTTTGGTTCAAGAATTTTATTATAAAGGAGACAAGCGCTATATCCTTTCCAAGGTACTGATTACCCATATCATTGGCTGTGGTATGTCTTTTCTCAGCGCGTGCCTCGTCTTTCTTTCGTTTTTTGTCGTAAAACAGTCTTTGAATATCTTCAATATTCTGTTTGTTTCTCTCACTACCTTAGTTACTTGCTGTGCATTGGGTGTCGAGCTTGCTTTGTTTTTGCCTCACAATACTTGGCAATCTTATGTTGTTGCCGGCGCAGTTGGAAGCGACTTACTTGCATTGTTGAATCTTTGCTTCCGTAGCTCTTCCATTTCTCGTATGCATACACACAAGAACAAAGAAAAAGCTGTTCAGTCTAATGCGACCATGGATAGCTTATCAGCTTACAAAGAAAAGGATAATTATCCCCTTACTATGGATGACAAGCTTACTAACGTTTCGGCTACACTTCCAAAATTTAATGATGCTTTGACATCAGCTTCCGATTTGGGGCCTCCTTCTGAACGTGGAGACTCTTCATTTAAGAAAGGCACATCTGCGAGCGTCCAAGAAAATAGCCTCTCTTTAATTACTCCCACTGGCACTAACTCTGGTTACTCAGGATCTCGTGATAATCTTATGAAGATTCCTAGTTACAACGATAATCCTTATGCAAAGTCTTCTGCCTCTAATCTCAGCAATAATGTCACAGGATCTTATACCCAAGAGCAAGATTACAGGGAATATTCTCCTCATAAGACCGGTAGAGTACCCGGATTTCCTCTTTTGAACACGAATAAGCAAGGCAATTATCCTCTTCTGAGTTCAGATCCATTTTCGAAATCTGACTCTAGCCCTACCAGCAGTGATGATACCTATTCTTCGTTCTTTGATGTTAATCCGGATTTGAGATTAGCTGAACCCAGAGGTACTCAAGGACAGCCATCTTCACCCGTTAACGAACATCCTCTTTCTGAGAAAGCTACTCGACCATTTGCCCCTCGGTCCAATAATATTCCAAGTCGTGCTTTAGATGCCAAGAATACCAAACTTCCGATGAAAGCGACTCGACAAACTCAAGTTCCCGATGTTCCGATTGAGAAACAGCATTCTCGTCCTGGAAGCGTAAATGGTTGGAAACCCCCAATCCCCGGAAATGTAACGAAACCTATAAAGAACTTATCCAGAGAAAACCTAAACATGAGTTTGTCTTCTGAACCCAGTGTACCAAATGCTCAGCGTCACAGAAAACCTGCATCATTGAATGGTTCGTTCAATGACTCGTCTAGCATTCCTCCTCCTAGTGCTATGGGTGTACCTCGTCCATTTAATAAGCGACCTGCTGAGAAGCCTGCTAGGAATACAATGGAGAGATCTAGAAATCATTCTCAAGCCAGTCTTGCGTCTGCATTTTCTGGTCCGTCAATCCATCCAACTATGAGTAAAGCAGAGATTCGCAATCCTGCTAATCTAGCACCCGTTTCGAGTACATTGGATCAGTTAGCTGGCAATGCCGATTTTGAACTTCCCCTTCGAGGTGGACGTAACAATAAGCGCAGTGATGGTGTCAGCCGTATGATTCGTTAAATAATGTATGAATTTCGAATTCTAACCCTTCTCAAAATCCTTTGAAAATATTTCAAAAGATATAGCTGTTTCAAATAGAAGCTTTCTATTTGATGTTTCTATTTCTTTTTTGTGATACTTCTTCACAATCGTCACTGGTCGTCAGGAACGACTGGTTCTCTTTATGTGTAATTTAATTTACTAGATACTTATATAGATCATCAAAGGATATACCCGTTCTTTGCTTAATGTATTTATTCCGCAGAAAGAATGAAGTCGCGTGAAGTTTACAAGAGTATATATTTGTATTTTGTATTGATGGTGCATGTAAGATGTGTATAAGTGGATATAACAGTTTATAACTATCTATATTTATAGTGAGTATAAATAACAACGACAAACAAGTTTAACATATGGCAATTGAATAGAAGGAAAGGGACATGAAACTTCTTGTAAAAAGATCTACTCCTTTTCGGGTTTATTTTGAACTTTCTTTTTTTTGGGTGATACCTTCTTCGGTACTGCTTTAGCGCTTTCGTTTGGTTTGTGTATTGAGTCTGCTATACTCGTAGACGAGGCAGGAGCTTTTGTGTTTTTCTTTGGTTTTGATTTCTTTTTGCCAATACGTTTTGGAGGAGCTGAATCTTGTTTCACTGACTCTTTTGACTCCAAAGATTGAGAAGGCTGGCCGGTTGAATGATCTATGGGAGAAGCTTGTTTCGAGGAAGAAGCTACCGGCTTGCTTTTTTTTGACCTTTGTTTTTTTTCCTTCTTAGATTTAGTAGGTTTCGGAGAAGCCCCGGTAGCTCCACGTTTCTCTGCTAAATAATGAAGTAACGGAGTTGAAGTATTTTGTATGTAATGAGAAGGCGAAGGAGGTGGAGGAGGTATTAAACTCTCATTCCACTTATCCACAAAAGCTTTAAAGACGGGATCATCTTCAATGGTTCCGTTTAAAGAGTCGGGTTTTGATTTAACAGGTGGGACTTTTTGAAAAGGAGCAACTAGTAGCAAAGCACGGTAGACATTTTCTGATAAATTAATAATAACATCTAAAAATGATGATTCCTTACCATCTTTGTCAACAAATACATGCCCTTGATAGAAGCGAAAGAAGTCATGAACGTGAGATTCTGATTTGAACTTTAGGTAAGCAAAAGAAGGAATATTCGGTTGAGGTCTAATAAAAAGAACAAAATCAATTAATTATAAATGAAATAAGGAGAAGACTTTGGAGTTCACTTACGGATTTTGCCTTTTTCCCTGGTGATACCGGTGCCAGTTTATAAAAGGATGAAAAGACGCTATGGACTTTAGGAAAATTTCTTCTGGTAGCGTTTCCGGGAGATTATGAACGAGTATTTTGCATGGTAATCGTGTTTTTCCAGATGTAGGAGGAACCATGTGAAATTGTAATATGCGCAGTCAGTGAAGAGGATTGATGAAAGCATACTGAAAAGCAACCAGGGGAATACTAGCACATTTTCCAGTTAAATAGCTGAAGACAAAATGGATTAAATTATGTATCTAAATGTTCCTATGAAAACTGAGTGAAACTTTTATTTGCTTCAAACAATATATTATGTTAGCGCAAGTATAGGAAGCGTCAATCTTTAGTTATTCTCAGTAGTATATCATAGATGTATCAAAGAACTGTTGTTAGTATAAAAAAATAAAGGTTTAGAGAAATGATTTAGATTCTTTTACGAGTACCAAAATTACTACTTAACACCATGAGGATTTCCAAACCTTGGGATACTCATTAGTATTCTTTTAAACGTATAGTATCATAAAATGAACTAAAAGATTGTAGACTTCGGATTTCGTCCATCTCTTTTGTTTAAGTCGGCATCGTCAATTGGAGCATGAAATCGTAAAGATGGTAGACATACTAAAACTCAAGAGATATATACTGCTTGCTCTGTTGACACTGTACCGTTTAATGGGAAAAAAAATATTAGAATCTCATATCCGTTTCATGGTAAGAAATCCTAAGGCCCAAAAAGCTATTCGTCCTTTTTGGATCTGTTCACATAGCATTCTACTACAACAATTGATTGAAACTCTCTTATGTCCCGGATTTACAATTGATGTGTTAATATATGGGTTTATTTAAAATATTACTAATAGTTTCTAACTATACTCATGTCCTGAACTTTTCAATAGTATATTAAAGGCAACAACCATCAGTCGCATTGTTTGTAAATCGCGACATTTCGCTAAAGGTTTGACGAATATGAACGTCATTCCTTTGTGTGGGGAAGTTAGAGTAGGAAAACAAAAAACACTTGAACAATTTATTTTTTCGACAAACTGCAAAAAATTGAGTAAAAAGATATTTAGTTAGTTTTTATTGAATGCAAGAGACATCTCTCCTCTTTCGTCTGCCCTCCTTGATTCCCTGTACGATGAGAAAAAGTTTCGTCATCCAATTGTAAGTAGACCAACCTTTTTAAAAATTGAAAAGCATACCAGTTCTTAACTTGGTTTAAAAAAAAAATAGGAATGTGTATGATTTTTTTATTTCGTTCAACAGCCTTGTTACGAAACCTCCATAATTAGAACAAGAGCATTTCAGGATAGTAAATACCTAATTAAGTTCGTTTCAGATCATGTCTAAACTTCTATTGCATGAAAATTAAATGAAAATTCTATTGCCTTTCGAGTTTGTTTTATTCTCTATTGTTCTACATTGTTTTTCTTTCATGTTCTATTGTTTACATATTAGCGTCGTAGAAGATACTACCCTATTTGGTTCGCCTCTACTACTAGCGTCTCGTCTCTTCTCGAAGTCTCCAGAGGGCAAGGGTTGTGAACCTTCCAGAAGCGAAAGTTCTTGTATAAATTCACTTTGTCTTTTCACAAACAACCATTCTCTTCAAAACTAGAATTGGAAGTGTAACATTATTTACGAGCCAATTTTTTAACATTACTTGAACGATACAATTTGCATCACTTTTCTGCGTCTGATATATTTGTCGCATTGTTTACTTGATAGAGATATCAATTGTATACTCGCATATTTTGTTTGAGCGATCGCTTTTACGAATTTTTAACGACTATTATTTACGAATATGAGTAAGTCTATCGGAATTGATTTGGGTACTACCTACTCTTGTGTTGGACATTTTTCCAACAACCGTGTTGAAATCATTGCCAATGACCAAGGTAACCGTACCACTCCTTCTTATGTTGCCTTCACAGACACTGAACGATTAATTGGTGATGCTGCGAAGAACCAAGTTGCTATGAATCCTCACAACACCATCTTTGACGCTAAGCGTTTGATCGGTCGCCGCTTTACTGACGCTGAGGTACAGTCTGATATGAAGCACTGGCCTTTTAAAGTCGTTGACAAGGGTGGCAAGCCATTGCTCCAAGTTGAATTCAAAGGAGAAACCAAGACCTTTACTCCAGAAGAAATTTCTTCTATGGTCTTACTGAAGATGCGTGAAGTTGCTGAAGCATACATGGGAAGTAAAATTACAGATGCTGTCGTTACTGTTCCTGCCTACTTTAACGATTCTCAACGTCAAGCTACCAAAGACGCCGGTACGATTGCTGGTATGAACGTCTTGCGTATCATTAACGAACCTACTGCTGCCGCCATTGCTTATGGTTTAGACCGTAACACTCAAAAAGAAACAAACGTCTTGATTTTCGATCTTGGTGGTGGTACCTTTGATGTTTCCCTCTTGACCATTGAGGAGGGTATCTTCGAAGTCAAGTCCACTGCTGGTGACACTCACTTGGGTGGTGAAGATTTTGACTCTCGCTTGGTCAACCACTTCATCCAAGAATTCAAGCGTAAGAACAAGAAGGACATCAGCGGTAATGCTCGTGCTGTTCGTCGTCTTCGTACCGCTTGTGAACGTGCTAAGCGTACTCTTTCTTCTTCTTCTCAAGCTAGCATTGAGATTGATTCCATGTACGAGGGTATTGACTTCTACACCTCTATCACTCGTGCTCGTTTCGAAGAATTGTGCTCTGACCTATTCCGTAACACCATGGAGCCTGTCGAGAAGGTTCTCCGTGATGCAAAGGTTGACAAGTCCTCTGTTGATGAAATTGTTTTGGTTGGTGGTTCTACTCGTATCCCTCGTATCCAAAAGCTTGTTTCCGACTTCTTCCACGGTAAAGAGCCTTGCAAGTCCATCAACCCTGATGAGGCCGTTGCCTATGGTGCTGCCGTCCAAGCTGCCATCTTAACCGGTGATACCTCTGAAAAGGCCCAAGACCTTTTATTATTGGATGTTGCTCCTCTTTCTATGGGTATCGAAACCGCTGGTGGTGTTATGACTCCTCTTATCAAGCGTAACACTACTATTCCTACCAAGAAGTCCGAAGTCTTCTCTACTTACTCCGACAACCAACCTGGTGTCTTGATTCAAGTCTTCGAAGGTGAGCGTGCTCGTACCAAGGACTGCAACTTGCTCGGTAAGTTCGAGCTCTCCGGTATCCCCCCTGCTCCTCGTGGTGTTCCTCAAATCGAAGTTACCTTCGATGTTGATGCTAACGGTATCTTGAATGTTTCTGCTCTTGAGAAGGGTACTGGTAAGACTCAAAAGATTACCATCACCAATGACAAGGGCCGTCTCTCCAAGGAAGAAATTGACCGTATGGTTGCTGATGCTGAGAAGTACAAGGCTGAAGATGAGGCCGAAGCTGCTCGTATCCAAGCCAAGAACCACTTGGAATCTTACGCTTACTCTTTGCGTAACTCCATGGATGATCCTAACTTGAAGGACAAGGTTGACGCCTCCGACAAGGAATCCATTGACAAGGCTGTAAAGGAGACTATCGAATGGTTGGACAACAACACCACTGCTGCTAAGGATGAATACGAAGCCAAGCAAAAGGAATTAGAAGGTGTTGCCAACCCCATCATGGCTAAGGTTTACCAAGCTGGTGGTGCTCCTGGCGGTGCTCCTGGTGCTCCCCCCGGTGCAGCTCCTGGCGGTGAACAAGGTCCTGAAGTCGAAGAAGTGGATTAAAGTGTGGTTAATACGTGAGACTAGACAAGTTTTGAACTTTGCATAATGTATTTGCATATTCTTTACGGCTTAGTAGTCTAATTTGGTGTTTTGAAATTTTAATGATACTGCGAAACTTTTATGGGTTTATTTTCTTAGTTAATGAATGATTAATCAATATAATATTGCATGGATAAAGCTCTAGTTTGAAAGACTCCGTAATGTAACGTTTATATAGATCATTGACTGATGTGAACATATTAAATTCTACTACTCTTAAGTTAGTAGATATGTTGCTCCTATACAAATTATATTTTGTGATAATAGGTCTAAACGTCCAGACGAAATAAATAGTACGCAAACGTACTGCTTTGGCGTTTTATAATTAGCTAACATATTGGTTAAACATTTATGGGAGTTATCTGAGAACAGTATGATGAAGCAATCGAGTAATGTTGTTGATGCTTTCGACGAGCTATTCATCCGTATTTATTCACTGCGAATTCAATTCATTCAAACAATGTAAAGTCTTTGCCAAAAAGTTAAAATAACGTTGTTTAGCTTTTAAGTAAAGCAGGACAGGAATCCAAAATTAATAAATATTTTTAAAGTGAATTAAGATAGCTAATAATATGATTGCATTCTACTTGTTTCTAGGAATATCATTAACTTATGTCACAGATGATTTGTCCTTGCAATGTGAACAAGTTGTCAACGAAAAAAGGTATTAAAAATTTAGAAAAATTGCTATCAAATAGGATACTTTGGCATTACTTAGATTCAATTCCCTCAAGGGTTCTGTTTCACGAGTCGAGTTCTAGGAGCAACTTTTTTAGCTAGGTCAGTCAAGTGATCATTTTGGAAGATTTGACATGTGTTTCCAAAAGTTCTCGTGATTAAAGAACGACTCCGTTTAAAGAATTTTCTGTCTATATTCGACTTTTTCTTCTAACAACTTTGTTTATTCATTTCAATAAAAAACCGTTATTCTTATATGATAACTATATCAATAAATCTGTAATATCGTATATGGGTTATGACATCGATAAACAAGCCTACAACACGGAAGTATCCTACTTTTTTATACAAGTGGAGACAATGGAGCCTTCTCGTTTTCGACCTGACTGGTCCAAAACGGTTCCTGAATTGGACAAACGTCTTTGGCGCTTAAACATTGGGCCAGATGGAGGCGAAAGTTGGGAATTTCTTACTAGCGAAGAGGAAGCAAAGTCGCGTCCGCTAAGCTTTGCAGAGAAATATTTCCTCGGTCTGGATTTAGAAGATGCGCCAAATGTACAGCCCGCGAAGACACCTTTGGAAAGTGCTGTTCATGGATACGAGTTTTTTCGTCGTCTGCAACTGAATGACGGACATTGGGCTAGCCCTTATGAAGGGCCGATGTTTCTACTACCAGGTATTGTTTTTTCGTTCTACATTACACAAACTGCTTTCCCAAGAGGTTGGCCAGAAGAAATTACTCAGTACTTGGTAAATCATACAAACGATGACGGAGGTTGGGGAATTCATACGGAGGGTGCATCTACAGTATTTGGTACATCCTTAAACTATGCCGTACTTCGTATTCTAGGCATGAAGAAAGATCATCCAATTGCTGTCAGAGCACGGGCCTGTCTTCATAGACTCGGGGGTGCTATTGCTAACCCACATTGGGGAAAGCTTTGGTTAGCCACGCTCAACTGTTATGACTGGAATGGCATGAACCCAATTCCACCTGAATTATGGCTTCTACCAGATTGGGTCCCGGTTCATCCAGGAAGATGGTGGTGCCATGCCAGACAAGTTTATTTACCAATGGGTTATTTATATGGGGAGCAGTTATCTTGTCCTATCAACGCCTTCATACGTGAACTCCGTGAAGAGCTTTATGTTGATGATTATGATTCTATCGATTTTTCCAAGCATAGAAACACAGTATATGAAACTGATTTGTGTCATCCACATACAACAGTTTTGAATTCTTTGAACTGGTTAATGGATAAGTACTTTACTTTTGTTCGTCCTCAGTGGATAAGAAAACTAGGGACAAAGAAAGCTTACCAATTGATTCAACTTGAAAACGAAAATACAGATTATGCTTGTTTGGGTCCTGTGAATGCCGCGTTGAATACTCTGTGCGTTTACTATCAGGAAGGACCAAGTAGCAAAGCATTCCAAAAGATTATACGACGTTTACATGAATTTATGTGGGTCCAGCCTGAGGGGATGTTAATGCGAGGAACAAACGGACTTCAAGTATGGGAGGCATCCTTTACATTAAATGCACTAGTTGATTCCGGGTTATGTGAGTCAAAGATGTACCAAAAAGATATGATCAGAGCTTTAGAGTTCTTGGATAGGCAACAGGTATGTAGCTATTTATCGATTTTTATCTAACCTTTTAGATACGAAATGAATATGCGGGAAAAGGATATAGGCATAATAGCAAAGGTGCATGGCCTTTTAGTAACATTACACAAGGTTACACAGTTTCGGATACAACATCGGAGGCTTTGCGAGCAGTATTAAAAGTGCAATCTCTTCCTGAATTTGGCAAACCAGTAAGCCTTTCTCGATTAAGAGAAGCTGTTGACGTTCTATTGCTGATGCAAAATAAAGACTTTGGATTTGCTTCTTATGAGCCGGCAAGAGCGTCTGAATGGTTAGAACAGTTGAACCCCGCTGAAGTTTTTGGCAAGATCATGGTTGAATACTCTTACCCTGAATGTACAACATCTGTGGTCCTTGCTTTACGAGCGTTTACTCTTTACGATGAATCTTACCGTCGTGAAGAAATTGAGAAAACAATTCGTAATGCCTTATCATTTGTTATTAAATCTCAACGTCCCGATGGTAGCTGGTATGGTAGTTGGGCGATTTGTTTTACTTATGCAGCTATGTTTGCAACCGATTCCTTAGCTACGGTTGGTAGATGTTATGAGAATTGTGATGTACAAAGAAAGGCTTGCGAATTTCTTTTGTCTAAACAAAGGCCGGATGGAGGATGGAGTGAAAGCTATATGGTAAGCAAGTCAGGATTGCTATTAAAATTTAAACTAACATTAATAGGCATGTCTCACTGAAAATTACACAGAAACAGAATCTAGCTTAGTAACGCAAACTAGCTGGGCTTTGCTAGCTTTGATGCATGCCAAGTACCCTCACAGAAAGCCAATTGAAAAAGGGATTCAATTCATTATGAAAACACAAGCTAGCAATGGAAGCTGGAAACAAAATTCAATTGAAGGAATTTTCAACAAGTCGGTAGCTATTGCTTACCCAAACTACAAGTTTTATTTTTCTATTCATGCTCTAGGGTTATTTGCAAGACAATATGGAAATTATATTTCCGAGTAAAGAGTAATACGCTCGAATTTTTTCAGATGAATTCTCGGGTAATTGAGATCCTAAAATCCGTTACGATGATCAATAACATGGTAATGTTTATTGTTTCGCCTCAACCCTTATTAATATTTCTTAAGGCAAGTTGATGATCGGTACGATTGATATGAAGTTTCAATATAACTACCTCAATTTATCGTCATGATATAACTAGTTTTTTGTAAGCGAGCTATAAATCACGAATTGATATCTTATGTTTAACCAAGTGATTAAGTTACTCGAGAGATATGAACGCTTTTCTATTATCATACACTTCAACTAGTGAACACACTGATGCTCATATAAAATATCATTAACATATTACTTTGAAAGTTAGGCGTGCATGCTTTGTCAGGTCTGCGTCACGCTTATGGAAAACTTTGATCGACTCTCATTTACAAGTAAAGTTATGTCTAGTACTAATTACTAGAATAATACGATGCATATAGAGTTTATCTAAGTGAAGTATACCTTTCCACCAGACATTTAACAATGGAAAAAATAGGACAGATGGTTCTGAAGACCAACGTAAATACATTCGCGATACGTTTTTCAAATACTAGAAAGATTGCTTGATACACTAAACACAGTCTTAGAAGTATTCATGAAATAGTGGCGTATGATCATGCTAAAAAAGATTGCAACGCAGTTAAACTAGTAGAATCTGGCGAGCTCTTGACTTTGATGCTATGGTTTCAACCGATTTTCGTCGACGACTAGAAAGACTATATAATGGTCGAGTAAATTATCTCTTTTAATACTGAAAGCAACTGCACATTCGTCGATCAAAGTTATGAAATGTTTTTAATGAAACGGATATTCAATATTAACTTTCCCATCTAAACACAAATTATGGCTGGATACCGCTTTATTCTACGTGCAGATTGCCGGGGATAAGCAACAATTTATTTTTTATTCTTTTTCAGGAATAAAGAAAGAAAATTATCTAAAAGAATTCTCTACAATCATGTCTGATTTATGATCAAGCAAATGCTGTACACTATCTGAACAACTTTGTATTATTTTTTAATCATATATTTCCATAACAGAAAATATCATTAATATAGAAACTAGGCTGGTTATAAGTGAAACAATGAACTGTATTAGATTAAAGACCACAATCATTAGGAACCCAACAGAAAGATAACTTCCGATTATCTTGATACTGAAATAAAACTTACTGATATTTATCCTTCTCAAAGTTTCTCGTTCACTAAATTCTGGATTTCTTTGTCAGGACATAAACGTTTCAGTCGTAACCATAGCTTACTTCTTGAATTGCGAAAACCATACCACCATCTTGGGCTATTTCTTAGATGACAGACGGAGCATTTTTACAATCGGTAAGTAGTAAATATTGAGAAAAAAATATAAAAAAGAAAGAGAAAAATTTGGTTAAATCGCCCCCCGCTACTTAGTGGTGACCCAGAAAAACTTTTTTAAAAAGTTTACAAAAAAACGCGAGCTAACAACAATTATCTAGGCAAAAGACTTTTTTGCTGGTGCAACTGGAGGTATAGCACAAGTTTTAGTCGGTCAACCTTTTGATTGTGTAAAAGTTCGTCTTCAGTCTCAAAGCTTTGGCTCTCCACTGTACGATAATGCTATAGATTGTGTCAAAAAGATATCCAAAAATGAAGGTCTTGGGGCATTTTATAAAGGTACCGTGACGCCGCTCTTAGGAATTGGATTTTGTGTTTCCATCCAATTCGCTACATATGAGTATACCAAACGATTTTTCAGTCGTAATGGAAATCCCATGTCGGTACCTCAGTTTTATACTGCCGGTGCCATCTCTGGATTGGCCAATTCGCTCTTAGTGGGTCCTGTCGAGCATATTCGTATTCGTCTTCAAATCCAGACGGACGCCAATAAGTTGTATAGTGGACCATTGGATTGTATCAGGAAAATCTCTTCTCAATATGGAATAAAAGGAATTATGAAAGGGTTTATTCCTACTGCCCTTCGTGAAGGTCATGGTTCAGGTGTATATTTTCTGACTTATGAAACGTTGATAAAGCGTAGCATGGAAAAGCATCAATTGAAGGACCGTTCTCAAATTCCAGGTTGGAAACTATGTGTTTTTGGTGCAGCATGTGGATACTCGATGTGGATATTAGCCTATCCTTTCGACATTGTCAAGTCTAAAATACAGACTGACGGCTTCTCATCGAAAGCTATTTATAAAAATGCCTGGCAATGTGCTCAAGGAATCTATTCAACCTCCGGTATGAAGGGGTTTTATAGAGGCTTCATTCCAGTTATTGTACGTGCAGCTCCCGTGAATGCTGCTACATTTTATGTTTATGAAACCGTGTCGCAAAGTGTCCGACATCTTTAAGGAAATTCCATTCCATATTTAACTATAATCATTAATACCTCCTCTCCTTTCAAATAGAATAGGATAATTAGTTTTTTTTTTCATTAAGTTCAGTATGTTGTAAATACAATATGTTTTCTTGGCTGTTAGGTCAAAAACTAAACTAAATCATGCGATTTCATACTCAAAGAACAGCTAGAAAAACGAACATAAGACATGGTAAAATAGAAAAAATAATAAAGACAGTGGTAGCACAGATACTAGATTAAATGAAAAAATGTTGACAGAAAAAAAAACTTAAATATTTAGAAGCATCAAGAGGGGGGAGAAGCAGGAGCAGGTAATGATAACTCAGAAGAAGAAGACGGAGCCAAGGAAGGGGAAGAAGTGTGCAATGGAAGTTCAGAACTGGAAGAAGAGGGGGAGGAATCAGACTTTAGGCTTTGATCACGAATGATCAAAAATCGTGATATACGATCGTCCTTACTTAAATCAGACATTCCAGTACTGTAAGCACCAAAATCGCCTTCTGACTGTTCAATTGCAGCAGCACGAGCTTCTCGGTAAAACTTCGAATTTCTGTAGTTTGAATACACCGAAAAGATGATAAGTAAAGAAAGGATAGCCGCAAAAACTATCATTCCCTCGTCGTCTTCCTTTTTAAAATCACCCTTTGCTTTATGATTTTGTTCAAAATCAAATGAGTTGTAGTAATATTCTTCCCAGCTTCCCATTCCAGAAGAGCGGCGGTAACGAGAATACATAGGATATCTGGGATTCGCCGATGGTTTAGGAGAAGGTTGTGAACCAGACAGTTGATTCCAGTGGAACCCAAAGCGGTCATACTCGAGGCGCCGTTGATGATCGGTTAGCAAGGACTTTGCAGCTACCAGAAGACGGAAGTATTCTTGCCGGTTCTTTTCATCAAGTGCTTTCAGAGCAACATCCTCAGGGGACCCACTTTTGTTCTTGTCTGGGTGACGCAGCTTTACCAATTCTATGTATTTTCTCTTGATGTCAGCTGGAGTACATGTTCTCGGAAGCTCCATTATTTCGTAAGGAGTCAAGGATTTCAAATTTTTAGGCGTAAATGTAGTAGCACTTTTTCGAAACCAGTTCAGTCTGCCATATCTGGAGAATTGAGAAATAAAGTACTTCATGACTGCAACATTGGCTTCTCAGAAAGAACTAGTAAGAGGAAGAAGTAAATTGATATAATATAGCTAAAAATTTAGCTAAAAAAATGAAAACGATCAAATATAGACTCCGTATAGTCTCTTTGGACCTGGACAATGACGGTATTTACTTGGGTGCCAGATTTGTAGAAATCACTGCAAATTGTAGCTAATCTGGCGAGAAACAAAGCCAGTTGTTCATAACTTCTAAGAAGTAGTACAAATTTTTACTTGTTCACAGGAACAGGCGGTTATCGTAGTTAATAGGAAAGTGCTTTTACACTTGAGCATAGCCCACAGTAAACAATGAGTTAAATTCAAAACATTCGGACGAACCAGTACGATGATTTAAGAAACAGATATCACTCTTTTTTACTTTTACGCTATTAATCTAAAGCATTGTCGTTCATCTCACATTTGAAACAAAACAAATGTAAGTCAGTGACTAAATAAATTTTCAGTGCATAAACATTTCATTAACTATATTATTCATCTTTTAATTGCTTTTTATGTTTCTTTAATTTATAGACAATGGTTTGTTTATGTGTTTACTTGCATCCTTCTCCCAAATAACACTATTAACAATTCATAGCGCAATATAGTATAATGCGTAAAACCGCATCCCAACGAGTTTGCAACTAGAGAGTACATGGTTAGGAGGACTTTTATACAGAAACAACGCGCCAGGAGAGGAAGCTAAAGGAGAGTCTTCCAGCCGAACGTTTGGCAATTCGTTTGTAGCAATAATTTTGAATTCATAAAAAAAAAATTAGTAAGTGGAAATATTTGTTCCTCCGAAGAAGGGTTGCAAACTAAAAAGTATTGTTCGGGATTCTTCCGTTTTATGAGTCGATTTGATTGAATCAACACAACTGTGAAAGTATTTTGTTTTAAAATTTGTGACTCTATTCGTTTTGCATGGATAAATAGCGACCCAATATGACGAATCATATACTACACTTTTTTCGAGCAAATGTGCGATTGAACTATCGTTTCGGATGCTCGTCCTTCCACACAAGTGGACTGCTTAGAAATATTTCTTCAAAAGACGAGTCTCATCCAGAGAGTCCGGAGACTGCTGCCAAAGAAATTCCGAAGTCTGATTCTTCTGGTGAATCCGTCAATTCCAACGTCGCTTCGCAACAGCCAGGACCATCTAATTCCGAATCTTCTGACCAAGCATCCTCTCCAGTAGCTCCCGAAATTGTTTCAAAAGAGATGCGCGATACTAAGAGTCCTTGGGAAGAGATGGTCAGAAAATTCCAACAAGACGCTTCTTTACAAGAAGACTATATAAAAAATCATCCCCTCTCTAAGCATGCATTAGAAAATGCTAAGGGTTTACGACAAACCAATTTACATGTGCAATATTTTTCTCCATTTGACAAGTATGTTCGTCCTTTAGATGAATTTGCCAATTTTCAAAACTTTGACGAATATAATGCGTTTAATGAAGAAAAATTTAAAAATTATACTCCCCCGATAGATGCTTTCCGCGGCAAGCCGCCTTCGAGTCACGTTCCATTCAGTTATGGGGGCACAAATCAGGGCGCTACCATGAGTGATTTTTTGGTGGAAACTACCGGTGTCCCAAAAAGTTATTTGCAATCGTTCGTTTTTGTTCCTTTAGTTATTCGTCGAGTCGTTAACCAAACCCGTAAGGGTAAAATTCCCAGTATATATGTTTTGACCGTCGTTGGTAATCGCAACGGAGTTATAGGTTATGGTGAAGGAAAGGCAGCCAATTATTCATTATCGTATAAACAATCTTGTGCTCGTGCGGTCAAAAGCATGAAAAGTATTCCACGATACGAAAACCGTACTGTGTATGGCAACTTGCATAAGAAGTTTCACGCCGTCCACCTTACTTTACGCTCACGTCCCGCTGGTAAGTGATATTATAATTATTGATTATGTATTTTATGAACAACTACTAATACTTCTTTAGGTTTTGGCTTGCGTTGCAACGCTATCTTGTTTGAAATTTGCCGGTGTGCAGGTATCAAAGATTTAAGCGGTGATGTTATGGGATCTAAAAATGGCATGAATGTTGTGAAAGCAGTATTTGAAGCTCTACACGAGCAAACACTTCCGGAAGATATTGCTTTACAACGTGGTCATAAGATTGTTGATGTTCAACGTGAGTATTACAAAGGTTCCCACTAAATTTGAGAAGTGTCATTTAATTTCTACCATGTGTAATATTTGAATCTCTATTATTCTACTTATGACTTTTCATTTATCCTTTCTTTCATATATTCTTTTGTCAACAAGAATTTGCAATTCTAAAAAGTACTCGTTATAATGCATTTAAGATCACTTTATTATTTGATTCCATAATATTAATAGAATTTCTTTTACACAATGCATTGAGATTCCCTAAAGTAATATACCCTACCCTATGTTAGAAGTACAGTCACAGGAAACTCGAAACGGAAATTATCTACTGGAAAAAGGGAACGACACCACCAACACTACTTTGCAGGATGGGACGTGATATCTACAAGGACGAGACTTTGCCAATCCCTAAGGGTGTTACCGTTGACATTAAGGCCCGTAATGTCACCGTCACCGGTCCCCGTGGCTCTCTTAGCAAGAGCTTGCGCCATATCGACTTGGAAATGAAGAAGCAAGGCAATGCCATCAAATTCATTGTCTGGCACGGTTCTCGTTTGCACAACGCTTGTATTCGTACCGTCTACTCCATCATTAACAACATGATGATTGGTGTTACTCAAGGTTTCCGCTACAAGATGCGTCTTGTCTATGCACACTTTCCCATCAACATTAACTTGTCCGAAAACGGTAGTGTTGTTGAGATCCGTAACTTCTTGGGTGAGCGTATCACTCGTGTTATCAAGTGCTTGCCCGGTGTTACCGTTTCCATGTCCTCTAACGTCAAGGATGAATTGATCATCGAGGGTAACTCTTTGGAAAACGTCTCACAATCTGCCGCCAACATCAAGCAAATTTGCAATGTCCGTAACAAGGATATTCGTAAGTTTTTGGATGGTATCTACGTTTCTGAGCGTGGTAACATTACCGAACTTGAGTAGACTTAATACATACGACTTGTTTGGCTAAAGTGTCTTGTTAAAAGATATCAAATTTTGTGCATATAGAAATTCAACGGTAGTATCAAGTTACAAATCTTTTAGTAGGTTACTTTTGTAAAACGACTGGGTTACTAGTATATGTGTACGTTGACAAGAATTGTATATTCTAATTGAGAACGTCAAGATATAGAACGTTTAGGATATCGTAAATGATTAGACACTAGTTTGAGTAGAGACCGATTGCTGAATACGAGCTTGCTTTTTTAAGGCACGCTTGCGAACATCAAGATGCATTGCAGCAACTTGGTTTACTACTAAATATTTAACACTTCCAAGCAGTTCTTCCAAAGACCAGCTCATAATGGCATGACTAGGATAAGGTTGACTGATATAAGGAGCGCTTCCACCACGTTGGACATTGATGCTGCCCAAGGCTTCACGGACAAATGCTTTGGGAGTAGGAGTAGTGAAGTTGGGACGACGGATCTTTGACATGGATGATACAACAAGATAAGAGTTATAGCACCAGACGTCAATACCTTCCGGTTTAACTTCTTCGGCCATAGATGCAGACCAGTTGGATAAAAATGCCTTAGAACCGGCATATGTACTCAAATAAGGGGAAGGAATGAGACCCGCGAATGAGCCCATAGTTAAAATCAAACAACGAGGGCCCTTCTTGTCTTTGCGGCGTTGTTCAGTCATGATGGGGAGGATGGCTTTCGTGGTATGAAGAGTTCCGAAGCAGTTGATATGCATGATGTTGTCCATCTCCGTCTCAGGTGTTTCTTCAAAGCTGGTAGGCATAACGTGGGACTGGCCGACATTATTAATTAAAACAGTAATAGGCAAGTCTTTTAATTCTTCAGTAACTTTTTCAAAAGAGACCTTGTTTGCTTTGGAATAATCTAAAGCGATGGTTCGTGTTTGAATTTTAGCAACGGTTTCGAGTTCCTGAGCCAAAGCAGTCAACTTCTCTTGAGTACGGCTAACTAAAACAATATTAAATCCACTAGTAGCAAGTTGAATAGCATATTCCTTTCCAATGCCATCGGTAGCGCCAGTCACAACTGCCCAAGCACCCTGTTTGGCACCATAAACAGTAAGCTATGAGATCAGTTAGTAATACAGACCAGAGCTGAAGGTCTAACTAATGAAATACCTTCGTTCCTTTAGCAAGATAATTGTTGTAGAGGAATTGAGCAAGTGATTTGGCTTTCAATAAGGTAAATACAATCCCGAAAACGGAGAAAATGGTAACTGCCGTAGAGCAACCGGAAGATGGAGCAACGTCTAAAATTGGATTAGCATTCTCTTCTAACAACCAAGTTTCTAAAACAAAACTTACTTTCAACACTCATATTGCAGTATTGCTAATGGCATGCTCCCTCGAGTTCATTAGTTTACTTAGCTGGTCGGTATACGGGTCTATAACGTTGTCGTTAATCTCATTTTAGGTAAATTAACAATTACTTTCTTACAAAACAATGGTTTTAAATGAATATGAGTAAGACAGAAATCACGGTAAGAATAAAAGTATTATACTTTGCGAATATCTAAAGTAAGGATAGAGCTCGATGTTCACTCAGGCAAGTATGAACCGACATAGCAAAGAAGACTGTGAAAAGCAATTATGCATATTAACGTAAAAACGGTAAAAGAAGGATATTTTGTTAAAGGAAAGTTTCAGCCATTAACAAAAGTTTCGTACTTGATTATATAACTTTCAAGTAATGGTAGCCCTTTTGTGAAGTCAATTCCTTTTGAAACTTTAGACAGAAACAGTGAAGAATGAAGAGGATATAAAGTATTGTATACTTATCCTTAGAAAAAATATTTTCGGATTCAAAGCGCAAAGAAGGTGGTATACGCAAGTGGTCTTTGTGAATATTAGGAAATCTCTATATTTATAATTCCTTTTTGAAAACGTAAATCAAGGACGTGAAGCCATGCCTGTATTTATGCGGTATATGATTACCTCACCTCATAAAATCGTAGCAGTCTTGGAGACATTAACTTAGACTAGAAGAACTGTTTTTTAAACTCAAATAAGTTGTCCAGACCATTGCCATTGCATTCACGAATACAACTTGAAAGACAAAGGGAATAAAATTGAAGTTGATAAACTGTGCAGCTGGCCATAAAACATAGTTTGCCTTGGTTAATTAGCATTTTCATGAAAGTTCTCTGACGTATGTTTCTAACGACGAACCTTTAGAGTAGGATAATAGTTTTTTTTGAAGAAAGTCTTGATCTTGTCTGTTGATTTGCATTCGGTAATGCCCTATCGTAACGATTAGAAGCCTATCAATTGGTGGTTTTCCAGAGGTATAGAGTAGAAAAGATACACATACCATAAACAGAAAGAAAAACCCGAGACCAAATGGGGCAAATACAAGTTGATCAATAGCTACTCGAAGTAGATTACACAAAAATTCATTTTCTCCTTGCACAACATTCTCCAGGCTTGCAAACCAATGATACTACCGATTTAATAAGTCAGAAAACACAAAGACCAAAGTTTTTCATGTTAACCTACCTGAATTGGTGTAAGACACAAACCTAGAGAAAGGTTAGCTTAAGCTGACTCGCATATAACAGAAGCTTTGAGGGCTCAATGTCACACTTACCATAGAAAGCATATCGGACTGTTCGATAAGAATCCAGTTTATTCGTTTTTGCGGGCAAAAGGATCGAGTTACCGTACTTCTCCAACGTTATGTCGCGTTTCTTTTGAAACTCCATTGACTTGTAAGAGTCTACGGCCTGCGCTACCAAATCCGATATGGAACCCAAAGTAGCATTCAACAATCCCAATGTTAGAACGGGATGAAGTTCATATTTAGCGTTGAAATGGTATACAAAGAATAACAGCAAACATGTGCACACAACCAAGCCATAGAAACTACAGCGATTAGTATATTTTTATCTACCAGAAATTAAAATGCTTACATGGACTTTTCCATTAACATTCTCAATATTTTTAGGGCACTTGATGAACGAGAATAGTGGTACTTTGTGTAGGTGATCTGATGGAAGATTTATTACGTAGCATTAGTAAATACAAAAAGTTGGTTTTGTAAAACAACAAATATGAAGACTATCTGCTTTCAGGTTTTATAATATTAGTTAATAAACTACGCGTTTCTCTTAATTGTTCTCTTTCGTTTTAAAACCATGTGCTGTCCTTGTGATAGAACGTTGTAGCAGCTTCTTAGAACGTAGTGGTTGCAGAGACATATATTCCTTTTAGATATTATCATTAAAAATCTTGGACTAATATTCATCCCATTTTGTTCATTTGAACATTATTTTTTTATTGTTTTATTGATTCTGTGTATAACATAAGAATTTGTTTACAAATTTGAGTAATTCACTGGTCTACTGTATCGGCTATTGTGAATTTCGAAAGCACGCGCAAATTCGGAGGTGGGTACAGATCCCAAGAAAAGAGCATCCAAATTGTGTCGTTTATCCAATTGGAAATTCTGCTTGGGAATTTCCTTTAGGTACGCTTATTATTAATCCTGAATAGAAAAGTGTAAATTGTTTTTTCTGAAGCTTCTGTGAAGACGTGAAAAATCATACATTGACGCACTTTGCCCCAATGGAATACCTTTTTAGAAGCCCAGTTGATGTTGATATTCGTTTGGACAATGAAGAAGAGCGTTCTTTTGTAGATATTGAATTCGAGCACGGAAGAAAGGACAAGGCTCCAGTTTATGGCAGCGATGAATCTGTAAAAGGCGCGGTATGTATCAAAGCAGAGGACAGTAGTGACTTGAAGAGGTTTCTCAAAGGATCCTACTTTTTTTCATTGATTTCAATTGCTAATGAGTATTTTCGGAATAGGTTATGATTCGGTTGAAGGATGGAAGAAAGTTAGACCATAATGGAATCAAGATTGAATTTGTTGGATGTATAGAAAACACATATGACAAAGGAAATGTTCACGAATTTACCAGAAGTGTGCAAGAACTTGCTTCTCCTGGAGAAATGCGACAGGCTCAAATGTATGAGTTTGAGTTCAAACATGTGGAAAAGCCATACGAATCGTACTTTGGAAAGAACGTCAAGTTGCGTTACTTTTGTAGAGTTACAGTAACGCGAAAAATGGCAGACGTAATCCGGGAAAAAGATTTATGGGTGTACCGGTATGAGAATGAGCCCGAGACGAGCAATCTCATCAAGATGGACGTTGGTATCGATGATTGTCTACACATTGAGTTTGAATACAGTAAGAACAAGTATCATTTACGTGATGTGATTGTAGGGAAAATTTACTTTATTCTTGTCCGAATCAAAGTTCAGCGCATGGAAGTGAACATTATACGACGAGAGACGATTGGGACTCCACCGAACCAGTATAGCAATAGTGAAATCGTAACTCGATTTCAAGTGATGGATGGCAATCCGAATCGTGGAGAAACGATTCCTTTGCGCATGTTTTTAAATGGATACTCATTAACACCTACTTTTCGCGACGTCAACAAAAAGTTCAATGTACGCTATTACTTGAGTTTGATTCTCATTGACGAAGATCAACGACGTTACTTTAAACAATCGGAAATTACATTGTGGAGGCGAAAAGATGAACAAGGAGTCGTTGCATAGTTTGTATTTTCAATGAATGAAACACAGCTCAAGGACAGGATGCTAGAGAAGTAAAAGAGAGTAAAAATATCAACGATAATTGGACTGCTTTTATCCCTCTTTTTCTTCTTTTTTTTGCGCTTTCTTTCATCTTGTTCTCTTGAAACCATACCTTCTATGAAAACACGACTACAATCTTTTTCATGATCATGATTCCTGTTAATACTAATGAATATGTTGTTTTCTTATCTTACGAATCAGGAAGAAAAAGTGGAACTAATAAATTAGCCAACATTTTCAATACGAAATAGTACGTACAGAACGAAGCGCACAAGTAGGTCAGTAATCAGTAACTAAATAGGCATATACATATCTATATCTAAAGGAAATGTGAAAAGCTAAGCTATAAAATGAACTTTTAGTATTTGTGCTTAATATCCTCGTCCTTGTCTTTCATGATCTTCTCAACCAAATCATATGCAATCTTCTGAGAAACCTCAGGAGAATTTTCGATGTTTATAGTATAGGCATCCTTTTCGTCCTCCTTGGGGGCTTGCATATCGCGTAGTTGGCTGTCTACCATGTCAGCTTTCATGTAGTGGTTCTTCCGGGCTTTGGTACGCTCGACCAACACCTCTTTAGAAGCCATCAAGTAGAGGAAGTGGACACTTCCAGGACGGTGCTTTAAAGATTCACGGAGGACATCTCTGTAGGCCACCTTTAATGCTGAGCAAGTCATAACGAGCCCTTTTACTTTTGGGTCATCCAACTGCAAAGCGCACGCACCTCCGCAGTTATAAAGCCAACCCCAACGGTCTTCATCATTTAAAGGGTGGCCGGAACTCATTTTCTCGACGTTTGCCTTGGGATGCAAGTCATCGCCTTCGATGTAATCATAGTCAAGCTTCTCAGCTAAAAACTTGGCCATTGTAGTTTTTCCTGAACCAGAGGGTCCGATGATGAAGAAAACGGCTTTCTTGTCCAGATGTTGAGGGTTCAGCGACATTATTTTAAAAGAAATCTACGTGTCCAAGAAGTATAGGATAAAGAAGTTTCAATAGAATGGTACTCTTTAATAAGTTCAAAGAGTTATGAAAGAGTTAAAAGTGGTAGAAAGGGAAATCAAGAAAAAGCAATTTTTTTAAGGATCCAAAGAGATGTTTGGAAAGGAGAGAATGTGCTGATGTATTCGCGTCGACACTATTAAATGCTGCGTATTTGACTTGTGAAAGGAAAACTCTAACGGAATAGCGATGGAAAACGGAACCAACCGCCTGACGTTTGAACAACCCTAGCACCAATGTCATAGGTAGAACCACGTCATATATTGCGGAGAAACACACAGCGTGAACGAAGTCTATAAACAATTAAGTTGGGATCCCGCATCGGCTGTCACTGGGATCTGATCGTGATAAGATTGTGAAAGTGGGGAGAAGGAGACAAAGAGACCGTGTATGTTGTTAGTAACAAAGAGAAAGAAAGAGACAAAGTGAATAGACTGTGAGAGGAAAACCTTTTTAAAACACTAAACATTTTCATTACTTGGAAAAGGAAAGAATGTATAAGATATCCTTGCAACTCAAAGACATCATCCAATTCTTACGACGTTTGGTAGATGTATGTACATTACGTATAGATAGGCTAAGTATTATACTACATACCAAGAAAGACAACGTGGCCGAGTGGTTTTAAGGCGTTCGCCTGCTATCAAGTAGCCCAGCGGATTCCCTTTGGGAGCGCAGGTTCGAATCCTGCCGTTGTCGTCAAGACTTTTTTCCTTTTTTTTCCAGGCGTTTCTCTTTAGAAGTTTCTTTTGTTTAGGAATCAATTTTTTTTTTTTTTTTTGTTAAATTACTAAAGAGTAAAGTTTATTGAAAAGTTTTTCTTTTTATTTTTCTTTACTTTTTGACTTAGGACTACTACGCTTTGTCATTGTCATAGGGAATATACCATACTCTGTGTTTTTTCACTCTACTCTGCTAATTTTGTATAGGACATTCCAAGCCATCTCAACACAGAAAGAAAGGATCGAAAATCCATGAAAGTTTGAAAAAATACATGAACCCCTAAAAGAAATCTATTATTTTAGTTTGATACTTTTCCTTTATGTGATTATCAATATACTTCTTTCTTGTATGCATTCTTGGAATTAGGATTTATTTACGCAACTGTGTAGCAATGTTTCTTGACATTTCCCATTCAAAGAAGACGTACAACATACTACTATGTTTATGAAACCTGCTTTTCGCTTGTTTTCAACAAGCGCAGTTTCTTTCTCCGATTCGGAAATCTTGCGCACTTTGCAACCTCCTCGTGTAAAGACCATATGGAACTTGTTGATGCATAGGACCAAGGGTCAACGCGGTGTCACCGATCGTTGGGACCAAATTCGCGATGTGTACTCTAAATTGGGCCCTGAAGAGGTAAACAAATTCAAACAAGAATTTGAGAGTGAGTATGCTGCGAAAAAGAAGGAGTTTGACGATCACCTTCGTCAATTCTCTTTAGCTCAAATTCGTGAGGAAAACCGTCGTCGTATGAAAGAGTTGAAGCCTTTGGGTGTTAACTTGCAAAAGCTTCGTCATCCCGACCTCCCCAAGCGTCCTGCTGGTGCTTTCAATCTATTCTTGTTGGATATTATGAACAGCGAGTCTCTCCGTAAGGAAATGGGCGTCCCTACCCTTAGCCCTTACTTGACTGAGAACAGCCGTATGGTTAGTGAATCATGGAAGAAACTCTCGGAGCAGAAAAGGCAAGAATATGTCAAAAAGGCCAAGGACGCTCTCAAGGAATATCATGAAGCTTTAAAGGCTAGTGGTATTCGTATCAAGTAAAGCTCCTTAGGACATGAACCCGTCTAAGCAACCATTGTTATTTTGTTTTTTTTTTTTTTTTTCGGTTTCAAAGTTGACTTGACTTGCTTCTATGATTGTTTTCCCCCCAATGATTATAAGTATAAGATTTACGAATTGATTACGATAAATGCTTTGCTATTGTATAAGCCTGTTACTTTACGAAGTATAGTGGTGAAAAGCTTGTGATTCTCTAGTAACTAAATTTTACATTCTTTTTCACTAGTGAATTATATTATATTTTATTTTATTTTATTTTTTTCCAATTTAATATTTAATTATCAAAATATAAATGTAAGAACAACAAGAATGCATCAAAGCGGTATTTATAAATTGCACATTTGCTTTTAAATATTTTGTGTATCCATGACTGGAAAATCAAAGATAATATTAGCTTTTTATGTAGGGAATTTTTGATCCAAAAATGGATGTAGACAACCATTAAATCTCACCACGGTTGACGATCAAAGCTTCTAATGCAGCTATGGTTGTCCACTTACGGTTTTCAGCTTCTGGGAATACTAAACTGTTTGGTCCGTAAAACACAGCATCCGAGACTTCCTCTGGGTGACGGGGCAAGCAATGCATAAATTTACAGTGAGGTTTTGCTAGCTGCATAATCTTCTCCGTAACCTGGAAACCAGCAAATTGTTTGAGACGAACTTGACGTTCAGCCTCTTGACCCATGGAAATCCAAGTATCCGTAACCACAATGTCTGCATTTTTGGCAGCAGTTGCAGGATCATTGCCGACAGAAAACTTTGAATTTGATTCTTTGGAGCTTTCATGGACCATATCAAGAATGTCGCTACGAATCTTGACATCCTTTGGATTGGCGATGCTTGTTTCGATACCAACCTTAGCACAAGCAATCATCAAGTCATGCAAGACGTTGTTGGCATCACCGATCCAGGCGAGCTTCAAGTTCTTGAAACTACCAAAGGCCTCTTGGATGGTGAGCAAATCGGCTAATGCCTGTAAAGGATGGAAGGTATCACAAAGACCATTGATGACAGGGCAAGAAGCATGTTTGGCCAGACTGGCTACGTCGTCATACTTGCTAACACGAGCAACGATGCCTGCAACCATACTAGAAACCACCTTGGACGTATCATAGAAGGACTCATTCACACCCAGTTGGATGTCCTCTTTTCCCAAAAACATGGGCGTTCCGCCGAGACTATTAACACCGGTTTCGACAGAGACACGAGTGCGTGTACTGCGTTTGTTGAAAATCATGGCGATATTTTGACCTTCGAGTCCACCGAGTTGACAGTTTTCTCTGTTGGCAAATCTTCTTTTGGACTCATGTTTAATTTCAGCAGAACGAGTAATTAGCTTCAAGAGCTCTTGACGACTCAAATCACCAATGGATAGTAAATGACGGGGAAACTTTTGAAACGACATACTAAACGATACTTTTGTCTATTGTGATCCTGAAATCAACCAAAAATAAAACGCAAAAAAAGATGAACAAATCAAACAAAAACAACAAGCAAAATGCTAATTCCAAACGTTACAAGCCGAGAAATAATGAAATGCGAAAGCAACGTCAACGAGATGTGAATTTCACTAAATGTGATAGGTGAAATAGATCTAACAAGTCACTACAACAATATTGTCTTCGCTTATAATGTACCTTGAATTTTTGTCAATGGTTTTTTTTTTCTATTGTATTCAATAAATAAAAAGAAAAATGGAAATTTATAAACTATTTAAATTTTTTATATGTACCGAGAAAAAAAAAAAAAGTTATCCAAGTAGATCGAATTTTTGCGATCACTCAATCTATAAAACATCAGTAAAACAGAGGATTCGGGAGATGTTTTCAGTTTCCTCTTCATCAGTTTTTTCATAGCTAAAAACGATCAGTGTTCTTGTTTTCAAGATAAGATGTAAGATTTGATCCTTCCAATTTGTTTACAAACATTAGCAATTTTTCGTACATACATGATGAATTCATAGAAAATTGTACAAGCCTGATTGGAAATCAAGCTGATTATTTATTTGTTTTCTACCCTAAATTTTACCTTGCAACTAAAACTTTTGGACACTTATTCTAAATCTATCCATTTATTTATTCTATTCTTTTGTTTTTTTTTTTGGGTGTTATTATTTTACCAAAGCAAGTTGATCATGAGGATAGCTCATACAATAGCAGGTAATATAAATAAAAAAAAAATATATATATTTTTCTTCTTAAATCTGCAAACTACTATAGCCAACTTTCTTTATTTTATTCCTTTTGCAAATTTCCACCTTTGTTTATCATTACTGAAATTTTTTTATATGATGACCGTCATTACATCTCTGTCTAATCTGATACAAGATAAAAAGCATCCAACTCACAGTTCTGCAAACTACCACCACCAAAGACACATTTACGGCGATGCTTGTTCAAATACAGCAAGCAGCCAAGGCATCCGCTGTCAAGGGCTTGATGAAGCGCGAAATGTTAAAGGGCACTGCACGTTTGCGTCCTTTTGTGCTTTCTCGTCGTCAACAAAGTAATTTGGCTACTGGCCAATCTCAGCCTTTTGCACCTACCCCAAAGTACGTTCAGCAAGATCGGGATGCTATAGTTCGTATTTTGTCTTCTATTGGTAGCCGCCGAGAGGTTGAGCAATACTTGAGATACTTTACCTCGTTCGAAGCCCAACGCTTTGCTATTATCAAAGTCGGTGGTGCCATTATTACCGACGAATTGGACACCCTCGCACAGAGTCTTGCTTTTTTGAACCACGTTGGTCTCTATCCCATCGTTGTTCACGGTGCTGGCCCTCAGTTAAATAAGATTCTGGCTAGCCGTGGCGTTGAAGCCGAATACAGTGACGGAATTCGTATCACAGATGAGGAAACATTGGCCGTCGCTCGCAAAGTCTTTTTGGAAGAAAACGCTAAACTTGTGGAAGCTTTAGAGCGTTTGGGTACTCGTGCCCGCCCCATTGTAGGAGGTGTTTTCCAAGCTGAATACTTGGACAAGGAAAAATATAAGTATGTTGGTAAAATCGTCAATGTCAACAAGGCCCCTATCGAGCATAGTATTCGGGCCGGTACTTTACCTATCTTGACCTCTATGGCTGAAACTGCTTCTGGACAATGTTTGAATGTGAACGCTGATATTACAGCTGGTGAGTTAGCTCGCGCCTTGAAACCCCTAAAAGTTGTTTATTTAAATGAAAAAGGTGGTTTAATTCATGGTGTTACAAAAAAGAAGATTAGCAGCATTTATCTGGACCGTGAGTATAACGACCTCATGAAGGAACCCTGGGTCAAGTATGGTACCAAACTGAAAATTCGTGAAATCAAGGAATTACTGGATACCCTTCCCCGTACTTCTTCCGTAGCCATCATTAGCACCAAGGATCTTCAAAAAGAATTGTTTACGGAATCTGGTGCTGGTACTATGATTAGCCGTGGTTTCAAGATTAATCAAACTGATTCTTTGGATTCCCTTCCTGCCAAGGCACTTGAAGATTTAATTTTACATCATAATGCCCTTCCCTCTCGCTACGCTAGTATCCAAGAATTCAAGGATTCTCTTGCCGATGCTAAACTACGCGTCTACAGTGATTCTTACAACGAATCCATTGCTGTCGTTGATGTCTCCAACCCAGAACTACCCGTCTTAGTTGCTTTTGGCGCTTACGACCGTAACTGGCTCAACAATGTTGTTGATAGTCTTCTTTCTAGTTTGCGTACAGATTTTAGTTCTTTGCTTTGGCGGCTTCATCCATCTACCAAGAATTTGGAATGGTTTTTTGAAAAGAGTGAAGGTACCCTTTTTGCCAATAACCTTTATTATTTTTGGTATGGAACAAGAGATCTAAATACCATCTCTAACTTTATCAAATCCGATCAGCCTTTTGCTTCTGCCTGCTTGTCATCCAACCCTGCCGTGACTGACCCCAAGGTAACCACCAACCTTGCCACACCTCCCAATTCCCCTAACACGGCTCAAAAACGTTCTTTCTCGACTTTTTCTCGTTGGAATTCTAATAAAATGATTCGTCCTTTCGTTTCTAATGTTGGTAAACGCTTTTACTCTGCAGAGGCCCAGAAAATCCAAAAGCCCTTGAAGGCCGTCTCTAATCAGCCATCTAAAGTTGTTCTTTTAGGTGCTCGTGGTCATACCGGAAAGAATTTGATTAGTTTGATCAATACCCACCCTCATTTAGAACTTTCTCATGTTTCTTCTCGTGAACTCAAGGGTACCAAGTTACCTGGTTATAACAAGAAGGAAATCAACTATGTAAATCTCTCTGTTGATGATGTTAAGAAATTGGAAGAAGAAGGTGCCGTTGATGCTTGGGTTATGGCCTTGCCTAATGGCGTCTGCAAGCCCTATGTTGATGCCCTAAGCTCCGCTAATGGCAAGAGCGTGATTGTTGATCTTAGCGCTGACTATCGTTTCGAGAATAGCTGGAATTACGGTCTTCCCGAGTTAAACGATCGTGTTGCTTTACGTAATTCCAAGCGTATCTCCAACCCTGGATGTTATGCTACCGGTTCTCAAGTTGGTTTATCCCCAATCTTGTCTCTTATCGAAGGACAACCTTCTATTTTTGGTATTTCTGGCTATTCCGGTGCTGGCACCAAGCCTTCCCCCAAAAATGACCTTAATGTTTTGACTAATAACTTAATTCCTTATTCCTTGACTGATCACATTCACGAACGTGAAATTTCTCATCAATTAAAGCACCCTGTTGCTTTCATCCCTCACGTTGCTCAATGGTTCCAAGGTATTACTCTTACTATCAATGTTCCTCTTAAGAAGTCTATTACTTCTCGTGAATTGCGTAACCTTTACCAAGAACGCTATGCTGATGAACCATTGATTAATGTTCAAGGTGATGTTCCTCTCGTAAAGGATATCTCTCAAAAGCATTATGTTTCTGTCGGTGGTTTCGGTGTCCATTCTGGAGGGAAGAGAGCTGTTATTATAGTCACAATTGACAATTTGCTTAAGGGTGCCGCTACTCAAGCCCTTCAAAATCTTAACTTGGCTTGTGGTTACGATGAGTATGCGGGTATTCAGTTGAACTAAATAGCTTAGCTATAAGCCATCATATTTGATTCCCTGCCCTTAGTAGATTCAAGATTGAGTTGTAAGATTTAGGATTTTAAAACAGCAAACCCATCTATGCTGAAATCTAATAATCTGGTTCTAACAGTTCTTTTTCGTCTATATTATAATTTCTTTATTTGATTTCAATTATTTTAGACCTTTGTTTTCTTTTATTTTTTTGAGTGTTGTTCTTTTGAAAGAGAATTTTAATAAAACGTCTCAGATTTGCCCCTTTTAATCAAAATTAGTTTTATATGTTATTTTTCGTGTATTGACACTTTCATGTATAGTGTATACCACTAGTTAAATTGAATGTAATCAAAATTTATACTTTGTTATTTTTTTTTTTTTTTTTAACATTCACAAATATACATATAATTTATAAATTCCATGACTTTAAATTTCTTTGATGTTTATTCTCGAAGTCCTTGTGGTATTCATTCTGCCTGGAAGCATCAATCTTGCCGTCCACCATTACTAATAACAGGAACTCAATGGGGTTGAAATCGTCGCAGGAGCCTGGGAAAAAGGAATCTATGTCAGATACAGGACCGATTGAAGGCGATAAAAGTTTTTCTGCTCTTTTACAACCAGTCTACAAAGGAAAAAAGCTTGCAGATCCTGTACCAACAATTGAAGACAAATGGCAACTTTTACCGGCATTTTTGAAGATTAAAGGTCTTGTGAAACAACATTTAGACTCTTTCAATTACTTTGTCGATGTTGATTTGAAAAAAATTGTTCAAGCAAACCAGAAAGTTACTTCAGATGTCGAACCATGGTTTTATTTGAAATATCTCGATATTCGGGTTGGAGCTCCTGTACGTACCGATGCTGATGCTATTCAAGCATCTATAACTCCCCACGAATGCCGTCTGCGAGACTTAACCTATGGTGCAAATATTTATGTTGATGTTGAGTATACAAGAGGTAAACAAGTCGTTCGTAGAAGAAACGTGCCCATTGGAAGAATGCCTGTGATGCTACGAAGCAATAAATGCGTTCTACATGGAAAAACGGAATCGGAAATGGCCACTTTAAATGAATGCCCCTTAGATCCTGGTGGTTATTTCGTCGTTAAAGGTACTGAAAAGGTCATTTTAGTGCAAGAACAACTTTCCAAGAATCGTATTATTGTGGAAGCTGAGCCAAAGAAAGGTATGTTCCAGGCTTCAGTCACTTCTTCTACACATGAAAGAAAATCTAAAACTTACGTCGTTCATAAAAATGGAAAGCTATACTTAAAACATAACAGCGTTGCCGATGATATTCCCATTGTTGCAGTTTTGAAAGCAATGGGTTTGCAATCTGATCAAGAAATTTTCGAATTGGTTGCAGGTAACGAAGCTTCCTACCAAGACTTGTTTGCACCTAGTGTTGAAGAGTGTGCTAAATTGAATATTTTTACAACTCAACAAGCTTTGGAATATATTGGAGCACGTGTTAAGGTGAACCGACGTGCAGGTGCTGCTCGATTACCTTCTCACGAAGAAGCATTGGAGGTTCTTGCTGCCGTTGTTCTCGCCCATATTAATGTTTCCAATTTGGACTTCCGTCCCAAGGCTGTATATATTGCTGTTATGACTCGTCGTGTTTTAATTTCTATGGTTGACCCTTCTTTGGTTGATGATCGTGACTATGTAGGAAATAAGCGTCTTGAACTGGCAGGACAATTACTTGCTTTGCTTTTCGAAGATTTATTCAAAAAGTTCAATAGTGATATGAAGCTAAATATCGACAAAGTTTTAAAGAAACCACACAGGACGCAAGAATTTGATGCTTATAATCAACTATCGGTTCATGGTGATCAAATTACGCAAGGTATGGTTCGTGCTTTATCAACAGGAAACTGGTCTCTAAAGCGTTTCAAAATGGAACGTGCTGGTGTCACACACGTTTTATCACGTCTTAGTTTTATTAGTGCTTTGGGTATGATGACACGAATTACCAGTCAGTTTGAAAAGACAAGAAAAGTGTCAGGACCTCGTTCTTTGCAGCCTTCACAATTTGGTATGCTTTGTACTTCAGATACACCTGAAGGTGAAGCTTGTGGTTTAGTGAAAAACTTAGCTCTCATGACTCATATTACTACAGATGAAGAGGAAGAACCCATTATACGATTGGCTTATGCATTTGGTGTTGAAGATATCCACGTCGTTACTGGACGTGAGTTACATAGTAGCGGTACATACCTTGTTTATTTAAATGGTATGATTCTAGGTATCTCAAAATATCCAACCCTGTTTGTATCATCTTTTCGACGCCTGCGTCGTTCAGGAAAAATTTCACCATTTGTTGGTGTCTTCATTAATACACATCAACGAGCCGTTTTCATTTCTACTGATGGTGGTCGAATTTGTCGTCCACTTATTATTGTTCAAAACGGATACCCTAAGGTCACCTCTTCTCACATTAAACTTTTGAAGGAAGGGAAGTGGTCGTTTGAAGATTTTTTGAAGGAAGGACTAGTCGAATACGTTGATGTGAATGAAGAGAACGACAGCTTGATTTGCGTATATGAGAAAGACGTCACGCCAGAAACGACTCATTTGGAAATTGAGCCGTTTACTGTACTTGGTGCTGTTGCTGGACTAATTCCTTATCCTCATCACAACCAGTCTCCTCGTAACACCTATCAATGCGCTATGGGTAAACAAGCTATTGGTGCTATTGGTTATAACCAGTTGCAGCGTATTGATACATTGTTGTATCTTATGGTTTATCCACAACAGCCGATGGTGAAAACTAAGACGATTGAATTAATTGGATATGACAAGTTACCGGCTGGACAGAACGCTACTGTTGCCATTATGAGTTATTCCGGATATGATATTGAGGATGCTTTGGTAATGAACAAAGCTTCTATGGACCGTGGTTTTGGTCGTTGTCAAGTTCTTCACAAGCACTCAGTCCTTATTCGTAAGTATCCGAACGGTACCCATGATCGTATTGGTGATCCATTGAAAGATCCAGAAACTGGTGAGGTTATCTGGAAGCACAAAATTGTTGAAGACGATGGGCTTGCCGCTGTTGGTTGTCCTGTCCAAAATGGACAAGTGTATGTTAATAAACAGACTCCTACCAATGCCTTGGATAATTCCATTGCTTTAGGACAGTCTCAAACGGTGGAATCCGGATTCAAACCAACTCCGATGACTTACAAAGCCCCTGAACCATCGTACGTTGACAAGGTTATGCTTACTACTACGGACTCTGATCAAACTTTAATTAAAGTCCTTATGCGACAAACCAGACGACCAGAACTTGGTGATAAATTTTCATCACGTCACGGCCAGAAGGGTGTTTGCGGTATTATTGTCCAACAGGAAGACATGCCCTTCAATGACCAGGGTATCTGTCCTGATATAATTATGAATCCACACGGTTTCCCTTCTCGAATGACTGTTGGAAAAATGATTGAATTACTTTCCGGTAAAGCGGGTGTTATGCGTGGAAGTTTGGAATACGGAACTTGCTTCGGCGGAACGAAGGTGGAAGAAGCTAGTCGCGTATTAGTAGAGCGTGGATTCAACTATTCAGGTAAAGACATGTTAACCTCAGGAATTACTGGAGAACCCCTAGAAGCATATATTTTCTTTGGGCCTATTTACTATCAGAAACTGAAACACATGGTTTTGGATAAAATGCACGCACGAGCGCGCGGCCCGCGGGCGGTGCTGACGCGACAACCAACTGAGGGACGTTCTCGAGATGGTGGTTTACGTTTGGGTGAAATGGAACGTGATTGTTTAATAGCCTACGGTGCCTCTCAGCTTCTTTTGGAGAGATTGATGCTTTCCTCAGATGCTTGCGATGTTGACGTTTGTGGTGAATGTGGACTTTTGGGCTATAGAGGTTGGTGTAATAGTTGTCAAAGCACGAAAAACGTTGTTAAAATGACTATACCTTACGCAGCTAAGTTGCTATTTCAAGAGCTTCTGAGTATGAACATTGTTCCAAGGTTAGCTTTGGAGGATGAATTTAAGTATTAGAATAGTATGAACGGATTTTGGAATTTTTTGGGGTTCTCTTTTTTACAGGCATAGATTAATAACAAAATGATTATTTTTGAAGCGTTAATTATATTCTATTATTGCAACAGAAATCAGTATAAGACACTTCATATTTAAATAGCAAGGAAGTCATAATCTTATCGTGTTCCGTGACTGCTGAAATAAGCTATATTAGTGTGCCGTTTCACTCCTAGATTCTTTACACAACTAAAATCAAATGATGAATGAGAGCTTGTAACTAAGGTTTGAGCGCCCTAATCAGGTGTTCTCTCTCGCTCTGTTTATACTTTTTTCAAAAGCGTAAATGGATGTGTAGGACCTTGATGAAATGGCCTCCCTCTATCACCACCATTTTGAGGCCATATGCGATTCTGAGATTTAAAGGTTGTGTGCAAAAATGATAGGTAAACTAGGCTAAACTGGATATACTCAGCTATCATGTTAGAGTGGTAATGTACGTACAAAGTAAGATGTTTATAATAAAAATAAATTGTTAATGCTATGCTATTGGAATACGAACTGTGTTGGCAAGACCAGCATTAAAGTCAAAAATAGGAATTAATTGAACAAGTGCAAGTGTTATGCTTGGCTATGTAACCAGACGTGTGTTCTCAAATGGTTTTCTATATGGGCGAGTATGCAAATGACCATTATTGAAATGTAACAGTAAGGAAAGAGGTTATGCTTTTTAATATAATGAAGAGTCAAACATTATCGGTAAATGATGAGTAATTCTTTGGTCAATGAACAGCGACTCTTGTAATAAGCAGTGGTGTGAAATGACCCTTTTGGGCAATACTGCTGCTGTACGACGTAAGACGACGCGTTTGGGATTTAATAAGTCGGGACTGCATTTGTTTTGTGATTTGTTCAGGTTCAAGTTTGTTTGGAGTTTCTTTTGTTTCATGGACAACCTTCTTTCCTTGGTCGTAAAATTGGATCCCCTTGCTTTGACGGTTGGAAGAATCAGTGAAATGTGTCACAGTGAAATTATGAACAGCCTGAGAATAGATATCACAATCCGTGAGTTCTTTTAATAACTGTCGTTGTATAGGCTTGAATTCGTCGATGGTCTCTTTGTCTTCGAAGAACAGCAAGTCCTCATCGGAATACAAAAAATCCGTTACAGAGGTTTTGCACTCTAAGATTCGTGTTTTCACGTTGATATACGTGTGCAGTGGGAAACGAGACCCATTAGATCCAGCGCAGACGAGCAAAGTCAGCCAGGCCATGCAATTTGAACTACTTGCATAAGGAAAAAGCTCAGCAATATTTTTGTTGTTGACTGGAATGCTTCCTAAACATAAAGGCTTTTTTGCTTGTATATAAGAAATGAAACCCCGTGTGGCGATGGTAATCCAGTCTTTCGAATTTGTAAATTTGTAAATGTCAGAAGGACAAACAAAATACAGACGGATGTCGCCTAGTTTGCGTTTAGCTGCTTCTACTTGGATTCTAGAATAACGCTCTTCCGTGCAATGAGTGTCCATGTACACTTCAACAGCTTTCCATAAAACATCCTTCATAGAAGTGGGATAGTAATGATACAACATAACATGATGAACCAAAACGTTAAGTGGTGCACGTCCGCTCAGTAAAAATTCCGAGAGTTCTCGATAATGACTCTCAAAGGCATTGAACAATTTGGCGCAATTGAATTTCACAAGCGGCTTATATGGCATAAGCTCCATAATCTTTGGTGAAGTAGACATGCCCAGGTTCTTTTCGCAATAGCAGGATTCTAATAATATCCTGCCTTCGTTATGAGGAATGGTGTATACCAATCCATTCGAAAAAGGATTCATGACTGTGCAATATGTTTTCTTCCAACTAACTTGGACACCGGCATTTTGGGAAAGTTGATAAATCCAGCCTTGGTGACTGAGGGGACTTAAGTAGCCATCATATGGAACATTAAGTTGAAAGTAGGGAATTTCGTGAACAGGAAGAGATGGAAGTCTGACATCTGTTGAAACTGGTTCCTGGTCTTTGAAGATAGCAGATTCGTCCACGAATTCATCCCATTCCTCATCATCATATGAACCCGGAAGACAACAGCTTATGGTAGTGAGCATTGATGTAACCATTCCAGAAAAGCTAAAGCCTTTTGGTATGGGGTTTACGTTTTCAGGTGAGGTGTCTTTTTTCGTAGGACAAGAAGTGTCGTTACACTGAAACATTTTTAAATAACTTGGATTTTCCTTGTTCAATTTTTGGAAGGACATATTCGCTATCTTCGGATATACAGCATAATCTATTAACTGAGCAAATTGCCTATCCTTCTCTTTACCCTTAGAGGGATGCAAATGTAGTTTGCTTTCGCTTTCGACCATGGTGTCAATGTATAATTGTTCCTTTAGATTGCCGTTCCAATCGCAGCTACGACTCTTTAAGCTGAGCAGATGCAAAAATTCTTGCTTTATTTCTCGTCAAAGACAACGATTTGCAAATAGGAATTGAATTCTATCCTTGTTAATGGAATAATGTTGGATTGTTCTTTTAAAGGAAAAATTCACATATACCGTTCATTATTTATATGACGGTGTCATTACTTTCATTGTCACACGATCGAAAACAAGCCTCTTGGTAAATAAACAAACTGAAGGAAAAAGGGATTTCTAAACAAACTACCTAGTGCTGACTGTAATACTCCTGCTCTTTCAATGTTGTACATATCTTTTTCTAAACATATATATTCATATTATTTTGTATAAAAATAGCAATTTACGTCAGTGCGATTTTAGGTGGTTGTTAACGAAATCATTAATACACTGCTTGTTGGACCTTTCTTATGCTCAATTGAATAATATTTCACTTCTTTTATAAATGAAATAAAGATAAATTTCATTTGATGAAGGGTCTGTACGTCTTTTTAAGGACATGTTACTTCTTATGGCTTGTTTGTTTACAGACTATAGGAAGAGTGATCAAGTTAAGATTAATTGTATTGTGCATTTCTATAGGTACAAAATAAAAAATGGATGAATTTTTGCATGTTTATTCTTGATTTTCTTGCTCAGGTTCATTGACGAAGGGCTGGGACTTGAATTCATTTTTAGGTCACTAATTTGAGAAGAATAACCCGTAAGGATAATCAAGTAAACATCTTCTTTACCAAAAAACCTACAATTGGGGCTGCTTGATTTAATAATTAGAGTCGTCCATTGACATAGACATGGTGACCCTTGCCAGTTTTACAACTAGAATAAACAATGGAATCACGTATCAATGTCTCACGGAATGAAGCTTTAGTTAATTTGTGATTGTATAAAAAAAATCATTAGAAGATCCTTTTTAAGGGTTCACTTTTCCATGGCTTTACCTTTCCCAACTGGAGAGTTATAACTTCCTTCCTAGCGCACTACACCTACACGCATATACGAAAATGCCAGAAAATAGCGAAAAAGCTGACATGTACGACCAAAACTCTTCGATAATTTTATTAACAAAGAATATAGTAAAGGGAAGGGACGAGTCACAGAAGACTTTATTCCAGATATCGAAGATGTTGAAGACGAAGGTGATTTTGAAGAATTGAGTTCATCAGACGAGGATCCCTCTGAAGCCTCAATGGATGAAGATGAAGAAGGATTTGCAGATGGTAAGCTTTCATTCAGGATAGTGAATTGTCCTATTATGAATCGACGAATTTGCTTGCTAATTGAAAAATCATAGAACCTGAAGATCTGACCGCTATCGATCCCACCAACATTACTTGTTCCTCCAGAACACGAAACAAAAAGATAGATTTTTCTAAAGCACTCCAAGAAGACGATGGTTTAGAAAATGATGAAGAAGACGAGGATTATGTTCCTCAAGAGGATACGGTATAAAGCTTCCCGTTTTTACGATATTCAAATAGATGATTACCAAATCAACGAATATGGGTTAAAAATCTAGGAAGGTTAGTCTTCTTCCGAGAAGTATACAGAATCCTCTTTGTTTTCAGTAATCGGCTGTTGCGAAACCAATCCTTTATGTCTTTGTCTTTTCCACCAAAAGTGCTATCTTTTGTCCATGTTTATATCCTCGAAGAGAAACCATATGTTTCCTCAGAAGCTCTGCTAGTAATCGCTTTTGAAATGGTGTAGCGGCATATAACAAATGCTGGACAATATAGTTTCCATATTGGCTAGATGCAATATCCATCAACAAGATCCTTCCCCATTTATCTTGCGGTTCTGTGATTAGCGCAATGTAATCATTAAAAAAGGTCCTATTGTTCATTCGTAACGCTCGTTCAACCACTTTCGATGCATACTGATTTGTACTGTAAAATTCAACGTTCCGAAGAATATCTGAGAATACTATCTCTTGGTCATCTTTACTTCCATGCTCAATGATATGTTGAATAACCCAGTTTCCCCATTGTCCGCTGATAATGGAATGAGTATTTTCAATTATTTCATTAAGGCAAGGTCGCTGCAGCGGTCAGTATTTATCTTGCATCAAAGTTAACATACCTTTTCCTGTTCTTTACAGTTTTCAAAAATTGTTTGCACAACTAAACTACCCATCTCGCTCATAGCGATTTGAGTCCAGTTACCTGTCAGTTTTTCATTAAATGTATCCATTGTCCCTATTGCACATGACTTTCTTCTGGTCTCCAAAAACTTCTGCCATACGTGGCATGAGTGCCTCTGCATCAAAGTCTCTGGTAATTGCTCCATTAATTTATTTATTAGGGAGCTTGCAAAATTTTCTGGGTAGATTTCAAAAGACTTTTGAACAACGTGAGAGCCAAATGCGTTAGTTGAAAGCTCGCTGATATGGGCCATCAGCTGTTGAGCAAATCCCTCTAGCTGTTGTTCATCGCACTGCTCAAGACACTTTTGTATCAAAAAATTACCAAACTTGTTTGTCATAAGAGTGTATGAAAAAGGAAGTATGCATTGAATAAGGGCATGCTTCATTTTTTGGTCATCCGATTTCAGTTTTTGCTGCAAATATAGGGACGCCGACTGGTCATTCCTGAAGATGATTTGTTCAATAACGGACTAATGCTGTTAATATTTTCATTACGTGTTAGTATGACTTACTTTCCATTTGTAGTTGTGAGAGCTCACTTCTGGCGTCTCTGACTCTTTGCAACTGTCGTTGCTTTGAGGTTTATTCGTGCAAACATTATTCGCGGGGCGTGCTGGATTCTCCAAACCCTTCTTAAAAGACTGACTGCCATAAAATGCTTGGGAGGAGGCAGCAAAGGGCTGCAAAAAAGGAGGACCAAGACTGAAAGGATCGACTGAATGGTCAGGTACCCAAGCGGAGGAAGTACTTTGTGAGTTCAGTCGTTGATTTGACTTGTATTTGTTGAGACCAAGTAGTAATTTGGGTGGGTTATCAAACGATTGATCCAATCCGGTCTTGATCTGCTTTCGTTGGGATTTACAGTCAGAATAATTCCCATCTCTTGGAAACGAAGTTGCTACGTCGAAATCTTCCAACTCCCGATCTTTTGGTACCACTCCTTCAATTTCAGCTGACAAGCTTTTCGGCAAAAGATGTTCAGGGTTGTAAATCGTTGGTGAAGTAGAAAAGAGCTTCTTCTCTAAAGTCAACCTCTTTTGTAGATCTCGTACTTGATCACCCTTTTTCTGAACTTCGATTGCTGAAGAAGCAATTTGTTTCTGCTGTTCCTTTACTAAGCATTCAAGGTACTCAATTTGGGATGCTAGCTGACTCATGTCTTCTTCTTTTCCTCGAAAATCAGGAAGCTGATGATTAAGTCCCTTAAAATCGCTGGTATCCTCCTTTCCCTTCGGCATTCTTTGGCTAGTCAGTAATAGATTTTGTGCTTTATTTAGTCTTTAGAGAACAAACGAAAGCAAAATCTATTTTCCTTTCTTAAGATCCTAAATGAAAAAAAATAAAACACTTAACCAAGGAAGCATGTGGGAGAATCATGGTTGTTAATACCTATTTGTTTATATGGTACGTAAACAAAAACATTCAATGGACGGCGGCGCCGCGTCTTTCGTCCTTTTTAGCGAAACCGTATATCACATATCACAACATTATTCATAATTAGAAGTTTTAGTAAGTTCTCCAAATTTTTGAAAATGTCTCAACATTAGGATACTCTTCTTTATGGAAAACAATAAGAGTGATTCGCAAGAAAGGCCGCTCCTTCCAGATAAGAAAATTGAAATATTTTTCAGCAAATGAACTTAACCGGTTCTTCTCTGTAAATCTTCCTTCATTCCGATTCCTTTTTCCGACAATTCATTTACTAAAAACATACCCTCATTCTTTTCATAGAATTGTGTGCTTGGTTTAGACATCCGTAAACCATTTAAAGTGGCTTAATTGCATATCGGTATTTGGCGGTATATATAATTTCTTACTATGCTACCAACAACTTGTACTTAACATATTTTCTCATTTGCTCTGCGTTTGAAAAAGGGATTGGCGCTGCGCAATTGAGAATTGCTCCGAAGTTATCGCCCATTTACGTTGTAATCTAGTTTTCATTTGTTGCTTTTCTTGCATTTTGCTTAATCGTGTAGCCAGTGTTTTTAAATTTAATAGTTTATTCCTCTTACAATATTGCTTTTTTTTGTATATAAAAAAGAAAAAACAGAGTTTTAACTTATTATAAAGTATACAAATAATAATTTATCACTCTTGTTAGATAGTGATTACTTATAACTCAGATTTAAAAAGAACAAACAAATTTTGATTGGAAAATGGATTTGATTGAAGTGGATTATTCGAGTGCTTTAGAAGATTTGACATTTAATAGTAAGCCTATAATCCATACGTTGACCTATGTTGCTCAAGAAAATGAACCTTATGCCCTGAGCGTCGTGAATGCGCTTGAAAAGCACATACAAAAAGTGAGATTTTCGAAACGAAGCTTTTCTTTGAGCCCAATATGCTAACTCTTGAACCTAGTGTCCTCCCTCATCCAAATTACCGGCTTTATATCTTTTGGACTCGATTTCGAAAAATATTGGTTACCCGTACACGTTATTTTTTGGCCGTCATCTTTTTACCACCTTCATGAATGCCTACACGGTTGTTGAGCCTTCCTTACGATTGAAATTGGATCAGTTATTAGGTACTTGGAAACAGCGTTCTCCTAATTCAAGTTCCCCAGATTCAGTATTCCCTCCAAATGTAACTGGGAAAATTGAAAATGCCCTCATAAAATATAAATCTTCATTTCTGCGTCATCAAAGTCCCCTTTTATCTGTGACAACGAATCCGACATATCCCAATACTAATGTTCGAATGCCTTATGGTTCTACTTATCCAGGTCCTGTTGACTTAACAGGTTCAGGAGCCCCTACTCCTGTTAACCAGGTTCTTACCCTAGAAAACCTACTTGCCGACGTTGCTCGCATGATCATCACTGAGCAAGCCAGATGTATGCAGAATCCTTTCGATGGTCTAGCAAAAAAACGTGTTGAAATACTTTCTCAATTACAGCATGTCTTGTCTACCTCCAATCTCCCTTATGAACAATTGCTGGTAATCAAAAAACAGCTGACAAGCTTGGAAACTCCGAAATCTTCATCCCAACCTTCTATCTCGCCATATGTAAACCCTCAACCTGCTAGTGTTTTCCCTGCTAGTCAGACGCCAGAACTATTACCTCATGCCTCCCATAATCTAGCACCTACAAGCTATACTTCTACACCTATCCTTCCACCTCAATCAGCATACCCATATCGTGGCCCGGTATCAAATACTTCTCCTCCACCACCTGCTTCTGTCGGTGCTGGCAATCCGGCCAATAATTTAACCCGAGAAGAATCCGAGAGTATTAACTCTTTATTCGCCAATTTGCAAGCAGCAGGTTTAGTATCACCAAAAAATTCACCTCCTCCGGTTTTTAACGGCCCGTCCAGTTTTACGTCTCCTATTTCCGAAATTGACTTATCAAAACCTTCTTTATCTACTCCTCATCCTGAATTAGCTACTTTATTATATAATTCTTACCCCAATCAATGTGCGAATTGCGGACGCAGATATGCCAATGATCCTGAAAGCAGAAAAGAACTGGATCAGCATTTCGATTGGCATTTTAGAATCAACAAACGAATTCGTGAAAGTAGTCTGCACGGCATCAACAGGTGTTGGTTTATAACTGAAGAAGAATGGATTCAAAATGATGAGAAAGAGGATTTGGTAACAGAAACTGCGGCCGAACTGGAAGAACAAAAACAAAAGCAGCTCGAGTCCATACGTTCGCAGTATGTATTGACACCACTTGACCCGATAGTTGCTTCTCAACCTTGTCCTGTTTGCCAAGAAAAGTTCCGTAGTGTCTGGCATGAAGAGGCTGAAATGTGGGTTTATATGAACGCGGTCGAAAAAGAAGGTCGAATTTGCCATGCCACATGCTTACAAGAATTGGAACAGACAAAGAATTCAAAGGATTCTAGTTCAACAACTACTTCGCATGTACAGCCATCATCTGACAATTTTGTAAAATCGACTACGAATGGCGCTCCTCCACAAGCAGATGTGCAAAGTCTTCTACAAGGTATTGATGTCCAAGGAATACTACAAGCAATTGGTAAACGAAAGGAAAGAGACGAATCGGTTGATACGACACCACCCAAAGCAGTAAAGCAGGAACAGAATGAATAGATGACTATGAATTTTTGCAATTTTGATAGTAGCTTAATTAATGTTAATATTTGTTTTATGTCTACAGTTACGTCCTTTGGAGTCGTATTATAAAATCAAAAGTTGTATTGAAATACGTCTATGCAGGAATTGACTTCATACTAGGCTCTAACAATGTCTAATTGAAGTAAAACCGTAACCCTATGAATTGAACCTGTTTCAAAAGATATACTTGGGTAAACTATACACTTAAGAAGACTTTTCAAGGACTTCAAGAATTTGTTGCCAGACTTGTTCAGGCTTTTGAGCAGCTTCAATACAGTGCCACTTGTTCTCCTTCTTAAAGTAGTCAACAACAGGGGTGGTTTGGCTATGGTAAGTAACCAAACGCTTGCGCAAAGCATCAGCATTGTCATCGGAACGCTGAACCAAAGGTTCACCGGTAACATCATCCTTCATGGGGACCTTAGGGGGATTGAATTCGGTGTGGTAGCTACGGCCAGAAGCAGGATGGACGAGACGGCCGGTGATACGACGGACCAACAATTCATCGTCAACTTGCAATTCAAGAACAGCGTTTAATTCGAGCTTCAAATCCTTAAGCAATTCACTAAGCTTTTCAGCTTGAACGACGGTACGAGGGAAACCGTCAAGGATGAAGCCGTTCTTGCAGGCGGGGTTGTTCAAGAATTCATCGCGAATCATACCAGCAACAATATCATCGCTGACAAGACCACCTTGGTCCATAATCTGCTTAGCTTCCTTACCAAGATCAGTACCGCGAGCAACTTGAGAACGCAACATGTCACCAGTAGCAAGGTGAGCAATGCCGTACTTCTTTTGAATGTTGGGAGCTTGGGTACCCTTACCAGCACCGGGGGGACCAACGAGGATGATTCTCATACCAGTCATAGTGAACTACAAGAAAAATTGAAAAATCTACAAAGACCGAGTGTTTGGTTAACTGCAAGCTGCACTTCGCGGATGTAGTATCCGTATATTCAACGAAGCAGTGCGTGTCGTTAAAATGTAAACAAAATATGAAAGTAATAATAAGATTTTCAATGTAACAACTTATAAAAGGAATAGAAATATAGTAAAAGATAGCCCAAATAAAAACAAAATAAACCGGAAGAGATATTGAATGAAGGGTATGGTATACATATGACTGAAAGTGAAATCTTAGAATGCAAAATCTGTCCCAAACCATGAACGGCTTTTCGAACTTGGTTTACGAGCCGTAAAATTTATGGGGGCAGCTTTCTCCTCGTGCCAGTCAACATCCACAAAAGAAGGAGATGATGTCTTTGAAGAAGCAACCTCAAGGATGTCACGAGCGGTTTGCCAGGAATAGCGCACAATATCTCCTTTCCATCCAAATACAGGTTGAACTGAAGATCGTAGCCATTTTGTTGTTCTGGCGTCAGATGAATAGCCAGAACCCCAATCTTGGGTCTGTAAAAGATATCGGACAAGTTCAAGTTGAACGTCTCGAGTAACCTTGGCACATATAGAAGCGAGAGATACAATCGGAAACAGTGAATCTGCTTTTTTAGTTACCTTAACTTTTGCTTGAGGGAAGCGTGCTTGAAGTTTCTGTTGATATGTTTCTGGAGGACCCACCGTGTCAACGTAAATTTCTCTTATCTGGATACCTGAATCGTATACCTTTTGAATTAAACTCATGGTGGTGTCATGCGCCTGAGAATTGAGATTGTATTTGTTGTATTTGCGCAGCATTCCGGCACCTAACTCCTTAGCAGAAATGCTCTGAACGGACCACCCTACATGACGTCCAAGCTCAGTTTCTGTATTGCAAATATCTTCTAAAAGTTGAGAGCGTTTTACAGCAGTCAGAGTCTTACTGTCGGCAAACCCAAAGTTTGTCAGATCAAAATCGACGGGACAATATGCAACGGCATAAACCATAGGACCTAAAACTGGTCCACGTCCAGCTTCATCTACTCCTAAGCAAAACGGTTGATCTTTTGCGACGTCAGGAGCAATGGTTGTATGGAAGTACTTACTTTTTTCGGGAGTTTCAGTATCGATTGAAGGAGGGACGAAATCGACGTTAAACCCTTTTCCTTTGACAAACTTCTCCTTGTTTGGAAAATTTAAGTCATTTTCTCCCTGGTTTTTTTTCATTCTACACGAGAATGATTGGAGAAATAGAATAAGGAGTATTTGGTAGTGTGATGTATCTTAAAAACTAAAAGTATACTTAGAATGAAATGTAAGATCAAAGTATAAACATGAAAAAGAGATTTTATTTTTAAATGATCCCAGCAACCTGTGTATGCTAGTAATAAGTCATTACAGTCTTAAAACGTTGGAAAGATTGACATTGAGACTCGCAGATTACAAACAATAATTATCTAATAAATATATCATAGAAATATGGATCCAAGTTTTCAAGCTTCTATATTAACCTATGAGGAATTGGTCTTGGAGTATAACAGCAAGGGCATTCATAGGTTATCTTTCATTACTTAGTAAAATCTCATAAAATTCGAGTCAACTTCTGGTACAATATATATGCAAACGGCAAATCTTCTTATCTACAAATCCGCTAAAATATCCTCTTCAGGAAAGTCACCCACCTCTACGTCTGTCGGCTTCAGAAAGGAGCCATGCTTATTTCTTGTAGTAAAATAACGCTTTCCTTGAATAGAACCATCATTTTTTCCAACAGGCTCGTCAAACTCGACACCTATCCACAGTGAATTCTTGGAAATTTCAGGGACATATCCAATGTAACGGATTGTACCATAACGCTCACCGCTGGCACAACACCTAGAATTCATATTTACCTGTAGATCCTTAATTTCTCTCTCCAATGACTCTTGTTTTGAGCTGACTGATTCAGCATAGGCTGGATTAAAGCGACCAAGATGATTGCGCTTCTTCCATGCCAAAACAGAATCGTCGCGACGTTCGTACTCTTCTTGAGACATTTCATACTTTTCTACCTCAGAAAGATCCTCATAGTTTGGTCTCAAGTGAGGAGGACGTGTGTCTTCAATTATAAATGTACTTAGTTCTTCGATATCGTGATGAGACAATATATCATTTTCTTCTTCGCTTGTAAATGTATGCGATTGGGAAGTAGAAGAAGCAGGTTCATATTTAATTTTTTGATATATCTCTGGAATTCCTATTATAGGAACTAGCTTTGTCTTCAATTGACTCAAAGTCCAATGGAGGTTGATTTTTCGATCGGACCTTATCCCTGAGGAACGTACATTCACATAAATATCATTCATTTCTTGTAAATATCGTCTGATTTCAAATATGATTTCTTTCTAGCTCTACAATACTTTTTGAGGATACGTACAGGGTTACTAGCAACGGGCGAAATAGAACTCCAACGAAACTGCTTCACAATATCGAGCTTCAGGTGTTGTTCATATTCGGCATCAAGTGTATTCTTCATGGGTTAAAGATATAGATTATTTATATTTTGGTTTTGTTTAGGTTATATTGTACCCGACTTTTAGTAAACTAAGCTTGCTTGACGGATTTTGCCTGGTATATCAATTGTATCCTTCGAGAGTTTATTGAAAGAACTAAAAAGTCTGTTATTTTATTTTATTTCATAATTTTGAGTTAAAAGAAACAGAATGGCCGCTGAACGACGTGCTTCTACGGAATTGGTCGCTTCTGAGCAAGCATCAGAAGATGCGTCTGCGCCAAAAGGCTTTAACAAATTTGCTCTTTGGTCAAAAGCTATGGATGAGAAAAAGTCAAGTGATTCCGGTCTATTCTCCATCAACGAGAGTGAAGAATTTCGAGAATTGTGCGAGGCCTGTCGCCGAGGTGATTTAGAAGTTGTTCGAAGGTATGTTGAATTAATCTTGAAAATGAACGCTTCTAAAAATTCATTTTGATGTTTATCTTGACTTTTTTCAATAATAATAAGCTGACAATATTTTCAGTATGATTGAGAACTACAATGTGCCGATTAATCAAGTTGATATATTTGACTACTCACCGCTCGTTCTTGCAAGTTTGTGCGGTCATGAAGAAGGTATGTTATTGTTCAAGGCTAGGGCTATGAATTATAAAAAAAGATACTAATTGACAGTCGTGAAATATCTGTTGGAGAATGGTGCGATATGTGAACGTGATACCTTTCAAGGAGAGCGATGCCTTTATGGTGCATTGAATGATCACATCCGTAAAATGCTTTTGTCTTATAACATTACGAAGTCAGTAGATGAGTCTCAACCATACGCTAGTCATATAACCTCTTTGCTTTCCAATTCCACTTTCCATTTTACATCTGACGTTACTTTTTCTGGTAGCAGTATATCTTTACCTGGGCATAGGTTTTATCTAGCCTCGAGAAGTCCTTATTTTAGAGAGAAGTTTTTGAAATTAAAAGACGAGTCTTCGATTCCTATCAAGAGAAATGAAAAGGAATTAGAGACTGTATTACGGTTTTTATATTTGGATTATCATCCTTTGTTTTCCAAACAAGATGCATCAGCTTTGGTTTCGATTGCCAAAAAGTTTTCTTTGACCGACTTCGTGAATTGTTTCCAAAACAATCCAGAACAAATGCGTTCGCCAGATTGGAGAAAAGGCCAGTTAGTACAGACCCAGGAGGATATGGGCCGTTTTATAAAGGAGATAATTCAAAATTACAAGCAAAATATTTCTGAACCTATTGAAAACTTGCCGCATCAGTGCTCTTTTCATGATGCTTACTTACAATCGGAGACACATCGCTATCCTGTTCATCGCGCAATTCTATGCAGGTCAGAATACTTCATGGATATGTTCACAGGCCCTTTCTTAGAAGGTAACCAAAGCCTACCGACTGTTACTCTTCCATTTTCGAACGAAATTGTCGAGATTGTTCTTGAATTTTTATATTCAGACAAGGCCGATATTCCTGCTTTTCTTGCTTTGGACGTCATTTATGTTGCAGATATGCTTTCACTCGATAAAGAAAGAAGTTTGAAGTCTTTAGCTTCTATCGCAATCACTAAACAAAAAGAACCCAAAGATAGTATTTACGATATTTTGCGAACGGCATGGGACACTTCAACCTTAAGATTAGAGCAATATGCTTCAGAATACATGGCTAATAATTTGGAAAAAATTATTGATGATCCAGAGTTTCATGAACTTGTCATCGAAAGTGCCGATCGTATTCTTCATCGACAGGAAACTGATACCATTGAGCTTATTGATGATATTCGCTATTTCCTTTCAAAACGCTATGGCATTTATCACGAAGATTTATGCGTCGATGGTTATGTGGATACTTTGACACCATATGAAAAAGACTATAATCAAAGGATGGATATGATTGAAGATTTGTTGATGAAACTGAATTTAGGAGCTTGAGTATTTAGGAATTCCGTTTATCTATGTTGATGTCTACTCTATATACAGCTATCAAGAAAGGGTTCAAAGATATAACTTGTAATTTTAAATATATTATGTCTTTATTTTGTACTTTAATTGATTTTCTTATTATGTTCGTTCGTGCTTGAGATCAGTGAGCAATTCAAAAACCAAATATAAAAATATAAGTTCTTGTAAATGTATTATTTCTAAGTAAAAAAATTCAGTTTATGGTTGTATGCGACATATGAATTTCAATAAAGCTACCGAAAGTCAGGAACGAACAAAAACTTGACTTTTCCAAATATTCAAGCATTCTTCAGTACAAAGATTGGGCGATATCGTTGTAATAAAAATTAAATGACAATGAATGAAAAATCTGATTTAGACTATGAAAAGGAGCATGTTCACAAGGTGTATGACAAAATCGCTACTCACTTTTCAGACACTCGCTACAAGGTAAGTAAACACCAGAAAAAGACTATAAATATTATTTTACTAATTAACACGAAAAGCCTTGGCCAGTTGTAGAACGTTTTTTGAATTCTTTACCTGTTGGCGCTGTCGGTTTTGACATTGGATGTGGAAATGGAAAGTATCAAAAGGTGAATCCGAATATTTATCTGATAGGAAGCGATCGTTGTGAAAAATTGGTTCAAATTGGATACAAACTAGGACCTATGGTAGTCGCAGATGGTTTGCATGTTCCACATCCAACAGATCGAAGTGATTTTGCATTGAGCATAGCGGTTATTCACCATTTCAGTAACGAAGAACGGCGCCTACAGGCTGTTCAGGAAGTTCTGAGGGTAGTTCGTAAAGGAGGGAAAGCACTATTTTTTGTTTGGGCGCTTGAACAAAGGAATTCTCGTCGAGGATTTTCTGAAAATGGACCTCAAGATGTCCATGTTCCTTGGGTTTTAAAACGACAATACGAGTATCCTAATGCAAAACCAGAGGAGTTAAAAGGACATCATCCAGATGAAAACGTTGCTTATCAGCGGTACTATCATTTGTTCAAGAAAGGTGAGCTTTCTGAGCTCGTTCAAAAAGCTGGTGGAAAGCTTTTAGAAGATGGTTATGATCGCGATAATTGGTGGGCAATTGTCGAAAAGCTTTAGACGCTTGGCAATTGACAATGGACATGGTGCATTTCGTAAAATAATCTAGAGTACTGTTCAACTTGAAGTATTTTTCCATATGGAAATAGAATCTTATATGTATAAGTATATAAGCATATCTTCACTTTCACCTAATGCGCTTTTAATGGCGAGCATCGTTCGTAAGCTCGTGTTTTCATGCAATCATGAACACATCTTTAGCGACATGAATTTCGACATTTTAGAGCATTTGATGGATTGAATATCAATAACCCTATTTCTTTCATTTCTCGATATTATGTCTGCAAAATAACTTGAAAATTTAATAAATCATAAAACCATATGATTACTTATTCGTAGATATTTACAATGCACTGCTTTGGTGGTTTAGTGGTATAATGCTTCGTTGCCATCGAAGCGACCCGGGTTCGATTCCCGGCCGAAGCAAAATTTTTTCACAAGATATATAATACATAATTTTTTGAAGCTTACGGTGAAATTAGGGGAGACTTTAAAGAGAATAACATGCTCTTTTTTTTGTTTCTCAGTTCTCTCATCGAAGCGACCTTATTCGGCTTATAAAGCTTTCAAATAAAGTAGGAATAAATATTTTGATTTGCGGTGGGAATTACTGTTTACAACTAGCGTCCCTAACTACATGTTGTATGCCTGTGGTGGGTCGTTGGTATCTCAAAGTCTCGAAGTCGATTGACAGGAGGGTTTTTTTTTATTTAAAAAAAATGCTAGTATTGTAATTCAAACCTGTATTGAGAACTAAGAACTATGAATCGAACTTATAAATTCATTAATTACGAAAGAGTATTTATTAATGCACTTCGTTACATTTCATTAAAAAACAAAAAACAATAAAACGAACATTTTAAAAGGTTCACGATTTTATTGAAATCCCATTTTTATGGTAAACTAAGAACAAATAAAAGGGTAAAAGAATTGCTTCGGCCGGGAATCGAACCCGGGTCGCTTCGATGGCAACGAAGCATTATACCACTAAACCACCAAAGCAGCATACTTTATGAACCTGTAAAAGCAAATTTATCGGCTGAGATTTCAATGTTTTATGAGCAGCTGAAATTGTCAAAACTATGAACGCGAAGGTTTGCTTGAATGGTGCCAGAAAATGACTGTAAAGGAACGAATTGTTTCCTCACACTTTTTACAATCACTATATAAGAGAAGAAGGCTCGTTTGAGTTTCATGATTTCTTCTATGTAAGAACGATTTTTCCTTTTTGTTCAGGACGACATATTATTTTCTTTTCATCGATAACCTTAGTACTGAGGAAACAAACGAGATTAATAAACCATGACACATTGAAAGAAACGAAAACAGAACTTCGTAAAAAACTGCAGAATTGACTGTATACTCACTTAACACAACATAAATCTTTACCCACAAAGTATTGAATACACCTTCTGTACAAGAATGAAGTCGCTGACAAGCTGACTAAACACAACGAAGCCATCATATTCTTTTATATCCTTTATTTTTCCCTTTATTTATTGATTGAAAAGTGCAGGCACCAAGTATTTTCCAATGGAATTGTTTACTCAGTTTACTGACCTACTAATGTTCCTTCTCAAGTAACGATATAAACAGACTCAGGAAACAACACGTTCCGAAACAAGAACCTTGGGAATTTTTAAGCTGTGATCAATAATTAAATCTGATTATTATAAAGTAAAAAGTGTCTCCTAATCAACGCGCTTCAGGAAGTTGAATACAATAAAAAGTTGCGATGTGGTGTAAGCTTCAAAAGCATATTATCTAAACAGAAACTGAGTTCAGCAAGGTGCGCTAGTGTATTTTGATAAAAATACTAAAAGAATTGCAAAGTTAATGAAGAATATAATAATTTTAATTCAAAAATATATGTCCTAATTTTCTATCCGTAGAGTCCATGAAAACGTTCATCTTTATTACTCTGTCTTATCAGTTTGATTTCATATTCAATTAATAAACCATATGTCTCTGAATAGGTTTGCTCCTTTTGAGGTTTAACAGTCGAAAAATTCATTTTACTCAGCAATTCACACCTTAACGAAGCTTTTTATCATCATTGCCCACAGAAACTTTCAAGAATCAACATACTACTCTGAAGTAACTTGGGTGAACATTTTTATGTTTTCAGCTTGGTCCACTATTGCTATTAGAATCCTTAATGTGCAATTACAGTTTGTATGCAAATTCCAATTCAGTTTATGATCATGCTGTCTACTATATCTTGAATCTACTAAAGTACATGACTGCTTTGGTGGTTTAGTGGTATAATGCTTCGTTGCCATCGAAGCGACCCGGGTTCAATTCCCGGCCGAAGCAATTCTTTTACCTCTTTTTAATTTCCTGTAGTCATATATATATATTTATTTATTCACTTACGTAGTCTTCGAAAAATACGCTGTTACAATCTTATAAATACAGCGCTTCCTGAAATCTTCAGGCGATACCACCTGTCTGTTCTGAAAGATGTTGAGAGGTTAGAAAGTTGTTTTAACGTCCTCATAACGAAAACAGTTTGCTACCAGAACAGGAATTTTAGATTTTTCCATTTAACTTGGTTAATTGATGGTAGCCTATAGTAATGACTTATCCTTTTCCTTAACCCCTTGCTATTGATCTTACTTAAACATCGCTTCCCTCTTTCTGAGGACGACACTTATCTATTTACAAGCAACAGTTGAACAAGCCATATGGACTATAACAACTACAACATTACATTATGATTTTAACCGAATTATGTGAAAGTAAACCATGTAACTACAAAGTCTTGTTCTACTCAGGTATCAATTGCATATTATAAAATCGGTACTGTTCATCGAGGATACGTATTTTCAATCATTTAAAGCAAGAAAAAGAATCATATTACAACTTCTAAAAATTTTTCAAATACAAAACTGACTACTCTCGGTTTCGTCTGTTATATTACAGTAAGTCGCCGCATTGTTACCCTTTTCAGGTACCATGTTGCTTCACAAGAACAGTCACAAGGATGTATATCTTTTACAGGCAATTTTTTACGAGGAAATTCCCAAAGTTTATAATACAAACTGAACATAGAAGAAAAAATGGAAATGGAGTCACAAGCCGCCCCTTCTTATCCCCGTGCTGGATTCCGCTGCTACAATTGCGGTGAGAACGGACACCAAGCTCGTGATTGCACAAAGGGCGCTATCTGCTACAACTGCAATCAAACTGGACACAAGGCCAGTGATTGCACTGAACCCCAACAAGAAAAGACTTGTTACGCTTGTGGCACCAGTGGTCATCTCGTTCGTGAATGCCCTTCCAATCCTAACCCCAATCCTAATCCCCGTCAAGGTGCTGAATGCTACAAGTGTGGACGCGTTGGTCACATTGCTAGAGACTGCCGTAGCAATGGCCGTGCTGGTTCCCGTCCCATGAACTGCTACGCTTGTGGTTCCGTCGGCCATCAAGCCCGTGACTGTACCATGGGTGTTAAGTGCTATTCTTGCGGTAAGATTGGTCACCGTAGCTTTGAATGCCAACAATCTAATGATGGTCAATTATGCTACAAATGCAACCAACCTGGTCACATTGCTATCAACTGTACTATTCCTTCTGTTGAAGCTTAAATGAATTAATTTTCATTGTCGCCGTTGGCCTAGGATGTGCTCTAGTAAATACTTATCTATTACTTCTTTCGAAACTATTCGTATAGAAAAAATAATTGGGACTTCCTTTTCTTGAATGTTTTTACTATTTATGCCATCCAATTGATAAGTCCCATCTTTTGCCCAAACACTTTTTTAGAAGGGCCTTGATTTTTATGCTATTCGCAACCTACTAACTTATATAATTTGTTGCTTTGAATAATATGGTCATTGCGAAACTTTTTTAAGGGACGAAGTTATATCCTTTTTCAACGTTTGCCTTCTTAAGAAAAAGGCTCTATTAGTCGGGTATAAAGCTCATGATCGGTAGACTTTCTTACTTGCCGTACCCTTTTACCTCGTTTTTCCTTTTCCGATTCACCTATGCAGGATATTATTATATCTCAAGCTTCATCGTTGGTTACGGTACTTGTATTAATATTGACAAAAGGGTTTTGGTCATTTCTCATAGTAATTTTATTTTATTATTCGTTCATTAAAATAAGTATGGTCTTGAGGAACATGATTCTGTTAATGGAACAGTTCTGTCTTTAGCATCTCTACTTTAGTATTAGCAAGAATGTTGAGAGCGAAATAGTTCATATAGCCTGGTTGCGAATTCGATCTGCGAAGAAGAAATATATTTATATGCTCTCTCTTCGTCTCTGGCAAACTGAACATGTTCAGAAAGCCAAGAAGGGTATCGTTGGCCAGGTCTAGTAATATAACCAACACCAATTTGATATATCATGACATGAAATTTATATCGACTTACTGGTTCGTAAAAGTCTATGATTGCCTCTAAGCACTGATCACAAACATTCGTAGCAATAGATCCTCTGTAGAATGACCTTATGCATTCCTGATTTCTCGTATATTTAGGAAGCAATCCGCACACAGTACAACGACCAACAACATTGCGAGCAAACTCAATGTAAAAGGTATCTTTACTGTGAGTTTCCCTAGAAAGGGTATTTCGTGTATGATTTGGTAAGAAGGACGAAGCCATGTTGAATGAAGTTCGTTTGTTTGATAGCGTTTGAATACTTGGATCTAGCATAACAGGAAGAACATTTGGTATTTGAACATTAGGAGGGGATATATCTTCAGAGCAAGTATCCTGAGTTGACGGAATCACATAACGTTTGTGTAAATCTAAGACTCGTTTCCAAAACCCATCATTTTTAGGATTTAGGATCTTGCGAAAGCGAGTACAAGTATAAGGCAAATCATCAATAAGTGCGTGTTTTTCCCTGCGATAGGTAAAAGCAAAAGGGAATTTTTCTTTGTATGTAGAATCGAAACACTTTATAAATATTAACAGAAGGATCTCATCTGGACAGTCTAGAATACTTGTTTTTTTCATATCCGTTGTATTTGTTTCGTTTGAAGTCGCGACATTCGAGTCTCTGGTTCTCATAACTATTGACTGAGTGGAATATTCGGCATAGTCATTTATTAAGTCCAACATGTTCCCATGAATAGACGAAGATTCCATTGAATGAGAAGCATCTGTATAATTTGCAGATGGATATGATGCTACCTGCACTGGTTGGATTATTTGATCACTTGGTGATGTATATTCTCCTCCAAAGTTAGAACAAAACGAGTTTAGTCGTTTCATAGCTCGGACATGCGCCAATGCATGAATGAATTCTTCTAGGCTTTGAGGATTTAAATATTGATTTCGCAATCTTTTCCGTATACCTTTTAGAGTTTTTAAAAACTCATCATCGCGATCAATATGCAACTTCACTTCTTCTAGCATTTGGAAGGTAAGTTCCCAGCAAGTATTTTCTTTCTTAATTTTTCAAATTTATCTTCAATCATTGAATTAAAAAATCTAAGCTGCAATGTATAGCAAAAGTAGCTATTAGAATAGGAGGAGGTCTTATTTGTGTTAACCGAGGAACGGCGAAACAAGAACATGATCAGCATTTAGTTCTCATTGCATTGTCTCAAATTTCATAGGAAAAGCATGAAATAGAAAAATTTTCCTTTTTCATGCAAATATCTTTCGGATGTTCCTGTAGCTCGATTTGGTTTTTTTTTTTATCTTTCTAAGGCTTCAAATTTACGACATCAATTAGGTGTCGATAAGTTTGCATTTGACCAATTTAGTGTCCTTCCATGTCTTATAAAACAGAGTGTTTGAATATATGTTAAGCGTTATTTCTACATGTTTACGTACTTGCAAGAAAGGGTGGTTTTTGAAGTATCATGAAATTCCATTAGTGCTTTCAAACATTCAACATGATTAGCGAGCATCTTGTATCTAAATTTGATATAAAAGTAAATGAATATTGGCAAAGGAAGTCCGGCAGAAGGTATATGGCAATAAAAGATTCTGTATGAAAGAACAACCATCAGTTTTATTAATATTTTGCAAACATGAAGAAATAAAGTCCATAAAAGACAAAGATAAATTAGAAAACATAACATATTTTAACAACGGTCATGCCCAGAGCACCGATACTAAAAATAAATGTTTTTTTTGAAACAGAACGGAAAAGAAAGACAAGATGAATGAGTTGAGAGAAGATATCTAAATATGTTTAGGAAATAACTGAATGAGCGAAATGTAAATCGCCTAAAAAGTAAGATTTTCGTCATCATCGTCGACTTCAAGACTTTGTAGACGAGCGCGAACAAAGTCAGGAGCACCTGGATTTGAAGGCATGTCGGCGGGCTTGGTTTCACTCATATGAGGTTCATCAACGACATTGCTCATGTTATGGTCAACAAGTGGATATGGATCCATTGGTCTCTCCGTTTCTGAAGGAAGCTCAAATCCATCTTCGGTAGAATATAAAATTGCTTGAATTCTTTCAAGCATGGTTTCATGTGACATTGGCTCTGCACTCAAATGCGTTTGCACTAAAATCTCAACTTCACGTAATTTATTAAAGTAAAAGTCCCTTTCACGTTCTAAAGCAAACATGGTTTCATTGGCTTCTGTGAGTTGGCCTTCCAAGTTGGTAATCTGTTGCTGTGCTTGCTTGGCACGAAGCACAGCGGCGGTATTGTTGTTGGGTGCATTTGTTGCATTTAAACTAGAGCGAGGAGTAGGGTTTCCAGAACTGCCAGATGAGACGTGTCTTCTTCTAGGAGCATTAGGAGATGCACCATGTTGTCCCAGAGCACGTCCACCACGACGCGCCAAAGCATCATAATCACCACCAGGGTAATACTGATCCCAAAATCGTTTTGCCCATTGAACAAACTCTAAATTGTCTTGCATTTTGCAACGCGAAAGACGCTCTGGGTCCACGACTTTATCAATTCCTTTCCTTAAAAACACTTGTTGAAGAACTTTCCAGTTGTTTATGTACTGATAATCGTTATTGCAATCAAAGTTCACCTTTTTTAAAGGGACATCCTGATATATAGAATCCATAATTACAAGCATAGTGTACCCTTTTCCACAATCTTCAATCCTTGATAGACCAAGTTTTGTGACCTATGAAACAACTATGTTAGAAATACTTTTTTGAAACCTACATTCTAAACTTACTTCGTTGAGCCAGGCCAACAACTCTTGTCGAGATTCAGACATTGTAAAGATTATGGTTCTTGGAAAGTGAAAGACGCGTCGGCCTTCTTATGAGAATATCGTATTGGTAAAAAACCGCGTCGTAAAAAGTAATAAACAAAAAGCGAACACCAGTTTCATATAGAATAAATGAATATATAAACGTAAAAGTTCCTTGTAAAAAGATAAAATCACATCTGGATTGTTTTCCCGACCGTTGTTTACTAGAGTGGATTTCATCTCCTTTTCATTACTTTATTGTCGTATTGTAGTTTAATTAAAATGTTATAGACGTATAGTAATTTTAAAAGACGAGGGTTTCAAATTCATGGCTTACAATAAGTCATGTCTCTTTGACAATGTAAACAAACCGTAGCTTTTGCTTGGACTGATTCTGCTTCATTGGTACTTTTCGCTTTGATCATTCTACTAGTAGATTATCTATTTTGTTTTTTTTTTTTTTGGTAATATAAACAAACAAAAAAATGGGTGTCATGAACGACAGAAAAATTAAACGTTAAACAAGGATCCTTACTTCAAGTTTTTAAAGCTTTTATTCATTTATTGATTTTCTTTTTAAACCAATTTTATCATTTACAACAATCCTTCTTTTTTTATATATATTTAAGAGTTGAAATAATACTCTTGTACCCAAGTTTGTTTTGTTTATTTACATATTGAAATATCTGTTTACCATAGCAAAAGCCAACGAAATCGATAAAACGGCTTCTTCATAAAGAAGGATAAAAATCTTTATGAGGTTTATATATTTAGCTATAAAGGATTCATTAGTACTAACATAAAAGCTCGATGATCGTAGGATATATTAACTTACATTCACATTCTCCATGAATAGCGAAGCAAACCATAGCATCGGCAATAGACAAACAACATAAACAAAAAGGATAATCTTGCAATATATTTTATAAATATGCTTTAATCCTAAAAAAAAAAAAGAAAAAGAGCTCAAAGATCTTTCAGTGTTACATCTCCCCGATATTGTATCTACCATGTAAACATTCAAACTCTAGTAAAGCGTGATGTCTCGGTCGTAACTCAGATTGTAAATGAATTTTCATTTATAAAAGGATAATTCTAGCGTCTATAGTGATTTTCTAAAATCAATAGATTCCTAAATCAATTGCATACTCTTTCCTGAATATAGCTGTACAGCATTCACCTAGAATTACCGGAAGCGACTCACTACTGCCTACAGAAGCAACTCGCAAACTTACATTTTCGCATAGTTTGTTTGTGTTGGAAAATGTGACTGTTTTATGGATATGGGTAACACATGCTGAATCTGGAAACTTGAGGAAAGAGGAATAATGAGCGTTTGAATCAAGATCTTCAATTTAAAACATGAAATTATAATAAAAATAATTCGGCGAGTAAAAATTCTGCTGAATTTTCGTTCCCATATTACCGCATCCAACCAAGTAACAATACCCGTATCAATGGTCAGCGTTACCCAAGCCAAAATGAGCAGTCACAAGAAAGAATATGGGAGGGTCGAAACATTTTCTTTTCTACACAACAGCAATGTCTGCTATCAACAAGATTGTCAAGCGTTCGAGCTCCCAGCCCAGTGAAACCGACCTCCTTGTTGCACAATGTCTCTTTGATTTAGAGAACTCTTCTAAGGACATGGCCAAGGAGCTCCGCCCTCTCCAAATTACTTCTGCTCGTGAAGTCGAAGTTGGAGCTGGTAAGAAGGCAATCGTTGTTTTCGTTCCCCAACCTCTTCTCACCGCTTTCCACAAGTGTCAAGCTCGTTTGACCCGCGAGCTCGAGAAGAAGTTTGCTGACCGTCATGTCATTTTCATTGCTCAACGTCGTATTTTGCCCAAGCCTGGCCGTAAGTCCCGTGTTGGTCAAAAGCGCCCTCGCTCTCGTACTTTGACCTCTGTTCACAGTGCCATCCTCGAAGACATTGTTTTCCCCACCACCATTATTGGTAAGCGTACCCGTCAAGGTACTGATGGCCACAAGACTATGAAGGTCTTCCTTGACAACAGAGACGCCAACACTGTTGACTACAAGTTGTCCTCTTTCTCCAACGTCTACCACAAGCTTACCGGTAAGACCGTCAACTTTGAGTTCCCCGTCACCACTGGTGAAGGCTTGTAAGCAATAAAATTTACGTTTTGCGTTTGCATCGGTTCGGGTTGGATTCGATAGCTTCAAAATTTGCGTTAGATTACCAGACTTGAAATGTAATCTTTCCTTGTGTCTATGTATAAGGCTTATTCACGTCCATAACAAGCGTGATCATGCGAATTTATTGTAGGGAAGGGAAGTTATTCAGAAGTTGAAGTTTAGGTAGTCGTTTTTCTCTTGTTGCAAAGTATAATAATTGATGCTATCTATGTTTTGTATAAAGCAAATCTTTGCCCAAGATGAAAGAAGGATTCGATGTAAGTTTTGTAATTATTCAAAGTAATTATTTTTGGATAACTACGCGTAGACTTGTTGACTTACTACTCTCTACCTTGAGTGTCTAATCTTGGTCTTGGTCTTGTTGACTACGAAGAATTACGAGAACGGCTTGAGCGTTTCCGAGTCTTTGAAAACAGATTTTTCTTTAAATTCTTCCCTTATTAGATAGTACAATTTAGCTAGTTTTCGGGTTTCCAAATTTCATACGTGAGAGTTTACGAAGACATCTCTAGGTCTTTCCATGGAACGATGTGTTGCAAGTTTATTTGATGCATCTGTTCAGAATTTTCAGGAAGAGGATTAGCACCAGAAATAATGTCGTATGGGGAAGTAGTGAAGTTTTCGGGATTCCATGTAGAACGCAAGTCTTGTCCAACTAGCTGAATCTTTGCATCTTCCTTCAAGTAACGGTTCAAGAGCCCTGTCATCGGGACAGCGTATCCTTCAAACAATAGCTGAAGCTTCCAATAAGGAGGTCCCTCATTCCATTCCCAAACCGCTTTGCAAAGATCCGCAACCGTAGCAGTATGATCAACCAAGCCAAAAATTACTGTGTGTATCCATTGCCGGATGGGAAATTCTTCGCAAAATACCCTAAGCTTCATTAGACAAACAATTGATAACAAGAAAGAAAAGAATGGAAGGATAAAGAGTGCAGCACTGAAGAAAAAATTGGGTAATCCTCAGACTTGGGAAAACAATTGATTTCGCTTTAAAGAACGGCTGTGAATTAATATTCTAAAAGCTATACATTCCAGCGTTTCATTAATGGTTTCCTGCTGAACTATAAATAAATGATGATGAAGTTACCAAATGAAAGTAAACTTGGGTTGGTTCTAGACAAAATCGAAACCTCAGTCCATTTACTCATATTATGGTCATAGTATATTTGGAGGACTTTTCAGACTTTTGATACTACGAACGACGAACTATACGATTATCAGAAAAGAATTTGATTAATTAAATTATTTATTTATTTATTTCTACACTCTTTTTGAAAAATAAACATTCTTTGCTCTTCTACAGTTTTGTTGAGAAGAATTCCAAAGATCAACAGCGGTAATTCATAATTTACTCACTTGTTAGACGAATTATCACTAGATAATTTCTAACCGCTTACTAATTTCCTTATTTCTATCATGGCATTTTATTTTCAAACGTTACAGAAAGACCTAATCAACGACGTTGACATTGCATTGCAGTCAAATCCTTTACCGTCTCCTATAGTAAATGCACCTGTGTTTGGCCGAGATACACAATTTTCGCCTCATTTGGCAATTGTTATGACAGACTATGGGTTCGATGTTGAACAGGTTTGTCTTCCTTGGCGCTATTTTACTGATCGTGGATTTATGGTTGAATTTGTGTTTCCAAAGCCAATTGATCCCCCAAGAGTAGCTAAACCGGATCCATCTTACACGACCGGTTGGAAAGGAACACTCATGGGACCTTCTAAAGATACTATGGATATATACAGCATACTATGTACACTGGACGAATTCATTCAACCAAAATTTTATAAAGACGATAATTTCTCTTTCCTTGACTTTGACGTCGTGCTTATTACCGGAGGTAGAAATGAACCCATGCGCCAGATGCTTATGGATCCCTTATTACACTCAAAATTGAAACCGTATCTAACACTCTGTAAACGAATAGATCGTCAAAAAGATGGACCAAACGTTTCCATGTCAAAAATCTTGGGGACTATTGCCCAAGGTGCTTTACCTATTTATATAAATAATCCTGGCACGACACTGCACGCAACGACGATCCCAGTATGGATGGAGAGAGCCAACTCCTGGCTTTCTCCTCCTCCGAATAATTCCTCTTATTCTTACGCAGCATCCTTAATGCCTACTGATAATTACTCCGCTGGACCTAATTATAGAGCTGTCTTCACAATTGAGGATGAACATAATTACTATATATCTGGAAGATGCAACATAGACATACTTCCTTTAAGCATTGGACTCTATGATCTATATAGACGAATGCTTCAAGATCGAAAGTCTGCCATGCGCTCACAGAGGAATAATTCAACCAGCTCCAACCACCTCCCTCAGTAATGAATTTTTCTTTTATGATTTTAGATAATTCTCCAATTGTCTTTATTTTTATCTTTTCAAAATACACCGTTAACTCTAGACACTTCTCTTATTTTATTATTAATTATTTGTACAACATCAAATAACGCGATGTAGCATATCACATTAAACGGGGTATACCCTACTTGAGAAATCAAAATTTGTCTTCAACCAACTACGGACTTAATATTTAGGGATTGCTGGTAATTTAGGGGACTCTTCATAAAACTGGGTTAATTTAATTTAATTTATTACTATTTCGCTGCTTTTAAGCTGGTTTTTTACAATCAATTGTGGAGTTTTTACGACAGATTTCACAGCTTTGTTGCATTGGAAAATTTTTATACTTTAAAAAGATATTGTGTACTGTGGACATTTTTTGAATTACAAAGTAAGTAAAAGTGCACAAATGGTGTTTTTGCTGGAAAAATTGCTTTAAATGGACACGACACACTCATTTCTATCAACATTGATTTGAGAAGCAATTGCTTTTATGTAAAAATGTTCCATGTCTAACAAAGGAGATCTGTCATTCTTATTGCTAACATATTTTTTGTTAGAAATTGATTCATTAAAGCCGCTAAATAGAAAAGTGAATTTTGGACAATCGGTTTTTTAGTTTTTACAAAACATTGACTAGTTTATGATTTTTTTTGAGGATGCCATCAGTTATTCCAGCTTCAACCTTAATAAATTCTTCTATTTCGAATGATATGATGAATTCGCCAACGAATTTGCGTCCTACTGATTCTAGCGTTCCTTCTTCTGAGGGCGTCGCATCTAAGCATGACTCTCAATTAATGCAACACATGTTTCGCGCATTTGTTGGTAAAGCATTGGATGACAAGTCATCGGGAAATGTTGCTGCGTACGAGGATATGAGAAGACAATTCTCTATAAGGCCTGATTCCAAAGATGCTCCTTCGTCCGTGCAAATCCAAAACCTTTTATCAGCGCTCACGTGCAACGTATCCCGACTTGATAGTTCCTGTTCATCTCTAATTACGAGCATACTTGGTTCGGTGTGGGTATCGAGAGATGAGTCTTTTGTCCGTTGCTACACAAAGTTTCTGGGACATTTGCTGTCTGCTCAATCGACCTATATGCCTTTAGTCATGACCATGCTTATACAGCACATGTGCTACCAGAGTAATAGTTTAGCAATTCATTATGAACATGCTCATATGGCTTTAAAATATGTGTTAGATCTCGTCCCTCGTGCGCATTCTTACTTGTATAGTTGTATACTTGAGGAGTTTCCGTACAAGGATGAAAGTATTCTAGCACAAATGACCTATATTTCGAACGTTTTAAGTATTTGTGAATATGTACCATCTCTTAAAGGTCCTGTATTGCATGCAGTTATTGATAAAATTATCCAAGTTGATGTGGAGATTCAAGTAGAACTTGATATTGAGGATGATGAGGATTCAGATTCTTCAGACGATGCTGCCTCCGATGTACTGACTGCGTCCGCTTTATATGAGCGCCACGCTGGTGCTTCGGAGGATCTTACTGCTAGTACCCTGTTGAATGATGATCCCTTATCCCCCGTTGATACCAAACAAACTCTGCTGCAACTGGACCAACTTTTGTATACATTGTTTTCTTATTTATCAAAGAATTTAAACCAGAGTAGGGATCGCTATGTTGTTTACAATAGTTTGATTCGATCGTTTGTTAACACTGTTCTTAAAACCTTTCGCTGTCGCTATACACAATTCCTAATCTTCTGGGCCTCTCAGCTGAATCCAGAATTTACAGACATTTTTTTGGGAGTGCTGACTGAAGTATGCTTGGATCCATCGCAACCCTATACGCTTCGAATTAGTGGAGCAATGTACCTCGGGTCTTATGTTGCTCGTGCTAAAACTTTGGAAGCCTCAACAATTCAAATTATTGTTGGTTTGATGACCCGATGGATGGAAGCATACTTAGATCAATGTGAAAACGAGTTATCGGATGATTTGATATCCAAACATTCTGTCTTCTACGCCATTAACCAAAGCGTGCTATATATTTATTGTTTCCGTTGGCAGGAACTCCGAATTTCGGATGAGACCGACCCAATGGATCCAAAACCAGCAGAATGGCTCCCAGGCCTTGAAGTCCTCCATCGATCCGTTCTCTCCCGTCTAAATCCGTTGCGCTATTGTTCACCCAATATAGTTCACCAGTTTGCTAGAATTGCAAATCACTTGAATTTCATGTATGTTTATTCCATTCTAGAACAAAACAGAAAAGGTTCAATACGAGATGGATTAGAGACGATTGATTCGTTTTTCCCTTTTGATCCATATCGCCTATCCAAATCATCATCGATAGTTCAACCATTTTATAATGAATGGCGACCGGTCCCGGGAATGGATGATATGGATGAAGCTGAAGATGAACCTGTGAGTGATTATCCTCTCGTATCGTCGTTGTAAACAAAGAATCATTAGAAAACGGACTTCACGAAGGTATTATGGTTTATAGGATCCGCCGCGTGGAATTATAAACTACTGGTTAGTGTTTATTTAATGTAATGATGTCAATCGAAATTAGCATAATAAAATTGAGATACCAATAGTGACTTGAATATTTGAGTATGTTGGCTAGCATTTTTTAAAGCGTAAGACCTATTACAACCATTTTCAGATTTCCTGATGCATCTAGGAAGATAATTTGGAATTTACGATTTTTATGACAATAAGTTTTAAAATACCGAAGATTTACAAGAGTCTACAATATTTTTTAGCAGATACGCTTTATAGTAAAATAATTTGAAACTAATAATATACATTTTCGCGAAACGCAGTAAGTAGTCTATAGATTAGTGTGAAGGTAAAGAATCAAGAGGATTCGTACCTACCCATTCCCAAACACGGGTCCATTCACCATCTACTTCAGCTTCACGAGTCCGTATACTTCCTACCTGTTCAACTTTTTTAACGACTGAATCCCACAACAGCCGACCCTCCTTCTCAGTGAGGCCAAAATGCTCCAAGACATTATGTGAATGAAGCAATAAATCATGCATTTCAATTAATGGTACCACTGGCTGAGAAGTACGTGAACTTTGGTATAAAGCCTTCTGTCTCTTTAAGGTATCGATGCAGAAACGCGAAGCAAAAGGTAAATACCTCTGAGTTTTTTTGCGCAGGACAAAATAGGTATAAATTTTGTAAAGACATGTGTTTAATAGGGTAAATAGTAAAATAATAAATTTATACTTCCATATGGTTCGATAAACTTGTCGACGGAGTCGGCATCTTAACGGTACATTAGCCCAACTACGGGAGCCGATATTTTCTTCATCCATTTGAATCTCTTCAGTATTAGCCAGTTGGTATAAAGCTGCTTTAAATAAATCATTAAACAAACTTAAAGAGAGATTTGGGGATTTCTTTTCTAAAAGTGTGTGTCGTAACAATGTTATAGAAAACAGCGGTTGGTGTGCTGTCTTGGATTTTTTAACTCCATTAAATATGTACGGATCCATTTTTGAAAGCGTTTTATTCTTTTCAATTAAATCGTCGGGCAATCGACCGCATTGATACATTGAATTCCATGTTCGTAAAACGTCTAAAGATTCTTCATAAAAGATTATTACGCTTTCTTCTCTATCGGTATCACTTAAACAATTTTTCCTTGGCCATAGACCGAATTTAGAATACCAAGGCTCATTTAGAATGTAACCGGAATCACAACGAAGTTGAAAGTTTGGAAAACATGTGGAGTGTGGAGGGCAAGGAGTACATGAAGCACCAAGTCCGAGTTTTTGCACCACTGTAGAGCCCTTAGAGGGTACATCACAATATCCGACACGATAAACCTCATCCCTCCATAGATTCAAAAAAACTGCAACTAAAACTCCAAGTAAGATGGTCAAGACATGGGGAGGATGGATAGGACGCCGGAAACAGAAACAATTGGGTAATGAGAATGTTCTTGTCAATTTATAATAAAGGTGATAAGTTTTTTGACCCACATATGATGATAAAGAATGCCTTGCAGGAGTATAATGATTTTGTTTACGTATATAGTCTTCAAAGAGAGTATCATCGTCAGACGACTCTAAATCTTCATCTTCGTATAAGAGAGCAGAGTCTTTTCTAGAATTTTGGGAAGTGGATTGTGCTTCTTTAGCGGAAGGCCATTGACTTCGATGAGATGATGGAAAATTGGATGGAGATTGAAACAAACGGCTAGGGCTACCTATCGACTTAACCGGGGTTTTCCTTCGGCTATTTGACAAGATCGGTTTCAGTTTTCGCATGGTCCTTGGTGAATCATGTTGGGTGGAAGTATCAATAGACGATATGGGAAAGGTATCGCGGGACGAACCGTGAAGACGAGACTTCGGGGTAGAAGACGATGGTGGAGGGCTAGTCAAGGTGATAGAGGTTTCCACATTTGGATTTTCTTCTACCATCGATGACTGAAAGCTATTTCTTTTGGAGGAATGGGGAAATTGTAAGTCAACAGGAAATGATGACATGCGAACTGTCTCTTCTGTATCTGAGGGAGGAAAAGATGAGGATGATCTAGAAGCCGGAGTATTAGTTTGACTAGAAGAACTATAACTTGTACTGGAAGGTTGAGCAGATCTTATAGAGGAGGTACTCGCTCGAGAACTAAGCGGTGCATTTTCGTTGCCAGAGTTGAGATTGGAGCTTGCTGAAGAACTAGTGGAAACACTGCTTGAAGTACTTTTGGTAGAACCTTTATGGACGCCATTGTCTACCTTTTGTCTACGTAGTCGCTCAACAAGTTGCAGATAATCTGCTTTTCTACCATAAACAGGATAATCGACATTTGCATTCCTCAATATCCGCTTTAAATCTGCGACCCGAAGGGACCGAAGGTTGAAATCAGGTTCAAACCACTGATCCATGAAATAGAATAAATGAATAAACGAATTTAATAAATACAAGCCAGAGTTTCAATCGATCAGGAGGTGTATGAGAAGAAAAAAATTCTCGTTTTCTTGGTTTGTATACCTTGATACAGTGACAGTCCGGTCCAGTACGAGATAGAAAAAACAATTAAAAGAGCGTAAATCTTACAAAAACAAAAAACCAGTAATCGATGATCTAAAAGTGTTTTTTCAGGTGGTGTATTATTTGCTTACTAGGTCTATTTACTTTTCATCAAAACACAACTTAAGCTGAGGTCATATGGGGACCAAACCTATGTAGGCAAAATTCAGTCAATCAACTCTAGTTGATGTAAGTCAGAAGGAAAAAAAAAAATCGAAGGCCTTTTCGAGCACCTCGTAAACAAATAAACAGGTGGCAAAATACTTGTAGTGGTGAAGTGGATGTATTTAGGGAGACTTAGCGCACAACAGGCGACTACGACAATCACCCATTGCCGACGTTTATGGGGGCGTTAACGAGCGGTTTTCGAAGTTATCCTTTACCAATATCATCTCAACACGAATTTCATGAGTATCAGGGATTTTGCAAATTTTGAACTGAACAAAAATGGAAAAGCGAATTGGACATAGAATTCAACGTAACAAAAAGTTTAACAAAGCTAGTTCCGGCGGTGGAATGGTTTCTTTCCACGATGTAGAATTTAGCTTGGAGTCGCCATTGGCTTCGTCCCGTCATGACAAGGGAACAGTATCCCCAAAAGGAATGAAGCCAAAAAATGCTTCATTTGGTTTGAGCGAAACTGAGAACAATTTATTGTTTGAAAAGATTCGCAATGGTGGTCACGCTAATAGTCGAAAGACAAAACCAAATGGCGGGAATTCTGGTGGTCCTCGCAAGAACAGTAATGGCTCTTCAGGCCGCGGGAAAAATCAAAGTCCAGGGAAGAATGAGCACCATAACTATTTGAATGTGGCAAATGGTGCTGAAGAATACTTGAACGGTTGTTTTACCCTGCCCAAGCCTCCAAATAGCGCGAAGTCTACTGGTTCTTCTAGTACGTCTTCCTCCGAACTTAATTCTTCTCTTTATGCTGGTCCTACTTTTACCCATTCTCCTGCCGCTTCTAATCTCCCTATCCCTACGTTCCTTAATGCATCTGATGCCACTGAGAAGCCTGAATCTGTCTCGTCGTTGACTACAGTTACTTCCCCTTTTCCTAGTCAACAAGCATATGCTTCTTTATCTCCCACTCCTTCCCAGGACTTTCCTGCCGTGACCCATGTACCTGTAACCAACCAGGGTTGGTACTCTCCTCCCGTGAGCGGACGCTCTGTGTCTGATAATCATATTAATAATCATGCTGTTCCCAGTATGGTTCATTGTTCTTCTACGCCTCCTTTGCAGGAAGGGATTCCTATGTTTGATCATGCATCTTATAGACAAATCTCACCCTCTCGCTTTCAATCTAATTCCCACGCTGATGGCTTGCATTGCCATTCCACTTCAGCTTTAGATTTGCTATTTCATCGTGACCGTGAACAGCGTCTTTTTCGCATGCTCCATCATGGAAGTGCTTGAGAATGTGTTCGTCTCACGTGTATAGTTATTTTCTTTCATTCTTACTTCATTCTTGTTTTGCACCGGTTTTCCTGGTACAGTCCCCATGTTACTTACCATCTGCTTCCTTAAATCCTTTTTGTACATCTCTTCCTTTGGTTTTAGTTGTTGCCGTGTTCGGTTATTCAGCAAGACCTCCGCCAACGAAAAACACTCCAGAAATGACCTCTGTTTTCTATATTATTCTCGTCGCCGATGTTCCTGTTATTTTTGGAACGAACGAGTGGTTTTTCTTCAAGTCTTTTGGTTTGCGATGTTTCACTTAATATCTGTGTCGCGTCTTTTTCTAATTTTTTTGCGGAGTCGTTTACGATTGTTACGAATTAATAGATTGGTTCTTTACGACGGGACTCATTATTTATTCCTTATTTCGTTATGTTCATGTACGATGTTGATATTGTGCTACATAGTCGGGTTTATACTCGGTCAGCCGTATATACTATCAAGCATCTTTTGAACACATTGACGACTCTTTTTTCTCTTGTCTCCTTATGTCATTTTTGATCCGTGAGGGGGTTTTGTTTTGGCGTGTATATTTCTAGATTGATTGGATCTTCCTTAATATTCTTCCAATGAATTTGGTTTATGAGATTCTTTGCTGTTTTAATTATTCTGACTGGTTTTTATGTGTTTTAATTAATTCATTCTTAGAGCCTTGAATGAGGCTAGCTTTTTTATATTTAACTATCCTCATTTCTTCGTTCTTTTTTTTGTTTTCCTCTGCTATTTTTATACCCATCAAATGAATAATCGCATTTTGGCATATGTTTGATGGAGGTTAAAAATAGTTCTTATTACGTTTTTTTAATTCCTTCTTACTTCCTTTTCCCGTGGATACCAGCGGCCTTTTGATAAATTAAAACGTTCATCAAAGGATTAGCTGTTTTTTTTTCAAGATGATTATGGTCAGTCATGTGATGAATATCACGAGGGCTGTAATTCAATTCCTTGCTGGATATTACTTTTATATTTGGCAAAAGGAGGTGAACGAAGGTAGAGATTCTTTCTGTGGTAATGTTTTTACACTTTTAAAGAAGTCTACTGCAGATATTATTATTCATCATCCGAACATGCAATTTTCTTGCATTCCAACTCCGCTTTGGATTTTCCTTGAAGTTATTTTGATTGTTATTAGCAATTGGAAAGCTTCTTTCCCTTCGAAATGTATGTATTTAATGTTGTATCATCAATGATATAAGCATTGGATATTTTCGTTCGAATTGTTAGCTTAAATGTTTCTTTTACTGTTCTCCTGTCAAAGGACCCGGTCTGCTTTCAGCGAATTTTCGGAAGTAGTCATCTGCAGTGAATAAAAGCATTTCCAACATATTGAATTTGCGTGTGTGACATGAGTAAGACAGTAATACGGTTATGCAACAGTTAATGTAGAGCAAAGCAAAATTGAAAATATCTAACTACCACTTGAGTAGCAGCCTGAAATGAAAAGTACTTGTAAGAAATTGCGAGTAAAGTTCGAGTGACTATTCAGTGCAGTATATAAGATTGTGAGGTAGTACGTAGAGCGTTATCTGATATCCGAATACACTTTAGGGTCATATAATGAGGATGAGTCGATTTTCTCGAACGTGCAACTTAACAAAAGCCAACTGCCATTCAAGTTTGTTGCCTTTAGAATCCATGCCAGCATATTCTAAAAGAAAGTCAAGGTCCTCCTTGGAGGTATCAGAGAAGTCGAACCAGCCGAAAATTGTTAAGCGGACTGTGCAAACTGAAAAAAATGGTAACGACAGTGCGCCTGAGCAAGAGATAGTTACAGAAGAAACAATTGTTCCAGAGAATGGCGAGACAATTGAAGATGAAGAATTACGAAGACTGCGCGAAAATCAAAGTGCTATTCAAGAGTTTTCAAAGAAAGATCCAGAATCAAATGACGATGCATCTTCAGCAGGATTGGTTGATGGAGAGGAAGATAAGCAAGAGGATGAAGATGTAGAAAAGGATATAACACAACGAAATACTGGAAATCGTCCTCTTCCTGCTGGATCTGTTCACAGAACTACTAGTCATTTAACTCCGGTGCCTGCTCGTCCTCTCAACTCACACAACAACAATACCCAACGATTGATTGTCGTTTTGGACCAGGCTTGTTTAGAAATTTACAAGGTTGGAAAGGCAAAAGATGCAAAATACCAGCTATTGAATTGTGATGACCATCAAGGTATTTTGAAGAAATTGAATAGAAATATTGCTCAAGCACGTCCTGACATTACTCATCAATGTCTCTTAACTTTATTGGATTCACCACTCAACAAGGCCGGGCGTCTTCAGGTTTATATTCACACAGCCAAGAAAGTTCTTGTTGAAGTGAATCCTTCAGTGCGTATCCCACGTACATTCAAGCGATTTTCTGGTTTGATGGTTCAACTACTCCATAAACTTTCTATTCGAAGCGTGAATGGAAATGAAAAGTTGCTAAAGGTTATTAAAAACCCCGTTACTGATTATCTTCCCCCTAATTGCCGTAAAGCTACTTTGTCTTTTGACGCACCCACTGTCCCAACTCGTAAGTATTTGGAAAAATTAGAACCAAATCAATCAGTTTGTATTGCCATTGGTGCCATGGCTCATGGTCCCGATGACTTTTCTGATGGTTGGGTGGACGAGAAAATAAGTATCAGCGATTACCCCTTGAGTGCTAGCATCGCATGCTCTAAATTCATCCATTCTATGGAAGACTTTTTGGGAATTGTGTAAAACAAGTTTGTGAAGGATTCCGTCTAGTATCATCTAGATGTGTTTGGTTAAATTCGGTTTCATTTTGTTATAGATTTTGGTCTAATGAGCACGTCTCAGTTCCTTCGACAAAAAGCTTGGAGTCATGTGAAAAACCAATACAAAAGAGTGTTTAATTTTTTGGGTTATATATAAAGATAAGCATTGTTAGATTCAGCAATCAATACTAATTAACGGGAATTGTCATACAATGGTTTAGATAGAATTTATTTCATTTTATTAAGATATACCCATTATGCAAATAGAAAAAAACCCAACCCCGAGGAAAAGATCTGAGAGAAATTTCCCATAATATTAGACAGGACCAACTTTTATACCAATTCTTTCGATTCGAAACATTTATTAAATGACAAGTAAGTTTTTGTAATAAGTTGATAAGTCGACTTTACCTTTTACGCTCATTTCTCCATTTATAAATTGGTTTTCCATCTTTTGTTTTCTTTTTCTGGCGGCCTCCTTTACCTTGTAATAACCGATCTAACTGAACGCGTTCTTCAGCAGCAGCAAGCTTGGAATCCCTTTTTTTTCGCAAAAGCAATTCTCTAGCCGTTTTCTCTTTTAATTTTCTATGGAGGCGACTTGAAAAATCTTCCACCCTCATGTTTACTTCTCCAATTTGGTCGACGCGTAAGCGATTTTCGGCCCGATTGACCAATTCAGCGCTTGTTTGAAAATGCTTAGCAGGATCAAATTGTATTGCTTCTTTTTGACCATCAACAAACAATGTATGTTTCCGAGGTTCTGACTTAAAGCGTTGAGCTCCCACCATGTGCATTTTTTGTTCAAGTTCTTCGATCTTTGAACGTTCAATGTCTCGATGATGGCGAATCCATCCTATATCTTGTGTCTTTAAAATCTTGATGGTATCCATATCAATAGAAGAATCCTCTCGTTCTTCTTGAGGGACGCCATTTTTCGTCTTCTTATGGGTCATTCCATAGTAAAACTCATCGGGATTTCTTTCTTGCGCTTTTTCACGCAAACGCTTAATTTTCTTCTGCTTATCTTTGTAATCCTGGGCTCGGGCCACATAGTCTTTCCGTTTTTCCAGTAATCCTAATTTGCGGCGCTCATTAGGTTGAGCACGTTCACGATGGTTTTGTCGCTGTCCAGCATTTTTGAATGTTGCTACCATATTGAAGAACTCTTCTCCTGTTATAAATAGGACTTTCACTTAAGAAAATATATGTAGGAGAGATGGTTTTTACTAGCTGACCTCGTACATTGGAAGGTCGAATGTTGGATACAGTGAATTAGAACCCTATGTTGAGCATTATTGTGCACTATCGTATTACTGACATACTGACTCTTTACTGACCTCGTAAAAATAGTATATAACGTGCTTTAATAAACAATCACTAATAAATAAATAATTGAGCATCTTTAAAAAGAAAAAATAAATGTAAGCAGTTCTAGGTATCAAACGGTACTTGTTATTCGTTTCAAAAAATAAAGGATATAACGGACTTTTTTAATTCTCTTTTTCCGATTCTCCTGGTCAAAGCAACGAAATTGAAATAAAAAAATGCAGACCTCCATTCGTATGGTGCTTTGGACCTACAGATGCTCAAGTCGTTTCTTCTTTTATACTACTTTTAATTTTAGTCTAAAGTGGTTTAAAACTAGAAGAAAACATGTTACAAATCTTGGACATTTTTACCGTTAGACATTCTTGTGGTAGGCAGTAAAACAAAAAAAAAGGAATTTTATTTGATAATTTACTTTTTGTTTTTTTCTTTATTATATATATATATATTTAGAAATATTCTAAAAATTACATATATTGTTACGAAACTTATTAACATTTCGCTTCTTTTCGATAACTGCTCAATTTTCGTTCGCAAAAAAGAACCTTTCACCTTTCCATAACCACCATAACTCATATTCCCGGTATTTACCATGACGGTCGAAGGACCAGGGATGGAAGCGTTTCAAAATGAAAAGAAAACGCTTTATTCTACCCTGATTAGCAATGAAACCGTTGTTGCTTTTCTTGGTACGAAAAAGGTTATGCTGGATATTTTACGACATGTAAATCAAATCAATGGTACGTACGAAGATTCAACAACCTAATTTTAAACTAATAATGCTTTTGTAGACATTGATGAAAAAACTATTGTTGTTATTATAGATAATATTATGGAAGTTCTGCCAAGAAATGTTTCTCGTGAATGTCGCTTAGAATTGTGTGCTACTCTTGCGCACATAACGAAATTGTCTCCTTCCATCGCTCTCACTGCACTTTTGCACCGTCTTCAGAGCATATCGAACCGCTTGGAACGCGTCCCTAGCAGTGCTATTTCAGTATCTTTTAATGCGTTGAGTTGGGTAAACTGTATCCTTTCAAACCTCCCTTCCAATGAAATGAAGTATTGGATGTTGGAGTTCCTTCCGCTTCAAAGTCAATTCTTAAATGCCGTGATTCGGGATGCTAAACCTGCGATTGTTCGAAGCGCTTTACAAAACACACGTCGCTGTTATCGATCCATATTTCTAGCTCAGCTCAATGACTTGTCCTCCTTTATTCCGTTTCTTTTGAATGAAACCAAAGCAGCTCTTGTTCCTCCAAAAGCTTTGCCATTGTATGGTGTTATATTAGGCACCTGCTACTATTTCCAGCTGTCTTCAACCCCTCGCACTTTGGCTTCAGAGAACATTGACTTTCTAGTGAAAATGATCCCTCAACACGTCCTTACAGCGAAACCTTTATTGCCTAAACTTTCTGTTGAAGGATTCTGTTATAGTGTTGGATTATTGCTGTCTCTAGATAAATTATCTAGCAATTTACTGCCTTCTATCGAAAAGGCATTACTACGTTCTCCAGAACTTGTTTTTGCGGGTGTTTTATCCTCTTTGGTTGTCGGTCTTTCCGATTCTGGGAAAGACGCCTCGTCTTTACTACTTAGCAGACTTTATGATACCTTTGCTTCAAACTTAAAGAGTTCAAATGCAACTGTTCGACAGAACTGTTTTCATACATTTTCGGTCCTCTGTAAGCATGCCAAGGACTCCAAGGTACTTATGGAAGTAGCACTGAAACTAACTTCTGCGTTGAAAACAAACAAAGTGACCTCTAATGAACATCGCAACCTTTATATGGAATGCCTCTCTCATCTTTCTGTCAAAGAAATAGACTCTACATCTTTGCTTAAGGAAGTCTTGCCTTTGTTCATGAAGGTTCAAGAAAGCAGTTTCTATCACTTAGCAGCCGTGATTATAAGGAATATCAAGTCTATTCTTCTGTCAAACAGTTCTTTGGATAAGGGTATTTACGATTTCCTTTCAAAGTCCTTAGATAAGCCAGTTGCATACGAACGTCAGCATTGGATTTTAGCTTTGGCTGATTTGGTTTGGGATTCGCAAACGAACGAGTCTTCCCAATTGGAGCTTAATAACTTCTACCTAGAACATTTGAATAAATTAAGTCAAGCTACTTTAAACAATCCTACTACTGCTTTACAAAATGGAAGTATTTTGGCGCCCGTCGTTTATCTATGTTTAATGAGCAAGAAAGAAAGTGATGGCGACATTAGCAAACTTAAGTTTACTGGTGATTTACAAACCTTGCTCGATGGACTTGTCAATTCCACGGGAGAAAGTATTCTTTTTTCAAACAAATATTCTAACAAATTAACCACGGACCAAGCGAAGTTATGGTGGATCCGTGGTCTGTGTACCTTTGCTAGTGTTTGTGATAAGGTCTTAACTGATGATCTGGCATCTTCTTGGTTTCAATCATTAATAAATCTATTCAACTTTACGGGCAACCAAAACTACAGAATTGCTTTTGAAGCGTTAAAGATTGCAGTGATAAGCAATCCTAGTTTGCGTAAAACCATATGCTCGCAGTTATGGAATCTGCATTATCAAGCTGAATCCGCTAAGAAGGATGGAAAGTTTGATGAGGAGTATAATAAGAAGTTGGTTCAATTATTAAAATCAATTCTCTTAGCAATTTCTGCCGATGTCTCTACTGTAGATTCGACACGATTCGTTGATTACGACTTTTATTTGATTGAACTTTTATTCCTTTCTTTTGCTTATGTCGATCAGTTTAATTGGATTCAATTATGCCAGCTTTCACATAGGGATCCTGCCACGCTTGTCACCGAACGAATCCATGAAATTGTGTACTATATTGCTACTACATTATCTAACAATGTTAGATCTGAAAAGGAAAAAGCTATGATTTCTTCAATTTCGATGATTCTTTTTGTTGCTCCGGAGGTTGCCACTCCTCTATTCGTAAACCTTTTCCGTGGACAGCTTGTTAATCTGAAATTGACAAATGTCTCGGATATGGAATATGAAGTCTGGAAAACGCCCGATGGAGTTCTTTGGGATAACGTCCTTGAAAAGAAGTCGAATAAAATTGACAAGAATACAAAGGATTACGAAACCAAGCTTTGGGAAGCCGAAGTTCGAGCTAAACAGGCTCAGAAGAAGCCTATGAAGTTGAGTAAAGATCAACAAGTATTGGTAGATTTACAGCTTGCAAAGGAAGCTAAAATTAGACAGTCCGTTAATAGTATGGTTGCATCTCTTGAACGCGGTCTTGAAATTATTCAGAGTATGGGCAAGGCCGTTCAGTTATTCCCTGGATTATGGATCGAGGAAGCCATTGAAGTGTTAATCTTTGATAAGGTTTTGCAATTGAGTACTCCATTTACTGGAAATTTGGCTTTAGAGGTCTTTAAGTTAGTTGTTAATGCCTCTGGTCTTCCATCTCGTTTAGGAGAGTCTGCATATTCAGATTCACTAGCAATAACCCTTCTCGATTCTGTTAGTGGCGCTCATAGTGTAAACGAAAATGTTGTTGATTCTTTCCTTTATAAGGTACGTTTTGCTACAGAACAAGCATATTTCGAGCCTGAAACATTTTCTTGCATTTTCCCGTTAATCAATAAGATTTGCTATGAAAACGCAACTAAGGATGATGAAAAATCGACTGAACGCTTATTATTGGCAATTGAAATGCTAGGATTTCAAGCTCCTTATTCTTCCTCTTTGAGGGGAATGAGGGCCCTGTTTTTGAAAGTACTTTTACATTTGCTTGAAACTGTTCCTGCTCATTACCAGGACGTTAAGAACTCATTGCTATCACTTGTGCAAGGTATTGGTGCATCTTATACTGATAACGAATTAAAACTCCTTTTGGAACATACATGTCACAATGAAACTTCCGTTAGATCTGCCGTTTTGCAATCTCTACAGGTTTTGGACCTAACTCAATTTAGTTTTATTAAGGAAATTTTCTTGGAACTTTACGACGACAACGAATCTAATGCTGCAGTTGCTCATCAAATTTCGACTCAAAACGGATTGGATGCAAATGAAGACTCTTATTCCGAACTTTTACCTTTGCTTAATGTTAAATCCAATTACCTTCACACTCTTGTTGGAAAGTCTTTCGTTGACTTGATTGATGAGTTTGAGGATTTTTCAACCATTCTACCCCAAAAATTAATGGAAATGTATAACAAAAACGCTTTACCTTCACCTCCTGAATATGATGAGTACGGTATTATAAAGAAAGAAACTGTTGGACGGGATTTAGGAATTGTTCCCAGAGAGGGTGTCAGTATAATTTTCGTGCATATTTCGCAGTACTTGTCTTCTAACTTACTTGTACCATTTTTGGAATTCTTGTTATCCTCTGTACAACCAGATGCAAAGATCCCTGTTACTGACAGTTCTGTTATCGTAGCATCTAACATGTTGGAAGCTGGTAAACAGTCTATTGTTGCTTTTGGTTCCTATCAAGTGGAGGCTTTGATGGAGTTGTTCGAAGCTAAACTCAACGTCGACACTTTACCAACCGAGGCCAATGATAGATTACGTGAGGCAACTGTAGTCCTCTTTGGAACTGTCGCCCAACATTTACAGGAAAATGATCAACGACTGGTAGTGGTTCTGGAAAATTTAATCTCCGCGTTATCCACTCCTAGCGAAAGTGTACAACTAGCAGTTGCTTCATGTATATCACCGTTGATCAAAAAGTTACTTCCAAAATCAAAACAATATTATGATCATTTAGTAAGCAGCTTGTTAAATGCTTCGTCTTTTGCAGAAAGAAAAGGAACAGCTTATGGTCTAGCTGGTTTGATTAAGGGTTTGGGTATTAAAGCGTTTAAGGATTTCAATATTATGGATCAGTTACACGAATCAATGACAAACAGGCAAAGTTCATCGATTCGACAAGGTGCTCTGTTTTGTGTTGAAGCTTTTTCACGTACGTTAGGTATATATTTCGAGCCATATCTGCCTGATTTACTTCCTTTACTACTTTCATCCTTTGGTGATAGTGCAAGTGAGGTTAGAGAAGCTACTTTAGAAGCTGTAAAACATATTATGAGTCAATTAAGTGCTTATGGGGTTAAGCTTTTGCTTCCTAGCTTGCTAGATGGCTTGAATGATTATAATTGGCGCTCTAAGCGTGCTTCTGTTGAGATTCTTGGTTTGATGTCCTACATGGCACCCAAGCAGCTCTCAGTATCGTTACCTACCATTGTTCCCAAGCTAACGGAGGTTTTGACTGATTCACATTCTCAGGTGCGCAATACAGCGAATAATAGTTTGTTGCGTTTCGGTGAAGTGATTTCTAATCCCGAAATCCAGAACCTCGTACCCGTTCTTCTCAAGGCCTTGAGTGATTGTACACGTTATACTGATGATGCATTATCTGCCATTCTTAAGACAGCTTTCGTTCATTATTTGGATTCACCTTCATTGGCCTTAGTCATACCTATCATTCAGTATGGTATGAGGGAACGCAATGCCTCTACTAAGCGTCAATCTGCTAAGATTTTTGGCTTAATGGCAAGCTTGACTGAACCTGAAAACCTTGCAATTTATTTGGATCCTTTAATGCCCAGGTTACGAGAAGTACTTATTGACCCTGTTCCTGACACTCGTGCAACTGCAGCTAAGGCTTTGGGATCATTGATGGAGAAATTAGGTGAAACTAAGTTCCCAACCCTAATTCCTGAACTATTTAATGTTCTTCGAAGTGAATGTAGTGAAGTGGATCGACAAGGTGCAGCTCAAGGATTGTCTGAGGTTCTTTCTGGTTTGGGCTTGACTCGCCTTGAAGATGTTTTACCCGAAATCCTACAAAATACTTCAAGTCCTACTGCCTATATCAGAGAAAGCTTTATTTCTCTACTTATCTATTTGCCGGCCACTTTTGGAGCTCGTTTCCAACCATACCTTGCTCGTGCAATTCCACCTATTCTAGCTGGTTTAGCTGATGAATCTGAACTTGTTCAGACAGCTTCATTAAGAGCTGCTAAGATGATTGTGAACAACTATGCCACTAGAGCAGTTGATTTGCTTCTTCCCGAACTTGAAAAGGGCCTATTCGACGACAGCTGGCGCATTAGATTGTCTTCAGTACAACTTGTTGGTGACCTCATCTATAAACTTGCTGGTATCAACAAAAAGACCTTACAAGAAGAAACTGATGAAAACGAAGAAGGGGCCCGCACTGATGTTAACCGTAAAGCCTTGCTGGAGACTATCGGTTCTGAACGTCATGACCGTGTATTGGCCTCGCTATACATCCTTCGTCAAGATATTGCTGCTGCAGTCAGGACCAATGCTCAGCAGATTTGGAAGAATATTGTTGTCAATACTCCCCGAACTGTTAGAGACATTATAACTACATTGACATCTTTAATTATTGGTAATCTGAACAGCGCTGGAAATGATCGACGTGCTATGTGTGTCAAGAGCTTAGGTGATTTATCCAAGAAGGCTGGATTTGACGTTTTGTCGCAACTTCTTCCTTCATTGAAGGATGGCTTAGAGTCTTCTGACAGAGAAAACAGAATTGGCGTTTGCATTGCTTTGCAAGAATTGATCTCTAGTACCTCTCAGGATCAACTTGAAATTTACAGTGACCAATTCGTTTATTCTGTACGTGAAGCACTTATGGATTCGGACTTGGAAGTAAGAGAAGCTGCTGCTGAAGCATTTGATACTCTTCAAACGGTAATAGGCGATCGTGCGGTCGATGAAGTTCTTCCCGAGTTGCTTAAGTTGCTAGAATCGGATGATAAATCTGAACACGCTTTGTCCGCACTTAAAGAAATTATTGCTCGTCGTTCTACTTCAATTTTCCCAGTCCTTATCCCCACTCTCATTAAGCAACCTATCACTGCGTTCAACGCTCGCGCATTGGCTTCGCTTGCTCAAGCAGCTGGTTCTACCTTAAACAGAAGATTGCCATCTATTCTTAATGCTCTTATGGAATCCATACTGGTTGCAAAGGATGATGTTTTGCAGAGCTTAGAGGAGTCCGTTGATACCATCGTATTGTCTATTAAAGACCAAGAAGGACTTGCAGTGCTCATGGCTCATCTTTACTCATTTACTGAAAATGAAGATTACAAGAAACGATTGTTTGCTGCCAAGCACATGCTTACATTCTTCCAGAACTCTAAGTTGGACTACTTCCGTTTTGTACCTGATTGGATTAGTCACCTTGTTAGATTGTTTGAAGACAGGAGTAGTGAGGTAATTGCGGCTGCTGTTGCTGCTCAGAACGCTCTAACATCTTCAATGCGTAAAGACAGGATTGAATCAGTAATTAGTGTTACGTACAAGTCCTTACATGATGTTGGTATAAATGACACCACCCTGCCTGCATTTGAAATTCCTCAAGGTATAAACTCTGTTTTGCCGATTTTCCTACACGGTATAATGCATGGCACAAATGAACAGCGTGAACAATCTGCTTTAGGTGTTGCAGACATAGTAACACGTGCTGAGGCTGATAAACTACGTCCTTATGTCACCCAGATCACTGGTCCTTTGATTCGTATCATAGGTGAGAGATTTCCAGTGGAAGTTAAGAGTGCGATTTTGTATACTCTTAATATTATACTCTCTAAAATTCCTACATTTTTACGTCCCTTTTTGCCTCAATTGCAGCGTACGTTCGCTAAGAGTTTGGGTGATCCTTCGAGCGAAGTTATTCGCAGTAGGGCTGCTACAGCCTTGGGTACTCTTATCACTCTGCAGACTCGTCTTGCCCCTATTGTCACGGAATTAGTATCAGGTGCTCGTACCCCCGATGCTGGCGTGCGCAAGGCTATGCTCAATGCCTTATTCGCAGTTGTTTCCAAATCGGGTCAAAACATGAATGAAGCATCTGCTGATTCTGTGGATCAATTGCTAAAAGAAATTTCCTCCGAGTCAAATGAATATATGATCATTTGTGCCAAGATGTACGGTGCTTTATTCAACCAACTTACGGACACCCGTGCCAGACAACTGCTTGACACTAATATTTTCAGTGTTGAAGCATTGGATGAGTATTCAGTTTTGATATTGAATGCGGTTATTAAGTATGGTTCAAAGAAGATTATTGATCTGGGCTTGAGCGAAAGTGTAAGTCAAGCCATATCGGATGCATGCCAGCAAACAGAAACCTATATCACGGAAAATGCCGTTTTGGCTGCTGGTAAAGCCCTTCTTGCTGATATTCCTCAAAATTTCAATGAGTCTAAGACTTTATTTGAAGCTTTGAGAGTTAGTATTGAAGTTAGCCCATCTGGCTCTCAAGATGCAAAGCGTCTGTCTTTGGTTATTATCCGAATCTTGTCTAAAGAGAAATATGATATTGTTAGACCTCATCTCAATATCCTTGCACCTGCCGTCTTCAGTTGTATTCGTGCTATCACCATTCCCATTAAACTTGCTGCAGAAGCTGCATTCTTAGCAATGTTTAAACTTGTTGATGATGACTCGGTTATTAACAAGTATATGGAAACTTTGGAGGGACCTCGTGCTAGAAGCTTTGGTGATTACACTCGTCGTGTTGCATTTAAATTGGCAGCTGGTGAGCGCGATCGTATTGCCTCCGGAAGTGGTAGAGTTCAGCTGGAAGAGAGAGAAGACTTGGCTGAAATTACAGCTGTTGGCAGAGATAACGAGGTCGTCTCCAATGAATCATGGTAATCTTTACCGTTGGACGAAAAGTTCGGCCTTTCTGGCAATTGAAAGTTAACTTATTCATTTATTTTTGGTCATTAACATTTTGGATGAGACAAGGTATAAGCTGTAATATCCAAATGTTGTAATGTCGTCAAAGAGACGATTATTGATTTATTTAGATCTATGAAAAACTGTATAAATGTATATATAGAGTTTGATGTGGATTTTAATTCGTATGGTTTTGGATTACCAAATGTTTCATTTTTAGTAAGGCAGTAATAATAACCAGGAAGGTCATATCTATAGTACATGTAGGCTTAACGTATTTAAGTAGTATATTACATAAACATCATTGAATGAATTTGGAGACGATTAAGCTGCTTGCTTATAAAGATGAAATAAAGGAATGAAAAAGGCAAACAGAAATTTGATGGTTTACTAAATTAGATATTAATTAGTCGGATACGATTTTCCGCGTATAGTGAAGATAGTTAAGATTAGGCACGTCAATAAACTGATACAATCATTAACAATCCAGAAATTATCTTCCACTTCTACTTTTGGCTGCAAGACTTTACTCATCACTTACCATTATGGCTTTGTCACGGCAGATTCCTAAAAGAACAGGATGTAGTTTAGTTTTTAAGCGTTTTTACTCTTTGCCGAATGAGCAAAAAAAGGTATGCAAATTATGTAGCTTTTCGATTGTTTGACAGTGATGTTTTTCATAAATAATCAATCCTCTTTGAAACCCAAGCTTCGAAAGCAGATAGTGTTGCTGCAAACCTATATACTAATAACGAATAGCTTCTTCAATCATCAGTTTTCCAATATGATCCTGAGGTCGGTAATATTTTAAAATCTGAAGAGAAACGACAAAAGGAGTCTATAGGTCTGATTGCCAGTGAAAACTTTACTTCGAAAGCCGTTATGGATGTTCTTGGTAGCGTGATGCAAAATAAGTATAGTGAAGGTTACCCAGGAGCGAGATATTATGGAGGTAATGAGATTATTGATCAAGCGGAGTCTTTATGTCAAAAGCGTGCGCTTGAAGTTTTCCAATTAGATCCTGAATTATGGGGTGTTAATGTGCAACCTCATTCAGGTTCTCCTGCTAATCTTCAGGCTTATCAAGCTATTATGAAACCTCACGATCGTTTGATGGGTTTAGATTTGCCTCACGGCGGACACTTGTCTCATGGATTTGCTACACCCCAAAAATCAATTTCCGCAGTCTCTACATATTTCTCTACTATGCCTTATGGCGTGAATCCTAAAACTGGTATCATTGATTATGAAGACTTAAGCAAATCTGCTAAGAAGTTTCGTCCCAAGGCTATTGTTGCCGGCGCAAGTGCTTATTCACGTTTGATTGATTACAAACGCATGCGCATGATTGCGGATGAATGTAATGCTTACCTACTTTGCGATATGGCTCATATATCTGGGCTTGTTGCTGCTAGAGTCATTCCTTCTCCTTTCGAATTTGCTGATATTGTAACTACCACAACCCATAAATCTCTTCGTGGACCTCGAGGAGCTATGATTTTCTTCCGTCGTGGTCTTCGCAAACACGACAAGAAAGGCAATCCTGTCTATTATGATTTGGAAGAAAAAATCAATTTTTCTGTCTTCCCTGGTCACCAGGGTGGTCCTCATAATCATACAATTACTGCTTTAGCGGTAGCTTTAGGTCAAGCAAAAACTCCTGAGTTTGTTGATTATCAAAAAAATGTTGTCAATAATGCAAAAGCAATGGCAGACGCATTTGTCAACAAAGGCTATGAACTGGTTTCAGGTGGCACTGATACCCATTTAATTCTTGTTGATTTGACTAACAAAGGTATCGACGGAGCCAGGGTTGAGCGTGTGTTGGAATTGATCAATGTTTCAGCTAACAAAAACACTGTACCTGGAGACAAATCTGCCCTTATACCCCATGGCTTACGTATAGGTACTCCAGCTTGTACTACGCGTGGCTTTAATGAACAAGATTTTATAAAGATTGTTGACCTTATTGACGACGTTGTTCACCTAACTGTCAAGCTGAACAAACAAGCTAAGGATAGTGGTAAGACAAAACTTAAAGAATTCAAAAGTTTTGTTGGCGATGGAAGCCAAAATCCAGACATCCTTAAGCTGAGAGAACAAGTTCGCCAGTGGGCCAGTAAGTTTGACTTTCCTATATAATAATCGTAAACCTCTGTAGAAATAGGTATTTTAAATTGGATGAAATAACAAATAACAAATAAATAAACTAAAATAATCCATATTCATTTATAATAGACTGAACGAAGTAATGAACTTTAGCTAGTAGTCGAAGAATCCTCATTTTACGAGCGTCTGATAAGTAATTTTCTACTGTAAATTATTGCTTTCTCTTTTAACAAAATGAATTAAATCATACTAATGCTGGTTAAAGTGTAGAAGCCAGGGAATGAGGAAATGCTGTACACAAAGGAGAAAAAGTACCTTCAAGATAACTGTTCGGTTCTGTATGTTTCAGCATACTAGGCTAATTATACAAACCTCTTCGTCGTAAGCAAGTAACATGAGGATAGGATAAGATGGAGTGCCATGAAAGTGGAAGAGTACTCAACTTACAATCTTCTATTGACCATAAGGGAGCAGACGTAAAGTAACCTTGAAAGAAGGTAGCGAAGGAAATCAGATTAAAATAAATGCAACGAGGAATCCCGAGGAAAACTTAACAACATTGTGAAGAAGATTTCTTCTTGTTCGTGTCGTTCATAGTGGGAGTGATACTAAGAGTTTGACCGCCCATGGGATGAACGCCTTCATCACCACTTTCGAGAGATCTATTCGAGACGATTCTAAAAATTTCTAAAATACATGTTAATATCGAGTAAAAGAAAGAAAAAACAATAATGATAATCCGTAACATACCGGTCAAGACAGTTTGGAAAGCTTCTTCTACGTTGCTTGCGTCCATTGCGGAAGTCTCTATAAACGATAAGTTGTTTTCAGCTAAAATTGTTAGTTTAAAGTACAGTGAAAGAATCAGTCAAGCAACAATAGCTTCTACGAATTTGGTTCGTTGGGCTACCGATACGAATGAGACATAGTATGAATACTTACCTGCAAAGGCCTGAGCCTCTTCAGTGGAAACAGCACGCAAGTGAAGCAAATCTGTCTTATTTCCGACAAGCATAATAACAATATTGCTGTCGGCATGTTCACGCAATTCCTTTAGCCAGCGGCCAACGTTATCAAAGGATGATTGCTTGGTAATATCATAAACAATGAGAGCGCCAACGGCACCACGGTAATATGCAGAAGTAATTGCACGGTAACGTTCTTGACCGGCAGTATCCCAGATTTGGGCTTTGATTTTCTTGTTGTCTAATACGATGTTTCTAGTAGCGAATTCCACACCAATGGTACTCTTGCTTTCAATATTAAATTCATTTCTTGTAAAACGCATTAATAGGTTCGATTTACCAACCCCACTGTCACCAATTAACACAGTCTTAAACAAGTAATCATATTCGTCTTCTTGACACATCGTTCGTTTTCTTTACAAGGTATCTGCTTTCCTATTGTCAATAAATAATTTCATTTCTTATTCTTTTCTGAACATACCCTTTATTCTTTTCGTTTTCGTCGCTTTTTTAGCGGTGAATGATTCTAGCAAAGCCTAGTTTGTTGTAGTCAAGTCCTGTAGGACCCATTATTGACATTTACCCACAGCAATCCTTTATGCTGGTTTATATAACGAATAAGAGTGAAGCTAAAATTCACATAACGCATTATTCATAAGTTTCCTTATGTCTTTTTGTAACTTGTATTAGTAAATGATAATACTATTTAGTGAGGTGTAGATTACGATACTAAACTGAGGATCATAATAAACAAACGTGCCAAGGCATACCATGGAGACATTCAAAATCGTTAGTTTTGGGAATCCTTGCAAAATAAAACTCATACTATATAAAATAAAAATTAACTTATTATAAATTCAATATAATTACTGCTTCAATTGCATTGTACGAGAACCATATATTTGGTCTATTGGTTTAATACGCTTAATGATACTTAACTGTTTATTAAGAGGGATTTATCATTTCCTTTTATATTTTATTTGATAATTATTAATTCATAGGTGGGAATACTGACATTTAATATAGTTACTTTCCCTTTAACACAGGAATTCTGTCGACCAGGTAACCATCATACAAAGAAATTGTACTAAAGAGAAAGCAAAGTACAAGATTCAGAAAATAAAACTAATGCAAGCGGATAGTAATATGAGACTTTATGCAATTGGGGTTCTACTTTAAGTTAATAATTGAGCTAAAGATATCCTGAGAATGGTAACACGCAACTGGGTGCTTTCTATTTACCATAAGTCACATAGAGCCGAAGAGACTATTTAAAACATTAAGGCAACAAGAAAGAGTAGCTTTAGCTTTATTTACATAGCTCTTTCATTGTTACATATGAAACTTGTCCATTAAAGAATATAACATCATGATGTTACGAAAGGCCTTACTAAAATAAGGCGTGTTTACGGTTCAGCTTGTTGATTACTTCAGTAGCTGCATGGATGCCATAGAGTAGCTACGAAGATTTCTCTACTTTATTCCTCGTGGTTCTTAGTAGTTGTAGCATTATGGTGATTACCCTATATTCATATTACGGTTCCAAGGTATAGAAGAAACTACTGCATTCATTGTGTCACTTTTCCATTCCTTCAACAACACCGACGTGAGAGAAATTTCTCTCTATTAGAAGAGAAGAAACGAGTTATTGTCATATATTGATGGGTATCATATGTAGACTTTAACCCTGTGCTCCTTAGCACTCGCTGCTTTCTTTGGATCCTCCATTCAGCGTATCTGGTGCCAAGACATAGATCCTTAACAATATATCTGAACTATCGGATTAGGCCGATGAAGAGACGTTCATAAAAGGAAGCTTGTTTCTAATAAATTAGATTTGCACTCATTATCCCGGATGCCTTTCAAGTAATCGTAGAATTCAACTACGCTTTTTGTTGCTTTATATTTATTTTATACCACATAATATTTTGTTCAGGATACTCCCTTCATTTTTATTCTAATGGCTAATTCCAAAAACTCCACAAAACGTTCTAAAATTAAAAGGAAAGTGCAACTAGACGTATACGAAGTCGAACGGATTCTCGCCGATCGCGTAAATAAATCTGGTAAAAATGAATACTACATTAAATGGGTCGGATATGATTCTCATGATAATACTTGGGAGCCGGAGGAAAATCTCACTGGTGCCTCTATGGCTCTTAAGGATTGGCAGAAAAAAAAGGGACTTATTGCAGCTGGTCTATTAAAACCTTATGAATTTGAAGAAGATAAACCAACAAATGTGGGTCACAAGGAAAACGAAGAAGTATATTCCTTGGATATCAACTTTGATGCTAGTGAGTCTCTTACAAAAGCTGCCACAAAATCTAAAGTCAAACCAAAAACAAAATCCGAGGCCGGCTCAAAGTCCTCTTACACGGAAATACCAAAAAAGAGGACCATCAAACGTAAATCCTCTCCCGACACTTCCTATATGGAATCTGAAAATAGCCAAGTCACAGATCGGTCATCTATTGAAAAAAAGCAAAGATGTACTAATGGTGATCGGACTGAAACTCTGTCAGACCCTCCTCCGTTTTCCCATATCGAGATTGCCGAGTCTCATACCGACAAACATTATTCTCAAGACATGTTTTCTAATCCGACTTCAATAGGATCTATTTATGGAGTACCAGATAGAAAGAATACTACTTTTAATGATGATCTGTTACCCGACTATTTAGAACGGAAGCCAACGCTCACCTCAATATCCAGAACGGACAAGACAGATCCTTGTGTAAACTCAAATACGATTATTATCAGTGATATTACGAAATCCACTGCTGAAAAAGATATTGTTTCATATTTCGCTTACATCCCGTCAAATCTGGATGTGCGGGTTTATAGAGATCATAGTTCTGCTAGTGATATAGCCTATGTCAAATTCGACTCAGCCGATTATGCTAAGATCGCTTACGGAAAAGGACATCCAAATTGGCGTATTGCATTGGTAGAGGAAGATGTCTACAATATACCATCAGATACAGCATCCTCGACTAAAAGAGTGCATAAAGAAAACTTCAAGAAGAATTTAAAACCAAAACAAATCAAGAGTGCATCCCAAGTAAAGCCAAAAAATGATACGAAAGGCCCAGGTAGTGGGTGGACCACCGTTAACAATGTATGGCAAGAATTGCCTAACAGAAATATTCATGCTGAATAAATCAAGTCGAAAGAAATCTGCACATCAAGGTTCTTTCACGATAACTGCAGTTATCTAGGAATGGATATCGTCTTTACGTTGACTTCTCATCACTTGGTTGGTTTTTTATTCGTTTGCACATAAAGAACAAAATGTACTTAATCACATTTTTTGCATTTACTAGCTTTCGGTCGTTGTTGCAAGGATGGTTCGTCTGTCAGTAAATAATTTTACATGCTCAGAAATGATAGCACGAACGTTAAAGGGAAAGGTCATGAACGTAAGAAACAAGTAATGCTTGTTTAACATAGTTACAAAACTACCTAACGAATTTATCTATTGGAATTTAATATTGGATATACGACTCATTTGAATCAGCAGTATTTAACCAAATCTTCGTCAAACTTACGGATCATTGAAAAATGAATCAATTCTATTTCAAAACTTTAGCGGAAAATCTTCAATGCCAATTCTTTTCATTGTCCGTTTTCTGACGGGTAATTAAGCAAAGGCTTACTTATCCTATAAGTTTTACAAAGCTTTGCAGTCTGAAATGATAGGAATAATATCTAGTACATAACCTTGTAACGGTTGAATGAATTTCTTTCTTTCTTTCATAATTTAACTCCTTTTGCTAACCGTATTATGGTTTAATTGGAAAAAACGAATATATCGTAAACTTATATATCAAACGTAGTAAGAATCCAAACCAGTGGAATATAACTATAAAAAGTAGGCATGTCTGCCAAGACCAATTTCACCTTATTTTAGGGCCATACAGAACCATAGAATTAGAACATCAAAGTATCTGAGAATTTATTAATCTTTCTTTCATGATGTTTGGATATCAAGCATTTTCTTTTAGATTTTGTCAAAGCTGGGTTTGGAAACGGCCAGCAGTTATGGCATTGACTTCCATTGCCGCCGTTGGAACAGCAATGAAAACTCAGAAAGTACAATGCGAAAGCTTTGTAGAGAAACTGACAAACCTTGCTGATGAATATAATTTGACAAAGGATGACAGCCGTAAAGGCATGTTCCTACTTGGATCGGGACCAAGGTATGTCTCGTTCTTGGGTATATATGTATATGATGTTGAGCTTTATGTTCGGAAACAAGATTTTCGCACCATTCAAAAAGTTTTGAATGAACATGTAGACCCCAATATGGGAGTCGAAATGAGTCTAAAGGAAGCTCAACTCGGAAGTCGTATCATTGGAGAGCTCTTGAAACAAAAAATCCAATATTCGGTTAGAATTCTACCTGCACGGAATACCAACTTTAAGCATTTGAAGGGTGGATTTACAAAAGCGATGGTATTGCGCCAAAATCGCGATGATGAACGTGAAGAACGTATGATTCAAAGTTTCCAAAACACATTCCCTGGAACAGGAACTTGTCTCCGCTCTACGAATCTATCTATTACCTTAACAGATAAACAAAAATTGCTATTTGAACACGAAGATCGTGAGATTGGCAGTATGCAGGATGAAAATTTGAAACTTTCAAACCTATTTCTTCAAACATACTTGGTTGGAAATAAGGTGAATAGTGAACAAGCACGTCAATCTGTTTGTATGAATTTACGACGAATAATGGATGGTTCTATGAGTGTCTAAAAGGTTTCTTATTTGATATGTGCCAGATCCAAATATAAACAGTATACACGAATTACGAGTATGATTCTCTAAATTTAATCTCTTTCATTACTTTACAAATTATGAAGAAAAGAAATATTCTTTAAATTACGGGTATTACATTTATATTTTTCCTTTACATATTGCAAAAGTCGAGATTTTTGTAAACAATTGTCAATTCTTGCACATAATGCGAATGAATATTAAAAGAACCTAGGCGAAAATATAAACGAAGTATTTTTTAGGTGACTTGCTATGTGTTTATTAAAAGCCTTTTGTATCTTTGCAGAGAATTTAATGACTTAATCCATAAAGTAAAAGAATTTTCAAAGTGAAAAAGGCTGCTGACTACGTGAGAAACTTCTTCGTGTACTCATGCGTCTATCCGGACTCCACAAGTGTTGTTTGCGTCGCCTTCAAAAAACATATATGGAAAGTATTCAACAGTCAATAAAAAATAATAATAAGAATAAGAATAAATTGAATCCAAAGGAAAAATAACTAATGTTTGCAATATGACTTTTCCGTCGTTGACATCTGTTAATCACATTTTAGCGATGATTAATAACTTTTCGCCTTATACCCGAATGTTTCCCATACATTGATGAGACACTGAAGTTGTCCTTTGCACGCCACTGGAGATATCAGATTTAACTTAGGATTGAAAATATAGTTGGATTATAAGATCGGGGACTAGATTGGATAGAATTGAAAGGTTTGATATCGCTGGATGCCGTTATAGGATGCAACATTCGAGTCCTGCACCGATACTTTCAAATGCAACGCAGTCGAGAGTAAATATGACGAACCAGCAAGATGGACAGAGAAGCGTGGAAACCAATACAGACGACTCGAAACCGAATTCGCCTTCCCTCCCTAGTTGGGTCCATGAAAAAACGAAAGCGGGAAAAGATCGAAAACGGCTACCTCTTGCTTGCCAGACGTGTAGAAAAAAGAAAATTAAATGTTCAGGAGAGCGTCCATCGTGTGATCAATGCTTAAAGCATAACACCTCTTGCGTTTACAAGTCAAATCCTCGAAGATCCCATTCAAGACATGAAGAAATTCACCATCATCAACAGTTGCATCTTCAGCAACAACATAATCGTGCTGCTGCTGCTGCTACAGTGAATGCTTCTGGGCCTCACTCACAAGAGCCCTTACCCGAACAGGTTGGTAGCCCTCGTGACTCGGCTCCTTCTTCATCGTCTTCTTCTGTAAGCATGAATATACCGAACCAAAAAAGCTCTTCGTCTTTGAATTCTCCTGCTTCATATCCGTATATGCTGAATTCTCGATTACCTGTTGGTAATCCACAGGTGTCAATGATGTCTGCTTCACTTTCTAAGAATCTTGTTCTCGACCGAAATAACTCAAATTCTGCGTCGCCTGAATCAACTTCTAATCCTACTTCTAGTAATAATGTTTATCCTTCCGAAGTCATGTATGTCCCATCCGCTACGAATCCTTCTATTTCAAAAAGCCAGAGTTTCACCGGGAACGTCCCTATGACAGACGTCGCTTCCGTCCTGCCTATTGTATCTACAAACGGTTCCAATTCGAACTCCGTTGTCGCTGCTCCAATTCCCCTTAGTCCAGCAGTTCAATACCAATCACAACCACCGACGAGAGTTCCTGTAACGCCTGCGGCGACTTCTATTCCTCCTCCGGATCCTTTACCGTTTGTCCCTTCTCATCCTACTGCCACCGACAATTCCATGTTCCCTACCAATGCAATTCCTTCGCTTTCCTCTGGTGAATATCCTCTTTACTCTAATTATGGTGGTTATTCTCCTAAGCCTCAGTTTCCCTTCTTTGACAATAAATCAGGTAACGCATTTCCGCCCTCAACGTATTCAGATGTCCCCAATATGGCTACTCAACCTATCGTGACCGACAATTATGCACTCGGTACAAACTCCTCTAATGAAAAAAATGAAACCGACCGGGAAACGGCTCTCATTGACGCTAAAATGCCTGACCCTCTTGCTAGCCTTACTATGCCATCCACTCCAGTGACGGAGCTGCCACCTTTGGAATTACGAATTCACCTTGCTGAGGTATTTTTTCATTGCTGCCATGGTCAAGCTTATAATTTATTTCACCGTCCAACTTTTTTTGAATCCCTTAATAATAACACAATTCCTTTGGTACTTGTTTATGCTATGTGCGCCGTTTCCGCGCGCTTCTCCTCACGTATGCATGATCAGTATTCTCCCCCTTATATGGCCGGTGAACAGTTTGCTAGAGAGGCTCGTCGACTAGCGTTGGACAATTTTGATAGGCCTGATTTGTCACTGGTTGCGGCCCTTTTGTTATTGTCTTTGCATGATTCCGGAACGGGGGAGAACGGCAAAAGTTGGATGTACGGTGGCATGGCTCTTCGCATGGCGGCAGCATTGCAACTTAATTGTGAACAAGGAAGTAATCCGTTGGATCTAGATAACATTGACTCTGGTCCACGGATCTCTTTCCTTGAACGTGAACTTAGACGTCGTACCTTTTGGTCTTGTTTTTTGATGGACAGATGTATTTCTTCTCATGAGCACTTGCAGTTTTTGGACGAAAATGACATTGGAATACAACTTCCTGTGCACGAGTTGTTATTCACCAAGCAAATTGCTGGTGTAACTCAGACTCTGGACGGAAGAATTTTGGAAGGTGTACCGAGCATTGTAGTTCCTTCTGATACTACCGAAAACATGGGTGTGGCTGCGTACATTGTGAAGATTATAGTAATCTGGGGAAGAGCCGTTAAGTATTTTAAGCACGATGGTCGGCGAAGGGATCCTCATCCATTTTGGCATAGAAATTCTGATTTCACCCAAATTAGTGAAGCTCTTTATAAGTGGGCTGACGGGCTTCCTCAAAGGTTGAGGTACTCTGTCGTAGGATTGGAAAATCACCTATCTATACAGCAAGGTGCTCAGTATGCATTTCTTCATTTAGCTTACCACTACACCTTAATGTGGCTTTTCCGTTCCATTGGTGAATCTGAAAACAACCAGCTTTCGAGAACGTCGAGTACAGTATCTTTGACCGGAAATACTATTTCTTTCTCACCAGTGCGGCACAATCCTCATGAATCTCATCATAGCGAGTTTCAGGCTGAACAAAAGCCAGAAAGCCACGTCAATAGTGCTGCAAGGCGTCTACACAAGGCAGCACGTGAAATGTGTTTACGATGTGCTAATGCAATTTCAATGATCGTTGATGATTGCAGAAAGCACAATGTAATTCTGACTTCTCCATTTATTGCTTCAGGTGTGTATACAGCATTTTGTATTCAAACTGAAGCTGCTTTTGGATTAAATGTTTTAACTGCATCTACAGCTAGGCATAACCTGGAAATTGATCTGAGATTAATGTTGGAAATGAAAAATTATTGGGGCTCTATAGGAGCGTTGTGCGAAAGAATGTCCGAAATATGGGCGGACTGGGTACAACGTACATCCTCTGGTTCTGCCGTTAATGACACTGTTGCGAATGAGCCTATTGACGAAGAAAAAATGTTAGATTTGGAGAAGCATTTTATGTATATAGCTGAATCTCCAATGGTTGCCAATCATAACGTTCAAGAAAGTTATTCTTCAGACTTGATGTCCCACTTTGGATTACCGAAGAATGCAGATTGGAATCAATGGAACGGTCTTTGGCCATCGGATGATTTACGAAACTACCAAGAATCTACAATTGATAGTCTGGTAGCGTATGCAACTGGAAACCCTGGGTGGAATGTCTCTTTCGCTGGTTAAAAAAAAAAGAGAAGATGAAGAAGTCAGATATATTTGCATGTTAACACTTTCGTTTTCTACTTATACGTAGTCGATGATTCAACTTCGGTGATCTGTTATCCTTTTTTTCAGAAAATTGCGCATACTATATTGGAAAAGGTGAAAAATTACCAACTACTTATACCTTCTTTATGTTCGGAATTGAAAACATTCCGATGCATCGATAAGTCTATCTATTTGTTTGTTGACTTTATTTTATTATTGTTTGGTTGTCATTATGGTTCTGTATGTCTTGACGTTTAATATGTACATAATCCTAGGTTCGGGTAGTCAATAGGACAGCAATGTTTGGTATTTAAGTGAAAAATTAGGTTATATTATTTTTGTTATTATTCTTATCATAAATAGTTGGGTTTCAGTAAGGTAGATTTTGAGTAATGCATAAATTCACATTTAAAATATACAATATAGTAAAAAAACCAATATCAATTTATCTATTTCGCTCTACATAGTGAAAGGAGCGTTTGTTTAGGTGAAAGAAAAAATACAAAAAGCAGTCACGAGTGGGTAGTGCAGGTCGAAACTTTTCTTGGTGACAACGAACTTCCATCTTGCTCTTTTCATAGGAAGCCAAAAAATCAAAAATGGGTGCTTACAAGTATTTGGAAGAGCTTTCTAAGAAGAAGCAGTCTGATGTGAACTTGTTCTTGTCTCGCGTTCGCGCTTGGGAATACCGTCAAATGAACGTTGTTCACCGCGCTAGTCGCCCCTCTCGTCCCGACAAGGCTCGTCGTTTGGGCTACAAGGCCAAGCAAGGTTACGTTGTCTACCGCATCCGTGTTCGTCGTGGTGGCCGTAAGCGCCCTGTCCCTAAGGGTCAAGTCTATGGTAAGCCCGTCCACCAGGGTGTTAACCACCTCAAGTACCAACGCTCTCTCCGCTGCACTGCTGAAGAGCGTGTCGGCCGTCGTTGCGCCAACTTGCGTGTTCTCAACTCTTACTGGGTCAACCAAGACGCTACCTACAAATTCTACGAAGTAATCTGCGTCGACCCCTCTCACAAGGCCATCCGCCGTGATCCTCGCATCAACTGGATCTGCAACGCTGTCCACAAGCACCGTGAAGCTCGTGGTCTTACCTCCATCGGTAAGAAGTCTCGTGGTATTGCCAAGGGTCACCGCTTCAACAACTCTCCTCAATATGCCACCTGGCTCCGTCACAACACCTTGTCTCTTCGCAGATACCGTTAAGGTGGTTGATTTTGTCTTTGTTTTTTCTGGTTCAGAAAAATGGTACAATCCAAAGTTTCAGGTTCAATTGGAAAAGTTTTATGAGACAGTAGAGATGTACAAATTTGTCCTGTAGCTTTTTTTGTTTCGACTAGTAGATATTGTAAAGGAACCACAAAAGCCAAAGATATGCATTTGCGTATTGTCATGGGTGATGTTTTGACGACTTGTAGTTAACAAATGTGAGACATGATAGATTGGTCTAAGCTATCAGTAAAGAGCAGTAGAATTTTGCTTGCAGAACGAAGAGACTGTCTATCGAAGGATGTAAGTGCCTTTGGTAGGCTGAATTATTTACAAAGAGTATTCAGTAAAGAAGCATGTACCAGGGAATTATTGTTTATACTACGTAAATCAATTCATTATAAATTAATGTTTGTATTGGAAAGGCTTTGATATAGAATTCTAACGTTTTGAATCAATTGAGTTTCGGGTTTATCAGTAAGTCAGTAAGTCTTTCAACCAGCTGTTGTCTTTAAAGTAAAAATAGTAAATTTCTACGTTGATGTTTCTATTCTTTGTCTTGAGGAATTTTTTATTTTTTATTTATTTCCTTGCTTTATATCTCAAGTTCGTTTTGTCTCACTTGGATGCAAATATTCAGAGAAACACAAGCAAACGGAATCTTTGGAATTAATATAGCCAAAAAATTAAAAAAAAACGCTTCTAAAAGCGACAATAATGCCTAGAATGAACGTTCTTCATCCGTTATTTTAGTTTTTACAAAAGACGTAAATAAATAAACAAACGAAAGTTGTTCAAGTAACAAGTACTCTAATACTATAAACTACTTTATATTTTTTAACGAAGAATAATGTTCACTATAACAATTTAAGGAAGCCTTAAGTATCGCTAAAACGTCTTATATTAATAAGACGAAGCCTAGAAAACTCTATAATATGAATTTGGCGTCACACCATTACCGTAGTTGCGTAAACGGACTTTCAAATGGTCCGGAACCTGTCTTTTGCAATTACCCCAATTTCATATTTGTTGAGATATTTGAATTGAAACGCGTTCAGTTGTCAATAAAAGCCTTTATAATTGTTTTCTTTCCTAAAGAATCGGTTACGAACGGTTCAATTAATAAATTTGCCCCATATTCGAGGATTTTCTGGAACATTTCTCCAGAGTTTCAGTTCTTAGGGTTGTTTTATCACCAAACCTATTTTGTTGTTTCAATAGGTGCTGCGGAGTGTAGATGTGATTGAATTGTACTCTTTTTGGAATATTTGAGTGCTGTTGCATCCGTTTCGGCAAAATACGTTTTTGCATTTTAAGTGGCCGCTACAACGTCTGTCAAAATATTACAAAGTGCTGTACGTGGATAGTTTACACGTTACAAAAAAGATAGAATTACTTTTCCTTAGTGAACCCAGTGCACCTGCATTTCTCTTTGGATCTATAATCTGATAATTATCAAGTGAGTCTATTTTGTTTGTCCACTTCCCAGGTTTTTTTTACGTCTAAAAGGAGATAAGTTCTGTTACAGTTTCTTTTACTTCTTTTCTTTTTTCTTTTTGTTTTTTATTTAACATTTTCTTCCATTTCGTTGCATCGTTTTAGACTTCTAATTTTGTGTTGCATTCTTCTCTTTTATACCGCTCTAGATCTTCCTTCTATATCATATTCACTCAAATCCAAGACTCTCCTTCAATTGTTTATTATTAATTGCCTATCTAATTTTGCTTACGATCTTTCGTCATGACTACTAATACAGAAAGTTTGCCTGTTTTGTACTCCTCGCTGTATACCAAGGAGGAGTTTCCCAGTTCTGTCGCCGCCATTTCTGATCAAAACGCGCCTATGGCGATGAACATGTCAAAAAAGCGAGGACCCATTGCTGATAAAGCAAGTCTTGAACGATCATCGTCTGATGAAAACCAGTCTCTTCAAGATTTAGATGATGATTTGTTAGAAGAAAAACCCAAAAAATATGGCCGAAAGTCTGGTGAGAATGAACCCCAATCGAAAAGAAAGGCTCAGAATCGCGCTGCACAACGTGCGTTTCGCAAAAGAAAGGAAGATCATCTTAGGACTTTAGAATCACAAGTGGTCACTCTTCAACAGCTCAACTCAACCACGAACATAGAGAATGAAGAATTGAAAAAGAGGGTTCAGAGATTAGAAGAGGAACTTGCGGCAATGAGAAAAGGTCCTTTTACTTTTGAAATGAGTATGCCACATCGTGATCCTGCTTATCTCTCTACCCCTAACAACGTTTATGCTCCTCCCGCTGGCGATCAGTATGACAGTGTCCCATATGATGTAACATTGGCACACAACGATTCAAATTCCTCTTCAAATCAGGATTCGACATCAGCAAACAGTAATCAATATGGAGTTCCTGGTTTGGTAGAATCTAATAGTTCAATGCGAGGCACCTTATCTCCGGAAACTCCAATTTCTGTCGATTCTCCTCAACAGCAGCTGCAGAGGCCTGACCATAAACGGGATTCTCTTTCTCTGTCACCATACCAAGATGATTTTTTCGTTCATCGCAATGCTTCTATGGATGGAAAGCAATTTTGTCAAAAGTTGTCTTCAGCATGCGGTTCCATTGCTTGTTCTATGTTAACTAGAAATACGCCTCACCGTGCAAGCGTCGATATTCTTGGCGATGTGGGTCAAAAAGACGATTCCGTGAATTATATTGAATCTTCAACCGAACCGAAAGGTTTTGATACAGAGAAACCACCCTTGAAGCCGTTCTCCAAATCTTGGTATCCTGATGAAACATTGAAACAGGAGGCACCGAAATCTATGGCGGGACTAACTGGTACTGATTTACCTGATTATGACGCTATTTTTGAACCGAATCCCAACATTATTAATACTGGAAATTATGAAGGAGGTGACGCTGTGTCTGATTTATTCTCTACTTGGAGAGAACCTACTGAAAATTTGGATAAAGATTATTTCAACGACGATGGTGATACCGATAACATGTTTCGAACGTACTTTAGGGATGTTGACGAGGACCAAAACGATGATTTCTCAATTTTTGGTATTGGTGATAATGCGCCTAGTTCTTTGAATTTCTTCAATGAACAAAAGGAATTCGCCAATGAAGGGGATTATAAGAAGGATGTTTCAGTCGAATTGCCGAGTGTGCATCCTGAATATAGTAACGCTGATTTATCTAATCTTCATCCTTTAGCCTCTAATGAAAGCAAGATCGAGGGTAAACAGCCGAGTAAATATACTGTACAGGATCCTCAAGCCAAGGCTGATGATGAAGTTATTCCATTCAAAGAACAGAAATTCATAAAGTGTCCCGAAATATGGTCGAAGATAATGAGCCATCCAAACTTTTCACAAATCGACATTGACGACTTATGTTCCAAGCTCAAGCAAAAGGCAAAATGCTCGGCTTCTGGTGTTGTTCTCGATCAGCAAGAGTTGGATCAAACATTAAAGAAGCTTTAAGGGTTTTATCGGTGAAGAAGGTTGGATTTTAGGATTTTTTTAAGGTGTTGTAAGACAGGAGGCGGATTACATTTGTTACTATTTTGATATCCTTGAGGAAAGGTATCTGCGGTAGAGTCATACATATATACACTCCCTTTTGTTCTGTTTGATAATTTATAGTATGTATTAATGTTAACCATACAATGGATGCGTATCTGCTTTTATTAAATTTGCCTAATTCTTAATAATAATGGCTACCCTGGTGGGCCTTTTTGAATCTTTTTTTTTATATATATTTTTTTGTAACGAAAGGGAAAGCCCAAACTTTTAAATCAATTAATGAAAGGTTTGAAGTGAAGTAGTTCAAGAAGGGGGATAATAACAATTGAGGATTCAAGTAATTCTTTAGTATAGACAAATTAAGGGCGAAAAGATATTTTGAAATAATGAACAATATACTAACGTACAAAATATTAATATCATTATGTTTTCTACGAGACGAAAATCAGCAACTACTGCAGCGAGTTACATAAATCGTCAGCGTAACTACGGCAAAATATAAGTATGATTTGAACTTCTCATGCCAATTCACAAACGCAATGGCTTCTTCCATAAACGCTGTCGAAGATCAATTGAGTAAAACATTAGAGTCCCTTCAAACAGAAGAAAAATCAAGTAGCCTGCAAGAGAAAATCGATGAAATCATCAGCAGCTACAATGAAAAGGAGAATCGGAAAGGTTGGTACTAATTTCTTTTCTTCAATTAGACCAAATTAACTTAATTAATTAGTAAATTTACGATTTAAGGCCATTGGAAGAACTCCTTTGCTTCGTAAAAACGTATTTGCAATAAATGCAAGTCATCGCTTTGACAAGGTTATTCGATTTTTAAAGAAAGAACTTGGCTTTAAACCAGATTCTTCCTTGGTGAGTTCCCTATTAATGAGAACGGTGTCTAACTACTGGGGATCTAGTTACTCTATGTGAACTACTGTTTTGCTCCCGCTCCCGATGAAATTATTGGCAATTTATATGACAACTTTAGTGTTGACGGTTATCTTCTCATTTATTATTGTGTGAATGTAGCTTTTGGCTGATTTCACTACTCTAAGTTTATTCTCTCATTCTTTCAGTACAACAATTATGTATTCTTATCTTATATTACTTGAATGAATATTATGTAACAAACCTAATGAACTAAACTCTTGTAGTGAAAAGAACCCGAGTTTTATATGCGAATTAAAACATAGGTTATCGATAATTATTCAATAAAGTGAAATAGATATCTTTAGAAAACTTTTCATATTTACGCCGAAAAAAATTACATTCTAGCCAAAAAACCGTAAATTCGTATATCTTTCTCTCTTTTGGTATTCAGGACGGTACTGCTTTTGAAGAATCATTCTTTTCTTCACCATTTGAATTGTCTTCAGCTTCCTTCTTCACTGATTTCTTTGAAGATTCAATATCCAAGTCGGCATCTAGACCAGCGGCAGCTGTAAGTGTGTCCATCGCTGATGGTGCTTTTGAAGAATTCCTTGTGGTCCTTCGGCTTGTTCCCTGTGGTTTAGCGCCGCTATTAGAACGCAGTGATCTCTTAGGAGCTTCTGCCTTTGGTTTTTTTTCTTCTTCTTCTTCTTCTTCCTCCTCTTCTCCGACTGTTGCATCAGGTGAGGCTTCTTCTTCTCCTTCTGTATTGTCATCATCTTGTGCCTGTTTCTTCCCACGATTTTTCTTTTTAGATGCGACTGAATCATCCAAAGTGGTTTGTCGTCCAGAACTCTTAGTGCCACTATTTTTACGAGTATATTTCCGCTTCGTAGCTTGATCTGACTTTGTTGTGAAGAGATCAGGGTGCTCCCGAACAACACTTAATAAATACTCTCCTCGGCGTACTAAATGTACAGCGCTCGGAACATTTCTCAAGTCTTTTTCATTTTTAGCTTCTTCTAAAAATATTTTGTTCTGCAGTCCTAAATCAGGATCCATCTTGATTGCTTGCCAAGATCCAAATCCATGACGGTCAATACCAGCAAGCAACATAGAATCTTCCTTTATACCCCATGTACAGTTCCAGCTATGGACGCTCCGGATAGGATAACCAATGCGTTGCTTCAAGGGGTCTAAACCTTTATATGCTCGATGCAAATAAGTCAAATCTTTCACTCTCTGAGTGATTGTTTCAGCATTAATATGCTTTACCCCTCGATACTCAATCAAAATTGCTTTACGAGGCTGCTTACTTTTAATGTCCTCCGCTTCGACTTGTTCAACAGCCTTCTCACAAGACTTCACGATGTCAGAGGATACTTGCAGAATTCGTTTGGGATCAGTAGCCTCTAATTCCGCCTCTCTCACAATGTCAGTGAATCTTTCTTCGACAAGACCAAACTTTATCATAGCACGATAGAGTTGACGGACCTCCTTCTCACGAATTGCCTCTTCTCGACGTTGTTGACGTTTCGTGATGGACTTGGTAGTTCGTTTCGACGCCCGAGAAGTTTGCTCTTCTTCGGCCTCTCGCATCTCTTCTTCTTTACGTTCGCGCTCCTCTTCTTCGGCTCTTCGAGCTGCTAACACTCGTTCTTCTTCTTCAATTCTCTCCAAGTCTTCTTCAGGTATAATGTCATCCCACTTGAAATCATCGGCTTTATAGTCGGTAACTTCAAATTGCTTTAAAAACTCTTCACCTCCCATACTAGCTCCGCCAACATCGTTGGACGAATCATGATCCTCGGCATGGCTTAGGATATCATCCAGATTCATATTTTCTAGCTTTTTTTGGTTTTCATTCGCTTTAAACATGTTTGATGCACCAAACTTCAAAATAGCGCTAAGTTCTTCAGCAGTATATTTATCGCTTTTAGAGGTTTTCGGTTTCTCTGTGACACCTAAAGAAATAATTGCATATTCCAAAATCATTTTCCTTCTAGCACGCTCCAAAATATCTTCTTCAACTGTGTCTCTAGACAAAAAGCGATATACATTCACATGATTTTTCTGTCCGATTCTATGAGCACGTGCCATGGCTTGAAGATCTGCTTGAGGGTTCCAATCGGAATCAAAAATGATTACAGTATCTGCAGTATTTAAATTAATACCTAGACCACCAGCTCTAGTACTCAACAGAAAAACAAAATCAGGACTATCAGGCGCGTTAAAGTGATCAATTGATACTCTTCGTACAGAAGCAGGGATGGTTCCATCAAGACGCTGGTAATTATAACCCCGAAGAGACATGTATTCGCCTAAGATGTTCAACATTTTAACCATTTGACTAAATATAAGAACACGATGGCCATCTCGCTTAAGTCTTTGTAATAATTTATCCAACAAAACCATTTTTCCACTATTCATAATAACACCGCGAAGGGTATCTTCTCTTGTCATTTTTCGGCCACTCAACCATTTCTCTTCCGTTCCTGGAAATAAATAAGGATGATTGGAAGTTTTTTTTAATTCAACCACGATATTTAATAGAGATAACTGGTTCTTTCCATCAGTACTACCGACAAGAGCACGATAGTTTTTGGTTAAAATATTTCTGTACCACTGAGTTTGCATGTCTGATAATTCGACCCGCAAAATACGTTCCGATTTTGAAGGCAGCGACTTTTCAACATCTTTTTTTAATCGTCGTAAGATAAACGGTTGCAGTCTTTGTTGAAGATCACGAATATCACGTTCCTGTTCTTCGTTCGGCTGATCAAAGTTAAGTTCTTCTTTGATATAAAATTTACCAGGCATTAGGAAATTAACCAAGGACGCCAGCTCCTTTAAATTATTTTGCAACGGGGTACCAGTAATTAAGAGTCTATTGGAAGTTTTAAATTGGGAAAGAGTCTCATAAAGTGAAGATCCGCTATTTTTTAGACGATGTGCCTCATCGATTGCAAGATATTGCCATCGAAAATTGTTGAGCTCATTTTTATCTTTTAAGATGTACTCATAAGTTGTCAGAAGGACGTTAAATTTAAGCTTCCGATTATTGGAAGACATAAAAAATTCGTACTCTCGAATATTTGACCGAGATTCTGTATTTCCAGTGTAGCAAATACAGTTCAAATCTGGAGCCCAATTTGTCAAAGTTTCTTGCCAAGCCGGTATTGTAGAGAGCGGAACAACGATCAAAAAAGGTCCATGTTGTCTTAAGGAATGAACTAAATAGGAAATGAAACAAACCGCTTGGACAGTTTTACCCAGACCCATTTCATCAGCCAAAATACCGTTTTCATTTCTATGCCATAAATAAGCCATCCAATTAATACCTGTCAATTGGAAATCTCTAATTTCTCCTCCTTTAATGTAAGAGGGTTGTTTCTCTAATTTGCGGTAAGGAGGCCTTGAGTTATAAAACACACCTTTATTTGGTAAGTATGGACTGTTTTCCCTTTGAAGAAATTGAAATACTTCATTAGGAGCCATACTGTAAATTAGATTTCCGTCTTCCCAAGTGCAATTATCGTAAGGCAATTGTCTCCATTTGACAAAGTACTCTGTTTTACCCTCTTCATTGGGTTCGGAGGCTACGATCCGTTCTACGATCTTGTATTCCTCGTACACCATATTCTTTCGCTCGCGGTCAATGTCAAGAGCCTCCAAATCCTCGTACGTGGTTGATGGATCCTCCCGAATTTCTCGGTCGTAAATAATGTTTTGTTTTATATAATTATCAACTTTCTTATAGCCACGGACAAAAGTAGCAGATTCATAATCTTCCCATGTATTATGCAGGTGAGATAACTCTTGCCATTTTATAAGATACTGATAACTTTTCTTGGGATCATCATCTTCAGCATCTTCTCGCTTACGATGATTCAAAACAAAATCAATGGCAGGCTCGTATTCTTCTTCAGCTTCTTCTTCCATTTCTTCATCTTCTTCGTTACTCAAATCACCGTAGAGGTTCTGCTCATTATAGTTTACTCCGCCCTTTGAGGATCGAGCAGACGTCCGAACTTCAGTAGGGACGTAACTCGTCTTATGTTGTCGGTCATAAGCATCAGCTTCATCTTCACTTTCTTCAGGTGACTTCCTTCGGACAGGTGCAGCCCTGCTTCTCCTCTTCTTAGAACTGGGAATCTCTTGCTCGTCAAAATCAAAGAAAGACTGTTCTGGATAAACAGAGCGTTTTACACGTCCCGAACGTCTAGTACCATCTATCTTAAGTTCATCAAAGCCGGTAGAGTCTTCGACGTGAGGTGTTGACAAGGCTGAAGATACTACGGTGCTGTTGGCTGTACTGGTGACATTTTCTGAATCAGGATAAGAGGCTAAAGAAGTCTGAGAGGGATATGAAGATGAATTGCCTAAATAATTGGGGCCTTCATTAGAAAGGACAGGCAATTCTATGGAAGGTTGCATATGAGGTTGCACTACATCCGCGGCTTGCGCCTTTATTAAATCATTGGACTCTTCAGTACCATTGACCTGGTTAAAGCTCATGATTTCCCTTGCAACTAGCGTCTGGCAAGTCTGATATAGGGATGTCTAGAAGACTAACTACTCCTCTTGTAAATTTCAATTTCAATGTCTTATTAGATCTCAGACGGCTTTCGTTTTTTCTTCTTACTAAGATACACCAAGAAAACCAGAGGAAACCTCGGTGTAAGCTAGTTTCAGCAGTGGTATGTTGTTTGCTTGTATTTGTTGCGCTGTTGGCAGAATCCCACAAGTATGAGAAAAACGCCTTACCAGCAATTCAGGTCATTTTCGCATGTTTAGGGGTTGAAATTGCTTCAAAATAAATTTAGAGATGAAACATGGCTATTTATGACTTTTACGTTTGGATTTTCCTTTGGCCTTTGTCTACCTTTACAAACTCGTGAATTGACTAAGTAATTAACTTTATGAAGTATTTTTTCTTTTTCTTTTCTTTTTTTTTAGTATTTTAGGATTGTAGGTTTATTCTTCCTTGAATAATGGTTGTTTTACATTGTACATTTCCTAGTACTATGCATAAGAACGACTTGTTTTGTCATGTATTTATAGATTTCTAATTTAATATTGAAACACACATTTACGATTTTTCTCATTGATATGTCTGAATCTTTTAGTGAACCCAAAGTAAACATGATCTCTCAAATGAACACTATGTTGTATCAATTTAATTAGTAATCATAGCGAGATTCACAGGATAATCATAATCGTCAAGTAACTAAATATGCATACGAAATTTTATTTTCGTTTCTGGTACCTGAAAAATTCAATGTAAACAAATACGCGAAACAAGTTTATAGCTGCCAAAAGATGGTGAGAACTATCATAGCAAAAGTCCTAATGAAATCGACATTAATCGATCTTACCATTCAACCGATATGTTGATTTTACTTTTCATCCCAAATCCCAGTCGACGTATGAGCAACATTGGCAAAAATCTCTAGTCTTGCTGATATTGATCGTAGCAGATGAAGTAAAATCAACTCTTAGCTCTGGATTGATTTATCTGGCTGATTCCAGACAGTAGACGACAAAAAGACTCGAATCTCAAAGGTTTTCAAAGGATTATTCCAATCTAGAGTTGTTGCTTCTAGTTCATACTGATAAAAAAATAAAAGTATTATTTGGTTTAAATAATTCCTCTTCTTTTTGTAGGATCGCCATATCTTCAATAATAAATCCATAAATTTTCTAGTTTCTCATCGTAAATTATCGTCGAAAGACTGTTGCGTTCTGTTTTGTTTATACATTATATGTTTACAGGCCGTTTCTGACGATCTCTTTTCCTTCTGAGAGACTTCTCAGTTAGAGGGTCTTGAATTTGTCGAAAACACATAACCATCACATACCCCATACTACTCACAACATCGGGAGATTCCCCTAAATGTCGATTCTTGGAAGTAATTCATAAAATTACAATAAAACGAATAATATCGTTTTTTTCTTGGTAAATAATATGAAGCAAGATGAGCAGCTCCCCATCGATGATGAGTCAAATAAAAGAAGTTTGCGATCCACTATGGATTTGAAAAGCCATGAACAGGTTTCTAATGGTCCCATTAAAATTCAAGTTTCTTCAAATAATGTTGACGATAATATTGATTTTAATCCAGCAATTGCCGCATTGAGAAAAGCAAAACGAATAGTCATCGTCACCGGTATGTTATTTTTCGTCTGCTTGATTTAGCATTTATAATGCAAATCATATATATTTTTTCAGACTTATTCTAATATTTGATACAGGCGCTGGTATTTCATGTGGAGCAGGAATTCCCGATTTTCGGTCCTCTGATGGACTCTTTTCTTCACTCCGGTCAGAATATAAGTTAAATTGTTCTGGAAAAGAATTGTTTGATGGCGCGGTATATCGTGATTTGAAAAGTGTAAATATCTTCCATGAAATGATCAAAAAGCTTCATGAACTTTCAGATAATGCTGTCCCCACAGACTTTCATTATTTTTTGTCAAAACTAGCCAAAGATTCCAAACTTCTTCGTTTATATACTCAGAATATAGATTTTCTCGAAACACGGCTTGAAGGTTTGCAGACATGCACTCCTTTGCCTCAATCAGCACCTTGGCCTACGTCTATACCACTCCATGGGACATTAGAAGTCGCACGGTGTACGAGATGCCCCTTCGTTCGACCCTTCCATCCTGATTTATTTGAGAAAGATGGTCTTACAGCTTGTCCTGAATGCAGAACTCAAAATGAAGTCCGTCGTATAGCTGGAAAACGACTGATTATGGAAGGATGTTTACGTCCACGAATTGTTCTCTACAACGAAGGGCATCCAGATTCAGAAGCGATTGGAGCTGTTTGTTCGCAAGACTTGAAATCAAGGCCCGATTGTTTAATTGTTGCGGGCACCTCCTGCAAAATTCCCGGTGTTAAAAGAATTATAAAGGAAATGAGCAATAGCGTACACCGTCAAAAAGGTTCAGTAATTTGGCTAAATCATGATGCTCCTACAAAGGAATTTGCCAACTTGTGCGATATAATTATTGAGGGAGACTGTCAGACTGCTATTCGTATAATGAAACCCTCTTTGGAAGCTTCAAGGTGGAAACCAAAGGTTCACTCGACTACAACTTCAGTTGCCAAAAAACGGACTTCAGGACAAGCAAAACTTACTGCTACCACGAAGATCACGAAAACCGAATCTCCTGCAAAAAAGGTAAAAAAAGAAAGATCTCCATTGGAATCAATAAACAAAGTGATGAAGCCTGTCGAAATGCTGGAAAGGGGCGTGAAACCTGAGGTGGAATACTCTGACTTTTCTAAGCGCTCTTAAACCGTATATCCTAGCGGCTCGATCTACATTGTATTCTATTAGCACTGTATCTCATAATCCTTTTTTTTCTGACTTTTATCCACCCCTTTTCCTATTCTTATACCTTTTGTTTTAGTTGTTGGTTGGCCTGAACAATGCTTCTAGTAAGGTTTCGGACCCTTTTCGAAATCCAAACAGGCTAATCAACTCATGGAAGCGATATTTAATATTTTTTGTAAGTAATGAAATAGACTCCGCGCTCTTTTGGGGTACTTTTTTTGGTTTAAATAATATATTATACTCCGTCTTGGCGAATCCAAACTCGTCAAAGCAGATATTCTGCTGTAACGAAATTTTGTATAATCTATTTTGAACGTGTAACTCAGAAGTAGAGGTTAGATCGACTCTCGCTATACCATCAAATTCGTTCATGAAATGCATCCAATCGTTTGCACGAACTGCATGATAGTATCCAAACATTGACACTGCTCTTAGTGCTGCCACTATGTCTCTTGCATTTATGCTCTTCTCTATTACGTTCTGGAGCTCGTTTCTTGCAAACGATGCTACTCTAATAAAGAACTCAAGGACAGCATAATCGGTAGTACGAACTTCGATGTTCATGTGGAAATCGAGAGATGGAAAAAATTCAGAAACTCCCTCAAATTCGTGAAAGCACTGAGTGTCGCTTACGTCTACAGAGTGATGAGCAAGAATCCGCAGCCCTGAAAAAGGTACGCGGACTGGACGGTTGATATTAGGTAAAGCAGAAGGAATATAAATAGAGTTATCATTCTCCTTACTAGACTGTTTATCATCAGCCTGCGGGACTTCAAAAAATAACCCAAGAAGCTCCTTGAGCATCTCGTGCTCTTGTTTTTCTACATTTGGGTTCGAAGCATGCTTATGAACTCGTTCGACATCTTGTTCCAACAAAGAAATCTGGTTATATAATTGATTCCTTCTTTCTAGAAGCTCCTTCTTCTCCCAGGCAGGGGGTTCTGATGAGTTTTTCTCATCGTTCGGTGTATCTTCAACGTTCCCAGACTTCCTGTTTGTGGTTTCAACAGTGCGTTTAGGATTTTCAACAGTTTTATTAATTGAAGTATCTTCTTCGCTGCTACTGTTGTCCTCTTGAGAAATTTGGCTGAATCGACGACTTGTCATACTGGCCTCTTAGTAGCATGTGACGAAAATTATTAAATGTAAAATGTATTAATGCAACAAAGGATATCCATGAAATTTATCTTTATTAGTACAAGAAAGACTAGTACCTACCGTATTCAATCTTTTTAGGTACATTAGTTCAACCTACCGAGCATACAGCAGTCTGTAACACATCAATAAAAATCACCAATTCTTGTTTAAATAGTTTAAATCTGGTTATACATCACTTCTGAAGTGTTCAAATATCGAAAGTAATAAAAGTTTATTATTTTCTTTAATTTCAAATGGAGAAATTCACCCGTTGGCGAGGTAAGCATTGAATGACTGATTCATCAATTTAAATATAATATTTGTTTGTACATTGAGGATCATGAGTCTCTTTTGCTATAAAATTTTGTTGGAACCGTGAATTTGCATATCTTCATATTCCTAAACTAGCTAACTCAATTTCTTTAGATGCTGGCACAGGCATTGCACCTTTCCATCCGATTTATGCAGAAAAACCTTCGATTACTAGTTTCAAATGGCTGATAATATTACCAGTAGCTTTAGTCCGTATCCCTCTATGTGTCATTACCAGCATATTTTATTTTGTTATATGGTCCGGAATTCTAAAACGCCTACTCAGTTTCCAACAAGCTATTTCTGGATTCTTTGAACGCTCGCTTTCAAGAATTGTACTATTCTCCTTGGGCTGTTTCCGACTTTCCTACACACTAGTTGGGTATGTCGCCAAATTTCAATGAATAAAAGCTAATTTACTAGAACATTTGTCCAAGGGGATAGTCTACAGGCTGGGGATATTGTTGCTGTCAATAGTACGAGCCCTGTAGATGTCCTAACCGTTTCGTCTTTGTTTGATTGTATATTCGTTCAAGCGAATAGTAAGTCGTCAAATGTTCTTCCAGTTTCTTCCATCACTGCTTTCTTTTCGCATTTTTCTAGAGTAAACTTAATGCTTCCTCCTCCTGCGAGGGATCTTCGACCACTGTCTGAAATTTGCAAAGATGCTACCAAAAATGGCAAGGTTGTAATTGTATTCCCAGAGGTACGATACTTCTTTTTAATTCACATATTTATGATGAAATGATAATAACTATTTTATTTATTTAGGGTTCCACTACCAATGGCAGAGGATTATGTCAACTAACCAAATGCCTCGAATCCGCTGGAAGCACTGATCGAATTTTCTGTTTATATCTTCGCTATCTACCAGCGGCGATTACTCTTTCAGTCCCATCCGTGTTGACATTTATCAGTTCCATTTTACTTACCACTTCTTTTGAAGTTCGTGCTCGAATGTCAGCGGAGCCTGAAATTCCTAGAAATTGTAACAACGTAAACGACAATGTTTTAGACAAGCTCTGTAGACTTGGTCGTACACGAGCTACAAATCTTAATTTGACTGAAAAACAAATTTATTTAGAGGCCACCTCTAAGAAATATGATTAACGAATACTATTTCTCTTTTCTCTTCTACATGTCACGCCACCAGTATATTATTACTACGGAACTGGCTTACTTTATTCTACCGTCTTATTCCTTCTATATGGACTAATATTCATGTGTGATAGTATGTAATAAATAAAATAAGTGCGTTCATCATTAAAATCGTTAGTAGTGGTAAGCATATGATCTTTCTTCTTACAACCAATAATAAGGCATTACCAAACTTCTTTGACAAACTTGTAATTTATGGGACTTTGCCAATACTTTAATTGACGAACTGCTTCTTCTTTTGTACAGCCGCTATATTTCATGGTAACGTCGATGATAGCCTTTTCAATTTCAACGGCAAAGGCTTTTCCGGAACCACAAAGATATATACGACCATTTTTATGATTAATGACATCCCAGATAACTTTTCCATGTCTGCGAACTGCATCTTGAACATATTCACGTCTTCCATTTCTCGACTCAACTACTAATTTCTTCGCACGACACTTCGGATTGGTGTGATGACCAGGTATAGTATTCCATTCGCCGTGGTAGAGTTCATCCAGTGTTTGATCGCGACACCCCTGGATAATCCAAACCTTTCCTGTACAAGCTGCGTTTGCAAGACGTCTTTGAACGAAGCCACGGAACGGAGCAATGCCTACACCCGCACCTATCAGGCACATTGGTCCGTCATTGTGGAATTCCTTCGCAAATGGATTTTGCTGGACACCACGAAACATCGGTAATGTGAACTTTTTAGTATTCAAAGTGCCATTTTGCTCAGACTTTATAAATTCCAAAGCCATATTTTCTAGAAATCCAGAACAGACGCCAGTACGCATCTGTCCATCCGGACCTGCAAATTCTTGTACCGTGAACGCCATTTCCAAGACTCCTTTACCAAGGTCAGGATCATTGGATATAGAGTACCATCTAGGCATTAATTGAGGAAGTAAGGAAATAACTTCATCTATGGATGGACGTGAATTTGGAAAGGCCTCTAAAACATCTGAAATGGAAACATTTTCAGAACAAATATTTTGAGAACAGTTCGAAAGTCCAAGGAGAATATGATGCTCAATCGGATTCTTAGAATGTTTTGCTAAAAGGCGATAAAAATCTTTGGACGGCGGCCTCGAAAGAAAATCTGAACACCATTTAAGAACGTGATATATGGAAATTTCTAATGAGCGAGGTTTTTCTTCTCCCCATATAGTGGGCCATCGTCCACCGGAAGTATGAAGGGTTTTGGGATCATACAATTCGTTTAAAGGGACATTTAGCAGATGGGCTAAACGAAATATTTCATTATCTGGGTTAGGAGGCATAACACCAAAGGATCCTCCAATCTTCCAATCACTGCCTTCTTTCAAAGGGTATTTTGAGATATCTAGTGTGACATTATATGTACGTTTTATAGCGCCAGGATTGGTTAAAGTGCGAACATTTAATATAGGAGCAGCAAAAACATGAAACGGGGGATGAGGCTGAACAAACGAAGGTGGGTGGGGTGTTGTTGGACTGTCGGAAAGAAGAGGATCAAGAGAAGCAAAATTAACGGTTGAAGGAGTAAAGGAAACCTTTTTTTTAGGGGCGGTATTTTGAGTAGAAAAACATTCATCATAATTTAATTCATCAAGCTTGATATGAAGATGCTGAAAGGCAGGATTCCTCAATAACGTCTGCAGTTGCTCGTTCACTGAGAAAAAAGAGGGTAGTAAATTGGACGCGGAAAGAGATGACCCTGAAAGGCATTTTCCTTGAGATAAATGATATGAAATGTGACCCAAAAATCGTTTTGCTGTAGAGTACCTTCGCCGATTAGAATATTGGCGACAGGCTCCTACGCTGGTCTTTAATGAATAGTTTTCATTTACCGGAACCAGCAATAGGCCTCGCATAAATTTCGAACATGTTATATTTCCACAATGATTTTTTAAGAGTGACTGACATACTCCAGAAGAAGTCTGAACATATCCTCGGAACATTTTTCCCAACCCAAAAGAAAATCAAATCCCAAAAAACAAACGTCGTCAGAAAATCGATAAATACTAGGTTAACACAAGAAAAGAAATATCTTGGATTTGAAATAACAGCGGCTTAGATAGTTTTCGCGATTAAAAAAGGAACATGCCTTTTTGGTAAAAAAGATATTATAGTCACTTTCGTCAAACCACAAATTACTATCAACTAATATAGTTGAAAACGACTTTTCTTTTTAGAAAATAGACTTAGAAAGACACAATGCTGTATCTTCTTCTAAAAATTTGCGGGTGTATTGTTTAAGGCAGAAACAGAATCTGATAAAGCATTATCTGATTCTTAATTCGTCAGTGTTGTGTGTTAAGTCTCTTTATATTGAACAGCGAAATGGACGATGGTTTCGTAAAGTGCACAGACGCGACAAGTACAACGTAATAAAATAAACGATACATTTATACAATTGTTAAGAGAAATCCTATTTGATGTTTACTTTTAATAACATGCTGCTAGAAGCGTAGTATATGAATTTAGCAGTGCGAGGCAGTGATTATTCTCGAGATGAACGAGATATTACAAAAGATCTCCAAGCGAACTTGCTCGTAAAAGGCTTAATTGTGTTATTTACAGCTTATACGTTTAAGCGGTATCTCCCTTTTTCAATAACTTGTTTCTGATGGAATTACAACTACAACATTCTTCAATATTCAATCGCTTTGCTTGGAAGTTATAGATGAAGTAACACATATTCACAATGAGAAGATGATACACCAAGGACCCCGTCTCAGTGAAATCATTTCATTTTAGAAAAGAAAAAGAATAAAAATCTCACTAGTAACTTCCTCGAACTATACTTTATTACAAAGGATGTCTCTGACAAATATATCATATTAACGACGGATTGTTACTTCTTATATATTCTTAGTTTGATATTACACTCGTAGATATTCAATACGTAAATTGCGTTATCCTTTTAGATTTTGTGTTTCTGTTTCATTTCATATTTTTCATATATTTCCTATTAATAGAGTAGGGAACATTGTAGTGTTCCTTGGTTGTGGTCATTTTTCAAGACTGGGTGGGAGGCTGTACTGATGTTAGATCACAAGACATTCCTATCTAGGATCGAACATCATGCATGGAAAAGCCCAAGAAACGTTGTGACTTTTGATTGATTAAATAGCAGTTTTAGTCCTCTTTATAAGTATGTCTCCGAATCTTGTGAACTTCTAGGAACAGTTTGTTTTGTCTAGGAACTGAGATTGTCCAGAACAACAAAGAGTTGTTTAGCTTAAAAAATCTCGATTTCTCAGAACTGTGTAATCAGATCGAATTTGAGAAAGTGGTTTTATTTTCTGAAAAAATTTATTATTAGTTTTCGGGAATTTTTATTTTAAATTATGGAACAGGGTGGAAGTGGATACCGTGTTGAAATTGCAAGCAATAGTCGTTCCAAGTGTAAAGGCTCCCTATGTGGTCGGTACGTTTCGAAAAACTTATAAGCCTTTCCTTCAATGAAATGGGTCTTCTTTGGTCGTCATTTACTCGGCATTGTGCGACCGTTAATATTTAGCTGTTTTATCAATGAAAGAGTACATATAGAGACAAGAAGGATTTTGCTATTTGAGACTTTGAAGTTATAAATGCAATGTAAATACTAAACAATATATAGTGCAAAAATTCCTGCGGGTGTTATACGTTTCGGTACATTCGTTGACTCTGGTAGATTTCAAAGCTGGGCTTGGAAGCATTGGGGTTGTGTCACGCCGCGAATGTTAAAAAACATAAAGAATCGGCTTGGTGAAGATGATTTGAAAAATACCATGGATGGAATTACTGCTCTTCCAGATGAATGGATCGACAAAATAATCCGGGCTGTACAAGAAGGCCACGTAGCCGCAGAAGACGAGCGAGAAAGCAGAAAATTAGGAAATGAAGCAAAGGGTAACATATCTTCTAGCAAGAAGCCAAATGAAAAAAATCCAATGGTTCCTCCAAAGATTGCTCGCAAAACAAAACGCCATCATATCACAACGAAGTCAGTTTTGAGTGATTCTGACGACGAAGCCGAATACACAAACTCCTCTGAAGAGTATGATTCAGACTAATTTTAAACTCTTTTAACTTCCATTCCTAATTGTTATGGATATAACCTTCGCACCCGCATTAATTGCTTTTTTTGGGGAAACAGATCCTGTTTAATTCTTTAACTAATTGGTTTTATAAAATCTTATGTTCAATCTTTATATGAAAAAATGCAGGTTCCCTAGCTTTTCCACTGTCTAATTTAGCAATTCATTAAGACTATGAAATGTAGACAAGATCAAAAAAGAAATCAAGCTAATAAATAAACGGTATTACAATTTTTTTAAAAAAATATATAATTCCTGTCGCATAAAGACGTATGCAGTTCAATAGTATAACCTTCCAAAATTGGCAATGTAGACTGTTTCTACGGGGTAAGTTGCGACGTTACATCAAATTTTGAAGATTACTGAATGATGCATTAAATAAATTCTTAAAAATTTAGTTTCTAAACAAGTACACTCATAGGACATCTTGATCTTCGACTTTTCCTCGCTTTCACTTCTCACCACTTACTCGCTCTCAAAAGAGAGAAACTCTTTCACTAGTACTCATTAGTCGAATAACATTGTGCTTTGAGTAGACATGCCTGTAAATAATGAAATGACTTATGATGATGAATTGCTGAACTCTCTCGCAAATAATGTATGAAGCATCAATTGTGTGCAGTTGACTAACGGATTTATTTTAGACGGAATTATCTGCTACGGACTTTATTGAACAATACTCCAAACCACTTTACAGTCTTTCAGAAAACTCTTCTAATGAATGTATGTTAGTTGTTTTCGTTTTAAGTTTATTTACTCATAAATCAAGGGTCATGTTGACTCTTGTTTATGACTTGAATGAACTAAAATTCTTTTATAAAGAATTTATTTGATTAAGCTTTACCTCATGGATATATGCTTCCTTGTTACTGTCAGTCATATTAACAGTTTGAAATAGTACTCTCTTTAGAAAATTCGATATCGTTGTTTGAAAGAGGGAACTCTACACTGACGGATTTACGATCCAAGTTCAAAGAAAGAATAAAAAAGCATGACTCAGAGTCTAAGCATATTCAGCATGATTACCAAAAGAAGTCCAACCATCTACGTGACAAGTTTTCTCAGGTGTTAGACCTCTCTAGAAACTTAAACGATAATGTGGATGATATGAAAGGAGGTCTTGTAGATGTTGGAAAGGAACTAGAGCTTGCTGAGAATCACCGAAAGAGAATTCTGGCATCTGCCGATTTAATTCAGTACTATATGGAATTCCGTTCGGGAAATTCCCAATCTCTTTCGGATCTCTTTCGAACTAATAACCATGATAAAATGCTTTTATGCGCCCAAAGAACCCGTCAACTGTTGGGGTTTGCAAATGAAGTAGATTTGCCCGGAGCTTCAGAAACACTAAACCGCATTGAAAAGTTCTCCGAATTTTTAGAAACGAGCTTTCTAAAGTTTTTCAATAATGAGTATAGAAAGCCTAATTGGAAAGGAATGGCTTCGTTTGGAACAATTTTGCAAGAATTCAACGGAGGGGCATCTGTTATTCGCGAGTTTGTTAATCAACACGAATTTTTCATAGCTGCGGATAAGCTTGAATCGCGAAAGGGATTGGAAGAGGATGATGTTTGGAACGCTCTTCAGGACCCTTTCCAACCTGTTCCGGCCTCTATCAAAAGCCTTTCTTCTCTTTTTAATGAAATATGCTCAGTCGTTGACAGAGATTGTGTTGTCATTAAACGTGTTTTTCCAAAACCAGAACTTGTCTTACAAACGCTTTGTCAAAGAATATTTGGACAGTCCATCCAAAATCGTATAGAAGAAGTTATGGAAGTTGCGCACAGTAAGACTAACTTGGCATATTTAAGATCTTTGCAAACTATTGTCTCTTCTTTACAAGAGTTATTGGTTCAATTAAAAGAAATCTTGACCCGTCGTGGATTCAATGTTTCCGACAACTCCCCTTTGATCCTTGCTTTAAATCAATATTTTGAAGATTTACTAGTCCCTTATGTGGAACCAAATGATTACCTGAGCCGTGAAAGACATTCTTTAACTTCAATGTTCTGGTTAAATGTCTATAAATTTTTAGCTGTGAATCCATTTAAGCAACGAGCCAAACCCGGCCTATTAAGATCTCTTATGAATCCTATTCAACAACCAAAGGTCCAATCAGCAGATATACAAACCCACTTTAGTGCGAAAACAGAAGGTTATTTATTGAGGATTGCCGGTATTGATAGCAGTCTGATTGACTCGGGCGCGGTCATCTCGGAAAATACGTTTTCTATTTCTGAAAACGAAGGTCATTTAGATTCAAAAAACACATATTCTTTTATCGGTTGGCATGCTGAGGCTTTGAATCGAGCCTTTCTTGTGACGTCTCAGCAAGATCTAAGTAAAATACTGTTTTCCCTAGTGAAGTTACTGGATGAATTAGTAAATAATCGGTATATAAATGAGGGATTATCGTTGGTTCATAATTATATACAACAATATGACAAGCGCACTGACTTAGATTTGAGCTTTTTGATTGACATACGCGAATGCAAAAAGATAATGGGTTTTTATTCCGCGTATATTACTTCTATAATTATACCTTCTGTTGGTTTTACTGCGTCGTCAAGGAAAGAAACGATTAATACTTTGAGCTTAGCTATCACAAATCTCGAACATCGCGTCAATAGCTTGTTTTATACTTCCGTAAAGGCTTTATGTTCAAGACTAGATCTTCTCTTGTCTCCGTATAGAAATATTTCTTATGCTATGTCAGAGGAGCAGATTGATGTATCACCAAAGCAACGTCAATCAATGACTAAGATGGTACAAACGTATCTTGATCAATTACTATCTTCTATTCAAGAACTTGATCCAAATGATCCATCCCTTTTTGCTTTGAAGAAGAAAACTGCGCTCAATCTTGCAGCCGTATTAATAGAATTTGCATTTCGGTCTAAAGTCACTCCAACTGGTGCATTGCTTTTACAAGAGTAAGTGAAATAATGTAAATTTTGTTTCAAGATACTAACAAATTTAGTGACTTGAATTTTTTTTATTCAGTTTTACAGAGTTGGGGTATCGATATCGTCAACAATAAATTCAGAACATTACAGCAGCTGCTGAGTCTTTTAATGGTCAAGTAAGTTGTTATTATTTTGACGTTACTAACAATTTCAGAACTGATGTTTTACCAGCGGTAATGCAAGACAAGCGAAAAGCTGGTTTCACCGATATGAATATTCATGAGGTTCTGCGTCTGCGCTCCGATCTTCCAGAGAATCTGCGTTTACAAACTAATAAAGAGCAGGTTTTATTCTCCACAAAGACTACTTGAAATCTTTGGCGTACTTCATACATCGAAAGATGTTTTCATATGGGGTTCTTTAACCTTGTGATAATTCATGGATTCCCTTATAATCTTTTACTATTTATTTCTTACTTTGTAGGACGTAATGATATTTGAACATACTTCTTAAATTTATTCAATGTAGGGGTAGCATTATCCTATTCAATGAGTATACGCATTATTTGCCAATCTTCTTTTCATTTGCTTTATTTTATTCACCCATTTTTATTAGAATTTTTTAAAAATAAGTTATTAGATGCTTTCAAGAAAATTTTTTGGTAAAGAAGTCAGACTACCTGCTTGCCCAACTTTAATATCATCAAGCCATGATGATACCTGAGTACCGAAAGGTTTTGCAAGATAATAGGATTTAAACAGATTAATCAGGATAGCGTCACTATATCCTAGGTCTAAAGAATTACGGATCAATTCAGCTGAAACTGAGGACGCAGGAAGAGAAACCAAACGTAACTTGGGGTATTTCTTGGTGATATTATCAGCAGGGAAAGCCTCTTTCTCTTGTTCATTGTCATAAAAATGTAAGAGGCAGTTTTGACGAGTGCAGAAAGAGTCGAGATATTCGCTAAAACTGAATTCCTTTAACTGATTCTCGATGAAGGTTTTAATAGCGTCACGCTCCATCGAACCACGATATAGTGTTGGATATTTTTGATCAGGATGTTGCAATAAAAGAGTAGGAAACTCAGTGACTTCTTCGGGATCAATACCAAGGGTACCTAGTGATATTTTATCCGGCGAACTAATACTAAATGGAAGTTTGGAAAAGTAATTTGCCAAGGTTTTGTAGGTGATTGTAGCTTTTGACTTTTCCGTAATTAAGATCACCTTTGTAACGTTGGTTCGTGAATTCATATACTTTCTCATTTGAGGATCATTTCTGATTGGGGTGATGGTAACAGGGTAATTTTGAGAAACAAATTTATACATGTTTCCATAACTTCGATCTCCTTCATAATCCGCACTGAAGACTGTAGAAGGCTGGAGCGGAGAAGGGAAGAGAAACTTAATGGTAGGAAATCCCCGGACATTATACCGCGAACATACTTTCTTGTTGCTTTCGAGATCACAATTCACTGCAGCAAAAGGAACAAGATTATGTAACTTGTTTGCCAGTTTGGAGAAGATGGGGCCTAACTTTTTACAATAGCCACACCAAGGAGCATAGAAAACAACAAATGTAGGACCATGCTGATGAACATATTTGGAGAGTGTTTTAGTACCCAATTCTACGGTGTTTGGGCCAAAGATAGAGGAGGCAGCACAGGAAAGAGAAAAGAGAAAGAAGAAGAGGAAAAGCCAAATAAAGACTTTAATATGCATGTCGAATATATAGTTTGGGTAAAAGGGGAGCAAAAATTATATCTTAGAGCTAAAAAACATAAAAGACGAAAAATGCATAAAATGATAGAACGATGCAAAGGAAAATAGGAAGGAAAGCGTGAAATAACAGAGATATGTAAAAGTGCCAAGTCTTAGGTCTTGCACGAAATGATTCGTATCAGAGTTATAGAATAAAATAAAACGGAGGAAAAAAAAAATAAAATCCGAATGGAAATCCGGTTTGAAATAGAGGAAAACTCTGTGTAGTATAGACGAAGGGGTATGGAGGAGTAATTTAAGAGAATATGCTCTACGAGTACGAAACGTAACATCAATTAACAAATTAACCAAAATAGATCATTAAAATATAATAAAGTAAAAGAAGGCTTTTCTTTTGAAAATTATAAAAAAGTGGAAAGGATTTTTAGTGACTAAGCAGCCTAAGAGAACGTGAAATTCCGTATATTGGTATTGTCAAAAGAATGAGTGTGATTAGTTTGGAAACGGTACCGAAAGAGTTTTCTTCAATTCGAAACTTTATTCAAAGGTACAACGAGCTAAACAAGTATAATCCTGTCATTGCATATTGGTGTAAGTGGATATGGTTTTCATAGAAGGGAAAGGAATTCGTCTGCGGTTTCGTTTGAAGAAGAAGAGACGAGTTGATGGAAGACCTTTCTTACAGATACGATAAAGGAAAGTGGGTGGAAAGCTAAACGTATAGGTTTGTATTGGGCAGCACAAGTGGGTTTGTCGAATTCGACTGGATTAACCAACACTTGTCGTGACTTTTTATTAAATTTAGTAGAGCGTTTAGAAACGGTAAGTCGGGAAATATGAGTGTGGAAAAGCTTATGCGATGATTAGTTACGAAAAGAGTTGAGTGAGAACGAAAATGTTCAAGATGAAGAAAGCGCAAAGGCGTATGTGAATTCGTTTGCTATGGAGGTGCTTTTGAAGGCGGAGGAAAGGAGAAAAGAAGACATGCCGGATGTGCTGGGGTATTTGGCAACCAAAGACTTTTTTGAAATTCTGAAAATCTGGGGACCTCTAGACGAACAGGTAAGGATTGGTTTGAAAGAAAGAGGGTAAATGGAAAAGGGAAGGGGAAGCTAACAAGACAGAGTCAAAAATATATCAAGTTTTGTAAAGTTCGCGCTGTGGAAAGCTCGAAGATGAGACCGTCTGCGAGAGAAGAGTCAGTGAATGGGAACAGAGATGCATCAGCATCAGTATCGAGACAATTATCAGAACCAGAGGATATGACAGTTCCATCCCCGAATACTAGGGACATGATCGAAAGAAAATCATCGAGATCTTCTGAGGTTGATGCTGAGTCGCTAGGACTACCGGACACGATGACTGGTCGACCAACCTCGAAAGCTCCTTTGGAGCAAGTTTTAGAAGAAGAGTCTCGGAAGGACGCCCAAAAGGATGCAGAAGAGTCGTTTGATATTGATCGTTTGCAAGAATCGTTGTCGAAGTTGACTGCGACAGATGATGACCGACGAGAAGAGTTGGAAAGAAAAGAAATTCCTACAGAAAGCTTGCGTGTACCATCATCTAGTCATACGAAATCTCCAAGTGAGCATGTATCATTAACTGAGCAACGGTCAGACAGTTTTGATGATTCAACCACAGCTGTCTCGGAATCTCCTAGTTTCCCAGTCAGCCAAATGCAAACAAGACCTTCCATCGGTTCCTCCACCCTTCCAACAATGAGCTCTGAAGCTTCTACTGCTCGAAACGACTTGAGCGACGTTGAACACCTCGACCGTATAGAGGCAGCAAGGGGCCATGCACGATACGCCTATAGTGCATTGGACTACGACGACTCTGCAACAGCCATCTTTCACTTGAAAAGCGCCCTGGGCTTACTTGAACCTTAGTGATGCTTAAAGCACTATGGAATGCGAAATACTACCTAGCATTGCATTCCACTGCATTTTTACTGTACTACACAGCACGGCACTACATTGCATCGCAAGACAAGAAATGCAACGCAAATTACCGAAACTTAGTGTACTCCATGCAATTCATTTCAAGACGCAACAAACCAATACAGCATCACAACGCAACGTCTTAACCTCTCACCATACTCCAAAGCGTAGCAATGTTTTGCAGTGGCGACGCGGGTGAAGATGCGGGTGTGGGTGGGGAAATGACAACCACAAAAAGGTTTGTCGCCCATTTCTTTCCCCAATAAAGAATACATGAGTTCAAACTTTAATTACTTTTTCGGATACACCCGGCGGGGAATGGTGATGAGCGCATGATTCTTTCCTCCCTTACCGCGGTCTCCGCATAAAGTAAACAAAGCTTCTTTGACGAATGGATCGTTGCGGTATACCAACGAAATTTAAGGTGCACCAGTCCCGCGAATTATGTCAGACTTTTCACCTGTTTTACTCCGCAAACAAACCTAAAGCTTATTTTTCTTAGTCTCGCCCGCCTTCATTTCTTCTCTTCCCTCCATGACGTTATAGGAGCATACGATTCAACTTGTTTAAGATTTCAGATTCGACCTATCCGGTCTCATTTGTTGAACTTTACTTTTTTTTTGAAAGAGGGATTCTTGTGTCATCACATTGTCGAGCGCTATATTTGTTGCGGTTGTTTGCCGGTTTTTTCCTCATCATCCATCCTCTCTCAGTTCTCATTCTCTCGCTTTCGTTTGTATACCCCAAGTCGAGGTTTGGTATTTCTGGAATATTCACCCATACATTGCTGGAAAGCTATTCATTGTAGCTATCGTTGTATAGAATTGTTTGGGTTTTCTTGTTTTGTTTGGACTCTTTGTTTATTTCTTCTAGTTTAGAAGAATCTATCGCTCAAATACTATTTCTGTGTGTCTGTCATTTGCAGTACTACTAGGAGACTAAAATAGGAAGCAAAGACTTTGTTTTTCTTTTTTTTTTTTCTACTATACTATACTATATTGTACTGTATTAAAGGAAAAAAAATTACTTTTTGCTTTTCTTTTTCTTATTCTTTGAAAAGGTGTTGTTGTATACATATTTGATTGATTCAACCTACCTTTTCTTCTACTGTTGTTGTTATTGTTGTTGTTGTTGTTGTTTTGTTTGTGTTTAACACACTTCCTATAAGCTTGTGTATGTAAACAAAGGACCTTAAGAGGGTTGTATTTATTGGGAATCTCCTTCTATCGTTAGCATCTTTACTAACAATACTCCCACACCCTTGTGGGTATTTAGTTTTTGTTCCAAGAAAAATATTTCAATAACTTTTGTTCATTGAATTGCTTGGATTTGTTTCTTTCCTGGTTTGGTTGTTTTTACTTGTTGTCTGTTGTCGTTCTTCTAGATACTTTTACATTGCCAACCATGCTTTCCATGCACCGTCAATCCCTTGTCAAAGGGCTTCCCAAGTGTCTTCCCAACAGACTTGCCCGTTTGGCTCCCAAGCAAGATTCTCTTTGTCGTCCTGTCAGTTGGGGTAAGCGATTTTATTCTCCTTTAGAATCCGAAAAACCCAAGGAAATGGGCTGGGAAAAGGAAACTACGACCGATCGTATTTTTACATCCCCTCAAAAGTATGCTCAAGGACGTAATATCTTTAACCGTTCTTTTACCTACGTGAAAAATTGGGCTACGGATTCTGCTGTCGTCCTTGCCGATCCAAATATTTGGAACATCTGCGCTCCCACTATTGTCAACTCTTTGGAATCCAATGGCATGAAGGTAACCAAGCTCATCTTTGGAGGTGAATCTAGTTTGAAAGAAATCCATCGTTTGCAAGCTGAATGTCCTTCTGACTCGCAAATCGTTATTGGCGTCGGTGGTGGTAAAACCATCGACACTGCCAAATACTTGGCTAACGAAATGCGTGTTCCTTGCATTGTCGCTCCTACAACTGCCTCTTCTGATGCCGCCACTGCTTCTCTTTCCGTCATTTACACTTCTGAAGGTGAATTTCAAAAGTATAGCTTTTATCCGACCAATCCTAACTTTATCATGGTCGATACCGATGTAATTGTCAAAGCACCAGTACGTTTCCTCATCAGTGGTATTGGTGATGCCCTTTCCACTTATGTTGAAACTGAAAGCATTCTCCGTTCCCACTCTCTCTCTTTTGCAGGTGGTGTCCCCACTATCGCTGGCGCTGCCATCGCTCGTGCTTGCAAAGAAACCATTGAAAAGTTTGCTGTCGCTGGTATTCTTTCTAACTTACGCGGTGTTTGCACTGAAGCTTTCGAGCACACCGTCGAAGCCAACACTTTACTTTCTGGACTTGGTTTTGAGAACGGAAACTTGGCTGCTGCTCATGCAATCCATAATGGGCTTACCACCGCTCATGGAAACATTCACCGCTTGATGCATGGAGAAAAGGTTGCTTACGGAACTTTGACTCAATTAATTTTGGAAAATCGACCTCTTGAAGAATACTACAGTATGGTCTCTTTCATGTCCAAGTGCCATCTTCCAGTAACTTTGGAAGAACTTGGCATTCCTTTTGTTACTGACGAAGAGCTCTTAATGATCGGTCGTGCTACCCTCCGTCCCGATGAGAGCATTCACAACATGTCCAAAAAATTCACGCCTCAAGATATTGCAGATGCTATCAAGGCAGTTGACTCTTACTCTAAAAAATGGCGTGAGGAGACTAACTGGTCCGAGAGATTTGAATTACCCGCTTCTCGTCACCATCCTCATGTATCTGATATCCATCCTTAAGGCATAAATAATATATACACATCCTGGAGTGAGTCTTAAAAATACTGTGGGTTTTCCTAAGGAAAATGGTGTTTGCTTACCCTTACGTTTTCAGCTAATGATGTTTTTTTTATTAATTGTCAATCCCCTCTAATAATGAAAATAAAGATGACTAGCTTTCCATTCTTTCTTTTTTTTTCTGCCTTTTTTCCTTCATTTATTTATTTTCACAAAAAATTCAGAAATGAACCCCTAACCTTTTGAACTCTCCCACTCCCCGTAAATGTTTTGCTAATACTAACTTGTTGCGCTATTTAATTTGTAATGTTTCGGGAAGTTTTTACTTTTTGCATTACTACTGACGTTCATTTTTATATTCCGTTTCAAGTTTAATGAATAGCCACGACTGCTTTTTTTATATACTAAATACTAATGAATCTGCTCGTTTTTATATCACTTATCTTCAATAACGATGATACAAAACCTTGTTATTTATTTTGCTTTTGTTTTATGGGATGTTGCTTATACTCAAATCTATTCCGAATTGAGTCTCTACCACCTGAGTGTATCCGCTTTCTTGTAATTATCCATGCAAGACCTGGGAATAGACATCCTTTTTTCATAATGGGGTTTTAATACATAGACGACGACCTGCATATAGGAACTTGTCAAATAAAAATCTTTTATTTACTCATATACTTGTACTAAACAATAGTCAATTCGCAATTCGATTCAATTGTACTAGCAATCCATGATGGCCATGCATACAAAGTGACCCAAGTAAAAACTGCTAATTATAGTAGTACGTGAATGAAAAAGTCTCCGATCAAACATTGAAATTTCAGATTCCTTCCCACCTTGTTGTATGTACCCTTAACCTTTTATCATCATACGCAATATAATATTGAATTATTTTATTTGTATAATATATATAATCTATTGTTTTAAAAGATTGAGGTATCGTTCGTTGACAAGTAACAACTTGTTTGAAATAACGAGCGCTTACGAATTTGCGAGACTTGGGTGTAGGCAAACAGAGGTTGTCAACTGCATTTCACAAAATATTGGAATTGGGGGATTAAAATGGTAAAATTAAAGATTCGAACGGGTCCTCCTCCTCCGGCGCCGCCGGAAGAGCCGAAACCACAAATTCCAGCGAGTGGAGTTCCAACGGCAATTCCAAAAATCAAAATTAAAGCGCGAGAGCCCAAAGGCCCGCGATTAACAAAAATTCGTTTAAAACGTGTTCGCGAACCAGGTTTGGGTTATGATTCAGAAGCATCGGATCGAGAAGAAGACCCTTACATTGAAGAGCAAATCATTCTTCGAATGATGCCAGGCGAAGATTGTGAATATGTACGAAAGGCTATAGAAAATCGCGAAATAGGGAAAGGAGCTGATGTGTGGGTTAAGTTTAAAGGTAAGGGAATACTGCTTTTGTACGTGGAGGGATGATTATGCTAATTTGATTGTTTTTAGATCAACGACGTGCTGTTGTTCATGTCAACGGACACTTGTATGGAGCTAAATTAGTAGATTTGCCTTGCATTATAGAATCAAACAAGTCTTTCGACAAAAAAGTGATCTTCAAAGCAGCGGATGTCTGTCAGATGCTTTTAGTCACAGGTCGCATAGACCATGAAAATGATGTACTGAGTACCCATTTAAAACAATCCGACTATGTATATCCTCACGGTCTTACAACTCCAATGCATTGGGTTCGTCAAAAACGATTCCGTAAACGCGTTTCCAATCGTACAATAGAAGCTGTCGAAAATGAAGTAGATAGACTGCTGACAATGGACGAAAGAGCCGTTAGCACATCAAGTGAACTTGTTGACAGCTCTGTGTTAGCTAGAGATTCTAGTGTTGCATTATCAGAGGATATTTCATTTGACACAATGCAATCAGCCGGTGTCGGTGTAGGTGACCAAGACCAGCGGATATCTGGTGACATGTTTGATGGAATGGACGAAGATGATTTGGCTGGTCAAATCGAACAAGGAATGCTTGAGCTTAGCCAGGATACAAGAGAGTCGACCGCAGAGCCACAACTTGCTGGAGAGGAATCAGTTAGCGATGAGGAGGACGAAGACGAGGAAGAGGAAGAAGATAATGAAGGTTTGTGTCTTTACTTATATTTTTTCAACAATAACTTTTTACTAACGAATATTTAGCTGATGACGAAACACGCGAAAGCAAGCGACAAACAAGATTGGTGCGTGAATTCATTTCCGAATTGGAGACTTCTATTCAAAAACGTAAAAAAGATGCGGAAGAGGCCACGAATCCCATTTTACGGAATCGTTTTCTTGCCGATGTCAATCGCATGGTGACGGAGTTAGAATTGAAGCGCACCCAATTAGTTGAAAACGATGAGCAAAATGAATAATTTTGCTATGAAACTCTTGTTTTTACTCAAAAGTTTCTTTTCGTCTCTTCTCTCCTTTTAAAAGATGTGCGTATCGTGTATGTTAATGAACTTATTTTGATGATTAACACTATGTACTATATCCTATGGAAACATATAATAAGGAAAAAAAGAAAGAAGAAAATATTAGAGATATTATTAAAATAGCTCGAACAAATATGAAGATAGTTTAACTATTCTTTGAATGGTTGGAAACAAAACTTCGTTTAAGAATTCCTGTTAAAGCATTCCATATTGAAAATACAATTAAGTTTAAACATGTAATCGAATTTTCATACATATGTTTATATTAACATTTGTTGTCTTTTCGACTTACTACTCTCATCACCGTTCGTTTTCCTGAATCATAAACAAACTACTAAAATCCAGACCCTCACTGGAATTCTCTTTAAAGCATGATAAAATGGAGAAATAAATGGATTCAGGTTTGCTCTTTGAAATTTATCCATAATTATAGGAAATTTACCTGGTGTCATGTTTTAAACAAATCGCCAAAAGCAAAAGGTGTACAATTGCTTCAAGGCGCTTTGGGGCCTCCATTGGAATTGATTCAGCCAAAAGAAAAAAACGAATTACCTCCGTTATTGAAGGAAGTTAAGATTCAACAAAAAAAATTTGCCGATTGTGTTCTACTAACAAGAGTCGGTAATTTCTACGAATTGTACTTTGATCAAGCAGAGGATTTAGGACCCGTATTAAATTTAAGAGTTTCCAAAAAGAAAACTTCCCATTATGAAGTTTCCATGGCAGGATTTCCTTTCTTCAAACTTGATAGGTATCTCAAAGTTTTAGTTGAAGATTTGAAAAAATGCGTTGCATTAAGTGAAGAAGCTGTTCGCCCGGCTGATGACTTTTCTTCAAAAAATATGTACACGCGCTTTGTTACGCGCGTAATAACTCCTGGGACTCTCATTGATGAAAACTTTATGGACCCTTTTCAGAGTAATTACGTTATGTCTATTATCTCTCAGGATGTCGTGGATAATGTCAACGAAAGAGGAGCGATTCATGATCGCTTAGATGAACGAAATAACAATATTCATATTGGACTATCGTGGTTGGATTTGTCAACAGGTGAATTTTTCTCCCAAACCAGTGACAGTCAACGTTTAGCAGGTGATTTAGCACGTATCCAGCCGAAAGAAATTGTTTTGGATAGTCGACTGCAGGTCACGAATGCTCACTCTGTTCTGAACAGCATCGATCAAAATATTTATTTCGTATCTTACACTCACATGCAAGATTGGAGTTTTCAGCAATGGTCTTCTTATTTAGAAAAAGAAGTTGACTATTCGTATGCTGAAAATTGCTCTGATATTGAAAGAAAAGCTGGTTCTACTTTGTTGTCATATGTTTCTGATCGTTTGGTCAATTCGCATACGAATCTTCGCCCTCCAGTTCATGTTTCTTTGAGGAATTCCATGCTAATAGATGCTTCGGCTATGAAAGGTCTCGAAATAAGATCATCCCTGCAGGAGAATCGCCATACCGGCAGTCTACTACATGCAATAAAGAGATCTGTAACTAAATCCGGTACTCGTCTGTTAACTCAACGATTATGCTCTCCTTCTACTGACATTGCCGAGATTAATAGAAGACTTGATTTGGTAGAAGTTTGCATTCACCACGATCAACTTCGAACAGAAATCAGACATTTACTTAAACGATCGAATGACACACATCGAATACTTCAGCGGCTTTTGATGCGCCGAGGAAATGCTTATGATTTACTAGGACTTTCCAATAATTTCTCTATAATAAAATGTATAGAAAGTCTTCTTACTGAAGCAAATTCTAAAACACTAAAGCCCTTGTTAAATGCTTTTCATCGACATGAGGGTTTAGCTTCTCTCATTTCCGAAGCTTTAAATGAAGGAGCTTTGGTACAAAAACGAGATGAAGAAGAAAAAGAAGCCGAGGATATTGCTGCCGAGTCAACCAATTTGTCTGAATCTGAGTTAGTTATCGCTGGTGCCAAGAAACGGATACCTGTTTCTGAAAATGTTTTCAAACAAAACTTTTTTGATATTTGGATTATTAAACCTACGTTCAATGAAACACTTAAAAGGTTGCATAAGCGCATCGAACGCCTACTGCTTTCTTACGAAAATCTACAAAATATATTGAATAAGAAATTTGAAAGCAAAGCAACTTTACGAAAGAATCCTTCAAAGTTATATTATGTGCACATTAAGGCCTCCAATAACCTTATGTTAAAGGAGTTCATGTCCATTTTTCCAAAGGCTACGGTGTTCTCTACAACCAAAACTACAGCTAATGTTCAGTTACCTGAGTGGTCCTCTCTTGGTTTAGAGCTTGAAAGCACTAAATCGTTCATCCATCAAGAAGAAGCACGTGTCCTCCAAATAATTATTGATACGGTGTTAGCAGAACACGGAAAGTTACGGGATACTGCCAATTTGTTGGATGAGCTTGATATATCTACAGCTTTCGCTGATTTAGCTATTGAATGTGAATTTTCACGACCAGTTTTGAATAACTCTTTATCACATACAATAATCCAAGGTCGTCATCCTATCGTTGAAAAGGGTCTTAAGAACAAACTGCTTCAGTTTACACCTAATGATTGCTTAGTGGGAAATTCCGGTAAAAACATTTGGCTTTTGACGGGCCCTAATATGGCAGGAAAAAGCACTTTTTTGAGACAAAATGCAGTTATATCTATATTGGCACAAATGGGTAGTTTTGTACCGGCAAGCTACGCGGAAATAGGTATAGTAGATCAAATATTTAGCAGAATTGGGTCTGCAGATAATCTCTACCATCAACAGTCAACCTTCATGGTCGAGATGATGGAAACCGCATTCATTTTAAAGAATGCAACAAAGCGATCTTTTGTCATAATGGATGAAGTGGGACGTGGAACTACTGCCAGAGATGGTTTGGCAATAGCTTATGGGTGCTTGAAGTATTTATGTGATGTTAATAAGGCACGAACGTTGTTTGCTACGCATGCACATGAGCTGGCAGAGAAGTTCAGATCATACAAAAATTTCAAATGCTATTGTACTGATATCATTGTCGACGAGGTAAGGTTTTTATGTATAATTGATAGGATTGGAAGTTAACTCACTAGAAAACCAATACGTTCACCTTTGACTATAAGATACGAGAGGGTGTTAATATGAGATCTCACGGATTAAGAATAGCTGAAGTAGCAGGTAAGCTTTTTGATTCGGTATGAAAGTCTACGAACTAACAATTTACAGGTCTTCCAAGGGAAGTATTGGAGGCAGCTAATGAACTTCTTCAACAGACCGCAAGTTCGTAAATTCCATCGTTTCTTGGCCTTATGCTTGTAATTATATATATATATATATTTATACATTATCACTTTACGAATCTTAAAATGAAGGAATGCCTTCTATTTAGAATATTGTCTAGTATCAAAAAATCCAACGTTCATATCTCCTATGCGTTTTATCTACTACTAATCGTAACATTCAATGCTTATGTAAAATTCAAAAAACCTATTCGTCCATTTTTAACGCAGAAATCAAAAATTGCTAAGCAGGTAACCATGAAAGTGCATTAACAACTAGGAAGTAATCAAAAAGAAACTGTAAAAGACATAACTTTAAATAATAAAAGAAAAAGGAGAGATGGGAGACCAGGAGCTCTCCAACTGACGCCCCTGATATTTTCTAATGGTTCGAATGTAAGTTTATGCTCATGAAGTTACCAAAAACCAGTTTATTCTTTTTTGCTGTCTTTTGGTTTAGCAGGTGCAGAGGAACCACCACCAGCATCCTTGATCTTGTTTGCAACATCAGGATTTTCGGCTTCTTCTTCGATGAGTTCTTCTTGTTCTCTCAAAATTTCAAGACGTTGCTTATTCGAGATTTCTTCGCTGGGCATATCGACGACAGTTTCGTGGTAGAGTTCGTCAGGAATTGAAGCAAGTGTATCCTGTAAAGCATCCCAACGAGATTCATAAGTACCTTCGTGGTATCCATAAGAGAAAGCGTTGGAGAGCATCAAAATAACAGATGGAATTCCATGCTTGATACGCATTTCCAACCATACAGACATTTCGTCCTTGAGCTTAGCAGGAGAAAGTCCTTGAGAACGGATACCACGAGAGTTGCAAGCATTGAAGAGTTCGGGAACAGACAAGGAATTAATACCCTCAATATAGATGGCACGATCATCTCGGCGAATTTGACGCATTCTAGAGCGAATGTTGTAACGAAGCAATGGATCAGTACCAAAAGCATTCAAATTCATGTATCTGCAAAGAGCAATTAATTGGGCACGAGATAAGTTGTCAAGAGTAATGTCATCCTTGAAATATTGACAAACATTAATTAACTCTTCACGGGAAGGAGATTGACCGCTAGTACGAACTTTTAGGAAGAAATCACGGAATTCCTTAGATTTGCTGGTTTCGTCAGAGAAGGTGAATTTACCAGATTTAATAGTATCCCGAAGCACTCCGGAAACGTCGGAACGCACTTTACGGAGCTTTTCCTTCTTCGCTTGTTTATCTTTAGGGTCCTCAAAAGTACTGGGAAGAAGGTTGGGGAACAGTTTGACAGCTATAGGTAAAAGCAATTCAGCAAAGGGAACAATAACGAACATCGAGAACGGAACAAGGCGACCAATATCTTTGAGAGTTCGAGTCAATTGACGGCTTTCACGTCTGGTCATTTCGTAACCAACTGCCATTTTGTAGACAAGTTTTGAGGAGATTTTAATTTCAACACCAAGAAGCTTGGTTCCATCCCAAAAGTGTAAAACACCCCCCTTTAGCCGCTGCCACATGGAAGGTTTTTTTGCTGGAGTCACAGGCTTTTGTTCAGGTTTAGGAGGTTCTGCGGCACTCCGTTTCTGGGATTCTCCAGGTGCCTGAGTTGAGTACCTCATAGGGAACCCATACTTCATACCAAAATATGCACTCTTCAACATGGGGCTCGAAAGTGATGAGGTCCTTTTATTTACAGACCTAACCGGAACATGTCCATACGTTCTGATAGGTATCATATGTTGTAGAAAGGGTGTACATCTCGGCACGTTTCTCAATTGAGAACCTAAACATTGTTAAAATTCATCCATGCTTGCTAATTAAGAGTAATAGTTTTACCTCTAATCAAAGGTCTCATCAAAACCTGGTTTTTCAGCATTATGCCCTGTTTGATATGTGCTTTCGGATCGTTTTACGTCTTGATTATCTTTTAATTATGACTTAATTACGTAGCTTAACGAGTCAGTAACGCCATTTACAATACTATCTACGGTTTGATACGGTATAGTCATACAGTGAACAAAATTTTAGACCACACAATCCTTTTCTATAAGCAAACAACTCATCTTGGAAGGATTAGAGGTCAATCAAAGATGTCTCAATGAAACAAACCACCGCGACATCAAATTAAATATCTCTCTTATTATAATAAATCAAATTTATTCAACAAATCAATATTCTATTAGAAGAATAGCAGGATGTATTTACTGGGTTTAAGTGATCCCAAAAAATGGCCGGTCTCAAAATGATCGATTTGTCCAATAGACCCATGTCTTGTTGAACTCCCAACTAATTAGGAGTGAGTGTACTTTGAAAAATTCGTGGGAAATTTTTTCGCGTTGACTTCAGTTGGCTCTCCTCCATACACCAAGTTTAGGACAGGACATACACCTCAAGGCAACAGCTTACTCTCTATCAGGTAGTTAGTCAGTCATAGAAAAATGATTTCGCAACTCAGTATATGCAACACGAAATTTCTAAAATAATACTTACCCATTCATTCTTAAGCTTCCAATTCGATGCAGTAGCGCCACGATGGTCGTGACGTTTTAAGCGTATTCTGCTGCTGCATGTCAATTTTTATATACATCTACAATCATCTAATGTGTAGATTTTGTGAACGAATACAAGGCTTACAAATTTTACAAATATTACACGCTTTGCTTGCTATTTAAATCGACATTTTGACGGATAATTTTATTAGAAAAAGTAAAACATAATTTAATATTAATTCTTACAGACGTGTCATTAGTCACTGAACAAAAAAAAAAAAAAAAAAAGGGAAAACACAGACAGATTACCAAGAGTATTTTATGAGCAGAGCAGGCAAATGAATGATGTACATATTCAAAACAAACAAGTATGACGGTTGGTAATATCTCATCGAGTAATTAACAGGAAGAGGTACTAAAAGTAATGAAAAAAAAAAAGAGCGTTATCACTTAAAAGAATGTGGTAGGAGGAAAAATAATATGAAAGAGTGAATTAAAGATAGAAACAAAACTAGAAATTCGTGAACCAGCATATAACAAAGGTAAGAAAAATTGGTTGAATATGATATACGCAATTAACGAGCGGATTCCAACTTTGAAGCCCAGGATTCTAATACTTCGCGGATATATTTCAAACGCGACCGTAAATCCTCAGTAAACCAGCATGCTTCTTCCAATGTAAATACCATTTTCTCTTTTTCTTTGTCTAATACCATTATTCCCTGCACACCAGGTGAAACGACAACTTTGACATGGTCAACAAAATTAAACTAAACACTTGTTAGCAAGGATATTCTTCCTACTTTTCTAGCGAATGCTATTTTCTTACCTGGTAAGTTCCGTTACTTAGTCGAAACATAATTGCTTGACGAGTTCTGAGATAGTTGTGCATGAAAACCATAGAACCGGCATTTTTTATGTCAATATCGTCAAGTGTTTCATCCTGTACTGCCCGTGATAAATTTTGTACCATATAGCTCTTAAAATGTTTAAGAAGATATATTTTGTTTTTAAGAGCATCGGGGACTTTGCTCGTCGAAAACACTGTATGTTTTGCTTCTGAATTCTTCTGATGAGTTATGTATTCAATCACGTTCTCATCTGCAGAGAATACTAGTGAGGTTTGGTCGTTGAAATGTACGCCAACCGACTCATTTGATAGCTGATATCCTAGACCGTATTTGTTGGAATAATCAACCCATTTTGTGATGAAAAGGATATTTTTCGCTGTCATGGGTTCCTGACTTGAAGCCACGGGTCTTGACTCGAGTCCCATCCCAATCTTTAGAGCTGTCTTTTTGATGTTGATCCATACTATGTTGTCCGACAAGTTTGCAATAGAAACGGAACCTGAACGCGCCTCATAATCTGTAGTTCCAGAGCGTGAAAGTTTGGATTTCGGGACGGAACGAGACTCTTCTTTTAGTGCTTTTACTCTTGAAGGAAGTGTTTCTTCGGTTGTTTTACGAGCTGCTTCAAAAATTGAAGATAACTTTGTAGAACTTGGCTTCGTTTCTGGTCCAATCTTCATAACTGGATTTACCCGATCTCGAGGACTTAAAACACTAGGAAGAATATGTTCGTCATCTCCCTCATCTGTTTTTAATGCATAAGGTTTATTCTTTTCAATTCCGGCTGATTTGCCAAAACCGACGCCAGCTGCCGATGCTACATAATCCAAGTTCCTTTGAAAGCTCGACCGGGATTGCGTAGAGGGCCATACGGGCTGTGTAGATAAAATATCATCAGGCAACGAGGAGGCCATGTAGCCTGAGTGGAAAAAACCATGATTTGCTATATCATCTACGCTTGGACGAACAGAGGGATCCTGCGTCAACAAAGAAGCGATTAGATTCTTGGCTTCCGATGAAATAGGGATATTGGAAGGAAAACTATACGAATTTGCCTTGATTTTTTTATAAATAGTCTTTACCTCCTTGTCCTGAAAAGGAGGTTTTCCCACTAGGAGAGCATACATTACCACACCAGCACTCCAAAGGTCTACTTCAAATGAATGCCCTTCTTTAGAATTAAATAAAATTTCAGGTGCAATATAATTAGGAGTACCACATATTGTCATTTTTCGTTCCTCATCGTCCATAAGCAAGGCAGCTAATCCAAAATCACCAATTTTAACGTTATTGCTCTCGTCTAACATTATGTTTCCAAGCTTCAAATCCCGATGAATGACTCTTTTGTTGTGCATATATTTTAATGCTCCCAAAATCTGAAGCATAAGGAATCGTACTTCCGGTTCCGTGAGCAATTTTCTTTTTCGTAACAATTCCATCAATGACTTGTGCTCACAAAGCTCCAAAACTAAGTAGACATTGGTTTTATCTTCAAAACAGTCAATAAGCCCGACCACATTTGGGTGACTCATTGACTGATGCACTTTGATTTCTCCAAAAAGCTTCTGCCGAGTTTTATCATTCTGTAAGGATGCTTTAGCTATAACTTTTGCTGCATATATATTCCCGTTGTCGTCTCTCACTCGAAAGCATCTAGCAAATCCTCCCTCTCCTATACAATCATAGCGGGTATACAGGATTTTTTTTTTACTATTTGCAATGTTCGTAGGAGGAGTGTAGCAAAGACGAGAAGGCTTTGTCTTCTTTTTTGGAGTTATAGCAGTTTTTGGCTCTTTTACTGCGACACTAGCCATTTGAGATTTTGTCTCTTGACAAACTCCTAAGGGTACCGCGACAACGTAAACAAAGTGGTTACTACGGCAACACTAAATGTAAACAAACACTTCGGCAAACATGCAGCGGCAACTTTTACGAGTATAACAGTAAACATACAAGAATAGATAGGTTGCAACAAATTAATTTTAAAACGTTAATAATCTTAGTTAACAAAAAATAAACTCAGTAAATCAGATTTATGACGAAGTTTTCTAAATACATTAATACCCCTTCTATATAAATAGAGATTCAAACGAAACATTACTAGGTTGACCATCAAACAACTTGGCATGTAGATGGTCTAGTCGCGCCTTCCACCGAGAAGAACGAGAGGATTGCAAACCTAGCGAATCGGAATTATTCAGTAACATATAGTCACGGCTCAAATAAACGTCCTGAGTACAAGGGACATACAGTAGCTTAAATGAATTAATACACAGTCTAGCTTTTAAATCGGATTGGAAACAAACCGAGCTCATTAATCTTGTTTGCAATGACATTCGCGTTACTTCCGATGTTCCTTCAAACGGAATTGTTCTGCATAAGAAAGGACAACGATAATTTTTATATGATACATACTCAGTTCCTTTTTGAGCAGTGTAATCTTCTAGGTATTTCTTCCATCCTTGCCGTTGGCTTTCTAAAGTCTCGTCCAAAGTAACGTTAGCACGTCGCAGTAAATTAATAGTAAATTGCTTTTCCTTAAAATTCCATGCGAACCGAAATAGCATTTCATCAGAATTTAGATATCGCTCCAAATTCATGCGATATAAGAACTCATCATAAGAACGCTTTGGGGTAAAACGACTATTATATTCTTCAATGACGCTCAGTACATGTTTAAATTTTCCATCTGAGACAATGTGGTGCACTTGCTTAGCTATTGACCAGACTAATTTGTCAACTGTATATAGTTCGTAGGCTTTGTTGCCATAATAAAAACGCATGTAATCTTCAAACTGACTCTGATCTAGGACACCGTATATGAGTCGTAACGACATAACGAATGTTTTATTGTAATATGTATCTTCCTCCGGTAGCTCAGGTAATTCGCTTTCTCTACTCCTCCATAGATTATGCTCTTGAGCCACAGAATTTGGTTTTATTTGTCTTTGAACATCCCCCACACAGTTCTCCAAATTCTTTAATAGTAATAACCGGTCATATAGCATATTAAATAGACGGAAAAAGATGTAAATTGCAGAATACCCGTACTGTTCTACTATATTGTTCTCATCAGTTTTCACAAACGAGGGTTTGTCATCAACAGTTGTTTGATTGTTCCGAACGCCTTTCCCACAGTTAGTTTCGTTTAACAAGCAATTTTCGGGGTGAACAGGGTACTTCAAACTTGCTACGATGGCTGCAGCAGGACGAGACAATTGTTGTTTTGAAGTAGACGCTGAACTGGCGTTATCAGAAGGAGTATCGTCGGAATTTAGAGAATTATTAGTAACATCGCCCTTTTTTCTGGCTGCGGCCGCGGAACGACTTTGACGCTGTTCGCTTATTTTTTGATGTTTTGAAAGCTCAGTCAGTTGAGTAATTGAGTTTGATCGTTTCCTGCGTATAACTTTATTTCCGGATATGCCGTCAACTGAAGAATCATAATCGGGGCCATGAAAAACAGGATCTAAGAACTTTGCTAATTTTTCTTTATTAATTCCAAAAAATAAAGGAAGAGTATTTTTAAAAAAATTCTCCACCTTTTTGAGTCCGGAAGGGGAATTACATACCACATAGGTACACACTATGTAGCACACGTCGAAAAGAATGTCTTCATTATCGTATGTGGTTGAAAAATCAAACGAAGTCTCACTAAAAAATGGGAATTTAATAGATGTTTGGGCATGTATTGTCTCTGCTTCGGCAAGTAGAAGTTTTGGAGTGACTAGTTTTTTATCCTTGGCTTTAAAGTATATGCTTTGAGGATCCAAACTTTTATCATAATTTTTAAATTCCGTATTTCTCCAAATAGGTTGTAGAGATTCTTTCGCTGATTGCCATTCCTCTCTTTTTTCATTTAATCGTTTTAAAACTATCGGAAGCGTAGCCGAAGGCATAGTTTCTAGAGCACTAAGTATAACCTTGTAATGATCAATGGTATATACTAACTTAATTGTTTTTTCGTAAATACTTTTCGACCGCAAACCTAAACCAGGTGGTAGTTGATAACTTTTTTGTTCTTCTTCCGGCATGTCTTCCAAACGTGCAGCTAAGTTGTCTAAGGTTCTGATAGTCCAGTTGATAGCCTCTATATGTCGATCAAACTCATAACGCTCTTCTTCCAATTTTGTCATAGCATCCTCATAAGGAGTTTTTCTTTGAACTATGAAACCACTTTCTTCGGAAGCCCAAGTAGGATGACTGACCCACTCATCATTCAATATAGACCAAGATAACTCATCTCTACCGGTACATGGGCTCATACGTTCCTCCAACGGAAGTAGCCGATAACTTGGCCCATAATCAGAGTGATCAGACGTGGCAGTATAATAAATATTAGGGAATTCTTGAGGGTTAAACTGCAAGATCAGTTGGAAGCTTTTCCATAAATCAGGCATAGATCGTAAAAATGCAAAGCTTCTGGCCAACAATGTATCCCGAGAAATAATTTTTTGAACATATAGATTAATTAGCTTTAAGAACTCATGATATATATCGAGACTTGGTAGTTGTCGCTTTACTTGCTTGAAAAACTCTGCGGCATCAGCTTGCGACACGGACGGAAATTTTGTTGCTATAGTATCATGAACGGACGATGGTGGAGGATACAAATCAGATAGGTTACTAAGTCGAAAGTTGGAGCTTTGAATTGTCCGTATAGGATATGAGCCTAACGGGGGTGTTGAACTGTAAAATACTGAGTTTGGTAAAAAGTCTTGAAACTGTTGCTGTAACGCAGGAAATTGACTGAGTAATGAGGCTATTTTACTCCGAAGTTCATCAACATTTAATTCAGACCTCGAAAATTGCTGAAGTAGCGATTGAAATTGCTGAAAAGTTGAACCATGGTCTTTTAGTGCCCCTTTCACTTTTGCGACGTAGCTAATAGCTCGGTGATAGCAACTGGGAATGTCCGCATAGCTAGCGGCATATGAGTATGGTCGTGATACGGTACCAGTCGGAGTAGCAAATCGTAATCCCTTGGAACCTTCGTCAGAAGGTAAAAACTGGTAGGAAGAAGGAAGGAGGGTATTAAGTTCAAGTAGCAATTTTGGGAAGTCGTTCAAAAGAACATGTACTCGCTCAATAAACCCCGGGAAATCAATACTGCAAAAGAAACGTTAGCTGAAGATGTAAAGATCGATTTTCGTACATTTGCTTGTCCAAAGCTTTCACAATCTCCAGAAATGCGATATGAAGAGAAGGATAGTGAAATAGTTTATCACCAAAAATGCGAACTAAAGTAGCCGCTTCCTTTTGAGTATCTGCCATAGTATTCCGATAGGTTTCATTTACGGCTACAGTGCCACTTTGGTAGTTCTCCTCTATTGACGATCTGAAGTCTGCAAGAAAAATTTAGTGACATGCTCATAAAAGGAAAATAATATACCATTTTTAGAAACCGAAATTGCTTGTTCCATGTATCCGACTATTAAATCATCAATCTTTTGGGAAATTGATCCCGTCTAAGTTGGAGTTGAAAAATATGTAAAGGGTAGCTGAAGAAAGGTTAGAATAATCAAGACGTCGTCGGCTAAGTTTACAAGTAGCTTGGTGGTTAGAAGAAGTAAGGTCTAAGATAAAGCCAATTTCTGTAAAAGCAACAAATTTTTTTATTTAGTGTTGAATTCGAAGAGTAAAATAAAGTACACAAAATATCAACTCAAGAACAGTTGAAACAAGAGAAACAGAGCTACAAAAGAAATAATAGGTAAAAATAATAAAAACACTAAACGAATATTTTACTCGAAATGTTATATGTGTATATACAAAGCCGCATTCTAATAATATGAACAATTTTGACATTACTAAACAGCAAAAACTAATGAGTAAATTTTGTGCAAACCGATAAACATAAATGTATAGCCAGTAAATGTATCAATTAACTAGCTTGACGAAAGCGCAAAGGGTAACGGTCTAAATAAAACATATTTTATGTATTTCAGGCTTACCATATTATTAAGACATTAGATCGTAAATAGGAAGCGAAGGGAGGTAAACAATTCTCTGCATGCTCTTTCGTTCAAATTGACAAGGTGTTCGTAGGAAAGGGAACAAAAGTCTTAGACGGCAGTAGGACAAAGGGGAGGATGATTGGCAAACTCAGGTTGAATGGTACATTCGTGAATGCCAAACGATTGAAGGACGTTATTGATGTCCTTTGTCAATTTCATATAAGACTCGCCTCGGTCATCAGGAAGAGTAACGCAAACGTGAACAGTAGCAATTAACTTTACGTCAGATAATTGCCAAATGTGAAGTTCGTGAACGGATTCAACACCATTCAGCTGACTGATAAGGTGCGAAACATCTTCGATGCGAATGCTTTGAGGAGCGACCTGCAATAAAATCAAGGCGGCAGACTTGCAAAGGGGAATGGCGCTAAGGAGAATAATGAAGGTGAGCAAAACACTTACGCAAGGGTCAAAGAAGTAGCGCCAAGAGTAGTCTGTATATCCAATTACTAAGGCTGCACTGATCACACCAACATTACCAAGGGCATCTCCCAATACATGAAGAAAAACGCCATGCATATTGAGGTTACGCTTAGGCTTGTGTTCATCTTTTTGAAGAGAAGAATCTTGAATGGCTCCGTGGTTGCTAGGAGACTTTCGAGAAACATTGGAACCAGTGGGAGAACCAATATAGCTAAGCAAGGGAGAATTTTCGGTGGCAGCAATGTCAGCGGCAGGATGGTCATGGGGAAGTCCTTGGAAATGACAACGGTTGACAATGGTGGAAGGTAAGACTGACTCAATATCATCAACTTCTTCGGGGAATTCGTAGTTACGTGCATTAGATGTCTGATGGTGATCGTGGCCATGACCATGGGCATGGCTGTGGTCGTGGAATAGGAACATTCCAACAATATTACTTAAAAGGCCCATAGACCCGACGAAAAGCATTAATGTAGGATTCGTAACGGAAGGAGGTTCAATAAAGCGCTGGATAGCCTCCATAAAAATAAACATGCAAAGGGCAATTAAAAAAACACCATTGGCTAAAGCACCGAGAATTTCAGCTCTCTGCCAGCCATAGGTATATTTGGATTCATAATCAGTAGAATGAGCAAGTCTAGTGGCCCATAATGCTATTAACAAGCTGACAATGTCATTTAGCATATGGAAGGAGTCAGCGATCAGAGCTAGTGAGTCAATCGCATATCCTGTAATAATTTCAATAAAGAAGAAGGTGATGTCGATAGTCAAAAGCAGGATAATACGAGTTTGGCGTGAGAAATCCATGGGGAGGAAATTGAATGAACAAGCAAAAAAATAAGCAACAAAATACAAAAAAATATATATAGAAGTGAAAATTAGGAAAGGATGATGCGACCAGAAGGAAGCAACTCAAACTCTGGATTAGAAGGCAAGCAAATCCTCTTGGCAAGTAGTATTGACGACTTCGACTTGATATTCAATAAAAACAGATTCCCTAAACGAAGCAAGTATCGTGATTACAACTGTCTGAGCTTTAGCAAGTTAATTTATATCTCTATAGCTCATCTAAAGGGAGTGTTCTATTTCGAATCGTATGGTAATACCAACAACAATTAGTAACTTATAGCTTCTATCAATCAAGAAAAAATAGGCTTAGTGATCCGGTGATTTTGGTCGATAACCTTATATGATGCTTCTTTTCAGAATCTATAGTAAACGCAAGAAGATCTGTGTTGGTAGAGCGTTCAAGAAAGGCAAAAAAGAGTTCGTACAAATGTAATAAAACTGTGGACTCTTTAAACGGGAAAAAGAAAGAAATTAATGTCAAAGAACTTCCAAAAAGTGGTGTTGAAGGAGGAGAAATATGGTTGGGCGTTGATATCAGATCGTACCAAAAATCTATGACCAAATGGTTTTAGCATATGCTTTTACAATATAAGCATAATTGCATTTAAACATATATGCTAAGATAAGAATTACTATAATAAATAGAGAACATGGGAAATAGGGATACATTATATAAGCATGTTTATTATATAAAGGTAAATAAGAATATTTAACAATAGTAAGCAAGCATTTCATTTGAAGGGCCTTGTCTGTAGTCATATTTAGTAAATTATTCAAGAACGTTTATACCATTCGTGTCCTGTTCTATTTGTGATACAGATTTTACTGTCTATGCTACGAATGTCTATAGTATTTTGCTTTTTCTTTTCTATTTGATCAATTGATGCTTGTTTCCTAGTTTTTACAACTCTAACTAAAAAGACTTCCTGCTCGTTAGAGCAGGTTTTTAAGATCGAAGCATGGATGGACCTACTCAAATGACCAATGTCTTTGCTCTGCTATAGAAGCTATCAAAGCTAGAGAATGCTTCCAAGTTAGACAGAAGCCAGCATCTAACATGCAATAACGCCGAAACATAGGAGATGCCAGATTCACTGTCTTGAAAGCTTTCTTTGATTTATCCCGTCATTTCGTACTTCCCATCACTGTACCATTATTTCTAAGGAAAAGGATTGAACATCCACCAAAAACTTTAGGGTAGGGTTTGTATTGTTTTATCGGTATCAAAATTTACAAGAGTGTAAATCCGCAAACTACAATCTCATCGATTTTTTTTTACAAAAGCATTATATAAAGGGATCCTGACTCGAATAGATACTGTCTATTTAGAAATATTTCCCCTAAAACACAGGAAATTCTTTTTTGGCTTTATTCCATTCATTCGCTGTTCTTCAAAATTCCTTTAAGTTATCCTTTGCTGTTTTTGAATTTACATTTTTAATTTCTATCTATTTCTCAATATGGAGCCAGTTCGTCTTTATTATAGCTACAACGATGTTCATAAAATGTGTGCTGAGCAAGCTAATCACATCTTGCAGGTCTTTCGCCCAGATGTGATTATCGCCATCGGTGGTGGTGGTTTTATTCCTGCTCGTATTCTCCGTACCTTTTTGAAGAAGAAAGGCAGCAAAAACATTCCCATTCAAGCCATTGGTCTTAGCTTATACGAAGAACTAACCACCGACTCTCCTGAAGAAGTTCCCGGTGTCGAGGTGAAACGTACTCAATGGTTAGATTTCAGTACTTTGGGTATGGTCAGTTTGGTCGGAAAGAACATTTTGATTGTAGATGAAGTAGACGATACTCGTACTACTCTTCACTATGCCGTTCGTGAATTGCAAAATGATGTTGCCAAGCAAGCAAAAGAATTAAACCGTGAACACGAAAAGACTAGTTTTGGTATTTTCGTCGTGCACAACAAGGTTAAACCCAAGAATGCAGAACTCGACAAAGAACTCGTCGACAACTATTACTTTGCCGGCTGCAATACTCCCGACTATTGGATTATGTATCCTTGGGAAGCTATTGACATCGATGAACATGATGCCCTTGTCAACAAACAAAAAAGCAAATTATTAGATAAATCTGCTTAAAGTCCTCCCCCTTCTCATCGTTCTCTTATTGAATTCTTTGATCTGTCTGTGAGTAAATACTTCTTCTTTTTTTACTAGATGATGTTATTTCCAGATATTCTCGTCTAATACACCAATTGCTGTTTTACTCCTACGTTTTTTACTGATTATAGAAAGCTTTTTTGTTTCTTCTCTTTTTTTGGGTTTCCTATCTTTATATGAATATAATATGGATGCACCTTTTTAAAGGTTATTTTAGCATCTTGATTCAGATTCAGATTAGTCTTTTATTAATCAACTCGATCAGTTATAGCTTAGCATAGTATAGCATAATAATCGTGAGATATACCTCTACAATGTATAGAAAGTGTAACTATTAATAGTTTCATTTCATGTATGATAACAGTGTGGTTTTTTGGTTAAGGGTGCGCGTATTGCTCCTCTCCAGGTACAATTCCTATTCTTCGCTCTTTCGATAGATTCTTCTTCTCTTGCATAGTTGCAGACGTATCTTTTGGTCTGTGGGATAGATTATGAGAAGGCGAGCTAAAGTCATGGTTTTCTTTCAGTTTTTCATCATCATACTCAAACACATCTTCCGCAGTGATCTGAATTGCAGTTGGTTGTTTTCGCAGCATCTTATGCTCTTAAATTACTATGTCAGCTAGCAAATATTCAAGTTGCTGATGAGTTTTTGCAAGATATTTTGTCTTCGTTCACGCTCTGGGTAGTAGCTAATTTGGAATAAACAGCTTCGGGTTTCTCTTGATTTGAGACTCGTTTTCTTTCTTTTCAATTTTTTACTTTTAAATCAATTCTCCTTTTCTTGTCCACGCTTTTAAAAGTTTATAGAAACTTGGTGGTAAATAATGTTCTTGAGTAATGCAAGACGTTACGAAAAACAAATAAAGGCCGGCAAACAAGATTTTTCATATCAAAAGAATGAAGTCCATGGATTTGTCAAAAATAGTTTCAAACAACTTTCGATGAATAAAAGATTAACATAAGCAAAAAGAGGAATACGTTTATTTCTAGAGTTACTATCTTCAATACTGTTTGGGTTTATGTTTTATACTCCATATGCGTAACGTATATTTACATATTTTTATTGAAAACTTGCCGTTCTTATACAATTCTTGACGTTAAATTATACGTTCTACTTCAATTTGTCTGTATTAAATACATACTGAAGTCGCAATTTGTGTACAAAAGTAGAATGCAAATAACAAAAGTAAAATATCAAACAGCTTCTAGAAAGAATGTTTATTTAAATAAACGCCTATGATTGGAAACGAATATATCAATCCTTTTAACTGGGAACAATAGGAAAGGGAGGAGACGAGAACTGCCATCAGGTGGTAAATACAACTTTTCGAATCACCTAAAATCAAAAAGAATCTCAGTAATAGCTGCATATGCTGATATCAACTAAAATATAACCAACGACCATAGCTGAGAGTCTTGAGGTTATAATACAGACATTTTAAGCAATGAGCCGATACTTCCATTAGTCGGGGTGTAAACAAATATCCATTAAAAATGTAATTAGGGATATTATAGTCAAGTAAATAAGTTTATGACTGCTTCAAAACATTAAAGTAAGGGTGCGCCATGGCCTCTTTACAGGTTAACCGTTCCTGATGATCATAACGAAGAAGTCGTGAAAGGAAATCAATGGCATCATCGTTTGCCAGCTGTCTGTTTTCGCGATTTACAAAAGAATACCAATCACGTTTAGGGTACTGTCCAAGGACGTTGTCGTATTGTCTATCTAAAACAATTTGGTATTTTCGAATATAGGCAAAAAGATCATCAGTTCCTAGAACTTTAGCAATCTTCACCAACTGGTCATAATTGTCTCGACCACGGAAGAAGGTATCTTTCTTGAATATCAATGCAGCAAACATAACGCCAAAAGACCAAATGTCCAATGAGTAATCTATCAGGTCAGTACGTTGCAAAATACTTTTTTCCTCTTTTTTTAAACATACCATATTCACGGAAGTCAACTAAAAGTTCCGGTCCTTTGAAATATCGACTAGCAACACGAACATTATACTCCATACCAGCATGGTAAAATTCAGCCAAACCCCAATCAATTAAACGGAGTTTTTTTCTTTGGTGATCAATCATAACATTATGAGGCTTTACATCACGATGCATAATACCTCGAGAATGGCAAAAGTCCAATGCCTTCAACAATTCATACGAGTAATATCGAATATCATAGTCAGATAAAGTAGGGTAGAGAGTCCGGAAATCTATGTTGTCTACATATTCAAAAATTAAGGAAGGAGTTTTGCTCTAAAAAATTGGTTAGTATGCGTTTTTTTACACGAAACGTATGTGTAATGCGATAAAGCATAGCACGATGCAATAGCAAATGATAGTTTTAACAATCAAGTTCTATCCGTTCCGTGCTTGAATTTGAATGCTAGAACGTACCTCTGGATCACGAACAACATCAAGTAAACCTATAATATTAGGACCTCCGGTTAAGTTTTGTAAAATTTTTATTTCACGCTTGATTTTCTTATATTTAACAGGCTTTAACACCTTTATAATACATTTTGAATTATTCAAAACGTTTATCCCTTCGAAAACCTCGCTATATTTTCCTCGTCCTACTTTCCGCAGAAGTTCGTAATTGTCCTGATACCCAAAAGTTTCTTCCATGTTTTCATAATCCCAATACTCGCGCGGAAGTTCCTCATTTACATGAGCATCTAGCTTTAATTAGCATACTCCTTTTGTCCGGTATCTGCCACTTACAAACCCGCGAAACTGAGACTATAGGAGCCCATTCACTCTGATTCATGATTGTAATCTTTTTTTTTCTTCTTTTCTATCTCTGAAACCTTTTCTTCAAACCGTATCTAACTAGACTCAGTGTATTCAACAACTTCTTAGCTCCTGGCTGGTGAAAGGACGGTTTAAAAAGTCTTGTACTTAACTCTCAAATCGCAGGGTTTTGAAATAGGAACATGTCGTACAGATCGGTGATCAAAATACCGAGATATACCGCGAAGAAGCATAAAATGTAAACAAACTAAATATTGAAATACGGATAGAATAAAAATGATTAAGCAATAAAAGTATTTGAATTATATTACTAGAATAGTACAGTTGTTTTACCTGCTAGTAGCGTTATCACGGCATTTGGCACACTGTTTTTTCAGAGGTAGTTCACAAGAGTTCACACCGGATAGCATAGATCCTAGATCGACTTCATATTGGATGTATTAGCCTTTCTTTCATGTATAGTCTTGTTTTGTGAATTTGGTAGCACAAGCATGCTTTCGAACTTGCTGCGATACTCCACGAAGAGACTCGAAGCAAATCTCATTGAAAATTAGCGGAGAAAACCCTATTTCCCATTAGCATTTTAGCATTTTTATTCTCTAATGAGAAAGGTTCTACGAAAGCCGATTGAAGCCTCGTAAGTAGTGCTTCTAGTTCTATAAATCGCATATTGTCTCTGTCGCGGCTGGTCCAAACTTCAAAATCACGTTGCTTAGCATGCGCCCAAGCTATTGAGACATGGGGAAGAAAATCCTACAAGCATTATGGGTTAAATTTAGTTGCTGTTCATATCAACCTTTGTGATAACATGTAACATACCTCTCGTAATGCTTTCCCTTCGAATTTTTTCATTAATTTATCTGAAACGCTTAGCAATTTTCTCAAAAAACTGGATTTTTCGAAAGTTGCTTTTAGTACGAAAAACATCCGAGTCTTTTCATCGTTAAATAATAGACGCACTTCCTGAAGCGTGTATTTAATTGTTCTTTCAGAAGATAAGTAAAATTTCAATTACTAGTAATTCTTACCTTTGCTGTAATTGTTGGCATTCTTGTCTCCAAGTCGCGAAAACAGCTTTCCTCTCATCAGATGGAATTCTAAATAATTCTGACAAACTTAGGTGCAAATTTTTCTCGACACCATATTCTGATATAAATAAACTTTTAAAATCTTGCTGCGCAGCTATGATATCCTTAATCCTTTGTTTATGAAGACTATGGATTTCCACTTTACGGTTAGCAAGCATTACAAATTCAAATATTAGTATATTTATACCATCCAGGTAAATTTGGACTGCCCATTGACCTTCCAAATGAGCCTTCGTTCGTTTCCTTCCTTCGTGAAAGATGGGACTATCGAACGTTTTTCGCTTTTCTAAATACCTTTGTTTAGTAGGATTTCGAGTTCACTTTCATACTTTTATAAAGATCATGAAAAAATTCTGGGAGTTTAGGAACATCTTTCACGTTAGCTTCAACTTCATCACCGCTTTCTGTATCTGAACTGTCATAGGGTACCAAAGACATATTTCAAATACATTCTTACATGAATTTTCATTTATTAGTATATCCGGTAAATAAATGCTCTCAAACTACCGGTATTCAAAATTTATACAGTATTATCCGTATAATGTTTATTGTTTTAGAAAAAACACTAAAACTCATACTTTTCCGGAAATGTAAACCATCTATTCTTAACTAAATACAACGAAACATTCAGATTCAAGAAAAAAAGACTCTATTATTACGCACAACTAATGTACAAATTCAAAATATTTAAGACTTTACAAAGTTAATTTGCCTTGGAAAAATTCGATAGCTTCTTCAATAGCAGCATCAACATTCTCAGCCTTGTCACCAACACCTTGGCATGTATCACCTTTACCACCACTACGTCCTCCAATTTGTAAACAAACCTTCTGAGACCATTCTTGAGGAGTGATCTTTTGCAAAGCCTCGTTGGAAACAAGACAAGCGTGAGCGACCTTTACATTATCGGAAGCCACAAGGTAAACACTCTTACCTTTAAGGTTCTTCTTCGTATGGGCGAGAGCAAAACTCAAAGCCTTGGCGTTGGCTGAAATAGGAACCTTAGCAACGACAAAGTGCGCTTCTGGGTTTTCCTTAAAATATTCAGCTACCAAATTAACAGCCTCCTTTTGTTCAGCAGCATTAGCAGCCTTCACTTGATCTTGGAATTGCTTGGTAATCTTAGCAACGTGCTCTCTCATATTATGTTTACGAACAGCAGACACGGTAAGCTTAGAAAGATCTACTCCAATCTTCTTTAATTCGGCTTCCTTAGCAGCACCAAAAGGCATCTTCTCTAATTCATTAATGCGGACGTCAAACTCATTAGCAACGCGGGAAACACGATTCGCTTCTGTGGACGTAACAGATACGATTCGACGAATACCTTTAGCAATACCGCTTTCTTCTAGGATAACAAAATCCTTAATTTCGCCGGAATTATAGACGTGAGTACCACCGCAAAACTCAATGCTATAATTATGCCACTCTGGGTTCTTGGGGTTCTTTAACAAAGTATCAATGTCAACACCGATACAAACAAGTCTAACTGGGTCGGGGTAAACTTCTCCAAAAACAGCGCGCAAACCATTAATTTCCTTGGTGTCCTTCAAAGGAACATCCTTTGAATAGACTGGCAAGTTCTTTTTAATTTGATCATTACAGAAATTTTCAACTTCCAAAAGCTTATCAATAGGAACCGAAGACTTGTAAGAAAAGTCAAATCTCATCTTTTCTTGAGAAACCAAAGAACCACGCTGGTCGATACCTTCTCCAAGAACGTTGCGGAGGGCAAGGTTCAAAACATGGGTAACGGTATGGTTATTCATTAAGTGCCAACGACGAATCTCATCATACTCACAAGTGACCTTATCACCGACATTAAGGTTGCCATATTCCAAGAAACCAGTATGCAAAACGTAGCCAGCATAAACTTGAACATTGGTTACACGGAAATCGGCAATGCCATCAATAACAATATGACCAGTATCGTTCTCTTGGCCACCTTGTTCAGCATAGAAGTTTGTGCGATCAAGCAAAATACCAATTTGTTCACCAGATTCAAATACCTTGGTGGTACTTTGGAATCCATCTCTATGGTAAATAGCTTTTATAGTAGACATTAAAGTAGCATCATGATGTTTGTAGCTATCATTTGTTTTGGGGACTGTATCCATTTTGGCTAAGTCGCCCAAAGCATGAACGTCCAAAACTAATAATTCACCACCAGAAGAGCCACTCTTAGTGGCACGCTTACTCATTTCCTTAGAATGTGCTTGGGCGGCTTCAAATCCGGGTTCGTCAATCTTAATACCGGCTTCTTCAGCCATCAAGTGCGTAAGATCGACGGGAAAGCCATAGGTTTCATAAAGACGCCAGACATCATTTCCTTGTAAAACATTGCTGGAAGACTTCTTAGCAGCGGCAGCATATTGTTCAAACATCTTTTCACCACGATCCAAAGTTTTGGAGAAAGAAACTTCTTCTTCGTCTAACAATTCACGCACATCTGCAACCTTTCTATGAAGCTCAGGGAAAAATTCTCCCATCTGTTCAACAACAGTAAGGGAAAGTTGTGAGAAAAAGCTTCCAATAGGAACACCAAATTTCTTACGTACATAGCGAGCACCACGTCTCAAGATACGACGCAACACGTAGCCACGTCCTTCATTATTAGGGACACCGCCATCACTAATAGCAAAGGTCAAGGTACGAACATGGTCAGCAACAACGCGATAAGCAGTATCAATACCATCCACATCTTCCTCGCCCATTTTTCCGGTATAAGGGCGAGCACCGGTAAGCTCTTGAATCTTTTCAAAGAGAGGAGTAAACACATCAGTATCGTAATTAGAAGTCTTGTTTTGAATGACGGATACTAGACGCTCAAAACCCATACCAGTATCAACGTGACGGTTAGGGAGGGGGCGAAGAGTGCTGTCTTTTTCACGGTTGTACTGAATAAAGACGATGTTCCAGATTTCCAGAACATTGGGATCGTCCATGTTGACGAGTTCAGGAACGGAACGGTTACCAATACGATCATAGTGAATTTCTGAGCAAGGACCACAAGGACCTTGATCACCCATTTCCCAGAAATTATCTTTGAGGTCACCCGGAAGTACGCGAGACTCCGGTATACCTATGTCAAGCCATAATTGACGAGCTTCCAAATCGGGTCCTAAGCCGGATTCTTCATGACCACCAAAGTAAGTAACATATAATTGGTCCTTTTCAAGACCATAGACTTCGGTAAGCAATTCCCAGGCCATCTGAATAGCCTCTTTTTTGAAATAATCACCAAATGACCAATTGCCCAACATTTCAAACATAGTATGATGATAATTGTCTCTACCGACGTCTTCGAGATCATTGTGCTTACCACCAGCACGAATACATTTTTGAGAGTCAACAGCACGTTTAAGCTTTGAATATTCGTGAGATGGGTCTACGGTTCCCAAAAAGATAGGTTTAAACTGGTTCATACCAGCATTAGCAAAAAGAAGTGAAGGATCATCATAAGGAACTACAGAAGAGCTGGGAACAATGGTGTGTCCACGCTCTTCAAAAAACTTTAAGAAAGTGCTCCTGACCTTACTAGCAGGCCACTTTAACGACTCAGTTGGGATGGTCATAAGGGTACGTTGATGTAGTGGTAAACGGTAAGTTTGAGTGGCTCGAAAATTTTTTTGAAGTTGAGATACAGAAGGATCAAAACCGAAACCGCTATATTTTCTTTTATGTAGAGATTGTATATGAAATTTTTTAAATCCTTTTATATGAAATACTGCAAAGCGGTTTGCATATTCAAACATCCGTGGTGGAAGGAAGGTGTATTTTCTAATGAATGAAAAAGAAATCTTTACGTTGAGGTAAGATATGTAAAAGAGATATTTATGGATAGGACTATTTTTGAAATGAATCAATGCTGTTTATAAACTTTGAATTATCCTTCTCTGGGAGGCAGCACTAAACGTTTCAAATTGCTTAGAAATAAGTATGGTTAGAAATCGAAATCTTAATATGATTGATTATATACAGAAGCGTAAAAGACATTATTAATTACAATTCTATGAAAAGTTTTGATTTCCTATTCAGAGATGGCAATAAACTGGAAAGCAATAATTGTAGAAAACAGATTGTCGTTACGGACATATTGGCGATTAAATAAAATGCTAGTCAATCAAATATTCAAGAGTACAAGTATATCTTTACGTTTCTCTTCGTATCCTATTTCGAAAAAAAAATGTCAATGATTCCAAGGAAAACTAAAAGTACAGTCAAAACAACAAAAGTTTTGGGACATGAACACAACAAAGATAGAGGATCTACTTATCAAAACAAAAATCCAAGTTAGAAGAAAGAACTAAAGCGAGCTTTCCTAGGATTATATACGTATGAAGCTCGGCTAAAACGGCAAGGCCTTTGCCATATTTATTGATCTTCTTCTGGACGAGTTTGTTTAGATTCTTTCATGCTGGCTGATCTAGCTTGTTGCTATAAAGGGTTAATAAGGATTCATAAACAGTGAAATAAAAGATTTCAGAAACATGGAATTCATACTTCACGGTATTTTGCTAAAGAAATCTTCAACACTTCAGCGTAATTTTCAAATCCAAGTGTGTTCATAGCAAGCAAAACATCCTCTCCGGTAATTGTCTTGCGCTTTTCCTGCGTGCATTGTTCGGAGGCTAGGAAAATGTTAGAATAGAAAAACTCAAAGCGCCACATACCTTCACTTGTAATAAAGGAAATGAATTCACTAACACAGTCTTGGACACAATCCTTGGCTTCCTATATATTGTTAGTCTCTCCTCGAAATTAAAGCGAATAGACGGAAGGGTACAATGGCAACAACGTTTCAACCTGGACCTTTTTTATAAAACTTCCTCATCAAAGATTATTGGAGATGAAAGGTTGCTATTCATTCTTTCAAACGGTACGCTGGAGCTCAAAACCCTTCTGGCAAACAACCCATACCTTTGATATTTTTGCGTTTTCAGGAAGTGCGCTCTTCATTATGCGCGCAACATTCGCAATTGGCAACAAATTCGTATAATCAAACCCATCTGTGCTCATTCTTAAGGGCAAGACAAACTTTTCAAATGACCTGTTGGAAAATATGTCGGTTAAGTGAACTTCCTCAAATCGATATTTCAAGCTGCGTAGCAGGAAGTTTTAAAAGTACGATAAATCAATAATATTAAAGAATCTTATACAATAAGTAATTGCAAACTCTAGATGGAAAATAATTGTAAGCTTGAACTTTTGATCGTCGCTTTCGGGATGAAAATGCGTAGTGTTTAATGCTGATAGTGAACTATTCCACATCTTTTTTAACATATTTACCGTACGAAAATTGGATCTCTTACATTAGATAGTGTTGATTGCGTTAAAGCTCCTTATACTGATAATAAGGTCGTGCTGCACCGTAAATGAATGTAAACAAGTATGGAAACTAGGCAAGTGGATGAAGTGGTATACCCACCGTACCCTTTACAAGACATTGTGTTGTTTAATGCTACATGTTAAAGATATGAAGAAAAGGTAAAAGCTACCATTGGAGTTTATGAAACGAAAGGAATAAGAAAAACGCTGTTTACTTGAGCGTCTGAATCGAATCTCTCAGCTCACCAACAAGCATTCGTTAGGGACTCCTTCTCGTTCTCATAACAAGTCTCTAGTTACATTTGCGATTCGTTCAAACGTAGAGAATAAATCACCACAAGGATTCTTCGTAACTATCTTATCCAACTTCATTCTCTTTACGCAGAAATACAATCTCATCCCCCACTTGTTGAGTCATGTGGCGGCATGCTTTGTTACACTAAAGTATTACTATTGAAGAAGACACTTGGCAGCAAGGGATTACTTACTTATGACGCCAAGGGTAAACAATTGTGGTATTAGACGGTTTCACAAAAGGATTGAAATTGAAAAGATCTTAAAAGGTTGGAGGGTATGGATCCTGAGCTTTTAGCGGGGACTATGTTTATATGGCTCCTGAAAGGATAGTCTTGGTATACGAAACTCGATAAAAAATGAATTCATTGGATCCAAAACCCAACGTCACGATTCAGTCTATCTTCGCAAAAATACTAATAGTAGGATTTCATCTTACTTATTATGATCCATTAAAACATACTTCATTGCCTTGCCAAAGTCGGATGATGGCTAAAACGCAGCTCATATCGTCCATTACGTTAATCCGACGCAGTTCATACCCAGCGTTGTTTGCGTATAAACATGGTATATTAATCATGCAAAGTACATCTTTTATTTTCTGGCTGGACTTTGTTTTTTTGACTTGACTAAGAATTTATCGTTAAGGTCGCACTCATTTCTCTTCTCAGTATAAAAAGCAATATCTTTGATAAAAGCGAATTAAAAGGAATAATTTTTTTCTTTGAGAGGTTTGTTTTACCTAAACTAAGAGTACAAAAGAAACTACCTTAGAGACCATGGACGCAAATCCGAATGACCCAGCACCTAGGTCAGCTGAAGGCTTGAATGAACGGTCGGCCTTGCTTCCTAGATTTTTGGGCTCTCATCAGGGAGCCATTCCACAATACTCTAATTCTTATGCTCTTACTCCACTCTTTTATTGGATTCGCAGTACTTCGTTAAGTCTGTTGATATTCACATTAGTTGTTCATTTTCTATTGCTCATTAATATCTTTATTTCCATTCCTATATTAAGTCATCTCTCGACAGGTTTTACACCTATTGGATTCACCGCATTGTCGGCACTTTTACTGGCGATGCAACTTACATTTGTGTATTCTCCCAATGCACCTGAGCGAATCACTCAACGTATAAATGCTTTTCTCTTGGTTGTTGATGTACTTCTTGTCGTTCTTAGTCCAATTCTTCGCCATAGGGAAGGTTGGAGAGGCATATTTTTCGTGTTTTGGGCTTTCCTTATGAGCCTTTGGATTGTATTCAGTGATGAAATGCTTCTTCGTCAATATAAGGAAGAACATCCCGAATATGCTTCAGGTTCCTATGAACATTCGACTTGGTCTCCTACTACGTGGCCGTGGCGAAGATTCGGCAATCTCACAATTTCTATGATTTTTTCCATCATCCTTACCGTACTAACTATTCACACCGTGTTGACTTTGGCTCTCCGTGCTTACGACGGTAATCTGACAGCGCCTGGTAAACTCTACACCGTAACAGATAGTAAAGCCAAAATTCACTTGGAGTGTTTTGGAAGCACAACTTCTCCCAACCGCTCTACTGTCCTGATTGAAGGAGGTGAAGTATCTGTTCATCCCTTTAAGGAATGGATTCTAAACCTTCACCATACCGCTGGAGGGTCGGGTGAATTGGATTGGGATCCAAGCGTTGTTAATGAGAAAGTCGGATTTAATTACATTCCTCCCGATACTCGGGTTTGTGTTTGGGATCGTCCAGGTATGGGCTGGTCTGATAATATTGGATCTCCTTCTTCCATTGGCATGGTCGAGGATTTACTCGGCGAGGCGCTTGTCCAAGCGGACGTCCATGGTCCTTATATTTTAGTTGGTCATGGTATCGGAGGTGTCTACTCTAACGTTTTCGCTGCTCGTCACCTCGGCGAAGTGAAAGGCATGCTACTGATTGATTCCGGATCAGTCCAATCCCTGCAGCGCTCTGGTAGTTTTAGTACTCGTTTTCTCTTGTTTATTCGAGGATGGCTTTCACCCTTGGGTATAAATCGCTTGTTCGGGACCATTTTTCTCGGACGGGATAGGAAAGATCGTGTATACGGATTTTATTCTTGGACGTCTGACCGATGGGTAAAGGCTAAGTTGGAGGAGTCAATAACAGGACCCACTTTTTCAAAGTCAGAGTTACGGTCTGCACAAGCTGTTCTTCCTAAGAAATTACCGGTTAGCATAATTACTTCGGGAAACAGCTTAAAGAATGTGAAAAACTGGTCTGAAGAGCAGAGGGAATTAAGCAAGCTCACTGACAATACGGTTTGGGATATTGTTAATGATGCTCCACATGAAGTTTGGAAGACTTCGGAAGGTGCTAAAATTATACTTAAACGTGCAGCTGAACTTTTCAGCGGAAGACTATTTGACGGAAATTAGTGAATACCGCGAGTCTATGGAGTATTATATTTATATTTCCGGTTATATGCGTTTGTTAATGAATTTAAATGAGAATGTGAGTTTAATTTAAAATTAAAGCTATATATTTTTGATAGCTTTGCTGTAGTTGAAGGTTGACAATTAGACGATAATTACATGTAAACATTATTCTGTTATACAGTAGAAAACCGGAATTCAGAAATCGATTCGAAATGGCTAAATGCTTAGCTATTTCAGCGTTGTGGAACGATTAGAAACCGGTTTTCAATAGTTCCCGCCTGTAAGTTGGGAATGCATAGATAAAAATGGCAATGTAAAAATCATCATAATACAAATAAACAAATGGAAAATCTCAAAAGAAAACAAACTTTATTTCTTAAAAAAATATATGTATCTATAACGTACAGTCTACAGTTGTTTCTAATCAATACGCTTAAAGAGGAGAGCCAGAGATGTAGAACCACTTGTGAACAGAAGGGTCAACAGGAGCAGGAGGAAGTTCATTAGCAGCAGGGATGGTTTGAGCAACGGCAGCATCATGAGAAACGGAGCCAGAAACGGTAGTGTTGGCCAAAGCGAACTCGGACTTAGCGTCAGTCTTGCCGTTAACCAAACGTTCCCAAGCTTCGTTACATTCACGGACAACTTCTTCAGCGTACTTGCTGTTCTTGCACTCACCGCTGAAGGCAAATGAGTTTTCGGGCTTACCGTCAGGGATCTTATAGATACGGAACCACTCGTTGGTAGCACGGATCAATCCAGGCATATGACGCTCAACATCTTCAATGTCATTCAACTTGGGAGCCAAAGGATCGTTGACATCAATGACGATAACCTTCCAGTCGGTTTCACCTTCGTCGAGAAGGGCCATAACACCTAAAACCTTGACTTGCTTGATCTGACCAGAGTAACCACGGGCCTCACCAATTTCACAAACATCCAAAGGATCGCTATCACCCTTAGCCTTGGTCTCGGGGTGAACAACGTTGGGATCCTCAAAGGTCTGAGGGAAGGCACCGTAGTTCCAGATGTAACCGTGGTGAGGGAAGCAGTTACGGACGTAACGAAGCTTACCCTTCTTGGTATCTTGCTTGATAGGGTTGAGAGTAGCATCCTTGGTGATTTCAAGCTTACCTTGACTCCAGCGAGGAATTTCGACAATCATGTTCAAAACGGTCTTCTCAGCGTTGGCATACAAAGGAACATCGTGCCAAGCAGAAACAGGGGAACCGTTCTTCTCAATGTAGAGTTGATAGTCCAAAGTGTTCAAAGCACCAACTTGACGAGTACTGTATTCGCTCATTTTGTGTAAGGGAATGGTTAAAGTCAACTCATTTGTGCATGGTAAATTGGCTTTGAAGATGGTCGGATCTCAAAAACCACAAATGTTTATATCCAAGTTTTATTAAGATTAAACTATCCTGTAACACTATGTATGGTTTTTCTTTGGATTTTCGCGTTTTGTAAGCTCTTGGTTAATTGGCATTCGTCGAACTAAACCCTTCCCAAAAAACCACACGGTTCAAAAATACACCTTAGATTTATTACTTTCATCAACGTTTTCTACTTTAATTTATTCTGAAAATTAATTTTTAGTTTATTGAGTCAGGCTTTCGAAATAAAAAAATTTCGTACTACTTTGTTTTGATAATATATGCTTCTATTTATTAGTGTAATGGTGCGATACTCACGCAATGTTTATACTTATAAAATAAATACATATTTAAAAAAAAAAAAAAAAAAAAAAAAAAAGAAAAAGAAGAGAAGAGAAGAGAAAGGGAAATATAAATAAAAAAGAAAAGTATGTATGTAAGATGAGTTTACGAATGAGACTAAAGCGGATATTTGAAACCGCTAGCATCATTTTAGTGGTGAATTGAATGAACAGGAGGCATATAATCACTTAAACGTAGTAGTGTTAGATTTATGATTATTTTATAATTTAAATTCTATCCTATCCTATCCATTCTACTTGATGAAGGGATTTAATAGTCATGTTGCATGCTTTCAATGTTGATTATAGCAGAGTGTGAATATCATAAGCAAGCCAAAATTTAATTACTCATTACAAGTCAATTAAAGATTATTTATAATTTATAATTTATAAAATTCCAAAGTATCAATTTATTTATTTAAGGTAACGAGTAAAAACGATCAAAGCTGGATTAGTGTACTTTTGTCCAATGGCAAAGAACTTCTTCTAGTCTAATTACTAGTCCTTCCTATTTATACTTCATATTATAAGAAGTTAGCTAATTTAGCTATTAATTTAATCAAGATACGTTCAAAAAATCCCAAATCCTACTTGAAAAAACGAACTAGTGTTGACAAAACTCAAATCTCGTCACTTATAAAGTGACAACTTTATATATTGTATTAAAAGAAACAGTATCTCTTTACTATAAAATCAGGTCTCTGGCCTTTAGTATACGTAATTTGATCACAAAGCTACCTTTAATCGAAGTCTTTTGGTTTCATTTCCTTTAAATACTTTTTATTTATTATTTTGGAAAAATAGTTTGCATAGTTCGATTAAACGAATGACAATATACTTATTGTAAACGTAAGGTTGAAAGATCAAACAAAAAAGTTCGAATTTAGACATTGTCTTTTATTCTGATCGAGATATCGTCATTTCCAACTTCATCTTTGTTTGGTATATTCACGGCGTATAGAAATGGGAAAACGAAAGCCAGTTCCTCAATCGTCCATCAATACTTACTTCAATCCTTCTGCGAATAAGAAACAAAAAGGTGAAGAGTCGTCATCCACAGGTACGAAGTTGACCTGGGAGATTACAGAATCATTATACATAGCGACATATGGAACTCCTAGAAAGTCCTCAAAAATTGCAACATTTGACTTGGATGGAACTTTAATAAAAACCAAGTCAGGTCGAGTCTTCGCCAAAGATGGGGGAGATTGGCTTTGGTGGCATCCTAATGTCGTTCCAACATTGAGAAAACTGGACTCTGAAGGTTACTCGATTATCATTTTTAGCAATCAAAATGGAATTCCTAGACGCGCATCAATTGGTCAACAGTTCCAAATAAAAGTGCAAGCTATTTTGGAATCATTAGACCTCCCAGTCATTTTGTATGCTGCATTGTTAAGAGACAAGTACCGCAAGCCTTTACAAGGTATGTGGGATCACTTTGTAGAAAGATGGGATCACCCGATAGGTAAGTAATAGTCTCATTGGAAAGGAACGAAGTTAATTATTATTTCTTCAGATAAATCCTGTGCTTTTTTTGTCGGCGATGCTGCAGGACGCCCCCGTAATCATAACTCCACTGATCTAAAATTTGCCGAGAACATAGGTATAAAATTCGATACACCGGAACATTATTTTACTGGAGAACCTTTTGATCGACCAGAGTTTTCTTCATTCCATCCAGAACAGTTCCTGCAAAAGCATGCAAACTCCCAACCCTATGAATTCGTGCCAGCAGAACATCAAGAAATTGTAGTCCTTGTTGGTTACCCAGCTTCTGGTAAGAGTACTCTTTGTCAGAACCAAATTGTACCATGTGGATATGAACGAATTAATCAAGATACCCTAAAAACTAGAGCACGTTGTATAAAGGCAGCAGTGGAAGCACTGGAAAACAAAAAATCAGTTGTTGTTGGTATGCTTTGTGTTGTTTACTTTGGACTGACATGAATTCAGACAATACAAATCCTACCATAGAGGCTAGAGAAGCCTGGGTTGAACTAGCTAAAAGATTCAATATTCCTGCACGTTGTGTTTACGTAGAAGTACCTGAACTTTTGGCTAAACACAACAACACCTTCAGATATATACAGCAAGAGGTATTGATCAAGTTATCAAACTTGCGAATCATGAAAGTAGCTAACATTTACAGATTAAAGGCCTACCAGAAGTGGCTTACACATCATTTCGTTCAAGATTTCAAAAGCCTACCACCAAGGAAGGTTTTCAAGATGTGGAAATTGTTCCATTTATCTGTCTTCCGGAATTAGAAGAAAAGTGGAATCAGTGGTATGAATGAATGAATTTACATACAGTAAACCTCAATACTATAACATATTATATTTAGCCTATTTAGCCCTAAAATTCTAATTACTATGTCACCACGACCCAATTGTAAAGTCCAAAAACAAAATTCCCTATATTCCAAACAATCATTTTGTATGAAATGCAGATAAAAACCCATTAAAACATTATTCCTAAAGCAAAAGTTGATTAGATGATTGCACAGCAGCAGGTTTGCTCTTAGATTGAGAAGATATTTTTTTGCGTTCACCACCAGCACCAATGACTTGAACATCAGCACGGGATAATTGACGCACAACTTGTTCCTTGTCAGAACCGCGTCTCTTTTCACCCAACGCTTTACGTCTTTCAGCGTGCTTGCGACGGACTCTTCTGCGGCGAGCTTGCTTCTCAGTGTGATCCATTTCAGCTTTTGATATGGCAATACCAGAGCGCTCGATAGTCTCCCCTTGGCGATTATCCACAGAAGGTTGGTAAACTTCTTGGGGAGCCAGAGCCATGGCATCAGAAGAAGCGGTAGGTTGAGCTTCTTCCATGGCCAGTGTAGGAGCATTAGATACAACTTGGACATTTGCTTCAGCAGGGGCGGGAATATAATGCCAAGAAGAAAGAGCATCCAAGGTGTAACTAACGTCTTCGAACAATGCTTTGATCTCCTCATGGTCATTCTGGGTTTTCTTGTCAGCTGCACTTTGATAGTTATCGGGATTTGCTTTCTTCATATACTGTTCCTCATAGATATCAGCAAGAGATTGCTGAGGCTTATTCTCATCAAGTTCGAATAGCTCGCTTGGACGGAATTCCGGAAGTGAGCTTGGTGCTTTACGAGGTACATCATTGAAATTCTTATTGATAATACGATTTTTGATTAAATCTTCCAATTCAGATGTTGTTTCTTCAGTTTGTACGGGAACGGGTTTCGCACCGGTTTCGAAGTCTAAATCAACATCAAGCAGTGAGTTCGAAGGACGGCTTTTAGATGTAGCCTCACCAGCCATTGTCCAAGACTTTTTGGCAACATTTTCAGTCTCCAAATCTTTAATCTGTTGACTAATTCGAGCTTTATCTCGTTCATACGAAGAGAGAAGTTGCTGAGAACCTTCATGCTCTTCTTCTTCTTCATCAGCAAACAAATCTTTTCTGACGCGATCAAAAGTATTTTCATCATTTTCAGGTTCCTCGTCTTCTTCGTCTGATTCCTCAGGTTCTGCTACTCGCTTTGTCTTTGTTTTTTTCTTAGCTTCAGCATCACGCTTGTTCTTCTTCTTAACCTCGCGTCGTCCTTTCGCAGACCTCGGTCCGAAAAAGTCTTCGTATAAGACAGAATCAGCACGAGGGCCTCCTTCTTCATCCTCATCATCTTCAGGATCAACAAACAAATCAATATCGTCATCTTCTTCATCGCCAATTTCACGATTCTGTTCAGCATCCTGTTCTTCTAAAGCAACAGTTTGCTTGTTAAATTCGTCTATGTCAAAAAACTTATCGTTCAATCCAAACGCATCTTTTTTAGGCTCTTGGTCCTCTGGTATTTGTTCGTCTTCTTCTTCTACTTCGAAATTATCAGCTTCCATGTCTTCATCTTCATCCTCAATATTTTCTTCATCTGAGTGCCCTTCTTCTTCACCTTCCCTATCAGAAAATCCTAAAAATTCATCATCTTCGTTTTCTTCACCCTCAGCTGGGTTTTCAGGTGATGATACTTCTAGTTGATTTTCATCCTGGGGGTTTTCAGAAGCATAACTCTCTCCATCTGATGGGCTTTCCTCCTCGATATCTAGGTCCGGAAGTTCGTCTAATGTATACTTTGCAGCAATTGCCAGCTGGTTATAAACTTGCCATGCATCAAGATTCTTGGTTATGATTTTCTGGATAGGACTAGAAGAAGGAAGTTTGACGGCTGAGAAGTATCCAATGGCTTCCTCTACTAATTGATTTGAAGCCTTCTCATCTGGAAATAAAAATGCCGTAGGCTCAAGGATCTCCGCCGTTTCTTCTGCCATGAGATGTTGCGGATTCTTAAAAAGCTCAATTAAATTCTAATGCTCCAAAAAAGACGCCTTACGACTTCTTCTTTTATATTAATGAACGTTTTTCTTTACAACAATAACCAAAATTGATCCTGAAATCCTTAAAATAGATGTAAAAGCAGCAACGCCCGGCTTTGAGTGCTCTGGTTTCGTTCTTCTGTTTATTTGAATTTTCTAAACTTCTTCTTCACTCCAAAACTTTCCTTAAAATCTTTTAACGATGTGGCACTTCTATCGTTACAACCAGGGTAGGGTTATGTGACTGTCACAACCATAAAGGAAATCGAAACATATCTGTTTCATAAACTAGCCGCAACCTTCTAAACTACAAAATGGGTAAACCCGCAGGATTGAACGCCGCACGTAAGCTCCGTACTCACCGTCGTGAAGAGCGTTGGGCTGATGCTCACTACAAGAAGCGCTTGTTAGGTACTGCCTTCAAGTCTTCTCCTTTCGGTGGTTCCTCTCACGCTAAGGGCATTGTCGTCGAAAAGATTGGTGTTGAAGCTAAGCAACCCAACTCTGCCATTCGTAAGTGCGTTCGTGTTCAATTAATCAAGAACGGTAAGAAGGTTACCGCTTTCGTCCCCAACGACGGTTGTCTCAACTTTGTTGACGAGAACGACGAAGTCTTGCTTTCTGGTTTCGGTCGTAAGGGTAAGGCTAAGGGTGATATTCCCGGTGTCCGTTTCAAGGTCGTTAAGGTCGCTGGTGTTGGTCTTGCTGCCCTCTTCCACGAGAAGAAGGAAAAGCCTAGAGCTTAAAATCATTAATAAATAAAAGTGATTTGCTTATATTGAAATACGTAATTGTGTATATAAAAAGATTAGTTAAATGTAGTGTGGTCGCTGTAAAGATGTTTGGCGTAAATGTAAGCAAATTTTCTTTTATTTTGAGATACCTAGTGGGGTTCCTACAAGCATATAAATTAATAAGCACTCAATTGGTAGAAATTAAATAAAAAAGTAGACTAAGATAATAAAATATCTAGATTAAAAAAAAAAAAAAAAAGGGAACAAAGAAACGAACGTAAATGATAAATATTGGTATTGAGTGGTCTCGCAGCATCATTAGTCCAGCTTAAAATGACTTGCAAGAGCTTGTCCCGTATTGCTCTCTTTGCTGTATGCTAATTCAACGGCGTATAAAATAATGGTTAAGATTGCGCTGACCCATCGCCAGATCTCTGCTGAACAAAGAATTTGATTGGTAAGAGAACTAAACGAAGGCGCTGGATATAGGTGTTGAAGGAGCAAATTTGTATAGACGGCAATCAAGATACAAGGCGAGATCACTGTCCATAAGCTTTGTTTCGTTGTTCGACTATACTCAAGATATATAATATTTTGTTGTATAGCTGGAAGAATTCGAGTCACTGCATACATAACGGTTATACGATATGCAAAAGTAGCAAATACACTGGGTGCAACTGTCTTTATGGCTGCAACCATGAACAAAGCAATATTTGAAAGGGTCTTTGGAAAAATAGAAGAAATGGAAGAAAGTAAATGATGTACACTATTGAAAGGTTAGCACATTTAGGAATAGCAAATATAAAGAATACTCACCTCTGCAACACGTCTGGTGGTAAGTAATCAAAGTTTGGTTTTTGTGTCGAAATGGTAGTAGGATTTCCAAAGTCGGTGCAAACCATATAGACGGTGTAAGCGATGTATGAGAACTTCGTATGTTAGTGTGATGAACGGATGCAAAAATAAACAACACGTACCATTAAAGACGCCTCAGAAAGACTAGCTCTTCCTGAAGAGACACCGTAAATCGAAACGACAGTGACAGCAGCCAAAGAAAAACCAATCATGACTGCGTTACAGTTAGAGATTGTAAAAGAAGAAACGCGATATAGTAGATATAAACTCATAGAGATAACGCTACTAGCGTTTAGGAGAATGAAGAACTAATAGTTAGAAAAGGAAATGCATTGCGTAAAGCAAAGGTGTAATCCTTACCATCCAGTTTTCAGATTTATAATGCACAAGCCAGCGACCCAAATGCCCAAGGGCTTGTATGACAAGTAAAGATGCGAGACCTTCTAGTAAATTAAAAAGAGGAGTGCAATGTAAAAGTATCACATTCCAAGCATGGATGACATAGTTTGCAATTTTATTTTGTTCAAGGCTGGGAGAGATATTAAGAACGATAATTAAAAGCTGAAGCACGAGTAAAGGTTCAAGAAAATGAAGAATGACGGCAAATTTACGAAGTCCAAAAAGCTTTAAGAAAGCAACGGAACAAAAATACGCTTCCAGAGCGAGTGTCAAAACCTAAGGGAAACACTCAAGTTAGTAAAATTCAGACACACAAATTTAAGAAATGAAAGCAGAAAACTGCCGACTACAATAATTCTAAAGTAGTTTATACATACCAGTCCACAAAACTTTCCTCCAACGTCAAATGCGATTCCGACCAGGACTATTATAACAAGGAAAAAACTGAGAGACAAGAAATTGCCCAGCATTGCCATGCCATTTTTAAACCATTTGCGAACATTTATGCGCAGCTTCGTACCAGGGCTGATTTGCTTGGTTAGGGGTTCTAAGGTAGAATCGTCTGCAAGGTCTGTATAGCTCGGCTCATCCGCCATAGACATAGAGAGATCGTAGTCTTCTTCTTCCTCTTCTTTTGATTTCATAATCTATGTTTATAAGGAGATTCTGAATGAGGACACCGATCGCAAACTTGCTTGCCTAGTCTGGTTTTTTGGATAGCTCAAAGGAGAGCGTTACAAATGAACACTGGGAAAAGGTGGAACAATCCAAAATTTCTTGAACGAATAATCAGTGCCACACGTATAAAGAACCGCTAATTTCACCAATTCCACCCGTTTTAAACCGTTTTTATGGCATTCGTACGGTAATGTCTTGGCTACTAGTGTCTTGTTCTATGTTCTACGTTTAGCGTTCAGTTGTCAAAATTCCTAAATTTGGTTTGCGTAGTACGCATTTGATCTTTATAATGTAAACAAATCGAGATTGAAAATAACAAAAGTAAAATAGAATATGTATCCTAAAAATATCAAATTTTTTCTTAAAAAAAACCAAAGCTAAAACTGAAAATATACTGGTTTTTGTACATTCGTTATAAGAAGTGTTCTAAAAGCACGAGCACTTTCTCATGATTGTGTAATAAGTATTTTGCTACTGAAACCAGAATTGATAACAGGTCTTCTATATATCAAACATAAATAACAGTCATGGATATAAGTAATTAAAAATGTATATTATAAGTCTTACACTTCCTGCAAACGAATTTTACATGTTTCTATGGACTTAATTATGCATGTAAACAAACTCTTGGCATATCACGAAACCTACGTAACCTCGATAACTTTACAGAAGTTAACGTATTACAATATCTGAAATAGCCGAGTGCACAGATGTATTTTACGATACTTTATCTTATCCTAAATGCATTTTATGACGCAAGTTATAGAATGGTAACTTTTCCCTTAAGTGAGGGAAAGCAGCCTTGCCAGTGCCATTACTCTTTACCACCTACTTCTTAATTTGTTTACCTTGCCCATTAATCAGTTGTAAGAAAACTTTAGATTTGGTAGGAATTTCATATTCAAATTCCTCACAATTTTCTTAATAGTTTCTTTGACTGTTTTGCTTCTCTTAGTATCTTCTTAATTTCGCATTTCCTTACTTTCTTTTGCAGAAGACGATTTCTTCTTAATACGTCCTTTGTTCTTCTTTTTTCTTCAAAGGGTTTCTTGAATATTTTTGTCTAATCATATTAATTCTTTGTCCACAAATCTAATTCAATCGCTTTTGAAGATTATTTTAGGATTATTCTTAATTTTTTTTTTACCTACTTTAATTTCAAAAGAAACTAACTACCTTTGCTCTACGAATCCTTTCTTTGAACAATTTAAATATCCCTATTCATCATGTCTACAGAGCTTCGTCGTAAATTAGTCATCGTTGGTGACGGTGCGTGTGGTAAAACTTGTTTGCTTATGTATGGATGGTCACACACTTCATTCTCGAACAGTACTAACTCTTCCTTTTAGTGTCTTTTCCAAGGGTACATTTCCTGAGGTGTATGTGCCTACCGTCTTTGAAAACTATGTCGCGGACGTAAACGTCGATGGTCGTCACATCGAGTTAGCCCTTTGGGATACCGCCGGTCAAGAAGACTATGACCGTCTCCGCCCCCTTTCGTATCCAGATTCTCACGTCGTATTAATCTGCTTTTCCATTGACGCTCCCGAAAGTTTAGACAATGTGCAAGAAAAATGGATTTCCGAAGTTTTGCATTTTTGCTCTAGTCTTCCTATCATACTTGTGGGTTGTAAAAATGATTTACGCAACGATCCTAAAGTAATTGAGGAACTCTCAAAGACCTCTCAAAAGCCAATTCCTTATGAGGATGGTGAAACCGTTGCCAAAAAAATCGGTGCTTACAAATACCTTGAGTGTTCCGCTAAACTTAATGATGGCGTACAAGAAGTATTCGAAACCGCTGCCCGCGCATCCATGTTGAAGTTCAAACCCAACAATGGAACCAAGACTAAGAAGAAGAAGCGTTGTCTTATTCTTTAAACGTTTAATGTCCCAGCATTAATCGCCATGTGCTATGGCTCATACTTATGTTAACTCCTATCTAATGTTCATGAACTCTCTACCTTACCTTTCATTGAGTCCATCGACGATCATAGTTTACTTTTCCCTCTTTGAATGCTTTCACTAGCGTAATAATTTATTCTTATAAATGTTCAATGTCATCATTTTATCTATAATTTCCAGGTTTCCTGTATTACTATCACTATGAATGAAGTCTTAGATCAGATCAAATTAATGCATCGCTGTTTACATTCAACAGCCTCCTGTCATATGCAGTCGTCCAACTCAATCATTTCTTTTTGTTCGTTTCTCTTTTAAGGATTTCATATAAGCCTCAATTTCTTCTCGTAACGCATCATCTAAAGTCGTGTTAGTAGATCATATACATCATGACAAAAACTTACTAGGCGTAACATCTTCCAAAGTAAGAGGAGTACGGTTGAAAGGATCCGTATTATCACTCAAAAGGTGTGCCTTAATAGTACTTCTGTCTATTGACATTCCTGATCTAGGAAGAATCACGGGATCTTTCATTATTGTGAACATTAGCGGATCGAGGAAATGATCAGGAGCTTCGCCCATGTCTTCTTCTTCATTTTCCTCTTCTAACCTAAATCTTTCCACTTTGTTGACAAAGTCTGAGATATTCTCAACATCAAAAGAAGACTTCAAGTTGTGTTTTCTAACAATTCCAAGAGCTCTATCGAAAATTTCCTTGCTATAAGAACGTCCATCATGGGCAACCGCTTCAACAAAATTGTCTTCATTGCACAAATTCAAGTATACATCCAAAATTGTGGATAATAGAGACTTGGGATCGAAGTTATATTTTGTGGGATCTCGTACTTTCAAATTCCTGCATCTTGGACCACATAATGCTTGTAGATTATAGTTCAACATTGCAGCCAATCTCTCAACAATTTCCAAAGCACAGAATGCTTTCGGAATCGATGAAGTAAACAATCGAAGCATCAAGATTGTTTCGTTACCCAACTGACAGTAGACCGAGGCGTGACGCTCTGTAGCTACCAAGTTTTGTTGAGATTCTTGAACATTTTGATTTGACTCTCCTGTGTTGATAGCTTGATTAACTCTTTCCTGTAAATCATGAATATCCTTTAATTTCAAAAGAGCTTCGTCTAAAAGGTATGTAGCATCGTTTAACATCAGAGCCACAAACTTCACAAAAAATGGCAAATTAGTTTTCTGTTCTTGTTCCAACTTCCCAAAGTATGCTGGTAATTTCCATATGGTACGGAAAACCTCACAAATGTAAAATCTAATGTTAAATTTGTCATAAAACTGAGTAGACTGACCAGTAGACTCAATTTCGATATAGAAACCCATCAAAGCAGGAATCAACCATTTGGTAGCAATATGCGATGTTGACAAAACATCAATCATTACTTCGGGTTGACCATGCTGATTCTGCACTCCGTAAAAGAGAATTTCCACAAGCTTTGCTCGCAAATATGGGTTTTTTATATAGGATGATTTTGTCAGCAAAGTAACACAAAATTCACATAAGGTATCTGATGAATGAGTAGTTAAAGTAGAAGAAGACGTTTTAAAAAGAGAAAGGACGTATTCAGTAATTGCTTCAATAAAATATTCAGGAAGGTTTTTAAATAGTTCTGGAGCTGTTTCTGAGAAAGGTAGCACAAGAGGTGCCTTTGGGTAATCAGATGCAGCGTTGTTAGCTACGCGTAGCAACCATGCCATGACAAAATTGAGAAAATTGTAAGATCTAGAAGTTTCAGATGGCTGAGTGAGCATAATTTCATAGCAATGCACAAAGGATCGATCTAAATCTATTCGTTGATACAGACGATCAATTTGAGCGGAAAAACGTCGAGCTAGAAATGCATTTGAATTGACAGCTTGCTCAGCTTCTAATCGCTCTCTTAATTTTTCCGAGTCTCTAATACTCACAAGTGTTTGCTCTAGAGCCTTAACAGCAGCATTGATACCGAAATGATGATATGAGAGATTCAGAAAAAAGATGTCAGATATGAAATTATTTGGTCCTTCAAAACAATGAGAATAAAACTCTTCCGAAGATTTTTGATCTGCGTTAAGTTTTGTTTCCTCTTTGAAATCGATACGAGGATGTCTTCGTAGATACTCCGTTTGAACTCTGTCTAGTTTTGAAAATTTAATATCCAAAAACGGTTCAGACAATCTGTTCAAGACATAAGCTAAATTAAGCATACAAGCATCTGAGGTTATATCGAATTGATCGACCTGAAGTGATTGACGCTTGTGATTGACGTTTACTACCATTGCAAGAAAATCTAATACATTCTCACGAATTTCTGGAGACGTTCGAATAAGAGCATTGAAAATTTGAAAAAGTTGCTCCTGATAACTAGTAATAACCACTCTCAGAGAACTTATAGAAGACGTGATATCCTGCATCGAGCGATCCTTGGAGTTTGAGAAGTAGCGATTTGCAACTTCTTGCGTAAAAACAGTAAGGCTTGAAATCCTTCCTAAAAACGTTTTATACTCAATTTCGCCAGGGTTTGTTGAAGGACACCAAGAAGGCAATTGAGGAACTAGGACAGCAACTGGTTTCATAGAAACTAACTGCAGTACTACTTGAATAATATTCATCTCGAACGACTCAACGTCCATACGACTGATCTTCATCGATAACGTTTCCAATACAGGAATAAAAAATTCATCTAAACCCTCATTTTCATAACGTGCAACAAAATCAACAACAAACTCTAGCGGTATCCCAGGTGATTTCGTAAGTAAATCAGCAAGATTTATGGGAGAACAGTTGAAGGTATCAGGCAACAATATAGTTATGCCAGCATAACTTACCAAGAGGTATTTCAACTTCGTGAGGTAACCGGTTTTATATTGAAGGTGTTCATCTTTCGGCAATCTTTTAAGAACATTATATACTGAGCTCCAAGAATTTAATAAATATTTGAATGTGTTGTCGCCAGTTACCGACAATCTAGTTAGTAATGCAGAATCGACATTATCTTCGTTAAATACACAAGGATGCCCTTCACTTTCCAAATCTCTTTTAAATGATTCCAAATAAAATCTTTCGTTTTGTTCCAATTCTAAAGTTATATTGAGTGTTTGGCTTGTTATGACATGTACCCACTCTTCACGGGAAAATGTTTTTCGCTGTTGACTACTCGGGCGAGCAGGTGATGCAATTTCTTGTTTTTTCTCGATGGGATGTCTAACAACATCAGGCATTTCTTCATCCTCTCTAATATTCGGCCTCTTGGGTTCATGCTCCTCGCTCACCTCGCTGCTTCTGTTTGAAACATTATCACTTGAACTTGCATGTTGTAACTTTGCAAGTCTTTTAAGACGTATCTATAAATTAATTAGTTTATTTCTTTTGACCTTGAACCTTACGTTTTCTAGGTCGCTCATTATTGCTTAAGTCAGTGGAAGACGGTACGAAGTACAATGGCAATAAATACAGCGACTGTGACACCGTACAAAAACCCGGTTATTACCCAAAAGCAACATACAAATTTATTTTTTTCTATTATAAAATTTCTCTAACCATTTACTTTCAATTTTTGTTATCCCATTTATAAATGCTCGACCTTCATATTCCACCACTAAAATAGATTAGTAAATACTCTTGATCTATAACTTACTTGAGGTAAACATAATCCAAGGTATGTTTTTGTTATTCATTGTACTTTTTTGATCAATCCAAACAGGAGATCCTGAGATAGTTTTATAAGATCCATCGTCTTGTAGATGTGCTACATTTCGAAAAAATCCTTGTAAAAGACATTCTATTATTTTTGAAGAACCCGTGTCTGTCAACCGTCTTTCTGGAGATATGCGAAACCGTTGCAAGTAGGGAAGTATATGTCTTCGAATTTCGCTTGCATGATTTAAGGTATTATAATTCAAAAAGTTTGTTTTGCACCATTTCATATCTTTCTTTCTAACCAAAAACGATTCCAGAACTATTGGTTAGTCACGTCGTAGTACAATGAGATTAAATTACCATTTAAACAAGTGAGAATATCACCTTCTTCAGTGATGAATGTTGCATGACAGGCGGTAGCTTCATGGTGATTTCTAGCAGGACGATAGAAAACATCTCCTGCCATCACAACAGAAACAATGTTTAACATTGCATAAGTACAATCATAAGTAGCTGATGAGAGGAGCTATATAGAGTTAGGAAAAATCATTGAAAATAGTATTAAATAAGATATAAGCTTACAGCTTTCGATAATCTTGCATCCAAAGGCAACTCTACCATTTGAAATCCAGTAGGGTCAGTCAAATTTGAATAATCATCAATAGCACCTAAAAAGTATAAGTCCTTAAAAATTGTTAATATCATTAGAATAGATGTTTACAAGACATACCTCTAAAGCCGCGATAATATGTACTGTAGGAGGAGGGACAAAAAACGGAAATTGGTTTATGTTTCTTAAACCAATTGATTTTAGAAATAAAACAACTGGTAGCATATCAGTATGACTTATCTCAGCATCACTTTCATCCTTCAAGGAATCGTAGACATTCTTTGGAAACAACCGGAAGCATTTTCCAGGATTAGTCCTTCCTGCCCTTCCGGTTCTTTGTATGGCATTAGATTTAGATATTGGAACACGAATTAACTTTGAAATTCTGCTGTAAGGATTGAAGATTCGCAGCTTGCATAATCCAGAGTCTATAACGTAAACAATACCATCAATGGTCACACTTGCTTCAGCGATGTTCGTACAAAATATTACTTTTCTAAATCTCTGTTCATATATATCAAAAACGCGAAGCTGCTCATCCATTGTAAGACCCGAATATAAAGGCAATGGAACCAGCATTGGCAAGTCTTCAGGTGTTGTTACGGAAAATGCCTCGATACGTTTCACACATTCATCAACTTCTCTTCGGTCTGTAAGAAATACCAAAATATCGCCTGAGGGATAGGATGAATTTATATTTAAGACCGTTTCCACTGCCGTGTTCACATAGTTTTCCGTAGGATTTTCAAGGTACATAACATCGACAGGATATAACTTTCCTTCAACCGAAATAATATTTGTATTAATTTTGTCCTGTTCATAAAAGAAATTATTTAACTTCTGTATATTCGCAGAAGCACTAGCAAGGATTACTCTTAAATCAGGACGTTTCAAAAGAATTCTAACTATTAGTTAAATTCCTAACATTTTCGTTGACCATACCGTTTCAGAATCCCTAAGAGAAGATCTATGTTTACAGTTCGTTCATGAACTTCGTCAATCATAATAACCGAATACCGCTCTAGAAGAGGATCTGTAAGGATTTCTTTAAGCAGACTCCCATCAGTCATGTACTCAATTTTAGTTTCACTGGATACATTGTGCTCGAATTGAATCTTATACCCACATGTCTTCCCAACTTCTGTCTTTAGTTCTTCTGAGACGCGGCTTGCAACACTTCTCGCAACCAATCTTCTAGGCTATAGGATTAATAAAAGTCTCATGTAAAAAGAAACTTATTACCTGTGTACACCCGATTATCTTCCCTTCTTTCGTCCAACCAGTTTCGTATAAGTACTGAGGCAGTTCTCATATTCAGTTAGCATTTTTCATTGAGGTACTAGCACATCTCATACGAGTTGTCTTTCCACATCCAGTGTGCCCATGCAGAAGTGTGACTTGGAAGGTCTCAATGGCATACAAGAGGGATTCTCCTGAAGCATCATTAGTTCTCAATTCATTCTTCAAGGTAATGACTTCATACGATATTTAAATATTGGTAATAACTTTCTTTGAAATGCTAGATTGGCACTTAGAGTAGGTTTGAATGACTGAATGGCGAATTCATCCTCCATACTTTTTCATAGACGTTTGAAACAAACTACTAGCAGAGGTCACACATGGTTTCAGTCAGTTTCCCGGAACAAATAAAATACATACTAACGAAGGAAAGTTCTATAAACGAATTATATATTAACTAGATAAACAAATATAGTAAAAAGTAGGACTAAACGAAAGACAGATATGCAATAATTATAGTAGAGTTATGTATGTCTATGAACTAAGATCCTGCCCTGTAATGCTAACTTCCAAAGTCCAAAATTTGCGACGCCAAACATTTAAAGCTGTGTTATCAAAATTATGCGTATTTTCAAACCACCAACATTTATGCTATAATACAGGTTGTTAGTAATATAAGACCCAGTTTCTAAGCCAATATGGCATGCCATACCCCTGGTTTTCTCCAAAACTGTAGTAGTGTTTGGCATAAACCAGCGTTTTTAGCCGTAGAACATAATGTAGTAACATGGTATGAGGATAAGGACATTCTTTTCGGTTCCTTAACTCTTTGACTCCAGTTTTCACCTTTGCTAATACCACTAAGTCAAGCTTGATTAGCAAGTGTTGTATATAAGATTGCTCTTCTGTTTCTACTTACCATTTGTTCAGTAACTGAACGAATGCTGACCGTTCCTTCTTATTACCAAGAAACAGGGAATTCGGAGAAGTTTCAAATATATTATTGTCTTTGTAATAAAGATCTAAAAGCTTCTCCTTTACGTTCGAGTTCACCCCTTGATGTACTTTTTCTGATATGATATATATGTCGCAAAACTCGACTAGAAGAAGTACAAATTTAGTGTCCTTTAAGGGATCCTCTTTTATTTTCCACGGAGAGTAGTTCGAGTTTTTTAGAAACAATCGTAAGTATAAGTTCAATAACCAAGTACAAGCAGCAGGATCTATTAGATGACACTTTAAACATCTTTGAGGAGTGCTACCTTCATTTTGTAATAATGGACGAAAGCCATGAATAAATAACATGCCAAGGAGACAGTGAGGTAAGTATAACAGTTCCGATCTATCAATCATAAGCAGCTTTCCTCGAATATTGAAATAAATATGCACAGGAAATGAGTTTAGTAGATTTGTAACCTCATCAATGAGGATATCTTTGGTATTAATACGATCAATGGGCACTGCCATGTTCCGAAAATTTCTTTCAATTATGTCTTCTTCTAAGACCTTTTGTATAACGATGCTCTACTAAAGGCATTATTTTTTTTATAAACACTTGAGAAAATTGTAGCTGCCGGCTATTTATAAGGAAAAACGATGTGAGGTTGTAAACGACTATGTGTAGAAGGAAGGGCTTTCTCCGTTCACGGATCAATTTTGTTCCCTTCCTAAATCTAGTGAATATGCCTTTTTTTTTTTTTCATAAGTAAAGAATTATATCTTTTCATAAGTAAAAGAATTATAAACCCATTTACCCACCAAATAAGCTTCTCTTGAAAAAACTTTTCTTAGTTATAATTTAATTGAGTAACAACATAATAAAGTATTCTATAGATAATTAAATAATGAAATTTAAAATAAAGGGTTAGAAGCGTCTTTTTCTTCTTTGGGAACAAAAATACCCATAGAACCTATCAATACTGGAACGTCAATCCGCGCAGCATTTGGAGAATAAACGACTCTCAGTATTCTTCTCGCCTTCACAGTTGCACTGTCGGCACGCTTGATGAGAGCTAATCGTGTGTTAACATTATTCGTCCAAACAAGGCCCAAGGAAGGTATCTTAGGGTTAGGATCTAAATCATCCCATCCGTTAAACCATTGTGACTGATAATCCAAACTAAACAATCCAATTGCATCGTAATCCCGTGTTAGACGATCACTCACTTGATTTGCAATAACGACAGCTGCTTCATACTGCCGGCTAAGATCTCGAAGTATAGATGCAAGCTTTCCCAATTGGTTTCCCCTAATAGCAATATTATTTAAATCTGTGTAATGACTTTTTGAACGATTGTACTTTAATTCAGCACGATAATTAGCAGCGACACTATCTAACACAACTAGCCCTATACTCTCTCGTTGAAAAAGAATAGGAAGTTGGTACTGAATAATGTGCTCTTGTGACTCTAAATCTGGACAAAGGATGGTATATACCCTATCACCAGGGTTTCGAATAAATACATCGCCTTCTTCAGCTTCTGGAAATCTGTCCGGTATATATTTTGCTAGCTCAAATAGGCGCTTTGTTTCGAGTCCAGATTCGGTAGATATAAATACAGCAGCTTTATTTAATCCACCAAAAGCTCTAGGAAGTTGAGCCATTATACAAAGCTGCATACATAGTTGAGACTTGCCAGAACCACTTTCGCCGCATACTTCAGTCAATTGTCCAACAGGTATGCCACCCCCAAGCTTCTGATCTAAGACTAAATCTCCCGTCGTCAAGAAGGATTGCTTTATCTGTGAAGCAACCTTCCTCTTCGGTCTCAATAAAAGAGTAACCTGTTGGATGATTTGGATGAGTTCATCTTTTTTACAATTTGTTCGCTTCTCCAAATCCTCAACATCAATAGTTAAGAGGTCAATGGTACTTACATCTGCTAAACATACAAACAAGTTAGCCATTTCTTTACTGCTTTGTGACACAAAAACGTACTTTACGACATACCATTCTCAAATGCGGCAGCATGTTTTTCGTCAAAATGAAAATTTGCGACATAATTTGAAATATCCATCCATTTATTTTCAGAAACGATCAGTTCGTGAACTCTTGGAGTTACGAATATGGAAAACAATAGCCAAGGTTAGGATAATCGTATCTCTTCCTTATTTTCCTCGATAGAAAAAATAAGATAAAAGATATTGGCTCTATGATATTAGTAAATTCTTAAGTTTTTAAAAAGTTTACGTGTGCGAAGCGAACCCTGGCTTTTTTACCTTGGTGGTGAAATGTTGGAGTAGTAAACAATGAAAACGAAACGTGGAAGCTGTCTAAAAAATAGTGAATTTACAAAATAGAATATTTAGTAGGCCAAAAATATATTCATGTCCAATATATAGCAACCTACTAAATATAGACTTTTATAGCATCAGCTAGTAGGCATCGACGATACTACCAGCAAAATGAGCTTGCAGTAAAGTGTCTCATTAGTAAAAATTTTGCAAGGGTCTTTGGGATTATTTTGCAGTCGAAACGAATCACCATGCTCCTTACCTGCAAAGAATTGATCTTTCCTACAGACGGGAAACACGGAAGTTTACCGACCTCATGCTCAGTCAAAACGCCGTGGGGAGGAGTTAATAACTTTCAAAAGATCATAACTATGCAAATACCATCAGAGGTTTATTCTTTATCCTCGAAGTACTCTAATCCTAGGATTACCTTTAGAAGTAGCAGTCATCAAGTAACGCTTTTTCAGTAGGTGTAAGGACACTTAGCAGCTAAAGTACTACATACGTATTGAATATTGGGTTTTTTTATCTTTATTATTTATTTATTTATTTACGGTACATTTATTGCTGCATACATCGAAGATTTGTGCCTTGATTCCCTAGAATTGCTTAAAGCACAATATATATACTACAATTGGAGAGTTTATACACCGAAATCACTGATGAAATCGCAATAATAGATAGATAAAGAATAGTCTGATGTATCAACTTAACAAGAAAAGAACGAAAAAAGAGCTTGACAGACATCCCCACTGTATTTATGGTACACCGGTCAACCTAGAGGCATATCAAAATAGTCATGATTTACCGGTTTGGAAACAGACGGCAAGAGATGAAAGAAATAGAAAACGGTTTCACGGTGCATTCACAGGTGGCTTTTCGGCAGGGTACTTCAATTCAGTAGGATCCAAAGAAGGATGGCAGCCAAAGGCTTGGTCAAGTTCCAAGACTGATCGGGGTCAAAAGGCCGGTCTGTCTTTGGACGATATTATGGATGAAGAAGATAAAAATGATCAAGAAATGTCCAAAGTTTACAGTGTCCAAGGTGACATTTTAGAGCGATCCATTCCTCTCGATGATCCGATTCTAAGAGAGCTTGGACCAAAGCAGTCTACCATTGGCGAAAATATCTTAAGAAATTTTGGATGGAATGGGAAGGATTTTATTACTTCCCCAGCTAAGGATTGTTACGAGAGAGAAGATTCTGTCAGATCCACTACTCATGGGCTAGGATATCAGCAAGACGAAACGATTCATCAACAGAGAACTCTGAATAATTCTGTGAAGAAGAAACCAGCAAATTATGCTTTTGGCTTAGGTGTTGCGTTAGATGATAATGAAGACGATGAAGACTCGTACAACATTGGGCCACCAAGATCTCAGTTCGACAAGAGTATTAATTTGAAGAAGAAAACTCCTTCCATTAAATCTTCTTCTGGAAAGCATACTTTTATTTCAAAGAAGAGTAAACTGAAAACAGCTTCTTCACCCTCAACCACTTGTATGGATGGTTTACCCGTTCTTGCTGGATTCCTTGTAATATATTCTCCGGAAACTTTTACTAATCAACGGTTTCCTGCACCTGAAATTCCTGAAGGTTGGGTATCACGATTCTCATCTTCTGCGCATTCCCCTTCTCATACATCCTCCTTTCAAAAAAGCACGAACGCAAATGATCGTTCTGAAGCGCTTTTTGGATCAGCAGAACATTCAAGGGATACTCAAGAAACCTCACCACAAGTTGATCTCTCAGATGAGCAGAATTGGAGAATAATTGATTTAGACACGGCGAAACATGCTCTTTCGAGAAAAGACAATCCATATACTGATGAACGAGCAGGATTATACGAAATCTTTTTAAAAGCCCATGTTCAAGATATGCCAAAGCTTTTAGCAGAGATGCACACTCATTATCTTTCCGAGTTTGCTCGAACCGCATCTTTATATCGTCCAATGTCTAGAAATCTGTCAATGCGGTTTACTTCCTCTTCTGGTGATAATCCCCCTACTGCCGTAACGATTTCGGAATCCACGGGTCAGGCTTCAGATACTTCTTCGCCATTGATCAGACCTCGTGAAATTTCAGATTTCTATCCAAGTCGCTTACTTTGTAAACGGTTTCACGTTCGTCCTCCGGATATAAAACAAGAACCTTCTGTACGAACAAGTGAACAACCCTCTATCGAACCTTCATATGACAATATAATAAATACGGTAGAGAAAAATACTGTCAACCATTCCGTTGATGTTAAAGTATCCCCTGAAAGCCTTTTCAATGCAATATTTGGTGATGATTGATTGTGTTTATATTGTACAATGGTTAAGCAGATATGTATTCCATATTTTGGGTATAAAATGCATGCATGATTTTCTACTTTATCTATTCTAGGTTTTTTTTTTAATTAAATATATAATAAAATTCGTAAGAGTTTGGTTACTTGCAATGGCACGCTCGTCTAGTACTCGCTTGCCAATCCTACGTATTACTCCTGTAAGCGACTCCCATATATTTACTTGGTGTTTTCCATTTGGTAGGATTGTTTGACACTGGAAATTAGAAGTATGACAAGTGCAGAATTAGGGTGTTTAGAAACCGGCGACCTTCGAGTTTCGGGTGAGCTTATTTGTAAAATTTGCCAGGATTTGTATAATTCTGGATGGGTTACTGGTACCGGGTATGTGAATTAAATTTTAATTATATCTAACAGTTAATAGAGGTGGAATTACTATCCGTTCAGGGTACGAAATACTTAGTAAATAGCTTTTTAACTGTACAGAGATGCGATTGTCATTGCTCCGTCCGGGGTCCAAAAAGAAAGGATGCAATTAGAGCACCTATTTGTTATGTCCTTGAAGTATGGATGCTTATTCAAATAAAGCTTGGTGGGTGTTAACGGAATGTAGAACTCGTGAATACCTTCATAAGCCCTTGCAAGCTCTCAAGCCTTCCCAATGTACCCCTCTGTTTTTAGCAGCTTACACGTATGTACACAATCGTTGCAAATTATTTTATATTAACTAATTAATGAAGTTGTCGCGATGCTTATGCATGTATTCACACTCACTCTCAAGAAGCTATCTTATTATCACAAATATTTCCTGATTCAGATTATTTCTCAGCTTCTGGTTTTGAAGTACTTCAACATATCCCTCGTGGAAGCAAGAAAAATGGGTTTTATTCTGTAACGGAGACTGTTAGAATTCCTTGTAAGTGCCAATCCGACTAAGATTTACATTGCTAATGGCTTTATAGTTATTAATAATACGGCCCATGAAAGCGACCTTCACGACAGTCTAAAGGCAGCTATTTTGGCTTACCCAGAAGCATGTGCCGTTATCGTAAGGGATCATGGCATTTATTGCTGGGGTGACACATGGCAAGATACTAAAATGAACACAGAGGCTGTAGAATACTTATTCCAAGCATATTTGAGAAGTAGAAAAATCAAAGTCTAGACGAAATGCGCTTTGATACAAGCCGTTCTGGTTCTTTGCATTACAATAAATAATTTACTTATTCATTTACGAAGCTCAGCTGGTTTTAAAGTTTTAATATTGTTAAATTAATACAATTAACTATAGAAAATATTTTTAGAAGAGTTTTCGTTTCTTCCGCTTCCATTTCTCCTCATATTTCTTGTACTGTTCTATGTCTCTATGAGAACAACTCCTTAACTTCGTTTGAAGAGCCGATATTTGAAACCCAATTAAAGACTTGCTTGTAATCTCAATGGGAATCTTGATTTTAGAGACTATGGCTGAATTATTTAGATCTAGAGCGAATCCGTTAGCATGATAAACAGTGCTTCGATAATCAGCTAAGTATCTTCTCATTTTAATTTCAGACGTGGGTACTCTAAGATTGCTACTCAAATCTTCAAAAGCATCATCCACAATTGAAGGTAATCGGCGTCTTGGTTGCGGACCGGAAGATTCAACGCCCAATTCCTTTTGTTTAACATCTTCAGTTAAATCGGCAAAGGAATGATGATGAATCGTGTTTAAGTTCTGAAATTTAATTGTTGGGTTGCAAGCTGGAGGAATTAAACGAGGAACATCACTTTTTAGCCTTAGTTTTTGCCCATTTTCAATCACTTTTTGAACTCTTTTATATGAAGTTTTCGCTCTTTCCCACTTGAAATCTTCAGAGTTTTTCGTCACAAGAATAAACACTTTTCCATCTTTTTTACGACCCGTCCTTCCCATTCTTTGGATCATACGAATCGGCGAGCTAGAAGTATCGTAGCAAACGATCATATCTGTATCTCCAATATCCAAACCCTCTTCACCAATACAAGTAGCAACTAAAACATTAATAACACCTGACTTGAACTGAGATATAATTTCTTTTTGAATCTTTTGACTCATTCCCGCAGACTCCACAGAACTTGCTTGTCCAACAAACAAAGAAACTCTAATGAGAGGTTTTTCGTTTGAAAAAGCTTTCAATATTTGCTCAGCAGTATTACGATACTCTGTAAAAATCATAACTCTGGAATTGCTATACTGCTGAGCCGCTTGCTGAAAGTGATGTCTTAATATGCCTGACAGGTGCGTAATTTTCGGATGATTAATAAATTGTCCACTCGCAATGCTATTTTGCAAATGGCTCAAATAAAATAAAAAAGGATTGCTTGTAAACAAATGATATAGCTCTCCAGACTTTTTTCCCTCTGTTTCTGTCTGTATCTCACAAAGCTTTTGATAAAATTGGATGATACCATGACAATCTAATAGATACATTGCATGAGCACAAGTAATAAGAAGTTTAAAATAACCAAATATTTTCAATTTTTCTTTATCTTGGTTTTCCTTTTCTCTGAAAGAATATCTCCTTAAAGCCAGCAGAAGAACATAAGCTTTCAAATTTCTGAGATCGCAAGTAGAGGGAATTACTTTCTTTTTTCGAAGAAAGTCAAAATACGGAAAGTACATATCTGCAAAATCTGCTTTCAGGTATTGCATATCACGAGTAAGTTCAACCTTGACGACTTGGATATTCTTTTGGAATACATACGGCCGAATGTCGACACTTTCCTCGTTACGAACAATAACTTTTGATATATGTAGACAATCTATAACCTTTTGTACAGCAGCTGTAGTAGAACCGGGTGTTGCCGTTAAAGCTAGAACTCGAAAGTGAGTATTATATTTAAGTACTGCTCGAATCACTTGAGCATAAGGATGACTTCCTGTAGCCTTGTGAGCCTCGTCGATGACCAAGCAAACTATGCTTGTCGCGTCGACTAAACCAGACCGTAAATCATTATTAAGAGTCTGCGGAGTCATAAAGAAAATACGTTTTGCATGGTATTCTTTAGAGCGGTTTTCTGCTGAAATGTTTCCGTTTAATTCAGATGTATTATGTGTCGGTACTCCTGTAATCTCTACAACGGCAGTTCGTTGCTGTTGCAAAAGAGGTTTTGTAGGCGCAATAAATATAATCTTTCCAGTAGGAAACCAACGATAAAAATTTAGCATTACGACAGCTGAAATGAATGTTTTCCCTAAACCTGTGGGCAAAGCTAATAAAAGATTATGGTAAAAGGCTGTTTCGCAGAAGCATCTTTGATATTCACGAAATTCATCCATTTCAGGATAAACCCAATCATTCAAAGCTTCCATATCCTTTTCCCAATAATTTTCTTGTTCGTATTCTTTAACTAATCTTGGTTTGAAGGTCAAATCTCGTGCTACCTTGCCTTCCAATGTCGGCTGAATGCATTGTTTCGAATTCTTATTTGAATGTTCTTGCAATACTAGCGAACTGGAATTTGACATCTTCGGAGTAATTGGAGAAGTAAAAGAGGAATTCTCAAGCTCCGTCAACAAGGAAGTCGCTGCTTCTTCCCAACTTATGTCTGCATCCTCATCAGATAATACTTCATTCAAGTGCAAAGGGTCCTTCGGGTCGCTTTCGTTGAGCATTTATTCTTGAAATAATAGGGAAAAGGGCCAGAGAAAGAGGGTATAGGAATTAAAAAATATATCGGTATAACTGTTTACAAAGAGAAAGATTGACCAGGTTCAAAAGAAAGTTGAAGAGTTTTATTTCAAAAGATCTTGATATCCAAAAGATATCCGAGACAATTATCTCGCCATGATTGAATTTAAGAATTACTGTTTGTTAGTTATAAGTCTCCCGTCAACAATAGATTGCTTCAGAGGATTTTTGCTTTCGTGAAACAGTTTCTCCTTTCGTTTATTTCACAAAAGTCTTTGAAAATATCTTGAAGTCCCTCGAAATCTCGTTGAGAACTTAGAAATTGCAGAAAGAAATCTAAGAGAATTGACAGCAGAGCTTGCAACTTATGTTTTTTCCGACGAATAATAATTATTTTTATTAAAGCAAGACTTATCAAGTAATGAACAAAAGCTAACTTTGAAGTAAGTGGTAATAATTAACTTACAGCTAAGCGATAGTAGTGAATGTACAAGTTGTCACTACCACTACCTTAGTCCGAAACGTTGAAATAAAAAATATCAAATTAGTCAAGGGGAATTTCTGTTGTCAAGGGAATAATTAGATGCATATTCATTTTGGTCGAAATTAAATTAGTCATTAAAAGGATGGATTCAGAAGAAATTCGATCTGCCAAGGCTTCCTTGGAAAAAGCCATTCAATCCAGGAATACAGAGGTAATTTTAGTTCTACAAATTGTTTTTGATTAAATAATTTATTAATATTCGCATAGACAATGCTCGACATCATGAACCGTTTACGAACAGGCGTTGTTGCAACAGAGGAATTATTAAAGGTAATTTGGAATTAATTTACAGTTTGATATTCATAGTATATTGCATTCCTTACCAAGGAAAATATTAAGAAAATATCTCTTTACTGCCCTGAGGAATTACTTCTTGCAAGACAAGAACTAACGTGAGTATTAGGAAACCAGGCTTGGTTTGGTAATAGGAAAACTTAGGTCTTATCCCAATGAGAAAGTTAACGAATGCGCTCGTGAAATCGTAAAAAAGTGGAAAACCGATGTGAGCAGGGGCAGACCATTGAAAGCTGCTGCCACCGGTGGTGCCAATGCAGCTTCTCCAGCTCCTAAGGGTGCAGGCGTTGGAACCCCAGTTCAAAAACAATCACAAAATCAATCCGTCGGCGGACAGCGTACTTTCAAAACTGATAAAGTCGATGTGAATGTAACAGACGATAAAATTCGCAATAATTGCGTCGGCCTAATATACAATGCTTTGGCATTAGACACGGATGCTGATTCTTCTTTGATCTTAAAACGTTCTATTGAAATTGATGCACAGGTTCTGGCTCGTGCTTCTGGAAATACAGGGTCCGAGTATCGTAATCGGATGCGATCACTTTACATGAATCTTAAAGATAAAAGTAATCCAAAACTTCGTGCTTCAGTTTTATCTGAAGATATAAGTGCTCAGCGCTTAAGTAATATGAACTCTGCAGAACTCGCTTCTGAAGATCGTCGTAAAGAAGATGCCAAACTTGAACAGGAAAATTTGTTTCATGCTCAAGGTGCCAAACCTCAAAAGGCAATTACGGACTTGTTTACATGTGGAAAATGCAAACAAAAGAAGGTATCCTACTATCAAATGCAAACTAGATCTGCAGATGAACCTATGACAACATTTTGTGAATGTGTGGTTTGCGGAAACAGATGGAAATTCTCATAGCTTTCTTGGTATAATAAATAAACTGTTAAGGAAAAGTCAAAGCTTTGTCAAGACATAACGTAACATACTATAGCTAAATGTGTTTCAAGCGAGTGTTCTTGATATAAATCTAAATCTGTAGCTGTCCCCTCAAACGTCTCTATCAAAGTTATCTTTGCATAAGTATGCTTTTCTCCAAGGAAGCCGTGAGTACTAGTACTTGGTTTTTTTACTGCTAGGTAAATTTGAAAATTATTGCGTTCAGTGAATGTCCTTGAATTTTCCATCCCTTTACTAAATAAGGATTTATGTCTGTTGAACATTTCTTAGAAAGAATCGTGAAATACAAACAAATTTAAGAAGAAAGGCGTCACTCCAATGTTGGTCTTTGCGAAGCATAAACTTACATTTAGTTAGTGGTAGATGGAATGATAGCCCAAAATTGATTTAATATATACTCTTTGAATTATAACTTACAACTATTACCACGTAAAATCTTGATTAAATAACTCTTGTACAAGTCCATCCTACCACTAGAAAAGGTATAATGATTAGTATCCACTGTAGCCAATTTTCTTGAATTTGGATTTCACTAATTAAACATAAAGAACTGGCCGATCTCTCATGAATCCAAATTTAGACGATCTAATTAGTGTATTTGTGAAGAAATGCATCAATCTTGAAATTGCTGAAATTGAAGGGAAAGGAAAAGGTCTACGATCTTTAGAAAAATGTGACCCAGGAACGGTCTTATTAGAGGTTCCATTGTCCAAAGTAATAGATGAAAACTTCATCAGAGACTTTAGAGAGAAAGATAAAACCTTCGCTTCAATTGCTACGTCCGAAGAGTGGGATGCTATGGCATTCAGAAAGCAAGCTTTATTCATTATCTGCTATTTTAAATGGTTACATGAGAAGCAGAAGGACTGGAACCTATACTTGTCAACTTTTCCTTCCTATGTTGGTACCCCAGTCCAATGGTCTGAAAATCAAATTCAAGACCTTCAAGGCACCTCACTGTTTATGCCGGTAATTGCCAAGCGGAAATTTTTGACAGAAGAATGGGAGGAACTTAAAAGCACTCACGTAAACCTTTGGCCAAGTGAAATATCACTGTCTGATTGGATACATGCCGATGCTTTGTATAGTAGCCGATGCCTTGAAAGTCCTTCAGGTAGTACAGTTTTGGCGCCTGTGGTAGATTTGTGTAATCATTCAAATGAGGCCAATTCCAAATGGGATTTTACTTCGGATTCGTTACAAGTGTATGCCGAGAAGGCCCTATCCGTTGGAGATGAAATTACATTTAACTATGGTGCATCCAAAGGTGCAGCAGAATTCTTATTTTCATATGGATTTATTCCAAATAACGTGGAAGGAAACAGAACTGACGTTTTAAAACTTCTAATCCCTAATGATACAAATGATCCTTTGGATAAATTCAAAAGAAAATGTTGCAACAGGCCACCCATGATTGAAATTGCTTCTGACTCAACTGGCATATGGTGGCACGCTCCATATTTGTATTTTTCAGTACTAAATTACGATGATTTCACCTGTTTCCATTTGCAGGAAACTGAAAATGGGGGTACTGAGCTTCATTGGGAATTTGAAGGGCAGACAACTACTATTGAGGAACTCCCAGACTTAATACAAAAGTCTCCTTTGAAGGACTTGTACCTCTTGAGAGTCTTTTGTCTTGTTCAACAGTTAGTCGAGGCCGCTTTGAAACGTATTAACGACAATGAATCTAACATATCCTCAAGCGACTATGCTGCTACAAATCTTTTGTTAAGGGAGCGTAATTTATTACAAAAGGTAATGCCCTATATCCAAGATTTCATAGAAGAGTTTGCTCAGTCCGAAGTTGTCTGTAATCATTTAAATGCTCAAGGAACAGAGGAAGAACTTTAAGAAACAAACTTTGGTAAACAGTATTCTTACATTCTTTTTCATTGCACGGCATTATGGTTGGAAAAAGAAGGTCAAATATGATATTCTTCCTCAACTCTGTAGTCTGCTTTTATTGAAGCGTTCATATAAGCACCGTAGTCTGAATATCATTATTATTGCAAGTATATGTCTAAAAAAATGTAAAATTTGATTTAGGCTTCTTTGGGATTACCTCTCAATTGGAACCAGTGACAGTACCATCTTACTTAGAAATTCAGAAACAGTGAGAAAAGCAAATAGTGATACGGATTTTTTAGTCCCTTTCTTTTCACGTAATTTGCATGTCTATTTTTTAAATTGACCTCGACATTTAAGTGGGAAGAAGCTCATTTCATTTTTACAGTATGGAACAAAACACGGGTGAGCCGAAACAAGCTCCGGAATTACCAGCTATTCCACAGGGCGGATTCGATGAAAATTCTCAGTCATCACAGTTTGGTTCGTATTTGAATCACCCTTCATACGCCTTAGGAAATAGGTTCTATAACAACCCAGGGTATATGGGGTTAAACTATGGAAATTATAATGGTTTCAATCCTTTTTTTACTTCCTATAACGGAACCTCTCCTTTAGAATCTAAAGGATCTGCTACTGAACCCATTTCCGCTTTGAGAACTATAGAAGGAATCATCAGTTCCGTTGGTAGTATTGCTCAAGTAATGGAATCCGCTTTGATGGCAGCCCATATGAGTTATAATACTTTTGTTTCAGTAATGGACAATTTTCAAATGTTAAGACTGTCGATTGGATCTTTATTCGATATCGTTTCTCTAGTAAAGCGACTAAAGCTATTCATCAGTAATATTCTGGGAGTGCAATCGAACAATCCACTAACAAAGGATGAATATGATTCATATCATATTGAAGAATCCAAGCCCTCCTCTAAAAAGTCTAAGGTTCTTTCTGGTCTTTTGTTTACTTCTCTCTTTGTTTTCCCTTATGCACTTATAAAAATATTCAAAAAGATTTACGATAAGGAGAAAATTATTGCAAAAGAAAAAAAGTCAAAGTCTATTCAAGAACTAGAGTTCTGTAAAGCAGAATTTGATTTTGCATCAAGAGAACCAACCGTGGAACTAGCTCTAAGGAAAGGAGATATCATTGCTATTCTAAGTAAATATGATTCTACTGGAGCGAAAAGTGATTGGTGGTATGGAAGAAAACGTAATGGAGAAAAAGGATGGTTCCCTTCAAATTATTGCACCCTTATCCCCATGAAGGAGCAACTAGAAAAAATTGGTACTCAATTAAAACCGAAATAATGAAACTATAATTACGAACAAAACCAATACGCATTATGAACAAAATACTCAACCCTACGCTTGTTAGTGTAATTTAGTATAAGTTATTCCAGCACTAGGAAGCAAAATGCTCGACCAGTAGACAAAATTTCGGTAGAGAACAGTTGTATTACTAAACTTCATTCTACTAATAGTCCGTAATGTTATTCAAGTAGATTGAATAGTTCATAGATAGCTAATTCGGATTAAGCGTTAACATTAATATCTTCACTTTTAGGAGTGGATTCTAATTCAGGAGCATAAGATACGTCAATATTATCATTTATTTCCTCACGTCTGAAAATTTCTTGTTGTTCCTTTTCAGCCTCAGTAACACCCGCAGAGAGAGGAGCAGGAGAAGAGGAGGATGAAGATGAAGAGGAGGTTAAGTAATACAAACAAGTGATAAGGACGGCGAGAATAGAGAAAAGAACAGAAACAGCAGCAATGGTCATCTCGGAAGATTGAAGAAGTGTTGTAACGTAAGGGTCGAGTGTAGCCACAACGGAAGGAGGAAGCTTAGCTTTAACTTTTTCATATGTTTGAAGGAAAAGAGCCGCAATCTTGCCCTCTTCCTCGTCAACATGCATAGATGGTTTCTTCTCGGTTCTTCGCTTGACTAGCAAACTTTGCTCAATGTTTGATTTGGGAACAAATGTTTCGTTACCCAAGCGTTCGGCATCCTCAATGGAATGACCAAAATAAATATTAGAGAAGCGAATGTTTGGCTGCATGGTCCAAAGTTCAAATCCAATACCGTAGATGGGGCCGAAATGAGATGGATGTTCATCATCAAAGTAGTTAGGGTTTGGAATTTTGCGTGGTATCCATTCACCAATGTAATCAGGATTAGGGATCATAGGAGGAGTCCATGGGCCACGGAAGTTAGGATTAGGGATCAAAGGAGCCTTCCACTCGCCACAACCGGAGACTTCGAGACACTTGGGGTTGGCAATTTCAGGAGCCACCCAATCACCATCCTCTTCATCATTCCAGTCTTCGGGCTTTACGGCCTTTGGATCAGGAATATAGAAAGGCTCGTCCGAAAGCCAATCTTCGGGTTGCAATGCATCAGGATCAGGAATCATACGAGGAGCATCTTCATCCCAATCGTCAGGCTTAACAGCATTGACGTCGGGAATTTCAGCTTCATCAACCCAGTCTTGTGGTTTGATATCTTCTGGATCATAAACTTCTAAAGGAGGCAATACAGGAGGAAGGAAATCTGTGAACAAAGAGCCAGAGCGAATTATATCACCGTTAACACGAACTTCATAGGTTTGGTCAGGATGAACAACAAGAGTATACAAATTGGTAATTCCTGGTCTAATAAGAGAAGCAGGTTTACTGTCTAAATGCTTTTCAGAGGAAACATGAGAGATGGGATTCTCATGCTTAAAGATGAAGTGGACGCGATCGTTGATACCGCATTTATCAGGGCCAAACATAACTCTGTAAGGAACAGTATTTGACATCTCTCCATTAGGGCGTTCAGCCAAAAGCTTCAAGTAGGCACCACCACAGTTCAATCCGTCCTGAGCGTTGACTTCATACTGAACTACTAAATCCTTTTGGGGTTCGTCTACTGGTTCATCAAATTCATACGAGATAGCGTGGTGAGCAGCGGCATCTTTCATTACCAATCCTAGTTCACCAGAAACGGCTCCTGGTGATTTGCTTTCCTCAACTGCCCATTCACCATTGTAAGCCATTTCTTCTATACCATTCACAACACGTTTAGCATGAGAAGGGGTCCAACGTTCTGTCCAATCTCCCAAGAATTGTTCGACAACGCGACCTTTAACATCAGTAGGCTACAAAACAAGTTAGTGCATTAGACTTTTACAACACATCCGATTAAATAACCACGCTGGGAAATACTTGTAGAATTGAGTATAGTTATTGTTTCAATTAACACTGCACTTCCGAGGAGGAACAAATCATAATGGTAAACAACTTACGGTAAAAACTAAAGGTTCATTCTCTTTTTCAACATCGGCCACACAATTTTGAGCATATAAAGAGCACAAAAGTGCAAAAAAAGATACCTTTTGGTACTTCATTTTGGATGTTTAGTATGGTGTAGGTGGTAGACAAGTGAGACCTTTCAAGGCTTAGTGAATTTAATGGTTTCTAGAAGGAATGGAATAGAAGAAATATTACATTATCGAGTCTATACACTTTTTTTTAACATTTCCACAGGTAAAGAAAAGAAAAATAAGTAGATACTTATAAAGTCTTGAAAAAACTAGTAAACAAGGAAGGAGACTTACATTTAGAGAGTTGCGAATTGAATTCCTTTGAATAGCTTAAACGTAAGGAGGATGTTAAAGAGCATAGACTTCGATATAGAAAGAAGCAAAAGAGCAGAGATGAAAGACCCGATAGCTATTGAAACTTCGGGAGAGTATTTTCAACTAAGTAGAAGCTTTATCCTCTGTGCACGTTGCAATGATTATCCAGCCATATTCTAAAAACAGTAGATACTAGTTTTAAATTCGTTTCCAAAGGTGGTTTTCGTCATCGTGCTACTATTGTAGATATGAAAGTATGAAAAGACACATACATACATCATAAAGTACGCATACAAATATCTAGATAACTTGACACTAACATGTCGCCATTTTATTTTAGAACTCTAAATGAGAAGCTTTTCAATAGCCAATCTGATGGCTTGGATTTGAGGAGCCAAATCACTAGCCTCGTTGGTAGTAATACTAGCCGAAATCACAGGACGGCTGACACCGCAAGCACGTCCAAGAGCAGCCTTGCTGGGAACAAAAACGTAAGGAACGTTCTTGTCTTCGCAAAGAAGAGGAAGGTGCAACAAAATCTCGATGGGCTCAGTATCGGCAGCCATGACGATGAATTCACTGATACCACGGTTCAAGGTCTTGGTAGCCTCGTTAGCACCCTTACGAAGTTGCTTGTAATGGGAGCCTTGTTGCACCAAGTCAAGAATTTGTTGAGTTAAGCCAGTATCGGCCAAAGGAAAAGCCTTAAACAGAAGTTAGTAAAATTGTCCTTATATTCAGGAGACGGGAAATAAAAAAAAAAGAAAAAAAACACTAAAGTTCCAATTTTCGTGTCATAAAATAAGTTGCTCAATGGTTTATCAACCTCATCGCAAGCTCACATTTCAAATGAAAATTCAAAACCACGTTTCAAACTGATTTTTTTTGGCAAACTCTTCATTGTTTTTATAATATTAACATACCTTAGGATTGACAGACATGATATACGGGTTCCTTGCTTTAAATAAGTGAGTTTTTACACCTAATTGAAATAGTTGCTCGCCCAAGTTAAGAAAATTTTGCTCGGTGACTTTTATTTTGTAAGTCAGGTAACGATGTTACCTATTCGACAAATTTGCAGAATCCGGTAGGAAAAACGATTAAAGGTAAAAAGAGAATAATATATACAAAATTGGTGAGCAGTGAAATGCATCGACCAGTGAAAAGCATATTGACTGCCAAAACAACCGAATAGTAAGTATAAGTTTTGGCGGTTACATTGTTACTTTGCATATACACCCACCATGTATATGTTGACATTGCATTTCCGTATAGGAAGTATGCTATAATATTTTTTTTTAATTGTTTGGCTTCTGAATGACTGAATGAAACTCATACCCTTTAATTTACAAGCCGCTGGCCATGGAGAAGTCCTTGTTAGTGAGGACGGTCAATACCTTGTAAAGCCTTGCCTTGAGAGCGAAATTTACTTTTATGCATCTTGTGATGAATGTAATGCACTTCGCAAGTGGATTCCACGGTTTTATGGAAAATGGGATATTGAACACGCAAAACAGCTACAACTTTGGGTGGATGGTTTAGAAAATGATACGAATCTTTCGATGCGCAGTAGCGCGTTTATACTTGAAAACATTATACATGATATGAAGCGTCCTTGTGTAATGGATATTAAACTTGGCAGACAACTTTGGGCATTGGACGCCTCTCCTGAGAAACGCGCTAGACTCGACGTGGTTTCGCAATTGACAACTAGTGGAAGTCTTGGATTTCGCATTACTGGAATCCTGGTAGCGGATAAAGCATCTCGCTCATATGCTACCTATTCCACAGCTTGGGGGAAACGGATTGGTAATGATACCATCTTACAAGGTCTTTCAGTATTTTTCTCCCCTTGTTCAAATCATCTCAAAAAGTTTTTGCTAGAAAAGTTTTCAAGTCTGCTTGAAGATTTTGAAAGCGATGTTTCATCGCTTTCCGTGGAGTTTCGATCATCAAGTCTTTTACTAGCATACGACCTAGAGAGTCTGGAAAATTGTACCCAAGATTTTGAAAAAGAAGGAAGTCAATTGTATAATATGAAGTTGATTGACTTGGCACATTCTAACTGGACGCTTGGCAGCGTAGATGAAAACACTTTATTTGGCGTCCGAAGCCTGAGAGAATGTTTTCAAAAACTGTGCCAAAACATCCATTGCTAAAGTAATTATGGTTACAACCTTTTTCTCCTAATAGTAGGATGTATTTTCCCTTTCCTTGTTAGATACATGCTGAAAGGAATACTATTTTCCTTCTTTGTTTTGTCTGTCAATGCATCACGAAATATGCATATGTTTGTATAGATATATATTTAGATTATAACAGGTTTGTAACGCATCGAATGGTTTTGGGCTGTTGTTTATGTTTTACATCCTTAAAGGGTGATTTTTTTTGGTTTACTAAATAATAAGATTTTTCTAAGAAATGTTAAGAAAAAAATAATTTAATAATGGTAAATCAATGGTTTTTCATCGGTTCTGTATAAAGTGTTGTTTTACTATGATTAAAGGGTGCCGCTGGGGATTGAGAGTAGTTGCCTTAACCACTACCACCTCAACAGCATCCTCTCACAAAATGGATACCGAAATGGCTGTCAGTATGTCAAATTTCTTGCAAGATCAGGCAGCGAGAGCTCCTGAACAGTTTCAAGAATACTATTTTATTATGGAAGATCTATATGAACGAAAGTACGTTGTCTGTGATGATAATTTATCAAACCAGCTTGACCTTTAAATTAGAGCTAATACTAACTATTTTATAGATTATGGAAACAATTAACAGATAAACTTATCCAGTTTTTTGAAACGCCCGAGACTATTCCCTTACGACTTGACCTTTACACGAATTTCGTTAGTGCGTTCCGATCGAATATAAACCAGCTTAAGGTTGTTTATATTGCGTTAAAGGCATTTGAATCTTGCTCTAATGAGGAAGCATTTCGCAATTTAACACAGTTGATTGAAGGTATTGATGAAGAGAAATTCAAGGATGCCTACGTCTATGCTTTGGTTGCTATCGGTAGAATTAAACTTGTCTTCAATGATTTGGAAGCAGCAAGAGATATTTTAATTAAAGCTGACAAAATTATTGAACGAATTGATTATGTGGAAAATATTATTCATGCTTCATATTACAGTGTTAGTGCTGATTACTACAAGGCTAAAGCTGATTATGCCCAGTACTATCGCCATTGTCTTCTTTATCTATCATGTGTCGACTTAGAGCAGCTATCAGGAATGGAAAAGGAAGAGCGTGCTGTTGACCTTAGTGTTGCTGCTATCTTGGGCGACATCTATAACTTTGGTGAACTTCTGTTGCACCCTGTTTTCAAGGTTTTAATGGGTACTCAGCATGAATGGTTGCATGATCTTGTTGTGGCTATGAACGTTGGTGACTTGGCTAAATATGAACGTCTTATGGCACACATCAACAAAATTCCTCTTCTGCAAAGTTCTGTGAGTCTACTCGGCCAGAAAGTACGTCTTATGGCACTGATTGAGCTTGTTTTCCAGTTACCTCCTAATCAACGTACTCTAACTTTCCATACAATTGCTAAAGCAACTCGTATCCCTTCACACGAGGTTGAGTTGCTAATTATGCGTGCCCTTAGCGTTGGTTTAATTACCGGCTTGATTGACCAGGTTGCACAGATTGTAAATATCTCTTCTGTTCAATCAAGAATCCTTAACCACTCTCAGGTTGCCAGTATGGAAACGCGCTTACGTGACTGGAATCAAAATATTCATTCATTGAATAATATCGTCGAGGCTTCTGGCAAAGGAGTTTTTGTTTAATGTTTTGCGTTTATGCATATGAAAATGGAATAACAATTAAAAAATCCAAATCATGACGTTGATAGAAAGTTAACTAGATAAAATAAATTGATGGTTTTCTTATATTAAAGCGGTCTAGCAGCAGAAAGGAGTGAAATATCTTACATAAACGTTAAATTAGCTGCATAAAATCGAACAGGCTTAAGGGATGTAACTCAGTATCTATTGGATGAAAAATCCAACAGAATCCATGAAACCCTTGAAAAATATTAGTAAAACATTAGGTGTGAATATGGTTTTCTCTTACCGCCAAGGTTCCATAAAAGCCAACCAATCTGGAATTTTCAGGAATCTTATATAGTTTCTGACCACCGCCGTTCGCATTACCAAAAAAGGGGCTAGTGTTACCGTTTTCCAAAATAATACTAATTCCATCTACCCAGGCTCCACTACGAATAAGAAACCCAGCAATATTACTACCATCTGTATCAAAATCGTGAGGACTTCCACCACGATTTCCAAGAAGAGCAGAATTTGAACCAAAAAAGACTTCAATGCCATCTAAAGCAAGGCCACAATGAACACGCACTTTAGTAATCTTCTCCTCAGGAGAAAATAAAAGATTATTCAGTTCATTTCCATTGCATCCACGAAGACCAAATCTTTCGGAGCGATATGCATCACCAAAATCGGTAGAGATCTTCGCATTCCTAATTATTTCAGGAACATTGTTTATATCCATTGTTTTGTAATTCCTCGCTAGGACTCGTACACGATAATCTTGACCAGAATCACTACTTGAGAGTGATCGAATTTCAGCGTCAGTAAAAGCAGCTTTGTCTAAAGGAGGATTAAAAATTTTCCAGCCCTTGGTCTGACCATTATATTCAATTTCCACGAGAAAAATCCCAGTATCATTTGTAAACACAATTTGATCCCCACTTACATAGTAACTTGTTTCAACATCAGATGGATACTGTTGATCAGAAGGAAGTCGGAAAAGTGGATGATAATAAAATCTTAGTAAGTCCAAATAATGCCATGAGCATTCATCTTTCGGAAGTATGGGAGCAAGACCTTTACTACCTGTACGGACACATTCAGATTCTCGCGTTGTAAAACTACGGTTGAAAATTGGATAAGACCGTAGCATAATGCCATCTGGCTGATGCGGGCATCCAAGGGTATGACCAAGTTCATGTAGTATAGCTCCAATTCCAATATTAGCGCATTCCCACACGGTAGAACTTTCGTTAGCATCGTTTGCTAAATAATCAGGAATCCTTCTAGCGTCGCTGAAAACAGGTATCACATATTCTATAGCGCTAGGAAAAGAATGCAAAGAATGAGAGCCGAAGACACCTAGCTTATGCATATCAGTTCCTCCTCCTAAAGCAACATGACCTCTGACTTCTTTTGAAGAAGGATCATAACGAGTATCCAAAAACATGCAGATGTAATGCCATGGCTCTGGAAGGCCCAATTTATCAACGGCATTTCCAGCAACATGAAAAAGCTGGTCAGGTGGAGTAGAACGAATTTCTTCTGCTGTTTTATCTGATCTCAATACGTGGATAGACGCAGTCAATCTTTCAGTGCCCCATGCAGACTGACAAGACATCGTGTCGGGTTGGATATTTTCTTCCAAGCGAAAGGTACGTCTACCAAATCCATTTCTATACATACATTCAGCAGTAAAAGCTTGCCAAAGATAAGCTGCACAACGAAGCTTGCGTATTGCTTCGTCGAGGTCATTCTTCATGCCGTAAGGAGCGTCAAATGTTAAATCAGAATCTCTTCCAACGACAAAGCCAATTCGATAGAAAGGATTATCATTTAGTACTTGATAGTTTAAACGCAGACTGAGTTCAGAACCATTATCAGTTTGAAATAGAACTACATTTTCACCTGGGACTACATGAATAAGAGCCTTAAAGTAAGAGTCCGTGACAACCCAATACTGTTGTGGAAATGTATCGGCGAAATGCTTCACGGTCACAAATGCAGAAGTATGAGAGTTATTGCTTGTGACTCTGCCATGAACAATCACAAATCTCTGTTATAATAACTGGATTAGCAATCTTTACAAAGTTAAATGATGCATTAGGATACTCATCAAATGATAAAAAAGTAAAATCTATTCTTACATGGTATACAGTTTCATTGTTTTGAATATTGTCTAGAATAATTTGACTCATTTCTTTTTAGTAAGAACGTGAAGGTGAAAAGGTCGTTAGAGCGCATATAAGTTGTGCATTATATGAATTTATACGACTGCACACTATTGACTTTAAATATGAACTTTTGTATAATTTTACAAGATGCTCTTTATATAGTTTTGGCAAGCGCATGCTCAAGTGAAACATAATGACCTCAAGCTAACAACAATTCATGAACGAAAGCTATTATCATTAGATGTCAATAACACTGGCTCAAGAATTGCACTTGAATATGAATTTAAATTTAACAAGAAAAATTCTATAACTAACTGTTCATATTTGCTCTAAGTGTTAAATATATATTTATATATATATATATATATATGTAGATTTGCAAAAAAAAAATATGCAGAAACAAACGAAATATGAAAGCAATGAACGGCAGTAAATGGAGGAATTAATAATATAGAAGAAAAAGTCGGAAAATCAAAAAGGATGTTCTAAACACGCTTCACTATATAGGAGGTATAAAAGGAAAGGAAAGAATCTTCATCCAAGCTTATGCGTAACCTGGCTTGTTTAGTAATGCCTTTGTTTTAGGACTGTGAAAGACTAAATTAAACTTAAATAACAATGCGACAATCTGTGAAACTTGAACCAAGAATGAAAACGGAAGAATTCACGTAGCTTTGTTTTGTGAAAATGGTGCATTCTCTGGGTGGAATGGAGAAGCAAAGGCTTCGCTTTCTGAATTCTTTTCATGGGAAGCAGGTGAAGAATCACTGTGAGAGTTTAAGTCGGTGGTGACAAAGGGTGATCTTTCCGTAGTATTCTCGAAATAATTAGCAGCTGAAGGAATAGTACTTAATTCCGTTTCCTCGACTCGACTGTCCCACATATCATCAGCATCTAAAGCCTCAAACTTTCCAGAGCGGGCAAAAGGATTCTTCAAGAATTTCCAGGATCTCGTAGAAGAGGAATCTCCCTTGTTCATATAGCTTCTTCTTCTAGCAGCATTTAATAGACGGAGAACTCCATAGGAAACAAATAAAAAGGCAATCGCACAAATGATTGATACCGCGACAATTCCAAGAATACTCATCTTTCTTAACGCATCCAATTACCAATTACAAACTATTTACAAAAAGAAAGAAAGAATTGAATATTCGAAAATGGAATCAAGGTACAGCCAATGTTAGTAAGGAATTGATTGAGAAAAAATTTTGTAAAGGACAAATAATCACACTTACCTAAGTGGATTCTTCTATGATATTATTGTAAAGAGAATCGCAAAAGAAACAGTTGAGTAACCCATGGTTTTAAAAATTTATACGAAACAGGAAATCATTCCATATTAAATAAATTATTATTATAAAAATAAATAGTCAAATGAGTATGTACTAAAGGAAATGGTACCCAAGTAATTTGAAAAAAAATAAGCAAACAGCGAAGCGAGTCTTTATTTATGCTTCTTGTGCGTATATCAGAGTAAAATTACTATTCAGAGCCTTCAGATGCATCGAAAATGATTTCTTGTTGTTTTGCATCTTCATTTAGAAGTTCACGCTGAGATTGTTCGAAGCTTTTTCCTCTTAGTTGAAGCTGTTGAATCACTTCGTCTGAAATACATGTATAACCTAATCGTTCCTTCAGAATTTTCGGGAGAAGCCAACGATACTGAAGATGCCCTTCAATTAGGTCGCCAACATCAACGTTTTCTACACAAGATGAGTTTAGTGCAATGGGTTCCAGGCCTGTAGCACGGGTTTGAATACTATTCGTTTTATACACTAGCTGTAGTACATAGTCGTTTTTAGAGTACACGTTTACCAATCTTCCTGAAACTACGCTTCGCATTTTTTTCCAGAGTTTAGGGTCCGTAGATGCTGGTGTTCCCATTATTATAACATTTTCCACGATACCAATTTCGTACCGCTCAGCTAATTTTAGTAAACATTCAAAAATTGTTCTTGATCCTAAAGAAAATCCGATCAGTGTCACTGGACGTTTACCTTGTGCCCTCATACACAATCCGTTGGCAAGAGCTTCTCCTGCTTTAATTGAGAGATTGAATACCACCCTCCATGAATTGCCCAATATGTTTCCAATCCTTAAAAGTCCTAAAGGCCAAAGAGCAGCAGATAAAGGGGCCAAAATAGTTCGTTTGATGACTTCATCTTGAACCCAGCTCAAACTGGTTGTAAATAAAATACGGGATATCACTTTCCCTAAATCAACAAAAGCTTGAACTTCGAACTTTAAAGCATAAAAGTCTCCCCAATAATAAGATTTGTCACCAAATGTCAGAGGATACCATGTATCTGCAGCATCCTGGGGGCTTTCAAGCCATCCGGCCACTCCAATTGTCATGGAAAGATTGGAAGAAGCCTCTAAAGGGATAAATTCGAAATCAGAAATTCCTCTTGAAATTTCGTGGACTTGATTTATACTCATTTTTGCACCAAATCCTCCAAAGAGTGTGGTAATCATCGGAGCAGATGTAATCAAGGTCCCTAAATAAGAAGCTCCAATCATGGTGCCAAGCCCTAGTCCTGCAAATAAAACGCCTAGTCCGCTTGCTACAAGGGGTGCTGCCAGTCCACCTGTAACACCGATTAATGCCCCTCCAGCGATGCCAGCTAATCCCATAGTAATACGTTTCCGGACTTTCTGTGATTGAGATAGTTCATACCATTTTTCATTTGATTCAATTTTTTTAAAAGTTTCTATAAGCATAGACGACGTTATGAACTCTGCCTTATGCGGAATTTCTTCGGGCTGATGGAGTTCTTTAGAAACGAGGTATAGTAGTTGGCGCGAATTCGACGAATAATCACCTAATGAAACTAAAAGAAGAAGCAAGCATTTGATAAAGCATTCGCCCTTTTCTGCTTCACTAAAAGATCTGAACTTTTTAACTTCAGTCGCATCCTTGGGCGTTGATGGATCTAAAGCACTTCCTGTTCTATGCACTACAGATACAGCCCATTCATCATATTTCTCATGAAATATATCCCATTCCTTCTTTTCTTTTTCTGATAATTGTTGTTCACCTGCGTTAAAAGAAATGTCTCGGGTCTCTTTCATACGACCCAACGTACTGGCAATTAGGATAGTATATTTTGTACAGTGCTCGTCGTCAAAAAGAGATATTAATTGCTGTTCAGCCATTGGAACTTCAGGTTGCTGTGTATGAACTGCGGAACTTTTAAGAATTCGTGAAGAATATATTTAAAGGTTTCACATTGAAATTCAAAAACTAATGGGAGTAGGATTCTTTCAAAATAACCACTTAATTAAGTATTGTTGGGTTTTCACATCAACGCCACTAGCTATTGCACAGGTTCTCAATAGTAATTATCTTTTCTTGATAAGTACACTCTCTTTCGATAATATGTTTTATAGGAAAAGGAAAAATTAATAAATAAAAGTTTAGAATATATTAAGACATGAAGAAATGAAGACAATAATTGGCAGTATTTGTTTAGCGAATTATTTGACGTTATAGAGTGGACTATGAAGTGTGTCTAAATACGGTTACACCAGTCTCGACCATGTCGTACTTGGTAGCCGCAAAGACTGGGTTCAAGAATTAAAGATAGAAGAGATGCGATGAGTATACCAGTGCTATCGGATGGACTAACAATGCTTATGGCCATCTCACTGTCAATATGACCAAGGTTCTGCAGGGTATGATAGACATTGACATAAACGGTTCCACCAATAAGTCCCTCAATAAAAATGGTTAATAATAAAAAATGATAGCTATGGATGAAATAATAAAGTGATTGAAGGATTGTAAAGCCTAAAATAGCAGATTGAATAACAGCAAGCTCTAAAACGTAAGGGACTTTGAGCCAACCTATGGAGGAGCGAGATATGAAGACGCCTAATTGATACATTGTTTGATATGTAGGGTAGAAATCACGGAACGAATTTAGTCCTGAGTCTTCTGGGGGAAACAATAGAGTAGGTGCTACTCCGACATTAATTGTATATTCAGAGAGATAGACTAAAAACAGCGGTAACATATGAGATAGTAAGAAGGGCTTCGCGAGATAAAAGAATACTTTTATAGAAGAGAAAACATTCTTGGAGGAACTAGTTCCTCCTTGGTGAATAGCATCGAAGGGTACTCGATGAGGAACAGAGATATGCTGGTACTCGGGTTTTGGTAATATGCAGAAATAATTAAAAATTAATAATAAAGGAAGAAAGCTTGAGACCAATAGAGTGGTACGAACAGTAAAGTTAAGCCATGTGGTGAACACAAGGTAGAAGGATGCGCCAAATAAGCCAGCTAAACCAGTACCTGAGCTCCAGCAAGTCAAGGCAGTCGACTCGTACCTGCTAGAAAGTTGCAAAAAAGTGATTTCACCAAAGCTTGACGAGATAGCTGCCAACGATACGCCGAGCATCTTAGACCAAACGGAAGATGACCAGGCAATCCACTGCATCCCAAAAAAAGATAAAAATACACAAGCCAAGACTCTTTTAGAAGCCGAGTAGCGATGAGCTTGCAGTATTGAAGTCAATAGTTTACATGACAACGAAGGAACAATATTTGAAAGCAAAACAACCCCTTTGGATATATTGGCGCCTACTAAATCAAGCGCAGCGGATAGTATAACGACATATAAAAGATTGTTTAATAGACCAAATAGTAAAAATGGAAACCCAACCTTGCTTCCTTTCGGAAGGTAATTAGAGGCCATTGAGAGTATATATTTTGATTTATTATTATTTTTAATACATTCAGTTTAATAGTCTACAGATTTTCGAGCGTACCGAAAGGATAGATGGATTCTTATTGTTTACTTTTCAATCGACGTCTGTTCAGGTTGTATGTGTTGGGTAGGTTGACTTACGTATTTCCATTTCAGCATATGAATAAGCTCAATTTTACCGAATTTAATATATCAGCTTGTATACTAAGTGTAAACATTGATCAAAATATTTACCACAGCTATAAATAGTAGCCATTTCTATTTAATAAATGATAGAATTTGATAAAAAATGGTGCGACAAAACAGCTTTAAGTCCGTGAAAGGATTATGGGACTGATCGATAATAGCTTCTTTAAGACCCTTCACTAGCAATTACTATATAATCACAAAAAATTTAAATCCTGTCTACTAGAATAAAGCTCTTTTTTCTAGACCAGGACAGTAAACAGTGATTTTTAAATAACTCTTATGGAAATTTAGAGCCCTAAGATAAACAATCCTTATATTGCACCTAGACTTAGTCGATCCTCATATTTTATGATTTTTAAATAAAAAATAATTGAAAAAAGGTACAAGGTAGAAGTTCCAAAAGAACCTCAAGGCAATGATCCAAGTCAGGCGGCTTGCTAGCATGTTAGTGTCTAGGTTTTTTCGTAAATGTGCAGAGCAGAGTATTGAAAACTTTGGTAATTGTGAAGGTACAACTCTAGTACTTTGTCAAAGCTCTTTAAATCTTTAAAATATTCATACTAAAAGTAGATATACAACAGGATTTAGTTTACTTTTTCTCAAAACAGTTGAAGAGCATATCGCGCATTTTTCTCTGGTTAGTATTGCTTTTGCTTAAGTTCGTTTACTCAAGCTATTATAATCTACTCATTGTGTTACATTTAAAAAAAATAAATTAAAAAAAAAGATTGGATAGATCTGATGCCTTTGGAATATGCATTATATTCCTTCTTTACCTTGGATTTCAAAATTTAAAAGTCTATAATGCTTCCGAACCCTTAAACATTTATACAAATAAAGCAAAAAAAATAATAATGACATTAATTAAAGTTTTTATAAACTTACGAAAGCGTCCTATAAGCAATAACCGTTTATTTGTTTACATTTTAAAGATATTTGTTTGTTGACATGACCCATCAAAATGGTTTATATATTACTCAACCCCCTTCAAACGAGTATTCCTTTTCCTATATTGGTTTAGATCTTTTTGAATACAAGCATTTTTATCCACAGCATTTTTATTTTTGCTGATAAATAGTTCAGGCTCTCTTACTTCATTAAAAGCATCAATTAGCTGATTTATTAACTGCTTACGGAAAGCCTGCTCATTTTCATTGCCTATATACTTATCCTCAAGTTTTGATACTTGCATTGCATTGTTATTGTTAACATCTTCATTTTCTACATTCCAGATTCCTTAAAACGGAGAAACCTCCCTTATTTTAAAAACAGATATAAAAAGCCATATTTATTTCAACCTTTTTTTGTGATTTCTTGCCTTTTTTTTAAGTTTACCCTGTTTGTTTACGCTGATTATATCATACTGTCCTTAGTTCAGTCATTTCCATTATGGGATTCTCGAGCTTCTTTAGGGCGATATATGTCTTCTTTGTCAGGTTATTTTTATGCTTTCCATCAGAAAAAGACAGTACTACTGATCGCATGGAAAGAGGAGAATTGCGCAATAAAAGAACAGACGAATGCCAACCGGAAAGTCCATCTGAGATTGCAATAAATAACGATCTTGAAAATCCAATAAAGCTGCATAATTCCTTTAAGACACGTTATTCAAATATCGAATCGAAAATTCCCAGTATTTGGGATTCAGGATCCTCCTCAAGCCCATCAGACAATGATCTTTCAAGGTTTAGAATAAAGCCAAATCAAAAACTCCCTCGACCTGCGGCTTCTTTGCTACAAAAGCCAAAACGCGCACATTGTACAAACAACGCCCACGAAAAGGATATCAATGAAAACGGGCTTACATATGAACCTGTTTCCAGAAGACTCACGTATCATATATCAAATAAGGATTGTAAACGTGAGCATCATATAATGAAAGATCCCTACAAGTATGAAATCGATTTGGACGATGTCGAAAAGTTGTTTCCTATGCCTGCCGGGTTGAATTCAAGCTATTCCTATGCGAATGATCACGAAGGGTCCTTTCTTATTACTAATCTCCAAATGGAAGGAAAAACAGCCAACGATAACTCGCCGAGCCCTCTCACAGATGACCTGAGCCCGTTGTCATCAAGTGAATCTTTACTATCAGCATGTTCTGCAGAGCCCTTGGCCAAAGAAGTAGACACTGAGCACCGAAAAGCTTTTTCCGAAAGGACAAAAATATCCACTTTCGTGGATGATATCGACTATTCTAGTGTTGTTGACAACCTTAGTGATTATTCAGATTGCTTTGATGAATTCGGCATTCCCTTAGAGACCCTACCAAATGATGTAGAATCGCGTACCAACTACTCGAAAATAAAGTCTTCAGCAAGTTTTCCTCCTTTTTTTGGTCATCATCAATCTCGCAAATCGAAGCCGAATGATTATAGACTCAACAAAGAGAACCTCAGAAATATCAACAGAAATTGTACAAAAATCGATCCGAAAGATTTTTTTTCTGCATTACAGTTTCATAATGCCAAGACCATCATAGCTCTATACATAGAATGGCGTCTTAGATACTGCGAAACAATGATGCAGAAAGGGGAAAAATCGTTAGAGAAGCTAGAAGGATTAAGAAACTTGCCGCACAATGTCTTATGGTTGGGAAAGTTTGGAGATTCCGATGTCGAAAAGAAACTAAATCAATACGACCGAAGGTGTATCTCTAATTCTTTTATGTTCAGTGTTATCCATGGTGATTCTCGCCGTGTAAAGTCTGATACCATAAAACAAGCCAGTATTCCCGAACTGTTTAGAGAGTCTTTCCAGAGTATGACAGCAGCTGCTTCAACTTCAAACGCCGAAGCAAAATCCAACCGAGACTTAAGGAATCAGTATCTTATCAAGAAATATATCCCGAAAGGTGATTATGACTTTTTATACGCAGCCCTTTATTATGCTGCATATAGACAAGAATCGAGCCTAAAAACAGTGTCCGTTTTGGATATTTTACCCCAGGATCAATTGGACGATTGGTGGTATGTCAATTTAAAAATAACTTCTTTTGTTACACCAAAAATTTGTTTTAAGTACTTGGACGAAGTAGCCAAGTCTTCCCGATACAAACTGACGCATGTCGAAAAGAAACCTTCCAAAGTGATCAAACAGCCTGTTTTTTATAATATCCTAGCAAATAAGCCAACAAAGGAGCTGTTTGAATCTCATGAATTAATTACTATAACAGAACTACTTTCTCTTGATGAACCCGAACTACTGAATGGAGAGGACGGGATGCAATATTACTTAAGCCAATTTGAGAAGCTGTGCAACGAAAAAAGAAAAGATTTTCGATTTTCTCCTGAGGGAATGTTCGATTATGCGTTTCGACAGAAACATTTGGGTGGAAATCCGTATGTACCATTACCTACTCGTGGTGAACGTTTAGAAAAACGTAATGTTTATTACAGTAAGTACTCAAATCAAAAAATATTTATGTCAAAAACTTTAAAGAGACATGGGTCTATATATGAAGTTGTTTCTGATGGATTAGGAAGAGTATTTTACGGTGCCGTTCTCGATTATGCTAATACTCGAAATAATATACTAGTTCATTTGGGACTAGAGCCTATTGATTTACCGTCTGAGGAAGAAATTGAAGATCACGAGAAGACTTTAGAGCAATTTCACAACGAGCTCTCACTGAATCATTCTGCCGAATATATATACGAAATGTGTGGTACGCATTCGCGTTCTACTAAGCACCAAACGGAGGTATTAAAGAAGTCTGTCTTATATTCAGCAGATGAATGGAAAGAACAGAATCTGCTTAAGCGAATAATTTCTCTTAGAATATTAGAACCAACCACCAGTGTAACCAAATTTGAATACGAACTATTGCGAACCTTTTACCCGGATCGGTTGTTTTTAAACCATAGCAAATCGGGGAAAACATTAACACCTACTCAATACCATATGCTGGATCAATGGAGGAGAGACTTGTTTTTATCTAGCTTACCTCTGGTTGATGAAAAAAGTCGTTTATTTCCTTACTGGCTGAAGTTGTCGAGCAGTGAGCTATTTTATGCGAACGAGCATGCGGCCATGAATAGCCAGAAACCTGAAAACATTGATTTGGATATATATGAACCTTTACCAGAAAATTCTTTTATGGTAGCAGCAGAAATGCGAGTTCTTCGAAATATGCGACACAGAGATGTAGAACGGATACCGTTTTTGGATAAATCTGAAGTCCAAGCATTGTACCAGTTATTAAGAAAAATAAAGAAATATTATATTGTTGATGACAGGTCGTGTTCAATGAGGATGGATGACTTTACGACTTTGCTTCAAAGGTACGAGAGCCTTTCTTGTTATAGATTTCTACGTGCAGACTATGAGACACTGCTTGACCACGCTCATTACATTTACAACTTCTTTATGAAAAACGTGGTTAATGTACCTCCTAAAATCTTATAAAAAATATTTATTTTAGTTCCCGCTGGAATTGTTCTTCCACGGTTGTCTTACAAACCGAATTACTGTTTTCCTTTCAAATAGTGCATACAAAGATTTTGTTTCTTTGATTGCTTTTTTCGTCCTTCCTTATTTATTGCTTTTTGCCTAATGATGACCTAGCTAGATTAGAATTGTTGTAGACGATTCTCCTGTTATAATAATTTATATTAATGATACAGAGTCATTGTTGAAAATGTGTCGTAGCGTGTCCTAGATATATCTTTTTGCACACAGTACCTTTTTACTGCCGACGATTTGTTCTGTATCTGCTGTTCTAACATTTGTTTACTAATGTAGCTTTTCATTCTCGTTATTTCCTACCTGGCACAAAAATCTTATATTTAATATTATGCATAACGCAAGTGCTCAGTAAACAGGTGTGATTTCTGACAATCTTCAATAAGCGCTATTAACTACATTCATAACAAAAGTTGCATTCATTTACAATGTCTAGCGAATTATGGTAAGAAAATTTTTGATATCTTCTCTAACGTTAGTCCTATATATTCTTCTTTTTTTGGCTTTGCAGGTATGGATTCTTGGAATTGCACTCATTGCTAGGTGTTTGTGCGTCAATGGTTTTTTCTTGCCTAGGAGCGGGCTACGGTACGGCTTTAGCTGGAAGAGGAATTGCAGCTGTAGGAGCCTTTCGACCTGAAATTGTTATGAAGGTAAGCATTTTCGCCGTCGAACAATCATAAGTACGCTAACTGGATGTTTTTAGTCTCTAATTCCCGTTGTAATGAGTGGTATTATCGGTGTATGTTTACCGGTTTCGTAGGTAATTTCTAGTCTAATGTTTCCCCGATAGGTATATGGTTTAGTAATGTCGGTCTTGATTGCTGGTGATATGTCGCCCGACAGCGATTATTCTCTCTTTAGGTAAGTTTTAAAGGAAAATATGTGTACAAGGAATCTTTAGTTTAATCAACGTTTGATTTACTATGATTCCACAGCCTAAGTATAGGTGATTCACATAATCTGCTGCTTCATATCCGAAATCTCTAACTGTTCTAGTGGATTCATTCATCTCTCAGCCGGACTGGCCGTCGGTCTCACTGGAGTTGCTGCTGGCTATGCCATTGGTATTGTCGGTGACAAGGGTGTGCAGAGTTTTATGAGACAGGACCGAATCTTTGTGAGCATGGTTTTAATTTTGATTTTCGCAGAAGTCCTAGGTCTTTACGGTCTTATTGTTGGCTTAATCCTGCAAACAAAGGTCTCCAACGTCTGCTATTAGAAATTCTAAATTACCTCCATTGATTTTCTTCGAAAAACTCGTTACGTTTATTTGGTGTTTCGAATTATCCGTTTCCTGAATTACTGGCAAATAATGTATAGCTTCTTAATATATAACGTTAATTGGAAATGTCTAAGTGCCTTCAATTATGATTTCAAAATTTATTGATTACCAGAGGATTTTTGAATAACAAATTCATCTAATTTATTAAGACTGACCATGTAACCGTATCATTAACGTACAAGATTTTATAACGCTAATTTACTTGAATGGAGTATTTATAACATAGCACATCAATCTTGTACAATAAAAAGTTAAGAAGTTAGCAACGAAAGATGCAAAGAATAAAAGAAATAAAAGTAAGAATTATTTTCCACGCTGTGTGGAAACAGCGGAGACTGGTATAGATAATCTTTCTTCCAAAGTCTCAAAAGTAGTGGGCGTAAGCTTTAAGATCGTGTGTAAGGGAACGTTCAAAAAAGGTAATTCTTCCAAAGAGAAATTGTGATAATAACCGTAAATGCAACGAAGAATAGCTTGGTGACAAATGATGAAAACGTCTCCTTGTCGCTCTAATTCCATAATGATCGGTTCCAGCCTCCGAACAACATCCATATAAGATTCTCCACCACGATAACGGTAGTGGAACTTGTCATAACTTCGCTTTTGAGCTTCATGAGGGTACTTTTCTTCAATATAATCATAGGTAAAGCCATCAAAAATACCAGCATCTAGTTCATCCAACGCCTTCCATTCCAGCTTTTGATAATCTAGATGACTGGCGGTTTGTATTGTACGCTTCATCGAAGACGTCCATACAGTTAAGCCCTTTGAGCCGATAACAAACTTAGAAACGTACTCTGGAAGTAAAGAAGCATACTTCTCACCTTGAGTGCTGAGCCCAGAATTACCGCCTATGCGACCTTGAACGTTAAATTCACTCTCACCGTGTCTACTTAACCAGATGCTTCGACGTTTTATGCGCAGATTAGATAAATAATAAACAATTCTTGACTGCCAGTAATTTTTAATATTGTGAACGATAACTTCGTTGCAAAAGTCAATGATTCTGACAAACGTACAATCTTCTGCTTCCGTGAGAGGGGCGTAATCCTGTCGGTATGATTTGATTACTTCTCGTAGCTTTTCCTTGGCAACATCGAGAGGGATATGTTTATAGGAAGGAGAATTCGTACAAATATCAGTGATATTCTCCTCTATAAACTTTTGGTCTGTACATACTATTTCAACAAACATAATCAAAATATTCCGCTTTTCAGCAGCGTTCACAATGCTCCGGCGAAGTTCCTTGTGGCATTCATTAAAGTCCAGAATCGTGACATGTCCACCGTTCTTGTAAAATGCTTCCAAATCATTAAAAATTAAATTCACTTGTTCTACCGTATGTCTTGGAACGGTAAAGTCCGAATTCTCGTACTCAGTTTCTAGATACGTTTCTGAACTGTAAACCTCCGTCTTCACAGACATCCAACTAAAATAGCGTGAAAGTTTACCAGCAGAAAACGTTTTTCCTGAAGCCGGTAAGCCAAGGAAGCAAACACATAAACCTATATAGCCTTCAATATGTTCCATGTTACACAAAATGACTTTAATCTCAATCACGTAACTTAATTTTCGTAACAATCGTTCTTTATGCTTCCTACTCTCGAGAAAAAAAATTAGGATCAAACTCCCTTCATGAAATTCTTTAATAAAAAGGCCTACAAAGTCGAAACCATAGATGTCCTGGAATCTGTACTATATGTATGTCCGCTCAGCCTCTCGGCACTGGTATACTTTCTGATCCAGAATACAAGTAATCCTGTTTCTATATTTTCCTAAGGCGAAAATAAGAATAAAAAACACCGAATTTAACCTACTGTTTTCGGGTTTCCCAAATAGCTTGATATATGCAAAAGCTACGTACGAAGGTACAGACACGTAAACAAATTCGTGGGATACTGTGTCTGCTTCACTGACACAAACTTTAAATTACACAATGCAATGAATTTTAGGAAGGTAACTTGCTACCCACAATTAAATAAGTAAATGTCTATGTTTTCGAGTAAACAAGAATGAAATAAAGATACTTTTAGAAAAGTCTTGTGTGTGTTACTGGAGTCATGTGAATTTCCGCAATCATCCATAAGATGTAAAATTACGTTGTAATATAACGTAAAGTAGATGTGAATAAGGAAAAATCCATACTATAGCTATGCTATTTCGAAGATGTATATTACTTTGAAAACTTGAAACGAAACTTTCATCATTATTTGCAAGTTCAATGCAATTTCATAAATCAAAAGATAACTTGGCTACGCTAAATTTAAATTGTAGAACAAAACGAAAGCGTAATCAAGTAGTTTTTCATTCATTAGTTGTTTTCATGAGAACGTCCGTCAATGCAATCTGAAGTCAAAAAGGTGAGAACTGATGATTCCTTTATGCCTATTATTGTGAAAATGGGAGGGAGAGTTTCTTAGGTTCATATTATCTTTTAAACAGGCTCTTAAAGTTTTCCTTTCTTTTTTGTTGGATATTGAAGAATGCCTAAACAAGCCGTAAACTATGGATCGCCATGAACCTAAACTTTTTTCTTGAAAGAGCCGAAACGAAGAAAACGTAGTGCTTTTATTGACCAAGATCTCAACAAGTGTCGAATTGAGAACCATCCTGTACTAGCATACTTTGGAGGTAATAACCGTGGCCAATTTATATAGCTTTTTCTATGTAATATTACATAAAGTAAAGAAAAGAAACAAGAAGTGCCCAAAGATAAGTTTAGTAGCAAAGAACCAGTACCCATGAAACCTTGCAAAACCAACCACAGGATAGATACAGCTGAAAAAGCAGGTGGGATACAATGGGCCCATGATATTCGATGAAACATCAGAGAGGAAGAAACTGAAGAAATCGGTCGAAAAACACCAAGGCCCAGGTCAAAACTGTCTTGTAGAGCACCATCACAAAAATTATTGTATACATATCGTTTCAAACAATTGATAAGATCTTCATACATGCCTTTTATCGTTCTTTTCCCACTGCGGGTCACATCTCCTTTCAACGCCGGGGTGCACGTGTACAAATTGCTAATGTAATCACCTGTGTTGGCCCATACGTTTCGAAACCCGTGAACAAAATCTCCAAAATTTTCAATTGTCTCCGAATTGGCTAAAATTCCTACTTTTTGTAATTGTAAATTTAGGATAAAGAGGGCTGTTTCTGCTTGAACGACATTTGTACGGTCCAAGCAGTCCATGCAGTTTGTGCGTATTAGATTCTGCTGTTCGGAAACAACACGAGAACCATACTCAGAGTAAAAGCTTCCTTCTAAAAGAGTGTCTTGTAAATTAGCAAGTAAAAGAGGAATCTTGCAACTCCCCTGAAAATGATAATCGAACTCACAATATTTTATCGGCTTAGGTGAATCAGTGCATATTTTTTTAAAATTTTTTTGTAGTATCCCTTCGCGACCTTTATGGTCTAACAAACTGACTACAATAATTTCGTTTTGATAATCAGAAGCTAAATCCTCGAAATGTCGCTCAAAGGCTGCCTCACTATACGTAGTAGGCTGTACTACCAGTCGAGGTAAATATCTTAAGTCGTTAATTTCTGCCCAAAACATTGGTATGCTTCCTCTAATCTGAGTATACGAAAGTAGGATGCTTTCCTCAGGTACGAGAGAAGAATCAACAAGTAAAACCTGTTCTGTTTCATTAAAATTTGCAACTTTACCGTTTTCGTCAACTCCTCTAGAAAAGTATCTTGTTCCAGAATGATCTGTTGCATGCCGAGTAATGATATACAGTTGAACATGATGCGTTTTTACAAACAAACTAGTGGAAGATATATTTCCCTGTATCATGGGCTGGATGTATTCCAAAAACTGGTCGTTGTCTATTGCCAAGGACAGTAACTCTTCGTTCGTGTACTTATTCCAAAAAAAACGGAAGTTTGCTGTGAACCTTTTGTTAGAACCTGAAGAAACTTTATGAGAACGCTGTAAGGAGTTGGTCAAATCCATGGAAGGGCTAAAGAGGATCTGTCCATGGTAAAGATGTCGCTTTAGGAGATATAAATAATATCGCTCTTCTTCATCTTGTACCATTTCAGGCTCTATCGGAGCCGAGTTTACTCTCGTAATTGGAATAATAACAAAATTTTTCGCACGAAAAATGTTATTACCCAAGAATGTACTGTTATGTTCACATTTGGTAACCAAAATCATATATTTGAACAATTTCAGGCGAATGATCCCGTATAACTGAACGTTGCTGAACTGAGGCGATATATCAAATAATTCCTCAAGTTCAGTTAAATGAAGGGAGCCATTTGACCTGTCAATGCGAAGAGACCGTCTCTTTTTCAGAGAACTAATGTATACTGCCTCTGGGAGAAATCGTACATCCTGATTCATGTTTCTTTCTAGCTCATCTAGCTAAAAGAAAAAGTCGTATATTTATACTTGATGTTTTCGTTTCCTTTATAGGAATAATGAATAATCTATACTTTTATAGAGACAACTCATCTAACGATTTTTTGAAGAGACAACTGTTCAAACGAGTAACAATGTAACTTTAAGCAAGTACTAAACAAACAGTGTGATTAAGCAGAAGACTTGTGTAAACAGAGTATTACTTGTAAAACAGTATCTAATTCGTTAAATTTTATGTAAATAAATTATTGACATATTGATGAATTTCGTAGTAATGCTTATTGATGGAAAGTGACGAATCTCTTATTTGCTTTTCGCCTGAATTTTGCAAACGAGAAATAGCATATCGCGGTTTAGAAATACCTGAGAACGTTTACAGAAGTATAAGTTCTATCTTCCGAGTGTTATTTTACAACATGTAATTTTATTCACAAAAAACAGCATAGTATTTGTTTTACTATACTGGATAATTAACTTCAAGAACTATCCACACTTCCAACATTAGAAATATTATTACTATTCGCCATTATTAAAATAAAAAACAAAAAAGATTCTTGAATCGTTGATACCAATGAATAAATAAAGAAAGAAACACAAAGTTACTGGAAAATTAACGTAGACTTCAATAAAACACAGAATCCAATGAAAATAGGTAGACGATTTTAAAGGATGCAATGATTAAATAAGGGTTTAGTTTAATTGAAACAGAATGTTGGTCTTACAACCGTAAAACACTAGAGACTTGTCAAATGCCATCATCAGTTTCAATGCCAGTTTACGCGGCGAGAGCGTGAGGATGTTGAGAAGCAGCAAAAGAACCGGGCTCTTGTCCGGGTTGAGAATCAACATCAATATCATCATCTTCGCCGACCTCAAAATTGTCAACGTATTGAGTATCTTGAAGAACATTAGGCTGGAATTCCTCAGTTGGTGAACGGTCGTAGTTTCTTCCGGTGTAATTGTGAGTTGTTCCAGTAGTATAGCCCTGATCAGCAGACTGGATGTGACTATACTTTTTCTGTTCCAAACCACCTTGTCGAATAGTGTTTCTTTGGTATTCTGGCTGGTAATGGCTCTGGATTGGAAGTCCATCAATGTCAGTTAAAGGCTCAGGAGTAACGAAAGGAGATTGCCAGTTGGAAATTTCTCTCTCAGCTTCTAAGACATAATCTTTGGTGATGTCGTATCCATCATATATGGGACGAGGCTCACCAGGAGTAATTGGAGTGTCGTCAAGGAGATCCAAAATTCTCTTGGCGTAACCACAGAGAACAGAAACCTTCTCAGAGTGCTCGAGGAGAGTACCAATGTTGATGGTCATAGCAAGCTTGAAATTTTCGCGAGTAATGTTGGTAAGCTGAGCTTCGGCAACCAAACAAGCAGCTTCTTCACGAACTAATTGTTGCTCCAAAGCAATTAGCTTGGGAGAGTCAGGATCGCGTTGTCTTATCTCATAGATGGCATTCAAAATCTTTTCTTTCCTTTCACGTGCAGGTTGAACATTAGCTTCAATGTTACGAATACTCTTCAAAGAGATACGATATTGATCATGTTTGTCAATCATTTGATCTTCTTGTTCGCCAATTTGGTAAAGAAGAACACCGATCTTATCACTGATGTCGCTAATATCATCATCACAGTCCTCACCCCAGTAGGACAATTGGTTGGCACATGATTTGCGCTCATCGGCAAGAACTTCGTAAGTTCGAAGAAGGCTTTTCTCCATCTTAACGAGAACAGCAAGACGTTTGGCCATTTCAGGGGTGAACATGCCAATATGATTAGTACGTACTTGAGTTCCCATACGAGGAGGCTTAAAGTTTCTTCTCGTAGTGGAGCGAGGAACCTGGCGTTGCTGAGACGGAGGAGGACCCCGAAGAGTATGAATCGTCTGAGAACGAGAGGCAGTATTCATCTTGAAAATGATTGATCACTTAACTGCTGATTTAAAAGTATAGCGCACTAGGAAATTTAAAGTTAGTATATAAGTATCTTCCAGAAACTTATGAAAAAGTACTTACATAATTAAACAAGTTCGTTGGTAAATAGCTTAGTTTTTTGTCCAACAACCGCGAATTCTTCTTGTAAGGAACTAAATCAGACAATGGCCTGTTACAATTTTTTCGAGATTCCTGGGGATATTTTAATTACTTAAAGCCATTCAAAACGTCATTATTTCAACACTTAATTCATTTCGAAAATGTGCTGTCATCCTTCGATGAGACACTTCCTGCCTTGCTCACTAGCATACTAAAAGCACAATTAGTTCGTCTGAAGTCATTATCTTTCAGCTAGTTACAATTCCTTCTTCATAATTTCATAAAAATGACAATCTGTGATTTTTTTCAATAAGAAGATATTACAAGATTATGAAATCACAACTGTGTAAACATTGACCATGTGTATTCCAACGCTTTGCTGAGAACCAAGGGATTGAATAGAGTCACTATTATTATAATAAGAGAATTTATCACATTATTACAGAGAAAGACCTGATGAGTATAAGTGTATGAAGGCATTCAATCATCATAAGTCTGTCTCCATTAAGCTACGTTTTCTTCGTTGTGAATTGTTTATTGGTAAGCTGCGACAATCCATCAATCCATTCTCTGTAACATAGAATAGAAGTTCAGAATCAACAGAGGTACCTGGCAATTGTTTTGCCATGTAAGCATAACGTAGTGATTGATAATTGATAGTTGATCCAAATTCGCCATCGAGGTTGTCATTTTCCATAGGATGTCGACTATACAAAACTAAGCGAGAAGAGACCTTATCAAGCCAGTTGGTGCTTAGAAAGGGAATCAGTTTTGCTCCCATCCCGGAGACTACTTTTGAGGTCATTTGGGTTGTGACAAGTATAGCTATTTGGTATGCAGCTGAAATTCTGCTTAGCATAGAGCTGATATCTCCAACAACACGTTTTCGTTTGTTGAGATTTGTTTGGGAATTGGAAAACGGATCAATCAGCTCTTTGGAAGTAACTTCTTTCTCAAGCGTGGTATCGAGGTTTTCCTTACCCAAGGACTCCATTGAGGTCTTCCGTGAGTTGGTACTTCGACGCTGCCTCAAATATGCATAGTCATCTGGACAAGTAGGAAAAGCCAGTTGAATTGGCATAGACAAGTTATCGATAATGATCAAACCAATATCATCTTGGTTTGAATCTTCGTCGAAAGTCTTCAAATATACCAGTATGTTTGCCAAAGAAGGAGCATAATAAACATCTAAGAGTTGTAAGTACTCATCCAACGTGCTGAAATTATCTTCCTCCTGAGAAGACGGGACTTGACTTTGCAGCATAGTTCGCAAACGAGACAATGGAATAGGATGACACGTCTCTATCCAAAGTACTTTCGTACCTGATAGTAGTGCATTAGCTGTGAGAACTAAAGAAAGACTTGTTTTACCCATTCCAGGAGCACCGCATATTTCAGAAACAAATCCTCGTTTTAGCCCAGTTCCACCGAAAGCTTCATTTAATAGCTTTGAATTAAAGCTAAAACCAGGAGCAGAAAACGCTTCGTACGCGCGTATTGCAGGTTGCGTACTTAGACGGTCTAATTTTACATTAGCAGTTGATTACTTGAGTGAAAGCAATTTAATAAAAGTTTATTCATTTGTTTCTTATTAATCCACGTACGTTGACTAGATACCATTCATAGGAACACACGAAACGACGACGAAGGGCACTTGGTAGCAAAAAGGGCAACGCGCGAGAAGATCCTTACAATAGGACTTTCTGCTAACACTTTAGGATGTACAAGTTTACAGATGTAGAGCTACTCTTTACAAGCTGTATGTACGTAAATTATTGTTGTAAGTGAATTTGTACGACGTGCTTTTAAAATTGAGAACAGCAATTCCGACTCAACAGTACGGTAAAAGGTCAACTTCGTATTTTTCGCCGAAAAAGAAAAACACGTTTCTAAACTTTTGAAAAATTTCTGAGGATTTTCATACTTTGATTTCTACGCAGATATGAATGTAATTGTTCCAACATACATTCATAGATAAAACAAAATAAAAATCTAAATTTCAAATTTGCAATTATTATTAAATTAAATTCTAATATTATTCGTTTTTGTTTACTGTTTAACTGAACTGAAGTATTAATGCGATACACGGCTTGGTGGATCTCTACCAAGAGCAATCCAATCTTCCTCAGCCCAGATTTTAAATACCCTTATTAATACGTTTGGTATGATACTTTTAGATTAAAGGTTAATACAAATACTATTTCTAAAGGGAAAAATGAACAATGATTTTTCACCTAAAACTACAACCGCGTTCTTTGAGGCAATAAAAAATGAAGAACATAATCGTCGTCGACGCGTGCCGAACGAACGAAGACGTCGCATTGGTGTAGCTTGTTTAAACTGTAAAACGAAAAAAATCCGCTGTGAAGGCGGAAACCCTTGCAAAGCATGTGCTTTAAACGGTTTACAATGCGTATATCCAATGCGAGAAGAACGAGGTGCCGAAATGAAACGAGAATACTTTACGAACCTTTCAAAGAGATATCAGTGTCTTGAATACATGATGGAGCGTCTTTGTGGTGTAAAGATCTCTCAGTATTCAACTGATTCATTGGTGAACGTGTCCACGTCGCTTAGCAAACAGCTGGATCCAGTTCTTCCAAGCGACATTTTCTCGTATATCACTGCATCCTCTCCTTTCCCCAGCAATCATGATTTTCTACATACCCCCGCTGCTATTCCGAACACAGATAACCTACGAAGCAACACAGAACCAATGTTAACTCCAGAAATTCGTCAGTGGAATGATGACAAAGAGCGCCATTACGAGGAAGAGTACGACAATGCTGGGTCGAATGCTGACTCCAATGATCAGAACGTGGACGAGATTATGAGACTTATTGGGAAAATTAAAGTTGAAAACGGAGAATCTCGATATATAGGTGCTTCAGCGGGTGAAGCTTTTGTTGACTCAGTACAAAGCGAAATTCTTGCCGACCCTTCTTTTTCTGACTTGAATACTTATTCATATTCGCACCCTGTCTATTCCCCTAATGAGCATGATGTGAGCGCTATTAATCAAGGCCTAAGCCTTTTACCTCCCCCCGAAGTCGCTGATTTCCTAATAAAGGCATTTTATAGACACGTCCAAGCAAATTTCTTTTTCTATCATGAGACACTTTTACGCTACAGACTGAATATTATTATGAATTATCAAAATCCCTCAGTTGATCCTGGCTTTCTTAGTTTAGTTATGATGATTTTTGCACTGGGAAGTCAATTTGCTCATCTCGAAGTCCAATCTGCAAGTACTTTACTTGACAATCCTGGGAAACAATTCTTTGATACTGCTCGCCTTTTACTGCCGCAAGTCATACAGCAATGTAAACCTAGCCTCGTTCAGGTTTCCTTATTAATAGGCTTATATCTACAATCTACACTTGCTCAAAAGAGCTCCTATACTTACTTCGGTCTTGCTCTTACAGCAGCTGTTGCCAATGGTCTTCATCGAAGTTGCGAAAACCCCGATATTGATCCTAAAACAAAAGAACTCCGCAACCGTTTATGGTGGTCTGTTTATACAATGGACCGTTTGGTTAGCATTGCTACGGGACGTCCTTTGTCAATTGCGGATAGTGAATGCGATGCCGCTTTACCAACTGTAGTTCCAGAACTCGAAATTGAAGGTTCAGCCTCCAATGTTCACAACATCATATCCATGTCAAAGATTGCTCAAATTATGGGTAAGACCATGGAAGAATTATACGGAACTGTAAACTATAAGAAAAACCCAATAACTATTATAGAATCCTTACGAGCTGATCTGAACGACTGGAAGCAATCCTTACCTCCTTTTCAAATTCTCGAAAACCTAGATCCAAACGATCCCTTATTCCGCGCTAACGTTCATCTTCACATGACATACGACCAAGCTATAATAATCATGTCCCGTCCTGTCTTGCTACATAAAATGAAAAATGCCAAGAACTCACCAAGAGTAAATCGTATCAATGAGGATTGCATTCTGGCAGCTAGGCATCTAATCTCTCTAGTACATTTGCTACAACAGCACTCCCAGCTATCTTGTTATTCCTTCTTTGACTACAATTATACATTTTCGAGTGCTCTCGTGGTTTTATTGCATTGTGTAACAGAGCCTTCCCAGGAAGATGACATAGCTATGGAATACGCATATGCAGCTCTTGATTACATGGCAGAGGGTAATGAACCAGCAAAGAATTGTGCTAGAATTATACGCTTGTTTGACACTCATTTGAAGGGTATACGTTCAGCTGGGAATAATTCTAGTCAATCAGGATTTATGGCTTGGCAACGTTGGATAGCCGAAGTCGCTTCAAAAAATAATAAATCTAATCCGGCCAATTTCGTTAGTAGTTATACACCTAGTGTATCAACCAAACAGTCAAGTGCACCTTTAACCCCTGGATCAACAACTCCTATGAATGCTGACATGAGTTGGTTTTCTCTTCCTGATGACAATTCTTTTTCAATGGATGCAAATGATTTGGACGAATATATTAAAAAGGTTGGCGCGGCATGGGATACTAACAAAACTACACCCGATCTTGCCAATGATTCATCATTATTGAGCTGGGCCAATGCCGATCAAGGAATGGATCTTGAGGGTAGCTGGTTGGGAAATATGCATCCTTCATGGTTAGATTATGTTTGTCCTTGATTCCCGTTCTTTTTACTTTGGTAGTGATATGTTTTGATTAATGTTTTGTATATTGTAATATCTATCTTCTTTCATTTTATGATGAATTGGTTTTTAAACTACTTGGATTGACTATACTAGTGTAAGTAAATTTTTTTTCTAACGATTTATAGGAGCAGTATCATTGTTTATTTACTTATTTACAGAAACATGTATACCATTGCTGAAGGTCTAGAATATTAAGTAGTCTTAAGCGCTCGTTAAACTTTGCTAAACATGTATGTTTATGTTGAAGTGTATGTAAACAAACCAACAAGCCTTTAGCATAACTCTAATTGCATGTCAATAAACCAGCAAACTCCTTCTTCTGGCTCAAATTTATTAAATTTTATGAGATGTCTTTAAAGAAATGGCCCTGGTCTGAAGATTTCCAAAAGATCCCGGGACTTGGGAATGTATTGAATGATGAACAGCTAACATCTAATCGAAAACATATTAGTGTTTCAGACAGAACGAACGGAGATGAGAATTCAAATAAGCGTTTTAAAACCGAGAATACAGACCCTAAACAAAGCCTAACTGCAAATAAAACAGATGATTCCAAGGAGAGCAAACTTATGCTTAATGCGTTGCTAGAACAACAAAAACGACTTTGGGATTGCTTTGAAGAATGGAGAAATCAAACATCCAAAAAGAGCGATAGCAACATAAATACCACAGCCGTCAATTCTATGTTAGGGAGTAACATGACTTCTATGGGCGGACCATCAATAACGACAAATGGGCTGTCTAGTTTCCAACTGGACTTTCAAAATAAATCTAAAGTAAGTAAGGATAGTCAATATCATTCTAACACATTTTAGGACCTGTCTGATTCTTCCTTACATATTGTGCCCGCTAAGTTAGCAGGAAGTAACGCTATCCATAAGAACGGACTGTATAAACAACTGAAGGATAATATTGTAAGCATTTACAGATAAGGACAATTTTTTTGACATCTTTAGCGTTCTCTGGAGCAAGAAAGGCAAAATCTTAATGAAGTGTCAGAAGGGCGTATACGAAAGTTTCAAAGGGAGCTTGTAAGGAAAATTATTAAGTTCCACTTTATTAACTCGATCACTTAGCAAAGTCTTAGACTTGAACATCAAGACTTGATTTCTGAAAAAGAGAATGAGGAAACCCACCTCAAAGAGCTAGAACTAACTTTGGTATGTCTATTTTTAGGTAACGGACAAGGCTAATGAATTACAGGCAAAAAAGAAAAGAAGCGCAGCTATCTTGGAAAAAGACAAGCTAAGTTTAGTGTCCCAGCATGTAAGCCGAATACTTCTGACCATACTTTTCTAACACGCTCATTTAGGAGGAAACATGTCTTCATTTAAGAGACATATGTTCGCTCTACTTAGGCGACGATATTGGTAGGAGACTTTTGCTTAAACTTCAAAACGAACTGAAAAAGGAGAGGTTGAATCTTCTGAAACAAAATTTGAAATATCATGACCATGACGGTAAAATCTACTTGTCCTATATGAAAATTAAAGAACGTTTAGCAAACTTTAAATCAAATGATAAACATGCCTCAATTTCGACTCAAAGCAATGATGAAAATTCTAATGAAAACCTTCTTCCAGCGAAACTACGACCTAATGAAATTAATCTAATCCTGTATCAACTGAAGACCCAAGGAGACTCAATTGGAGCAAAACACCATCAAATAAACCAGTTGCTGGATTCAACTGACGTTATGCTTGATGAGATTACAGGAAAATCATCTGCCAGTGCGCATAAGCTTAGCAGCATTTGCAACAGTTTGGTCGACCACTGTCATCAATTAGCTGAATATGGACATGAAAGAACGGAATATGAAGAACGTGTCGCTAACAAGAACAAAATTTTAGCTGAAAAAAATAGAAGATTCTATAAATTTCAGAATGACGTTGAAGAAAGCTCCTTGAGTCCTGCAAGCTCCTATAGTTCTGGCTCTGATACACCCACTAGTTTTCGAAGCACTAGTAAAGTCGAGCCGTACATATTACGTTACTTGGCGAGCGTTTCGCCATTTAGAGAAGACGAAAGGACCTGGCATATCATCGAAAACAGATATCGAAAACTTACAAATAGGAGGGTAGAGCCACTAGATTCAAGGGGTCCTTTATCTGGTTTACCGGCTTCAATCGTTAGTTGTAAGGAAAGCGCACCGCGAAATATCACACTTCTATACATACATATCACAATAAGAGAAACGAACAAGGTTATTTGGATATCTGAAGTTCAGTGTGACGGAGTTGTCCGTGGTGTTGGACATCACATCAAAAAGGGTTCGGCTATGCAAATAGCAGCAACTCAAGCAGCTCAATGTTACGAGGTATGAAAATGCAGCAAGAAATTGGATTGTATGTTAACAGTTTTAGAATATGGACGAAGCATCCATTATGTCAAAAGGCTTCAATGATTCCGAGGTTTTAAAAGAAATATTTTTAGGTCGTCCTGGCTTAAGCTCAGTAAACAATAATTCTCACAACCATGGTATGAAAATGAATAATTCTAATACGGAATCAAGAAACCATTATTTTCAAAGGGGAAGCGACAATAGACGTCCATATTTCAAACCTAGTCGAAGCCGCAGTACACCTTACTTATGAAGTGAAACTAAATGAAAGCTCGCAGAAAGTTATTTTAAATATGATATAAGATAATGATATTTTATTCACTAATTTTAAGAAATTTTTTACACTTTTACGGAAAGTAAAACGAGGTTCACTGGGTCATAAATTTGTAGTTCATAAAATCATCATAATTAAGGTAAATGGTATTTAAGAAGGTAAAGGATGCAAAGGAGAAGTCATGAAATTAACATATAAAACAGCCTTTGTCTTTCTCACCGCTCGCAGGTCGTCCCCCTAAAATAGGACCACTTTGAGGGTTGTTCTTACGGGCAATAATTTCTGCAGCGGGAAAAAGCATACGAGCAGCACCGGAGCTTCCAATCAAAGACTTACAAAGAGGTAGTTTTTCAACAGGACCACTTCCCTGTACACGTTCGTCCTTGTCAGGTTGGAAATGCTGATCTGCATGGAAGATTTTGTTAAAGGTATTTGTTAACTCGGGGCTGATCTTATAAATATTCAAATCACGGAAATAAAGACCGTCCTTTGGATCACGGACATGATTCATAACAAAGTCAGCTTGGTCAAAAACCATTTGCTGGGCAGATTTGACGAGAGAAGAATTAGGCATGGCAAAGGAAAATCCCATTAAGCCCTCAGAAAGATGTTGGGCGAAAAAGGTGTTATCTTTCCAGACCTTGAAATTGGTCTTACAGGATTGATCATACATTTCTCCACTTGTGTTGAGAGCAGCGGAGGCCATGTTTTCCAAGTAAGAATGAATCTTGTCGATATTGGGAAGGCCCTTAATAATATCATTGAATCCGAGGAGTAAAGCCATAGTAGCCAAAGTAGCGCCAGTGTTGTAAGTAAACTTGGTTGAGTCAAGGTCCCATTTGCCATTGTTTAAGCTTAGACCATCACAGACGAGACCTGTGTGATCAACCAGATTGCTTTCAATCCACTGTACACAATTCCAAGCAAAGGTAACGAGCTGTTGTTTTTTCTTTGGGTCATCCACGGCATAAGCAAGTCGCAAAGCAGCGAGAGAACACATGGCAGTGGAACAAGCGTTTAGATTGGCATGAGGAGGACTACCGGAATTTACGTGCCAAGCGACACCGCCCTTTTGTTGATTCCAACCTTGATTGATGATGAAGGCAATAATAGCCTCGGCTCTATCAAGGTAGTGTTTTTTCCGAGAACTGTTCGAAGTGTAGTATCCGGCAGTAGCAAGAGCAATGGCTACTTGAGCATTATCGTCAAAGTACACATCGTTGTTTCCTTGAAAGTAATAACTAGCGCAACAAGCATTGTACTCTGGAGACCAATATCTCTTCAAACATTGAAACACGTTTTCGAATTTCTTTTCGTACTTGTTGGTAAACTTGAGAGAATCCGCCATGGCCTCGGCATACACAGCAACGGACCAAACTAAGTAAATATGACTACCACCATCGTCGTATGTGCCAGACACATTTTCAGCGCTTCCCATCTTGTCCGAAAGCTTGTCAAAGAAGGATTTATAGCATCTTTGCAAAGCGTTCAAACCACCATCCAAGTATTTATCACTGGTCATTTCGAATTAATCAAATTTAATCAAACAATGTCAATCAGAGAAGGGAAAAAAAGGTGAAAAAAAAACTTCAAGGTAATCTTTGTTAAAGTCCGTAATTAATAAATTATTCTGTAAGAAAATTATAAACAAGAAAAATGAATAAGAATAAAAAACACAGAGTCAAGCAAATCGTGAAATCGTAAAATAAAAAAAAAAAAAAAAAAAAAGAATCCTCTAGTTAGCCTAAAATTCAAATACTCGTCTACAGAGATTATACTTTAACAACACACAGAAACGAAAAACTGCTAACTTAAAAAGCCGGGGATTAATCCAAGTCTCTCCAAAGGATCAACGCTCGCAATTATAAGCTAAAGAGTCTAATCAATCTTTGAATATGACGGAGATACCGCTTATATAACAACGGAAAATGACTGACGAAATGATAAACCTAAATGACGTGGTAGTTAAAGGAACCCACTCAGATACGAGAGTATTGTGAAATCAAATGACATGAACTTTTTTTCATTTGTCGCGTAATGAATTAAGGTTCGCCGAAGATTCAATGGTAACCACATCTTTTGTTTGGGTTTGGCAGGATTCGCTACAAAGGACCATACAGAAAGTTTCACTCATGTGACTAACGGTAACCAATTTGTTTGTTTATTTTTCTTTAAATGCTCAAATATAAATTATTTAATTTCTTGTTTATTAATGAAAGGGTATTAAGAACCGTTATTGAATTATAACGAGAAAGATTGTGATACGAGCGAGGAAGCGAAGGGTAAGAAGTTAATCAAGATGCGCCTGTGTTGAATGTTCTTCGTTTGGGTTTTGAGACCAGTCTAGTCCAGTCTAGCAAAAGAAGATTAGTGAAAGTAATACAGAATCAAGCCTATGGTGTTGGTTATCCCATGGCGTTTATTTAAAAGCAGAAATAAAAATTCAAATATCGAGACGAATCGATGATTTCTTTTCAATAGAAAGACTTATGCTTTCGGTTCGACAAGGCAAGCCAGAGTGTAAAATATAACCAAAAGTAGAATAAATTAGTAAAATGCATTCATTGTGCAGATTCAAGATACTGAAAGAGAATCACCTTTACACAAACGAAAACCCAAGTAACTCCGAACCGAAACCAAAACCAAAACCAAAACGAACGAAAACGAAAAAAAAGGAAACGACAACAAAAAGAAAGAAAAAATAAAAAAGAAAATCAAAGAAGCCGCTCTCAACATGCAATTAAGAAATGGTTTCAGATGTTACATGTGAATCGGACTTTAACGTCAAGCCAGGAACACCCAGCGTATCTGCGAGGGAAGTGACACAAAAATCAGGGAAATCGTGTTCAAGGATATCCGAAGAAAAAATTGAAGGTTTTTCTGAATCAAGATGTTGGTGGGAATCATTCTTTTCCTCGTCGGCTTCTTCCCCTTTAAAGTTCTTCAAAGACCGCTTCGTCACTTGAGCATTCGAATCCCCTTTCAAACTACTCTTCTTCCAAAGCAGCGTCTTTTCGCAGTCGGAAGGCTCCAGCAAAACGGAATACGTTTGTGCTGTTGACCGCGAACTATCATTTGAGAGTCCGCTGAATTTGCTTGAACGAAGTGTTGCACTTCTATCGTTCAAGGTTGTAGGAGAAGAGGTTTCCGCATCGAAATATGACAATATTGAGTTTCTAGCAGATGAAGTGAAGTAACTGGGGGTACTGGCATTCGTTGATTTTCTTCGAAATTGTGTATTTTCCTTATCCCTCAATTGATTCGGACCTTCGGTTTGCGACGTTTCCATAAACATCGGCATACTCTTGTTGGTCGCATTATATTCCGCAGTTGAAAGCATGTAGTTTCTCAACTTTAAGTTCAAAGGCGTTGAGGGACGTATTTGCGGAAGTATAGGGAAAAACGGAGAAGGCGGACGATACATTGGTGTTGAAATCGTCTGTGACATTTTTGTAGACTTTTTCGATTTGTTCGCCTTTTGAAACGTCCGCTTAAATCCCGTAATCCCTTTATGGAACTTTTGATAAAGCGTTGAGGAACGTTTGCCAGTCTTATCCTCAACGTAGGGTAATGTAACTTTGGTAAATATGTTCTGAAGTGAAAACGTTGGTAGGGATACTTGCGTTTCGCCAACCTTCCCGACTTGATTTGCTTTCGTTTCTTTTTCTTTTCTTGGTTTCTGAACCTTTTCTTCTTTTGCAACGAAGAAGTCAAGCTCCAAACATGCTTGTGCGCTAGGTCTGGCATCCGGATTCCACTGTAATAGTTCGGTCAGCATGGATGCAAATGCTCCATTCCATGGCGGAGAAAATAACTCTCGTAAATTCAGAGGTGCTGATTTGGGCAAAATAATTCCCAAATCTTTCGTTAGTTTTTCTGCTTGCTTCCACGTGCCACCACCTCCGAATCCCATCTTTTGCGATTCATCGTCTGGGCTTCCTAAGATTTCACATATTTTATACAATTGATCAAGGTCATCCATTCCAGGAAATATTGGCTGTAAAGTTGCAATCTCAAAAGCCATACAACCTGCAGCGTATATGTCCACCGGACAAGAGTAATACGAATCTCGGAGTAACAATTCGGGAGCACGATACCAGCGAGTTGAAACGTATTCAGTGTAAGGAGGGCTTGAATTAATTTCCCTCGCAAGTCCAAAGTCTGCAATTTTCACCTTGTATACATCAGAGTTTTCTATGGGCGATACCAAAATATTCTCAGGTTTCATATCCCGATGGAAAAATCCATTCGCATGAATGTGTCCAATGCCTTTAAATATTTGACTCATAATATCTCGAACGCTGTTGTAAGAAAACGGCTTGTCACGTCGGGAATTAATTAGTTGAAATAGATTAAACTCAAGAAATTCCATTACAATATGTAAACAAAAAGATTGATCAATATAAAGGTCAAAAATATTAACAATATTATCATGCTCAGACAGATGAAGCAAGGAATGAACTTCACGTAACCTAGCAGCATCGGATATCTTCATTAACTTTTTTTTCATGGATTTTATAGCAACTACCTTCATCGAGCCCTTGCGGGTAGCCAAATGTACAGAACCAAACGTTCCATCACCAACTTTCTGCACAACAGAGAAAACATCATAGATAGCTGTACATTTTATAACTTCCTTCAGCGACCGCCCATTTTGATTTGCCATAGAGGGCGTTCTCCACAAGTATTTTTTCATATTAAGTATTTCTAAAGGGAGGTTAGTCAAGCTAGTTGCAAACAAGGAAAATACTATACTTTACCTGGCAAAATATAGGTATAAGTCTAAAGTTAGAAACAAACAATGAACGGAAAAAAAAATTAAAGACTGAAGAAATCCTTGCTAATAAATAGTCAAAAATAAAGATATAAATAGAAACCCAGTTTAAAATTGAGATGCGTTACAAAGCGTCAAAATGCTAAAAAATATCAAACGCTCCAAAAACCAAAGAAAAACGCGGCTTTCACCAACGTGGATATTAAACAAAACAATCAAAAATCAAAAAAATTATCGGGACGACCTAAGAGACAGAAACTTATAATGAAAAGCTTGAATACTTCTTAACATGCTTCACCAGAAGTTATCAAATAGTATTCCCATAGAAACAAAAAAAAGGGCAATAAAACTTTCCGCAATAAAAGCCTTTATTCCAAAAGAATGTACGCTTTCCGGTCCAACGTATAGTTTATGACCTGAAAAGTAAATCAAAAACTCAAGTCGAATCGATCCTTTTATCAAAAATTCAAATTCTTAAATATGCTAATGAACCAAAAAAGAAAATATTTTAAATTACTCTTTATGCTAAAGTGCGTTTGTAGTAGTCGCAGATTTATGGTGGATAGTCGTTAATTGAAACTACGAAGTCAGTGAAAGCAGCAAGCAATACATTCACTCTTACACGACTCTACTAAAGCCCTTATTTACAGACCGTAACTTTAATAGCTAAAGATTTAATTTATTATTATTATTTTTACTAATGTTGTGAACTAGTCTTGTACTTGCAGTTTGTCAATGATTGAGATTGACTACTTTGCATGGCGTAACCAGATGGGCCATTCATTATTTGTTTTATATAACTTATGGAAATTTAAAAAGTTACAGTAATTAGTAGTTCAAATATGTGTCCAGTACCTGCTAAATTCAAGCAACGTAAACACGAATAACCAGACAATTTTACTGCGAAAAGAGGAGAGTATAATCCTTGCCAACATCTTTCCCTAGAGTCGCATTCGCTTCAATGTACAATTTTTCCAATCTAGGAAACAATTGTAAAACACCCTTTTAGTGTCAGTACCCTACATATAATGCTAAAGCTTACCTTCACTGGCAAAGTTGATTCCCCAATAGTAATATAGTTCTTCTGTAAAAGATATTTTGCGACGTCTTCATTTAAAATCCCTGGTAAACACCTTTCGTATACTGATGGAGGCTCTTCTTCGTCAGTGTCTGATACTTTTGGTAATGACCCGAGTTTTTTGGGTGATAACTCTTTGCTCTCACCAACATCCTCAAACGTCAAATAGTCCGGGGCTCCATTTTCCCACAATTCAGTAAAATAATTTATCGGCATCCAACTGTTTGTTTCCTGGTACTATGTAAGTAAAAGAAAGGCTACTCCTCCATTAACTTACCGGATTAAGTAAATAACTTGGACTGTAATCACCTTTGTACCTCATCTTTTTACATTTATGAATATAGTATCCTAGTCCCTCGTTAATTTACACATCAAGTGGCAGGCATTGAGCATACCCATGTAGTAAAAATTATAATTCTCTTCAGCCGCAAGAAGAATTTCACGACAGGCACTTATTCTTCCAAGAGAGTAAGATGAAAATTCAGGATCATAAAACAGATAAACGCTTGACACGGCATGTGGTAGCAAATCGAGTACACCGACAGCAACTAGGGTACCGTTGATACGATACATTTGATGAAATGATCCGCATTTCTTATTTGAATTAACATCTTTTATAAGGGGAGAAGAGCATAGAAAGCGCTCAAATCCTTTCTTAGTCACTTCTTCTTCAGATTCATGATGGACGCTTGTTTGATACTTCTTAAATAGCTCAAACTTTTCATCGGTGTACTCATCTGATTCTACTGTAACAGTATATGAGTGTGTCTCATCCTTGTATCCCTCTATTTGCTTAAATGCGTTCTTTAAATATGCTATACCATTCTCTGTCGGTATTTGAGTTAATGGTTTCCCCGTAACCAACTTGGCCCATTTTTTAAGAGCCTTCTTTTGGACTTTTGAAATCTGGAACTCATCCGCATTTAATCTGAAATGTTAGTGAAGTACTGAACAAGTCATTTCGAAGTGTTCAAGTGCATACCGGATTGTGTATAGCCGACAACAAGAGGTCCTCAAGTTTGGCTTATATAAATAATGTCCAGAACGCCTTAAACTATTAGTATTGATTACGAAGTAGAAAATTGTTATGTATTACCTCCAGCCTCTATCAACAAGTTTTTGGTATGCCTAGCCATAAGAAAACATTAGTTCATTGCTGGAAACTCAAACTAAAAACAAAGATTTTTGTTTAGACATACGTCGCATTTTAGTTCTTTTGATAACAGTCCAAAGTGCTCAGTAGGCTCTCCGCTTCGACAATATCCACAATCTCTGCTGACATTATATCCTGTATACATAAACTTATTCAAACCCATTTCTTGCTCTGATATTATCTGAATTTATTTTTAGTTCTATATGTGACTGTAGAATCGATTTACTATCAAGTAGGCATTTGTTGAAGTCAGCAAGTAGTATGAGTAATGTTTTGCCAGCTACTTACCTCAAGTAGCGATGCATGCTTCTTACAAAAAACAATTTATCTATGCGCATACTATTCAAGCGCATAACGCTGTGCATTTGTCGTATTTGCTTTTGAATCATACTCCATATACACTTTGCAACTAAAGAAAAAATCAAGCTTTAAAAGCCTAAATGTATTATTTAAATCAAAAACTGGATATACCTGTCTAGTTAAATATCTATTAAGCACCAAACCAAACCCACATCTAAAACTATTATTGTTTTGTAGATCATCCAACTTTGTAAAATGATGTATAAATTAATAACCCGTTCAATTAAAAATTCACTTTCCCTAACAAAGAAGAAAGTAAATCAAATGTTAAAGCGCTAGACCATACAGATAATATACTGTACAGCAATCGTTTACTCTTCATCATCAGAGAAGAAAGTCTTTGGCTTTGGAGTACCCTTAGGAGAAGATAACCAAGCAAGTTCTCTGTCACGAGCACGGCGCTCTTTGTTTTTCATTTCGTTTCTGGTAAGCTTCTTCTTCTTAGTTGTCTTGGATTCGATCTTCTTCAAATCCTTCTCAGACAAATCCTCAAACTTCTCATTGTCAACAGCAGACTTGCCTTTGTTTGTAAGCTTACCAGCTACAACATGCCATTGTTCAGGACAAAGTGCAGAAACAAACTCAGCGTTGTGAGAAATCATGACAACACCACCACCCCAGTCACGAATAGCAGTTGCTAAACCACCGAGAGCGTCTCTATCCAAAAAGTTTGTAGGTTCATCCAAAACCAAAAGTTGAGGATTATTCCACAAACAAGCCGCAATCACAACCTTGACCTTCTGACCACCAGACAAGCTACTCAAAGGACTGTAGTCTGCAATGTCACCAGGAAGACCAATTTCTTCAAAGTGCTTGCGAATATCTTCAGGGATAAGTTCTCTGAAGCCCAAACCTTCACGAGATGATTCTCTATCATCAAACGCTTGGACAAACTTTTGGAAACCATTTTCAAGCAACAGATCTCGAGGAATCCAGCTATTGTACTTGTGAGGCTTTCCAAGCCATTTGATTTCATATTGGAAGGATTTCTTATACTTTTGACGACCAATCAAAGCTTCGACCCTACGGCGTTCACCATCAACGGTGATTTCACGTTGAAGTTGAGCACGATCCTCATCAGTTAACTTACGGGTCTCCTTCTCCAAAACTTCACGATCTTGACCACCACTGTATCTCCATTGAATATATTGGCTGGGAGTCTTTTCCAAATGTTGATCCAAATGATGGAAAGCATGTTGTGCTACGTAACCAACACGGAGGTTAGGATGCTTGAAAACACGGCCTTCTTGAGGTATAACCTCACCAATGAGTACTTTAATAAGGGTAGACTTACCAGCACCATTGGGACCGAGAATAGCAACACGGGAAGATAAAGAAAGACCGCAAGTAACGTCATCCAGCGACTTCTTGGAGGAACCTGGATAACTGTAACTTGCATTGGTCATCTTCAAAATGATTCTCGTATTAGAACGCACGCCAGCAAGGATACCAGGTGGAGGGAAAACAAACTTTTCATTTGTAGCTGAAAGTGTATAATATGACTTAGCTTCGGGTTTCTTTTCGACGAAGCTGGAAAGGTTGCCAGGGAAGTAGCCCAATTTCTTGGGTGCATTCTTCACACCTTCGTAGTGAATAATATCCGTACATACATGATCTAAGAAAGAGGAATCGTGAGAAACCATAAGACAGGTGATCTGAGTTTGAGCAGTCAAATAAGCTTCCAACCATGCAATATTGGTAACGTCCAAGTGGTTAGTCGGTTCGTCCAACAAAAGGATATCAGCTTTCTGTAACATGGCACGTGCTAATTCTAACTTCATCTTCCAACCACCTGACAAAGAAGCCACTGCATCTTTTTGCATATCTTCTGTGAAGCCGACTGACTTTAATGCAGCTGCAGCTTCCTCACGAGTAACATTCATGTTAGCTAAAGCTGGGTCATTAGCGACGAAATCAAGGATGCAAATACTAGTATCTTCCCCTTGTAAGCTATGAGCTACAAAGCAAGTCTTTACTTGTTCAGGAGCGGGAAAGTTTTCAACCTTATAATCAGCAATAGCCTTAAGTAAGGTAGATTTACCACAACCGTTATGACCGACAACACCATAACGATGACCTCTATAAAGACGCAAATTGGTGTGATTCAAAAGTAAGCGACCACCATAAGCGAGTGAAAAATCTGTATTAACAAGTTCTTCCTCCTCAATATTCAGAGTTGAAATATCGGGACCGTTCAAAGATTGGTAAAATGAGTGGAGATCATCATAAGCTTTGGTAACCGATTCAGCGGCAGCGCTTTCACCAACAAAAGGAGACAAGTAAGGAATACCCATTTCATTAACCCAAGATTCCTTCTGGAACTGCTTATTGTTGTAGAAGGCAACATAGGCATCACAAACGTAATCCAAAACTTCTCCCATATTAAAGTTCTGGGGACACTTTGCATGTTCGGTGACGAACTGATGAATTCTGGAACGAACACCAGAAACAGCTTGTCTCTCCGCATCATTGGCGGCCTTAGCAGCTTGAGCGGCCGCAGCCTTATTTAAGGTAGTAAGGGCATGAGATGCAAGAGCACGAACTTCAGGCATAGCAGCACCCTGTGCAATTCTTTCAACTTCTGGAATCAATTCTGGAAGGAAGTCAGAAGCTTCAGCGGGATCGGGAACAAGCTTACACAAATTGTCAGTAATGATTACAGTCATACGGAGCATGATTTGGGAACGCTCAGCAAGGGCACGCTTTAAAATGGGAACCAAAACTGCCAAAGCCACGGATTCAACTGTAGCAACGAAGGTAGTGGCACTTAAGTCTTTAATACACTCTTCCAAAGTCTCTGGATGGGCCATGCAGTCAACCAATTTGGGAATATGAGGAATAATGTCATTATTTTCAACAACAGTGCAGAGGTCCAACATGCACTTAATCGCAGCACGAGAGACTTCACCTTTAGTGTCATGCATACGTTCACGAATGCAGGGAATCAAAGAACCCATTGCAACGGCAATGGCGTTACGGAATGTTTTCGCCAATGAGCCAAGTAACTCAAGAGCAGCCACCTTACTCGGCCATTTAACAGCTGAGCTATTCAAGTACTCAATTAAAGAGGGAATCAAACGAGTTTCGACCGAGACAGAAGGAAGAATATTGAGTAAGGAGTCAGTGGCCATTTTTGCAGCAGCTCTCACTACCTCACCTCTGTCAGAAAACAAGTCGAGCATTACTGGAAGATAAGGAAGGAAATCGACTTCACAAGGACGGCCGATCTTTGGAATAACTGATGCAAACCCGATCATAGCAGACTCCCTATGGAAGCCTGACTTCTTATTACGAGCAGCCTTTTCTAATCCATCTAAGAAGCCAGTAGTCTTTAAGGTAATTAAAGGCTCATCCTGTTTGAAAATTTCTCCAATTTTTTCGCCAATATTGGCACAATCCTTAGAGGTTTCAGCATTCAATAAGTCCTCAAGTAGTTTGAGAACATTGTCTTCTTCACGACCTTGAAATAGCACAGAGGATGTCATGTCTCTCAGATTTGACGTTGCGAAATGGATATTTCGCAAGATCTGATGATTGACTTGGTAGCTGTTGAAGGATGAATTTTCACATGCACAGAATGCCACTTAAATTTTTAGTTCACTGAAGTATCGTAGAAACTGTAACGGCATTTTATCGTTTAGTTCACTATTTTGTATACAGAAATACAATGCAACACGCTATCATATAACACTACTACTATTATTGTATTTGATTGTAAACATATTCTGCTTTTATTTATTGCCTGAAGGATAATCCCAAAATCTATTCATTTTTAGCTAATGTATTAAATAAAGATTAAAAGAACACGGTTGTAGTCATTAAAATCATGGGGTGTACTATGCTTGAAAAGAAATAATATAGTGAATGTGACGATGCACAAAGAATAGAAAAGTCGTCAATGAGACAAAGTCACTGTTGTGAATCTGCTTACTTATTAATCATTAAACGAGCAACGTTTTAGAAAAAATTATGGGCTACTCGTGCGAAATTGTGAAGAACACAGCTTACGGGCAGGGCAAGGCAAGGCATTTCTTGAATAATCGAAGGAAGAAGGTATCAACGCAAGTTTTCGTAGCTGATTTTAGAAAAATTAACGTATCCAATTCAATTCTTTACCATCGATAAGAATGTAAAACACCATACGCAAAATTGCATATTATACCTACTAAAATTGACAGTTGCATTCGCAGGGAGAACATAGTTCTTTGCCAAAGAAAATAGCATGCAACAGCACCACCAAAAAAACCAATCATCACACCAGCTAAAAGGGTTTCATAAGACATATCAAACTCATCTGCTGATGAAGTTTGTGCCCCATTGTCAATCCAATCATCCTCAGCTTCGCGTACAGAATCCTCCGGAAGGGAATCTAAATTTGTACCACGAGCTTGATGAAATTGGGACCTCAAACTAGATATTTCGGTCTCCGTAAAACCAGCCTCACGAAGTCGGTCAAAACCTCTCAACATTTCTCTAGGATGTGCCGCCTCCGCTTCCGCCTCTGAAGCGCCAGACCGCTGAAGTTGGCTTAACTCTTGGTCTTCTGGAGCCAACTCATTTGGCGTTAGTTGAGGTCCAACGATGCAATGAATGAATGCTTTTCGAGATTCGTCATCTTCTTTACGAGGATCATAATGCCAGTTTCCTCTTACTGCTCTTTCTATGGTAAATAATGGAGACAAAAGACGGCCCTGAAATATCAATTTCAATTGCTTATCCTTACAGTCAGGAACTCGACTACGAATGGTCTTGAAAACTTCCCGAATGGTTGTCTCTCCTGCATTTGAAATGTCCAACGTAAGATCAGGGATCGCAGAGGCGAACCGAACTATGATTTTCAACTTTTTGTCTACATTTGAAGTCATTTGTAGCTTTCATAAGCGTTCTTCTATTCAAGTATATGGAATGATTGACAACGTAGTAGTAGCTGTAAGTCGTGGTGGTGATCGAACCATGTTTCTACAACACCAAAATACGCATGATCCTTTTATCAGACAGGGACTATTATTAAAAATTTAGTGGACATCAACTTTATAAAACAAAATCATTTCAAGCAATGCATTTTTTTATACACTTACTTCTACTAGTCTACCATATACCAAAACAAAACCTTCATTTTTCCACAGTAGACGTTTCGGTCTTCTATCAAAACACAATTCAATATATATTAAGTTAACGCAAATCCAAAACCAATATAAAACCTCACCCATGATTTAATTAAAATCATTTATGAAACCGACCAAATTCGGTTTCTTCCTTTAGTAGTAAGATTATGTTCTAATTTTTATAGAACATCCCAAGTCTATTCCCTGCTCTAAATCCTGGGATTATTCAGAGTTTTCTTCATCTGAAGAATCATGTTGAACGTCCTCCTCGTGCAGTTCTTGGTCATAATCTTCGTCTGAATGTACCTCACCATTTGCAATATCGCCTTCGTTTTCGGAGAAATTTTCTGAAATGTCCTCATCATCGGAATCCAAGTCCTCATCGTCTTCATCTTCTTCATCTTCTTCCATATCATCATCTTCATCCTCCTCAAAGCCATCGTAATATACAGTAATAGGCTCGTCGTTCTCAGCATTATCCTTTGAGCCGCCAGCTTTTCGCAAAGCAATCTGAGAAAATACCATATCTAATCTTCCTTGTAACGCAAGCATGCTTGTATATTTGGAACCTCTAGTTTCCAATACTGAACGAAGAGTAGCTAACTGATCTTTCAGATCGCGAATTAAGCTTAAATGACCGCCATGGAAAATTAGAGCACAGCGAATCCAAGTCAAGAAGGTGTCTGCTCTCAAGGGACGACGAGCTAGCCGATCAGCCACTTTATCTAGTAAGGCCGGAGCCAAAGCGGGGTCTAAACGACGAACAGTGTTCTCTATAATTTCCAAACTTTGATTATTGAAGCAAGACTCAAGAAGAAATTGATCGTTTGTTTTCAATGCCTGAGTTAACACAGTTGCTAGTGAAGTAGAAGCAGATACCTGCGAAGGAGTAGTTTGAGCTTGTTGATCTAATTTGGTGAGTGTTTGCAAGCGTTCGGCAAGACTAGGTTCCTGTTCCTCAACTTGCGTTTCTTCCTCAGCGGAAAGATCTGCCACATCCGCAGCGTGTTTTTGCATCACGCCTGTTGTAACAGTAGCGTTGGCTTCATCGTACGTAACAACTGGCTTTCCTACTTTACTGACATCTCGAGATTTGGGACGGACCAATTCTAACAGTCCATCGGTTGCTTGAGAAGACAAAATTTTCCAAGGTACACTCTCAAAAAAGGTACGAGTACCCTCCCTCCATGCTACCACTATTGTGCCTGCATTGACAAACGTAATAGATTCAAGGGCAATAGTAACACCACCACGGGAACGAGAGAAACGTATTTTGAGATTGGAATGGCTTGTCAGTAATTTACGCTTGCGAGATAAAGATGCAAGTCCACCAGATCCAGATGAAAGCTTCGATTCCCAAGGATTATCGAATATTTCAATAGTACCGTCTACCGAAAGTGCTGCAAGAATACTACCCTTCTTCTCAGAAGATTCTTCGGTCTTCTCACATACTGTAAGCTCTTGCACGTCATTTTCACAAACCAATGCTCCTATATTCTTAGAAGGAACATCCTCCAGTTTCTCATTGGAAATTTGCTTGCTGAATAGGTTGACATATCGGTCCTGTTCAGCAGCTGTGGCGAAAACGATGAAATCTTGTGATGAAGATACAACGGAAGAATATACGACGGATCGAACAAGCGTCGTGTGTGTAGTCAAGGTATCGACAGGATTCGAATCTGGAAGTGCCAATAAATGTACGCTGTGTGAAGTGACGATGGCAGTATTTGGAATGCGAGGGGAAGGGTATATGCCGGAGAATTCTCTAGAAGAGCAGTTGATTTTCAATGTTTCAATAGGGGAACCAGTGTTAACGTTGAACTGAACCACCTTTCCAACGTTATCGATGGCAAATCCCAACGAATTCAATAGAGCAACTTTGGTTATCTTGCCCAATTGTCCGAAATGATATGATTTTGTAACTGTACCGAGAGCGTCAGAATAAACTAAAATTTCTCCTTCTTCGGTACCAAGGAGTACGACATGGCCAGAAGCACCTACAGAAGTATCTATAGGTTCAACATCGTACACAGTAGCTTGATCCCAGCAGATACTACTGACATGCTTATTCTCTTCTAAAGCATATTCGGTTTTAAGCGATCCTTCTTGAGAATCAAAAATACGCAGACGCTGAGAATCTAAAGCGTCTGTTATACCTGCATAAAGCTTCGATGACTCTTGAAAAGCTCCAAGTTTGACTCCGTTATCCCGTACCGTTCGGAATGTCGATTTAGGCCGACTCCTAGCTGCCATTTGGGATTGTTTGCTGTCAGGATCCTGAGTTTGGTGGTTTGCTGCTTTGACAGATCCTGAGCAACCCACATGGAATAGCGTATAAAAAATCGATTACGCAAAGTTCTATAGCGTGTAGTAACATCAAAATATTACTCTTAACTCGTGATGAAAAATTATGATTCCTACGTAGAGGATGTAAGGAATTCTTCATTGAAAATAGCTTAATTAATGATTCATTTCAAATTTCTTTCTCTGTTTCCCTTTCTAATTGTACAAGTCTTTTACCATAATTAATCTTGGAAAATATTTTTATTAAACGTATGAAAATATAAACGCTAACTAGTGTACAGGATGAAACATGGTAAATCACAACTGCGGTTTTCAGTACAGATAAAACAAAACGGTGCTTTTAAAATCGCAAAAAAAAGTAAATTAGAGTGAAATACAAAGAGAAAACCGACAGAGTGATTCAAACAGTTCACCAAAAAAAAAACATTATATCAAAAGAATCATAACAAATTGGAACTAGATTTCGAATCTGAAACCACGAAGTAAACCGTTACGGGAAGATCATGCGAGCGAAAGATGTTCAACGATAAAGAATGTGAAAGTATTAAAGAAATTCAACATAAGCAAAAACACATATATATATAATATGTACAGCGTAAGAAACCCGATAATTAGAAATAACAAGAATTAATATAATAAGAAAGACAAACCGAAACCTTGAAATTAAAGAAAACAAATTTCTTCCCGCACCAAGCTCATGCTGAATTACTGCTTTCGCTGCTTTCGCCATCATCTTCGGAAGACGATTCGTCCGTAGCAAATGCCTTCGACTGATAAGCAGCTGATGGATTGTTCACTCCTTTATTCTGGTTGGTTATTCCCGCAAAGCGATCAAGTTGAGCACGAAGCAAGCGTATCTTTTCAGCCTGCTCACTTTCTGACAAGGCGCGACCTTTTCTTTCATCCTTCTGTGGTTGAGGTGACATTAAGATGTGGTCTGCAGCCGACTCATCACCCTTGCAAACATAGTAATATACCTTAAAGAACACATCTGGAGGCATCGACGAAACATCAATTTCAATTTCATCGGTTTTACGGAGATGCGGTAATGCAGAACGTAAGATTTCGGCGACATGTGTCAATTGATCAGCCGTTAAATAATTGCATTGTTCGGCTAGTTCATTCTGCATTTCATAAGTGATGGGCGGATACTGGTCAATACTAAGGCTTCGAGAACGAGACCGATGAGAAACTGAAGAGGAGCGAGCACGTGTCTTCATTGCACGTAAAGTACTCTGAAGTCTATAAATCTGTCTATTAACAGCTTCAAATTCTTCTCCGTCATCTTCCATAAACTCATCTGCACTGTCAAAGACATCATTGTCACCATAGTAGTAGTCGGGATTCACAGAGGAAAGTGAGCTAAATGTTTCAGAGTCGAAATCAGGCTGTTCAGCCCACAGTTTCTGAAAGACAGATTCAAGTTTTTTACCCATGATATGCACTGGTGTACCAGCCGGATTAAATTTGTAGCAATTCTTAAACATGAGCAACATATCAGCTTCGAATGCTTTAAGAGAAGCATACTCATTGTGGTTCAATTTGTTTTGCATAGTGCAGAGATCCATGGGATGCTTGATGACTTTATAATAGTCCGGACAGCCACAAGCGATGGGATTCACCGGTTTGTAGAAAGGATATGCATAGGACTCATGTTGTTTTTTTAACAACTCCTTCAAAACAGATTGGCAAAACTTCATCTCTGCCGCATCTTTCCTGCGATGGGGTTTTATGTCGTACATGTTATCCCGGCTAGATGACAAAGCAGATTGTCTTCGCGTCCGACCACTGGTCGGTCTAGTAGCTGCAGGCACGTTACGAGGACGTCGACCTGGTCTAGATGAGCTTGTAATATACGCGGAAGGCAGTTGCTTTAATTGGCGTTCAAACGTTGCCTGAAGGTTCTTACCCATGACACCCACCGGAGATTCCGTACCATTATAAAGAAAGCAATTGTCAAACATCAAGTTCATATCGTCAATAAAGTTTTCGGCACTCGCATATTGACCACTAGAAAACTTTTTCTGAATAGAGCCTAAATCCATCGGGTGCTTCACAATTGTAGGATAATCAGGAATATTTTGTTTTACTGGATCAACGGGAGCACGAAAAGGGATTGAATCACGACCACGGCGAAGTTGACGAAGCATAGCATGAATATACTTGTGCTGCTCTTTCGACATTGGGGGGTAGTCTTTCGCAGAAAAGTAATTGTCCTCGTCAGCTGCGCTGTCCTGTACACTTGTCATAACATGAGCATTACCGCCAGCGGTAGTAGAAACCTCTTCAGAAGGAGGTTCAACAGGAAGATTTGAGTTTGTTTGCACGTCGGTGGAAGAAGGTTCTTGTTTCTCGGGTTGATCCTTATTCGTTTGGAGAGATGGTTCTTGATCGCTACGTTGACGCTTGTTAGGAACGTCAGTGACGTCCACTTGTGTAGAACCATTGTTTTCTAAAATATGCTTCTTACCAGCTCCTTCGGATGGTTGTGAAGGAGATGAGGGAGACTCGTCATCATAATTTGTGTACGGTGGTGTAGGGTGCAGGTACTGGGAAGAATAGTCATTATCTTGGTACGGTAAATTTTCTTCTTCGAATTCATTATCACCAAACAAATCTAATCCCTCGTCCTCGTTCTCATTCCCGGAAAAGTACGAAGCTCTTTTTTCTTCCCCGTTCATGGAAGCTTCTGGAGACCTGGGTGTAAATGTCGAGTCGCTTATTTTTTCCAGTCCAGTCTTGTTAATAGATCCAGTTTCCGCAGAATAAGGTTGCGTTACAGTAATATCAATATTAGAAACGTTCATAGAACCCATACTGTATTTACCAAAGTCGTTTGCAAAATTCACTTTCCCCTGCGAAGACTTCACACTACTGAATGTTAGTAACGAACATTACCAAAGACAAATGTATTGCGCCGCTGCAAGGACACCCGAGAGATGAATCGCGAGAAGATCCGCTGAATGCAACAAGTTTGATAAAACAAATCATTACTTGTTGAGCATATAGCGGTCAGACTTTAGAGTCTATTCTAGAACATCGTAGACAATAACATTTGGAAAATCTAAAGGATGATGATTTTCTTCAATGTCCTTGTTGTAAACTACTCTTGTGCTTTTGTGGATATTTCTCCTGAAATCCTATTCACCTTAAAAGAAGACGTCTCACTAATCTCTCTCTAGATGCGACTTGGGTGCGCAATTTTTTAATCCAACTTACGATATAATATTCTCACTGTTCATGTATAGTAGTCCACTGTTGTCACAGCACCTTAACCAGAAGCTTCGCAATAAAAGATAAATGTTTTCAAAGATACTGCGATGCCCGCATGCAGCAGCAGGCTCTCTAATTTAGTAATTTCTTCAAATACTATCCAAATAAGTCTTAATTCACTATTTTAGGATAGTGAAAAATAACGATTTTGTTTCTGGGTTAGTCGAGTCAAACTAAAATTATTGTTGTTTGTAGAGGGAAGGAGGGAACATGTAGGTATAAGTCCCGGATTGGATCAGGGTTAGGGTTGCGATGAAAATTATAATAGAGGCGGAATGGATTACGAGGTCTTTTAATTCGCAGATAAGGATCCAATCAGCGTTACGTAAATGTCATCCGTACCGCAGTAAACAAACCGCGGTTAGTTACGGCCACCATTCTATATGGGTTACAGCAGTACATCTTTGACGGCTTAGAGGAAGAAATTTAGTCGTTTCCGACCCAATTTCTCTTCTAACTGTACTCTTGATTGTACCTGAAGCAATCACGCTCATTCTACAAAGAATTCAATAATTTACTAACGAAGAGCGTAGGTCCATCGAGTTTCTACGCGTCTTCTCAAGCTACATGGTTTTGGTGTTTACAGTAGTACGAGCAACTGACCAAACAAGCTAAGCTAAACAGTCCACACTCACCTACAATTCGCAATGCCCCGACACAGAAGCAATTGAAGCCCCATTCCTCTTAGAGGAAGAAGTTTTAGAGTTCCATAGAGAATGAAAGAAAAGAACGCCGTGAAACACAGCACAGCAGCAGACGATTGAGCTTCATGTTTCTCTTGTCTGCTGTCACTTTCTTCGAGAAAAAAAAAGGCTACACTATGATTCGAATGTGATCGAACATAATCGAAACCTATTTTTCTTTGTTGATGTAACTGCCTCCATCTAGTACGATCTTCGCCGTCATATCCACATCATGATTTTAGTGGCGAGCATAGGAAAGTTTGGTGTATCACGGTATAGTATCTTTAGAACGAACAGGTTGTCTCCGTCAAACTCAGTAAAGTACGATTAGGTGAAATCGTCAATATCAGAGATTGGTTTAATGAGTACGCGGTGACCTGCGGTATATCCAGTGAGAGAAAACATGTAAAGTAGGTATAGAATTGTAGTAGGTGATACTAGTACAGTAGGTATAGTAGAGACAAAAGGAAGTTATAGAAGAGTAGAGGAGGAAGCAAGCAAAGAGTCCAAGCAGAAAACAATTCCTTTTCGATGCATTATTGTATAAATTGATTTGTCTCTCAGTTTCGTTTTACTCCTGATCGTTACCATTCGCGCGCTGTGTAGAATGTGACTTGACGTACCAAAGAGGGCTTGCACGAGAAAAGATGTAAGCTTCAATAAACAGTCTGTTGTAACAGGAAACTCCGTCAAAGTAATGTATTTCGTCCGTGCCAATTCGAACAAAGCAACTCAACTTGGTCATGGTCATTTCGTCGATAAAACGTATCGACAAAAATAGGTTTCAAACTTTCAAAATGCGATTCTTCGTACCAATCGATAGATAGAGGATTTCCTTAAAGCATCTCATGGCTTTCTCCGGTTGCAGCAAGCATGCATAGTCATGCAACCGTTAAACCATGTGATTCCGTAGAAAGGAAAACGTTAGACAAAACAGTTTCCAACTCATTCTGTTCAGACTCCTATTTGTGATACATTATAGTCTCTACATGCGCTGTACTCTAGTTCTCATTTCAAGCAGCTTTTAAAATTTTCGGTCCACTCTCACGTTTGTGGTTACGTACAAAAACAAATATGTTTGTAAAATATCAAGATTCCAACCGAGTCAGTCAATCCATGTTCCAAACCCAGGAAAAAGTTTTGTCTCTACCTGAGGTGGTCTTGTATTAGTTTGGTTTGTAAAGTGTACGTTTGCCGCCCACCGCTAGGCTGGTTGTCATAGCAAGTTGAAACACAAAAGTTACACCACAAACAGAAATAGGTGTAGGCACTATAGTATCCTTTGAATCATTTTCAAATTTCTGTTTGTTTTTAGACATGCGACTGACTTTGGTTTAACATCTCGGGGGTTGTTCGTTCTGGATATGTCTTCCTTCATCTCATATGAACTCTGTGTACACGAATTGTCACTCCGTACACCACAAGTCCTCCTGTCACTTCCTTCTTTCTTGCTGTCGTTTTGTGATTCAGCATTTCTGGAATTAAAGGTTCTATAAAAACATTCTTTGCTAAAAATAGTAGAATACTTTCTTTCTGAACCTCCAAAGTAATTCCATTTGCGCCTTGCTTTTCTTGACGTTCCATCTCATTCGTTGCTATTTTTTCATTTCTAAAATATTTCCCAAGGTTTCCTCATTACAATCTTGCTTAAACGATGTTGGTAAGTATGCTTGAAAGGCTCCACTTGTTCAAATTCATGCTGTATATCGGAAAGGTAGTCGCAACAAGCGCTGCTGCAATGCTATCCCAAACATAAACAAAATGAATTACTCTTTTGCAGCCTAACTTTGAACACAATCTTCCTTCTGCTCGAGTTTTAGGTGAACTGTTAACTCCATACAACCAACATCATTCCTTACTAACTATCACCAGCCTGAAGATGCTGCTTTAGACTTACTTCGACGTTTAAATCCTAAAGACATTTCAAAAAACTTGGATGCCATTCTAGCTGTAGCCCCCGATTTGGCTGATGTTCTTCTTTCTTCCGTGGATCAGCCCTTGCAAGTTAGCAACTGCTCTGAGTCAGGCAACCAATATCTACTTTGTGATTTTAACCGTGATGGTGATTCCTATCGTTCACCCTGGACCAACAAATATGATCCTCCCTTAGAGGATGGCCTGGTCTCTAGCGATCGTGTGAGAAAGCTGGAGTCGGCTCTCAATGAAGCTATGCGCGTCTACCTAGATTTATACTATGAAGGTGGTGTTAGTAGCGTTTACCTCTGGGACCAAGATGATTCCTATGCTGGCGCCGTACTCATTAAAAAAGGTATGATATTGGTCATTTTCACTTCCTGCATTCCATCCATCTAACATTTCTTTAGCTTCCAGCTCTGGTAGCTGCGGTTGGGATTCTATTCATGTCTTTGAGTGTCTACCCACTTCGGAAACCGATGTATTTGACTATCGTTTAACTAGTACTATTATCCTTTACCTGGGATCTGACCAACAGTCGTCTCTTGTCTCTGGAGCCTTAAGCCTATCTGGTCATTTGACTCGCCAAACTTCCCAGCGCATGCCCGCAAGTGACCAGGACGGTGAAGTCAGTAACATTGGTCGTCTAGTCGAAGAAATGGAAACCCGTATGCGCAATTTCCTTCAAGAAGTTTATTTTGATAAAACCAGAGACATTATTAATCAAACTCGCTCTATACAACCTATCTCCGAAAATCCCGACAAAATGGCTCTTCGTTCTGTTTTGAAGAATCTGTCTAACTGATTTTTCTATGAATCATTTTAACTTCTCTTATTTTTTGCTACCGTACAAGACTGTTCATTTACTTCCATACAAATTAGGCTTCCTGGTCTTTCTTAGTTGCGAATAACTGACATTTTATGAAGATATAAACAAGACAAAATTGAATAATAATATACGTTTATATGAAATAATTATCATTGAGAGAAAAAAAAAAAAAAAAAAAAAAGGAAAGCTAGAAAGCGTGAATCATGACTAAGACATACATTAGCGGTCTTCTATGAAGAAACTTCAGGAAGAATAATTAAAGAAAAAACCAAAGCTTTTAATAAATATAGACATTATTAATTCCTCATGAAATTAACTGGAATGCTTTTGAAGATTTCGATCTTGTATGGCCGTAATTAAAAGCATATGGATTATGAGCACAGGATAAACGATAAAACGTAACAAAATCCATTTGTAGCTGAGGACAACAGACATAATTTTTAGCTTCTATGCATTTAGATTGTAACTGAACAAGCCAAAACCCTGTACACTGAAGAAGTTCCATTTGTTGTAATTGAGACATTCCTTTAGGAATAATGAATGTGCCCGTAATTGACGCAAGCCATCCAACGTTGTACATAATATATAGCATCTGGTCATTGGAGTAAACTGGAAGTGCTTTTTGATCTGGCGAGGGTAATTGAATAGGGCAAGGAAGGGTGACGTTCAAATACTGAGCTAAGAAAACGCAAATAAATGACAAGGGTAATGCAGATTCAGGATTTAAAAACACCTTTTCTTTGTTCTTTGTACATACATCAACACCGGATATCGTAACAGAATCATTCAATTGAATGGCTTGCTCTAAGAAAGCTTGGTTTCGACGCTGTACGTTTTCCTCGTAATCAGACGCGAATCCTGACACACCCATGTTCAGCTTGGAAAATTGATAGGCTAAACTGGCATCCATGGAATCAACTTCACCCTCGTTTTCGGAAAAATATTTACGACCTTCCCCAATAGACATTAAACGAACGTCCCTACGCCAGTGAAGCTGGTACATCTCGAGAACCTTTCGAATTAGGGATTGTTGGAGTTCAGTAAGCTTCAATTGCAAAATTTCAGAATCCCGAAGAGAACGTATATAACTCTCGGCGCGTATATCACGGTTGCGTATGGAACAGTCGTTAAGGCTTTTATTGTTAAGCTCCAATGTCTCTCGCCTTTCCTTGATATTTTGTTCCATATCGTCAATTTTTTGTTGAAGGGCGGAAAGAGCAGACAATTTATCTTCTCGAATGTGGCATAACCTGTCTAATTTATCCAAAAGTACTTCTTTTTCAGAAAAGCGCTTTCGATACAAAATATTTTTTCCTTGCTGCTTCTGTATATGTTCCACGCGGAAGATAACCTCTTTCTGATGCTGATCCCTCACCGTAAGAAAACTCGTCAAATCTCTACACAGGCATTGTTCACAAATGGAAGGCGGCCTTGTTTCGCAAAGTTGGCATTTCGTAGCATTCGGCATGCAAGGAAAAATATAGATCCTTTTTGAAGGGAAGGAAAGGACTTACCGTGAATTGAATATTTGTTTATTGCGTCAAACGATTCAAGTAACACAATGCGACTATGAGGCAAAAAGCGCTGTTGTTGATGATAATTATTTTCACTCAACAGCCAAGATGATGATACAAAATGTTCTTTATAAAATTAGGAAAACAGGGTAGAGAACAAATCGGGGTGATGCAAAGACAGAGAGAAATGTGTATGAATGCAGGAAACTTTGATGCGGAAAGGACAAATTCTAAAAAGTAAGTTTTTGCATTTCTTTCTTCCTGTCAATTAGTCTATTTCAAATTGAACAGAATCCTGTATGGTGACTTCAATGGCACACCTTCACGAGATTCCAAATTTATGTACAATCCAGATCCGTGTGAATAAGGAAAGAAAAGGACCCTGTTTCTTTTCGAGGTTAAAAAATACTGAAAAACTTGAATCAAAATTGCTGACTTTTTAGTTTACTTGAGTTCTGCTCCAATTCCTGAGGACGAAGGTACTGACTGGTTCGTGGTAAGTGGGATCATATTTCAAGCAAGCAAGCAAGACCGCTCACCCCTAATTATATAGCAATGATCTTCTTTGTTTACCTGCTTATAGATGATGCGAATTGAGGTTTTATTTCATAATGTGGTGAATTGAAGAACACTTAATTCCTATATAAACAGAGTACCGTCCATGTTGCTACGATCTTAGGATAAACAATCAAGGTATACTGGCAATAAGATTACCACAATCATACAATTTTTCATTTTCTATTTTTATTCAACATTATTTGTAATAGTAGATTGACAATAAATCTTTTCTTTCTCGGTTTTCCCCCCCCCCCCATTCTTTTCTTTTCCTACATATATTCAAGTACAGTTTCTTAAAAGCATCTGCAGTAGGCCTCTGTCTGTATTATTGTTTTTCGTAGTGTCGTTGTTGATCATTATTTGTTTATCGTGTTCACAGTACACTTCTGTAAATAAAAAAATCACCACCACCCACATACATGTCTCAAGCAAAACGCCCTCCACGAACAACTACCAGGAGTAGCGTGTTCTTGTCTATAGTACTAAAATTGCTGTATATTGTGAAGCGAAGTAGCAAGTAACAGAAATTTCGCTGGCTATTTCTCCTTTGAAGAGTTGTTTCTTCTTTAATTACATTTTTAAAAATTGAAGAAGTTTGAAATCGAAGGCTCGAAAATCTTTGCATTCTTCAGTCGATCATCAAAAGATTGTGTTCCTTCGAAGCTGTTGGTGTTTTTGTTAGTCGCGAAGTATCTGGGCGCCTTTAAGTTGAGATATTTGTCTTCTTAAAGTTTGTTTTTTTTTCTTTTTTTAAAAAAACTTTTTTTTGCCCCATCGTTGACTCGACGCTGAACAGCGTGTATGCTATTGGAAAGTCACCGGTTTATTCTTTGAGTAATTTCTTGAAGTAAGCAAACTTTTCCTACTTATTTAGAAAATTGATTGAGAAGGTATATATTAAGTTTTCCTTCACTTTCACACATATCGACCATTTTCGAAAGTCCCAAGGGAATACGAATATCGGTCAATTAATTTCTGGTGCCAATTGATTTAATTTGGCAAATTCTTTCCCTTTTTTATTACCTGTTCTTTCTATACAGCAGAGTACTTTGTCCTTGTCGACTTACGTTTGCTGAACTCTTTCTTGTATACATTTGTTTTTATATTCCAGTTTATTCACAAGCCTAATATCAGTTTACACAAAATGGACGGCAAAAGAAAGATAGATCACTCCGAAAACGGTCATTACGAGGACCTACCTTATGACACCAAGCGCAAACCTGTGTTTCCACCATTCATTGCAGACTCTCTCTCAGAAGCCTCAGAAAGAGCGAATGAGTCAGGTGGCGACATCAATGCCCGTCTTCAAATTTTGTCAGAAATGTCAAAGCGCGTTCAGTCTACGACCCCTCTTCCCAATCTTGAAGTTTACAAACAAACTGGCAGCATTGCCCCGGGTCTAGCTGCTCCCGGTATACCGACAGCTGAAAGCTTCCTCCCTCAATCTTTTCCTGGAACAGTTCCTCCTGTTCCCTCTGTAAACCCTTATGCCCCTCCCTTTACCAATTCACAAAATCCCTATGGAGAAATGCCTAATTTCTTGGATGCTCAAAGTTTTAATATGCAACCACCATACCCAGGGATGGTTGGTACTATGCCTTCCTATGTAGACGAAGAAGAAGACGCTAGTGATTCCTTGCCTCTTTCTCTTTCTTCCCAATCTCTCGTTTCACAGGTTCCACCCCCTAGAACATCGGCTCATCGTCCCACAATGCGTGAACGGTACGCTGCCAGCAGTAATGTGTCCAACGGGCTTCAGTTTACTTTACCCATCTCTTCTCGCAAAACCTATGAACCTGAAGCCGATGATGACAGTAACGATGATATGTATTCGGACGATGAATCTAATGCCGATCGCTGGGCATCACGCATTGATACCGCAGCCTTAAAGGAAGAAGTTCTTAAATACATTAACCGCTGTCCCACACAAGATCTTGCAGATATGACGGGTTGTACGTTAGCCGAGTCTGAATTTATGGTCGCCAAAAGACCGTTTGCCGATCTTGAATCTGCTTTGATTGTCAAGCAGCCTCGGCCCGTCATTCCCAAGGGACGACGTGGTAGAAGGGAGAAAACCCCGTTGGGTCCTCGTCTCGTTGGTATTTGTATGGAAATTATGCGTGGTTACTTTGTGGTTGATGCTTTGATTCGTCAATGTGAACAGTTGGGTGGAAAAATTCAACGTGGAGTCGAAAACTGGGGCTTACCAAGTTCGGCAACAATTGAAGAAGGAGAAACTTCTCTTGTTAGCTTTGATCAAATGAAAAACATTGGTACTCCCTCGAATGCTCATTTCATAACAGAACCTCCTGCATCCTTTTCACAAGAGGTTAGTCTACAAGACTATCAAATTATCGGTATCAATTGGTTGTATTTGCTTTACGAACTCAAGTTGGCAGGTATATTGGCAGACGAAATGGGTCTTGGAAAAACATGTCAAACAATTGCCTTTTTTGCCCTGTTGATGGATAAGAATGTGAATGGTCCTCACTTGGTCATTGCACCTGCGTCTACCATGGAAAATTGGTTGCGTGAGTTTGCCAAGTTTTGTCCGAAACTGAAAATTGAATTGTATTACGGATCTCAAGTGGAGCGTGAGGAGATTCGGGAACGCATCAACTCCAACAAAGATTCATATAATGTTATGTTAACCACGTATCGTTTAGCCGCTACTAGTAAGGCAGATCGGTTATTTTTGCGGAATCAAAAATTCAATGTCTGTATTTATGATGAAGGGCATTATCTGAAGAACCGTGCTTCCGAACGGTATCGTCACCTAATGAGTATTCCAGCGGATTTCCGTGTTTTATTAACTGGTACTCCTCTTCAGAATAATTTGAAAGAGTTAATTTCCCTGTTGGCATTTATTCTTCCTCATGTGTTTGACTACGGTTTGAAGAGTTTGGATGTTATTTTCACGATGAAGAAGTCACCGGAGAGTGATTTTGAAAGAGCTTTGCTTTCGGAACAGCGAGTTTCTCGAGCCAAAATGATGATGGCTCCATTTGTATTGCGTCGTAAAAAGAGCCAAGTGCTGGACGCGTTGCCAAAGAAAACACGTATTATAGAGTTTTGTGAATTCTCGGAAGAAGAGAAGAAGAGATATGAAGAGTTTGCAAACAAGCAGAGCGTCAACAATCTGTTAGATGAGAATGTGATGAAAACGAATTTGGATACAAATGCGAATTTGGCCAAGAAAAAGAGCACAGCAGGATTTGTTTTGGTTCAACTGCGAAAACTTGCAGATCATCCAATGTTGTTTCGAATTCGGTACAACGATGAGGTACTTCGAAAAATGGCCAAGGAGATTATGAATGAACCACAATACAAAAAGGCGAATGAAAACTATATATTTGAAGACATGCAATACATGTCTGATATAGAATTACACAATTTGTGCGGAAAGTTTCCTACGATTCAACCATTCCAGCTGAAGAACGAGCCTTGGATGGATGCTACCAAAGTTAGGAAGTTAAAGACAATTTTGGAGAATGCTATTGCCAAGGGCGATCGGATTGTATTGTTTAGTCAATTTACACAAGTTCTTGACATTTTACAATTGGTGATGAAGAGCATGAATTTGAAATTTTTAAGATTTGACGGATCTACGCAAGTTGATTTTCGACAAGACTTGATTGATCAATTTTATGCGGATGAGAGTATCAATGTATTCTTGCTGTCTACAAAAGCAGGAGGATTTGGTATTAACTTGGCATGTGCAAATATGGTGATTTTGTATGATGTATCGTTTAATCCATTTGATGACTTGCAAGCAGAAGATCGGGCACATCGAGTTGGACAAAAGAAGGAGGTGACGGTGATTAAATTTGTTGTGAAGGATACGATTGAAGAACATATTCAACGATTGGCGAATGCCAAGATTGCTTTGGATGCCACGCTTTCAGAAAAGACAGGCGAAAAAGCAGAATCCGAAGAAACCGATTAAAAAGAAAAAGGAAAAGAAAGAAAAGGTCAATTTTATTTAAAAAAAAAAAAGGAAAAACAAAAAAAAAAAAGAACAAGAACAAGAACAATGCGAGAACGAGAACGAGAACAAGAAAAAATAGAAAAGAAAAAAGAAAAAAGAAAAAGAGAAGAGAAATGGTTGTAATTGCATTTACCTTATTTAATTCATCGGGTGCATTCTTATACTCTATACTTTATGAACCAGTGTTGTTGTTTTTGTTGTTTATTATTATTTTTGTTGAACTTTTTTTTTTCTTTTTCTTTTTCTTTTTATTTTATTTTTGTTTTGTTTTGTTTTTTGGTGGGGAAAAAAGAAACGATTCAGCTAAATTCAGGTGGGAGAGTTTTAATAAGTCTAGTAAATCGAAAAGATTAATATGATTATAATTATTTTTATTGAAACTGGTACGGATTATGATAGAAAGGGAATAGCTGTTGTAAGAGTAATCAGCGAGTTTGTGTAGAGAGTGTTGCAATGAAAGGAAGAGCAATAATAAGAGGATTAAAGCTGGGAGTGTAGTCTATCTAGTAGATGGATGGATATGGGATCAAGGTGGAATTGGAATGAAAAAAAAGGAAATGAATTGAATTAAAAAAAAAAAAAATAATAATAATAATAACAATAAATAAACATCAATGCGAATGAATCATAGAAATCAAATAGACTAGAAAAACAAAAAAGAAATTTGACCCCGCCAGGATTCGAACCTGGAATCTCCTGATCCGTAGTCAGGCGCCTTGACCATTGGGCCACGAGGCCTTGTTGACAAAAGCAGATAAAAAAATGTTTTATAGAAAATTACGAATAATAAGAAAAAAATAAAACTTTTCATTTGAACAAGTGTCGAGCAAGCAGGGGGGTTTTTTTTTCTAAGACTTTTCTCTTTTTCTCGTCTTTCCTTCGTCCTCTCTTTTCTCTTCTCTCTCTCTCCTCCCTCCCTCCTCCATCCTTCTAGAAAACACCTTTGCTTCTCCACCCACCCTCCTCGCTATCTCTTTCCCACAATCCCCGCCCGATGTTTACCACGCTTCGACTAAGCCACGCTAATGCTTCCAAGAACCCTTTGCGAGAATTAGTGCACCCACCAACCAAGCCAGTCATCGAATGATATCATGACCATGTCGTCACGTTCGGTCATGAGAAATTTGGACGGAAAAAAAGGGGAGAAATGAACCAATAAAACAACAAATTCGTCTAATAAGAAAATGGCGATGCAAATCCTCTTCGCCAAACTTTTTGTTACCTATTTCGCAGATAGTTTAAAGTAAAGACGACTTGGAACAAGCTGGGAATCCTCTTCGAAAGCGTATAGAAACGGGCCGAAATGAGAGAAAAAAATTGCTTTTACTAATAATAAGGAGAAAAAATGAATGATAGATGACAAAGCAGAGTGAAATTTACAAGCGTTTTGGCCAATAATTGGGTATTAGTCATCAAACTGGTAAGGAACTTGATACAATGAGAGTCGGTAGGTCAGCAAAAACTTTGTTCCCTCAAGGAATAGCTGATTCATTAGAATGAAATCATGCCTCCAAAAAAGGTATATATATAGAAGGAATTCCTTGTAAAATAGTATCGAAAATCAAAAAGTTTTGATTTAGTAGTCTTTTGTTTTAATCAAGTAAAAAGACCCAATTTCATTTTTATCATGTCTGGTCAAACTGTTGCTATTCTTTTCTACTCTACCTATGGCCATGTTGCCCAACTCGCTGAAGCCGAGAAGAGAGGTATTGAAGCTGCCGGTGGTAAGGCCGTCATCTACCAAATCCCCGAAATCTTGTCTGATGAAATCTTGGCCAAGATGCACGCTCCCAAGAAGCCCAACTACCCCGTCGCTACTACTGACATCTTGACCAAGTACGACGCTTTCCTCTTTGGTTACCCTACCCGTTACGGTACCCCTTGTGCTCAATTCCGTGCCTTCTGGGATGCCACTGGTGGTCTCTGGGCTAGAGGTGAATTGCACGGCAAGTACTTTGGTCAATTCTTCTCCACCGGTACTCAAGGTGGTGGTCAAGAAACCACTGGTTTGACTGCTTTGACCAGCTTCGTTCACCACGGTATGATCTATGTTCCTTTGGGTTACAAGAACACCTTTGCCATTGCTTCTGACCTTGGCTCTGTTCACGGTGGTTCTTCTTATGGTGCCGGTACCTTCGCTGGTGCCGACGGCAGCCGCTCTCCTTCTGAGCAAGAATTGACTGTCGCTACCACCCAAGGTGAGCAGTTCTACCGCACTGTTTTCCGTGTTTAAATGTAAAAAGGTTTGGCATGGTAACTGAGACTATAGATTAGTTGCATCATTAAACAACGTGTAATGAATTTGCATTTGATTTCTAAACTTGCTCGGTGTGTTTGTATGTATAGTGTTTGCATTGAATTGAATTGAAAAGCTATAAGGTATATAAATCAATTTTTCTGAGTGTTCTCTATTCATAAAGGAGAAGGACTCATAAAGTATCTTGTTTCCTATTAAATTATATCTTTCTATGCGTCATACCCAACTCTACTACTCTAAAAAGGAAAGCGCGACTGATGATGAGTCGAGTACATCTATGTGCTGCTGCAATCTTACTCGTACCGTATATAAGAATAGCTTACTGAATAATAAAATATGGCTGTACTCAACAACCGAGCGATCGATCGATCCTGATCTGATCTGTCTTGAAATCCTTTCATGCTCACACCTTCATCACTTCCTTGTGAAGACTGCCACATTATACCATCCTCTCTACACACATATATTTCTTCTTTCTTAATCACACTCCTCTTCACACAATTTCCTTCGCACCTCTATATATCTCTCTCTCCTTCTCCAGACGTCCAACTTCTAACCTGTTTGTTTGACGTAACTATGCCGCTGAAAACATTGTTGTATACTGTACGTTCGATGAGGCCCTATTTATGATATGAACCCATGATGCATGACATGCTTTTCTGCCACCCAGCTACCTAATGTAGACATGATGTGAATCCTACCTCATCCCAATGGGAAATCAGACGCTTCTCTAATCTTCTTTCTTCAGAATCCGCTTACGAATTCGTCATTTGCATTAGAAATGTGCCTTGTTATGATTTCATGTCGATTCTTTTCGTTCCTTTGATTTTCATGGATGATGCGTCCTCTGATTGCCATAAAAGGCTAATCTATTCCTACTTTCAGCAACTTTTGAGTTTCGCATTGACTTTATCACTCAAATCGTTTGTCGTCTAGCTTTATTTATTTTGATTTTGATTTTTGTCAATTGACGACTTTTGAGTGTTTCTCTTTTTGTCTATCTAAATTTATCTATCTAAAACAATAAAGAAACAACAAATCTCTTACTTGCATATTTTCCATCATGGTGAGTTTTATCGTCTTTGGTGCTTCGGGTCATTTAGCCCATCAAAAAACCTTTCCAGCTCTCTTCAATCTCTTCGCCAAAAACTACGTCGAGCGTCAGTCCTTTTACGTTATAGGCTATGCTAGAAGTAAACTATCCGAACCCGATTTTCGAAACTCTCTAAAGGATTACATCAAGCCAGAACAGGAACAAGCAAAAGTTTACGATGAATTCATCAACCGTGTTACCTACTTTACCGGACAATATGACCAGGAAGACTCTTTCAAGGAGTTTAGTAAATACCTAGGAAACTTGGAAAAGAACACCGATCAAGCCAAAGGCCTTCGTGTCTTTTATTTGGCCTTGCCTCCCTCTGCTTATGTTTCTGTTGGTAACTTCATCCACGACCATGTCTATCTTCCAAATGGAAAAACCAGAATGATCATCGAAAAACCATTCGGTAAGGACTACGATTCTTCAATTCAACTTAAAAAGGATTTGCACAAAAAATGGAACGAGGACGAAATCTACCGCATTGATCATTACTTAGCCAAAGATATGATCATCAATTTGCCCACTCTTCGCTTCGCCAACCCTCACAGCCTTGACGCCTTGCTCAACAATCAACACATCAAATCTGTAAACATTTCCATGTGGGAAAGCGGCGGTTGTGATGGTCGTGTTGGATACTACGACATCAATGGTGTTGTTCGAGATGTTCTACAAAACCACATGGCTCAAGTCTTCACCGTCGCTGCCATGGATGAACCCAAATCCGGAAGTCCTGATGATGTTCGCTACGAAAAGGTCAAAGTTTTGAAAGCAACATCACATGCGACTCTGAAAGACACTCTCTTGGGCCAATATGTAGCCGGTAACGGCAAGGGTGGTTATAAAGATTTGGAAGGAGTTCCAAAGGAAAGTAAAGCTACTACTTATGTCGCTACTACCCTTTTTGTAGACAACGAACGCTGGAAGGGCGTTCCTTTTGTTTTTGACTCTGGTAAAAGCTTGGAGCAAGGAAGAGTCGAAATCAGATACTACTTGAAAGGTAAAGAGTCTGGTATATTCTCAGATACTGATCAAGACCATTACATTTCTTTTTCTGTTCAGCCAAATCAGGAAGTCGTTTTGACTGCTTTCGCAAACAAGCCTATGAGCTCAGCTCGTACTTGTGTCAATGCTGCTTTGAACTTGAATTTCAAAGAACAATTTGCCGAAGAAATGAAACAGAAACGGGATGCATATGAGATTTTGTTTGAGGACGCTATCAAAGGTGATCCTACAAAGTTTGTCCGTGACGACGAGGTCGAGTATGCTTGGCGCATTTTTGACGAAATTTTAGATTCCCCTAACGAGCCCTTACCTTACGCTGCCGGTAGCACCGGTCCTAAAGAAGCTGAAGAGTACCTGAAATCGCACTTGAAGCTTATACAGTAAGCAGCTGCATGCTTCTGATCGCTAATGATTCTATTTTGGACGGTGAATTATCATGTAGTATTACCCATAAATTTTGATGTAATTACTATATGGTTTGCTATAATGAACCCAATTCTTTTTGGTCATTGATGATTGTCATTATATATGATTTATTTAAGTTATGAATGAAAAAATAAAATTTCAGGTCCCTTGTGTTCATATTCTTTATGGTTTCATCTGTACTACAATTGTTTTTCAATCGTAAGCTCTGCTCTACAAAGTTCTATCAGAGCAAGAGAAATTATTTACTAATTAACATGGATTTAATGATAGCTAATCTGTAAAATCGTAAAGCAAAAGTATTGGATTTCACATAATCAATGAAATATTCTTCAATTCAGAAAAATAAAAAAGGATATATATAATAAAAGAACTAAATATACATACGTTAAACTGGTGAAGATAAATCTTCATCCTTTGTACCAAAAACTGTAGGGCATTCAGCGAGCGTGTGACTCGAATTTTCACAGACTTCACACCAAACTGTGTTATGATCGGAATCTTCGGGAATCTTATTTAGGGAAGATGGGTTTTCAGTTTCAAAATCCTCATGAAGCGACATTTTCTCGATCGTAGATTCGAGCTCCGAGATTCGATTGAGCAGCTTTTCTCGCTCAGCTGTGGAGTCGTGAGTAGGCTTCATGTCAGATGGTGTAAAACCGCTTTCACTCAAACGAGCCTCTAGCTCACTAATGTAGTAACTTTTTTCATCGCAATCGGCTTGCAAGGACTCTACCTTGTTCCGTAATACTTCAATCTCAATTTCATAAAACTCTAGTGTCTGACGCCGCTGTGGATGGTTTTCTGGTAACTCTCGAGATGCTTTGCCCCTAGAATGGCTTTCATATGAAACGTTGGTCAAAGTTGGAGAACCATTTTCTACCATGCTGCGATGTTTACCATTAATGGACCCGTTCTCCACAGGCGTTCGTGACCTTAGCACCTTCCCAAGACGTTCTTCTAAGACTTCGATATGGCTTAACGCTTCATCCCGTTCTTGACACACGTTGAAAAATGCATCTCCCTGCTTATCCGTTGAATGAGCGTCTAACTGGAACTCCAGTTCCGATATTCGATGCTCGTAAGATTCTACGAGTCGGGTTGTAGAGTCTTCTAGATATTCGATTGTTGATTTGAAGTCATGACGTCTCTGAGAAGCCTCTTCTCTCATTTGCTGAATACGCTCCTCTTTCATGGTAATCCGCTCGCGCAGCTCGTCTAACTCATCTTGCTGATCAGTAAAATTCGTGACTAGTGCTTGAAGCTGATCAACACTCGAAAGAACTTCTTCTAATTGTTGTTGATGGTTTTGACGCTCAAAAAGCAGGTCTTCAATACGCTTTTGAAGAATTTTCTCTGTAGGGGTAAGGGCGGTTGATGAGATACTGTTTATGTTTATGTTATTATTAGGGGGAAAAGCGGTTAATCTTGGGATAGCAGATTGTGGATTGGGAGACATTGGAAGGGAGGTAGGAGCTGGAGATGCTATGTAATTTTCATTAACTTTAGGAGATGACGATGGCGATGCAGCAATAGAAGAAGCTATTTTGCATTTATCGATAGGTAAGAATATACCTGTTCTATCTCCGTTTCTTGTCTTGAAATACTCTTTTCCGTCAACGATTCCTCTATTTTTGCCCGATTCCGCGTATTCAGGAAATAACTCCAATCCTACAAAGTTACCTTTACGGCCTTCTACTTCACCGACATAACGAACGAATCCTCGTTCTCCAGTAATCGTTTCTGCAACGCTGCCCAAAGGAAACATTTCTAGAGTATAACTTTAGTCAAAAACAAAATATTACTCGTCAATAAACGAGAACTGATTAAAAAAAATGAAAAAGAAAAGATGGAATAAGAATCAAAAGGAATTAGAGGTATAAACCCATTCAAATATTACGCAAACACGTTAGGTTGAATGTGGATAGTAATAAATATTGAACCCCAAGAAAAAACAAAAGAAGGATCAAAGGATCTAAAAAGAACGTATATGTCAAAACAATGGCTTCACTCTAGGTGTTTTCGTAAAAAAAAAATTTATAAACCCAGATTCTGCATTCAGCAATTATAAAGACAATTCAAAATTTTTTAGGGAAATTTTCCTATTTTTATTTTAAGCAAGCCAAAAAGAAAGAACGATGGATGTACTGTTTTATGCAGTGAAAAAAGAACTGAAATAGGCGACTGCCTAAACGAATATCAGTCTAGTGAAGAAATGAATATCTTTTAGAAAATATTTACCAAAAAACAAGTACTTTAATTCCAGCTATTCATTAAGTGATTTACTTCGAAAGCAACCTGGAAGGTGAATGGTGCTTCAGCTAAAGAAACTAGCAATAGCTGTAGCTAAGTGACATAGTCACCTAGAAGAGTTGAGGACTATGTTGAAGATATCTATAATCCATGCAAATACAGGAAAAATACTATTATGTAAGTCTACAAACTCTTAGGAAGCTAATACTAACAATTGTTTGTAAAATTGGTTTATTCTGGTTTGTAGCGTAAATGGTATTCTAGCTATTCCAGTTTATATGAAATCAGAATCGACGCAAGCTCTAAAGAAATAGTATATCTACTACGTTTCATTGTTTGATCATATTTTTTAATATTGGGCTCTCTCTTTCCATCATTAGTATTGTTGCTACTTGCAGTAAGAGTTTGAAGAACGAGGAACGCTGGCTCGAAAACCAGCAAATTGTCAAATCTGATTCCGGTTTTTTTATTTAGGTTAGACAATTGTTGTTTACAGAATTATTTAGTTTTTAATCAGAGTATGTTTTACCTGAGTCTCATGAAACTAAACTTTTCAAATGGTTGATCATCAAAAACGTAAGAACAATGCATTTACGATGTTCATTTAATAATAAATCAACAATTTTTTTTTCTTTTTTTTTATTACAAATTACTAGAGAAAGATCGCCTTGAATTTTTTATTTTCTTTTTTGGAATAAATAAACAAAAATTTATTTCGGTTTGTTTACTTATATTTTTTTTTCAACTAAGTGACGATTTTTACACTGTAAATATTATTTAAATAAAAGAAGTTAATAATTTTGTATTTCTGGTTCATCTACTTGCAGTTTAGCATAATTGTAATTGCAAATGTTACCAACCCAAAACCAATATGCCTACGAAAACGAAGAAAAAGGCAGTTCGTGACGCGGAGAGGAAGAAAATAGGGTAAGTAGTCCATTTTATCAGAAGAGAATGATTAATAATAATTATGAAGGTTTAATAATGCTCCTACTTCTAAAGAAGCCGATTTGGAAGATGATACGCCAAAATCGTTTAAGAGACTCATGAAAATGAAAGAGTTTTCTGAAAATAAGCTGAAGAAACAAGCAGAACCAGAGAAGAAAAAGAATAAACCACAAAGTAATGAGCAATTGAAGCGAAGACCTGGCGAAAGTATGCGTGAATTCAGTCTGCGGGTGAATCAAAGTATTCCGGTGGCATTTAAATCAGGAAAGGCGACGATTGATGAATTTACGGATAAGAGGGATAAGAAGAAGATTCTAAAATTTCAAGAAAAACGCCAACGTGAGCGGAACGAGGCCGAAGAAAATTTGGAGGATAAGAATTGGGAAGAAGATGTTTCTGGGTATGCTATACTATGTTTTAAAATATGTAACTTGTTCTTTTACTTACCATTGTAGAAACTTCATTCATGTTGAATCGCGTAAAAAACGCAAAGGTTCTCCTGATCCTTGGGCTGGTATTCAAGAGAAACCTGCCTTTGGCGAAACTGTACAAGCTCCCCCCAAACTTCCCGAGCTGAAGTTGAGGAAGAAGATTACGGTAGAAAACGTTCCAAAATTTAATAGCAAAGGTCAGCCCGAGTCTTTAGCAAGGCGACAAGCACTCGGACAGGAACGTCAAGAACTAATTCAAAAGTATCGTGAGCTGATGCACGGGGGTAAAAAATGATTTTGAAATACGTTAGTTATTTACATATTATATTTGGGTTTAAGGTATAAATTTGTATTATTATTCCATTACATTCATTAAATTTGCTTCTATGGTTTAAAAGAAAAAGAAAACCTAAACTCTTTCATGAACTTTGAACTCAACAAATAACGTATCTATAGCCGAACCAAAATTTCCCCTAATAGTTTGTAAAATTTCCCAGTCTTCTCTTGATAGTACTTCAGTAAGAGAACCGGTCATTAGTAATTTGCCTACCAAATCACAGCATATTTGTTCTAGTAATTGCCTATTCACTGGATTTGTTGGCATGGTTATGGGAACCCAACTCGTTTTATTATCTACCAGCTTTACAGGAGAGGCATTAATCATTTTTCCATAGACAGTCAACCATCCCTGTAAAACAGAGAATAAAGAATGAACCATATCTTTGCTTTTCACTGCTTCTACACCAGGAATGAACTCTTCCGTTTCAGCCTCCCTAGTAGTCTTAAAGCTCGATACCATTATAATTACTTCCAACAAAACCCTCGTAGCTTGAAGCTTTAGTACGCCAGAGCTGTCTCCGTTAATTAGAAAGATTAAACAATTAAAAAATTTTTCCCCAGATGAACGAATAAGTTCGCCATCCAGTGATTCTTCACGAAGAAGTAGCCAGAAAAACAAACTTTGTTGAGACTGTAATGCGGGAAACTTAAGAGAATCTTCAAGCGCATTAGGAACTCTAGAAAGCATATCTGATAACTTCTCATAAATAATTCCAAATTCGGCATTATCCGTTATATTTTTTATTGATGTACATCCTTCCATACGCTTTAGGCATGCTTCAAATCGTAAATGGTCATCTTTAGTGACAATGCCTTGACGTAGATTGAAAGAAAGGAACAACTCAAGGAATTCTTGAATACTTTGATCACACATTTCTGCAATCCTGAAAGACGATCTCTCCTCTAAAACCGGAACGGACTGCATCTTTAAAAACACGACCGTGCAATCATGTATTATACTCGCATAATTACTTGTCAAAAAAAACTTTGATAAGTTTAATAAAAGGGTTTCAAAGGGTTTTGAAAGCTGCATATGTGCATACTGCTTGAAATCAAGTGTGAAAAGCAACTGAAGGGTATGATGGAGTAACATAGGAGAAGCAGCTTGTCTTTCAATAATGTTATTCAACAAGGGAAGGATTTTTAAATATACCATTTCCTTTTCATCATCCTTTTCAAGTTCATTTCGCTCCTCTAGTTGCTGCCTTCCAATCTTTTTAGGAACCGCAAACTCAGAATCTGACATGTAGAGAAGGGAAGAAGCTAGTAGTTGCAACAAAATACATTCTTGACTTTCAGAAAGTTTGCAGTATTGCAAGACACCATTAACAATTTCGTTAGACTTGGGGTCGTAATCGTCAAACAATATATAGCTAGCAATCTTTTCCCATGACTGGTAATCATTATCCAGTCTACATGCATTTAATAAAGTCTGAGTAATTGGCGTTGAATCTGAAACGTTCCTTTGAAAAACATAAAACAGTCTCAAATCACTAGGATCGGTTTTCAATGAATTCTGCAATTCTTCCACTGTTTTTGATATCTGAGCATACTTTACCCAAGTGATATCGAACGAATTAATTGTTTCTTTTGTAAATGACTCAGAAATAACTTCCTCGTCTCCCCAAGATCCCAATTGTTCATGTGTAGCTTCTTGCACATTAGAACATAAGAATTGAATTGCCTCACGCTGAATCCTTGGATTAACATCCAAAATAAGCTGCGATATTTTCATAACCTCTTCATCTTCTAAAAAGCCACACGCTCTGATAGTATTACATAAACGAATTGAAGCTATGCGAACAGTAGCTTCAGCGTCTATGCAGCTTATTTCAATGATTCTTTCTTTAAATCTTGACGTAAAATGTCTGAGGCCCCCCAAAAAAGACTCTGTTTCAAATATCTTGTGTAAAACTTTGACTACAGTTAGACGAGCAGTTGTGTTCGTATCTGACAACATCCAACCTAGGTATCTTAAATAGGATCCAGAGAAAAAGACACTTGGGACTACATTAATCCAATTTCCAAGTTCCTTCAGACAATCAATTCGGATCTTTGGTTCAACGTCTCTGTATCGATGCACGAAAACACTAACATATTAGAGATAATACACTTTAAGAAACTTACCTGTCAAAATAACTATTAAGATATTCTGATATTACATCTTGTTGCTTCGTGATTGTTTGAAGCGAATCACCCAATTCCTGAATACGGTTTTTATTAGGGCGAGCCCTTTTTTCCTCCTTTGCCAACTGCTTCGATGCTATGGCATGGTCAGATAAAAATTCCCGTGACTCTTCGCATAAAGCTGACATAATAATCAAACAAAAAACGGTAGCCGTATGTCGGATTGGCCTCATTGTCGACGAAGACATCGCTACAATCCAGGACATAATATTCTCAAATCTAGCACTGTCATTGTAGAGGTATTTTTTAGAAGAGAGTTGTGAAACGAAATAAGCTAAAAACTGAGAGAGCTTTTTCCGGAAATTACGAAATTTAGCATTTTTTGAGTTTAAAGGGTACTCACGAGTCGTTGTCTTTGATAATTATATTAGAAAGATTCTTCATATTCAGCATCACATACCTTTTCAACGGAGAGTTGAATCTGAGAAAGTGTTGCGGAGACAGATTCTTGATCTTGGACATCAAACTCATTTACCGTTCGATTACAAGCACAGCACTAAATGTTAGTATTTAAAAGTAAGCGATAAATATACCTTTAAAATGAAGTTAACCAATTCAACCAAAGAACCTTGCTGGTCTTTCTCGTACTGAGTAAGCCATTCAACGACTATGTCCTTTACGCTTGCAGCCTCATTTAATAGGTCATCTAAATACTTTATTAGAGAAAGATAATAAAAAAACAACATACCGTAAATTTTATTAGGGATCTCCTCTTCGTGGTCTTCCTCAACCAATGTACTTGCTTTCGATCTTTTAACTTGTCTGCTTCTTCCGGAAACGGGTCGCTTTCTTTTCGAAATTATAGTTTTTTCATAATCATCATCACTATTTTCTTCCTCAGAAGACGAATCTGAACTGTTCCTCAAAGGATCCATTGCCTGAGACAATCTTATAGGTGATGAAGCCCCATCTCCATTATCATCACTAGATGGAGTAACCGAACGAGACATATTTCAGTATTTTTCTATATTTTTCTTAAATTTTTACAGGATCCAAGTCTATAATGGCTTGCACGCATGAAAACGTTAGCCTAAGTTTCGTAGAGGTAATGAGAAAAACAACGCGTCGCGTCCTAAGAGAGAAAACCTATTCGCGCATTCCTCCCTAAAAAGGAGATACAATAAAGAGGTAAAAAAATTTATATTTTATATGAATAAAACTTTTTTACTAATTGAAATAGAATTACATTAATAGGCATACACAGGAAGGATCTGATCACGCGTTTTCACAACTGAAACGCTCGCATGGAGTTTACTTTTGTTGCTAAAGGGAAATACCTGCTCTTGTAGCAATTTCTTTTCATATAGTCTTAGAAACAAATTTAGAATTTGATTTTATGTTTGTTTGTTTACATGAATGTTCGTTACTCTACCCATTGTGTACGAGTAACAATGAAGTGTCTCAATAACCGAGTGCGCGTCGCGGATCACGCGACGCGTCTCTTTAATATACTTACACCTACCAACCCAACTTAAATTAAACCGCAACCCACGACCAGACTCTCTTGAGATTGCTTGGATAAACAAATCAACATGGTTTTAGATTTACCTTGTATACCTGAAGATGTCGGTGGATTAAGAGACATTACTCTGGCCATTAATAATTCTCTTCCTCCTACTCCTGATTCCTCACCTGCTGGTACATCAAAGAAACATAAGTTATACGATTTTCTGGACTTTAACGGAAAATCGACGAAGCCGAAGAAACGTGTATTATTTGATACTTCGAAAAAATTACACAAGCCTCCCGTATCACATAAAAAGCCTAGCCAGCTTTGTAAAGAGTTATTAGCTAGACAGCTTGGAGGAACACGTTCTCGCATAAATTATATTCCGTCAAATGGTAAGTGCACCTCCGCCAATGACAACTAACAGTAAATTGTAGGCCATGTTGGAAATAGACTAAACTTGGAAACATTTTATTCTCGACCTTCAGAGTGCTTAATGATGCTCAATCAGCTTCCGTTTTGTCTTGGATACGCACATAATGAATCATTACTCGCCGTTTGTACCGAGACTGGTGCTTTAGAGTTATTTGATTCTAAATACTTTGCTCGACAAAATGAAGACAATCAACCATCAGGTATGCCAAAATAATGTTCCCCGTAGACTAAGAGCTAACTGTGAGATTAGCACGTCGGCTTCATGGATGGCTTGCTCATAACAATGCTATTTTTAACGTTAATTTTTCAAGTGATGATTCTTTGCTAGCCACATCCTCTGGCGATCAGACAGCCAAAGTGTTCGACCTTGCGACACAACAATGCATTACGAGACTCGGTCGTAGAGGGTTTGAAGGCTATCATTCTCATTCAGTAAAACAAGTCAATTTTTGTGACAATTCCCCTTACAATATAGTTACCTGCTCTAGGGATGGGTCACTCATTTTTTGGGATATGAGAACTCACGGTATAACTGTTGATGGAGAACATTATCAGAAACCCGTCCTTAAAATAAAAAAAGCACATGAAAGACAAAATAGAGACTGTTCGGTCACTTCTGCTATTTGGTTGCCTGATTCTACTTCTCAAGTAGTATCTTCATGTTCTGCAAACTCTACACTTAAACTGTGGGATCTTCGGAATATCCATACAGTTCGTCCACTTCCTCTTTCTTCTACTCCTGAAAGTAAAACGTCGAGACGTGATTATGGTATCACTAGTGTTTGCGCCTCGCCTAGGGGAGATCGTGTATATGCCGCTTCAAGAGATAATACAGTATATGAATACTCTTCTCAAAATTTAGAGTCCGGACCCTACAAAACGTATAATGACCCGAGATTGCGCATATCATCTTTTTATGTAAAAATTGCTTGCAGTCCTGACGGTTCGACTTTGGCTTGCGGAGGAGGTGTACAAGGCGAAAATAGCGGTGCCATACTTTTTGATACCACTAGGAACAATTCCTCCTCATCTGCCATGCTGGTAGGTGGACATTCAAAAGATGTAACCGCCGTAGACTGGTCAAATGATAAACAGCTGGCTAGCATCTCAGATGACGGAAGTGTGCGTGTTTGGAATTCTTCACTACATGGTACGGCTGCAAGTCTAAGAGAAAAGAATTTTTCAGAAATTTTCTATTGGGGACACAGCGAACGCTAAAAGTTATGTACAAGGATTTGCTTGAAAAGAACCACTATTAATTCCCTTTCCTTTTTTTCCGTTAATTATCTGAACTGAAGTGAGTACTATTTCAGCATCCATTGTTTATGACTGAGTATATAGAGGTAATGCCTGTGGGATATTTGATGTTTTTATGTTATTTGGATATAAATTATAAAATTAATGATCAAAGTAAAATACTGTGAGTGTAAAAGTAAGATGTCTGGCGCTCTCCATTATAAATTAGAATTAAGAGGAATAAAGTATATGAATACAACATGGATTAATATATATATCTATGCCGTTCTTTTGAACAAATTGATGTATATAGCCTTTATTTCCTCATGTTCGATAAAATACGCCTAAGCAAAACCTACGTAGTTAATGTTCTGTACCTCCCACAAGTGGACTACTTCGCGAAAATAAAAAGTGTTGGATGGACATGTATAATGGAGTAACTATTGAATTTTAATAAAATGGTAAACTTCACTGATTACATTTGCTATGAATACCTTAAGAAAACGAACTGGAATGTTCATAACTTATATTGCAATCTCACGCAGACAGCCGACAGTAAGTAATATGAGTTTTTGTGCAGTCCGAATAACATAACAATAGACATTTTGAGATTTGATATTCCTTCCGGAATTAACTGCCAGCTTTCCTCTTTGACGACTCCTAATTTTGTGTCAAAATGTGAGATTTCAGCAATGCCGATCCTAAATGGATCTCTTTCGTACATTTATAGCAATGTAGATTTAGATAATGTTAAAGTGGATCCCCTCACAGAACTCCAAAAGTTTTATGAAGGATACAGGCACGTTGATGTTCCATTTATACATTATCAAGGAGAGTTAGAAGACTTCAATCTTCCTAAGAAGTCTACCCTTCTTTATGGATGCATTTTTCTTCCTTCTAAAAAATTGGACGCCATATTTGCGAGGCGACTCTCTCCATGGAGTCTATTTTCTGTCTTGGCTACCAACGAGGTTGAAGATCCAGATGGAGGAACCGTAAGTTTGATAGGAATTATGTCGACAGCTAATCTTTGAATTAGATGTGCTTTCAATGGCAGCATGATACGGGCAAGAGAAGTTTGGAACTAATGTATGAGACGACGGAAGCAATGATAGGGCTCAGAGCCTTATGGAATTTAAATTTGACAGAAAATGGGATGAAAAAAAGAATTGATTCATGTAAAAACACTTCCAATATGTGCTGGAGTTTGGGCTTTGAAACTTATTATGGCGTGTTGACTAAATGCGCTGGTGCAAGTTTAGGCATGCGACTACATAGCGGACCTTCCCATCTTTATTCACCTTTCATATTAACTTGTACGTTGAATCCGATTGTTGGACATATTACTTCCACCTTTTCGACGGCAGAGCCTCACGTGAAAGCTTTTAGTGTGCAGTACGACTTTAATCTTTATTCTTATGAAAGTAAGCTTCAGATTGGAGCTGAGCTTTGGCGTGGCAAGTTCTTTTCCAAGACACAAGATGAAAATAATCGCTCAAGAATCCAGTCATGTACGTCTGTCTTGAAATCTGTGCTTTCCACAACGGGAGAAATTTCGTTGCTTTGGCAAGCAAGAATCCGGAATTTTTTGTTGACGTTGGGTACGACGGCACACATTACAAAAATCGATCCTTTATATTTTGGAATCCACCTTGAATATGCTAATTAGTCAAATGAAACAACATTCAAAACCGTTAAGAATATTCAAGCTTCGTTATATTAATGTAATAATCATCTCTCTCCTTACAGATGCATCAGGCTTGTTTTGGCTATTGAAGTCATATTTTATGGTTTACATTATGAAAATAATACTAGCTTACCTTATTAATAAAATAGTTACTTCGAAGTGTCAAAACAAAAAGATCCACAAAGTGATTTTATTCTTATTTTAATTTGAATTTACGGACGCAATGATCATTCAAACTTATATATACGAAAGAAGTAAACATTCACGAACTCCTAAAATGGCTTTCTCTACTACCGTTCAATTACTGGGGAAGGGCATTGCTAGTAGCTCCAGGGGCGATCACCTAGTATATGTGTTAGTCATTATAACTGTAAATCATGGATGTTATCAATTACCTCGTTAGCACCACGTTGGTCCTTCAATTGTTTCTCGTATTCAGAAAGCTGAGCTTCGTCCTCTACGGACATCATAAAAGGAACACCTAAAAGAAGAGCAGAAGTGGAAAGGACCCATAAAGACTTTCCTCCAAAGCTAGAAAGACGAGAAACGCCGGAAACAGCACACTTAGCACCATCGGCGATCTTGACGCGCCAAGTAACGGGAATAACTTCCTTCAAAGCAGTGATACGGTCAAAAATGGTTTCATCTTCAAGTCCCTCAAAGTCAGATTCATCAGAGTCAGACTCTTCGACGTCTTCTTCAGCATAAATGTACTTCTCCTTTTCAGTAACATTTTGACCTTGGGTCTGTAATTCAGTCTCGTCAACGACTTCTTCGAGTTTAACCATCCTGTTTTATATCCTCAAAATCTTTTATGATGGTTGCAAGTGCAAAAACTTTCAAGTCTCAAGGCCCAAAAAGTTGGTGTTTTGGTCTTACTGCACAGAGCCTTCTGTTCCGTTTGACTTGGTGGTTATAATGCAATGGATACTCTATTACGGTAGTTCATTTAAAGAACTACAAAGCGGTCTGCAATCTATAGATTAAAATATACAAAAGCATATATGCAAACCTATTTAACACGCTGATGTAGTATGTTAAGACAACATGTTCGCTCGATGGAAACAGCATCATCGGTGCGTTTAATTGAATTCTTTCCAGAACCAAACAGCAAACGCCGGTACGTTTGGATTTCCGGTACCTAATAGTAAAAGAATTATTAAACTATGAAAATTCCTCTCTTGGTGACGATATCATTATGGCTTTTTGGTTTAGTAGTCGCCAAAGGCGTCTTTGAGTTCACTGGTCTCCAACAGCTTGAAGATGGAATTCGCTCTGCTAAAAAGGGAGCATTGATTGAATTTTATGCTACATGGTGTGGCCATTGCAAGAACCTTGCTCCTGTGTATGAAGAACTTGGACAAACTTTTGACGATAATAAGGATATCTTAATCGGCAAAGTAGATGCTGACACGTTTGGTGAAGTTGGAAAAAAATATCAAATTCGCGGATTTCCAACACTCATTTGGTTTCCCCCTGATGGCTCGGATCCTGTTCAATACTCCCATGCTCGCGATTTGAATAGTCTTACGCAATTCGTTTCCGAAAAGACAGGTGTCAAAAAGCTAAAGAAAAGCGCAGTTCCTAATGACGTTATTGAACTGGAGTCTGCAAACTTCGATGAAATAGTAATGGACGATACCAAGGACGTCTTGGTGGAATTTTATGCTGATTGGTGTGGCTATTGTAAGCGTTTGACTCCTACCTATGAAAAGCTCGCCAAAGTTTTCAAGAACGAGCCAAATGTTAAAGTTACAAAGATCAATGCTGATGTTTATGCCGACGTTGGTATGAAACACCAAGTTGCTAGCTTCCCAACTATAAAACTTTTCCGAAAGGGTCATAAAGATGAGCCTGACGCGTATAACGGCGATCGTTCCTTGGAGAGTTTGACTGACTACCTTAATGAGAAGACAGGATGTCAGCGTTCTGTTGATGGAAGCTTATTGTCATCAGCTGGCCGAATTCCCATTCTCGATGAGTTTGCTTCAGAATTTATGGATAACTCTCGGGCAGCAAGGGAGGTCGTTCTCGAGAAGGTAAAGCAGTTCACATTAGAAAATAGTTCTAGATGGACTCAATACTATAGAAACGTCTTTGAGAAGACCTTGAAGGATGAAAACTGGGTTACCAAGGAAGCTAAGCGTTTATCCAAGATTTTACGTCAAAAATCTATAGCTCTTGCTAACGCAGACGATTTCAAAGCACGTCTTAACATTCTTCGTTCTTTCGTTTCTTCCGATAGTGATGAGCTTTAATGTAGATCATTAATGATCTAGTTTATACATGAAGCTATAATGAAAACAAGTACTTGAACGTTTAATATATTTTATTTGTAAACTTTAATGTTATTTTTGTTCTATGAATATTGATTTATAAAGCAATTCAATTGTAAGTTTGGTAACACAAAGTCATCGGTTCGCTGCTGAATGAGTTGGTTTGATTCAACACGGAACAAAAAGAAAAATAATCTAAGAAGTATATGTTCTTTTGTATGAAAAAATAAAGCAAGATTTAACATTATCGATGTGGATGACAAGGCCTTAACTGCTAAGGAGTTTATAATTGAATTCACCTCCTTAGACTAAACGCATCACCACCGTTGCTCTCACGACATAGACATATTTGAAGTTTTGGTATTTTACAGACAATTATAAAAATTTCTAGATTATCAATAAACGAATAAAAGTTACTAAATTTTGGAATGGCACCAAAAGCTAAGCAATCGCAAAGAGCTTATACAATAGTAATTAAGCTTGGTAAGTACTGGAAACTTCGGTTGTACTTCATTTGTAAAATGATAAATCATATATGTATGAATAATTTTTTAACCCGTTTGCAGGTACTTCGTCCATTTGCGATGAGAAAACACATGAACCACTCATTTCCAACTTGTCTTTAATTGTGGAGACTGTCGTCAAACTTCGAAAACTAGGCCATAATGTCGTCTTAGTATCGAGTGGTGGTATTGCAATGGGCCTGAGGAGATTGGACCTTCCCAAACGTCCTTCTAAACTCTCTGCTGTTCAAGCTATTGCTGCCGTTGGTCAAGGTAGATTGATATCTCTTTGGGATAACCTATTTTCTCAACTTCGACAGCCAATTGCCCAGATTCTAATTACCAGAAACGACATAGCAGAGGTAAGGTGTCTCTTCTCGGTGTATTGTATCGAAAGACTAACAACATTGTTTATAGAGAACGCAATATGTAAACGCCGCTAATACTATTTCCGAGCTTTTACATTTGGGAGTTGTTCCAATTGTCAATGAAAACGATACGCTTTCGGTACAAGAAATTCGTTTCGGTGATAATGATACCCTATCGGCGATTACTGCGGGAATGATTAATGCGGACTACCTCTTTTTATTAACAGACGTAGAATGTATGTTTACCGCTAATCCTCGTACAAATCCTGATGCAAAACCTATTCGTATGGTACAAGACACCTCTTCGGTGATTGCAGACGTTTCTTCTCCTGGTAGTAACGTTGGTACGGGAGGAATGAAAACCAAACTTATAGCCGCCGAGTTAGGTACTTCTTCAGGCGTAAATGTTGTGATTTCGCATGGTGCTAAACCATCCAATATCCTTGAAATTATTCGACACGCATCTTCATCCGCCGAAGACCTAGAAAAAATTGAGGGGTTACCTCTGTATACTCATTTTGTTGCCAAAAAACAAAACAGAATACGCGATCGCCATTTTTGGCTCTTGCACGGTCTAAAGCCACAGGGAAGTTTAGAAATTGATGAAGGAGCCCATGTAGCAATCACAAGGACGAACCGTGCTGGTCTGTTGCCTGTAGGGGTTACCAATGTAAACGGCCACTTTGCCGCACATCAAGCTGTGAACATTACTTTTAAAGATGCGGTCATCGGTAGAGCCTTGGTAAACTATAGCAGTACTGAGATAGAATTAATCAAAGGGAAAAGGAGCAACGAGATTGGCAACATTTTGGGCTTTACGGAAACTGAATATGTTGCTTACCGTGATTATTTGGTCATCAAGGATTTCGGCACTCATTAAACTACAAGTTATTAGACTTTTTTATATAGATGACTCTGATTTTTGTTTAATTATTTTGGTTACTGAAGCCACTACTATTTCAAATTTGGAGCAGGTATGTTTGCTTCCTTATTTTTCTATCGCTAAATATTAACTGAAGTCGCTTTTGAAGTAATAATATCCTTCTTTTTGTTTGAATAAATTAGAGCTTTCTTCGTGAAGTTTTAAGTGTGTTTCTTGAAATTAGTAACATTTTCATTCATCATAAATAAAAGAAATTTTACAATGAACCAGTTTAATAATCTCAAAGTTAATTCTCTAAAGAGAAGCTCCTTCCCATGCTTTAACTAATACCGCCCACGAATTATTTTTGGCTTAACCAACAGCACCCTGTTCATAAAAAAATATATCTCCTCTCTCATTTTTAGCTGAAATAGCTTACAGGTCTTTTTATTTTTGATATGTCTTTTTCATACAAAAATTTCTCTAAATTTTTGTTAGGTGGTCTTTCAGTTGGCTGCGTAGGTGGATACTTTGCCTATAAAAATCAAAACAAGCCTATCGGCCTTAATACTGAAGTATATTCTCCTTTTACTATCTCTCAAATCACAAAAGTTACCCCGGATGCCAGTATTTTCACTCTCACTCCCCAGGGTTCTCTAGAAAATATGAAGAATATGGATCCTATTTCCAAAGTTACTATTCGCAACCCAGACATGCAGGTTCAACGACCTTATACCCCCTTATATATCAATGAAGATAACTTCAAGTTTTATATTCGTAACTATGAAGACGGACCCGTGAGTTCCCATATCCATTCCAAGAAAGAAGGTGACACTGTTGAACTTCGTGGCCCCTTCAAGACCACCAAGCTAGACCATACGAAATTCTCCAGAATTGTTGGTGTTGTTGCCGGTACTGGTATTGCACCTATTTATCAGTTAGCTCAAAACTCAAAGGTCCCTGTCGATATCGTATATTGCGAACGTCCCGGTCAAGAGCCTGCTTTGAAGGAACAATTGGAGAAAGAATGCCCCAATGTTCGTGTACGTACTATTCAAGATCGCTTAATCGCTGCGGATGATATCTTGAAATGGGATGGTGTTGACGTTCCTTTGAGTGAGACTCTTTGTATCATTTGCGGTAATCCTAAGTTTGTTGCTACAGTTGCTGGACCAAAGGCCGAATTTGGAGCCAAGCAAGGCCCAGTCAAAGGACTTTTGGAAGACTCTTCTTTTGGCAAGGTTTGGAAGCTTTAAGTACATTTACTGTTAATGTATTCAGCTCAAATTTAACAATTATCTTATCTTACTTACGGTTTTGTATTTATAAGAATTTAGTCAATGACAGTTCAATAAAACTGCCCTTTGTCAAATACGTGTGTTAGTTAGACTCGTAAATGAAGGGAAACCTTTTATTCATTATCTTCATTATTATCAAGACTAAGTTGAGGTGTGTTGTAAGGAACGTACAAGAGAAAGGAAGTTGGACAATTATTGGAATCAATTCTTTGACATTTTGCGCCAAAGCCAGACAAGACCATTCGATCTTTCAAGTGAATGAAAGAACAATAAGGCTAATGAAGGAATTCTTCCACGGCATCCGTTGTAATATCTTCAATTTCTCGTACTTCCATAACTTTATGTACTTGAGATTTATCTTGAAACCAGACCTTGGCTGACGCATAAATCATAGATAAATCATGAGGTGAACTAGTCGGTCTCCAGTATATCATAAAAAGCGGCGTATTCAAACGGCCATCAGTCGTTTTCGTAGGGTAAGAGACAAGTATGTAACGGGGTTGAGTTTCAGACAATTCGTCTGCAATTTCTTCGACACTTTCTATTTGCATAATTTCTCCATCGGGGACAACTTCTTTGGTGCTTTTATCTATTTTGAAAATGTAGGCAAACAAAAGAGATTTCTTCAGTCTCAGACGAAATCGATCAATTTCCTTGATGATCGTATCAGAAATGCTAAACATACGGGCTTCGGACGACATTGTGAATTTAATGAAGCTCTCCAAGAACGGTTTTGTCGGTGCGATGCACGGAGTTAAGTTGGTCTGTTGAGTAATGTACAGCTGAAGTAATGGAAGGCAGTAAGTAAACGAAAGGCGTGACTAATCCAAGCACTTTCCACTTATTTTAATGGATAGTAGATTTATAAAATAAAAAAAAGCAAACATGCAAAACAGTTGATCTCGAAAATGTACTAAAATTATCAATTGACAAAAACTTATAATCACCGTGCTATTCTCTTTCGGCTTTGGAACAATGAATCGTAATGTTGCTTAGAAAGTTATTAATTAATTTTAAAGTAATCCCAAACCACTGTAGCTTTTCACTTATATAGAGCAACAAACTCTCAATGAGAACACCGTGTCACCGTATGTAATATATCGGTTGACAAGGAATTGGTCAGTAAAATTTCGAAAGTTCCTATATTTTCTACTCCTTTCTTTTTGTTATGCTAGCATTACAAACTTTAGAATGAATCACTGAGGTTTTATTTTTATGAAGACGCCCCTAATCAAGTTACTATACTGGATGAAAGTATTTTTGGATATGTTTTGACAAGACTTTTTAATCGCAATGGAGCCATACTGTTTTACGACGAGTTTCTGAAACTGTAATATAATTAATGCCTTTGCATTATGATATCGTTTTCCATGTTATTTACAGTGCGATACAAAAAAAAAAACAAAAAGCTTCCTGCAACAGTAATGATTTAAATAGTCTTTGAAAAGAAATCAAGACCTTCAACTATGATAAAAAGAAATGCCAAACAGATCGTTTTCTGTTGATTCTAGCAGCTGTCAAAGTTACAAGATGTCAAGTCAAACAAGCTATATAGAAAAAGGATACGAGAGATTTAACTACTATAAGATAGTCCAAAACTTCGAGAACAAAGGAAACGGCTATGTTTTCTCCGATTCTCTCATCAAGACTGTTTTGCATTTGTTTACTAGTAAACCAAGAAGGAACATGCTTTATAGAATACTCTATAGTATTATGTTGCAAGTAACATTTTCGAAGTGACAAGTTAAGCGGTGTTTTTACCTTCTTCGATAATATTATACTTGTTTCACTGAATGTTAACCCTTTCTAAACAGTAGTGTACGGACAGAAAGAAAACCCCCATTCTCTTGTTTATTTCTTTCTGTAATCCTCTTTTCGAAACATCATTGTTGTCTTTCTGAAAACTTTGAACTCAGGTGCATAAATCCGGCAATTTTGTCAGCGCCGTGTCAAAAATTGTTTATGGTGCAATTGAACTCAGAGCCTTTTGGTAAAAAAAAACCTAATCTCCATATTCCTGGATTGAATCAAAAAAAGAAATGAGTTATGTGTCATATATACACAAGCCCTCGTCAGTGAGACATGCCGTCGTTTGTCAATTTGTCGACTCAGTGTCGTGCAATGTAATTATAGCTAAAACTAATTGTGTTGAGATCTACGAGTATAGTGATGAAAATAATCTTCAGCTTATAACATTCACTAATATATTTGGACGAATTGTTGGTTTAAAAGCATTTCGCCCTGCATTGTCGTCGACGGACCATATAATTATTGCTACTGATTCTTTTCATTATTTTACTATCTTTTGGGACTCCGAAAATCAAACAATTGCAAATGGAATGAAAATACAAGACTGCAGTGTCCGTTCTCTTCGAGAAAGTCAATCTGGTCCTTTACTACTTGTTGATCCCTTCCAGCGTGTCGTATGTTTACATATTTATCAAGGGCTTTTGACGATTATTCCAATTATCAACTCTAAAAAACGGCGCCTAAATAGCACGGACGGTTTTCTTCATGATAATTTTAATGTCCGAATCAAGGAACTAGATGTTGTGGATATATGTATGCTTCATACTCCTTCAGTTCCCACTTTAGCTGTTTTGTATCGTGACAGTAAATCCGTCGTACATCTTTCCACCTATACCATAAACGTTCGCGAGTGTGAAATTGATGAAGACAACTTGTATTGCCATGATATTGAAGAAGGTAAGCTTATCGCGCATAGTAATGGTGGTGTGTTCGTCTTTGGTGAAATGTATGTTTATTACATTAGTAAAGAGCTTAAAGCCTCTAAATCTTTACTTTCTTATCCGATTTCAGCTTTCACTGGGGTTTTAGTTTCCGATCCTCTAGAAGATTTATTTTCCATCAAGTATGATCCAAACCATTTCTTTGTGACTGATGAAAGCGGTCTTATATACCATTTTTATTCGGAGTTTTCTCAGGATGGCTTGAAAATGGACTTGGAAAAGCTTGGTGAGTCTTCGATTGCTACTTGCATGGTTTCCCTTCCCCATAATAAGGTTTTTTTGGGTAGTCATTACGGTGATTCTGCAGTCCTACAATTAGATAATCCTGGCTTGGCTAACCAAGGACTGAACATACAAACTCTACAGGTTTTTCCTAACATAGCTCCTATAAGTGACTTTATCGTCGAACATGAAAGTTCCGGATCTTCCATTATTACATGCAGCGGTGCTTATAAGGATGGAAGCTTACGAGTTTTAAAAAACACCGTCCCAATACAAGACGTAGGAATTATAGAAATGGATAGTATCAAAGAAGTGTTTTCTGTCTCTTTTCATGCCGATTATGACAACTACATTATTATTAGCTTTCCTAGTGAAACCCGGGTACTACACGTCTCCTCCGAAGGCGAATTTTCAATTTGCGATGAACTTTCATGTGATTCATCTACATTAAGCGTCGGTATTGTCGATGAAGGAAACCAAATCTTACAAGTCACTGCTTCAGGTCTGCGGTTGTTTGATGGAATGAAGCTCATGTCCTGGTCGCCTGAAGCTAATATAACTAGTGGAAATATGTATAAAAATCTTGTTTGTGTTGCTTTAACAGGAGGTACTCTGATTTTCCTTCGTATGTTGGAAGAAATTGCTAGGTTTCAATGCAATGCGGAGATTTCATGTCTTGACTTTTTGGATGATTCTACTTGCTTTATAGGACTGTGGTCGTCTTCAATCTTAGTATTAAGGATTGGACAGGAAAACATTCAACAGCTATGTCAATTTGAATTGAAAGACGTTCCCCGAAGTTTAGCTTGTTTTTCGTTTAGTAATCAGGTGAATGATTTCCTTTACGTAACTACGAATGATGGCCAATTTTTACAATACTGTTTCGGTAAAAAAGGTCTTCCTGACGCTGTATGCAAAGTAATACGAATAGGCAACACTCCCGTCAGCTTGAAATCCTTAATCTTAAATGGAAAAAAAACTCTAGTTTCTATTGCTGAAACTCAGCAATTTATCCACATGGAATCAAATAAACTTGTTTTCAGTCCCTTTCCTTCTAAAGAGATCGTCAGTATTACTAGATTCTGTCATCCTAATATAAATACGTCTCTTGTGTATTGTACTGGATCCAATTTAATTATGGCTTCTCTTGGTGTTATTCAGGGTTTGACTATACAAACAATCCCTGTAGAAGGGTTCCCACGAAGAATTTGCTCCTCAGACAAACATTATTTTGTCCTTTGTATGCAGTTAGAAGATGCTATAGGAAATCAAGAGCAAAGTCTAAAATCGTCACTCCGAGTTTTTGATAAACTAACATTAGAAGAGATCTGTCACTTTGTCTTCGATCAAAATGAAATGGTAGAGAGTATAATTTATCTGGAAACCAGCTCTAATGTTGTTGTTGGTACAGGATACAACTATCCTGACCAGGATACACCTGATTCGGGGCGATTGCTTATGTTTACTATTGATAAGGATAACCTTGATTTAGTTACTACCTATAAGGTGCAAGGATCAGTAAACACGCTCAGAAGTTACAACGGTTTAATTATTGCCGGTATCAACGCCACTGTCAGTGTTTTTGTCGTACGTGAAGGAAGCTTTCACGTTGAAGGTTGTCTTCGAACACCTACGTATACCATAGATCTTTGCGTCGATGATAATGATATAGTGGTTGGTGATTTGATGAAGTCAATTTCGGTAATTAACTATTCAGAAAGTCAGTTGTCTGAATTAGCTAGAGACTTCAAACCCATATGGGTATCGTCTGTTGAGAAGCTTGAAAGACACAAGTACTTTGTGTGCGATGCGGATGGTAACGCATTTATTCTTCTGCGGGATGTGCACTCGCCGCAAATAGCCGACCGCAAACGTTTACGCCGTTTGGATCAATACTTTCTAGGAGAGTTTGTAAACAAAACTAGGGTTGCTGCATTAAGAAACCCCCTAGAAGGAAGTTTTGTACATCCAAAGCTCATTTCCGTCACAGTGGATGGTGCTATAATGCTGGTTGGTGATGCACATGATTATGCTGACATTCTTTTGCAACTTCAGGATAATGTAAGACGTGCTTTACCTTCGACAGGTGGATTGAGTCACGAAGTCTGGAGAAAATGTCATTCTGAAGTCGCTGAAGACCTTCCAAGTAAGCTAATAGACGGTAATTTATTAGAAGGTATCGTGGATATGCCTTTGTCTATAAAGGAAGATATTGTTCAAGGGAAAAACGGAGGTTTACCTTTGAATATTTCTGTAAATGAATTGGTAAACTTATCGGAGAGTCTTGCTAGATTACATTCCTGAATTCATTAACCTAATGAGCTTTAAACGAAAAAAAAAAAAATTGGCAAGAACACTTCGGCATATAGTATATGTACATAAAAATTTTTTTGACGATAACAATTCACAAACCTTTTTTTTCCATTAAACATATTATTTTCCTTTACTTGCTCGTTTCGAGAGAACTTGTTACAACTCATTCGAAGATGAAGTCAACTACTATCTAGAATTTTATTAACATAATTTATTTGGTTTAATTTTCAAAATTCATAGCCTGTGCATTTAAATATTTAAATTAATATCGTAGACATATTCCCCTTTCAGTACCCAGACAAAGGAAGGACGTCGGAAATCCTAATACCACAACTCCACCATACACATCTTTGGACTTATAGATTTCAGCGTTACTAAGAAGAGGAAAAGATTCAACACACTTTTAAAAATATCCTACTTTACAAAGTAATATGAAGGTATGCCCGTTTACTACGCTCGCGAATAAGAATTCTTCGATGTAATACTAATTATGGGATTAGTCTACGTATTTGAGAGAATACAAATTAGTCGTTGTAGGTGACGGTGGTGTTGGTAAAAGTGCTCTTACAATACAACTGATTCAATCTCATTTTGTTGATGAATATGATCCCACAATTGAGGACTCCTATCGAAAGAAGTGTGAAATTGATGGGGAAGGAGCACTTTTAGATGTTCTTGATACAGCTGGACAAGAAGAATATTCCGCTATGCGGGAGCAATATATGCGAACAGGTGAAGGATTTCTTTTGGTATACAACATAACTTCTCGATCATCCTTCGACGAAATAAACACGTTTTACCAACAAATTTTACGAGTTAAAGACAAAGACAGCTTTCCTGTGGTCCTAGTCGCGAATAAATGCGATTTAGAGAGCGAAAGGGTAGTTTCTCGAGCTGAAGGTGAAGCTCTCGCTCGAAGCATGAAATGTATCTACGTTGAAACTTCAGCAAAGCTTCGACTGAACGTTGAGGAAGCTTTCTATAGTCTTGTCAGAACAATCCGTCATTTTAATAGAAGCGAAGAGAGGGGCCTTCATACTAAACAAGCTGCACAAGCTCCAAAATCTCAGCCAGCTGCTAAAGCTACTAAAAGCCCCACTACACCTCGTACTGATGATTCTTCTTCAACAAAATGCTGTGTAATATGTTAAATTTTTCTTCTTTTGTTTCTATTTCCGTTTTTGGTTGTGGCTAAATTTTTTCCTTTGGAATAGAAGTACGATTACGGGTTTTATATTAAGTACTGTTATTTCTCGTTCATTGTTGAAAAACGTGTTTTTACCTCTAGAGTTTGGATTGGTATGGATTTGCACCTCTCACTAGAAAGAGATTGATTGAACTTAACCTGCTTTTCACTTGATAATTATAATGTTGTGGTGGTACTCTACTACCTTTTGCTATTTTACCTTCTACTTAATTGCATTAGAGCCTCCTTAGTTTTTCGTCTAAAATATATATAACAAGCTTTCAATACTTGTTGACATAATATACAGAAGTCTAAATTTTTATTAAATAAAACAATACACATTCTCCTCATCAATTCTAGCTAATACCCAAGTAGGCTTTGCTTCTAGTATATATGAAAAAACTCGTACTGACCATTGGGATCATTTTTAAATACCCGATCGTTAGACCAACATAAAAGCCCCTCAACCCAGCGTCTCTATATGTTGACTTGACAACATTTTGTAATTTTAAAAATCGAGAACGACTTTCAACACCACCTATTTGCATTTTTCTTCTACATACCTCAAAAGGGTACGAAATTGTTTGTCCACACACACCGGCTAGGGCACCGGCTGTTAATTGTGACCACGTACTTAAATGTCGTTCATCTTTTTCAGAATGAAGTGCCCTTTTCACAATAGGATTATGAAAAAAATCTGTAGCAAGATCATGAGCTAAGAAAGACATTCCAGCGTAGGGGAATATCCCCATTAAGGTTACAGAAAAACCACGGTAGAAGTTTGAAAGTCTCCTAATTGAAGTAATTATAGGGTTCTCTTTCAAACTTCCAAAATCACGTTCATGCAAAATTTGGCCTGTAACGTTTAGAAGTTTGGGCTTGTTGTTTGATCCTGTTATATACGCAAGCCTGACTCGAATTAATTCAAGTGGATAAGTGAAACATACAGAACAAATACCTACATAGTTAGAATACGGGACTTCAGAGTATAGCAATCTTACCAGCTAAAGACCCGGAAAGGAATCTCCGGCCGTTAGTTTCATATTCTTCTGAGCGTATGAGCAGTCTACGAACCTGTTCATACGCAACAAACTTTATACCTGCGTAAGGGAAGACACGATAAAGAGTAGCCGTATGGCCTTGGAACAATCCTCGAACTCCGCTTATACGATAGATACGCTTTATGGATTTGGTTAACCCATGACGAGAAAAAGCATAACCACGATAAGCTTCATGGTTGGTTTGATAGAGAATTTTCACTCGATCCAATGGTGCAATTGTGGTTTTTGCAACACAACCTGCAAACCCACCTGCAATGCCGGATTTTATCAAAAACTCCCGTGAGTCTTTTGGTGGGAAATTTTCAGTTGTGTTAGTCATGAAGCAAAACGTAACCTATTTTAGACGGAGAGGAAAGCAAAAAAAGAGAAAAACAAAAAAGAACGAATAAAGATTAAATGATACGAAATCGTTTTCAATGATAGATGTCTTTTAGAGTTCGTAAAAGATTGTAACAAAGTTATTTGGTGTCTTAAATGGAATGGCCTCCAAAAAATGATGATGATGCCAAAATTGATCAAAACCCTATGAAGCGATCAAATAGTGCTTTGAATAGCTTGGAGTAATTAAAATAATAAATAATACTTTCAATTATTTCATAAGAAATTGCTCAATCTCTTGAGACGCTTATAGTAAGCAGGAAAACCCTGGGATTTCTCCTATTATTAACTTCAAGTTAGATCAGTAATATCCACTAAGCTGGAAGCTCAATAACGATCTTTTTATTAGATTTGAATATTTCCTTAATTAATTATATATGTATATTCAGATGGGAAAAGCAATTGATTTTATGAGATCTTCGTATGTCATGCTTGTGGGTGGTCGTTATGATGATCAAGTAGTTGGGAAATAATTGTAGTACAACATCTAAGAGTAGATCTGGTATATCTTCATTGAATAAGCCAAATCTGTTCATTTTTTTTAATGAAGCAAATTTTTATTGCTTAAATTATTGCTTTGACCTGAAGAAGTAAGTACCACATATTACTGCCAAGAACGAAGAAGAGGATTAAAATAAAGAATTGAATGATGTTATTACTTAACAAACAAATAGTTTATACCTCTAGCATCTATATCCCAAGGGCTAATGACTAAATCGCAGGTACGAGGAATAATATCAATGCAAATAATTAACAGAGACAATAGAGAAAGTAAAAAGAATTCATGGACTAGAGCGTACACGGTGTGAGAGCTCAAAATATGAATTTGATATGAATCGCCTCCGTAGAGAAGGATTTCTAATCGACCAAAAGATTAAGCAGTAATACTCGTTTTACGCAGCTAAAATGGTATATAAAGTAAACTTCTAAGAACATAAGCATCAAAATAAAGAGCATCTATTTCTTCCCCTTCTTTTTTTTCTTGGAGCTCTTACTAGGAGCAGCTTGAGGCTCCGGCTTCGGGGCGACAGGCTTACTTGGAACTGCAGGTTCGGGTTCTATTTAAAAAGATTAGTTATGTGAATTCAGTTTTATGAGAATGGCGATTTGAGCTCGAAGGATATCCTATAAGACACTGTTTAAATAAACGCTTTAATATGAAGTCTGAAATTCAACGTGCCACTTTTCTTTCTTTCACATATACTTAAAAAGTTTACATACCTGGTTGTTCTGGTGGAATTTCCAATCTGTTACAAACATGTCCAAGTTTGCTTGCAATAAGCATCAATCGACTCAATTCAGCAGCTTTGTCTGTTCTAAATTTTAAACATATCCCCGATGTAGTTTCATATGCTTTCGCAACTAGGTAACTCTGCTGGTCTTCATCAATTCGATAACGTGTGGTTATTTTTGTCTGAATACCTCCGTTAGAAAGTATATTTCAAGGTAATAATAAAACAGCTCTTACTGTATCAGGATACGCTTCTATTAAAAGCCTAGCTTGTTCAAAAAAATCATTAACGTTGGATATATACACCATCCTTTATGCTGGCTGTTGGTAAATTCACCATTACCAGTAACGAACCTGCGTTTAGTCTGCTTTCTGGCTAACCGATCGATGTAAGTTATGCAAAATAAAGGAAAAAGATACTTAATAGAGTTTTTTTAAAAATTTAAGCAAGCCATCAATTTTAAAGCTTTTCTGTTGTTTCTATTAGACGCGAACTTATATATATATATATATATATCAATTGTCTACCGTATTTATGCGGTTTGGAAAAAGAATTATCCTTTGGTTTTTAAAGATATTGGGTAAATAATTGTTATTACTTTTATTTCATTTAATTTAATTTTGCTTCCTAAGCTTCCTAGGTATATACTCAAAATGACACGGAAACAAAGAAAGAATCGTAAGAAATTGGAAAAGGGTTTTCGAAATATAGAAAGTATGTTGGAAGGTAGTTCAAAACATAAGCCTGCAGAGCACGAGATAAGGAACAACGATCATTCTCAAACTAATTCAGGATCGCCGGACGTATATGAGAGAAAACAAAAGCGAAAATCTTCAAAAAAGAAACAAAAGATTTATGGAGCGGAACCTTTAATTCAACAAAAGCTACCTGAGGCATATGCAAAGCAACATACGGAAAAATCAAAGCTTAAGAGTCGCGAAGACAATACCAAAATAGAGGAGGTTATTCACCCAGCTCCAAGCTTTCAAAATGACTCTAGTACAAATGAAATTAGGCAGAAGGACCTTCTCTCCTATGATGAGAACGACGCACAGGACATGATTAAATCTAAGGTGACTGTGGATGTTCAGTATAGTCAAAAGAATGCAGAGCACTTACGAGATACTTCACTAGACAAGAAAAATCAAATCATAGAAAGTTCTCCTACGAAAGATATGAATAACCCGACACTGAGGTCAGACGAAATAGGGGAGCATTATTCTGATTCTGATCATTCAGATTCAGAGTTTATATCTCCATTCAAAAGCAGAAAATCCCCTCGTAAGGTATTTCTATCAGATTCTGAATTTGAAGACTCCAACGAAAGCTTATCCAATGTTCCTCTGTCAAAGGTTGAATCAGACTTCGTAGCGAGAAACCCCAAAAGGAGAAAACATCTTCCGTACTCTTCTGAAGATGAAGCACCAGAACGACCTTCCGATGGTAAATACGCGAATGCAAATGAAAACAAAAGAGATGACTTTGATACCGAAGTAAAGCAAGAGGCAGAGGATTTGGAATCTCTGTGTTCCGATGAAGATGAAAAACATAAACGTAATAGGAATCCAAATAAGAAGGCCTTTCATGAGAAATTGGAGCTAATTAGAAGTAAGTCTTATTTTTTGATTTATTACTAACACTGTATAGAAAAACGTCAAGGAAATACAAGTACAAATGCTGAAGAAAACGCGTCAGACTCGGCGAGTGAGAAGACAGAGACTAGCGACGATGACTCTTCAAATGAAGAATCCTTCATAGTAGACGAAGAGGAAGAAGAGGAAGTTATGGGTGCTCGTGCATTACTTCCTCCAGAGTTTTCAATGACAAGTCATCAAGGTCTGCGAGCGCATTTTGCAAATTTCCTTCGGTACCATATCAAGCAGCTAATGAACCTTCAAACGGAAATTAATATTGATGATCATCTCCTTTTCAGCTGTAAAACAATTCGAAGACGTCTTTTTTCTTCAGTGGAGTCCAATGTAATCTCGAGTATTTGGAAACCAAGTTTTATCAGTATCTTAAAGAACCGCCCATCGATGACGAATAGACGATGCGAGGCTACATATGGGTGTGATGCTTGTAATATACATTCACGGTTATCAACGCAATTGGTGCGCTTTAAAGGCCATTTATACGATCGTGATACTTACAAGGTATGACCTACGTTTGAAGGTACTTGACGCTAACGTTTAAAGACTTTAGAAAATGACCCAGAATATCATGAAGAATCTAAAAAGGACTGGCTTTTGGGAAGTAGTTGCTATGAGAGAGCACGGCTTGCACATAAAATATTTCATTGGGAATACGACGTAAACAAGGAAATCACGACTCAACTCTCTCTTGCTGGCTATTTTGAAGCCCCGGTGCAGTTTTTAGATCAAATGTACCACGCTTTAGAAGAAAACAATTATCCGGAGTCTTCTTGGCAAGAATATTGTAAATTACTGAAATTCGCTAGCCCATCATCATTGAGTAGCTGGCCTTCAGGTTATCGAAACCGTGGATAATCTACTTTTTTAATAACTTATGTGTAAACTACTAAAATATGCAGTTAAAAAAAGGTTTTAAATTTATATAGAGACAGGAATAGGAATAGGAATGAAAACAAAATATATATATGTACCTTACAACATTTTATAATATTAGATATTAAATATTCTAACCAAAAGATATTGATTTACCCAAACAAGACCCTATTTACTTTCTAGCTTTCTCGCGGCGAGCTTTTCCGGGACGACTTTTGTTGCCCTTCTTATATAAGGCCTTCAAACCCTTTTTACCAAATTCGGTAGCAGCAAGACTGTCGGCATCATTGCTCTTCCTACCATGTTTTCTACCTCCAAAACCAAATTTCTCGTTTTTCTTTTGTCGTTTCAAGTTAGGTTGACCGTTACCGTTTTTTTAGTAGACTGTTTAGATTTTTCTTCTTTCTCGGCATTGGCCAATGTGACATCAAAATCATCTTCAGTAGTTAAGTCAGAACCAGAGCTTTTACGTTTGAGTAAATTAATCTTTTCCAAAGTGTCCTTCTTGGAACGTTGACGCTCTTCTTGCTTAGCAAGCTGAACCTGCTTACCAAACTTTTTGAGTTCACGTTGTTTCTTAGCTTGTTCAGAGAGCTTTTTAGAAGTGGCTTCTTTAATTAACTCTTGACGAACCTTCTCCATGTGGGCATCCGATTTCAGCATTTCAGCAAAGTAATCGGAAGGGCGAGTAATAGGAACCTTATGCTTCTCCAACTGCACGAAGGCGGCTTTGACACTCTCAACACCCTGCTTGTAAAATGCAAGTTCTCTGGTAAGATCATCTTCCACATTTTCAACAACAACGGGTTCGTTCGTAGTAATGGCTTGGTTTTCTACGAAGGAGATGTTATCAGGGTACTTAATCTTCTCATAAATGCTTTCAAGAGCAATTGTGTTATTTAAAGCCAATTTCCTTTTACGAACAAGATCTGCGTCCTCTTCTAGCTCGACACCTTCGAGGTCGGAAAGTTCCACTTCATCCTCATCTTCTTCTTCATCATCCTCGTCTTCACTTTCATTTTGGTTATCTTTGGGTTTTTCGTCCTGTTGATTAGGCTCATTAACCTTTGGCAATTGTTCTTGAACTTCAGTTTCGTCTTGCTCTTCCGGCTTTTCTTCACTTTCAATTGAATTCTTCAGAGAAGCAGAAGAATTTTCTTTTGTATCCACATTCGAGACCGCTTCCTGTTTATTCTCAGCAACAGCCTTTTTCTTTTGAGCAGCCTTCATGTTCTTTTTTTGGCTTTTCCTGCCTTTAGCATCAACACCAGCCATCTTTCAAACTAAGACTTTTAAATATGGAAACAGGGAACAAGCAGTTCAGAAAGAGCGTAGGAAAAATTTCAATGAATTCGCCCTGTTTTGAAGATGCTGTTCTTCGCAAGTTTTCATACCTTGCTTTTCGCTGAGGATACAGTCTCGTTCAAGTCTCCTTAAATTACTTTACCGTACGTGAATGCATATCGTAAGTATTAAATATCACGTTCGTTAAATACGGAAATTTATTTAGCGTATCATAACGGGGTAATTGATATAAAGCCGAATCTCTATGCCGTATTAGTTGTGGAGTAAGCGAAATGTTATCATACTCCTTCAGTATCGTATATCATAGTATCCTTGTTCCATAAATAAAATTTAAATATTATAGGAAATAAGCAACAACTTAATGAGGGATTTAAAATTTTTTATTTTTATATTAATTTAAAATTTGGAAATGCTTTTGGCTCGCGTTTCTTCGTGGCAGAACGATAGTTTTCATGAAATGTTAGGTATCAAATAGGCGCTTCATCCCGTATTAGCATAACAAAGTCAAAGTCTACTAGAAATTAAAAATTGTTTTGTATTAACTTTGCCATCATTATCTTTCTCTTAGAATTTGGTTTCTATTCCAAAACGTATTGAATACTGATGACAATCGACAAGTTCGCAAGCATTTGGACATTCGATAACTAATTAAAAGAAATAAAAAATAAAATACGTGTGATATTTCATTAAAAACAAAGTTTTAATTATTTCTGAATTCTTGATATTCATTCCCTACTTATTTAATTATTTACTAGTGTAAAATAGGGCTCTTTGTCGAACGTATATACCGATGCATTAAACTTCGTTACATTAATTGTTACCCGTGTGACTGTATTTATAGGTAACAAACACCCCACTTCAGCTTTGCGATGTAGGGTCACCGTGCAAGTCCCTTTGATTCCACACAATGCCTTTACCGGAATCTGTAGGCGATTTGGTCGTCTTACATTTTGAAACGAACTTGGATGATCATGGAATAAGCATCGGTCGGGCGCCATGTGAGATACATGAAATTTGCTGGGTCATATTGGATGGTAAGACATTAGAAAAACAGCATTGCGAGTCTTGTACTATTAAGGAAGAGTCCTCAAAAGGTGGAATTTGTGGAAGTGTGTCTTCCTTGCAAGAAGCGATTCAATATGTGGACAATTCCATCCAAGAACGCCTCAATATGCAGGAGAAACCTTTCACGTTTGTGGTGATGAATGGGCGGGAATTACGGGTTCTGTTGCCCAAGGAAGCAAAGGAACGTGGTATTATTTTGCCTTCATATATGCGTCATCCCCGTTTGTTTGATCTCTCTAGCGAATATGCCAAATGGCAGATCCGATCAGGCTCTGTTCCACCTTACACTATCACTCTGTCGCATATTTTTGGAAAACTAGATGTTGATTCGTTGCCCCCCATCAATGAATGCAAAACTATCCAGCTTTCTCCTTCAGAAGTCCCCTATATCACAAAGGGCTTAACACAGTGTTGGCGTCTTGCCAATGCTACTACGCTTTTGCTACGTAAAATTGAGCGCGAAACTAGGTTACCTTCATTCCCTAATGTCCTTACCCAGCCAATCGATTGTCAAGCAGATGCGAGATTGTTTTATTTGGAACGCTCCAAGGTAGTCCACATCAGTGGTTTAACAAACGACGTTACTCAGTCGGAATTGGAAGGTTGGTTTACTAATCATGGCATTCATCCCATTGCCCTCTGGACTCTTAAGACACCGGAACCTTACAAATCAACCGGTACCGGATACATTCTGTTTGGCAATCATGAAGATGCATCAGATGCTCTGGGTCTTAATGGATCATGCATTGGGGATCGTATGCTCGCAATCACTCCCAGCTGCGCAAAGGTTTTAGACAAGGCATCAGAAATTTTAATTCCCTTCCCCTCTAGCAAAAACCGTCCTCGTCCAGGAGACTGGAATTGTCCCATGTGTGGCTTCAGCAACTTTCAACGAAGAGTCTCCTGTTTTCGTTGCTCCTTTCCTGGTCCTGGCCATGCTGCCGCGGCGGCCTCCAATACCTCATTTCCTCCCGAATTCCCTTACGGTCAATCGTATGGTAACGGCGCCTCGCATGTACCTCACAATTACGGATTTAATATGCATCATGGTAATGAAGGTAACATCCAGATTGACCAACATCATAGCGGAACAGGTGCAGCAAATCATCATTCCTCCCGCTCTACCTTTGGTGGTAATGTCCCCTTCAGAGCTGGCGACTGGAAATGTGGTTCAGAAGGTTGTGGTTATCATAATTTCGCTAAAAACGTTTGTTGCTTGCGTTGCGGAGCTAGTCGCGCCACGGCTGCTGTTGTTGCGGATCACACATCAATGTCTGCAAACACCAATGCCAATAGTAATTTCTCAAACAATTCCTCCGGTATCTTCGGTACTAGTCCCATGAACGCATCTGCATCTGCATATCCATATTCTCAGCTTTCTCTTGGTTCTATAGCTGCTAATAATAACCCATACCCCAACGCTAATGTCGTTCGTCCTGAGGATCAAAACCGCTTTAAGGATGTCCCTAAAGCGTCTTTTGCTAGCGATCAAGGGGATTGGCTCTGTGAATGTGGATTCACTAATTTCCGTCGCCGAAATAATTGTTTACGTTGTAATGCACCTCACTATCCTAACTTACAGGTTCCTTCCTCTTTTCCTACAGATTTCGGGACATATGTCTAGAGTTCACATTTTAGTTGCACACCACATTAATCGCGGTCTCGCTGCTACTTTCAAAGAATCGGTGTCATGTATTTTTAATAATTTGGACAAAAAATTTATTTTCGTTGATGTCTACTGCTACTTTTAATAGAAGCGGAATCCTATAAATCTAATACTTGGCTTAAAAAAGGGGATTTTATGTACCAGATTTTTGCATCTCTTCAAAATTGTGGTCGTCTTGATAATTTAAAGGATTGGAAATCACTTTGTTGTAATGATATGGATGGTAAAAAGCTTGGTATAACATAAAAACTATCATCGAATTTGGGTTTACGATTCACATATTTAGTATCCATGAAGCTCTGTTTATACCTCTATATATATATGTACTGTTATAGCATGCATAAGAGTACTTTATGGTTTTGCTTCCTTTTTTCATTTGTGTTTAATCTTTGGTTTATGGAAACAAAGATTGATTGGGTTTTGTGTAATAGAACGGATAATATATTAATTCTGTATGTTTCTTCTTTTATAATGATATGATAGCCTTCGTCTCAATGTCTTCTGGAGCATTATTAGAATGTATGTCGCTCTTCTGAAGAATTTTTAGCTTCCATATAGCCGTCGTTGTTCTTTACAATGAGAGGTTTCAATTGGAAGACATTTGAGCAGTAGAGAGAAAAAATAGAGGTTTTTGGGCAAGTGCGCAATACAAAGCTAGTGGTTATATTGTATAATAAACTAGACTTTTACATTACGAGTTAGCTCAATCCCCTTCAGTAGATTTAGCTTGCTTTGCTGGACCAATATGCATGGATGACTTCCAATGTCTAGAATTAGTAGGTCGTATAAGTGAGAAAGAAATATCTTTTGAAAGAGTAAAAAAGGCGCAGTTCAGGATGAACCAAGTCACTCAATTTAGTGGTGATTCTGCGAACCTGGTGCTTTATTGGATTTTCAGACAATATCATGGAAAATTTGATAAAATTATTTGGATAGACACACTTGGAATCTTTAATCCAACTGCTCTACCATTAACTTCTTTGGAAAAAACAGCAATCATTCGGGCCTTTGATGCTGAAGGTTTACAGGACGCGATTAATGAGTTGGAAAGTGACCTTACCAACAATAGAGACTTTTCTTATGCCCTTTTCATAGATTCTTTCTCAAATCCTCTTGGACTCCTCATGGCGAAAGCAAACATCTCTTACGCCCATGCGTCTATGATGTCTATAGGTAGACAGCTTCGCATGCTAACTAGAAACTTTAAGATTGCAGTTTATCTTTCTACGTCTCTTGTTTATGTGAAACAGCTTCGTATTAATAAACCTGCTTTGGGTAGCAGTTGGCCATTCTGCATAGATCATTCCTTCATTTTGCAGGAAGATTTGAAACATAATAAGGGTCATCTAATCTGCAATCAAAGCCGAACAAGCCTTTTGGGAACCACTCAATTACTTCTATGGGTCAGAGGGTCTTTTGTCCATGAGTCGTTGACCATCGACTTTTATCGATGCATTCCCTACCTTCAAGTGTAATTTGTAGTCATTTAATTTATTGGATATTTTTGATGTATATACAAAACATATTTACTAGGAAATAAGAGAACAATTCCCATAAAATTCATTATATTTACAGAAGAGTAATGTTCTTCATTACTCTAAACTGCAATCAAGAACAAATGTCTCAAAGATTTGCAGATAATGCTGATGAAAAGATAGTAAATAATTAAAAGTACAATGAAGAAGAAGAAATTATATCGCGATAGAGTAATTGCTCCGTTACGACAGACTTCTCTTGTAGTTCATAATTGCCTAAAACAGCCGCAGCGTTACGAAATTGTTTCAACAACTCCGATAATCTTCTGAAAGTCCTAACTATACTTCCTTCATATAGTCTCGTCATCTCACATATTTCCAAGAACGTAGCTCCGTTTATCCATTTAGAAACGGCTTCCATCATGTCTGGTTTAAACTGATTAATGTATTCGTCTTCATCCACGTCCAGTCGACTTTCTACCGATACCGTCACAATTCGTCTCGCAATGTCGAGTATAGCTTTATATGTTTCAGAATATGGTTCCTTCAGATTAAGTGATGAGACATCTGATTTCTCCTGGTACACAAAGCAACTTAAAGTCGCAGCAAATATATCCGGGGATAGGGAATTAAAAATCCCTTGAAAAATCATTTCGGTTATTAAAAGTTCGTCACCCGTACTTATTTCACAAGCTACTCTACCCTTGATATCAATCACGTTGTCTGCTGTAGTGAATCCAAGACGCCGAAGCGTTCGCTGCCGACCTTTCAATTCCTTTAAGTGAATGATCGACTCGGTAGTGCTAATTTTCGTACTCAAGTCTTTAATAGTGTTCTTCAACCCTAGTTTATTAGTATATCTATGATATTCGGTTCGACACGATGCGTCCTTGTAGTAGGGGCTTTCTAAAAACTTGGGTTCTAGAATTTCAACTTTTCTCATGTGTAATTTCAATGTACTTTCTTTTATGTTCATGTGTTCTATAGGATCCAGCAAGGGTATATCGTCGTTCAGCCTTTTCTGAACTTCAAGAACATTTTGGTAAGTGCTTCTTCTGCTTTCATGGGAACTCAAGTCCTTCGGAAGGAGAACTCTGAGGCAAGAAAAATTCTCAATCGAGGACAAGAAAACAGCAATGACTTCGTAAACGGGTTTCTCATTTGGCAAAGGTGCGAATAGCTGGGCAGACCGTATATTGCTGTTAGAAGTTGACCGCGACGATAACGGGAGCAGTATATCGATAACATACATATCCTGAGGATTTACTCTTTGAGAAGAAGGAACCACTCGCTTTGTGGAGTTGACAATAATCCCCCAAGGAAACAATGTTTCACGAATTTTCACCTGTGCGAGCCTTCCAGGTTGTAAATACGGCAAACTATTTTCAGGTTCCAGGATAGTATGCTTTATGTCTCTTCCATAACGCTCCAATTGCAACTTTAATTCATGGAACCTTTTTAAGGATTCTTCATCTTTTATTTCGATAGATTTCTCTTCCAGCTTGTATTCGTCTAACTTTCGATGAAGCAAAGGAATTGATTCCATCTTTTGAAATTGGTAAAAACTTCTTCGTAGAAGATCTTCTGGACTTAACCCTTCAATTCGCATAAGGCTCAGAATCATATTATAACTTAAATGAAACGCAGAATAAAGAGATGCCGGCTGACCATTCATTAACGCTCGAGTAGTTTGCTCGTCGATAGACTGATCGACCATCACAATAGATAAACCTTTTGAGTCAATGCCTCGTCTACCAGCTCTACCACTCATTTGCATATACTCTCCAGATGATAACCAACGAAAATTAGTACCAGAAAATTTTTGAGCGTTTGTAAATAGAACCGTCCTTGCTGGCATATTCAAACCTATGGCAAATGTTTCAGTAGCAAATAGAATCCTAACCAAGCCCTCCTGAAAAAGGATTTCTACTAACTCTTTCATAATCGGTAACAGTCCAGAATGATGAAAACCAATCCCGCGTAAAAGGAAAGATCTCATATGATCAAATTGAGGAATTTTCCTATCCTCTTCATTCAACTGAAGCAAAGCAGAATCTATAATTTCATTAATTAGATCCTTCTTTTCATCATCATTAAGATCAACCTTGTTCAATTGGAAGACATTAGCTTCACATTCTTTTTTGCTAAAGCAAAAAACAATTAAAGGATCATAGTGATTAGTTATAACCATGCTAATTATGCGTTGCAAGGATGTAGTTCGCTTGCCCTTTTTCCTAGATTGATGATTCTCGCGCGATTCGACATTATTTTGAAGCACTTCCACGACTTTTGAGAAGCTTTCGCTCTTGAAGCGATTCTTTTCATCCACAATCATGTATATTCCATCAGCACCATGAGGATATATAAAATGTTGTAATGGTGTTGGTCGATAATCAGTATAAACAACATGACAAGGCTGACAATGTGTATCAGCAATCCAGCGAGCGAATTGCATAGCATTAGGAAGCGTTGCAGAAAGAAAGACGTAGCGAATAGCATCTGGTAGTAAAATGAGGGTTTCCTCCCATACTACTCCGCGGTCTTTATCTTGCATATAGTGTATCTCATCAAATATAACCCAGGCCACTTCATGCATAAGTTCGGAATTCTTATATAACATAGAACGCAAAATTTCAGTCGTCATTACTAAACAGCTTGCTGATGGATTAATGGATACGTCGCCGGTTAAGAGACCAACATCTCCAAATTCAGAAAGCAATTCCCGATACTTTTGATTACTCAAAGATTTGATCGGACTGGTGTATACAACCCGTTGCTTATTTTTTAGAGATTGGGCAATAGCGTATTCTGCAATCACTGTTTTACCTGCCGAAGTATGAGCACTCACTAAGACTGATTCTGATCTTTCTATACAAGCCACTGCAGTAGCTTGGAACGGATCAAGTTGAAAAGAGTATGATTTTGCAGGGGGATCCTTAGGAACATGTTCCTCAATGGATCTATAGTTATAATCAGGAGGTACCACTACCTTGTGTAACGCAAAACTTCTATCATGGCGTTCATCATGAAAAATTCCTCTTTGCACTCCTTCTTCCTCGAAATTTGTTTGAAGGTTGTAAACGGTTTCGGGAGCATACGACATATTATTACTGGTTTCTTTTACTTTATGTGACTCTGGAGCATCTATTGGAAGTCCCTTCTGGTCATTTTCGTGAATTTCGTTTCTATTTTCGTCCATACTTTGATCCGAGGATTTTTCAACAGAAAACCCATTCATGTTCAAGGAAGAAGCTCTTTCCCCTTCTACGGGCATGTCTAGGTCATTCTCCATATAAAAGCATAAAAACTTACACACTCAAGTAGCTTAAGTGCCAAAATAAAGGTTTTTGTCAGAAGTAGGGAAAGCAACAAATTCCTGCTTTCAGGTGTTCGCTTAAGTGAGGTTTATTTCGACTATGATTAGATTAGTAAATTCTTCGTTATGTTTGTGTGTGTTTTTTTAGGCGTATTTTCCTTAACGTTATTAATTTAAAATATCTTTCTAACATCGTTTACATTGCAAGGATCTTCACTGGTTTTATTTTTGAATAGGTTCTTCTGCTAATCTACTGCTTAACTTACTGTAAATACAAGCTAAAGGTCTAGTCCTTAACTTCATTTAACCACTAGAACACCAAAAAGAACAATAGAATACCAATACCAACATATTCTTGCATAATCTGTTAAGGAAAAGCATCCTTATCGAACAGAAGGATCCATCAAACTGTCAATGGTAGCATTATGATTAGTTAGTATTCGATAGGCTCTTTCCATTTCATATTGTACCAATTTTCTCGAAGCGGAACTGAGAACTGATGTGAGATTCCTATTTTTAAGAAATGGATCTATAACCATCAGTCGAGATTGAATGGCGTGTTTTATGGTTTTCTTTTGAATAGGGTAGTTATAAGATATATCAACGATATGTTGATTCCAATCGAAGGAGTCATTTTCTTTAGAGCCGTAATAACGAAAAAAGCCGACAAGCAAATCATGGACACTGCTTTTGTTCAACTTTGCCTCTATTTTATATAATTCTGTTCTTGTTTCGAACCAACAATTCACCGTTTCACCGCTAGAATCACGCAGCCTATGAGAATTTTCGGTATTTTTTGCTTGAAGATTAGGCAGTAAGGGAGGCGAAAGCTGTTGAACATAAAAAAGAGCCATTATACACCAGGTATAACTAGAAGGAAAATTAAAATAAGATTTGTCAATCATGCGAAGTGATGCCCAGTTTTTGATAGTAGAAACAAACACTTTCACTCTTTCATCTATATCTAAGTATGTCTTAATTAAGCAAGAGTTGCGTTCAGCAATCATGGAATCGAACGTTAAATCACAACTTAGTCCTTCTGATGTAGAAAATTTTATTACAGGAGCCCTGGCATATCGTATCGGAATTATTTTTTTGTATTCTTCACGAATCAGTTTCAAAATAAAATTATATTTCTTTATCAATGGTTTTTTTGATGTAACAACCAAGTCGACATCTGAATGCTTCGTCATTAAACCAGTTTTGAACGATCCCAAGGTATGAACTTGTACAGGAAGAGCTAACTTCTTGCTTAATAACGTTTGTATACTCTTTTGTAATTTTTGTACCAAATTTCCCCGTTTGGGATCAATCATTCTCTTGTAATATGCATTATAAATATCTTTCTCTCTTTCCTTTTGAAGTTCGTGAGAAAGAGCTATGTGCTTAATTTCCGACATCGTAAAAGGATTCCGTTCATTTGGATGACTTAAAAATTCTTCACCCATTGGTGTGAGCTTACGCGGAAAAGAATCAGTGATCAAGCCTAACTTCTCTAACTTCTCTAAATACCGGTTCACAGAAGACTTTTCCATCTTGCTCAAGAAATATTCATTCAAGAATGAAAGTATTTGTTGAGAAGATTTAATACCATTGACCGATTTTCTCATTATAAGTAAGTCAACATGATTAACATCATATATATTGGTTTTTCCAAATTCTACCGGAAGATGCGTGGCCTTTATCAAAGGCATATTAGACATCTGCTTTTCTCTCTTTTCTGCTTTAAGCAAATTTAAAAGCTTCAGAGATATTGCCTTTGTTTTATCTGGGATCAAGTCGTGTTCGGCTTTAGCCGCTGCTACTTTCTTTGTGACATGCGGTTTATTCGCTTTTTCGACAGTGGGAGCTTCAAACACGAATTTTGGATCCAGCTTTTCATCTGTAAAGTATTCATCTGGAACATTGTTGAGATCGTCTATAAGCCCTGGGTTTTGTAGCAGGGTATTATTTGCAAACCGATACACTGAAGTAAATGCTGTAAAAAGTAATCCCCTACTATCAAATGCCGTTTTTCCCGAAAGATTTTCATGAACCTTAAATAAAGAGGTAAATTCTTCAGAACATAAGTACTTGACGATGCCACCCAATTTTTCGACTAGCTGCAAAATTACTGCTGAAACTTCAGTATTATCTTCCAAGACCTTTTCATAAAATAACGATTTCATAATCTCCATTGAAAGACAAGGGTTTTTGGAAAATTCGTAACTTAAGGTCCTTAATGTTGGGAGCAGCATACACACCATTTTCAATTGTGCCTTTGATTTCCTAACGTTATCCAGCAATGTGTCCGATTTGGTAAACGCCAACTCATCCATTAGGTTTATAAACAGCGGTTTTTTTTTTCGTGACAAATCTTCAGCAGGGATCTTGAAAACAATATCTTCGACATATTTGAGTAAATCGTTTCTCAAATTTCCATGAAATACAGCTGTCAACGGAAACTTTATCTTTAAAAAATCATTTTCTTTTTTATCAAATAGATGCTTTAAAGATGTTGCAGATGAGATCGCTGCAATACCACCCATCACGTGAAAAGCAGATCCAGTAGAATTTCGTAAGAGGCTTGATTCTAAAATAATATTAAAAAAGCGATCAATTTCTTCAATAGACATGGATGATTGAAGAAAAGAGCAATAAATAAACAAAGCTTGAAAAGGTTCCAATAGCAAATCCCTTAGTAAAATACTGATTGAATTATGAAAATAAAAAAAAGACTGATTAGCTAAAGAGCAAAGGGGCAAAAGACCAGAGTTCCCAAACGTGTTTGACGTAGAATCCAATTCCAACATGCGGTTAGGATTTCTTTCTACACTATCAGAAACTTCGGATTCTGCACTTTCAGTCTGATCACACAATATAGAAAAAGAGCTATCCTTGATAGAAATCTTCTTCAGATAATTACATATACCCTTCCAGGCATCAGGTTTCAAAGATGCACGACGTTCCCTGACACACTCATGTAAACATCTGCGAAGAATCGTCAGAGTATCCTTCTGCAATGAACGTTTTAATTTAATAGTTGTTGACTTAGCGTCAAATAAAATGAGAGGATTTAAGTGACCAGAAGTAGTAATACTATCAATGCCTCCCAGCTGAGATAGAATCAAAAAATCTCTATTTTCTAGCTTGATAGGACAAGTTTTTTGGTTGACTAAAATTTTGTTTAGATCTCGACGTCTTATACCGTCTTTGGATTCTTTCAAGTGCCATAAAAAGGCCTCTATGGGATATAAAAGTAAGGAAGTGAAGTACTCAATATCTCTCTCCACTTCTCTTTCTTGGTCAAGTACTTTTTTTTTCTCATTGTAGCCTTCATGTGAACGCGGAATACAGGCAGCAGATTTTGCGTCTTCAATCTTCATGGAGAGGGCATCGTCATGTTTTACATTTTCACTTTTACATAAGTCTGATAACTTCCTGTTAATTTCCTTCCAAAATTTTGGTTTTCTCTTCTTCTTTTGTTCGCTAACATAAGAGATTAATTTTGGGTAAAGATTAGGGCTGGAAATTTGATTCCCATTATTGGCAACTAGGGTCAATAATTTTTTTGATGGCTGAAAGATATGCCTTAGCTGTTTGGATTGAAGCATCGCTTTTAATCCTCCACAAGAAGTCAACGCAATGTAATTTGCCAATGGAATTGTTTTCTTCGGTACGAATAGGCATTGGATTTTCGAATAACTTACTGTTCCGCCGTGATCTTCTAAGCAGTGAAATACGGTTCGAATTGGATTCAACAGTAATTTCGCTAGTAACAAATGGTCCATGTATTCGGACATATGTATGATTCTGTTGCTTTATACTCCAGTCTTCGTTTATATGTACGCGTTAATGAAGTATTTACAGTGTTGACCTTTCGTTGTTATTTTTCCGCGTAACCGTGAAATTTAAAGATTGTTAAATGAATAAATATAATCAATAAATGACCCAAAAATAGGTTATACCAGACATTCGTTAAACCCAGACAATTTGCTAAAGGTAGAAGAGTACATAATGAGTTAGCTATCCTTCTTACGGAACAGAATAGGTAATCAGATACATACGAAGAGTTCATATCATTGCAAACAGTAAATAACCAGAAAGGACTTGGTATGAAGTTGATTGATAAAAAATGAATAATGTAAATTATAGATGAAATTATCGATTTGGAGTAAATCTATGAATTGCCGGTCGGCTAAGCTTTAACACGATGCTTCAAAAAAAAATTTAAATGTATGAACGAAAATAAATTTTCATTTAAGTGAACATAATTATTCATATATTTCGCTTTGTTTTTGAATTAAAATGTTGTCCATGTTTGTTTATAAAGAGGAACATGCCGTTTTACGATATCTGCAGATTATGTCTGTCTTCCTTATCGTAGTTTTACTTTAACGTTTTTCAGTAATCTGCACTATTGAAAAAGAAACGGTGTTACCACTTTGTATAAACAGCAATAACCACCGACATACATCCAAATATAACCCAATTGTAGAAACGATTTTTTCTGTTAGTTGATTCGGAAAACGAAGAATGGATCCATCCTTGATCAAAGTTGTGAATCAACTTCAAGAAGCCTTTTCCACAGTTGGCGTTCAGAACTTGATCGATCTACCGCAGATTACTGTATGAAAGTTTATCTGCTACTCTGCTTCACAAAATATTAACCAATTCTTTTAGGTGGTTGGCTCGCAGTCAAGTGGAAAGTCTTCAGTACTGGAAAACATCGTTGGTAGAGACTTTCTTCCTCGTGGTACAGGAATTGTAACTAGACGTCCATTGGTTTTACAGTTAATAAATAGACCTAGTTCCGAGACTTCCAAAGGTGAAGATGCTAATAACTCATTGAATGAAGGGGCCAATGAAAACAATAGTAGTGAATGGGGTGAATTTCTCCATCTTCCCGGTCAAAAGATTTACAACTTTGAAAGAATAAGAGACGAAATAGTTCGAGAAACAGAAGAAAAGACTGGTAAAAATGTAGGAATTTCTTCCGTTCCTATCTATTTACGCATATATTCTCCTCATGTCTTGACATTGACTTTGGTAGATCTTCCAGGACTTACAAAAGTACCTGTTGGTGACCAGCCTAGGGACATTGAAAAGCAAATACGTGAAATGGTGTTGAAATACATGTCCAAGAACAATGCTATTATTTTAGCCGTTAACGCTGCTAATACCGATCTTGCTAATTCAGATGGCTTAAAACTGGCCAGAGAGGTTGATCCTGAAGGATTACGTACTATCGGTGTCTTGACAAAGGTTGATTTGATGGACAAGGGTACTGATGTTGTTGATATTCTTGCTGGGCGCGTAATTCCTTTGCGTTTAGGCTATGTACCAGTGATTAATCGTGGTCAAAAAGATATCGAGGGTAAAAAATCCATTCGTTTGGCTTTGGATGCGGAAAGAGAGTTCTTTGAAAGCCATCCTTCTTATAGTACGAAAGCTCAATACTGCGGTACTCCTTTCCTTGCTCGAAAATTAAATATGGTAAGTTATTATATTCTCTTCATTTGCTTACTAACAAAAAAAGATTTTGATGCATCATATTCGAAATACTCTTCCTGAAATAAAAGTTCGTATCAACGCTGCTTTAGCAAAATACCAAGCTGAACTGCAATCACTGGGCGATTCTTTAGTTGGTGACAGTTCTAGCATCGTTTTAAATCTTATAACAGACTTTTGCAATGAGTTCCGCACGGTACTCGATGGTAACAGTGAGGATTTGTCTATTACCGAATTATCTGGTGGTGCACGTATAGCTTTTGTTTTCCATGAGATCTACTCAAATGGTATACAAGCGGTGGATCCATTTGATGAAGTTAAAGATACAGATATCCGTACAATTCTTTACAATTCATCTGGTCCTTCTCCTAGTCTATTTATGGGAACACAAGCTTTTGAGTTAATTGTGAAACAACAAATTAAGCGCTTAGAAGATCCCTCACAGAAATGTGTTTCACTTATATTCGACGAGTTGGTTCGAATCCTTAATCATCTTCTCCAAAAGCCTGTATTTAAGCGTTTCCCTCAGTTGAAAGACGAATTTTTTAAAGTTGGTATGGGTTTCTTCAAAAAGTGCATGAAACCAACTGCAACTTTAGTAAGCGATTTGGTTGCTATGGAAGGTTCTTATATAAATACAGTACATCCTGACTTCTTATCTGGACATCAAGCAATGGCGATTGTACAAAGCCAAAGCAATAAACCCATTCCAGTTGACCCTAAGACCGGAAAACCTTTGACGAATAATCCTGTGCCAACTGTGGAGACGCCACCTAGTGGTGCCAGCAGTTTCTTTGGAAGCTTTTTTGGCTCGAAGAACAAGAAAAGACTTGCCGCAATGGAACCTCCACCACCTGTTCTTCGTGCTTCCACCACTTTATCAGAGCGTGAAAAGACTGATACTGAAGTTATAAGTAAGTTCTAATTGAAAGAATGTAGCTAACATCTAGAATTATTAATTACTTCTTATTTTAATATCGTGAAGAGAACTCTGGCTGATATGGTTCCTAAGTCTGTCTCATTGAAGATGATTCGCTACTCAAAGGAGCATATCCAACACGAACTACTTGAGCAGATTTATAAAAATAACAGTTATGAGAAGCTTTTGGAAGAAAGTGACATTACTGTTCAACGTCGCAAAGAATGCGAACATATGGTTGAATCTCTATTGCAAGCCAGTGAAATTGTTTCCAGTACTTAATGATATCACGAAAAAAAGATACCGTTTTATGTACCATTTTTATGTGTCATGTTGTTTTTATCCATAATGCTTTTCTATGAGACCTGATGAACATGACTTATGATGCTTACTTTGCTTTTTTATTTACCTGAATTGGTAGACACATCATCGTTGATTTTTATACGAAAACATACATAGATATGATGTTAATGCAAAATTGCAATAGTTGACTTTTAGTATGTGTTTAAGAAGAAGGAGAGTGAGTGTAAAGATTAGATATAGCTTAAAACTTTGCAGAAGGTGTGTTTTATTAGTAAACAATGATTTTCTTTGAGAAATGTATTTTGCGCAGTAATCATTAATGTTTTATAGCGCAGTTTCTTAAAACACGGTAAGTATGAAACTAACCACCAAAAAATTGGCACTTCAAACAATTCCAGTAGTAAATCTGCAAAGTCCGTATCTCTAAGGATGAGTGGTGCAGATATTCGAGACGTTTTTGAGCTTCCTCCTCCAGGAACAGTGAATAAGCAGAAGCCAAAAAATCAAGGTGAAAGACGCCCGGAAGGAATATCTCGAGAGCTTTTCTCTTTGCTTGGTGAAAATTCAGCGCCATTAGCGATTTACCAAAAGAAATTCAAAGAAAAGCCAAAAAGTAACCAGAAAGCGAAAAATTGGTATGTGAATGAAAGCTCAATGTACTTGTGCATACGGCACGTTGGACTCATCAAATTGTGTTTTATTTATTAAACTGAATTGCTTCTTTAAAGCCAATGCAAACTTCTAACACTATAGGGTTTGGCATCCATTCAAAAACCCAGCCAGAGGAGATGATCTTACGTTACGCCATTGGGTTTTGAAGTCAGAAGCAGAATCGGAAGCTCGTATGTCTTTTTTGGACTGATAACTCTTTTAAACAATACTAACAGGTGGGCTTAGCTTACAAATTTGAAAAGTTCAATACAGTCCTTTTCATCCAGGACTATACGGATGATGAATATCGTGAACTATTGGAAGGTATTAGATTTTAAAATGCCTAAAATGCAATTTAAGTTGTACTAACCCTTGGTAGATGTAGATTGGTCAAAAGAAGAAACGGACTATTTATTTAAGCTATGCAGAGAATTCGATCTTCGATTCTTTGTAATAGCTGATCGCTATCAATGGGTAGGTAAAAATCGTACACTGGAAGATCTCAAAGATCGTTTTTATACTGTATCTAGGAAGATATTGACCGCTCGGAATCCCATTAACGGGATGACAGCCGCTCAAAGTTCTTTGCTTAATAGTATGGAGTATAACAAGGAACAAGAAGTAATTAGAAAGAATTACCTTGTTGGTTTGGCTTCTAGAACACCTGAAGAAGTTGCTGAGGAAGAAGCTTTATTTATAGAGCTTAAGAGGATTGAGTCTTTACAATCTAAGCTCTTGAGTGATCGAGAGGAAGTGCTTAAGCTGCTTGATGAACAAAAGTCAACTGAGGACCTTAGGTCGTTTCATACTAGTTCTGGAGTAAGTGGGTTGATTCAAGACATGGTTAATGCTCGTCGAGTCACTAAACCAGAAGATCCCGCTACTAACTATTCGGCTCCATCTTCTGGTGTCAGCAGTTCCGTCAGCACTCCAGGTCGTCCGTTTGCGTTGAATGCTCTCAAAATTAGATACGGTCCGTCGCCCAATGATGCAAAATCTGGTATCTCATGGCACGAAAAATTACATAGCGGTTGTTTCGTTCGATCGCAAAAAGTTCCTGCCGTGAAAGCTTCATTAGTTCAGAAAGTTCATGCTACAATGAACGAGTTGGGCGTGTCGTCTCGCTTGATTATGCCAACCGCGAAAGTGACTGAAAAATACGTGGAATTACAGAATACTATAGTTGTTCTTCTAGAACTAAAAAGACAGCTCGATCGCTTTTCCCAAGAATCGGACATTCAAAGTCGACTGAATGGTTCTAAGAAGAGACCTGCTCCACCGGATGCGATTGAAAACGGTTCAAATAAAAAAGTAAACACTGGATCGGGCAACACTTCCTGAAAAAATCTGTATATTAATAATGTTTTGTAATGATGGTAATCAATACGACTTAGAAAATTGAAGTTATCAGTATATTTATTGTTTCCTATATACCCCAAAAATAATAATGCCATAGTTTTATCTGAATGTTGGTGATCTATAGTGAGTTTCTATTCTGTAGACTCACTTTCATTGTCGAGCTGTGAAGGAAGGTGGACAGCAAACAAAAGGTAGCTTGTATGATTTTTTAAATTTGAGTCAATACGCGCAACATCGGTCCATTCATAATCTTCATCACCTTCACGTATACGTTTATGATTCCTTTCAGTGGTAGCAGGAGCCTTTGATGGCGGTTCTGAAGGTACTGAAATCGGTGAATCAGTAGTCTCCTCGCCGTTCTCTGCGGATTCAGCAAGTTCTTTTTCCAAACGTTGTCTTTCTTTTCTTCTCTCAAAACCTTCCGTTCGATGACGTTTCACTTCCTTTAATCTTTCGATTGAATCGTCGACACGAATTACTCTAGTTTTCCTGGCAGCCCATTGCTTATAAGAGACCTCCAACATCTCAATATCGCACCAACCAGAAGCTTGTAATGCAGTTGCGGAGCGTTGAATTTGTTCCATGCAAGGAGAAAAACAGCAGATGCGCGTACTTCCATTACGATTAACATGTTTAATCAAATGAGGAATCGCCTCCCAAGGGGCTGGAAGATCCAAAAAGATCGCATCCACTTCTAATGAAGATTCCGCAATTTCAAACCCATCCTTGCATACGTCTCTATGTGTGAGACGAGTGTTTCCATTTACTTCATCCAACATGTTGTGATCTCGGAATTCTTGCAGAGCCGTCTCGTATCTGGAAGCATGGTATTCATAACTATAAAGCTTTCCTGATGGTCCAACGGTTCTTGATAATGCGTGAGACATACTCGCGCTTCCTGTTCCGGCCTCAATAACTCTTGTTCCGTGGACAATGCGAAGTTTTTCAAAAATGATAGATATATCGGGAGTATAAACAATCTGTGTACGATGAGGGAGAGCTAATGTCCAAAGTTCCGGAGTTGGTTGAAGAAGGTAAATAAATCCTTGTTTAGCAGAGGAACTTATTTGTTGACCATATCGTTTCCCAATCATTTCGGAATGAGGAAAAGCACCATACTGGTTGTGAAAAGTTTGTCCATCCTCAATTTTCAATGGAAGCAATTTGTTTCTCCCTATCCATGCGACCACAAGATCACCGTCCTCTACGAATTCTTTATACTTGGAAAAGACCATAATGACAGCCAAGCAATATCGTTAATAAATACTGTGTGAATTTATCACAGGATCTAAACTTTTTAAGTCAATATTATATATAAAATGAAACCAAAGAAACCGCGAAAAGCCTTTTGTAAGCTAACTACCAAATCCTATGTCGAAGATTTGATATACCGCGCAGTGTATACTAAAGCTATAGCAGTATTATTTTTGAAATCTTATCAAATCGATATAAATATGTAAATATATATATATTATTGAAAGAATTCACCTTCTCGTTTGGCCTTGACGAAGGCCGAATCGTTAATAAGCTCTGGCCTATGCAAAAATGTTGCTAAAAATTCTATTATAATAAAGTAACATGCTACCTGTTTGGTATTCAAATAAAAGTAAACATTAAATAGTAGTGAAAAAAATTAATGATAAATTTATCCAGAAATTTAGGGAGTTTACAAGTAGATTCTTTTATTTAGTATGTTGTCTCACATGCAAGGAGAGTTATTACAACGAATCGCTGCTTTTTGTATGAATAAACAAGAGTTAGATATATCTAACATCGACAGTCAGAGTTAAGCTAAACCACCTACTTAAAATAAAAATATAATAAATAGTATCTTAAAATTGGTCATCTAATTAGTTACAAATAATCTCAGGACATCTAGTTTCTGTATTTTAGAAAGTAACATCATACTATCATAATAAACGATACTTGTCTCCATATAGCAGAGTTCAAGGAGTTCACTATACAAATATCGACGCCTTGCTGTAGTTTATAAGATACTTGTAACGAGACTTTGCGCGAGTTTAACCTGCTAACAATCTGCCGTAAGGAGGATTTGTTTCAGTAAGAACCGACATTCAGTTGTAACAAAGCGGTATATTGAACTTGGAAGTTGTATTCCGTTTCCTACATCAGAGAGATCAATTAGTATTTTAATTTTAACGAACAAAGATCGTAAGGTTTCATTGCCAAAAAGTCTCTGAAACACGAAATAACACGTAAATCCATTGATCATTAAAGCAATTCACGCTTCACGAGAACTTCGACAAAGAATAGACTGACGAAAAATGAATGAAGACGAGATTTTATCTGTAGGAATCGCTGACTTACCAAATCAAAGACACAAAATCGTGTCGCGTAATGGAGCTGCTTTGACACTTATGCTTTGTGGTGAATCGGGACTCGGTAAAACGACGTTTTGCAATACATTGTTTTCTACTTCTATTAAGCCCCATATGGACATTGAGACGCGTCGCTCTAAACATATGGAGAAAAGCGTGGAAATCGAAATTACCAAAGCGGAATTAGAAGAAAAGAATTTTCATTTGAGACTTACTATGATTGATACTCCAGGATTTGGAGATTTTATTAATAATACTGGTTGCTGGGAATCCATTCTAGAGTTTATAGAGGATCAGCATGAGTCGTACATGCGACAGGATCAACAACCAGATCGAACAAAGATTATTGACATGCGTATTCATGCGTGCTTATACTTTCTCCGACCAGTACGAAATGGCTTACGACCTATGGATTTGGAGGCTATGAAGCGTCTGTGCAAACGTGTCAATTTAATTCCCGTGATTGCCAAATCAGACATGTACACTAGACGTGATTTAGCCATGTACAAGACACGCATAGCACAAGTGCTTGACTATCATCAGGTCAACATCTATAAACCAAGTATAGATGAAGGAGACCCGGTTTTCCAGCGTCAAATTCAAGGAATCATCAGCGCAATGCCTTTCGCAATTGTTAGTAGCGAAGATGATATTCGAACTACTGATGGCCGCGTTGTTAAAGGTCGAAAGTATCCATGGGGTATCGTCGAGGTTGAAAGTGAAGAACATTGTGATTTCAAACAGCTACGAAATCTTTTGATTCGAAGCTGTATGTTAGACCTAATTCAAAGAACTGAAGACATTATTTATGAGGAATATCGACAAGAACAGATGCAAGTTCGCCAATACGGGGAGCCAAAATTAAGGACAATTGACAATACCAAGTTTAAGGAGGAGGAAGAAAATCTCAGAAGAAGGTTCACCGAGCAAGTTCGACAAGAAGAGGCTCGTTTTCGACAATGGGAACAAAGGTTGATTGCCGAGCGTGACAACTTAAACAAGGACCTTGAAGCTCAACATGTTCAAATAAAACAACTAGAACTTGAAATTGAACGACTAAAGCTAAACAGTTCTTCCCGTAAACGTTAATTTCTTTGTGATCATCGACAAATAATTCTGCATATATACCATGACTTTTCCATGCCTTCTTCAATCGGTTTGATAGAATCAAGGTGCTTGTATTAAACTTTTTCTTCCTTTCCTTCTTTATTTGTTATCCATGGTTAATTAAGCTTCCTATTTTTTAATGATTTCTACTCTCTTTTTTATTCATTGTTCTAATCTCGAAGTTAGTAAAGACATGAAAACGGCAGTCCAAGACCATGCTATTTCCCTCTCTTCTGTGGTTGCATCATGCCATTATTTGGAGTTATATGTAATTTAAATTCCAATGAATTCCCGTACCGTTTTTGAGTTCTTTTCTATCTTTTTCAAGTTAAGTAGTTTGATATCTTCCAAGGAATAGCCCAAACGAGATATATATTTTTTGCTTTAGACTTCTACCTTGACTTTTTTTACCACTATATAAAGACTTTGGAAAATGCCCAAGAAAGACCCTTACCAAACTGTCGTGACAAAAATGATTTATATAAACTGATTATAATTTGCTTGATTTATGTACAATTAATAGAGCCATTAATTGAAAAAGGCATTCATGTTTTAAAGTGCGTTAAAAATAGAAGTTACTTTGAATGCTCATTGCTTATTTAAACATCTACAGGAATTTCAGCGTTCTGGTTGGGATTCTTTTCTATTAAATAACAATAAGCTAGGAACAATTGAATTCCCTAACGTGTTCCAATCCAGAAAGACCTTCAGTCAATCTTTAGGTTAGAAATATAGTTTTTTTTGTTGTACGGCCAAAGCTATATGTAAATGGTGAATTTAGAGCTTTTATTATTTGAGTTTATCTACAATCATAAGATTCCGCTTTAAATAACTATTACCGTTCAAAATGAAACGACTAAACTGAGTAAGGCACTCAGTTGTGCCACACATAATTCTGAACACTGCCTTCTTCCAGCACTCAAGTGAGCTATAAGAAGAGGACCTAAACTGTATAATTGCTTATCCAAATCTCAACCTATAATTACTATATATCTATATTAAAAGGAGACTTTTGGAATTTAGTAATTTTTGTTGCAATTTTTACATTTCACGGTGTAAACATGGATTATGGCGTCTCGACAGGACTCGAGTAGTGACCAAAAAGAACCCGAATTTCCTCAATCGGTTCTGTCATTGCGGTCAAAATTTGAATCTCTTAGCTCCAATGATGTTACGAACACCAGTACAAATACCCCATTAAGAAAGCATCTGAATCATCAAGAACAGAATACCAATAATTCAGAAAATACTCGTCATAAAAACCAAGGAATACAAATTCCCTCTTCAATTCCTTCTTTAGACACTAGATCCACTCAGGAAGAAAAGTTAAGTGTGTCCAATTCATTACCAGAATTTGAAAGAAATGAAGGCTCGAATGACAAGCTAAAAAACAAAGCTAGCTTTGAAGCTTTACGAAAAGGATTTTCTGAAAAGCAAGAAAAATCTTCGGATACGGATGCTGTTGTGCCGTCATCACCTACTGCATCCAACTCTTTTATTTCGGTTTCTCCTTTGCCGCAAAAACCTTCACGCTCTTTTGGTTCACGAGATTACAATGATTTAACGACACTTCCTAGACCTAATTATGCCACGAAACCAAAAAATATTTCGGAAAAAATCTCATCATTAGCACGATCAAATTCGGAACTAAAACCAAGCCATACTGAAGAAAAGTCTTCGAACGAAAAAAATGAAACGGAAGATGATCCAGAATCTGAATCTGGATCTGAGTTATCCTCGATAATCTCGTCTGAGCAGGAAGACGAACCTGTACGTGAAAAAGTTTCCTCTCAAAAATTTCCCGAACAACAAGATAACCCATTTTCAAATGACTCTGAAGCTTTAGATTCCTCTTCAATTCCCGTTTCTGTTCCACTAAGGGTACAAGGTCAACAAACCGATGTTCAACCTCCCGTTCCTTCTCCTAGACCCCCTAAGTCTGTCGCCGCAGAAGCTGTACAGCAATCACGTATTGCAATGGCTCATCATCTTCCAAGTCGAACTCCTCAGCGGCCACCAAGACCCCCTGCTCGGAAGTCGTCTCATAATGTTTGTACATCGACTTCAAATGAACTTTCGAGTGGTTTGCCAAGCAGAAGAATTTCTTCAGTGTCATCACCAGTTTCAAACAACAGCTTTTCTGCCTCTGAGCCTATATTATCCGCTGAAAAACCCAAGTTACCTCCGCGTCCCAGCCAAATGGCGCCGGACATATCCCTAAACAATCTGGCAAATGAAACTGTGTCTGCGTCTCCTCCTCCCTTTCTTGTATCTCCTCAACTTGGAAGATCGTTATCATCTGGCCGAAGGCCTACCTCTTCCTCTGCTCTTAGTGACGTTCATGACACTTCTATGTCTTCTGGCTCTCCATCTACTTCTCAATCAGATACAATTTTGAAAGGTAGTTTACCTGATGTATCGTGCGTCCGTAGAAACCAACCTACTTTTATGAACGGAGCTAATTCAATAAATTTGGATTTTGAAGCTCGTGTTTTCGTTGTAAGTGGGGAATGCCTTGTTGTAGCTGGCAATGGCGCGTTCCGCGTTTACGATTCTATTACGGGACTATGCAATTGGCATGTGCCTTTGGGAGACGTAAAAGTAACTGCAATGTCTTTCAAACCTTCTGGCGATAAGGTAGCCGATGATGGGAGATTTGTTTGGATTGGTACTCGAGATGGTGTTCTTTGGGAGATGGATATTATCAATCACCATATAGTGAACAAAAGAAGTACTCCCCATACGGCAATTTCTCATATCCTGACACGTAGGAATGAAGTTTGGACTCTTGATGAATCAGGTCGACTTTTTGTTTGGAAAGAAGATAAGATAATGGGGTTAAGTGTGCAATCAGACCCGAAGTCTGTCCGTATTGTTCCCCATGCTTCACATGCCATGGTAGTAGACGATAGCTTGTTATGGGTTGTAGTTGGCAAATCTATATATGTGTATGACCCTGATAATAGTGAACGTCCGTCTGTTCTTCCAAAACCATTGACACCTCCAGGACTTATTGGCGATATATCTTGCGGTACAGCTATACCTAACTTTCCTGACCTCGTTTTCTACGGCCATGTTGATGGTAAAATTTCGATATATTCAAAAACGCAATATCGGTTTGTAGAGCTTGTAACGAGTAGTTCATTTTATCGTATAAGTTCTTTGGTTGGTGTCAGTAATACTATTTGGGCAGCTTATACTACTGGAATGATTTACGTTTTTGATGCTTCTTCCAGCCCTTGGCGGTTACTGAAAACATGGCATGCTCATAAAGTTAGTCAAAGTGGTGCCAACACTGTTTTAGGCATAGATATTAACAGCATCTGGAAGGCTAAACGGTTGCAGGTTGTCAGTCTTTGTTCTCCAGTTGTGAAATTTTGGGATGGATTAATGATGGGCGATTGGTTATCTACTGAAATGAGAAAATTTTTTCCGAAATATAGCTCTTTTGATGATATCGGTGCGTTAGTCTGTTCCTGGAATGCTGGCGCTTCCAAACCGTCGGATTTCAAAAGCCAGGATGCTGGATCTGATTTCATAAAGGCCTTACTGAAAGAAAATGGATACCCAGACATAGTGGTATTTGGCTTTCAAGAACTGGTAGATCTTGAAAATAAAAAGTTGACCGCCAAAAGTTTGCTTTCATCCAGTACTAAAAATAATGCTTCAAATAGTGACAACATTTCTAGGCAATACCGTTTATGGCGTGAAAGGCTAGAATCTGAAATGGCTCGAAGTGATCCAAAGAGTGAGTATCAGGTTTTGGTATGTGAAAATCTGGTCGGCCTTTTTTCTTGCGTTTTTGTTAAAAGTGCGCTAAAAAATAAAATACGAATGTTACAAACCACCACTGTCAAAACTGGATTGGGTGGTTTACACGGGAATAAAGGTGCTATTGTCATTCGTTTTCTGATTGATGATACTTCATTTTGCATTGTGAACTGTCATTTAGCTGCTGGACAGACCAGTAAGGCAGCGAGAAATAATGATCTAGCAACGATTTTAGACTCTGCGGCACTGACTCCAGACAGCAATGAAATGGATCGGTTGAACAGCTTTGAAGCAGGTGGTGACGGTTCTCAAATATTAGATCATGAAGTTTGTATTTTACATGGGGACCTCAATTATCGAATCAATCTTTTAAGACCGAAAGTCAACGATTTACTAAAGAAAAAGGATTTAAAAACGCTTTTGGAAAGTGATCAATTAACACAAGAAAGGAAACGCAACGCAGGTTTTAGGTTACGAACTTTTAGTGAGCCTGAAATAGCTTTCGCGCCCACATATAAATATGATGTTAATAGTGATAGATATGATTCTAGTGAAAAGAAGAGGGTTCCAGCTTGGTGTGATCGTATCTGCTTTCGAGGTGACACGGATTATGTGTATGCTGAGAACTATAGGCGACATGAGGTTCGCGCATCTGACCATCGTCCAGTGTCAGCATTACTTCATGCGAAAGTAAAACTCATAAATGCGCAGGAACAAGCTTCAACGTGGGATATTATTAAAAACAAGTGGTTGGGTTATGCTGATTCCGTCAAACGGGAAGCCAAGTAAGTGATATCTTTATAAAATATTTGCTAACAACTATCAGGTTACATTATCTAACAGTACACACTTCTTTGGATCGTGAACAAGCTGAGCGTGTGCTAATAGGGTCTCAATGGAATGTTCAAGATGCCATACGAAGCATTTCATAATTTTCTAACTCTCGTTATTATATATACTATTTTTACATATATTTACTAATATGTACTATGAATAAATTATGCTTTCAATCATCTAAGATACATTTCGTTACTCGGGTGAAAAAGAGTAACTTGAGTTTCGACGTTTATCAGTTTCTTCAAGCCATCGTGAGAATAGAAGTTGAGCTATAGGTCCTCGTTTTTTTTTCTTTGGGTTGAGCTTGCTGTCAAACATAAAGCTTTTCATTAGACGGGAAGATGTATCTTCATCCAACGAGTCGAACGTAGAACCCAACAACTTCAGAGAGGACCTTTGATCTGCAGACAAATTTGGATCTGAAAGAATTGTAGAAACTATAGAGTCAAAGCATGTAACCGCAAGGTTTCGTGGATGAGGATGTTTAATAAAATGAGATGTACCAGTGGAGTTTTCTTTGATGGTCTGATTTCTGGGCCTTTTCAAAGTAAGATCGGCTTCATTGGGATGCAAAGATGAAAAAGTAAAATCTGAATTAGACGTCTCGGTTTTCTGCGGTTTTGTTGTCTCGACGGAGAGATTCTTTTTAGTTTCATGCGGAGAACTAATGCGAACCGTTTCTTCAAAGTTCCAACCGTCATCAATGGTACTATTTTTCAGATGTGTCGTGGAGTTTGGTTGTTTTATAGTGTTAGTAGTTCCTGGATCAAGATCATCTTCGGAATTTTGTTCTACTTCATTAAGGATTTTGTTTTCCAAAAGTAAGGGTATCAGAAACTCAACTTTTCCTGAGCCTTTTATAAACGGATGGTCTAGAAGAGACGACGAAGAACGACGAGAAGCAGGATGAAGTTTTAAGCAACGAGACACAAAGTCTCGAAATTCCAGACTGTAATTGGAGGAAAGCTTTGGCGGTTCCGATTGTGGAATTTCAAATATAACACGCATAGGATGCATTGTTGCTCTGGGAGGAGCTGCTTCTGCCATCTCTATAGCCGTAATTCCTAAAGACCAGATATCTGCTGCTGTTCCATAGCTAGTTTGTTGTATTACTTCTGGGGCCATCCAAAAAGGGGTCCCTACGAAGGTATATCGTCTGGAAGCGGCATTTGAAAGTTGGGCAGCCACACCAAAGTCAGCAAGTTTAACTTCACCAGTCGTGGATGACAAGAGTATATTTGCAGCTTTTATGTCCCTGTGAATTTTATTTTGATCGTGTAGATAAGTTAGACCCTTCAAGGTTTCCCTTAAGATTATTGAGATCGTTTTTTCTTCCAAGCCTTGCTTTTTTAACAGCCCAGAAACAGAACCTCCATCCATATGTTCCATAAGAATCCAAAGAACGTGTCCTTGGACGAAGCATCCGTAATATTTAATAACATTAGGATGACTACAATTTGAAAGCATATGAACTTCCTGTTCAATTTCACTTGTGTCATCCACAGAGGCTTCCAAATCAATCTATGTTTCAGTTAGAAATCTCAAAAATCAAACAAACACGGTATTCCCCACTATATGAGCTTTGTAACGATTTCCTGGTAATATTTATAGACGATTTCATCAAACATTTTCAACGAAGCATCCATACATCGTAGAATATCATGCCTCATGATGATCCGTTATGCGAATTCCAATATCTCGACTTACCTGCTTGACTGCTAAAGTAGCACCAGACGATTTCTCAATTGCCCTCCAAACGATACCAAAAGATCCCGAACCAATTTTCTCTTTCAGAATATACGACTGAGCTGAAAGCGGAAACATGGCATTATTCTTGGGTACAGCGAAAAAAAGCTAGAAATAGCTAACAAGTAAACTGCGTATAATTGATTTTTTTTATAATAAATATTTCTCAAATAAAATAATCATTCCTTTACAAAGTAAAACTATGGTACTAATGACAAAGTAAATATATATTCGAGCCCTATGTCCACTATACTACACCATGCTGAAAACACCGTGCGACTAAGGAAACAACGGCTTTTAAAGTGAGTAGTTAAGAATCATTTAGTTACAGTTGTTATACTCAGAAAAGGATTCCTTTTTCTTCTTGTTGAATTCTTTTCATGTCCTCAGCAGATTCAGCCAAGGAAACCATAGATATTTTGCACGAAATAGGAACTTTGCTTGGGGTCGAATTAGACAAAACAGCACTTTCTCTTTGTGTAAGTCTATGCGAGAATAACATACATCCTGAAGCAGTTGCTCAAATTATTCGTGAAATATCGTTAGCTCGACAAGACGAGCCTGAAAGCGACACCTAGGTATATCTACTAAGATTTTTTTTCTTTTTTTTTTTTTTTTAAAAAAAAAAAAAAATTTGATATAATTTCGCAATAGGAAGATTTATTCTTGTTCTATGAAAATACTGTCCAAACATCAGTTACTAAATTTTGTGATATGTCATTCCTTAAAAATTGTTTACCTTCAAATGCTCATGGACAAGTCGTTGCAGCGAAGGAGCATACATATAATGTAATTATCATGATGCATGGATTAGGAGACTCAGAATACAGTTTTGCTCATGCTGCAAAGAACATACCTTTACCGAATACATCGTATATATCTTTACGAGGGGTGTACCGGCTTCCTCTTGATTTTGGTACACCAGAAGGCAACTGGATGTGGGGGGAAGATGTTCATTTCGACACGAACGGAGACCTTGAATCTGAAGCAGATTTTTCAAAATGCCTTTCAGTCCTTAAGGAATTAATCAAAGGCATTATTGATCAAGGGATACTTTCAACACGCATTTTCTTTTTTGGTTTCGGACAAGGTGGTATGGCAGCTTTGTATTGCGTATCGCAGCTGGCCTCAATCTATCAATTCGGTGGTGTTTTTTCTTTTGGTGGGAAACTACCGTTAGCTATGACATTGCCCTCATCTCCCTTTATGACTTCTGTTTATTTTTTTGAAAAACGTAAGAATAGTAGTATTGATGACTATGAGGAAGGTCGTTTGAAGAAAACCTTCCGGTCTGTACAAAGGATATGCTGGAACAGGGATGAGAAAACAGACATGCCTTCTTCTCCAAATGAATGGTTTGTTTTTGTAGAAGCGATTAGCAAAAAACTATACGTTCATAATAAGCTGTACGAAGACGCAATACAATTGTCATAGAAAGGAAGGATCCGCAATGTTTTTGAATCTATTTCAATAAATATGGATATAGCTATTAAATAATCATATATGTTTAACAAATTCTAATTCTAAACTCATGAAAGTATGGAAATAGCGGCCATTACTTTGATGACTCTGAAAAAGAAAAGCTACAGTAAGGATGGTGCATGCTCAGAGCTTTTTTCAGACAAACCACCTTTATTTTCGGATTGGCTGTTGGAAGAAAGAACTAGTAAATCGCTCTGACGACTTTCAAAATTTCTTGACGAGTCGGTTTTTGCACTCATCCAATCACCCCATTCCGTCGAAGGCATGGAATTCCCTTCATCCAGTTTATCTGAATTTTTCCTTATGATGCTATTTCTCGTAATTTGCGTTGGGTCTTGCCTTGAAGGTGATAGTTCGATATTCTCAGCAATCGCCTGATTTTTGTCTTGTGGTTCGGGCGTTTCCACCTCGGGGTTACTTGACGGTGAATATGCTTCAAAAGCTTCAGTATTGTTTGGTTTAGTGATTTTCATTTGATTATCAGAAGCAATTGGGGGTGTGTCCGGAAGAGGGACGTTAACATCCTCATTTTTTGAAGAGGAATGTCCGAACGTTGATTGACAGTGCACGGACAATTGTCGATCGACCCTCGGCATGTCTTTGTCGTTCAAAGTAGGTTTGTACGGAGACTCACTTATTTTTGAGGGAGACTGTTGTATATTTGACGACAATAAAACATTGTTGTTTCGTGGAGACTCTAAACCAGACGACTTAGAGGGAGGACTGCTAAGGAGAATTCGTTCTTTGGACTTTTGTTTCTTATATGAAGTAGACCAGCAAAATACTGCACCACTTTTTCGATGAACGTTTGTCCTCTCTTGATTCCAAAAGGACATATGCTCACGAAGCAATTTATTAATGGTACCATGTCTCAGTTCCGGTAAGCCATGCTCAGGAAAATCCAACCGAAGTAACTTATGAAAAACAGATTCAGAAGTAGAGGTGATTCCAACATAGTTTTTGGAAGCCATGGAAATTCTTTTCGGTGGAATTTGACGACCATAAAGGTCGTCTAGTTGACAGCTTAGATCATCAAGATTAAAAGGATCTAGCTGAACAGCATTATCTTTCCAACTATAGATTTCCGAAGCAGCAAGCTTTGAAATCAGATCTTCCGTAGCTGAAGCCGAAGGAAAAGGAGTAATATCAGACCAAGTATTGTCTCTTTGGCTGTGGTTGCCTGCCGCAAAAGAAGCTATCAGATCATCCATAGACAGTCCATAACCCGTTTAAATAGTAAAGCAATAGAAGAGTTTGCACAATTTCACAAAAAGTAGTAAACCGTTACAATGCGAGAAGAATCAATTCAGTTATTGACCTTCATGAACAGTTACAAAGAAAGCAAAACACCAAACGCTTGTAATGAAGCACAAAACAGTTCCTTTTTTAGATAATAACTCGTGTTTCTAACAAATTGAAAATTAAGCGGTAGTAGTTGGGAAAGGAAGAATTTCCATTGAAGTATAAGCATCGAGAACCGATCTCACTAAGTTATCAAAGTTATCTAAACGAAATTCGTAAACACATTCCTAGAACAATGTAAATAGAGAATAAATTTAAATATTCCACAGCTAATATTCAGTTTATATACAGCAATTTACTCGAATTTCTTTTTAAGAGACTTTTTAGTTCACCAATACGTTCAGATCAACCCCTGTATAATTTATGGTTCCAGCTTTTATGAAAATACAATAACCAAACCAGCCTCCTTTTTTTTTGATTTATGTTTGATATATGTAACAAAAAGCAAGTCCATAAGTTACGCATTCTTTCCCACAAAAAATATTAAAAATCTTCAAGCTCGCTACTAGAAGTATATTTAAACTTAATCCTACCATAATAGTACCTTTGGAAATTGGTGCTTCCGCAAGCTATCTACATATACCCAACCCAAGTCAAACTGGAAGCGTTTTTTTAGTTCAAAAGGGATGTCTGTTCCTAAGCAACTTCCCTGTATGGTTCGTGCTCTTTATGCATGGCCTGGGGAACGCGAAGGTACGTTCAATTTAATGGGATCATGAAATCCTTTTCAGATCGTTCTTCACATGCGTAATCCTAATACTAACTGAATCCAGGAGATTTATCATTTGGAAAAGGAGAATTAATTGAATGCCAAAGCCTTGGTGATGGAAAATGGTGGATTGGAAGGCACATTAATACAAATACCCAAGGAATTTTTCCTAGCAATTTCGTACAAGTCCTTAATATATCCACATCAAGACCCAATAGCTCTATTTCAAGAAGAAGTAGTTTAAGTTCTCGTTTATCAGCGGAAAGTCCGGGTTCTCCTCTTACCTCTTCTGGACCTGAACTTCCGGGCAAGAATCTGAGAGGGACTAGTCCATTATTTTTTCAGAAACAAAAGAAATTTGACCCAAGTCCGAAAAAAGAAGAAAATGGCTCTTTCTTAAAGACGTTGTCTCGACCATCTTCTGTATTCTCAAGGAGAAGCCGAACCAGCTCAGTACATAGTCGCGAATCAAAACGGTCTGGGAACGCAAAAGGTAGTGCTCGGACAAGTCCTTCTCCTATTCGGAGTGCCATGGAAAACGTACTCGAGTCGTTGAATGCAATGGGAGGTAAAAGTACCATTCGTTCTTCAACCCCTGTGTCCGGTCACATGCCCGCTAATGCTAATCAAGACATCAATCCAAAGCTTAACTTATCACCATTACCTTCAGCACCTGGAAAGGCAAAGTATTTACAGCCTCCGGCCTCAACCATTTCCGATAAAAAACAGACAGACAGTTGGGGACCCCAAACATCATCGTTAAGCAATCGTGGTCCTCTCCACCGAAAATTCCAGAGTACCCCTACGCCAATAGCGAGACCCATCTCTACGCTTATCCCTTTTGGTAGTACTCAAACGAATTCCCAACTTACGAATCCTCACTCGGATATGCAACGTCCTTCCACCGCTCAATCTTTCAACAAGAAAAGTTCTGGGTTCTTAAAGAAGACGTTTAAAAAGATCTTAAGTCGAAGTTCATCTACTAAACGAGTTCCATTTGACTCTTATCCGTCTCAGTCCAGCGTGGCCAGCTCGACCGCTTCTCCGCAATCTGTTCATCAGAGAACTGTTCGTCCCGCATCTCCGCAGACGATGGCCTTGGTCAAAGAAGATTTACGTCGAACGGCAACATACACCGAGTTGGATCTTAATAAAAAACGACAAGAGACTTTTGATAATCTTTCGATGCCTGTTTATAAGCCACTGGAAGAGCTTCATAACACCCTTGGAAACGTATTGGCTGATGGTGAGCCCGTTGACTTCTCAGTTGGAATGGATGTACATAAAATAAATTTTGGCGCAGTTGATAAAAAGACGCGTTTCTTCATTTCTCAAAAGATAGACCTAGACCCCAGAGATTTCGTAAAACATTATTTAGCTAAAGGGGCCGAATCCCCTTTACAGCAACTAAGAGCTGTTTATATTTATGTCTCGGAACACGTGTCATACACTGATCACTCTGCGAATGGAAAATCGTTCCGCTCACCTCTTGAGGTTTTCCTTTCTGGAAGAGGAACTCCTTTTGAAGTAGCCTTGTTAGTAAAGGAAATGCTGCAAGGCTTGGATATATGGTGTGAGGTCATTGAAGGATATCTTAAATCACCAGACGACATTTACTATACTAGAGATATTAAAGTGAACCATGCTTGGAATGTCGTTACGCTCAATGATGAAGTCCGCCTTCTGGATGCTAGCTTTGCAAGCCCCACGCACCCACAGCAGGTGTTAAAATCCTCGGTTGCTAATAATTTCTATTTTTTGATGAAACCCAACGAATGCCTATATACGCATATTCCTGAGAATCCGGATCAGCAGTTTATAATGCCGGATTTGCCAATGCCAATTGTTATGGCTTTACCATGGGTTTCGTCTGTATATTTTGACACAGGTTTACGTCTTCGCAATTACGAATCTAGTATTCTTCATCTTTCTGACTACCAATTCTTGCAGATCGATGTAGAGGCTCCAAAGGAAATTGAATGTGTCGCTGAAGTTGACAATTTTAGTTCACCACCCTCTCCACCAGATTTTTCTAAATCCCAGAAGCATGTTTTGGTCCAAACTTACAGGGAAAAGAAGAACCTTCGAGTGGTTAGAATTAAAGCCATGATGCCTTTAAATAGTAAATTTGCTGTACTACGAATATACGCCGGCCGTAGTGGAGTCGCTAGCCCAGCGAAGACAATACCCCATCCAATGGCTGTATCCATTCCTTTCGCTCATCATGGAAAGCATAAACCATTTGAGTTCCTAAGTCGATATCCTATACCCCAGTGCCCGAATGTTGATTTATATATATCTTCTCCTCAGTGCGGTATATTACGCGCTGGAGTCAAGTATGACTTCGCTGTTACTGCTTACTCTTCTAGCGAAACAGAAGCCCTTACAACTAAGTTAGCTATTCAGACACCGACAGGCAACATTTTACGCTTACATGAAGAATTTTCCAATGGTCGCATCACTCGGTCCGTTCTTTCATCAGCCATTAATGAGACTGGAGAATATCGTGCTTTAATACTAGCTGAAAAGATTGGAAGATGGGTAGTTTATGCTACATGGAAAGGAGTTTAACTAACTTAAGTTTTTGATTATTAACAACTAATTCTCTTCTTTTTATCCCTTCTCTATCGTCATGAGGAATTTTCCGTTGTCTTCACTCTTTACTTTACTTTTTGAACTAATGTATTTATCTAATTTAGTCTATGCTTCCTTTTTGATCCCCTATTGAATATTTTATGTTTTCTTAATAGTACTTACAGTTTTGCATTGTTAAACAACTTTTATAAGATGTATTTCATTCAAAGATAATCTAATTTTTCATAAATTTGTTGTCAAAATTCGCTAGTCAACCGTGGAAGGTTTAAAAAGATAGTTTCCAAGTTTTGATGGCTGCATCGCTTCCTGTACTTAATATTTCGTCTTCCGACAACCAGTGAACTTGTGTCGCACCTAAAGCATGGGCATTTTTAACAGCAACATATTTCATGGGACGTTCCACCGAGTAAACGTGAACATTTGTATCAAGAGAAGCGGTTGCCAAATGCGTTGAATTAGAGTTCCAAGACATACCCAAAATTCGACCGGTATGGAAAGCCCAGCGAGAAGTGATAACTTGTCGAGTTTCAGCGTCATAAAGGACGACTTTACCAGAAGCATCACCACAGGCAAGGTATTTTCCATCATGAGAGTAAACCATTGAAGTAACCGGCGAAGTATGATTTTTTAATTGGGCTATTTCGCAAAGTTCGTCCTTCTCGAAAGAATGAACGTATACACAAGAATCCTAATGAATTAGAAACAGTTTATCAAACATTGGTACTTACCTCTCCACCAACTGCAAATTCTTGCTTTGAGGGATGAGCAGCCATACAGCTTGGTTGGTATATTGTTTTAGCTGTGGAGACACATTTTAAGTCACGGAGTACTTGTATGTCTGAGACGGTAGCCAAAACGATACAATCGCCAACAGCACATACACCAACTGGTTGATAACCAGTGGTATATACGCTTTCCGAAATGAAGGCATTTGCTTTAATGTCTACGGTTCGCAATGTATCATCCATTCCAACAGAGATGACTTTATCTCCAAGTCTAGTCATATCCATGACTTGATTACTGTGGGAAACACCTTGTACGGACGAACCATTTTGAGTTTTTATGTCCCAGACTAAAGCCACTCCATCGTAAGAAGCAGTGTACAAAGACTTGCTGTCTGGACAAAGGAAAGAGGATGTGATGGAACGCTGGTGTCCGTAGACAAATCGCTCAGGGTCATCCTTGGTGGGATTTAGATAAATCAAGACGCCCTTCACATCAACTGATATTATTAAGTCTTCTGAAGCCCAAACGTTACCAACTTGCTGCTCCTTCATAGAAGACCACTCGCGAATCAAAGAACCGTCATCAGCATTCCAAACTTTTACACTTCGGTCGGCAGACGAAGTTACAAGTTTCTTTGAATCTGGTGACCATGATAACGAAAAAATGGTGCCTTTATGAGCATTAAATTCCAAAATTTTTTCTCCTGTTTTTCCATCTAATAAAAAGACTTTTCCATCTGCGCCAACAGAAGCAAACTTTTCATCATTAGGGGCATAACGTACATCGTAAACGTATTTATCGTGACAGCGAATGCTGGTATTATATCGGTAGGGAACTCCGTGAAAGAAATTTACAGAGCTATCATCAGAGGCCGTAGCAGCACGAAGCGGACGCTGCTTTCGCATGGCAACGCTGTTGACAATAGCCGAGTGACCAAAAATCTACAAATGTCAGTATTAATAGAGGCAACAAACAACAGAGAAAAAAAAAATACTTACTTCACCAACTGAATTTCCTGAATCCGCAGTGAAAGCATGACCGTATCTGAGGGAACAAATTAGCTTAAGACGCTCTTGTCTTTAAGATAGCAATGCAATCATACCTTTCTTTCCCTTCACCAACTGCGATGATTCTTTGACTATCACCATCTAAGTAATTTTTAGTATAAAATATTTTCAATTCATGCATACCCCAATCAATGTCGTTTATTCTCCCGCTAATAGCTGCGACATTGTTCTTTAGGATTTTGTCTTCACCTACGCAGTCCCAGACGCGCACATTTCCATGAACATCTAAAAAAATAAATAGTTAATCATCCATGTTTATAAAATTACAGCATTAGAGCATTTTCACTCTTCGACTATCCGTACCACCAGACGCTACGTAAAATCCGGACGGGCTGAATTTAGCGACACTAGTAGGAGCAGTATGTTCATTATACTGATAGCTTTCTTCTGGATTAGATATATTTCTCAGTATGATTGCTTTATTTGTCTATATTCAAATGGTTAGATTTTCTTCCAACGATGCCTACATACAGCATAAGCAATTCGATCGCCATTACGATTCGTAGACAGTTTGCATGGCTGAGAAAGCTTTGTAGAAGGGGCAGGAGCCCACAAACTTTTCAATTCCGAAGGCATTGTCAAAGATTTTAAATGAAAGGTTACCACAAGTGAATGATGGGGTTAGAAGTAATGGAGAGGTTAGATACTGAAAGGTAAGCCATCGAATACGATGTAATCACACGAACAACAAAAAAAAAAGAAAGCTAAAACCTAGTATATAAAACTAAAATAGATATAAAAATATTGAACAATTAGCGCCATTTACTAAAACATAAGCCACTAGCACAACTAGCTAACCAAACGATGACTATCACCAGAATGCAATAGCATATGTTAGTTTATAAAGACATTGAAGATATTATTTCAAAAAAAAGTACAGAATTCTTATGAAATTAAAAATTAAATAACTGAAGTCAACTGAACATGAAGAAAATCTGTCCATGCAACAACAGTTTTGAACGAGAGCGGGGGTATATTCGAAGACTAATCTCAGTATTTTTTATTAGAAATCTTTTTTTCAATAACATGCTTTCGGTTATATTCTTTCATCTTCCTATAATGGTCATTAGGTCGAACGACATTGACCGGTCTAGTAGCTAGAGCTCGTTTTTCCATATCAACTTTAAGTTGATCATATCTTCCTCGAAGGGCATCTTTAATTCCGTTGTACATGTCACGAACTGCCTTAACAGGATTCCGTAAAAGATTTTTGCCAGAAATGGCTTTGTCTACTGCAGGTGGAAGGGGTGCGAATCCAAGTTTCTGACGAATAGCGGGTCTCTTCAATATAAATCCTTGAACGATGTTAAAAATGCTGCTTGGAATCCAATACAAAAAGATAGCCTAATATTCTCGTTAGTGATTTCTGATACAGTCATTGAAGTTGATACATACAGCTGGGAGTTTTAGGGTAAAAAGAGGACTTAAAAGACAGCAAAGGAAGAAAAAGGTACTCCAGTTTGGAGAGTTACCGATAGTAGATGCAGTGTTTGATCTATTCAGTTGCATTCCCGTGAACATAAATGCTGCGTTAATTACAGGCAAAATAAAATATGGGTCCGGTGCCGATAAATCCTGGAACCAGGCGATACCGCCTTCTTTGAAACCTTCGACAGGAACACGAGCCATTTGACGAATCGCATAGAAAAAGCTAAAGAACACAACACTTTGGGTAAGTGGGAGCATAAAAATAGACAATGGACTAACTTCATGCTTGATATATAAAGCTCTCAAAGCCATACTGTGCTGGCTAAGGCGCATTTGGTCATTTTCTAACTTAGCCGACTTAATAGCATCCAGCTCTTTTTTCATTTCAGGCTGAAGCACTGTAAGTTTTGAGCTCGTTCGAAAAGACTTTAACATCAACGGCAAAAGAGCAAAACGAACACCGACTGTTGTCGCAATTATAGATACCCACCAGGGTGCTCCGGCATAAACATTAATTGAGTAAGCTGCATTTTGAAGAAAAGCATATGGCCACCAAGAATTACTTATACCAACTGTGTTGGCCGTAGATGCTGCAGCTGCTACCGCTGTGTCTGCTGTAGAAGTTGAAACACTCCGAATAGGTTGCAAATATCGTTGAGACAATTGCTTCCGGTGAGGTATTGCTTTTAACTTCAGGAACGCATTTTTATTAAAATCCTGTATCCTATGTCAGTTAGTTAAGTCGAAAACACTGATATTCTTATGTTTTATTAATACCCTTGCTGATGCTTCAAAAATCGTAGACCAAAATGGAACATCCTTAACTATAATTATGTTTTTATTTTTTCAGAAATAGATTTGAAAAGAGAAGAATGAATTTCCGGCCTAAGTATGCATCTACTGTTCGATGGTGGTAACAAGCGGTTTTGCTCTGTCAAGATTTCTAGTACATAAAACCCATTTCCATAATGAGAGCTTAGTGTGGAATATACCTTTCAGACTTTTATTTAAGATTACAGAAAGAGGTCAAAAATCATTCTTCTCATCATGGTTTCTCAAAAAAATCTTCATGCAAAGAATCATCTCAAAACGAAGGCGAAACTGGTTCATCTGGTCAAAGTAAAAGTATATTGAATAACAATTTCATTAGTTCTAGTTATATAAGATATAAAATCCATGCTATCCTTCAAGTATCCTTCAAATTTTATTTTTTGTTTACTAGCGCATTTTAGTGAAATCCAGCGTAGATCTGATTTCTTGTGGGACTGTCTTTTCATTCGGACATTAGCCATCATCACGTACCTGTGAATTCTTACATTTAAGAGGACCTTTTTGGATTCCTTCGATTTGTTGAAAAATGTCTGGGCAAGAACTCTCTCATCCTCTCATCAAGGACGGTTGGTTCCGTGAAATCAACCATATGTGGCCTGGTCAAGCTATGACCTTGCAAGTTAAGAAGGTTCTTTATGCTGGCAAGTCCAAGTACCAAGATGTTTTGGTTTTTGAGAGTGAAACCTATGGTCGCGTTTTGGTTTTAGATGGTGCTATTCAATGCACGGAGCGTGATGAGTTTTCTTACCAAGAAATGATTGCTCATTTAGCTCTCAATTCCCATCCCAGTCCTAAGAAGGTTCTTGTTATTGGCGGTGGTGATGGCGGTGTACTTCGTGAAGTCGTTAAGCATGATTGTATAGAAGAGGCCGTTTTGTGTGACATTGATGAGGATGTCCTTAAGGTTTCTAGGGAGCATCTCCCCGAGATGGCTGAAGGTCTCAATCATCCTAAGGTAAAGGTTCACATTGGTGATGGGTTCCAATTTTTAAAGGATTACAAAAATACTTTTGATGTTATCATTACCGATTCTTCTGATCCTGATGGTCCTGCAGAAGCTCTTTTCCAAAAGCCCTATTTTGAACTTCTTTCTGATGCTCTCCGTGATGGTGGTGTTATCACTACTCAGGCTGAATGTATCTGGCTCCACCTTGGCGTTATTGGTGATGTCTTGAAGGCCGTTAAGTCTGCTTTCCCCAATGTCCGTTATGCCTACACAACCATTCCTACTTACCCCTCTGGTCAAATTGGTTTCGTTGTTGCTTCCAAGAATCCAGTTATTGACTTGAGTAGACCTGTTCGCAACTGGACTCCTGAGCAAGAAATGAAGCTTTGCAGATACTACAACAGCAAGCTCCATTCCGCTGCCTTCGTTCTTCCCAACTTTGCTCGTGAGGTCGTTGAAAAGTCTCTTTCCGCCTAATTTTTTCATCTGTACGAGTTTTGCAAAATAATGTTTAGTTTATTCCTTACTCATGTTTTATAGCTGAAAAAAAAAAATATTATCTTCAAGTACATTTTCAGGTATTCGATTTACGTAGATATTATTGTGAAACTGTCAACGAAATATTTGTCCACGCTAATTAATATATTTAAATATCTGAAGACCTAGAAACCATTTTATCTATACTACCTCTCATCTACATTTTAAGCGCATTCTTGACGACTTTTTCAAGTTCTTCATAATCATCCGTAGGAACACGTGTTATGGCCCGACCAAAGTAGTCCTCAATTGTCTTCATTTCTCGCCAGCTCTTTTCATCATGAACGAAATTGATACTGACACCCACGCGGCCAAATCGACCAGTACGACCGATACGGTGAAGGTAAGTCTGGGGATCTGGCTTGCCTGCAGAATCTAAAGGCATATCGTAGTTGACAACCATGTTGACTTGAAGAACGTCAATACCACGGGCAATAACGTTCGTAGTAATCAACACCTTAGAAGTACCAGCGCGGAAGGAATCCATAATATGATCACGTTGAGTACCATCCAAGTTACCAGTTAAGCAAGAAACGGTATGTCCATCTTGGACCATACGACGAGCAATCTCCTCAGCAGTATCTTTCTTTCGACAAAAGATAATAGACTGACCAATGGTCAAAAGACCATATAACTCTACGAGCACCTCATACTTGTGCTGTTCACTCTGGCAATCCATATACAACTGCCGAATTCCATCGACACTAAGTTCTTCAGTTTTAAGACGAATTTCGTCTGCGTTCGGAGCAAAGTGTTTGGCAAATTCTCCAACCTGCTCCGAAAAGGTAGCACTAAATAAGACTACCTGAGTATTTTTGGGTAATAAACGCTTAACACGCATTGACTGGTCAGCCAGACCTTGTTGATCTAACATGTTATCGGCTTCATCCAATACGAAAGCGCGAATGTGTTTAAGATCCAATTGTCTTCTCTTAGCAAGATCCATGACTGTACCAGGGGTACCAATAACAATTTGAGCGTTTAGAACCTGACCTTTGGGAACAGCATCTTTAATAGCAAAGGCAGTTTGAACTCCAGTATACTTCCCCATTTCTTCTACGACATCCATGATTTGACGAGCAAGCTCTCGAGAAGGAGCCAAACAGATGGCCTGAGGTTTGGCGACTGTGGTATCGACACGTGAAAGCATTGTTAAAGCAAATGCAGCAGTCTTACCAGTACCGGATTGGGATTGACCGATCATGTTACGAGGAGGATCGGCAAGCAGGAGGGGCAGTGCTTTTTCTTGGATTTTCGATGGTTTCTGAAATTTCATAGAATAGACACCTTTTAATAATTCTGGCTTCAAATTCAACTCTTCAAAACTCTTGACAGAATAAAGAGGAGAATTTGGGTCAGCTTGCAAATCAGCAAGCTTAACGCGTACTTCATTCTTGTTTTGGATCAAATTCGATTCTTCCTCTGCCTTAACTTTTTCGTTTTCTTCTTCATTTTTAGTAGCATTCTCCTTTTCGTCCTTAGTTTCGGGCTTGGCTTGTCCTTCGGGCTCCTCGCCTACCTTGGGACCAAGACGACTGCTCAAATCGCCAGTGGCCTCTTCTTTTGGCGCATTTTCTGAAGTTTGGAGTTTATTGATATTTTCGCTAATACGTTCGACTTCTTCATCGGAATCGATGCTTGCCCAATCAGTCTTTTTTTCTTGTCCCACTGTCGACGACATCGTGGTTACTGCGTTTAGTTTTTTATGTAAAACAAAAAATAAAATAAAAAGAAAACAATAAATTTGTATCTACCAACCAATTCAACCCTTGTATTTCTTGTTTGTTGTAGTTGGCTGTAGTCAAGTTGAGTTATACGTCGTACACATTCCAATTATTTCAATCTACACACATACCCTTCGTATACTAGTATTTAATTCAGGTTTACTTTTATTTTTAATTATATTTTTCAGTATTCACGATCTTCGATTATCCCCTTACGTTCTTTTTCGATTATTTAAACCTTTATTCGTTGAAGGATCAATTATTTTGAAATGGAACTCAATTCTTATAAACTTAGCTCTGAGTTGCACGTACGTTAGCTCAAACAATATTTCTTTGATCTATTTTGGAGTCTCTTACTAATTTGAGAACTTAGGATGACTTTAAGATTGTTGACAGCTGGGTAAGAGGAAGCAAGCTGGGTTGGACGTGGTCATAAGCTAATCTTAATACCAGGTGCATAACGGATCTAAATGGATAGAAGATATTCAACAATATTACAAAGAAAGGAGCTCTATTGGTACGCTTGTCATTGAAACTATATTTCCTTGCTAGCAAATAATGTGTGAACTAACGCTTTTCGTTGATAGAGAGAGAATATTCTCAGAAGCTTTCAAGTCTTTCAAGGAAATTTGTTGAAAAAAAGAATAAAAAGTCATCACTTCTTTCCGTTGGCGAGAATCCTACGAAATCTGCTGGTTCTTTAGAATGGTAATACTAGATAAAATCGAAGAAAGATACTTTTTTCCCATTATATTTCTCATATTAACATTTGATACAGTGCTTCTCTGACAACATGGTCGAAAATATTGGACGAACTTGAGCAATCCTCGAAGATTCATCAGAAACTGGCGGATGACTTTGTGTTGGAAACCAATGAACAAGCTAAGCGATTGGAAACAAACGTTGAAAATTTAACGAAGTCTTATGATCATCTTTATGAAAAGTTTTTGGAGCAAAAAGAATCCTTGTTGACCATGGTTAAAAGAGCGAAATCAAGTTACCATGAAGCGTGCGAGAGTCTGGAATCAGCAAGACAGAAACGAGACAAGCATAATGACGAAAAAACAGGGAAACTTTTTAGAAATTCGCAAAGCGATATGTTAGATAAGAAGAATATGTATATTCTTCGTATCCTTGTCTACAACGAGCATATGCAGCGCTATTATCAAGAAACGTTACCAAATCTTTTAGACCATATGCAAAGATTGAACGAGTACAGAGTGAAAAATTTAAATGATACTTGGAAATCCGGAATCACGTGTGAAAAAAATTGTTATAAATCTTTAAGTGAAGAAGCAGATGCACTCATTTCGGAAATTGACAAAAATGAACCTTCTTTGGATTCGGTAATGTTTGGTCAGCACAATGTTAAGGCTTGGAATGAACCTTCGCCTTTAGCATTTGAGCCTAGCCCAATTTGGCATGACACCGATTCATTAGTCGTAGACGGCACGAGTAGGAATTTTCTTCGAAACACCTTGGTGAACTCCAAATCTGAAATACAAAAGGCAGAAGAAGAGTTGCAAAGCTTATCCAAACAATTGGAAGGGTCGCGAATCGATGATACTACGGCGCTTGAGCAGTCGTATGAATCGAAAATAGCTGCTGTCGAATTGGAGAGCAAGGAGGTATTAATAAAAAACAGAGTTCATGATCTCAATGTTCGTGTCGGCAAAATAACTGAGAAAGCCGGAAATATTGAGGAAGGAATGAACTTTCACACATTCAAAGTTGCTAGTTTCAAAATCCCTGTTAAGTGTTCCTATTGCCATTCTAAGGTTTGGGGCCGCGGTTTGTCATGTGAGGGTATGGTTTATGAGAATTTAGATAGAAAGATTTTTATTAACATGAAATTAGACTGCGGATACAAATGTCATCCACGTTGCCAATTGTACGTCCCAGCCAACTGTGGCCAAAGTCCTATTGAAGATGATCATGATGAAGCGATGTCAAGTACGGGGGATTTTGGCAGTAATCAACGAGAAGGATCATTGCTCTCATCCAATCTCTACGATACGTATGAAGACGATTATACGAACAGTGTTGGATCTCGCAACGAATATGCACCATCTTTACAACAGACGCCTTTTAATGACTCTGAAACAATTCATACTCAGCGTGCCGAAGAAGAAGAAAAACAAGTTACTGGTACATTACTTTACGATTTCACTGGAACCCAAGAAGGTGTCTTGAGCGCTTCCCAAGGTCAAACATTCACTCTTTTAGAGCCAGACAGTAAGTTGAAATGGGGAATGATGAGACACAGTATAAACTAATGCAATATTATAGATGGAAGTGGTTGGATTTCTGCGAGAATTGGTGGTTTAGACGGTTTACTCCCGAGTACGTACGTGGAACTTGAAAATAATGCAGCTGGATCAACAAACGGTACCGTTGAAACGGCGAATGAACAGTACGTAAAAGCTGCTTTTGACTACGAAGCGCAAAGTGAACTGGAAATTACTATTCGTGAGGGAGATGTAATCCGTGTCACTCAGCGCGATGCAGGAAATGGATGGTCTGAAGGCACCTTACATGGTATTACTGGACAATTCCCAGCAAAGTAAGTTTGTTTGAAAGATAGAGACGTTTGAAAAGGTTGCTAATGATTTAGTTACGTTGAGGATATCTAAATGGCTTGTTTCACATTATGAAATGACAGATAAGATACATAACATTCATTATAATCTATATATATATATATATATATATATATATATATATACATAAGGAAGCATTCCTTTTTAGTTTACAATACAAATACGAAACGAACGATTTACCATAATTTACGTGCATTTACAGTAGGAATCGGAAAAAGAAAGATATTCATTCATAACAACATATATTTTTTTTTAAACAAAAAAAAAAGGAGGAAGAAAACAAGGATCCAAAGACCTAAACAAGTTTTCCATTACCGACTTTTTTGTAAAGTAGGAATAAAATAAAAAGCAAGAATGTTAAAAATAAAAGGTAAAGAAAAAAGGCAACTGAATGGGGAAAAAACATAAAAAATTGTGAAACAAAAACCCAAAGCAAACCTAAGAAAGGGGGATCACCTAATACCTAAACATTCATTTCATAACACTATAAATAGGGGGAATTTCATAATCTAAGAGTTGGTAATGGCCTTTGTTAGTTCATAAGTCTTAGTTCCATCCTCGAAGTCAGACAAGATACGGCTACGAGGAAGCTTGCCCTCGGCAACACCAATGAAGGCTTCGAATTCAGAGTAGTATGGATCATCGTCGGGGAAGTTGACGATACGTTCGGTATCAGAATCAGGAGAACGGATGTACAATCTAGGAGTACCATAAAGGTCGACAATACGGACATAGTGACCGTCAGCTTGAAGTTCCAAGCAAGTGTCGTATTGAGTACCTTGGAGAATGATACTGTGGGCTAAGATACCGACGGCACCAGACTTGTATTTCCAGGAAGCAGCGGTAAAGCGGGGAACACGCTCTTGTTCGGGAATAGCCTCTTCATCGATGGGAAGGGCAGAAAGCTTACCGACGGGGTCGCTGGAAAGGACACGGTTGACTTTGACGGTGGAGATATCGACATCACCACCGAAATAGCGAGACAAGTCGCAAAAGTGGGTACCTTGTTCAACGACAGGGCCACCGGACTTGGAGACGTACCACCAAAAGGCCTTGGAGTTGTGAATGTAGGAAGAGTTGTAGCGGGCGATGGTGCAAACGATATTTAGGTTATTGTCTTGGATATACTTTTTAGCAGCCTCGACAACCTTCAAGTAGCGGAACATGTAACCGATGGAGATGATGGCTTGGTGTTGTTCGAGTTGACGAACGACATCAAAGGTGTCCTCGACAGCGGCGGCAGAGATGGGCTTTTCGATGAAGATGGCAGCCTTGGGAAATTGACGGACGATTTGCAATTCCATGTCGGCACCGATTTTGTTGGAGCCATGGAAGTCGGGGGGAATACCGATGACGAAGGCATTGGGTTCTTCTTCGGGGTGTCTAGAAAGATAGTCCAAGTATTCAGTCATGGAGGTGAACATTCTTGTTTCGTCGTAAGCGTAAGCAACCTTGGAATCACGCTTAGCATCCAAAATACGGTTGGTTTCGCTAGGAATGGGATTGATTAAAGCGGAGACACGAAGACGTTGACCCAAGTTTTGCTCAATACGTTGGGCATTGTTCCAAGGGCCTTCGGGGGAACCAAAGTTGATACCACCAGCACCAACAATGGCGACCTTGAAGATGGCATCGGAAGCGCCGTTTCCAAAGACCTGTTGGGCGTTTTGGTTGGCGGGGACGTTAATTGTAGTAACCATAATGACTTTTAAAAAATAACAAAGGTTGTTGACGTTGTTGACGAAAGTATGAGATCAAAAAAAATATCCAAAGGAAAAGCAAAAGCAATAGAGATGAAACAAGCGAATGTTTCAAATCAAAAAATGAAAAATGAAAAAGTAAACAACAAACAAGAAAAACTAAAAATCAACCAAAACGAAGCTAGAACAATTCGTGAAGGAAATGGGACCCCTTTGTGTAATAAGACTTTATTTTTTTTTCTTAAAATTCAAAGAGAAGTAGAAGAAAAAAAAAATAAAAATAAAAGAGACAAACAACAAAGGTTTAAAACAATACAAGTTCCTTCAAATGTTCGAGTATAACCTTTTTACGGTTTTTTTTTTTGGTATAGCCTTGGTAGTATTAGTTGTAATAACAGTGGTAGCAAATGTATACAAGGGCATTTGCTGCTATAAATAAATGTGTTTTCAGCAATGACTTCACCGGGAAGGGTGTGTCATGTTACGTGTTATCAGAAAACAACAAGTAGCAAAGAAAAACAACGAAATCGGTGAAGGATGCAAGAAGAAGATGTTCTAAAACGATCGTTTCATTATGGAAACGAGATGGTTTTTTTTTTTTTTTTTCTTTTTTTCTTTTCGCCACGCAAGGTTTTCTTTCTTGGGCTTACTTCGTAGGGTGGTGTCTCATACATACATGAATGGATGGTAACATTGACATGGGCATAGCAGTAGCTCTAGCCATAGCAGTAGCCATAGGATAAAACAAGAAATCACAGAGGAGGATAGGGAGAAGCAGAGAATTGCAAATGGTAAAACGTATTGTGGAATTCGTTGAAGGACACTATTTCATAGATCGATTTTGTGAATCGAGAAGTGTGGTTTAGTGTATTCCAACGTGAAATAAAACGTAAACTGTGCAATGCAATGCAATGCAATGCGATACGATACAATACAATACAATACACAACTAATGCAGTATTTCTCTATATACAAAGTGGGAATCTATGAAAGGCATAGTGTTGAAAGAGAAACAACGATTCCATCATGGTTGTTGTTGTTGTTTTTTTTTTTTTTCACCTCTGTGCTACTATTTTAAAAAAGAAAATTTATTTTCACCGCCCTCTCACCCTTTGCTTTCCCATCGCATCACATCGCATAACATAACATAGCTTCATTCTATTTCATGCCTTGTACTAACTATGTATGTGCCCAAAGACTACGACGAGCGCGAGTGTGCGAGTGTGTGTCCAACGTGGATCGGATCGCCTATCGCGATGATCAGATAATTATTCATTGGCAAATGACGCATTATATTCGCTTCGTTGATTTGCTGAATCTCTCTGTACAAAGGATCTGCAAGGATCTACTGAAAATCAACACAAAAAAGAAAACAAAGCTGTCGAAAGAATGGAATCAAAAAAGAAAAGAAAACAAAGAAAAAAAAAAAAAAAAACACAGACACAGACATACACAAAACAAAAGATCTTTTGTTATTCGTTGCATTCTCATACTTTTTCTTTTTTCTCAATTTTCCACATTTTTCTGTCTGACTCATTTCATCTCGTAATTCTGACTGACTCTGAAAAGCCTTTCAAATTCCATGCTTTCAGCTGACTAAGAATCATCTTTTTCTCTTTTTTATAAATCACTCTTTTTTTCTCTTTTTCTCTCTTTCCTCCAACTCCATCCATTTCTTCTTATATTTTTTTTTTTTCTTCTTCGTTTTCTCTCTCTCTCTCTTGCCAACACATTATCCTACGTTCCACTTCGTTTCCCATTTTAACGTTACCGATCCACTTCCCTATCCGAAATCTTATGATCAGCTTATATCCGATTTTGCTTTAAAATTTATCTGATCACTCGACTCTTCTTCTACCATCAACTTTTGCTATTTCTTTTCCCATTTTTGACAGGTTTTCCTGTAAATTTTGCTTAAAAATAGCACAATTTTGTTTAAAAAACAATTGAAAAGCTTTCTTTTTCATTTTTGGAATCCTTCCCCTTAACTTTCTATTCCATTGATAGTAAGTGTGTGTCTTTTTTCTTTCCCAGCAAAACAATTCTTACCCTTTTGTTTCATTTTTTTACTCTTTCTCTTTCTCTCTCTCTCTCTCTCTCTCTCTCTCTCTCTCTCTCTCTCTCTCTCTCTCTCTCTCTCTGAGTGAGTATTTGTCTTTTTGTTGTTGTTGTTGTTGTTGTTCTCTGGTTTTATTTCTTTTTTTTTTTTTTTTATAAAAATGGCTCCTTCTGTGATTTCTCCCAAACATCAACATCTCTCTCCCAATCCCCCTTCTTCTTCTTCTTCTTCCACTACTACCGCCATCAACCTTCCTCATTCCTCTTCCTCTGCAGCTGAACTCGGTTGCGTAAACTGCCGTTGTTCTTCCAATAAGGATGCAAACGAAAGCGCCCATTTAGACGATCCCTCTCAAGACCTTGCCGACTCCATATCCAATCTTGTTTTAAATCCCCAGTTTAACTCTCTCAACCTTGATCTTCATCTTTTGCACGACAACATCACCATCGATCGTATTCCCAAACTTCCTGCTCGTAATGTCTCCTTCGCTCCCTTAACTCCCGAGGCCAAAGCCGCCGATTCCTTCCATTCAAGTCCTCTTATTTCTGAGAAAATGCCTCCTTCTTTTGTCCAACCTCATCCCCCTTTCCACGTCTTTCCTTCTCCCGTCATCAACATCCGCGAACTCACAAAACCCAATGCATACAAGCGCGTTTTCCATTTCGAAATCGACGTTTCCCACTACCCACTTCCTGAAGGCGAAGAATGGATGGTCGGCGGTTCCTTTGGTCTCATGGCTCCCAACGATGATGCCGTCGTTAACCATTTGCTTCACCTTTTGCAAATCCCCGATGATGTCGCCGATGCCCCCATCCTTTTAAAGACAAACGGCGGACGCTGGCCCACCATATGGGCCGAAGACGTTCCTCGAGAACTTCCCACTACTCGTCGCGAATTACTCAAATGGTCTTCCGATTTCATGTCCGCTCCCCCTAAAAAGCAATTAATTCGTTTGTTAGCTGAATATGCCCAAAACCCCACCGAAAAGAAAATCCTCTTGTTTCTCGTTAGCCGCCTCGGTCAACGTGCTTTTTGTGATTTGAGAGTTAATAACAACGTTACTCTCCTTACTCTTTTAGAAGCCTTCCCTAGCATCAGGCTTCCTTTGGATCACTTGCTAAGTGTTTTGCCCCAATTAATGCCAAGATGGTATTCTTTGTCCAACGATCCCGCTCAGCATAATGGAGTTTTGGAGTTCGCTGTTGCTCTCGTGGAAATTGAAAAGGTCGGTGGCGGTGTCCATTACGGAATCGGTTCTGGCTTCTTGTATCAGTTAGCAAAGCAATGGATGGACGGTAAAAGAGATTTGGTTCTGCCCATGTTTCGTGGTTTGCATAGAAACGCTTTTGTTACTCACTTTACTTCTGATGGCCCCATGTGTCTCATTGGCACTGGTGTCGGCATTGCTCCTTTCCGTGGTTTCGTTCAACGTCGTCTCATGAATGCTTCCTGTGCCGGAAAAGTTTGGATCTTCCATGGCTGCCGTGACTCCGAATTAGATGAATTGTATCATGGCGAATGGGAAAATCCATCTGACAACTCGCGTTCAAACTCCCCTCGTCCTCAGGATAAGCAAAACAATACCGAGGTAGATACCTTGGAATTCCATAACGATGCAAGAGAAGGTCCCCATCACATGGTCGTCGAATCTCGTTCACGCAGAAAGGTATACGTACAAGACGAATTGCGAATGAAAGGTGATATTGTTTGGAATGTCTTGAATCATCCAAACGGTAAAATTTATCTTTGTGGTGGTAAACAGGGCTTATTGCGCGGTGTTGATGAAGCATTAAAGGACATTTGCATGAAATATGGAAATTTGTCTCAAAATGAAGCTGCGAACCAATTGGCAGCTTGGCAGAATCCTCTTTCCTTGAAATACATTAAGGAAATCTGGTAATGTATCTTTATAGAATAATTGTTCATTGTTTTCCACCTGTATTATGATGAGTCTTATACGTCTATTTCAGGTTAATTGTTTTTATTCCCCTTTCTTTTCACTCCAGCGACAAACTTTTTGTTTTAAAACTTATGATGCTTATTTTCTTTTTTTTTTGTTCTCTGAGCCTTTTGTATACTTGGGTTTGGGTTTATATTTTATACGCTCCTTGATTTCATTACTTTGATCAGCATAAATAACGAATGCTTGTTTCTTTACAAACATATGTCTCTACTAGTTTTTCTCGTAAGTAGTACAGTAAGCATGCTTTTTCTGATAACATGTTCATCCTTTCCAAGCAAAAATTTTTTGTTTGTAAAATCAGAACCAAATCAATTTCATTGTTCAACTACGCAATGAAGACAATCAATGCAACTTTTTGCCTATGCCGCAGAATAAAAAATGAAATTCAAAAGGATTTACGCGTAGCAGTCTTGATCTATGTAACTCACTTAGCTCACTGAAGGTTTTAATAAATTTGTAAATAAAACTCGTTTGGGTCACTTAAGAGCAAACTGCTACATCCTACTAGTCAAAGTTTATTTACGCGCTCTTCAAAGGTATACTAATATTTTTTCTAAACTAGAATTCGTAAATAGATGATTTTTTTTAAAATAGATTCAAGCCTTGTCTAGCAACTAAAATTCTCTTCAGTGATACTTTCCATGTTTTGTTTACTTGTCATCTATCGAATTTTTCAATACCTTTTCATTGTTATATATATAATATTAAGAGACAGCCCATATTAGCAGCAGAAATGTTAACTTCAAATGAGTTGAACTGCAATTGTGTGCTCGCTAAGATTCGCTAACTCATGAGTGTTGCGAGGATAATGCAACAATACGAAAGCAAAATATTAATCACTTACGAAACTTCATGAAAATATTTCTTTCTGTGCATAAAAAAACTGGATCTCTTTTTATATGAGAATTACAACAAATTAAGCAATTTACGAAGTGGTTGAGTCGACTGTACGTTTAATTGAGCAATTGCAGGCAAAGACATTTGTTTCATATCGGATGTGAGTCCTTATACAAAGGTCCTTGATGTTCTTTTCCTTTTTCGTGGATATCTATGAAACATATGCGATCGGAAAGCCAACAACCTGGTGCAAACTGTCAGGAATCGAGTTCCAGAATGGATAAAGTACCCGGCATTGTTAAAAACTACGACGAAAAAGTTGACCAATTGAAAGAGAAATTGGACAATAAACGTGCAGCATATCGAAAAACTGAACGATTGCTTAATAATTTTAGTACGAGATTTAAGCATGAGCCGATAGAGCGAAGAGCGAGTCTAAAGGATAACCTCGAATCTGATTTAGAATCCTGTAGAAGATCAATCAGAGAAATTAAGCTATCTATCGGAAATTTTCGAACGGATGCTCAAAACGAAGCTGCGGAGTCTGGTATAACTGGTTGGAATCCATCGCTCCCGGAAGTCCAAAATACAGAAACGAATGCAAAAATACAATCAAGCACCTCTTTACAAACGGATGTTGCAGATTCAGGGAAAGAAGGATTAAATATTTCATCTAGGTTAGATCCTATAGTCACCCAGTTCGTTGCTATCAACAAGGCTGAAGATGAGGATCACAAACCTTTGTCCGTTTTTCCATCTATTACTAACGAAACTCAACCTTTTCCGTCCAAAGAAGCAGCTAGTTCTATTCTCCAAGATTGGACGACAATAGTACGAGATGCTTGCTCAAGACTTTCCAATACCGAAATAATCCATAACGCCAACAACATTTGTCAGTATCTGCATGAGCACCCCGAAAAAGACTGCCTTCCAAGAGCTTATTACATGCTTCCTACCCTTCAGATCATGCTTACACTTAACATACCAGACGTTTCTGCTTGTGTGTATCGCATCATAAGGAATTTATTTACAGATCCTTCAGCATTCGTCATATTCCAATCACTAAATTTGACTTGGTTGCTTTCAAAATCTATCATATCAGCAGGACCCACTTATGAGGCGGAAAAGGCTCAGGCATTTCGATTAATTCGTACGCTCTATGCCTTTTCGTGTACTGAAGAACATGAGCGTATGCTTTTAGGAATTACTCATACGTTAATAGCTATATGTGAACATTCATCAGATGCGAATAGAGGTATCGCAAGTGAGACGTTGATTGAATTAATGATTTTAAAACCTCAAATATTGTTACGAGCTAATGGGTTGAGAGTGTTGATTTCTTCTCTTGTTGATGGTTCCGTTTCAGAGGACTTAGCAGCGACTTCAGCGTTGGCCCTCATTTATCTGCTAGACAATCCCGAAACTTGTCGTTATCTGAGCTTACCTTATGATATCGGAATATTATTATCACCATTCACTTCACCCAGCCTATACGATTTATACAGTCCTTCCGGCGGTCAGCCAGAACAGACCTCTAGAGCTATTAGATCAAGTGCGAAAATTATTTCTGTCCTTTTAAATTCTTGGCCTGGACTTCTGGCTTTCTCCACCGAGGATTTCCAAGCGCTTCGATCCCTTGTAGATTCCCTTCGGGTTCCGACATTCACCGCCCGCAATGATATAATAGACTTATTTTTGCTAATTTTTAAAGTCGATCGTTCGACTGTTCATGAAACGTGTATAATCGCAGGAAAGAAGCATTTTCCCGCAAAAGGTCAGAATATTATTGAAGAAATTGAAGCCAGTACCCTCAACTTATGCGACGGCTCTTACAGAAAATTTCTAGCTCTAAACCACCATTTCACGGCTCTCTTATTATTCATCTTTCTGGAATTGGGTTTAGTAGAATCAATTGTATGTGTGATTCGTGCTAATGATGATCAAACCCTTTGCAAAAAGGCAACATATCTACTTGGTGAAGTATTACGTCTTTCTGATCAGTTACTTCCTATACAGCTAGGTGCTAAGATTCAGTCGCTTCCCTCCTTATTCAACATGGCTTCTAAATTTACCGCTGAGGATAGGTTTGTTGCTACTTCAGTCCTTCAATCAATCGAAAGCTTGAATCGTGCCAAATGCCAGTCGGAAATAGTTCATCGTTCATTTAATGCCCATGAGGTAGGCCTGTCTGGGAATACTTATAGAGGTCAACGGCAGGTTGAGCATGTTAAATTGAAGATGGGATTGCAGATTGATGATTCGCATTTTAGGAACATGCTGGCGGAGACGAATGTCCTTACTACAAAAAATTACCAAAAATGGAGATGGGACACGCTAGCACAAATTATGGAGGGGCCTCTTCTGAGCCATAAGAGAATAGATGAGACTCTTCGTACAACAAAATTCATTAAAAGACTATTGTCTTTTTATAAGCCTTTTTCAGACCGCTTTTCATCCATAAAAAATACTACGGCTAATCATAAGTATATAAACGTCGGGTGTTTGGTGTTCAAGACGCTTTTGGCAAACCCCGAAGGGGTCAAATATTTATCAGAAAGTAAACTTATAAAACAAATTGCTGAAGCTTTATCACAACTAGACGAAAATTCTGGCCAAGTCGCGAATCCAATTTTTTCTAAGCAACGCTTACAAACAACTCTTGTGCATGGTTATTTTTCAATGCTTAAAGTTCTTTCAAGTCAAAAAGAAGGGCATGCTATTTTGGAACGTTGGAGGATATTTACAACTTTATATCATCTTGCTGAAATTCGAAACAGAGATGATTTATTAATTTGTTTTTTAACGAATGTCGATTATCGATTGGAGGGCCACAGCAGAATTATATTCTCAAAAGCGTTAAGCACGGCGCAACAAAGCGTTCGATTACGAGCAACACGACATCTGTTGACGTTAATTAATTCAGAATCAGGAAACGACAACTTGAATCATTGGGCTATCTCGCTGCTGATATTTCAATTGTATGACCCCTCTTTAGAAGTTTGTCAAATTGCTGTGAAAGCGTTAGATGATGTATGTGCTAAAAATGAAAGCTTGCTTGCTCAAGTAGTTCAGTTACAACCATCTTTGGCTCATTTAGGTGACATAGGCTCACCTTTGTTATTGAGATTTTTGGCTACCACTATCGGCTTTCATTACCTTTCCGAAATTAGTTTTATTGAGCACGAATTAGATAATTGGTACCACCATCGAAACGAAGTCTATGTTGATTTAATAGAACAAAATGGATTTTTGACATTTATTTCTAGCATGGATATTGCTAACGCAGAATTTACAACAAATGGAGATGATATTCTTCCATTACATTTCTATGGAGAATTAGTGAAATCGCCAGAAGGTTGCTCGGTTTTAGAAAGCAGCGGACACTTTGCTTCCTTCATGGACATTTTAAAACAGTATGACGGAAGTACAGATTTGTTACGCATTCGTCGTCTGAAAAGTGCATTATGGGCAATTGGAAATATAGGAAAAGCCGAGACAGGTGCTTATTTCCTTGAAGAGCATGATTCAGTACCTCTTATTGTTAAATTCGCCGAAGAGTCCTCTATTCCTACTGTGCGTGGAACAGCATTCTTTGTTTTGGGTTTAATTTCGAGGACGGGTCGCGGTGTACAAATTCTTTCGAACTTGCATTGGTATAGTTTAATGTCGTTAATGGGGACATCCCAGGGTGTTTGTATCCCAGTGCACGCATGTCAAGTCTTGTCGGTTCCAGGAAAGGGTGCTGATCACCTAAATGATAGAACTTTTACATACCCTCCATCATCACTAGATGAAACCCTAACAAACACTGAAAAGGAAGTGATCAAATGTATTTCTAATTTGTCAAATCATGTTTTGGCAAATGAGGCAGCTCGTCAGTTGACGAAAATCCGATCTAAAAGCCCGCGACTTTTCTTGTCCAAGCGCCTTGCCAAGTTTTGTTTCAGTATTCTAGAGCAGTACCATTTTCGTGTTCAGATATTGCAATTTATTTATGAATTGTTTCCCCATTCCGCTCTTTTGGCGTTTGTTGAGACGAATGAATTACCGCCGAGAAGCTCGGGGTCTAATTCCTCTGCTGTATCTTGAAATTTTTTTGGGATATTCGAGTTCTTAATTTTGTTTTCTTGTACTTGTATAATTTCACTTGACATTTCATTGTCGTTTTAGTTATTTGTCATATATCATTCTTTATAGTTAGTCTTTTATGAATATGTTAATCGTTTTTTCACCTTGGCTTGTAAGTTGCATAAGAGTAACCACAATTCTAATATGTATTACGAAGCTCTTCTCATAAATAAGAAATTAAAGAATGATTATTAATGAAGCTCTAAAGATATAATATACACTTCTCGTTGACTACTGAATTTGAGGTAACTGATCTTGTATGTTAATGTTTCGCTATAGACCAACTTTGGTGGACCACCACTACCATTTTCCATTTGCGAGAATTGGGTTAATACTTTACAAAATTGATGAATTAATTGGTCATATACTGTATTCTAATAGAAGGAAACAGAAAAGGAATGAAAAGTAGGTAAATAAATGCTTTCATTCGTAATAGGAACGGAATATCGATTCTCGTTGTCAGTGTAAAGAAAGGATAAAATAACTATTATATTTTATCGATTGTTATTTTATTTCCAGAAAGTCATTTTTGGATTAGCTGTTCTGCTAAGAAATTTTGGAGCCTTGTTCGTTTTATAGTAGTTCGGAAACAAGGCGAGTCTTTGATTAATCGTTTTTCATTCTTGAATAATCTTTTGATTATAAAGCTTTTGTTCTGAAAATTGTACCGAAGCCTGTTGTTTGTGGGCTTCTATGGAATTTCACTGTTGAACCCTTGCTATGTTCCATGCGAGATGCAGGGTCAACCACAGTAATATTCAACTACATTTTTACCTTTCTTATTTTCGTTGTGTTTCAAATTTACATCCTTATATCTCCTCTCGTTCTTTTGCATATACACCGTGGAAACATTCTTCAAAGACAGAAAACAACACTTTGCTTTCAAACAGAGCAAGTACCAGAAAAGTTACTCCGACAATTGCCGACCCTTCTTCAAGTCAGATTTCGAGAAGGTCAAATCGTGCATACATAAGTAAACACGATGATGCATCTAAAGAAAAAAAGCCTGAACAATCTTTGCGACAATCCAAATTTAACTCTTCGATGTTTTTTAATCTACAGCATACAAGAAAGCTTTTAATAATGGCCTCTGATCGAAACAAAGCATACCTCAGGCCTCATGATCCACCGTGCCAAACAGCTAAAATTCTTTCGTTGTACGACAAACAAATGTATAGAAGAACAAGAAATCTATATGAAATTTTTCAAGGTAAAGAAGATTTGTTGACTCTCGATTGGTTTCAAACACTTTTATACCCATTGCTCACTTCAACATATGAAGTTAACGCCTACGTGAATACCATCACTCAAGATGCAACACTTCCTGATTACTTCCGTGACAGAAGTTTAGAGGTGATATTTTTTAGTTCTCTTTTTGATCATTTTTTGACTGTTAAGGAGTTTTATCTCGTCATATACTACTATTTAATCGTAAGAAACGCTCCCCAAACGACTTTGCGGTTATTACAGCAGTTAAAAAATATAGCCTTACCAGAGGACAACATGATAAAATCTGTGTTTTTAGAGTGGAGCTTGCAAACCGGAAGATTCGGAATAGCATATCAAATTTTTAGAGAGGAGTCGCTTTCTGTTTACCATCCTTGTAAAACGTTCCTCAATGTTTTAAAAATTTATGGCACGCCTGAGATGTTTAATTATGCAGTTGCTCAGGAAATGAAGATTGCGAAAAAAGAAAAACCGACAAAGAACCTCAGATTTGCCGAAAAAATAGATGCTTATTGCTGGTTAAGTAATCCGCTGGTATAAAATAAACTAAGAAGGAATGTGGAACAAAAATATATATAGATATATGCCATGTAGCACAAGAAAGGAATATTCTAATGAAAGTGGTATGGTCTATGGAGTCTATTATACGACATAGAGTCAAACCTAGACGTTGTTTATTAATGAAATTTTTATGGGTCATCGATTTGGATTTCCGTTGCAAAATAGCAATTTGCAAAATGTGATCAAAAAATTTAAGCTGCATACTCAATTATGGAAAATGATGCTTCTATATTGTAAACCTTAAATAAATTATAAATTAAAACATTTTCGTAATAAATCATTAGAAGTCCCTTTTTTTGGTGAGACTCACTTCCAATCCTTTTAGGTAGATATCCATTTCTGTTAAGCGATTGTCTAATTCCGTTTTCATAGTAGACTTCATACTGTATATGTTTTGAAAATTATCATCGAATAATTCCATTGGTAATGGCTTAACAGGAGGAGGTTCATAATTTTCATTTATTGCAATGCTCGACTGAAGGGAATTAATAGACAATGGGGGTAAGCGTGCTCGTAATTTTGAGTTGAAAGGCTTTATAGCAGGTGAGTTGACCGAATGCACGGGGATCGGTGGAGAAGTAGCTTTTGTTGGTTGATTACTAGAAGACCGAGTAACATCTATTGGTGGTACGCCGGAATGTAATTTGTGGACGTTTGAATCTACTGAAGGTGCGTTTGCTTGTTCAAAAGCACTCAGGGAAACACTCCTAGACTGTGGATCTAGTGAAGATGGGAATCGAAGCGGACTTTTCATAGGAGACATAGATATGCCTCTTTTCCCCATATTCATTTGCCTTTGGACAACCCGCGGTAGCGGACGCTTCATATTTTGGTCTGTGGAACCTCTTATATTCCCCCTAACTCGATTGATCATCAAGTCTGACTCTTCTTGGGGTTTTGCTTGTTTAGGGTTGACATTTGACAAGCTCTCGAAACTTTCATTTTCCTTATCAAAACTCGGTAGTTCAATTTGTGAATATGAAGGCTCAGTACTTGATTCTTGATCTGTAACACCCTCGCTCATGTGAGAGGAATCCTCGTTGCTTATAGAGCTATTCTGAAATAGCTGCAAAAGAGGATGAGAATCATTCTCTGCACCAGAGTTGGACATAGAAGAAAAATGCTTTGATGTTGGGGTTGCAGAACCCGAAGACAATGGGGAATTTTGCTGCGGTGATTGTTTGATAGTCCCAAATTCCCAACCGTCGTCAAAAGCTGTCTCAGAAGTGTCATTCTCTTGATCACTGCCATATTCAGGTTCGACTGGAGTCTTTAGGGTTTCAGGGACACCGCCAGCTGCTTGCCAACGCTCATAACGTTTAACCAGATTGCATAGCTCATTTTCAGGTTGACGTGCGTGTTGTTTAATAAATTTTGACTTTATAAGTTCAGAGGCATCCAAACGTTTTTCCGGTACGACATTTAAACAAGAAGCAATAAAGTCTTTTAATAAGCTGCTAAAATTTCCTTCGAGCTTCGGAGGAGGCGTGTGGGCTATGAGAAAAACCGCTTGAAACGGATCCTCTTTGGCATGAGGAGGAGAACCTGTAGCAATCTCATAGGCCGTAATCCCTAACGACCATATATCAGCCTAATACATTAGCATAAATAAGATAAAAAAAAGTTTGGGTCTAAAAACGTACCATAACATTATATTCTTGTCCATCACGGATGACTTCTGGGGCCATCCAATAAGGAGTTCCAATAAAAGTTGTTCGTTTTCTGCTATTAATGTTTATTTCAGCTGCAACCCCAAAATCGCAAAGCTTGACTTTACCAGACACGGAAACAAGAATGTTCGCTGCTTTAATATCACGGTGAATAATACCAGCATGATGAATAAATTTTAAAGCTTGCAAAGTTTCTCGAAGAATAATTGAAATGTAAGGCTCAGTTATTTGACCGGCTTCCATCAAAGTACGAACGCTGCCCCCTTGACAATAGTCCATAATAATCCATAAATCCGTACCTACCAAGTACGAACCATGGTATTTGACGATATTTTCAGATTCACGTTGTTTTAATTCACTTAAAACAGTAATTTCTTTTTGAATATCCGACACTTCATCTTCTGCTGTGTCCAAATTTAAGACTTTAATAGCTACAATCTCTTTCGTAGCATTACGAAATCTAAAACAAATTAGTCAATCTTGCAAGTACGTAGTGAAAGAGTCAACTCATACCCTTTATATACAGCACCGTATGAACCACGGCCTACAATCTCTAATTTTGTGTAGGCACAAGCTGCCGACTGATGTTCCATAGTCCTGACTTAACTTTTTTAAACAAACATGAAGATTTTATCTGTCTATTCTCATTAACCTGACGATGCGATTAAAAAGTTTACTTAGTCTCGTATGGTAGTTGGGGGAAACTGGTGGTAGAGAAGGGTTTCACGGATTTACAATTTTGTTATTTGAGATGAGTACAACAATATGGATGGAAAAGTATTAAAAATGAGTGTCTGTTATAATTAAGTTAGAGAATTACTGTTTATATTTCCCTGATTGTCCATAAAGGATAGAAATCGTTATTTGAGGTTTTCCAAAAGAATAGAACATGTTGTTATATTCATGAAGGGCAAATAAAAGAAAAGAAGAAAAAATTCCATGATCGAAAATGTAAGACGTCTATCATAATGAATTTAGTTTTGAAGTATGAACTTTCGTAAGAGCAATGTTCATAAACCAAAGGAGGGGGAAAGAGCAGAGCTTCATAACAATTCCCAACAGATTCCCAAATTGTATTTATCTGTTCAATGGATCATTAAATCTTTCAAGGATGATATGGAGTTGATTTTGATTTCTATTGCTATGCAAACGTTCAGAGCGAAGCAGATGCCAACCTTTGTAAGGTGCCTTTTATAAGGACTAGGTTGTTGATTGCCCATCTACCTTTTAAATCATTTGCTTTTTACAATGAGGGTGGTTGAATATTTAGCCTAATCAACAGCAAAGGAATCCAAGAGTCAGACCGAGCATTTTTACGCAGGTTAAAGAAATGTTTAGTGTACGTACCAAAAAAAAACTATATTAATAAAGTGACACAACTCTAGTAATTGATGGTGACATTAACTGGCTTTGCTTTGCAAGCATCATTGAATATGTCAGTTCCATTATGTGTAGAATTATAACGAACAGGAGAGTTGAGATAAGCTGAAAGTTCACACATTCCATCCGGAGAATTAGAAGGACCGTAACCACAATCGGTCAGTGGAAAGACCTGCTGGTTGACAAGGTGACGGACATAATACTTTTGATCTTGGCAATGGAAAAGCTCGGTGATTAAGTTTCCAGCAAAAGGAACGAAGGAGGAAGTTTTCATAGAATAGCTGTAAGGATTGTGAGTTACAGGGAGAGGGTGTTCAGGAGTTATATCAGGAAAAAAACCCAAGGCAGTTTCGACAGGAATAATTTGGCCATCATGGGTAAAAGCCAAAAAGACTTTTTGGTAATCGCTTTCGTTATAAACGGAACGAAGAGAATTTGCCAAACTCTGAACATAAGGACCACCCAAAACATTGACCCATTTCGAAGAAGGACCTCCATAAAGCGAGTATTCCACGTCGTATGAATACTCAAAGTTCATAATGTCTGACGGGTTGAAAAGAGAGCAAAAGTCACTCTCATCTTTTAGCGTGAGTTCGTAAGCACATAAATAAAAGAAGCTTGTAACATCCTCATTGGTAAGATTGTAGTTTGAAAAGTAAGGGTTTAGACGATTTACTATACTTGGCAAAAAAACGTTTCTCCAAGCAAGACCAGCTTCGTTTACTTCCTTGAGATCGATGTTGTTTTCGGCGTAGACGGGACAAGAGTTGTAATTGGATAGAGAATTGGAGCCTGGAGACTCATCCTCAGCAAGATAAGTAAATTTCGTTTTATTTGCCATCTCTTCTCCAAACATGCCATAACTGTACCACTCTGCAGATTCCTTGACACGCTGCTGAGCAGCTGTGTTTATATAATACACATCAGCGTCAAATAGCTCTCTATACCGAGTAAAGACTTCACGGCCCATTTCAAAAAGTTCAACACGACCCATACTGGAAAGCTGATCGGTATTACGAATATTAATTACGGGAACCCAAGATCTGACGAACCGAAAAGGATTGTTAGGAATCGTATAGTTTATTGGGAGTGACCCATTCAGTAACTTATCTTGCATTTCTACAAGTTTTATAGCGCTAGACAAACCGTCATCACTAGCTGGGTTTCGTGAACCATGGCGTTGTAAAATATGGACTTGACGAATTTCACATGACTCTGGAAATGCAGTGCTTAAGCCAGTAAAATATGGTTGATGGTAAATACTAAGAGTTCCTAGATTTTCCTGGAGATTAAATTTGTCTTTGAACGCTTCAAAGTCAGAAAATCGTGCCGATACAGAGCTCGCAAAGAGAGCCAACACCCACAAAGAAGAACTGAGAGGTCGCATTACCAACGAAAACTAAAATCAAGGAAGAAAGGAGAGTAATAAGAAGAATAAAGAATTCGTAAAGACAGGAACAACCGTTCAATATAAATTAATCAGATAGCAAAGATAGCTTTAGTAGATAGGAAAGACAATCTTGTAAATTGATAGGTAAAAATTAAACCGTTATTGACTTTATCTACCTTTATATCTACTAAATAAACTATTGCACTTTCAGAATGAAATCGCTGTCGGTTTTTATTTTCTATAGAATTAAGCGGGAGTCTACTAACGCAAATTGTATTATTTCTATGTAATATATAATGTTATGCCAATAGTAATGTCTAATACGTTTATGTATTACAGGGTGTAAACAGAAAATCAAAAAATTCGAACTGAAGAGGAGGTTAATTCTAACCATTTTATTCTTTTAGTCAGGAGGCTAAAAGGAATTTTTATAAAATGTAGTGAAAAGACTAGTTGGTTCACCTTCAACTATCCTTTGTTTCATCATTCCTATGTCACAAAAAAGCCAAGTAGAGATTCATTGCTTCAGCCAAGAGTTTCGATAATATTTTTGTATTTTTTAAATAATTTATTCTTTTTTGTTTGGTATAGAAGGTATTTTTCTCACTCTTTTTTTTTCTTTTATTTTTTTCACTACTTTGTTTACAAGTATTCCTCTATAATATTATATTAGAACCTACATTCTTATATTAGTGACGTTCTTTTCTACATACTGAGGTAGGACCATAGCCACGGTACTTCCGTGGATTAGCCGATATATCTTAGGCATTGCACCCTGGTAATAACTGCTCGCCTGCCCTCTCATTACATACAGCGGAATTTCAAAAAAAAAACAATAAAATTGGTCAAAATTCTGATTATTTATTTCTAAAAAGGGTTTTTACTAATAAAAAAACAAAAAAAGAACTCATTGCTTTTAGAAAACTGACTGGCCATCATTTACAAGTAGTGATTGAAAGACCTTTCAATTCAAGTACTTTGTTGGGAAGCATCTCATCCAAAGAGAGAAAAAGAAAGGGAGAATATTCATTTCTTTGATATTTAGTGAATGATTGAGGCATCGGTCAAGAATACAAAACGATATGGGAAAAAATCCATTAAGAACTTGGTGGAAGCAATTGAGAATTCATAAAGCAAGCGAGAACAAACTCTTTGGATTGAGTCTATCAGAAGCTTTAGAAGTATCAAAAGTAGCGATTTTTCTTACTCGGAAAGATGGCGAAAGGGTGTTTTATGGGTATATACCAGCAGTAGTTGCAAAGTGCGGGTTCTTTCTAAAAGAAAAAGCTACATTATCAAAAGGAATATTTCGGGTAAACGGCTCTTCGAAACGGATTCAATTGCTCCAGAAAGCGTTTAGCAGCGGTCCGGATTACGGACGCAGTTTAATCTGGGATGGGTATACCGTTCATGATGCCGCCAACGTATTTCGAAGATTTATCAACTTGATGCCTGACCACGTGATTCCTCTAGAGTACTATGAGCTTTTCCGTGAACCGATGACCATTTCCAACTTGACAGACATGGAACGTGTTGAGCTGTACCGCCAACGTATAGACAATCTCCCTATTCCGAATCGACAGCTTCTTCTCTACCTTTTAGATTTACTCGCTGTTTTTGCTTCTAATTCACACATAAACCTAATGCCCGCAGAAAATTTGGCCGCTATTTTTCAACCCGGTATCTTATCCCATCCTAACCATGAAGTATATTCCAAAGACTACGAAATTTCACAAAACGCTCTGTTATTTTTAATCAATCATCAAGGAAGCTTCATTAAAACTATTCCTCTTTCCTCGTTACCTCCCTTAGTTCCCAGCCCTACATCACCTGATGCTTCTTCTTCTACCTTAGTCGCACAATCCGATCATAATTCCAGAGTTCAAGTTTATAGTTCGAAAAGCGGGACCATCAAGCGATGGCGCTCATTCAACCGTCAATCCCGTAAAAACTTTTCAACTGCGGATATACTCGATCATGGTACCGACGATCAGAAATTATCTGGTTCTCCTAGAAAAAATAGTCCTAGATCAAGCTCATTAACTCGAAGTGGTTCTATGAAACTTTTCCATACGTTGGACCGTCGGAGGGACGGCTAAACGATTAATATGGATGAGTGCTTTTTTATGACAACCTTTAAGTGAGAAGTTTATTCTCAATACTGTATATAGCTCCGTATAGATTCTACCTGACATTCTTTTAGTTAAGTCTTCATGTGTGTGCGTGTTTTTTTGTTTTTGATTTTCTTTTTATCTAATAACCATCAGGTAAAAAATTCACGCTAGATTACCATTGCAAAATAATCGTTCAGTTAATTCCTTTTGGAATTTTTTACTTGCTTAATTTTTATACTTTTTTTTTGAATAATTATTTTTGAAAATCTGTTTCTTGTTCTTTCTCAATCGTCTTGCAGGTATTAATCAATCGCTATCATGTTCAGCATCCTTTTGTTTGGGTTTCTGCATATATTAAATTTGTGTGTATGTAACGATAATCGTTTACTTTTATAGATTAGAAATATAATCCTTCGTATCAAGGTAATAGTACAAACAAATTCTTGTAAATTGGTACTTCTCTACTTGTTGGAGTTGTTTTGCTATATGTAAAATAACATTATTCTACATTATACTCCCCATACAAATTTATTTGCTTTATATAACCTTAATTTATTCATTGAATAGATCCTGTAGTAGTTGGATTAATTTGCTCTGTTCTTCTGTTAACGGTTCTGATGAAGGAATGAGGAATAGCGGAATGTGCATATCAGAAAGTGCTTTTCTTTGGTCGGAATACATTCTTTCCGTAAGTAAAACAATTTTTTTATCAAATTCGGATAATGCTTCCTGAAGTTCCCTGTCACCTTCACTCAGGGTATTAACATCAGTACTAGGAGGCAGATCAACAGACGATGCATGATTCCGAGAAGTTGAAAGTGGAGTTAAAAGACTCTTTATTTTGTTTTTAGATTGATGATGGTGAATTAGTCTTTGACGCTCCATAAACCAATCGCGTTCTTGACGTTCTTGCATGGCTTTCAATTTCTTTACCTTACGCAACCTCTCGGGGTTTTTGGCTTGTAATGAGAAAACATAGCGTAAAGCTGCTGGATACGACTGAATGCTTTCGATAAAAGCAAGTTCTTGGGCGGCCTTTTGATTGTTGATCGAAGACTCTAATTCGGTGGTAAACGTTTTAGATGAATTTTTGTCATTCGACGTTTCTTTTGTTGTTGAAAAAGAATTTGAAGAACCTTCAAGTTCCCTTAATAATTTAGCAACGGTTTCATCCATTCCAAAACTACAATCTATCGCGTGGGAGATTTGCTTCTAAAACGCACATTTGTTTGAACAATACAACCAAAATTATTATTTTTAGTTTAAAATATAGATGAATCAATATTAAGTAGACGTAGATTCCTGTTCTTCAGCAGATTCCTTTTTTTCTTCAGTACTCTGTATAGTTGTTTGGTCTTCGGCGGTAGGTGGTTGCTGGTCAATCTGCATTTCCGTAGACTCAGTCGTAACAGGCTTCGATTCTTCATTTTCTTGCTTTAATGGAGCAGAAGTATCTTTTTCTTCTGATTTAACTTCATTTTCAGTCTTTACTCCAGTTTCAGAAGATTCTGTATCCAATTCACCGGGAACACCAGCGGCTACCGAAAATTGACCGCCAGCACCTGCTACACGGACACTAGCGGTCTTAATAGCCTTAGAGCGAACAAGTGTAGGAACTTGAATCTCTTCATCAGTGTCACCTTGGCCAACCTCATAATTCTCAGACGATCCCCATGAATAAAGCTTACCATCATTGGTAACTGCCAAACTATGGTGAGTACCGCAGCATATTTGTATAACATTTGAAATGCCAGGAATGATAGTAGGGGTGGAAACAGTATAATTGTAGCCCTTTTCGTCTTTGGTAAGCGATTCAGGCAATGCATCATCGGGTATACCAAGCTGATGACGATCATGACGACCCCAAGCCAATACTCGTCCATCTTCTAATAATGCAAGGGTATGATGTTCACCACCAGTAATTGCTTTCACTTTATAAGGTTCCAACGCCTCTACTAAAGTAGGTTTGGTAACAATACCTTCTTCTTCTTCTTCTTCATCGACAATACCGCATTGCTTTGTCATGTTTAAACCCCATGCATAAACTTTTCCCTTATTATTTATGGCAAAGGAATGATAAGCCCCGGCACCAACGGCCACTATATTTTTTAGGGCAAGAGGCTCTGGCTTCAAGCCCTGAAGTCGACGACGATCCATCATGCGCCTTCCAAGTTGACACTGCTGGCCATTTCCCCAAGTGTATACTCTTCCGGTTGTTGTCAAGGCAAGAATGTGATCAGTTCCAGCAGCAACTTGGGCAACTTCAGGAAGAGGCATTTGAACAGGTTCTGGGGCACGTTTAGTGGTAGCGTTGAACCCTAAAACACCATCGGAACACTAAATTTTGTTAGCAAACTCTTGTCGAAACGAAATGATGTAGAGACACAACGAAAAGGAATACTTGTAACAATATGCACAAGTCTTGCAGGAAACATTACGAAATAAATATAAATAAGAACTTACACGGAAAGTACCCCAACTGAAGCAGCTGCCATTTTCTGTGACAACAGTAGTAAGATTATCGCTGCAACAAACTTTAGTGACTTTCAGGCGCTCAATGGCACCAGTAACTTGATTAGGGGTTCCTTCTAACAAATCATTGTCAATTGCATTTCCTTCTGCGTCAGTTTGGTTTTTCGTAGCACGACCCAAGGCAAAGTCATCGTTAACACCCCATGTAAAAACGCGGCCGTCATGAGAAAGTACAGCTGAGTGCATTCCACCAACTGCCAAATCAACCACACCAATTTTATCTCTTGGTAAATTTGGGTTAAGACGTGGTCGATAAGCAACGTCGACTTCTAAATCACCCATGCCGAGTTCATTCATGGAACCAGTGCCAAAAACAAAAACGTCTAACAACTCGGTAGGAAGAGAAGGAATGCTGTTTATTTTTTTTCCGGTAGTCCTTACTGGTTTAGGACCGCTAGAAACCTTGACTCGCTTTTTTGATGGTTTGGTCGAAACAGGAGCTTCATGGTCTTCAAGCTCACGCTTATTCAAACCATTCCCCGTAGCTTCCTGTTGCCTCTGTGACCTTCTAGTAACTCTAGTTTCTGACATTTTGTAGTAATTCACTCCAATAAGAATTTTAGAGGATTATTCTATGTTTTTCAATGTTAGTAAACATCTCAATTTGATACTCAAACAGCGTAAACAAAGTAAACCTCAAAAGAGAGGAAACCCTAAGCACAAACTGCATAGAGAAATCCAAAATACATACGCTTAAAGAATGAAAACGAGCAATCCACGAATTACTGCTTTTTTTCGTTTTGATTTAGGTCGAAATGTTTTCTCCCAAATAATGAAGTCATGAAATTGAGCTTAAGACTCATTAATCAACATAAAGTATTGTAGTGACACGCTATTATGTAAACAAACAAACATCCCCAAATAATTGTAAATTTAAGGCAATAGAAATGGTAAAGAAAAGTTATTGAAGAGCCCATTCATCTTTTAAAAGTTCAATTAGAAATAATTTACAGAAGGATTTTAAGCTTATTTACCACCTTGCTGACTCCTGGGTAGTAAAGGTATAGGAATTAAAACAGAAACACTCTATAACAGTACTCATTTTTGGTTGTTTTGCAGATGAAAAATACAAAAAGCGTCTTTTAGGAAAAGCCTGAACTGATACATCTAGCAAATGTATGTCAGGAATTATGAATAAAAGGGGAAATTATATTTCCTGCTTCGTGAGGTAATGAATTGAGACGGCGTAGAATGTTGTGTACGAATCTTAATTTATTTTTAGTCAGATCTATCTATCTGAAACGCCGAACACTTATAACCTCTCCGATTGTAATGGCTAGTCATAAGATGTCTTGTAAAAAGAGAGGACTTAACCAGTAATGAAAGATAGAAAATCATATTTATTAAAAATAGAGCAAAAGTTTCAAAAATAAAACAAGAAAAGCTTTTTTTTTATTTTACTTTGTGTTATAGATGTCTGCTGGAAGAAGTAGCCCACAGTAAGATACCAAGCACGAGGGACGAACAAACAAAACGCAACCTCTGCAAATAAGTATTACAATTAATTTTTCTTACAATTTTACAGAGGAAAGAGTGAGTAAAAACAAATATGTAAACAAAAAGAAACTAACCGTTAATAGAACAAAACATATTTCGGTCATTTTACACTTCGGTTGTGTCCCTCGATAATTCATCCTTATTGAAAGACTAAACAAAAAGGAACAATAGAATGTCTGGTTCCACTGGTTTCCTTTTTAAAGACAAACTTTTGGTCGGATCGAAATATGTGATCGGAAAGTACGACGTTACTGTAGAAAAGTACTTATCAGAAGGTAAGAAGACAATCTTTCATAAGGGTTTACAATGAACGAAATACTAACTTTCTTTCAGGTGGATTTTCCCATGTGTATGCTGTGCAAACATCCTCGAAAACAGACGGATCTCCCCTTCCAGCAGTACTAAAACGCATGTATGCAGCGGATGAACATGCTTTGAAATCCATCAAGTTGGAAATTGACACAATGGTAAGTACATCGAAAAATTCCTAATGCGGAATTTACTAACGTACGTTCCTCAAAACAGAAATTGCTTAAATCCAGTCCCAACATTGTTACTTACTACGACTGTTCTTTTATTCCTTTGAATGAAGAGAAAAAAGATTATGAAGTACTTTTGTTAATGGAATATTGTTCTGGTGGTGGTTTAATTGATTTTATGAATCAGCGTTTGCAAACTCGATTATCGGAAGTAGAGGTGTTGAAGATTATTTCAGATGTTACGCAAGGTGTAGCGGCTATGCATCGTTTACGACCTCCATTGGTCCATCGGGACTTGAAGGTTGAAAATATCCTGCTAACTTCTTCTTTTTCTTCGTTCAAGCTTTGCGATTTTGGTAGCGTGACCGAGCCTATCCATGCCGCAGAAAACTCAACTGAAATTCACTTATTGGAAAAAAATCTTGCTACGTTTACTACTTATCAATATCGAGCCCCGGAGATGATCAATCTTTATGCCGGACTCGCGATCGATGAAAAAAGTGATATGTGGGCTTTGGGTGTACTACTCTATAAGCTTTGCTATTACATTACCCCTTTCGAAACCCAAGGACCAAATGCTATCCTCAATTCGACCTATGCTTTTCCTCCTTTTCCGCAATATTCGCATTCCCTAAAGAACATTATTATTGCTTTGCTTCAGCCAAACCCTTGTTTACGTCCTAACGTTTTTCAACTAATGTATGAAATCTGTCGGCTTCGCGGGAAGCCATTGCCATTTGGTGATTTTTATGCCGGCAACGACCCTTCCTTTTATGATATGAGTAATAGAAAAGTAATGTCCCTCACTAGACAATCTCAAGGACGCGCATTCAACCAACAAATCCCTATTCCTGCACCGATGCCCACCTCCCATATTCAAGGTTCTCGACCTACTGTTGCTCCTATGACACCTCCTGCTTATCCATCTCATTCTGGTTCGAACCCATTTTTCGTAAAAGCTGACATGTCTGGTACATCTCAAAAAATGCGCAGTCCAATATCTTTTGAACAGAATATACCGACAACTCATCCATTAGATTTGGGGTCTTCAAGGAACTACAGTTTTCATAACCAAGAACAGATACCTCATAATACTCCTGCTGCTGCAGATTCTGTTCCCCCTTCTTACATATCTAGCGATAGCAAAAATCCTTTTCCAGTTTCCCATTCCACGACGGGTACATCTAGTCACTATGTACCGACTGACTATCTAAAGACAGGGTCAAAATCGGTTCCTGAATCAGTGGGTGGAAGCTTGGAGGATAATATTGCTTTACGTTATCCAGAATTAAGTGAACTGGAAGCGCAGATTACGAACCAGACGGATACATCTTCCCAAAAGGCTTATGAAAATTCGAAGCGAGAAGTTGAAATTGCCAAATTAGCTGATGATGCATTTGCCAGTTTCTTAAAACCAGCGGTATCAAATGATGAGGATGTGAAGACAAATAATGAGTCTCCAAATTATCGATCATCCTCTTCACTTGACACGGATGGTCAGAAGCCAGAAAAGACTGGATCGCAAGCAGAATTTCAAGATTTTTCTAATCCTTCTATATCGTCAAGTGAGTTACCAAAGTGGTTTTCTAACCAGTCCGATTCAACTACCCAAAAATCTCCTTTGGAATATAAAGACGAAACGGTAGCTTCTCCACAGAGAGTGTTTCGACACAAGAAATCGTTATCTCACGGTTTACCTTACTCTTCGTCTCATTCTAATTTAAAAACAGAAAGTAATGGCGAGGCTGATGAGGCATCCTCTTCTTTACGTCGTCGGAAATCAACCGCCGCCAATCAAAAATATACACGCCAACCTTCAAACCCTTATTTCACTTACGAAGGATTAGAATACCCTGAACAACAACCCATTCCGAATGACTTTTTTGAGGAAGCGAGAAGAAACTCATCAAATCCCGCTTCATCTTCAAACCCACATGTGTCTGACTCTGAAGAAAGGTCTGCAATACCATCTTTTGAGACTCTTAAAAGGACGAGTAGCGCAAAAAGCGATTGGAGTTCACACGATTTTCAGCCACCCATGTTCTCAACTAAGAATCCGTACTTGAAGCAACTTTCCCCTGAACAATATAGAAATAACATGTTGCATAATGAACAAGACAATCTGTTAGATCCCTCTGATTCTGAGAAGATTACGATCCATGATAACGATGATGTACAATGCTTTTTCAATGATGGACTACAGAAAAGCCTTTCATATTCAAATTCAGGACGAGCTAGTGTTACAAATGATTTCCCTCAAACTGCCCCGATGAGCTACCTTGATAAAGAAACAGAACGATAAAGCTTCAACTCTCTTTATACACAGGATAGCTCTCAATCTTGCACCTCATAAGAAACTAAAGCAATCAAAAGCTTAAATTTTGCTGTACGCCTCTGTGGTTTTCTGAGTTTCGATACAATCATGCATCAGATTTCCTCGATGGATTACTGTTTTATGCAATGTCTATATCCAGTATTAAAAATGTAATATCACTGATTTATGCTATAATCCGTTTATTGAGCTTATGGAATCTTATATCTACTTGACTGCAACATACATATGGTGATAGAATTACGATATCGGTAAGTAATGATCATTTTCAGGTTAGTTTTTTGTTGTGCTTCGATAGAAATAAAGTTGATATATTCGGGTAATAGCACTATTTGTTTTTTGTCGTTGTTCAAATATCATTAGGAATATAGAATTGACACAATATGTAATAAGTAAACAAACAGAGTTTGGTCACAACAAACCATTTGTTTAAGTGCGATGAAAATTAATAAAAGAAAAAACAGTTTTTTCCACAGGAAAAAAGAAACAATTATTACTTGTTCTACAGTGAATTATGCAGCCAAGGAGATCATCTACGAACTTACGTCCTCACCTAAATTGAAGTCGCCAGACGTGGCATTGACTTTTCAGTTCGATTCTCCAATATTTTTTCAAGAGTCTGAATTGAAAGGATTGATACATTTAGCTGTAAAGCCCAAAGAGCAGTCCGTTGGTTTCATAAGGATTGAAGTTCAGATACTTGGGATCAGCAAATGTAGACAAGGTCATCCAACGGTATTTTTCTGTACAGGAAAGAGCATAATGGATAGAAAGTACACAGTTCCAAAAGAATTGGTTGAGCACGCATTGAATACGACTAGCGACTATTCAATCGCCATTCAGCACACCCAAGGAATACCAGTAGCTTTTGAAATGGATCTTTACGGACAAGGAGGAGGTCCAGGAAGGCAAAGTACTTCACAATACAAAGTAAACTACTATATTTATGCGTAAGTACTTTTCGGGCCTCAGATAAACAAAGAAGACTAATCAGATTTAGCAACGCAATCTACCAATTGGGGGATAAAGTAAAACAGGTAAGAGAATGTCAAGAAATAAATGTCCTTCCTAGGCTGCTTTCATCAAGTTTCTTGTTATCAACCCCATTATTGTGTGTGAGCAAGCCAAAACCAATATTAGGATTTTGCAATAAAAACACTGCAAACCGTTTGTCTGTTAAGCTTCCGAGATCGGAATGGCTAGGAGGTGAATCTATTAGTGTAAATATCAAAGTTGAAAATTATGGCTACTGCGAAATCAACCAATTGATTATGTTGCTATTTAAACGTATTACTTTATTTAACGGACCATTGGGAAAAAAATATCAACTGGACGCGTCGTCTCGAGCGAAGAAGCATAATTCTATCCGCAAGGACTTTTGGAAATGTGTACAAAAAGAAGAGATCTGTGAGAAAAGAAAGAACGAATACTGTAAATGGCAAGGAGTTAGTACGTTGGAGACACACACGATGGATTGTCACATTCGGATTCCTGAAAAAGAAGTATCGATAAATGTTGGGTCAGACTTTCAGGTAGAATACGTATTACAAATTTTGGTTGGCACTAAATGGAGGTAAGCAAGCTACTGTTCAACAATGGAATAAAGAAGGAAAAGAACATAATAAGGATATTAAGTGAATAAATAAGGAATTAACAAATTTTTAGGACATTAAATTGCATAAAAATGCCACTCCAAATTATTCCAGCATGCGCTCCATCTGTGGGACAAGACGCTAGGTACGTTGATGTAGCACCTTACAATTCAGAAGGTGAATCTATTATACTGCCACAGAATCCTTCAAGCGAATTCCATCGGGTATCCTATGAACCTTACCCAACGACAGAGCATGTGAGTACACACGATTATGTGTTTTTCGGCTAAAGAGAAAGAGAATAAGAATGACCGATAATAGAGGAAATAATACTGTTTTGCAATGTAAAAAAAGAATCACTTTGTTCGATTTTTTACAGCTTCCAGTATTGGATCGTTTATCGTTATGACGGATATTTTGGCATCGTCAAAATCACGCAAGGTAAGTTGGCCGGCTTCTTCTGTCGACATGTAGATTCCATCATTAACAACATACGTATCATAATATTCTTTGGCATGAAGAGCCGTGTCACGAACGCACATATCACCGGCAACACCAACCACAAACACATGAGTAATATTTCGGTCGTCGAGGATTTTTTTTAATCCGTTGTCCCTTCCAACAGCATCGTAAAATCCAGAATAGGACTCTACTAGGGTATCCATTCCTTTAGGAAGAATATAATCTACTTTGTCCATTTTCAGCTCTGGATGGAATTCGGCACCAACGGTACCTTCCACACAATGAGTTGACCACAATTGTTGTTTGTATGTTTTTCCATAAGCATTTATATCTAGGACGGTCCCTTTGGGCATCCCCTTAGGCCCATGTGATGCGCGAAATGATACATGGTCAGCTGGATGCAAATCTTTTGTGGCAACGATATAATCCCATTTATAATCTTCACCTAAGAGTTGATTAATGAATGGAATAACCTTGGTAGCACCTGGAATATGACCGGCGAAGCCTGGTGTCACAAAGTCGTTTTGTACATCTACGACAATAAGAGCAGGATGAAAAGACATTTTTTTTTTAAAAAAAGAGAATAAAAAAATAAAGAAACGTAGGACAAGGTTATTGACGAACAAGATTGACAAATATCAGTAACTTTTTTAGATGGAATTCAGAATGATTTTTTCGGCAAGTGGTAAGACCAAGTTTAATATATCGGGTAAAATGCAGAAAATATCAGAAAGTAGGAATTGAGTAAACGGTAAGAATAGATCTTAATATATGAACTTGTTCAAAAATTTTTTCAACGTATCTATTACGTATCGATGGCAAGATGCTGGCGGATGAACAGAAACAAAGAGAATGTACATTAATTGTTTACTACGAATATTCGCGAAGATGTATAATTTGCTAGAAGAACGAAATGTTTGTCTTTGGAGTATTTTTGATGTGAATTTATGCCGAAGTTGATCGAGTACCAAGATTGTATAGAGAGAGAAGCAAGTTAACTAAACAGACGAAACGGGAGAGAACAATTTATAATCGATAAAACAAGAAAAAAAAAATCCTTCGCGAGTTCAACCAGCATGATCTCTTTCGACTGTCTTCTCTGGACTGGAACTCAGATAGAGAATAACTTGTTTGGGTGTTTTGCAAAGAGTCATGATGTTCCTTTACGCACCAATTGAAAGCGGGTAAATATGAAGACTAATTTAGAACGCCTCATGAATTCGATTCTACATAGGAAAAGAAGGTGGAATCTCTTTTATGCACTCGTCGAACTACGAGTTCTTAATAAGAAGGAGAGATTATAAAAGGTATCCTAAAAAAATGAATTCAAATTCATGGTCCATGGTTCTGCTTGCAGCTACCATCTAATGCCAGTCAAAACCCAGTATGAAGACTTTGAGACAGAGAAACAATTGACGGTTGGAGTCTACGCATATCAAGTGTTCTACTCACCCATACGTTTACGAGACGACATGAATTTTACCACCCTTCAGCTCAGCTCCTTTCTCTTCTTCGTCTCTTACCAAAATGGAATTCATAGAATGGTCACTTGTACCAGTTCATAAGCACTTTTTCTAGAAATATTCCGTCTTGAACGACGAGCTCTTCTAACATTCAAAATATGAAGGGGTTTGGTTTATTAGTTTCCTAGTTTATTTGTTTATTTACATACATAATACAGACAAGAATTCGACTACTTCGAGGGAACAACATGTAACCCATTTTACATATTTGTTTATGTTACTTTGTTTCAGCTTGACTTATTTCAGAGTTTTTTACCAAGTTGGGTATAGAAGGTACTTTTCCTAAGGGGGACACAGCAAAGGCCATCCCAGGGTTCTCCTCATAACGTTTTCCCTTTACCATACTATTGCTTATTGAGAAAGAGCCCTCCAAATACAGGTTTTTTTCTTAAAAGATATTGTATATAGTACTGTAAAAATACGCATTCACAAGACTGTTGAGAATCATCGACTTAGACTGACATAGTTTCCGTGAACAAAATCACCAGATTTGCGACTTGCGAAAATCAGCTGAAATCTCGCTTTTTTTGACCATCTTTGTGTCCTTCTCTTTATTTTCTCACCGTACGGTTTTAATTCAGAAAACCGTTGAATCTATTTACCAGGTTTTTGTTCTTACTCTTTCGTAGGACAAAAATACCATTGAAGTTTGCTAGCAAATATGGCTGCAGTTCCAAATGACAAACGACAGCTCATCCAGACGGCTTGGTCCAAGGTTTTTGCAGAAATTGAACAACCCGAATTCAAATCTGCTTTCGAATCCGAAGACCAAGTTTACACCAGCTTCTTTGAACAATGTGCCTTTGACGATTTTGACTTGACTCTTCTTCGTTTCTTAAAAGCCAGAAAATACAATGTCAACGATGGTGCCAGTATGCTAACCAACGCTATTCGTTGGAGACATCAAGTCAATTTACGTGAAATTATGTTGCACGGCGAAAAAGAGTTAAATCAAGACTATGTCAAGGCTTCCATGTACTTCATTTGGGGTCAAGATAAAACTGGACGGCCAATCGTTTTCTTAAACTTGCATAATTTTATTCCTCCCAAAGACGCAAAAAACATGGATGAATTGAAGGCTCTTATTCTATATGCCATGGAAAACGCTCGCTTATTTTTGGATTCTGAACAAAATCCTTCCAAAGGCGTTTTGGGCTTAGTTGACTTAACTTATTTCTCTAGAAAAAACATCGATTTGGAATTTGCCAAAGTTTTTGCCGAGACCTTTCAAAACTATTATCCTGAAATCTTGGGTCAGGCTTTGGTTGTCGGTTCTGGCTTTCGAATGGCCTTGTTTGAGGGTGTTTGGAGTATAGGCAAGTACTTTCTAGATCCGGAAGTGCGCAAAAAAATTGTTTTTTGTAAACCCTATCAAGTTAAAGATTATCTTGATAATAAGTATATTCCGCTTTCAATGCAAGGCCAATTCGATGAAACTAAAATTTACGATAATGCACCACCAGAGCCTGCCGGTACTAGCAGCAAAGAGCAGCTTGCCGCTTTAGATGCAAAATACGTTGAAGCTTCTAAAGAATTTATCAACATTACTAGAGAATGGCTCTACTCCGCAGGCAAGCCCATTGAGAAAGATCTTGAAGAAAAACGTGCTCAAATTAAATCCAAGTGCAAGCAATTTTGGCGTGAAGGTCTTTCGCTCCGTCCTCCAAACGTCTATCAGCGACTCGGTCTCATTGATTCCGAGGGTAGAGTCGACTGGTCAAAGGTTTAATCATGTTACCAATTCCCTCTTTAAACTGCTATTCCAGTTCTTTTATAAACCTATACACTTTTAGATTCCCTCGCAACGAACGCTCTTGTGCCTTATATCTTACTCATAGCTTCTACAAATGTATTACTAAGGAATGTAAATATAAAATTATTATTTTTGCATATCGTCTTTCCGTAGAACCATTTCCATCAACAGTTTGGATGTAAAGTATGTAATTACGTTCTACTGATTCTCAGAACATTAAATAGTTTACGAGATAAACGGTATTCTCAATCTAAAAAATTTTATTACTGTATAATTGAAAACAAAGAGGAGATATACAACATTAAAGCTTTCTTTTATAATCTTAGATGAAAGCGAGTGGTATTTAATCACCAGGTGATGTGTTGGCGGGCTCCATCCTTTCAGAGTCCTTCCATACTTTATACATGTGGCTTCCTAAAGTTAGAATGAAAATTAAGGGCAGGTGTAACAGACTAGCAAAAAATAATGATCGAGCATTCGTTTTATGGGGATTTCTGTAAAACTGCCAAGATTTTGCAATTAAATATAAATTGGCAGCTGAAGCACCAACCATATATGAAGGATTAACAATTCCAGACCAAACGAATCCGTAACTCAATGGAAGAAAAAGCAAAGAATAACGTAAAGCCACTCGGGCATTCAATGCGGGTCTCTTCCATGATGCCATTTGGTAGCCACACCGTTTATAATCATCAGCTACCATAGTGGAAAAGGCATTGAAATGTGGAAATTGCCAAGCAAAAAGAATAGCAGCTGTGAAGAACGCACCAGCGTGAGAGAGATCACCTCCAGAGCAAGCTGCCCAACCCATTAATGGAGGTAATGCACCCACAACTGATCCGACCCATGTATTGAGGATTGAAATACGCTTTAAAGGTGTATAAACTCCCATATAAAGTACTATATTAGCCAAACCTAACCATCCCACTGTTGGATTTACTAGAAAAGACATCGAAGTACCCAATATCCCTGTGGTAGAAGCAAACAACCAACCATATTCGGGACGCACGGCACCACGAGGAATTGGGCGTCCTCGGGTACGTGCCATCTGGCAGTCAAGCGTTGGCTCCATACATTGGTTAAATGCATTCGCACTCACACTGCAAAGAGCAGTACCCATGGTTAACCATACAAGAGTACCGAATGATAGACCAGGATATGGAGCCAAGGCATAAGAGGACATAGTCGTTAGAACGACCAAAATGGTTAGTCTCGGTTTTCCAAGTTCTAGAAGAGCGCTTGGCTTGGGGAAACGGGGAGCTGATTGAATACGCTTCTGCAAAAAGTTTAGAACTTGAGGATCAGGCGAGCTCGGAGGAGAAAAGGGTACAGAATCATATCTAAAATTCTTTTTCAAAAAGAAAGATCGGCTTAAAGGTTTAACAGGGACTACATTTTGACTAAAGAACCGTCTCCAGCTCGACCGCGCAGAAAAGCATGATTTGTACGGCCAATGGCTGAATGAATTCAACATAAATACAAAAACGATTCAATTTTCTTTTTTAAATAAATCCAGTATATGTGGTATGTCTCCTACCACATAGCAGTTGGAGAATATACAAGAGCAAAGGTGTTTAGTAGATGGGAGAAATGGATGGTATTTGGTAGTTACCTGAAAGTAAATCTGCAGCAGCAGCTGAAGAAATATTAGTTTTAATACAACAATTGAAAGTAGAGAAATATAAAAGAAGGGAAATATTATTCTGAGTAAAAATAAATTTTCTTACTACTCGCATGCCGAATTGATAGATCATAACAGTTTCCTAAAACCAAAGAGTCTTATATGAAGCAAGAGGAAGATTAACCAGATGTATCTAAAAATTTTAAAAATATCTGGTAGTAACTTATGCTAGTTTGTCTCTGCTTTAAACAGGATTGCTCTGCTCTTAGTATACTACTTTTTAAAGCTATTGCACAATAAAAATTTCCTAGTTAGAAATTGATCATAATACGTTTGGTATAGACGACCGAAGTTTGAATATTTTAAGAATTCCATTATCAACATCCCACTTATTCACCAACGTCAAACATCGACCTTGAGTCATCCATGTGCTTATGAAGATTCACAATGCATATTTTTGTTTGAACGGCGAACCTTAGGCTAATGCTCTCTTTCAGTCAGAACCAATGTTTTACTTAAAGCCCTGGCTTATTTTGACCCGCTTCAAAGGTGTGGAAGACCAAACACATTAGTTGTTTTCGTTGTTAGGTCATTAATTTCACTACAAGCATCTACTTTACACAATCTTCACTTATATCTTAACCTCTACATATACTTCATTGTCACTCACTTTTGGGCTTATGTTAAGCAAAATTTTTTAAACCATTCTCCTACAACAAGTAAAGCTTTCCTGACTAGATAAAAGTATCATAAGGAGCAGGGTGAAGGGTGATGGGCTTGTTCTCCTCAGTACCAACAAAGTGAGCCTTGACGGGAGGAGCAGGTTGACGACGGAGTTGGACAGTCTTTCCTTCGGCCTTAGCTTCCTTACGCTTTTGCTCGTTGAGCTTGACACGGTTCAAGAAGTCCTGACGGCACTTGGAGTGCTTAACGTGTTCAATACGGACGTTGACGCGCTTTTCCATGTAACGGTTGCCAACAATCTTATAGATCAAGACACCGACGGAAGATTGAGTAACGTTGTAAACGATACCAGTCTTACCGTGGTAGTACTTGTGAGGCATACCCTTTTGGACGGCACCATTTACCTTAATGTCGACAATGTCACCAACCTTGTAGGTCTTCAAGTAAGTGGACAAACGAATTTGACCATGCTCCCTGAATCCACGTTGGAAGGTGTAACGGGTACGAGCTCTGAGACCGAATGAGTGAGGCATGTTGCGTCCAGTTGGAGGAAAATTATGGGTTGGTAAATTCCACCTTGTCTACAGAAAATGTTTGGTATAAAAAAACAGTCACACAACAAACCAAAGTTTTTTGCGCAATTATACTATGTAGCACAACTGACGAAAAAAACAATAAAATAAAACCATAAAAAAGAACGATTCAATTGTTGCCAATTTCGAATATTCTTTTGAACATTTTTGTTTCTTTTCCTGAGAGATGAGTATTATAATAATACCTATATAGTAGAATGAAATATTACTATAGCTGTTCACTAGTAATAGTAAACTCTTAGCTATAAAGTAAAAATTTGATTTGATTTACGGGATAAACTAGAAAGATAGATATAAGAGGGTTTTACTGAAGAGTTTTCTTGGATTTCAACTTCAAGAAAATAAACAAATTAAATTGTAACCTGAACCACCGTATCCTTTCCATAAGATTATACACTAAATTTCCAATTCCATATTAAGATTCCATTATCGAAGGTTTCACCTTCATCTGCTGTAGTTTCGCAAAACGTTCCGATGCTTTTACTTTAACATGTGTAAACGATCAGGATGAATACCGGACTGCACACCTTCTTGAACGATAGCATCTTTTGATCCTCTAGCTTCCTTTGCCTTCTTTTCTTCATTGGCAACACGTTCCCTGCGTTCTTCAGTCCATTTTTTATTTTTCTCCTTAATTTTATTCATCCGTGACTCATTCTTTCCTCCGCCTCCAGCAGTCAATTCAATGTTAATCTTTCGATTTTTATACATTGTGTGGTGAAACTTCAGGGCTTTGGATGCGACTTCGTAATGGGGATTAATATACTCTACAAATGCATATCCCCGCTGTCGACCTGTTCCTTTCTCTGTAGGAATTCGTACACGAGGCATCTGACCAGCTCGTTTAAAATGTTCTTGTAACGTTTCTACATCCGAGTCTTTGGGCAGATTTCCAACAAACAAAATAACCCGCTTCTCCTTCTTGTCAGATTTTTGTTTTTTGGGGGTTTCTTTTGTTGGCTCTGTTTCCTTTTCTAATGATCGTTTCTTTCCTTTTTTATCCTTTTCACTCGTCTCGGGTTTGGAGGACTCTTTAGGTGCTTCTTCATCTTCGACTTTCTTGTTCAATTTTTGCTCTTGCGCAAGAGCTCGATCTTGGACCTCTTTTTCATGATCTTCTAGTGTCTTCGATTTCTTGGAAAACTTTTTTGATCTGTACTCTAAGGATTTCAGCTTCTTTTTAGATACTTTTGAAGACATGGTTCCTGTAAAAAATATCGTTTCTTGTCGTTTCCAATTCGACTTAGTTCAGTTGTACCGTGTTAAGTTGCGTTAAGTCACAATAACGAGAATAAATACAACTATGCGATATGAAAAACCAAAATATTAGAATTGATAATGGTGAAGTAATAAAAAATACTTAATTTAAAAATCATCTTCGAGAATAGTAACGTTCTCAGCGCTAATTGACTTTTCTCTCTTTGATTCTGATTGCGAAGCATCTTCCTCTTTCGAGGCAGCTTGATGATTAGAGGCAGAATCCAACGACCGGTCTGAAGGAAAAGATGGTCCTGCAGGACGTTTCCTTTTTGCTGTACCGTCTCCATACTTTTCTAATATACTTTGTTCAATTTGTTTTTGACTAGCAGCTTTCGATTGGCGATTCTTCCGATACTCCATCTCACCGGCTGTCGGGTTCGCTACTACATGCATACGATTTCCAAACTTTTCAGCTTCCCATGCAAAAGTTTGCAACTTTTCAAAATCATCCTTATCTCCTCCAGAAGCTTTCACGAAACCAGACTCATTAGTGGAATCGCTCAAAAGATGAGAACCAGTGGTATCACGCATAGACCTCGACTTCGGTTCGTACTGAAGACCTTTATTATCGGTACGTAAATAACCAACAACATCTTCACGCATACGTAAACTAGGAGTTGATACGCTAGAATTAGATCCACCATTGAATCCTTCCTCTTTCGTAGATGAAGGCGTATTTTTCCCGGTATCACTCACATCTTCTGTTTGATTTTCCGTATCGGCATGTTTTTTCTGTAGAGCATCAATCTTTTCATATCGTTCAATCACCTTTTTATAATCACTAGAGTCAAAGCCATTCCATCGGTCACGTTTGGCATCCCAACTGACATCAACGTTTTGAATAACTTCATCTGCTTGAATATCTTTTCCAGTCCACCGGGCACCACGCTTCCGGGGACGCTCCATACAGTCTTTAAGTTTATGACTCATTGCACCACAGTTCTCACAGGCGCCTTTCCTATATTTAGTCGCAGCAGGTCCAGCTCTCTTACCACGAACATACCATGATTCTTCGATAGAAGAACGTCCACCACTGGGTGGTTCTTTTTTCCCTAGACGTTGATGTGCCAACCTTTCAACAGCTTGTTCGTCTTGCGCATACCATGGAGCCGTCGAGATGAACTTGGGAATATATGGATTATCTGCTCCTGGATTATCCATTGGCCTGCTACGTCGGTTTTGTACCTTTAACTCCCGCATCGAAGGCCCAATGTCGGTCGACATATAGTTATTGTCTTTCGAATAATCATAATTCGACTGAAATGTATTGTTCATATATGACATGGTTGATATATAAATAAATTAAATGATAGGTAGCTACTTCGTACGATTCGTTCTCAGTATAATTAATCAAAGAAATCGCGTTTGCTCAACGAACATAGTAGTGCTCGAACTCTAAACCACTTAAAGAGTCTTTCCGAATTAGAGGAAAATCAATTAAAAAACAAAAAAGGAAGGAGACTGGATCCCTCAATGGTTTAATTTTCCGTTTTAACTTCTTGGTGTATGTTTTTGCTAGGTACTAACTGACCTAACAGAGTAAGTCATTATGTTTGTGGCACTACGAGTTTTTGTTTAGTATAAGACAGATTTACAAGTTTGCATAAAAGCCTTAAATTATAAGAAAAACAAAAATGAAAAGAGTAAAAAATCAAGGCAAAACATGTATTCTCAAATTCAAAATACGCTCCAAGCTTTCCTTAGAGGAGTACATCGTAAATACTCGTTAAACACGCTTAACCCTCTTAAGGACGACATTAAAAGTATAATAAGGAAGTGCAACACAAGTTATCGACCGCGCTTCAAGCGAGGACAAAGCGCGGATGAAATACTGTAGACACCGTAAAAACCTTTGTCTAATATATACCCTCGTCGTTCCTTTTCACGCCAAAAAGCAAAGGGTTTACAAGATGTCTGATTCACCATCTTCGAATGTTTCTGGTATTGATAATGGAGCAATAACTCCCACTGGCGGTGAGCCTTCTCAACAAGATGTGAAACCATCGACCGAACACATTAATCTCAAAGTTGTAGGACAGGTAAGAGAAAAAGTGAATACGAAGAGATAACCTACTGTGCTTTCCTTTATTTGGGGTGCAATTTTCTCTACGATGGTTATTATAGCGCACTTGATAAAGTGCTTAGAGTCAACCAGAATAATATCGGGGACTAACTCTGTAATTATTATAGGATAACAATGAGGTGTTTTTTAAAATTAAGAAAACCACAGAGTTTAGCAAACTTATGAAGATTTACTGTGCTCGTCAGGGTAAAACCATGAACAGTTTGCGTTTCTTGGTAGATGGTGAGCGGATTCGACCTGATCAAACTCCGGCAGAGGTGTGTAAAAATTTTATAATTTTATATATCAGTCTAACATTTTGCAGCTCGATATGGAAGACGGTGACCAAATTGAAGCTGTTCTTGAACAACTTGGTGGCAGTAACTAAATCAAGACTTCGCAACGGCACTTATCATAATAGGGCTTGGTCATAACAAAAATTAAGTTTCTTGGATGAAACGGTCCTACCTCTTTAGATACTATGGTGCATGAATCTGGGTTTCGTAAGGTCATATATGATGCACCCATGCTCCAAGGAAGCATATGTTTAATAAGATGATGATTATAGATTATTTATATTTTCTTTGGATTAACATAGTATGAACTGTGTTTGCAAATGAATAATTACGATATCTATTTGCGAATACATGCATTGGTTTAATTTCTGGCTAAGAGATCGATTTGACTTTGGTAAAGCTGGCGCATCTCTTTTATATCTAACTCGAGTTCATAGACGCGGTCGGTTCGTCGCCGTAAGATAGCTTGGGCTTCCGTGAGTTCCTTTCGAAGACTGTCGTATTGCTCACGTAGCTCAGTAAGTTCACGTTCTGAGGTATCTTTCGTTTCTTTCTCCACATACGAATTCACTATTTCCTGACGCGCCTGATCACGTTGATTTATAAGTTGTACAACTTGTTGTTTTGTAGTCTGTAATTCCGCCTCTAAGCGGCGAATCGTAGACGATAGTTGTTCTAAGAGACTCATATCTGGACCAGTATTACCGACTGGTTTTTCAGTAGTACTTGGTGTGTATGAAAGAGAAGATAAAGCATCAAAATCATGTGAAGCTGATTTTGGAGACATGACCATGCTATTCATCGAAGTGAACCTTGATGACGACTGTCTACCCATTCTCTTCCCTTCTGACGCCGTCCGTGGTAGTCGAGGTGCTTTTTGCTCTGTGGGTGAAATCGCAAGCGTATTCAAGTAATTTTCCAAAACCTCTTGCTTTGTCACTTCCGTATCTCGAGTTAAGTCGTCTTCTGAGAACACTCCGTTCTCTTCACTGTAGATATCGCCCTTCAGCTTTAAAGGCGGTGGTCGATTTCGATTTGAACTTGAGGAACTAGTACGCATATCGAAATGAGAATCGATATCCTGCTTATCCTTGTCTAGGACATTCATATTACCTGCCAAATTGGGTTTGGACGCATTCGTAGGGGTATGTTCATTATCGTCATTATTAGGATAGTACTCAACATCTTCACCGTCATTCTTTTTAGCAAGGGTATCAACTGAATTCGGAAATATCTCAGTAGGTGCCGCAACCGTGCTGGATTCTATGGTCTGTTGCAACATTTGAGTTTTTGTTTGATATTCTTGTTGAAGATCAGTAAAGGACTTTGATAATTTCTCAATTTCATCATTTTTGGATTCTAACTGTTTTTTGAATGCTTCTTCTCTTTGCATGAACCCAAAAAGCTTTTCATTAACAGCGCTGGAATCTTTCTGAGCCAATTGGTTATTTTCAGCGAGTTTATGGCATTGTCCACTTAAATATTCTATTTCAGCTTTAAGTTTCTCTTCGGAACGAAGCCATTGGCTTTTTTGTATAGACTGTTGAGTCGATAACGTCTCAACTTGACGAGTAAGACGAACAACTTCCATACTATCGACTGTAACTTCTTCAACCTTTCTCTTTAATAATTCATTTTCTTTTTCCAAAAGAGCAATTCGATTCTCATAATCTTTCCTTACGGAATCCAGTCGTTCTTGAACATCAACCTTCGACTCATCAGTTGTATTGGGCGCGTCTTCTGACTTTCCAACTTCTTGTCTCTTCAATTTGGATTCCGTTTCAATTAAATTCTTTCTTAAATTTTTAATTGTATTATTCAACTGTAATTCATGTTTGGATAAAGCCTGTCCTTCTTCAACCAACTTTCGAATAACATCATCCTTTGACTTCGGTGCATCAGGACTTCCTCCTTCATGATTTGGTACTTCTAAGACTTTGTCAAGGCTGGATTCGACATTTGTTAATGTCTTTTTGAAAAAATCTCCCCATCTCGAGCCTTCCATGATGGGATATAGTCTTGGGAGACCTCAATTGGGCTTTAGGAAAAAGAATGGAAGGTTCCTGATCCACGACGAGATTTTGTCGGAAATGTACACTCAGCGTAAATACATTTTAAACAAAAAAATTTTAAATCTAAAAAAAATATTATTGTTCACTAACTTCAAGCGTTTCTTGCATTGACTAACTATAAATATAAATAGCTCTATAGTGAATTAGAAATCTTGCAAAAGCCAATATAAGAAATGTTCTATAGTATTAAATATTTAATTAATTAATAAGATGATACTCATCTACATCACGTCGGTCGTTTTCATTGTATCCTACACACAGGCATGTAACCCCTTTTAAACTCTTTTCAACTTCCGAGTCTTTGACCGCGGCCCTTAAAAGCATTGAAAGACTTTTTGGGTGTAGTATTTCGATTAGGATTACTGGGTGCAAAGGTAGAAAACCCAGAGTTTGGTTGAAGAGATTCGAGCTTAGAAACAAGGAAGCCAGCGATTAACCCAAATATGCTTTCGATCAAAGAATATGGGCCTCCCATTAGAAAGCTCATGACAATCATACTGTAAGGCAAATACTTTCCCGGGAGTTCAAATACGAAAAAAAGTCGGACTTTCTGATGGGCATTGTACAAAGACCATGTATAAGCCATCGCACAAGAAAGAGAAGAGAAAAGAGCCGAACCTATTCCAGAAACGAGACTAAAAACCTATACCAAATATGTTAGGAAGATGCCAGACAGGAGACTGATTATGTCGTTTACATACATCTATTATGAGGGCCACTTTCAGTAAATAATATATGTAGTTCTTGGTATTTGCTTGATAAACATGGTTTTCAAGAAACGATCCATTCTGGTAAACTAAAGCAATTGCCATTAGCAATGAATTGAGAACAGAATCTTACAGGGCTGTTATACGTACAAGAAAGAGCATTGAAAATGAACTCAAGTTTTGTTCCAATAAAGAAGAAGTTGGTAATTAGTCTAAATAGCTCACGCTTTTTTATAACTGAATCTAAGTCCAACAAATAATTTTGCGGCGAGAAAAGCTGCCCTAAATACAACGCCGTAATTGTTGACATTGTAATTAGTCCATATCTAGTCACAGGAGGGATTCTTTCAAGAAGCTCTTGAACCTGGTTCACAAATTCTGATGCCATCTTTGAACTGTTGGTTTATGGGTAAATAGAGAACTCAACGTACATGGTTATCATTTGGGGTAACATATAGACCAATATTACAAGGTACTGAGAATAATTCATATTTAGAAATCATACTATCTTTTTCACAACTATTGCAGTAATACTTCTCTTTCCCCCAGGGATTTAAATTGAACTTTGTCATATAGAACATTATGCTCGATTTTTTATTCCATATATGGTATAAATTATCAGTAAACACAAAGTAACTACTATACATTAAGTAAAAGAATAAATATAGATCGTAAGCACCATTGATAGATCACGAATTTTTAAACCTCAGGTAGACACATGTCTTCGCTTTTCTCTCGCAGTCTCCTGCATTATAATTTCTTCCATTGCTGAACGAGGGCGTTTAGTATTATTATCTTTTTTAGGACTATTTTCTGAAATATCTGAGTGCTTTTTTTGAGGCCTGTTCAACGAGGCAAAAACGTTCTTTGACCTTGGCTTAGAAGGCATTGAAAAAAGTGCTGTAGAGGGTGGCACTGTAGGGGTTTGTGGCTTGGAGGAAACAGACGAAGAACTACTACTAATAGAGGGCTTCTCAGTAGTCGACGAATGAGCTGAAGACAAATGCAAATGAATGCCTTGATTTTCAGGTCGCTGTAGTTCATGATTTACTGGACGCTTCTCTTCTTCTTTCTGCTGGACGTTGTAAGCTTCTTTCGCTCGCTGAATTTGTTCATTCAATAAACGTAAATGAGTTTCTTCCTCGGATTTTTCTTGAATTTCTCTCTTCCGATTAGCTTCAGAACGACGAAGAGCTTCAGGATTTTTATCAATGTAAGATATAAAAAAGCCCTTTTCCGTTTCTTCCACACGACAGATGCTCTGCCGGCCCAAAAACTTGCAGAACTCCGACAAAGTATGCCAGCGAGTAGCATTCATGTGTACATGGTTCTTATCTCGAATATATTCTTGGTAAAACTTATTAAATTGAATTTTTTTCTCACCATGAGTAGTTCGAAGGAGTGAAACGAAATCCTGTAAAAACTGATTGGAGAAATCTCGAATATGCTTACCAGGGTCCTCAGCAATCAGAGATATTCGTCGAACATGACCTTCACTTTGCGTATGACATTTAAATCCATTTTCATCTCTCATCTGTTTTTGACAAGCAGTACAATACCAGCGTAAACGCTGCAAACCTTTGCTCTTCAGAGCATTAGAAATTGCCTTTGGAGTACCAGCTTCGGCTCGTCCCATAACAATTTGTAGTAGCTTACGTCCTTAAGTTTATATTCAAAGCTTTTTATATTTATTGCAAGTGATATAGCTTGTTTATGAGTAAAAGGCAAAGATTCCTTATTTATAGAGTTTTCACAGTAAAATTAAGCCACTGATCTTTTTATGTGCTTTTCAAAACCTAAAGATAAGTATGAATAGCAAATTTACTCCTTGTTGCTGCAAGTGAGAAGAATGGCAAATCGTAACTACTGTGCTTGGAATTCGAAGAGTTGATTCTTCTCACCAACAAAGTGCATAAATCAGAAATCAGCGCCGCAATTACAAGATTTCTGAAGTTTTGAACAATTATTAATTAATTATATAAATTAAATTTTGTGCTTTTGTTTTTCGGGTTGTCAATCTAGCGACTGTCCTTCTTCTAATTTTCATCTGGATTACACACGAATCTTTGTCCGACTCTTTATTCTGTTTGTCTTCCTTGTTAACAATAATATCGAAAATTATATAACAAACTGTTTTTTTAAAAAACAGGGCTTTGTTCTTACTTCTATAAACTATTGCTGGACAAAAGTATACTGTTGAATTTATCAATTACTGTATTAGCTTTACCATAGGATAAAGCCTTTGATTGAATCCTTTTGAAATTTACTATAACTGGTAATGTATTAAAGGTTTAGTTGATGAATTCGCGTTTTTTGTCCGCCTGATACAATTTTGCATTCCTTCTATAATTTTTTTTTGTTCATTTCTTCAAAATGACTGGCATATTTCATACTATTCGTGATCCTTCATTTCCTGGACATACGCCAACATCCAGTAATGTATCAAGCGAGGTCCCAATAGTTATTGACAATGGTAAGTTACATGAGATTCGCGTGTCAATTGAAAGTCCCCTTAGGTTTTAATAGTGTTGGTTAAAAAGCAGTAGTTTAGGAGTATAATGCTAGGGAATAGAGGGCATTTTTTACACTCAGCTAAAAACATTTCTTAATACTTCATACTAAGACTATTTATAGGATCCTGGCAACTTCGTGCTGGATGGGGTGGAGAAAAAGATCCTAGGCTACAATTTGACAACCTTATGTCCAGATACAGAGACAGAAAGCTTTCTAGAACTTCCACGCTTGTAGGAAATGATACGTTGATTGAAGTCGGTGCTCGTTCAATAGCACGATCTCCTTTTGAGCAAAATGTTATTAACAACTGGGACGTCATGGAAAGTGTACTTGATTACACATTTTTAAAACTAGGGATTGAACATCAAGATCATCCGATATGTATGACTGAACCTTTCATGAACCCGACATACAGTCGCTCAACCATGACTGAGCTACTATTTGAGTTATACCAAGTTCCTTCAGTTGCATATGGTGTCGATGGTCTTTATTCATTTTATCATAATGCTGGTAAAGAGTCCAGCGGTATAGCTATAAACCTTGGGTATTCAAGCTCTCATGTTTTGCCTGTCTTGGATGGACAGAAACTTGCTCATGAAGCCAAGCGCGTCTCTTGGGGTGGTGCTTCGTCATCGTCGTACTTGCTCCGTCTTTTCCAGATGAAATATCCTTTTTTCCCAATCAAAATGCTTCCTTCTCAAGCTCAATCCTTAATGCATAATTACTGCCATATATCTTCAGATTATAATGCTGAGATTGCTCATGCATTGGATAAGGATGTTCTATCTCGAGAAGATGTCGTTTTACAATTTCCTTACGCGGAAGCAGTAGCTCAAGAAAAATCTCAAGAGGAACTTGAGCAAATTGCAGAAAGAAAAAGAGAAAGTGGACGACGACTTCAAGCTCAAGCCGCGATTAAAAGAAAAGAAAAGGCTGCAGAGCGGGAAAAAGAACTTAATACGCTTCAACGCTTACAAGAACAAAGTGGTACTCTTTCAAAAAGAGAGTATCAAAGGGCATTACAAGAAGCCGGATTTTCCGATGAAGCTCAATTAAAGGCTCAATTGAAGAATGTCCAATCTAGAATTCGTAGGGCGGAACGGGATGCTTTGCGTCAACAGCAGAATCAGCAAGAGGATACTGAAGCCGATCTTGCAGATGTAGATGTAGAGCAAGCATTTCCTTTGGTGAACGTACCAGATTCTGAATTAGATGAAGCCGGGCTTCGTCAAAAACGGAATCAGAAACTTTTAAAGGCAAACTATGATGCAAGGATGCGGGCTAAAGCCGATAGAGCAGTAGAGGAAGCTATTTTACATGAAAAACAGGAAGCTGATGAGCGACTTCGAAAGGAAAGCTTTTCCGTCTGGGTTAAGCAGAAGCGTGAATTGCATAAACACCTATTAGATAAGATTCAGGAAAATCGAAGACTGAAACTTGAGCTCAACGACCGTAAGTCGCATACTTCACAAATGAGAATGAAAAGTCTGGCTACATTAGCTAGTGAACCGGTTCAGAAAAAAAGGCGAAAGGGACAATCAGAAGATACTTTTGGTGCCAGTGATGAAGACTGGAAGGTTTACCATGATGTCTTAAACGCTGAACAGTTAGAAGATGAAGGAAACCGTTTAGTGGAGGAAATTTATGCGTTGGAGAAACAGCAACTGGAATATGATCCTTTGTTTCGCCAGGAAAATACATACGATGCTCTTAACGATCCCAAGAGTACTTTACTCTATGCATTCACACGAGGAGTCAGTCCTTTTGATCCGGAGAGTATTGCTCATTCGTTCCAATTACATTTCAACATTGAACGCTTGAGAGTTCCAGAAGTACTCTTTACTCCTAGTATTGTTGGCTTAGACCAGGCCGGAATTGTTGAGATCGTTCGCGGCATTTTGCAAAGACATACCCAGGAAGAAAGCGACAAACTTATAAAGAATATTGTCTTAACTGGTGGTCTTTCAAAATTTCCTGGAATCTCTAAACGTGTTGAAAATGAGTTAATGAGTGTATTACCTGTTGGTTCTCCGTTGAATGTATATAGTGCGTCCGATCCTTTGTTGGATGCATGGAAAGGAGCTTCTGAATGGAGTGTTACTGAAGAATTTAAAAAAATATCTATATCTCGAGCCGAGTATCAAGAAAAAGGACCTGATTACCTGAAAGAGCATGCATTTGGTAATCCTCTTCCTTGATTGTGAAACCAATACTTTCACGAATGAAAAATTATATATTACCTGAATTATGATAGAACTTATTAAATTACATTACAAAAACAGGATATTTCTGACAAACCTATTTGACTTCTATAAATTGTACCCATAACTTGTAATTGTTTATAGTTTGTAATTATTTAGTAATAGTAGTAAAAGCAAATAGTGAAATTGTAGGCTACAGCTTCGTGTATAATAAAACTTTTGCCAGACAGGCACTCCTTGGGTGGAACTTCCTGTTCTCTACTATATACTACATACTACAATGGCTACGTCCTTAACAGTCAACAGTGATTTACAGCGGGAAAACCATGAAAATAATTTAAAAGAAAATGTTACAGACACAATTCCACCCACAGTCAACTCTTCATCGAAGAAGAAGAAGAAAAACAAAAAGAAAAAGAAACCAGTAACAACCCAAGCCAATGGTGAACATCAAGAGAACGAAACCTCAAATAATCAAAAGAATGAGAAAGATTCTTTAGTTTCAGAGTTACTATTAGAAAACGAGGATCTTAAAAATGAAATCGATGCTCTGAAAAGTACACTGGAAGAAACGAAACGCAATTATGTTGATACCAATGAATCAAAAGGTCACATACTGGAAGAAATGGATAATTTGAAACAACAAATCCAAGATTTGAAAGAGTCTAACGAAATAAAATTGGAGGAAAAAACTAGAGCTCAGGAAGAAACCCAAAACTTGCAAGACATGTTACGAAATGTCGGAAATGAGCTGGTCGATTCTCGTGATGAAGTAAAAGAATTAAAAGAAAAACTTCAAGATTTGGATAAAAAGGATGAGACTGCCGTTCAAATTTCGGAGGTAAACTGTAATGAGATTACACCAAACGTGCTTTCTGATGCCAACGGACCGAAAGCAAATATTTTAGATGGTATATCGAAAGATGTAATAGACAAAGAGTATGTAAGGAACGTTTTGATTCAATTTTTGGAGAATCAAGAACACCGTGAACAAATTCTACCTATCTTAGCCATCGCTCTGGACTTGGATGAAATTCATCAGCAGATACTTTTAAAAAGTGTCAACTAATACTTAAACCGAAATACATGCTTTCTTGGTTTTATTTACTGCCTTCTTTTTATTATAAATCAATTTCGTTTAGAACCACCACTATTTACAAAATTGAATTTGTTTTTAATCAGGCGAGAATAGAAATATGTTAACTCATTATGCATCATTAAAAATAACTAACAAAAAGCAAGGGTTACGTGAAATCAGGACAAAATTTGATTAAGCCGTTTGGAACTTTTTGGCATTCGAATCCACATAAGCTGAAGCGGAAGTAGCGTATTTAGATGCTACTTTCGGGATATTCTTTTTCACATTGACATAGTCCGCTCCAAGCTTTTCTTCTGGAGAGGTGCGCTTTCCAAATCCGATGTAAGAGCCTACACGTTGTAAGAATCCAAAAACACCCTGTTGTTCGTTAGTGGGGACGGGTCCATAAAATAACAAATCATGATGTTTCAATTTATCGATTGCATCTTGACGATGGAAGGGTTTATTAATGGCCTCTCCGTATTCGGACAAAGCAGACTTTATATCTTCATTGGACCAACCAGCGTACTCGGGAAGAGAAGCTTTTGAGAAATTCTTTTCTGCTTTTTTAAGAATGGATTTGTTTCCTTGATTAGTAAGGGAACGATAGATGTTGCAAGCATTCTGAACCAAATGTTCACGATTCTTGGAAGGATGAAGTTTGCCGTGATAATACTTTTTGAATTCTTGAATCCAACTACTTAATTCCTTCGAACTAAGTGTGTTGAAATACACAGCCCAATGAGGGATTGTTCCTTTGTTATAATGCTTACGAACGATGCCTATCAATTTTTGCTTGTTGCTTTTTTTCGGGACAGGCACACCACGTAAATAAAGGAACTCGCGAAGTTTAGATTCTTGCCATTTTTCCAATACATTTTCATCTACCAGATCGCGAATTTTTGAAGAAGCAGCTTCCTTTTGGGCTTTAATTTTTTCCGAGCCTTGATCAAGTTTATCAGAGGCATAGGAAGCAGCATTAGAAGCCCTATGTTTGAGGTCCCCAGTCTTTGAGGAGACAGCGCGTGCATTTGAACTTTTTGCATGCTTGATTTCATCTTTAATTTGATTAGCATTCGTGGTAGCACCGTGATATACATCGGTCGCTGCAGTAGAAGCATCTGAAGCTACATCGGAAACAGCGCCGGAAGCACTATCAGTGGCAGAAGACACATGCTCCTTTACTGTTGCTTTTAAACTTTCGTAACCGTTTGTCCTCAGGTAGTATTGTCGACGAGCCGAAGCCCACAATTTGTCAAGCGCAGATGGTTGGTAGATATTAATTCCCCTAGCGTCCAAATATGCCTTCAATCCAGATTCAGACCACCAGGTAGCTACACGGCCTTTACCTTGAGAGGCTTCGTGAAGCTTGTCAGCCTTTTTCTGTAAATCATCGCCAACGTTTTCACCGGCTTCGGTAAGTTTCTTGGAAGCATATTCTGCATAATCTTCTGCCTTCTTACTGGCATCATCGGCATATTTACCGACTTTATCTGCTTTCTCCGTGGTATCCTTCTTGATGGAGTCAACTACAGGTTTACCAGACTCCAATTGTTCAGACATGGTTTCTTTTACCTTGCTGAGGATATGAGGACGGGTTTCATGAGCTTGTATTGGGACTCCCATATCATGAAGCCAAGTGCGAAGCTCATTATCTGACCAAGTATCGTACACCCAATCGCCAGTTTCACCTAGCTTAGTTACTAATAGCTTATATTCCTTGACGGCCAGTTTACGAAGAGAAGAAGGAGATAGTTTTTCAAGCAAACGTCTTTTCTCAACCGGAGCAAATGCGTCACTGTAACGAGCTAAAAATGCACGAAGTTGGGAGTCGTTCCAAGCATCGAAAAAGCGAGACTTCTGTTCGTCCCATACGTCAGAAGTCGTACCTTTTGCACCAGAGGCAACGTTTCCTATGTGTTGACTAGCCTTATTCATCTTCTCTTTGGCACTGTCAAAATAAGGAGATGTCTTTTTACCGATCCAGCTAGATGATTCGAAACCAGTAGCTTCTTTAAATCTTGGGATCAGTGACTCATAGTGTTCAACCAGAAAATCTCGGAACTCGGCAGGAGTGGATCGTGTACCATATGGGACAGAATGCTCGTCAAGCCAGGTTTTTATTGCTGAAACATCCTGCTTTTTATATGTGGAAAACCCATAAAAGCTTGAATAAAGTGCAAGGGCCGCTAAGGTACTTAATATAAATAATTGCTGAACCCGCATATTGCGAAATTAAGCAAGAAAAAAGTAGAACTGAACAAAACAAAGCACAACAGAACAGAACAGAAACGGAAGTTACGACAGATCGTGGAACTTGCGAATGAATGCACTAGCTCAAAACTTCAGTAGACGTGTTGAGTTTATTAGAGAAACAGCGTAATATCTCTTTTTGATAAGGTATAATAAATATGACAAGTTTGAAACAACACCGGTGCACAAACAGTAAACCGCGCGCTAATTTCAATCTAACCCTTTTAAAAGATTCTTGTTATAAGAAAAATAATAATTACTGGGAATGTTACGCAAGCGTCGGGAAAAACTTAACTCAAAATCTTCAGTCAAGTTATAGCGACTTGAGGATGGTTAATATGACAAAAAGGAATCAAGGTTTTTGAATTGTGTATTTGGTAACAATTTTCCAGTCCCTACTTCATGTGTGTTATATATATACACTTTGGAACATTGCATCAATGCGAACGAACTGACGTAAAGCATAATCTCTGTTCTACGTGCAATATCACGGTACGGCAAGTATGTTAATAGTGTAATTGCATTCATGACATAAACTAAATGTAAAACACACTTAAAATGCGAGAATCGCCATTTGGCTTCCCTCAACTCTTAGCGCGGTAAGAATATCATAAAACTTAAGACGATATTATCACCTTGAAGATATGTGGACAACAATATGTATATGATTAGTAGAGAAGTGTTAACGAACGTATATACAGATGATGCAGCTGTTTCATGTAGAGGATAAAACGTAAGCGTAACTGTCATCGGATTGAACTGGTAGACAATAGGTTTGGTAACATCATCAAAAGATGCACAGAAAAGGAAGTAGTTATAGAAAGGAGATCCGTGAGAAATATATGATATGAAGAAAGAAAAAAACAGGATTCACCGACTTATTCTCATTTTTCAAGTACTCAAAGATATTTAACGGGGGTTTATTACCCACGTAATTAATTAAGAATAATATTTTGAAAGGAACATAAGTAAATCAACACATCAACATGCCTGTAAAAGCACTTACGTATGATTAACTATGTTGCAGTATTGGAAACCAAAAAAAGTAAAAGAAATAAAAAGGAGATAATGGGTTTGATTTTAAAGATCAAACGACAAAAGAAAAGGATAGAATTTAGAACGTCAATAAGATTCTTTGATTTATTCTCTGATTTGATGATTTAATTCTTGAGAAAGAACAACCAAAATTCACTTTTTTCTTGTTTCATCTAATCTTTCTTACCTTGTTTTGGAATAGCTGCCAAAATGTGATCCCTTAGTTGACTCGCTGATTCGTTGTCCTTGACATGGACTGCATATAAAACAGAGTTACCGTTCTCTATCACAAAAATCTTTACATAGTTTGCAGAACCACCGCTAGATGCTGAGGCAATCTGGAATGCTTTCTCAGACATTCCTTGAAATAAAGGAACGTTCATAATGACTCGGTGAACGGCATCGTTTCGCATGACCAAACGATGAGCTCCTTCAGATCCTTCGATAGGAACATTTACTTTCAAAACTCCATGGCCACGCTCCTTCCATATCTTCTTTTCTCCGTCAACAACGTACAAACGAGCGCGAACGCTGTAAAGTGTCTTTTCTTTTTCTTCACCAGTTATTATTTCATTCTCGCTTAACTGATTAATTTGTACAGCATTCCTCTCAGATGATCCTTCCGTTTCAGCTTTCGAAGCAGATGATACATCCTCAGTAGCTTCAGGGGTTGCAGCTGTATCGCTAGGAGTCTCATTTGCCAATAACTCCTCAAAGCTCTTTTTTTCTTGTTTTTGATCCTTTTTCTTCTCATCCGCCGCTTCGTCTTTGTTGGTTTGCTTGGTGTTCGCCAAGATGTCGTTCATGCTAAGGTTCGCATACTTTTCGCCAAACGCAGGTGCTTTTGAGGGAGACGCTTCTTCTTTCTTTTCTGGCGCTTGCGAAGCTGTTATAGACGCGAAAGGAGAAGAAGATGAACTGGAAAAGGACGCAAACTTGGAGAAACTAAAAGGCTTGGGGCTAGCTTTCGATGATGGGTCTATTTCTGCTTTGTTTTCATTTTCAGGTTTTTTTTCCTCGGAAGTCGTTGTTCCTTCAGACTTGGGAGGGCTTGTTTCATCCACCGCTTTCTTTTCTGTTTGTTCCGAAGTTTCTTTGTCAGGTGATTCTTCTTGCTTCTTTTTCTTAATAAAATGTCAGCTTCTATTTGTCTATGCTCTTGAATAACTTAATGTAGTTGCTTCAAACAGCCGTCGTTCAAACTTACCAAATCCGTAGCCTTTATTCCTTCGTTAGTATCTTTGGTATCTGCTTCATTCTTTTCATCAGTATTTTCATCTTTTGGCTTTTTCTCAGGAATCTCTTCGGGTTCTTCGTTTGATTCGTGTTTACGTTTCGTCGCCATATTATCCTCGGGTTTGGAAGCTTCGTTAGTTTTTTCTTCTAACTGCTTATTTTTTTCTTCTTCGAAACTCTCTTTTACAGCCATGATAAACGAAAATAGATGATACTATCCTTTGTGTAATGTCAACAGTGTTGGTATTCTGGTCGACTGGAAGGATACTTCAGGTGCATAATCCTTATCATCCTAGGTTTACCACGCTTATGCATGGAATAAACCTCATAATAAATCTTCAAAATAAATACAAATAAAGATTAGCTATACATCTTTCATTGATTTAAATGAATCATTTTTGTTACTGAGGTGTTTTACTTTTTATTTTTTATTCTTTTTTTACTTGCAAATCAAAACTACTCAAAGAAAGAAGAGACAGCTTTAGGAAACAAAAAATAATTATAAAAAGAATATAAAAATAGAAATGACCAGACCTAATCAATATGCGGCTGGTATTATTAATTTATTGAAAGACAGTTGGCGAATGCAAGCACGCATTAGCTTTTTTCGTTCAAAAAATAAAGATAAAATAAAAGAAATAGAAGAAAGACAAATTCCTAATGAAAGGATTAAGGAAGTACAATCAGACACAATATTAGTACATTATGTCAAAACGAGTGTAGAAACACGTACATTAGTCCGACAGAAAATAGAAACAAAAGCCCATAAAACACCATGGCTAAGTCGCGAATTAAATAATTAATAGTATAAACAGGAAAAAATTCAGTAAAGAGTGATAATTATAAGAAATAAGCTGATAGAAGATTTCAATCACAACCTTTTCCTTTGTCTTCATTATACATTGACACTTATTTGGAATTGTCATTTGCCTTGTAAAAGTCAAATCCATATGGATGTTTACGCTGCCATTTCCAAACATCAGCACAAATTTCATCAATGCTTCGATTGGTCTTCCAATCAAGCTCTTCGTTAGCACGCTTAGGGTCGGCTGTCAAATTGACAACATCCCCATCTCGCCTAGGAGTAATCTTGTAAGGGAGTTCGGTTCCCATTGCCTTGGAAAAGGCATGATGAATTTGCAATACAGTGCTGCCAGTACCAGAACCCAAGTTCCAGGCACGGCATCCGACATAATTACGTTGCAAATAGGCTAATGAAGCAACGTGAGCGTCTGCGAGATCGCAAACGTGAATATAGTCTCGAATAGGTGTTCCATCGGGGGTTGGGTAATCATTACCATAAACGCTCAAATATTCCCGACGACCAACTGCGACTTGCGCAATGTAAGGAATGAGATTGTTCGGAACACCCAAAGGGTCCTCACCTAATTCTCCGGTTGGGTGAGCACCTCCTGGATTGAAGTAACGAAGAAGGGCGGCGTTGAGTGATCCGGAAGCTTTGCTCTCATCCTCGATAAGATTTTCAATGAAGAGCTTTGTTTTTCCGTAGGGATTGGTAGCTTCACGAGGACAGGTTTCAGGAATAGGGATCGTTCCACCAGGACGAGTAGGATCACCATATACGGTTGCAGAAGAAGAAAAAACAAAATCTCTCACATTATGTCTCTTCATGCATTCCAACAAGTGAACAGTGCCAGTAATATTATTCTTATAGTACGTCAAAGGAATCTTTACAGATTCGCCCACAGCCTTTAAACCTGCAAAGTGAATAACAGAGGAAATGGGGTGTTTCGCAAAGACCTCTTCTAAGTCTTTCTCATTCAACAAATCCACCTTATAAAAAATAAGATCTCTTCCTGTCAACTTTTGAATTCGCTTGATGGCCTCATATCTGGAATTGCATAGATTATCAACAACGACGACGTTGTATCCCTTTTCCAACAAGACAATTACCTATATCGGATTAGAACTTTAATTCGAAAATCTAACTTGATAAAATGGCCAAGGTATCGTTGTGAACTAAGAACTACACTCCCTTTCTTTCATGATTTCCCAATTCAAAGCTTCATGTCAGTACACTTCATGAAAGGCGGAAACAACAAGCAAATGCATCCTTTCGTTTTAAACGAATACAATATCCATAGTTACTATTCACTTACAGTGTGAGAGCCAATATATCCAGCGCCGCCAGTTACTAAGACAGTATTACTAGTTTCCCAAGTCTAATCAAAAGTTAATATCACCATATTCATTCTTGTCATATAATCTTTCATTATTTATCTTACCATTCTCAGAAAACTCTTAAAGACCAATAATTAAAAAGATGTTGTGTTCTGTTGCGGTTATGTGCGCAGTACAGTTAACGAGCCATGAGAAACTTGAATTACACAAACTTGACTTTTAAGTGTTTAGAATACATTACAACATAACATAGTAGATTTCATTACATCTTTATATGGAGAATAAGAAAAGACAATTCATATTGTTTTACGAGCAGATATACAGCTTAAGAAATTATATAGGCTACGAAAGCAAAGTATAGTACATGTAGAAACTAAGGTTATTAATAACAAAAGGAGCTTAAACAATACGTTTCTACCATTGTTTATGTAATAGTAAAGCTCATTATACTTCAGGGACAACAAATTAAGCATTTTATCAAGGACAAAAAGGTGACTGCCTACGAAAAAAAAATAAAAAAAAAATCGATATCAGATCTCTAGGTAAAGTATGCAGAAAGAAAATTGTGAAATGAATGAAAAGAAACGATAGTAGTATAGAGGCTAGGTGTATTGACATAAATAAACAAAAATCTAAAAGAACTTTTACATAGGACGATTGTTAGTTTCCAACAGGAAATGTAATGGAAGAAGGACAGAAGTGTATATTCATGATGCGTTTGGGAATTATCTGTTACATTTTATATCAACTTTTTTTCTAAGCTTACATTTATTATTACAAAACAAAAAAAAACTAAGGACAACTCCATGGTTATTTTTCTAATGCGAATTGTAGAGGAAAAGGTAGGAACAGAAGCTTTGCAATGTAAGCCATACTACACAAGTAAAAACGTATTTCTATTTCGTATTCTATAATACATTATTTACATCTCTTTTACATATTTCCTCTACACCTAAACGATTCTTCTAAGACATTTTCGTAAGGTCGAAATGTTCCTTAGCATCGTTCATACTTGTGAGACGGTGCCTTTTCATTTATGCGTTTATCCAGTTCGATTGTTAATTGAAAAGAATTATATTCAAAAATTAAAAATTATTACAAGAAAGACTTTGAATCCTAGTTTATCGCATGGCAAAAAGACATACTTTTTAATTCCCTTTTGAGATTTCTTCTTTAAGCATTAGACATTGTTTAGATTATTTACTTCATCTTTCATCATAAACATCTCATGGGTCATTCAAACACATCTGCGCTCTCGAATGAAGACGCAGGTTTAGAGTCACCTTCTAAGAGCTTTCCTCATGAAGAAAATATATATCAAGTTCACTTGATTCAGGATGTTGAATCACCACTCATTACAAGATCCCAGGTAAATTATTTGCATCATGGAAAAAAAGCGAGAAACCCGTCTGAATTATCCCTGCGTGACCAAGAAAAGTGCTTGATCGATGAGCTTTTGAATATATTTATGGGCATGGAAGGGAACTACATCCACTTACAAGATATATCTAGCTTATCTGACTCGCAAAAGATTGTTTCTCCTCCTTCTTTTGTTATATCTCCTGGTTTCGATTTGGGACTTAAGGATATCGTTTCCGAAACTCTTGAGTTGGGCTCATACTACTTAAGTATCGTGACATTCATTGAACTCCGAAGTCAGTTCGATTATGGGTACGTAAATCATGCTTTGTGTGCTGCTTTAAGAAGATTTATGTCAGATTATCTTGTGCTACTCATGCAATGCGAGCACAGGTGTCAAGTAGATCCTGGCTTTTCTTTGCAAACTCTTCGTTTATATATATTACCTACTTTTCGTTCTATGAAATTGGTTTATTTTATCATACGCGACCTCGTTTTGTCGACAGAGCATGATCAGCAGGAGGATGACATGGGTTTGGATAACATCGACGATTTGCTAGAAAAACTCAACCAGGGAAATGATATTTCTCAAATTATGCAGAGTTCCATATCTAAAAAGAAGGTCTGTAAAGGCGGTCGTGTTCTTACCTACTTGACGGATGCTCTAACCAATTATGCCGGTGACCCTATCGCCCGAAACATTTTAACATTTCTGCTTCGAGAATCCTCACGTCCATATATGAGGTTTTTAAATTCTTGGATTCACGAGGGAAAGATTGATGATCCTTATGAAGAATTTATGATTAAATCCCACAGGAGTCTGAGTTCACAAAGACTTGATGATGACTATACAGACGAATATTGGGAAAAGCGCTACGTTATTCGTGAAGACCAGGTTCCTGTCCAACTTTCCCAGTTAAAAGATAAAGTTTTACTTGCCGGAAAGTACTTGAATGTCGTAATAGAGTGCAAGCAAGCATCGGGAGAAAATGCTGGTCAAACCTTGGCAATCAACCCTGAAGAAGGAAATACTAGATGGCCGGATACGTTTGAAGATGATAGTTTTACCAAAAACATTATAGATGCTTATGTCTACGCAAACGAGTCTCTGTTATTGTTGTTGCAATCTTCGCAGTCGCTTTACAGTCACTTACATGCATTGAAGCATTATTTCTTTTTAGATCAGTCTGACTTTTTTTCTACCTTTTTGGATACAGCACAGCAAGAGTTACGGAAACCTGTAAGACTTATTTCTGCCACCAAGCTGCAGTCGCAGCTGGACTTATCCCTCCGTCAACCGGGTACAATCACAGCAGTGGACCCATTTAAAGAGTATCTGACACTTGAATTAAATCAGACTTCTTTGATTGACTGGTTAATGCATATCGTCAGCATTAGCGGATTGGAAGATTCGGCATTGGGACAGAACGAAAAAGGAATAATGGATCATTTTACGAATCGAATGGATAGTGGGAGTGACCAAAAGAGCCAAAATTCATCCTCAAAAGGAATGACAGAAAAAGAAATTGATGGGTTTGAAGCGATGCAGTTTGGATACAAAGTTCCGTTTCCCTTGTCTTTAATTCTATCAAGAAAGGCGATTATTCGATACCAGTTGTTATTTCGCTTTTTCTTGATGGTCAAGCGTGTGGAAATGCAATTGGAAAACAGCTGGCTCCATCATAGTAAGAAACCCACTTGGAAGAACAAGTCGCCCTTTCCCCGGATTGAGCGGTGGAAGAAAAAAGCATGGTTTATGCGAACCCGTATGCTTACGCTGGTGCAGAAAATTCGCTATTACAGTATGAACGAAGTCATAGAAACGCATTGGCCTGTGTTTATGAAGAGTATAGAACACGCACGTACTGTGGACAATTTAATGCAAGAGCATGTTGACTTTTTGGATACATGCCTTAAGGAATGCATGCTGACAAATTCAAAGCTATTGAAGGTGAATGCGAAGTTGCTGGGAACATGTGGCATGTTTGCATCATACACTAGCTCATTTACAAGGTCCTTGCAACTTGCTGAGACAGGTGAGGAGACTTATGACGATGTACGGATGGACAAGATGGAAGACATTTTAAAACGCTATGAAGAGAATTTTGTTCATCATTTACGGGTCCTGATGGACGCTTGCAATTATTATGCCAGTACAGAGACAGCAGCATTGTTGAATCTGGTTATGAGATTATCTACTTAGTTTAGGGATTAATGGAAAATAAACTATAATTTGAGAAAGAAAAGAACAAGCAAACTATGTCGAATCTAGTTAGCTATGTGGATTTGCGACTTGATTTGTACAATGTGGTAATTGTACTACTTTGCATCGTACAGATTCGATGTAGAAGTCTGAAAGGGGAATGGAAGAAAGAAGCGATTTTCAATAAGGAAATGAAAAAAGAAAGACTACAATCTTTTTCAGTCATCTACACATCAGACATATCAAAAGCTAACTAGAAGAAACCAAGAGAGGAAGAAAAGAAATTTTTCAAACATGCAACATCATTAAGAGTCGGGCTCCGTAACTTTAACTTGCAGAACAAAAGAGACAAATGCATGTCCAACGCTCAAATGCAGAATACGATGTATTCGTACCAAAAATTTGTTTCGCAAAAAGAACGTTATTAAGCATCGTAGCAACCGAGTACGGTAACGATTGAATCGACACAGAAAACTTACAAAAATGGGAGCGATAACTATAACATCAGTCCATTTTAATGAATTGTTAGGGAAAAGATCGATCCCCCATGCAAACTTGGGCTAGAAGATTGCAAGCGATGAGCGACCAGATGCTGTGTGTCAAAAGAAGAAAACAAATAAATAAGAATAAAAGATTGAATGGATCTACACACAAAAATATTATTAATGAACAATGACTTATTTTGACACTTGTGCTAGCTGCCTTGTATTCCTTCCTTCCTCCCTGCTGACTTTTTTTACTACTCACAATTCTCTCGTCTTACTGGAAGTTATCGGTCATCAAAGTAACGAGAAAAAAAAATGAAAAAATTTTTTCAATCAGGAGAGTGATGCAACAGCACGCAAGAGGAAACCAGCGAAGCAAAGTCAAGTACCGAAGGAGATAAACCAAGGCAAAAAAATAATGTAGCACTGAACGGTTCCCTTTGAAGTGGAATCGAATTTTGCAACTTGGATTTTCAGACTTTGAAATTTTTCATGCAACTCCAGAAGGTAAACTTCCCATGATTACCATCCAGAAAGCAGATGGAGGCAAGCGATGACAGGTGAACAATCAATTGCTTTAGCCTACTGTCTATATAGTCCTCTCTAATAAGTCTAGTTTGACTTCTATAACCAATCCATACAATATCTAAAGATGCGATCAGATTATTTACAAATGTCTTAAAATACGTTATAGCGAGATTACGAAGGAATGTTAACCGGTTCTGAAAAATTTAATCTACATTTCGTCCAATATAAAGAAGGAAGATTCCTTCCCTTCTTCCTTTCATTGTGATCTGACGTGAAACCAGGTTTAACTGATTGTCTTGACAATCCTTTTGCCTATACCAATCCATTCATTTTTGAAGTTGGATTTGCTTTCTTTGTGTGTTTTGCTAAAAAAAAGAACGATTTTATTAGATTGGAAAGATCTAATATTTTCGGTTTCATTGGAAAATACGTTTTGCTGTAAATTTAAGGATTCTTTCTGTGTTCTTGCAAAGGATTGCTAGACTAAAACGGTTGCTTTTAATCGTTGGTTTTTCTTGGTTGGAAGATTTTTGGCATTTGTTGAAAAATAACTTTTCTCTAAATTATTGAGTTCGTTGTTTGTTTAACTTATTGCGTGTTCTTTAGTTTTTTTTTTTTTTTTTTTACGTTTTCCGCCTTACTATTATACTTGGGATATTTTACGTTCGCATAATTTATTTCCTTCTTAATTTGTTCTTAAAAGAATCGACTTGTTGTACAATCTCTTGGCAGTTGGTTTCAGTGAAACGAAGACCTCTTTTATTCTTGGCTCTTAGACTTTTCGTCTTGAATTTCATTCGTTCATAAATCGTTTATATTTTTCAATTCTTTTGTTTTTTGTTGTCAATGACTATGAATCATCAATCTCCCGTTCATGCTAACAAGCCTCCTTCTTCCAATTTTTGGAAACGAATCGGTATAGATGCCATGGCTGCCACTACTGCTAGTGCCATGGTTTCTCCGTTCATCCTTACCATTGACCGTTCCATCGTTGAAAACACGAGTGGTCGCAGTTCTCTCTTACAGTCTGTTGGCCGTTCCTTCAAACGCATTCTTTCTCGTCCCCACTCTTTTATATTCAGTCTTCCTTTTGCCCTTGTCTTTTCCATTTATTCCGGTACATATATGACAGCCAATACCATTGATACCATTGACAATGTTCGTTATAGTAATCCTGTTTATAAGGCTGAAACAACAGGTTTTGTGAAATTTACGTCCGTAACCGCTGCTAATAGTGGTTTATCCATTCTCAAAGATAGCTTTTTCACAAAATTCTGGGGCACTGGTACTCCTCGCCCTCTTGGTTGGCAAAGTTATGGCCTTTATGGTCTACGTGATGCCTTAACCATAGCCTTCTCCTTTAACGTTCCCCCCATAATCGCTTCCTACTTGCCCGGTGGACTTGTAACCGCTCAATTGGCTACACCCTGTATTGTGCAATTAATTAGTACTCCCCTTCATTTGATGGCTCTCGATATCTACAACCGTGGTGGTCCCAATATTACTGTTGCAAACCGCATCGCCCAAATACGGAAGAATTTGTTGAAGAGCACTTTTGCCCGTGTCATTAGAATCCTCCCTGCTTTTGGTGTCGGCGGTGTCACTAATCGTAAACTTCGTACTACTTATTTGGATGCACTTCAGGAGCGTGCCCGTAATTCTCAACAACTTGCTTCTGTTTAAACGGTGTTGTTGTTTCTCGAAAGTATCAGTGTATCTGTATGTGTGTGCGTGTGTCTATTTCCTACATGTTCTTTTAAAATACCTTCATCATTTCATTATACGCCTCCATTACTCTTCCTCCTGTTTTGCACTATAATTCTTTCTTTCTCTATCTCTCTCTTACCATGGTTTTATTAATTCAAGTCTCGATGTCTTCTTTTTGAATGGTTGTATAGTAAGCGTTTGTTTATGACTAAGTATCGGACTAGGTGTTCCATGGAGGGAGTCCAGTCTAGAATTTGAAATCTTCTTCCATCCTTGTTTCAGTGCTAGACTTTTGTCAAACCGGTTTTCTCTTTATTTCTGTACAGTAATCAATGAATATGAAGTTTAACGATTTCGCTGCCACTAGTGTCTGCTGAAGTTTTATGTAGATATTCAAACTCCAGACAAAGAAATGAAAAACTATTTTGCTTCCTTTCCATCATTCGCTGGTTTTTTGTTTTCTTGTCATTTTACTACGTATTCTGACAGATTCCACAAAATCTTAGATTTTTAGGACGCAGTTCAGTTCTCCAAGTATAAGATTCTGCCACAAATAATCGCAGACTCTTTCATTTTTTTCTTATTGTTCTTTTCATGCCTGCTTTAATTTTCGTCCGCATTAGGGAAGCAAACATTCCAAATCAACCTAAAACCGTAAATTGTCATTAATATATATATAAAAACAAACTATTCTTTTTCCCTTATATTTTTAATGTATTAGTTTTGGATCCAAAAAAAATCGAACTATTCCAAAGATTCATATCCTATATATGAGTGTTCACGGAAGACTCAGAACACCGATCACATATCCCTTCATTCACCTTCTCTTCGTTTACCATTATTCCTTTTATTCCTCTATTTATTTCTTTCGTCGTTCAAGACATCTTAGCTTTCCTTTCATCGTTCGCTCGTACTTCGAGTGGATACGAAACAGTAACTACATTTGGCCTGATACTACAAACTTGAAAGCAATTCTTGTAGGAAAAGGCATTGTAGAGGAGCTATTAGTGGTTTTTAATTGTTTAGCCCCTTCAACGCTCCTTTTTTGTTCTACCAAGTTTGAAGAACTGAGTTCGTTATCATTAGATTGTATTTTCAATTGCTCTGTTGCTTTTTCTATTGTGCATCTTGCATTTAACGTTTCTTCTTTGTGGGTCTTCTTTTGGTCTCAAAAAAGTGTTGTTTTCGATAGAAGCACAGTCCCTATTCTAGTAACAACGGTTTCAAAAATATCCTAATTAATTGAAATCTACCGTTTTGTTTACTCTCAAAAAGATACAAGTCAGACGCTGGATCGTTTGACACGCAAATATAGGGCAAGTCAGTAACCTCATTCATATTCTTGCATACCTTTATAAAGGAAAGTTGTTACATTCGTTAATTTTTCATTCTCTTCTCGTTTAAAAAGGCATTTCTCTATATTATCTTTGCTAGTTCTCTATACTGGAAACAGCCGCGTCTAGAAATTAAAACTGCTGAAAAAGTATAAACTCTGTTAATCATGAAGACATCAGATATAGTTGTGCTCGTTGTTATTTTAACTATTACCGTTGGATATTTTTCGTACAACTTCTTCTCTAGTCGGCCCAAGAACGTCGAACGTGAAGTACAATTATCCAATAATGGAATTGCCGATAAAATGGAAGAAGAAAATTTGAGTGCTTTAGTGCTTTTTGGTTCCCAAACTGGTACCGCCGAAGATTTCGCTTACCGTTTTTCTACAGAAGCCAAGTCAAAGTACAAATTGGCTAACACGACCGAAGATTTGGAAAATCTTGACTTCACTGACTTGGATAAGCTTGATAGCTCCAAACTTTTGGTATTCTTTTTAGCTACCTATGGTGAAGGTGAACCAACTGATAATGCAGAACAATTTTTGGAACTAATTGAGAGCGAGGACACGATTTTTTCGAGTGGAAAAGGAACAGAAGATCGCCCCTTAGCAAATCTCCGTTATGTTATTTTTGGCTTAGGAAATCACACATATGAACATTATAATGCTATGGCTAAGAGAGTTGACTCTGCTCTGAACGCCCTGGGAGCAAAAAGCGTTGCACCTGTGGGTCTAGGTGACGATGCCGCTGGTTTATTAGAAGAGTCCTATTTACAATGGAAAGACGAAGCCTTCCCCGAAATCGCCAAAGCATACCAACTTGAAGAAGTTCATGAAGATTATAAGCCCTTGTACGATGTTATAGAAAAACCTGAGATATCCAACGAAAGTCCAACTGTTTTTCTTGGCGAGCCTAGTCGCCAGCAGCTCAAGGGAATGACTTCACAAGCACCTAATTCTCCAGCAAATCCCTTTCATTCAACTCCTAGTCATTCTCGTGAGTTATTTAATAACGACACACGTAACTGTCTTCACATGGAATTGGATATCACTGGCTCAAACATGAAATATCAAACAGGCGATTATGTTTCAATTTGCCCTATGAATCCATCTCAAGCTGTGGATGACCTTTTGGACATTCTAGGTTTAAAGGATAAAAGGAATATGGTTGTCATTGTAAAGCCTTTTAACCCAATGGATAAGTTGCCTATTCTAAGTCCTACTACTTATGATAGTGTATTCCGCTATTATTATGAGATTTGTGGTATTATTTCCCGTCAATTGATCTTCTTGATTGCTCCTTTTGCTCCCACAGAAGAAGCCAAAAAAGAACTAACTAAGCTTGGAAGCGATAAGGACTACTTCAAAACAAATGTTGTGGACATGCATTTGAACTTAGCACAAGTGCTTCGTCGTGTCTCTTCTGGTGTCCCTTATACCAAAGTTCCATTATCTCTGCTTTTGGAAAATCTCGGTCACTTAAAACCTAGATATTACTCCATTTCTTCCAGTAGCTTGGCTTACCCTAATAAGGTGCATGTAACAGCCGTGGTTGACAAAAAAGAATGGGTTGATCAGAATCACATATTTTATGGTTTGACAACGAATTATCTACTTGCTCATTGCCGTCATCAACATGGAGAACCAGCTCCTCATCCTAATGGATTGCAGTACTCCTTGGAAGGTCCTCGTAAAAAGTTAACTGGTAAGATCCCTCTGTTTATCAAGCGATCTACATTTCGCTTGGCTCCTCCTGAAGTCCCCATCATCATGGTAGGTCCAGGCACAGGTATCGCTCCATTCCGTGGCTTTGTTATGGAGCGTGCTCATTTGGCTGCTCAGGGCGTGCAGGTTGCCAAGACGGTTTTGTTTTACGGATGTCGACGATCAGATACAGATTTTTTGTACAAAGAAGAATGGGATACGTATGCAAAGTCATTGAAAGACTCATTTGAATTACATACTGCATTTTCCCGTGAGGGAGATCAGAAGGTCTACGTGCAACACCGACTTCTTCAACAATCTGCGCTTGTTAATGAATTAATCAATGCCGGTGCCTGTTTTTACATATGTGGTGATGCCGAACATATGGCTAAGGACGTTACTAATGCTTTGGCTACGATACTTGCTACTGTAAAAGAGGATGGTGCTAAGCGTATTAAAAGTCTTCGTGATGAAAATCGGTTTTTTGAAGACACTTGGTAAATCTGTTTGTTATGAAGTACTCATAAGAAATAAAAAGGTCATTTACAAACTTGCGTTGAGTTTGTGAAAATAGTGTTATAGAATCGATTAGATGATTTAGCGATCTTATAGTGTTCAATAATTCTTCGTTTTTCTTTTTCTTTTTATTGTTCTCGTAGTAATAAGAGTACCCACTTATATTCGTTATAAAAGGTAAAGTATCTTTAGAAACGATCGTTCACGATAAAATGGTGTAAGCGATATCTAAAGATTTTCCAAGACTGTATTAACATACAATTATTTAAAATCAAAAATTGGCTACATTGATGACTTTCGGTATCAGAATGAAAGCGATCAGATATAGATATTATTTAAAGTAACGAGCAATACATTATTTGCTTGTCAGGTTACATTGTTATTTGTTGTGTAAACAAACATAAAATAAAATAAAACATATAGGTATGCGAAATCTGTTTCTTTCATATTTATTTGCAGAATATTAAGTAAAAGATAAAAAGAGTATTCTGACATTTCCCAGAATAAATGAAAAAGTAGGAATAACACCTGTAGGGAAGGCATGCATTAATATTCATCATATGGCTTTTACTTCGGGTCATTTAAAGAAGAGTTTTTTTTTTTTATTTATAACAACAAGTGTACATAGTGATGTTGATGTTAACACAAGAAAAAAATTCAATGGTGGTAATTTAGTAGAAACTTAAAAACTTCCAAATACTGCTTGAAACAATATACAAAATATGAAAAGAAATTCAAATTCTCTACAGATACATTTCAAGTTGCTTATATTTCAAGAATATCGGATTACTTAGCATAAAAATTCGGTCGTTTTTTACACGTATTCTATGTTTACATGGTATTTTAACTGCAAACAACGTTCAGGGATGAGTAATGCTATATAAAAGCTGTGTACTATATGTTACCTTTTCTTAATTGATCTACAATAATTTCTTTGTTCAAACAATTAGAATCACTTTGCTATAATGCTTTCATATCAAGAGAAAACATATTACACGAGCACTTTGTTGGAAGTGTTATTATTATACTATAAATTACAAAGGCTACAGTATTATACGATCTTATCTAAGAGTCTGCCTCGCGTCGGCCCTTGAAAAGATCCTCTTGAAAAAAGTCGATACTCCTGACCGAATAGTAGGTTGCAGAGAAAATAAAAACAGAAAGAATTTAAAAGAGTTATTCAAAAATCAATTCATGCAAAAAAATATGTATGCAATCGTACTATATGCGTACTAGTTGTTTGTTTTGATTGCATTAATTAGCAAATCCATGCTAAACAAAACTTACCAACAACCAATTCCACGGTAAACCAAGAATTGTAGTATATCTACTTTTATTTCAATAGAATATTTAATACTATGCAGGATTTAAGTACTCCTACGAAAGATCAAAGGCTTATGTCTTCTTCCATTCACGATCCTCTCTCCACGACTGAATTACCGACACCTACTAGTCAAACAACAGTTGAGCTTTTAAGCAATGATATCAAGAAGACTGAAAACATCGATTCGGGAGTTGTTTTACTAACTCCTGGCTCAAGCCCTCACACAACCCGCGGATCCAGTGATATGGTATTGTCTAGTGATCAAACCCCTGGTTCCCAACGTAGACATTACCAGGGAGTCCAAACTCAATATACAAATCAAACCGACAGCTATTATATGAATACTCAAACTGAACAATATATTAACGAACCTACTACTCAAACTCGCTTCCCAGAATCTAATGCTTATATAAGTAACAACAACGTTACTACAGTCCCTCATCTCAATCCTTATTTATCCGGTTCATACTATCCGCCCTATTATGCCTCTCAACAAGCAGCAAGTGGACGTGCTTACCGCCCTCCGTACGGTGTATCTGCTGCAACACCTTCGTGCTATGGGACACAATGGCAAGCTCAACAACCTAACCAGCATTATCCAATGAATGGAACTCATCCTTATATTAAACCTTTTGTTTCCAATGGAGTTACACAGCAATTAATGGCGGTACATGCCCCTCAGAACACCTCTATATATCCCCCAATACCCCCGGTAGGACAGTCGAATGTTCCATACATAAATCATCCAGCTTATATGCCTGTGCCTCATAATCCTGCCATCCACAGCAATTCTTCGGGATACCCTGCGGCCTCACCAAATTTGGCTCCTTATACTCAACCAAGAGAAAATTTGCATTCTGAATCTGAGGATACATTCAGAACGGACGTTGATGCAAAACCTGAGCTTAAGCAGCAAAATGCGTACCTAACTCGTCTTGTGTCTATGCATCCAGCTATCCCCCCAGCTATTCCTAGTATGTTTCCCATATCTCAGGAAGAAAAGAAGACAGAAAATCCAGGAAGAACAAAGAATGTTTACATCCGTGGTCTTCCTCCTACTACAAGCGATGAAACTTTACTACTGTACTGCAACCGATTTGGTAAGGTTACGAGTAGTAAGGCCATTATTGATGTTAATAACAACATGTGTAAGGGCTTTGGATTTGCCTGCTTTGAAGAACTCAAATCTGCCTCGTTATGCATATCTGCTATGACCTTATGTGGTTATCAATGCTCGTTTGCTAAAGAGAGTTTCAGCGCGAGATTACAAAACCTACAGGATAAGGAAAGTACAAATCTGTATGTTTCCAATCTTCCTCTCCATTGGAATGAAGATGATATTAGTAATCTCTTCAAACCGCATAGAATTGTATCGAATCGTGTGCTTCGTGATTCCAAGAATCAATCGCGAGGAGTTGGTTTTGCTCGTATGCAGGATCGTTATGTGGCTGAGGAAATCATTGAATGTTTCAATGATTATTGCATTGACCCGAATTTACCTCCTTTACAAATCCGTTTTGCTGATTCTGCTGAGCAAAAGAAGTTTAAAGGTCAAACCCAGAAGAGACGTATGTGGCGTGCACGTGAATATAATGTTCTTACCAAGAGTATTTCTGCTTTAAATGATGCATATACAAAGTTAGACCGGACAGAAGCATCATCCGTGTCTATGGTTCCTAAGATGAATTTGTATATGCCTGTAGACAATAATGTCTATGCCAGCAGTCCTGTTTATGACAATTATACCTGGCAGAACATGTATCCTCCAGCTTCTGCATACCCAGTGAATCCTGAGACTTCAATACCTAAGGTAGCTTACTCTGGGTATAAAGTGCAGAACAATGTAGGTGCTGCAGGCGTTAATTAAACTGATAAAAGCGTCGTTCATTAACCTAACCTTTGCTAACCTAACGAATGTATGAAACTGAAAACGTGAATCTGAAACCGAATGAACCTTGAAATCTATAAATAGTCTTATTTGATTTCAAATTTATTATAAACTAAGGAATATATGATGAGTCTTATATAGTGGTAATTAAATTAATAATATACAGTAACTAATGGTTAGAGATTTGGCGTCTTATTAAGTAAACCCATAAGAGTAAAGTTACATGTGTCAGATCCTTGTCCATGTTGTAAAAAGAGTAGAGTACTTTAAGTCAAAATTAAGAAAGGAATGACTGAAATTCTTGTTTTATATCCCAACCATCCGAAACGGCTTTACCACGGCGAACAGCCACCTTATTGAGAGTATCGCTTATAACATTTTTTGTAACGTGAGGAAAAAGTTGTCGTAAATGTTCAGTTAAAAGGATCTTGTTTTCGTGAGATTTAGTGATGTAGCCTAGGAAATTTGGTAAGTCCTCGGAAGGTAATTTTACTTTTAAGCTTGAAGGAGAAGTTTCTTGAGTAGAAGTAGAAACTGACACTTCAGATGAACGTCCCCGGGGAGCCCAATAATCTTTGTGAGGGTCGATACGAAAACTAGAGGAGGTAGAGAAAGGGGTTATAGGGTCTAGCAAAGATATACATGAAAATTCAGAGAGAAAATTAGAATCCCAGCACGGTCCTTCAACAATGGGCTGCAAGGGACCAACCAATACATTAACTTTTGCAGAAGAAACACTTTCTTTATCATTATCGTCATCGACAAAGCCAGCGTCCGCCTCATCCAAATTGTCATCAGAATTATCGAGCTCATCATCTTCACTATCCAGATCTTCCCCTTCTTCATCATCAGCAACCCATTCAGCTTCGGAATCATAGCCATAGTCTATAGTGCTGTCTTCAAGCCACGGATTCACGTTTATGTCTTCCTCTGTGTGCTTCTTGGTAAACGTTCCAAAATAAGGAGGACGAATGTCTTCAGAAAAATATATAAGTTTTATGGGGGCTTTGGAGACCTGCTGTAGAATCTCTTCTGGATTACTGGTATTTGGATCCTGGAATCTTTCCATACACTGTTTTACCCACTGAGATTGGAGACCTTTCGGCGATTCTACAAAAGATGGTTCATTTGTTGGGTGGGAAGAGTGAACAGAGGAAAGTAACTTTTCTAATGTTAATGAATGATCAGAGGTAGAAGTTAATAGCTTATCTAACTGATCAAATGAATATCCACAGGGAGGAAATTTTGCAAACGCAGTTTGGCTTTTTAAGAAAAAAGGACGAAACGTCTTTTCAAAATCAGTAGCTGGTTGCTCCTGTTCTTTCAAGGGGGGATTTTTGTTAGATGACTTCCCTTTAGAGAAGAAATTATTCAATTTGAGCTGCTGCTTTTCTTTGCTAGCGGACTGTTCCTGTTTAATACGCAGTGCTTCTTCCTTTTCTCTTTGCTTTTGATCTCGTTCCTCTTTTTTCTTCTGCTGCTCAAGGTCCTTCTCCATTTTTTCTAGTTCACGCTTCTTCTTCGCAGCTAACCGTTCTTCTTCTCTCTGCTTTTTTTCTGTCTCGCGTTGCTCTCGATCTCGCTCACGACGGAGACGATCTTCTTCTTTTTTTCTGGCCTTCTCTTCTTGCATCCTTTGTCTTTCTAGCTTCCGTGCATTGGTAACTTCTGTGGATTCTGTATTCGTACGCTTTCGTTTGCCAGACTTTATTAAGGCCGCATCTTCTGAAAGAGGTAAATCCTCGGCCTCTATACTAGACTTCAAATTATCATTTTCACTTTTATATGCGCTTGCAAAACCGTTCTCAGTAGTAATTGGTTCATTCTGTGAATCCCGACCAGTAAATTCACATTTACTTGATATATTCTCGTCAATGTCCATGAACGCTTGCTTTCAGCAATAAATAAAAAGAAAGAGTATACGCTATAAAAAAAATTCGGTCTGCTGCTTTTAACACCTTCTTTCTGCGCTTATGTGCCTTCTCCAAGGAGATATGGTAGTGTTTTAAACCATCACCATTCTCTTAGCTGCAGGTACCCTAAATGAAGCTCGAAAAAAGAAGATGTTTAAGGTACTAGTTTTCTTTTATTACTAGTATAATTAATAGAAAAATATACTTACTCACTTTGTTACAGCCTAATCTATAGTTTGTTTACTAAGGAACCCTAACGCAGACTTGGTAGCAGAATATATAGATATAACAAAAATTCAGTTGACTGAATACTAATAGAAAAATAAGTTTTAATTTCATTTATTTATTACTCATTCAAAAGTTGAACGGATTAACGAATCTTACCGCGACGACCACACACGCGTTTCTTGGTATAGGTATAGAGCGCGCGTCGCAGCCGACGCACTTTTCCTTAACCAAAACCTTGATGGGACGTCTTTTGCGATTAGAAGTGGAAAATTTTAAGTCCTATAGAGGATGTCAAACGATAGGACCCTTTGAAGATTTCACATCAGTCATTGGACCGAATGGCTCAGGAAAATCGAATTTGATGGATGCCATCTCTTTCGTTTTAGGTGTGAAATCTTCCCATTTGAGATCATCAAATATTCGCGAGCTTATTTATAGAGGAAGAGTTATGAATAGTCAAGGATCTGCTTCTTTCGACGATTCTGAAACTCCACGTAGCGCATATGTAAAACTGGTATATGAACTAGATGACGGTGAAGAACGCGAATACAAACGCGTTATTACTCCTAATGGAGGTACTGAATACAGAATAAATGATAAACCTACTCAATTTTCGGAGTATTGCAAGTCTTTAGAAGAACAGAATATTCTAGTTCGAGCCAGGAACTTCTTAGTTTTCCAAGGGGACGTTGAAGCGATAGCTTCGCAGTCTCCCGCTGATCTTTCACGTTTAATAGAACAAATATGTGGTTCTTTAGAATATAAAGGTGATTATGAAAAGTATAAACAAGAGCAAAATTATGCCGTTAATCTCTCAGCGCATTCGTTCAACAAGAAAAGAGGCATAAATGCTGAAATTAAACAATATCAAGAGCAGAAAGCCGAGGCCGAAATTTATGAAAGTAGGAAAGAACAAAGAGATATTGCTTCGTTAATATTTCTATTATGGAAAATGTACCACATTGAAAAAAGCATTGATTCCAATAGAAAAGATATTGAGAACTTTAAAAACTCTGCTAACGAACTCACCAAACGTCAAGAAACGTCTTCGGCTAAAGTTGATTCTTTGCGAGAACAAGAAGGTGCAATTCATAGACAACTACTTTTATTTGATAGAAATGTTTGTAAGCAGGAAAAGTTTATTGCGTCTAAGCGACCAGAATTAATTTCCCTTGCTGAAAAAGCATCAGAATCAAGTGTGAATTTACAAAAAATTCAAAGAAAAGTTGGCGAAGTTGAAAAAGACTATGCTTCTCAATCTAGTACTTTACAAATGCTAGAGAATCAACTTGCATCACTAATTGTAGCTGAAGAACAACTGACTCGAAATATTCACGAGCGTGAAGAACAACGTGGCCATAAGCTTTCTCCCGAAGATCAGAAGGACTATGATAACTTGCGCAATCAAGCGGATTTGCAAAACTCGAAGACTCTTACTCAACTTCAATCATTAAACCGTAAAGTGAAAGTTGCATCCCAAGCTAAGAATGCACTAGCGGAAATAGTTGAAGATTTGAAAACAAGGAAGTTGCAATTTAAGGAATTGATTAATAGCTTAATAGAAGAGAAAGATGCTCTGATAGCTGAGGTCAATCGCCGAATTGAGGAATTGGAGTCTGTTCGTCAATCCATACAGCAAAAACGTGCGAATTACTCTCACTATTGCCAGCAAGAACGGGATCTCAATGATGAGCTACACACTTGTTTACAGAAGCTACTTGAAGCCAACGCTGATAGAAATGAATCAAATCAAGATATTAAGAAACGAGAAGCGCTTTACGCACTAAAGCGCATATATCCTGGAGTCAAAGGAAGAGTTATTGATTTATGTAGCCCTACACAAAAGAAGTACGAGAGTGCTCTCATTGCTGCTTTAGGTAAAAACTTCGACGCCATAGTGGTTGGATCACAAGCTACTGCGAAGGAATGTATTGATTACATTAGGGAGCAGCGCATTGGCGTAATGACTTTCCTTCCAATGGACACGGTTGCTGTCAAACCCGTAAACCAAAGTTTTCGTGGAACGCACGCAGGCGCTCGCTTGGCCATTGATGTCGTAAACTTTGAGCCTCAGTACGAGCGTGTCATCGTAAGTGCCCTGGGAAATACGTTAATTTGTGATAATTTGAATATTGCCCGAGATTTATCTTACAGTAAACATGCCAACGCTAAGACAGTTACCTTGGAGGGTACCGTAATCCATAAGACTGGATTGATTACTGGTGGATCTTCTAATACAAGATCGGCGAAACGTTGGGATGATCGTGAAATCGAACAGCTCAAGCAAACTCAAAATAATTTAATGGCACAAATTGATAGAATACAGAGCGAAAAATTGGCGTCTTTGGTCGTAGAGCAAGATACAATTAATTTACACAATCTTGAATCTGAGCTATCTTTAGTGAAGGAAAGCTTGAACGTTAAATTGAGGTCCTTAGAAGACAAACAAAAAGAGTTAGATTATTTTAATGGACTTTACGGACAAAAGAAACCAGAACTGGAGTCTTCTGAACGAGAGTTGTCGGAGATGGAAGAATCTCAAGCTAAGCAACTTCAACAGATCCATATAGTTGAAGACAAAGTCTTCGCGAACTTTTGTAAAAGAACGAAAATTACAAATATTCGATCGTATGAAGAATTACAAAGGTCTTTTACTCAGCAATACTCTCAAAAGCAAATTGAGTTTGCTAATCAGAAGGCTTTGCTAGAAAACCGTATAGGCTTTGAGAGACAAAGAACTTCCGATATTGAAGTTCGATTAAATAGATTGAAAGATTTTATTCGCAAGGACGAGCAATCGATCAAGGATTATGAACAAAAACACGAAGCTTTGGAAACAGAAGTGGCCACGGCTGAAGCCGAATTAGACCTACTAAGAGAGGAATACTCCGAAACGAGATCTAAAAATGATGAAGTTTTGCGAACGATATCACAACACAAGTTAGAAAGCAAGCGCTTCCTTGCTGAAATTACAAAGCTTAAGAATGATGTGACTCTTACCGAATCAGAAATAGAACGCTTTGCTTCAGATTGGCATGCAATTGTGAGAAAATGTAAACTTGAAGACATCTCCCTTCCGTTATCTAGTGGATCATTATCCAACATTCCTATTGATGACTTTGGAACCGAAACTGAAACAATGGACATCGACAGCAGTGATCAAAATGTACAAGCTACTTTTAATAAATTTGGCATTGAGGTAGATTATGATGAGCTGGATGATGAGTTAAAGGAGGATGGTTCCGAGAGTATGGGTGCTGTACTTCAGGAAAAGTTACGTGAATACAATGAGGAGCTTGAAAAAATGTCACCAAATATGAAAGCAATGGAAAGATTAGAAATTGTCGAGCAACGGCTATCACGATTAGATGATGAGTTTGGAGATGCCCGAAAGTCGGCGAAAGACGCCAAAGAACGATTTAACAAAGTCAAAGAGCAGCGTCTAAAAAAATTTTACGAGGCATTTAATCATATTTCTGAACAGATTGACCCCATATATAAGGAATTGACGAAGAGTCCAGCTTTTCCACTTGGTGGTACCGGATATTTGACCCTCGACGATTCTGATGAGCCATACTTGGGCGGTGTTAGATTCCATGCTATGCCTCCGATGAAGAGATTTCGGGATATGGATCAATTATCGGGAGGTGAGAAAACAATGGCTGCTTTGGCTTTACTGTTCGCAATTCATTCATATCAGCCTGCACCATTTTTCGTACTTGACGAAATTGATGCAGCGTTAGACCAAACCAATGTCTCCAAAATTGCCAATTATATTCGTCAACATGCCTCGAGCGGTTTTCAGTTTGTTGTAATATCTTTGAAAAATCAGCTATTTAGCAAATCTGAAGCCTTAGTAGGAATTTACCGCGATCAGGAGCAGAACTCTTCTAAAACACTTTCTATTAATGTAAGTTTTCTTACTTATTAAATTGCGTTTACTAACATTGTAACAGTTGGAAGCTTATGCCCAATAATTTATTCATATGTTCTTAAAACCCTTTCGCATATTATATGTTTATGACAGCTTTTCGAGATGATTATTTATGGGATATGTTGCTGTAGTATGATTTTTACTTGCTAAGAACGATGCAAGATTGTAACTACTTCATACTGTGGAGCATAGATGCTGCACTCTTTACCTGGTTTCTTTTAATTATTTTAGGGATAATTGGTTTTGTAATACATATCTTTACTACGTACAGCAATACGAAAGGCAATGCTTTATTTAATAAGATATCTTTATTATATATTTTTTATTTAACTCCAATTCTGTTTTATTTTGTCAATTAAACTAAGGCCATTTACCGTATCCGAATGTGTCAGTATTTCCTAAATGTTGTCGTTTGAGGGATCGAGAAAGAGAGTAAGAACCATCCTTGTCACTCTTTTCTATCTACGGCGGATGCTCCTCGTACTATGGGAATTAAGGGACTATTAGGATTTTTAAAGTCCTCTCAAACTCCCTCCCACGTAGAGGAGTTCTCAGGTAAAACATTGGGGGTTGATGGTTATGTTTGGCTACACAAAGGTGTGTTTACATGTGCCCACGAATTAGCATTGCAAAAAGACACAGATAAATATATCAAATATGCTGTCCATCAAGCTTTGATGCTTCAGTACTATGGTGTAAAACCAATTATTGTCTTCGATGGAGGACCGTTACCTTGCAAAGCACCTACTGAGCAAAAACGGAAAGAGCGTCGAGAGGAAGCTTTCAAATATGCGAAGCAATTATGGGATGAAGGAAAGAAAAGCCAAGCATTTGCGCAGTTCTCCCACTGCGTTGATGTTACACCTGAAATGGCTGCAAAAGTAATAGCTGCACTGAAGGAGCACGGAATCTTATCCATCGTAGCACCATACGAAGCAGATTCTCAACTTGTGTATTTGGAGAAAGAAAAGATTATTGATGGGATTATCACAGAGGACTCAGACATGCTTGTTTTCGGAGCAAAACGGGTTCTCTTCAAAATGGATAGTTTCGGAAACTGTGTTAAGATACAGCGTGAGGACCTTTTTAAAAAACAGGAAGTAGATTTGAGGCTTCTTTCTGATGAAAAATTTCGACATATGTCAATTTTATCTGGATGTGATTATACAGACGGTATCGCTGGGATGGGTTTGAAAACTGCTCTACGTTATATCCTTCGATACCAGGATCCTCGTGCTGCTATCCGTGCGATGCGCCTCGACAAAAGCCTAAAAGTGCCAATTGCTTTTGAGAAAGAATTCTTATTAGCAGACCTTGCTTTTCTGCATCAGAGGGTTTATTGTCCTAAATTAAAACGTCTAGTGCATTTGTCACCAATTACGAGAGAAATGACTCCTGAAGAAGACTCCTATATTGGTCCTGATATCGAAGACCAACTAGCAATTGCAATTGCCGAGGGTAGACTAGATCCAGTGACTAAGATCGCTTTCACCACAAAGGACTCGTTGACAAACAACGGTCTTCACCAACAAGAGTCTAATGCTGAATCTACGAAGAGAAAGGGTATTACGAAGACGGACATTTCTACCTTCTTTATGGGAACTCGACCACCAAACAAGCGTCCCAAAAGAATTTCTAGTATGAACTGCATTCCCAGTCAAGAAAAGCCATCGAACAAATTCATAACTCCTCAAAAACAACAGTTACTAGTTACTGTACAGAACAATGAAAACGAAGTTGACCACGTTATATCCCCCCAAAAGGAATCACTGTCACAGACGAAGACTTCCTCAGAGCCAAGGCGGTTTGAGAAATCCTTGTCAGACGTTAGTCATTTGGTGAGAAAAACTGAAAACATTCCACCGTTTTCTGCACCAGGCGGGACTAGCAAGTATTTTTCCCAGAAGAAGCCTGATAAAGTAAGTGATGATAATGAGAAGTCTGAAAATATTGAAAAGGAGAATGTTTCAAATACTTCGCCTTCGCCAGCCCCCAAAAACTGGTTTTCTTCGTTCTCTTACAATTCAGCTGCATCACGCCCAACAACACCGTTAGGCAAAATTGGCCAGGATGCTTTAAAGCGAAGGCCTGGTCGTTCATTACCTTTACTTTCGAAATCAACAATGTCTTCAAAGCCATCTTCCCACTCATTAACTGAACGCCCTAAAGGGGTTTTGTCATTGCAGCATTATAAGTTTCGCTGATAGTGATTTTACTAGCTATTTATCTTCATTTTTTATGTCTAGCGTATTAGAATCTACATTGTCATTCTTTTATATAGTTTACTGAATTTCCATATATTTAATTGTCATTTTCTTTTTATTTTATTTTATAGAAAGATACTATCACTTTCTGTGAAGTTGACTTCATGTATTTTTCCCATCTAAGCACTTGGATATTTCAGAAAGGTTGTACATTATGAAACTCCTAACTTTTGTAAAGCAGAAGAGATCGGAGACTCGTCAAGATAGGGATTTGAGGATGCTAATTGACACGCCTCATGTATTCTGCCCGATTGTATAAGGAAAGCTAAAAGAGTATTAAGGTATAATGGTTCCTTTTTTGCGTTTAAAACGGAGATCATAATATCAATTTCTTCTTCAACTAAAGGAAGTGAAACGATTAACTTGCAAGAATCTTTATCATTAGAGTCCAAAACAACATAAAGAAGTTTTTCCCACAAGACAAGAGGATGTATGGATTTTTTCTATTACTTGTTAGCATATATTTGTAAATAACAATCGTTATACCATAAAATGAAACGCGCTCAGAAAACTAACTCTTGCAAGAGCAAGGGTGTAACACTCTTGCTTTCTAAACGTATCTAAAGGTGGATTCACAAACATTATAAAGCGAATCATCTGAAAAAACTTATCATGACGGTAAAATGTCTCTAGAATCTTGTCAGGGAAATTAGGCAATACATCCGGCTGTAAAAAGTGATCAAGCGCTTCCTAAATTTGTTAATTCATTATCGAAACGAAAAATAAATACTAAGTTAGAAGTTAATATGTCTAGCATACCTCAAAATTTAAATGATCTAAAGCATAATAACCATCTATTAAATGACGGAAATTATAAGGCAATAGTATTTGATCAGCGTATGTTTCACTTTTTCCCCAATCTTTTAGTAAGTAATAATAAAAGCACTGCTGCTTAAGTTCGTCGATATTAGAAGAGTCAATAATTAAGAACAAGTTTTTTAAATCACTCATAGAGGACGGCGGATAACAACCTTCTGGTTCTTTCATAGCATCAATAAAAAAGAATAAAACATCAAAAAAGAGCTGATGGTCTACATGGTTTTGTCTCAATGACTTAATGTTTAGCCTGACATCTTGGTTGTATGGAAAATCTTCAGGTCTTATGCTGAACAATCCTATAAATTTATCAAATTGTGTTTCATCTAGTTCCATGCTTTCTAGTATTCAAAAATGAACAACAACTTCGCTAAAATGAAGCGTTGGAAGACTGTGAAGGTGGTCTCGGAGGGATATCTTCCTTCTCACCAATACCACCTTCCTACACCCAAGGTATGCTATGGTCTCCCGCGTCAGTTCTCGTGAACGACCAAGGCCTTTAGTATCAGAATCAATTATTGATGCTCCCAGTCAGCGATTCTACGCCATTGGCGTACTCATAGCGCTTCAAGCATACAAAATCTACGATCTTTTCAAGTTAGCAACTAGTAGTTATTTAGATGGTTCTAAGACAAGTTTCTTAGTAAAATGGATATTGATAGATGCATTATATTTGCAAATTTTACCTCGTTTTCGTATACCCTGGCTTTCGTTTCAGCCAACTACTACGATATTGCAGATTGTTGCTTTTGCTACACTTAACCTGTTGCTAATTTCCATATCAAGCTTACGAGTAGTGACTCTTGGAAGCCTTGTTTTTCCATATTGGAGAGAAAAAGAATACGCAATCGCAGAGCATAAAATTAATCCTAGATCTGTGCTTCACAACTCTTCAAGGATTTTGGGCCAATATACTGTTCAGATCCTTCCAGAGGGAACTGCAAAGTTAAACCCTAATAATCAACACTTTTGTTTGCCTGAAAATGACAAAAACAAGTTTGTGGAATTCGCTATTCAATTTAATTCGACCACCCCCAAATCTATCGTGTACTCCCATAGAGACTTCTCCTCTGATATAGAAAGCGAAGTCGAACTTTCTGGTCGTGCATTGAAAAGGCTTGTCTCGACGGAGAATCCTAAAGACCCACGTTTACAGACTATTTATATCAAAGCAAACAAACACGGTTTGTATAAACTTAAAAAAGTGATCGACAAATCCAATTTGTCTGTTCGGGTTGTACGCTCTGAAGCCGTGGTAGTTAGTTGCCCTTCGGCAGCTTTTACTTCATCTAAATTAAATGAGCATGCTCATGAAAAATGTGTCGGTGACGAAAATTCGATCGGGTTAGATGTAATCGGTGTACCGCCCTTAAAACTTTCCTACAAAACATGGGATGGAAAACAATTTAACACCTACTCTATTGATTCGGTTGTTCCAAAAGATTACCGTTTACATCCTCTAATGCTCTCAAGCAACCCTAAAGACATTGCTTTCTATAAAGGTTTGGATGTGGAATATGCGAAGTCATCTGAAGTTCAAATTCCTATTAGTGCCCCGTTAGACACTTATGGGGAGTGGCTATATGCAATTGAAAATGTCACTGATGTTTTTGGAAATACTTACTTCTTTCCTTCTGTTGAGGATTCTTTTGCAAAGTATTCCATTAATGAACATCAATCTGTCCAAATACCTAGTCACACTTACAAGGTTCAAGTCCATCAGAGACCTGAAGTTAAATTCCGCGAATGTTCACTTGAAAATCCAGCCAATCTCTTTCCAGGAAAAGATGTTTCTTTGTCAATCGCTACTTCTTATAACTTAGCAGATGACTTGCAGATTTCACTCAGCCGATATGATTTAGGTCTAGATCCACAAAATTTGACAGTCGCTCCCAGTTCTCAAGATACTTATAAGTTAGAAACTCATTCGTCTTCTGTAAAAGTCAAAGAAACTGGCATATATGTGCTTTCTGGAATTTCTTCGAAATACTGCTCTGGAGATGTTTTAGTGCCAAATACCTGTCTGGTTGTGACACCACCAGAAACCAAGCTACATGTCGGTTTTGAAGAAATTTCGGATCAGTGCGCCGGTTCAATAGGTGCACGTGCCGATCTTGAGTTTGAAGGAACGCCTCCGTTTAAGGTTGCTTATAGGATGATTAAAGACAGCAAAGCTTCTCGTGTGCAGTATATCACTACTGATCGTACTCGTTATCAACTGAACTTTACTCCAAAAAAGTCAGGAAAATACAAATATGTTATTTTAGGAGTTGAAGATGCAAACTATGGGTATAAAGAACTTACTGGTTCAGCTTACAATAAAGAACAAACTGTTTTTCCTTTGGCTGATGCTACATTTGAAGAAAATACAAATGGAGAAATGAGCTCAATTGTTAAGAGCTGCTGTATTGGTGATACTATGAAGATTCCTGTCTCCTTAGTTGGGACTTCTCCTTGGAAGCTTGAGTATGAAATCCTTAGAAATAACAAACGTGAAAGCATTCAAGTTGTTGAGTCTAAGAATCAACGATATATGATAGAGACTCCACAACTTATACATGGCTCCCAGTATACAATTACGCTTGTAAGCGTTGAAGATGCAAATGGTTGTAAGAGGGCTTTGAATACTGCAGATACGATAATTAAAGTACGTCGCCAAAGACCTACTGCCACTTTTTATTCCTCTGATGGAAATTATCGTTTAGAGTCTGTGCAAGATTCCATGCTGTCAATTCCTTTACGACTTGCCGGCGAACAGCCCTGGTATATTGAATATGACCATGTGTCACCTGATGGTCAACCTACCCGACGTCAAGCAATTTTCAGTGACCCCAATAGCCACCTTAACGTTAATAAAGCAGGAACTTACTCGCTAATTTCTGTAAGGGATAGTTCTTGCCCAGGTACTATTCAAAATCCTTTACAATCGTATGAAGTTGGGTGGCTTCCTAAGCCTTCTTTGTCTATGCCATTGAAGCCTTCCCGGAAGACTTCACATGTCTATGACTACGAACTGGAACCTGTTTGTGCTGGTGAAGGTAGTGCATTCGACATTGAGCTTAGTGGAGCTAGTCCTTATCTACTTGAATACGAAAAATCTCTAGTGGATGAAAATGGCAAACGCCAATCTGCTCAACGATCAGAAGTATCTACTATGCAAAATGGCATTCTATTAAAGACGGACACATCACACTTTGGTACGTATACATATGAATTCCTTCGACTATCGGACGCATTGTACGACAAGGTGGAGGCACGTACGGTCGATGAATCAGGTTTACACAAATTGATAATTCACCAAAAGGTGAATAAATTACCCCTAGCTTCGTTTGTTGAGTCTAATAAGCTTTATACGTTCTGTATACATTCAGACAGCAACTATCTAGATGAACAACAGATTGGTGTTAGGCTGAATGGAAAGGGGCCATTTGCTATGGATTTTGAAATTAAAAATGAAATGACGGGAGCTGTGAATAAAATTACAGTGAATGAAGTATATGGACCGGTTTACAAGTTTATATTTCCCAAAGATCAATTAACACTTGGAAAACATACAGTGCGCTTACTTCATGTACGTGATGCTAATGGATGTCAATCAAGCATTCCTAAGGAAGATCCTACTGTAACGGTTAGTGTTGCAGAAAAAGCTTCTATGGTCCCCATAGAATCTCATGACTACTTTTGTGTGGGTGATCGCCTTTCTTACGCTTTGCAAGGAGTACCGCCATTTGAGATTAATTATGAGTTCAATGGCAACAAAAAACACGCAAAGAGTAACCAGCACATTTTTACAAGAATAGCCGAGTTCCCTGGTTTGGTTACCATGAAGTCGATATCGGATCATGGTAGTCCTTGCCGTGCAGAACTTGATCCCCCAATTCAAAATCGAGTATACGATATTCCTACAGTAAGGGTCAGTGACGGTGGAGAGATAATTGAAAACATTCATGAAGGCGATCAGGCCGAAATTTCGTTCCACTTCACAGGTACACCTCCCTTTTCTTTTACATATTGTCGAAAAGCCATAGGAAGGAAAGGACCTGGCAAAATTTTGGAAATGCACACAATCACTGGAATTTATGATTACGAATATAAGGTATTAAGTTCAACGGAAGGTGTCTATACAGTGTTAAGCGTCCAAGACAAGTACTGTCGCTATCCTCGTGATTCATCTCCCTTGAGTACATAAATAAAAGCAAAGTTGTCTTTTAAAAGAAACTTTGATTTGGGAAATGGTAGTATACTATGATATAGACATGAAATAAAAAAATTGAATTTGTTATTTCTCATGTGTTTTCTGTTTTCAGCAAAATAATTGTTGTCTGATTCTGATTCTGATTTTTCACAAGCAACCTACATGATTTAATATAAGCTCTGTTCTTTCAAAGAAACGAAAACTTGACGATAGCAATAATAATAGCTAGAAATGTATAGAACTATCTACAATTATGATGATTCTATGAAGCAAGTAAGTACCATATAATGAAATAATTGTTTCTTAGTGGAATCATCAAGCACAACCGAAACTCCTTTATGAAACTCTTTAAGATTCACTGTACCCTTGTTCATAAAATAATAACTTCTACAACATAACAAAGTGGTTTGGTTTTTCATGAAAGGAAAACATTATTAGAATTCTTTATTTACTATATTCTTTGAAGGTGTACATACAGGGAAGACTCAATCGACGCTGTTATGTTACATTTTACATATGTGGCCCAAGTTAGTTTCAACTAATACGTCCTTTTCCCAGAAGGGATTTTAGTGTTATTGTTCTTCAAACAGTATGCATTCTTTGTTCTTCCGAAGGTGACGGCATCGTGAATTATCGAAACCGTTACGGAGTTCCGAAGTTTCCGTTCTCAAAATTTATATATAAACGGAAAGAACGAATACACCAAATACGAAACCCTCTACGGTACCAAAAAGAGAATTGTTACCAATACCATTGGAATTGGTAATTTATCTATTTCACATGAAACGGTGAACCGAAAACCAAATTTAATACCTATTGACTTTCTTTTTATTTGTCATTTTTTTCTGCAACATTCCTTTAATATTTATCTTGTTCGAACGTTCGAACGAAAAAATCTCTTTTAAAAATTTCGAAATTGTTTCTGATTTCCTTCCTTCTGGATATCTAAAATAACTCTACACTAGAAAATATCCTTTGTTGTTTGTTCTTGTTCTCTTTCCTTTCCTTTATACCAGTTTGTCTTACTTGTGTTCATTCCATTTCGTTTTACAATTTCATCGTTATGCATTTCCTTCATTTAGCTCTTTCTCTTTTGACTGCTTCAACAACTGTCTTTGCCCTTGAGCCTTTGACCGTCAAAGGAAGAAAGTTCTTCCAAAATGATACCCAATTTTATATTAAGGGTGTCGCCTACCAACCTAAGGTGAATGCCGAATTCACCACTACAGTAATTGACCCTCTAGCTGATGCTGCCAACAAGAATTGCAGTGAGGACGCCAAGTTGATTCGCAATCTTGGTGCTAACACAATTCGCGTATACTCCGTGAACGCTAGTTTGGACCATGACAAATGTATGAACGCTTTCAAGAATGAAAGTATCTACGTCTTTTTGGATGTGGCCAACCCCTCAACCGGTATTGATCGTACTGATCCTACTTGGACCACAACTCAGTACGATGCTTACAAACAAGTTGTTGATGTTTTTTCGAAATACAACAACACTGCTGGATTTCTTGCCGGGAACGAAGTCGTTAACAATGCTAGTAATGTGCCTTCTGCTGCTTATGTCCGCTCTGCCATCCGTGATTTAAAGTCCTACATTAAGTCTAAAAAATACCGCAGCATTCCTGTCGGTTATGCCGGTGCCGATATTCCAGATATTCGCAATGAACTCGCTGCTTACTTAACTTGTAATGCTACCAATACCCCTCAGGACAATGCTACAGAGGCCGATTTTTTGGGTTATAATAATTATGAATGGTGTGGTAACTCCAACTTCTACGCTTCCGGTTATGCTGCTCGTACAAATGAGCTCCAAAACATCACTGTCCCCATCTTCTTTTCTGAATTTGGTTGCAATATCATCTCTCCACGTACCTTTTCTGAGGTCCAAGCAATTTACTCCAAAAACATGACCGACGTTTGGAGCGGTGGTATAGTATATGAATTCTCCGAAGAAGTAAATGGCTATGGGTTGGTTAACATAACCTCCACTGGTGAGCGTGTTAAAAATGCCGATTTTGGAAACTTGCAAAAACAATGGGCTAGTGTCAACCCCGAGAAGATGTCACTTCTTTCTTATAATACCTCCGACACTCGTCTTCCCGAATGCCCTGCCAGAAATAAGACTAGCTGGGCTGTCGCTTCTGATGCCTTCCCAATCACCCCCAATGCCACTTTCTGCGACGATGCTGTCAAAAACCTTCATTGCTCTGTGCAAGGTGAACCGAAAGGTTCTAAGATTGGTCAAGTCTTAGGCGAATTGTGCTACTATGACCAAGAAGCTTGTGCTGACATTAGCAGCGATCCCTACAACGGTCATTATGGAAAATTCTCTGGTTGCACTGGTAAACAACAACTAAGTTTCGCTTTGGATGCATACACCAAGCACCACGGAGATGAGGCTTGCAGCTGGGGTGGTGTTGGTGTCTTATCCTAGATTATTTTCAAAGTATGGGATTACAGTTAAAAACATAAAGTAGTCTTTTAATTACCGTTTTATTTTCTTTTGAGAGCTCATGCTTTGATATGCTACAATCAAAGTAAGTATTGTCCTTTAAGGAATAAAATATTCGTTAATTCCTCAATATCTGAGTGGGGGGTGTAATTAAGATAGTAGAGAAATGCTATGGCAGTATCATATGCATCTTTTCCTGCTTCATGCGAATTTTTTGTAATCATCATTATGCTATATGGTCCTCGATCAAGTGAAGACAAGCGAGAGCAAAGTCGGCTACTTTCTGTACTAAGGACTAAGACCTTCTCAACTAAAGCCTGCAAGTTGGAAGAGCCATTGTCTATGACATGCTGGAGATCTGGGGATTTTGAGTAAAGTACTTTGGTGTCGTGTACAGAACTAAACGAAGTATGAAGCAGACTTTTAAAATCATTATAGGTCTCTGGAAGAGTTCCTTCGAATACCGAAAATAAGTACATTAGATCAGCTAAACCATTGTGACATACTATCCTCTTTCTCTTTGAAAGCAAGTAATCCCAAAGTTTGCGAAACCCGACAGCCTCATCAAGTAACTGAACACTTTTTTCATAAAAAGTCCTTTTTCTGGAGTCTATGGAATCCGCTCCGGGATTCTGACGTTCTGAAGTGCGTGAATTGTGAGACTCAGACACACGAATTTGAACGAAGCTATTCTTTGATACGCTTTGGAGATCATTGTATTGAGATTCCACTAAGTTATGAACCGCTTTTTGATAATAACGGTTTGATGTATCCACATTTAAATAATTGCATGCTCCTTCCTTGCCTAATTCAGAACGCCATTTTTCAATTTGAGCTTTGGTTTCTCTCACCAATGATTGTGCGGTAGCATCAAGAGATATAAATTCCTTTTCTGGTTTAAATTTATGTTTTGTTAATTTGTAGAGATATGATTCTTCTGTTCTTGATAAGTAAGGTACACCCTTGTCAAGCTGCTTTTGAAAATCAAATCCATGTCGCAGAAGAAAAGCCAAAGTTGATGTTTCTATACAATAATCTCTTCGAAAAAATAGATTAGTATCTGTCAAAGGAGTGAGATTAAATGTGTACGGAGTACATGAAGCTAATCCATCCTTGGTAAAAGAAATGAAGGTTAATCCAATCTGGAGAATTGAATATTTCAAAGCACTTTCTCGAAGACCCTCAAACTGACCTATGAAGGATATGTAATTTTCGTTCATCGTTGAGTTTTGATTATCTTTGATTTTGCCTAATAATCCTGAAAATTCACAATCGATAGCAATATAAGCTGCATTTTCAATCTCATTTTGTAAACTACTAAATTCTCTCGCAAAATTATCACCATTGACCTCCATTGGTTTTCGTGTTTTGAAGCTTCTTGGTCATAAGCCAAAGCAAGAAACGAAAAATACGGTTTGAAAATGCTATTGGATTCGCTGATGCTTCAAGTAAGTCCCAGTTACTATAGCCGATATTACCAGAGATTATCATTTTAGTGTATGATGTACTCTTGGTGTGAAATGTCATTACTTTAGACTCAAAAAATAAAAAATAAAAAAAAATAAAAATAAAACGATAAGAAAAATTAAATTACTTTCATGTAATTGCCAAAACCAAGTAAGTTGGAGAGTGCTTTTGAAGAATCTTTCCCAAAGATTCTAAAACTTTATACATTAACTCAATTAAACAAAGACATATAAATAAAAGAAAACTGGTATAAAAATGAGTAAATTAGCCAAAAAGTAGAGTCAGGATGCGCTTATTACATGTCCATGTGCACTATCAGTCCATTAAGATTAAGATGGTGGACGAAAGCCTCGTGCCATAGCAGCCAAAGCAAGCTTAGATTTTGGTTTCTTTGATTTCTTAGATTTTTTATGACCATCATCCGGCTTTTTCTCTTCTTTAGGCTTTTTCAGCTTTTTACGATCAGCCTTGTCACCAAAATTATGTTCTCGTTTATTTGGTAGTTCATTTGAATCAACGGTCTCGTTTTGCTTTGTAATTTCCTTCTTTTCTTTAGACTGATCCTTCAACGTTCTTGAATTAACCACATCTGAGTTTACTACTTTGCCAGAACGTTTAGTTTGTTCCTTGTCCTTATTAAAGTTATTGGAACCAGAAGAAAAGGGTGCATTGACAATCTCCTGTTTTGATTCTGTATACGGAGTTATTGATGGCGAACGCTCGTTTCGTGGTAAGCTATCCGATTCTTCTTTAATAAGATCATCATCGACAATATTATGCTCTTTAGTCGACTTTACTTTTAACTTCTTAGGATCAGATTTCCAATGCAATAGTTGTTCGAAACTGACACGCATCCAGCAATTTCTTGTTTTGGCGTCCCCGATTAGGTTGCGAAAAACTTCATTCTGTAGTAAAGGTTCAGTACTTCCCACAATGTACAAAGAAGATCTTGCTCTAGTCAAAGCTACGTTCAAACGTCGTATGTCTTGCAAGAAACCTATACCATTTCCCATGGAGCTCCTGACGCAAGAAAAAATAATTATGTCTTTTTCTTGTCCTTGAAAACCGTCTACAGTATGTATGTCAAGGTATTTGAAAATAATGGATCCAAACTTTTTCTGGAATTGGTAGCGAAGCTCCTGAACCTGGCTTCGGTAAGGTGTAACGATACCAATCTTTCCTTCAAAATCAATATTCACAAAATTCTGTGAAAGTTTTTCGTATAGTAAAAGCACAAATGATGCTTCATCGGCGTTGTACAAGGATTTGGACCTTGATACAGACTCTTTACCAACGACATTGAAGAAACGGTAAACACCAAACAAGGCATCGTGATGCCAAGGACGATCTGCAACAGAAGTCATATTCGGTCCATCAATTAGTTTCGACTGATAAAAGTAATGACTAGGGAATTTGCTAATTTCCGGATGCATTCTATATTGGATACTAAGAAGATAAGCACTATCTGGATTCCTTTTAAACATACGAACATAAAGCGATTGATCATAACCATTTTTGGAAGCAGACTTTGAGAGCACAGTGGGTGGTAACTGGTTTGGATCTCCAACCATAATGCAGCTTTTACAATCAAATTTTAATGGAATAAGAGAGCTAAGCTCAACCGCTTGAGCAGCTTCATCTATAATTACCGTAGGAAAGCTTATGTTGGCATTCAGCAACGTTTCATGACCACTGGCTGACAATGTAGCACAAACTACGTCAGCATCCTGAAGGAGTTGTAATTGAATTTGTTTTTTAGCCAAATCCATACTCCTGTTGGCACTTTGATGTCTATTGCGCATTTCATCTAGGCTTTGTTCGAGGGCATTTTTTTGGCGTGTAACTTCTCTAAGCTTTAGTTCTAACGTAGAACTATCCTTGCCAGCTTGGCGAATTGAATCTATACTTTCCCTTAATTTGTTACGTTCCAAAAGTGTAGCGTCATGTTTTTTCCTGATCTCGCCCGAATCAGAAGATTCTTCATGTTTTTTTAAATTAGTAATCTCCATTTGTTTAGCCATTTGTTCTTCCAATGTAAACTCCTTTGCATGAACGTTGATCGATTCGGTGAAACCTATCCGAATTACTTTGGGCATAAATTTTATACCTTCATGGTCGTACACCCCGTCTTTTAAACGTAGTAAAATTTCATCAATCGCAGCGTTGCTAGGAGCGCAAACTAAAATTCTATTTTTCTGCTTTTGTTGAACAGGTTTCGATTGTCCAGGGGCAGAAAATCGTAAACCCTGACCTTTCGATGTTAAAATTGCACCAATCATTCCCAGAATAGTCTTGGTTTTACCTGTACCCGGTGGACCCTGTACAAGCGTAAAACCCTCTCTATTAGAAGCGGCTCTGATAGCTTTTGCTTGAGGTTCATTAGCACCATAACAGCCCATAATTTTTTTTAAGCCTTCATTGTCAGTGTTATCCAAAGATTTGCTTACATTTGCATTCAAAATGTCTCTGGAAAGACTAATAAAAGGGAGTGACTTTAGAGCAGAGTATTCACGCAGGCTGGTTGTGGCACTAAAAAGTTTCTGTAAGTAAAAATGAGCACCTGGAATCATTTCCTGAAGGGATTTTGCGTCAGAATTAACACGAATAAAGATATCGATGGATTCTTTTTTTCTTGTTATTGACTGGATTTTAGCAAGAATTGATATATCATCTTTTCCCGGTGAGGTAGGCTTGTTTGACTTGGATAACACGCATATGTCAGTATCACTAAGATACTGTAACTCAGTGATTGTTTTAGAGCTACATCCTATCTCAACGAAACTATCAACAGAGGTACGAGTATTTAAAGTCAATTCTAAAGGCGTATATTGGCTTTCTTCGATCGCTGCACGAATCTGAGCCCAACATTCGTTGAATAAGAAAGGCATAAAAACTTTTTCATAAGCTTCTGGGGATAAGTACGAAGTTTCTATACTCCGGCAACTTAAATTTTTTTTGTCCACATCTATCTCAAAATTGAGTAGAGGATTCCAGCTTAAAAGGATTCTGAAAAAACCTTGAATATCAGGAAACAACCTTTGACGGGAAGTATAAATGCTTTGATGAACTTCCCTGTGACGTTGTGCAGGATGTACAACATTGCTGGTCTTCAAGGAATTTATATCTAAAAGCTGCACTTGGCGACGCGGAGCATTTGCTTTGGTCTGATTAGAAGCATCACGCATTAAAGAGAAAAGCCCATTGTTTTCATTTTCCTTATTATTTGAATCTGAATCTGAATCCGAGTCAGATTCAGATTCGGTTTCGGCAGATACCTCATCTTTTGAAGTCAATTGTAAGTTGCGCTTAGGTTCTAAAGTTGGCCTTTTTATTGGAGCAATGGAATCCAATTTATTCAACGCCCTATGTGACTGTACCTCTGATAAATCTCCAACATTTAAATTAGCAGGTTTAGCCCCCACCTTTTGGATATAATTTCGCCGAGCAGGTTGCGTTTTCTCAACCGTATCTTTCTTTTTTTCAAGATTAGATAAAGTTTTTGATGAAAGGGTAAAATGGTTTGATGCCCCTTTATCAACATTTTCAAGAGCAGGCTTAGTATGAGACTGTTGGACTTTCGTGGAAGATTTTTCGCGTTGCTTGGGTTCTTCATCTATAACATAAATATTTGGACTGGTCGAAGCCGCACCTTCTAGATTTAATGTTTCTTCTGTAATCAAATTGAAAGGCTTTGTTTGTAAATGCTCAGGTAAGTATGGTGAAATGGCAAGAAATAAATCTTCACGTTCAGACAAAGCGAGAATTGTGGATCCATCCTCGGCTGTAGATGACTTTTGAATCATATCGACAGTATTTTGATTAATTGGGAGAGATAAATTATTGAATAACTTCAACATAGCACAAATAATTCTAACCACTGAAGACAACAAAGTTGAGTCGTTTAGCTTCAACCAATATGAAAGTGTGATAAAAGAATTCAATATCGAATTGGCTAAGGATTTCTTGGAATCATCGCTAGCTTCAGATTTGGAAAAGGACACTGAAATATCAATGCCACTTATGAACTCAGATACCTGATGAAAGCTTTTTAAAAGCATTTGGCAACAGTCTAATGAAACATGCATTATGTCAACAAGAACATCCTTCTCTTTTTTAACTGGCCAACTTGGCAGAGCAATAAAGAAATGGGCAAAGAATTTCCACAAATTGTCCCAGTATGCTTTTAAGGCATTACAATTTCCTTCATCTCTAAAGGAAATGCTGTAGCCATGTAACAAGCCATTTGAAGGGTCGAAAAGATAATTGATAAACAATTTTCCTTGATATATAATCCTCTTAACACTGTTGAAATTCCTGTACTTGATCCATTGTGAGTAAATATTTGACAGTGATTGAAGTGAATCGGAAAATCGACGTTTTGCTAATTTATCTATAGCATCGGCGGTATTTTCGGCGTCAGAAGTTAGATTCATTATAGTCCAAGCATTATTAGAAATATCGGAAACTGGGGAAAATAGAAATCCAACCAAACACGAATAATTGTACGGATTATCCAACAATGATTTCAAAGAAGAAAGATTCCAACGTTGAATAATTATTAGCATATTTGACAGGAACTGGTAAAATGAATCTACGGCTGCATCATAATCATTAGTTTCTGGTGAATCTAACCTGTCTATGAGATACATAGAGGAGATGGATCGCAAAATAGAATTAGTCAAACTTTGACTATGTTCAACGAGGAAAGAAAGTAACCTTTTCCAAAAAGTGGAGAAAGATCTCTTAGTAAAATTTAAATCTATGTTCATATACTTACGCTTTTGAACGTATTTTCGATAAGTATGTCGTAAAGCATAAACATCCACATTCAAACGATATTCAAAAGCTTTCTTAAAAGACTGTTGTTCAAAAGGACTCACGTAATCTTTTAAATTAGAGTAAAAGATATCAAAATTTGAGCAAATATTTGATTGCAAAGACTCCACGTACGCTTTTTGAGAATCGTCACTATGAGAAACAGTCTCAAAATATTCGTTAAAAAGTAGAGAATAGATCTCGCACACAGAATCAAAAAAAGGGTTACTCGAATACGCAATTCCTTCTGCTTCATTCAACGATACATTACACTTCTTGAGCAGTAATTCTACAATAGACATATGCTTTTCTAAAGATAGTGATTTTAGAAAAGATATGATCCAATCCATAGTTTGACTACTGCAGTCTTTATTTCCTTCTATCACCTGTTTCAGCAAGTCTTTATAAGCCATGTTGTCAAAAACCAAGCGTATAAGGTGAGAAGGTTCAAGATTCGAAGTTTGCCAAAATTTCGTTCTATAGCATCTTAACAAAGAATGTAGACAATTTAAGTACGATGGATATTGATTCAAGGGCGCCTTGTTCAAACCTCGTAAGACAAAGGCTACCGGTTCAAACCCATGCTTTCCCAAAGTGTCGAAATACTCAGAGGAAACACTATTAAGTAAAACTGAAAACCCATTCAAAAACCGTTCTAAAAAAACTTCGTCTGATGTACTGCCGTTTAGTGTGCGAATTTCTTGGAGGAAGGGCGCTTGAAGATTTAAAAACTCGTCCGCAGGAATGATGTCGGAACCATTGAGTATACCAAATGCCCATTTTCTCAAGGCATCATCGTTAGTAAATAAAAGATAAATGACACCCGGGACTAATTTTTTAGATAATCGAAGAAATCCGGCCTCCAAAAATCTCTTTCGAAATAGGGCAAAAAGTGTTTCGTTTTTTAAAAACTCGACATTATACAATATTTCATAGAAAGCACACAATATTGGTTTCGAAGAGCTGCTAGAATCAACCTTTATATTACTTTGTAAAACTTTCTTTAGTCTGGAAACATCCCACTGAAGTATCTTGTTAAGGACTATAGAAAGGGTATCTGAATCAAAGTTAAAGATATTAAGGCATATAGTCTTAAATTCATCAATTAACTGATGATAGCTCAGTATGCAGGAAGGGCAGGCTTGAAGACGTTCTCCAAGATGCTTTTTAAACCACGTCAAGAAATCGTTTTCATCCTGAAAAGAAAACAGGAAAAAACATTCTCGTACAGCAATTTTTGATCGTGAATCACAAACCCAGTGAGCATCTTGGCGTTTAACGTTCAAATACGATAGAGCTAGATGAAGAACTTTATTAGAACCCTTGAATGAAGGTGAATTTTGATTATCCTGAATTGATTGCTCTAGTTCTTGGAAGAGTTTCGAATCCTCCATAGCCGCAATGCTACTTGGGCATTATTTTTTAAAATGGTTAGCTGTAAATAAAACACGAGCAATAGCATAGAAAATGCGACACGACTTAATGGATCACACTGGACTACGGTAACTACATGAGAAACTAACTAATCATTAATCAAGAATTACAGAGTAAAAAAGCAGTGAAAGATATATCAGTGTTTAAAAAATAGTTATTATATTATTAAATAAAGCATTAAAATCGTTATGCAATGACTTGGTAGCATTTCCAAAATCGTAAATTGGCAAATCAAGAATTTTCGGCTTGTTTATCAAAAAGGAGACGAGCCAAACGTTTGTAATCTGCGAGTAGGGTATTGATTTCACTGATTTTTAGTTCAGAGGCATCGGACATGGTAAGAAACCTTTCAAGAGGTGGATCATCGATAGAGACGACATTGTCTGTCGATAAATTAGAGTTACGAAGAGCGTGTCCTGCTACTCTGTTAACAAAAGACGAGTAAGATTTTTCAAGAGCTATTCCCAAACCACGTAAGTTTGAAAGGGAAGACTTCTGCTCGTTATTTGCTTCGATGTCTGACGTAGCATTCTCGGAAGACGGAAGCTCTTCTTTGGTAGACGGCTCTACTGAGAGAGGATCATCTGCTGGTTGCATGGGACAGTGTGTCAACAAATTTGGACAAGCCCGAAGGACAAAAGAAAGTGCAGCTTCAAACGTCGTCAAGCAATATTTCTGTTCTCCAGACAAGTAGTCTGGGTTTCGAAAGCGTAAAACGAAATTTAAATGCGACAACAACTGTGATCCATGAAATGAAAGAATGCAAAAGATAGTAAGATTCAATAAATTATCAGCATTCAATTCCTCTTTTGGTAAATTAGAAGCTTCAATAATTTTTTCGTTAACATTCATGAAAATGTTCATTTTTAGCAAAGGTGTTTTTAGCCTGTTTAGAGTAAAAAAGGTTTCTGCAATGTTTTCAAGACGCTTTTTTACCTCTTCTTCAATTGGAAGACAGTTCAGCAAACCATTTTTTTCGTCTGAACAGGCAAATTTCTTGAGAAGATCATCTTTATTTTCATCGGTGCTTGTACTCAAACAAAAAAGCCTATATAAAACATTAGGATCAAATATAAGCCAAAAAAATGAAATAGCTTACCTATCATATAAATATTCGCAGGCAATGCCTTCAATGATATTCATCCATTCATCTTTTTGCTTTACAAGATGCTGCTTTGCCATCTTCTGGGTTTCCATTTCCTCGGGGGAAAGTAAAGGCACATCATGATTTGGAGATTCTGGATTAGGAATTAAAGTTGAAAGCATGAATTCATCTGCCTTCCTGTAAAAATTGTGAAAGGTGTTCGTTAAATCTTCAGGAGATAATAGTTGAGGATGAACTGGGCTCACCAGAGACGATATAAATTCTTTAACAAAGAATTGAACAGTCGCAGGAAGAACAGAAGCCCTTTCTGGAAGTTCAATGTCATCTGGTTTCTGTTTTACCGTATATTTTGATGCTCTCCAGGAGTTAAGAAAACTCATACCGTAATGAAATCAGCAATCGAAGATTCTGTTCTTAGCATATATATTGTTGTATATAATGTTAAACTTCCGAAACGTGAAGCAGGAGATATAGAAACTAACTGACCTGACCGCGTAGGTAATAAATAAGCAAGATAGGTATTCAAGTGAGTCTGTAACGAGAAAAGATGAATGAAAAGAAATTAAAAAGTATCTAAGTATCTTCACTTAGAGAGATTATACAAGTTTACGAATTTAAATCACAGGGAACCTGAAACAAAGTATGAGAGTCGGTATTAATGAAGAAGTACCTATTGCCGATGATCCTTTGAAAACTTATAGAATACAAGATAATATCATAGAAATGGAAGAGAAAACTAGTTTCTTTTCGTTCTTAACGTTTGAGATGGTATATGGCCAAGAGCATTCTTTGAACCCTCAACGCAATATCGCTATTTCTCGCATTATGAAATTGATGTAAACAAAGAAGCATCAAGAAAACCGTTTTTTTATATCTTCATTTACAGTAAGAGTTTATTCTATTAGATGATGAGTACGTGAATCCGCAATGAATTCTTATACCAACAAATGAGTGTCGAATCTACCATGTCTTGAATACTGGAGTTGTAGTCTAACCAAAAGTTTTGTTTGCTTTAACTAGTACCAAGTAAAAATTCCATCGTATTTCCATTTCTTGTCTAGGCTCAAAGAGAAGAGTTGAATATGACTTTTCAAAATATTATATTACTCTCTTCATTCATTCTACATTTATATGTTCCATCGTAATCTATAATAGAACGATCTTTGGATCTGATATGTTACCCTGGTAATCGATTATTTGAGAAAGGTCTTTCCTTGAGGAAAAGGAAATCCGTAAGGTAATTCCTCGTAATGGTCAATTCTCATTTACTGTTATCAAGAAGTTGGTCAGCCATCATCTATGTACAGCCCGTGTCAAGCGTCCTGTGAAACGATTTAAGAACAAGGCAAAATTCTCATATACTTAGTTCACTCTGACGATTATGTTTTAACAAATTTCTGCTCGAGTAAGGTAACGACTTTAGAGAAAAGCAGATAAAAAAAACGAAGAAGATATTATAATTATTAGAAAATATAGAACAATGTGTCTTCTGTATGTCGTTTCTATTCTTTTCCTAATAACCTGACTTCAATAATAAAATTTATCAGATCTCATAAGCTTCCATCTGTCGGTTCGATTACTTGAACTTTTACACATATCACGAAATATGGGAAATCCTAAGAAGAGAGCTGAAAAGGCCGAAGCCGCCAAAGGTAGAAAAGAAGAAACTGAATTAAAAAAGAAGGAAATCGAAGAGAATGAAAGATGGTCGAAAGGAGCGAAGAGTAATAATAAGAAGGAGCAAGAAGAGGAAAAACGACGACAGGCGGCTCAAAAGAAAGCAGAGCGTACTCGGCTTGAACAAGAAGAGATGGCTAGTATGCCATCGAAAGGTGGAAAAGGTAAAAAGGCCGGCGCTCGTAAAGATTTATCTCTAGACGCTTTTCTGGAAGAGCCTGCTCAACCCGCCTCATATAGCGCTCGTAACGTTGACGAGGCTTTGGATTTACTTAGCTTAGACTCTGGCTCTAAAGATAAAATTGATCGCCATCCGGAACGTCGCTTCAAGCCTGCGTTGAACGAATATAAAGAAACACGACTCCCTGAACTTCGTAAGGAAAGCCCTGGTCTTAGACTCAACCAATATGAAGATATCATGTATAAGGAGTTCCAGAAGCATCCCAACAACCCCTTTAACAAGGTAAGTAAAGCACTTTATATTCATCATCATACCCTAACATCTCTTTTTAGCTCACCGTTGGCTATAACGCTAAACAAGATGAAATCAATAAGCTTCGCGCTGCTCGTAAGGCTGAGCTAGAGGCTCGTCTTCGAGAATAAACTGTATCACTTTTTACTTTTGCTTCTGTGTATATGACTTCCTGTTTAAAGGAGAAATGAACTGAAATGGTTTGTACATAACCTATTAAATATATTAATTTTTGATGTATTCTATGGATATGTAAATAACACCGTACAAGGTTAAAAATTGGGTTTGCTATTTGCAACTGTAATGAAATTAACAACCTAAAAAGGTGCTACAATACCATCTTAATGCAACTCTCTTACTTTGAAATATTCCTCCATGTAAAAACGGTCGAAGGTGATACCATACCATACCAATACCTTCCATATATCTTAAATTCTTCTCAACCTCTTCACAGTTATAAAGTTCGGGTATTGTCCTATAATATTATTATATCGAAACTGAGAAGAAAACTGCTTTTTCGGTAGGTTTTTTTTTCTGAATTGAAAAAAACAATCAATCTCTTTTTGAAATATTAAATTATCTACGCATAGGATCTTTTGTATAACCATGTTACGAAATTTGAGTTCGAACCTTAAGAAGAGACGTGCTTCACACAACGGTAACTCTCTCTCTCCCCCTCTCTCATAAGTAATCTGCAGTTTGTGTCTTCGGCTCGTTGACCTATTGAAAAACACTGTATTTTGCTTAATTGTTATAGCTTTACAAATTCGCAATGTCTAAATCTGTTAGTTCTGCTGTTAAAGCTGTGGATTGGGCAGCCGTCCCTAGTAAGTTGAAATTGGACGCTGGTACTGCTTCTGCCCTTGCCAACTTTCGTTCTCGTCATGCCCAAGCTGCTGCAAAACTTGGTTCTTTGAAAGAACAACTTACCACAGTCGATTTTGCTTCTTACCGTCAGGTGCTCAAAAACCAAGAAATCGTGAACCGTATTGAGTCGTCTGTGACCTCTTTCAAGCCAGTAAAGATTAACTTGGATTCTCAGTTGAAGGCTATTAACGCTTTCGAAGGTAAGGCTGTCGGTAGTGCCAAGAAGAACGTCGAGATGATCAAGACTGAATTGGAAAGCTTGAGTACTACTTTGAAGAACATTGAGCAAGCCCGCCCCACCAGTGAAATTACTATTGAGGACATGAAGACTGCTGTTCCTGAAGTTGAGAAGATTGTTGAAACTATGGTCACAAAGGGTAAATGGGTTGTTCCTGGTTACCGCGAAAAGTTTGGCGATTTGAGTATCATGTAAACTCACAGTATAACCCATCTGATTGGTCTTCTACGACCGAGAAAAGCTTTTTCTAAACAATCAGGTATTCATTGCTTCCTGGTTCGTAAATTAGCTCGTGATCGTTCCTTTTACAGCCCTCTTTGTTGTAGTTAATTCAACTATGAGCAAGCACGTTAGGCTAATCCTTAAGAGTCAATGAAATATATTTAAATCCTGATCGTCATATGTAGAAATGTCGCGTTGCTCCAAGGTTGATGGAACTTCTTGTAAAAAAGTCTTTTCTAAGCTTTCTACCAAATTTCTAAGCAACTTCCTGCACATATGCAATTAATTATCTAGTAAAACTACTGTTTATTTCTGTTATACGATGAACTACCTAAGCTCACTTATAGGGATGCACTCAAATACGTTATGTTCCTTCATTTATTAGATTTCGTACTGGGGGACGCGTCTCACCAAAACCATGTTTTACGATCAATACGTCCTGACTAAAAAGAAAGGGGGAATGGGTGTAGTTTGGTAAGTAATTGCTTTTAATTGAAAATTGTACTAATATTATTAGGCTTGCCGCTACTCTGGGGTCAAAACACTCCCTCCGGAAACTTCACAAAAAGGATATAATGTCCGTGAATATTGATGAAGCTTGTGAATTTGTCGCGTATTCTCCCGAACCGTTAGCGTTACGTCTTAGTAGTAACTTAATGATCGGTGTTGCACGCGTTTATGCCCATCAATATTCGTTTTTTCAATGTACGGGACCATTTTTCAACATCAGCAATCCCGGTTTCTGTTTCTCTAACCTATTTTTTAGCCCAGGTTTCTTCGTTACATTCGAGATTGCGCAAAGAGCTTGATAACATTACTAGCAAGCATTCTAAAAATATTGACGCGCGTGTAGAAAAAGTGAAGTACGTGATTTTATCTTTCATACATAAATATCAATGTATATTTACTAATGAAATTAGCACTGACAATCTAATGCTCGCTGATGATCCGGCCTTTGTACCTGAATTGACCTTGTCGAACGGTTTTAGTCTCCCTCCTTTGGACCTTAATCTTTCCTTGAATAACGATTCTATTTCGTTTGATCAAGCAAATTTGACATCGTTGCAAACGTTGCCAGAAGCTTCAAACACTTTTGGCAACTCAACTCAGTCTTTCAGCCTTCAAAACCATGCTCCTGTATCGAGATTCGATTATGAAGCGTCAAACAATCTCTTTCCAGATGAGATTTTGGACTTTGAGTTTGATGAAAATGGTGACGTTCATGAATTAGCGACGCAGGATAAAATGCCGCAACTTAGCCCTGCTAATTCCCAAGACGAAGAAGAGCATCTTGATGCACAGTCTCCTATTGAAATGAGAGATGAAGAGCAAGAATCGAGAATTCGTATTTATGAGTTGGATGATGACGTCTTGCCTCTTCCGGTTCCCCTGGAATCTGTAGTAGACCCTAACATTGATATCCAGCCTCAAGAAGAGCCGGTTAAACGTAGAAAAATTCAAAAAATCGAGCCTGATGAATCTATTGAGTTGAGCACGAAAACCCTTTCTCAGTGGAGGTCGACGTATGTTGAAAGAATGAAAGCCATTGAAACAGCTAAACACGTGCGAAGAAAAGGAACCTCAGCTGAGAAGAAAAAAAATATTAAAAAATTATATCAATGGGAATCGTTTCATCCTATAATTCAAGAATGGGTTGGTAAGCTTCAGCCGGAATCAGTTGAGAAACAACCAGAAAATGATGATGATGTCGAGTTACCAATGCCCAACTTGGAAAATTCGGATATTGAAATTGGTCGTGATGCTCAAGGATCCTTGGAATTAAATATGCCTTGGAATACTTCCTCTCGTTCAAACAGTTTATTAAACTCATCCAGAAGTCATTCTCAAAATGGCAGTGAACATTCAACCCCGTTGCTTGATACTCGTTATGGTAAAAAACTAACGCCAAGTCCTTCGATGAATCATCGATTGCAGTTCCTGCCTGCTTTAGAATCCAGTCAATATCATGATCACTTAAACTCTGAATTATCTATACAACTTGATGAAGATTTTTCTCTGTACAAAAATACTCAAGAAGAGAATATTGGCACATTCTTGCACATGGAGCGAGAATGTGCTAATTTCTATGAATATACTAAAACCGCTATTCTTGAAAACGGCGGAGATATGACCTTTTCAGAACTTTTACCTTGTACCTTACAGCGCTCCGTGGCCGCTCAAGCTTTCAGTCATCTTTTAGGTACGATTCGACAGATGCAACTATTACTTACTAACCAAACTAGCTTTAAGCACAAAATCTGCTGTCTCGGTGAAACAAGAAGCCCCATATCATGAAATTATTCTTTCTTTAAATGCTCTTTAATCTTTAAACACGTCTTTGTCGAATATAAACTTATTAAACCTGATGAATTATGTCTGACATTTACATTAACATCTAACATCATCTACTTTGGGATCTGGCTAATTACATACGAACTTAATTAAATTATTTGTTTTCTTTTTAGTTCAATAAATGAAATAATGTTGTTTTTGCAAAACGCTGATAACATTCAACCCGCTTATAAAATCGTTGTTTTCAAATTCATAATTGAGAATTTTATTATTGTTTGTAAGTAAATGAGATAAAAAGAAAACTGAAATGCAAAAGATCTAAAGAATGCTTAATTTCATGTAAACGGTGTGCATGTCTGTCATCTTCACTATTTGCTATACGAACGATACTCACTCGAGTAAGTTCATTTCCGTATATAAACACGATCATTGAAGCAAAGTATTGAAATATGGGTCGTAGAAAGTCGTTAAGAAGCCAAATTTTAATTCGTCATTTACCTCAAGAAGAAGCTGACTCTAATGATGAATCAGATAGCAGCGACATTGATGAAGAACAGACACATGGTATATGGACTGAGAAACCATTTCAAACTGAGGCAGGACGATCTTATTACCGGAAATTACAAAAAGATGGAATTATTTATCGATTAGGAGATGACATTACTGTAAATGATGGTGATTCTAGCTTTTATGTTGGTGTTATTACAGAGTTATATGACAAAGCGACCACTAAACATTCAGGAGAGAAGTACTATGAAGCTATCTGGTATAGCAGAGCAGTCGCAAAACGCATGGAAATTAAACCAGAGTATCTGTTACCAGACCGGCATGTGAATGAAGTTTACCTGTCGTGCGGACGAGATGAAAATCCGACGTCGAGCATTATAGAGCATTGCAATATTTACTCTAAAGAAGAGTTCTTTAAAAGATTTCCACAAGGAATTCCACCGAAAAAAAAGGACGACTTTGCTCGGAATTTCTTTGTCGATAGAGGAGTTCATTTGAAGGTAAACAAGTATACCGAACCCCTCAATTGGTCCGAATATTCTCATAACTTAGATAAAATAGAAGACTTGCTTGTTGAGATGGAAGAAACTCTTAGATTACCAAAGAAGAAGACGAACGCAAGAGGAAGAGGTAGGGGTCGTCCAAAGAAAAGATCTGAAGAAAAAAATTTAGAAGATAATGATGACTTTGATTTAATGAAGGAAGAAGAAGAAACTCAATCTTCTGATGATGCTGCCTCCATAATACCTTCGTCTGAAGAGGAGTATGAAGCACCCAGAACTCCAAGACGAAGAATTAAGCGGCCTAGAACCGCACCAGGTAGTGCCATGTCTACACCAAGAAGAACGTATGTATTTTGTTTTTTAATTAACGTATTAACATATGAACAGTGGCTACAAACAACCTTTACAAATTACCCCCCTTCCAGTACGAATGTTGTCCATGAAAGAATTCCAAAACTCCCCTCATCGAAAAGCGAGAGCTATGCTACATGTTTCAGCAATCCCTAACACTCTTCAATGTAGAGATAATGAATTTACTACCATCTTTACTAATCTGGAAAGTGCAATTGAAGAAGAAACCGGTGGATGTTTATACATATCTGGAACGCCAGGAACTGGAAAAACTGCTACTGTACATGAGGTTGTATGGAACTTACAAGAAATGGCCAGAGAAGGGCAGCTAGCAGAATTCACATTCTGTGAGATAAACGGAATGAAGGTCACAAATGCAAATCAAGCATATTCATCATTATGGGAATCTCTAACTGGCGAACGGGTAACACCTCTTCATGCTATGGAACTATTAGATAATCGTTTTAATCACCCATCACCAAATCGATGTTCTTGCGTTGTTTTGATGGATGAGTTAGATCAACTGGTAACAAATAACCAAAAGGTGTTATATAACTTTTTTAATTGGCCTTCTCTTCCTCATTCACGGCTCATTGTTATTGCTGTAGCTAATACTATGGATCTTCCTGAACGAATTTTGTCGAATCGCATATCCTCCCGTTTAGGTCTTTCAAGAGTGCCGTTCGAACCTTATACCCATAATCAGCTAGAGACTATTATAGCTTCCCGTCTGGAGGAAGTAAAAGATGAAAACCTATTTTCTTCTGATGCTATTCGATTTGCTGCAAGAAAAGTGGCTGCTGTCAGTGGAGATGCCCGTCGAGCTCTGGATATCTGTCGAAGGTCCTCAGAACTGGCAGAAAGTACAAATGGGAAAGTCACTCCTATGTTAATTCATCAAGCTATAACGGAAATGACTGCTTCTCCGCTCCAACGAGTCTTACGTGATTTATCGTTCATGCAAAAGGTGTTTCTATGTGCCATTGTCAATCGTATGCGTCGTTCTGGTTTCGCGGAATCCTACGTCTATGAAGTGGTTGAAGAAGTAGATCGTTTGATAAAATCCATGACTACCACAGATGCAGCCGAGTTTGGTCAACTTTTACAGCGCCGCCCGGAATTTCACTATATTCTAAGCAGCCTAGGTGAAACAGGCATTTTATACCTCGAAAATAAAAGCAGTAGAAATGCTCGTGTTCGTCTTGCAATAGCAGACGATGAGATAAAGCTTGCTTTCAATGGAGACACAGAACTTCAAGGTATAGCATGACAGTTCATGCTTGGATTTTATTTGTATATTACGCAAAGATGGTTTTAGGTATTTATATAAGGTAAATGAATGAGAAGAATTACTGTTGCAACAATGGTACTGAGTCAGTACGGATAATTTTATGTTTTATTATATTTGATAAATAGAGATATGTATAAATATACATATACATATATATTATTACAACGGATCCTCTGAGTATACTAAGTTGCATATATATTTTTGTTGGCGTACTGTAAACAGTACTGACACTCACAACCTAGGAGAACCTGAAAAATACCAGCTTACCGAGAAAGCACAATTTAAAGAAATAGAGTGATTTTATAACTTGTTCTGGCTTCTTTTTTGGATTAAAATTTGAAAATGGGAAATTGCTGCTCGCATTTTGGCAGTTCTGACGAGGTTCGTCAAATCAACATTGCCTGGTGGGAGCTAATAAATGTGTAGATTGATGAAGTTACTCCGCTTCTTCCTAATGAAGGGTAAATTTGAGACGAATTGCTTTGAACTGTTGTTAGATTGCTGATACCTTTAGAATCCAAAGAACTGCTCCTACCGCTGAATCAAATATGAGCCTGAGGAAACGCCAGAAAGAAGAAGAATTTGAAAGCAAAATCTACGAGAATGCAAAGTAAGAATTTAAGATATAAAGAAAAAAGGAACCTTGTATTGACAACTGCAGAAATAACTTCATTGACGTGTTTTCTATGCGACTAAGAACAGAGCCTCTTGAAAGAACTCAAGATGAGAACACTTATGAGTAAGGACTGATATATATAAAAAAAGTGCATTTGCTGATAATTGATGAAGGGAATTGATGGATCAAATGAACTCATTGGATTTAGCGCCGGAATATGAAACGAGTACGCCTACTGAACAAGATCAAGAATTTATCCAGAAGAAGCTAGACCTGTTCCTTCGGGAAATTAAGGGTATGAAGTTCGACACAGAAATGATTCGAGGAAAAATGATTGTAAATTTGTCTAAAGTGAAGCCGTCGATGAGTGAAAGTCCTTCTTAGGCCATAATATATGAAATAAAAAGCGGCTCTCAAAGGAAAGTAGTTTTCCTAATGACAAAAGCTTAATTAGACTTTGGGGCTCGATACAGTTTTGGAGTTAATTTACTAGTAATGAAGAATTAATTTAATATATGATGTCCAATGCTACATGATTATCATAATCTGTTGTTGAATGTTTGTAAAAAGCAATAGAGGGCGCTAGAAAAAGCAAGGTTTGCTATCATTGTCTAACAGTGGAATTCAAATATGCGCAATATTTACGGAATCATAAATAGTAAAGAGATTTCATATTCTCGCACAGAAAACCGTGTTTAACCCTTGAACTTCATATAACCAATTACGGCTAAAGCAGGAACGAGAATTAAAGCAAGGATCATGAAAATACTAAATCAACATTAGTAAATAAGTAACCATAGTAATGACACAGTTCGGGAACTTCTTCATAGCTGAATGCAAGACAGTTACTTCCTTATGTGCAAAAAACAGAAGATACATACGAAGGAGCGTCATTTTCCTCAGTGCGAGGTTGTCGTAATTCAAAAAGTCTTTCTTCAGCTCCAGGTTTTAAGTCACCAATGTACATTTCTTGTAGTAACTCATCAGCGGCAGCCGAATGGCCTACATCGCGATATGCCTTGGTACAGTCTTGGCCTAGAAAGGGGAAAAAAGTTAGCACATAGCACGGGAAGAAGCAAAACCTCGATGTTTAGCTAAATACGACGGATATTAAATCAAAAATAAAACTGAATGACAACTGCATGTACCTAAGTGAGACAGACTGAGACTTGCAATTGAATTAGAGAATAAAGACTCAACGAAAAGCCAAAAACAAAAGAGATTACACTTCTAGTATAAAAAAAACAAGGGAAACATTAAAAGAAAAGACAGTTCACGAAAGAATAGCAAACACATTTCTTATGAACTCGCTCGAAAAGGCACTGTCCAGCATCATTGTTTTCTAAATCCTATTCACGATCGAAAGGAAACTACTTACCACCGTAATCAAGCAAAATATCTAAACCACCAGGATGGTCCTCTGCGAATGAAGTCACGTCGTAAACTTTTCCTTCAAAGACCATATACAAGTCCTTTGGAGAGTTGTGTTGAACAACTTCTTCGGCCTCGAAAACTCTGTTTGACATATTTTTATGAGATGAGATTTATAAGGTCTGAAATTTATGAAATGGAAAATTAAGGGTAATGGAAAAGGGAAATTTTCAAAGCAAGTTGAAGGATTAATTGGTGTTTCACTTTGAGTAGTGGTGGACTTGTAAAACTTATTGGACACACCAGTTCTCGCTTAGATAATTCTCGCTTTGGTTATATCATGAGTGACTCTACATCCATAATTAGTAAACAAATCGATTCTTCGATTTTAAAATAGAATACCCTCTCTATCAAACCATTTCTATTTTAAGTAAAATGTCTTCTGATTATGTTTTTGGTGTCTAATTTTCAACTTGTAAAGAAAGAACAGAACAATGGAAAAAAGAATAAAAAAAGGGAGAGAAAAAACTTTTTCATCTGATAGTCTCGATTCACTGATCATCTCGTCAAGTTGGTAAAGTGAGCATAAAAAAGTGTTTGACACAACTGAAATTAAAATCTGTTTCAATGTGGTTTGGATAGTGAACGAGTCCAGGTTGTCTTCCTGATTTCTCAAATGAATGCATTAGTATACATAAAAATGTAGTAACCACCTTCTTTGAAATCCATTCCCAAGCGCGAGCTGCTTCAACTGTGCTACATATAATACTCGTAGCTATTTGAATTTGCAGTAACTTCTTGTAGACAAAGAACTAGGGAAAGAGGTATCCTTTAATATACGAAATATCAATGTTCACCGATACCATTGTCTTTGAAATGAAAAAGATGACTGTAACGGCAACCACATCAAGGAAGCGCTATTCATTCTTTGTCGACACAGCATACAACAGTTTCCTTTTTTACTTACTAGCAAGTTGAAAAAAAGAGAATAAAAATGAATAAAAAGAGTGTCACGAACCGGGATCGAACCGGTGACCAACAGATCTTCAGTCTGTCATGCTCCCAACTACACCACCGCGACTTTGCTTGATTGGTGTCATTGGAAAGACAATATGTACGCCAATATGCAGCTATAATATAATGGTAAGAAATGAATTTTGGTTGATTTTGCGAATAATCATGGACAGCTCTAAGGAAGAACGAATTTCATTCATATGGATTGGCTATTAAGAGAAAGTATGCACAAGGTATCCTTTTGTGGTCGATTGATTGAAAACAGCTTCACGGAAAACCGTGTCCAGCTGACTCGTCACCGAAAGAAATACCTGTGAAAGCTTTCTTCAAATGACTCTTGATTTCTATTCTTTTCGTAAAACGCAAGTTCAAATTCTGTAGAATAATGACTTGTTTACTTGGTTGGATCAACTTTCCTCAAACCACGACTTCACTAGTTTCTTCTTCCACATCACATAGCAGTAAAGAAGAAACATTCTTTGATTCTTTGAATATTGAAAACAAATTCATGAGCTATTTGAGTCTTGAAATGATCAACACTTCACAGAAAACAAACATGCTTTTAAAGAGTATATTGTACTACATCGATGTTACCTATAACTTTTGTAAATAAACAAGAAAAGAAGAAAAACAAACTATGAGGATTCATGGAAAATGGAGCGCAAGAAATAAAAACAAAAATTCTTATTATATTCCAACTTATTTATTTTTTAGTAATGGGTTCATTGCAGACATTCCTGTTGAAAGGATTTTGGCTTTGTGTACTTAGAAAGACAGAGTAGTAATATCATGAAGGTAAACAAAACGCATACTCGTATTGAGCATTATCCCGTTCTAGAAGTCGCCATTAGATAAATTGTACGAAAAACCCTTTGCAAAGTATTCTATGTACAGATTGCTAACGAGCTCCACATCTTAATTGACTGGATCAAAGTCATCAAATTCTTCCAGCTGCTTGTCATTTTTTACTTGACGAATAATCCAACATTCATGGTCTGAGAGTACTACAAGCGTACAACTGCTCATAAAGCCAACTTTACTTCTTGCTCACTTCATCGTAAGGATACTTTTACCTTTCAAGTTGCATGCCTATACGTGCTCTTTCTTTAACTTCTACTAACAAAAGCTCGTTCACAATTGAATCCTTTGAAAACTTATTCTTGAAATGACTTTTTTCTATTCCAAAATTAATACTTTTCCATTAAATAATGAACAAGAGAATAGAAGATCCATTGAATGAAAAAAAAAGTGTCACGAACCGGGATCGAACCGGTGACCAACAGATCTTCAGTCTGTCATGCTCCCAACTACACCACCGCGACTTGATTGATTGTACTGGGATAATTAACATATATAAAGTTGCCGTTTTTATTTGACAAAAGACAAGTATTTGAAACTGAAGACCGAAACTATCATAGAGCGCTCACACCTCCTTTCTGGTGTTTCATAGCTTTCGTCAATGAGCATTAGAAAAATGGAAAAGAAGGTATTGTTGTCATTCTTAGCATTCATTTCTGGAGCTTGGGCAACAGATGAGAGCTCGGAAGAGTCATATACAGATGAAGAATTCGTTCCTACTGAAAATACTGGTATGCTTAGAAAAGTCCACTGGCAGGATTTCAAAGTCGAGTTAATCGTTTTGTCTGTATTTGCTTTGTACGTTTTCTCATTTATCACCAAAAAACGCAAAAACGCCGATTTTGCTTCTCGTTGGTACAACTCTTTACAAAGCTTGTTTCGTAACCAGTTTTCTCAATATGGTCCAGGAAGGAATATGTCCCCCGTTATTAATGTCTCTCCTACCGAGTACTCGTCGTATCTCACCGGTCGAATAAATGTTAAAAATGTTTACACTACATTGCAACTCTTTCCACGTCAGGACTTGTTTACTTACGGTATAAATCAACTTGTTGAAATATTCATGGGAAATATCATGTCTCCGGTATTACCCGTCGCCGACCGCTTCCAGGTATTACTCAACCTTGGCAATCATGCCAAACCCTGGCAACCATTTGTGTTTGCCATCGTACGTAAGGACTGCATGCGTATTCTCCGTGAAACTAGATTCGATCTTAGTTTTACTAGAATCTCTTCTCATCCATCACTTCCTGATACCCATGTTCTCATGTCCGAAAATCTTGAATGTACCGAACGCATCCTTAACCTTCCTCAATTCCTTCCTTCCATTCAATCTTGCATGGAAAATCTTGAGTATTTTATCGTTACTGATCAACCTTCTGCTGCTCCTGCTAACGAAAAAGAATATATCGAATATCCTCGTATTGATGCCTCGATTCGTATCGACAACGTCGATACTTTCAATGAGCTTGAAAACCCCAAAGCTAATGATTTACTCAACACTTTATTGTTAATTGCTGACAATACTGCTAAATTCCAATGGCGACCTGAAATTACCAAAAAGCTGACTTCCTCTCGCAAGTTGGCCCTTGAAGAAATTGTCCATGCTTCTGCTGCTGCCAAAGCCACCAGAAGCAAAAAGTCCACTGCTTCTGAAGTTTCCAACTTATCTGAAACTGAACAGAAGAAGCGCTTGGAGAAAGAGCGTCAACGCAAGATCAAGAAACGCAGTAAGCGTGCTTAGATGAATGATTATGGTCATTAGCATTAGCATCAATTGTTAATTGTCTCTTAGACTTGAAGAGCTAATTTTACATATCTTACGATATACATACAAATAATACGTACTAGATATCCAAAGGCTCATTTTATTAGTTACCTGCAACAATCAATATAATTTTTGAGATTGCAAGGATTAAGTTATAGTAATAAAGCCTTCCATCCTATAAATTTTTAGTGATTAATTTTTGATGGATGAACATTATCCACTGTTTTCCTTAGGCAAGAACTAACTCAAAGGATAAGATAAATAAACCAACTCAACATAGACCCTAAATTTCTTTGGTTAAAAAGCAAAAGATAAACATAAATAACCCTAAAAGTCCCTTTACGATAGTACTAAACTCTCCACAGGTCAAGAGATGTGACCAAGGAAGAGCTAAAGAAAACAAATTAAAAAAGGCAATCATTATGGTCTTCTAGAGGTAAGCAATAAGGTATAGTGGCGGATAGAAAAGGTATGGCGGTGCGGTCTGACGGAGAAGGAGAAATGAAGAGCGTTTTTGATAACATTATAATCATAAGAAGCTAATCACTTTCACTTTCGCTTTCACTATCACTACTGTCGGTCAAATACATGCGTAGCCATTGCATTCGGGGGCCCGTTTTACTAAATTCACTAACCTTGAATCCATATATTCTGGGCTGATATATTTTACCGCATGGGATAGCTCTTTTCGGGTTAAGTTCAGGATAGGTTTCAAAAAACAGATGAGGGAATGTCGTACCAAAAAAGGATCCATCAATATTTTTATATTTAGAGCTAGATGGTGCGTATAAGTCTAGGCAATTTGGACAAAATAATACAACAGGCATTCTGCCAACCACGTCCGACCGGCCTGCAGGAAGAACGTGAGTATAGCAACAATTTACCCGAGGACAACAACCAAAAATACCCGTACTATATTTTTCGGCCATTTGGTGTAAGCCCATTCGAGTAATGATATAGCGCTGATGTATTAGACCATAAAGGATTTGTGCACTTGTTTCGATCACTCCCATATCAAGCTTTTTTAAAGTTTCTGAATTATTCCTATCAAGTATAAGGTCCAGAGCCTCATTATAAAAAGGGACAGCAAGATTTAAACCGGTCAAATTAAACAAATCTTCTATAAACTCATCACGAACTTCGACGAAATACTCTCGACCCGGCTGAGAGCAGAACCAAGTTATCCAAGGGATATTGCCGGTTGCTGGTGATGGTGTTGGATCTTCAATAAAGTCGTCATCTTTTGTGCTATATGTGATAGCCGGATTATGACTTAGGGTCACAATGTTTCTCACAGACATGATGTTCAAAATCTGAAGGATCGAAAGCAACAAGTTTAAACAAATATATAATAAACACCTGATAAGGGAAATAAGCAATAAAGTAATCAGCAAGGAACCTAATGCAGTTAAAATATTGAGGGAGAGGAAATAAAAGCGGACAGATGATGTATGGAAAAGTCAAGCGTAAACAACAGATTAATAGTTAACAAAAAAAAAACATTCAATGGTATGTGAGGTTTGAAAGAAGCTTAAATAAATAAAACGCTTAGATACAAGGGCTACTTCAAACCGATTGTCCTTTTTATTAGGTTTCGGAGACAAATAAGAACCAAATAGGAGGCAAGGGAAGTGAATAATCAACGAGTATCCAACTAGCAAGTAAGAATATCTTTTCTATACGAACTGAGAAAGCAAAAAGCTCTGCTAATCCAAAAGATTTCTTGAGTAATCCAATATAGAGGAAAGAAAGAAAACCAACTAGTAGAAAAGATGTAGAAGCAATCAACAAACAATTTCTTTTTTTTTTGAGACTGCAAAGAGTAGGACAAAAAGACCTTTTATAGCAAACGCTTCTTCTGAATTACCAGGTAGAAAACTTTGCTAATTATGTATTTAACCTGAAAAGCTTAAAAAATCTAAACAGGAGATTTTTTATGTGTATTGGTATTGTCTACAATGCAAACTTCGTGGCTTGGTAGTCGAAAAATATGACAAGAAGAATTAACTTTTCAGACAAACTTTTCGGTAACTTTTCTTCTTCTCTTTTTTTTTTTTTAAATTTCCCGTAACACAACCAAGTAAACGAAGATATATATATTCGTGGGTCTTCAATATTTTACTTTTCCTTCTAGTAGAATCCGAGGACGGCCGCACAATGAAGGCAAATTCCGAACCCGTACAAAAATCAAACTCTTGAAACAAAGGTTATAAATGAAAAAAGATACGAAAATGATTGATAGCCAATTTCGAAATAAGCACGATGCTTCTTCGTAGCAATGCACTACTTGATAGCAGCTCAAGTTTTGAGAATGCTTAGAAACAAATCGTCTTTGGTTGTTGTAGCGGTGTCCCTTTTTTTTATATACGAAATAAAATAAGGAGTTTGATGTTATATATGTGGTAAAGGTGTTCAGTGTGCCCCCAGCGGTTCTTTAAATGTTGCTTACTATGACGTATCTTGTATGGCTAGTATGCCAAAGGCATGGAGTGTCAAGGGAAATGTACCGAACTTTCTACGGGTCCGTGTACACATGAACGCTTGAGTAGGTAACCTAAGATGATGTTGTTTCGTATGAACCCGCGAAAAGTCAAAGAAATATTTGAAGTTTATAGTGCAACATGAAGGCGGGCTAGGACAAGTATGTGGGCTCCCACCCTAGGAGTACCGATTTAAGATACGATTAGCCGTCCCCTAGTTTAGATCATCCATAATGTATTTCCCCAAATCGCTCTCTTGACGTGTAAATAAGGACGGACAATAAGGGAGCCACGAGACGAAAAAAAAAAAGGAGAAACGCGTCGAAAACGCGTCACGAGCGATTGCATTTTAATTCATCCTATTTGAATCATCAAATGCTATGTAAAAAAGAAGCAATCTTGGTCGTGAAAAATGAACATATGAATAAAGCTTTACAATCGACGAGTTAACAAAAGCAATCCTTCCCTATCCTGTACAAAAAAAAGAAACCGTGATTATAACCAAATTAACATAAAAAACCAAGAATCCTTCTGTTTGGAAAAAGGAAAAGTAGAGTACCATTGATTTCTTATATATATTCACGGTATTGAGGGGATTAGAATATGGAGTCTGTGTGCATATACTCCGAATGGAAAATGAAATTCTTTCTTTCATGAAACAAGAGAAAATTAATGATTCATTTCTCATTTTTTATTTCTCTTGTTTTTACCTTTTTTTGGTTGATAAAATGAGAATCGGCTCGATTGTCCCTTATATTACTTTCGCGCTTCACCGTAAATCTTGACTTCCCCACAATCAATCTATTAAGCTCCGATTCTACAATTAGCATAATTCATGGTTATTAAATGTATGTATTAACAAACAAGAAAAGATGCTGGTTTGTTTATTTTTTAAAAACATGCAGTTCTTCCTTTTTATTCAGCTTAAATGTTCACATTCTCAACCGTTTGAATAAACAGCAAACGACGTGATTGAGAAACACTGATTCTCACTATTTCACTGTGTTAGGAAAGAAAAAAGAGAAACTCAAACAGCTCTACTATGGTCCGTCTTTAAGTCCGATTTGAGTGCGTTCTTTTTGATACCTATTTTCTAAAATACTTTGTTTATTTTTTAAGGATACCGTTGGATGGTTTAAGTATCGGTAACCGTGTTTACCGATTTCCTAAAACCAACGTTATGTGATATATGCATCTGTTTCCTATGCTGGGTGAAGGCAGAAATTTTTAACATAAAACCAGCAAGCATTCTCTTACAATGCGAAGTAAATTGTGTGAATTATGTGATACCAATCGCCCTGCGCTAGTACGTCCAAAGACTGGACAAAGGATTTGCAAGGATTGCTTCTACTATGTGTTTGAAACAGAAATCCACAATGTCATGACTGAAAACAAGTTGTTCCATCGAGGAGAAAAAGTGGGTATCGGTGCGAGTGGAGGAAAAGATAGCACAGTTCTAGCATACGTAATGAAACTTTTGAACGAACGATACGATTACGGCATTGAATTGTATCTAATTAGTGTGGACGAGGGAATTCGCGGATACAGAGATGACTCTTTGGCAACAGTAAAACGAAATCAGCAGCAGTATGCACTTCCAATGACCGTGGTTAGCTATGAAGATTTGTACGATGGATGGACCATGGATAATGTTGTTGCTCGTATCGGGTTGAAAAACAACTGTACCTACTGTGGTGTGTTTCGCCGCCAAGCTCTGGACCGGGCTGCGCTGAATTTGGACATCCATCATCTAGTCACGGGCCACAATGCCGATGACATTGCAGAAACTGTATTGATGAACTTGCTACGCGGTGACGTTGCTCGTCTTCCCAGAAGCACCGAAATCACCACTCAATCAGATACTTCGCCTACGAAGCGCTCCAAGCCTTTCAAATATACCTACGAAAAGGAAATTGTTTTGTATGCTCATTATAAAAAGCTTGACTACTTTTCAACTGAATGTACTTATTCCCCCGAAGCATTCCGGGGAACTGCTCGAGCCATGATCAAACAGTTGGAGTGCATTCGACCAAGTTCAATTTTAGATATTATATATTCTGGCGAAGCTATGCAACTTTCTGATACAGTCCAAGAAAAACTTCCTCAACAAACGCAATGCGAACGATGTGGTTTTATATCCAGTAATCGGATTTGCAAGGCCTGTATGCTTTTGGAAGGGTTGAATACGGGCATTACGGGTTTGGGTTTGGGAAGCGACAGGAAGACACGAAAGTTACAGTCCCAGACACCGGAATGTGCCAAAGGATAATAATGGCTAGCTTGTTAGTTATTTGCAAGTGGTTTTTTCTGGCAAGGATATTGGGGTTTTGGAATCTAAAAAATTTATTGTAGTTTGTAGTAATAGTTTAATTTATCATTAATATTTTCCAAGTATGTTTTGGATCACGAAAGATTGGCCAAGGGTAGTTAGAGAATGGATGGGTTTTGAAGGATAGATTTTGCTCATACGGAATCATAAGGCAACCGAAGCAAACATTACGAATTGACCTCTTTACCAAGGAGTCCGAGCATATCGTCTTCCGCCTTTGCAGTAGGCCGATTGCTGTAAAATTTGTCTAACCAGTTCATAAGGATGTATAGACCGCCGGAAATGGACAAAATGCGTAAGAAGGATTTCATAATGCTGGGATATTTGTCAACAATTTGTACTCCAAGAGGTTCGATATCATATTCGATAAAGATGCCAGGTGGTTTGGATTGGAAGCCAAGCTGTCTTGGTACAGAGTTTTCGGTTAGAGAATATTGATTTGTTTGAAGAGAACGAAAGGAAGATTTATAGCTTGTGGGCAAAATGGATAAATAATATTGAAAAGCAAAAGCTTCTTTGTCGGTAAACCCGTAGTGGCCATCGAGAGCGTTTACGATATCAGGGTAGTAGTCTCCAAAAGACAATTCTTCAATGTGATGGGTAAAGTTGAGGGCATGAAAGGGAATGTTGGATGAGCCGTAGCCCCAACCTGGCGCAGTAACGTGTAGTTGGCCATGGACACGATTCACAGTAAGTGTTCCATAGATTCTGCATGCACCTCCAGCATGACTGGGCTTTTTCTTCTGACGGAACTTGCCGGATCTCACCCAACGGTATTCGGATTTTTTTCCCGGGAGATATTTGGTAGATGAATGCTTCATAGCATTGAGATCCGTATCCTCGAGAGTCAACATGGTGGTAGCCAAAACAATATCGTTGGTTTTGTCGGCCGCGTCCACGCGAACGTGCGTACAAGGCATTGCAAGGGTGATATCGAGATTAAGATCCATCAAGTCGGACACTTTGTCCGAAACCATAATCCTTTGTTCGCGAACGCCTTTAATGTAGGAATAGCACTCGACAAGGAAGAGCCAGAAAACGAAAAATCCGACTGCTAATGAGAAGACACCTCCGCGTGACGATCCTGGTTTTCGATACTCATTGACGACTTTTGGGAATGCATCAAAAGACTCCAAACGCTGTGGAAGCTTTCTACGCAGCATGACGGCTTGGTAATTGGTGTTGATAGGGGAGTGGTTGAACGAGGGAGACAAAACGTAGCAGCAACTATTACAAATAGACGTTTCAATCGTATTTGAATTCAAAATGCTACGAGGACACAATCGCTACTACAAGGTGAGCAGAGGATTAGCAGAAGATTTTTGATTAAGTTACACAAGACCGTACAAAGAAATTAATTCAAAATTGTATGAAAAGCTAAATCTAAGCTTTTGTTTTTAATGTTTTGCTACCCAAGCAGACTAGACTCAAACAACCAAAGTGACCCACACACAAGTTGCTTCTAGTGATAGCTTCACGGATCTTTCTTTTGGCCTTCCATATCGTTTGTTTATCACTTTACGATATCGTACATAAGTACCGTATGTATGAATACCGACACACAAACTACATTATGCCATACACATATACCAATCGGTACCATAGTACGGTAAGTAGCATTACCGATAAGGAACGAGGAATGTGTGGCCGTATGCTTTAGGGTTCAAACAGCAATTTTCTCCGAAAGGTCTTTATGGGTAACAAACGTAACATTGGCTAACTTTAATCAACGAACTTTGAAATTCTGAAAGAAATGTAGGAATTTACAGGATTCTATGAAATTATATGCATAAAAACACAAAAATTTTTATCTTTTTTAAGGCAGTTCACTTCTTTTTCTGCTGCTATTGTTTTGATTTCCCCCCGATCTGACCGTGTAAAGTTTCGACTCCTCCAACCATCGTGCGAGAACTCATCACATTTGTCGAGATTCCCTTTCGGATCTTCCTATGACTAATGAGGTGAGTACTCGCGTAATATCAGGGATTGACGCAAACCTTCGGACGATCGTGAGTTCAACTCCTTCTTCGAAATTCTTTTTCAGTCTGGGACTATATATTCTTAGAATCCCCCCGCTTTCAAACTTGCAACGCACCCGACACATTGCTGTAGAATACCAACATTGGGATCGCGAGATTTATTGGTATTTTAACATAAATTGTCATTTCACGTCTCATCTTTTTTTATACCCTTTATATATTACGCTTATTTAGTAAGGATTTCACGAACTAGAAGTATTCATCATGCCTTATTCTGAAATTGATCAACTCGCCATTAACACCATTCGTACCTTGTCCATTGACACTACTTCGAATGCTAAGTCTGGACATCCCGGTGCTCCTATGGGTTTGGCCCCTGCAAGCCATGTCCTTTTCAGCCGCATCATGAAGTTCAACCCCAAATCCCCCAAGTGGTTGAACCGTGATCGTTTCATTCTTTCTAATGGTCATGCTTGTGCTTTGCAATACGTTATGTGTCATTTGCTCGGCTACCAAATGTCTATTGATGACTTGAAGAAGTTCCGTCAAGTTGGTAGCAAGACTCCTGGTCACCCCGAAACCCACGACCCCACTTTGAACATTGAAACCGGTGCTGGTCCTTTGGGTCAAGGTATTGCTGCCGCCGTCGGTCTTGCTATCGGTAAGGCCCACTCCGCCGCCGTTTACAACAAGCCCGGTTTTGACATTTTCGACAACAACACTTTCTGCTTCTTGGGTGACGGTTGTCTTCAAGAAGGTATCTCTTCCGAAGCTTGCTCCTTGGCTGGTCATTTAAAGCTCGGTAACTTGATTGCTATCTGGGATAACAACAAGATTACCATTGATGGTAGCACTGATCTCTCCTTTGATGAGGACGTTGAGAAGCGCTATGAAGCTTATGGCTGGCAGATCTTGCGTGTCGAAAATGGTGACTCTGATCTTGAAGCTATCGAGAAGGCTTACCGTGAAGCCATTGCTTGCACCGACAAGCCTACCTTGATTAACCTCAAGACTACTATTGGTTTTGGCTCTCAACAACAAGGTACCCACTCCGTTCATGGTAGCCCTCTTAAGCCCGATGATGCCGTCCACGTTAAGAAGCTCTTCGGCTTTAACCCTGAACAATCTTTCCATGTCCCCGCTGAGGTCTACCAATTCTACCAAAAGCGTGTTGAAGAGAACCAAGCTGTTCAAAAGGAATACGATGCTATGTATGCCAAGTATGCTCAAACCCATGCTGACCTCTACAACCAATTGGAGCGTATCCTTAACAGACATCTTCCCGATGGCTGGGAGAAGCACCTCCCCACTTACAAGCCTGGTGATGCTGCTGTTGCCACTCGTAAGCTTTCTGAAATCGTCTTGGACGCTCTTTGCCCCGTCGTTCCCGAACTTGTCGGTGGTTCCGCTGATTTGACTCCTTCCAACTTGACTCGTTGGCAAGGCGCTGCTGACTTCCAGCACCCTAGCACTAATATCGGATCTTACGCTGGTCGTTACATCCGTTATGGTATTCGTGAACACGGTATGGCTGGTATTATGAACGGCTTGGCCGTCTACGGTCCCATCATTCCTTATGGTGGTACTTTCTTGAACTTCGTGTCTTATGGTGCTGGTGCCGTCCGTATGGCTGCTTTGAACAACAGCCGTGTTATCTATGTCGCTACTCACGACTCTATTGGTTTGGGAGAAGATGGTCCTACTCATCAACCCATTGAGACCTTCTCTCATTTCCGTGCCATGCCCAACATTTACTGCTGGAGACCCGCTGACGGTAATGAGACCTCTGCCGCTTACCTCGGTGCTTTGACTCACTGTGATTCTCCTTCTATCTTGGCTTTGACTCGTCAAAACCTCCCTCAACTTGAAAACTCTACTATCGAGAACGCTAGCAAGGGTGGTTATGTTCTTTATGAGAACAAGAACGCTAAGGTTACTCTTGTCGGTACCGGTTCTGAAGTTTCTCTTTGCCTCGACGCTCTCAAGACGTTGAAGAGCGAATACAACTTGGAGGCTCGTGTTGTTTCTTTGCCCTGCTGGGAAGTTTTTGAGGAGCAAGACGAAAGCTACCGTCTCTCTGTTATCCCTGACGGTATCCCTGCTATGTCTGTTGAAGTTTACAGCACTTTGGGCTGGACTCGTTATGTCCACGAAGCTTTCGGTATGACTTCCTTCGGTGAATCTGGTACTGCTAAGCAATTGTACGAGAAGTACGAATTCACCCCTGAAGGTGTTGCTAAGCGTGCTCATAAGACTTACGAAGCTTACAAGGATACCCCTTTCATCCGTTCTCCTGTTCGTCGTGCTTTTTAAGCTGATGATGATGTCGGGAATGATTGAGTAGAATTAGTATGTATAAAGATTGGAAATTGCCAGCATGTGAGAAAGTAGTTTACGAATGAATGATGTTGTGTATAAAAATTATCGAAAGAGTAGTTTTATAAAGAGTACATTATTATGAGTATGAAGGGCTTTATTGCCATGTAGGAGCTTGGTTACATAACGTTGTAAATGTGTTTTTAGTATTTCACTTTTTCAGGCGATGTACCATATGGCAATACAATAAGAGTCATTCTATGTGAATTGTAAACAAGGGAAATTGTCAAGTTCTGACAAAGAAAGAACACTGTTTAATGGTAAAAACAAGTCATAAGGCTAGAGAAGCAAAATATTCACTACTAGAGTGGAAATAATCACATAGTATCTTGTCGAAGATCATTTTGAAAAGAAAGAAGCATGGACGGAAATTATCTTTCACTTTCATCTCTACCTTTTCTGAATGACAGGCAAATACACGACGCAATATTGTTATGAGCAATAATGAACTACGACGAAAATTCCGTAAGAACAATTAAATAACCATTAACAAGGGCGTTTAATTCATAAAGAAAATGAACGATTCATAAATAACACGATTACGAGACGAATTCTTAGATCCTAAAAGAGTGAACGTGAAAAGCAATCAAGTTGTCATATGAAGCTGATGCTTATTTTTGCGGACAAGAATGCAGGAACTTGGGGGATTGCAATTGATATGGATACTTCGAAGGAAAATGTGATTTATAGGAGGGATGGAAAAGATTCGTTAAAACTCAAACTTCAGCGCTTTGCCCAGCAAAAGGTTGAAGCTCGATTTCCTCGTTACGAGGTGCTTCATTTTCTGGATCTGTCGGTCCTAATTAGGTTAATCAGGTGCTAAGAAAAGAAAAAAAAATGAAGTTTATAATAAACAATACATACGAACATAATCCGCAGCATTTTTTATGCTGTTTAGCATGCCGTTTCCTAAATCAGCAATGAATACTCGAAGTTGTCGCGCATCTGGATATCCTAAAACAGTTAGAATATTTCGCAGGTTATAAGACATACTCCAAAATAAAACAAACACGGCAGCGTTAACAATGCAGACACCATAGAAAGCAATATCGTTCATCTTTTCAAATCCTATTATTTTCTTTACATTAAAATAGACGACGAAGCCAGCGACATTCAGAGAAGCCGTACATATTACTGCGACACACATATTGATCCCAGCTTGCCTGTACCATTCGGGATAGATATAAAGAATTGCTAAAAATTAGCGAGCTGTCCAAAATAAGATATTGTAGACTTACCAAGGAGAGAAGTACAAATAGATCCAATAGAGCTGCCAGCAAGCCCGTAAAAAGTTTTCGAATACGGAGAAACCTTGTAACCAAAAACTATGGCTATAAATACAATATTATATATAATAGTTATAATGGTCACTGTTCCTATGACAGGTGTTTTCCACCGCTGTTTATTTGGCGAAGGGTCAGACCTAATATTATTTCCGGATAATTCGGCGGAATTCTGAGCGGATCCGTCAGCCATTTCTAAATCGATAAATTTGTTTGAAGCTAATGAATGTATTAGCAACTGAAGTTTTCGTTCTTTGTGAAAGGAAGGAGGCGTTCGTCCTGTTGTTGACAATTATCGACAAGGTTAAAAACAACAAACAAATAAACAAATAGGATTCCTCAGTAAGAAATCTCCATAACTGGATTACAAACAGGAAATATAAAGAAACACCATTACCTTTCCATTTCAATAAATCTTACCTGAATACGGAGGAGGCGTACCATCTGAAGAATGGGTGTCTACCTTTTCATCAATGAGTGTTTTGAAAGACTCGTCAGAGTCTGAAACAGGAGTGTATTTATTCTTCATTTTTGCAATGGCAAACCAAAAACCAAAAGAACACCAATATCTATAGCTAGTTCGAAATTAACTAGAATTACCAAGAAAAGTCCGTAGAAATCGGTTCCACCTTTCAGATATCTTTAATAAAAAAAAAGTAATCGTTCCCTGTTTCTAAAGAAAGGCAATGTTTTGAGTAAAAATCTGTCTAAAACCAAAGATAGTAACGAAAAAAAAAATCTTGGTAATGGCTTTTCGCATATTTTAATTTCATAAAGCAGCGACATTATGTCACCGACTGGTCACATCCTCGTTACGATTATTTGACATTCGTCTTTCACCGTGGCTTCTAGTATGGATAATACAAACGAATCGATTATTACAAAAAGTAAACAAAGAACCTTTCAGTAACCAGTATTATTGGCGTTAAAAGACATACCTCTGTTCACCATTGAGAGTGAAAGTGTTTCAAATAACAAATTTCAGCTGACCCGGTTTAATACATGGCAAGTCAAGTCACCGGACATGGGATAATCCGTGGAGCTTTATTCCTATCACTCAGTTTATACACATACAATTTGTTTGAAGTCTCAAAGACTAAACAAATTCTTGATTTTAGATAATGTAAAATGTTGATTGTCACACCTTTTGTTATTGAACAAACAATATGACCAGCGATACTGTTTAAAACAGTATAAGAATTGCTAACAACACTACATTTTAAATTGCTAAAAACAGTTGAGCAATATCATTACATACATAGAAACATATAAACAAAACCAATATCTAAGAATTAAACAGTTATTTAGATAAATAATGTTCTTTTATCACAGGGGGTAAAAAGAAGTAATGCACAATTGCTGCAAAGAAAATTTAAATGACCCCAAAGTTTACAAAAGATGGGAGAACGAGAACAACCGACTGAAAACGCAAGACAGTACTCAAAGTTAAAAATTCACAATGACTTATATTAAGTCGTGACTCATTTAGTTGACAGTAAAGTGGGGAGGGAAGATACCACGCTTTCCGTACCATTGACCATTACGCATAGCAAAATTCCAGTAAACGAAAGGGAAAACATCCTTTTTAAGATAGTAGTAAGGACGACGAGGAACGGATTGGTCAAGGAAGCGAGAGTATCTGCCAAAGGATTCAGTAGGAACTTGGTTGTACTTGAATTCGGCCAAAATGAGTTTGCCATATCCAGTCAATAATGGGCAAGAAGAATATCCATCATAAGCGGCAGTCAAGTTCTTACCATTGACTAAACTCCAGAGGTTGTGTACCATGACGGGTGTTTGAGAAGTTATAGCAGCGTATGTCTTACTGGTGGGAAGGCCAGAGCAATCACCAATGGCAAAGACATTAGGGAATTTAGTCGACTGAGTGGTGGCAGGGTTAACAGCGACAAAACCAGCTTTGTCGGCAAGATCACTCTTAGCAACGAAGTCGTGAGAACGCATAAAAGGAACAGCGTGTAACAAATCGAAGGGACGTTCGAAAGTGGTATTATTGGTGGTATTTTGGAAGACGGCCTTACGCTCTTTACCGTTTACTTCGATAAGATTGTTGTTATAATTGAGATGAACATTACGGTGAAGAGTTTGATTTTGACGTTCCAAGGCATCCGAGTAACGTTTGACAGAGAAGAGAGTAGGGCAACCAGAGTAGAAAGAAACTTGAAGGTTGTTGCGAACATTTTGACGGCGCCAGTAATCTTCAGCCATCCACATAATCTTCTGAGGAGCACCAGCGCACTTCAAAACACCACTAGGTTGGGTAAAGATGGCAGTACCAGAGGTAGTTTTTTGAATCAAGGGGAAAACAGAGTCAGCATGCTTGGCCGAATAAATGGTGGTTACAGGGACTGAAGGGTCATCAAGAGCTTCACTCAAACCCTTCACACGCTCAAAGTCAGTGTGAATACCGGCAGCCATGATAAGATAATCATAAGAAATTTCATGACCACCCTGAGTTACAATTTTGTTGTCCTTGGGGTTTAAGGACTGTACGAATTCTGGATGCAACTTGAACTTATCTGAAGGAACCAAGTCACTGAGATTACGTTGGTTCTTGGCCACAGAGCTAAGTCCAGCACCAGCCAAGGTCCATCCTGGTTGATAGTAATGATGCTTAGCACCATCGACGATACCAATTTCACCCGATTTAATCGAGGTGTCTTTACCGTCCCCGTTGGCAAAACGGTACTTTGAAAATTTGTTGTAAATTTGATGGGCGGCAGAGATACCGGCAGAACCACCACCGACGATCAATACTTTGTGATGAGTATGAGCCAAGCGAGCCAAAACGAACGCACCCAAAGAAGAAGTAGATGCCCTAGAGGATCTTACTGCTGGGGAAATCTGATTCGAAAGCATGACAGACAACCAAAAACGTTGGGATGGATGCTAGAATATAAAAAAACAAAAGTAAAAAAAAGTGAGATCCGCTTTTTTTAGTACGATAAAAGCACAGGAAAAGCTGTTCCTCTCCGAACGCTTCTTACAAATAAAAATTACAAATTTTTTTTACCTTTTCTTGTCAAAATTGACGAGAACTTTTACTTACAACAAGACTTGGTAGTTGGAAGAAGGAGAGTGAGAAAAAACACGAGTACGGAAACTCGTAGATGAGAAATACTGACGACTTCGGTTTTGCAATGCGCAACCTGAAATACGAGCTCCGTGACACCCGAACCTTCAATTCAATTCAAGGACAAATCAGAAAGGCGAGAATTTCGTTTGTTTATATGGAAATAGCGGATACGTCAGACTGGCGGATATCGCACAAATGAGAAGCCGTGTTACGCAATATCATCACTATGTTGCGAGCGTTCCTCTCTTGCGATTGGAAATTTAAAATTCTCACTGGAGAATCGTACGATCACGCTATTAATTATAAGGAGAATTAGGTGACTACGAAAAATGCGTAAAAGAAAACATAAGGTCACGTATAATATATAATTACGATATAGAATATACCATCGGTATATGATTAGCGAACACAGAGGTTTCGCCGTAATCAACAAAAGAAGATTAGAAGCTAGGCAAGGCAGCTTGTGGAATGGGAATTACGTGTGAAAACTGTAAACTTGTTTATCAGATTTTTTTTATATTTATGAGAACAATTCTTCTTTTTTATTAATTTTTTTTTTGATACCTATCACCATCGTGGTTATTTCCACCAGACAGGAATGCCAAGACCGTCTCTTGCGCAGGAAGCCTACAATAGTTAGCTTGGAAATGTTCCTTAAATATCCTACACTGAAATGACTTACAATAATGGTATATGGAGCCATGGACTCGAGCGCTTCGGATCCAGCAACCGCAGTAGCACCCTTGTTCCTCTTCGGAGAAATATCGACAAACTCTTCGGATTCAACCTGGAAGCGAATTTCTTCATCCACATCAAAATACAGTTCTGGTCCAGGCTGTCCTTCTTCACCTTCTAGTTTCCATACCCAAGCCCGCTCTTCTGGTCGATACACAGATGGGTCGAACAGCATGTCTTTAGGTATAAACAAGTCATCAAAAAATCCAAGCGTTACTGTCCAAATTGTTAGAATTCACATGCTTCCACATCATTACCAAAATCATGCATACCCCGTATACCATCTTCGCTGCACGATTTGATTCTTCCCAGCATCACTTCTCCACGAAATGGTCGAAACACAATCAGCCGAAAAGTAACTAGATTATAAATTAGTTCTTTTTATTCAAACATTTCTTCCTCCTCCAAGTTGTATCTATCCTTACCATTCATAAATGAGGATCCATTTCCATATTTAATGATTCCTTCTCCTATTTTCGTAAAGTCATACACACAAATGGCAAGTCCAACTTCTTGAATCACTTTATTTGCGTACTTCTTATGAATCTCCTCTGCTAATGCTTCTTTCGTCGGTTTCCAAAAATTTGATGGATGAATGCTTATTATATCCGAAATTTGACTCAACAAAAACATTTTTAATTGTTTTTTGTTTTTCCTTTTTTTTTTAACTGTAGAACAATTCCTAAACACCCCTTTTCACTTCTATGTATCGCCCGTAGTGTATGTACTTCTGGTAACTTGCTGTTCTTTCTTTCTCCCGGTTTTTCAATCTGCTTTTTCACTATGTCCCATGCAACAGTAAACTTATTATTATCCCAGACACCCAATTGAATTAATAAAAAAAGTCGAATCGTTTCCTTCACAGCAATTTTTTTTTTTGGGTATGCGCTTCTGCAGAGCATATCATGTTACCTTGGATGTTACTTTTAATGAGTTCAGCGAAATAGGCCTTTTGGTCTGAATAAATGGCATAGGCTCTCCGATGCTTGTAGATTGTCATACTAGAGAAAGCTGAACAAAGGTGGTTCTGTCTATCTTTTTAGTCCAATATTCATAACTTACTTATTACACACCCAGACGACTACATCCGTAACTTGTCAGGTATATTTACAGTGTTTCAATGCTAGTGAAAAGTATAAACAACTTAATTAAAGAGAGTAAATGTAAGACGAAGAAACAATATGTACAATGAAAAAACATGATTAGCTCCGGCTCAATTTATTCTAGATGCAAGCTCCATAGATACCAATAAATATTTGTAAAACAGTTTCAAAGAATTATTAAAGAGTTTCCCAACCTCCGGTATCATTTACGCCATCCAGCTTCCTTGCAATAAAAGAAGGTATAAACCCATTTAACCATGTATTTCTAACAGTTTCGTCGTATCGTTTTTGCGATAAGTATTGAGATCGTCCTCGTCGTAAACCAAGATCCGGTTCACCGTAAGTATCCAGAAAAGGGGCCACCGCAAAGCTCCCAAGAGGCGGGTTTAAATATAATACTGCACATCTCTTGGTGATAAAAAAGATCCCAACATCTCCAGCACATTGTTGTATATGTAGATTACACTCACCAATACCATTGAATGCACAACAGTAGCTCTGGAAACATAAAAATTGTCCACAAAACAAACATATAGCTGGCTCTAATGGTTCTGTAAGACATTTCGAACATTTTTTTCCCAAAAGAAGCTCAAATAATTTATCGTGTTCAAACGGTAAAGAGACTAATTCGGGGATGGAAGGACTATATAGACGTGGAGACTCGCATAAGCTACTACTAAATGCGAAGGACTTAATCCAAAATTCCACAATCGACCATTTCCGGGAATCATTCGTATTCAGTAATCTATTTGCCAACGTCCCTATATTATCCAGTTGAAGTTGTCTTTGTAAACGTTGCTGCTCACAGGCAGATATACCATCACTTACTGACGGGCTCTCAAATGATATCCCATAACGACAGTACCATAGCAGGGCAGATTTCCTTAGAAAAACAAGCTCAAATTTTTCAACCAAGTGGTAAAGAAGAGACAACATTCGAAGATCGCTTAGATCATGATTGTTAAAAATCTCGGGATTGTTTGAATGATCGGCTAGGCCACTCCACTGCCAAACGCGAGATACCAGCAGTTGAAATCCTTCGAGCATTTTAGAATCCAACACTTGAACAGATTGGCTATGCATAAGCTGCATCAAAGCTACTTTGCTTCGCAGCAAAACCCTCAAATTCTTGACAATGTCAGACAAATAATACAGCTGAGTCAACGTATGAAATGAATTTTCGCAAATCACAAGACCTGAAACACTTGCTTCTGCGAATTCACGGAATGGATCCTTTTCCAGCAAAGGTTCGATTCTATCATCACTTATTACATTCGTGAAAGGAAGTTCTAATGAATGGAAAACTTTGCCAAACAGTCTTTTTTGTTGGCAGTAGCTAATCAACTCGTACTCCTGCATTGAACTGTCTATGCTTCTCTCAAAATCATGTGCACATAAAAGGGTGTACGTTTTAACTGTTTCTGATAAAACTCGTAAGAAAACTTGCTGCTTTTTACTGATATTGTAAAACCAAACACCAGGCAAAGTACTGCCAGCTGCTTTAACATTTCCTCGAGCAGATAATTCAACTTGGGTTAACGTATAAGAAAAGAGCTTCAAGACATTCGTTATTTTACCGTTCAAAGGTAGATAATCACTAGAGTAAAGGGAAGAATTTAGATCCACCACCTCATTCAGTCGCCGATATAACTCAAATATGTCTTCAGAAATTATAAAACGATCTTCCAAAGACTTTCTTTCACTTGGAATAGAATTAACAGGCGAAGAATCTGTTATATTCAGATAGTTGTCCGACTGTGATGTTAAATTTTCTGTAGATTTATTCCCATTGTTGAGGGTATACACTTCCTTCAGCGAGTCTTTAAATGCGTTTTGGAAGAGGTCCGGGAAAATGGGATTTGACGAACTTGTGCCTTGTGCATTGATATCATTTATCGAATACAATTGAGTACTCGGCATGGATTCATTTATATAAGGATTCGGAAACAACCACGCTGTCAAGCCGCAATCATTGGTCCTGACTTCTGAAGAATTCAATTCTTCCTTTGGCCTCCACAGAATAGGTAAGATTGTGTTACAAAGACCCTTACAGAGCGGACACAAGAACTCTTTCATGCTTAAATTGTGAGGATGATTCCGATAAGGGTTTGATCGTGTAGTTAATGTTACACTAGTCATTAGGTTTTTGAAACAATCGATGTGCATCAAATGCCCACAACTATTAGCGTACAATCCTCGATCCAAAGAATCCGAAGGAAATCCTCTTAAAATATCTTTTGAATCTAAATCTTCGATACCTTCAAATTCTGAATAGGAGTTATGGGAAGTATACGACTGATAGTTATCGACATCGTCCAAATCATGTTTATTGTGAGCAGCAATACCAAACGGACGAGATGGAAGTGTCCGATCTAAATTGACGGGTAGATCGTATATCTCTCTTAAATTAGTAAAATCAACAGACGGCAAATATCGAAGTACAGAACTCCTTTGAATGAATGCAAGTGTACCATAAGGTCGCTTATCCCTAAGTTCTTCTTGACAAAGCAAACAAGATTCGACCGGAGGCTCCAAAAACAATCTTGTACTAAGTGTACTTGTAATTGAGGAGGTATCGGCGTCATCCATTTCTGAATCAGATAATTCAAAGTCCGTATTATTTTCTAAAAACCTATTTTGCTGTAGACGAAATTGTTCCATAATGCGTTGCTGTCTTTCTTTTGCTAAACGTATCTTTGCTTGACGTTGCTCTGATTCCTCGGCTTCCGATAGTGATTGAGCAACTTTAGAAGATGATACCGTTAATGTCTCCCGGTATAATTTTTCATAACACGAAGGAATTCTGTTTTTCAGAATAGAAAATAAATAATTCAATTTTTTTCTTGCAAACGCAAATTCAGTATGATCTTTTATTTGATACAACACCGTGAATAAAGACACATACGAACTATTACAATACTGATCGAGCCCACCAACTACCGGGTATTTCGTTTCACAAAATTTCAAAGCAAATCTTGGTTCGTCGTTCATTTCTGCAGTGAAAGCAATTAAGCAAGCATGCAAAGTTGCCAGCAAAAGACCTTCACATTTACCTTGATCAGAAGGGTACAAATAACAGTAATTCACAGAATGCCATAAAGTTTTCAGAAAAACATCACTTTGAAGAACATGAAGTGTTTTTGTAGAGGTGATGATAGGATGATAAGCTTCATATACCACATCATCAAGCTGTTTGTCATGTATTCTTGAATACTTCCTCCTAAGTATTAATTCGGCTTCCTCACGCTGGTTTCGCGAATAATGAACATTAAAAGGATCTATTAAGTTGAAATATTCGTCCTTTAAAGCAAAAGTTCCAGTGTCATTTATGCCTTCGGCTGGCCGAAAATTTGTTATCTCATGTAAGGTCTCTTCAAATTCTCTTTGATCTAAGAAATGTTCACAAACGCGTTTAATTATTTCAGAATAGGACAATGGCTGAAAGCAAAGAAGATGTGCAATTTCATGTTTTATGTTATCAGACATATTCCGGTCGTCCAATATAGCTGTATGACTAACTAAGGATATAATCAAAAGCATAAATTCTTCAAGCATGCTTGATAATTGGGGGATATCGTAGTGCTTATGCGCAATGAAATAATTACCTTTAAATTGGTCGCAAAGTTGGTATCTTTCTGAGTATATAGGAAGCACCACATTCGGGTTACCGTATACCAAAACAAGTTGTAGTAAGGTAAGATCCAAATCAAATGTATACTCATGGAAACTTAAGTTTCTGTAATGATGAGCTTGATCACGAAGTGTAGTTCCATTTCTTATCCAAAGTTTCGAGCGCATCTGGGCAAGCCAAGCGCAAACTCTCAAAGGGTGATCCACGACCCGTAATAAATCGCTTTCACGCCATGCTCGCTCAAAACCAGGTTTCTTCATATGAAAAGACAATAAATAAGTTAATAACCAATGTAACGGATGATGAAATGAAATAGGTTGGAAACCAATATCATACTCAACCAAATGAATCATTCCATTCCTGTCCTCCCACGTCCCAGTTGTTGATGATTCAGTATTACTCCATGAATCAGCAGGACGATTTCGTGGCTGTATTATCGCTCCAAATAAATAATCAATTGCAACTTTCAATCTTTCTGGGTCTAAGTAAGCAAAGACATTCCCAACATGTCTACAAAGCTTTGCTACTTGCAAACTGACATTCAAGACGTACATCCATGAATCGCTTTCCCATTCCACATGTTGCGAAATTGCACGCGTATAAGGACTCATTCCTTGAAAAAGTGAGAAGAAGTCAGCATACTGCTTCAAAAAGCGAGGGTCTTCGCGAACTGCCTCAGCAACGCAGTCAATCCCCAACATAAATTGTATGTGATGAAAAATATGGATGTACCTACGAGAGTGAAATGCCGTAGAATCAACTCGTATAATAGCTTGATCATCAACGAAGTTTGGAGCAGACAACACTTTGTAAGTAAAAAAAGTATAGAGGGTCGCGTTTACAGTGGTCAGAAAATCAAAATCGCTTATCAACACTCTTGCTATCCCGAAAACAGTGAAAATTTGCATCGAAAAGAATATAACTGAATGCTCAGGTTCTCTGTCTAAAAGCAAAAATAGTTCGGCAAGCCTCCGATATAGAATAGCAATACGGGTTCCCATAACTTCTTTAAAACCAGGAACATTTATGAAATAACCTAAGTAAAGCTCTTGCAATTTGTATCTCAAACTTTTCCAAAGCTTCAAGTCGTACAAGAAAAAGTAATCAAATCGAGTCTTATATAACACCTCATGCTTTCCCTTCTTTAAATAAGAGGGTGTCCAATGGGTAGTAGCAGTTCGAAATGAGTGATTATCTAATTCACTCTCTTCAAAATTTTCGCTAGCGGATTGCAACATCATCTGCACTGATCGATCATGAGTTTCACTAAGGAAGGCGTCTGAATTATCAATGGCGACTATTTCGGATTTGGCAAAAGATGGAGATTTCGACGAGTGGATACTTGACTGTAGTCCACATTTCCAAGGTTTTATAAGTTCTTGACAGATAATAGTCCTAATATAGCTTTTATCACCGCATACTTCGCTTCCAGCGATATCAGCCAGCCATTCCACTAAGACACCGCAGCATTCTTCACGAAATGTGTCCCTCATAGACCGTATAGTTACCGTCAGATTGATCTGAGCAAGCTTGTGACCGATCCTCAATAATTCTTTTATGTTTGAATCGGTTACTACGCAAGCCCTTCCGGTATCATTAATTATATTCGATAGTCTTTGCCCAAACGAGTCATTGGGAGCATCGAACGCAATGGTAATTTGTTCATAAAATTGCTTGAAGGAGTGTTTTTCATCATTCCAAAGCATTAAGGAGTATAAATTACACGAATCATCAATCTCCCCGTATTTATCCTCACTCAACCTACTTGAATGTTCGTCTTCAATGATCGACTCATAAGTAGGCATCTTCTTTAGATTTTCGGGACTACAATGGAATACGTCAAGAATAAAATCCAAAACGCATTCTATAGTTGCCTTAATACTTAAGGCAAGTTTTTCATCAATTTCTTGGGTACCGCTTTTTGTTTCACTTATATTTTGTAATGAATTATGAATCTTGCACGGCATTTCGCGAATCCAGGCACTAGAATTTCCGCAATCGCAGCAGCCTCCGCTTCCAGCACTAATCGTAAAGGAGGTTTCATGTCCTTTGTGATTTGTCGCACGGAAACATTTCACGCATAAGGCAGAGTTACTGTCGATGCTGCAAGTCTTGCATCGATAGAAGACTTCACCTTTCTTAAATATACGACCGCAAGAATGACCGCATACACCAGGACGATATTCATCGCCTTCCCTATACCCTTGAGCGTAACGTAGCTTAAAAGAAGGTCCAATAACAGGCTTTTCTGGCAAGAAAGCGTGCCATAAGGTATGATCATAACCCAAAAGTGCGGAAAATACTTCGTTCAACAAAGACTTCCTTGAGGATTCGGACCACATAAAAGAGTACATCAATGCATGGGATTGAAGGAATAACAGCAATCGCCTGCGTATTAAAGCATATCGTGACAAATGTCGGTTCGTTTCGCTTGATACCATGGCATGCTAATCGGCGAAAGGATAATCAATGGATCAAATTTAAATATACATAAAAATAAAATCAAGAAAACCAATGCTTTTTAGAAAATGTGAAAGCAATGGTGTCGTTTGGGGGTGTCAAATATTTTAGTAATACAACGCTAAAAGCACAAACCAAGAACTGAATTAAACCTTTCTAGGTTGAGTAAAGGTAAACTATATACCCTAATGGAAGGGGAAAAGTCTTTTTCTGGGTTTGTATATTCAAAATTTGTAGTTTTTTAATAATAACCGATGACAGAGCACGTTTGGTTGAAGGCAAACTCGTTATCCCAGAAAGCAGAAGGAAAGATGGAAGCGTGAGGCAAAAATTGCAAGTCAGGCCTGGATATATTGCTCCAGAAGATACTCCCCGGTACAGACCCGGCAGTGGTGGACTAGCTTTTTTGGAAAACCAGATGCGAAAGCTGAAGCTGGAAAATGAAAGCAAGGATGACAAAAGAAAGCAGCAGGAGAATAGTGAGAAGAAATCTACAATTTCTGTTGATGAAAAAGGCAGGAAATCTGAGGAAATCGTTAAAGGAACGATGGAGAGTACAGAAAAAGAGGATGTGAGGCCGATAAAAGATCAAGCTCTTCCAAGACCGACAGAAGCAAAGAAAAATAAGGAAATGCGAAATTTTGAAAAGAATTCTTTGAAAACTTCTAGCAAAAGCATGACTCCCGAATGGCGAAGATCGGCGCGACCATTTCACCAGGAAGGTTCTGAGAAGTCTTCAAAACCGAGAGCAGCTGATGACCATCCACGAACTTCAAAAGGGAAGTTGAAACAGAGAAACGAAGAACAATATTCGAAAAAGGAGCGAAGTTTCCGTGGAGCAGGAAACAAATGAATGTTGGAGAATGTGTTAGTTCGATCGATAGCTAGCACGTAAGCTATAATAACCAAGCAGAAGATTCATAAATTAATTGCATGAGAAAGTTTTATCTGTCATATCAAAACTGAGATACGGGAGAAATCATGAGGTATTTAGGGATTCCGAATCTGATGAAAGAGCAGAGATGCTTTGAAAATGTCAATATTAATGAGAAATGAAAGAAAGAATCATATGAGAAAGAAATCCTCCATGCATTGGAAGAAAATAACCTCGATTGACTATTGTTTATAGAGAAGACGTCCTTTATATATAAGCATAAGGCTATTACATGATTCTTTTTCCATTGAAATTACAAAGATTTATTAAGTAGCATTTGTTATTATTACTGTAAATTTCATAGAGCTGCTCATCACCACGACAACTCTTACATATTCCTATTCTGGGAGGATCAGATTGATTCATAGAAGGTAGATGCAAGAAAAATAGAATAAAAATAAATAAAACCTTTCAAGAATTATAATTTTTCTCTTTTAAGAAGTTACCATTTACGAATTCCCAAATGATGACTTCCTCGATTAAAATGTTTATCTGATCAGATAATATTTTACCTTAAGCGATGCTTAGTGATGCGGAAAATGACTTACGAACGAGTTTTATTTCTCCTTAAACGACACGAACAGACCAAGGTTATTGGAATTTGGATCCAAGTGTGTTTGCGCTTAGCATCATCCTTCATTCAAAATGTTTCAGTCTATGATTTTAGATCGAATGAAAAATACGTTCTTTGGAGAACTAAAGAGTTGGAATTTTTCGTATGGAACACTCGAACGACTGAATGGAAGTACACTAACTAAACTTTCAGGATTTACGCTCAATGGCTCGGGATTCTTTCGATTTTCTGTAAGTAAAAGGCATTCAGCAAGAGAGACATGTTTGCATATTGATGGACGACGAAAGAAATCACCTCCTTTGTCGGAAACTATTGGAGTTGAGTCTGTAAATTGTGGTAGACACTGATGCAAGTTGGGTACACAATACTCAATTTTCGTTGTAGTGCACGATGGACATTGCTTTTATGTGGATTGAGTATACTAACATGAGAATGTAGTGTGTATTATTTTGGGAATTGTTAATTTGTTTCACATCACATTAGTCGTATTGTTCTCGGCCTTGACCATTGTGGAAGGTGTGCTGTTAGTTTTTATTGAACTTCCCTTCTTGGCACGCATTTGCCCAGTTTCTCAAAAGTTTCAAACATTTACGAATACTTTTGCAAGCAACTATTACCGTGGGGTACGAATTGTTTTTGCATAAAACTGGTCATGTAGATGAATCACTAACACTTGAATCAATAGCTTATTTACGCAATTTTCGCAGTGGTGACCTTTTTGGGCTGCATTTTCTCGGTTACTAGCTTGATCGCGGCTGGTGTTGTCTTGGGTTTAACTGGTATATGTTATACCTTTGCAGGAATCAAGGGCCAGGCATTTACGTCGAGCTCCACCCTCGGTGGGACCGGACAAGGAAACAATGACGCTCCCGCCGGTATGGTATAAATATAAAGAACGAATAGCGGAATAATGCCACTATACCTACCCGACTTTCCTTACTTTTGCTTGGCATGACATAGCATAGCATGGTATGACATGTCTTGAAGGCCAATGCTTCAACAACGATCGTTTGAGGTGAAAAGACCGTATACTATAACCATCCTTTGACACTTTTTAATCTTCTACAATAACTTTTGTACGTTTTCTACGACTAGGAATGGTTGTTTGCAAAATGTTTTGCGTTATAGAATAGATAATATAATGAAAAGAAATTGAGTAAGTTTTTTTTTTATGATACCAAAAGCAAACAACAGTTAATCCTCAACTTGGTATGTATTTTCCTCCAGACGACGTTCAAGCTCGGCCTTGATTTGTTCCAGACGATGCTCGTTTACGAGAAGACGTTCGTCGTCGATTTCTTCAATAACGATTCCAGGTGACTTTTCGTCAATATTTAGAATGAGTTGTTTGACAGTTGGATCGCACTCCACCAACAACAATCCTTTTTGGGCTCTGGGCATAGGAGGTAGCGATGTGGTTGGTAGGTAATAGGGAAAGCAAGACAAAGGAAATATAGCTAGTTCTTGACAAATTCTTTGATTTGGATAAGAACTATTTTTTTACTTTTTACTTTTTTTGCTTTTCTTTAGCTCAAATAAGTTCCTAGAAACAGTTTATGGAAAAACTCTGTCGCATATAAAAAAAAATGGAAAGAAAAGAAAAAGAAGCAAAATAGAAAAGCGTTTTCACTACAGTTTTAATTAGTATTATTATTCAATTTAATCCTCCTGCTAATCTTTTTCAAACTTTTCTACTCCCATTCAAATAACTTTCTACTTTCTATTCAACATTTACTCTTTTCCCTTAGAAAATTACACTTGGGTTACTTATTTCTGCAAAAAAAAAGGTTTAGAGAAGATAAATAGTCAAAAAATCGTTATTGGGAAAAATATATACGCTAAGCGAAATGAAACGTACTAATAAAAAGGCATAAAATTTTCATAAAAACATAATCATCTCTCAAAAGAGACTTTCTGTTTACGCTAAGAAATGGAACCTCCCTATGTGTTTACTTTTCGTTTCTTCACATCGGGCGAACTTCCAGCTAGTTACTTGTCCTTAGAAGCAGTGTAGGCAAGCAAGTCAACACAACGACGAGAGTAGCCGTATTCGTTATCGTACCAAGCGACAAGCTTGACGAATTGAGGAGAGAGTTGGATACCAGCACTGGCATCGAAGATGGAAGAGTGAGTGTCACCGTTGAAGTCAGTAGAGACAACAGCATCTTCGGTGTAGCAAAGGATACCCTTGAGAGGACCCTCAGCAGCGGCCTTGATAGCCTTCTTGATGTCCTCATAGTTAGTGGGCTTGGCAAGTCTGGCAGTCAAGTCAACAACGGAAACGTTGGTAGTGGGAACACGGAAAGCCATACCAGTAAGCTTACCGTTGAGGCTAGGGATGACCTTACCGACAGCCTTAGCAGCACCAGTGGTAGAAGGGATGATGTTAGCACTGGCGGTACGACCACCACGCCAGTCCTTGGAGGAAGGACCATCGACGGTCTTCTGGGTGGCAGTGGAAGAGTGGACAGTGGTCATCAAACCTTCCTCAATACCGAAGGCATCGTTGATAACCTTAGCCAAAGGAGCCAAGCAGTTGGTGGTACAAGAGGCGTTGGAGATGACTTGTTGGTCGGGCTTGAAGCTCTCGTGGTTGACACCAACACAGTACATAGGAGAGTTGTCCTTGGCAGGAGCAGAGATGATAACACGCTTAACACCGTTCTTCAAGTGACCAGAAGCGGCTTCAGCGGTGGTGAAAACACCAGTGGATTCAATGACATATTCAGCGCCAGCAGTGTTCCACTTGATGTTGGCGGGTTCCTTCTCGTTGAAGACGGTGATGGTTTGGCCGTCGATGACCAACTTGCCATTCTTGGCACAAACCTCACCAGGGAAGCGACCGTGAGTAGAGTCGTACTTGAACATATAAGCCATATATTCAAGGTCAATGAAGGGGTCATTGACTGCGACTACTTCAACAGTCTTAGCTTGAATAGCGTTACGAAGGACAATACGTCCGATACGACCGAAACCGTTAATTCCAATTTTAGGTGCCATTTTCAATTGAATACTTTTACTATAAATCGATTCAGAACTTGAATGAACTGTAGTTGAATGGACTCTCATCTGCCTCTATTTATACCTTGTCAATTCCTCCTTCAAGCATCATAATGATTTCGTGAATTTCTATGGGTAAGGGTTCTTGGACACTACACAATTATCGCTTACTTCATCCCCTTTGTTATTTGACTCGCGCTGTACCGTTCTCATTGGTCACACCATGATCCTTGTTGCCTTCGCTCTGTTCTTTGCTTTTCTCTAAAACTTTCCTCTTCATCAGCCTGCCCCGTCTTGTCACCTTGATATCGCATGTTGCATCATCTTCCAAACATCGATGTCACCTTCATGACGTTCCTGGCTTCATCAAGTTCTTCGTACAAGATCTCTTCAGTTCATCGTCGTTGATGCATAACGTTCTTTGTTTCTTCTCTTTTTCCTCATGATCACATACTGTCTCTACCGTCAGTTGCTTACATAGTACCAGAAGCGTAATTCCATCATCCATCGAAAACTACCGGGTTCCCTAGTCTTCTCTATTACTTCTCCTCTTTTTGCTCTGCATCATTACATCTCTTTCTCAGACGTTGTTGTCTTTGCATGTCAGTTGGTTTCGTAAATTTGCTGGCCTCTCTTTTTGCCGAGTTGCCTCATTTCATCTCAATTCATCTCGTCATATTATGAACTGTCTCAACTCTCGGTCCGCGTGTCGTATTTTCGTATGATTGCTCTCTTGTTTTTCTTTTTTATTTACTCTTGATTCCATTTTCTTTCTACTTTTCCTCTACCGTTCTCTCTGGTCTCTCTCTAGCTATTCTCTTCTCTTTAGGTGTGTTTGCTTGCTTGTTCGTTCGTTCGTTTGTTTATTTGTTTGTTTACTCTTCTGCAAATCTTTACAATTTCGCAGATCTCTCGCTTTTGACGGGATATGACATCATAACCCCTTTGTTTTCCCGGATCATTTCAAACATCCTTTAACCGAATACTTCATATCTTACCTTATCGTCAATGACCGCCTATCTTTGTTGGCTCCATCCCACTACCGACCGCTACCTTTCCTCCTCCTTTGTTACTTTATTACTTCAATCCTACTACTCATCACCACCTTCACCACGACGCATACAAAAGCTCTCTTACTATCCTTTCAGTCTAGTAGTCCCTTTCATATTTACTCTATACTTAGTCAATAGCTTTCTACCAATCTTTTTTATAATGCAATCATCAGTCTTTTATTCTAAGTATACTTGTTGCTTCTATGCTTCTTCTTCATCCTCTTAGGTAATCACTGTAGGCTCCTTTCTTCCAGTCAATGCTTCTAAAGACAATACATCTAATGCCACTTCAATCACTGGCTTCAAGGCTACTTGAGTATCCAATTCGTACTTGCTAGCATCAGACTCATGCTTTTCAATGTACAAACGCAAAGTTGCTCCGCTAGATCCTGTTCCGGAAAGTCGAGTTACAATGCGACTGCCGTTCTCAAACTTGGCATACAATCCTTGGTGCTCACTTACACTTCCGTCAACGACGTCACGGTATGCAAAATCTCCTGCATTTGCAATAACAAATCCAGGTGCAACTTGCTTGCCCACGGCATCCTTTGCTTCCACAAGCGAACGGAATTTTTGAATTACCTTGGATGCTCCTTCACTATCCAATTCTTCATAATCATAACGTGTAAAGAAAGTTCTTCCGTAAATGCTGTAGAAATCTTTCATCACATCCTTGATCGTCTTGATCTTGGGGTTTTGGGCATTCAAAGCAGCCAAAATGTTCAACCAACTCAAAATACCCCACATGCCATCCTTCTCACGGATGTGGTCACTACCGGTACCAAAGGATTCTTCACCACAAACAGACAAGCGCTTTGCATCAAACAAGTTGCAAAAGAACTTCCATCCAGTAGGAACTTCATAAACTTCCTTGCCCTTGTACTTACCAACCAAATCAATGGCTCCTGAGGTGGGCATCGAACGTGCGTAACCATGAATGCCACCTTCGCGGAAATAGGGAATAAGATCGGCATGGTGAGCAATAACAGCAACACTGTCACTAGGGGTAACGAAAGATTCGTATCCATAAATCATGTTTCTGTCACCATCACCATCGGAAGCAGCACCAAACACAATCTTCTCGCGTTTCACACGTTCAACCAAAGACTTGGCGTAGGTAAGGTTGGGGTCAGGATGACCACCACCAAAGTCCTTCAAGGGTTGGCAGTTATCACAGGAGCTCTCGGGTAATCCAAGTTCCTTATGAAAAATGGCCAATCCGTAAGGACCAGTTACACCGTGAAGAGCATCAAAAACAAAGGTGAAGTCGGGGTTCTTGGAAATAAATTTGCGAATCAAGTCAAAATCAAAAATTTGCTTCATGAATTCCACATAGTCTTTGACAGGGTCAATAATTTCCACTGTTAAGGGTCCGTATTTGCGTTCACCAATCGTACTCAAGTCAACTTCGGGAAGTTGGACTCTCTTGTACTCGGAAATGTTCTTGGTAATGGCAAACATTTTTTCTGTTACACCCTCGGGAGCAGGAGCACCATTGCTAAGGTTATATTTGATACCAAAGTCATTGTTGGGACCACCGGCATTGTGAGAAGCAGTTAAAATAATACCACCGTGTAATTTGTACTTGCGGATGACATGACTAGCGGCAGGAGTGGACAAGTAGCCATTGACACCAATAACTAGCTTTTCAACACCGTTGCCGGCAGCGATCGAACAAATGACTTGAATGGCATGGTCATTCAAGTATCTACCGTCACCACCCAAAACTAATTTCGCGCCCTTAGAAGAGGGTTCCACAACATCCATGGTGGCTTGGACGAAATTCTCCAAATAGCCTGGTTGTTGGAAAACGGTTACCTTCTTACGCAAACCAGAGGTACCAGGGCGTTGACCTTCAAAAGGCTTCGTAGCAATTGTTTCAATCATTATGCAGACGTTTTCAAGAGATCGTTAACCACGTTTATCGTAAATGCAAACAAATCAAATTATGTATATTATGCAACAAGGGAACGTAAATCAGAAACTTCGTTAACAATAAAAGACTTATTATATAACACTGTTTCGTGAAATGAGCAGATTTCTTCAAGCTGGTCTTGTCAACTCCTAGTTTAGTAGTATATGCAGAGGACAAGTGGATCCTTCTTGGTTTGTATATAAACAGACCAAAACTCCCGTATAACGAAAATTAACGAAACAGCCCCACATCTTTATGATTTTCGTTGCTACCTATCAACCAAATCTACGTCATACAAAAACAAATAATACATCCATTAAACAGACGTTCTCTACAACTGTAAATTTTTCCCATAGGTCCAGAGCCTTCGGAGCAAAAAGTCTGAGACTCCCTCGAAAGCCTATTCTTCCAATGGAACCGCTGCTAGTCCTTAGAAATGAATTGTATGGATGAATTTTGACTTTTTAGTTTAGGTTGACAACAAATATGACCAACGCCGTGACTTGAGCAAAGGTAAAGTTAAACAGTTCCCGTAACCCCAAAGTATAGTTGAATCGCCTTACTGAATCCACCATTGCTTTCCATGAGGATGAAGAAAGTAAACAAAAGAGGTAAATAGAAAAAACGGTAAATAAACCATAGAAAGAAATGTCTGAAAAAAAAAAAAAAAAAAAAAAAAAAAAAAAAAAAAAAAACTAAAGAGAGACGAGTAATTCTTGCAAGGAAAAGTACAAGATTGTGCCATACAGTACAAATACACTTCTACGAAAAATCTTGATCTGTTCTTATTAAGGTAATAATAAAAGCTGTCAACGCACTTAGACATATTAAAGAAAATAGAAACGAAAAAAAAAAAAAAGATTTCAATCAATTGTTTATTAGCGGGTATTGTGTAAAAGAAAAAGCCTCATTAAAATTTGAACTTGGGCAAACGATGGTCAAAAAACCACTAATTTCAATAGTTAACTGTAATATGGAAATAGGAATAAAAATCATCAGTAATTGTAAAGGAAAGTGGATAGTATGTCTTTCTTTGGGAACCTGCCTTCAAAGTACCATACTGTGGGATATCTCGTAAATTGAAAAAATCGATATGCAAACATCAACCGTTAAATAATATTCATATGGTTATTTCACGACGCTGCCATAGACAAACATACCAGCGACCAGCACTGAAAAAAAGAAGGGAAATATAGAAACAGAGAGAGAGGATGGGTAAGAAAAAAGTTCACCTTTTCTTCATTAAGCATACGGAGAATTACATGAAATATATATGAAACGAGGAAACACGAGGACAAGATGGATTAGAAACCCCTCTTAGTTTTACTCTTTACCTCGGAAGACGGTGGGTGCTTCCGTTGTAAAATGAAGAAGTGTGAGAGGCCGGAGGATGGGAACCACGATTTCGGAGCGGTGGAGACGTAGCGCCAAACAGGGACGACGATCCATACAAGGACTTTTGCTCACGATTACAGTCTGGAGGAAGAACACCGATATGAGGTTGCTGAGAAGGTTCCATCGTGCGGGCGAAGGATGTTGTGGTGGAACTGCTCGCGGCTTCTGGGAATAATCGTCTCGGCTTCAGTGATGACAAGTCCGTCCCTTCTGTAAACATTTTTTTCACTTTTTTCCCACGAAAAACATAAAACAAGCCATCGGATGGCGGTGTTTCCAATTCACGTTTCCGTTTAGCAATTAATTCATCGGATGCAGGCGGTCCCAAAAACGGGTTGTTATCAGCATCTTCTTCAATGAGCGGGAGAGCCTGGGAGTTTCGTTCTCGAAGTAAAGAAGGAAACAACCGCTTTTTTGGTGTTTTCGCAGGTGTCGGTGGTAGCCCGTTGCAAGAAACTTCAGCGCTCGGTAACCCAGTATATCTAATACTTGAGTCGTTCGCTTCAGTGTCAAAATAGCTTTCAAGATCAAGCTTGGAGCTCGATGGTGACTCTGGAGTGGTAGGAGTACATACAGGCCGCAAAGGCGGAGTAGTAGGCTCCATGTCTATAAAATAAAGGAAAAAGGGATTTGACGATAGATAGAGCAATAATAAGTATTCTCAAAGACCGAGCAATTCAAATAAATGAATTAGACAAACTCTAAGTATTTTTGTGACGGAAGTGTTATAGAATGTGGTCTAGGAAGAAAGACTTCAGGTACGGTTCTTCCCCTTAGAGGTGAATAATAACAAAGAAAACTAAGTTTTGCAATCCACAAAACAAAAGTGAATCAAAAAAGATTTAAAAAACAAAACGGATTTACAAAGGATAAATCAAAATATAATGTACCCAAAAGGTTGGAATGCAATCTCAGACTATGCAGCTTTTTGATCAAGAAAAACCTATGGTAATACTGTACCAAGAAGATTAACCAAAAGAGGTATATAAAACCAGTTGAAACAATAACAATAATTATTGTAAACAACTAAATGGACTTTTTTAACAGAAACTCATCAATCCTATGTCTTGAGCTAAAAATTAGTACCCAAAAGTGTTATACCGTGAAGAATTCGTTGATTCAAAAGTCTCATAAACTCAAAGACTTGAAATCGTCGAAATTCTACGTTTAAATGGACCTTCGATAAAGCAAGCAAATGAAACTTTATTAGCAAAAAAAGACACAATAATCCTTCAATTCAAAAAACGCGCGTTTTTATGTTTTCAAATCCAATGGGTGGATGAGTGTTATTGCTAAATCGCGACACGACACGAAAATCTCTCATTGTTTTGCAGGTAGCAAAGTAAACAAAGCGAGTAACATTATAAACAGAAAGCGTTAAACAAAGAAAAGGGTCCATAGTCTTTGTTTTTTTTATTCATTATTCTTCTTTTTGATTTCTTTGTAACGATAGAGAGTTATACTTGCATCAAAGCATAGAAAGCTATTGTCTTCATTGGAAGCTAGTAAACAAAGGAAAACATGACAATCATAGGCAAACCGTAGACGGAAAGAAACCTGTTTAAGAGGGCTTTAAGAGAAAACTGCAAGCTATCTGATTTCAAGGATTTTTTTTTTTGGGGGGGTATATGCAAAGCTCTTATTAACAGCACTTTCCATTACCAAAAGCAATATCTTTTACTATATTCTGTTTTCAAACTATGCAATAATAAAAAAGAAATTTCAACGTGTCCTAGAAAAAGATCTTGCACAAGCTTCCCATGTATCCACATACTTTTCAACGTCTAGCTGCGAAGAACAAAAGTTGTATCCAAAAGAGTTGTTAATTTATATCTAGAAATATTCTTTTACTTTTCATTTAATTACCTCTCTAGACATTGTCATTTACCTTAAGATTTACTTGCAGTCGTTTACTTTCATTTTTAACAGGCTTCAGACCAACTGATGATTCTCTAAAATTTGTTGCATCAACTTCATTCTATGAAAAGGATTTTTTCAAGGCTCTTTTACTACAATAAAACTAAGAATGTCGGGTGACTTACGACAAGAGCTGCAGCTACTTAAAACTTTTAATGAAGTGATTGAAAAATTAACGGGGAGTTTGAGAGTCTCTTCAGAAAAACTACACTCTTTTGAAAAATCCATTCAGTCCGCTAATCAGCTAGTAAATGTATGGTCATCGGTACAAAGCCAAACAGATCATACGCAGCAGTTGCTACTGAATACAGATTGGAAGGGGCCTATGCAGGATCTTGAGGAAATTGAGACATTACAAAAACAAAAAATACAGCAAGACCAAGAACTAGAAAAACAACAACAAATACAATTACATCGTCAACGCCAAGCTGAAGAGCAGGCACGGCGGGAAAAAGAAGAAGCCTTGTTAGCTCAAAAGAAACGTTCAAGCGTTTTTCGAGGAAGAAATTCAAGACTATCTTCAGTCCCTTCTCGTAACGCTTCCTCTATTCCACCTCCTCGGCCCTCTTCGTCTATTACCAGTAGTACAACCCGTCCCTCCGCTTTGAATGCCCCTGCAAATAGAAGAATCAGCTCTTACTCTTCTGTTCCAAGACCAAGGGCTTCCGTAGCAAATCGAAGCGCTTCTTCTTCATATCCCGCACCGACATCGACCGTGACTTCAAATGATCCACGAGCGCAGCCAAGGGCGCCGGGCTCCTCAAGACGTAGTCTATATCCTAAAAGCTCTTCTCGTCTTCGCCCTCCGGAACGAACTTCATCAATGTCTATGGCTGGTACACGGCGAACTTCAGCCCTCCCCAGAAGGCCAAATTCTATCGTACGTTCGTCCACGCATCCAACAGGTACTCAGCGCAATCACCCGGGTTAACTACTTTTCAGCATTTTGCAATTTCTGTTCTTTTTTATTTTTTTATTCTATATTTAATCTATTTATTGCTATACTTTTTATCCCTCCGGCAGTAGTTTTTGATCCTTTTTATTCCACTTTTCAAAGGAGAGTCAAGAATCTGTAAATTCGATTCTACAGATACTTTTCAAAATTAAAAAACGAACTATTTACCCCATTTTGGAGAGAACATGCAACCATTTGTCTCAGATAGTTTATAATTCCTATTTATTGTTGGACGGCAGATTCTAAAGGTGTACGATAGTTATGGGAAGTTACTGTATCTATAAAACAAACTTTTCACGATGTTGGATTTGTTATGATGAGTTTGATGGATCGAACAGTGCTAAAAATCCCTGGAGACGACCCTGCAAATGTTCTTTATTAGCCCATGAAAACTGTTTAATTGCATATGTTACAAGCTCATCAAACAATAGATGTCCTCAATGCCTAAATGAATATAAAATTTCTCGATTTATGAAAAGCGAAAGTCGGTTCTTACGTGCTATCGGTCTTTGTCAAAGCATCGAGTCCGGACTAGCACAAGTCGCGCTTGGGACAGGTCTTTGTTTTGGTTTAGCAAAGTTTGTATACTCAATTTTAAGAAAAACTGGGTTTTGGGCATGTCGCCAAGTGGTCGATGAAAATTCGTTGCTATTGATGATGCAAAAGCCGCTATTTTCGTCGGCTATTCTTCCGATGCTTCCATATATGCTTCTCCGATTTTATGAAGCACCCTCTTATGACATTGGCATCAGTCTATATATTCATTGTTCTGTTTATTACTGCGTAGATCATTTTTCAACGACACAAATGTTGTTTTTTGCATTGCCAGGGATACGCTCTATTCACCAAGAGCTAAGGAGCTATCTTAAAAAAAAATTTTTGCCATCTCAACAGGAAGATGATGAACAGTCAAAGAGAGACTGGCTTCGAAAAATAGATGACCAAATTGAGAACCAGAACTTGGTGACTAATGAGGACGCAAAAGTCAACGACTCTGAATTATGGACTATTTTTTCTGTTGCTCACATGTTTTTAGATGTTGTTGCTAATGAATTACTTCGGGCTCTACGGCCTATTATCCTTATTCCTTTAGCAGGAAGATATTTGGGGCACTTTTTTCCGAAAACATTATCCAAGGTACAGAAAAGTATCCTAAGTGGTGTCTTTGCCCTGCTTATGAAAGATATGTGTAAATTTACATATTTGAGTTGGCGAGCCAGAAAATTCCGAGAAATCCGGATTCTGGATAACCAAACAGAGGACAAGCATGAAAAATGAGAAGTTTTCTTCCTTCGTTTTACTTTTCTTACTACAAACTTATTTATATACTACTGTCATATATATACCTCAGGTAAAGTTTTAATACTGACGAGCTGAACAGGACGTAATTTCATTATATTTTTCCTAATTAATTTCCATCTCTTCCTGAGATTCTTTACTTTTGTCTGTCTGGGTAGCAATCTGTTCTTGCTCTGATTGTTCGCCTTGAGAAGTGGTAGAGGATTCAGCCCTAGAAGTAGCAACATTAGAACCTGTTTCAAAAGAAAGGGATGTAGCACCAAATTGCTTTTGCGGTGTCGACTGAGCAGAGTTGGTAGCCACAGTTGAAGGAGTAGTAGAATGAGAATCTGGTCTGGTCTCACTATGAGCAACAAAAGGTTTTCCACTGTTGATATGCCTATACAAAGAATGAATCAAGTCCATAACAGCTATTCGCACAATTAGTACTATAAATCAAATTTAAAATGCTTACCATGTATATCGTCCATCGAAACGTCTATGTCTATGAGCCATAAAGGAATGCCCGCATTATCTAAAGGAAGTGATGTTTTCGTTTTTTCAAGGCCATGCTGAAAAGCTGCAGCTGCAATCACTTTGCTTGGAAATAGCAAACAAGAAATACTTCTTGTACTATCATTGATATAGGTCCAGGCTACTTTCGTGAGGTTTTTGTTTTCGGACGCATATTTTTGGATTAATCGCATCAAATCATTGAAAGGGTGGTCTACCCTAAAGTCGAAGCATAGTGCTTCTAGTAGAATCTCTTCTGTGTATAAGATAACGTCCCGCCAACGCCAGTACTCTTTGGTCTGCTCATCAATCAAGATATTGTTGTTTTTTTGAGCAACCTTCGCACAGTTGATAATGATATCTCTCAATTTTCTATTGGAATCTTCTACTTTGCTTGCCAAAAAGATACAAGTTGCTGCAATATCGTAATAGTGATAATCCTTTAAGGAAAACCGAAGATAAAACCGATGAAAATAAGCATTTGCTGTCGCTAATGTAATTTGAGGACTGGTCTAGGTTAGTTGAACATTCTTAAACAGAGGAACTCACGATTTTAATCTTAAGCCAACATTGATGATAAAGTTACAACCTTTGGACCTCTGGATTTCTTCCTGAACCAAAGGAATTCCATCGAGAGCAGAAGGCGTGTATTCCAAGTCTTCCTTTTTAATTATCCATTGAGAAGACCTTTGCCAATCGATATCCTGTGTACTATATGTTTCTTTCATAGGATAACCAAGCGCATGTGAATTGAGTTCACTATACTTTTCAAAATTTCAACCGATTGGGATCAACCTGTTATTTTTTAAAAGAAACAATAAATAAAATCCTTTTTTCCCTTTCAATTTCTGTGTTTATTCACAGAGTTCTGATTCCCTCGCAAACCGTGCAGTTTAATATCGTTTCCTTCCTAGCCGCTAAATGATTGTTAAACCATCATTACAACTGCTTAAGTGATAAAACCATGCTTCTACGTGTTTCATTAAGTGAAATTGCGTGTTTGAGCGTTCCAAATGTAACCACCAGGATTTAGTAAGTAGGAAAGAAGCTATGTAAATTTCTCCGTTGGAAAACTCTGTCTTTATTTACTTTTCTCTCGTTTTAATTGAAGATATCAAATAAAAACTTGTATTGTGTGAAAATAAAAAAATTGAAAGAAACTACGTCCTTACGAAATTAGGAGAAATTCGGACTTGCATATGCTTAGCATAATTAACTAGCTATATTATATTGTTGTTTTTACCTATATCTCTTGTAGATTAAGTCAAATTCTGCGATCGTGTGAGGTGCTGGTTTTGTAAAACAGTGAATATGTCTTCAAATCAGGTAAGGGAGTCAATGCATCAATGTTTTGTGTCTGTCGGCTAACGATTAATTCACTAGTACGTAGTCGGAGGAAAGCATGTTGAAAAGAGGCCGAGGAATATAAAGAGCATAAATTCAGTAGCAACCTGTGAAAAACACCGACAAAGTGTTGTTAAAGACCTTTCCAGAAAAATTACCAAGATCCAGAGTGGTAAGTATTATATTGCAAGGAATGAATTGAATTTTATTGAAATTAACGAATGGATAAGCTCAATTACCGGATTATCAAATTCGAGATTTGAACGATGCTATTAATCAACTAATGCGTGAAAAGCATGCTTGGGAGGTTCAGATTCATGACCTCGGCGGAATCAATTATTTATATAGCAAAGCAAAACTCTTTGCAGATGATGGTGAAAAAATTGGCGAAGTTGATGACTACCGCTATTATGGACGTGCTAGAGAATTACCTGGTGTAAAAGAACTATTTGAAGCTGATATGACTTTTGTACCTGAACGCTTACGGAAACAAGAGATGCAACAACGACAGCTTGATGCTTGGTACTACGGCTATACACCTTTGGAAGAAGAATCCTCACTACAAGACTATGAGAAAGAATTATCTAATCAACGGTTGGATCGTATATCAAAAGAAAGACCCAATTCTTTGGAGAATTGGAAACCCATTCTTATTGAGCATGTTCCATCTCGCGAAGAGGTAGAAAAGATTTTATTGGAAAGACGAAAGAATGCTTTGCTTCATAGGCTAGTGTAACGAATATCTGTGTATAAATAAAGTATATTAGATTTTGTATATCGATTGAGTATCTTACGCTAGATATCGTTTATATTGGCCCTACGTTTTTATTTCCTTTAAAACATTGGAGTAGCGACACATCATCACATCGATAGATAATTAGGGTTCTCACAAGCCTCATATTCTTGAATTAAATTGGATACAACCTCTCTGTTTTCAAAATTAGTAAGTTTTGTACAATAGTGTTATGAATAACATACCTTGAAGAATCAAATTCGTCCAAATTATCCTCAAAGATTGACTCCTTTTTGTATTGGTCGAGGAATGCATTTCGTTTCCGCAAACGATCGTATTGGTCAAGTGTCCTCTTAAATAGCTAACAAATATTAGAATCTATTATTTCTGATGATTGACGTTTCAAATCACATTCAATAATACTTACCGACGCGATGCTCGTATGGTTTGCAAGCATAAGTCCACTAACACGATGATTTGTTTTGATATAAGGAGATTTTTTGGAAAGTGCGACTTGGATACTTGCGGGTCCCCACGGTATGAAAGTCGCAAGCTTTCTCTCACGAATACGGAGAAGAGATTTATGTACATCAGTGGGGTCAGCTTCTCCTTGAATGATATTCAACAGGCTAATAAAGCAACTTTGTTTACTAGGATTGACAGAGACCATGCGATTTTTTGGTTGAAGCAATCTTCTCATGACTTCCAAAACAGTCGTTTTCCGAATAGTCTTAGCTTCCTCCACTTGTTGGTTCGTAAATGGGGTATATGATGTAGAAAGGAAATGACAACGAGGAGTTGGAATCAGAGAAGCGATTATACTGACTAAATCATTGTTCATATAGCCAGGATATCGAAGAGTATTGGTACTTGCAGACATCACAGTAGATACCTATACATGGTTAGAGAGATAATCATACATTAAACGTACCAATTGATTTTGTTGATGAAATGTTGGGTTTTGGATATGGAGACGGTCGGCAGCAATATGCGCCAGCGCGGCGTTGTCCAAAACAACAACAGCATCAGCATTTAGCGTTAACCTCTTAAGTGCAAGGAGACTGTTATATGGCTGAACAACGACATCGGACACCGACTGATTATTAGGAAATACGGAATAGGTCTGAACTATTTTTTTCGGAAACCTGTCGTTTAACCGTTCCAACAGATAGGAGCCCAACCCTGAACCTGTACCACCAGCAATAGAATGTAAAAGAGAAAACCCTTCTAAAGAATCGCTTCCGTCAGCTTCACGGTCAATCATGTCCATTATATCTTCAAATATCCGATCCGCATAAGAATATCCATGGGCCCAATTATTTCCAGCACCGCCGCCATTTTTTGTAACCAAAATATTTTCTGGGTTGTAAAGATTTCCATATGTATCACCGAGGATGTTGGACACCACCTAAAGGAATTTGTTAACTAGTGTACGATAAACTTGTCAATGGAATTTCCTTTACCCTTGGCTCGAGGTCAATTAAAAGCGCTCTTGGAATATATCTATTGTCATCTGACTGTATGAAAGACTAGTTAGTATTTGAATCAATCATTCCGTTCATACCTGGTAGAAGAAGACATCTTTACGATCCACGCCATCCGTAGCGTAGTTTTCTAATGTACCATCGGGGCTAATACCATGTTCAAGGCATAGTTGCTGCCAAAACTGAGAACCGACTGTAAGCAATTGAATTAGCAGCACGCTTCCTACTATGAAACACTTACTTTGATTGCCACATTGTCCGGCTTGAATCGTTATAATCTCTCTTCCCATTTTTACCTTTTACGAAGTATCACAAAAGAGAGTCGCTGATACAAATAACTAAACCTTCGCGAAATATTGAAATGTTATGTTAGTCCTAAGTCGGCTTTTATGAGGAATTTGCTTTCATCTAATAATATTGAACTTTGGGTTAAATTGCAAAGCTTTTGGAAAATGTGATATTGCCGTCGATTTTTCGAGGTCAATTATAATTTTAGGAATTTTGGTGTAATACTGAAAGTACAGGAAAACGAGGAAAGAGGTGAGTTACTTTACTTAACCGTTTAAAAATTATGTTCTTTTGTTTTATATAAAAAATAGTGTATTTTCATTCATTTAATTCAGCTATAGTTCAGTCAATGGTTCTCCGGACTACTCCACCTTTATTTGGGGGAACAGTTATACAACTGCTCAGAACTCGTATAGTAGTAGGTTTAGAGAATTGTGTCTTACGCGATCTTATTTAAAAAAAGAAAAAAACTATACTCTACGAATCATCATGATCTTGAAATAATACTGGTTCATTCGTAAATACTTAGAACTCAACATTAAGAAAGAGGTTTTCATTTTTTCTCTATTTTCGTTTTTCACATCGCTGTTTTCTGAATATAAAGCTGGTAAAAAATTATTCAAGACTCTAGCAAGCCAAACCATAAGCGTGAATTGTAAATGCATCTTTGTATATGTCCTCGACTGATTGCGATGTTCGGTAATGTAGTATTTCAAAACCCTAGAGATTCCACTTTGAGAACTAAATTTTAAGACAGTTCTAATATTCAGCGACTCCCATTGAGTCTTATTTTATCTATTATCCAGTATACTTAGCAAACGTTGCAATCTATTCGTCTGCTCATAACCTTCCTGTATTCCACAAACAAATGGCGATATCAGTTTCGCCGTCTTATATTCTTGGAATAAGGTATATCTAGCCTCCACTGGATTAGTTAGTAGTTTTCGCATAACCTTAGGGTTACTTAATCCAAGGTTGAAATCAAGCTCATAACAGTTTGTTTAACCTATGAGATGATCATGATGTTCCTTGTTAGGCTAAAAGGCCTATTTGAAGATAGAAAATCTATTTGTACTATAATTGAGCAACATCGCAGAAGCATACGTTTCGTACGTCTTAGGGTCTACAGCAAAACGAAATTGGGATGCGACGGAACCCAACAATTCTTCAATCACTTTTTGAAGGATACACAGATAAGTTATAGGATTCTCTATCACTCCTGCATATGTTGTTATACTCATAAATCGTAGTACACCGACAACACGAACCAACTTTAGATTACCTGTCTTTTATATGCCATGCAAGCTGATATGCAGAGCATAATTTCAGATAAATGAGCTTATGGTACCTTTCGTGGAGACATATGTTGGAGGAGCAGTAATGTGCTGCAATATAGTAGGCGATTTTATAGCAGCGAGTCAATTAGAACGGAACCTAAAACATGTTTAGGAACATTTTGGAAGTACAGGAGAAAACTTCGCTACAGAATCAGTTCTCTTGTCTTTCACAATGAAGCGAGAGTATATGTAGCTCGCACCTCCATAATCCCGTTTATGGGAATCGTCGTGCTAAGGATGAGATTGTGACGGGTAAGGGTATCAGATGATAGTTCTTCACTCGTAAATCGTTTAGATAATTAGCTTTTGAAAATAGATGCATGATTTGATATTGATCAGTCATGTCCATTATGGGTTATAAGCGACGAAAGCGAGCAAACGTCAGTCGACGATGAAATTGTTTGAAGAAAAACAAGTTCCGTTTCAAAATGAACGAATTTTTACGGATTTCAGGTATGATCTCGTTAGATGCAGGGACTTTTAGTCTGGCATACTGAAGGGAAACTGAGCTTAGTTGAAAGGTATTCTTAGTGAGTACAGAGGGATCATGTATCTCAACAGAGGAGGATTTCCCAATGATTTGACCTTTGATATGCTTAAGTTACCGTATTTAGATCCTTCATTGACAACTTTGTTTGCTAGCCATGGAAAGCGTATGACCAACCTTTCAAGACCACAGCATTGTTTGGGATGTCTAGATATGATGAAGAATCAGTTATTGGAAAGCAAAAGCTATTTTTCATATAAGTCTTGAAAGCTGGCAGCTGTCCCAATATATTCAAACATTCATCCGAACTTTGAACACATTGTGTGCTCCTTGCATGTTTGGAAAGTGGAAAATGGTAATCGCAACAATAAAATACACGGAGCTAGTTCTTATATTTTACAATTTAAATTGGAAGTTATTCTATATTGCTCGTATCTTATTGAATTACATTTTACCATGTCAACAATTGAGGTAGTATCCAAACTCATTTACTACACTAGAGGAGACTATTCTCGTATCAAAATTTTAGTAATATCGTATACTGATTATGTCACTCGACTATTACAAAATGTAAACATTCAAAATGGAAAAAAAAAAGAAAAAAAAAGGTAGTTTATTCACAGTACTGAATGAACAGTTGCGAAACAGTATTTGTGATTTTATTTTTGAATTAGTTTTGTGAATAAGAAAAGCAATCTTTTGTTGCTACAAGTAATATCTTACATTTAAGGAATTTCTGCTTTATTGTAGGAATTGACTAGTAATTGTGAACCAAGTAAACAGAGTATAAAAAATTTATCAATGCTTTAAGCTGTTGGTTGAGTAAGAGTGAATTCTTCCGACAAAGCATAGATTTCCTCAACACTATCGGGATTAGTTAATTTGAAGAAGTAGCCTTCGCCAGTAGGCCAGCTATTTGTTTCATCAGTATAGCTGCCGTCTGGTACAGAAACCTTTGCAACGAAGCGATTTTGATTAAGACTGACTTTGTTGGTTAGGTATATTCCAACAACTTTAGGATCTGTGTCAACAAAGTCCCATTTAATCGTGTGGTTCTCAAAAGTTGGCCAAACATCGCCTTTGGAAGGACTGGTAACGTGAATAGCCATAGAGTAGGCGATTGAAGCAAAAAAGGCAAGTTTGGATAGCATCATCTTGAGAGAAAAAGATAAAGAGAGACGCAAATGGTTTTAGGATATTTACACCAACAAAGAATCGATAAAAAAGTACAAGATTCAATGAAGGAATACTGGTTTTATTCTCTGGTGAATTTTTAAAGGTCCTTCGTTGTCTATTTATAGTCAGATGACATATTGCCAAGTCGTAAACAAACATACTGAAAAGTCATTGTTTAAGTTTAGAGCCCGATTAGCCTCCTTGGATTAACTAGTCGGAAAAATCGTTGTTTACATAAACAGAAAGAAGTAAATTGATTCATGAAGAAACATCTCACTCTACCAAAAGAGTCAACAGTAAGATCAAATCAACACTAGTCAATGTATTGAAGACTGTGACTCTCTCATGACAAGACCATTCGTTTCATTAAGGTTACTTTGTTTTCAAATAGCTTTTAATTCCTAGAAGCATCTTTTTTGGTTGCTGGCACAATGGTTGAAGCAGTTTAATTCAAGGTGTTGAACGTATTTTACTTGTTTTATTTCAATTGTCTTTTACCAATTGGATGAATCTGATTTTCAAAATAATCGGTAGAAATAAACTGTTGTTATACAATCATCAGATACGAATTAATTATTAGAAAGACATAGACTTGAATTATAAATGACTCGAAAAAAAAAAAAGAAAATCGAAACAAACAACAATTCCATAAGATATCAGTTGAAAGTATAATAATAAAAAAAAAAGAAGCCAAAGAACTAGCTCTTGTGTTTGGTATAAAAAAGTTATAAACGATTTATTTTTATTTCTTCATTTTTCTTTTCGTAATGCTAAAAATTAAACATTCCCATTTAGCGACACAAGTAAAACTAAGTAATATACATCGCTTCTCATCATGCAAGATTCATTTTACTCTGCAATTAACTTTCTATTTGTTTATTATGCTAAACATATGCAACCGTTAAGCGATACTCTTCGTCTAGAATCTTTTGGAACGAAAAGGAAGACGAATCGAGCCATTTTTTGTTTTCGTAAACAAGCAATCAGATCAAGTATAAACTCGATAGAATTATAATATTAGAGAAAAGCTTTCAATTTAGTGATTTGTTTGTTTACAGGTTGTAAGTTTTTCAAAACTATATATAGATACGATATTGTAGTTTCATCCATCAAATTAAAGAATTGCAATTCTCATTCTCGTACTCACATTTCTAGCTCTTTCTTCGTAGCCTTCCTTGGTTTACTGCGAAAAATATAAACAAACATCTTTCGGTCATTCCTGTCTGTCTTTATACTTTCATCCAACATGATGATATTGTCGAAACTCAGCTTCTTTGCTCTAGTTGCCTATTCTATGGCTATACAAATTACTTCTCCCACTACATTTGAAAAATGGGAGACTGGCGAGGATCATAGAATTAGTTGGAACTTTGTCGATACAGATAAAGAGATTGTGGGAATATACCTTAGCAACTATTTCAGGTATCCTACCTTTTCCAAATACATTGCAACGGTTCCTGTTTCAGATGGCTGCTATACCGCTGATACTACGGATTGGCCTACCGGTGGAGGTTATCGCATCAACATAGGCAATCCTGAGCGTGACGAGGAGATATATGCTCAATCAGAGGAATTCATTCTTACACAACCAAACGCTTAAAGCAACACATTGTGTGTTTCATTATCTTCTTTCTTGGCAGGAACCGGATCACCCATCACCTTGAACGTTCACTGACTCTAGTCTATTTGACTCAACTTCTGTCTAAATACTTAACTCTATTAGTTGAACGGATATTTATTACAATAAATATTGATTCGAATAAATTGGCAAAATCATTCATATCAATCGTCTCGTTTCATCTTAACGAATCGCTCAGCAACCATAAGTGTAGGACTCTTGATTTGTAAAGTTTCAAGAACTTACACTTTGAGACTTTCCAGTTGTCTAAGTATACTACTACGTAGAATAGTTTCAATAATGAAATAAGAAGTATTATTAATATTCATCCATGTATTTTTCATAAGAACAGCCAGTGCTAAATTATCATCAAAACATAACGGTCGTAACTTTCAGATTAGGTTCAATTAATGGCAATTTGTCTTTTATAGCGAGACTCCTCAACCTTGGGTAAGACAATGCTTAGAATACCGTTGTTAAATTGAGCTTCAATACGATCGGCATCCACTCTGTTTGGGATGGTGATTGTTCGCGAAAAGGAACCAAAGCGACGTTCCGACCATCTTTGGTTTCCTTTGTCGCTTTCACTCTTGCGTTCATTCACAGATTCACCAGAAATCGTCAATTTTCCTTCATCGTAATGAACTTGTACGTCTTGCTTTTTGACACCAGGAAGTTCTACATCCACCTCGACGGTATCTTTGCCTTCATGAACATCAATGGCCGGTGACAAATCACCAACACGGTTCTGGCGTTGGACACGAGGAGAATAACTCAAAAAGTCAGAAAAAACGTCTTGGAAGGGGTGTAATTCGAAGAAGGGTTGGAGAGACATAGTGATTAGCAGTTGTTCTTTTCGGATAACAGTAAAACAATCTTGATTCTTATTGCCAATGTTGTCGAGTTTCTCTGCTGGCCTCCAATTTATATCTTCACTACGAGGAATTAAGCATTTCTTTACAGTCCTGGTACTTTCTAGATGCTGCCACTTGGCCACCACTGAAGTTCGTCGAATTTCCATGCCATTCCTTTCGTTCTTTTGCACAAATTCTGTCATTTATTTTTCCAAATAGACATAGTAATGGCGTTTTCTTTACTTCTAGTTCCAGCTTTCCTTGGTTTCTTTTGTTTACTATACACCTTCCCTCGTCATTCTAGTTACCTCTAGAAAGCTCATCATCTATCAACCCTCGTTTGTATGATATACACAAGCAAAACATTCTCGCATATTTCAATTATATTCCTGCAGTCTTCGTAGGTCGTCGCCCAGCAGAATGCGAATCAATAGAAAAAGAGGAACAGTTTGATACAAGGGCTACGAAAGATCCAGAGGGATTTGGATTTTCTAGGACATCAAACCATATTAAAACTGAACCGCATCAATCAATGGAACTATGAATATTGAATAACCTTTATTACTGGTATATTCTATACTAATATCTTTACAAAACGAGTCAGCTGTCTACGGCCACACCTAGGCGAAAACACCAGTTCCCGTCCGATCACTGCAGTTAAGCGTCTGAGGGTCTCGTTAGTACTATGGTTGGAGACAACATGGGAATCCGGGATGCTGTAGGCTTTTTACCGCTTCATTTTTATTTTGTTTTAAATTTTATGTTTAATTTTATTTTTATTTTGTATGGACGGCACAAGTTTTTTGTTTTGATCGGAATGGTCCTTTGACTTAACTGGTACTGACAGAAGCAACAAGCCGCATATTACAATGGTCATCTTTGATTCAGAATCGAGTCGTTTTTTCATCACAATAAAGTACACAAACAAATGACCAACCAAGAAGAAACTATGCAGGCGCACTTGACCATACTAGCAAGTGATGATAATGATGGCCTTACTTATGATATCGACAAGATGAAGCGCAACAGAAAAAAGCGGTCACCATCCAAGACATAGTTTGGCCCTATGCTCAATAAAAAGTAAATAAAACATAAACACATGCATGCTGGAAAGTTCATCGATCGTCCGGACATCCTCCTGTACAACTATTTTACATATAAATCAGGTTGTTACTTTCCGACAGCATTCTAAATCCTCAAGCTGTAGCAATTATAACTGCTACTACAGTTGTTTCTGAAAGACTAGTCCGGTTTGGCTAATAAATAGGTACAAAACACACAGCCCTGACTGTTCTTTGTAACGCTGGTTCTATGTTTACATTTTGTAATAAACGATGCTTTAGTATTATAATATTCCAATTATGACAATGAGGACGAATGTCAAATAATCGTAACGAGGATGTGACCAGTCGGTGACATAATGTCGCAGCTTTTATGAAACGAGACATGCGAAAAGCCACTACCAAGATTTTATGAAACTCGTATCTTTGGTTTTAAAGAGAGTTGTTCCGTAAGAGTTGTTTGCTTTTTGAAGCAAGAACCAATTCCTATTTTTGAAGACTCTGCACCAATTGGAACCAACTCTTAAGAACTTTTCTTGGTGATTCTAGTCGATTTCTTTTTCAACTCTAAATATTGCCGTTCTTTTTTGGTTTTTGGCTTGTCATTGCAAAAATGAAGAATAAATACACTCCTGTTTCAGACTCTGAAGAGTCCTTAAAAACACTCACTGATGAAAAGGCAGACACCCATTCTGCAGATGGTACGCCTCCTCCGTATTCAGGTAAGATTTATTGAAATGGAAAGGTAATGGTGTTTGTTATTGAGAGTTCTTACTGAGGAATCCTATTTTAAACTTGTCGACGATTGTCAACAACAGGGCAAATACCTCCTTCCTTTCACAAAGAACAAAAACGTCAGCTACTAACACATTCATTAGCTTCAAACAAATTTATCGATTTAGAAATGGCTGACGGATCTGCTCAAAATTCCGCCCAAGAATCTGCTAATAATACTATGTCAGGCCCTTCTGAAAAGAACAAGTTTCAATGTCATTTTTGGAGAGGAATAGCGACTACTCAACTTCTTTTATATCATTTTGTTTTTTTAATCATAGTCTTCGGTTACAAGGTTCCTCTGAATACAGGTGCTATATATGGGCTTGCTGGCGGTTCTATAGGATCCATTATTATTTTCGTAATTGGTAAGCCAAAGTGCGCTTTTTCCTTTAACAGCTAACTTATGATTAGTGACCCTTATAACCTATCCTGGATGGTTCACACAAGCTGGAATAGCAATCAAAAACGTATTGTCAGCTATGTGTATCTCAGCATTATATGTATGTTTTCTCAATGTCCCCGGTTTCGCCATGTATTATACTGCAAAGAAGATAATGCAATTTGAAAAGATAAATAATCGTTTTTTCTACGTTGTTTGTTTTGTTGATTTTGTCTTGTTTCTTTTTATTTCGAGTATGCCATACAACCTGCGAAATATTCTAACTGTTCTAGTGAATCCAATTGCCCGTGAACGACTTAGATTATTAGTAATTAATATAGGAAACGACATAGGAAACGGCGCAAATGCCATAGGAAACGGCATAGGAAACGGCATAAGAAATGTTATGAATCTTGCTTTTGGTATGTACACTACGTAAATGCTTCCTATCATAGAGCAATTATTAACCAAGTTAAAAGGAACAAATCAAGGAGATGAAGTACCTCAAAACGAAGAAATCGAACTTCAACCTCTTGCTGAGCAAAGTGGTGAAGTTTGAATTTTAACGAACCTGGTTTATGTTTTTATAATTCGCATTTTCTTTGGAAGGATTCATGTCAATATTGCAGTCCATCGACTTTGCATTCGCATCAACAACCAAAGTAAGCACTGTCTTAATAAGACGGTTTAAGTTGCTTTTCTCATTCACTCTTTCATGAATCTTTTTATTCGTCACGCAATATCGTTGTTTATGCTTTGTGAATAGAATCGAACACCCTTTTAATGATTATTTAAGTACTTTAACGAAAATTCTGCCGTGATTAACTATAGCTTCAACATAGTGTCGTGTAATCGCATGTCTTTTATAAATGTAGTCAAGGCCGGAATATTGCAATGTCAACATACAGAAGAGTCTTTTAGTACAAAATGTAAGAACATCCTTACTGGATCACAACTGAACTTGTAGTAATCTTACCGACAGGAACAAACGTTTACGGCTATACCTAGGCGAAAAACAGCACACCAGTTCCCGCCCGATCACTGTAGGAAGTGAAACCGTCTGAAAGCTCGTTAGTGCTACGATTGGAGACAACATGGGAATCCGGGATGCTGTAGGCGTTTCCTCTTTTGATTTCTTTATGAATGTTTCTGTTGACTTTGTTTATATAGATTCAAGCTTGGAAACACCTTTTTCCTTCCTTTTTTGAGGGATGTTCCTTGAGAAGTGACAGGAAGTAAAACGGCAATTAAATCTGATTGCCATGTAGTGTAGTTTTAGAAATCCATGATTCCAATTAACTCGCTCTTACGGACTCATTGCCTTCTACATGAGATTAAAACGCGCATTCTTCATTTGCGGTCATCATTGCATATTAATACACAAGGTTTGAAGTAGGTTTCAAATCAACTTCTACCGGCTTTGGAGGAGCCAAATTAGTAAAACTTATTCCAGGAATTACGATTAGCAAAATTACTATATATTTAGAGAGCAAAAACAATTGTAACTTAAAACTTAATAAGTTATTCTCTCGGAATCAAGATAATTAACAGCTGCTTTGGTGGTTTAGTGGTATAATGCTTCGTTGCCATCGAAGCGACCCGGGTTCGATTCCCGGCCGAAGCAAAGAAAACTTTTTTTTTTAAAAGTACTTCATTTTATTGTACTATTCATGAACAATTAAATAAATAAATATTTGAATAAATAGTCCAGCTATGATTACCTAATTTTGACAATTATTGTACCTCTCTTCCAATCAACAAAAGTCGTTTTGTTGGCATCAAAACGTGATTGTTGCCCCATACTAAAAGTTTTGCAAGCGCAGGCTTATTTTCCTCAAACTCACATACTAGTTTGTCATTCATGTCACGTATCCAACTGACGTCCAATGTTTGAAGCCTGGGAAGAGGAAACTTTGCTAAATAATGAAGAGAATCCGACGTGATGTATGACAGTCCATTCAAGTCCAAACTGGAAAGCGATTGTCCCGAATTTACCAAAACAGCACGAAGCGTTCGATCACCGAGTCCTAAACATCTTCTTAAAGATAATGTTTCCAATCCGGATTGAATATTCCAACTCCCAAACATAGAAGCTGCTTCATCGTCCGTTAATTCTGACAAACCGCTTAAATCAAGATTACGAAGACGACCACAACAAGGCCCTATACCTTGCTTCAGCACTTCATCTGACAGTTTGGAACAGCCCGCTAAACTGAGGGTTTGGAGACCACTACCAATTTGATTTAAGACGTCTAATACACTTCCATCAGTAACAGTCTGACCGGGTGATTCAATACGCAAGGTTGTAAGGTTCTTACAGCCGGACAACAAGCGAACACATTCATCATCCATATAAAAAATCCGCGATAAAGTCAGAGTTACAAGATTCGGACAGTAATCTACAATCGCATTTATGACCGAAGAATGAACTTTAGCTGTATCCGTTATTTCTAGTTCGGTCAACTGGAGACCGCGTTTCTTCAAGAAAGATATCCACGTATTAGTAGACACAAGGAAAGCACCATTGATAGAAAGGTCTTTTAGTTCAGTTAGTTTTTCAGAATATAAATTGAAAACTTCATCTTTCATTTGTCCACAAAAAGTCAAGTGCAGAGTATGTAAACGGGGACAATACTGGGCGATCTGCAACAAAGCTCCATCTGTTAATCGGGAGCAATCGTACAATCTTAGCTCTGTTTGGTCTCCAGTCAAAAATAGTTGTACAGTTGTATCATCCAAAGATCTATTTTTGGAAATAATTTGGCTTATTTTATCCATGTTTAATTGTCCAATATCTCCCAAAGCTTCAACATCATGAATATATTCGGCAATAATCCGTATGCATATGTCTTGAAGCTTGGGAACATTCAATTCTTCATCCATAGTAGCTGCTGCTGCTTTTTTCCTTGTCATTGCACGTCGCTTTCGAGTGTGAATTTCAGGAACTTGTTGCTCTTCAGCACCACGACTACAAGGATAGCAAAGCCACCCATTTTCTTTTTCACTGTATTTGCTATAAGGGGTAATCGTAAATCGACATTGGCAGTGAACACAAAAGTCCAGTTTACCAGCATTTTCACGCGACTTATAGGAAAATCCAGCACGATGAAAACCAAAACTTATGTTGTGATCATCATCATCTTCTTCTATAGGTTTTTTCTTCTTCTTCACACTTCTACCTCCTGGCCTACGTGAGCTTTGAACTTGAACAGTCGTTGTTTCGATGAGTGGCGTTTCTTCGGAAATTGGTGAGTCAACGGTTCCATTTATTTCTGTACCAGAACCTTGATTAGTTTGTTCTGTAGATTCGGGATTTGGAGGACGTGCTCTTCCCAAGGCAGATGTATTGATTCCTTGAGACTGTAAGTTCGTTAGTTGCGACTTAACATAAATTACGTACCCTTAAAAATTCAGTTAATGCTGAATTCGGTCCTCTTACTCGGCTTCCTCTAGCCATTCGTGTCTACTTCTATTATTTGGAGGAGGGTAACTCTGACCATTAATTAAATTTAGATACGCGTGGCGAACTTACCCAGAGCGAACTACTAATGGACGTTCTGACTGAGAAATCAGATATTTCGAGGGAAATACTTGATGAAAATAATTTAAGAAAAACAATTGGTCCTTTAGAGAATCAGAATACCCATGATTCATATCCTTTTGAAGGTTCCAATGCCATAAATGAAAATGAGAAGGTATCAAGTCAACAAAGTTTGCCAGGAAAGGGAAATCAGACTTTCGTTTCCGTAGTTTTAGACAAAGGAGACAAAGGAGAAAAACAGAGAGCCAACGAAGACATAGACTTGACTGATTCATCATCACCCATCGCCGATATAATTGCTGCGAGTGATACAGAGGATGACAAATTAACTCGTTCACTAGATATAATAGATAATGAAGGTTCTGAATTAGTCGAAAAAAAAATACCAAATAGGTTCGAGGAACAATCTCTGCTTCTACATGTTAATGATAAGCAGGAATCTGTTCCCAGTCAACCAGCTACCCAAAGTCAAAGCATGCCGCATGATAATACTTTGTTAGGCGATAGTACCCTACTTCCTGAAAGGGGACCCAATGGCATGAAAGATGCTACATCCAAGCTCGATATAAATGATCATTTGCAAAGTTCAAAGGGCCATGAGAGGAAAAGGAAGTTTGAAGTAGATCCTGGCATTAAATTGAACGAGGGACGTGTATTAAGATCAAGAAAATTTCTGTCTACTCCACTTTCATCACCGGAGACCTCTTTTTCATCCGATCATTCAGACGAGCTTAAGGAATCTCCAAAATCCAATGAGTCTGAATATGTCGACGAAGATGATACGATCGCTAGTGTAATTGACTTAAGCGAAAGTGATGAGGAAAAGGCTGCAGTGAAGGATGATTCGTCTACCGAAACAGACGAGGACACCATTCCTCTCGCGAGCTTAAAACGGAAAGGAAAGGGACGATCCACTTCTTCAAGATTATCTTCTTCCCCTTCTACTACCTCATCTAGAACCTCTACCACTCCTGCAACTCGAATACCGCCATATGAGCGGACTCATCATCGGTTAGTTCGAAATCATCCTGAACTGGAAAATGTATGGGATGCCCTTGAACGTGAAGCTCCTCAGCAAGTGCAACAAATAGAACAACCGAAGGAGTTGGTATTGAGTCTGCTGCCATTTCAACGAGAAGGTGTATACTGGCTCCGACATCAAGAAGAATCTTCTTTTGGAGGAGGAATTTTGGCAGATGAAATGGGAATGGGTAAAACCATTCAAACAATTGGTCTTTTGCTTGCTACACCTAGAGGGGAACCTACCTTGGTTGTAGCGCCCGTGGTTGCTATTATGCAATGGAAAGAAGAGATTGACGTTCATACTAATAAAGCTTTAAGCACTTATTTGTATTATGGTCAGTCTAGAAACATTTCTTCTCAGGATCTGTTAAAATATGATGTCGTTTTGACTAGTTATAATGTCATTGAATCTGCTTACAGAAAAGAACGTTCGGGCTTCCGCCGTAAAGGAGGACTTGTTAAAGAGAAATCTTTGCTGCATAATTTGCAGTTTTATAGGATTATTCTAGATGAGGCCCATGGTATAAAATCCAGAACTTGTAATACTGCAAGGGCAGTCTGCACTCTAAAAACGAAAAGACGAATTTGCCTTTCGGGAACGCCTTTGCAAAACCGAATTGGTGAGTTATTTTCATTACTTAGATTTTTACGTGCTGATCCGTTCGCTTTTTATTATTGTTTGCAATGTGATTGTAAGTCTCTTCAGTGGCAATTCTCAGATAGAAGCAATTGCGACCATTGCGGACATAAACCAATGAGCCATACGTGTTACTTCAATGCAGAAATGTTGAAACCTATACAAAAATTTGGCAGTGATGGACCTGGTAGAGCTGGATTCGCGAAGGTTCATCGATTGTTAAACAACATTATGCTTCGGAGAACTAAATTAGAAAGAGCTGATGATTTAGGTCTTCCTCCTCGTGTCGTAGAAGTGCGACGCGATTTATTCAATGAAGAGGAAGAAGATGTTTATCAATCTTTATATATGGACTCCAAAAGGAAGTTTAATACTTATCTTGCACAAGGTGTCGTTTTGAATAACTACGCGAACATTTTTCAGTTGATTACCAGGATGCGTCAGATGGCTGATCATCCCGATTTGGTGTTAGCAGGTAAGAGAAAGACAGTGGACATCGACACGCAAGAGAACATAGTATGTAGAATATGTGATGAAGTTGCACAAGACGCCATTGAGTCCAGATGCCATCATACGTTTTGCCGGCTCTGTATTTCTGAGTTCTTGAGTTCTGCGGGGGAATCCGAAGAAGTTGCATGTCCTGCATGTTTCATACCTCTAAGCATAGACTTAAGTGCACCTTCTATGGAAGAATTTTCAGAGGAAAAATTTAAGAATGCATCGATTCTTAACCGTATTGACATGAATAATTGGCGTTCTTCCACCAAAATTGAAGCGTTAGTGGAGGAATTATACCTACTTAGAAGGAAAGACAGGACTATAAAGTCGATTGTATTTTCTCAATTTACCTCCATGTTAGACCTCATTCATTGGCGGCTTAGAAAAGCCGGGTTCAACTGCGTGAAGTTAGACGGTGGTATGACTCCAAAAGCAAGAGCAGCTACAATTGAAGCCTTTAGTAAAGATATAAACATCACCATATTTCTTGTGTCTCTAAAAGCTGGTGGTGTTGCTCTAAATCTTACTGAAGCTTCCCAAGTGTTTATGATGGATCCATGGTGGAATGGAGCTGTGCAGTGGCAAGCCATGGATCGAATTCATCGAATTGGACAAAAGCGACCGATTCGTGTCACTACGCTTTGTATTGAAAATTCTATTGAGAGTAAGATTATCGAACTTCAGGATAAGAAGGCGCAGATGATCCATGCTACGATCGATCAAGATGAGAGAGCTCTTAACCAGCTTTCGGTAGAGGACATGCAGTTTTTGTTTTCCAATTGAGCCTGAATTCGTATTGAAAGTTTGTTCTTCGCATCTTTCTATTTTGTTGAAATAATGAACTTGGTTTTTATGGTGTCTGTTCATGGTTTGACGTGTGCAAGTCTTTCCTCTGACTTCACTCTTTAATTTCTTCAAAATATATATATATTGTATACCATCTTTGTTTTGATTCTTCTTGTTTATTATGAAGGCTTCGTACATTTATTATTGCTTTAGACTTCATTCAACATTTTGCTATTTATTTCTTTATTTATTTAGATGTTAATAATTAACTTTTTTTTTTTTCATTTGTCAAAGCTGTACCATTAACTAAGAGCTAATCCATCTAACCACTATAGTTGCTAAAGCAAGCTAATGCAGTACACATAGTAGTAGCAAATCTGCTGCTCGGTTGTCACATTTAACCGATACTAAAATTTCAAGGAATTAACACCTTAAGTATTTGACAATAGAAAGCAAAACGAAACAAAACAAAAAGAAATTTTGACTTGATAAGTAATAAGCGATATTGTTTCGGTGTGCAAAATCATTACCTAGGATAAATCCACTGGGCGATTACAAAAGGATCTTTTCATGGCATGAACGAAGCTGTTCCATCTATAAAAAGACAAAAAACTCTACTTAATTCTAAAAATGAGCTTTCGCTAAATTCAGACTCGGATGATGAAACGAGTTATGATAATTTGGAGGATGGATTTGAGCTTTATGATCCTTTTGATCAAGTACAAATTCCCCGTGACCGGATTTCCCGACCTATAAAGATGACCATAAGTAAAAAAGAACAAGAAAGTGTAGACGCAGATGAAGATTTAAGGTTGCGTTTAAGTTCTGGGACATACTATGCAAAATCTCGTCCTTACTTGAGTAAAAAGGCTAGAGAAAACTTAGATCTTTTATACAATGCACCAAAAACTCTTTTGGAGTCTACAATCCTTCATGTTGATTTCACTCCCCAAGAATGCCAAATCCTTCAGGAGATGACGATGAAGTATGGGCCTGTTAACACCGTTCGATTCCATGATGCTTTTCCATTTAATATTTCTCCAAAAATACCTGGAAGAACTTACGAAGATTGTCAGAAATTCGAGGCTGATTGTCCAAACCTGATCCCTGTTGCAGATTATGGGGCATTGCAATTAAAGAAACGAGAGCGAGATTGTTTTTTTCCAAAGTATTTTGAAAATTTACACGATGCGAAATTATCACACTTTTATCGAGGAAATTGTCTTAACCTCATACAGAGTGAGACCATTCTGTTTATGACACCTTGGAAGTACTTTAACGAAACAAGTGGTGATACAGTGTGTGTTGATTTTAATCCTTTGTTTGGGAAATTCGCCTTTGGAAGTACCGCTCAAGATGGTGCATACAATAGAGTTGGCAATTTATGGCTCGGTGATTATCAGTGGGACACAGTTCAGGCTTTAGAGGGCCATTACAAAATAAACTGTTATGGAGAGAACGAGTTTTCAACGATCTCCGATCTTTGCTTTTCTCGGAATGGTCAGTTTTTATATACAGGTGCATTTGATAATACCGTGAAGGTATGGGGCATGGAGGGAAACCTCTGTGGAATTTTTAATGAACCAACTGATCGAATCCACAAGCTTTCTTTATCCAAAGATAACGTTCTTGCAGTAGCATGCAAAAACGGTCTCGGTTATATGTTACAAATAGACGAAGTCTCAGGCTCTATTTTGTCTTCTCAAAAACTAGCATATCCTAAAGCACTAAAGAAAAGATACTCTGCATCATTGATTGAATATTCTTCTTCACATAATGATTCCTCTTCTCGCGTTGTGGTAGGCTACGACAGTTTTCATCTGTCTGATTCCCGTGGATGTCTTGCTCTATTTGATGCTATCAATGGAGACTTCATTCAAAGATTCAACACAACTGATGAAGCATTTACCTCGCTTTATATGCATCCGTCAAACATTGGATTTGTAGCCAGTAGTAACAGCTCTCAGAGCGGAAAAGTATATTACATTGATACAAGGATTTACCAACCTGCCATTGTATTTAATACCTCCCAAAGAGATATTAACCATGCTACAATTAGCAACTCTGGGTTTCTTGTTTCATCTAGCGGAACCGACAATCAAACTTTTGTTTGGGATTCTCGTAAACCCAACAAAATCTTGAATGTTTTGAAACATGGACAAACGAAAATGATTCATTTTGATGATGCAAACCAGGAAGAAGTCGATGCAGGTGTTACTATGGCCCAATGGGTTCCAAATGGGAGTTTATTTGTTACCGGTGGCAGTGATGGCTTTGTAAAAGTTTGGGATCTTCGTTTTAATGAACCATTTATACAAAACTTTGCTGAGCTTGACTTTGCGATCACCCACGGTGTCTTTAGTCCTGATACAACCAAACTTTCAGTCTGCTGTAACGGAGGCGATGTATATATGTATAATATTGGAAACGATAATCATAACGAATTCGGGGGGTTTACGTTTAAAGAGCACAGTATCAACTAAGATGTTTAATATTTATTGACTACAGTTCATACGTCTTAAATAAATGGCATACAACTTAATTTGCAAGTTTGATCTTTATGGATGTAGATTTATTTTCACGAATTTGTAGTATAGCTGATATAAAATTCCATGAAGTAGTCATAGTTTTATTCAATACCTTTCAATGGAAAGAAAACCATAACACAGCGATGGTAAAAAGAAAGTAATTCCAAGGCTTGCTATATATTTTTCTTTTTAATGTAAGAAAATTCAGCAATTTGGATAATTATCAGGTACTTTTAGAGCTATATTGGAATGCTGTTCAATTAAATAATAAAAGAACAAAAAGATCGAGGGAAACTTTAGAGCTCATCATAGTAAGGCAAATGGTTGAGCTTGCCAACAGCAACGGTGCTAGCAGGACGAGATAATAAGGTGGAGACAGTCTTGGCGACAGACTCTGGTGTGACAGCATCTAAAGCAGAAATGAAAGGCTCAGGTTGATAACTTGTAGCAAAGAGAGAAGTGGTAGAAACAGGGTTTAAAACACTGGGTTCATATGCACTGAGGTACTTAGTCTTGGCATCAGCAACGGCGGCCTTAATGGTTTCTACAGGAATCGAAGAAGTCAAGGATTTAAGGGCTTGCATAGATTCAGAAGCAGTAGCCTTGATAGACTTGGGGCAAGTACCAGAAACTGCAATGGACAAAAGGCTAGCATCAGTATAAGGATGCAAGTTGGCGGCAGCGGTGGCCTTGAATCCAGAAGCCTTCTCAGAAGCTTTAGCAAGTAAAGAGTTTCCGTGAGACCACTTGACAGAGGAGCGACCACCTAGAATAGAGGACAAGACATAAAGCTCAGCCGAAGGAGCAGAGTTAGTGGGGAAACCAAGTAAGAAGTGGTTCATTGGCTTGCTAGAGTAAATGCGAGATTCACCAGATGCAACCTTGGTGGGAGCGGTAGGAAGAGGGCTTCCATCGCGAACAACTGAGAAATACTTTGCAACTGCATCAGCAGCCTTTTGAACATCAGGGCCAGAAGAAACAACTGTAAAATTAGATTTTACGTAGGCAGCCTTAGCATAATCAGCAATTTGGGAAATGGAAGCATTAGCGCCAAGTGGAAGATAAGGCAAGTCACCAAGACCACGATGGAAAGCTTTCTCGTGAAGTTTGGCTAAGGCAACGTTCATGGGGTTGCCCTTCCATAAAGAGCTTTCCAATTTTGCGGTGGGCAAAACCTCTTCTTTTAATTGGAAGCCAAGATATTGAGAAGCATCAATAACTTCGGCAAGTAAACGAGCATAATATTCCATGTACTCGTTTAAGAAGCGTGCAGTCAAAATAATATGTTCAGGAGTCAATTGAGTGGAAAGCTGACCTCCCAAAAGTTCTGATTCACGAGTAATACGCAAGGCAGAGCGATCTTCGGTGTTTTTAAAGGCAAACTTCTCCAATAAGTGAGCAACTCCGGCATCGGGTTGATAGCGGCTACCAGCACGTACAACAACGGACAAAGATCCAGTGGGACTAGCCGTTTCTCTACCAGCGAAGGAAATACCTTGTAATTTTTGAGGTGCATACGAGACTCCGTGAATGCCCCGTTTTTGAGAGATCTTATTCAAGTTTCTTGTAAATGATCTCATATTATTCATTGGCATCCTAAAACTTCAGCTTTCTGATTCTTTTGTATGTGTTTGCTGTGAATGACAGAGTTGGGAGTTGGTGACTTTGGTATCCGTACGGGCTGGCTTACTACTACTCATAAAGCTATCGCCTTGGTGAACAATTTGCACAATAATTATATATTAATAAACAATAAATTTAGTTTTTACTTTTAAAAAAAAAATTCTTTTTTACTTCTATTAACGTTGGACATTCACTTTGTAAAATATATCGGCTCGTAAATATAATTATATTTAAAAAGAAAGAAAATGAAGTACCAGTAAGCGAAAGAAGTAAATTAAGGCCCTTAAATAACAGGACCAGTTAAAGTTGTATTTATTAGGTTTGTAAGTGAATGCTCCAAATTGTCTACGATTTCTGCTGATCGACAAATATAGAGATTGTTTACTGCAAACTACAAATTGTGAATAGCTCAATAGCCCTAATAAATAAGATGCACCATCCCGTAGATGTAAAAAAAAAAATAAATAAATACCTCTGACCAGCTCTCAGACACCGCTTATAAAATGGGCATGGTAAATAGGAATCAACCTGCTTTATAAAATGTAGAGGTACTTCTATTAGATGACTTTTGATAGATGATCCCATTCTATTCCTTATCTGAATGGGAACCGCTTTACCTTGTAAGTTATTGATTCGAAACATAGAATGATCGACCCTTCTGGCGATCGGAAACGTGCATTCGTCGAAGTCATAGTAAAAGACATATTCCTAAGAAACAAACTAAATAAATGTAGATATCTTGTAAGGAGAAAGACTCAACTTATGAGTTTATAGTTCATAATATGACCTAAACCACCAGTGTCTTAGGGTTTAGATTTTCCCTTCAATTCCCTTTATGATTGGTACCTTTTAATCCATTTTTCTTTACGTCTCCCTTTCCACGTCTTTTTGGTGGTTCAAGGAATAATTTTTCATTCATATCCACATCAGAAAATCGAACATAACTAATGACCCCATAATCGACAACAGCAAAAATAATATTCCTTTTCCCTTCCTTCAGTTTTTGCATCATATGCCTCGACGGGTTTTCTTGAACAGGGACTATGCCGAAGAGACTGTTTAGTTGCATACACGTCGGAACTTTTGTATTTTGAGCGTCAACGACGCAGATTCTAAAATCAGGTTCTTTTAGGGCTGATTTTTTGAAAATTTCGGTTGGTTTATATACATCAAAAGTTAAATGAAAAGGCGCAGCGGGTGTTTCTTCAAGACTGTGTGGCTTTGGAGAGTACCCAGAAATTATTTGGATATCTTCATATATTTGTTTAAAATCTCTGTATGTTCGATTCGGTAAAAGACCGTACCCTTTCGTAAACTTTGGTCGCCAAAGCTTTATAAAGCTCAAATAATGGAAAGCAGACAGTGCTTTCTTCATCCCAAGACTCCACAACCAAACTCTTGCGCTTTCTGTAGACTTAGATAAATTATCATAGTTTCTTTCAACTTGCTGAGATCGCACAACCGAAAATCCGCATCTTCGCAGATGAGCATATACAAGATAATTCTCTAATGAGCCACAAGATGGTATAGTTGCTGTGTAGAGGGACTGAAGACTCATAGGAACACCCTGTGATGTCCAGCATTCCATTGATCCTCGTTCAACCAAATATAATGTTTCTTCAGGGAGTAACCACACACGATTTTTTGAATCACCTTGGCCCATCGTTTTAAAAAATGGTCCATGCACTTTCTCAACGCAAGCCATCTTCTTCTCACAATTCCACACGCCAATAATAACATGCTTGCTTTGACGACTGGTTAGCTAACGCTTCTTCAAATTAAACTGCTAATGACATTGAAACGTACAAAGAAATAAGTCTCTCTACTGACAAGGCATCGTACATAGCCTTACGGCTGACTTCCAACACTCCCTCTTGCTTCAGTGTTCCATCTGGCTCGAAATCTTTTTCTCCTCTTTTAGGGATTGTATAGTTGCCTTGTTCTCTATATTGTTGTCAGAATTGTAAACTAGATAATTGCAGGTTTTTCAAAAGGGTTCCGTGGTCATTGCTTACACTTTTACATTGGACAGAAAGCGCCAATCTTGAACATCTTCAGTAGCGTCTACAGTATCTTCAAAGTTGGTGAAAGGGTTTTCGCCTTCTTGAGCATTCATGAAATATATATTGGTCAATATATTCTATTGCCTTTGATGAAATATATTCCTTTCACTTCTTTAGCGAAGTAAGTAAAGAAAAATTTAAGACGGCACTGGTAAATGATTCGAAGAGAGTAAATAAGAGTTAAAAAAAATCAGAATAGTGTTATTATAACAAATTCTCTTTGATATATTTATTACTAGGACATATCTAAATGATTGATCTATGGCGATCATATATATTTGCTTAGATCCTCTGTAAATTACTACATATTGTAAAAATGAATATTGGAATGAATGTTACCATGTTAATAATACATAACATCTGAAAAAGCTTTATAACGATTACATCTCTTTTGTCAAAAAGGATTTATTATCGCTATATCAAATGAAACCCCAGAGCACCAATTCCCATCAAAAACCAAAATAACGAAATCAAATAAAAGATATTTTAAGCTTAGCAGCCTAATCGTGTACATTAAACACTATACACATTTAGCAGTTGGGGGACTACAGACTTGAAAGCATCGTGAGTCAATAAAACAGATTCACCTTGAGGCTTAATACCAGCATCCTGGAATACGCGGTTCATGTCAGGGTTGAAATCTTGGTTGGCAAAAGGGTAATCAGCAATGGCCAATGCGGCTTGACGAAACTGTTCATCTTCTGGATGGAAGTAGCATAGATCTTGTTCTCCTGCCTTCTTGCCTTTCTTCTTTGGTTGTTCGTCCTCATCATCGAGCTTGGAGGCTACCTCGACGTAACTTCTAGATAACAATAGATAATGAGTAAAATTGTAAGGTTCATTTGCATCGATGGCCCACTGCATTTCTTCTAGAAGCATGTTGTACATAGGAGGAACTACCTGAACGGGCATGTTGATTAATCGTTCATTAATGATCAAACCAACCTGGGCTTTGGATTCTGGAGACAACAGCTCACGAACTTGCTTTTCCATAGTAGGATTAACTGTTGCAATTCTAGAAAGCACATAAGAAGTGAGTTCCTTTACTACCGGCTCTTCCTAATTGCATATTAGTACTCGTCAAACACTTCCAGGTCTACCGAAATAGATTATATAATAGACTTACTCTTCTGCTATTTAAATTGATGACAGAAAGCATAGCATAAGGGTCAGAATTGTTTCCATCGATTTTGACAGTAGAACCCAATAAAGGCTGGCTTAAAATTAAATCAGAAAGAGCACTAATATTAATGTTTGTGTGGTCATAACCCAAAAGCTGTTTCAACAAGTTCTTGAAGGCATGAAAGTCAATAGGCTGAGGGTCAAAAAATTCGAAATCTGTATTTCATGTCAACATCAACATTTTTAGATTTTGGAAGACAATTACCAATATTAATGAAATCCATGTCTGGAGCTTTCATAATCTCATTCATTTGAGTGTCTTCTGACTCATTATTCTGTCGTTTGGCCATCGTGCTTCACTTTTTGAAGTAGTACAAAAAAGGTTGGTCAAGAAGTTCAAGGGTAATAGAAAATGAAGGTTATGCTGGAAGTCAAGATATATGACTATATGACTTTCATCTTCAGGAAATGGATATTTTTTAAGAAGTAAAAGTTTTTTTATTGGGATTTTTTACGAACAGGTATATGTTTACAATTTCTCAAGTGAAATTTGAGAATACATTGATAGTTGTGTTCAATCATCTTTTATTTATATTAAAAATCTAATAAAACGGTGAGCATGGCATCTCAGAAATGCGCAACCGCTCAAGTAAATAAAAAGATTTTTGAAGGGTTAGCATGGATTACCTCTAGAGAGTTTTGAGACTACCAAAATGAAAGGATGAAATACAAAGAGGAGACTTCATAAGAAAAGCTTGGAGCGATTAATTTAAAATCCCTGTTTAAACTAGTAAATTGAAATTAATCTCGGCTGTCCAGTGAAAGAAATGAAGATTGAATAATACGAATGGAATTATATTCTACACAAATCGAATAATGTGAGCCAAAACCTGTATTCTATTGAAATCATTAACCAAAACCCATTATACCAAATAAACCATAATATCAAAAAATAAGAGGCGTTTGCCAATTAATATGTAAGTCGGAATCAATCTTTCTTTTGGAAAAAAGCACCGAACAAAGGAGGAAGAGTCGTTGAGTCTTCAACGGAGTTTGATTTCGCCTTACTTGTTGAAAGTACATCATCCAAAGAAACGTCTGTTGCATTTCTTTGTGCTTCTGTTTCCTCCCTCTTAATTGATGAAGTTTCTAAATTGGAAATTGGCGTTTCCTTTCGCCCTACCGAATACTCTTCATTGGAGACCGATAAATCTGGTTTCTTGGTATCATCTTCACCTTCAATACCATCGGAAGAGGATTCACTATCAGAGCTTTCGCTCTCACTTTCATCACTTGTTTCTTCTTCTTCGGATGATGTTTCGTAATCAGAAAGTGTGATCACAGGAACCTCTCCAGGAAGAACATGAATCGTCGGAAACTCAAATATCTCTGCTTTTTGTAATACAGATGAAATGGGTATAAATGGTGATACTTTTCTGAAGATATCACCGCGAGAAGCCGACCGCCTCGCTTTCATGACCCATTTTGGATGGTTGTCCAACTGAAATTTTGAGAGATCTATAGATAACTTATCTTTGTTTTCTTGAAGACATTTTTCCCATAATTTGTCAATGGATTCATTTTCATTGTTCTGATGCGTCAAGCAAACAACAGTTGGAGTTCCTTGAATGGAATCATTGTGAAGTTGCCATTCAATAGTCCACACTATGTGTCTCTTTCTTCTATCAAAATGTGTTCTATTCTCTTTCCTCTTTTTGAACGAAGGAGGAGCTAGATGAATGTTAATTCCTGTTTTCTCAATCGTTCGTTTTAGCTGTGTCCGGTTTCGATCCAGGCGATGAATGGGAGAGGATTCCTCCTTCTCTTTCTTTTCTAAAACCTTTTCCAAACCAGTAAGAAAGTTATAATCGGAGTTCAAATGACCAACGAGTTGATTTTTAGGAATAAATTTTGTAGGGTCTCTTTGACCTGAACATTTCGTCTGTCCTTTATGAGTTTTATTGCAATTTAAAGAGCAATATGAAGTTTCACATCCAGGACATCGATACTTGCTAATATTTGTCGTGCAAACAGAGCAAATTTTGGATCGCCCTTCAGACATGCTCAAGAGGAAAATGGATGAAATGGGTTGTAGGGAAATGGTCAAAACAATGAATCCAATGAGCTTGATAAAGAACAACTAAAAAGTCATAATATAAATAAAAATACAAGAATTACTTTTGACACTTTGAGACAACAGCCTAAAGACTCTGAATGAATTTCTGAAGAACAGAACTCGTAAAGTGAAAGTGAAAGAAGAAAAAAATGAAGTTTTTGAATTAATTTGCATAAAACTCATTATTTGCTACCCAAATTACTGTTGATGTACGAAGCTTAACCATGTATATGATTTTTATATAAATTAGCAAAGTATATGAATATAGATAAACCGTTAAGCTTGTAGATTCCCAATAAATCAGAAATTTATTCAATTTTAAGTTAAATTTCCATTGCTTCTCAAATAGCTAAATTCCCACGTATTCTTATGTTTATTTACTTAATTTTGGTTCAAAAAATTGTAAGCCGTCTAGTTTCTCAGACGTAGTTGGAACGGTGCACTTCTAATTGAATAGAATTTTTCAAAAATCAATTAAAGAAAAAGGTATAAAGTGTAGATGAAAGATTAAGACCTTTTTTTTTTTTGTAACGTAAGGTATGCCAAGTCTCAACCAAAACTATAGAAACTATTAGTACGTTTTTTAAATTTATTTATTTTGCTACTTTTATTCGCTTCGCAAGTTTTGTTTTATTACTTAAAAATTCATGAACAGATATAACCATGTAATGCATATTTTAAACACAAACAACCAGTTACCTACTACCCACTACACGAATACTTCTTAGTATCCGGAAACAATAACCATGTTTACAAAGCTTTTAAAATGGTTTTCATTTTTCATATTTCTGAATTCAGCACTAGCAGGATGGATTGAAACACATATGAAAGAAGAACACCGTATCGATGAATTCACAGACGAATCCTTCTTTCGTCTTCATGATTTAGCCAAGAAAGGATTTTGGACAGATCGTGACATACTTACTCTTTACGGTATATATGAAAATGATGAAGTTCCGTTCTCCAAAAAAAATGAAATTCTGGTTGACGTTTTGAAAAAAACTGATGCTTCACAAGATCGAATTGTTACTTTGACTGAATTTCTGAACTTCCGTAAAAAAGGAGGCGAGCTTACTGATTTTGGTTTCCCTGGACACCATGGAGATGAAGAAGAAGAGTTTGAAATGCATCACGTAGAGAAGTACCATCCTGCTGGTCTCGATGAGCCTGACGAAAACTGGAATCATCCCGAGGATATTGAACACTTCCAAAAACATGACGAGCTTTTTCACGGTGAAAAACGTCCTGAAGAAAGACGTAAGCATTTTCTCAAACCAAACAACATCCCTATCAAGTTCCGCCGAATGACCATCCAAATATAATATAATTAAGAAAGTATATAATTTTTTTCGTAGAATGGTAACGATGCTTTTTTTTGGTTCCTATTTTTGAAGTCTTATGTTGAGACTTATATTCTTTTATCCTGCGGTTTACACGTTTTGGAAAATCATTACTAAATATTTAATCTATGTGGTTCATTTACCTTTGCATTGCTATAGGATCTTTAATTCTTTTCTTTCTATATGTTTCTTCGTTGATGTTCTGTTTGCTCACGATTTTGTTAAACTTTTGATCCTCGAAAGTGCTTCCTCTTTTAATGCCAATAGTTCTCTTTGAGTAGATTTATAAGTACGTAATGTGAGCAGGGCTTCCGGAGTTTTATTCAATCCTGCAAGGATTACTTCATCATCAGAAAATACAAGATTGCATATACAGACTAGTGCACGATGTTGGACACCAATGTTTTCATCTGTCAACATACGAATCACAAATTTGAAGTCCGAATAAATGTCCAATAACGCTTTACATCCTGCTTCACAACTGCAAACTTGCACCAAAGTTCCACAAGCGGCCAATTTTGTTGCTTCATCATCAGCATCACTTAATGCCGTTAAAATTTTTAGGCGTGTCGCTTCGGGCCCAGAGTTGCTCTCTCCAATGAATTTGATTAAACAGTATGGAGAAAGAGACAAATTATTAACAAGTTCTACTGTTGCTCTTTGAATTAATTCATGATTGCTTATTAGCAAATCATCGATAGCTGTCCATGACTTGGTAATGATAGCTTGACGACTAGTTTCGTCCATGGATGCTAGATTTGTTAGGGCCAATAAAGATTCAAACTTTGCCAATAAAACAGGATATTCGCTATTTTTTTCTTCGCTGTTTAGCAGTAATTTGCAAATAGGATCGATTGCTCGATTAGAGGGTAAAGAGCCAGTAAATATGCTTTGAGGTGCAATACTAATGAGAATCTTTGCTAAAGCATGGGCTGCATTAAAATCGAACCTTTCAGTAAAGTAAGTTTTAGTCAAAAATCGTACAGCACCATATTGCGCAAGTTCAGGCCTGTTGCCTCGGACGCTAGCAACATGTACTAAAATTTTAGGGATTAATTCATTCAAAGAGAGATGGGTATGAGACAAGATATACAGTTTCTGTAAAATCTGAAGACTAATAACAGCTTGTATTCTTTTCTCAGTTGGTACTTGCTCGTCCTCAGGGGAAGCAGCGTAAGATGAATCCGCTTCAGCCATAGAGCGCAACCGTTGCAATTCTTGTTCATTCTCAGCTTTTTGAACTTTAAATTTGCAGAGATTATAGAGTATAATAGCAGAGGAATTAACCTCAATTAAGGACGAGTTTGGATCCAAGCCATCTATCAGTTGCCGCAAAATCTTCGGATAACTTACAACTAACTTTTTTACAGAGCCAAAAGTAGTCGCGAGTCGCAAGGCTTCTAAGAGAAGTAGATCACAAACACCTTCTTCTAGAAGACTCTTAATCCGAGGTACTATACTTTTAGGATCATACTGAATGGCTAGTTTTATGCCAACCATCTTAGCCGCCCTTGAATGAGTTTGTTGTTTTAAGAATTCAGAGCATTCTTTATGAATGACTGCTCTGCAAGACTTAAAGTCGCAAATTATATTTAACAGAGAAATCCAGTCTTCTTGACAACAATATCTCTCAGCTAGTTCAGTCCATTGGAGACAAAATTCTTTATTTACAATTTCCGGATGTCGTGGGAGACATAAAAGGAGCAATGTGTTCATTCTCTTTAGCGCGAGCCGGACTAACTCGGGTGACCCGGTCATTAATATACATTCTTTCACAAGACCATAAACAAGATCATCAGGATTTTCTTGAAGTATTATAGCACTAAATTGTTCGTAAAATTCTGACCGTAGCAACGAATTCTTTAATGGAGATGAACGGCAAAGTAATCGGACTGTTTTGGATCGAGTGTTATGATCTTGGCAAAGCCGTGCAAGCTCAAATGCGGCAGAGAACGAACAAACTGATAGGAAATTGGAGAAAAGTAAAAATTTCGAAGATTCTTCAATTGTTTCCCATGAACGAAAAAATAGCTGAACACCCAAAGGAGACTGAAAGAAGAGTACAAAAGGGAATTCCTGTAAATTGATGGGCGCAGACGCACACCGCGATACAAATTGAGAACTGAAGTGCTCTATCCAAGCGTTCAGTTTCGGAAGAAGAGTCGAAATAAATACTTTTTGTGCTACAGGATGCAATTCTGAAGGAATGAACTTCTGTGAACATAAAATACACGAAAAGCAGTCAGTCAAGGAACAAAGATAGTTCCATTCTTCAACAGTCGTTCCGTCTGGATTTAATAAACTAATTGCTGTTGTGAGAGGTGATTCTAAGATTAGCTTAACAATGAGACATCGTGCAGTATTGTGTGTCAAAGCAGAAGGATAGAACGTCTGTAGCTGTCGCAAAAGCCTGACTTGTCTGGGAAATGACATTCAGGTGAACAGACGACGATTTGGTACGGAAGAATTAACAACCTAGAAAGTAAAGGAGTGCGGATGACAACAAACTAAGGTGAAGGTGGTTAATTACTGTTTGTGAAGATGAAAAGCTAACGTAAGCTTCAGTCAATTTTTTTGATACAGAATATAAGTGGAATACATTAATGCTTATACAAGACAAAAAAACACAAATACTACAACAATACAATATAGGAAGATGCAAGAGCAATTACTTAAATTTTATTCAGCCTAACCAATTTAAGCCTTGAGGGCATATTTGCGGAGAGGGAAGTAACGTTCCTTCTTGACTTGCTTAAGAGTCTTACGGCTCTTTTCATAAGGAGTAAGAGCGCGACGGATAGCACGAGTCTTCTTTTGACGGAGATCAAGAGGAAGGTACTTCTTGTTCTTGTAAGCCTCGCGAACGGCAAGACGGTTGGATTGGTTGATAACAGTCAAGATACGAGCAATGTCCTTACGAGTGGTCTTGCTACATAGGGGTTAGCCATCATATTATCCTCATTAAACTGAAACTGTTAAAACAAGCAGTTGTTGCAAAAGGCCATTTCTAACTTCTCCAAACTATATTCATGAGGATTTCGAGTGTTTAGCTCGGACCCTTTACCACTGCACGTCTCTACAATCTCTTTAACAACTTACATTTTAGACAACTTGGAACCAGAACCACCGGCAATCTTTTGCACACGGAGAGAGGCAAGCTCTTGACGGAGCTCGTGTAATTGCTCACCCAATTTCTCTTGAGATTGCTTACGAAGTTCAAAGGTCTTTAATGCCATCTCGTCGTTCGTCGTTGGTCAAGAGTAAACTAGTTGTGCGCTGAATTGTGCACCCACTTTTTCAGCGAAAAAAGCAGTCACGCCACCATACCCTAGCCCGGGTGAGGGTTAATGCGAACGTGACTGCTTTTATTCAGTAAGTGATCCACAACAAAACTAAAACTTGCTGAGCGCCGTGCATACGAAAAAGTTCCAAAGAATACAAGATGGGCCGCGACATTTACAAGGACGAAACTTTGACTATTCCTAAGGGAGTTAACGTCGATATTAAAGCCCGCCAAGTCACCGTTACCGGTCCTCGTGGTAGTCTTAGCAAGAGCTTGCGCCATATTGACTTGGAAATGAAGAAGCAAGGCAATGTTATTAAATTCATTGTCTGGCACGGTTCTCGTTTGCACAACGCTTGCCTTCGTACCGTCTACTCCATTATCAACAACATGATAATCGGTGTTACTCAAGGCTTCCGTTACAAGATGCGTCTTGTCTATGCACACTTTCCCATCAACATTAACTTGTCTGAAAACGGTAGCGTTGTTGAGATCCGTAACTTCTTGGGTGAGCGTATCACTCGTGTCATCAAGTGTTTGCCTGGTGTCACCGTTTCCATGTCCTCTAACGTCAAGGATGAATTGATCATCGAGGGCAACTCTTTGGAAAACGTTTCTCAATCTGCTGCCAACATCAAGCAAATTTGCAATGTCCGTAACAAGGATATTCGTAAGTTCTTGGATGGTATCTATGTCTCTGAGCGCGGCAACATTACCGAATTGGAGTAAATTTAATACAGAATGAATGAAAATGGTTTTGTTGGCATATTGCCCCATAGCTGATGGTAAAACTTTTAGTAGAATTGCTTAAATTAGTACATGTATCGGTATTTACGGACGTTTGGTCACGTTTTAGAAAGAAAAACAAAGTTTCGACAATTAGATGCAAGCGAACATTATATGCCTTTTGACGTTCCTACGCGACGAAAAGACCTGTCTGGTAAATACGATGAGTGATATCAATAATTTTGCTTTCAAATGATTGTAATTTCTGTTTACTTACATCTTTTGCACTCCATCATATAGTCTGTATATTTTTTAAGTTCCTCTTTATTATTATATGCAAACTTAATATGAGCAATCTTATGTCGCTTTCGTCGTAGCAACCACCGCTTTGATAGGGTTGCTCAAGAATCATTCATTTAGAGGAATCTGAGCTCGTTCAACTCAACTTTCTTAACATTCTATAAAGAATTTGTTTGTCTGTCGATTTTCAGGTAGATTTGCCGTCATTCTTTTGCAAGTCTGACTTGCAACCAGGGAACTCGCTAATCGGCTCTCGTTTCTTTCTTGTTTTCCTTGATATTTATCGTTATCTTTACTTCCATACTTCTAGTGTGTTTGTATTCTATAATTCTTTAACTGAACAGAATGTTGGTTACAGTTTGTATTGCGGGTGCAATTGCATTCATTGCAGTGTATCGAGAAATTCGTCGTGCATTATGTCAAGCCTTTGGACGAAAGCTTATGCAACGAGTAGCTCAACGTAAAGCCGATATATATGAGAAAGTGGGAGTTGTCCCTAAAATTGCTCGTACCGTTGGATTTTTCCATCCTTACTGTAATGCCGGAGGAGGTGGAGAACGTGTTTTATGGACCGCTGTTAAGTCTGTCCAAACAGATTTTCCCAATGTTATTTCGCTTATCTATACTGGAGATGCTGTATCTTCTGAAGAAGCTCTTGGTAGGGTTAAGACGACGTTTGAAATTGAATTGGATGCTTCTAAAGTGATTTTTGTTCCTTTGAAGCTTCGCTTTTTGGTTTCCCCTTCTGTTTGGCCTCGCTTCACATTACTAGGTCAATCTTTGGGTAGCATGGTTTTGGGTTTGGAAGCAATCTGCCGTTTTGCTCCTGATATCTTCATAGATACGATGGGTTATGCCTTTACTTTTGTCGTTGTTAAGGAATTTTTAAATATTCCTGTCGGCGCTTATGTTCACTATCCAACAATTTCCAGCGATATGTTGAAATCTCTGAAGAAGGTTTCTCTTGTTGGTAAAGTCAAGGGCGCTTATTGGAAATGGTTTGCTAAAATTTACAGCCAAGCAGGTCGTCATGCAAACTTTGTGATGACTAATTCTTCCTGGACACAAAATCATATTGCATCCTTATGGGGTAAAGACATTAATTTGTCTGTAGTGTTTCCGCCTTGCAATACCTCAGAACTTGAAAAGGTCGATATTTTCCATCCACGGGAACCAAACTTACTATATCTTGCTCAGTATCGCCCGGAAAAGAATCATGAAGATTTACTTCGCAGTTTCGCTCTATATGTACAACAACATCCAGAGTCTCCTGCTAAACTTTTACTTGTTGGAAGTGTACGCAATGAAACTGATATAAAGCTAGTAGAATCTTTGAAAGGACTTGCTCAAGACCTTAAAGTATTCGAGAAAATTGAATTTATTGTAGATGCTCCATGGCCTAAAGTGGTTGAGTACCTTGGAACCTGCTCGGTAGGGGTTAATTATATGTGGAATGAACACTTTGGTATCGGAGTTGTTGAATACATGGCGGCTGGCTTAATTCCTGTTGTTAATAATTCAGGTGGGCCCAAGTTCGACATAGTCATTCCTTGGATAGGAAAACCCACAGGATTTCATGCGTCTACTGTAGCAGAATATGCTGAAGCGTACCATAAAGCATTAACTCTTAGCCCTCAAGAACAACAGGAAATGCGCGTTAATGCCCGATCTGCTTGTGCTCGGTTCGGTGAACATGTGTTTATGCGTGATTTCGGGGATGTATTTGCCAAACTTTTACGGGAAGTGTATGCAAAAGATTAAGCATGATTTTTTTTATCTTCAAACGTATAAAGTTCTACCCATCTAAATACTTAAATGTTGTTGTGGGATCTCGCCCTTTAATTAAATTACGGAGGGTATCCATCTTTCCCTTATAGTCTATGTACATTTAGAAGACCTTTTTGTTTCTTCAAAATTTGTGAAACTTTTTATTTACTAATCAATCTTTTATGTTTTGATCGTCAAAACCCTACAAATTACTTGGCTATGTTCGATTTTTCCCTTTAATCAAGGGATGTTTTCAATGCTTTTCTATTTTTTTTCTTATTCTGTTTAATTTCGTTAATATTAATGAACTGCGTTTCGGAGGAGATTCTACAATTCTTTGATTTCAACTTCTTGTGGTAACGATCTGGCATGAAAAGGTGGGCACATCCAAATTCATATTTTCTAAAAAAATTTTAGTTCGATTCGTTTAGAATAAGAGCATGCCTAAACCGATGAGGTTGCCATTGTACTTAAAAATTCAATAGAATCATTACAACATAATCAAGCTTTTCCATATTAAAATAAACAGTAGCACGGTTTCATGGGATTTGAAGTAATTTATAATGTATAGACTGTCTAATATCGTTGCACTTTTTGGTTATGAAGACAAGTTCATACTTGTAAGACAAACTCATTTCCCTGATTGGGTTTTCGCCCCAGAGTACACTTTATGTTTTTTTTCTACTACTTGAAAGGTTATGATGAATACCATGAGAGGTTTCCGTGAACAGAGGATCCAAATAAAGTATCTACGGCGAGTGCCGAATGCATTTCACAATAATCAATAGCAACTTGTTCACTGTAGTGGGTTTTAAAGAAGTTTACTGCGAATCGTTTGGTAGGTATACCAGCATCAATAAAGCTAGTGATGGCAGCTATTTTAGAGCTAAGTGCGATGCTTCTTTACATTATTAACTATCTTACTACACTGATATGACAAAAGCAAAACGACGGTCTCAGCAAGATCAAGTCGTTGCTTCTATTTTCATTTCTAATGCTTTCTATTAAGCTCAACGAATTTGAACTACCGCTTTTTCAAATATCTGAGAACGCTTTTTCTTTGTTTACATTACAATAATATGATATTGTATTAGATTTATGAGGTTTCTTTCAACGCGTTATTTATTAAGACACGCCTGTTCGTACTATGCGCTTTTTGAAACGAACAACCGTAAGGATCCTCTAGAGAAGGAAGCTTTATTTGATTTAAATTACACATTTACCAAAATGCCTGTAAGTATGAATTCTCTTCTTTTCATGGAGGAATTATTTTTCGTGATAGATTCATGCTAATTTGAATTTTAGGCCGTTCAAACTCCAGCCCAGCGTCGCGCAAACGCTCAATTTCAGAAGAATGTCACTCGTCGGGTAAAAACAAATTCAAAAGAAAATGGAGCTGCTAAGCATCCTCCCAGCAAGATTCCTCGTAATATAGCGCGTATGTTGCTATAAACAGTTTGATTGCCTTTTTTTGACTAACCTATGGATTTTCAGTTTTCTTTTTGATTGTTATGTGCGGTGGTGCCATCTTGACGTTCTTACGCTTCTTTATTTAAGAACTAGATATTTTACGTTTGTTTTATGCATACATCGTACGCTTTCTTTGGGTAATGAAATAGATCCTATACGTTTCTTCTTGGTCTTTAAACGTAAACGCGTTAATTTCCTTTGAAATCTACATGAATTTGCCTTTGCAACAAGAGAAAACTTTCTCCCGCTGGTCCCCAAACTGTGTACTGGTTCTCTGTTGGAAAAAGGTAACGGTAGCGATTGTCTTATTTTGTTGAATTTATCATCGACTGAGTACATATTACTTTTCCTCCGAAACTTGCCAAACCCTTTCACAGCGGTGATATCAAACTAAGCCTATCATGCAACCAAAACAATAACAAGAAAAAAAAGATCCTATTAGTATACTATTAATCATGCCATGATTCAGTAAAAAAAAAAACAACCAGTTCATCCGTGCTATAACAAACTTATGATACACAGCCAGTTGTAGTCAAAAAAATGTTTATTTTTTGGTAAGACGTTCTTGGTAGGCATCCCAGCCTGCTTTTTTGTAACGTTGGGCTTCAACTACGGGATCCCGGCCAGCACCATAGATTCCACGGCCAACGATGATAATATCGCTGCCACAATTCACAATAACTTCATGAGGTGTACGGTATTGCTGGCCCATACCGTCGCCTTTAACATCCAATCCAATACCGGGAGACATAGTGATAAAGTCATGCTGAAGATTGGGGAAACGACGGCCGGCAATGAAGCCAATGCAAAAGTCGCTATGTTTTTCAGCCCATTCTAAAGTAGTTTCTGTGTAAGAACCAGTGGCCAGACTTCCTTTAGAAGACATTTCCGCCAAGAGAAGCAAGCCGCGACCAAGAGGTAAACCAACTTCTTTCAAACCCTGAACAATGCCTTCTCCAGGGACAGTATGACAATTAGTAATGTGAGCCCAAGAAGCAATTTTGTAAACACCAGAAGAGTATTGGAGCTTGACGGTGTTTCCAATATCGGCAAACTTACGGTCCTCAAAGATGAAGAATCGATGCTTCTCGGAAAGGGCGGTCAATTGCTGAACAAAGTCTTGATCAAAATCTTCAATGACATCGACATGCGTCTTAATGACACAAACAAAAGGACCAATTTTTTCGATGAGAGCAAGGATGTCAGCTTTTTTTGTCAAGTCGACGGCAACAGACAAATTCGATTGCTTTTGCTCCATTAAAGCAAGCAAAGCCTTTGCTAGAGGGTTACTTAACCCATCTGCTCTTTGTGAATATTGGTAATTGAGTCTAGCATCCATTTTTTGTGTATCTCTACGAAAACTTGCTGTTCTTGAGGTAACTGGAAATGCCAAAATGAAGTAAACGTTGAAAGCAGAAAAAAAAATAGATTTTGGGAAAGGAGAAACTCAAGATTTATCGAAGGAAAAGAAAAAAAATTACAATATGGATACTCTACTGCAGTTTTGGTGTACTGAGCTGATATTCCTTAGTTGAACAATAATACCTAACGATTGTTTGGAAGGAAACGATTTTTTACAGATAGTTCCAAAACAAAATTTATGTATCTTTACGTTTAAATCTACACTTCCAGAGCTCACGGAAGGAAGATGCTGAATTAAAGATAGAAACCAATTCGACAGTTCAGCAACCCAGCTTTTTCTTGAAGACAAACACTTTCTGATTTGCCATCAGGAAAAAGCGGATACAATGTTATGCCGGGGTTCATTTGCTTTCCGACAAAGGTGGATGGGACACAGTCCTGTTTCGTATCAGCAAGAACTGAATGGATATGTCCTCAGTCCAAGGTCGTGCTAACTACAAAATGATTGATTCAATGAATTTAAAATGATTCATATCTTCTTCTTGAATTTCCTTATCCAGTCGAAGCACGAGACTTTTGATGTTGCTCAACACGGGTGAGTAAATCAATATACGAGCCGGACGTGCTTAGACTGTTTCTTTCGCAGTAGAGAATCAGTTGCCGCTTAGACCAAGATTTAAGAGGAGGTGATTTTGAGGATGGAGAAAAGACCACCACCAGAGATGAGACAACTATTATTCCTGCAAAGGTAAGTGTCAACGCTTTAGAGATTTTCATGGCGCAGAGTAGAAAATCCATAAACTATCCAACAATCACAAGGTAGAAACAATTCACGAAGGATGTGAACAAATCTAGTTTTGTTTTATGCTTGGATCAACGTTTGCTTACAAAAGGACAATGCCACATAGAGAAGTAAAACAAAATTTATGAATGGGATTAACAAGCTATCCTATTTGGATCTCAAAGAACTCGTTACATGGGAACATATAAAAACAAATCCTGTATGGGTGTGGTGTTGGTGTGCATAGGCCATATATATATTCTATAAGTGTGTATTGGAAGTGTGGAGGCAAAATGAGGGTACAGGAACAGCTAGTCACTGCCACAAAATAATGTATATATGAAATGAATAATTTTTACAAAGGAAACAAAGATGAAAATATTTTCTAAGTGCTTTGTAGTAACTCCCTTTCGCTTGGTTACAAATGTCTTACTATCAGCTTGTTTAGAGACTGTTGCTTTACCATCCCACCCCAATTGACTGTATATTTACAGTCGTTTTTTTTATTAAATATATCAATTAGTTTCTTACAGTTTTAAGTTACTGACAAACAATGTCGAAGCATTCCAAATTCACACAGAATCATATTACCTTCCTTTACAAAAAGATATATCGTACTAAGACAATATTCATTCATTACGTCTATCCATCATTAATATCATGATACAGTCGGTCAAATGCATCGACGAAAAAAAAGGCATTTTAGAGCGCTTTTGAATGCGTCTTCAGCTACTGTTTTGTCAAGTTCGATTCTCTCCTCAGAATTTAAAGAGACTTGAGGACGTTGTCGGCAGAACTAACGTTAACGTCAGTGACTTCGTTTTCAACAAAAGCCTTGGTGACCTTGCCGTCCTCGACAATAGCGGCATAACGCTTAGAGCGGAGAGGACCTAAAAGACCGCTGGCGTCAAAGGTGGCGTCGAAGCCCTTGGTGAATTGACCATTCCAGTCGGCAAGGAAGTGGACCTTGCTTTGTTCACCGCCTTCCAAGGCCTTTTTCCAGGCAGCAGTGCAGAAGACATCGTTGACAGCAATAACGTAGATACCAGCTACACCCTTAGCTTCGAAACCCTTCTCGTTGGCAACATAGCCAGGGACATGAGAGGAGCAGGGAGGAGTGAAAGCACCAGGGACACCAACAACAACGATCTTGCCTTGAGTGGGCAAGTCGACGTTTTGGTTAGGCTTGTCTTCCCAGAGGGTGACTTTAGGCAAAGGCATTCCAACAGCGACCATGGTTAATAAACTATGTTAGATAGATAAAACAAGCTTGTTCTTGTTGAAGTTGAGATACCTGTGCCATATCGCCCATTTTTATATGAAAATGACACACTTGGTGGATTTTCTTTGCGTTTCTTTTGGTGACGTAAAGCAACATCAATGAATGGGTTGGGAATATCCCGTGCTTATTCTCAGTTCTTCCTGTTCCACTGCTCATGGTTTTCACCAATCGATGATGCATGACCTGCTTTTCCACTTGATTCATCAAAAAAAATTTCACCAAAGCTTGATCTGATAGGATGACGAAGACTCGGTGGAATTCGGGGAATACTGTGGTTGTCTTTGTATATCATAAATGATATAAGCTAGTTTGCTTGTATATGGTAATATTTATTAACACGTTGCGTTGCTTTTCGTTAAAAGTACAAAAGGAACAAATTCTTATTATCCTGAAAGTATCGTATTAAGGAGAAATAATTGACCTTTTCTGATGTAGGAAGAGAATAAATAAGGAATGGACTACTTTGAAGGAGAACCGTTTGATGGAAAGGTTGTCTGTAGGAACAGCTAAATCATCTAATGGATTAGTCTTGGATACTTTAGGAATGCAAGGATGATGGCTTTCTTTTTATGCGTGCATCCAAAGGAATCCGGACATGGTAGAAGAAGAAACCGTCTACAGGTGGATCTATAGAGCTTTACGCGCTTAAACCGACTCATAGTGCTTTGGTGTAATGTTTTGATTCTGGAATCAAAACAACTATCTATCCGTTACGTTCTAACCCCACTTAAAACTGATCTGTACGTTTCTCTTTTCTGGCTTCTACCAACAACGAAATAGGGACCAAAAAATAAAGATGGGCTTTATTTCTTGTAAGAATTGGCTATTATGGCTGATTTCTGTCTACTGTATCTTGCAATTGAGTAGTGCTTACTTTCCTTATTATCCTGACTTTAGAGAGAATCGGATCAGAATAAGTTGTGGATATGTTGAAGTCGAGTCAAACAACACTAAAGCTTATTTTCACTATAGTACACATGGAGATGACAAACCAGCGGCCTCGACAGTTTTTAATGTGAAGGACGAGGAGTGTGCTTTGGGATCCTTAGGAGGCATGAAATCTCTTTTTGCATTTCCCTCAGAGCTTGCTCTGGGCCGACTTAGTGCTGTTTTTTATATTCCTCAGGAGAAGCGAGATGAATGGACCGGACCATTCAACTGCAACAAAACTTCGGTAGCGAACAATATAATACCGTTCAACGGAACTTACAAGGAGGACAACCTGAAGATAAATGAATCTGGTACTTATTGTTACGCTGTGAGACCTTTGACAAGCTTGGGTTCTGCTATTGATTCTTGGGTTTACTACTATGATTATGATTATGATTATGTCGATTTTCTTGCGAATGAATCGACTCTCATGCTTATTCTCCGGTCTGCTCCATTAATTTTTACAGGTCTCTTATTTTTCGTAGCTTGTATTTGGATCTACTTACTCCTTTCCCAACCGGCGAAAATATTGCCTATTCAGTATGGGTTGTTAGTATATATTATCGCTAAAGCTATTGGAATCACTGTTGAAGATCATGATGAGGATCTCTACAGTGGAATCAGTTACCCGATTGAGCTTTCTATTCATTGTCTACTCCTTTTCCTTGGCTCTTTTGGTATTGGGGTTTGGCGACCTGTGCAGTTTGTTCAATACAAATTTTTATTCATGGCTATTGGTGGGTTTTCTATTTTAGTGTTCTTGAACATTCTCTCCTCACTGACCGACATATTCTCCATCCATATCGAACAACTTAGTCTATGGCTAATTACCAGCGTTTCCAATGCTTTTTGGTTGTCTTCGATACTTGTGTTTTATAAGGAATGGAAACAATTAAATACCAAGTCTGAATCCTCTGCAAAGGTTTGTAAACGTTCCCTTGTTTATTGTATTGCTGTTTTTGCTCTTCAACCCAGGATAATTTTGACACCCTTTTTAGGTGAAAGTTTATCTGCGCGTATCATTGAGTTTTTGTTAAAGCTCCTTCTCTATATCATTGAAATCATTATTCCTTGTTGCATTTGGTTTCCCTCCCAAAATGAGAAACTTGCTTACACATCAAGCTTAAAAATTTAAGTCTTTCTTAGCTATTATCTATTAGCTTACAATTGTCCAATTTTTTTCGTTAATTTCAAGCAAACTATAGTCATAACTTTTTATTCCGGTTCTTTTATTCTAAATAATATGATAACATGGTACCGTTCCATGATTTAACTATAATGAAAAAAAAAAAAAAAAAAAAAAAAAAAAAGATACATTGCATAACCAGTGTATCCTTATATTTAAGTAAATAGTTGATACCCGTATATAATAACCAAACCCACAAAACCAAAAATTACCAATTTTTTCTATAGTATCCTTCAAACCTCCACAAACAATCATACTTCGCTGTAAACATGGGTTTCCATGAAAAGTATGTTTAGGATGTACCGAAAATTATGCGAATAGGACATCCTTCTTCATCCGTATTCATTTGCCTTAACGGACAATGAATCCTGAAATTGTCAGTCATTTCATGCCTGAAAGCAGAATAGCTGGAAGTGAAAGACCGTTTTCAATATAGATTGTGCAGCGCCGTGTAAGAAAAACCGGAAAGTTGCAAAAACTATAATCATCGGTATATACTGCAAAAAATTACAACAAATTTTCAAATCTCCTAATCTTGCGGTGTCCTAATTCAACTTCAGCTTCATGGAATTCCACAAAGTCAAAAATTGTATGAATGAAACAACAGATAGTCCTATACAAAGGCCTATAAAACCAACTGTCGTTATGCTGTAAATAGCACCACCACAGATCGCACCAACAGTGTTGGAAAGGGACAATCCCACCTGGAATAGCACGCTGCTCAAAACATGATACTTAGGTTGCATCTGTTTGGAAGCTAATGAAACCAAAGGCGCCGAGCCAATGCTAAATCCATACATCATAATTGAATATAAGACAAAATACGCTTGAACAGGTATTTTGTGAAGAGTATCCAAAACCAAATGCAACACAAGAGCAATGATTCCAATGATGAATCCGATAAGCATGATATGTCGATCCTCCAACCAGCGTGAAAGGAAGGTGCTAAAGAAGACAAAGGGCGAAATGACCAATGCTGCTAGTGAAATAAAATTACCAGACTGGTAAGCATTGTAGTTGTACAGCTTATTCGCGTAAATCGGTATACTGGTTTGATAGCCAGAAATATTAAAGTATGATACAAAAGCAGCCAAACCAAGAAAAGAGAGCAAATATATATGTCTGAGTGACAATGGACCGCTATTTTCATCAACGTCAACAGGCTTTTCCAAAACTGTATGATCGTCTTTGGGGTACACTTCTTTGTAAAAAATGACCAAAAACACACCAAAAAGAATCCATATATACATCATGAACCATGAGCCACCAGTGTATTGGTTAAAAACGCGATTTTCCAAGTTCCTTGTACCTTTCGCCAAAATACCACCTAAGAAAGGACCAGCCATAAAACCCAATGTTTGCGCCAGGATATTCAGAGTTGCTAGAAACGTTCGACGATTCTGCCCAACGAGTAATTTGTCTGTTGTGTACTTTTTGTGATATAAAAACATAGTAAACCCGATACCATTAAACATACGGCCAATGAGAATTAAATATAGCCAATTTGCTTGATCGGCCATGCAATATAACAAATGTCCGACACTGTGAGCAAAGACAGAAACCAGCATTGGTCGATAATACAACGTGTACCCCTTCGCAGACTTTGGTGTTGCAAACAATAACATAGGATAAAGCATCAGTAATGAGATAAGAGTTGGAATTCCCACTACCAAACCAGAAAATGCATCTGTACCTCCAAGTTTCTGAGTATAGGAAGGAGATGTTGGTAAAGCGACACCAAAAGACATGTCGGACATGATACTATTAACCAAAATTAGAGCGATCGAACGCTTAGGAGGAATCATGTTTGCATTATCATTCTTGGAGTGAGTAGATACATGACTTGTCACATCTGTCAAACTAGGCGCGCCGCTATTATCCCATTCATTCGTAGACAAAAAATATTCATTTTTATGTTTGCTATACGTGTTCATATCATTTTCTTCCCTGATAGATTCTATTTCAGGTCTCAATTCATTTAGGAACTCAGTAGGACGATGCTCGATTCTGGATCTACGACGACTAGTTCCAAACGTCCTGTCCATTTGGTTTCCGTTCTCCGTTGATGGAGTCATTTTTTTCTATTTATTAAGATTTTCTTTATATGTTTAGCTTTTTCAAAGATTCAGCGTGAGCAAGAAATTTTCTGACCTAAACGTTGTTACCTGGATAACGTTACTTTTGTTTGTTTATACTTCAATTTATGCTAGAAAACAGATGAGTAAAATCCAAAAAAAATGCATTTGGATTATCTATACTTCGTTATTTCTTTATAAAAAAAAAGGCAAAAAGAGTGACAGAGAATGATTCCATGGACGGATTAAACACATTGCGATCTTCTAACAGAATACGATTCTCTTAGAGTACAAGACAGTGAATGTTTATATATATATAATAAAAAGCAATGCAAACTGAAATTCAGGGACAACGAAGAATAAAAGATTAAGTTTTTATATCTACTCGTTTTGATCGTTTTGATTATTCAAAAATCTTTATATACACTATTAAAACACTTTGAAAAAAAAATGCTCCAGCAGTGACTCGAACACTGGGCCTCTTGCTTACTAGGCAAGCGCTCTACCACTGAGCTACAAGAGCAATCTACGCGTTTAAGAAGTTATACTAATAATATTACGCTAATGAATTTCTAAAGTGTAAGAGTTGATGGACAAAACACGAGCAAGCTTGACTGAACAATCGGCAGCTGAGGAAGATGATTCCGTCTGAGATTTTTTCTGTTTATTCATAATGAATTACAAGAACTGAAGTAAATTTAATTTCTACTATACACCGTCAGTTGCAAGTTTCGGGTTTAAACGTAATATGATGGCCATTAATGACATATCTTATAGCTTGATGTAGCCCAATCGTATGCTTCGCAATTATACGTTTCAATGACAAAAGTGTTTACATTAGGCAAAATTACAATGTGATTTGAAGAATTACGTTTTAAAATAAGCAATAATTTAATATATATGTAGATTGTCCACGACCTTCATATCCAATCTTCGTATTTACCAAAGACTTATCAAAATGATGGAAGAAGCCAAGAAATTAGTGCAAGGCGAAAGCGCTCCCGTGTACAGAACTAGTACAGGATGTCCAATTTATAACCCTCTTGCCAGTGCTCGTATTGGGGAGGGAGGTCCTGTTTTGTTGCAGGATTTTCATTTAATTGATCTCTACCAAAAGTTTGACCGTGAGAGGATTCCGGAACGAGTTGTGCACGCAAAAGGTTCTGGTGCTTTTGGTACTTTCGAAGTAACTAATGATATAACAAAGTATACGAAATTGAATATGTTCTCTAAGGTCGGAAAAAAGACACCCATGCTGGCAAGATTTTCTCAAGTTAGCGGAGAACAAGGTTTTCCCGATATGTATCGTGATCCTCGTGGATTCGCCCTCAAGTTTTATACGGAAGACGGTATTTTCGATATGGTTGGCAACAATACTCCTACCTTCTTTTTGAGAGATCCTGCCAAATTCCCTGTTTTTATCCATTCTCAAAAGCGTGATCCTCAATCTTCCTTGAGAGATAACACGGTTTATTGGGATTATTTGTCTCAAAACTCAGAATCAATTCATCAAGTTATGATTCTATTTTCTGACCTCGGTGGAACGCCTTATGGCTACAGATTTATGGATGGTTTCTCGAGCCATACATACAAATTTGTCAATGATAAAGGTGAATTCTACTACTGTAAGTGGCACTTCCTTAGCGACCAAGGAACGAAGGGAATGACAAATGAAGAGGCTACAGAAACGAACGGAACAAACCCAGACTTTGCACGCCAAGACCTTTTTGATGCAATTGAGCGTGGTGACTATCCAAGCTGGACTCTTTACGTTCAAGTTATGACTCCCGAGGAAGCCGAGAAGTACAGATATAACATCTTTGACCTTACCAAGGTTATACCTCATGCAGATGTTCCCATGCAAGAGGTAGGCCGCTTCACTTTAAATCAAAACCCAAAGAATTTCTTCACCGACATCGAACAAGCGGCCTTCTCTCCTTCTCATATGTTACCGGGTATGGATATTTCGCCGGACCCTGTTTTGCAAGTCCGTACGTTCAGCTATCCCGACACTCATCGTCACCGCTTGGGCGCCAACTTTGAACAAATTCCTGTCAACAAGCCTAGATGTCCCGTCTTTAACTATTCTCGTGACGGACCCATGAACGTAACTGACAACCAAGGCAGTATGCCCAACTACCCTTCTTCATTGCAACCCTTGGCCAAGGAGTACCACGAGCCAAACGAGAAGCACGAAAAGTGGGTTGGCCAAGTCACTTATCACATGGATGAGATTACTGATGTTGATTTTGAACAACCCAGAGCTTTCTGGGAAAGAGTTTTAGGAAAGCAACCTGGACAACAAGACAACTTTGTTAAAAATGTTGCTAGCCATTTGTCCAAGGCGGTTCCAGTGGTAAGACAACGACAGTATAAGGTATTTACAAGAGTTCACCCTGAATTGGGATCTCGAATTCAAGAGGCTACCGAAAAAGAAGCAGAGAAAGTTGCTAAAACGCAAAATAAGGGCGTGAACCAAGGCAACAAGCACATGTTTGAGCCAGCCAATAAGTGAGCATAAACTCTGAAGGCTTATGATTTAATGATACTTTACGACTTTTAATCTTAATAAACCGAGGTAATAAACTTTTTTTCGTATAATTTAACATCTTCATGTGATTTTTGTCGTGAAAAGTAAGCATTTTCGTAGAAAGCTGTCATAATATTAACAGCAACGTCTTTTAGATTCAACTCATCTTTTTAAAATAGGTTAGAAATTGTGCTCAGTAACAACAGAAGTAGAGAGGAAATATGCTCGATGACAGCAAAACATTTGAGCCACTTCGCCTGCTACAGGTTAATCAAAAGGTATAGTTGCAATGGAGGCGCTCATACTATGATTCATATGATTGTTCATTTGCTTTGTACTTTTAGTTTTTGGAGGACAAATACTTAGTGAATCGTAAACTAAACGACTGAATAGGCATTTCCTTTTCTCTGATAGTGAACAAAACACGCCGGTTGACATTGGCCTCACAGCGACAAAAGCAGTATATATATATATAGAGAGAGAGAGATAGACAGAGAAAGAGATCATCACAGCGTAGAATAATATATGTTTACTCAAAACGTGACCAATTGAGAGTAAAGTAAACCTAACCTACAATGACCGGGCTAAGGACTGTAACGACGCATTCGCCTTCTCGGCGAATCGTCGATATGAAATCTAACTATTTTTTTTCTCCTTGATTGGAGTAGGGCCATTTAAAAAGGATAAAATTTCATCGTCTTCACTAAGCGGATCGTTGGTACTCCACGTATAGACAATTTCACCTTTGGTGTGTTTGGGTGGTTGCACGGGTGGTAAAGATAAAAATCGAATGTAAAGAAATGTATCAGCAATTAGAACCAGTAAAGAAGAAATTCCGCATAAAGCCACTCTCTTTGGAAAGTTAGTATTCAAAAGGATCATTATCACAAACTTACCTTTTCGATTTGAAACGAAGAAGTACAATACCACACTGCAAAAGTGCTTCCTACAACAGTAAAAAAAATATTGATAATGGCACTGAGCTGATTCTTTGCTTTTTTATTTTCAGCTTTTTCCAGCAGTTGACTATCGGGTGAAATACCCGCCATCGATGGTAGTAGCTGGATTCCATCGTAAAGACTTTTTTCCCTTAGCTCATGAATTCCTATCTTGTCTTGAGAAGCATCATGCTGATCATGATGATCGAAACGGGGCACGCAAAAGGACGAAAGTTGAATTCCTCGCATATATGACTTCAAGTCAACATCTTTGTTTTCTTTTCTAAGTTTGGATAGACATTCTTTTAATTGTTTTCCATCAATAATAGAATCCTGTATTTGCAATTCTCCCTTTTGCTGGTCAGTAAGTTGATATGTTACCATAGACGCGGCCACTCTAGTCGTTAATTGCTTCTAGCGGATACAACTGATTTTTTATTTTTTATTCGAAATAGTTATCCAAACAATTATAATTTGGTATATTAAGAGTCTAAAGGTAGGAAAACGACCAACAACGCTGAAATCCTGTGGCAGTGAGAGTGGTACATACTAAGGCTAGCAAATCCAAGTGATCATACTTGAAATGAATTTTCCGCGCCGTATTTCATTCAAATTAAATCGTAAAAAAGAATAAAATAAAATCAAAGAAAAGCGATCATTTATTTTTTGGATCACTCCCTCTACTGTAAACTCGGCATTTTTTGTTTAACAGTAAATAAACATTCCCCAAAGTTACTTAACTATGGCAACAGCTGGTAAATACCGAACTCGGAATTTTGTTGCTAAATGAATAATCATGTTTACTGTACTACGCAAACTTATTTACCGATTTTCATCGTTTCGATTCCTTTCAAAGTTCTTTGTTTCAATTAAAGACATTAGGTCCGAGTCATATTCTACCAATACATACTACACCATATATAATCGGTACATGAAGTGAAACTCGCCAACACACATTTTTAAGTGTGAATTCTCGCTTTCACATTCCTACGGTTTGTTTTTAAATAAAAATTACAAAAAACTGTGAAAAAAACATCTTCAAATGGGAAATGAAGCGGCGATTTAATGCTGAAGGATTACTCACTACTACTACTTAAAACTGATGCGACGCGACGCGACACGATGCGACACTATGATTCTTGTTCTTTCGTTAAATTTTGAACTTTTCAATAAGCAAGATGGAATGCAAGATCAAATTTAACTCATTTGTCGTTTCAAAGTCCTATTCTTTCAATCTTGTTTTTCATATATGGCATGGCTGGCCATTCGGGATTAGTATATTCTCCGAGGGTATAACGTCGGTGAATGGGGGAATTTCCATTTTTTATTTTTCTTGGAATACAAGACTTTTTCCGGTTACCATTGATCTTTTTGTTTTTGCCAGTACAGGTCGAACTGATTCCTCTTTGATGGAACTGTTGAATATTAAATTATTTGCGGGAAACAAAATTCATAAATTTCAGAATTTGGTCGAATTGCAATATTTTTGTTTAAACTTACTTTTACGAGGTATTATACTCTCGGTTTGTCAGCAAGCCATGCAACCGGCATAATTCGGTTCGATAAAACCGAACGAGTCGGCCCGAACAAACTAGTTCTTCCTTCGCCTTATTTAGTATTCGATTGGTTTATTGTTTACAACTTGTGTATGTTACTAACCTTTTTTCCGATTCAAAGTCAACGTCCTTTCAAGCTATATAAGTACTACTTTGACATCTCGGTATACGACTTTTCGCTGTTTCTAGTCCCTACTAAATTTGGCTCGTAAAGTTTGTTACGCTGTAATAAAGCACATACTGGGTTAGTCCCCGAGACGTATCTATATATATTTTTTTCTTTTATTCTTTTATTCTTTTTAGATACATGTCTTTCCTTTGAATCATTTTTCTTTCCTTATTTTTCTTATTTTCTTATTGCGATATCCTCATCTTTTAGGGAATTTTCTTGGTTCTTTGCATTTTGTTTGAATTTTTTTGCATTTCATTTCATTTCTTTTCGTTTTTACATCGTTTTCCTTGCATTCGCATTCGGTTGTTTCTTTGGTATTGCATTGGTTTGATTCTCTGTTCATATTAGTTTCAATTACTCTTGTCAAACACTTTCATTTATTGTCAATTTTTTCTTTTTTCTTTTCTTTTTTTCTTTTTCGAGATGGGATTGTTACAGTTTTCGTTGCTTGCCTTGAGCGTTTTCAGCGGAGTGCAGCAAGGACTGGCTAAGTCCGCTGAAGAATGGCGAGACCGTGTCATTTATCAAGTTTTGACGGATCGTTTTGCCGTCAACGATACCTCGAACCCTGAGTGTCAAAAGGGTTCTAGTAAATACTGCGGTGGTACTTGGAAAGGCATTCAATCCAAGTTAGATTATATTCAGGAAATGGGGTTCAATGCTATTTGGTTGTCTCCTATCGATAAAAACGTTGAAGGAACATATGGTGAAGACGGCGAATCTTATCACGGCTATTGGAATAGTGATTTCACCCGCCTGAACGAACATTGGGGTTCCGAAGACGATTTGATTGATCTTATTAATGATATGCACAATCGTGATATGTGGGTTATGTTTGACGCTCTTGCCAATTCCATGGCTATTCCTGGTCCCCCTGATAACATTACCTATTCGAACCTCCATCCTTTTAATTCTTCTGAGTATTTCCATCCATTCTGCTGGATCGATTATGCAAGCACAAATAACACTGAGATTCAAGATTGCTGGGCTGGTGATGATGAAATTATCCTTGCCGATTTGAATCTTGAATCAAAGCAGGTGTCTAATTATCTCAATGAACATATCCACGACGTTGTACGTCGCTATGGTATTGATGGTATCCGTGTGGACGCTATTAAACAAATGAACCCTAATTTCTTCCCTGATTATCTAAATTCCGCTGGTGTTTTTTCTGTTGGTGAAATGTTTTCCTACAACCCAGACATTGCTTGTTCTGTTCGTAACCAAATTGATAGTATCACCACCTATCCGATTCGACAAGGAATTGAGTTTGCTTTCAACAATACCGGCGCTGCTTTCCAATACCTTCAGCAAATTGATATGCAGTTTCAGCAGGCTTGTTCCGGCCAAGATATGTCCATTGTTGCTAACTTTTTGGAAAATCATGATTTACCCCGTTATCCTTACATTACAGATGATGAATCGCAAAACAAAGGAGCCATTGTGTTCCTTCTTCTTCATACTGGCATTCCAATCATTTATTATGGGCAGGAGCAACATTTGACTGGTGGTGCCGGCACTTCTGATAATCGTGAAGCTTTATGGAATTACGGATATAACAACAGCTCACCTATTTATCAGTTAATTCGTACAGTCATTGCATTACGAAAGCAAGCTATGCATGACAATAAAAATTGGACGACGACTAATCACCAGTATTTGAACAATGAACTACGTTACTCATTCGTTCAAAAGGGAGACGTTCTCGGTGTCTATTCAAATTTTGAATCAAATTCCGACAAAGTTGCTTACGATGTTGGTTCCAATTTTGAAGAGGGAACGGTGGTTCGTGAAGTTTTAAGCAATACAACCGCAACTGTGGGCTCTTCTGGTACTTTGCAAGTTACAATAACTACTGGCATGCCTCAAGTCTACTACCCAGAGGCTAGTTTGACTTCATTCGGAAAGTTCTTGGGAACACCTACGAGTATATACTCTTCTTCAGCTTCTTATCCAACCTCTTCATTGTCCGAGTCACTTTCATCAACAGCTAGTTCTACTTCTAGCTCTTCATCTGCATCACCTACAACATTCGCTTCTGTTACTACGCATCACAGAACATATACAAGCGGTTCTTCTACGTTTACGGTTGATACAAAAAGCACCGCGTACTCTACCGGCAAACATAGTTCGCGCGAGTCTAAGGGATCTTCTATGAAACCGTTGTCCTTAATGATCACGACCACTTGCTTGTTGGCTGTCATCTTGATGGCTTAATGTGTATAGACTATCTGCATTTTATCCCGAGTGCATTCTTAATTCCCAGTTATCTAGATTATATTTGGAAAATATAACTTATAATTGAAAAATGCTTATGCTCGTATTTTATCGATTATAAGATTGGGATTGAATACAGGAATTTGAAATAAAGAACATTTAGATGATATATTATCACTGATATCAACCTCAATTTGTTTCGTAATAAGACAGCAATTGATTGTCTACAATTTATGAATACAAGTCTACAGCAATAAAATCATATTTTCTCAAACTGAAATAGTCTGCTTTCGCTTTTTATGAAAAAATTCTTTCTAACAAGAGTATCAACCTTTTCTGAGGAGTTTGTACCAAAAGTACCCATTACTGACGCCCTCCATTGGAGAGATTTCCATTCCATTTTACTCAACATTTATAGATTTTCTCGTCTTCGAAAATCAAGAGAACTTGCTACGCCAACATTCTCTGGACATAAGTAGTAGGACCAAACCTGGTACACTTTACATGTTGGCTATTCCTTTGTTCTACTTCGGTATTATGCAATGTAGTACGATTACTTCTTTTTTTTTCGATGACTAAAACAAACATGGATAGGATTCCAGTTATACTAGCAATTATGGAGTCACCTTTGATTTAAAACTAGCGTTTCTTTTTCTTTCGCAACACAGAATATTTACCCCATCGTTGTACGAAGCTATTCATTTTAAAAAGTGAGAAAAAAGAACATAAAGAAAAAACCCGAAAATGCTAATCCTCGGTTGAAATTTTCTCCTAAACAACTTTCCCTAAACTATTTTCATAAATGAGTCGTGTTTTCCCCAATATTTTATATACCTTCCATCAGTATTACTTTATCAATGGGGTACAAAGAAAGATAAGCCGTTGACTGTTCATGTACATATATAAGATGACTCTGAAATCTGCTATAATAAGGGAGCAAGGACTATAAAAATTTGACAAGCCTCACGTTTAAGTACTGGTTTAAAAACATTTGCTAGCATTTATCGTTATCAGTTCTGGGTCTTTGATTTCACTAGTGGTACTCATTCCTTTTGGTCATTTACAAGAGACATTTAGTAAGTCTTCCTCTTTTCTTTAAAAATTCATTAAATTTATTTGCGAATATTCATTTTCATAATGCCTTCTTCAGAATTACCTGAATTTCCTAGTTCAAGTAAGAGCACAGGATCTTTCAAGGAAAAGGCTGAGGATAGCATTAAGGATTTTTCTATTGAAAAACCCATTACAACGGAAGGCGTTGGAGAGGTGGATATTGTCGCAAATGAATTGCTCGACGATGATGATTTTACCTTTACGGAGAAAGAAGCTAGGAAGGTGCTTTGGAAGATTGACCTTGTATTTATGCCAGCTATGTGTATTACGTATATGATCCAGTACCTGGACAAGACAGCATTATCTTATGCGGCTCTTTATGGCATGAAAAACGATACACATATAAGTGGTCATACTTATAGCAGTATGACCACGCTCTTTTACGTCGGCTACCTGGTAGCTCAGTATCCTGCCGCTTATATTATGCAAAAAGTTCCTCTTTCCTTATTTATTCTTGTAAATGTAATTCTTTGGAGTGCCATGGTTTGTTTGATGGCTGCTTGTCACAACGGCTCTTCTCTTTTAGCTCTACGATTTCTAGCCGGTGTATTTGAAGCGTCTATTACGCCTGCTTTTATTAATATTACTGCTATGTGGTATAAGCGTGAAGAACAGCCTATGCGGACTCTTTGTTGGTATGCATTCAACGGTACCGCTCAGATTGTCGGGTCCATTTTATCTTATGGACTAGGCCATATTCACCAAAAAATCTCCTCATGGAGATACATATTCATTGTCATAGGTCTACTTTCACTAGTTTGGGGCCTCATTTTTATTTTCATCCCCAGCAATCCCACTAAAGCACGTTTCCTTAGTCATCGGGAAAGACGAATAGCTTTAGAGAGAGTAAGAGAAAATAGAACAGGACTGGAGAACAAGACTTTCAAAGTTTCTCAAGCCTGGGAAGCGTTTCGTGATCCTCAAGTGATTATGATCACCTTGTTTACTGGTATTTGCATGATTACCAATGGTATTGGTGTCTTTAGTACTTTAATTATCAATGGACTTGGATATAACGAACTGAAATCAACCGTTCTTAACATGCCGTTGGGTGCAATTGAAATTGCTGCCATGGTTGTCAGCGGTATTCTTTGTAAGATCTTTAAAGAGGGACGTTTGTTAATCGGTGCTTTCTGCAATTGTTTAAACTTGGTTGGATGTATTATGATTTGGAAAATTCCTGCAACGAATCCGTACGGTCGCTTGGTGGGCGTATGGTTTACTATGTGGGTTCCTGCAGGTAGTGCCTTACTGTTGTCGCTCATATCTTCAAATGTCGCTGGTTACACAAAAAAGAGCGTTACGAATGCGACTGTCTTTGTTTTTTATTCAATAGGAAACATTGTCGCTCCGCAGCTGTTCAAATCTGGACAAACCCCAGAGTATATTGAAGGCATCCAAGCTATGATTGTCGCACTTTGTTTAATCATCTTTATAGCTTTCTTGTTAACCGGTTATTATCTCTATGAAAATAAAAGAAGAGATAATATTATGGAGAACGACCCTTCTACACAGTACTCTGTTAAGAACGAAGAGTTTATGGACCTCACTGACCGTGAGCAGATCAAGTTTCGATATCGGTGGTAAGCAGTAAGCACTAACTTTTTTTAATTAACTTTTATTTTCTTTGTTATTTTATTCTTAATTATATTTATATATTATTTCTACATATATACTGTTTCCTAGATTTGATGGGTTTCGTAAATTCAATTACATTTGGGGTACGCGTTGACAAAGTAAATCTACTTTGTAAGCAGCTGCATACCATGTTATGTTGTCTTTTTGAACGATGTGGCTTTATCAATAAATAAAAGAGTGCATCTTGTACGGAATTTTGCTATTGTCTTCCATTTTAAGCTTATTTTTTTTTTTTTTTGCTCCATATTTCAAACATAATATGTTGTTCCTTCCATCCCTTATGCAGCAATTTAAAAATACCCGATTACAAGAGAAGCTTATGATATTTAAAGATTTTTATTTAGGGGCAGTTTGAGTATCTAATTTTGGACACTGTCATAGCCAAGTTTTTATGTTTATTTATTGTAAAAGCTATGCACTATAGAGTAGTAAAATTCTGTATAATAAATTCTGGTTCTACTTGAGTTGTTTTCAAGTATTGTTGGAGTTGAGTGACTTGATTAACTAAATAAAACCGATATTTTGATTTATAATGTCAGATCAGTCGAATTCTCCATTTTGAAGACTTTTGCTTTTGACTAGACATGTGGATATCTTTAACTAAATAAAATCGTTTCTTTCAGTAGTTTTTCTTTGTTCCGAACTTCCAATCTTAACGGTTTTTGTATTAAAGAACTATTTCATACTACTTTAATACAATAGTATTTCGACCTGACAGACTTTTATTTACTTCGAAAGTGTAGTTTTGTTACGTGAGAGGTAACAACGATAAAGATACTTTCTTTGCTGTAGGTAGACAGTAAATTGAAGAATGCGATAGAAAATTAAACCATTTGCTTGCAAAGGTGTTGCCGACCAGTTCATAGCTAATGCGAATACGAGGAATGGGTCATGTAAATTGATCAGGGCTCACTATGCTAATTTGGCTTCTTAAAAATGGTAAAAGAACACATCGATATTTGTAACAGTTCAATTTACACATTCATCAAAGTTCTAATATTCGGTTAGTAGATCTTTACTGAATTGTTCTCTTGTTGGACGTCTGAAATAATACATTTCATGCATACAAAATTTCATGATCCGCAAACAACTAGATCAGATACTTTTTCTTCACCTATTAGATTTTAGAGATAATAAATAGCTACTAATGCGAGGTGATAAAAACGAAAGCATCGCAAATGATGACTAGCTTCCATTAAAAAACTGTGAAAACCATCTGAGAAATGAGGGGTCCCCATTTCTGTTGAAGCTTCAAAAAAACTATCCTTTGTTTATTAACGTACACCGTAATACCCAATTTTAACTCGTTAAATTAATTAACGAAGTTGTGTTTAATTACGTAATCGCGTTTTAGTGAATGTATTACAGAACCAAATTCTGAACCATCCAGATTCTTCCTACAGCAAAAATTTTCCCCTCTTCTCTCATTTTGCTTCCTTTACCATAACCGCGCTCCTATCTCCATTTTCCTATACGTTTCTATCGTTTCAAAGCTTCTTAGCTGGGTGTTTTATTCTAAATAAAAAACACTTGAAAAAAGCTTTGTCTCAATCGTTTTCCATTGACCGGCCCTTGAAATCCCTTTTACGAAATATCCTACCGCTTTTTCCATCAGTCCATACATTGACCAAACGCTGGTAACTACTTTAAGTTTTTACACATATACGGTTTTTGCAATTGCATTTTTCCTAATCAAAAACGCATATGTGTCCTATCCAACTTACCAATTCTGTACCTGTATCATCTATGGCATATAACCATTTTGCAATTCCAAAGTCAATTGAAGAAAAAGAAAATTCATTTTTCGACGTGACTTTCCAAGACGAACCTGAAGACGCATCTGCCCCCGCCGTTACAGCTTCTTTATCCAAAGTACCTCCTACTTTTGCAAGTGCTTCTTCTTTAGCTACTTCATCCACATCAACTCCTCTTTCTACTATTCAGAACGGTGTAACTCCCGGATTACAACAAGCCACCCAAAACATGCAGCAATCACAACCAATGTCCGCTTCTCAGCAAGAGCTCTCTATGGCAGCCACCACATCTTCCGCTAGTAGTGCTAAGCCTGCTATGGATGATGCAAGTTATGCTAACCAACAGCTCACTTTACGTGCGCTGTTGTCTACTCGTGAGGCTGGTATAGTCATCGGTAAAGCGGGTAAAAATGTTGCAGAGCTTCGTACCTCTACCAATGTTAAAGCTGGCGTCACCAAGGCTGTTCCTAATGTCCATGACCGTGTTCTTACTGTAAGTGGAAGCTTAGAAAATGTTGTTCGCGCTTATAGGTTTATCATCGATATCTTTGCGCGCAACAGTACAAACGCTGATGGTACCCCCATTGAACCTGCTGCTCCCAGAAAACTTCGTCTCCTTATTGCTCATTCCCTTATGGGTAGTATCATCGGCAAGAACGGCTTGCGTATTAAGCACATCCAAGACAAATGCAACTGTCGAATGATTGCTTCCAAAGATATGCTTCCTCAGTCTACCGAGCGTACTGTCGAGGTCCACGGGACTGTCGAAAACCTTCACGCAGCCATCTGGGAGATTGGAAAATGTTTGATTGATGACTGGGAGCGAGGTGCTGGTACCGTTTTTTACAACCCCGTTTCTCGTATTACCCAGCCTCTTCCATCCCTTGCCCAGGGCACTCCTCCTCCCCAACCCGTCATTACTGCTTCCCCTCCCGTTGCCAATGAAGGCTCCCAAGAAAACTTTGTTTCATATGGCGCTCCAGTTTTCCCCGCTCCTCAATTGCCCTTCTTGCAACAACCTAAGGTCACACAAAACATCAGTATTCCTGCTGATATGGTCGGCTGTATAATTGGTCGAGGAGGCTCGAAAATTTCTGAAATCCGTCGTACTAGCGGCAGCAAGATCTCTATTGCCAAAGAGCCTCATGACGAAACTGGTGAAAGGATGTTTACGATTACTGGTACCCATGAGGAAAATGAGAAAGCTCTTTTCTTACTTTACCAACAGCTTGAACTTGAGAAGGATCGTCGCTCTCATTAATGGGTATTCTACTCAATACTTTCATTCATAATTGATAATGGTATATCTGAATATAAATTTTTGGTTCGGTCTTTATGTTCTTGTTTTATGTAAGTTTGCACCCATATTGATTTCTATACGTCCTCGTTTTGTTGATTAAATGTTCAATGCATTGCTTATCGTTTTTACCAATAAAAATAGGGTTATATTACTTACCGGTTTCGTTTCTGTTAGCTGTTTACTTCGTTTTCTTTTTTTTTTTGCCTTGTTATTTTCAGAGTGCTGTGTATTGTTTCAAAAATAATACACCATGGCTTTTGTATGTTCAATTTTGTTCTTGTCATGATCAACATTATTTTATCCTCGCAAAGCAATGTTGTGCTTACAGACAATGCATGTGACTCTGCGGAATGGATATGGCCACTATGGGAGTTGTCCCTTGTCTTAACAATGATCGTCCTCTCTATTTCTATACCACAGGTGTGCTATGTCACAATTGTTTCTTACTATCCCCTTAATCAATATGTTCGGTATTAGCAAAATATTCTATCCTTAAATTCTCGTATCCACAGTTTCCTTGCCGCTTCTTGTTGTTTTCCTTTTTATCTAGTAATACAATAGTTTCTTTCCCCTTTTTTGCCGTCGCCAAATTGCTTGTTGTTTCATAGGTATCTTCTGTCATTTCGTTTAGATAAATAAGTATTGTGTATAACAATTTTCAATGAACAGAATGTGAACAAAAGTATTGAACAAGAGCAACCGTTTGTTAGTAACGAAATCATTAGGATTCAATCTATAACCAGTAAATAACATCTAAATACACATTTCCTTTTTTTTCTTAAGAGCGTTGGTTTTCGGCAGAACCTCCAAAAAATTGAGTCTCTTTTTTAGATAAATCCTCATCTAAAACCCTTTGAATTTCCGAAATGATAGATGTCGTTTTTTGGAAAGCAGTATGAGCACATGCAACCACACTAGAAGCGTCTATTGTAACACCTCCGGCTTTAAAAATTTGACAAATCTCACGGTTTTTGTTGAGCGTGACAGTCATACTACCAGTACGAAGTTCTTCTTCTTCAAGAGATGCATCTATAGCTGATAAGCTTCCGTCCTCAAAAAAGCTAAATGTTACACAGATGGGGGTATGAAGAACGGAAAGAGGAACAGGAACACGCTCATCGATAGAATGCACAGTAATTTCGTCGCCGAGAACAGTAATTTCAGGTCTTCGAAAGTGACAAAGGGCTGTGATCACTGCGATACATGCAGCATCTACCAAATTTCCGTCGTGGTTAATGAAATGGATACTTGCACGGACATTCCAACACTTTTGTCCTGAAACTATGCATAGGGATTCCGTGTCTAAAGCGTTTGAACGTCGAATAGCTTGTTCAATGAGGCGGGAGATGATAACTTCCTGTTCGGATACTCTAAAGTCATTGTTAACTTACAAAACAAAGAATTTTGTGATGCATCATACCTTCCTGTTTCAAAAGCAGGACTGGCAAGAGGTGTAAGCTCAGTCGTAATAGCAAAGATTCCATCGAATGGCCGATCTGAATATGGTTTCGTAATTTCAGCAGAAATGCGTGCCATAACCCTTGATGAAAAAGTATGTTAGCAAAGAAATGAATCAAGAGAAAAAATTCAAAGTACAAATGTTCATCTTACCTAGTCGAACCCAAAGAAACGTCTACCTGGCCATAATCTTCACCGAACTGGATTTTAAGATCTCGAAAGTCAGTTAATGGACGACCATCCATTCTTAATCCTTTTCTCAAGGCATTGATAAGAAAGCCCTTATTATTTGCGGAAGGTTCAAGACTCTTCGACATGTCAACGAATTCAAGCAAAAAATTTCGACGGTTTCTTTCAACTTGCTATTGTCTCTCTTTACGATTCTCAGATCCTGATCACAAAATTCCTTCCTAATATTCCCAATTTAGTTAGTTATTGAAGCCCAAAGAAACGACAGCCTTTGTCTTCAGATTTCTTGGGTCTGCTCGTTTGATGTTTCTGTTTTCAGCAATGCTGTGCATCCGAATAGCGAGCTTAGTGAGACGCTCGATAAAAATTTAAGCATCATAGTTACGAGTGCAGTAATCATGAGTAAAGCAATCTACTGCAAGAAAAAAGCAAAGGATGTTTAAATCGAAAAATTTCGTCGTTATTAAAAAAAGGAGCAACGTGTTAAATATAAAAATAAGAAATCAAACTATGCATTAGAACAGTTCTTTTGATCTAGTTTGCATTGTAATTGGATTCAACACTATGGATATAGAGAGATTGTGTTGCATTCCGTTACATTGGATTGAGAAGGACTGTAGGCTTCTCTATTCTGATACATGCCAACTTTTGTCCTGGTAGAGAACGGTAGTTTTCGTTTATACCCAAGAAGCCTACGAGCTATAACCAACCGTATACCAATTTTCTAATTATATATTTCTGCATTTTCAAAAGATTACCGGGAGAAAAGATTTTAATAGCACTTTGAATTCACAAGTAAGTATATAAAGTTGTTTGATGTACGACCTGAGTCCTCAATGATGGAATTCTTCTGAAAGAGTAGCAGAAAAAGATGGCCTTTTTGGTTGGATTGAAATTTCCAAGTGCTAATGCATAATAGCCTTACAAATGAATCGTGGTAGTATTTACAACTTGATCCAGAGGGGATCGGTTTCTATCTTGCTTTTCGGTACTGTCGGCGGTACAGTCATGCTTGGTCAATCATATTTTGCTCATAAGAGACGCCGTTTGGCTGCTTTAAAAGAACACGAAAAGGTATACTAAAAAATATGGATGTATCCAATTGATGCTAACGGATGGTGCTGATAGAATCTTCAAGATGAAAGGTTTGCCGAAGACGAGTTTAATCAATTGGACCTAAAGTAAAGTAAATAAATCTTTTTATAGAGTTTTTTTTAAAAAAAAAAAAGCTCTTATCACCTTTCCATACACATTCCTCTCTCCTATTTTACGCTTCAATTCGATTACACCCTCTTCTCTTCCTTTACATGCCCGCCCAGGTTTCTTTTATGGTTCTAGGAAAGCGATGGACGCGGTCTGAGCATGATATCTTTCTAGATGTGCAACCATGAGGGCTATTCTCGTTGTCGATAGGAAAACTTGCTTTTGAGGCTTTTTCCAGCTTTCATAATTGATTATAATTATCATACAAAAGAACCGAATCTTTAGAAAGCAATGTCTGCAAGAAGCTGTAAATGAAATTGCAACTACAATTATAATCTCAATAATTTAACAAAACATAATAATAAATAAAAGAAAAGAAATCTATAAATCCATGCATCTAGTTTACCCAGACAACTCATGACAGGCTCAACAAAATCATTCATTTCCCATGAAAATCCAAGTAACACGTTCCTGCTGAACTGTTCTCGCTTCTATTTTTAAGCAAAGTCTAGACCGGTCCATTTTTCTTTCTCACAAATACAGTGACGTTATGATTTGCCGTTAATCGTTACTTCTTTGCCTTCGTGTAGCTTTACCTTATTGCTTATAAAATTATGTGGACTAAATATAAGGTCGTTGATTGGGTTTTAGAAAAGCCATGTTACTTGCTTACAAGCCAATTGTGTCTCGAACAATTCTATGTGTCATACACCTGATTCATCCATACTTACATAAGGTCCACACTATATGCTATATATATTGAGCTCTGTTTTCGTGGTTTCTGCAATCATTTCTCTGTCTTTTTTCCTATAAGACTTGAAATTATTTTTTATGGCATTCACTAAAGTGCCATCTTCTCACGGTTTTCGAATTTGTTTCCCAAAGGTAACTCCTTCTTTTATTGCCAAACGGAATTTTTCTCTTTCTGCTAAGAAAATGTCGCAAAACGTTTACAGAACAAATACCGGTTGTCCCATCTTCAACCCGCTGGCTAGCGCCCGTATAGGAAAGGGTGGTCCTGTATTGCTTCAAGACTTCCACTTGATTGATATATTCCAACACTTTGATCGTGAACGTATTCCCGAACGTGTTGTCCATGCCAAGGGTTCCGGTGCCCATGGTGTCTTTGAATGTACCAAGGATATTACACAGTACACCAAACATACAATGTTTTCTAAGGTCGGCAAGAAGACCCCCATGTTAGCCCGTTTCTCTACTGTAGGTGGTGAACGTGGTACTCCTGACAGTGCTCGAGACCCTCGTGGCTTTGCTCTCAAATTTTACACTGAAGACGGTATCTTCGATATGGTTGGTAACAACACTCCTACTTTTTTCATTCGTGACCCTGCTAAATTCCCTGTGTTCATCCACACCCAAAAGAGAAACCCTCAAACTGACATGAAGGATCCCACCATGTTTTGGGATTACCTATCTCAAAATGAAGAATCGATGCATCAAGTTATGATTCTCTTTTCCGATCGTGGCGGTACCCCATATGGTTACCGTTTTATGAACGGTTTCTCTAGCCATACATACAAGTTTGTTAACGAGAAGGGTGATTTCTATTACTGCAAATGGCATTTCGTCTCCGATCAGGGTACCAAGGGATTGACTGATGAGCAAGCTAAGAGTTTGGATGGATCTAATCCTGATCATGCTCGTAAAGACCTTTTCGATGCAATTGAGCGTGGCGATTATCCTAGCTGGACTCTTTATGTTCAAGTTATGACTCCCGAGGAAGCCGAGAAGTACAGATATAACATCTTTGACCTTACCAAGGTATGGCCTCACAAGGATGTTCCCATGCAAGAAGTTGGTCGTTTCACTTTGAATCAAAACCCCAAGAACTTCTTTGCCGAAATTGAACAAGCAGCTTTCGCTCCTTCTCACATGGTTCCCGGTATAGAAATCTCCGCCGATCCCGTTTTGCAAGTCCGTACATTCAGTTATCCCGACACTCATCGTCACCGCTTGGGTGCCAACTTTGAACAGATTCCTGTCAACAGCCCCAAGTGCCCCGTCTTTAACTATTCTCGTGACGGACCCATGAACGTAACTGACAACCAAGGCAGTATGCCCAACTATCCTTCTTCATTGCAACCCTTGGCCAAGGAGTACCACGAGCCAAACGAGAAGCACGAAAAGTGGGTTGGCCAAGTCACTTATCACATGGATGAGGTTACTGATATTGACTTTGAACAACCCAGAGCCTTCTGGGAAAGAGTTTTAGGAAAGCAACCTGGACAACAAGACAACTTTGTTAACAACGTTGCTGGCCATCTCTCTGGTGCTGTTCCCGAAGTTCGTGAGCGCCAATACAAGGTGTTTAGCCGCGTCCATGTTGACTTGGGTCAACGTGTTCGTGAGGCTACTGAAAAGGTCGCTAAACAAGTGGCAGAAAGCGAATCTCCTGCTATCCAACCTGAACCTCACATGTTCCAAGCCAACTAGAATGTTTGACTTCGGTAAATCTCTTTACATAATTTTGATTTAATGTTATAGAAAAAGTAGTAAAATGATAATTCCAGTTAATAAAGCTTTTTTGAAGATATGATCTGTTTGAGTAACCCATGTTTTATGCATACACGTAAATTAATGATGCCGTAGATGTCATGATTATTGACAATTTCAAAGTTGACAAGAACGATAAAATGAAATAATTTATGTAATTTATTAACGTTTCGCTATAATTATTTCATTTTACTTCGCCGTAGGTTCGCACTGCGCTTCCATTTCATTCTAATTGATGTTTCGCTTACACATAGGCTGGGTTTTACACAATATGTGTCTAAGCTATTATTTTTTTTTGCTGATTTCAACTAACGTCAATTTGACATTTTGAAGGTACGCAAATAAACATAATACATAATCTGACGTTATTTCTACTGGTTTTGCCACTTCACGAAATTATATAAAGGCAAAAAGAACTATTGCTTGGTAACAACAGAAATTAAAAGTTATTCACAATGTCGCATTCTACAAGAGTAAACGCTGGCCACAAAGCTGCCTTGCACAACCCAAATGTCTCTGATGAGACCAAGCAACACGAAAGAGAATACCTTGAAAACGAAGGCGTGGATGAAAGCTCTACCTCACATGGATCCTCACACAAGTCTGGAAACAAGGATACTAAAAATGTCGAAAGAGGATACAAGGCTACCACTCACAACCCTAATGTGTCTGAGGAAGCCAAGCAACACGCTAAGGATGAACTCGAACATAACGAGAAGCTTCACAATTATCAGCATTAACTTCTGATAAAAATTGTTTATGAATGATGTTACGAATTGGATCCATTGGATTCAAATGATGTTGTAAATAAATATTATTATTTTACACACTAAAATCTTTTGGCTGTTATTGAGAAATGTAATAAAAGTCGGCTGAGTATGTTTGCCGAAAAATTATTTTCATTTTAGGGCTTTATTATTTGTATGTAGAAAATATTGTAGGATGAAAGCATATGGATGATGATTTGTTATACTATGCTTCATCATGGTTGATTCTATATTCAAGTAAAAGTAGTTTACTATTACATTGATCTGCTTTAGGTGTCTAAAGTTATTAATTAGGCCGTAAGCGTATTACGTATGAAGAACAAATTTTGCTTTCATTCAAGATTGTTACCGTCTCAATAGAATGTTGGTGGGTAAAAGTACGATACTCATGAATAAATAATACTAGAAAGCAAGCTATTTTATTTGTGAACCAGTTCTTGTTTCTTACTGATGTGAATTGTTAAAACAGTTCATGAGTAACTTGCTGCTAGCGCAGTATAGTTAATTATTCATATCGGTAGCTAAAAAAGTATAACAACATTAACATTAGGATGACTTCCCAAGAAGGGAGCGAAGGTTATCGGCTGATGTTTTCATTAGACTGGTGAAGTATTCATCATTTAGAATACTAGAAGCATGATCTTCAATGAATTTCCGTAATGCTGGGGGAATATCAACTTCCTTTGTTTCAAGTTGCTGAGTGTGATTAACTGGAGTTCTGTCAATATTGGGCATGAATTCAACAGCTAATCCTCCATCATATCCTATTTCTTTCAATAACTCATATATTCTCTTCCAATCCATGCTACCGTCTCCGATAGGAAGTCTGTTGTTATCTGAAACATGAACGTCATAAATTCTTTTGCCAGCAGACTTTATAGCTGAGAACATATTGGCTTCTTCAATATTTAAATGAAACGGATCTAATGCGATCCCCATTTCTGGACCAACTGCATCGGCTAGAGCAAGTGCTTGATCAATTCGGTTCAAAAAGTATGTTTCAAAACGGTTCAATGGTTCCAAACCAACTTTTATTCCACGAGACAATGCATGCTTGTGAACTTCTTTCAGTCCTTCTACTACCCAATTCCATTCATTCTCGGGTGTTGACGTTGGTGCAAGCTTACCGACCGTCACTGGCACGAGACTTGTAATCTTTCCACCTAAGCCCGCAGCCATATCTATAACATCTTTTATGTATTGTACTGTCATCTTTCTCTGCTCCGGTTTAGAGGCGGCGAGATCATGATCACCCATTTGCAGAGTCACTGTTCCCCAGCATTTTAATCTATACTTCTCAAGTAGCTTTTTTGTCTCTTCAATTGGATATTGTTCAGGTATACCAGCTAACTCGATACTTTCGTAGCCTAACTCGCTAGCACGTTTCAATGTAGTTTCTAGAGGCTCCGGCCTCATCCAAGTGTGTGTCGATAAATGCATATTGATTCAGTGAATATTGAGCCTTTCAGACTAGTAGTGCACTTCATCTCATTTATATTACAACTCTAAATCTCGTATGATATTGGCGTTTCCATAAAATACTATTTTATTGCGTTTACTTGGTATTATTACGTAAGGGTAGGTTTTACAGCATGGGTGGTTGTCATATTCTAGATAGAATGGAGGACTATAAGTTCGATGTTTATGAGATTTATAGAGACGGTAAAAGAATTATATTTATAAGAATTTGTGAGTAAAAATGCCAGTTACAGCTGCTTGATTTACAAGACTTTTTTAACCTATATATGTAAAGGGAACGGACATTTTGATTGTTAGCGACATAAACAAATATATTTACCCATTTACTCATGTAAGGATTTCTTACTTTTCCAATAGTATAATGAAGTTATCCGTTTGTTTTACATTCACGTTTACGGATCTGCAAGAAAGGATTACATGGACCTTCTTCATATGAATTGTTTTTATACGTTAAAAGACAAGAGAACAAGAAGAAACTGAAATATACGAAACCTTAGTAACATCTACAAGTGAAACCAGAGACATTTAAATGACATCTTATACCTCGTAAATATTCTTATGTTCATCATCAAAAAAATAAATACATTTAAGAAGGAAGCAAGTAAGCTTATCCCGCCGCAAATGAGTAAATTGTTATTATTCATTCTCTTACTAGCATTTTCTTTACATTCGTGAATAAAACCCCTACACGTAAACTACTCATCGTTAATGAGAATTTTTATTTCATAATATAACTTATTGATGTCAGAGATGAACTATTTCACTTAATGAGAATACACAAATCAGCGGCAACGAATATACGAATATTAAAGAAGAATTGTACGTAGAATTGGATACTTCTAAACTATCTGAATGAATAATAATAGCTTTCAAAGCTCTGATTCACTAAATAATCTATGTAGACTCTATTTGGCTAGACCAGTCAAATCTTCCAACCTGAAGATTTGAGCCTTCAACTAGAGGTATGTGTTACTTTTCAAATTCAATTAGGGTCATATCTTTCTTATTCTAGATATATTTTTTTGCTTTTTACCTTTATAATGAGGTATTTGATAAGACAACAGTCTTATCGTATACCACTTATGACAGTTATTATACTTCCTGCAATAAACGGACGCTGTGAAAAGATGGAGATGCTGTTACATTGAGCCATCAAGATAACTTGCGGGCACTTACCTTCATAACGCACTGAGATACATCTCTCCAACGGCCAAATCAATTTCCCTATCATTACGGAAACGCCATAATTCTAAGTCTCGGGCACTGTCTTTACATGCTTCATTCTTGATGAAGTTTCCACTTCTTATTAACCCTAACTTCGTGGGATATTCCAGCCAGCAGTCGCAGATTAGATCAATATCATTAAAAATAGCGGTAAGGGGTCCCTTGCTTCTAGGTGTTTCTTCAAGGTTTTCTATCCTGGTTGGCTCTAATATATAATCCCCATATATGTTCAGATTACGTTTAGCAGAATTCTCCAAGTCATGTATGATACTTGGGTTGATGCCCGGTTCAGTAGGCCAAACGCTAACATGGCTATTTATTTCTTCAATTTGATAATTCCAACATTTTGCTTGCTCACCTAACATCTGAATCACCATACTAATTATAGTCCAAGAGGGCTTTTTTATCTATGAGAGCATCGACTGCGTCTTGCGAAGCACTATTCGGCTTGATATAAAGGGCATAATCCCTCTTATAATTCGATATGATATTATAATCTTGAGCATCCATAGTGAAAACTGGTTAACAAAAGAACGGGTGAAATTCGCTGAATTGTCGTTGTGCATCACTATGCAATAAATATATAGCGCTCACGAACCGTTATGACGCAAATGGTAGATGATAATAAATCTGATGGGTTTTAGATAATATTGAAATCGCCTATCTGGAGTTTGAAACTTTACAGCCTATCGAATTTTACATTTCTGAAGCAAGTTGAGTTAGTCTAGAAAAAGAACTCTCAAAAGAATTGGCTCAGTTATTCAATGTGAACAGTTGGTCTACAAGTTTTGGATTATTTATTTTCAAGAAAAAGCCCATAGTATTCCATAACGGTTAGTTTAGTCTTCTTTATTCTGTGTATGAAGGTGATTTTCATAAAACATATAATGACTATAAAGAGATGCTTGTCCCTTCGATTGAATCTACTCCAAGTTTTTCATACCTTCAGCATTTTATAGACAACGGATCTTGCAGTTTATATATAACAGCTGAAAAGCTTTCATAGTTAGCAGTACTGCTAGTCAACTTTCGTCAAGCGTATCTTTATTTCAACAAGTCCTTGTTGGACAATGATAAAGCCATAGCATAGCTTACGTGAAGGAGTACCACCTATATATATCATTTCTTCATCCTGTTCATTCTGCATCGTATTCAGTCATTAATGGATGGTGGTACCGTCCGTTTAATTCCTTGGCAGCTTATGTTGTCTAAAAGTAAAGTTTTGTATTGAAGACAGAAAAGAAGGATTAAAATATTTAAAATCTCTATACTTATTTAAAACAAATAATTTCATGACTAATTTTAATTAAGATAGGATGTAACATCAGCCCAGCTACAAGCATCGTGTTCATGATACTTGGTACAGCGTCTAAAGAAAGACAAAGTAGTTGTTTTAACATTCTAGAAAATAACTTTTTATAACTACTATTATAGGTATCACTCGTAATATCAGCGCATGCCTCTTGACCATAATAGCGCAATTCACCAAAAAGCATAACCTATCTTAGCTTCTTCTGGGTCGCCATTCATAAAGAAACGAATATTTATGACAGATTTGCTTCATGACGAAGAATTGCGGGTAAACAAAAAACACTTGAAAGTGACAGCAGCTACTTTCGTTTCCAGCAGGGCATTTGAAAGCATAACCCGAAGGCTGATAAGAATGCTTCGACACCTATTTCGAATTGAAAGTAGCCCATTTCTTTTGTAAATTATCAAAATTAGCACTTTAACACCTCATAGGGTAAAAGCTACACTGACTAACCCATAGTCATTTACTTCTTTGGAAAATTCGTATACGATAACTATGCTCTGAAAAACAGTCATGTCTTTGGAGTGAATTACTTGGACCTAAGAAACTGTACGTGGAGAGATGATATTGTAATTAAAGTCAGGAAAGAAGACCGAGACAGCGATGTTTCGGAACTCATCTGTACGAGCAGCAAAACCTCAAGCATAACTTTATTAACTTTTCGATTAGTCGTCTATCTTTATAAGCAGTAAAAGAAATTCTAATTGCAAAACATGTTGCTATGATTTCAAGTTGACAAGCATTCGTATATCTATGAGATTCCATCTAATGAACACGATTATAATTTGATGAGTATAAGTAAATCATGTCAAGCTTATGCGATCAATAAAAAAGAAAAAGGACATGAGAGGTCTCAAGTCAGTTTCAACTTTGGCTATAAGCAAATGTGACTTTACAACTATCGAAAGTGAACTATGAAAACCATCGATATTTGATACTAAACGACCAGAAAACTCACTAAAAGTCCAAAGTAAGAACATCTTAATTTTAGTCCGCTATTAAATAAAAAAAAGATTCTATCATTGTAGCTCAGAGAGATGCAAAGTACAACGGCAATGGCACAAGAGCTGAAATTTTTTTCGAGGTAAAGTTATTATCAAATCAAATCAAATAGACTTTCTGTTGATGCCTTTCGTTATTCATTTTACCAATTTATACTTAGCTATCAAAATGTATTTGCTAATTTAACCATTTAAGTAGCAAATTCTTTCTGAGAAGGGTGTTAACTCAAAATGCATTTAAAGAAAATTTATCCTTTATAACAGAAATAAAGAATATAAACAGGAACTTTGGGAACTAAGCGTCTACGGCCACACCTAGGCGAAAACACCAGTTCCCGTCCGATCACTGCAGTTAAGCGTCTGAGGGTCTCGTTAGTACTATGGTTGGAGACAACATGGGAATCCGGGATGCTGTAGGCTTTTTACCGCTTCATTTTTATTTTGTTTTAAATTTTATGTTTAATTTTATTTTTATTTTGTATGGACGGCACAAGTTTTTTGTTTTGATCGGAATGGTCCTTTGACTTAACTGGTACTGACAGAAGCAACAAGCCGCATATTACAATGGTCATCTTTGATTCAGAATCGAGTCGTTTTTTCATCACAATAAAGTACACAAACAAATGATCAACCAAGAAGAAACTATGCAGGCGCACTTGACAATACTAGCAAGTGATGATAATGATGACCTTACTTATGATATCGACAAGATGAAGCGAAACAGAAAAGCGGTCACCATCCAAGACATAGTTTGTCCCTATGCTCAATAAAAGGTAAATAAAACATAAACACATGCATGCTGGAAAGTTCATCGATCGTCCGGACATCCTCCTGTACAACTATTTTACATATAAATCAGGTTGTTACTTTCCGACAGCATTCTAAATCCTCAAGCTGTAGCAACTATAACTGCTACTACAGTTGTTTCTGAAAGAGCTAGACCGGTTTGGCTAATAAATAGGTACAAAACGCACAGCCCTGACTGTTCTTTGTAATGCTGGTTCTATGTTTACATTTTGTAATAAACGATGCTTTAGTATTATAATATTCCAATTATGACAATGAGGACGAATGTCAAATAATCGTAACGAGGATGTGACCAGTCGGTGACATAATGTCGCAGCTTCTATGAAACGAGACATGCGAAAAGCCACTATCATGAGTTCTTAAATTTGTATCTTTGGTTTTAAAGAAAATCTTCATCTGTAAAATTTATTAGCTTTTTGAAACGAGGTCCAATTCCTATTCTTGAAGACTCTGCAACAACTGGATCCAGTTTCTACGGACTTTTGTTGGTGATTCTAGTGATTTTAATTAGATTGCAACTGCAGTTGTTAGTTTGGGATTTAATGTGGCATTGTAACCATGAAGAATAAATACACTCCTGTTTCAGACTCTGAGGAGTCCTTGAAAACGCTCACTGATGAAAAGGCAGACACCCGTTCTTCAGAGGGTACGCCTCCTCCGTATTCAGGTAAGATTTATTGAAATAGAAAGGTAATGGTGTTTGTTATTGAGAGTTCTTACTGAGGAATCCTATTTTCAACTTGTCGACGATTGTCAATAAACAGGGCGAATACCTTCATTCTCTCGTATACAACGAAAACTTCAGTTGCTAATACATTTATTAGCTTCAAAAAAATTTATCGATTTAGAAATGGCTGACGGATCCGCTCAGAATTCCGCCGAATTATCCGAAAATAATATTAGGTCTGACCCTTCGCCAAATAAACAGCGGTGGAAAACACCTGTCATAGGAACAGTGACCATTATAACTATTATATATAATATTGTATTTATAGCAATAGTTTTTGGTTACAAGGTTTCTCCGTATTCGAAAACTTTTTACGGGCTTGCTGGCAGCTCTATTGGATCTATTTGTACTTCTCTCCTTGGTAAGTCTACAATATCTTGTTTTGGACAGCTCGCTAATTTTTAGCAATTCTTTATATCTATCCCGAATGGTACAGGCAAGCTGGGTTCAATATGTGTGCCGCAGCACTATATGTGTGTTTTCTCAATGTCCCCGGTTTCGCCATGTATTATACTGCAAAGAAGATAATGCAATTTGAAAAGATAAATAATCTTTTTCTCTACGCTGTTTGTTTTGTTGATTTTGTCTTGTTTGTTTTTATTTCGTGTATGCCATACAACCTGAGAAATATTCTAACGGTTCTAGTAAATCCAATTGCCCGTGAACGATTTAGATTATTAGTCATTAATATAGGAAACGGAATAGGAAACGGCGTAAATGGCATAGGAAACGGTGTAAACGGCATAGGAAACGGTGTAAATGGCATAGGAAACGGCATAAGAAATGTTGTGAATCTTGCTTTTGGTATGTACACTACATTAATGCTTCCTACATAGAGCAATCATTAACCAAATTAAAAGGAACAAATCGAGGAGACGAAGTACCTCAGAACGAAGAAATCGAACTTCAACCTCTTGCTGAGCAAAGTGGTGAAGTTTGAATTTTAACGAACCTGGTTTATGTTTTTATAATTCGCATTTTCTTTGGAAGGATTCATGTCAATATTGCAGTCCATCGACTTTGCATTCGCATCAACAACCAAAGTAAGCACTGTCTTAATAAGACGGTATAAGTTGCTTTTCTCATTCACTCTTCCATGAATCTTTTTAATTCGTTAAGCAATATCGTTGTTTATGCTTTGTGAATAGAATCGAACACCCTTTTTAATGATTATTTAATTACTCTAACGAAAATTCTGCCGTGATTAACTATAGCTTCAACAGAGTGCCGTGTAATCGTATGTCTTTTATAAATTAGTCAAGGCCGGAATATTGCAATGTCATCATACAGAAGAGTCTTTCACTACAAAATGTAAGAACGTCCTTACTGGATCACAACTGAACTTGTAGTAATCTTACCGACTGGAACAAATGTTTACGGTTATACCTAGGCAAAAACAGCACACCAGTTCCCGCCCGATCACTGCAGGAAGTGAAACTGTCTGAAGGCTCGTTAGTACTACGGTTGGAGACAACATGGGGATCCGGGATGCTGTAGGCTCCCTTCTTATTAGAATTACTGTTACTTAATTTTTTTTTTCTTCAGTATCATTCGCAGGAAATCTTTTTCAAGATAATATCATCAGTAAAGCAAGGAAAACTTCTCTTGGAAGACGATGATTCAATCAAATGATCACTTACTGTACTCTCCTTCTAGTATCTCTTCTTCAGAAATTATACTAACAGCTATTGTTAACTTCAGCCAGAGTTTCTGAGCTTGAATCCTTTATAGGTATATTCTTACCGCGAGCGTTGTTTTTATTTTGTTTTTGTCATTTAAGCGAAAATAAAGAAATAGCGGACTTTACGAACTGTAAGGTGAATTTCCTCCATATCGTTTTCATAGTCAAAAGAAGTTAAGATATATGCAAAGGTTATCTTTAAATTCGGGTTGTTAATTAGAGAAAGCCGTTAAGTGAAAGAGGTTTCGCAAGCGCCATCTTCTTGTATAGAATAATTCGCTACCAATTTTTGAGATATTTGCTCGTTACACACATTCAATATCACGGTATTGCAAGGTATATGATCACTTCCTAAGTTTTCCGGAAGAGGCTGAGAGCAAATGCAATTTTCATATCTACAAATTACTCGTGTCTAATAATGCTATATTTTAACATTTTCTAGAATGTAGGCTGATTTTCTTTGCTGGATACCACATAAATACTGCTTAAAGGCATGAAGAAGCCATTGGAATTATGACAGTTATTGTCATGCCAATTGATACCTTTCTTGTTCAGATCAAACTGAGTCTCATCAAAATCAAGGAGTCATCCCTGAAGGAAAAAGAAGGAATAATGTAGATATTTTCACTTATTTCAAATCAAAGAAATCAGTTTACTTTTGGTTCGTTGCTGTAACCAAAAGATTTGAAATATCTCGTATTTTGCTTGACTGTTAATGAGGTAAATAGCCTTAAGCAACGCCTCTGATAAGATAATGGTTCTCAGAATTCTCTCCACTGTTTGTTTAGTAGTACATTAAGAACATTTGTTAGGTGTTTTGAACGGAAAGTTTCCATGAGCTATTCTAAATTTGCCTTAGGAAGAAAAGCTTGTTAATCAGTAGTATACGTGAAAGAGACGAGGGAACCATTCACTGATCTGATGTTTGTAAATCTACTGTTCATTGTTCACGGTCCATTTCCAACTAAATAATCTAATTTTGAAACGTACGTCAGAAAACAAAGACGCACATTACGAACTTGATTGTCAACTTCCCTTGCCTTCAGTTGTCTTCAAGCTCAGCTGCATTTATGCATGCTATACAATATTGAGTCGATCAGTCAGTCAAGCAGTAAAAAAGAAACAAGACTTACAGTAATTCATGAAAAAGGAAAACTATTATGAATAACAACTCTTCAAATGCATCAGCCGGGAGTCGAACCCGGAGCGAATGCTTGGAAGGCATCCATGTTACCGCTACACCACTGATGCATTATAATGAAACTTATACCTCCGGAAATATATGTAGAAAAAGCTCATCTTACATAACACCGTTCTCTTACTTGCAGGTTGTGTAAAATGAAATATATGTATCTGTCCTTTAAGGACTGACATGAAATGGCAAAAAGAAAAATCGGGCTGTTCTGGGAATCGAACCCAGGACCACCATCACCCAAAGATGGTATCATACCACTAGACCAAACGGCCAAACTTTTACTATTATTTATATCAGTTAACCATGATTACTCCTTTCTGGAAATTATAACTAATATATCCTGTACAACCATAGGTTTCAGGCCGCTGAAACACGATTCAAATTGAATAAGTATAAAATATTAAAAAAATACTTGTATGTATTCCATATCTCTTTTCATGTCCAACGGCTTCACTATCTGAATAAAGAATAATCAGTTTCGCCAAATTATTATTATCAAATTATTTAATTAATGCTTATCGGTTCTTCAGATTTAACAGCATGTTTTGGTGGTTACATCTTTTAATTAAGCATCTGTTATTTTACGATTATAAAAAACACGATCGTCACAAATGGACTCTTTCGTTCAAAATATGAGCGAATCAACGTAATATGATTGTACATAAAATTTGATACTTCTAAACTATTTGATTGAATAATGATAGCTTCCAGGGATCTGATTCACTAAATAAAAAATGTAGACTGCATTTAGCTAGATCAGTTAAATCTTCCAATGTCTCTGTCATATTTATGACTAATAACAGAATCTTTTCTAAAGCATTTTCTTTGTCTTCTCTCAAACCTTTGTTTAAGAGATGCTTTGTTTGAATTGCATTAATGAAGCCTTATTCTCATATGATAATAGTATCAAATAATTAGTAATATCGTATAAGGGTTATGACAGTTGGTTCATTAGACAGCAGTAGTAAGGACTATACGAATCTCTAAAATAACCTATGTGTTAAATAAGGTTTAAGCGTAAAAGTGAGATATAGCTTTCAGAAGACAGTTCAACGTAGGATGTAATAATGCTTGATCAATTGCTCTTCATTGAGTCTTAGCTAGATTTACTACTAAAAAATTGACATCATTACTACGCTATTTTGATGATTGGTGATAAACGAACCGGATTTATCAGATCAAAATCATTCACTAACAGACGAGATTGCAAGCCATCAAATGATTATTGGAGGCTTATAGTCATTATTTAAATGCCGTCAACCGCTATTGTGTTGTATAAATACTGACAATACTCTTGTTTTCTTCTTTCATTCAAAAACTCATCGCATTTCCATCTATCACCTATAAACTACGGATACCCTTTCAGTTCTTGCACCTTTAATATTTCACAAGATATAACAGCGTAACTCTAAAAAAATGCGTTTTTTCTTAATCGGCTTTCTCTTTATGGCACTCTTAGGCATTTCTTCTGCCTATCCTTATGGTAGTGCCGCTGGAAGAAACGTTTCTTCTAGTGCTATTAACCACGTAGTTAACAGTACTTCTGCTATAAATCAAACAAAGAGCAGCGATATTGAAGAGAAACTTAGTAGTTCTACTCCTAAAGGCTGCTGGATGAGTTCTCGGGGTTCTTGTTTAGAATAAGAAGACAACTCGCGATTCTCAATGCTCATTATTGCACTTCTATGGAGCTATCTTCATAATCTTCTATTCTCTTTTCTTGGCTTTGTTTTTTATATCTGTATCAGAATGTTCAGTTTATCCCCTTGTGTTTTGCACCATCCTTTTTACTTTTCATACTTTTTTTTCTATTTCTTATATATGAGCTATTATCATAACTTTTGTCAGAGCTATAAGGATTGAGCATTTCCATATTCAGACAAGTAACCAAAGGAAATAAGTCGAGTAAATCATTAGGGGTAAAGCCGGCGTGAGGATGTAACTGAGACACTACTTTAGCCACTACAGTTAACTACCGTAACTCTAGAGGAAACAATGTCGTTGGTAGAGCAATAATATTAATGAAAATTTGTAACTAAAGAGCCAATTCTTATTATTGTAACTTCCTTTCACCAAAGTCAAATGCATATAATGAAAGATATATATACGGCTATAAAAAGCAATTATGGAATTCTAAAAGTTTTTTACATAGAGCGTTCGACATTCCGGATTATCTTGATTGCTCATGTATCTTTCCTATACAAGGCTGTTATACTTGAATAATCTAATCTACTATTGAAAGATTAGTTTCTTCTTTATAAGTCGTGCAAAGACAACAAACTTCCTGATTTTGTGGCAGATGATTTGGGTTAGTCTGACGTTGAAGCGTTTGGTTCAGAAATTAATACATAAAAATCTGAAAGCCTTCGCCAAGAAAGATTTCCGCTTCACCTTTTTTTTAATTATTTATTTACTAGCTTACACGGTCTATACTGTTGTCTGGGACTGATAATCATACTATCTGCCCGGTCAAATAATAGAGTTTGTGTCGCGAATTTAATAATGGGACGATTATCCTTAATAAAAATTATTTTTATTGGCTAAAAACATTATTTTTGAACTACTAAAGAAAAATACTATGGTAGTATGTCTGGGAAATGACATTTTTGGTTAACCAAAGGGACTTCTTCTGTTTATCGTTAATGAAGTAATTTCATTACTGTTTGGTGCTGGAAATCATTTCAAGAAATGCAAGCCATCATATGAGCAGTGCAAAGAGAACTCAGATGATTTGAGAAAAGATACTTTCTGCTCTCTATATGTCTGGTAGCGAATTTATCATGGCGACAAAGAGCTCCTCGAAGGCTTCACTCCTCAAATTGTTTTCCCAAAAATTCTCAAGAGTTCCTTTTTGTTAAAGTATTGAAAAGATATGGATAAACCAATCTTTGGTTACCTTCCATTAACCCACCTCGGCATCCCGTAGGGAAGTATTAAGGGAGATTTAACGAAGGACCAGATCTCCTAATCATTTAAAGGTGAAAAAAAATAGTAGGAAGCATTGGTTTTATATAACAGTCTTCTTGAAGGCCCTCCATTTAAAGTATTTAGCGATGAAGAACAAGAGAGATCAGATGAGTGTAGAAGAGCATGAAGTCAGTTCCAGGACAATGGAGGTTTATGCAGCTATGATCGTACAGCTCAACTGGAACGTTTAAACTTATCTACATATTAAGGAAAAAAGAGAGTACGAAAATACAATTGTTCTGTTTAGGTCGGACAATGGTGCAGAATGAGCTATCTTTGAAAACAAAACCTTGGATGGTGAAAAATTTTCTAAAATAGTCCAAAAAAGATATAATAATTTGTAGAACAATCTTAGAAATAGAAATTCATTTATATGATGCAGTCCAAGATGAGCATTGACTGCTAAATATCCCTTTAAAGTGTTTAAGACTTATTTATCAGAAGGCCATTCGGTGTCGGCTAATGGCTTGATTTCCTACGGTTATTAAAATTTCCAATGATAGCTCTAACAATTTCACTACAGTCACTAACATCACATCCACTGTTCGTAGCCTAGCTCCTCATATAACGAAAGGGGTTTCTACTTTTGAGAGGAAAGTCTTAAATAATCCATTTTACCAAAGGAAATCCTGCCTATGATGAAGGTATAGATTTCACTGGATATAAACTCTTTTGCCAATGAGCTATGGGACGTGAATCCTGGAAAGTTATTTACGTTCATAAATTCAATATCCTTTATAAAAAGTTCCCTAGCTTGAAGAAAGGACTACTTGGGGCATCGAAATGGAGACAGTCCAATTGAAAGATGTTCAAACCGAATCAAAAAACCCTTCTGAAAAACCACAAATTATTCTACATGAACTAAAGATTGTTGTTCGTTTCTTTATATGTTCGTGAGGTAGGTATTATTTCTGTGAACGACGACTTTCAAAATGATATTATACCAGATTGATAATTGAAGTTTAGTTAATTATAATCAATTCTAATAAGTTAATTTTGTACTTCTCTATTTATAGAAACTTCAAATCCTGAAATTCGGTATCCTATTCCGGTATTAAATGCTCCTCAACACAACCATTAGAAAATCTGTATAGTCTATATTAAATTAGAAGTTAGGCAGTTTGAAGTTGTAGTATTTTCCACTTGCGAATATGCTCTTTTAAAAACGTGACGACGCGACCTTTCCTGTGTCTTAGAGGTTCTGTTTCTGCTAGTTCGGTGCTAGTAATCGTTGTGAAATTAAAATGGATATAAAAGGACCTTGATAAGAAAGATTAGCTTGTTTTACGCACTAAAAAAAATTTCTTCATAGTTAATAATTGTAGAATATTTGATGGTCTAGCTAAATAAATCAATCTTTATAACTTAATTTAGCGAACCAGAACCTTGCAATTACTATAATATATTACTTTTATATGAATAATATCAATTTTAAGAATATACGGTTTAAACAAACTCTGGCATTTTCATTCGTGATTTATTCTCATAACGAAGCTGATCCCCTTTCTAAACATAGAAAAAGGATACTATTGCAATATTGGTATATCTGATATAAGAAAAATGATTTGCATTTAATTGATAAGTTATGGGTGACAAAGTGCCAAACATTGGATTTGATGCTGAAATTAAAATCCAACTGAATTAGATATGGCCCAAAAGAAATTGGCTATAAATGCTAATGTGGGGAACCTAAAATTTTTCTATTACATTTATTTTGGCTTCATATTTTAGAAGCTTTTTGTTTTGAATATAATATGCGGTCGTTCATACTTAACAAGTTTTAGTGCACATTGTAGCTCGATTAGACGTGCTAAAAGAAGAGAGACATAGAATGACCCAATGATTTAAATAATCTAAAAAATTTTCACTTGTGTTTAAAAAAAATTTTTGAAGTGTTTTTATGCACAAATGAAGGCCAAATGGAAGTACTTACCGACACATTCTGACCCTAGCTTTAGTTCTGAAAACTTTTTTCTAACCAATTATCTTTAATTTATAGAAAATAATTGTAAAATAACTAATTACGACTTCTAAAGTTGGCTGAGGAGTTAGTCACTTTTTATACTGAGGTGACTTGAAATAAATACAGGACATAGCATAAAATTATAAAAGTCTGCTGTCCTGTTTGATTCATTATACAATAAGTAAATTCCATAACTTCCATTATTCTTTGATTACTATTTACTCTAAGCTTGCATTTTTTATTGGATCTATCTTGCAAAGGACAGCATTATTAGCTTTGTCAGAAAAATAGCACCATCTAGTATTGATGTGATAACCAGATGTTTGTTTCACTGTTAATTTTAAATTAAAAGTCAACCTAACTAACAAAAAAAAGCTATTAATACGAAAACGGCAGATTTCAAAATGTAGGGTTGCTTTCAACATATATATCTTATTTTCAGGATCACTAACTTTAAATGTACTCAAACTTTGACTTATAAGCCCTGACATCAATTCATTCTTTATCTCACTTAGTCTTTATGTAAAGTGTTGTAGAATGCAAACCAAAAACTGAATAATAATGAATATTGCTCTCGCTTCTTGGAATTATTTAGTGATATTAAGCAAGATATGTGTAGCCCTTTTGAATCAGTTCAGAAACTTTGGATACACTGAGAAGGATAAAAAGAAGCTTAGCAAAAGCTACACCGTGTCTGATCAGTACAATACTTATTATACGGGAAGTAGTTAATTTGAGTTTGCAAAACATGTAATAGAGTTTAATACTAAGCAGGTTTTGCTCTAATATAGTATTAATTGTAGCATTATTAAGTTAGATGAATTACCAATAAGGAATGACTACGCGTTGTTCTTAAAATGGATCCACAGAAACTAATACATTTGTAATCCACCAGAGGCCGAAATCGTTTGTCCAGTGATCCAACGGCTTCTATCTTCGGCAAGAAAACTAACGATTTCAGCGATATCAGAAGGCGTAGCAACGCGATTTTCAAAGGGTGTCATTTTGGTGAATGCCTCTCCTCCACCATATTGTTTGAGCATATCCGTGTCCACTGCTCCTGGGTTGACTTGATTCACCGTGTGTCCTTGAGGGCCTAACTCTGATGCCCAACATCTCGTAAAGCCTTCAAGAGCCGCCTTACTTGCAGCGTAGATGGAGTTTCCCGACAAACCAATTCTTCCACCAATGCTTCCGAAATTGATAATTCTACCTCCACAGCCGTCTTTTTCTTTCTTGGGAAGATGACCAACCACGGTTTCTGACATGAACAAGACAGCCCTAACGTTCACATCAAAGATATAGTTGTAATCTTCTAATTTCAACGTTCCAAGCGTTCCTAATTTAGAGCATCCCGCGTTATTAACAAGAATATGGATGGTGGGACCAAAAGCTTTGACAGTAGTCTCAACGATATGTTCAGCACTTGTAACATCACGCAAGTCAGCTTGAATACTGATGGCGTCTGCTGAAGTACCAAATCCTTTGATCTTATTCACTAATTTCTGGGTTGATTCTTTGCTACTCTCAGAGGTATAAGTAATGGCAACCTTGGCACCACGGCTTGCCAATGTTTCAGCGATTCCTGCTCCGATACCTCTGGAGCCTCCTGTAACGATGGCGACTTTGTTTTCAAGAGGAAGATTGTTGCTTGTCATTTTTAAGAAATATAAAAGAAAGAAAGTGTATACACCGTTCTTAAATTTCGTTTATGTTTGTTAAAATCAGCAAGCTATTTAGTATTAGTATTAGGACGTAATTGTCACTGGCGTCATCTTACTAATCAGAATATCATCTTAATGATTAGTACGGTATCGTTAGAACTTGTCTTTAAGGAGGGCTTCCATTGCTTTCGAAAACGTACGGAAGTCAAGGACTCTTATTTATTTGTCTTCTGTAAGAGAAAAATATTAGCAGAAAATAGGATCGCATATCAATGTAAGAAAACATATAAAACACTTAAAGATGAAGAATTTGAATAAACAGTTTGCAATGTACATCTAATATTTCGTAGTTTTAACTTAGGTTACCAGATTTTGTTTTACTGAGTTTCTTCAGTTCTACTGATCTTAAAACCAGCTCAACAAAACCACACTTCTCATATTCTTTTTTGTCTTTTCGGTGTGAGCCGGCTTCAATATTAAGTGGGAATAAGTAGGATAAATCTCATATCGAAATATATGTATACTGTTCAGATGGTGACCACTGCAAGCAAGGAATAACAACGATGTATGAAATTGATAAAAGCATCAAAAAATTGGAATAAAAAAAATTATCTATTTTATGCTTTGTTTTAATACAGTGGTAAACTGAGAACTCGTACCTCCATCCAATTTCGAAGGTTACTCCCCGTACCCATTATAGCCACACGTACTTCTTTTATGATTAATTAAAAGAAAAGATTTGATATGTGTATTGAAATGGGTGGAAATCGATATTTGAGTTGGTCAAGGTAGTAGCTAGATGATAGAAAAAGGAGTGAGGTATTTGAAGTGTTATGCGTTGACTTTTTAAGCAAGAACCTAAGAACCAAAGAGAAAGGCAAAGAAAAGAAGGTGGAAGTGAAAGAAGCGGGGAGAGGGGCGAAATGGGTGGATTTGAGGGGATGTTTGGGTAGGGGACAACAAACAAAGGGGGAGGGAAGAGAGAAAGAAGGGAACGGAAGGGAAAGAGAAAGAAACAACAAGAAAAATGAGAAAAAAAATTAAGAAAAAATAAAACAAGTTGCAAACGATGGCAAAAAGGTGGGTAAAATCGGAAAGGGAGACAAATGGACAAAAGCAAGAAAAGAAAAGGAAAGCAAAGCGATAAAAAATAGGAAAAAACAAAAATAGGAAAAACCAAACAACAACAAACGATTTGCGAGGGAAGCGGCAAACGAGAGGTGTCATTTTTTTCTTTTTTGTTTTTTCTTTTTTTTCTGGGCCTTTTTTAAAAGGGAAACGAGACGTTTCACGTTTCAAGGAGAAAGAAGATTTGAAACAAAAAAAAACAAAAGATTTGAAAACAAAAAAAATGATTGGGGGAAAAGGGAATAGAGAGAATAGAGAGGAAAAACCAAAAAGGAAAAGCATGAGGAGACCCGGGACCAAAAGGACGATTTTTTATTTTTAAAAAGAAAAACTCAACAAAACTATTTTTTCAAAACAAGATTGTGTCAAAAAACCAAAATGTCAATACGAAAATGTCAAAAAACCCATGTTCCAGAGGGTGGAAAGTGATCGTGAAAAAAACAAGTCCACACAGTGGTAGTAGTGGTTGGCCTTTGGTGGTAGTGGAGACTGGGGGAAGGGTGAGGTCGACGGGAGGAGTAGTAGAGATTTTGGGAAAACAACTCACGCAAATGGACGGAATTCACAAGAAAAATAAAGGAAATCCACGAGAGAAAGAGGTGCCAGGAACTATGTGAAAGGAGTGGTGTTTGAAGGGTTGGAAAAGGAACCTTGGAAGACTTGGT